CGTATAGTCATTTATATTGTAGATTATGTCTACAAAATACTGTATAGTTCCGGGTGCGATCACCAGCAACAGGCTAAACCAAAAACAACTTGATAGACAACGATGATCCAACGGATAGTATTGGACCGTGTTTGCAGATCTCCGTTCTCGACAGCTTGGCGAAAGCCATATGGAGTACCTACATTGTTCGCATGTACATCGATGGAATCACGAGACCTCTCAGCGTGCCCGAGACAAAACAAGAATCGAGACTTTGCGGGAGGTGGAGCGACGACGGATATGGACAGACCTCAAATCTTCTTTCGCTGTGTACCTTGGAGGATGAAACAAAGGCAAAATCAAGGCTAATGTGGTTATGACTCAGGAGCGAATAGCCGCATACCCGCTCAAGCAAACAGAATTGGCTCCTAAACTCCAGCCGGTTGGCATGAGCTAACCTGAATTGTATAATGTACGTTGCGGCTGATGGAACTTAGGCATTTCATGTGTGTGGATGCATCTAACTTGGTAGGTTGAATCAAATCTAACGGCCTGGCCTTTGCTCAATTAACCTATCCGTGAGAATACAATTTCTACCCTTTGAATACAAAAATACGAATTTAAGGTACTGACTGTATTTCCACAAATATTCAATTGGTCACCCCCTTCGAACAAAAAATCATTTAATAATTCATTACAACAAGTCGGGATAGCTCAGTCCGAAAAGTCGGAAACGAGTACAACTAAAACATTTTACTCCATCTTATAATGGGGCAGGTTTGATCGAATCTCCAATATGTTTGAAAGTAGAATAATTTCACTGCTTTGGGCATGTATAGCGAGTCCGACGCTGAGGGTCACCCTACTTTAACTAGCAACCAACCAGTGCGCGAAATTAGCGAAGCTCCAAAAGCTAAGAGTAAATAGGGTGGATTTCTAGATAGGACCGCTAGCTTTGTCAGCTGGATTACTTCTTCCACCAATTAGCATGATCCAGATCAGATCTGAGGTGAGATTGCGCACTTTCTACTCCGTATGTTCAACACCTTTGAAGCAATCACCTTTATATAACTACATCATGCCACACCCTTAGCCTTATCTCTTTTACCACTACGAAGTACGAGTAATAAGTCAAGCGAGACCCACCACCGCAAGCTCAAGCGAAAGATTCACCGATCATTCCGGGGGCGGACACGGAGCCGGACGCAAGGCTCGCAGAACAGGCGAGACCCGAGAGGGTCACCCCTTTTTTTTTTTTTTCTTCCTTATCACAATATTTTAGTTACCACCACGGTCCGAATTGGATTCTCCAACAGTCCCAGAGCCTCTTCTCCAAAGATTAAGAGGGGCTGGTGGGGAACAGACAAAGAAAAAGGCCGCATATACGCCAGGTCCAGGTGCATCTCCATTTTATCGAAGAGGGTCTTCTTTTCCTCCAATTTCTTGGTTAAAATGTCAAACGAAGTACTCCGTATGCAGTTGACCAATGAGTAAAAAGCTCTCTGAGCGCCCGTGTCGATCGATCAAGGCGTAAATATACACTAGGTTCGGTAAGGGTCGGGAAGATGCCGGGATCACGTTGATCGATATGGAGAATTTAACACAATTATAATATATTAATTTATTATCTGTTTATTCGCTGTTCTAACCACAAAACCCGACAAAACCCGACCATCGGTCTTTGTCACATCCAAATCGCAAAGCCCGCAGAACCCGCCTGCTTTCTTTAAGCTTCAAATGTCGATCAGGTATTCCATACGGAGTAGTCTAAAATCATAAACAAAATGAAAGGTGACTGAGGGCCTCCTACCGGCGATTAAAAACCCAATTCTAAAAAAAGAACCAACATTAAATCAAACTCCCTCACTGGCTACTTCGTATGATTTCTTCATTATTCACATTTCGTCTCATCGGTATAGTTATGGTTCAAAATATTCAGTAATCTTCAGGGAGATTTATGTTTACAACAATCTGTACTCCGTACAATGCCCTTGGTATACACTTTACTCCGCGCCGCGCGAGTTCATTTTTTGTGTGGTCCTAAGTATTTTGATTTTTATTGAAGCCCAAGATGGACGAGATAAATGGCTTCAAAATCGGGTATGGCTTTTGTCAGCTACAATCTTTTGAGCTGATTAAGAGTAAAAGAAACATATATAAGTGTACACACCAACGGGTTGCATCATAGCAAGGCTTCAATCTGGGTATACCATTTTGACCGTTTGACCCTCGACAGAAATAACGCCAAATACCATTCAGCCTTCTTGTGTATTATCGCCCAATCTTTACATGTCAGAATATGCTCCGATAAAAAGGCGACGGATTACCAAGGCAGACTTATGGTTTCCCTCGTGCACGGTGCATGGCCTCCTACCGAGGTTTCAAAAAAGGTATTCTAAAAAAAGAACCAACATTGCATCAAGCTTTCCCACTGGCTACTTCGTATTCTTTCTTCACATTCCGGCTTCTTATTGGCATGGCTATGGTGTAAGGTTTTGAAATAACATTTAACTATTTCTATGTATGAAACTTTGAATACAGTCCAAGGTACAAACTCTATGAGCTTGCAGTAGAGCTCGGTGCCAAATATATACTTTACATGTCATTTATTTGATATGTAACGAACAGTTTACCACAAAGCCCACAAAATCCCGTTCAGCAGCACCTTGCTTGTACTTGATTGTAGACCCACAATCCCAAAAATCAGTTCTAGAACCTAGGCACGAGTAGATTGAATCGCATCAGGCCCTTCTCCATGACCAACTATACACTAACACAAAAACAGAAGGAGAAGGATATAACGGACCCATGTAATGGCATGGAATTTAATGATAAACAGCCTAGCATCCACTTTTTGCTTTATTTTCTATGAAATTTCTATACTCCAGAAGAGGCATAGATCGCGATCATGCACAACGGGAAGGAGGATGGGGAAATATGTCGATCAGTTCAATCACCTGTCCGTGTTGCCCTAAATTCCCTACGCCTCAGTCCAGTCCCTGATATAAACAGGGTTGAGTACTACTATTTTGCATCATGGTGTCTAAACTTGGAACATGGGGCTGTGGAAGATCCCGCATGTTTCGGTTCCCAATATCAAACTATGTTTCAAAACCTTGTTAGAATGCCTTGCAGTCCTGGCGCTCATTTTGCAATCCTAGATCATCATAATCTGCACATGGACGGTGGATCGTGCGAGGCTGATTTTCCCATGCCCCTCCCCCCACAAACAAGCCGTCTAGTGTCCGTGATTTGTCTCTCCCAAACGGTCGATGTGACGGGCATCAGCCCGGGAGGATTCAGCCTCGAATTATAATAATATTCATCATTTGAACAGCCCCTGCATAGTGCGCATGCCCCTTTATTCGCGATTTGTACTTCCCCCCCTCATTTAACGGATTTACTTGCAGAACGAAGAATTTTTTTTTCCAGAAAACGGACAGAAAAGGGATGGTGCCCATGGCGTGTTTCAGGAACTGTAGATTGAAGATCCCCCGTCTAGGTATACTAATTAAATTTTACTTTCCCACGATCTAGGATCTGACTCCTGATGCCACGAGGTAAGTACCTTTGTATGCAGCAAAATGCTTACATATGTACCCAGGAGGGGGGTAGGCACGTGGAATAAATGATCCAAGGTTGAATCATACACCAAAACCAATATACCGTTTAGCCATCCCCAGGCGAACTCCAGTGACGTCTTCATCGGAGCCGGAACCGGGGGGGGGAGGGTTGTTCATTCACCCTTTAAGTGAAGGATCAGCGGAATGAAACAAGCTACATACCTCAAGCGTGAAAGCCAACGCCAAGAACACCGAATAGTCGGCCAGATCCACTAGGCTGACTCGCTTTGCTTTTTTCCGACCTTTTTGCCTTTTTATTTATTTCCAAATCTGGTTTAGCGTGTTCGGACTAGCTCGGTTTAATCGAGCAAACTTTGAGGGTTTGGATCCACCAGACCAGATCCGCTGCGATATACCAGGATATCTCTCGTATATGCAAGTGTTTGTTTTCTAAGGGTTTGTACAAAGATTGGTAGGTGTCAAAAATATACAAAAATGCTTGTCAAGGCTTCGAATTTGAGACTGTAATCCTAGTTAAAACCCCGCTGTCAGTTAGTATCCAATAGCATGCGCCCTGTAGCGAGCCTCTAAAGTACTGTATTTGGAATAGCGCGTGATCCTGCGAGTTTCCTAAACCAACGCACAATCCACCGGCCTTTTCACAGTGGGGAAACCCCGTTGCGTTCCGTGGGAGCTTGGACTCACGATATGAAAACTGTTAGTACTCCACGAGTATCGGAGGTAGGGTTCGGCTTCTTGGTCCACCTGCAATTGGAGGATAATACCGCTGTAATAAATTCACATAACATGCAATGTTGACAATAACTATTGTCTTACGCACAACATTTGGTCACTCCAAGGTTAACACAAAAGGATGATTTACCGGGATGGTGGCAGCGAAAGAGTACCTACGTTGTATTAAATCAAGCCAACGGGTTATCCCGCCATTTTCTTTTTGCCTGTTTAACGTGTTGGGGTGCGCCTCAGCCGCAGTCCTGGTTAATGCAATGCCCCCCTGGGGTGTAATTTTAGTACACCTGGGCAGCTTATGCTCTGATCATCCCGAGCGATCATCCTCCACGCCCGTGCTGTCTATTTCCCTTGATTCAATCTCAGTTAGCCTTATGCTGGATATTTGTTTTTAATTTAATTTATTATTAGCCTCACATTATTTTGTTTTATTATATTTGTTAAAATATTTACCTAGAGTTTTTATAATATTTTATAGAATTATTTATTTTTCCAAATTAATTCTCATTTACTCAAAAGTCTATTAATCCGTAGATCTGTAGGAACAGCCTACAGTATCGCTCCCTCTATATCAGTCCACCCTCCGCTCTTCTTCATTCCTTCTTCCTGCAGATTCAAGATCATCCTTCACAGCTTCTTCACATATACAAGCCCTATATATCATTTGAAATCCCCCTCCTCCTTCCCATCCTTTTTCTTTTGTACAGGATGACCCGGGGACACCCAGAGCGCATCAATCCAAACCACATCATCTCTGTATTAAACTCGCCTTCCGTTTCTTCCATTTCTCCGTCGCCAGAACTTCAACAGCTTCCTTCTAATATCAAAATGGTGGGCCGGAAGAACATGCGCACCAAGCCTCAGGCGGATGCCACTATGCTACCAGTCACTTATACTCCAACCACTCATCGTGTTAGCAAGGCCAAGAAAGGCAAGCGAGTACATGCTTGCCAACATGAAGGGTGTGACAAGGTCAGCGCAATTCAATGCATAACCCCCGGGATCACGAAAACTGACCTCCATTGTAGGTTTTTACCAGAGCGGAGCACAAGAGACGCCATGAATTGAACCACAACCCCGAGGCTTCCTACCGATGCATGCAGCAAGGATGCAAGAAGGCTTTCCACCGCGCGGATTTACTTGCGCGCCACGTGGAGAGACAGTGAGTACCACTATTCCATCTCAGATGGCGCATACTGACTATGACGCAGCGAACTCGAGGCGCAAACCGATCAGTCCTCGTGGGCATCTCCCCCAGCATCCTTGCAACCCGAATCCTCCATCCCGCGCTGTATGTCAATGGATAATGGAATGCCATTGACCGTAACCTCCCAAACCAACACTATGTCTATTGGGTCCCTGGTGGCACCCGGGATTCACCCAGACCTGGCCAACGATTGTTCTTTGATGTGGAGCGGCGTCGACCTGCCTTTGCAGCCCCGTCCAACATTCCAGACTCAGCTCCACGAGAACGCAGACGACAGCCCATTTTACTCTTCCCCCGCAGAGACTTGTCCCTCGCCTCTCTCGGACACAACATTTTCTCTTCCTCCCCACTCTAGCTCCTCCATGTCTTCCACATCCGTTTCTGTGATCGACCAATATCCCAAGAACATCCTCAAGGGCGACGTCTCTGCATCTCCTCTCCAACTTCACACTTCTCTCCTCCGGTGGGACACAGATGCCGGCATGCCTCAGTCGCACCTGGTTCCTATGTCCATTGGGGAGAATTTAATACAGCCAGTAAGCTTTGCGATAAACCAGCCAATGGAAAACCTTCTAACATTTTCCCAGCCTGTTCAGTGCCATTACCCTTCTCCATCATGGTCAGGTTCAGACTGCCTTCCATACGACGATCAGGTCCAGTCCCTGCACCAATTCCAGCCTGTGAGCTGGGGCATGTGAAAAGCCAGGGATCAGTCTATGCTGCGCATCGACTGCCAGATATCATGACTTCACGACCACAATTAACTACGGACATTTCGCCGTAAACCAGCCCCGGGCTCAACCCGTCAACTTGGACTCACCAACTGGTGTGGGTCTGAGAGACGGGAAGAACGGCAAAATAATTATTGCCTCAAATGTCCCCCGAGACCGGTGTCTAAGAACATCCGTCGTCTCGTCTTCCAAATGATGGTTGAATTGATTCAACTCTGATTTGCAGGATGGCATTCCGGTCCCACCGCGCCCCGAGACGCGATCGCCTGGACTCCTGTATCCACCGGTCGCCTCGGGTAGTCCGCCACATCTTCCAAATACAAATACAAGGGGAAAAAAGGGGGGACCAGCGTTCTTCCGAGATCGCTTGTGAGATTGTATTCTAGACTTGAACTGGAAGCGATTGTATCCATTTTTTTTTTCCTTTGTTTGATGTGTCTCTTTGTGTGCCTTTTAACGACACGATCATGATTGTTTTTCCTTTTGTATTTTTATACCCCAAGATCAAATTCAACTTTATGAACAATATACCGTTTCCTAGCAATTCAATGTAGGGCACCTTTAGACTCTAGTCAACCATGGCTCGGTTCATCACGCGAAAATCGTCCGGGGTTAGAATTCCAAATAAACCATGGATCCCATTCGATTATGTAAATATCAAAGACAATAGAGTTCAACGTTTACACTACCAAACTCTTTGTTTGTACCGTTTAACCATACTTTGTGTCCTTCGAATTGTTCAAAAATGCTAGTTCGCATCAGAGGCAACAAAGAGTCTCGGCCGGCGATCTTTCAGGCTGCAAACCCTATCCGAACCATTAATCTCGCTCCGTGTTTAGTAAAAAAACGGGAAAAACACAGACCAACTAAACTACCCTTCATTCAATGTACGGACGTGTCATGCTCCCCACTTCCCTACTCTACCCGCTTGGCTTCTCTGTTTGTGGACTTCGTATCTGCATTCGTGCTTTGGAGATTCTCAATTTTATGGATCCTCTATCTGCTATAGACTCGGAGGTATACTGCTGTTTTGGAAGATCCCCATCAGACTAGTAGTTTGAGATTTGAGATATTTGTGCCGGAAGCTTTCTTTCGTTCCGGAAGCTATAACATGTGTACTCCGTACGAAGAACTTGTCAACTAATTCTTTGTTTATAAAAATCGTTATCCATCATCTCGTCGCAAATTTTTTGTGGTGGATCAACTTGGCGTGTCGATCAGGGGTTGACATGGAAGTCACGCGGCTCTTAAAGGCCTGAGGCCCTCGTTCAGACCTGCTTGCTTCGGTGATGATATGCGTTTGGTGAAACTTTTCTCCTGCGTCATGCATACCTTTAATCTCGTTCAGGTTGAGTTAAACGAAGTACTCCATAGGCCTTTCTTTGTATTGACCTGAATCTCCGAGGATTATCCGGGATCCTCCTGGATAGACAGCGCTTTACCATAAGGTACTCACGCACCAAACAACAACAAGACCCATTGATGAAGTAGCTTATAATTATTGTAAAAACCTTGGTGCTGGACAGGAATGGTTTAAGCCGCATTGTTTGCCATAAACGTACCAGGGCAGCATGGTGTGTTGTTTGTGGATTGGCGGGTTATGTATACAGCTTTAGAAGACTCATTTATGTTGTTTCTTTTGTGGTTTCATGGTGAGCTCATGCTGGAGTTTCGAGTGATCGATAGCCTGCTAATAAAGTCTGGCGGCTCTCTCTTATTAAGTCGTAAGGCATCCAGGGAGTCACACTTTGTTTCTCGGCTGGTACCCAAAGCAAGTGCCCCAGTGCATACCCAATGCATTTTTGCACTTATATTCTTAAAGATAAGGTAAGCCACTAGGCGGCTGCAGAGTTCCTTCTCTAAGCTGTGTGTTTTCTCGAAGCCGCTGTATGATAAGCCTGTTGCCTGTCTTGTGGCTTTTCCAAGGTTACAGACACGCGTAGAAACCCGTTCTACCTTGTTCTGTTGACACTGTCCTCCACTTGTGTATTTTCGTTCAGATTTTATAGAATACGAAACGAAGAATCATACTTGTTTTTGATGTCTTGACTGACAATTATTGAGACCACTTGTGGTCCATTTGATATTGGATGATCTACATCCAATGGAAAGCCATCCTTAAACCACAGGGAAAGCCATACCATCGCCGCGCAAATCACTACCAGCACCATAAACTAGTTTGCCCTCGTCATAGTACGAGCGAATGATCTGCCCACGACCAAACGCGGAGCGCTTCCACCCCGTCAACACCTCAACCTTGTGACCAAGACGACGAAGCCCCTCGACAGCATCATTACTAATACCTTCCTCAACCCAGACCGTCCGGTCCGTAGTTTCCTCCGTCGGCGCAGCGAGACAGAAGCGCGGCGAGTCCAACGCTGCCTGCGGGTGATACCCAAAGGCCAGCATGTTGAGCATGACCTGCACATGGCCCTGCGGCTGCATAAAGCCACCCATGACACCGTACACGGAGTGCAATGAGCCATCCGCGATGTTGGTGATCAAAGCAGGGATGATGGTGTGGTAGGGTCGCTTGTGCGGTGCAAGCGCATTGGGGTGGCCTTCTTGCAGCGAGAAATTGGCTCCCCGATTCTGCAGCGTGAAGCCGCAGCCAGCGGGGATAATGGCTGTTCCGAAACCAGCGTAGTTGCTGTTGATGAAGGAGATGCCGTTGCCTTCGCTGTCCGTCACAGCAAAGTACACTGTGTCGCAGTGGTTGTGTGCGGGGCTGCCGTGGTCCATGATATCTGCAGCGCGATCCGGGGTGAAGAGTTTCGCCCGCTCGGCGAGGTACTTGGGGTCGAGGAGGCCCTGTGACGGTACGCTCTCGACGTCTGGGTCTGTCACCCACCAGGCTGCATCGGCGAAGGCAATGCGCAAACTTTCAATGACAGCGTGCAGATACTCGGCGGAGTTGTGTTGAGCCTCGGTGAATTTGGGGATCTTGTCGGACCTTTCGAGCTCTTCCATGATTCCGAGTGCCATCAGAGCCACGATGCCCTGGCCGTTTGGTGGGTGCTCCCAGATCTCGACGCCCTGGTTGACGTCGCCGTCTGTGCCGGGCGTCGCTTTGGACACGATATCCTGGCCAGTGAACTTGAGTGAGATCGGATCGACCTCCTGGGTGCCAACCTCGGCGTGATATGCGAGATCTTCGAGGGCCATGTAACCGCTTTGATCCTGTACCACTTTGACGATCGCCTCGGCAATTCGGCCTTGGTAGAATCCCTTCTTTCCCTCCGCAGCCAGCGCACGGAAGGTCTTGGCCAGGGTTGGATTTTTCATGATCTCACCCGGACACGGAGGCCGCACGCCATCCTTGGCTGTCTGGTCCACCTTGAGCATCTCACGGAAATTAGGGGAAGCATTGCGGATATCCTCTTCAGCTGCGTGCCACTTGTATCTGTCAGTTCGCATCCTTGGCGAGGGGAAAGAATACTCACGCCGTGAGAAGCGAGTTCCGACACAGGGAAACCTTCTTCTCCGAGCTCGATAGCAGGCTGTAGAATCTGCTCCAGTGACAACTTGCCGCTACCAAATTTCTCAACCGTATCCACCCACCCGGCAGCAGCTCCGGGGGTGGTAACCGATAGAGCACTCAGCATGGGCATGTTGCCCGGCGCGCCAGGAGCAAGACCGAGGTCCTTGCGGATTTGCTCCAGACTGGCACTACCAGGGTATCGGCCCGAGCCATTTAGCGCGTGCACTTTCTTCGTCTTCGCATTGTAGAAAAGACAGAACATGTCACCTCCGATACCTGTAGAACAGGGCTCGGTCATGTTAAGTCCGGCAGCTGAAGCACGCGATCAGTAACTGTCATGGCTGTTTTGGTATCGACTCAATGCTTACCCACGGCAACAGCGGCATCCTAACAAAACGCAATTAGTCATGAATACAGCCAAAAGATGTGAGATGCATACCGCTGCATTTCCACCCTGGCTCAAGATCCGTTGACCCGCAGCCGCGGCTAGCGGCTGGGTGCATGTTACGATGCCTTTTGTACTGTGGACGGTGCTACGTCGACTGGGGAATGGGACATAGTCCGCATTTTCCCGGGAGTATATGGCTTTGGCGTTGAGCGGCATATTTAAATATGAATAAGAGCAGAGGTCTTTGTGGGCTTGTCAAGACCTTATAAACCCCCACTCATTCTTCACTCGGGTACTACGTGATAACACGGGTCGGCATACCCCGCCGATTTGATTTGATGGAGAAAAGTTGGAGTCATTAGTTATCTTATCATATTCGGTACTTTGGCCGAAGTAGGAGGGGTAAATCTTGGAGTATGGAGTGATCAAAGAGTTCAAAGATTTCCAAGATTCTAAAGAACATAGTTGATTTGGATGAAAAGATTAGCATATTGACATTTGAAATCCCCCATAGGACACAACTCACCGCCCCGGAGAACGTTCTTCCCGTTCATCATCCCACCTCGGGACTCAAGAGATCCAGTTCCTTAAAAACGGGGAAAGGTGGACTATAAATACCCCTAATGATCTTATCTGATGCTGATTTTAGAAGCCTCTGATGGAGCAGCATGGTGGTATTTGTCGACCTCGACGATGAATTTCCCAATGGATCGGCGCCGGAGAAGCCATTTCAGTTGATGGTTGACCCCAATTCGGCACCGGCCGAATTATCACCACTTAAAGGGTCCGAGGTCTCGAAACTAAACATAAATGGATTCTCGGCGGCTTTGAGTTGTTATCCGTGAGTGCAACCCACGGGGTTGTTGTACCTGCAACGAATTGTGAACTCGACTGACCATACTAGTATAATCAAGGAGATCGCTCGAGCCATCGATCTTACCACTCTTCACGCCCTTTCGATTACATGTCGTCAGTTCCATGCAAATCTGGCACCATATCGCCACCAATTAGTGAGAGAGACTCTCCGGTGCGAAAATGAGTATATCGAGACCCTAGCAGATATGCTAGACGACGGCGCTGTCCTCCCAGACAGTGTCAAATCAGTCATACAACTTCTGAGTCGGGGAACCGGCCAACCGGGCCGCATGACTCGCGGGAAGGTGGGCAAATGCGCACGCGACATGGTGGGCGAATGTCGCCGCTGCTCAAAGGTTGTCTGCAGAGTAAGAGCCGCCTAACCGAACCGTCAAACACAGACCGTTCCTAACGGCTCCACAGAACTGCACCATCAAACCTCCTTCTAAAACCGCCCTCAAAAGCCGTGTTCGTCGACTCTGTCGACCCTGCGGTACTGCGCCCATCTCCTCACATCTCTCCCAGGCATCCGATCCACACCCAGACTCATGGGACGAAGACAGCGTGGCAGCTATAGCCTTCGCGCGGACCCCATGCAACTGCGAAGAAAACGTCTGGCTGTGCACACAATGTGGCCAGACGCTGCGCACTAACGACACGACCTACCGTCGAGTCTGGGCGTGGCGCACGCGATACAGCACGTATCTGGGCGGCGGGCTGGGCACGGGTATTGGTGAAGGCTGCCAAGGTGTCAAGTGTGGGCGGGGCGAGAGCTGTCTCGCTGCGCAGAAGATTGAGCTTGAAGTCGACTGCGAGGCTGATGAGGGTTCGGGTAGTGACACTGGCAGCATGGGGAGTCCTGCAGGCCAGTCGCATCACCACGAGAGTGCTGTTTCCACAGATAGCCATGATGACGAGCAGCCTGGGTATTTCCGACAGGAAGTCATTGGGTTAGGTGGTGTTGTTAAGCATAAGTTTAAGAAGAGGGTCAATATTGGGGCTTGTGTTGTTGAGTATGAGGATGAGAGGGAGACGGGAGATTATCTTGTGCGCGAGGAGCAGGGGCTACATCGGGCTTGGTGTGGGTGGTGTTCGAGGGTGATCCCAGGGAAGAATGATAACCCTTGAGGTTGGCTTTGTATTCGGAGCATTTTACTTGATCATAAAATAGGGCCTCTTCGTCAAGACATCAAGCTATTCGGATTATGTACAAACTACAACATTGCATGCAACAGAGATAATCTCATTCATCCTTGTCTCAAAAATGCACAATCAAATCTGGCTAATAAACAACCAAGTCAAAGTACTCCTGCAATGTTCGCACCCCATGCAATTCGTCAAGCACACATCGTATCTTATAAGTCATTCTGTCCAAACCACAAACCACCCTTCAATAAAAGACAAGGTTGAAAGTGAAAGAAAAAAAACAAAAGCAAAAATAGCACCAAATCAATCTCAATGGGCAGCAATGGCTCTCCAAATACTCTTCATCTTCGACTCCTTGACGGGCGACTCTTCACGCCTATGTCGGCGTTGAGAGCGAACCTCCCTCGAGTCCTTGGACCGCCGAGAAGAACCCTCAGGCCTTCTTTCGCGCTCCTCTCGTTCCACCTCACGATCACGCTCACGCTCACGCTCTCTCTCCTTCTCCCTGGATCGACCATGCTCGGCCGTCGACGAGCGGCGCAACTTCCTGGTGTCAGTGCGCTCAAGACGGGTCTCTTCCTCGCGGCGTTCTTCACGTCGTTCCTCGCGGCGTTCCTCACGGCGTTCTTCACGTCGTTCCTCGCGGCGTTCCTCACGGCGCTCTTCGCGTCGGGAAGTAGATCCACTCGAACGGCCACTGGAACGACCATTAGAATGCCTGTCTTCGTTCTCCGCACGTTCATGACGGCTACCACTGCCAGTGCTGTGGCTAGTCGATGAGCGACGCAGACTATCGACAGGCGGGGAAGCCTTGGTGGCATTCACGCGCAACGGAGGCCCATTGGTATCCGATTTGCCTTCTGTCATGTACCGCAGGAAAGCACGAGGCTTACTTGTTGGTGCGGATGATGATATCTGTTTAGACGAGGAAGTCCTGGTCGAGCGAGCTCGCTCAATGGGCCGGCTGGGTGTCTCTGAATCGCGACGCCTGGGCCTGGGTTCAGCGACGACAGCCTCTGGCTCCAATTCTCTCACCTTCTCCTTGGCTGAGCTCTTCGAGCGCCTTGGTTTCTCGGAGACGGGGATACCGCTGCGCTCGCGCTCCTCAACGAGGGCGCGCTGCTTGCGCTGGATTTGGGCTTTCTCGTCATGTTGACGTCGTGCTTCTTCCAGTGCCTTTGCCCAGCGGTTGGTGAAAACTCCTCGTTCGCTCTTCTGGCGTTGGAGTTGATCATGGCGCCCATCGGACGATGTCTTGGAATGTTGGCGTTCGCGCTCCATAGGGCGTTCGCGCTCTGTAGGGCTGCGTCTCTTGCGGCGCCGAGAGTTGCGGCGCGCTGCGGCATCTCCACCTTCTTCGGGGGATCCTTCAGGAAGAGGCTCAACGTCGATCATCTCCACCTCCGGCTGGGCTGCTGCCGGTGGCACGAGATATTCGGTCGCTACTTCGTCACTAGCAAGGGCAGGGACTGGCACGGGGGCGGCTTCAGGTTCGGCTGGTGGGGCGTCTTCGGGAAGGTCTCTCGCAGCTTCTGGCTCAGAGACGGGTTCCTCTGGAGATGTTTCGGGCACAGGCTCTTCCATTGGAATCTCGACTGGGACAGCAGTTGGCTCGGGCTCAGCTGTCTCAGCTGCAGCCTCCGGAGCTGCCGGCTCGACCGGAGCTTCTTCAGGTGCTGGGGCCTCCGCTGGAGCAGCTTCGGGGACAGGTTCCTCAGGCATTGGCTCGGGGGCAGGAGCTTCCTCTGGGATCTCTTTTGGCGCCTCCTCGGGAGCAGCTTCCGGCTCTGGTGCTGCCTCCGCGGGTGCATCGGCGACGGGCGCTTCTTCGACTGGCGCTTCCTCGGCTGGAGCAGGGGTCTCCTGCACAGCTTCAGCAGCTGGCTCAGCAATTTCCACTTCTGGTGTGGGAAGCGCAGGTTCCTCGGCGGGAGCCACCGGGGTACTTTCAGGCTCCGGCGCTGGTGCTGCCTCTTCAGGAGATAATTCGACCATCGGCTCTTCCTTAGCAGGCTCTTCAGAAACGGGTTCCTCAACAGGTTCGGCAGCAGGCTCGGCCACTGGTTCGGGGGCGGGCTCAGCAGCGGGCTCAGGTGTGGGTTCGGGTGCCGGAGCTTCTTCAGCTGGAGGTTCCGGGGCAGCTTCCGCAGCAGCCTCAGCTGGGGCCTCCTCCACCGGGGCCTCTAGGGCAGCAGGCTCATTGACAGGCTCGGGCTCAGGTGTGGGTTCGGGTGCCGGAGCTTCTTCAGCTGGAGGTTCCGGGGCAGCTTCCGCAGCAGCCTCAGCTGGGGCCTCCTCCACCGGGGCCTCTAGGGCAGCAGGCTCGTTGACAGGCTCGGGCTCAGGCGTGGCATCGACGGCCGGTGGTTCTTCAGCAGCGACGGGCTCGGCGGCTGGAGCTTCATCAGCAGCGGGGGCTGGCTCTGCCGCAGGTGTCTCTTCGGCTTGCTTTTCCTCGACCGGCTCTTGAGCAACAGCAGCTGGTTCTTCCGCAGGAGGGGTCTCCACGATAGGGGTAGGTTCTTCAACAGGAGCTGGTGCTGCGTCTGCTGGAGCTTCCTCGGCAGCAGGTTCTTCGGCAATCTCCTCGAGGGGTACCTCTTCGATTACTTCAGACTGAGGTTCAGGCTCAGCTACAGACTCTGGCTCTGGCTCAGCCGGTGCTTCTTCAGCAGGCGCTTCTTTGGGAGCCTCGACCGCTTCGGGCTCAGGGGCAGCTGGTTCCTCGGTTGGTGTGGGTTCCGGCTCTGGTTCCTTCGCAGGTTCCTCAGGAACCATTTCCTCCTCTGCTGCTGGCGGAGCGGGTTCAGGCTCCGCTGCTACCTGAGTCTCTTCTGGCTTTGACTCCACCTCTGCTTCTGCTGCCAGTTCGCTCGCTTCGGGTGATTCTTCAGGAGCTAATTCTGGTGCTGGGGCTTCGGGCTCGGGGTCAGCTTCTGGCTCTGGGTTAGCCGCTTTGCCCTTCTTCTTTTTCTCTTTCTTTTTCTTTTTCTTCGATCCCTTTTCCTCCGCGGTTGGTTCCTCTGCCGGGGCTTCAACTGGTGCTGGTTCCTCCTGTAGCAGATCCTTTGCGGGGTTTTCGGGCTTGGCTTCGGGTTCTGGCGCTGGCTCTGAAACTATCACCGGTTCTGGTTCTAATTCCAGTTCTTTTGCTGGCTCTGCCTCAGGTGCTGTTGCTGGCTCTGCCTCAGGTGCTGTTGCTGGCTCTGCCTCAGGTGCTGTTGCTGGCTCTGCCTCAGGTGCTGTTGCTGGCTCTGCCTCAGGTGCTGTTGCTGGCTCTGCCTCAGGTGCTGTTGCTGGTTCTGCCTCAGGTGCTGTTGCTGGCTCTGCCTCGGGTTCTGGCTCTGCTGGCGGTTCTGGCGCTGGCTCTGCTGGTTCTTGCGCAGGAGGGGCTTCAGCAGGTTCACCTGCGGGTTTCTCGGGTTCGGCTTCAGTTTCAGGCGCAGGCGCGGCCCCGGGCTCTGCTGTTGATTCTGGGGCTGGCTCTGGGTCCGCTCCCTTACCCTTCTTCTTTTTCTTCTTGTCTTTCTTCTTCTTTGATGCTGACTTCTCCTCAACAATTGGCTCTACTGCTGCAGGCTCTTCCGGGGCGGGAGTTGCATCAGCAGGCGATTGTCCCTCTTCAGTCGTGGCAGGTGAGTCATCCGCTTTGGGTTCTGGCTCTGCTGGAGCCTCGTCTGGTTGGGCTTCGGGTGCCGGGTCGGGTGCCGGGTCTGAAGCTGCGCCTGCGCCTGCGCCTGCATCGGGGCTGTCGTCATTGCCATCTGCAGGGGCATCATCGACCGGTGGTGCAGATTCGCCTTCATCTTGAGCCTCCTCGGCGGCCTCTCTAGCAGCAGCCTCTTTCTCGGCTGCTACCTTTTCGGCGTCTTCTTCTGGGTTGCATTCTGGAAATTCGTCATCTGCCAACGCTGTCAGTGAAGATGATACTAACATAGAAAATAAGCACTCACCATCATTGCCGGTTTCACCATCTTTCTTGGTGTCCTTACTAGCTGGTGCTGCCTCTTCGGTACCTTCTTCGGGCTTTGCATCGCCCGCGGGCGCCACATCCTCTTCGGGTTTGGGGTCTTCTTCAGACTTTGATTCCCCCTCTGGCGTCGCTTCATCTGCAGGTTTCTCGTCTTCTGCAGCGGCGTCTTTGGGAGCTTCGGGATTCTCTCCCTCAGGAGCTGGTTCTTCGGCAGCAGCAGTAGCAGAATCATCCTTGGGCTCCTCGCTTGCTTCTGGGGCAGCTTCTTCAGGTGCAGCTTCAGCTGGTGGCGCAGCCTCTAGATCTAAGATAAATGGTCAAGAGCTGACTCGGAAGATATACCAAGAATTCCTTGACGATCAACCTCATCGTCTATAGAAATATGTACTCACCTGTAGGCTCAGTGGCCGTGGCATCATCTGGCGAAGCACTTGGCTCCGCTACAGGGGCTTCTTCGGGGTCAAGGCCCTTTTCAGTTTCGGTAGTGGGCTCATTGTTGTCCTGGTTTTGGCCCTCGGTCAGATCGGTGGATGAATAGGTGATAGGGTAAAGTGAGAAAGAAGAGGTTTCATAGTTATATGTCTGGTATTGACGGGTGACGGGCTGATATGTGAACTCTGGGATTGCTGCATACTTGTACGACATCCTCAACAGCACCTGCCGCCGGGTCAGGGGCAGGAATATCGATGAGGTCTTTGTTCTCAATATCAGGGGGTGTAGAACCGACTGGAGAACGGTTGGTAGCGTTGTTCTTATTATTCTTCTTCTTTGCTTTCTTATTAGCCATAATACTCGATTAATGACGTATCATATATCGTGGCCAGGCGAATGCTGACTGGCGCGTGATGGAATAGTCGGAACAATAGGAAAGTGACAGGCCGGTTGTCGGGCTCGCGCTGCACGGAAAAATGGGCCGGCAAGGAAGAAGGTAACAGGGACAAAAGATACAAAAGATTGAGAATTGAGGAGTGTAAGACTGGGCAAGGTACTCATGTATTAGAAGACCAAAAGGGAAAGGAAGGATATGCTTGTTTCTGTAGTGACACAAACGCTGCAATTGGACAGTTGTTGGTGAGGCAGCGTATAATAGTTCGCTCGCTGCCCGGTCGGATAGGACGACAACAAACCGCATCACGGGTCTTGGGCCCTGAACGTCATCAATGAACTGCCCGATGGTGTTAATTGTCATTGGGCCACGTTGATTCTTAGGTCTCCATTCTCGACATGAAGTTAGGCCCGGTGGTCAGTTAGAGCCGGGTGAAAGCAGTACGATTCCCCACCCGCAGGAATAGCTGCAGGACCAAGCAATAATGGTGAGATGGGATTGGAAGATTGGGGAGCACATCGGTCAAGATAGGAAAAGCAGTGCTGCAGCAACATGGAGAAAATAGGTTGGAAGTGGGGGTAGCCACACGAATGAGTTGAATTGAATTGAAACGAATTTTATTTTATTTTTGCTGTTTGGACCTGGGAACAAGTACTCCGTAGGTACGGAGTACACGATGATTAGGATAGAAAGGAACTGAAAGAAACGATTGAACCCGAAGCCACGAAGCCTGTGTGTCTCAGTATGGAACTGTATGGGAAATCGAAGAAGTTCACCCATTTCTGCCCAACGTCGGCAGCAGCGGCATATGCAGGCCCTTCACCGTGGATTATGGATTAATCTCGAAAAGGAACTGTGGCAATTGGAATCCGCAATTGGATTCCGCAATTGAAACCCCCCTGCCACCTTTTTTTCTTCTAATTTTCGGCTTCATGGGTCAAATTGAAAAGGCGGAACGTGTTGGATGGAGTCAATAATGGGGTCGTGGGTAGTAGTGAATCCACTCTGGACACCGACACTTCAGAATCAATAATGATAGTCACATTGGGAGCACACTCTGTGCCACTCAAGTACCACGTAAGGGAGCAGTTGAATTGGCGATGTAAATCTGCAGCAATTGAAACAGCAATACAATTATGCAGTGAGTATCGAGTATGGAGTACAACGAAAAAAGACCTGGAGACCTGGAGACAAAAAGCGGGATACGAGTTTCAGTAGTCAGGTGATACCAACACAACATCGGACTTCGATTTTATTTTTTGACAACATTTGTAATATTGTACTATTCTTCGATATTTCGAGTAGATTTCAATTCAATCCATTGCACTGCACTGCACTGCAGTCGATCATTATTGTTGTGTGATCTTCGGGCATGTTAACTGCCACTTAGCCACTCCTAAAACAACACGTCCACCCAAGTCCTGCACAGACGCTAACCACTTTGTGCATACTAAGTTACTAAGTCCCCACGACTATCTGCTGGATGGATTTCTTTCCAATGTTATAGTGTACAGTTTCGTCACTGGGTCTCTTCTTTCCCCTCTACGTTGTAAATAGCGACTATGTGTTCATCTAACTTAGTGTACTTTATACCTAAAAGCGCAGGTAAAAACTAACGCCAGCAATCGAGTCCAAAAGCAGCTGCATGCATGCCTAGGCCAAATGCGTGTTTTTTTTTTTGGCGGACCATCTCGGTTCTGGTTTACAGGCTCTTTCCGATATGCTGTACTTCCTGATACAAGTCCTCAGCCAGTTGTCAAATTCATAGATGAGGAGGTCCTCTATACCCAATTTCATGCAGCGGGCCGAGCATCCATGTTGTGTCGCCTGTGGTTGGTGAATAAAGGCTATCCTCGAGATGAACCCGTGTCATTTTTAGATCTGATTGCTAGGTCTGATCCTATTATCGGGATTGGGTAAGGAGCACTGATTGAGCAATGATTGTGTATATTGCACAATATCTCATTTAGATGGGTAGAACTATCTTATTGTTTTGCCGGTTGCTGATCCTTTGTCGATCAAGAGATAGACCTCAAAATAGCAAGCTTCATTTGATCTCTAAAATTACTAGCGAAATGACAAGTCGTCCCAAGTATAGCTTTGATACGTTGCCGGCATCGGACCTCGTAGATTACAATGTATCTGCGAGAAAACGCAAGAAGTTAGAAAGTAGTAGGGGTACAGCCCCTCCAAGCAATTCAAACATCGGCTGGATCGCGTGGGCCAGTACGGAGTAGACCCGTCTCCAACGCATAATCCCCTCAATCACAGTGATCTCCCCCTCATGGATGCATTCGATGTTCGTTGGAGGCTTTCGCTAGTAAATAATATAAAGTGATGGCCCTATGATTGGCTGCCCTGCTTCTCTATGCAGATTCAGAATTACATGCATCACAACTTAGATTTTATGGTTCTATAGTCTTACGGCGTGAGTGAATTTGGGTAAGTCGTACTTTGGTCAATTGGTAATCCGATGCTCGGAATCAAAGTCCAGACTGGCATGGCAAGGCTATGAAAATCAGTTGACTATATACACTCTACTATAACAGCGTGGCGCAATGTAACATCATACGACTATAAAATGAGGATCAATATAATTGACGCTGAAAATGACCGCTTTCGAGGCCAGTAACGGCTGCCTTTCCACCTGTAGCTTTGAATGTTCCTAGGAATCATTGATAGGAGTTACATACCGCCGTTCACATAACGAATGCTAAGATCTCAGGTACACATTCCAAGGTTTGCTCGATGAGAATCAAATCCCTTATATACTTTAACAAGCGATGCCTTAGTTGCATAAGCAGAGGTCTTAATTAGGTAGCTGTGAAACTACATTGCGATGCGCTATTAATTACCTACATGTTTATGCAATCAGTTGTCTTAATATTATGTCTTAGTGCTTATATCTTGAAACGCTCCGAGGTCAGTTGGGCTCCCGAATGGCCTGTCTTAATGATCACAAAAATCTTGGAATCGTTTAAATGCCCTCACATTGGATGATAACGGCAAATATCTACCCAAAGATATCGCTTCTGGACAGATCATTGCACAGTAAGGAGAGTGTTCAGCCTTTGCCAATTTCAGGTGAGCCGTTTGGAATGACGCTTGCGTATAACACCTCTGGAAAATGATACTTTATATTAATTGAGCGGAAATTCAATTTAGGACCACCGATTTCTATTTGTTTTTTCCAAATCAAGCTACAGTTTCCCACGATGATTACATATTGCAACCATCAATTGTAGTATCGCCATCAAGAAAGGCACTCTTTGAATGTCCGGCTACTTCAAACACGTCTTCTCAATCTATACCAAAGGTTACACGGTGCTAATTTTATATGTTCTGCTTGCTAATTTATGATACGATGCGAGTCGAATCACAGAGACCATTCTTTGGTGCAATTATAGAGGAACTATGCCGACCTGTCCTATAAAATTCAATACTTATCATCCTAATCACCAGACGAGCCTGCCTCGAAAGTAAGCGTGATACTATGCATTATCCAACTATTTTAGCCTTCTTGTTCCTCTTCACTTTAGGGGTAAGCATCTATCATCAGGCGGACCCATCCAATCAAACAAACCAACGATGACTCTGTGTTTTTCTTCAGGCCTTTTGTATAGAGTCTCCCATCCCCGTCTATGAAGTCGTAGAGCTATAATGGGACGTTTATGTCTTCCACGGTGGCCCAACTATACAGCTCAACGGCACGGTATAATAGATTTGAAACCAGCTTACCAAACATAACCCAAATATATCAAACGAGTTTCCAATACCAGAGAACCCTTATGGAAACCATAGCCACGGGCCTCTTGCGGTCGAATATGACGAAGGCCCACGTATCGGCGGCGGTCGATGGCATGGAGCCGGTATAGACCCTATATGGATGGAGTTGTTTTTTTGCGAAGGATTTGTGGACGACAGAAAAATGGCCCAGGGTCTGGTTCCTGTGGGTGAGTCAGCTGTTCGTGGATTGCTGCTATCTGGTGGTGCAATGATGTGAGTGCTGGTTTTTGATTTATTCAAACATTCGACGCTAATAGCCCTTGAAGGATCACGAAGATAAGACATTGGATGGTTTTGGTAGTATTGCAGACGAGGCACAAGAAGTTCTGGTGTATTGTCAACACGACGGGATGTGTGCTGGGCAACAGTGCTATACTGATGGATGGAATGTGATTGTTCGGAGGGATACTGACCGCTGTTAGTAGTAGTTATGGCAGTCATGGCATATACATGAAGACGTTCAAATGGATGAGGCATTAGCAATGTATGCTGGCATCCCTTAAATTGTACGGCATTCCGTTCTCATGTAAGGTGATATTTTGATAAGCTTTAGTGCTCAGCTGCAATCAAACTCATAGCAATGTAATGGAGATAGACGTCTATGAACCTTGAAGTGTGGGTATCATTTTTGACTCTACGACAGGCCTGGTTCCTGCAGCTATAAGGCAAAGCCAATATTTATAATGCAGACAGACACCCAAAGACGAAACGGCAAAGTTAAGAAACAGGCTGAGCACGAATATGGAATAGAGGGGTATGAATAGGGTCATTTTCATGAGAACGTATGTGCAAGTATAGAGACCAAGGTTGACACGGCACCAAGGGGGCACAATCAGTTGAGCCTTTGCCTCAACGCTGAATATCAAATGTAACGTTTTCAACGACAGCTCATGAGCGCATGTGCGCGTCCAAGGTCTTTCTCCATTTAGGGCCATAAACCCTCATTAGGAAGATGACGGAACTGCTTGCGAAGCTGACCAGGCCGAGGATAGTGAACAACCATCCATTGCCTATTCCACCGATTATAGGAGCAGTGACGAGAGAGCCTACACAGGAGAAGATGTTTCGCATGAAGTTGTTGAGGGCTACGCCCTCAGAGGATTTCTTTGGCATAAATTCTGTCAGCATGGTGGTTACCATACTGAAGATGAGCATGGAACCCATGCCAAAGAAAAAGTTCGCGATCATCTGTGAGATTGTTAGCGGATCTTGCTAGATGTTCCGAGACTTTATAACATACCGGCACAAGCCAAAAGACGCCCTTCTCCGCCGCCCAGCCATACCAGATCAGTGCTGCTGGATAAAGAAAAGCGCCAAGCCAAGCGTTCTCACGCATGCGGTCCTCTGGACGGAGGATCAATCTACCTTTTTCGTCGATTCGGTTTGCTTTCCTTGCCTCCCGTTGCATAATGCTATCCATCCATTTTCCACCAAAAATGCTGGCAACCATATAGCCCAGAGAATTTGGAATGTAGAGCAGACCAACAATGATGGTTGAGAAATTGTATGGCGCTTTTCCAAAGGTTTCCTCCACGCTGACATTAAGAACGTACAAGGAGCCGAATGCGATACTGGCGTAGTACACACTGAGAAGGACGGGAAGGAACCGCAGATATAGGATGATCTTGAGCGGATCAATGAAGATTATTTTCAATCTCTTTAGCCACCTCGCCGTAGATCGAGCAACCTGTCGTGAAGAGACTCGGCTCAACGGGCGGCTGATCGTAATATCTTCGTCGTCAATTTCAGGCAGCGCAGGCTTTTGGACGGTCAACGTTTCAGGAAGGGCAAACAGGATAAAGATAAGTGTGAGGGCACCAAACGCCGCAAGAAACCACATGGTACTTCGCCATCCCCAGCGCTGGGCCAGGAGGCCGCCAATGATGGGCGCGAACAACGGCCCACACAGTGGGCCCAGATAGAAGATACCCATGGCGCGCCCTCTCTCCCTGGACTCCCAGAGATCGGCAATGGTGCCAGCGCCAACTGCCTGAACTGAGGCCGAAGCACCACCGCTCAACATCCGCATCACGATCAGCATTGCAATAGAGGTCGAGATGGCACAAAGGCAGTTGAAAACCACAAAGAGAGCGAAAGAAGCGAGATATATGGTACGTCGTCCAAGTCGTTCACTAAATGATGACCACCATAGTGGAAAAATGGACATGGCTAACATGTACAATGCAATTGACAGATTAGTGATAGTAGTCGTTGTATTCAGCTCCTTCGAGACTTGAGATAGTGAGGCTGAGAGATTGATTAGATATGACCCGAACGCCAAGGATTGAATGGAGAACTTACGGAAAAATATCGAGCTACCCATTGGCGCTGTGGACCCAGCGAGAGCGACGATAAACGTGATGAACCATTTCATTTTTCGGGGATATGTTTTGGGATTCTCGACCTCTGCCACCAACGCCAGTTGCCCGAACAGTCCCCTACGCTTCAGTCGCGAAACTTTAACCGCAGGGCCAATCTCTGTCAACTGGCGTTGTAGTTGTGGGTGGATATCCTCTGGGTCATGATTTCCGTCTTCATCACCGTGAATGCTAGAGGTTTCCGATTGTGAACGAATCTCATGATCAATCTCTGACTTTACGTCGGCTGCGATTGTCGACTGTTCTCCACTGCCGGAAGATGATGTAGGTAAAGCCGATGCGACGGCATGGTCTTTCTCAGATATTCCATGCATATTAGACTTATTTGTCGTGATGATATGAATGATTACGGAAGTTGGTTTGAGTCAATGAAGACCCAAACGAGGGACTCTTTGCCGTCAAAAATGCAGTCCCTCACGATCGTCCACGTGAAACGTCGACGCTGATCAACAAAAGCCGAGATTTCTTAGCCGATAAGCATCAATAGCACTAAATCGTAATCAATGTTGCAAGACTGCACAGAATTAAATGAGAAGAACCTGTTTGAAATGTTAGTACTTTTGCAAAGCTAGTTGCGGGCAGTCACTTTACCCAACAGAGAAGCGTTCCTTCCTGTGAAACTGAGCGAAAAAAGCCAATGACGGCAAGTATGAAGAAGTCGAACCGAAATGGATTCTCTTGTAAAGATCGACCAGATCAAGAAAAACGTTTATTGCCTTCGAAGAAAGCTTTTCTGGAGAAATTCTGGTCTGCATGCAGAACACCGACAAGGCCCGATAACCACCGAGTCATTGTAATATCCTATCGCTGGATTAATATCCGAGAGGGGTACAAATCTTTTTTGACCCATAATTTGCCTTCAGAGGAACAAGGGCCTGCAGAGCCAGTCATGGTCGAGAGTCGAGTCGAAGACGTGGTGCCGGTCTTCCGTCGGCAAACTTAAGTGGGCCCGAGGCCATTGAAGTGTTGCAAGGTACGGGGTATTGTTGCAGTGAAACATCAAAAACAAGCAAAAAATGGCATCAGAAAGATCTTGTCAGTCACAATAGTTCAAGCTCCCGTTTACAGTTGCGTGATGCTCAGAAAGTTCATCCAATCTGTACTCCGTATGACATTGGAACTGCAGGGGACTGACAGCTTGGTGAACCAATCTCTACCCCAGACTCCCGTATCTTGAATTGGTTTTGTATAAATCGACTGCTGACATGATGGAGTTCAATTCAATCAATTTAATTCCATTCAGATCAAAATGATATAGATCGACCCCGCGACCTGATCGCTCCAGCTGCAAGGAGGTGGATTAATAAGCCTCGCGAGATCAAATGGCACAAAAAGACGGTGTGTCCTTTAATCGACGCAAAAGCAGAACGTCCCTTGAATACCAAACGTCTCAATATCATAAGCAACAATGAGCGTCCCAGTGCATACCATCGACCCGAAGGAGGTCCAGACTCACCTATCCCAATACAAAGGCGACAAATATGTCGAAGGCTGGGCCTCACTTTGGGACAAGGGCGACAAGCTCCCTTGGGACCGGGGTTTCCCCAACCCAGCTCTGGAAGACACGCTCATCAAGCAGCGCCCGACGATTGGCGCCCCCGTCACAGATGCCGGTAGACGGAAGGCCCTTGTCCCCGGCTGCGGGAGGGGTGTGGATGTCCTCTTGCTTGCCAGCTTTGGCTACGACGCCTATGGCATTGAGTACAGTGCTTCTGCCATTGAGGCTTGCAAAAAAGAGGAGAAGGAAAATGCCAGTTGGTATCGCGTGCGGGACCAGTCGGTCGGCACCGGTAAGATCACTTGGGTCCAGGGCGACTTCTTTGACGATGCTTGGTTACAGAGCATTGGTCTGCCTTTAAATTCTTTTGATATTATCTATGATTACACAGTATGTGTTCTCCACGTCCACCAATGTGGAGCAATTGCCAATCTTGAGATTTGATCTTCTATTTTTGTCTATCTCATTCTAATCATCTTACAGTTCTTCTGTGCTTTGGAGCCGTCATTGCGACCCAAGTGGGCGCTTCGTCATACCCAGCTTCTTGCCCCTTCGCCAGCGGGCAACTTGATCTGCCTCGAGTCTCCCCGTCATAAGGATCCCCAAGCTGCGGGACCTCCATATGCCTCATCGTCAGAAGCATACGTGGCACACTTGAGCCACCCGGGCGAACAAGTGCCCTACGATGCCAAGGGCGCCGTCAAGCACGAACCTCTGCGGGCACCAAGTAAGAATGGCCTGGAGAGAGTGGCATACTGGAAGCCAGAGCGCACACACGAGGCAGGCCAGGGTGAGAACGGAGTGATCCACGACCGGGTCTCGATCTGGCGTCGCCGGAACTAGTGCCGAAAAGGCACGGCAAAACAGACATAGATAAACAAGACATGCAAAGTCAGAGGCCTTGATGGGGCCGAGACAACAAATGGTATTATATATAAATTTGAGTAGCTTATGACTTCTTCACAAGGGCATTGTAATGTTCGCCGAGTCCGTATGTATGACGGTAGTATGCGAGCCAGATCACGCGTTTGCGCTTTTCCTCCTCATCAAAGCTTTCGCCGGAGTCGATCTTCTCCATCCGCCCGTCGCTCTGCACAACATTGATTTCAAGGCCATATGCCCGAGCAATGGCCTGCAGCTCCAGCTGGCCTCCCCACTCGGCAGTCAGTTTGATCTTCCGCGTGTACGACTCCAAAGGCTCCTCCATGAATGCTTCGAAATCCTCTTTATGTTCCGTGATGAAATCCGCTGCGACGGCCCGAACGGCTCGGTAGCCGTCATGTTGTGGGGATGCGACAGTGTCGATGCGTGACTGGGTCGACGACTGGAGGACGATTCGGCTTGGGTCCGGCCGCAAGCCGAGCCCAGACTCATCGAGCTGCTTGGCAACGGCTGAGTAGAGACAGTGGCCGTCTGGTGTCACTTCGACTTCTTTCAAGCCTAGCTTCTTGAAGACAGCGTCCATGACCTCTTGTTCATTGCCTCTGTAGTTTGTTTGGGTTGCTGCCTCTTCTGCTGCAGCGGCTGATTGGGCGGCTTGCTCGGCTGCTCGGCGGGCGAGACGAGCCTTTTGGCGATTGGGCTTTTTAGTGGAGGGCTCTGAGGTAGATTCGGCTTCTGGTTTTGGTTCTGGTTCTTTGGGTGTCTCGGGTTGGTCCTCGGTCGGTTGATCATCTTCCAGACTGAGATCTTCGAGTCCTTCCACTGGATCTCCATTCAACCCCGCAATTTCAGCCTGTTGTTTGTCGGACAATTCTTGCTGCATTCGGTCGCATTCATCGTTGACGCCTTTGCGAGTTTTCTTGGTTGCGGATTTCTTTCTTTGCGTGATGCGCCCTTGGAGGTCTTTTTGTTCTTTCCGGTGCTTTGACAGAAGTTCCTCCATGATTTTGACGCAGACGGCTGACGGTAAGCTGCAAGTCTAAAACAAATATATTGAGAGACATGCAACACGCCAAAACATCCTTGTCCAAAGACCCCGCGAAACCCTGATTATGCAGCCCTAACTAGAGACCCAATGTGGCTTAGTAGAGTTTATGCGGTACAAAGATGTTCCGACACCGAGCCTCGGCCCATGTCGTAGATGGCCGAGACTCGGCCTTCGGGTATGGAGGGGAAGGTGCGACAGTATTAAAGCATACATAGTTATCTTAATTCTTTAGTTAATCGTTCTATACTCCATTCTCCATCACATCTTTATAATGGATTCAGCAAGTTTATTCAATGTTCAGGGCAAAGTAGTGCTGGTAACTGGCGGAGCCAAAGGTTCGTGAATCTTTCTATCGTTTGATTTATTGGATGGCTCTGATTTGTCAATCGATCTAGGAATTGGTCGCATGATCTCGGAGGGCTATGTCACAAATGGCGCGACCGTCTACATCTCGTCTCGTGATGCAAAGGCCTGTGAGCAAGCCGCCAAGGAGCTCAACGCATTGGGCAAGGGCAAAGCCCATGCTATCCCAGCCAACTTCTACAACTTAGACGACGTGAAGAAGCTGGCCGAGGAGCTAGGCAAGCGCGAAGGCAGTAAGTATCTTAAGCCGTATCTGACAGGTATCGCCTCCGTACTAACGCGCTATCTTCCTCTAGAACTTCACGTCCTCGTTAACAACTCCGGTTCGAACTGGGGTGCCCCTTACGACGAATATCCCTCCGAAGCCTTCACACGAGTCCTCACCCTCAACCTGCACCGAGTCTTTGACCTGACACAGCTCGTCACACCACTTCTTGAGAAAGCGGCTACCCCCGAAGACCCATCCCGTATCATCAACATTGGCAGCATTGATGGGCTTCGTGTTCCCTCCCTCGAGACATTCGCATACAGTTCCAGTAAGGCCGGACTGCATCACCTAAGCCGTGTGCTCGCCAACCACCTGGGCAAGCGAAACATTACGTAAATATCTCTGTTGTGCTTCATTCACATTGCATTCGACTAACACGGTTTGCAGCTCCAACACCTTGGCCTGCGGACCTTTTGAGAGTAAGATGATGGCCGCTACATTGAAGTCATTCGGCGAGACTATCAAGGCCGGTGTGCCTCTGGGTCGTATTGGAACCCCGCAGGATGTGGCTGGTTCTTGCTTGTTCTTGAGCAGCCGTGCTGGTGCGTATATTAATGGCTCGACTATCGCAGTTGATGGTGGAAGTGCTATTGCTGCCAAGCTGTAAGAAATTGATAGGAATGTATATAATTGTGAATATCCATGGATGGCCTCTACAATAATATTGATTGTTGTACACGCATTCGAGAATTTTCTTTTTAATATATATATAGATTTAAATGGGGCTCAAGACTATATCTTGTTTTGTGTGGATCAACTCACTCGGGGTAGAGCTTCCCTAACTAACATTCCAGTATACGGCTGGAACTTGCCCCAGCATCTGAGTCATTTCTCAGTCCGGAGTAATAAAGAGGTATGTATATATTCAAATGGCGCGCCCTAACTTTTACTTCGGAAGCATCATTGAACTGTCCACACTTGCCTTTTGCCCCTCAAGATCAGCGGCAACATAATAGTGGAGCTTATCAAGCGGCGACATCATTGTGGGAATGCCGTCATTGTTCTTCTTTCCCACTTCCTAATTTCTTAACAAGATTCTTTGCTATCTATATTTCATCCTGTTTAAAGCTTTTCATCAACTATCTACCTGGAACTTGTCTCATTGTTACCCCCTGCCCAAATATTCGATCAGATCACGAGGATCGGAACGGAATTGGCTAAGTCTTTATACAACAGACCTATCACAGCCCTCCCACAACGTCTGGACTTGCTGTTTTTGAGTCCCCAGTTTGACCCGAAATAGTCGGTGTGGACAAGGTACCCCCCTGCGCGACGCACAATTGAATTTCGGATCGTGCACTTCCCTTTCTACTCTACCACAGATCATGAGCTCGTCAAATGGGCGTACCGGATCTGGCTCCATTGACCCTTATTCCAATGCCGACGTCTACTATGGTGCTGAGGATACCCTCAAAAATTTTAGACCGAGAGGCCGTGCTTTCTCTGTGGTAAGCAGCCATTTTCGCTTGTGTGGGTGGTACCCCGCGGAGGTACAACTAGCTTATCTTTTGCGATCTACAGGGATTGAACGACGCCAGCCGCGGCGACATCAATGAATTCTTGGGAAATTTGCCTTCACGACGTGGTAGTCACGGTACGCTTTACTACGTCACGTTCTCGGGGTTTTTAAGGCAGACTAGCTGATGGAAACGGACAGATGAGGCGTCAGGACAACCTCGCAAGTTCCTCATCGAGGTGGAGGAGACACTCCAAGCTCTCTTGAAACAAGAAGATACGGATAGTAATATGCAGATCACCATTGAGGATGTCGGACCGAAGGTTTGTGTTAGCCAAAATCGATGCCCCCAAAAACGACTGCTAACTGTAATAAAGGTGCTGTCGGTCGGAACTGCGGCATCATCCGGTTACAATCGAGTCGATGTGCGGGGCACATACATGCTCTCCAACCTTCTTCAGGAGCTCACAATCGCCAAAGATTACGGTCGCAAGCACATCATCCTTGATGAAGCACGTCTCAGCGAGAACCCCGTTGCACGACTCTCCCGTCTTATCAAGAACTCATTTTGGAAAGCCCTCACAAGGCGTATTGATGGCCATAACATTGAAGTGGCCGGTAGAGATCCTAAAGATTGGACGGATGATCCTCGGCCACGTATCTACATCCCGCCAGGTGCTCCCGAGCAATTTGACTACTATGCGCAGATTGCAAAGGACCACCCCGAGCTGCGTCTCGATGTGCAGATGCTCCCCGCTGAGATTACACCTGACTATGTCATGCAGCTTAATGACAAGCCAGGTCTTCTGGCGCTTGCCATGCAGAAGAAATTCAACGAAACAACCGATAAGACCGAGTTAGTCGGTGTGCCATTCGTGGTACCAGGAGGTCGCTTTAACGAGCTTTACGGCTGGGATAGCTACATGGAGTCCCTGGGCTTGCTCGTCAGTGACCGCGTTGATCTCGCTAAAGGTATGGTCGTCAACTTCTGCTTCGAGATTAAGCACTACGGCAAGATCCTCAATGCCAATCGGTCCTACTACCTCACACGCTCGCAGCCCCCATTCCTGACTGACATGGCACTGCGTGTCTATGAGAGAATTAAGACCGAGCCCGATTCAAAGGAATTCTTGCGCAACTCCGTCCTTGCTGCCATTAAGGAGTACCACAGTGTCTGGGCTTGTGCGCCTCGCCTCGACCCAGTGACAGGCTTGTCTAGGTATCGCCCCGAAGGCTGGGGCGTACCGCCTGAGACCGAGCCCTCCCACTTCGTGCACATTCTTTCTCCATACGCCGAGAAGCACGGCATGACATTCGAGCAGTTTGTCAAAGCATACAACACCCGAACTATCGTCGAGCCCGAACTCGACGAATATTTCATGCACGATCGAGCTGTCCGTGAATCTGGCCATGACACCAGCTACCGTCTAGAAGGTGTGTGTGGAAACCTCGCCACAGTCGATCTCAACTCCCTGTTGTACAAATACGAAGTCGACATTGCGCGTATCATCCGTGTCCACTTCAACGACAAGCTCCCCATCCCGTCCGAGTTCCGCACCCCTCTCACCAAGGATATCGAGTTTGAATCCTCGGCCGCCTGGGACCGCCGCGCACGCAAACGCAAGCAGACAATGGACAAGCTCCTGTGGGATGCCGAGAAGGGCATGTTCTTCGACTACGACACAGCGAAACAGCAGCGCCAAGAGTATGAGACCGCGACAACCTTCTGGGCGATGTGGGCGGGTCTCGCGTCGCCCCAGCAAGCTGCCGTGATGGTTTCCAAGGCTCTGCCCCGCTTCGAAGCCTTTGGTGGCTTGGTCTCTGGTACAGAGGAGTCGCGCGGTGCCGTGGGCTTGGAACGACCCAACCGGCAGTGGGATTACCCGTATGGTTGGGCGCCGCAGCAGATGCTTGCCTGGACGGGTTTCCTACGCTACGGGTACCAAGAGGAGGCTGAGCGACTGGCATATAAGTGGGTTTATATGATTACCAAGGCGTTTGTGGACTTCAACGGCGTTGTCGTGGAGAAATATGATGTCACGAGGCCTATTGACCCGCACCGGGTCGATGCCGAGTATGGTAACCAGGGCACTGACTTTAAGGGTGCGCCGCGAGAAGGGTAAGTTCTTCTAATTTCTATGTTTCGTCTCACCTGCTAACTTTGTCACGCAGCTTTGGCTGGGTTAACGCCAGTTATGTCTACGGATTGGAGATTCTCAATGCCCACATGAGACGTTCTTTGGGCACAATCACTCCATATGAGACATACCACAAAGCGGTTGTTGCCAACGATGCATACTGATTAGACTGACGCCAGGCTTTCGTTGTACCTGTGTGAGCGAATACAAGTTGGATCGGAAAAAATTAGAAGCTACTAGTCGAGAATAGGATTTTGGATATCAGCCTTCATTGATAGTTTTCACTCAGGCGCTGCGTTCTTTTAAAATGGGAAATGAAAAAAAGAGTACCGTGTATTTGTCTCTTGCAATATTTAGTTTGTGCCGGGAAATAGATTCTAGCTGTTCGAGCTCCTGGTAAGTGATAACCCCTTAGCCCTGAAGTACGTACTGGTAAACTATAGGCCGAAGACACCCAGCACCACAGCCCGAAAACAAGCGAAAATAAGCCGGCGGAGGCCTCGGCAGAGCTGCGTGTTCCCGACCGAAAGATGAAAGTGTTTTAGGTATCCCGACTTGCTAAGGCGTCATCGAAGTGGGCTCTCCGCATGAGAGATCGCATCGATAATATGACGGGCGAAGGGTCCCTGAATTTCCCGATGCCGTTCTCGTGGTTTGGGGAACTGGGGAGCTGTATGCATTTATTTCGGGATAATCAATAATTTCTCGTTAAATCTCTACATTTATTGCTCTATGAACTGGCTCTATATATTGGTCGGTTCAAATATTGAGACTTCCAATATTGACTTCAAAAAAATTGTAGGTATATATGGGTACACAGCCTGTATGAAGATCGATGTTGTGCATCCAGAACTTTTATTACATGTACTTAGAAACCAAATACACCGTTTCAGCTAGCAGACCTAATCTATAGTTTCTGATCTGCTAGTAGGCAGTCTTATCGATGTTTACTCTCCCCATGCGGTTAGTTTGGGGAGCTGAATTGTGCCGAGGTCCAACTTGCAGGGTGGCTTTGAGTCATTTCCCTTTTTTTCTGGGATATATCCATTGTTATTGGATAGAGGTCATTTGAGGAAGTCATTTCTTCCGGTCCGATTTCGTCTACGTACTAGGGGCGGCAAAATGTCCATATATGGAGTGAAGGATGCAAAGATGGTCGGATAGAGCCTTGGAGATATGAGAGGGCGAAGAGAATCCTTAGCTCAGAGATACAAGCAAGCGGACATACTTCAAATCCGTTAATATCAATCTAAATCAAAGATCGAATTAACTGAGCTGGGAGAAGTGTAAATAACATTGAATCTGCATATAACAATGAATGTGGTTTGTATGGGATCTAAGGATTGCCCGGTGGATACCCGCCGAATACCGGGGCATGACAAAACAGCAGGGGTGACTCAGGCAGATATTTAATTTTCCAGGGTCAGTTCTTCTCCGCATTTGCAGTAAGCTAAGAGAATAGTTTATTGTTTCACGGACAAGAAGTCAAAATGTTGTATTGACGGACAATTATATTGCTCGTTTGCCTCCATAAGGCTATAGCTGACATAGTCCGAATGTAGTTGAAGATTCACGTGAAAATTACCATACTATGTATTGTAGCTGTACTGGCATGTGTCTTCGACGTCATCCGCTTTCCGGCAGTTCTTTTTCATTTTTTCATTTCAATAACACTGAGTAAAGTTGAAAGGATGGAAATAGCTGGAGTATTGTGTTCTCCTTTTCAAATTGAGATGCCGATGGGTTTTTTCCCTTGTTGCACAATATTCATGGACCATTTGCAGTCAGCAGTGGCAAAGCGATGTCCCATTAGACCGAGGATCAACAGAGCCTGGATCCTCTCTTCCGAACCCAGTTATACCCGCCTTCCGTCTTTCGGAGCACTTTGCCTGTGAAACATTGGTCGAGTTGGAACAGTAAGAGAGTACCTAGGCATTGAGTGTATTGGTTGTAGTCCCGGTGAGCCGAGCGTTTACCGATACTCCAAGGCTGTGACGCATTGTGAAGGTTAAATAAGTACCCCGGGTTTTCTGGCTTGTGATCGAGTTTTATTATTATTATAGCTTGCCTTTCTGCTTTTGCTTCACTTTCTCCAACCTCCTTTTTTGCTCCTGGCATTGTCTATACTTGGACTAGCTTTGGAACAGACGTGACATTTGCACGCCTGATTATAAGATTTGATTGTATCTGCACCCTTTGTTCTGTATTATACCAAAAAGTCATCATGGGTCTGCACGAAGACGAAGACCGCCAGTTTGCGGCAGAAGTTCAGGCTGTTCAGAACTGGTGGAAGGATTCTCGGTGGCGCTACACCAAGCGGCCTTTCACAGCCGAGCAGATTGTGGCCAAGCGTGGTAACTTGAAGATCGATTATCCATCCAATGTGCAAGCGAAGAAGCTCTGGAAAATTGTTGAGTCAAATTTCCAGGTAGGTGTTGGCCGTTCTTGGCTGTGGTCCACCCTATGTAGAAATATGCTAACCCTTCAATCCATGAATAGAACAAGCAGGCCAGCTTTACCTACGGCTGCCTCGAGCCTACCATGATCACTCAAATGTGCAAGTTCCTCGATACTATCTACGTCTCTGGTTGGCAAAGTTCGTCTACCGCTTCCTCTACCGACGAGCCATCACCCGATTTGGCGGATTACCCCATGGTACGTTGCATACGGGCTATTAAAAAAAAGGTGGCCACATACTTACATAGGATCCTATAGGACACTGTTCCTCGCAAGGTCAACCAATTGTTCATGGCACAGCTCTTCCATGACCGGAAACAGCGCGAGGAGCGTATCACCACTCCCGCTGGCCAGCGTGTAAACGTCGCGAACGTCGACTACCTGCGACCCATCATTGCCGATGCCGACACCGGTCACGGTGGTCTGACTGCCGTTATGAAGCTGACCAAGCTGTTCGTTGAGCGCGGTGCCGCCGGTATTCACATCGAAGACCAGGCCCCCGGCACGAAGAAGTGCGGTCACATGGCCGGCAAGGTTCTCGTCCCTATCAGCGAGCACATCAATCGCCTGGTGGCCATCCGTGCTCAGGCAGACATCATGGGCTCTGATCTTCTGGCCATTGCCCGTACCGACTCTGAAGCCGCCACCCTCATCACATCTACTATTGATCACCGTGACCACGCCTTCATCGTGGGCTCAACCAACCCTAGTATCCAGCCTCTCAACGACCTGATGGTCGCTGCCGAGCAATCTGGCAAGAACGGCGCCGAGCTGCAGGCTATTGAAGACCAGTGGACCAGCCAGGCCGGCCTCAAACTCTTCAACGAGGCTGTGATCGACGCCATCAACAGCGGCGACCATGCCAACAAGAAGGATCTCGTTGCTCGATACCTCACTGCCGTCAAGGGCAAGAGCAACAACGAATCCCGCGCGATTGCCAAGAGCATCACCGGAGTCGACGTCTTCTGGAACTGGGATTCCCCCGCACCCGTGAGGGCTTCTACCGCTACCAGGGCGGCACCCAATGCGCGGTCAACCGCGCCATCGCATACGCACCCTTCGCCGATCTCATCTGGATGGAGAGCAAGTTGCCCGACTACAATCAAGCCAAGGAATTCGCCGATGGCGTGCATGCCGTGTGGCCCGAGCAGAAGTAAGTTCTTTTTCCCCTCTACGCTCCTGTTCTTCCCGAATTTTCTGCGTGTCTCCACTACCCGTGATCCGCGGTGTCAATATTTATTTGAGTTATTAAACTAACATCTCCACCCAGACTTGCGTACAACCTGTCGCCTTCGTTCAATTGGAAGAAGGCCATGCCTCGCGACGAGCAAGAAACGTACATCAAGCGTCTTGGTGAACTCGGATACTCGTGGCAGTTCATCACCCTGGCGGGTCTGCATACTACTGCGCTGATCTCGCACCAGTTTGCCAAGGCGTATGCGCAGAATGGTATGCGCGCTTATGGCGAACTTGTCCAGGAGCCGGAGATGGAGCAAGGCGTTGATGTCGTTACGCACCAGAAGTGGAGTGGTGCTAACTATGTTGATAATCTGTTGAAGATGGTCTCTGGTGGTGTTAGTAGTACTGCTGCTATGGGTAAAGGTGTGACTGAGGATCAGTTTAAGAACTGATTTTGAGTGCTCGTGTTGATACCCTTATGGTTTTGGTTTTATATGTATGATCTTTTGTCTGGCGTTTTCCTGTTAACCTTGTTCAATACAATCTTGATTTGATCTCCTGCTAGTATGGTCTTGTGTGGATATGACCAATTGCATTTGCGTGGAAAATCAGGAAATCAAAGTACAATGTCTCTATGTATGAATGAAAATGAGCTTGACGATCGTCCGCTATGATGCTATTTAAACAACTCGGGAAACAAATACGGAATATAGTATCTGTCAGGTTCTAACCAACCCCTGTCAGTATGAACCCCACTCTCGGAGTCGGAGTGATTCATAATCCTGTCAAAACTCCCAGATGAAGAAATCCTTGCAAATGCCGATCGTCTTAAAGCGGGGAGTTGTAGATCGTGTGAAGCCGCGGTTCACAGCATATGTACCTTCATGTTCGCAATTTGTACATTTGGTCAGATGAACGGCATTCACCATTGTATACATTATGTGGCTTGGAGACACATGGCGTACAAATATTGTATATGATCTGCAAAGATAATTCAAGTCCGATCAAATCCCGAAAAAGTAGAAAATACCAGGAAGAAGAAAGGGGTTGAATTGCACGGCGGAGGATTGGCCCGAACTGTAAAACGAGACCGAGCATGTGCGGAGACGAGCTAAGGTTAAAGTCCCTTACCATTTCGACTTTCTGTTCTTCTACTAAAGAAGCTTCTAACGCTCTTTTCGAATTTATATATTTTGGTTTCAAATATATTCATATCTTATCTTACTTTTCATAATGACTGATCTTCCTGAACTGCAATTTACCTCGCTGGACGAGATCCCCGCGCGCATCTCCACTACGCGCAAGGCATTTTTGGAGCGAAAGACCCGTGACGTCGAGTTCCGTCTCGTTCAGCTCCGCAAGTTATACTGGGCGTGAGTACCGGGTACCTGCATACTGTGCAACTTGCAGATCATACACTAACCGTCTTCCAGTATCAAGGATAATGAGGAGTTGATTTTCCAAGCCTGCGAGAAGGACCTGAACAAGCCTCGTTTCGAGACGAATCTCGCGGAGAGTCAATGGCTTCTGAATGACATTGTTTTCACCACGCGTAACCTGCACCAATGGGTTAAGGATGAGAAGGCCACGGATATCGATCTCGCCTTCAAGTTCATGAACCCTAAGATCCGGAAGGACCCCCTTGGCTGTGTGCTGGTCATTGGGTGAGTTGCCCCCCCCCCACGCGCGCATGGAAACGTTCCAAAGTTAATAATGTCTTTCCATATAGTGCCTTCAACTTCCCCTTCCAGCTCACTCTCGGCCCCGTCATCGGTGCCATCGCCGCCGGTAACACTGTCGTGATTAAGCCCAGCGAAAATGCGCCCCGCAGCGCAGCTGTCATGCAGAAGATCATCGAGGCTAGTCTCGACCCCTCGTGCTACACGATTGTCCAGGGTGGCATTCCAGAGACACAGGCCTTGCTCGCCGAACGATGGGACAAGATCTTCTTCACCGGTGGTGCCAACGTCGGACGGATCATCGCCAAGGCGGCCGCTGTGCACTTGACCCCCGTGGTCCTCGAGCTGGGCGGTATTAACCCGGCTATCGTCACCAAGTCCGCCGACCCCAGACTCGTCGCTCGTCGCATGCTTTGGGGTAAGCTCTTGAACGCCGGACAACTCTGCACCTCGCAGAACTACCTGCTCGTCGACAAGTCACTTGTCCCGCAGGTTGTCCAGGAATTCAAGAATGCCTACAAGGAGTTCTACCCCGACGGTGCGAAGAACTCGCCCGATTACTCGCGCATTGTGAACGCGGCTTCGTTCGCCCGCCTTAAGGGTATGCTTGATGGTACCAAGGGCAAGATCCTTATGGGTGGTACCATGGATGAGAAGGAGCTGTTCATTGAGCCTACCGTTGTGCAGGTCGACTCCGTTGAGGACTCTCTCTGCACCCAGGAGAGCTTCGGTCCTTTCATCCCCATTCTGCCCGTGGAGAACTTGGATGAGGCCATCCAACTCGCCAACGGTGTTCAGAGCACCCCGCTGGGTCTCTACCCCTTCGGTAACAAGGCCGATGTCGAGAAGAGTAAGTTTTGGGTTTCGCATACCTTACTTTTTTGTTATCTAACATTTGTCCAGTCGTCTCCTCCACCCGCTCCGGTGGTGTCTCCTGCAACGACGCTGCTCTGCACATCCCCACCCTACCTTTCGGTGGTGTCGGCGAGAGTGGCTATGGAGCCTACCGTGGCCGCTCCAGCTTCGACGTCTGGGTGCACCGCCGCCCCATCACCTCCACCCCTAGCTGGCTCGAGTCCATCCTGGCCATCCGCTACCCGCCGTACGCCGGCAAGATCAGTACTTGGAACACCGCCAGCGCTCTCAGCCCCGACTTCGACCGTGACGGCAACAAGCTGACTCTCGGCTGGTTGCGCTACCTCCTCACCTTTGGCGGAGGCTCTGCCGCGTCTGGTGTAGGTAGAGCCGCTACTGTTGCTGCCAGTGAGTAAACGTTTCTTACTTCCCTTTTGATTTATGCAGATCCCCCCGCCCTCCTCAGTTATTCGTTCTTGCTCGTTTCATTGCGGCCTTGGGCTCTTCTCACCTGGTCCATCTCTAGATTGAGATAGTAAAGCCTGAGGTCTGCATGGCTCCATGTATCCCTTCTAAAAACCCGATCTTTGGCTGTTGGGCTATCTGGTTGAGACGGAGAACATAAACCTTTCCTTTCTTATATACCCCATGTTCATGTATTGGTTTAATCCTACACATTTCCCCACGCTGGATACCTCTCTCTTTTACAATTTCCTTTCATATTCATCTCCCTCGGGCGAAAACGAAGATACACTCATAATTTGTGAATATCAATGAATAGCTTCTGTTTTCTCCCCTTTTGTTTTCTCCACAAATGATATACTTGAAAGAAAACCTCTAACTAACTCGTAAATAGTTGCCTACGTCGTCCGACAAATTCTCGAACGCCGCGCTAAGCTCTGAACCCAAAATTGCGAACACTTGATCGACCCCATTTCATCCCAATATGTTGATCGAGTGGGGAGTTTGAGTTTGCGATTTGCCGATCACTCCTTGTATCAGCATAGGTGGGCTCGCACATGGCCCTGGACCGGTTTGGCGGAATGACTTCGGGATCTGTCTTGCTATTTAAAATATTTTATCATGTAATACGCTGTGTACTTTTTGGATATGCGATTGCTGGGTTGGGGTTTCTTCATTTTTCTTTGATTTTGTCTTTCATCTATGCGAATTGTAAAGTACGGACCTGTGATTTACTATATCTGATTAGTTTAGCGTCATGATATGACCTTCTGTAAGCTCCTCTTTTCACTCTCTTGTATTTCATTCAACCCCTCTACTTAAGCCAGGCATCAAAGTATGTCTCCAATTTCCGGGGGCCGAGCATAATACGCTTGCCAGTATCAATGTCACGCAAGTTGTGGAATGCTGGCAGCTCTATGATCCTACTTGTCATTAACGCTATTCAAAAGAAAGAAACACCTCTGGCACTCGAGAGTCACTTTCGAAGTAGGGGTTCTTTAACTGCAGATGCTGGTGCCCACCTGGGCAAACAGAGCGGCACACATGGGAGCAATCAAGATACCAAGTGATATAAGTTCTGCTTTATATTGTGATTTTTGATGGATTTTCTTGTTTATAATTCCAGAACAATCTCACTAGCTGAGACCTATGGTCGGTTAACAACTCAAGCAGGTATTCAATCTCACATCCAAAGTCGAGCTATCAACTGGGGCGAAGCATTTCCCTCGAATGTCTCTAGCCCAGCAACAAACTCATCCCATACACCCCTTGACGCCATAGGAGCATGGCTATATGCTTGCATGCCGGAATTCCGCATAATGTCTTCCAGTTGAGGAAGTAAGGTGTCCGCCGCTCGAGATTCCAGTTCTCGTTGAACAGCTCGACTGAATCCACCTTTCTCGGCATACCAGGCGGAATCTTCTTTGGTGACTCCGCTGATATAAAGATCAATGATCTTGGAATCGATGCCAGCCTTTCGAGCCGCTTCAACCGCCAGTCGATGTCCAATTGCTTCTGCCAACGGGAGAGCTAGTGGTGGATATCTCGGTCAAAACGTTTGCTGCGATGTTTTCCTTTGGCAGATTGCTGGAGTAAGGCTTTTGCCTCTGAAAATAGAGATATCTCGTGCCGACTAATAGGGCTACTAGGATCTTTCTGCGGCGGCATTTGATACCGGTCAAGCAATAGCTCGGATACGAGCCCTAATTTGAACATCAGTTTGGTTTCATGGCCATTAACCTGATAGACACATACGGATAGCCAGCACCCGCATATCACCTTCTGCGGTTGCTACACCACGCATTTCGAGCTGATACAATCAATGTTAATAGGACATATCTTTTCGTGCTAGGAAACGTGTTGGGGCACTTACCTCTAATTGAACAAGCTGATTGCGTTCGAAATGCCCTTGCCAACCACATCGCTCGTTCATGGCTTTAACACTCTTCTCAAAATGTCCCATCCCAACCGCTTTAAAAACAGTGGCTATATAATGCCGCACTCGTGGATTAATTTGGGTGTCTCGGAAGGCTTCCGCTGAGGATAGCAAGAACGGCTCTAGGACGGTGTACTGGGCTACGGAATGAAGAATCGGTAGGTTTTGGGTCCGGAACTCAATGACTGCTACCGGCTTGTCACCTTCTCCGGTGACCAGCCTGTTCCTGCTGAACCGATATGCGTTGAAGGCACAGAGCTTCAAGCACGGAATCACACAAGCTGACAGTATAAGAGTACCCACTGCGATGCGATAGATCATAACAATAAAATCCTGACGCTCGTTGTGTACCTTGGCCAAGTCACCGAGAAGGGCCAATTTGGGTAGGCGTACGTGGTCGAAATAGGTTAGGGCATGATCGACCGGATGGGCGCCCGATCGTGTCGGTAATACTCTGGCGGGATTAGAAATCAAAGCTCAAGCTCAGTAATGGGCATATGGGGACATACTTTGAAACAATGCCCTTGCACATCTTTTCCCATCGCCGAGCTGGACTAAGAATGGCCGTAGTCCGTAGTACTTGTCATTCTTCATGAGACGAGCCACCACAATTGCGATCACGGGCATGCCACATCTTGGGGTAGTTGGGGGCATCACCGTGGCTATATATTAGCTACACCTAAAGGTCCAAGCTGGAGCATACCGCTCACTTTGCATCATTTGGGGTTGGAGTATGAAGATCGATGTCACCATCTGCCAGAATAGTCGCGGTTGTTTGAATATTACGCGCATCTAATCCATGATTAACTTCGGTCAGCATGAACTGCGCCCTATATAGCAGATTCAAATTAGCTATTTTAACCGGACAGCAATGTTAGACGCCGGTGAGAACTTACGAGATATCAAATCTTAAGGCAGACTGGAGAATCGGCTGAAGCTCTGGGCGTTTCAAGGCAAATGGAGCCAGTGTGCCCACAAAAAGATTGCACTGGATGGTCAGGAGGGTGAATGCCGCACCATCTACTGCCACTAGAGGCTCCGAGTGCAGCTTGCAGAATTTGGGGGTGAGATATAGGACATCTTTGACCGTCAAACCTGCAGACTCTTGTCAGTGATCTAGGGCATTTGAAGTTAACGAATGTCAAATTTGTACCATATGCTATAGCAAAGCTCTTGCTCTCTGATCACTCAGTCTAGTATATTCTTCCAGTTCAAAAGAACGCAGGGCAGGCTTGAAAAGAGACGACTGTGCCAGTTCAACCAGTGCTGAACTAGACGGTTGCGGCAGTGGTGGTAGAGCTTGGCCTTGTGTCTCCATGATCAACAACAGTTTGAGAGAAATTAAACCTCGAGACCTTGGCAAATGCTGAGTATCATTTAAATATAAAGCCTAGCTAGTTGCCCACTCGGAATTTTCAATAATTGGTCCACAGCTGAGCTTTCGTGGCAGAGCTGAGCTAGCGTGGAGTGTGACCCTACAAGATAGCAGAGTCAAACAAATGATACTACTGGGCATATACATATAATACCAACACGAAGATAAAGGAGCGGAATGACTACAAATGTAGTTAAAGGTTGGCTCTGTAACATGCCTAACCCAAATTGGTATGCAGAACGGTACAATGCAGAAACCACTGCGTTTCAAGTCCAATCCACTTGGATTATCGGAGCAGACTAGGATATATATCGTCTAGCTTTTCATCCACTATCTCTACTTTGAAGCTGACTGAAAGTGGCTTCTACCTAGGTATCTATCTCACAGCATGGAAACCTACTTTTAAGCTCCGCTAAGCAATAAGCGGTGTGATTCCAAGTTTAGAGATTTCAAACGACCTTGGCTGACTGGTTGATGCCACGAGTGGGTACCTACTGCGAGTAGGAGAGACCGGTTTCTTCACGACTTGATCAGAGGTGCGCATATGAGCCAGCCGATGTAGACAGTACCCTCTTCTAAGGCTAAGGTTGAATCTAAACATATACGATGAACAGTCTAAAGAGATAGAACTAACGTTCATATCATCACTCATGCTGTCAAATGCAGTATTTATCGAACGCTATTGAAACCAAACCAATGCTTCGGTACATCCAACCTAAAGACAAACGTTCTCAACAGCGACGTTCTATGCCGCGATTACTCACACACAGGTATTTGACACCCTTGTACGGCTTGACACTCTCTCCCAAGCCTCGGCTGCGCCGCGGGTCGATGTTGAGACTGTCCACTCTGATACCGGATGGAAGCCAGCCTCGCACGGAGAATGAGACTGATGCCGAGTTTGGCATCAGGCTCGCATTGACCTGTGCCTTAGTTCGGCGAGCGGGTCGGGATGTAGATGATGGGGCGAAGAATGAGGGAAGGTGGGAATTTGATGATTGAGGTTGGGGTGGAGGTGCAGGAGTTGGGGGTTTGGAGTGACTGGGGGATGGTGTAGTCGCCGGAGCGGGGTCCTCCTCGGTGACTTCTGGATGTAGGACGGTGCGGGACTTCTTCGTTGACTTCTTCTTCTTCTTTTTGCGCTTGGAGGGGTCCGAAGATCTGGGTTTCTTGGACGTGCTTGTGGATGTGTCGTTATATGAAGTGGGAGCCTCGTAGTAGCCCTGTAGAAGATTTGCGTTGGCATCTTCATCGGCATCCTCAAGGCTATCGAGGTCATCGTCGGCTGATGGGTAACCTGAGACACTGCATCGGAGTGTCGCGGTTCCAGACAGCGTTCCAGCATCCTTGCCAGTGGGAATCCGCCATTCAAGAAGCCCGCTCGAGGGAGAGAATTGGGCATCACCACGGCTGGCCTGCATATCCGTGATATGTCGGACGGATTTAGAAATTGGTACACTGACAACGACCTCTTCGAGTGCCGGTGCAGAATGACTTCCTCCACCCCCGAGGAATGACGGCGTCGATGTACCTGATCCGTTTCGTCCAGCCCCAGGCCGCGATGACGAACTCTGGCCCGGGAAATTTGTGTTCAGAGTCAGCCGGACCTCAAATTCAGAACCGGATGACCCCAGTGATTTTCGAATGTCTACAATCGCAGGCAAGAAGAGCTTTTCCATATGGCTAGGTGCCTCATCCAGATCAGGATCTATGGGGAGAAGGTCCACCTCGTACCCGGCCAAGATGAACCTTCCATCCGGGGGTATGAAACTGAGCTCTCCAGGTCGTTCCTTCCACCTAGCTAGTCGAACGCATGGGTGGAAGACTGGTAGTTCGATCTTGCGTCCAATGGCATGCTGGCCACCTGGTGTTGTTAACGATAATAGTAAATCCGGGACTCCTGAAATCTTGGCAGTGAACGCAATAGTTCCAGATACCAATGCAGAAAGCAATCGCCCAGAAGGAGCCATAGTCACGCTGAGTGATTCGATGATATCAACATATAGTTCATTAGATGTGTGGCGTACACCAGGCCGTCTCCACGGTATAGCGGGTCCTTGGGATGCACTGGCGGCAGCAAGCGATTGTTTCAGGGGATTGGAGGATCCCAGCGTGGGTGTAGATGTACTGCCAAAAGATTATTAGCACGAGTAAGGCTAAGTCAAGACAAATGGCTACTTACCCAGGAACTCCGATTCCGCCAAGCAGCTTTCCCATCCATCCGGGAACCTCAACGACTTCCTGCAATGCATTGGGTTCGGTATTGCACACTGTGCCCCCATCGCACATCTCATTGAGCAACTGCGCGACTACATCATAATTGGATTGAATCTTAGTTGAGAGCAGCGGTGCCCCGACGAAGTCCTCGAGCACATCGACCACGCGATGCAGGAACTCTAGCGCCAGGAGCGGTTCCGTGTCGACTTCGCTTATCGCAAGGAACAGCAAGTTTGACTCGACGGTGGAGAACACCGTCACTGGTGGCGAAGCACTAGGAATGTAGAGTAAGGAAGGGCGTGGGGCGGCATGGGCAAGGTAGAGGGGCAGGATGGCGGAGGCCGAGGGCGGGCGGGATCGGTATACATGTTCGACGATAGGGGCGCTGGGAAGAGTGGGTTAGTAACGTATCTCATGGTTTGGTGCGAAATATCATACTTTTGCTCGTCATATATGTAAACGGCATCAATCTCGCCGCTCATGGTGGCAGTTGGTCTGATGATGGGATCAATCCGTAGATTGCATAGCTGTAAAGCTGTCTGTTTTGCCGCCGATTCCCGCTTTCTGTTGACTTTTTGGAGACAACGAGGGCGTCAAACTGTACCTTGTAAGTATTCAGACTGGTGATTCAGTGCGCAATTTGCATTCTTTTTTTGTTTTTCAAATATTGAATTTATCCGGTACACAATGTCCTCCGATATTCAACTGAAAGATGCCAAGCAGGCTTTGGCTGAGGACAAGTTCGACGACTGCATGTCCTGCAGAGTGACTGGTAAATATACATTGCTCCATAGCCCCGGGATTGTATCATTGCTAATATACTGCCACAGGGTCTGCTGCATTCGTTGGCCTTGGTGTCTACAGCTACTATACCGGAATGGCCAACCTTCGAAAACAAGAAAAGGCCATCATGCAAGGCCCGACCAAATACAAAATGGGATCACGCCAGCTGGGAATCGCCACAATATCTGCGACATTAGTGGGAATGGGGCTGTGGCGGGCATTCAATTGAATGCTTTACAATCAAGTGAGACCGAGGGTCTGTGGCACACACGGTTGGAATGGACCAAGTGTGGTAGTGGAGAGCATGAATTGAAGTCTTGTAAGATATTGAATTGTTATTTAATCGCAGCCAATGATAGTTGCCACTCCGGGTATCGGGTATCACCTCAGGCATATCCTTCTATATGCTATATGACAAGGGTAAGGAAAAATAAAATAATAAAGACGAAAGACCGAAAGGAATCCCACGAAAAGAGACACAAGAAAGAGAAGAAAAGTAAAAAAAAAAACCAAAACGATATGCAAACTTCCTTTCCTTGTTATGCACCCGAAAAAAGGCACCTTCGTACCCGAAAATCCCACCCGGCCACTGCGTGACGCTCTGAAGGGCATGTTCGTCAGTTCGTCATCATCATATGCTCTTTATCCTAACCTTCGAATGTTAGGTAAAGCGGCCTCGTTTCCCCCCCTCCACCCAGATCTCGTCCATTGTTGAGTCCTGACAAATCGAAGAAATCCGGGAATGTATGTTTCCTCTTGGACCCGATGCTAGCAGGAGACTCCCGAGCCGATGGGCGTGTGTTAGATCGTGCAAGGTTGTTGTGGCGGTGGTGTGGCCGAGTATTGCGCGGCATGACAGAAACGCTCACGGGGGCACCATCTTGCGTGGTTGCATTTGAGTTGTCTGATTGCACATCCATGTCGAGTTCGGGGTATGTGGGACCAGCGGAGAAGGTGAAGATGGCGGGTGTGGTAATCGCAGGAGGTTCGTGAGATTGCATGGGAGGTGTGGTCGATTCTGTCTTGGATGTGGGCATGGAAGCCGTAGTGGGGGCCTGACGAGTTTGTTCAGGAGCAAGTGGCTCCTTGCGGGCAGCAGCTGGCGTAGCACTTCGGTCATGTTTGTCGGCCTCCACATCTTCGTCACTGCTTTGGGATGCAGTTCCATCACACCTCTCAGTTGCCCATTGTCGAACCTTCCATCCCTCTCCATCTCCGAGACCGAGGTTCTCTCGGTCAAGGAAGTGAAGCAGATCCTCTACCGCCTCCTGATACCCTGCTGATCTTGCCTGGGCTTGCTCGCATACTGCATTCTTGTACAGGTTTGTGACTGATAAAGCCGCCGCTTTGAATTGCTGGAGGAGTTGCTCCGGAGGTTGTGTGCGGGGCGTTGAACTCGGCAAAGATGTGTTCAAGGATCTCATTGAGTCCATGGCAGGAGAGTATATGGGCGCGCTCTAGAGCAAACGGTCTCAAAAAGAAAATGGTTGTGCTGGAGAACTTCCGCAACCGTGCTGTCGTCCCTAGATGGCGATACAGGAAGAGCTTGATGAGGAAAAAGTAAATATAAAGGGGAAGAAAAGTAAGATTCCACACAAATGGGAAGGAAGTACTTGTTCCCCGGTGTAACGTGTAGGCGATAGTCAAATGTGTGAACAATGGAAGGAGCTCTCCGAGTCACAGATGATCATCTTTTGCAGCATCTTTCCCTCTTTGCTCCGCTCTTTGCTCCGGTAACGAGCGGGGGAACTAATCTTCCGACATGACTGATGATACGACCACTTCTGCCTATCTACACGCACTATACACTATGTTCACTACGGTGTTCTTAACGAATACATTGACTCTTTTTAGAAACAGAGTCTTCAAAGACAAGGAAGAACAGACCATAGACTGTAACAGACTGCCTGAGGGGTAATTCCAGAGGTCTTTTAGAGTACTTTGTACCATCTCACATCAGACCACCTCTACTAACAATATACAGCTACCAGTAACAGTAATGCCCATTGGCCGTGTGAATAACCACAGATGGCCGTGCCCACTAAACCCTCTTCACAGCCATCCCACTTCACCCGCCCGCGCTGATGCTGACTCATTTATTATGTAATAAGTTTCATACGCGGTCCACGGGTAGCGCCCCATTATCTCTTCGGCGCGCTTGAATACCCTCAGTCCTGTTTAAGAATTGTTCAATCACTTTCAATGGCCTTTACTCAATGAATGGCTGTCACTTCTAAACATTTATTAGTTCAAATCAGTGAAACACAATCCCCCATCAATCCGACCATATCTCTTCTTTCTTCACGCTTTACGCGATTTGACTAAGTCGCGAGCTTGCTTCTTTGTTAAAGTTCGAAGACGTGACATTCTCCTCTGCTACACCTGCGCTTTGTGCGCTACAGATAAAATATGGCTCCTGCCTTCGCGTCCGACCCTGTGTCGCAAGCTGATACGCCTATGACTGATACAAATGACGACACTGTCCCTTCGGTGCCCGTTGACAGTGCTGACGCCCAAATGATGGTAAGTGATGCTGTTTCTACTCAATACCCCTTATATAATGCGACATGGATGCTTTCATGCATATCTGCCTCTGTATTAAGCCCATGCTGATTCTCCGTTGCAATTCAGAGCCATCAAGAGACTCCAGATTACACGGTAGAAATGCCCTTTATCTACCCTACTTCGGAAGTCTTAAAAGTTACTTGTCGCTAATTCTCTTGAAGGACTCCGATACGAATGCCAACACGACTGCAAGCAGCGTTGCAGGCGACACCGCCGATGGACGTCGGCGCAGATCCGAGGCTAACCACCTGAGAAAAAGCATCCTGGGCAAGAAACATGGCCGACTGGATACCACAAAGGTATGGGTCCGGGAAGGAGATGACTACCCTCTCTCGTTTGCTAACGCCAAAACTTTAGGAGGACGACTCAATCCGCCGATTCCGATACCTCCTCGGCCTCACTGACCTGTTCCGCCACTTCATTGAGACGAATCCAAACCCTCAAATCAAAGAAATTATGGCAGAAATCGACAGACAAAATGCGGAGAAGGAGGAGAAGGCTAGGAAAGGATCTGGACGCTCTGGAGGTGCGGGTGGCGAGCGACGCCGCAGGACTGAACAAGAAGAGGATGCAGAGCTTCTTCAGGATGAAAAGCATGGCGGCGAGACCACTACCATCTTCCGTGAATCCCCAGCATTCATCCATGGTGAACTCCGTGATTATCAGGTTGCAGGTTTGAATTGGCTTGTCTCTCTTCATGAGAATGGTATCTCCGGTATTTTGGCCGATGAGATGGGTCTCGGAAAGACGCTACAGACAATCTCTTTCTTGGGATACCTCCGATACATTTGTGATATCAACGGACCTCACTTGGTTGTCGTGCCAAAATCAACGCTGGATAACTGGAAACGTGAATTCGCGCGTTGGACCCCCGACATCGATGTCTTGGTCCTCCAAGGCAACAAAGAAGAGCGACAACAGTTGATCAATGAACGATTGCTTGAAGAGGAGTTCGACGTCTGCATCACCAGTTATGAAATGATCCTCCGCGAGAAGTCACACTTGAAAAAGTTCGCTTGGGAGTACATCATCATCGACGAAGCCCACCGAATCAAGAATGAAGAATCATCCTTGTCGCAAATCATCCGTCTTTTCAACTCTCGCAATCGGTTGCTGATCACCGGTACACCTCTCCAGAACAATCTTCACGAATTGTGGGCTTTGCTCAACTTCCTTTTGCCCGATGTTTTTGGTGACTCTGAGGCTTTCGACCAGTGGTTCTCGAATCAAAATTCCGACCAGGATACTGTGGTACAGCAGCTTCACCGTGTCCTCCGTCCTTTCTTGCTTCGACGTGTGAAGAGTGATGTTGAAAAGAGTTTGCTGCCAAAGAAGGAGCTCAATTTGTATGTCGGCATGTCAGCAATGCAGAAGAAGTGGTACCAAAAGATCCTGGAAAAGGATATTGATGCTGTTAACGGTGCCGCTGGGAAGCGCGAGTCCAAGACTCGTCTGTTGAATATTGTCATGCAGCTGCGGAAGTGCTGTAATCACCCTTACCTCTTTGAGGGAGCTGAGCCAGGTCCTCCGTACACCACTGATGAGCACCTTATTTTCAACTCCGGAAAGATGGTGATCTTGGACAAACTGCTAAAGCGCATGAAGGCTGAGGGCAGTCGTGTGCTCATCTTCTCGCAGATGAGCCGTGTCTTGGATATCCTGGAGGATTACTGTGTGTTCCGGGACTACAACTACTGTCGTATTGATGGTACCACGGCACACGAGGACCGCATCGCTGCCATTGACGACTACAACAAGCCTGGATCTGACAAGTTCGTTTTCCTTCTTACCACCAGAGCGGGTGGTCTAGGTATCAACTTGACCACCGCCGATATTGTGGTTCTCTTTGACAGTGATTGGAATCCTCAGGCCGACTTACAGGCTATGGACCGAGCTCACCGCATTGGTCAGACCAAGCAAGTTAAGGTTTATCGATTTGTTACAGAAGATGCTATTGAGGAGAAGGTTCTTGAGCGCGCAGCCCAGAAATTGCGTTTGGATCAGCTTGTCATTCAACAAGGCCGTGCCGGACAACAGGCCAAAATAAATTCTAAGGACGATCTGCTCGGTATGATTCAGCATGGCGCTGCCAACGTGTTCAGCCAGGGCTCTGGTGACGCGGTTGATGACATCGAAGACGACATTGAGGACATCCTGCGAAAGGGCGAAGAACGAACTGCAGAGCTCAGTAAGAAATACGAGACTCTCGGTATTGATGACCTGCAAAAGTTCTCCTCCGAGAGTGCGTACGAGTGGAATGGAAAGGATTTCACCGAGCGCAAAAAGGACATCGGCATCAGCTGGATCAACCCAGCCAAGCGTGAACGCAAGGAGCAATTCTATTCGATCGACCAATACTACCGCCAGACTTTGTCCACCGGAGGCCGCACAGCGGATACAAAGCCCAAGGTCCCACGTGCGCCTAAGCAAATCACTGTCCACGACTGGCAGTTCTTCCCTCCCGGTCTCCAAGAGCTCCAGGAAAAGGAGACCGCATATTTCCACAAGGAAATCGGATACAAGGCGCAACTACTCGAAGGCCCCGAAGAGGAACTCAGCGAGCGAGAGGCTGAACGGGATCTTGAACAACAGGAGATTGACAATGCTGTTCCGCTAACTGAAGAAGAGCAAGCCGAGAAAGCCGCGATGTCAGATGAGGGCTTCGCAACTTGGAACCGCCGTGATTTCCAGCAGTTCATCAACGGATCCGCCAAGTTTGGCCGCACCGACTACGTTGGTATTGCTACTGAGGTGGACAGCAAAGAGCCGGATGAGATTGAAGAATACGCTGAAGTCTTTTGGCGCCGATACACCGAGATCCAAGACTACCCCAAGTACCTACGAGTCATCGAACAGGGCGAAGAGAAAGTGCGCAAAATGGACCACCAGCGAAAGATGCTGCGCAAGAAGCTGGAAATGTACCGCGTGCCCCTTCAGCAGCTCAAGATCAACTACACTGTGTCCACCACGAACAAAAAGGTCTACACCGAAGAGGAGGATCGCTTCTTATTGGTCATGTTGGACAAGTATGGTGTCGAGGGCGAAGACTTGTACGAAAAGATCCGCGATGAAATTCGTGAATCACCTTTGTTCCGCTTCGACTGGTTCTTCCTCAGCCGTACGCCCGTGGAAGTTGGTCGTCGGTGCACAACTCTGCTGAACACCGTGGCTAAGGAGTTCGAGCCCAACAGCGATGGCAAGGGCCGTGGCCGTGACCGCGAGGAGGATGAGGAGATCGAAGATGTGGCCCCTGCCAAGAAGAAGGCCAAGAATGGCGCTGTAAGTATTTCCAGTCACATTCAGGTCTTGTTGATTCTAATTATTTTCATAGCAGAACAAGCAGGTCAAAGCCACCAAGGGCGGAAGCAAGACTGCATCAACTGCAAGCTCCAGGGCCACTAGTACTGCTGCGACCAAGTCTAAAACTCGTAAGAGATAAATCATATGGTTTGTTGTTCTCAATATTCGGAGATTCAGGTATCCATGGGCCGGGGGGTTTGTCAGGATCGGCGTTAGTTAGCAGATGATATTCCAATGTACTTTTGTAATTCAAAAATAGATTTATTTCCTTGTTTTGTGCTTGTTTTGTTTTTTGCTTGGCCTAAAGGCTTATCGTATGCTCAACAATTGCTCATGCAGCACCCCCGCCTGACTATATTAGTCCGGAGTCCGCATCACCATGCAGATCTCCGAAACGACACTAGCCCTAAGTCATCTGCTATGACGAAATGTTAGTGTAAAATTTGCCGACGATAGCAAAGCAAATGACCATGATTAGCCCAATCCATCACAATACTTAAGGCGACACGTATCTTGTTTGAAAGCCCCCACCATTGCAAGATAGTACAATACTCTAGTATAAATAGATATCCCTGCCCAGATAGCCATGTCCATCTTCAAACTTCTCAAATCCAAGCTATCCCGCAAACCTCCCATCATGACGAGCAGAATCAAACTCATTGCAAACCCTCGCTACCAGAAGTCTGGTACGAAGTCGTACTTGTATGCTATGCGCAAGTACCGCTTCAGTCCAACTAAAGGCGGGCCATACTTCCTCGGAAATACTATGGTCCAATCTGGAAGGCAATTCACCGATAAGCCCGTTGGAGGCCGTGCTCGCTTGCAACAAGTGCTGCAAAAGAAGAGCGCCGGCACCGATCAGGTTGGGCAGGTAGGCGCCGACGACGTGCAGAATGACTCTATGTATCTCGCGGAGATTGAAATTGGCACACCCGCGCAGAAGCTCAATCTGGACTTTGATACTGGGTCTGCTGATCTGTGGGTAAGTTGATTCGCGCATTTCTACAATGTGACCGTGGCTGAAGATTTTCTAGGTTTGGTCCACGAAGCTTCCCGCCGAGACTTTGTCGGAGAATAAGAACCACACGATCTTTGATCCGGCTAAGTCGAGTACTTACAAGGAGAAAGAAGGATCGACATGGCAAATCTCCTACGGTGATGGGTCCTCGGCCTCTGGAACGGTCGGCAACGACAATGTCAATATCGGCGGGGTAATCGTCAAAGGCCAGGCTATTGAGATAGCTGATAAGCTTTCTGCACAGTTTGCACAAGGAGCTGGAGATGGACTGTTGGGACTTGCCTTTGGCAATATCAATACTGTCAAGCCAAAGGCCGTTAGCACACCCGTAGAGAACATGATCTCGCAGTCCGATATCCCAAAGTCGGCTGAGGTTTTTACCGCAAAGCTGGGATCGTGGCGTGATGCTGATGAGCCTGACAAAGGCGAGTCGTTCTACACCTTTGGCTACATTGACCAGGATACGGTCAAGGCTTCCGAGGCAGACATCTACTACACGCCCATCGATAAGAGCCAGGGATTCTGGATGTTCGATTCTGCTTCGGCGACGGTGAATGGAAAGTCAATCGCTCGTTCAGGAAACAAGGCTATTGCTGATACTGGCACTACCTTGGCCTTGGTTGATGATGAGACTTGCCAGGCGATCTATGATACCATTGAAGGCGCAGTCTATGATGATGATAGCCAGGGCTGGATCTATCCTTCCAACACGGCTGCTGATAAGCTCCCCGTGATCACATTTGCTGTTGGAGAAAAGCAGTTTGTCGTACAAAAGGAAGATTTGGGATTCGCCGAAGCCAAGTCCGGTTATGTCTACGGGGGCATCCAGAGTCGCGGTTCTATGACCATGGATATTCTAGGCGATACCTTCCTGAAAGCTATCTATGCAGTAAGTCTTTATTCCTTTCTTCTCTTGTTGATTGCGGTGGCTAATGTGGAAATTAAGGTATTTGATGTTGGCAACCTTCAGTTCGGCGCAGTGCAGCGTAAGGAGCTGCACCAGAACCTTTCTGTACCTTCGGAGTCAAGCTAGGCATAATTTGGGCCTGTAAGACATATTATTTTCATGGATTTGGCACAGAAGTTTATTTTCTCTCACTCTCATTGAATTCATCGCTGGGCATACATAGAGATAATCTCATCACATTTCACGACCACCCACTCAAACCCCCGAAATTGTCCTAGATTGATAGACATATTAGTTTTCACCTTTCAAGTTTATATCAATTGTCTCACCTATTATATCCTTCTCTTCAAATCACAGGTCCGCCCATTTTATGATAGGCTTGATGACCTGCAATGTTTATCAGCATGTCTCAATATAACTTTGAAGAAGGGACGCATACATTGCCAGAATGTAAATCCGCCAGAGCCTGATCAAAGTCATCCGAATGATAAATCTTAGCAAGTCTATCCACCGGGAACTTTCCTTGTTTGTACAGATCAATCAGTTGAGGAACAATCTGCGCAAAGGAACATTAATCACAGCTCCAACAAGGTACCATACAGCAAGACTCACCAAAGAAGGATTGGCACAGCCTTCAATTGCGCCAACAATACGCTTGCAGCCCATCATAAGCGCCAAAGGATCGATGTTGAGAGAAGAGCCCGGTCGAGCCACACCCACAATGGCAAGGATACCCTCATGTCCCAAGGCTTTGACACCAGCTTCGAGCAGAGACACGACACCCGTGGTGTCAAGAACACAATCCACACCCTCAGGGAAGATCTCAAGAAGAGTTTGTGCAAGATCAGAGACACCTTTCGTGGTCAATGTGTGCGATGCACCAAGAGATTTCGCCAGCTCAAGCTTTGCATCAACGAGATCAACCGCAATGATTATTTCCACGCCCTGGGACCGTGCAGCAAGCAGTGCAGCCAGTCCCACAGCGCCCATGCCAAACACGACAAATTTGCTCTGGGGCTTTGGCTTGAGTACATTGAAGACGGTGCCAGCACCAGTGAGATACCCGCATCCCAGCGGAGCCAGAACGGCCATGTCTTCGACCGTGATTCCAGATCCGGAGGGAGATTTGACGACTGACCGTTCGTCAACCACAGCCAGCTTGCTCATGGAAGACTGGCCGAAAAATTGACCGCGGACTGGACCCTTGCCGCCAGGGAGAGAGATGGGCGATTCAGCAGCGCGGTGGCCGCGAGAACCAGCGAAATTGATTGAGGTCATCTGACCACAGAACCCATTTCGGCCTTCACTGCAGGGCTTGCATGTATCTCCGTGACAGGAACTGAAGCTTAAGAAGACGAGATCGCCCTCTTGTAGGGATTTGTCTTTGACGGCATTGCCTATGCGGCGCACGATTCCGGCGCCTTCATGGCCTAGAACGGCTGGATAATCACCGACCGGGATAGCTCCTTGCTGAACAACAATATCCTGGAGGGATTTATTAGATTTGAAAAGGTTGCTCGAGGTCATTTCGGGGGCTTAGTACATACTGTGTGGCACAGACCGGTATATTTCATCTCGATTAGTACTTCATTTGCCCGCACCTCGTCCAAAATAACATCTTGGAGAATGAATGGCGCTCCTGGCTTCTCAACAACAAATGCAGTTGTTGGGATCTGTTTTTCGGGAATCATCGTTGGGGTTATTGGAGTATTGTACTGAAGATGCGCGAAAAGAGGTATATAGTAATTTCAATCATATAAAGCAGAGGGAAAGTATTCGACTGAAACCGATGTGATGAAAAGACTATAATATAGATGTGCGTCTCGAACTTGAACCCCAATGAACCATTGAAGATTATTGCGGGTCCTCCCCCGCAGGCCCTCCGCGACGATATTTCCAGTCATATTGATGGAGAGTAATGACCGGGAAGGAACACCGGCAGTGGAGGTGGACCAATCCAAAGTCGAATCTATCATGCGGGACTCAGCCATTTCTTCATTACCTGTATGAGATTTCACACGTCTCATTTTTGGGAATTGAATGCGCAACCGACGTCAGACTTCAGGATCACGTTGGAGGGATTAACCTTCAATTATCAACGAGGCCAAAACAGGAACAAACAAAAAACTCCATTCTATGCTACTATGTAGTGTACAAAGAGGTATCTTATGTAAATGCTAGAGTACATGTATATTACAGTAGGTCAATTACCACATCTTGTCCCTTCCATCATTCTTCTCCTTTTTGACAGTCTCAGCCACAGCAACCGGGGTACGCAGGAACTTCTCCATCAATAGCGCAGCAGCAACACTGACATTCAGACTGTCGATGCGGGCAGGGTCCGATGTGACACCTAGAACGGGACTGTGTCGAGCACCTGGGATGCTGACCGTTGCATTTGCGTGCGACTTAATGTGCGAGCTAAGTCCAGAGCCCTCACTGCCCATCATCAGGACACTAGGAGCCGTGGCAAATGGTAGCTTGACTCCACCCTGATCGCCTTCGGCCGCGGCGTGATCCAGGTAAACAGATCCGGGGCCTGGCGCATCTGCGGCATAGAAGCGCCATCCATTTTCTTTGGACCGTTGGATGAAATCAACTTCATTCTTCACGTGAAGGATGGTCATGTTCTCAGCAGCGCCGGCAGAAGCCTTGATCGTAACGGGGGATAGGGGCGCAGAGTTGCGCCCAGCGAGCACAATGGCATCGATCCCCAGAAAATAGGATGAACGGATGATGGCACCCATGTTACCAGGATCGACAACTCCATCCAGTAGCAAAGCCACGGGGTATCGATAGGCTTGCTGATGATCATGCGGGGGCGGAGGAGGGTGGTGAATCGGGATACGATCGTCGGTGCCATTTACCGCAGCTTCTTCCCGGGTTTGTGGCGCAAGCTCCGCCCGGAAATATTCCTCTGATATAGATGGCACAGCCTGGAAGCCACGTACGGGCAATTTTGGCAGCGGCGATGCTTCCAAGATGCACCCGTTGTGAGGTCGCCCAGCACTCATCTTATCCATCAATCGATCCCATCCGGCAAATGCCATTTTGACTGCAATGTTCTTTGACAATGCCAGTTTGCGGATTGTGATCTTTGCTGGGCTCAAATCTTCCTCTGCGGCCTGATAGATGTAAAGCTTGTATATTTGACGTCTGCTGCAGCGCAGCGCCGCCTCCACGGCACTAGTACCATAGATGAACTCCGACGCTGGTGTGGTGTACGGAATCGTATCGGGGACTTTGACATTCTCCTTCACACGCTCCGGCATGCTGCTAGTCACACGATGCGCTCTAGACTTTGACTGCTTCTCCATGGGGTCATCCACGGAAGGCCTTTCTCTTCCCGGCCGTGGGAATTGATTTTCGTGCGAGCGAGGTTGGAACCGTGATTGATGTTCACGGGGGAGTGCGCGGAAATTACCAGAGCGAATGAACTCATCTTCATCAAAATCGGGCTCTTTGGGCCTTTCTTGACGCGCACGTCGAGCAAATTGAGATTCGTTGCCGGGCCATGCTGGTTCTCGTCGGTCATGCGATTTAAAACTCAACTCGTCTGATTGATTCTCATACTTTCGCTCGCGTCTCTCGGGTCGTGGCTCACGGGATTCGTGGTCATTGCGGAATGGTCGTCTGAAGCTTGTTCCTGCTGATCTATCGGCTCGTTGACGGGATTCATAGTCATTGCGGAAATATTGCCTAAAGTTTGACCCATCTCTATCTCCGAATTTTGACCGGAATGTTCCCGCAGCGTTTGGATTGTTTGATCTTTCGTATTGTCTCGCGCTCCTGGGGGAATTGTTGTCCCGACGATCCTCTCGGTCCACAGACTGCGATCTTCGAATGCCCCGACCAATTGCTGAGTTCAATGATGCATGTCGGATTGTCAATGTTAAATGAGAAGAGCTCGGGACTCTAGTTTGATAGCGCGTCGTTCTTGAGATAATATTGAGCATCATCTCGTACCTAGGTAGTCAACAGCACTTCTCATTAACTCATCCGATCGATAAGAAGAAATCAGAGGAGTCGGATAATTGTTTCTCCGCTTATCGGCACTTTGAATCGCTTATCGAGTCGCGCTCTCAAAGAGTTGATTGATATCGCGTTATCTGGCTGCCGTTTACTTATCCTCATCCACTCTTTCTTGTCCTGTACCCTCGAACCCATACATTCATTTGATATTCTTTCTCATAAACCGTTTGATTGATTGCCCGCCGTCATCCCGTCCCTCCCAATTCCTATATCCTACTATACCGACTCAGTTTCATTTCACTTTGATCTGCGTCGGTTTTGAGCCAGGTTCTCGTAGGAGCCGCGCACGCGGTTCCTACAGTATCGCTTCGATAGTCTGACTCTCACAAAGCTCCGGCCACCACCGCATTGCAATTTGGGGGCCCATCCCGCCTGTCTGAAGATCCAGACACGATAGTTGCTCAATTGATAGAGCAGCTTCGCAGCACCCCACCTCGCGCGACTCCTGTCATCATGTCTGAGGGTTCCAAAAATGCCCTTCCACCAGTGCAAGAATCTACTGGGAACTCAAAGGATGCAGTACCATCCTTTGAGATTGTCATTCCTCCTGCTATGCATCCTGAGGATTACCCATATTTGCCAGGTCACTTTGAGGCCCGTTGCATTCTGGCAGTCGACATACATGAGCCAAAGTTCATCGTGAGACTCATGAGTGGTGAGCGTACAACAGTCAGTGAAATGCAAATCAATTTTTTAGATCTCAATCTCGATTCAAGTTCACTAACCATGGTATTTTTGCATTAGATCACTGTAAAGCGACTGATGCATTTGAAGAACGGCCCGAGGGCACTTCGCGAGTTTATTGATGACTCACAGAGCCCTGATCCTTTGGCAATGGACTTTGACCTCGATTCGCATCTTGGTTACGCTGGTGGAGATGGCCCTTCCGATTACGATAAAGACATGGATTGGGGATTTGACGTTATTGGCATTGCTCGGGATCGCCAGCGACGTAGGGGAATCTTGGAAACTTCATACGTCCATTTCTTTTCCTCTGATCCGGACGACGAAGGATTGGAAGAAAGCAACGGCGAAGAGACAGACGCTCAGGGAATAGAGGAATGGAGCGATGAAGATGTACGTCCGAATACACGCCGCCATCTGAAGAGAGGCGTGCAAAAAAGAAAAAGACAGACTCGCAAATCATCCGATGAGTCTCTCATCTCTGATACAGGCAAACGAGCCTCGTCTCGCCTGAAGCAGACCCGTCGCAAGAATCTGAAAGAACGACAGGAAGACGACGAGTATTCTGAGGTTGAAGTCGAATTGCCAAAACAAAAATTCTCCGGCGCAAAGGAAAAGTTCCGTGAACTGCCCGTCGAAGACGAATTCAGAGCCTGCCATTCCGAGAATTGTTATAAATGCAGGCTATGGGAAGACGAGAATCTCAAGCAAGGGCCGTTGGTGTTTTGTCAGGGATGCACTTCATCATACCACCAGGGCTGTCTCGGTGAACGAAGCTCCCGTAAGCATTTGGTCACCAAAGTTGACGAGGGAGACTTCATCCTCCAATGCACCAATTGCTTGGGCACCAGGCATCAGATCCACGACAAGTTGCCCCATTTGGGTTGTTGTGCAACTTGCAACGAAGCAGGGGCCATGTCCCAGCCTTTGCGAGAGTTCCATACGTCCCAAGAAGAGCAACAGTTACGCGAGCAAAACGGTGGCATAGACCCAGTGACAGATGTTGACATGTCTGGTGTGAACAATGTCGATAATGTCCTCATCAGATGTACTGGATGCAAGCGAGCTTTCCATGTCAAACATCTGATTCCAAACGCCGAAGAGGATCGTTCCGAAATTAACCCCGAGTCCTGGCAATGCCATGAGTGCTCTGGTGCTCCTGCAGTGGAACAACCGATCCAGGTAATAGTTGCCTGGAGACCGAAAAATGCTGCGGTCAAGGTTGTCCCCCGATTGATCGAAAGGCTTCCGGAGATTGAAAAAGAGTACCTTGTCAAGTGGACTCAGCAGTCCTACTTCCATGCCACTTGGATGCCCGGAGACTGGGTCTGGTGCATCGCTCATTCCTCGATGTTCAAGGCATTTTTCAAGTCTGATAAATCCAACCAACCTATAATGACAACCGAGCAGGCCGTGCCTGAAGAAAACTTGCGGGTCGACATCATATTCGATGTTGAATACATTCGCAAGCCGAAGTCTTCTGTGGAGAGAGCGAATCCTGAGCTGGTTAAACGTGCCTATGTCAAGTTCCAAGGCCTTCCCTATGAAGACACGGTGTGGGAAGATCCCCCGGATCAAAGCAATGGAGATCGATGGGAGGACTTTAAAAATGCACTTGTCGACAAGGTGCGCAGTGAAGGCATCCACCCTCCAGAGCCGAAAGATCTCAAAAGGCGACTCAATGATGCACGCAACCAATCGTTCGAGAAAAACCTCGCTCTCAGCTCCCAACCCGCGTTGGTGACTGGTGGAGAACTCATGGCATACCAGATGGATGGCGTGAATTGGATTTATTACATGTTCTTCCAAAAGCAGAACGCAATTCTTGCTGATGACATGGGTCTCGGGAAAACGGTTCAAATTATCACCTTTCTCGCGGCTTTGATCGAAAATTTCTCGTGTTTCCCATTCCTGGTGGTCGTGCCTAATTCGACTGTTCCAAATTGGCGCCGGGAAATCAAGCACTGGGCGCCGGAGATTCGTGCTGTAACCTATTATGGCAGTGCCTGGGCTCGCAAGATGGCCGAAGAACAAGAGATGTTCCGCAATGGCCGTCTCTGCTGCCATGTAGTGATTGTCTCATATGAGAGCATGGCCGACGATGAGGCCAAGAGGGTACTTTCCAATATTCCGTGGGCGGCGTTGGTGGTCGATGAAGGACAGCGCCTCAAGAATGATCAGACTGTGCTCTATGACCGTCTTCGTCACATGAAGTTCGGCTTCAAGGTGCTCCTCACTGGTACCCCTCTTCAAAATAACATTCGAGAGTTGTTCAACTTGATTCAATTCCTCGATCCCTCGAAGGATGCCGAGAAGTTGGAGGAAAAGTACAAAGAATCCCTCACTTCGAGTGACATTCGAGAACTTCACGACATGATTCGGCCATGTTTCTTGCGCCGCACCAAAATGGAGGTCTTGCCATTCCTTCCCCCAATGGTACAGATCATCATTCCGGTTTCAATGTCAGTTGTGCAAAAGAAGCTGTACAAATCGATCCTTGAAAAGAATCCAAAGCTCATCGGCGCCATCATGAAAAAGAAGGCTGGGCAACTGAAGAAACAGGACCGAGCCAATCTGAACAACATCCTGATGCAGCTGCGAAAGTGTCTCTGCCATCCTTTTATCTACAATCGAGACATTGAAGAGCAGACGACTGATCAACAGCTTGCTCAACAGCGGCTGATAGAAGCCTCCGGCAAGCTTCAATTGCTAAACTTGATGTTGCCTCGACTTCGGGAAAGGGGTCATCGGGTTCTGATCTTCAGCCAGTTCCTGGAGAACCTTGACATTGTTGAGGACTTCCTTATCGGACTTGAAATTCGGTATTGTCGTTTGGACGGAAAGCTGTCCTCGAGAGAAAAGCAAAAGCAAATTGACCAGTTCAACGCGCCGGATTCCCCGTTCTTTGCATTCTTGCTATCGACGCGGTCAGGTGGTGTTGGAATCAATCTCGCCACTGCAGACACCGTCATCATTATGGACCCAGACTTCAATCCGAAACAGGATATGCAAGCTTTATCGCGTGCCCACCGGATTGGACAGAAAAACACCGTTCTTGTGTTTCATCTGGTTGTACGTGCGTCAGTGGAGGAAAAGATCATGCAAAAAGGAAAGACCAAGATGGCTCTTGATCACGTACTCATCGATCGGATGGAAGCAAATCAAGACCAAGAAGACCTGGAGTCGATCCTCAAGCACGGTGCCCAGGCCCTCTTCGACGAGGATGACTCGGCGGATATCAAATACGATACCCAGTCCATTGACAATCTCCTAGACCGAAGCCAGGCAGAACAAGCTGAGAAAGCAGCCCAAGAAGATGGTTCAAACGCGAAGGAACAAAACCAATTCAATTTTGCCCGGGTGTGGCAGATGGACCGTGCCAGTTTTGAAGAAGTAACTGTGACGGAAGACTCAGGAGAAGATAACTCGGCGTGGGAGCAAATCCTGCAGGATCGTGAGCGTGAGGCACAAGAGGAGATCAATCGCCAAGCTGAAGGCCTTGGACGGGGTAAACGAAAGCGTGCTGCAATCAGCTACAGCACAGCTGTAGAAGGAGGCGAAGATGAAGAGGATCTCCCCCACCCCTACCAAAAAGCCAGCCAACAATATGCGCAATGTTGCGGCCGACATAGACTACCAGCAACCTAACGATGATGGTGATGAGACTGAATCCGACATTGACGCCCTTGTCGTGAATATGCCCGAAGGACAACCTGTGGTTGATAATGAGGCTACCCAACTCGGTAATATTCCCTTGCTTCCCGTGCACTCGTTGACTATTCCTTGTTTTATTCGCTTGAAATTATGCCTCATCGATTTATTAAGATACATTTCACTAATATACATGATTCTACAGTTGCCCGCGCATTCCACCGTGTTCAGTCGCCTCCTCCTCTCTCACATATGGGTACCGATGGCGCTACCGACCCCTACCCTTCCTGTGCGGCATGCCGCCAATGCCACCTTCCGGGACGCTGCCCTCTCAAACTTGCGGGCCTCGAATTTTGCGGCTTGTGCGGCCTCGCCCATTACGGAGCTCGGCGTGTGTGCCCGCATCTGCAGTCAACAGTGCAGGTCCAGCGGATGCTGGAGGCGCTGGACAAGAGCGTAGAGGAACGGAGCATGATCTCTGAAGCCAAGAGATACCTCAACGGCATTCTCAGTTCGATGGCCCAAAATGAGCGCAGGAAGACCATATCTGCCCAAGTGATGTCTCACCAATCAGTGACTTCACCCTTAGCGGGTGAATCTCAAGTGATCGATCTGACCTTATAAAACATTGGTGCTGTCTTTCCCACCTGTGACTAATGGATGGATGTTGCCCAGATCACAAGAACAACCATGGTTGTTGGTTGTTTTCTTTCAATGTACCTTGATATTATTCTATGAGTTCGCGCCACACATGTTGTCGGAAAAAAAAGAAAGAAATACCAAAAAAAGACAATGGAGTCGGGAGAGGTCAAGTGGGATCCGGCGTTCTGAAAATTGCGAAAGATACCCAATTGTTGTTATTTGAGATAACCAAAATCAATTTTAAGATGTTGTACTATGACAAAAGTCTTAAGTTTGACATAGATATCTGCTACATTTTGTTAGATGTATAACAACTTTCCAGGCTGTAGTTGGTTCTAGAGAGAAAGGCAAATCCGAGATACTAATATAGAGGCAACCAAGCATATTTATGTAGACAAGTACAGTTCATAAGCCGGAACTAGGCAGGCAAACACTATACATGTGTACAAATGTGTGTAGCAGGATAGTACTAGGAATGCCCGGAAAGAAGCCTACTACGCAATCCTTTCAGCAAAGGCTCTTTTGCAAAACCACCACAAAGCTTAAAAAAGAAGAAGGAAAGTCATCTAGGCAGATGTTTCTTCATTCCCCAACAAATTTTCCAACAAATTCTCTATTCGTATCGATCATCATACAAGCAAGATTCCATCCGACTTTCATAGATTCCATCCGACTTTCATAGATTCATCCGACTTTCATAGATTGGGATTCTCGAGGCCACCCTGAGCAAACCCAGCAGCTTATGCAGGCCTTTGAGGCAACGGAGCAAGACCTCACTGCTATCATGCAACAGCTTTGAAGACAAAACATGACTTTGCAGAGCTTACGATCTCGGAAAATGACTCGCAGTCGCAAACTGCAGACAATGCTGTTGAGGTAGAGGATGATGGACAGGGCAAAGGTCAGTTTACAAGATTGGTGTTTCATTAGTGTCACTATACGGGGTAGAGTGTCAATACCAATCATATGACAGATCTAGCATTGGCCAATTTGCAGGAAGCCCTAGCATCATTTGCAGAATAAGACCGTGAACTCAAAGACAGACGCTATATGTATGCGCGAACACATCGCCGAAAGCACGCGGAGCAGATCAAGGTGTATGGGAAATTTTATTATCGGAAGAACGCATCTCCACTACGAGGATATCAACAAAACAACGCAGAGAAGGTTAAGGAGAGGAGACGAAATCATTACGCCAAAAACAAGGGTATGATCAACTTGCGCAAGCGAGAACTTTACCAAAAAGCGAGTCGCTGAAGAGAATGCAATGGAGGATTCATTCTCGGAAGAGCCACAGGATCAGGTTGCAACTTGAATCACTTTGGGCAACATTTTTTTTTTCGTTGGAGTTTGGATTGGTTTACAGCAGTGAATTTGATCGCCGATATACAATTTTCAGAGTGGTAGGTATCAAACAGCGGTAGTCCTTATGAGTTAGTTATGAGTTAGATTTACTTGAGTTGTTAGGATTCTTTTCCTTTTTGCCATTTCATTCGTGAACGATACTTAGGATAGTGTATGTACATTTATGCCTATCAATGTATGCCTAGCTTTGTTGTGTATACTTTCCTTTTATCATTTAGATGGGATAATCAGACGAAGTTCAAGCTTGATCCTTTCATTTCTTTCAGGTGGCGACTATATAACGACTGAATATTCTCTGATATCATTGCTTTGAAAGGACTTTCCGGATTGACTGCGTCAGGCATTTTAGACAATATATCCACAAAGCCAGCAATAGATGCTCTGATTTTGATAAAAGACCATCGTTGCTTACATTATATCCGAGTACTACGGTATATGAAAGTAGCTACTATTTAAGCATCAGTCATTGAGCTATAAAATCATAATAAAAGCGTTGGAGCCAGACTCACCAGCCGCACGAGTGTGTGGTGCATAGGTAGAAACAACTCCATTGTGCTATAAAACAACACTTCAGGTCTATGTAGATCTTTTATGACTTTGTAAAAGCAACAAACACTCTACCTAAAACGTGCATATTGATATAAGCATGAAGAATGGTTTCTAGAACGCTGTATTTAGAATTGGACCAGCCGGTCTTCTGCTGCCATTCTGTCATCCATGATCCAACGGCATGAGACTGATGCATTGAGATACTGCTGCACTGCTCTACGGAAATATCTCCTTGTACTTAGGTAGTAAAGAAGAATCTGCCTAGATATATGTCTTTATATCCGTGAACTATATTAGACTTTGTGTATCCATGCTGACCTTCATTGTGAAGTTCTTTGAAGTATAGATAGTAGGTAGTAGTACGTGAGGAACAACCTCAAGTTTCTGTCATTTCTCTATTGTCTTTTTCCCATCTACTTTTTTCTCATCGTCCCATCTTTCCCATCATCTCATCTTCCCTTCTTCGCTTGTCACCTCCCTCTCTCCCACTTTTTCTTTCTCTCACTTCCACCCTCGACATCTCCACTCCCATCGTTCCCTCTTTATCGCAGTTGACGCGTATCATTATTCTGATATCATTAAAACATACACTGCATCTTTAAAAACCCACTGACTTTTGTCAAGATGGCGGCTCCCAACCGCCCTCAGTTCTTCTGCACTCGCCCTGATGGCACCCTGACCCCTCTCCTTGCTGCTGATGACCTCCCTCTTGGTCTCACCGTCCAGGGTCTGCCTCGTGTTTTGGACGCCGGTGAGACTCAAGGTATGATCAGTTGTGGAGTGGCTGCTCCTCGCTCTGAGCCATGGACCATCGAAGGTGTTGCTCATGTCTTCCCCCATGACCTTGGAAAAGAGAGTCACGGTGATCTTCAGCATATCATGGTTCAAATCATCCACGACCACCAAGTGCCTCCTCACATTCGTCTGGCTGTCCAGGCAATTTTATATCGTGCTATTGACTTCCCTGCCGGACTGCCTGGTGAGGATTCCTCCAACAGCACTGTTATGTCTCCTTTGGGTCCAAATTTCATGATGAACCCCCATGTGGGCAAAAATGTAAGATTTGACCATCTCGCTGTCATTTCATGGGTTGAGTTGCTGAACTTCTTGTCCAGGGGTTCAACAGTAAGAAGGAGTATTGCTCTTACTGGATCCGCCATGGCGAGTGTGACTATGCCCAGCAAGGTAAGTGATACTAGAGACGCAGCCGAGGCCTTGACTGACGCCAGTTTCCACAGGCTGCCTCTACAAGCATGAGATGCCCCTTGATGCTGCCATGCTTGAAAAGCTTGGCCTGCGTGACATCCCCCGTTGGTACCGCGAAAAGCACAACGTTCCCAGCCTCCTCTACCAGAGCTCGAACAACCGCCAGCAGCTGAATTTTACCGATCAGCCTCAGATGCGTGCTCTTACCAATTCATCCCCCGATGTCAATGGAAGCACCGATGGAAAGGCTTCTACTGTCACCGGCAAGCTGATCAAGACCCCCCCCTCGAGGCCCGGCAAACCACAGCAGCAACGGCGGATTCAATAGCCATAACCGTGGCGGTAACCGTAATGGAAACTTCACTGGTCAGTTTGCAGGTCACGGCTGGAAGGGCGGTCGCAATGTCCGCAATCGCAATGTCAGCTCTTCCCCCCAGACCAAAAGCACTGTCAGCGAGCGCAGCACCGAGCTCTCCCCGCGCGCAACGCGCTTCGATGTCAGTCAGCTTGGCGGGTACCTTCCCACTGATGTCGGTATGACCACTGCCGCAACTGCTGCTCATGTTACGACTGCAGCCCCAGTCTTTTCCGTGGTCCCAATGGTCCCCAACATGTCCCTGTTGGACGATAGTAATGCTCGTAACCGTACTCTGGCTTTCCGCGCCAATGAACTGGCCCGCATTGATGAAACTGGCTTTGACAAGATAAGCCACAAACCCTCTGAGCCCCAGATTGGCCAGTCGGATACTCGCCATATGTACGCTCACACCTCAAACCCCTCTTCCGACGGTGGCGTCATGCTCCCAAAGGAGATCACTCAGCCATACGCCCCCAATTTCGATGGCGGAAGCCAGAGCACCGAGTCCACTCGCAAGCTTTACGGGGCCTTGAACACTCCTAGCACCGCTAACGCCGCATGTGGTTCTTCCCCTGCTGCGTTGAGCAATCTCGTTGCTACTCAGAACGTGCCTCTCGGCGCGATGGACACTCGCGTCACCTGGGGACCCATTGGAGGCCCGATCATGAAGAGTGCCAGTCCCCCCACTGATCCCCGCGCTGTCATTTTCGGTCAGTACCCCGTCAAGACCTCCTCCCACTAAATGGAAGCAAAGACACTCCGGCTTGCCTGGTGTGGCCATGCTTAGCTTGCATGCATTGTACCACCCTTTGACAATTTGTCATTTTTTGTGCATTTTTATCATATCTGGACCATCGATGCAGCTCTTCAATCGATGTTGACTCGGATAAATATGTGGATATCATAACAAGTATACTCTTGATCTTGCACTTCACCAAGCACGATAAATGATCCAGGCATGCGCAATACGCCCAACAAGATCTGACGAATGAGGCATGAGAGTTCGAAGGTTTTTTTTCTTTCTATTTATGTTTTCCTGACTTTTTTTTTACATGGGTTGAATTGGGTTGTCGATGACAGTCCTTTGATGTTGCGGGTGTTATCATGGAGCTCGGATCCCCTTCCTAGGGCTGAGGTTTTCATTTGTGATTTTTTTCCAGGATTTCCAACAAGATACACAAAGACTCGCTCAACTGTGGGGGTTGAGTTGTCTTTTCTGTTTCGAAGTTGTGAGATGAAGCATTTGTGATTTTCTCGGTTCTCTTGACAATAAGTACAAAGACTATGCTCACCTGTGGGGGGTGACTTGTCTGTTGTTTCGAAGTTATGGGATGGACAAATGTTGGCCGAACCTGGGAGGACTGTCTACGGTTTTCAATTGCGGACTTAGCACCCCTTCCTGGGCCTTGGCATAGTTAGCTCAATCATGAGCATCTACATCATTGCTGTTTTGCGTAGCTTCTTCCAGTAGTCACTTACTCACACGCATCCAGATATACCTGTAACATGTAATGCTCGTAAAATCGTAGTTGGCAAAGCAATAGTTGACTACGAGGAAGGGAGTGACACTATTAGCGAGTCGCCAATGCATAAAATAAAATGACTATAGTACATTTGAAAGAAAAGATGCGAAAAATCCTGATATATGCGCCCGCGCCTCGCAAATGTCTGACAACAGCTTTTCAAACACACCCAATATACAATTGATCATCGCTCACCGGCGGCCCATAGGGGCCTTCCGACTGCCACGAGCGCCAATTCTGACAGCGACACGCTCCCGTTCCTCCTCGGCCCTGGCCATGAGAACAGGGTTGAGCGAGGGCAGAGTCTTGATGGCATGAGAAATAACCGAGTTACCATCCACCAGAGTCTCCCGTGTCTCCTCGGCAGATAGGCGCTCTTGGCGCCGAGCGGCCAACTGGTTCCGGCGGGCTTCGGTCATGTTCCAAGACTCGGGGAATCGAATGCTGGTCTTAGGCTTGTGGTGGCGGAGGTCGAGGGGAATATCGGCAAAGGAGTCACCTTCCTTGGCCTCTTTGATCATCGAGTTGACGATATCGGCCAGATACCGCTTGTTCTGGGCCCGTGAGCTAAACTTCTCGCTGGACATGCGGATGATGTCGGTCTGCGGATTGTAGCGCGTGCCGGCCAGCTTGAGGAATGTTTGGCGCTGGGCTTCGGTGAGATACTTGGGAGTCAGATCTTGGGACGCCAGCTCCACCACGACCTTGGGCTCTGCCGGGTGCTGTTCACCCATGTAGGTAGTGTAGCGGAAGCGTAGAATGTGGGTGGCGGGAGGCAGGGTGAACGGTTGGGCGAGCTCTGGGTCGAGGTTAGTGAATTAACAGGTGCAAATGGATAGGAATTGAGCTTACTGCTTAGCATGGGCATGTCCCATGCTGTGATACGAGCGTACTCTCTCATCTCCCTATGCAGCTCCATTTCTTGGTGTGCCAGGGTAGTCATTTCATCATCTTCGACCTCCTCATCGCCATCCTCAACCTGGGCCAGTTCATCGGGTTCGTCCTCGGCCCAGAAACCGGGCTTTGTGGGGCGGATATCTTCGTACCGCAAATCCTCTTCCTTGTCAATCTGCTGAACTTGCTTTTCAAGGTCTTTGAAGATTGCGGCGCGCTTCACAGGATCATTGAATTCGGCAACCATAGCGTGGTTCTCATCATCAAATGCCTTGCGCTCCTCGGGGGACAAGAGATCATACATGGAGCGATGCTCCTTGCTCAGAAGCTCGGGTGAGTACTCGGGCAATGGAGGGAAATCCTCTGGCTTGAGTTCTTTTGGCGGAGGGGGCACCACGGGGTCTTCCGAGGCACGATTGAGCGGCGAGGCGGAAAAGTACCGGATTGATGGAGCCATCAGGCCCTTCCGGGCCAGATACCGTGCTGGCTGAGTCAATGACCGAGCTACTGGAGCCATTGTTAAAGAAATAGTGGAGGTAATGACCGAGTCGTGAACTACGATGTTTTCCACTTCACTTTTGCGAGGTTCACCGCCCGTGCGCTATTTCCAAAGAGGACTAGCGCCATTACATCACGTGATAAGCATCGAATCTCGCCTCACGTGATCGCATACTGAACGAAGTGTCTTTTTTTATGTCGTTGGACGTTTTGTGAATGCTCAATTAAAAGCGTTGCAAATCGCAACCCAAAAAATACAAACATCGCAGCCCCATACACTGTCTCGATGAAGCTGTGCTTTGTGACTGTTGGAGCTACAGCTTCCTTTGAGAAGCTAATCGAACAAGTGCTTACTTCAAGTTTCCTGGAGATCCTGGCAGAGCGTCATTACACCCATCTTCTGATTCAGTACGGCAAAGATGGCGATAAAATATACCAAAGATTTCTGGACAGCAATCAATCCCACCATGGTGTCACTCTTGGGGGCTTCGACTTTAAACCCAGCATAGAAGATGAGATGATGATGACCGTGGAAAGAGAACAACGCCAGCAAGAGCGTGGCCTGATCATCTGCCATGCCGGTACGAACCATAGCGCTCTTTCTCTCTCTTTTTGCTTAACTCATTTTTATAAAGGAACCGGGACCGTGTTGGCGGGCCTTCGCCTAGGTGTACCCTTGATTGTGGTTCCCAACACCGATCTTGCCGATAATCACCAACAGGAACTTGCCGATGTGCTGGAAGAAGACAACTATGTGATCAGCAGCTCTGTCCAGTGAGTAATTTTCTTTGGTGTGTCCAGACTCACTAACAGCAAACCAGGGACGTGGGTAAAGCGATTGGCAGAGCAGAATCTCAGAAGGCTCAGGTATATTCTATGAGATCTAAGAATTACACTCTTGGGGATACTCTTTCTAACGAAATGGGGTTCTTGGACTGAAAACTCCATTTGAGGTAAACTGCGCATACCGATTGCATTCTTTTCGCAGGCCTTAATTGGGAACTCAGTGCATGCCTCTATGAATTATGACTGTATGAGCAAAGCAACACTGGTAAATCGGATGGATTGGTCCAAAATTTTTGGCGATTGATGGATCGTAATCTACATATGTAGACAATGAGAATTTATCTGTACATTTCAATAAAAAGAGAAGTACATTGGGAATCAAATTACCAATATTGTAGTCCGTATATGTAGGTTGGTCTGTCAGTAGTTGTACCGCTAAGTGGCCCAAGCTCCTTGTTGACAATTCCCGATTTGCGGCTTCGCGTCCACTCCTGAATCAGTGACAGCCAACGACGAACCACCGATATTCAACCTACACCCTCGATCCAACACCCACCCCGTTGATCCCCCGAGTTCCACGTTTCCAGGCCGAGAGGCCGTCTCGCCCACCCGTCCTTTCTCCTTGTCCGAAATACATCTTCCCCTTCCACACCTCCCCGCAATGGCTGAGGCTACGCTTCACAACGTGCCAATTGTCATCGACAATGGTAGCGGAACTATCCGAGCAGGCTTTGCCGGAGAGGAAATTCCATCATGTTATTTCCCCTCCTTTGTCGGCCGGCCCAAGCACCCACGGGTGATGGCCGGCGGTCTAGAAGGAGACTCGTTCATCGGGTCCCGCGCACAAGAACTGCGTGGGCTGTTGAAAATCCGATATCCGCTTGAACACGGCATTGTTACGAATTGGGAAGATATGGAATCGATTTGGCACTACGTTTACGAGAACGAACTGAAGACCCTCCCCGAAGAACACCCCGTGCTGCTCACGGAACCGCCGCTGAACCCGCGTCAAAACCGTGACATTGCGGCCCAACTTATGTTCGAGGCTTTCAACGTGCCTGCCTTGTATATGTCTATCCAGGCTGTGTTGTCGCTCTACGCATCCGGGCGTACTACCGGTGTGGTTCTAGACTCCGGAGACGGTGTCTCCCATGCGGTACCTGTTTTTGAGGGCTTCGCTATCCCAAACAGCATCCGGAGAATCGATGTCGCCGGTCGTGATGTCACAGAGCAGATGCAATTGCTCCTGCGGAAGGCCGGACATGTACTGCACACAAGTGCCGAAAAGGAAGTGGTGCGCATGATCAAGGAGAAGGTCTGCTACGTATCACTGGACCCAAAGCGGGAGGAGAAAGAATGGATGAACAACTACCACAAGTCTGATGCGAAAGCGGTGGACTATTCTCTTCCGGACGGCCACAAAATCAAGGTGAGTGCTACATCCTTTTTTGGGGGACGTTGAATTCTAATGAGCTTCAGATCGGCCAAGAACGTTATCGGGCACCTGAGATCCTTTTCGACCCGGAGCTTATCGGACTCGAGTATCCTGGTGTGCATCAAATCGTACAGGACGCCATCACCCGCACAGATCTTGACCTGCGTAAATCGTTATACCTCAACATTGTGCTCTCTGGAGGCTCAACATTGTGCAAGAACTTCCCTGATCGATTGATGCGCGAGATTAAAAGGTTGGCGGTTGAGGATATGAAGATCCGAATCTCTGCGCCTGCTGAGCGAAAGTACACCACGTGGATTGGAGGTAGCATTCTTGCTGGCCTGAGCACGTTTAGAAAGGTATGCATCATCTATTTATGTGCCATTGTATCATATTTAACTTTGTGTTTTTAGATGTGGGTAAGCGCAGACGAATGGCACGAGGACCCCGAGGTGATTCACAAGCGGTTTGCATAAACCACCCGTCTCTGACGAAAGTCTTCCGTTTCATGACCTTCAATTGTCTTTCGGTGCTCACCCAAAGCCACGGGTTATGCCCACTGCCTCATGCGACTCCGCAAGGCATCTCAACAACACAATAACAAAATCTTGTGAATACGAACCGATCATTGTGCAATTGGCAGTGCATCTCACATTTTGATTCATCAACATGTGATCGGCCAACACAACCAATCCGAGTTGCGTCGCGACTCTTGATACCCCAGTTTCCATTTTCCTCCCTCTAGCTTGTGTCGTCTTGGCATTGGCATTGACTTTAACTGTGCAAATACAATCTTCTTCTGCGTCTTCGGGATGGTCTTGACCAAACGTTTTCAATGTGGACATACGCGGCTGCATATTAAATCCAGCACATCTCAAAATCTTGCTTTCGTAGACTGGAATCAATTATGTAGAGAAACCAAGCATCATTTGCCTGATTATCAAAGCTTTCGGGACACTCGAGTGATCGTCGGTGCTCTTTCGAGAAGCATTTTCCCCGCAAATTCCTCGGACTTTTGCACATATGCATGGAACAACTAGTGTGTTCCCAGTTTCAACTTCTTATCTTGTTAAAGTGGGGCTGTGGCCTTCGGTGTTGTTCGAACGACGAACTCAGGAAATATAACACAAATAGGCTTATTGTAAAATATATGGTCATTGGTCAATCGCTGTCATGTTTGATTTAAGGCATCAAAAGAAAGGGCATTAAAAGAAGGTGGAACCTGTCGCAAGTCTTCGACCACAATAGCGACAGCGACAAGTCGAGCATCTGTCATACTGGTGTATCTCAATAGTTTATTACAACCATTATTGCTCATTGAGCTTCTAATAGAGGATACCTACAGTGTATTGGTTGTGATTCAATCTGATCCACTTGCAAGGAGGCTCTGTACCCCACATCTTGTCTAAACATCAATAATTACTTGAATAGAGAAACTTCATTTCCGGTATTCCAAGCCTCCTTACTATATGATATTCCTCGTGTTAAGTCAGCAGGCTTCTCACGACTGCGTACCACTGTTGCGCGCAACCCTAATTTAGTCGAGCATGCATTCTATAAGAGCATGAACAGGAACCCCGATGAGAGGAAATCCCAACAAGGCAGTAAGAAGACCCATGGGAGTAATGCTAGCTTTCAATTTATTGGTTCTCTTTCATGCTGGAATGATGATGGTTGAATGTTCAATACAGGTTTTAACTAGAGTCCAATGGCTGAACGAAAACGAATGCGACAAATCAAGGGTTGAGGCAAAACGCAGAACATTCCAGACTACAGTATGCATAATGATCAAATGACAGGGATAAGTTGGAAGAGCAACCGATGACAAAGAAATCCAAACGGACGGCTGCCATCGCTTACTATCGGCTACAACCGCGAGCGTACCACGTTATGTTCATGAACTTCTCTTCCAGCACCAGAACACTCATTTTTCCTTTTCGACGTCACAATTTAGGTCAGAAGCGATGCGGAGTATTGTCGTTTCTTTACTATGACTTCTTTTTTCTTCGAATTTACAACTACAATCATATAATCATACAATCATACAATATAATGGAAAATATTTGGACAAGTAATCCAGCCAGGGAAACCCAAGCTTGCAATGCATTGATACCGGCTAGTAAGTAGTAGCTCGGGCGCTATAGGGGAATATGTTGAAAAGCAAAAAAAACAGTAGACTCCATATGATGCAACCAGACAATTGTTGTACGATGGTGCAATCAGGGAAGATATGTTGAAATAACCCGGTTCCAGAACCTGGCGTGTCAGTAGTGGCTTGGCTTGAGCACAAATAACCACAAAGAACAAAGAACGCCGGCCCATGTTTGAGTAAAGAGTTGTCAAAGACAATATGAAATGCGTGTGCGCGGTTGAGGGGTATCGGCGACACAAGAAAGAAACAGGCGGTGACAAGAGGGTCTTGTAAAAGACCAACCTTTGGTTGGCTCGATGTTTCGGTCTGGGTCATCCGGTGGATTCCCGTTGAAGTAGTTGATTAAAAAAGAGAATGTGGTCGAGAGAAAGGCAATAAACTTTTTGAGGGGGTCATAATGTCGTTGAAAGAATTTGAGCAGAGGGCTGTCTTAGGCAGTACCCTTGAGCTTGCCCCAGCCCTTCTCGAGACCACGGCGGGCCATGTCGCGAGCACGGTCAGCGACGGAACCAGTGCTGGAATTGGTGGCCGTGCTGGCGGCAGAGTACTTGCGACTCAGACTGGAGCTGCTGGAGTCGTCACGGAAGGCTGTGTTTCCGGCACCGCCTCGGCCGACGTGGTAGACGGGGGCAGCACGGCGCAGATCACGCTCGAGCTCTTCGTCGAAGCTGAAGATGGCGCGCTCACTGCTGCTGTGGACGTTGCCGGCTCCACCACGGCCGGAAATGAAGGTTGTTGGTGCACGGGAGTCGAGGCGAGTCAAAGAAGCAGGACCAGTCGCGGTGCGCGAATCGGAGATCTTGGTGTTCTTCAAGCTGACGACGTTTCCGCATCCTCCACGGCCAGTGTAAACCGCAGGGCGACCCGCATGGGGTACCGAAGGATGAGGCTCAACGACGCGGTAATTTGATGAAGGCATATTAAATGTGGTAGTATGAAAGATTCAGGTCGAAAAATTGAAGAATTGAAGAATTGAAGTATCGAATATCGAGAGTATTGATCAGTATCAAACAGTCTAGCTGTTACTTTAATAGCAAGTCCATGAAAAGCGAAGTTGTGCAAATTTTTTTGAACTATGGATCCCATAGCAACAGCGGGGACATGTGAATTATATAGTTAGAGCCACGATAGTTATTGTACAATATTGTAGTCATTTTGTCCATGGGTCACACGGTGGGTATGCAAGAGATTTTTCTTGTATTTTTTTTATTTTTTATTTTTTTCTTCTTTTCTTTCATATCTTTTTTTCTTTTTGGGTAAAACAAGGCCCCTGTTTCGTCATCACTTAAAGCAGCGTGGCTCCATCGCCTACCCGCGAGTTCCTCAAAAGGCCCTCATGACCGGCTGATCAAATCCTATTGGCCGAAAATTCCCCCAGACGGCGGTAACAATGAAATAACGCATGCCGCTTTAACCCCTTTGCCGCCTACTACTTGGCAGTTTTGGAAGTCATGGGACTTTTAAACCACCAGCTCCACTGTGTGGGCACCAATGGTCAGTGGCAATACGTAACGGAAACAGCTTATACAACCAATGAGCATTTCCATTACCCCCAGGAAATCTCTCATTTCATGATCTCCAAGTGTCCAGATCAATACTTTACAGCTATGACCGGTCGATGTGTTCTATAACACCTCAACAATTATGATCCCTTTGCTCACACCGCAACAATTTCGCGTCAGCTATGGGCATTATGATTACTTCCAAGGTTCCCGGGTCACGTCAGGTGAGTGTTACCATTCCTCATACTCTAAACAGTTATTGCACAATATTTGTATAGTCTGATGCCAAGTAACTAACCCCTGTTGGGGCTCTAGGAGGTCCATGAGTCAGATGAAAATATCGAATACCACATGGAAATAAAAATACGTAGAAAAAATTTTATATGTATTTTACTACTCCAGCAATTGCATCATTTACCGGCCCGTGTCCACTTTCTATTTCCAGGGCTGTCGTGCTCTGGCACCTTGATTTTATTATAATTTTTTATTGCTTATTGCAATTTACAATGGGCATTGCACAATGTGCGCTTATGGACAGACGGGCATGCTTGAAGGCGAATGTTGTGCCTACGGAGTACAGACCTATATAGTATGGAGTAGATGATATTCAATGAAATACTAGCGCCACACTCCGTACAACGTGCAATATTGCATTGAGAAGCCAGGGCCGCTGATCGAAGCACGATGACTGAATTTGCGGGATAATTTCTCCTTAGCGCCCCGTCGATCTGGTTTAGGGCAAAAACTAGTTCCTACCGTACCTGATGGTTTGGAGATCAAAAATAATTCACGCATGCCCAGAACGCCGAGAATATAGTACCGGTGTAGGGCAAAATATTGTACAACATATTGTGGCATAGTCTGCGCTGTTCACGCCACATCCTTGAGTCACCTTAGGACCGAGCCACCTGCCGAGAGACCCGAAACGGATCAGGTATTGTACAGATGACGATGGATGAAAAAATAGAAGGGGGAAAAAAAAGAAAAGGATCGAAAAGAGCCAAAAAAAAATTTGAAGAAATTTTCCTCACTCGTGACTGGTCAAGCGATCCGAGCGGCGGCGTAAGCAAATCACGGCCGAATTTGTGCGCCTCCATTTCCCCAGATTTTCTGTTCCCCAGACCATCGTCAGCCACCGCTCGGAGTCATGTGGTGCCCGGAAATAGAACGGCATGACTTCTTTGCCTTTGCCCTGCACAATTACCCCTTCTTTTCATTTCTTGTCTAGTGACGATTTACCTCGGGAATCCCGCCATCCTTGTTACACGTCAACATATCTAACTATTTACAGCCGAGGAACCATTCCGCTCTATCTCACGTGGTTTGGCATTGGGGATTGTTGCAGGGATGGGCATGTCAACGTGTCTGTGTGAGCAACTGACACCGATCCTTGTTACCCGGATCCAGGTACGTCGCCAATAGACATCCCGGGATCCCAATTGGACCAGAATGTTGACGCCTGACATGAGACTCTGTCTAAGTCAGACCTGCTAAGTTATGGCCCCCTCTTTCCCCAGCCAGAAAAATCCCCATTTTACCCCCCCATATCAAATGCAACTGTGCATAAGCTCAAAGCACTAGTCAACTAACTAAGTGCGGGATTAAACCAAAACCAAACGAGGGGGTCACAATTAGCACATTTCACATACATCGATATTCATTTACTCCCTAGTTCACTCTCGAGCAAACAAAGTCACATAATTCCCAAGACCCATCTCATCATCACTCCCAAATTGCATCACTCCTGCATAAAACACACTAGCAAACCAAACTCAGAACCCCATTCCCCCAATCCAAACCCCCCGCTAGACTCCAGATTTCCCCGTTATTAGATAATAGCGCAAAAACATGACACATCAGTATCGGCGCCGCCAGGTCTCGACCACCGGAACCCTGTTACTAGAAAGATCATCGCTATCCCCTACGCAAGAAAGGTTCGTCTCAAGAGGGATTTTGTTGGGCTTGGGCGGTCGTTTCGTGCCCTGTTACTAAGATCTTCCCTGCCTGTCCTGCCAGGCCTACCCCAAGCTGAGGCCTACTTCCGGTCGGGTACGTACTCCCGGATGCACTCCCGGATGCACTCCCGGATTTTGTAGGCACATACATTGTGCGTAGGTTCAGGTTCGGAAGCAATGCACTCGCTCTGTTACGGTTTCTGTCTTATTTTTATTAGGTAATTGTACCATATTTTCTGTTGCTTACTATCCGAGTTTGTTTTGCGTTTTAGCATACCTGTAGTTCAATGTTACCCAGTAGCTCGGAATGTATTCTGTGGGCATGGTCAGCTGTGTTACGTTTGAGGCCGCATTTGTTGGGCTAAGCTCGTTGCGTTGGTATCCTGACTGGGCTCGACATATGTGGGTCAGCGCGTTGTATAGCTTTGGAATGTTGTAAATCATTAGGGTTGGCTGGAAGTTATTTGGTTGGGCCAATATCCCTGATTCTCTTTATTCAGGTAAACAGCGGTTTGAAGAGTACATTGTACATCAAGGCCATTTATGCCTCTCAGAGCTCGTCAGTTTTCAATGTCCGTCTTCTGTGTTCCTGGGTCTGAAACATGCTTGTCGCTGTTGGGTTACAGAGCAAAAAAACAAGACTTTTGAAACTGGTTGGCAGTCAGTTGTCAAATGCTTATTTGGGGCTCGTGTCACATTGATTGCTTTGTGGCGCATCTTTGTAATACTCTGATCCTTGTTAGATAGGGAAATTCTCATGCAAACCAAAGCTCGTATTCTCACGTCCATTGTAAATTTAGTCCTCTGTGCTGGGGAACCAAGTGCTACTCACGCAATTCCGAACACAGAATCTTAGTGTCCCAACCTCAGTATCAAAATCAAGAAGACGACCGCGGAACGGGCTCTGGCCTTTTAGAGGAGTGGCCGTACTCGTATTACTGAATCGGCCAATTTACCAGACTCGTAATAATTCCCCTTTTGTTAACATCAAAAACAACATCTTCGAAGCCATGGCACCATAGTAGAGCCAACAAACAGCTCTCCATCCCGAATAAAGTTCCACGGAATCTTTATTCTCGGCCCAGTCATCCCATGTATAAGTTCTATCTTTGACAGGATGAACAAGGGCAAGGTGGAATCTTGCTACTGCCCAGTGCGTGTATATGCCCTGAGGCAGATTCTCTGGGCATGTGGAAATTAATCCGCTCGTCGGGCGGTGCACGAAATGCTTGCTTCCTCGAAGACAAATATGTCGACGATGGGATCATTGCTTATTTCCTCAAGTCGGACCACTTGCGCGAATCAGTTCTTGTGGGTGGATCTAGCTAGTTTGAAGATGGTCTGGGAGGAATATAAGCAACTTGGATGTGGGGTTAATATCGATTTTATTTTATGTCCAGGCGCCAATAACAGATGTCTCAATGCTATTTCCACATTTGTTTGCTAAATACATATTAACATGCCAGTTGAATATGGCCTTAAGTTACGATGCCAGTCTTGTAGCTATAGGAAGCTGAAACTTGCTATGCAATGACACGGATTTGAGCTTGGAATTGAAAATAAAAAAGCAACACTTGATTTGTTTGCCTTTCTGCGTGGTATCCACCGCATGTCAGATATAAACTTCTTCAGTCTTAACAGCAAAATCATGAGCTTCGCCAGAGTCGACTTCTTCGTCCCACTTTCGTATGAGTGCCAGGGGTAGCACAACATCCGTAACTCCGCTTGATTCTCTCAGAATTAATCTGATCAACGCTCAATCTCAAACCTTCCTTCCTGTCCAGCGCGAGTCACTAAATGTTTGAGCAACGTAGCAAGTATAATCAACTCAGATTGGTGATCTTCCTCCCACTTCTCTACCCTTTTTCTCCACGCGGTAACACGGAGGACCTTTGAATTTTCCCCTCTCGTGACAGGCCAGAACGTGATTTTTGGTTAGTGAGACCCACAGACGAGCCAATTTTGCATCAGTAGGACGAAGTTGCTTCAACCCAGACCGAAACCTCAGGTGGAAAATGGCCTCTTGTGGGATGTGCTGTCCGCCACTTGCGAGCTCCAAGTTTGAGATCGCTTCTGAGGGAGTTGAGGGTCCTTCATTGAGTGCCGCCATGGGTTTCTCTAGATAAAGACTCTCACCAGAAGAGGAACTTTCGAGTTTGTTTTCAGGAATCTTCTCCTCCCGGGCTTCTTCTTCTCAGGCTCCTTCTCTTTCTAGGGTTCGCTTTTGAGTTTATTGTCGGGCTCGTTCTCAGGCTTACTTTCATCTTGCTTGAAACCCCGCGTACGGTCGAGCCAAAATTCATCAGCCTCACAACGTACCAAGCATTTCACACCGGCCAGTTCATACTGTAATATTGGCCGATGGAATTAAGACCCTGCAACGTTTGGACGTCATGACGTGTATTCCTCCAAGAAAGCACGATAATAACCTTCTGGATATGAAATTGGAATGGATTGAGTAGGCGACTTCTTTCTTCGTTTGTTCTTGTCTCGCATAAAAAGACCATTCCCCCAAGTACCTCGACAATTATGCGAAAGTACTTCTGACTTCCACAGCAAAGGCTCTCTAGATGATTCATTGTAACGTCGCAGTAAGCAATATCCCAGTTGTTCACATCAGTCAAGGGATCCTGCATTGTAACTGCTTGTATCATAGGCTCCCTTGGATGAGTAGAATATTAAGCGGTGTCCAGGTCAGTATAGAATGCAGCATCATCTTCCAGAAGCTTATTTTGCTGAAGTCGGTCGTAAAGGCTTGATGGAGGTGTCCGCATCTGCGGCTCGCTTGAGACTAATCAAATAACTAGGTAGCCATCCAAGGTGACCCATCTTCAACGGGAAACGACATTCACACCTTTGACCATGATTTTGGAATTTTCTCGGCCAGCCCAGCTGTAGGAGATCAGAGTTTTACTGTTCGCGATTTGAACCATGTCAATCCGATTCGATGAAGTCTTAAGTTGACTAAGAGTAACTTCCTCTGACTCGGGCTTATCTCAACTAGTTCTAGTTGAATAGTGAGCTAGGATGATGCTTTTCACCAGTTGCAAACTTACGCTCTCGTGTGTAAGACATGATTGTGGTTTCCTAAACATGACCGTAAGGCGATGCAGATATAATTTTAGAACAGAGAACTTGGGTGTTGGCAAGGAAGTAGATGAATACTCTACATAGCTAGGCGGGTGAGCAAATAACTTAGTGTATACACAGGCAATGTCTCTCTTTTGATTGTCTACCTTTCAAGTAGCAATAGATTTAGCTCATTACTATCAAAGCAAAAACCGAGAAATTAAAATCCAAAAATATATCTAATGTGCTATCGTGTGATGTCGTAAGTTGATGACCTACAATGTGCCAACCCCACTAACTCCACCCATTCCAATCACAAAGTGCAAAGAGCCTCCTGGAGACACATACTGCTTATCCAGCCAATATATTATGGCCGAATCTCAAAATATATTCAAATTCCACTCTTGCGCCAAGAATCGGCTGGAGACGGATACGAGAGGAGACCAGCTCGCCGATATCGGTCACCACTGATCTTAAAGTAGACCTGCCCATGGATGTTTGTTCGAAGTAGGCACCTGTCAGATCAAAATATTATTGAGCTTCTTTCAAAATGAATTCAACGTTAGATATTCACTCTCTCAATGATAACCCCTCCTCTCACAGGATCATCATTGTTGGAGGAGGCATAGTTGGCGCAGCACTCGCATTCCATCTTTCCAGTACAAAAGAACACCACGTTGTACTTGTTGACCGATGCTTGGAGAAGTCACTTGGGTCTACAGGCCATGCCCCAGGCTTTGTTGGTCAACTCAATGAGTCATCCGTCTTGACCAAACTTGCGAAAGATACTGTGTTGGAGTATCTCTCAATTCCCGGTGGCTTCAGCCGTGTCGGTGGGTTAGAGCTTTCATCGACACCATCTGGTGTGGAAGCCTTGCGTCGTCGGCGTGACATGGCACTAGCTGCTGACTTACCTGCTGAGATTATCACACCAGAGGCTGCCGCTGCTCTCGCCCCCGACTTCATCGACCCAGATTCGGTCAAGATTGGGTTGCATTTCCCATCAGATGGCACGGCAAACGCGCAGAAAATCACATCGTACTATTTCGATCAAGCTCGAGCTAGAGGCGTGGACTTTCTGGAGGCCACTGTAACTGGTTTCACAACAAGTCGCAACGATGGCAAACCCACCAAAATGACAGCGATCCAAACAGCAGAAGGGCACATCAACCTTGAAGGCAGCACCGTTATTCTCGCCACTGGAATTTGGACTTCGTCGCTGACAGACCCTGCCCACGGTGCCAAAGCCCCAATCACTCAGCTTCCAATCCCTATTGTTCCGGTTGCACACCCTTACACATTCACTCCATCTCGGCCTCCCCGTGTTGGGAACGCATATCCGTTCGTTCGCTGGCCAGATCACCACGTCTATGCAAGGGACCATGGCGATCGCGACGGCCTGGGCAGTTACAACCATTCTCCGATGCAGTTGAATCCAATTGGTACAGCTATCGGTACCTGGCCCGCAGAATTTGATCAAGTTCTGTCTGAAGCTACTTCACATTTGAAGAATGGACATGATTTCCATTCCCGAGGGTGTGTGGATGACTCGGACCCTTGGCTATCCAAGCAGCCATTCAATGGAATTTTCTCGGTAACTCCCGATAACCTGCCGCTTGCAGGACGGGTGCCTGATGTTGCAAATTTATGGATGTGCGCTGCAATTTGGGTTACAACTGCCGCTGGCACGGCGAAATTGATATCAAGAGAGATTCTTCGTGACATTGGAAGTCCTTCTACCCCCGAAGACGAGCTTCTAATGAATGCTCTGAGCCCTGCCCGATTCCAGGGCATTGGGACGGAAAATCTCACCCTTCAAGCTTTGGGGAAATATAACGACATTTACAACCGAAAGATATAAAGTTGCACGAGGAGAGAGGGAAGTATAAGAGAGCATGCCAGATGCCGATTTTGACGTAGAGATCTGTTTGTTTACAATGGCTCTTGCTCGGAAATCACCTTTGCAATCATTCAGCAAGCCCTCGACTACAGAATTTATAGTATTTCTTCTCCCCTCCTAGACCTCTTTTTCATATGAGCGGCACCAACACTCCTCGAAATCTTCGAAGGAAATTGTTCAACCCCGTATCCAAAGGCAATATGGAGGTCCATGGGTAAGTCTAGTGTAGTGAAACTTTTTTTTAGAAAAAAGTGAAGCAAAGTAGAGGCCAAGATTTTGTTGATCATCAATAGCCACTTTGGGTCGTAATCCATTAGAAAACCTAGCATACATTTGTCCTAGCGCTGCCCCTGAGTTAATCAGGATTCAGCTTAAGCAAACCTCCCATAAAGACTACAATATTGGAACATTTAATTCCTCGAGAGGCCAGACCTATATTAAGAATTGCGAAGTTTGAGATTGATATTGAAATGAATAAATCCATGGATCCCGGAGGAACTCATGACGTGAATTTAACTTTAATCTGAGTCCATGCCCGATTGTGGTCCGCCAAGAAACTTAATTCACGCCACGACGAAGACCTTCTTAATTCACCTCCTTTCCCTTCGTCTGTTTGAAGACAAACTCCTACCTGGAGTTGGTTTTTCCAATGCTGCCAGGTCATGAATTTATGGATGGTCGCGCATGAACTCGTCAAGATCAATTGTGCTCAGCCTATCTCGCCAATCTGATAATCTGATCTGTTTAGCGGATCAGCTGTCAAAATGGCTGGCGAAACTGGCCCTGTGGAGGTCTCCCGGGCTCATGCAATGGTCATTGCAGGCCTTTTCTCCCTAGCATGTTGGAATGTTCTCCAAATCACAGTGTCCATTTTCACCACTTTCAGACACTATCGCGGCCTTTACTTCTGGAGCATGTTGATCTCCACATTGGGTATTCTTCTTCACACCGTCACCTCTTTTCTTCGTTACTTTGCACTCGCTCCCAACTTTCCCATGTGTGTTCTCATATGCATCGGGTGGTACGCCATGGTCACCGGACAATCCGTGGTTCTTTATTCACGACTCCATCTGGTCACTTCATATGATCGCTACTCTCGCTGGGTGCTATGTATGATTGTCTTCAACTTTTGCGCCCTGCACATCCCCACCACCGTCCTTTTTCTTGGAATCAATCGCGGGGCTCATAGTCTCGATGAGCCATTCAATATCTACGAGCGCATCCAGTTAGCAGGATTCGCCATCCAAGAAACCATTCTCAGCGCTCTTTATATCTGGGAAGCCATGACTACCTTGCGACCTATCTTGGCCATAAAGGGCTCTCGGGGCCGACGAGTCCTAGTAAACCTCGTGGCCGTCAACGCTCTTGCGGTTTTGCTCGACGCATCCCTTTTGACAACCGAATACACCAACCATTTTGACGTCCAGACTACATACAAACCGGTCGTCTACAGCATCAAACTGATACTGGAGTTCACGGTCCTCAATAATCTACTCGTTGTTGTCCGCACCAATCCATCGAGTGTTAATGACGCTCGACAGCTGAACAGAGACGAACTTCACGTGGAGATGCACTGGAGCGGCAACCGTTCGGAAAATGCCGTCACTCCTAGCGGTTATCCACAAAGGCCCAACCCAAGCGATCGACCATGTTCATCTAGAGAATCAAATCTCAAACCACAAAGCTTCTGGTCTTCCTGCAATGAACAGCTTGGGCCTGTTTAAACCATCTTTATTTTAATATATACCCCGCGTCTTGTCTTCAATATGATCCCGTGGACTTCGGTCGGCTCTTTTACTTTATATCGACACTCACATGTCTCTTTCCCAAAGTGCAATGCCGTCGTCAAACGCCTCTTAGACTACACCAGTGACAATACCAAAAGCGATCAAAAATGGAAGTCGTTTTACAACTAACTTTAACATGAGCCTCATTATGGAGTTCCACTTTTCAACCCAATCCACTGTTGTCCGAGAGAAGAAATCTGAGCCGATCTCTCCACTTTTGTAAGCATCCGAATCGACCGCCACATGTCCTCCCGATAGTCAAGAAAGCTTCAAAAGCATCAGTGCACGAGGCCCGCGCTGTAATCTCTGGGCCAACGTGCCAGAGCTATACGTGCGGTGTCTTGAGTTCATTTCACAAGTAAAATAAACTAAACCCCTATGCACGTGGGGTTGGTTCTCAAGTATATAATGTTCCCACAGTAATATATATCCATCTAGGAGTGCTGACACATCAACTGAGTTGACTCAGTTGTTCTACAGGTGTCTTCATAATGTGATAATCAACATCATACCATCCTATATCTGGGCAATCCAATCATATTGGCTCTATGATGTCTCTATCTCGTGCATGGAAAGGGCCAATTTGGGTTGCGTTCAAAGATTAACCTTATAGCCGCTTTACTAGAATAAGTTAGAGAAATCCTCTGAAAAGATTCCTGGGTCTCTCGAATCCCACTAGATTCAGACTTACATATCTGTTATTTCTAACATTTGACTACCGTACAAGATGTCCTCGTTGTTCACGGCTAGATCGGAGTATCGCATGAAGCCCAGGTGGTGATTGTCTTTGACAAAAGAAAGGCCAATGGAACATAATATAGCTCCAAAGTGTCACTATGTCGGAATCTCACTTTGAAGAAGTCATAAAACATAAATTCTGATAGAAATTGAATCCATAAATGGGTCAAGCGATAAGATATTCTGCCATTCTATACCGCTTTTACAACTCTCGCCATTGAGCTCCGACGACATGCTGCCATTCTGATCGAATATCTCTCCATTCTACCTTGTTTTGACCTTGCTTTCAAGCTTCATTCTTCGATACTGAAATTTCAGATCAAATCAGTCTTTGACGGTCGGAAAGCTCCGCCCCTGATCGACGCCTATCCCGAAAGGGAATTTTCCTCTTTTGCGCGACGACACTCAATTACTTGTGCAAGATGCCTAAATATAAGTACCTCTGCCCATGTATTCTGATCTGAAAACTAACATGACGTGCACTCTTTTGTAGGTTTCCTCGCAGAGAGATCAAGCCGTGTCATATCGGGCTTAATCCTGGCGCGATGCGACATGAGATACAGCCTCCGATATCGACCACGGTTTCTCGACTCTATAATCACTGATATATTGCTAACTCGAGCTCAAACTTGCAGGCGACTACTGCGATGTCTACCTGACACACGACTCTATGAGTGTGCGCAAGGCGCATAACTCGGGTCGAAACCACTTGAGGAACGTGGTGGACTACTACCAACGTACGCACAGAAACTGCGCATAGACAGTATCCTGATAAACCACCCAACCGATGCTAATGATGCCCTGCAGAAATCGGCCAAGAAAAGGCTCAATCCGTCATCGATTCCATTACCTCCTCCTACGCCGCCGAGGGCCAACAGGCCCCTAACATGATGCCTCCAGGCGCTTTCCCTCCTCCCTTTGGCGGATTCCCCGGTATGGCCACTCTATCCAGCGCATTACACAATATCAGAATACTAACATGCCCAGGCCGCCCCGGCATGCCGCCCCCATTCGGCATCCCTCCGCCAGGTGCCCCCGGTGCCCCAGGCATGCTACCTCGTATGTCCCACCCCGCTCCACCATTTATCCCCCGTTTCCAAGGACAAGGAAGTTTCATGCTCGACCCTTTTTAAGCTAACCAATATCCGCTTCAAGTCCCAGGAGCCCACGGTCTTCCCTTCCCGCCACCTTTCCCCAACGCCTCCGGAACTCCTCCAACAGGCGGCTTCCCCCCGCCCCTCCCTAACATGCCCCAAGGCATGATCCCTCCTCCAGGAGGCTTCCCCAACTTCCCTATTCCTCCGCCTGGCGCGGGATTCCCGCCCATGCCTCAGCCTGGCATGGCGCCTGGCGGCCCATCGCCTAGCACTCCAACTGGTCCTCGCGGCTTGGAGGGGTATCCTCCTCCTCCTGGGAATGGACCTCCCCCTGGGATGGATCAACGGTGGTGAGCTTTGTGTGCCGTTTGTTGCTGATACCTTTTAACTCCGGATGTGCGACGCCAATGCATATGGGCGTTCCTTCGTGGTTCTCTTTTTCTTTACTGTTGATGTAAAATAGCGGTTTCTATTTGATAATGCTTTTGCATGTTATGCTTCGTATTACATGATCTCTGGGCGTTTTGTCGTGATTATTCGACAGGCGTGGCTGATAGGTTATGGAATTGAACTTCGTTACGATATATGTATACCATTGTATTTCGAAGAACATTTGGTCATTATAGATTAAGTATGAAAGCTTGTAGAATGTTTGGTGGGAATATCCTTGTAATTCTTAGACACTAGCAATTACCAGTATTCTGACAATAAATCAGAAATTGTAGAGACTGGAGAAACTTGATGGGTAAGATTCATCGACAGCTACAGAGCCCCCAAGCAAAATATAATAGAGACCCGCGGCCAATCACCGTATCCAAAATGCATCAATAACGCCGAGCGGGAGTAAAAACAAGGGAAATACACATCGACCACGAAGTGATCTGGACCAGGGGGAGAAGAAGGGGACAGATCAAGAAGGAGTAAATAGAAAAGGAAGGGATACAGGAAGATGAAGAGGTATCACACCATTTAGGAATGTGGTGGATTAAGAAAGTAATTGTATCTGATTAAGTCTGCGGGAAAGATGCAGCGTATTTAAACAGATAGAAGAAAAAAAATTGAACCAAGAGGAACGGCGATTGGAAAAAGATCATAGACCATCGATATCCCGCGCTAAAAAAAAAAGAATCATATATCTTCATCTCAGAAGCAACACAATAGGAGACCACTGGCCTCTTTTAGTGGTCATAGCCAGCGCCTCGTTGCCACGGACTGGCATTATTTTGGGCTCGGTAATTTGCCGACAAAGCAGATTGGCCCACTGGGGCATTATCAAAGCTCCGTGGGGCGGGTGAAGGAGACCGGCCGTACTGGTCGTATCCAGGTGGAGCACCGTGATGGCCCGAGGCATTACTTGGGAATAACGGCACAGATGGATCAACGGGTGATCGAGGAGCTTGGGTTACGGAGTGCTGTTGGTGGCCCGACTCCATTCGATGACCAACAGTGGCACCTTGACCGCTGGAGATTGAAGCGGTATCATCATCGAAGGGGTTGTTGTGATATGACCCAGACTTGATATCGCCACGCGCCGTGGCACCTAGGGCATCCAATTCGGTGGTAAGTTGGGTTTGGGACTTGATGAAAGAGCCACGATCATCGCGCATAGGCTGGTACCGAGTATCAGGGTTTTTTGATACAATAGCATAGATCGAAGCGACCAGAACGAGGATCAGGAGAACCAGCGCGAAGATAGCATTGTAAACAAAGAAAATTACACCCATGATGCCGATCATCATTGGAGGGGGTTGAACACATCCGAGAAAACCAGCAGGAAAACGGAATTGAGGAAGTTGACCACGGCGATGGAGATATTGAAGATGTTGGTCTTCTTGTCCATCCATGGGCGAAGAACGCAGACTCCAACCAGCATCGCGAGTTCAAGGATCAACAGGGCCACTGTCTGGACGATTGGCGCAGGCTGACTCAGACCGATGAACATACCCTTGATCAGAGTGTAGATGAGGAATGGGACAACGAAGTAATATGCTGTCGCACGGTACTGCACATACAAGAATCCCCACTTGTTGAGACAAGACGGATCAGAGTACAGTATGTAGGCCGGGTTCTTGTGCATAGTGACGGAACGCTTTGCCAATCGAATGACCTTCTGCGAGGCCCATCCAAGCGAGAGAAGCATGGAGAGAATCATAACCACCGCGAGAACAACCTCAGCTGCAGAGTCGCGCTGAGTGAACTCCCACAAGCAAAGCACACACATCTGAGGGAAGCCGATGAGAGTCAATCGGAACAGAATACCCCGAAGAACGACCCTCCATCCGTTGCGGAAGTCCTGGAAGCGGTCGCTCTTCATTTTACCATGCTTGACAAGCATCTCGGTAATTCCTTTGAAGGCCGCAACAATGAGGACGACAATAACAGTGAAGGCTGCGAAGAAAATCAACCCAGTAAGGAAAATGTTGGTTTCCTCGATGTTGGCACGGAATCCAACACGATCAATTCCTCGAATGACAAGAAGTTTCTGGTTCGAGTCGGCTCTCTTGACCATACCAGTTGCGCGCTTGATCATGCCTTCAGCGGATCTCTTCACAAGGCCCATTGCAGAGTCAGACAGATCACGTTTGCGGCGCTTGAGAACCTCCACGGAAGTATCACCAAGTTGTGACAGGACAGTGGACGGGGTTCCGCCGGTCGCCCGCTGATACCAGGTAGCAATAGTTTGAATAAAGCCAACACGGATGATACCCATGCTCCACTGGAAGTTCTGAGTCCACGACTGCACAATCGGGGGCATGTGAACAGAGGTCATCCCGATAATCGCTTGCGATTGCATAAATCCGAAGAGAGAGAGCGCATTAGCCGCAACGTGAGCTGCTGTATTAGAATGGCCAAGTCCGGAGGTAATTGCTGATGCAGCTAGACCCAGACCTGAGATGATAGCGGTTGTCCACGAAACTCCAACCTGGTACACAGTTTTACCATTGGAAAGCGAGGCCTCAACGCAAGCAATCTTCTCTTTGGTGTCGGCGGTTTTGATGACGATCCGCACATTTGCATCAAGATCAGGAACCGAAAAGGCAATGCCTAGATTTTAGATCGTATTAGCAGACCACGATGCGCATTTCCTACAAGAACCTCACTCACCCGGGATATTGCTAGCGGTGTCAGCTGGCAGGTCAAGAGAGAGAGGACCCAAATCCATGGGTCCGGCGGCCATTGGACACATGCCAAAGCCCTCGATTTCACAGGGGTTCAGGGTTTTAGAATAAGCCTCGTAGCCATACGCGGTAAGAGTCATCTCCGCAACGACCTTACCCGTGATGTATGAGACGCCATCGAATCCGATCACGAGAGAGTTGTTGCTTGGGTAGAAGACAACGTTGAAATATGTTGCCGTGAAGTTACTACTTTCCATGCACACACTGAGCGCATTGGATTCAAGGAGGTTAAGAGCGGAGGCGAGCGGCGCCAGAAAGGCGACGAAGCAGGTGAGAAGCGATATCAACCTCATTTTGGTGTATGGTTAATATAGAAGGGAATTTTGCGAGACACTGGAGAAAGCTCCAGTGGTAGATCGACGAGGGTACGAGGACTGAGGGCGATTCTGTCAGCGGCACTCCAGAGTACCACGTTGCCAGCCGCCGGATGCGGAAGTGTCTATGCGGCCGAATATTCTTTGATCGCCGTGGGGCCGAAGTATTGCCTGATGTCTCCTGAGACTGTCACGGTGTTGTTTGTTTGTCGCAGGTTGTTGCGGGAGCCAAAGTTGTGGTTCACGTCTGTCACTGGGACATTGAATATGAGCGGAGCCGGTGAGTTGTCGCAAAGGGGGTATGCGTGTGAAAATATTTTTGGATATGAAGGAAAGTCGATAGGTCGAAGCCTGAATGAGAGTTGAAAGGGTATAGAACTCGAGGCCTAAGCCAAAAAAGCGAAATATTGAGAGAGCGAGTGGACGGGCGATACGCAGTATTGCCGAAAAAGGAGTTTAAGGAGTTAAAGGCATTCAATAGGGGAAATAGTTAAAGTTACCCGACGCCCTTGGAATAACCAAGAAGAAAGGAAAAGGAAAATGAGAGAGGCAATGAGCGAGTGTAAGAAAGACGAAAGGGACACAAGGGTCTGGAATGGAAGTCCAGGAAGGAGCAGTCCACGGGTTAACGCTGGAATGGTGGCTGTCAAAATACTGAGGTACCATGCATACATACATGGTGATTATTACGATTTTATTACAAGTCATTACCGTATATTAACAAACTCAAACATATATGCACAGTTGTGATTGGTTGTCCAGGCGCTTTGATACCATGGGTCCCCAGTACGCCATCCATTGCATGTTATATGGGTCACATAATTAATTCCACTGTAACTCCATGGTCATCCACTATATCAAGTGTATAACTACATATAGTTATACACAAATACCTAAAGTAGATGATTCTTTATATCTCTGCCCTTTTCGACTTTATATCCTCGTTTTTCTGCATACGCGTCCTAGTTCTAGGCACCGGAAGCGGGCGTGGCGGGATTGAGCGGGTCCCTTTATTATTGAGAGTGAACCAAAGGGACTATTTTGTGGACCGTTCCCTTTCTCTCTCTATATTATTGTATAACAGAGACAATTTAATGTAAACGAAGTGAAAGAATCCATGCGAATTTTACATTATTATGTAAAATGTGAGTAGGCACAATTGTGTATTCTGTCTGCCTGATACATTCTACAATCAATCAAAACTAAGGTCTGATTCTAAGACCATTTCTCTTTTGAACAAAGTACTCTATATTACTCCTGAATTCTTCAGTAAGGGGCAACCCTAAGGACCTCATACATCCTTAGCCCTAGCTAACTTAGCCATGTTTTTGATAGCCTTCTCACGGTTTTCTAGATCCGGGGCAGTATCTTTCGGAAGCACTAGATAGTTATACTAGCGGTAGCTAGACGTTTGCCTAGTCCACTACGCTAAAGTCTAGAGCGAGAAGATCTTTTGATTCCATTCTTCCATAGGAACATTTATTTTAAATGAAACAAGCCCTTCTTACTTTGTATAGTTATAGTAATCCTGTTTAAATAGAGACAATACGTTGCAATACAGAATAAAATAAACTCAACAGGCTGCGTGTTAAAGGAATGATGATCAACACCAGTCAACTGATATTAGCGTTCACGCGATTGCACAGCCTCGTTTGACCCAGTGCCCATTCAACCTCATCTGCTCAGATCAGACATGTTTCAGAAATAAAGGAGTTTCTGCCAGTATAGACCGTTTTTGAGCTTTGTATAGCCTAGCCGACCAAGATAATATCCCCTCGTCAGTTATATGATGTCCCTTATGGTCAAGTGATTAGAGTATCTCCTACAGAGTACATTCATCCCTGATCATCGGGAAAAGGGATGATCTGGATGATCATTATTCTCATGTGCGCACTATGACGTCTAAACTTACCGTTCACCCCTCTACAGTATAACTAAATTATACAATATTGTAGTTACTCCGTACAACGTACATTGTATCTTCAGCTCCACCAAAGATGAGACGACATATTAGCGTACAACGTCGGTACTGCACAAGGTATTAAAGGGGTGACCTTCTCGTATTCGTGTATGTATTTTCTTCTGTTATGCACGAGCCACGGGCGGCACCGGCTATTTTTGTCAATTGGTCATTGTATCCTTGAATTCTATTGGTCAAAAATCTCTACTGGGATGGATGTTCTTTGTCGCTATTGGATTGTTTGAGATATACAATGTATGTTGTATATGCATCACTTTATAGCCATGCATCCTTATACTTCTGAGGTATCTTTTTGTTCAACCCTTTTCTACATTTCTTTAGCAATTCTTCTGATTGCCAAGCCGCCGTCAGTGTTAGCTTCAATTAAAAGCTATGTCTCAATGATTTCCCACGTCAAGCCCCCTCCTTGAGAAACAAAACTGGTCACGACCTCGGGAATTGTATCTAATAATAGTCAAAAGTATGCATACTCCTCAGCATGCTTAAGGGCCTAGTCATAAAATACCATCTTTACCAGTCTAATCCTTAGCAGAAGATAAGCTCGTAACAACTGAGCGGCTACCACGCACCTCTCACACCCGTACTACCTATAATATCTCGTCTGCCTAAGGCCAAGATGACGGCGCTTGCGTAGCACAAAAGCCAACATGTGGTTCTCGCTCCACTAACTAGTCAACCACTGAGTGTAGTAAACCAACCAAGCTTGCTCGGAAATAATTCTCGACTGGTACAAAAGAACTGAAAGCTCCTGAGTATAGGAACCACAAGTTGAAAATATCTATGGACCTTGCGATATCACGCGCAGTCAAGTTTGTACAAAACCCCACAGGAGATGGAGAGTTGTAGTGGCCTTACAAACAGGGCGCTAACTGATTAAGGCCTATCGACACGTGATGTGGATAGAGTTCTGCCAACTTTTACCGGTCAGAAAAAAAAAAGTAGCGATGCTTTCCGCCCGCAGAGATCATAATAATCTAGACCTGTAAAACTCAAGGTCCAGGTGATACGAAATATAACCTTGTTTCCTTGCTCCAGTATATTTCATCTGTCGCAGGATAATTCACCAAAATGCCTGGCCCCGTGGACACCGCAAAGTCCATCAACAAGCGGAAGAGAAAGCACGGCTCCAAGTCTGAGAGCGATGTCGCCAAGCCCGTGGAAACCAAGTCGAGCCCTTCTGTGACACCGAAAAAGAGTTCCTCCAAGGCTCCCAAGGCTTCAGCCGAGAAGTCTACCAAGAAGCGCAAGGTCAGCCCTTCACCGAGCCCGGAGCAAGAGAGCGCCGACGAGGCCGAGGAGGTGAACGCAGAAGACAATGCGGAGGGGGACAGTGATGCTGAAGATGTTGATGCCGCCAATGGTGCGGATCTTCCCACAATGGATGATGTCCGTCTGCCACAGACTGAGGGCGAGCTGCAAAAGTTCACCGAGCTCAACCTTTCCGAAAAGACGATGAAGGGTATCGAAGACATGGGTTTCACTACCATGACCGAAATTCAACAGCGCACCATTCCTGCTCTGCTTGCTGGACGTGATGTGCTTGGTGCTGCCAAGACTGGATCTGGAAAGACTCTGTCTTTCTTGATTCCCGCAATTGAGATGCTGCAGGCTCTGCGCTTCAAGCCTAGAAACGGTTAGTCCCTACTGCCTGACACTACTTTCATACCAATGTTTTTACTAATGCTATGCTATAGGTACTGGTGTTCTTGTCGTGTCCCCTACCCGCGAACTGGCTTTACAGATCTTCGGTGTCGCCCGTGAACTCATGACCCACCACTCCCAGACATACGGCATTGTTATCGGAGGTGCCAACCGCCGCGCTGAGGCCGAGAAGTTGATGAAGGGTGTTAACCTGCTCATCGCCACTCCTGGTCGTCTGTTGGATCACCTGCAGAACACTCAGGGATTTATCTTCAAGAACCTGAAGACATTGATTATCGACGAAGCCGATCGTATTCTCGAAGTTGGATTCGAAGATGAGATGCGCCAGATTGTCAAGATTCTGCCCGCCGAAGAACGTCAAACTATGCTTTTCTCCGCCACACAGACCACCAAGGTCGAGGATTTGGCCCGGATATCCTTGCGTCCCGGTCCCCTGTACATTAACGTTGACCACCGGAAGGAGCACAGCACAGTAGCGGGCCTTGAACAAGGCTACGTACTGTGTGAGGCTGACAAGCGTTTCCTGCTCTTGTTCTCGTTCTTGAAGCGTAATCTCAAGAAGAAGATTATTGTTTTCTTCTCGAGCTGCAACTGCGTTAAGTACCACGCCGAGCTATTGAACTACATTGATCTCCCCGTTCTGGAGCTGCACGGAAAGCAGAAGCAACAGAAGCGCACCAACACTTTCTTTGAGTTCTGTAACGCGAAGCAAGGTACCCTGATCTGTACCGATGTTGCTGCCCGTGGATTGGATATCCCCGCTGTCGACTGGATCATCCAGTTCGATCCTCCTGATGATCCTCGTGACTACATTCACCGTGTCGGACGTACTGCCCGTGGTGCTGAAGGCAAAGGTCGCAGTCTGATGTTCCTCCAGCCCTCCGAGGTCGGTTTCTTGAAGCACCTTAAGGAAGCGCGTGTGCCGGTCGTGGAGTTCGAGTTCCCGGCCTCCAAGATTGTCAACGTGCAGTCTCAACTAGAGAAGCTCATTGGCCAGAACTACTATCTCAATAAGGTAAGCTATTTATCTGTTTCTAACGTCTACGGGGTCCTTTCTAACACACTTTGCAGTCTGCCAAGGATGGTTACCGATCCTACCTCCAGGCCTACGCCTCGCACTCTCTCCGTACCGTCTTCGACGTGAACAAGCTCGACCTCGTCAAGGTTGCCAAGGGTTTCGGTTTCACCGCACCACCCCGCATTGATATCCAACTGGGCGCCAGCCTGAGCCGTGATAAGAAGCAGGAGCAGCAAGGACGCCGCACATACGGCAGTCAGCCCAAGAACGGCGCTGGTCTGAAGTTCAAGCGGAAGCACAGTGACTGAGAACAATTTGTATGAACATCAAAAGCGGTCGATTGTCTCTGCATATTTATTTTAGGGACTTTGGAGTTCAGCAATGTGGATATATCTATTTGGGTTTCAATTTGGTCCCTTTACCGTGTAGTCTGGAGAGATGGCATTCGAGATGAATATTTGTATGATTCACGATTGATAGCGGAGTGCTTCCTTCTCTCTAATAAGTTGTTTCTTGATCTGACGGCAACTGCTCAATTGTAGCAGAGAGGTTTACATCGCGCAAACCTGGCTATCGTGTGCGCGCAGTCTTGGTTCAAGTTAGTACAGTTCTACCCTTGTATTCTGTATAGAAAGCCTGGCGCCAATGCTATATAAGATCCCGTTATACTATATCCATGCCGTGGTATTGTTACAAATGTACATGTACATACGTTTGTAGCTTTGAAGGGCTCGGCGCTTTCCTTCTAGTGAAGGCACGTCACCACGACTGACCATAGAAATCCATCAACTGGCCATCATATGTTAAGGAGAATCATCCAACTGAACCTTGAAAAGAGATTCCATCGCAAGAATCTACGACATATCCAAATTTTGAGTGCACAAGAAATTGAATTGCTAAAAAATGATGTGTCTCTAACTGCTAAGTCTGCTTTTTTTAGAGGCAATCACCTCCACCGTCGATAGTATCAGGTCTGTTCCTTTGGAGGTTATCGAACCGACTGTTCTCTTCATCACTCGATCAAACCGTGGCTAGGGTGATTGTCGCTGGAAACAGCAGGATTATTTGAGACAGATCATGAGAGGATGGAACGTGCAGAGGAATGGGACACTTTCTTATATGTCTACAAATACAATCCCGGTTTCCCTTCCCACTTACATGCACAGACCGTAAAACCGGGCAAGTTGGATCTCATGGGCTTATTCTGTGTTCGCTCCGCGTCTTCACTGAAGGGGAAATTGATGAATTAGTCTAGCGCATCAACACCGGAGATAGCTGGGCAGCTTTGCCCCCTGCGCTGCACATTCTATCAGTGCGCAGAAAGCTTTTTCGATCTACAGGGCCTCCATAACCACCAGACAGCGGCGTATTTCCGGACATGTGATCGAAGATTCGATAGAGACAAGGAGCATGAGGAACATAAACAAGATCAACAATTTCGAGGGTTCAGTTCTCATAAGAGAGAATGTATTATCTCGCAAGGCTCGGCAAGAAGGCTTTTTTCCCCATCCCCTTCGAGAAATATAAGTTTACTATCTGGGGCATCTGGCATTGAGTTTCATTTTGCCGGCTGATACATAGTTTCAAAGTTGATTCCTGCAGTGTTTTCTTACAACTCCTCTAGCAGGAGGACTAAAGACTGGATGCGATGCTTAGCTTAATATACAAATTGACATATAATTCATAAACTGACGTATAATTCATGATCAGAGTAGTCTTGTAATAAATCGGGTGTGTTGTCCTCTGGCTGCCACGTTCATACATCGGGTCTAAACCGTCTGGAAACAGGTCATATAACCAACATTATGCTGTAACATCTCAGGGCATGATTCGCCGCTATGTACTCCGTAATTGCCGTTTAAAGGAGGCTTGGAAGAGACCCCAAAGAATGTTGAGACAGACTTGAAATACACCGAAAGAACTACATATAGGGATCGCATAGGAAAAAAAAAAGGCTGGATGGAGTGTATCTTGAATCTGGCTTTTGTCTTCTCGGCCCTTCTTATATCTTGTCTGTGCTGTCTTCTGGGCCACTTCTCACTTTCTTTTACCTACTTTTCAACAGGCCAGAAGATCATGTAGATATCAATGATTATAATGTGTTTTTTCTCACCATAGAAGAAATGAGACAAGAAACTTCTTCGTTTACGTTCCCTCCTACCCCTTGTTATCTATCGTCTCATCCTGGACATGTTGTTGCTCCTACTCTCCCTGCTGCTGGGGCTGATTCCGGGATGCCGGCGGCTCAGGCCGGGGGAGGGGCGTGAGCTGATTGGTTACCATAGGGGGTGGAACCGGGGTAGTCGTCGAGGCTCCATGTGTTTTGTTTATGTCTGATGAACTCAGCTGATATTGAAGGTATTTCACTGCACTGATATTGGGATATAGTTGGCCCCTGTATATTCACGATTGCCAGGTAGTTATGCAAAGAAACCCTCTCAAGAATGTTGGAAAAAGTGACGTAAAGAAAGCGCACCAAAAGATGACAATCAAAGAATCGATAGGGTGTAAAAAGGCGGGTTTGATAAATTTTGAGTTATCTACATTATGGGATGAATGTCAGACATTAGGACATCGACACAATCCATTTGACCATATGCCCACATGCCCACGTGGAAAATGATTTCAATCATCGGGAGAAAAACCAAGAAGTAAACGAAATCTATATAGTTATACAGGTGAGTTTTGTATACCAAACGAACCGACGAATCCAATTGGAAGATTTCAATTTTACATGGTTCAAGATTGTACAGTATTGCCCGTAAGGCAACCGTTTGGCAATTCATCTGCCACTAGTCCGTAATCATGTAGGAGATGCAGGAATCTGTGCAAGTAGCCCCGATATGAATGGCTTGGAGCCCCCCCCTCTTCCCCCTTGCAAGTCGGTATCTAGAAAAGCAAGTATTGGAAAAAATTCCAAGGTTGGGCAAGGACCGATACCCGAGCACAGTGTGATGAGATGAGGTGGCAGAGCTAACAGCGGCATTAAATTTATTGCGCTAGGACCAATCAACGACCTGTCGTCGGGGTTACCAATAGGTTTCTTTTTTTTTGTGCTACGGGAGGGAACATACAGATTTTGTTTGTTTACGTGTATATACACACCGCAATATTGGGTCTGTTTTTATAAAAAAAAATGGATATATACATATGGATACAATGTACTCTGTACTCTGTAAGAGGAAAAAAGTAGTTCGTAGGGAAAATCTTGTTTACCAAGTAGAGTGGAGGTACTCTTTGTATGGTGGCCCAAGCCCCTCGGAACCTGTGATGTACAATCGCCAACGCATCCAGCCACTCCAATTTAATTATTTTTTCCCCTACTCCGTACTTTTCTACAATATACTTGGAGGCTGGGCTTTTACGATTCTGTTATAGTCGGATTCTTGCTTATTTGCTAATCCTAGACACCTTTTTTCATCTTTCATCCCTCATTGAGGTTGAATTCTTCCCATTTGTTTTCAAATCCAATCATATCCCAACTTCATGTGAGGGGATCAGCGAATTCAAACAAAATACCACTTCAGACATACAAAACACCCCCTTCTCTTGTTTTTCCCCCACTGTTTTCAGGTGGTCTGCGCTGGTACGCTAAAGAACTCCCAATACAACTCTCTCGAGGTTTTCTCTTTCTCGATTTCCCTTTCCCCCTCCCCAAATCGTGTAAAGCACGGAGCACCCAATAGTGACAACAGTCCCCATCTGATCCCATCTCAGTCGAGACAGAGCATGCGATTGGACTGAAGCACAACTTCTCCATGATGGGGGTCAACACCCGCAGACCGATCCTACCCGCCCCCACAGAATCCATCATCGATACGGGGGAGAGTACCACGGGCACAGATCTGGCAACTGACATTTCTCGCCGCACAGACAAAACGTCGTACTCTATCCCAGACGACGGAAGCCCCGTAACTGTCTCCACCCGGCGACAGCGGGACCGCGACGAGAAATTGTCTCGTTCACATCACGATTCTCATACCTCTTTACTCATCGAGTATTTTGAGGGCGGGAAAGGCTCAGGCGGTATCGTCTCTCGCCCCAGCGTGCGAGTCCGTGTTACGCCATCGTCGGCTAGAAAGTCCAAAGACAAAAGGGACCACTTCCAAGTCACCGAGACAAGCGGAAGCGGAAGTCGCAAGCCGTCATATACGCACCGAATATCTTTGCCATCATCTTCATCGAAACAAAAACAACTCGACTCGGCTGCAACGGATGATCAGAGTGTCAGTTCCCTTTCAGCTGAGGAGGAGGGTTACCAGTCAACACGTCGGCCGGTAGACATCGAATTTATCAATCGCGGAGGAATGTCTACTCTTTCGCAAGATACCCGATATATGCCTGTTTCATCAGACATCTCGTCCATGCCGCCGGACAGCATGATCAACGCTTCTTCAGCCGGCCCTCGGCGCAAACGCAGTCAAAGCCTTGAGCGCGGCTCGCCCCACGACGAGAAGGGTTTGCTGAAAACGCCACACCGCCAAAGAAGTCGCAGTCTCAGTACGGAGCGCATCGCACACCGTGTCGCAGAAAAGCTCACCGAATCGCCGCAAGAAGCTTCCAGTGGCAAGCGCAGGAGCAAGAATAGGGGCGGTAAAGATTACCTCGAAGCCGAACCAAAAATATCCTCCTCCCGTCGACGAAAGCACAAGTACGCAGAAGAAGATATCATTAGCCCGGAATCTAGTCTTCTGAGTACCTCCGCTGTCTCTTCAAACCGCAAGTCTGATCAGTATTCAGTTCGTTCCGGTGCATCCAAATCTTCTATCAACAACCCAAAATTACTCGAGACGGTTGAGGATGCGATCCGAAGATTGATCCTGCCGGAGCTCAAGGAGCTCAAGAAAGACCAAAAGGTCATGACTAACAAAAGTAAATTTGACCGGGATATGGCGACATCTTATTCGTCTGGGACCAGCTCCAGAGACGAGCTAGGTCGTCGTCTTTCCAAACATGCCAGTGCGCCGGATGTCATGAAGCCCAAGGTAGTCCTGAACAAGGATAGCAAAGACGAGGGTATTGTTCTTTCCGGGTCTGGTTCCGGCGAGGCTGCTTCACGAAACAAGGAGCGCAAATCGAGCAAGAGCAGCGAAACTTCCGACATGGCAGTGCGGTGGGCCAATCGACCCGACTACACCGAACAGGACAAGATCCGAAGGCAGAAAAGTAAGGGTCTTCGCGATGCACATGCTGCCGCCCGCGTTGGCTCTGCTCTCACAGCAGCTTCGTTGAAACATCATGACTCCAGCTCCAGTCTCGGCCAAAAGGAGCGCCGTCACAAGAGTGGTTCTCGAAAGAGCAGCGAGAGTATGAAATACAACGAAACTGAACTTGTCTTCCAGAAGCACAATGTTGCGCCGATGCCAATGCGCAGTGAAATTGAGTCCCAGTTGACCAGAACCTCCTTGCTCTCTGAGCGCACAGAGAGTCCTCCTCCCCAGAAGAGGCATTCCCAATTGGACCTGGCTCGTGAATCACCGAGACAAAGCGCATCGCCAGCCTCTCGGACCCCCACCCGGAATTCTGTCGACTCACGCTATGGACTCGGAATGCATCACCATAATCAGTCTCATCACAATATTTCAGTGCACAGCGTCTCAGACCGTGACTTGCATCGCAAGAGCCAGTCCCCTGGAACCGACGGCGGTGACTGGGCTATCGCGGCTGCAGCCGCCGCTAACCTTCTGGACGCCGCTCACCCCGGACATCAGCAAACAGAAGATGACTATGGCGATGAGAGCCACGACCGTGCCTTAAGCCCCATTCAAAGTGTTGCAAGTGGTGCTACCGAGACTTATCACGACCACTACCCAGCTCATGGCGAGAAGGATGTTGAAGGCAAGCGCGAGATGGAGCCTCGGCTGTCTATTGACTCTCTTTCCTCCGCCCCTAGCACAGACCTTGCACGATCTACCCGCCTAGGCACCAGCCCACAGAGCCAGAGTGGACTGTTGAAGCAGGGTAGTCAGGAGTCACCTGGGCTCGGATACGAACATTCGCGTCAGGGCTCCCAAAATGATGGCTTCTATGGCTACGACGAGGAGAGTCGACTTACTGCCGATAATGAAGATAGCGAGGTCGACTTCATGGACAAGGTCAAAGAAGGCCGCCACTTGACAACTGGCGCTGCTGCCAATCCCCAATTCATTCACCCGGTGGACGTGGAATCCGCAGTCGCCTCCCTGATGGATCCCTCTGTCCTTGAATCTCAGATTTCTTCGAGCAACCGCTCCCAAACCGATTTGGGCCAACGACCAGGTAGTCGGAGCCCGGAAAAGCAATTAAGCGAAGTCTACCGTGGAAGTCCCTTGAAGCAGCGCCAGGATGCTTCCAATGCTGATGACACTTCATTCCCTCGACGAATCGGTGCAACATCGCCTCCTCAGAGCGTTACCCAATCGTATGAGGATCTTGATGACTCGGCTATGATGGGTGGCCCGCGAGGCATGGATAGCCCGCTCGGAGACGCAGAAAGCCAGCAATCGGAGTCTGAGATTAACACCAACCCCTCCATCATCCAGGGTCCTATTGGCGGCGTCGCTCAAAGAGAGCATTGGGGTTATGACTCCATGCCTGCTCCAGCGGATCATTACTATAGCAGCCCTACTGGCGGGCCTCAAGATCTCGATCACGATCAGCAGCGAGGACTGGATGCGGAGTATTACCAAACTGCCCAAAACATCTTTGGTGGTGATGACTACTCCATGCACTCCACTGAACACCAACCTCGGCCATTGTTTGGCACCCCTCCGGGTGCTAAGGATGAAGGCTATGTCTCGGCTGCCAACCCTATGTCTCCAAGCATCGGGACCCCGAAGCAAGGCAGTCGAGGTCTCGCAGGTGCGGATGTCGCTGGCATGGGTGGGTTGGAGAGCCCTGCTGGGCATGATGATCCTTTTGCCACCGGTCAGGAACGCCACTTCAGCGGTTATTCTCACGGTGTCGGTTCGCCGCTCTACGATAGTGCAACTGGTCGGGGCATCGAGAGGATTCAGTCCCAAGATATCGTGGCTCTCATGGATCATCTGACTGTCCGGGATGCCCAGCGCAATGCTAGAGACACTGAAATTCTCGTGACTCTGGTTCGGAGTGCCGCTGAGATGCGCACCTCTTTCGAGCAAATGAAGAGGTTCATCGCTGATCAGGACGATCTCATCATGGACACCAGCGAGAGAGGACATGAGCGCACTCACAAGGCTCTCGGTGGGCCTCGTCCATTGCCACTCAGTGCTTCCCGAAACCGACAGCTGAACACAGCCGATGAAGAAGACAAGCGGAAGAACATCTTCAAGCGTGCGCTCAAAGGATTGAGTCTCAAGTCGGGCAATGATTTGTCCAAGATTGAAGGCATGCTTGAGCAGCTTCTTGACGAAGTTGAGGCTCTGCGGTCTGGTCAGGACGGCTTCGGCCCTCGCAGCAATGGCATCGGAATGGGAAGCATGGGTGCCAGTGGGTACGAAACCCCCAACCCCAACGGAGCACCTGTCGAGGCCAGCCGCTCTCCCTACGGAGCCAGCCCAGCTCGTCCGGCCAATGGACAACGTGGAGACTCTGATCAACGAGTTAGCACTGTCCACGAAGTCGACGAGGGCGACCTTGAGCTTGACGAGGATGACGACTTCCTCACCACCCATCTCCCTGTCCGTGAGCCGCCTCGCCACGAGCGCTCTGGCTCGCTGCCTCTGAACACGCCTCCTCGCAAGCCATTAGCCGCAGGCGCCCGCAGCACCGACACAACCCCCAAGGCCGAAAAGGCTCGCAAGCATAAGTCGAGTAGCTCCTCCATTTTCCCCAAGATCTCTCGCTGGTCCAAGTCCACCGCTACCTCCGTGGGTGATGGTATCCGCAATAGCATCCAGCCCTCTCGCAAAGATCGTCCGTCCTCAGACGTATCTCCATCTGGATCTGATCTCGCCCAGGATGCTTACAAAGTCGAATACTACGACCCCCAAGGGGACGATCGGATCCGATCCACATACACCCTAGACGAAGAACAAGAAAACCGACCTCCCTCTCCTTTGGTGCCCTCCCAGGTCTCCGATGTCCCCAAGTATCGGGGTCACCGCGGTAGCCTGGAGTTGCAGCACCCCCAGCCTCGCCAAGGCCCGACTGGCCGCTACCAGTCCCGCCTTGAAAACGAAGCCCAAACCTATGGTCCCATCTCGCCAACGGACTCAGACCGGTGGGAATCCAACCCCAGCCTCTCTACCGTCAACCCCAATCCCAACCGCTTCAGTGGTGTCAGTGGTCCAACCAACCGCCTATCCCCAATCTCCGACGCAGGCTACTCGGAGACCAGCTCCCGCGCAAACCGAACTCCTGGGCCTCCGCGTCCTCCCAAGGTCAAGGATGAAGGTCCTCTGATCCCTGAGCGCTCCACAAAGGTAGCGCAAGATGAGGAGTCATACAGCGCCGACCGTATTGTTTCAAGGGTATGTACTATCCTCAAAACCATGCTCTCCTGTCCGAGAACCAATGCTAACAATCCACAGAGCTCCGCCATCCGCTCTCCTCCCATGCGTAAGCCTACCGGCCCGCGCCCCCTCACCTCCGGCGGCCCCTACAGCCCAGGCAACACCAAGCGAAGCCGTTACCGAGGCAGCCCTGTGCAAGTCGACGATGATGAAGCTTATTGAGACCTGCACTGTTGATACCCCGCGGGTTAATGATTTCGTTCTGTTCCATTCATGTTGTTTCTAGCGATTTTTACCCTTTTTCTTCTTACGACAGTCATGACCGCTGGAATCTGAATCACAAATGGTTCTCATGTTTTTCCCTTCACATCTACGAGCAACGTCTGTATCTACAAATTTTCAATGTCTACAATACCTCATTTTTTCTGTTCATAGCAATTGGCCGGGAAGTTATGTCTTCTGTCGTCCCTGCTTTTTTTCTGGATGTTTCTCTATTCTTTTGTTTTCTATTTTACGCCATTGTTTTCTGCGTGCACATGCTTGCATTCGGAGCGTGTGATGTTTCGAAGGCCTCTTTGTAGCTGTTAGCTTTTGTGTGATGTAGATAGTGTCGCAGTGGAAGACATAATTCATTTCGAGGTGTGAGATGATCCTCACGTTTCTCTGTTTCAAGTGTATGACAATATAATTTTTTCTATCGCATTTGTCAAGGTCTTTCTTAGTGTCTGCTGAGGTCTCTTCCTAAATCCCATCTAATTCAAAGGTTGTTGATATATACCAGCTAAGTATGCCATTAGAAGGTATTTCAGACCTTTTAGACATACATAATATCAAATTAAAGTTAATTGTTTATTACTACTACAAATGCACTGTTCAAATCTATATAGCTTCCAAAGTTAATTTCCCGTGATAGACATAGGAGCCTAAAGGGAAGAATCAAGATCCCATTGATCGATTCGTAGATTAGCAGTGGCTATAGGTGTAGCAGTGGACCGATGTAGATAAATGTAGGTCATGAACTTCGACGTGCCTAACCGGCCATTAGTATGTTTGTTAAGAAAAAGAACAAGACCCTCGTCAACTGTATGAAGCCAGTGGCAAGATTGTGCCATCGACAATAGGCCGAATTATTAGGTCATTTAAAAAATCCAAGGTGGCCGTACACAGTATTTTTCCATGCAAGGGCCGATCTTAAACATATAAACCTCATTGGATGACTGACCTGACCTTTAGCTATGAATGGTAGAGTCTCAAACTAAACAAACAATGAACGATGCCACGTCTAATAAAACAACCAAAGAGCAAGAGGCAAAAGAAGTAAGAGCAGAAGCTCACAAAGTTCCCCCAGAGAAGTGACAATCATTAAAGGTATATCAACTCCACAGGACACCAAGGAAGGGAAGATAAATCGTATCTTCAGCGCGTACCCACATCCAGATAAAGTGTCTAGTAGTCCGAGAACGGCCGCACAGAGGTAGTTCCCCTTCCACGGACTGCGAACGCGCTCGCAAGCGAACTATAATCTAGAGCATCGCTAACAGGGAACTTGCCAGGATAGCTCTCGATAGAGTGATACTTGCGAGAGCGATTCATCTGCATCGTTTCCGAGTCAACAGCCGACCCAACCGTCGCCCCAAACAAAGCAGCTTCTTTCACCTTCCCCTTCCCCTTCACTGCAGAAGATGGGCCAGGGTCACTGGCGTGATCGACCGGACGCGCTGGGGCAAAGCTCGAAATGGGCGCAGTGGATGACATGTTCTCAGTGAGCCGTTGCGAGACAGACACTAGCTTGACTGGCTCTTGGTGAAGCCCTGGGTGAACTTGCTCGGGGATTTTGTCGCTAGAAGATGAATCGTCCAGGTTTCAAAGGACGGGCGAGAGAGGCTGGGAAGTATCGGGCTGGTGAAAGATCGCTTTGGCCGAGCTGGCGATTGTAGAGATGCTTCCACGAGTACTGGACTTGATGTTCTGCATGTTTTCATAGATCGAAGAGCCCATCCGTGAGTGGCCAGTGATAGGCGGTGCCGCATTTTCGTGCTCTTTCTGGATATCTCTGTTGGACGATGGTTCCGGGTGCTGCTGTGCCATTTGTGGCCCAGAAGAAGCGAGACCTGTTGATGCAGTACGTTGGGGGACCACAAGAATTGACTCTGTGTGGTTCAAAAGGTCGTTTCCTGATGACAGGCGCCACTGGCGTTCGGTTGCTGTCGTAGAGCTATAGGGTGTCAGTGGGGTGACACCGAAGATGGCATTGATGATGCTCGTTTCTGTTTTATCGATGTTTTTAATGAATGGTGGAAAGTCGCGACCAAAGTTCCAGAATGGTTTTGCGATGTGAGAAATTGCATAGAGAAGTTGAAGGTAAATGAGTGAGCTGATCAGACGGATTGTTTTTGTGAGGCTTAGGGGGAAGACCCCTCGAGCAAAGAGTTTTTGATCCATGAGTACATATATGTGTACAAGTGAAGTGAAGTTGGAAGAACGAATAGCAGTTAAGTACAACCATGTACAGTTAAGTGCAATGAAGTATTACCTCTTTAGGGCAGGACACAAGGGACCCGCTCTTTCCGTATGCATCTTCTCTCCCCGCTCGCCAACTTCACTTCTTCAACTTCCCTTATCTTTTCGCCTTTCGATGTTCAAATTTCCACGTATTTATTCTAGAACCATGTCGGCTGTCGCTTGTAAGCATCTTCGTCCTCGAAGGTTTGCGCCTCTTGATCCAGCGCAAACGTCAACTGCTCCTCCGTTGAAGGGAATTGTGTTTGATGTGGATGGCACTCTGTGGTGAGTCAATGGGTCCTTCTATTCAATCTCTTTTGTTTTGTTTGGACTTTTACCAATTTGGTGAATATTGGAAATTAAAATGTGCCACCAATGGGATCCAGGCATGAGCTTGTTTTGAGGATGCCATGTCTTTTGGAACGCCTTTTCCTGTATTCCTTTGGGCTGGTAGCAAGTACCTTACATACTATATTGCAGTGTGCGATGCATTTGATTGGCACATTTCGAAATATACATTCGAATATTCTATACCTAGGTAACATCGCTAACGTTGGCTAGTCTGCCACAGAACCACATGTTTAGTGAAATGAGGTATATTCCAGCCCCTATAGCGCAATCAAGACTTCGTTTCTGAGACTATGCAGAGAAGCACTAGGAATTGACCGCTCCATCGACATCCTCCAACACATCCGAGACTTGCCCGCAGCAGATCGCGCCGAAGCTGTATCCAAAGTGCAAGCCGTGGAGCGCCGGGCAATGGTAGACCAGCAGCCGCAGCCGGGCCTGGTCAAATTAATGGATTATCTCCAGTCCCGCGGGCTCCGACTGGCCCTCTGCACACGCAACTTCGAGTATGTACATAGAAATCATCGGTGCAGTAACGTTGTATTCAACATGCTAATAGATCTTCAATCCAGAGCACCTGTCAAGAACCTCCTTGACAATCACCTCCCTGCTCATGTATTCTTGCCAATCATCACGCGGGATACACCTAATATTCTACCCAAGCCCGATCCGGCGGGTATCTTGCACATTGCAAGCGAGTGGGGGTTGGCTAATGGGGAGAACTTGATTATGGTCGGTGATAGCATTGATGATATGACGTCTGGCCATGCGGCTGGAGCTGCAACAGTATTGCTTGTAAATGAGCACAATAGGCACTTGAGTGAACATCCACATACAGATCTCTGCATCTCGCAGCTGGATGATTTAGTGAACGTCTTAGAGGGTGGGTTCCTTGGGACAAAGGAGAATGATGATCATGCCAAGTGAGGTTATTTCGTGCCATCTGTTTTGGTACAGCCGTGTTTAAACAGTCCACCCGGTCACCTTCCAACTAAAACACTTTGACTTCCCTTAAAAGGGTCAAGGTACGCTTTCATATTCATAATACATACATTCCCAGGTGAATCTGAAAATTAAAGTAAGAACCGGTGCTGTATCTGCGTAAGCCCTCCAAACAGGCGAGCAATTATTTTCAAAGGAAAGCTCCTTATCCGCGGCTGCGGCCTCTGCCAGGCCCACGAGGCCCGCGTGAGAAACCTCCACGCGACGGACCTCGAGAGGCTCCACGACCACGGCCCCCTCTTGGCGGAGGAGGTCCACGGGGAGGAGGGCCACGGGGGAGTGGTGGCGGATCCAGAGATCGTTGACCATTCCCATTTCCATTGCCAGAGAATGGAGAACGGCCACGCGAAGGGCCACGAGACCTTGAGTCGCCGCGGTTGCTTCCGACTCCGTTTCCGAACTTGATATTTCCACGAGTGTTGCCCCGGGGGGCGGCGGTGGCGGGACGGCCGTTGCCTCGGGAGACACGGGACATCATGTCATCATCATCCGGGGAAGAAGGTGGGGACCAGTCGCGTCTTGCGCGAGATCCAGGTCGGCCTCGGCTTGATGGAGGTCCATTTCGACTTTCGCCGACGGAGTTGAGGTTTGTGATCATGTACGGATCGATACCTTTGAGGCTGAACGAAGATGAAGATAAGTTGACACTTCTGCGTGTGCCGCTGGATTCACAATCTCCTGCAAGATGCTTCATGCTGCAGCAATTGGAACAGCAGATTGAGACGGTGACTTGTTGGGAGTGGGTCTCTTGGGATGGTGATTTCCACAAGCGGTCGCACTCGGACTCCAGGTGTTCGTTACCGCAATAATCACAGGGGACCTCAGATGGAAAGTTGCGTAGTTTTGATTCGCATTGCGGCTCATCATGGCCTCGCTCGCGGCATCGTTGACATCTCCGCCAGGTGGGGCAGGTGCTGCCTTGGTGTTGGTTCCACGCGTTGCAGTGTTCACACTTGAAAACAAAAGGTCAGAAAAAGGCATATTCACGGATCCATAATTAGCAGACATACCTCTTTGAATGGGCAAACATCGGCCATATGGCCTTCACGTTGACATTCAATGCATGAAACGGGGAGCCTGAGGTCCAGATCGTGAATGTTTTTGTCGAAATGCACGTATTTAGCCTGAAGTTCAAGATCGTGTTGGTTCAGATCTATTAGAGAGGTAGGTGCAGTGGGATATTTGCGGGAGAACTGTCGGAAAGCCTCCTCTTTTGAGGGAGACCCAAACGAAGTCCCATTCCCGTTTGTGTTGTTAGACGCATGCTGAAGAGCCAAAGTGGCGGGGTCATAATCATTGCCACTGTCTACTCCATCCATTTTGTCGCCAATGTTGAGTAGGATTGAGTCGTCCGCTTCTGAGTCGAGGGAATCAGAATCATCTGATTCACTCTTAGAGTCAATCTCCCCCTCCTCTAGCTCCTCCTCGTCACCAGATTGTTCATTTGCATTCACTTCTTCGCCCTGGGGTTCCTCCGCTCCAGGAGGTGCCGGTGATGTAGATTCACTGCGACTGCGCCAGTATCTGTCATTCACTGCTGTAAACTGTGTAGTCGTCCCGTTTGGTGCTGGTCGTTTTCCAAGCGTGGTGCGAACTGCAGCCTTCCGGCCTTGGTTCCAACTGATAGCGGGTGTTGTGTTTCCTTCGTGTGGGTTTGCGCTGGTAGTGTCCGGTTGTGAATTGGAATCAGAGTCCGCGTCCTCGGAGTCCCCGTTACTTGAATCTGAACTGGACCCAGAGCTAGATGTACTGTCTGGATCAACTGGCAAAGGACGTTCGCTAAAAGTAGCACCCCGGGGAACAAAATCACTAAGATCCGAATTCTTTGTGTTCTGGCTTCTGCGCTGTCTTTTGGCCGGGCGGGAATTGCTGTCGTTGGATGCGGAGCGCGAAGTGGAACGTGGGTTTGCGCGAGCACGCGGTATGCCCACCGAAGCTGTTCGTGAATCGGCCTCTTCGTCAGATGAATTGGCCATATTAGATAATAAGACCGTCTTGGGTAAGGATTTCCTGGTAAAGATGGCGTGGTCGCGGAGGATCAACAGTAGAATTTGGATCTTGATTAAATTTCACGGTGACCGGTAAAGACAAGTCACGCAATTTGAACTATACATCCTTTCTACAGCACTTAGTCTTAGGTGCATATGGATTTTCCTAGACACATAAATAGCACTTAGTATAACCAGGCCTGGCAAAATACTTGTTAGCTTTTGGCATTCATATTCATGATATGGTAATTTGGGACTTTGTTATTAGTCTTCCTCGTCACCAAACATATTTTGTCAGTCTTTGTAGGGACAGGGTAACTAGCATATTGTTGAGACTAGAACAACATGATAATTATCGAATCAATTGGAGGGTTATTTCTAATCGATAGTACAAGCAAACAGATATGGATCCATAACTTATACTGTAGGTGTCTTGATTAGTATATCGGTAACAATGTATTGCAATCCCGGTGACTCGGGGCTAGTTCGTTAGTTTCGCCAATCTGGAACATTTATCCGAACTCGAAGTTCAAGGAGCAAAGCAAGGATTGCCTACAAGCAATGTTTTCCACAGCAGTATACGTCTAAGCATAACCTTTACAAGCTCTTGGGAATTGCTTGCCCGAGTCTTCTCATCGAAAGTTCCTACAGTCGGCACATCTTTCTCGTGGTAGGGATATCGAGAGCATGCACCGCCGTCAGTTCGCAAGAATCTGTCATGATAATTGGCTCGGTAATTACGCTAGAAGTCTACGGGACTTTCCCCTGCATGGGATATTACCATTATTACTATCAACACAGGTTTACGGCGGTATAGGACATACCCATCCAAGTTGACGTTCTCTTTGTGGGATCCTCCATTATTGGCTGCATATTTACGCTGAACCCCCCCCCCCCCCCCCAACACCTGGATGGCCCTGGATTTTGTTTATAAAAGCATTGAATAGATTCTCCAATGGACATTTCTACCTTTCCAAACAATTAATTCTGCAATGTTCACCTCTTTGGTTGAAGGTAGCTTGCTGGCACATTCTGTCATTTCAAAATTAAGCCAAACGCATCCGTGCTCGTCAATTGCTTTTCCTAATGTCCCTGGAGCAAAGGTGCTGTCCGTTGTTGGAGTTGAAAGACACAATCTTTCTATTCCTGTCAACCCGTGGTTCCGCTCTTCGTCGCCAGTATCCAATCTCGATATATGTGATGTAAATGTTACTTTGACGCATGCATCCGAAGGGGATACCGTGTTGGTGAAGTTATACCTTCCACTCAACATCACCAATTGGAATGGCCGATTCCAAGCCATTGGAGGTGGTGGATATGCTGTTGGAAACTCTGGAGGTACTTTTGGCGACAGTCTTGCCACCCCGGCCGGCGAAGGTTTCTCAACAGGATGGTCTGATGGCGGCCATACCAACAATCCCATAGACCCATCTAGTTGGGCACTCACATCCGATGGCCAGGTCAACAACGCATTGGTGGCCAACCTTGCAACTCGCTCAGTACATGATCTAGCGGTGGTTGGGAAGGCAGTCAGCGCCAGCTACTATGGCCAAAAGCCTGCCTATTCGTACTACAATGGCTGCTCTACCGGAGGCAGACAAGGATACATGGAAGCCCAGAAGTATCCTCACGATTTTGATGGTATTCTCGCCATGTCGCCTATTATCTACTGGCCGACGGTTGTGCCGGCTGAGTACTGGGCTCAGCTTGTCATGCAGGAAGCAGGTGTGTTTCCAACTCAACAGGAGTTTATGGCTTTCTACAGTGCGGCCATTTCAGCGTGTGATGAGCTGGACGGGGTTAAGGACGGTATCATCAGCTCTTTGAACTGTCCTTTTGACCCTGCTACTTTGCTTGGAACGACAGTCGATGTGGATGGCAGCTCTGTGAACATCACCCAGACTGTTGTGGACATTGTCAAAAAGACCTTGGATGGGCCTCGCAATCGTGAGGGCAAATCTCTCTGGTACGGGATTCTTCCAGGAACCCCCTTTGCTGGTGTCGCAAATACAAAAACCACGAATGGTTCTACAACTGGGGTCCCCTTCCCCATCAGCTCGAGTTGGTTCCAATACTTTCTCCAAAAGAACCCAGAGTACGATACTACAACCATGACATACGACGAGTACTTGGATTTCTTTACACAATCGGAAAACGAGTACACCAAGTTCTTCGGCGCAGAAGATCCAGACTTGTCCTCGTTCAAGGCAGCTGGCGGAAAGCTGATTACCTGGCACGGACTATCGGATCCTGCTATCATGCCCCAGGCTACCATCAACTATCGCAAGCAAGTGGAAAATACCATGGGTGGTTCGTCCGCTGTTAATGAATTCTACCGTCTGTTCATGGCGCCCGGTGGTGTGCATTGTGCCCCTGGCGTTGGACCGACACCTAAAACCCAGACTGCAATCGAAGCTCTGGTGTCTTGGGTTGAAGACGGCCATGCTCCAGACACATTACGAGCGTCAACCAATGAAAATATTGGCAATGTCATTACGCGGGATTTATGTCCTTATCCGCTTGTTGCTCGCTATAATGGTACTGGGGATTTCCACTCTCCCGAAAATTTCCATTGCGCCAAAACATTCAGCTCCGAGCCTTGAGCCTTGAGCCTTGCAACATGACACGTTTCATAGATTCAAGCCTTGTTTATTTGGCGCTGTCCCATTCTTTAAGTTATCTACTGTAAGAGCCGCATTTTCTTGGCAACTCGGCCTTCTTTTTCAGCCCTGTATATAAAGAGTCTTTATTTACATCTAAGATATCGAATTCTAAAGTTGAGCAAACAACGTTGAATAAATGTCCCCTCTATGCTCGATCTCTGCATATGTATGCTTCCACTAAGTAACATATGTACATATCAGCCAGTTTGAGCAGACTGTACAAAAATCTAAGTTGAACAGAGATATCGTTTCAGGGGGAAGGTGCGAGGGATTAGCGTGAATATACAATCCCCTCGATTTCAATTCTTCTCTTTCTCTTTTCTTTCTCCTCGCCATCGCGTTTTCTGTTCCCGATTTTGATCTCATCTAGACGCTAATTGGACCATTAAAGGAGAATATCATAATCTCGGAGTCATAGCTAAGCGTGGTTAGAGTGGCCAAGTCGATATTAGCCTATTCTATCAGTGTCTCAGAAATCTTTCCCTCATGAAGCATAGAAGGCTTCAAAAGAAAATGGAGATAAAGTTTACAATATCCAATATAATCATAACTATAATCATGTTATGAATAAAAAACAAAGAGATCGACTCCCCTCATCAAAAGTAGTTCATGGTCCTTTCGGACTAGATTCCGCACCTGCATAAGGCAAATAATGTATTCGCCTCAAATTAGTAGACCAATTTGGTCAGTTACAAATATAAGCTAATCATAAAGCCCTAGACAGTCTACTTATAGCTTCAGCTCACTGAAAAATCGAAAATCGAAAAAGGAAAGAAACTACTAGTAGAGAGAATCGTGAATCAGAGAGAGCTCTTCCGCGCACCCCGTGACCCGCAAGCCGACCGACCGGCCAAACTCCAGTCTGGGCCGTGCCACCTCATCCCCACGCTCCTTTTCCTCTTTTCTCCTTCTCTTCGTCCATCTTTTACTATCTTATTACAACCGTCAAGCTGGCGTCCGACAATTCCAAAGGGTCTTCCCTGTTGGCCCCTCGTGGCATCTCCTTCCCTCCGGATGTTGACACAGGGCCGCAGCGGTTATCTCCAGGCATGAGCCAGAGTCAAAAACAAGGCCGACGGAGGCGGTCCAGCAGTCTTATCTACCAAGAACCTGCCGAGTCTATCGAGCGTACAAGCGATCAGGCCGCATTGCCAAATCTCAATGCAAACTGGGTGAATGCTAAGGGTAAGTGACAACAAAGAAAAAGTCGAGAGATTCTAGGAGACCACATCGCAAGATATCAAGAAATCCAAACTAACACGTCCGTCTTCGTTCCGATAGGCGCCTGGACAATCCATTTCGTGTGTATCGCCGCTCTTAAGATTATCTACGACATTATCCCGGGTGTCTCGCAAGAAACCTCATGGACCCTCACCAACATCAGCTACATGTTCGGATCCTTCCTCATGTTCCACTGGGTGCGGGGCATCCCATTCGAGTTCAACGCCGGTGCCTACGACAATCTCAATATGTGGGAGCAAATCGACAACGGCGACCAGTACACACCCGCTAAGAAGTTCTTGCTCTGCGTGCCTATCGTGCTTTTCCTCCTCAGCACCCATTACACCCATTTCGACCTGACCCACTTCACCATCAACTTCCTGGCCACATTGGCGGTGGTCATTCCCAAGTTGCCTTTCGTACGTTCCCTTAGCACTATTCCTACTACGCGTGTTGATAACTATTGGCTAACCTTGCACCTGCAGTCGCATCGGTTGCGAATAGGTCTCTTTTCCGATATACCCGAGGAGTCATAATGTCTCCCATTTAATTCTTTCCTTTTCCCCTCTTCCAATTGCTTTCCAAGTTGGCGTCTACTTGACCTTGATTTTTCAAGCTTCTCCGCCTTTCCTTTTTCTACATAAAGGGCCTTTGCATTGCGAAATTGATTGACGGGGATTTGACCCGCTGTTGGCTGTCGCACATCCTGTTTGTATTTCTTTTCTCTGGCAAATATGAAGAAGCAGATATCACTGCTGACCAAGTCCAAAATTTCACCCCTTCTGTCTCCTGGGCAGCCTGTCTAGATTATCAAGTATCAATGCCCTGCATACTTTATATGGTGGTTTGATCAGCTCGAAAATCTTGTAATATACCTACATGTGTAGGTAAATACTTCAACTCCTTTGTAATGCAAACACATATTGATGTAAAGACTTTATCTAATGCAAGTTGATCTCTTGGCTAATGCGGGGATTACCGATATGTTCTTATAGCCAATCCTGTTGCTTCTCTTGCTTCTATCTTTATTTGGGGCCTTTATCTTCCCAAGGTTACCCAACTTATGGCCAACAATGGACATACTCAATGCATATATAATATTGTATTAGTTAACCAGCGGCCAAGTTCATTGTTTTTGTTTACGAAACAAAGAGTCAAATCAAAAGAGTCAAATCTTTTTTTAGAATTTCGGAGATTTCAAATCACATCGTTCTTGTTTATATTTGGTAGCATGCTAGTATATTATCTTAATGTCAAACTTCCTACCATAATGTTTTGAAGAACTCTACTCACACCAAGTCTACTATTATAGTAGTAAAAGGCTCGTGGGTGCTATATACCATACCTAGGACGGAGTACGGAGTATACTTCCAGGATCGTTTCGCGCTTATCGATAAGCGCGTCGATCTCGCTCAAATGTCTCAAATGTATTTCTTCAAGTTTTTGTTCGGTGAGCCCTCTCCAGACATGGCAATCATGGACGAGGTGCAAGAGCGGTCTTTTGTGCCACTGTCATTTGAGTTGACCCGACAGACTGAGATTTTCTTTGAAGAGAAGCTCTGTAAGTTCACTGCCCCGCGACGCGACTGATTACATAGTAATGCGGCTCACACTATTTACTCCGTCAGATCCCCAAGCGTTCAATCTTCTTTTGAATGTTGTTGGATCAGGCACCATCTCATCGAATGAGGTGGTGGTTCCACAACCCGAACATCTCGCCATAGCAGCAACTATGCTTGTGCATCCAAACACCACAACAGGAGCTGAGTTGGATGCTGAAAAAGAGGCTCCCAACATCGCCTTGCGTTTGCTGCGACTGACACACGCACTCATCGGCTCTAAGAACGCGCATTTCCACAGTGCTTTCAATTTCACTCATTTTGAATCCACCCGACAGGGCACGCGACGCGACAGTCCAGCGCCCGGTGAAACTATCCTCAATGACAAAAATTCTCTTTGGGCCACTGCAGAGGACTTTTGGCATGCCGTTGGTTGGGCATTCAATTGTTCAGTGTCACATCCGGCCAGATGGAAACATTGGCAGATATGGCTCCAGTTCATCTGTACCGTGCTTGAAGATGACTGGAACGAGCGTGAATCGGAATTTTTAGGGGCTCAACAAAGGGAATTGGCAGAGAGGTCCGAGAGAGAAGCTTCTCAGGGTGTCGAGCCGACAGAGCAAGGGACCCGCGAAACGCGCCGATTCAGGAAGGGGAATAACAAGGAAGATGGCCTCGGAATTATACGGGAAAGCTTGATTTTCAAGTACATCGCCTCAAATATTACTACATACGGACGGGATCGAAGAATCATGCGGGCAATCTTTGCAGACGGTCAACCAAAATCCGCCCAATTCTCAGAGGTGTTCAAAAACGAACTACGAAAATCCGAAACTAAGCAACGCTCGTCAAACTCCAAGAAGAGATCTAAGGTGGTCAACGTTGACAAGGGGGAATATGGTGATTATCAATCCGACTCAGACGACGAGTATATTACTTTCAGCGGAAGAATTTCGAGGAAAATATCACCTCCTGCAAAAGCCACGAAGGCTCGGCCTACCAAGCGCACCCGGAGAGGAACTCGGAACGTTATGGATAGAAATGCAGAGTCTGACACGGAGATGCTTGACGCAGACCATGCCAACGACCTATCCTCCTTAGGAGGCTACAACTCACTTGCTCTTCGCCAACGACTGCTCGGCCTCCTTTCCAGTGTCTCGACAAGACTACCCAAGGATTTCGTGCCTGTCGACGACCTCTACCACATGTTCGCAGAGAACATTCGCGACCTTTCTCTCCCAATCTTCCAACACTTTATTACCCCCTCCAATCTCCCGGGTCTCACAATGGAAGCACACTGCGGTCTCTGCGAACTTCTCCTATACCTCATGCGGGAGAGTTCCGCGCCGCCTTCAAATGATGATTACCTCACTTCAACCAAACTGCAGCAGTGCTTTCTCCCCTATGGGGCGGCAAGTCCAACAATTGCCAATAATGCCAAAATCTCTATGCTTCTAGAGGCCATGATTACCATCCTACATCATGAGAACGCGATCTCTGCAACGCCGCAGCTGAAAAATGCCGCTCAGGCGGGAATTGCTCACCGTGAATCGGCTTCCCTGGAGCGCGGTACTGTGGAGTGGTCTTATTTATGGGAGAGTGGCGTTCGAATTAAGTTTATGCTTGATCACATATTGCCTTGAAGGACTTGAGTTGAAGTCAAGGCTAATTTTATGATACCCACGACAGATGATACCTACGATCGAGATTCTTTCCCTGTTCAGCGTGTATATATTGCTATACTTTTTCGTCTAAAATAACATTCTGGCTGTAATAAATATAAATAACCAGACTTAAGCTGGTCACCCCTCAAGGTCTACTGTGCATGAGACTAATATGTATGGCTGGAGCTTTGTGTTGAAATACGATGTCTAGACACAAGGGCCGCCATGGAATACAAATCACTCTAGTACCTCTTTCCCTTGTTAAGCAACCTGGATGGCGAATAATTCCTTAAATCTTTGCCCCCAACTACTCCATCTGTTTGTTCATTGTCCCTTGCCCAGCAAGCCATGTTGAGAAAAGTCATATTTTGAGTATTGATCATTAAAATTTCAGTATAAGCTGCTATTTACAAACAATATCAAAGCAAGGCAAATGGCCCCGAACGGGAATCACATAATGCAAATGATAGGGAGAACATCACTCAGAATGACATAAGGTATCTTCTGCGGGGATGGTAGAGCCCCATGGACCAAGAAAAGAAGAAATACAAAAGACTGTAATGGTAATAAGGGCAGAACGACAGAAGTGCGAGAAAGCAAACAGAAAACCAAGGTTGAACAGGCATCAACAAAACTCAGGAGTGGGCAGCTTATGGCGGTGGTCGAGGTCCAATGATCTGGCGCCTAGCACCGCCAACACCAAGCCCCATACCGCCACGGTTCTGGTTATCACCACCCATATAGCCATACTGGTGGACATCCCAGGATTGACCAGGGCCTGAGCCATGATTGGGGTCGTTGACACCACGCTCAGCCGCGGCAGCTGTCTGCTTCTGATTCTCTTCCCACTCTTCCTGGCGCGCACGCTCGCGCTCCATCTCGCGCTCCAGAAGAGATTTGGATGCCCAGCCACCGGCCTTGGTCTTCTGCTGCGAGGCTTCACGGCGGCTGTTCTCTGCGTCGACTTCAGATGTCGTTGTGTAGTCTTGGAATCGGTGGGTGGCAGGGGTTGGGGTCGCCGGCGCTGGATTGGAGGAAAGGAAATTGTTCACGCGGTTTTCCCGGCCCCGATTAGCGTTGTAGGCTACCGGGTCGGGGAGTGGTCGTGGCGCTGGGGGTAGGTCCCTGGAAACTGTCGGCTGCGCAGAAAAAGATGGGTTTGGCTCAGGGAGTGGTCGAGAAGGCAGAGGCGGGGCTTGCTCAAAGCTGGTTTCGGGTTCCTCTGAGGTAGCTGGCATATCTTGGGTATTCTGCCACTCCGTGCGGAGGAGTCGCCGTTCTTGCTCGAGAGAAGAGAGATCGTAGCTTGGCTTAGGGGGTACGGGCTGGGGACGACTCCGACTACGAGGCTGAGGTTCATCACCGGAATTCCGAGGCTGAATGCGCTCATTCTCATACTGGCGCTCGCGGTCCTTCGCTAACTGTAGCTCTCGCTCGAGCTCCTTGATCCGGCGGCTTTCCGGTGTTTCCTCAACCGACCTAGATGCACCGGAGGCATCGCTGGTCTGAGAATTGGAGGCCTGGTACTGACTAAGGAACTGGCCGTTGAGACGGTTATCATTGAGGCTCCGTCTTTGCTGGCGCTCCTGCTCAAAACGCTCCTCGGCTTCTTTTTCTTCCGCCAAGCGTCGTTGCTCCTCCGCTTCCCATTGGCGCTTTTCATCGTCCCATTTCTTCTTCTCTGCTTCCACCTTGAGGCGTTCCTGTTCCCTTATACGTGCAGTCTCTTCTTCCCATCGGCGTTCTTCTTCTGCCTTGGCCCGGGCCTCCGCTTGTTGAATATCTTGCTGGCGGCGTGCCCGTTCTGCCTCTTCTCTCTCTGCATTTTCGTTGCGAATTCTCTCATCTTCCTCGCGCCTGCGTTTCTCCTTCTCTGCAAGGTTAGGAACGGCAGGCCCGGGAGTGGTGATTTGCCGGCGGGCGCCAAATGCAATCCCTTGATTGCCTTGGCTAGCGCCACCCATGTAGCCATACTGGTGAATGTTCCAAGCCGGAGTAGTGTCCTGTTCATCTCCTCTCTTGGCCCAAGTACTATAAGAGCCGGAAGGCTTCGCAGGACTTCCCGTTCGAGCGGGGAGAGGGGGCCCCGAATCGCCAACATTGCTAGAGGAACGAGCTGATCGGGGGGTATACCCTCCGCTCGACGACCCTGTCGCCTCTGGGCTAATCACACTGCGCTTGCTCTGCGGCCCAACGGTACGTGGGAATTTATTAGGTGCAAGTGCGTTCGCTCGTCGGCTAAAAGCTGCCAAGCACTGGAGAACTTGCGCCGGATCTTTCGCTTCGTACAGATCAACCGTCAAAAAGACGTCGTGTGGGGGCAGGCTCAGCGGCGGCAGTTGACATGCACGCAAGAAATGCGAGATGTTTTCCATTTGTACAAACGGCGCTGATAACTGCTTAAACTTCACGCCAGGTGACACGGCAAGATTTACCAACCTTGTAAGTAAAGGAGTCAGCGAATAGTCCTAGGTTTAAGAATAATTTTCTGCGAATGCGTAATTTGAACTTACTTGCATAGAGCGATGCCGTTTTTTAGGCCCTCTAGCAAGTCTGGCGATGGCAGTTTCTCCTGCAGCATTTCCTCAATCCAGTCGCGTACCTCCGCGGCTGCCTGCGGGGTATAGCGGGACAGGCGCATATTGCGCAGGTCCTTGTCTAACGAAGTCACTGAAGCCATGATGTGTGTCGAGAAATCGATTCTCTGGAGAAAGTGGTTTGAGGTGTCGTGGGAGTGTTGCCACTGGGGCTATGTATCCCTTCGCCGGTGCCTGATCGGCCCTAACTAATGGTGGCGTGCGCGTGTTGGGTAGCAGAGAGAATTTCGCGATACAATTGGAAACAATAGAGTAGAATGATTCAAGGGACAAGAAGTGTAAGGAGTATTCTAGTAAATATTAAAGGAGAGAAAGGGGAAAAAAAGGCAGAGGAAAAGCAGAGATGAGATGGAATGCTCGGGGCTGTTTATCCCCGATGACGTTCCTGAAGGTCTAGCCGCTTGAATCTTTTTTGACCTCCACCTTTTGCTCCTTGCATCGCTTCAACAATGGTGAACAGTTTATGGTTCAAATGGAAGAAACTTCGCCTCCCCTGGCGAAAGTCATTCTTAGTCGGTTAGTTTCTCTGTCTTTTCACCCTCTCTTTCAAACGGCGGCGCAATTAACCTAACCATCATAGGCCAGGATCTTGCCGGCAACACCTTCTGGGAATTTAAAGATGTGATGAATGCAGCCCGATTTCGACGGATAGTCAGATTTGATCCTAAAACACACTTCAGTGATGTTCAAGTGACACGTGAGTTTTGTCGCATACAGTTGCAGACCGGGCTTGAACGGAACCACCTCTTCTTCAGCGCAAAGAAGGAGTTCGACAACGAACGGTAGCTTACTCACTCTCTCATATAGCGCAATGGCACCAGTGGCTACGGCATGTCCGCGAACACCCCCCAAGCATTCAAGAACAACAGCAGGATCTCGTCCGGCAGGCACAAATCAAACAACTTGCTCGACTCGCCGATGAGCGCTGGGCCAGCAAGCCCTCTTACCTCGATAAACCCAAGAATCAGCAAGCTCCAGCTCAATTCAGTGAGACCCCTGTTAACGAGACCACCGCCAACGCTGCCCATCCCGCGTCAGAGCCACCCGCTTCCACATCCCCCGAGACGACGCCACAGCCGCAACCTGTCTCTACGGAGCGAAATACACCAAAGGGGGAAAACCCATGGGCTCAGGCTAGCAAAGCAAACCCAGGAGCGGAATGGCAGCCTGAAGCGTGGTCGCCAAACGCTAAGCGGTGAATTGAAAAACGGCATATTTCGGTCAAAATCTTTGAATTGGCAAATTCAAGCTCAACTTGCAGGACATATATACTATGTTCCGCAAGGTAAAACTTACCCCCTCCTCCTAATTGTTTCAATTGTCGAAACATTTGCCAGGACATCCGGGTTATCTCATGTTGAGTTTCCTCCACCTCCCAGCCCATGTAAACCAGCTTGATACCAGAAGGATGGAGGTCTATTCTCAGTCTAAGTTCAACCACAAGGAATCGAGAACCGTGACACAAATCATATTGGATCTTTGGAATCCTCAACCACGAGTTGACATGTACATTATACTTCTTTGTATTCAGCGTTTTCCACTCAATCTCACTTTTTGATTCTACTTCCTTGTTCTTACAAGCCTTCCAGGAATCCAATTACTTCTTCAAAGCTCTAGAATATATTTATTGTTCAAGGTATTCCGCTGCAATTTTTAGATCTTACGCAACATTTGCTTACTATTTAAAGACGATGAATATAGGATTGGGAAAATGATCAGTAGAAAGAAGTATAGAAGCCACATATGACCATACCACTAACATGATATTTAACGAGTGTCTCTAGGCTGCCTAGGCGGAGTTATACTCTAGGTGCAGTGCCTACAAAGGTATGTAGATATGTGCATACATATAACCATCGACTACAGGAAAACTTAAGAAGTTATTTGAAATTTTTGTATTGCAACCCCCCTGTTTTTGATTTTTCTATATTTCTTCAATCCACAGAATGAAAGATCTCGCAAAGTATTAAAAAAATCAAAACCCCCCTGTTTTTGATTCTTCGAATTTCCATGCTGAATGAAGCGCGGAGCATAATTCAACGAAAAGACATAAACAATCATTCAACAAAACCTAAAAACCACAATGATAATTCCCTCTGCCCTATCTTAGGGATTAAGAAATTCACAAACTTGATACATATCTCGAATTTGTAGAAAGAAAAAGTGAGGACCGCAAAAAGAAGAAGAAGCCAGAAGAAGCCAGAAGAAGATCAAACAGTTCAAAGAGACTTTGGATCAGAACAACTTAGATGTAGACCATAGAACGAGGGAATTTACCGAAGGTTTTCACAGATTCAGAAGCGTTTCTGACTCTATCCTTCTTTGCGTCATCATCACCACCGGCCTCGTGAATCCATGCCAGCAGGTACTTGCGGGCTCGGTCACAGAACCTGTCAGCCAAAAATGCAGGTGTGGCGTAACTAATGGACCGGGTAGCTCGGCCCATCATATAACAAATGTTGTGAGTCAGCTCTTGAACGAGATCGGCAGGTTTGGCACCTTGAGTGATTTGTGAATTGGTAAAGATCTCATCATGGACGACAATGTAATGGGCCGGACGAGCAGATCCCTGCAGAGGGGACTGAGCTTGAAGATAGAAATCCCAGACACTCGGGCGGGTGACACCACGGTCAACAACACAGCCATTGATTGGATTTGAGGTTCGGTCCTGGTCCTTCGCCTGAGTAGGGTAGAACCGCACATGGTGGCGTTTTCCGCAGACGAGGATTGCGACTTTTGGCGGCTTGTTTCGGTAGTCTTTGAAACTACCGATAGCATCTCGAACCTTGGGAAGCTCGTCTGAAAGAACCATGTCGAACTGACCTTCACTAACACCGTCACGGTATATGAGGATGTTTGATGGGAGTTGGTTGTTCTGTTGGCCCCAAAGTTTAATGCGCTCCTCCATCATTTCCTTGAGGTACTCGATGTTCTCTTGGCGGCGCGTCTAGGTTCTCACTTCACCGGGCCATTGTCCCATACGGCCATCAATGGATGCAACTATGCCGGCAATACTAGGCATGCCTGGGTCATCTGTGCTCGGCGGATGAGTGACATCCAACCCAACGATCATAGTCTTTCCTTGCCCAATGAATTTTGCACCAGATGTATCTAGAACCTGATTGCATCCTCCCATCTTGAGATTGATTTTCATGACGTTGTTGCTAATGTACTGATCGTTGGCTGCTTTGAACTTCTCTGCTAGCATGCAGTGCGTCAAGATACCAGTTTTGACATCGCCAATATACTTGACCCAATCGAAAACCCGGCCATTCGTATCAGGCAAGAGAACGACCACAAGTTCAAAGCCCTGGCCATACAAAGCTTTGAGTTTCCCTTCGATCAAGTCTCGATTGTCACTGTCGGCTCTCTGCACGTTGCCGGAATATTTCGAAGGAGAAACGAGATCCACACCATGGTAAGGCTTTGAAGGTGGAGAGAGGTTGAGACCATGTTCGCGCGATTTCTTGAACAATGCTTCCATCTCAGGAGCAGAGTCACGGATTGGTTCATTGGGACCTCGCCTTCGGAGCGAGAGGCAAGTCCATTTCTTGATGGTTGCTCCCTCCGAGAACCGTGTGCGAACCAGATTCCATGATCCGAACTGTACTTTTGTCGACTTTTTCGCATAAAGAAGGCTCGGTGCGTTCAATATGCGCGCAGGAACAGTGATCATCTCTGTGCTTGGTTTAAGTGCGACCTCTTTGGTTTTTTCGTTGGAAATACCCATGATATCCAACCCCTCGCTCATGATAGAAGCATAATTCTGAGGGGGTCGCCGGCAACTGAACCTGATCATAGCAGATCGCATATTGTTATCCGGCTCTCCACCAAAGACTTGTCCAGGGAGAACTTCGCAGACTTCAGCGGGAAGATAAACTGGGTTCTGTTGGTTTCCAACGTTCACAACTGGACAAGTCGCCGGAACATTGAGTCGACGGTTATAGGCTGTTGTTTGTTGTTAGCAAAATAAATCTGACTGCTGAAGAACAGGGATAACTTACATTGAAGGAAGTAGTCGGTGATAGTGACATATTCCGAATTTCCATCATCTTTATTCCAGTAGAACCTCACGTTGTTAGCGGAAGACCCAAGTTGCTTCACCTTTGCTGGATATTCCTTGGGTCCGTCTCTAGGAGTAGCGAGGCCCCAGATGGTTTTGACAGGCTTTTCCATCTTTCCAGCTCCATTCTCGCGAGTCGGCAAATGAAGAGCATAAACCTTCAGTCCTTTCACATATCCGTTCAATTTGACACGGTCCTGGCTAAATATGGCACTAAATTCGTTGATCGTAGTGACCAGATTGGTTGGTTTGTAGAACGGAGCGTGGCTTATGTTCAAGTTGAGCATAATCCGACCTGCCACCAGTCGAACACTTGAATAATAACCACGAATGGCCTCGACTCCGCCCTTCATGTCAAACGACTGTTTTCGATCATCAATGCGGAAGACTTTGTTGCGTCCCTTGCCAACAATATGGACTCCGGGGGTTTTGAAAGGATAAGCAGTCATCAGGATGTTGAGCATGCGCACAACATCACCCTCCATTGGACTTTTAGGGTCCGCTCGGTAGCTGGAGTCGCGAAGGCATGACCTCAATTCAACAGCAGAATGAGAACACTTATGTACCAGTCTCATTTCCCAAGGCCCATTGTAGTTTTGACTTCCGCTGCGTCCAGCTGCGCCGCGTCCCTTTCCACGTCCGTTTCCATTTGGCATGGTGAACTTGAAGATTGGCAAATTGTCTGGCAGGCGCTCAGTTGTGACAATTTCTGTGGCTCCATCTGTGGCAACACCAATACCCTTCAAAGGCGCATAGTCGCGAAGCAGTCTGTCAATCGCAAATTTCTGGTGCCCTCTTTTCATGTTGTCAGGTTTGGCTTTGATCCGGTAAGAATGGAATTTGACACCAGGCTTGAAATCTATGTCAAAGAAATCCGCGCGCACAATAATGGCACGACCTAGGGTTCCATAACCGGGACGTCGAGCAAGGGTATTTTGCAAAGGAGCAGTCTTCAAGGACTTGGCGACATACTCGTCTTCAAAGTTGTGGACTTGAGGGCTGGGCGGGGGGATGGGGTCGGTAAGCATGCTATGTTCGTGTGAGATATTATTCTTTTCTAGATGCTAAACATTTTGACTTACCCTGAAGGGAGTTCAGGCTCACGTCCCCGGCCACCACCACCACCACGTTCTCCACGGCCGCGGTCTCCTCCTCGCCCACGATCACTGCCATAGCCACGGTCTCCTCGACCTCGGCCTCTGTCACTTCCACCACGTGATCCCCGAATGGGCAGATCTCCATATCCACGGCCTGACATTTTCACGTAATGTCTAGCAAGAAAAAAGTGAAGTTCGACGATTGAAAGAAAAGTAAAGAGGTATCAAGGCGTGTCGTGAGACAACAAGCAAGTCAAAGAGAGAAAGAGGGAAGCGATGCGGTCTATCGGCCCAATTTATGGGTGACAATGTGAGGATAATGAGGATAGAATCGGAACGAGGTAGTCCTGTTCGCAGGAAAAGGTCTGATAAAAAGATGAAGGTAAGAAAACGATGTATGCGGACTCTGCAAAATCTATAATCACGAGTTAGAAAATCACAGAATGTATATTTGCAATGTATGATGATACAGATTTTCATGCAAAACCGGACCAATGCAAATAGGAAGAGCTGAAGCCAGCCATGAAATGCGATAAGGCAAGGACCTCAATGCAGGGCAGACGGCAGTAGCAGAGGGAAATCGATGCCAATGGCAATGGCAATGGGGGCTGTGATATTATGATGAAGAGGACTGTGATAGGAAACTTCAATGTGGGAAATGGATGGCGATAATAGGATAAGTTTCTCAAGCAGAGGAAAATAGAAAGTAGGGGAAAGTAGAGAGATGAAAACGTGCAGTAGCAAGCAAAGGGTCTCAGATCAAACTGAGAATGGCAGTGGAGATCGGGAGTATGTGGTGTACCTGATCTTTATGAAGATTCGGTGATATGGTGAGGGATAAAAGTAATTGGTACTGAGAGAAAGGAAACAAGATCATGAACTCAGGAAGAAGGAAAACCCACGAGACAGTAGCTCAAAAAAGTAAGGGACTCAGCAGGAGGGAAGGTAAGAGATAGAAGTGAGAGAATAGCGAATGAAGGTGAGAAAAGGGTGAACGATTTGGCCAAGGCAAACGGTACTCAGAAATCATCAGTGGGATGTGCAGAATGGACTTACTTCGTTATGCTAGCACTGAACAGTTGTACTGGCAATGAAGAAAGGAAGTAAGAAAACAATCACAATAAAAGCAAGAGATTGAGAGAGGGCTTGGGTCCATGAATGTGGAAGTAGTAGGTGAAAAAGGAAAGCTGATACTTACAAATTGTATCAAAAGAAATGTTGTCTTGGGATGGTGAAGGGAGAGAAAAGAAGAAAGAAGCAGGAATTCGATATCAGGGTATTTATAGTCTCAGGATTCGGATAAAGATGTGCTTTTGTATTGAAACTCTGAGATAATAGAGAGCTTGTGTCCTCGAAGGTAGTGTGAAACGTGGAGTAGAAGCTGAGAGTTATGCACAAAATGTAAAAGAATAAATGTGTTTTGGATAAGGAGGAGAAAGAGAAGCAGAAAGAAGCAGAACGTCGATATCATGATATGTGTAGCCTTAGTAACTGTACACAAATGCGGATTGTGTAGGAAATCTGGAGTCGGAGGGGCTGGAAGACATAGGTATAAATCAAGATAGGGCTTCGTGTCTATGGATGAGTGTAAAATGATCAAATTAAGCCGAGACTAGCAAGCAAATCAAGCAAAAAAAAGAAAAAGCAAAAGCAGAATCTCGATATCAGGGTAGTTGTAGTTTCAGTTCCTGCATATAGATGTATAGATCGGGAAAGGAATTGAATCTATAAGCGTAGAAGGAGGTTGAGGAACGCCATGTCTTACATGCAAGCTTTAGTAAAAAACCAAGTTTGTTTCGACAAAGAGGGGAAAGTGGAATGGAGAGGGAAGAAGAAAGAAGCAGAAATTCGATATTAGGGTGTTTACAGTCTCGCGTTCTACATTCAAGCGCGCTTTTATACAAAGTCCAAAGTTATCTAGATCAAGATAGCGCTTGGATGTATGAGAACAAAATGGAATGGGGTAGGGAAACTAGGGCTTACACATAAATCTCAACGAACATGAAATCCGTTGATACAGAGGGAGGTAAAAGGAGAAGCCTAAGAAGGACTTTCAGGGTAAAAGCCTTCATAGGCTCAGGTTTTGCACATAAATACACCTTTGTAACACTTTAAGATCACGAACATTTTATGTTCATTGTGTACTATAAGAGGCGGGAAACAAATCCTTAATTACAAAGTTCATCAAGCAATGTTTATTGATAAAGAGGGAGAGAAGAATGATGATGGAGAAATTCGGGACCAGAGGATCTGCCATTTCGGGCTCTGCATACAAATAGGCTGTGTATAAATCCGAAGTTACGAAAATAAGATATGTGGACAACAAGAGCTTTTCTCATTAACTGCGTAGGAGAGGAAGCCAGGAGTAACCTAGAAATTTTGCTAACAAAAAAGGATAGTATCTTGCGGAAGAGAGAGAGGGAAAACAACAAAGAAGCAGGAATTCTAAATCGGAATATGTATAGATTCAGGCTTTACATATGAATTTGCTTTGTTTGAACCCCCTAGAGTCATGAAGGACTAGACGACATACAAACCAAGGGAGGGCTTACATTCATCAATTCAGTATAGCACGAGAAAGAAGAGCCGGGGTTGACATACAAATTCAATTAGGAGACGTCGGGAGCAAAGCCCTGGCGGTAGACAGTAAGTATAATGGAAAAAGTGACATGGTGAACTCACCAGCTCAAAAGAGAGGCATACGAAAATCGAAACATCTAAAGCCCAAATAAAAGGGAAGAATCTACGGTGGAAGAGGCCAAATAGTCACAAAATATTATGGAATTATGTATCCACATAAGAATCTAAACATTAGAAACAGTCTAACATTTTGGATAGTACCCGGGCCCGGGACTGTAATCAAAACACAAACACCAAAACAAAGATATTCCCATGATATAACCAAAATAAACACCGGCTGAAAAGGGCAGACAAAAATACAAAAACAGCAAAAGCAAAAAAAATCAAACACCTTAACATAGAACAGCTTCAAGAGCTTCGACGTCGCCGCCGGCGCTGCGCACAGCCCTCAATGCGGCCTCGCTCAGCTTGCGACGTCTATCACGGGCTTCTTGCTCGCGACGAGCCTTGGTTTTCGAACTGCCGGATGGGGCAACACCGGTCAGGATCTTCTTGCTGTCATGGGCGGTAAAGTTGACGAACGATACGCTGACAGACTTGTTTGCGCCTCGGGGGGATGAGCCAGATGCCTTGGCTGGCTTGGGGCCGTTCATGCTCTGGCCGGAGAGCTTGCGGCTGTGAGTGCGGCGATGTGTGGGTTTGGAGATGGATCCATTTCGGGTGTCCTTTGGTGAAGTGCCAGCTTTGGGGGAGAGAGATGGTGAGCGGGAGTGGTGGACTTGGGAAGTAGTGAATGGTGTGACGAATTTTTGGGTGTGGGCGGGGAGCATATTAGATGATGAGAATGATGAGTCCGCAGACATATCAAAGGAGGGGTCGAATTGGATCATGAGGCCTCCCTGCATCATATCATGTTGGCTTCCAACGCTTTGCATGGAGCGGTGGGGTGTGGGGGATGTAAGGTATGAGGCGTGTTGCTGAGCCACGCGAGAAGGCATGGGTGACCACCATTGGGCATCTTGGCCATGGAGATCAGGAGTGAAGGAGATAGATGAGGCATGAAGAGGATCGGATTGCCAAGAGGAGAGAGATTGAGGGTCAGATGAGTGAGATGAAGAGAAGATATCGTCTGCAGAGGGAGGGCTGGAGTTTGTCAAGGTAGATGAGCTTGGGTGAGCAATATATTGTTGCTGTTGGCGGGCTGCGATGGCGGCATTTGGTGATGGCATTGAGACTGAGGGTGACTGGAACAGTCTTGCGTCATATTGAGGAGGCATCTCTGCCGATTCTCTGGACTGGTTCATAGTTTGGTCGGTAGGTAGATTCTCATGCTGAATGAGAACGTCTGATGGAGGGGGTGACAACGGCAGACGATCTTCTGAGCCATGGAGACTGAAGTTCTGGAGTCGCTGGGCCCAACCCTCAGGGTATGCCATCCTTCCCTTGGAAAGGTTGGAAGAACGCAACAAGCTGGGGGAGAAACTTTGCTTGCGCAGCAGCGAGCGACGCTCATTCGGGCTGCGATGGCGGATAGACTTGGGAGTGATGAGAGCGCTTTGGGTAGCTTTGCGTCTAGGAGTAGCAGGAGGAGTAGACGGCGATGTGGACAGGCCGTTTGTTGCTGTAGGACGGGAGGAAACTTCAAAGTTGTTCAGATCAATGTCTGAGATGGTGGAAGGGTGGACGGTGTCATGGAAAGCAAAATGATCGCCGGCAGCTCCGTCGTCCTGCAGGGACCACTCATTACTCCAGGGTTGCGGTGATTGATGGAGTTTAGAAGTGGAGACAGTGGGAGAGATATCGCCACAGTCACTTGATAGTGAGTCAAGCGGGAAAAGCTGGTCAAAATCACCGGACAATGAAGAATCTTTGCCATCAGCAGCTGAAGTCTCCATGTTGACGTATTGGTTGAACAAGTCATTGAACGAATGATCGTACTGTTGGGCGAACATCTTTCCGTTTGCGGCGAAGTTGGAGAGAATAGTGTAGTCAGCGACTCGAGAGTTCCAAACGAGATGTGATTGGATAACCAATGATATCTAGATCTGGCAAGGTTTGGGAATAGTTCGGGGGATCGACCCGGGTATCCGAGATGCAAATGGTGCAAAGGATGCAAAAAAGAAACGAGTGAAAGTGAATGTTTGATAGTTTGTCAATCAAAGAAAACACTGCAGATGATGCAAAGAAAGCAAAGCAAACAAACAGATGCAAGCCCTATTTGAATGGCTGCCAGGGACACCAGCCTCGAGAATTTCTGGACACATTCCAGCTCTAAAGATGGACAAGGAATGTGCTATGAAGGGTCCGGTTGGCTCCTGATCTACTCCACCAACCCCCCAGAAGAATGATTCAGGTCTCCGCAAGGCATCTAAGCCAATCGTAGACTGCGGGACTCATGAGGGGCCGACAGAGCTGTCAATCTTTGTCAAATTCTAGAGGAGCTTGCTGAACAGCCACCCATAAGAATGTAACCCTATATCACTAATCCAGAAACAGCGGGACAAGGACCAGGTAAGCTGATGGAGCGGGTCTGTAGAGGACTCAGGCATGTCAATTTTAGATATCAGCATTACTCCAATGCCAAAGAAGAGCATGGATCGAAAGGCTATGTCCGAAAGTTGGGGATTGGTCAAGGAACCAGGACCAAAAAAAATTGTAGTGTAAATCTGTTAGGTTTGCCATCTCAATGTAAGCGTCATGGTAAATGTAGTCCAATCATCAACCGCCCAAAGAAGACTGGGCGAAGGTAGGATCGGCAGCACTCTGTACTCTGACTATTGTCATCCACTTTATCATTTGTCAATTCAAATTTAAAGTGGATGATATTGCAGCCAATGTCCTGATCATGATAAGCCATCCGGAATGTGGACTGGAATGTAGAGAGGCTGGGCGGAATGTAACGCCCGCTTGAACAATGCACAGAAGAATTTGCAGCATTCGAGAAGGACAGATCTGCCCTAGAAGCCTTGGAAGCCCTAGTACCCCTGATCGGAAGATTTGCAAAGCTTGACCTGCACAAGATCGACATTATTTCAATCTAACCCCATGTTCTATATTTGGAGCATGATCGAAGCGCTCAAGATAGATAAGTCCATGTTCGAATGCAGTCAAATCAGTCTGAGGTTCTTTCAAGGTCAAACGTCTGTTTTTTCCATTTTGGAATCCATGTCAAAGCGCGTCATTGAACTTGAATGCCTGTTCCTAAATGACTACATTAGCCCTAGTCCACTAACCAATTGTTTCGTTATTTGATCGGTGATTTGTATCGTGTCTACAGAGTGTGTAAGTAGTGTTGCTGGTTTGGCTCTTTTTTTTAGCATTGAATCGGAATTTCAAAGTAGGATTGGCGCATGAAGTAACCTTGAAAGATAAACCCTGCTGCATAAGAGAAGTGAGCTAAATTATTGGTGTTATATAACTACCAATGTCTCCAATATTGTGTTAGGCCGACACTCTAGGCGTGTTGGGCTTCCGATAAGCCTCGAACGCGTCAGAGGCGCGCCATTCTTCAAATAGTGATTAAAGTGAACCAAGGCGGCTCAAGCGAAATCCAAAAACAGATCCAAGGACGGGGGAAGTTGGGGAGAAAGCGATAAAGCAGAAGTGTAGTGCGTCGGTAGTCCCTTACGCCATTAGTTGGCAATATATGCGTGGACAAAGAGATATTGATTGGATTTTTCTTGAAAAATTATGATGGAGTCGCTCCAAAAGAGTGAAATGAAATGAAAGGGTCGGACGGATATGCGAGACCAGGCGATAAGTCATCGACAAGTCAAAGGCCGACAGAGTGTTCTACATAGTGAGGCGTGACGTCTTCTTCACCTTTGAGGGTTGCAAATTCTATCCATGCAATCATATATTGATGTATTCATATTCACATGCATTGTTGGAATAGTCTAGAAATAGATCAATGGTGATTGAACAATAATAGAAAAAGAAACAAAGAAATCAGGAATGGACCAACACAAAGAAAAGAAAAGAATTCCAAAGTTGCCGCATGTGCCCAGTTTCGGAGGCTGACTCAGATCAAAATCCGGGTATTGACTTCATCTTCGGTGCGGCGAATCTTCACATTTTCTCTCTTTCTTCCAGGGAACTTTGAATAGTGACCTTAGATCTTTAAAACAACTCTTCATTACTGCATTTCGTGCAGTTCTATTTTTCTTTCATCTCCTTCCTCTGTTATCTTCTTTTTAAGAATCGACTACTGAGTCACCCGGTTCTTACTCCCCCTCGTCAGACCCCGCGGAAGAACGGGTCATTCGCCTTATTCCTTTCCTTCTCCGAACGTTTATCTCCTCTCCTCTCCGGTCTCTTGTCGCAGAGAAATTCCATCCGTGGAACCTTTATCGCATCCTTGTGATACTTGATTCCCCAACATTCCCAGCGCCGTTTTCATCGCGTCGCGCACACATTCAACTTCACCCTTGCCACCTTCTTGCACCCTACATGCATCTCGACAAGATTATTGACTCCCACTACATCCGTGACCGAGACCAACTTAATTCAAAGTACCACATCAAACAGCACCAATACTCCTGTTGGTCATCACACCAGACTAGCGAGGAAGCGCACTCCTACATCCAACTTTAAATCAGTATCGAAAAACCATGTCTTCTTACAACATTCTTGCTGGGGCCAACCCCGTCAAGTTTCCTTAAACTCTTGCACAACTACCGTGTGCTCATTATGGATTTTTCTCCGTGCTTTGCAGGCTTTCGATGCCCTTGCTTTTCTCTTCTCTCAATTCCGATCCACTGATCGCATCTGCTTGAATCCAAATCCCCAAAACACCTTTACTTGTCCACCAGTCCTTTGATCCCGGGCTCTAGGACTCGGTCTTTGGGCACTTCAACATATTACAACCAAGAAACACTCTGCTGCAAACATGGACAACTCAACCACCGCGCATATGAGCAACCCACCCGTCCACCGAGGCTCGTGGGGCTCTACATCTTCAGCCTTCTCCAATATCGAGATGTCCTTCTCCCACGACAGTTGCTATGGCTCAGATGAAGTATCGGTCACATCAAACGGTACCGCCCCTGGACAGTCGAATGGTTCGACTTCCACCGCCAAACAATCTCTTCGCCCTTTCCTGAAATCGATTCTCAAAAATTCTTCCGCCATGATTGAATCCGATGAAGAGTCCGATTCGGAATCGGGCTATAGCTCAGATGGAATCGATTCAGAGTACGATGCACTTTCCGATGAAGAGGAGGAAGATGATTATATGTCTGACTTCTCAGTCTGGGAGGAAACTTCTCGAGATGCGCCTGAGACGCATGAAGATCATACAGAGTCGTTTGATGATGTCTTCATCTCCTTCGAGGAGAACTCTGTACGATTCGCTCTTGAAGTGCAGTACATCGACACCCCGGAACTATCCGATGACGAAGAACCTGCTACTCAAATGACATGTCACGAGATGATGATGCTTGCACGGAATTCCAGCGGCACTCAAACACTCTTGGATCAGCTCGACAAGATGGACATCGGCGACGAAAACGAGGTTGTTCGCAAATCTACCAACCAGCCTGAAGAGTTTTCGCGTGATGCTGTGGATCTGGACCGCAGTCTGTTTGTCGCTTACATGAATGGAATTCACGGAGTCACCAACAAGACATTCGAGGAGCAGTACGAAACATACCTTCGAACCCAAGTTGACCACATTCGCTTGGGTAAGGACATCGAATGCATGAGTCCTGACGATGCGCCTTCGTTGTACCTCGACCTCATTTCTAGCCATGTCATCGGCACATTTTTCAATCTACTCGCCGAAGACGAATTGAACGAGTTGATCACACTCCGCGCAGAAGAGCAGATCGGCGAACAAGAAGATTCAATTTCATCAACTCTCAACTTGGACCACCACCAGGTCCTCCTGAACAAGATTGAAAAATTCCTCATGGAAAGATTAGCAGATGGCCTCGTCGATGTCGCTCCCGACGAGTTGACCCTCTTTGCGGGCGGTATCGTGCATGACCTCGATGCCAAAACATTGCCTGCAAAGGTTTGAGACCTACTTGTTCTTCATAGAAAGAACAACACGACTTTACGATTACGACAAAACACTTTCTGATTCGTCCTGGATAGGCGAGGGGTACAATGGGAAGGCTCTTCAGCCAGGAAAAGCAATTTTTTGCGGGTTGCTCTCGGGCTTGGATTTGACAATGGTCATTCATGTATTTTCCCGACTTAGCACTTGATTTTCAACAACACTTTCAAAATATCCAATAACTTCCGAAGTAAACAATTGTAAGACTACGTCTCCGGATGCATGATAGCTGAGCCTACGCTCATCTTAATTCCCGAGACATCTCACAAGACACTAGCCAACTTCGAAAATATTTGCTCCTGCTGACCTTCGGAAAACGTTGAGTGTTAGGGGCTTCGAAAGGTACAACTGCCAATGCAATTCCCGTCCTGGGCATTACACTATTTGATGAATTTTGGGACAGTCTTACGACAGTCTTACGCAAATCGTCAGAACCTGGTAGGTGGACTTGTTTCGGCGGCACTTGATCAGCCGAGCAGATACGAGGATTGCTGACGCAAATGAAAGCATTTGCTCATGTACTTTTCGTGCCCAGGTGTCTACGCGTACTTAGTCAGGTAGTAGATGGTACATAGGACTGGCGGCCTCCAGAGCCAGCACTCGTTGGGTATTGATTTTTATTCATCTGACTACGGTAACTCCTTGTATATATGTAAACTGAGCCCACCACTGAACGCCGGCACTGATTCCTCGCCCAAATGCGTACATCTAACCCCGAGAATACACATTCAAAGAAAGTCCGCCAGGGGAAATCTGAAACATATGTAAATACAGCGGGTGCAACACCCAAACTCGGCAGGCCGTCACCCGGTGTTTCGGAAATCCTTGACCCCTGCCACTTCCCGCTTCCCCATGCGCCATTCAGCTTTCAGCTACACCTTGACACCTTCATCTAACCATCTGACATATCCGCCAATTTCCTTCACAATATAGCAAAAGGGCCTAGGCGCTAATCGGTGTTACGGTCATAGGGCAATTCTACTTCCTGTCGCATGAGGTAGTGATGGGACCATGGTGGATTTGGGGGTGGCCAACCTAAGTGCTATTATGACTCGCCTACGTGTGAGGGCTTGTTACGGAAACAAACGCTCTTCGCCCTATAGGAGAACCTTCTGACGTCTCCGATTTCTCTGCTCTCCGGTTCTTCACTTATGGGACCTACTAGTGAGCGGGGAGCTATCCACTTGCTCCTGGAAAGGCTCGCAGGGGCGGGATACCGGAATTTATATAGTATTGGAAAGCGTATTGGATAAAACTCAGATCTTAAGGCAAACATAATCCGATGATGAATAATATAGGATGGTTACTGGAGTAGGAACGGATTTGCTAAGGTCTGGGATCTATCATGCACATTCATGTGTACGAAAGAAGTACCCCGTACTTGGGTTGCATCCAGAGATGCATTGTGAGGGACTCAATGCTTAGTGATAGATCATATACAACGTACATTGTGAGCCGTCTTATGCATGGCCAAAATGGAGGCGTCGACTCGCCGTTTTTAATTTAATCATCGATCTCAACGGCGTAGAGCAGAGCACAGACTAACTATCACGGGGAGAAAAGGTAGATAAAGGTCGAGTATATTTCTAAAAGCTACAGAAAGGAGTCGACTTTTCCAGAAAAAATCTTGATTTTGATTCATTTTGCTCTTGTCGCGTTCGGTGGGGTGCATTGACGATCACATTTTGTGGGATATTCCGCTGTGTATCCCGTGGAGACAGCGAGTTGATAGTCGAGAAAACAGTAGTACATGCATATGAAATCTCCGTTCTATTCTGTACAACACAACGTTTTAGGATATCACAATATGATAACGAGTTATATATGCGGGCAAAAGTCCATAAACCCAGAAGAAGTTCACGCATGAACTAGCTCTTGACGATCACGGCAGAGTCCTACTATATTGTACGTAGACTTGGAGTCTCCGTACACTAAGTTGTATGTTGTGGAGCTACTAACTAGCTATAGCGTATTGCCATGTGGTTTTTGATAGCAGAGAACAGAGTGGAGCATTCTCCTTTTCTAGCTGTATGGAGTATGATAATATTATTATTGCTCGAGTAAGCATACAGTGTTTGGCAGCATCTCCACATTTTCCAGGGTCAGGGGTATTTCCGAGTCGAGGCTTCAGGGGAACCAAGTTTTCGAATGGCGATCATAGTCATAGCGACGCATGCTGTGGTGTGATGGGGTTATTGGAGATGGGAAGATGGGAAGTCGTGGGGAGGTGGGTTCCCGGGAAGTAAGACTGAGAGTATGATTTATTATTTCAAATCTAGCTACGTACTCCGTCGTGTTTTATGATCTCGTTATCTGGGTTAGTTGAACGTAAGCTGAGCTTTGGACTTTTGTGTTGAGTGTATGCTGGTGCCTTCTGTACAAAATTGTAATAATCCGAGTGTCACAAATCAAGGGAGTATGCATTCTGATGAAACATGAGGGTCTTGATATATCTTTGGACTTACCTTGAAGTTGAAATAATGATTTGTGCGCATAATTGTTAGAATGAAATTGTGCAAGTGTACAATGATACGTTAAGTTGCTGCTAGCAGTTAGTACTAGGTATTTCTCTGGCCCCGCCTTGATCAATATACCAAAATTGTAATTTCAGAGTAAGATAGCAAACTCAGCTTCTTATTTGCTTAGAATGTGTTCATCCAAGGAACACTTGAATCAACTTTTATTGGGTAAGTAAAGAATTCGATAGGAGGTTCCAGGGTTGAGACTTATATGGGTCAGGTACATGAGAAGCTAACTAGGTATCCGTGCTTAGTTAATGATCATACGGAATCACCTAGACATACGTGTTTAAAACATGCTTTAACCTATAAAGTAATTACACGGAGTACGGAGTACGGTGTACAATATTATTGTACTTTTCTAGAAACTTTTGCGCCACAACGTGTTGGAAATCGATACTTTGACGCTAAAGAACTGCACTAATGGAAAGTGCCCCACTCAAAAGATACCCCTTTCGTCCACTGGTGGGGGGCATTTCCAATTGTCGGGATACTGAAATATCATTCAATTCCAGATTTGAATCGCTTTCCGAGACCCTATCTAGGCGATTAATTACTACAGAATGTAAGCTAATCATAAAGACCTTATATAAAATTATATTGTTTCCTGTCCTTATGATCAAAATAAAAAAACGCAATAGTGTTGTTGCTAGACTTCAAAGGCTAATTGCGAACCATGAGACACTGTGAAATGATTGGCTGTAGACATAAACGGGGCGTGCTGATCGCTTTCGGTACACATTTCCATGGTACACATTATCATGGAATGAAACAACATACGGTTGTGGTCAGTTATGAGTATCTCACAAATTATAGTATTACTAGTATATAGAGAAAATCAGACAAGACATCGAATGAAACTTCATTGAAATGTTGCCAAGTCCAGATCGAAATCGACTTGAAATGAGGCGTTTCAGCTGCGCAGAATAGCTTAAAAAAGGCGTACCGTGTACCGATCCACAACATCGTGCCCTTCCATAAAATCGGTACCTTCCAAATTGTCTCCACATGGGGGGCACTAAAGTTGGGTTTGACCTACTCCTGAGTCGGTCTTTTCTACACTGATTTATTTACGCTGCTTCACGCTTCAGCTTTAGCTTTACGCTTTCTGCTTTCTTCGTTACGCTTTCTGCTTTGCTCATACGACATGTATATCAGCGCAGTATATTAAACGGGTGAGTTGGAAACCCACCTCTAATTTGCACACTGCGCAACCTCAACGCGCAAAGGCCCCTTTCCCGATCTTACCTTGTCAGATGCTGACTTCTGGGCGCACAGGATGATTTAGAATCGACGGTTCGCATAACACAAAGAAAGGCAACCGGAGCCCTCGAGAGACTCGACTTTCTCACAATGCAGCCCTTCAAGCCCGACTTCCTGGATGCCCGGGCCTTATCCTCCCGCTCGCGGAGTCCCAGTATCGTGTCCAGCGATTCATCTCGAGTCAACCTCATGTCCCCGCCATCCGTGAGGCCCGCCCCAGGGTTTATCTCGTCATCTGCAGCTTCAGAAATTATCTCCGCCGATCAGGAGTTCGCCTCCGACTTTGCTACCGGCGCCACCGCGCTGGTAACACCGGCTGCACTCCAGCTCTTGAACGGGTTCCTGGATAATTTCCTATTCAATATTCTTGCCTCTTCCAAATCGACCCAGCTCGCATCCATTCGAAACGCTATGGCCGATGTGCTGAAACCCCGCCTGGCTAAAGAGGTCGTTCAGGCGGCCGAGGAAGAGCTCAGTGAATATATGGGCGGGGAGGAGGACGAGCAAACCGAATTTCGCGGGGGACAAGAACCTGGCGGCGACTTTGATCTGGTTCGGTCATGGAAATTGACCCGATTGAGATGTATGGTCTACACACGCTTGGGCGACATGGAAGAAGACGACGAGGACGAGTATATTGCGGAGGACGGTCTTGGCGAGACCGACGGGGCACCCCGCAGATTTACCAGCCACGTCGACAATATTACGCCTGCAGCGTCTATTTTCCTCACCTCGATTATCGAATGGATTGGCGAGCGTGCACTTGTTATCGTTGGCGAGACAGCTAGGTCTCGGTTGTTGGCACAGCTCAACGACAGTGATGAATTTATCGGACCCAACGATGAGCGGAAACGAATCGATCAGTTTGTGGTGGAAGATCTCGACATGGAGAAGTTAGCTCTTAACCCGACTTTGGGTAGACTTTGGCGTACTTGGAGGAAGCGCAGGTAAGCTTTGATTTGTTGACTCGTTGGAATTGAATTAAATCCTAACATCGCAGACGCGGAACCACTATTTCTGGCACTCTATCCCGTGAATCGTTCCGCCGTCGTGGATACTCGATGGGGAATAGCCGGAAGAGTAGCATTGCGACCATTGAGGAGCCGATAACTCCCAGGGAGCCTCTCCCTGGTGATGTACAGGCTGCTGAAAGTGCGTCTAAATATCAATGGCCTTCTGAGCCCGTTCAGCAGTCTGTTCTGCTGCAGCAGGTTGCTGCAGCAGTCCCTCTGCCCATGTCGGATTATGACGTCCAAGAGATTGAGGTCCCGGGTTACATTGGTGATATGGAGGAGGCGCAGACCATGGAGGCGGTGGTGGCTCACAAGGTCAGACCACGCAGTCTCATGGTCTTTTCGTCGCCTTCTCTTCTTTCAAAATCTTCTGGTTCAGCGAATGGCTCACCCGTTAGTGCATCAGCCATTGAACCTGCTAAATCGATCCGTCATATTCGCGCAAGGTCTCTGCCAAATGGAGGGCCGCTCCCCACCCAAGAGGATCCGGAGTCCCCATTAGACCAACCATCGCCCACTCCATCCGAGAAAAAGCAACTGGAGACTATGTATGAGGATGACGAGTCAGCAGAATACGTAGATGCAGCGGAGGATGCAGCAGAAATGACCCCTGGCATTGCAGGCACCACAGGCCACGAAGATTCGCAACTGCCCGAAGCTGCAACAGAAGCTTCCGATAATGCGAGAATGTCCATCGTGCATGAAGAAGGGGAGGCGCCTCTAGCGGTAAACGAGATGGTTGCATCTTTGCGCTCTATTGCAGCTGATGACGAGGAATTGACGGATCAATCCAATAGCGCTCGCGTCTCCATTGCATCCCTGGATGATCGACCAAATCAAAAAGACCCGGAAGTAATTGAGGGCACTGGGACATGTGGAAAGCCTAAATTGACTTCGACGATACATCGCCCCAAACGCCAATCGCCTAGGGATGCAAGGTCGATCTCTCCTGCGGAGAGTCAGCCCCTAACGCAAGGGGTGGAGACTATGTCACTCCCATCTGCGGCACCATTCGAGGCTGTCACTTCTATTGATCAAGATGCGACCGATCGAGATCAGAACAAAACTATGATGATCTCCACTCCTCCGATCGGGTCTCCAAAAAGCAAAGAAGACAACGAACTCTCAAAATTCCAAGATTCCCTCACCCCTCTCGAAAACTCTCGCCCGTCTTCTGTTTCAGGTGATTCACAACGGTCCAAAACTCGCCCTCGGCCTGCTCCTTTGGTGGTCACGACCAGCAACAGAAGCTCTTCGACTATTGAGCGAGCAGCTGTTCAGCGCATGGCTATCCGGCCATCTCTGTCAGTGTCTTCCTCCGTTCACAATAAATCGCGTCGCTCTGGGAGCTTCGGTAGCGCTCGCGAGATCAAACGCCCAGTCACTGCTGGCTCCACTACATCACAAGTCTCAAACAAACTAAAGGGTCTCATGGGTCGACCACACGGTGATGCGCATTCTGTCCGCATGCGCAGCTCGTCTGAAACGAGTCGCGCGTCTGGCGCCAGTGGAGATTCTGCAGATAACGAGATCGCCGATTTGGACAAGTTGATCAACAGCGACGAGACAATCCACTTCACTCTTACTCCCAAGAGTGTGAGGGAAATGACCTTCCCCGATCCACCCAATCGACCGATTCCTCGCTCATGCACTACGAGCGCCGGTGACGCGCCCGAGCTCCTAAAAACCTCTTCCCCACTAAACGAAGAGAAGCACCGCCCCCATGCTTCCGTTTCCTCCAAGGCAACTGGGGCTACCGCAGGCACTGCAGGTACTGGAAGCTCCGGAGAAATGACTATCGCGTCTCGCACAAGGTCTATCGAGTCGAAGCACGTCCCACTTTCGGCGCGCATCACTCCCACTTCATCAATATCGACATCCAGGTCTAGCAAGGCGGCACAGGCGCGTGATGAAAGTGCTCCTGCGGATTCGACGCGTGACTTTGCAGAATTCATGAGGTTGACTGGCCCTCCTCCCGCGCCTACTAGCGCGCCTAGCGGTGCAACTACTAATGCACCTACTAGTACGCGATCCGACCCGAAAAGATCTGCCTCAACTGAGAAGACCAGGCCAATTCGGTCCCCGTCTAGCCAATCAACGGCATCCCGCGGCAATCGACCTAAGCTTCAGGCTCGATCTGCTGAAACCAATGGGTCCCCAACATCAGACCTCATCGATTTCATTCGCGAGGGGCCACCCATGCCGGCGGGTGCCCATCGAATTCCTCGAACTGTGGCACCTTTCCGCAACACAATCGATTCCGATGACCTGCAGATAGACAACACCAGTTCTGCCGCCAGTACTGGTAACGGGACTACGCCCAACAAGTCCTTGTCTTCTCTTGGCTCGCGGACGGGATTGTTAGACTCGGCCAACCAGAACAAGGCCACGGCTTCAGGGAGCGCCATGGCCTTTGAAGATCCCCAGCCGCCTGCCCGAAAACAACGTCGCGTTCCAGACCCCTATGCGATTGACGACGATGACGATGACGACCTTCTGGAAGAGCTTCTGGAATTGGAAGAGAATCCCAAGCCCAAGCGTGATGAAGAGAGCCTAATGGACTTCCTTCGCAATGCCCCTCCTCCTCCCCCAGCTGAGCAAGCACCTCAGCCATTTATGTCGTCAGCTCCCGCCTCACAAAATCTCCATGGGGCAGCAGCCATGAAAGCCCGTCTACTCCGTACTTCTCAGAACTCCCTTCGCTCTCAAAACACCCCCACCAAAGTTCAGACCAACTATTCTGCTAAAGTTGGCCAGGAACGCAACAACGGCATAATGCCTTCTGCGTCAAACCGCAGGACTGAAACCAGTGATTTGGCGGACTTCTTGCGGAACTCTGCCCCGCCGACCCCTCCCCAGCCTGCACCAAAGGCAAAGGATGGGGGTATTTCCCGATTCTTCACGCGCCGAAAGAAGGCCGAAGCATAAGGGGTTGGAATTGCCCCAGCGACATTCTCGTTTAACGTCTTACTTTGCTGAGCGTTCTTCTATCATCTAACGATCTACATATCATGTCCATCGCTTCAATCTTTCTTGTTTGGGCGACATCGCACCCTTCTTTCTTATTTCATTATTTTCTCATCTACATAGAGTTATGTCTTCCTATCATTGTGTTCCGTGGTTACGGTAAGGTGGCTATTTCTTCATCATCTTCATATGCGGTTTTCTTGCGCTACTTTCTTTCTCTTTACTATTCTACGTGCAACATCGAACGACTAATACGGCCGTCGACCTTTTTTATTTTGTTCGTTGACTGAGATGTCCTGTTTGCCTTCGTGGATTTTTGAGATACCATGCTTGTCCTTGTGCCATTGTAAATCTTTGGCCATCAGAAACAATTCCATATTATTTTGAACATTAACCAACCAACTATGTACACACAAGCCATAAATAAAGGTAATTGAAATATCATTGTCGACTGGGTGAAAATCCCACCTTTTGTCGAACTATATGATCCGTCCCTACTCCGGAATAAAGTTAATCCCACACATCCCCTTACCAGGTGTCATCAAACAGCACACGCATCCGTGTTTACAACCGCCAATTCCACGCCACAACCATGGGCACCTCACCAATCACGCTGAGGAGCATCCTCGGCTTCCTTTTTGTCTTCATCCAGCTTGGCTGTGCTCTTAAGTTTGACCTCACTGCCACCTCCGGCGGCGGCAAGAACGAGCGATGCATCCGCAACTTCGTCTCCAAGGATCAGCTAGTCGTTGTTACTGCTACTGTCGGCGGTACCAAGGGTGATGGACAAAAGGTCAACATTCATGTATGTAGCATTCATGCCGGAGGAGGATGATGATGGGAAGGGGGGCTCTAGTTGCGCAGTCTGGCGTTTGCTTGGACTGCGCTACAAGAACACCGATTCCGATTGATTGAATCGCTGAACCGCGACTGACCATCATTTCTCGATTTCTAGATCAAGGACGCAATGGGCAACGACTACGGTCGTCCCAAGGATGTCGTCGGCGAGACGCGCCAACTATTCACTTCGCCCGCAGACACCGCCTTCGACGTCTGCTTCGAGAACCAGCTCACCGGCCACAGTAAGCTTAAACCCCCTAGCGACAAGTCTTTAGAGAAATGAGGACCAATCGGGAAACATTCACTAACCTAAGCTTCCTCACAGACAGCATCTCGAACCCCACCCGACCCATCGAACTTGACGTCGACATTGGCGCCGATGCCCGCGACTGGAACAGCATCCAGTCGCAGGAGAAGCTCAAGCCCGTTGAGACAGATCTCCGCCGCATTGAGGAAATGGTCGCCGATATCGTTACCGAGATGGAGTACCTGCGTGCCCGTGAGCAGCGCCTGCGTGATACCAACGAAAGCACCAATGAGCGTGTCAAGTGGTTCGCCTTCGGAACTATGGGTATGCTTGTTGGGCTTGGTGCTTGGCAGGTTGTCTACCTGAGGGCTTACTTCAGGTATGTTTATGTTCATGTGGAAGTAAAACTGATTGCTGACATTTTGGCCGCAGATCCAAGCACCTCATCTAGGTTTGTTGGTTGAATCGGTTGCATATTTCAATGATTATCTTTGCTTTTGCAGCGGTTGCATTGCAAATCCCTTTGCTTTGATGTCGAGTGGCATTCTGTTTTAACAGTCATGATCTCAATGATATAAAATGTACACCATGCTTTCTGCAGCCTGGCGCTAATAATATATTTTTCTCTTTGGTGCTTGAATCATTATAATCGGTTATCTGTTAGATGTCTGTGGTCTTCGTGGGAAGTATGCTACATTCTAAGTAATTGAAGGCTTGCTCGATGTGAAACAAAAGCTCTAATCGACACAGTGGCAATGTAGAGATTGATCTATCAAAAATATATAGATCCTACAGCTGTGACAGTCTCCCGCCTGGGCATTAGCATCTTGATATGATACCTCCGCATCTTTCAGCCCTCCTTGCCATTCAAAAAGTAAATAGCAAGCTCCCTTATCGAGGTCTGTACATGTAACTTGTTCTACTATAGATGCCCCTGCATGAGGGTTATATAGGCTAGTGATAGGGGAGAGGTAACCAAGGCACCTATAGGGCGACAACAACTTGTGGAGATCGCTCAAATTTGGATTGAAATCCTCATGGAGTAAAAGTAAAGATGAAGAGAACCTGTGGCTGACATCTTTGTTTGTATTGTCCCCAAGCAAACAGTGCAAACACCGGGCATTGCAGGAGCTTTCCCCCGGCATTACAGCGGATGATGTCAAAGCCGAAGCATCAAATCTCAACTTCTCCCTCGAGGAAATCAGTCACAATCTTGCTGGAACGCTGTACAGCAACATGTCGGCTCCACGCTTAATCCATCGCCTCGCGCGGCCAGTAACGTCATCACTCAGCCCAGTTTCGAGATCAAACCGGCAATTCGGTACCTCGGTTCTACGCCTCAATGCCAGCGATGAAGCTATCAAGGCAAACAAGGAGTATCGCGACAAGCAGGCCAAGAAGCCCGCCAACCAATTTGTGCCCAACACAACGTCGACCATGACGAAGGACTTCCCCAATGTCGGCAAGAAGCCGTCACCTCCGGAGATGCTGAACTCCGTCGACCCCAACTACAGACCTGCCGATCCGTATCCCGGAAGGATTGAGCACTTCACCGGTGGTCGTCAGGATACCGGCGCACAGAAGCCCGAGCTTGGCGTTGGCGAGATGGAGGGTATTACTTTCAAAGTTGAGCCATTGAAGCGTGTTGGAGAGGAAGTTGCGACAAAAAGGGCGCGTCTACTATGTTCGTTCCCCATTTATGCAAGCAGCTGATAAACCGAAGCTATAGCTTCGGTATATCGACCGCCAAGATCAGTAAGCTAATTATATCAATTAAGACCAAAGCCGCAAGCGCGGAATTCTCGAGTCAGACTTGCTCCTCTCGACCTTTGCAGATGTCTACTTGGGTAAGATGAACCGTGACCAACTTATCGAGTATGACCGCTTCCTCGATGAGAACGACTGGGACATCTACTACTGGGCGACACAAGACCCGCCGGAGGATGTTCCTGTTTCCACTCCCAAGGAGGACACTCTCACCGAGACTTGGAAGGAAACCGGTGCCAAGAGTGGTGAATGGGCGCAGACCATCGGTGCCTTTAGAGCGGCTTACCGTCCTGTTCCGTCACGTTGGCAGGGATCTGAGGTCCTCACCCTGTTGAGGGAGCATGTTCGTGATAAGAGTGCTACTGGCTTTGAAAAGGCCAAGAATAAGAAGACTGGTGGTGGTGGCTTGGGCAGAATGCCTGACGTTCAGGTGTTTAACTCCTGAATGGACAGAAAGATCGAGTTCGGAATGAGTGCCGGACTAAAATTTGTACTATAGTTGTCTATATACGTTGTAGGAGGCGTGTATCAAAATGTTGTATATTTGGGGAATACCAGCATTATATTGACAAGTCCATCAACATCAATTCAAAAAGATGATACTCTGGAAGAAAAGTTAAGGAGAAAAAGAAATAGAACACCAACAAATACTCGACTTTTACTTTCGGCCATGGATAACTCAAGATTGAAGATTGTATAGATGTAGGTCATGTGACCTCTTCGCTTAGTTTTAGGGCTCCGCAGAAACCACACAGGATGAAGAGCAAAGCGGCTTAGGGCTTGAGCGGGCACGTCTGCCTCCCCTTCTCGATTTTACTCACCCCCCCAGAGTCAACGACAATCTCCGCCCATCCCTCTCCCTCCTTCATCACTCATTCCCATTATGGCTGAGCAGCTGGTTCTTCGCGGCACCCTTGAGGGCCACAATGGCTGGGTTACTTCCCTTGCCACCTCTCTGGAGAAGTAAGAACCCGAACCTATCCCGATCGGGCAGATTGAATTTTTGAAGGGACAATTTCTGACTTGAATGTTCGATGATAGCCCCAACATGCTGCTGTCCGCATCCCGCGACAAGACCCTGATCATCTGGAACCTTACCCGTGATGAGCAGGCCTACGGTTACCCCAAGCGCAGCCTCGAGGGTCACTCCCACATCGTCTCTGACTGTGTACGTTTCTTCACCCCCGAATGAACCACGCCAAGAAGCCATTGGATGCGACAAATGGAATTGGATGGAAGCATTGGAAAATTAAGAAGATGGAATGGTTTTGGCTGACCGACGGTCTTGTCTGCGTTATAGGTGATCTCCTCCGACGGTGCCTACGCTCTGTCCGCCTCTTGGGATAAGTCTCTCCGTCTCTGGGAGCTCTCCACCGGAAACACCACCCGCACTTTCGTCGGCCACACCAACGACGTTCTGTCCGTCTCGTTCTCCGCCGACAACCGTCAGATCGTCTCCGGATCCCGTGACCGCTCCATCAAGCTGTGGAACACCCTCGGTGACTGCAAGTACACCATCACCGACAAGGGTCACTCCGAGTGGGTTTCCTGCGTGCGCTTCAGCCCCAACCCCCAGAACCCCGTCATTGTCTCCGCTGGCTGGGACAAGCTCGTCAAGGTACGCTATCGATTCCGAAATTCCCTGCAAGATCTTCCCCCGCACTGCTTTGCCCGCGTGATGTTTGCAATAAACGTATTTGCTACTTCAGAGCCCTTCGGGGCCATGAGACAATTTTTCACCTATTTGCCTGATGGGCACAGCAACAAAAAATTTTTGTTTTTTTCTTCTCTTTGAACGATTGGAGGACTTGGAAAAAATTTTCCTTGGACACTTTCATATCATTATGTGGACAACGACGCTGACAATTGATTCGCGTATAGGTTTGGGAGCTCGCTTCTTGCCGTCTCCAGACCGACCACATCGGTCACACCGGCTACATCAACACCGTCACCATCTCCCCCGACGGATCCCTCTGCGCCTCCGGTGGCAAGGACGGTACCACCATGCTCTGGGACCTCAACGAGTCCAAGCACCTCTACTCTCTCTCCGCCGGCGATGAGATCCACGCTCTCGTCTTCTCCCCCAACCGCTACTGGCTCTGCGCTGCCACCAGCAGCTCCATCACCATCTTCGACCTCGAGAAGAAGAGCAAGGTTGATGAGCTCAAGCCTGAGTTCGTTGAGAAGGGCAAGAAGAGCCGTGACCCCGAGTGCATCAGCTTGGCCTGGTCCGCTGATGGCCAGACTCTGTTCGCCGGTTACACCGACAACAAGATCCGTGCCTGGGGTGTTATGTCGCGCGCATAGATTTGAGTTGTTGTAACGGAGCTTGAGGAGCCTCTTTTTGATCTATTGACAAGGGAATTGAAAAAAAGTTCAAAAAATACGGCAAGAAGAGCATTGGTTTGGGATGTATGAGCCACGAGCAATGAAGCACTTCGGGCCGGGACTAAGTCGTCCCCGGCCTGGAGGTTTTCTGACATGTCTAGCTATACTCGATCCGCATTAAATGGAATGTTTGGATTCTTGTGCCGGCATGTGATGTTCTAATACCAGTTAAGGCATCAAAATGTTTCCTATTTTTCTATACTCAAGTCTCCTGGAAAATCTCCCATGTAGCCGCCGTATGTATTCACACTAGGTATTCTATATGTATGTACCCTATCACTATGAGTTTTCATGTCTTAATCCTTTGGATGTGCAACATGATAGATATACAGGAGTAGGTTCGTTTTCTATTTGATCATAATGTACACTAGGCCACATGAACGCCTTCATGAGATACCCATCATTTCTTGGCAAGTCTCTTCAGGGCCTCCTTGGCCATCAAACTTCCTTCCTGGTATCCTATCCCATCAGCCAACGCCTTAGCCTCGGTATAACGCTGTTTGGCCACGGTGGGCTTCTTTTGTAGCTCAGCCAACTCGCCCAAATTGTAAGTCGCAACAACGCAAGTAATGTCACATTCCTCGTCCCGGATTGGCGGCTGAATGTGCGCCGCAACATCAATGGCCTTTTGAGCCCATTGCCGGGCTGACTCGACAGTCTGCTCGGCTGCAACAGGTTGCTGCGGCTGGGACTTGACGGGCAGCTGGACCTGGCCAACTAGAGCGGTAGCAACATCATTGAGCAGCACTACTTGTTTGCAAGAGATATCATTACCCTCAGCGGTACGGATCAAGTCCAACGCACGCAGATACAGCGGCATAGCCAGTTCATACCGCTCCTTGGCAGTGTAAATTGAGGCGAGCTCCGCCAAAGCCGTCGCGATCTCGGTGAGGTTCAGCCATGCGTCACCTGCTGATCCATCGTCGCTGTTAGAGCTACCAACGGGAAGTCCAAGACTTTGACGGCGGTGCATTTCCTTCAGACAAAGCTCTACAGCAGCGACCTGCTCGATCTCGGCTTTCTTATCCTCCTGGATGTGATCGCTGGCATAAAGCTCGCCGAGCTTCATCATTATTCCAACGACCTTCTTCAGCGCCTTGTCCCGCTGGCGGACTTCATACCGGGCCAACGCCTCCAGATCCTGTGCGGTCTCCTGCTTCGGCTCAGTATTGACCTGGGCCGTGGGCGATGTCTTCTGTGCTTGGTCCTGCGCCTGTTTCACCTTCTCAGCGGCAGCAGCAGCATCTCCCGCGCGCCCCGCTTCCACCCAGGCAAGAGTTTCGAGCTTCGTCCGCACCAGCACATCGATGGCCGGCTTCACTAGCCCAGCCTTCTCCAGCATCATAGCAGCCTGAAGTTTAATGCCGAGCACCTCATCCGAGAAGGGGTGGACATCCAACTCAGCCGCTATCCGCAGCGCTTCCTTGTACGCTTTCAGTGCTTTGGGTGGGTTCAGGTCGATCTCAGTGTAGTAGACGGCGGTGCGGAGGGCATCGGCTACCGGCGCCGGAAAATTGTGGTACTGCGGTCCGACACGTGTCACTTCCACATATGAGATATAGGCGAAGGTGAAAGCTCCGCCGACGATGGAGAAGATCGCCAGTGGCATGAGGACAGGGTTCTTGCGCCAAATTCCTTTCGAGGCTTCGCGGTACCGGCGGCCAACCTTTTGAAAGATTGTAAGGTGCCGTGTACCCGTAATATAGGGTGTGTAGAGGGGTTTGGCATTGTTGAAACGGGTTTGGAGGGTCGGCCTCGTGGTACTATTGCTGTATATTGAGCGGGCTAGGGTCTTAGGTTGTGGTTGTAGGAATTTTGCGGCATGGGCGCCGGTGCGCCGTGACGCTGCGCGGAACATTGGGGCTTGTAGCACCAGTGGCTGGTATTTATGGTGAAGTTTGAGATTGCCAAAATTGATGTATAGTATTGACGCAGAGAAGAGAGTGCGGGATGAGTTGATGGACGGAGTCCGCCCTCGATTTTCTTGTGGTCCAAGCTCCGCTCCGCTATATGACGTCGCCCGTTGGAGTAATGAACTCTCCTTCTCATTCGTTTTGATGTTCCCGTTAGATTCAGTTTTGACTAAGAAATAACTAACTTCATATAACACAACATTCTTCGCTCAGTATGTGTGGTCGATACGCTCTGGGCGTGGTAAGTTGAGAATCCCTATCTAGACATCTCTCCAACTGACGATCCTAAGCGCGTGGCATACGTCCGGCAACGCCTGCAAGAGCAGGGCATGCAAGTTGACGAAGCACCGGATGATGATGAAGTCAGAGAAACATACAATTTTGCGCCAGGCAATTTCGGTGCCGTCTACCGCGTTGATATTCCAGCTCAGTGCAACGACAATGCCGGCCAAGATGCGGATAGCGAACACCAAGATCAAAGTTTACTAAGCGCAAATGACAATAAAAGCAAGACTAAGAAGCCCTCAAATGATGAAGCTGTCAAATATAAGCTTCAGAGCATGAAATGGGGTCTCATTCCATTCTGGACGAAGCGACAGCCGGATTACGGATCTATGATGCGCACGATTAACTGTCGCGACGACTCGCTAATTGAAGACTCTGGTATGTGGACTTCTATGAAGAGAAGAAAAAGATGCATTGTTATATGTCAAGGATTTTACGAATGGTTGAAGAAGGGGCCTGGGGGAAAAGAAAAGGTCCCTCACTTTGTCCGGCGTAAGGATGGGGAGTTGATGTGCTTTGCTGGCTTATGGGATTGTGTATCCTACGAGGGTAAGCTTTAACTCTATGGATTTAGGGCACAACTCGGATTGTCGCTAACTTTGCCAAGGCTCTGACGAAAAGCTCTACACCTACACGGTCATAACGACCTCTTCCAATCCCTACCTTAAGTTTTTGCATGAACGTATGCCAGTGATTCTGGACCCAGCCAGCAAAGAAATGAGCACATGGCTAGATCCTACTCGAAAAACCTGGTCAAAGGAGCTTCAGTCGATCCTCAAGCCATATGAAGGCGAACTTGAATGCTACCCTGTCCCCAAAGAAGTCGGAAAGGTGGGAAACAATTCTCCCAACTTCATCGTCCCAGTTGACAGCAAGGAGAACAAGAGCAATATTGCCAACTTTTTCGCCAATGCTGCAAAGAAGGAAACTGCACCTCCGGACTTGAACATGGCAAAAGATGAGCGTCTTACCAAGGATTCTGAATGGAGTGAGGACAATGCTCCAAAGCCGGCGCCTACTCTCAAAAGAGAGCATAGCCCAGAGGAAGTAGTGCACACAGAGGAACGCATACAACAAAAAGTTGATGTCAATTCGAAGGCGTCACCTCATAAGAAGAAGCTGCGGAGTGCCACTCACAACAACCCTATGAAGAAATCCACCGGGACGAAGGCTGCAGCTGGATCACAGCCAATTACTAAATTTTTCAAAAAATGAAGGAGACGGAGACCTTTGATGGTGGAAAATAAATGAATTATTACGATTTGATCAGCTCGGTGTCAAGATAATTGCCGGATTAGAGAGTTGAGGCAGAGATGCCAGAGAATATAATTACAGAGCCTAAAACATCCTTGCTGGAGAATTGGGCAAGCTCCAGCTAAAAAGCATGGTGTTTGGAGATCATTTTTCAAGTTCTCGTAGCTTTTGGACAAGCTTCTCTCTAAGGAAGGGGCTTAACCCAAAACTATGTGAGTAATTAGCTTCGAATATCCTCCCGTATAACATACATTGCCGCATGAAAAGGATAGACTTACATTCCGTCTCGGGTCACGACTCGGTAGGTACCTGTAAGAGTCAGTTTGAACCACTGGGCACAAATAGACTAGAAAACATACCACTCGGTTGATAATTGCCGTTGCCTCCAACAAACTGACCATTCGCGTCCACTTCAAGACTTCCGAACATATCTTCAGGCCTGTATCTCATTAGTACCAGCATCATACCACAAGCTTAGTGAAGCATTGAAACACATACCAAGCGATCCGACCATAGTCGGGCGGCCGCCTGCCATCAGAGACATGAATCCAGCCACCACGTCCACCAGACCCTGCACCACCTTGGCCACTTGCGCCACTGCTTGAGTCTTTGCTCTCTCCGCGGCGTCTTCGCCCCTGCTGGCCGCCTAGAAGTACGCCGCCCGAGCTCAAATTGGCCCCGGCAATAGACACCATGACTGATGCTTGTGATTTGGCGTCGGGATCTTCGACAGCATACTTGAAACAAACTTCTTGAACAATGTTGAGAAACTTGGGATTCTCTTTGAACGAGTCTGTTGTTGGCGGAAGTTGAGTCGTGATTCCAATGGCCAGGTCTGGGTTTACTGGCTCGGAAGGCAACAGTGATAAGATGTGACTTCCACTTGCTGGTCCATTATTTGAATGTACATACTAGCAAGTAATTAGTACTGAGAAGTTCCCCAGAATTTTCAGTACATACTATGTATGGAGCTCCTTCGAGTGTCGATACACAACGAAGCTGGGTCCATTTAGGAAGAGCCTTGGCCTGTCGGCCAAATGATCTAAGTGCGAACATGCCACCAGAGCTATGAAATATCAATTGAGTCAAAAATGAAAGTAAGTAGATTGAAAAGAGTATCAAATGCTTAGGTTGTACGAACAATTATCGTACCCAACTTTGATGGAAATGGAAGGCGGTTTCCAAAGGCGGTGAACATGTACTATGACGATACACACGTGATTATCTCTGTGACGGAGATGTTTGGACTTCTCCGACAACCAGACTCGGTGCTTGTCAAAGTGTTCATGGGAAAGGGGGATCTTCAGATAGATCATGATATTGATCTGTGCACTCATTTGACCATAAAATCTTTGCGCGTTGTCCCACTTAAAACTCACGCCGGTGTGAATTAAGTCGCATTCAAAAATAATCAGTCTTTATTCCGTGCTTCGATTTCTTTATGATACCCATTTCCAGACCAATTGACGGTTTCTAATCTTCTATAAATTTTGATCTCTTCTTGAACCATGGCGACACCATCGGCCAAACCTGGCGCCACGCCCACTCATCTCTCTTCTCCTCATCCCACCTCCGCGCCTTTATCCCGATCTCTAGCCCACAAGTCGCCGTCGATGAGGACACCCACAGGCTCAGGGCCTGCTCAAGGGCATCAGAACAGTATCTCTTCTCATCAATATTCTACGCCCCTCGCTGTGACAAGTGGAGTCGACGACCCTGTTAATTTCAGCTCGCCCTCCGCTCTCTTGGCTCTTGGCGGGTATACTGGCATCAGTCCTTCGCCTGCAGTGCATGATGGTCTTGGTGCAGGTATGAACGAAAACGATATTCAAAATCTCGGCATGCAGGGCATCAAGCTCGGGGTTGCGCGCGATAACGACGAAGAGCAGAGGCACCGCATTGACGAAGTTGTTCAGTTACTGCGTGCACGCGTTTCCGGCAGAGGTGTTTCTCGCGAAAGCGTCGAGCGGATCAGTCGACTTGAAGGGTTTGAATCGATTTGGCAAGATGATAATCTCAACATCGCTGGCAATTTCGTGGATCTGGAGGTCGACTTCTACCCGGGTCTTGATGTCGTCAAAGACGTCAGTCTTCGATACGCTACACCTGAATACACAGAAGGCGTGCGGCGCGAAGAAGCCACCTCTGTCTTGAAGCGCACCCTTGCCCAGTCACCAGAAGACGCTGAACGCGGAAAGTGGAGGTCACTTCAAGAATTTCACGACAATCTACAATGGCTTGCGAACCTTGACAAGCTCAGTCAGGAGGTTAACTGTTTCGAGGCACTCGAGAACCTTGAAGAAAATTTCAGGCGGATTTGGGTAGAGGAAAGCAAAATGGGGAAACACGGTGGTGATTACCAGCACCTTTGCGCGGGTGTCCTCGGGCGGCCCAGAATGCACAAGGGGACGCGAATTGGGCTTGGCTTGGAGTATTGGGTCGAGCAAGCCAAAGTCCTGGATGCAAAGAAAAGACGTCAATCCCCAGATGCCATGGAGATTGATCAGGAACAGGACCAGGGTTCCAATAATGAGCTGGAGGAGCAAGACAGGTCATGGACTGTTATGGTCGAATGTGAAGCGGGATATCCCTCCCTGCGCATCTCCAAGGAATGGGTCGGGAGCGAGGCCTTCACTGCAGGTGAAAGCAACGAATCGCTTCCTTCAAATGGTGCCGCAGGCTCTGTTAACTGGCTTGATCCTCCGCAGACAATGCGCTTGACACATGGCAACCATGATCCCATGGCCCTGGACTCCAGCATGCTTGAGTCATCGCCACCGCACCGCCGTTTCGTCGCTAAGCTCGAGCCTGCACTCGACGTCCCCATCCTCGCAGCCTCGGATATCTATCGGCACCTCGGTATGCAATTACCACAGGAGTTTAAAATGGTCACGTACGATGCGTTGCTAGTGTCAGAGTCTTCAAATTTGTCTTCGTCGGGCTCGTCTCCTCATGTTGGCCAAAGGAAGCGCCGGATGCCAGTGCAAGCCATTGACGCGAAGGGCGAGCAGTACACAAAACAACATAACTATACATTCCAAGCCTTTGAGTCTGTGACTGGCCGTACTATCCACGAGCTGCCATTTTCGCATCCTCGACAACTTGCAGATATTCTTCCGGTAAGTGATGACAAGTCTGTTATCTTTTCTAAACTAATCTCGTTTAGATTCTCCGGCAATATGCATTGCTAGCCAACTTGATCCGGAAAACATTCCAATTACCAGAGAAGGAAAACAGCAATACAGATGGAGCATCAAGCCCAACCCCCAAAAAGCCTCTTGCACCTTCGGTACACACTTCAGACATTTTCGCCGATCAGGATGGTCCTATAATCTTGAACAACGATGACCCCAATGAAGATAGATTAAATGCTCTGCTGGGTTTGAGCAACCCAGATGGGAGCAAACATGAATCTGGAATTGATGCTTCAACTCCCTCCAGTGAAGGATGGAGTCCTAGGCGGCTTTATATGGACCATGTCAAAGTGGATGTCACCCTGCGTACTCAGCTCGGTCAATCGCCTGCTCTTATGTTGCTGATCACAGATCATAAGGACTACAACGAGCATTCTACCTCTGAATCCGTTGAAACTCCCCGTCGGATCACAATTTGCTTCGAAGTTGGGCTTAACGGCCAAATCTCGGTCTTTGAGACAGCAGGATTGGTCGATGGCGGGAATGGCGGGAATGGCGGCGATTCCGAAATGCAAGACACAGATGACTCTAGCTCCGGGGCTAGGGATGTCCAAAAGCAAATTGCTAGAGTGCTTGAAGTCTCCCAAGACTTGGGCATCGTTGTTGAGTGGGTTTTACGCTGGCTGCAGCAACGTGCTGGCAGCGGGTAAAAGCGATGGCGTTGCGCCCACGTCCTTAGACCTTATTAAAGCATTGCTACCTTTACCTATGTAGGTGGCCCAAAATGCTCATGATTAACGTTTCACGTTATGGTTTCGTCCGTGTCAGAAATGTAGTTAATCAGTATTGGTCCCCACTAGCTGTAGTAGTCTACAATTGCTCGGTCATGTAATGACGAAAAGACACGAGGTATACAAGGTGATACCGATCTGGGTATCATATCTCTGGTAACATATCAAAATCCAAAAGGACACAACGATCGTTGGAGTGAGGGTCCAAGTGACAGTCACCTGATCGTGTCCGATATCCTGAGCTCTGGAATTACCATTGATACCTTGCGATCTGTCTGTCTACAAAAACAAAGAAATCAATCACCAATGTCGTTACCCCTTTCTGTATGACAAGGAACTAGAGGGGCTAAACGATGACAGTTGGACAATGTGGCTTTTTTAGGCTCTATATCAAAACACTATATATTCTGACTTCTGATAGGATCCCACCTTAGGTGAGAATTGGGCACTGCTGTATGCGCAACGTGGTGCTAGGTACAACAGTTTTGCACAGCGAGACCCGCCATGTTGATGTGGAGTCGCCCGAGTCACAAGCAAATCTGTGATTTTCTCCTGAGTATTTCAACTGCCGGTCTAAGGTTTTGTTGTCATTTTCTAAGTCCTGCTATATGTACAGAATTGTAGTTATTGAATTTAGTGAATTCAAGGTGCATTATATTGATACTTGGGTTGAGTAATGAATGATCTCACCAGAGCGCATTATATATCCACCAACCAAAATGCACATACGTATGCATGCTACACAGATGTATATTTCTCCGATATCCTCCTGTACCGCCAAAATATACCTATAACCGCCAAAGCCTTTCCGAGCGTAGAACCCGTTTCGTATGACTGCATATGCAGCACCAGTTCCAGATGTGACAGAAAGGACTTCCAATGTTGATTCAGAGTCGATCAGATAAGTCTAGACCTTATGCAATGCGGGGGTTGTGGACCGTGCCTACGACGTGCGTCACTTCCAACGAGTTCATTGCCTAGGATGCCCGGAAAGGGCTAAAACATGACACCATAGATCATGTGCAAACCTGGAAGAACAACGTATACCTTGACTGCTGAATGGGTGAATATAGAGACGCGCCTAGACGGATCTGTGCCGACGTTGTATCTACAGAGCAGAGTTGGGCGTTAGTGAGAGCCTGCGCCGATCGCCTTGACGCTTTGTTTTTGGTTGTCCTCATTCGGTCGATGACCGAGATGTGGTAGGATTTGGATTGTATGAGGTGTTAGATTATGCTTTTCTTGCCAGTAGGTTCGTCAAGTGCAAAAAATGCCTAGGGACCATGCCAAGGCTGGTTATTAAATGGTGTGGGTTTTTGGTTCTTCGAAAGTCTTCAAAAGTAAGTTTTATATGAGGCTTATAGAATGACCATTCGCGAGAAAACTCCAATGTACGTTTTTGGCCTTGAGGCTTTTACCATTGCCCCTTAATGGTAACTATGTCATAGCCTGGAACTAATTCTTGAGAACAAGAAACAGGCTAGACACTATTTGCCCCTCTTTCCTTTTTATGTGCGAAAGATCGCTGTGGATTTCAGAAGCGAGTTTGTCGGGATCTGTAAATATGGTAAAGTAATGTCACTACCCGCTGGGCGAAGCCCAATGTCAGTATAACCTCTTGGCGCATGGACCATGATCCAAACTGGATCCCTAGGCTTGTTGTATGAGAAACACCCATTAGGGTTAATCTACAATGTATAGTACTATAGAGTGATAGAGTCAGATCCAGTAGGAATCCATGTGTCATGAATTACTGTACGGAGTACCCATTTTCAATTCCCAGCATTCCGATGCGGCATTTTGCAGCATAGTTCTATAAAACCCTCAAAAAATGTGTAGATCAGGGACCTTTCGGTTATTCTAGGTAAGAAATGGGAACATATGACCTGCCTCATTTTGATGCGGCTAATAAGAACAAAGCAATTACGTGAATATCAGTTGAATGTGCGATATTCTAGTCACCGCGGTTTGTCACTTTGGCTTAGAACCAATGAAACGGAAGCGATAAGAATGTCTATCTCCTTTTTTATATAATTTGCTTTTTTATATTACATTATTTTAAAATCATTATATATTATATGCAATTCAATGCTTTTGATCATTTGAGATGCACTTGATACATTTGATACTGAAATATCTCAGACTTTGCTAAGTATAGAGTACAATATTGTAATACTACTACTACAAGCACAGCCCCCGGACTTTACCGGTGACTAAGCCCAAATCTGGATTGTCTCATGCTATTAATATACCCGGAGCAATAGCGAAAACAGAAGCCTACTTAGGTATACTCCGTACAATAGTCAATAATGCTGTATTCAGATCTAAATATGACTCCAAGCTAAGGGTTCTTTGGTATCGCACTAGAGCTGTATACCACGAAAACGGAAAACCTGGAGAAATGAGCTTGACAGGGCTGAAGATCGGAACCTCAGCCACCCAGTCTACTTAGATTCCTGAAACTCCCGACAATTGCCTGTCTTCCATTTGCCTACGGAGAAAATATGGGGGAAGAAGATCGAGTCGCCACTTTTTCTTTCTCTGGAGAATCCCTGCTTAACATAAATGTCCCGAGATGCATCTTTGTGTTCCCAAGAATACAACGGCGGTTTTTTCGAGTCCTCTTACCTAAGATTCATCCCCCCAAAATTGCCTCAAAGTCGTGATCCCTATAGTACATAATCGAAACCGCACATATGAATAACTAAAACCCTTTGCCGACCTGTAATACTTCATTGATTCCCTTATCCATGGCCGGTGTCGGGGTGGTTCCAGCTCGGCGGGTCTATCCAGTCTGATTGGTGAATCAACGGGAGTTTCGAGAACGTTTTGCCACGGTCAAACCCCACCGGCCGACTATGACTTGATCGATCCCAGTTGCGTGGCTGGGCTTCTCCATTCGATGGGGTTTTTGCGGAGCGCCGTATTGCACATGTAAACTCCTTGTACTAGAACCGGTCCGGTCTCTACGTGATAAGTTGCTTGTGGGTACCTGTCCATCTTGCTGCAGGAACGTACAGCTACCAACTACAAGCTGAATTGGCTATATCAACAATAGTATATAAACTTATCATTTAAATAGTGTTCTAGACATAACTAAATCTGACATGCCACGCGGAGCTGATAAGGAATCGCACCAATATTATTTGGTGATAGCTCCGACGCGATCTCAGGAACGGAAGACTTAGCCGTTCACGTTGTACTTGTACACCGAACTTCCATCTTTCGCATTGCGCGCGTGATTTATATTCTCAGTTCATCATGTATGTAGTTTGTTGATGTTTCATCTGTGTATATTGTATAGTTACTTCGCACACAAAGAAAGAGCTAGTAGAACAAAAAAGGGTTTATTTAGAATTCATGTTGCGTTTTTCCAGCGTTGATCCGAACGTCTAGAATACACTAACTATTGCGGGCTTTGCAGCTAATATGCAGTCTGTCCAGGGGTCCCGGCGTCGGTTGCTAATAGCCATTGCCAACGTATCACTGGGCTGTACAAGGATAATGTTTACATTTGAGCCTGATCACGGGAAGCGGTCAAGGCTCTCGTATACAAAAGCAATTTACTTTGTGTATCTACCAGATACCAACGTGTTTAGGTATATGTAGTCCATAAAGCGATCGGATAAGGCATGGGGTCCGGAAAGAACGCCGGATAAGACTAAATCTGGCAAGGGGCGCTATACTCGGCTCTACAAGTACTTTATCAAAGCGATATCATTGCGCTATAACCTCCATGGATGTTATAGTCTGATAGAGCTGTTTTTATAGGTCTTATCGGTCCAACGGGAGGAAGGGGATTGATCATATTACGGAGTTTTGAAATTTTCATTTGTTACAAGAACTGACCGCTGATTGAGATGAGGTTCATGTGATTTCCTATCCCGGGTTGATATCCAGGGGAAGGATATGCGGAGACGAAAATCCGGAGAAGAGGATGTCGGAAAGTCTTTCTACAATATTACGGTGTAGAATATAAAATTCAAACAAAGAAAAAAAAACCAGAATCTAAGAACATCCATTGATGGGAGATCTCTCGGCGAGGACCGGTTTGGATGATGCGATTATGACCAGTGAGTGGCGCTGAAATATCCAAGGTCAAAATGTGTTAGTTTCATACCCTCGGTTGTTTGAGGTTTTTATTTTATTTAGCATTCGCATATCGTGTAAACTATTTGCAGCTTTTCAATATTTGAGGCATTAAAAAGTACATATCAAAAAGCAATAATCAAAATAATCCGAATATTGTGCATATGCAAATTCTCGAAAGATTAAATATAGTAATTAAACGAATTAAACAGGATAGTTTCTGAAGTGAGGGCTTTTTGTTTCCCCAACGACACCGGTCTCGGGAAAGAATGGACCATAGGAGTACATCAGTTGCCGACTATATATCCGCAATGTATGAGGTACTTTAGAAGTACTCTCGTAACCGGGAGTTTCAAATACGGTCATAATACCAGACTAAACCTAGAAGGGATCCACGCTTTCCACATTTCCATAATTTCCATTTTTTTTCTTTTTCTTTTTTTGACTTTTTCCTTTTTTCTTTTCCCAAAAAGAAACTCAGCCGTGACTAAATTTAAATATTTTATCATCCCTCCTTTGCCCCTCCACATCTTTAAAACTCCCATCTTCCTCTCTTTCTTGGATTCACTTCCATCCATCTTTGCTTTTACGTGTTTTACCTTTTAAAGGTTGTTCTCGGTTTCTCTCCTTCGGGATTTCTCTTCTACAGACTTTCAAAGTCATTGCTTGCCTGCAAGCCAGAAAATCAGTCCTCACTTCACACATAACCCATATTCATTATGGTACGAGTGCTCTCCCTGGAAACGGATGAGAGAATCCCAAAACTGACTTCTTCTTCTTTCAGGCTGCTGAATCTTCAACTGTCGTCTCCAACACGGGGAATGTACGTTTGATTCTTGTTGCATTGGATTTCCACAATGGCCTTTGAGCCAGAGAGGAAAGACACATACTGACTTAACCAGCTCCTCAAGTACATGAACCTTGACCAGCGTGGTCGCGTTCAGGCTGAATACGTGTGGATTGACTCCAACGGTGGCACTCGCTCCAAGACTAAGGTATGACTCATATTTCAATCCGGTTTGGATATCCACTTGACTGGTGGGGGGTTGCTGCATCTTGTTATCTGGATCACCTCCGGCTTATCTAGCCATTGCGTGGGGGATCCTAGTTTTATCAGCGATGCAGCCACCCGCAGTCACGTGAGATGATCGTTCCTGCACCAACAACGCGCTAACCTTTTTTTCCTTGCAGACTCTCTCCAAGCCCGTCACAAGTGTTGATGAGCTCCCTGAATGGAACTTCGATGGCTCCTCCACCGCCCAGGCCCCCGGTGACAACTCCGATGTCTACCTCCGCCCCGTCGCCTTCTACCCTGACCCCTTCCGCCAGGGTGACAACATCCTCGTTCTCTGCGAGACCTGGGATGCCGATGGAAGCCCCAACAAGTTCAACTACCGTTATGATGCCAACCGTCTGATGGAGACTCACGCCAAGGAGGGCTTCTGGTTCGGTCTGGAACAGGAGTACACTCTTCTCGGTACCGATGGATGGCCCTACGGCTGGCCCCGTGGCGGTTTCCCCGGTGCCCAGGGTCCTTACTACTGCGGTGTCGGTACCGGCAAGGTCTACTGCCGTGACATCGTCGAGGCTCACTACCGTGCCTGCCTCTACGCCGGTATCAACATCTCCGGTATCAACGCTGAGGTCATGCCTTCCCAGTGGGAGTACCAGATCGGCCCCTGCCCCGGTATTGACAGTAAGTTTGCCACCATAGACACTCAACGTGAAGTTTATTGAGACTAATTGATTTTACAGTGGGTGACCACCTTTGGATCTCTCGTTTCCTGCTCCACCGTGTGGCTGAGGAGTTCGGTGTCCGCATCTCTTTCGAGCCCAAGCCCATCAAGGGTGAGTGGAACGGAGCCGGTCTTCACTCCAACGTTTCCACCAACGCTACTCGTGCCGAGGGTGGTATCAAGGTCATCGAGGCCGCCATGAAGAAGCTTGAGGCCCGTCACGTTGAGCACATCGCCGTCTACGGTGAGGGCAACGAGGAGCGTCTCACTGGTCGCCACGAGACCGGTAACATCGAAAAGTTCTCTTACGGTGTCGCCGACCGTGGTGGCTCCATCCGTATCCCCCGCCAGGTCGCCAAGGATGGCAAGGGTTACTTCGAGGACCGCCGCCCCGCGTCTAACGCCGATCCCTACCAGATCACCGGTATCATCGTCGAGACTATGTGTGGTGGCCTTTAAATGGATAAAAGGAATCATTTGGTCTTAGCGCTCCGATACCCTCCGGCGTCAACCTGGGAGTCGGACCAGAGCGACCTGACTGCATGAGGGAGTCCCATAGATGTTCTCTGTTCCTCGCCTCCCTTCCGTCCTTCGTCTCGTGTTCTATCCTTTCTTTTCTCTCGGCAGTGTCCGCCTTCTGCGTTCCTTCTGCCACTCCCTTGTTGTACTAGCCGCCCTTTTTTTTCTTCTTTTTTTTTCTCTTGACTGCCCTTCGTTGGGTAATGTGACACGTACACTAGCATAGAATTCCATGGATGGGACAATCACACCATTCGTTCATCGAGAGATATCATATTGATATCATTCCCCTGGAGAATCGACAAATAATTCCAAGATCAACTTTATACTGACCCTTGCTGACCCTCACTGATTATTGTAAATTTCCGGCTACCAATCAAAAGTACTGAGCTTTTGATTTAGGAGGCATGAGGCTCTTACATTCACACAGCCATGTATTAAAATTCATTGGTTCCCTTTAAATCGGATCCAGATCATGTGGGTGACACAGGATCTCAAACTTAATCTGGTATATATTCTCCCTGAAGTATCCAATGATATCCAATCACAGTAGTGCTCTTGTTTGTATTGCGAAATTACATTGATGCTCACCAGAACAATATTATATTATACTAGTATAACAACTGAAGCGTCTCATTATGTATTCCACCCTCCACAGGACGGATGCACAACTCACATCCGGACTTATTTGATGGAACCAGTTTTTCTAGGTCTAGTAGCTCAGCAGAATGTCGTAGGATATGGGGTAATACTCCGTCGTCAAGTTCTAGGTATGGGATGACTTGAGATGGACGGTGGGGAGGGAAGCGTTGGGACGCGTAAGATTGAGGATATGTTTGTGTTGAGCTTGGTCAGGTTGGGCATACTCGGGGACTGCTTGTTTACATGGACAGAAAGAGCGGAGAGGGCAACTTTGTTGATACTGATACAGAGATTAGAGCGATTTTTATTCCCTTCTATAAGTCTAATCTATAGAAGCCCTGAAGTGTCACACCAAAGCGTAAGCAGCCAGCAATATTAGAAAATTATAAGCAACATAACTTTTACCGTGCCCAACTGCACCCTACTTCACGATCTTCTTTCCACGTCTCGCCCACCTCATCACACCGGCTCCCAGTCCATTCAACCCACGCTGGCGCACCTCACGTCTCCCAGCACCATCAACAGCTCCATCTTCATCCTCGTGACGGTATCGCCCGTCAACGAGGCGCAGCATGATCTCCATCAGCGCCGCGGCCAGAATACTCGCGATCAAGATTCCAATCATGACCAGGTTACTCTTGCGGTACTTCTGACGCCCGGGGGCTTCGTAGTCGCTCGCCCATCCGGAATACAGGGCGTAGGTCGTGAGGATACTGCCTAGGTTGCCTAGGCCAGAGACAACGGCCGAAGCAGCGGCTACGCCGACTTCGCCGTGTCGCGGCTGGAAGATTTCTGTTGTCCAGGTCATTGTGATTGGCACAGTGGGGCCGAGTCCAAAGCCGACAATTAGAAGACCACCGTACCGTGGCCATGGGTTGGCGTCCGAGCCCGCGTAGCTAGTTAGCAGCAGGCCCAAGATCTGAAGGAGAACCGGGACGGAGAAGAAGATTGCGCGGTGGCGATGGAAGCGGTCAGACATCGGGGTGACGAGAAGAATGGCAATGAGGTCCATCTGGATGGTGTTAGCTCGGATCTCACACAGCCGGAGAGAAAACATACAATCCAAATCGGGGCAGTCAGCAAACTCAAATCAACACCGCTGAGATTCGGGTTGATAGCCTGGATAATCAAGTTGGCGTACAACTGGACACCAATTCCAACGCCCACAACACCGAAGTACATAACCAGCAGGGGCCAAAGTCTCCAATCCATAAAAACAGCCAGTAAATCCCTCAGCGTCCACGGCCGAGAATGATACACCCGCTTCATGTCATGGTAATGGACAACGGCATCGCGGCCCGTCAGCGCAGGCTTGCTAACAGGGACCCAGCGCATCAATGCGCTGCGCTTAGGAGCGTCTTCGCCTGGTGGCGTGGGCCGATCAGGAAGCCACCAGAGAAGACCGAAGCCGAGCGCGACGGTGATGACGCCGTAGACGAGGAACATCCACTGGAAGCCGACGAGGCCCTTGGCGCCGTCCATTTTCTGGAAACCGGCGGATACAAGGCCCACGACTGCGGCGGAGACTTGGGATGCTGTGAAGTACTGGCCGATGCGTTTGCCGATGCGCGACGGTGGGTAGAATAGTGTTAGGTAGTAGGTCATGCCGGGCCACATGCCGGCTGTGACAATACCGAGCAAAAGGCGGAGAAGACTAGGTTTGTTAGTTTTAGGTTGGAGTGAGGGTGTGGGCGGTGCGTACTAGAAGCTCCAGGCTGCTTTCATGGCGGCGAGGCAGCTTCCTATTAGCCCGACGCTGATCACGATACGGCTCATCCAGACGTGGGGACTGAGGCGGGTCATGATTAGGTTGGAAGGCAGATCGAAGACCACATAGCAGACGTAGAAGAGTGCTAGACCTGTTGAGATCTGGTGCGGGGTTAGATGGAGGACGTCTGCGAGGTCGTGGCCGGAGTCTTCGTTCATCGTCTGCGCCAGGCCTACGTTTGATCGGATGGCGGAGCAGAGGAAATAGAGAACCCAAAATGCAGAGATGATGCGACGGTCCAATTTTCTATGATAATATGTTAGAAACTTTGAGATATACATTGATGGGTGAATGGCGGGATTGGCTAACCTGTAGATTCGCTCAATGTTGGCTACACTGAATTCGTCGGACTCAACATTGTCGATAGAAGTCTGGCTCTTACGAGCCTCTGTCTGCTCATAGACATCCTCGGAGATGGGTTGCTTGTTCCCATCGACAGCGTTGTGAGGATGTTCGTCCGACATTTTGTCGCTCTATAAGTCTATATGGATAGACCTTTTTGGCCTTTTTGCCAGCTCAGTCGATGATCAACTTGACGCACTGACAAAAAATAGTGCCAATCAAACAGACACCCGTAGTATTGAGTATCAATACTAGATTGAGTCCTGCAAGGTCTGAGTCAGTAGAATTCTATGGTATGTTTCCCTCGGAAACGCTAGAAAAGCTAACAACTTTACCGAGGTCGGGCATCCCGTCACGAAAAGTAAAAACTAAGAAAGGTTTCGCAAAACTTACCCCTAATTAAGATATCGTTCACAGTTTCGTCTGTGAAAAAAAGTAGCAGAGAACTCGACCGCTTTCGGATCTGATAAAATCGAGAGGGGGAGTCTTGGCGGAAAAAAAAACACCCAGACCTCCGATCTTTAAAAGACTATAGCGGTTATGCACGGAACGCGTGATTCGAAACCATCAATATCCGAAGAATCACACCGTGAAGAGAAAAGGCTCCGTTGAGCATGTTGAGGGTGATTCCGGTGAAACTTCCTTCCGAGTATCGGTGCTCTCGTCCCAACACGAGTTCACCGAGTATAACCTTAATTTTATCTCCACTTCAACTTAGTATTTTTTTGTTTGGGAGTCCTAGAGCTTCTAGAAAGTCTAGACAACTCAATCCTGCGTTTATAGTCCCTTGCATAGATCTTCGCTGTCAGAATGCTAGATCCCACATACCGACGCTATAAGATTGCTACAAATGTAGCTAAAATTTCAAACTTATACTTATGTATGCTTGTTGGATCCCTAGTTGGTACCAACGTGGAGCCCTTAGTATAGTTACTTGGTATATCACCTTGCTCGATCAACATGTAGCATTTTGTCAGCACAGGCTCTGGACTGTATACCGCAACTAGATTGGCCAATCGTTGAACCAAGCATTTACCCATAAAACCACTTTCACAAGCAGGTGGTCATACAAAAGTTTTCTTGTGTACACTCCGGGCGCATCCCGCCTAGCCTAACGCCTCAGTCTCATCGTTGGCCCTGACACATTTCTTATTGCGCCGGTCTCGGGGGTGTCACGTGGCATGCCGATGTAGATTCCGAATCGGGTAATTTGATAACAGTGAAGCTGAAGAGGAAATTTGTTATTCCTGGGATCATTATCTAGTCTAGAGCCTCACATGATCTATTGAATATCTGCCAATCTCAGAAAGGGGCTGTATGTTGCCCATTGGGACTTGGCATCGCTGAGTAGGTTTTTAGACCACTCATTGGGGATAGTAAAGAAAGGCTGAAGGGGAGAGAATGAAGGTTGATTCCCAGCTCAACAGAAAAGATAGCCCGAAATGTTACCTAGGCACACATTAATTGGTTCACGCTCAGCTCCCCTTCTAGTACCTTTTATGTATTCCTTCCTTGGTTAGGTGCGCTCCTTTCATGATGATATCTATATATCGGTATGGGAGACCCTAGCTAAATGATCATTATTGTTCATTGTTTCATTTGCGCTACATACATGCTTAGTTGGCCAAATATGATATAGTGATGCTCCCTGATATCAGGGCGACACCGATGAAGCACAACAACGATGCCCCGAGGTCAACATAAGCAAACAGAAAAAGAACGTCAGCTTATTCGAATACTTACAAAGCCATGGAATGAAGAGAAGGGGGGACTAAGATACATTTGTGATAATGCCTGCTCCTAGGACTAAGCTGAATCTTAGCCAGGGGTGGAGGCACTTGGGTTGCACCTTGATCTTAGATTTTGTACCAATTCTTAGTTCTGAAATTTCAGACCACACCTAAGATCTGCTGCTCTTTTGCTTCATAGGGAAAGTTGTGCGCAAGCCTTCACATCATTTGAGGTATTGTGTGCTTCTGCTGCTGCCTGCGCACAAAGCGCTTCCTACTTTGGGCCGAGATTCAATCATGTTTGCTCCTGTGTTATGGTACCCAAGGCAAGAGAACGAGGCTCAGTTCTATTTAAATTTGCTCTAATAACATGCTAGTAATAGTGTCGACATAAAAGGCCGACAGGTATCTTCCTTTACATAACCGAGGCGGTTGGAAGACGGAGACTGCTCGTCGATTATGAACGTCCCGCACGCTGTAAGCTTATGAGCTATTTTGTTATTGTAAGATTTTATTATGTTATTCATATGCCAACCAGTCAGCAATAATTTGGCATGATCAGCAATGTACCATACTGAAAGGCCAGATGCCAAGATTGGACGACGCGAATACATCTTGAAATGTCGATATGATGGCCCAAATTTCAGCAAACAGATGATAGACCTATTACCTTCGAGACTCTGCTATGCATGAAAAATTCTTTTGGATCTATTGTTGCATAATCCCAAAGTATTATATCGTCTTCTAGTCCACAGGAACACACTGCATGAAGATCGACACCGTATGAGAGAAATGAATCACAGGGGTACGAAGCATTCCATTGTCCAATCACATTCGAACAGTCCTATGGACCAGACAAAGGGCAATGCATTGGATAGATCAATAAGAGAGAAGGCGAGTATACTTGGGGATTGTCTCAAAATGGATGTCTGACTTGGTCTACACATTGAGAGCCAAACTCAGGCACCAAGCACATTCATTTTGAACCAATTGTCTCAGCCCTAAATAGATTGATGCTAAGCCTTAAGCATAAAATTGCCCCAAATGCAATGTAAGCGCCTAGAAATATAGAACTCCGATTACTCATCGCTCTTGGTGGGTCTGGATAAAGGATCCGCATGGCCGCGTGTGCAATTGGGACAACTCTGTTCCATTTTTGAGAACCAACTAAGGTGTTGATCTCTAAGTCAATTGCAAAATGCCGTCTTGATTGCCTCATTCTCGCCCCCATCAGTCTAGACTGTAGGCACAAGCCTCCCAAGATTCTATTTATTGCGCGGGAAATCTTCACTTAGGGCACCGGAGTATGGCAACGTACGGCGTATTTGCGGAGGAGCAATGCGCCTGAGATCCACTCGATTCGTAAGACGTTCATTCAGCTTTAGTCGTTGTAGATGCTATAAGTGCATTGTACTCATGTACGCCTTTTCTCACCTATGACCTCACTTTAGCGCCTCTATAGATGTACCTTCTGGTTACCCGAAAAGTCAACAAGCTGACGAAAAGATCGACCGTTCTGCGACAAGTAGATTTATCACTGCCTGATTGAATGATGTGACAAGGGGTACCATTTCTTCCGAGAAGTTATGACGCTGTGAGAGATCGAGAAGATATAAAGGTGCACTCGATGTCGTCCTCAAAGGTATTCAGAACAATCAATCAACTTAACACATCATATCACAAGCAAACAATATATTACAATCTCTAACATGAAGGTTTCCACTATTATGTGCAGCTTTATGGCCGCTGGCCTGGTCGCTGCGGCCCCTCCTGGTCCTCGTATGTGACTCCAAGACAGACAATTCATACCTGCATGCTTCTTGTGAGATGTGGCGAACTGACTCAATATCTAGCCCCCTCTGATATCTCGGGTCCTCTTCCTCTTCCCACTGGTACTGAGATTCCTCCTCCCAAGCATGAGGATGGCAACAGCAACGAAAAGCGCGAGGAGAATCCTCCTCCCGTACCCACCGGCACCAATGGACCTCCTCCCCCTAAACCTGCCGGCACCGACATTCCTCCACCTCCCAAGGAGCAGGGTGGTAACGAGAAGCGCGGAGACGCCCCTCCCCCGGCTCCTACTGGAACTGATGGCCCTCCTCCTCCCAAGCCTTCCGGTACAGATGTTCCCCCTCCCCCCAAGGATGAGGGCGGCAACGAGAAACGCGGAGATACTCCCCCTCCCAAGCCCACCGGCACCGAGGCCCCTCCTCCCCCGGCTCCCACTGGAACTGATGGCCCACCTCCTCCCAAGAAGAATAACGGTGGCAATGAGAAGCGCGAGGATGCTCCTCCCAAGCCTGCCAACACTGATGTCCCTTCCCCCAAGCCCACCGGCACAGAGATCCCGCCCCCTCCCAAAGAGGCTCAGCAGGCTTGAATCCTGGCGGATTACTGGAAATCCCTCGAGGTTGAACTGCTTTGAGTAGATTGGATATATGGGTTGGTGTTAGATTAGCAGGACAGGTGGGAGCAGTGAAATGTGTATCAGATAGAGTTTTGAACTTCTGGCAAGTTAGAAGCTAAATACAATCGTTCATATATACTATAGACTGTTTATTTTTCGTGTTCTCTCGAAGTGTTATATCCAAAATATGGATATGATTTTCCAATGCCAGTAACAAAGGAGAAGTGAGAACGGTGTGTAGTAAGTGATTGGTGTTGTGGATTGTTTGCCCTTTCCGTGTCTTTTGTTGTTTTATCCCAGTAGTTTGCCACAAAAAGAGCTTATGAGATCAAAACACCACCACAAGTTCTACCGTCGCTCACCACTTTGAAGTTGGAGCTGCTTTTACAAGTGCCTTGCTATCTTAGTCTTCAAAGTCTTGTGGTTCTTCTTGTTCATTTCCGAACAATAAGCCCCCATCGCGTTCCGCACCTGATGAGCTTCACGTCAAACGTCTTCCTGCCTAGTGTTTCGTCTCGATTCCGATACTTTTGGTCAACGATCTGCTTTCTGCCCACCACAATGTCTTCGAATGCGACACCATCAGGCATCATCATCGATGCTCAGACTGGCAAACGTTACATTCCTTCGTCAACCCGACCGAATGGCACCAAGCGTAAATAAATCAGGGTACGACCAGGATACCAGCCGGAGGAAGACATCAAGCGCTACAAGTGTCCAGCTATGCGAGGGAACACACAAAAGTCACAGGAACAATCTAACACGCCCGATTTCAAACCGTTGGATAGTCTTCATACCAAACGTGAAGCCGGATCTACCACTGATAGCGACAACCCGCCAAATCATCTACAGGATCTGCGAATTCCAATGATTGAGGGTAGACTTGAGACGACTACCAAGTGCAAGAAAGGACCATCGAATAATCTCAAAGCCGAAACCATCGGATCAAACAAGGAACGTGCCAATGATTGGGAGCAACCACCAGACTACAGACACAAAAGCAAGACTGATGTTCGGCATTTTACTGTCAGCAGACATCTAGCTGAGAATTTTGCTGCCCAGCTAAACGTCAAAACAGCAAGCGAGACTTAAGAACGGGCCGGTGCCGTTCACAAATGGCCCAAGGATTCAGACACCCCACGATATCACAACCCAGAAAGCAATATCGAATATGACAGCGCTGTCAGCAATAAAAATATCAAGCAATCAAACTCTTCTCGATACCCAGAGAAAACAAGGAAGACCAGAATATCTGGCAGGAGTCATGGTGTGAACTTTGACAAGCAAAAAATACATGCGTTGGGTGCTGAAGCTTACAAGTCCAAGAAGGAGGATCCTACAAACAAAATTGCAAAACAAGATGCCAAGAACCAACTAAATCTACAGTTTAACCGGGAAGAGTCTCGCAGCTCGGAAGAAACGGCGGAACAAAAGCAAGATCTACATGCCAAGGAGGTCTCGCAGATGAAGAATTTGTCTAAGAAGCTGCCTGACCTTGGCGAGACTTCTGGTGATGGTGAGGCTAATGGCCCCCCGAGTTGGCTCGATATACTAAAAATAGTTCAAGAGATTGAGAAAGTTGAGATTGTGGGGCTTCACAACGAAGAAAGCCCAATGCCAGGGAAGAATGTCGAGAAGAGGTGAATTTGATCTTCATTGAGAATCTCTTAATATCCGGGAGGTATGAGAGATACTATAGAAAAGAAATGACCTTGGACAACATGATTTTCTCCTCTGTTGAATCGTATACCTTTAAGGCAGTTATCGACTGGGAGTGCGTTGGTTGCATACCGTTTGCCATGAGCGTGCCATTCTACACTGAGAAACTGTTTTAGATTGATTACACGGGAGAACAAAGATAGCCTGATGATCGAAACACTCTGCGTAATGCATTCTGGAATATAATTCCAGAATGGAAGAAACATGTGGATTCGGAAGCTACTAAAACTTTTCTTGATCAATTTTGGCGTGATATGCTTTGATTCCCTTCTCTGGATGATGATCCAACTGCCGAGCAGAAACGAGAGCTGTGTAAGGATAATATCCTAGCTGTTTTGGACTTTGTAAAAGGCCATACCAAAGAATGATCTGATATTTGACAGGTAGGAGATGAGGTATTGAGTCGAATCCCAACTTGCAAACACACGAGAATCTTGTACCTAAATTGCCTTGGCACTATCCGATATCTTTTCCGCGCTAAGAAATGTGCCTTGGTGAGGATTCGGGTGCGATCCTCGTATCTCCCATCTCGTTTACCCCAAGTAGTCTTCACATAAACCACCCAACACAGCACCCCCAAGGTCACAAGTCATGCATCTAACTCAAACCATCCAATGCCATACCGATACCTCTTGGTATTTCCAAACACACCCAGTAAAGGAACAATAAAAGCGGCTCGAGTCCGTGCCAAGCGACACCATCTCGTATTTACGGGCCCGCCACAACAAAGCAATCGCCCAAATTGCCCGTGAATACGAACAACCACCTCTAAATTCCTCGCTTCGGGCATATACCCCTCGAAATCAGCCGCATTGAACCCGCAGGGTCTAAGGGGGCCAAAACTTAAATGCCGCCTCTTCCCACGCTCCCACAGCCAGCGCGAGTAGAGCCAAAACACCAGCCATAACCCTAACTGTGTACCAAAATGCGATTTTCAACCTCTCATTTTATGGGCCTGGCTCTGTCCCTCCTCCTTACAAACACAGTATCAGGCACACCCACAGATCAGGAAGATGAACCCCGTCTCTACTCCAATATCTCGATAAACACAGATACGCAAGGCTTCTCGTTCAGCGAAAACCCAGACCTGGGCCTCAGCGCCCGCGCATACGTCTGCTCAGTCGGGTATACTGAATGCGCGTACGACACGACAAGATGCTGCCCTATCGGTGGCTCCTGCTGCGGAAATGGTTACTGTGCTGATATAGGCGAGACGTGCTGCACGGGCGGCGGCACCTGCAGAAGTGGCTACAAGTGCTGTGCGGGGCAGCAGGGGTGTGCGCCATTGGGCGCGGAGTGCTGCTCTGATGGTACCTACTGCCGGGCTGGGAAGAGATGTCGGACGTATCTTGGGAAGAAGATCTGTTGTGCTGCTTCCGGGTGTGTGGGAGAGAATGATGCCGGGGGTGATGATTCGGGCATTACGGCGGCTACTTTGACGCAGACGGCTACTGCTACGGCTGTTAAGACAGAGACAACTACTAGTGTTTATTTGGAGGTTGATTGGGAGTATTATTATACTACTATATATTGGTATGTTCGGTCTATGTGGGTTGGATGTGGTTGACTGACTCCCGTAGGACTTACTGGTACTACTACTGGACTTCTTCTGCCCCCTACACAGTTCGAACAGTCACCTCTACTCGCACCACCACCACTACTGTCTGGTCTGTTTATGCGACAAACAGTCTTGAGGCGACAGTTGATCTCATCTCGTCTTCGAGAGATTACACTTTCTCGGCGCCGTACTCTGCGACTTCTTTGAGAAGCTCGTCCGAGCCTGTTACACTGTCGACAAGCTCTGCTACTTCTAGTGCTACTTCATCCTCTTCTGACAATGGACCAGTCTCTGGCTCGGGAGATGCAGGTGTTTTCCCTAGTTCTCCTGACGCTGCAGTTGGGCTGAGTGTCAGTGGAACTGGACTATGTGCTGCTGTCCTGGTTGCTGCCATTGGCGGTTTGGCCTTTGGACTGTGAGTCTAAGTTTAAGACGTAACTAGGGAATTGTTGGGATTCAAATGTGCTTTTCTAATGCTTTGCGAATGCTCTATATCTAATACTTTGAGATAATTGATGACTACATATGTATGGAGTGATTTATTGGAAGAAGAATATGCAACTTGATAATTTGCCCACAAAATATTCGGAGAGATCTATGATTCCACCGCATACCTATAAGCCCTAATCATTTTCGCGGGAATATCTTCGTATATTATTTTCGCAGATATGGACTACAAGACTGTGGTTCGGAACAGCAAGACCAACTGAGCGAAGTAAAGGCAATTGTTCGTGAATCATTTATAACATCTAGACCTATAATCGATAGTGCAAAATCTTCGTAAAAGCTTAGTTGCTATCGGACGAACTGTCCTTGCGGTGCTCAACATGAGTACCCTTTCCAGTCTCCAAATCACCTATTTCTCCGACCATCTTGCTCTTCGACTTTTCGGAAACGTAGCTGGCACGGCGCAGATGCTCCTCGGTATCTTCATAGTTGATCAAAAGTTCACCCTTCTTGCCATAACGGTGAGGCTCGACACGGGCGACGGAGACGAGGTTGAAGATGCTGGAAGTCTTGTGGAAGATGGTGTCCATTTCTTCTAGGGATCGATAGGCCGTTTCGGGGTAGAAGAAGTAGATGACGGGGAAGATGAAAGCGTTGCTTCGGAATTAGGGTTAGCTTTGACTTTTGTTCAAGTAACTAGAAACACTTACATGACTGCGAAGATGATGTAGGTCCTGTATTTGATGCTGTCGAATGCCACCGGGGTGATCATGACAACCATGAAGTTGAAGATCCAATTACCCGAGGTTGCGAGTGCATTGGCGGGTGCGCGAATTCGCAAAGGAACCTACTCAATTGTTAGTCCCGTCATATGTCTTAGATCGGTAGGGAAGCCTTACAATCTCGGCAGGATATAACCAAGTCATTCCCAACCAGCCAAGGGCGAAGAATGTATTGAAGACAAACAAAAATACGGCAGCGGTGATACCGGCTTTGCTGTTACCTTCGAAGCTAGTGGCAATAGCCAAAACAGCCATCGAAATCGACATACCAGCCGCACCAATCAGCATCAGAACCCGACGGCCAACCTTCTCAATGATGAAGATCGGGACCAAAGAAGCCAGAAAGTACTCGGTGCCGTTGCAGGCAGCCAAAATTCGCGACGTCAATCCATCCATGCCGATACTCTCGTAGATAGTGGCAGCGTAATACGTGATCAAGTTAATACCGGAAATCTGCTGGAACATCTGATTGACGTATGCGAGAACGACGCGGTGGAAGTGGCGATTCTCATCCATAGTGAACAGATCACGGAAGCTGACAGTCGAGGCCTCCAGCACTGCATCTTTGATGGCAGCGAATTCTGAGTGAACGTAAGTATCGTTTTCGTCCAGATCCAAAATCGCTGCGAGGACTTCCATGGCTTCTTCTTCGCGACCCTTGAGAATCAACCAGCGAGGGGATTCGGGTAGTGGCAGGACGAAGATCAAGATGACCAGAGCGAAGGCATTCTGGAAAGCGATTGGGAATCGCCACGCAACGGTGCTGGGATCGAGGAATGAGAAACCAAGATCAATCCAGTAGCTGATTGTGATTCCGGCGGCAATCAAAGAGCCTTCCAGCATGACTAGTTGTCCGCGGTGGTGGGACTTGGAGCACTCTTAACTAGAGTTAGTCTGATGTGTGGCTGGTGATGAAGTCAAGTACTCACCAGACTGCCATGTAGGAACAGTAGACGTATTCATGCCATTGCCGATACCGGTAATGATACGACCGACAATAAGATGAGGCAGTGAGTAAGCGCAGGCTTGTAGAGTAGCACCGATGATCATGATGATTGAGCCGGTGAAGATGGTCCTACGGCGACCGAGATAGTTGCCAATCCAGATACAAAAGATTGCTCCAAAGAAACAACCCAGATTATAGGACGCAGTGGTGATTCCTGATCAGTCAGCATATGATTCTTTGAGAGTTGCATGGAGCTCCGTACCCTGGGTCGTGGAGTTGGTACTCGTGGAGGAACTTGACTTAGTGGTATCAATTTCAGGAAAGACCGTGACGAATGAGTTCAAGGTCAATAAGCCTCCCATGACACCTCTGTTGAGTGTTAGTATACGACAGGCAGCGTGGGATTCGCTGTACGACGTACTGGTCATATCCGAATAGCCTGTATGTTTCCATGTTAGTCTTTATCTTTATGTCTTTGAAACAGGAAAGGAACCAACGTACAAGAAATCAAGACCAGCGATAACACTGATCATGATATTCAGGCTTGCGCCTCGAAGGCCAAAGTAGGGCTTCATGATAGCGGTGTGGAATGACTGAAGGTAAGTCAATGCGTATAGCCTGTAGTCTAGCCCTAACAATTCCAGAATATAGTCCTGCTATATTTCGAAACCACAGGAAGAAACTAACTATATTCAAAGATGGAGGTCTAATAAAAAATAAAACAATCCAAAAAACATACACCAAGTCCAGGAAAGCAAAGGGGTTATGAACTTCTACCCCAGCAGGTCCACCCATCAATACAGGTTTTGGAGTGCAAATCGGAATCCAGAACGAACAACACCCCTACCAATGAGAAGTGACAGGGTCACATTGGTGATGCCTGTACAATCGCCGGATCGGGAGTAACGAGCCACTGAACCCCCCCTCGCTCGAGGGCCGGGACGATAGCTGCCTTCATTCGGGCTTCGGGTTCCACCGGCATTGAACAGATCGGCATCGTTAGAAGTTAGCCATAGGAGGCCGTTCGGGGTTCCCGGTATTGGTGACATTACTTTACGGTATCTTGGACTGATTTTTGCCAAATCATGAGACTTACCCAGGTAGTACTGGTAGTACTAATTTACTGTCAGGGTAGACTATTTCCGTTCGAGATGAAAGTGTATGACAAGCAGATCTAAGGCTAAGATCTCGCGTGGTATTTCATGCGATTTTCTTTCATTTTCCTTTCTTTGACTGGAACCTGGAGATTCCCCAATTCCCCCGGACTCCCCATTTTTTTCATTTTGTTAAAGTGGGTTGCGTTAGGGGCTATTATTGTGGGCACGAATATGAGGAGTTGAGAGGCCGTATCTACGTAATTGCACATTTAATATCGCATCATATTCTTGTTTATTCGGGGAAAGGTAGCCAAGACATCGGAACAAGCTACGGCATCTTAGATACCGAGAAAGAGACTCCCGTCGGTAACCACAGTATACTGTTAGGCCCCCCAAAAAACCTGGCTTAGATTGGCCGATATGACATCATCGGGTTCGTTGCACTTATGCTTATGTACACACCTTGCATACTCACATTCTAGAACTGCATATCTGCATTGTAAAGTCAATCATGCCTAGCCAGGTCTCTCTACATTACACATTGTAATATTTGTTTCTAATGTGATATGGATTGGCCATGACCCGTGAAAATCCGCTCGGTCAGTCCCGAATCGTGGGGTTTCCATTTACGGAATGCCCGATTCGGAACCACTGCAACTTCGTACTTTTGACAATGTTACCTAATGATCTACTTGTCCAGGTGCCTCGAAGAAAATAAATTGCACGATTCAATTATCAAAGAGGTGTAATTGAAAAGCGAGGATAAAGGATTATCCCACTGTTAAACGTAGAAGGCAGTGCCGCGCGAATGCCTTCCCAATTGGGCGTCTGTGGAGCCAGGTTCATTATCTATGCTGTTGATGAAGAATCTCAATCGATCATTGGATACTTGGACTAGAAAAACTACATAAATATGAATGTCTTCTGAACAAGCCAGTTATGCTTGGCTGTGCTTGAATTGAGTACTTTGCGTAAGAAGCTATGGCCCTTTCGTGTCCCTGTACACTATGGCGCTTTAGGCCTGTGGACCCGAAACTTTGCCATCGGGTCATAGCCGAGCGTCTATTGCGCCCACTTCAGGGACGCCGAGTATAGACTCTCGGGTTAAGCACCACCAAGCCACTATCATTCTGTTCCTCCGGGAGAAAAGCCACAATATTATGTGTTGGATGACAGCTTTGCGGCCACTTTTAAGTGTAATCAAGTTACTGTATCACATTGAAGTGATACAAATCTAGCCGCTCGTCACATTGGTATGCAAGACCCGTGCGAAATTTAGGGCAGGCGTTTGTAGATGTGGTGCGGTCATCCACTCAGATGACGATGCAACTGTAGCCGGATAGAGAGATCTAGACCCCTTGGTGCCCACCGTAGTATCTGTGTTTTGTTTAAAGACAATTGACATTGGAAGGAGAAATTTACTTAAATGAGTGTTTCATTGAAACAACTTTGCAGCCACATAGTTAGTTAGCAATGAATGCCAAACAATCCACCAGATCGAGCTCTCATACCCAGACCACGTTATCCCCACTTTCGTCGGTTGGTCAGTAATCACCGTGCCCTCCCGTCAAAAAACCATGGCTAGCATCAATAAAATCACGCGATTTGGAAAAGGAACTTGAGTGAAATCGGAACTACAAAGTAGTTGCCACCGTACGCAACATCGGCCGCTGGCCATCTAGAGAGGTGTCTCAAGATAGTCAATCACCAACAAGTCTCGCTTGGCACCAACCAGAGCAGAGGAGCAAGAGAAAGCAGATTGCTATTGCCTTCTACAGCCGCTCTACTTTTCCAATTGCTCTGCTTACCACCTGTCGTCATCGTCACGGCGCTTAAAATCATCGCCAGCGTTGTCATCGACATTGCCATTGTCCTCCTGGCGATCAGCAAAGCTCGCGTGGGGTGGGGTGCCCGCAAGAGAGAAAGTTGGATCATCCGCGGGCCCTTCCTCCTTTGGAGGCTGAGCGCAACGGCGGAAGGTGTGGCCCACTAAATATGTATTAGTTGACTCTCATTCAGTAAGGGGTAAGAACACGTGCGCAGACTCACTCTCGCCACAATTGTTGCATTGAACCTTTGACCAGTTCTTGGGCTGGGGGCAATCACGGGAATAGTGGCCGCCTAGAAATCAAAATTATCAGATCAATTCCTTAGAAGACTATTGCGGCTTGGAGCATCGTGACTCCCAGGGCATGGATCAGACTTACTCTCGTCGCAGTTGCGGCAAGTAACGGTACTGATGTCGCGTGGCTGATCACAATCGCGAGCAATGTGATCCTCAGATCTGCAGTCATGTTAGAACCATACTGTCTAATAGCTTCAAGTGCGATAAGATCACTTACCCGCAGTTGCGGCAGGTACGAGGGCCACGATCTGCCACATTAGGGCAATCCTTTGCAAAATGACCCACTTGAACAAATATGTTAGCATATCCAACACTCTGAAATAATATAATTGGCGCCACAATCTTGACATACTCTCGTTGCACTTGCGACATTCAACATTATCAGCAGATGGAGGCTCGGTGCATTCAGCAGCAATATGATCTTCAGATCTTCACGAAGTCAGCACTGTCTAGTTCAATGTGATTTGGAAATCGTGGAAACATACCCGCAATTGCGGCATCCACGTTTGTACTTGCGCTTGACCATGCAGTCACGAACGCGGTGACCAACTTCGTCGCAGTTGGAGCATTTGATCTCGGGGCGATCGGTGTTCTCCATGCGCTCCTCCTTGCAATGCTTCTTAATATGTCCCAACTCTGGCATTAATGACTTAGCACTTTTGTTTAGCATCATCCGGTAAAATTTGAAGCCTCACCTCCACAATTAAGACATTTTGGCAACTTGCGGTCATAGGGAAGACCAGCATTGCCCAAACGCTCGAGGTTTTCTTCAACATTCGCAGGCCAACGCTCTCGAAGCTTGCCCCGCTTTGGCTTTGCGCTGTAATAGAATCCCACGACATACTCTCGGTCCAATGTTCCCTGAAGGTCAATCAGGCTCATAACATCGTCAACTTCCTTCTCCTATTGGTGAAATTCATTCATGAGTATTTAATGTCAAGGCGCCAGAAAATGTTATCAGGCTTACCAGGGCAATGATGTAGATCTCGAATCCATCCTCACGCATTTTCTTCTCGATGTCGACGAAAGTTGCCTCAGGGACGGCCTTGGAGTAAATTTTGAAAGCCTGTAACAAAGTCAACCAAAGTCAATTTCCAAAAAGATGTAGGCCATTGGTTACCTCACGGAATTCGTCGAGTTCCCTCGCGTCGCTAGCGCTCTTCATTGCATTCCAGGCTGCCTCAGGAAGCAAATCAGCAACAGTGTTGAGATCGAACTTTCGCTTCTCGGTGCAATCGATCGTCTTGTGGCCCTGGCCCAGACAGTTCTTGCAGAAATCAGGGGGGCGCTCGGGGCATTGCGCGGCAGGGTGACCTTCCTTTTCACAGACGCGGCATTTTCCCGTGAAAACTCGGGGCTCGGGGCAATCAACCTTGGTGTGACTGGCCCACGGTTAGCTTGCTCATTTTCCAAAGATGCTAGGGTTCCGAACATAACCCACCCTTCTTGACCGCAGTTGAAGCATGCGCCCATCTTGCGGGCCTCAGTACATTCGGATTTGGTATGGCTATATTGTTGGAAACATTCTATCAGTGCCATGAACGATATAAACAACAACAGCAACTCACCCAGGCTGGTCGCAGTTGAAACAAGCACGGTCATCATCACGACCGCCAAAGTCATCGTGTCTCTCACCTGCGCCAGTTTTTTCATCGCTGTACGAAGCATCGTAGAATTCACCAAACGCGTCACTATATTGGGGAAGAAATCATCGGATTAGCTAGCACCAAAAGAAACTGGGTTTCAGAACAAGCTCACTTCGCATTGCTGTCCTTGCATCGAAGAGGCACAGAATCATTGGGGCACTGGCGAGTCATGTGGCCAGATTCACCACAACTTGATTGTTAGTGATTGATATACTTGAAAAGATTCTCCTCCAGCCCTGGATGAGAATCATTGAATGGATGGCTACTCACTTTCCACAAGCAAAGCCATCGTCCTTGCCACCAGACTCGGTGACACTCAGGCCTCGGTTGCGATAACGCGAGTTCTCATCAAAAGAGCCCTCTGGTAGATGTTAGATCCATAAGAGAAAGCGACAATTTGTAAAGAAGAAACCAAGATGGTTGTTGAACTGGAGATAGAGAGCAGTACTCACTTGACGGATCATCCCATTGATCAGCCATGATAGCTGAAATTCAGTTAGCCAGATTTGTGTAACATGCTAAAGAACAAAGGAAGAAGTGAAAGGAAAGATGTTTGGTTAGACCGGAATCTATGAAGTGAGAACAGGAATGGGGGGTGTGGATGGCAGAAGGTGAATCAGAGGCAGGTATAAACAAAGCAAAACAAACACGACGCAATTTTCACGCCGACTCATGTTCGTGAATTCAGGAGATCAATGTGGAGGCAAACAGAGATGACATACTAAAGGATGTATCTTGCTTACAGGGGTTGTTGATTGGCGATTTAGATTCAGCGAAGAAGAGAAAGGAAGAGAGGAAGAAGAGGAAGTAGAAGAGCAGGAAAAAGGAGAGCGAGAGGAAAGAAGGTAAGAACTACCTTCTGTTTAAGGAAGGAACTCAATTTCAGGCATCACTCAGGCAGTATCTTCCCCCTTCGAAAGTACATTGGGTACACTGTAGATGATCAAATAGCACCGGGACTGTCTAATGATATGATCAGTACAGAAGGATTGGAGAGAAATTGCATGCATTTGAGGATGTAAAGTACATATTCAACTACTCTGCTATGAGTTACAGCGCAGAGTACATATGAATATACCGCGAATACAGCATGTCGTAAGTTAATCTGACAATTAACGGAAGAGCCTGCCCAGCAGGCCACCAGCCAAATTGTTAACGATACCACCACCCAAGGCCGAGTTGGCATACGTTGAGGCTTGCCCGAACTTATCGCAGCGGGAGAAAGCCATAGTATTCGTGATTGTCAAAATGAGAGCAATAACTAGCGTCAAGGTCAGTTTTCTGTCTTGATGCATGTCGAACATGTGAAACAAACCGATCAAACTGAGCCAAATTACACCCACGAGTCTCACAATGGCCAAGATAGCAAGACCAACCCAAAGAGCCGGTGTGACATACAAGCTCAACCAGAAGAACCGCTTGTCGGTGGCTGTCACGGTACGAACGTTGGGATCGGAGGATTCAAAGACCCATTTCGAGTCTCCGGTTGAGGTGTCGACCTCGTTCCACCAACGCAGGCCTACCAACCGGCGGCCAGCAATGTTCTTGAGGTAGTAGAAATCAGCGGACAGGAGGAGAAGCGTGAAGATGAAGACGAGAATACTAGGTAGGATTGTTAGCTGTTGCGCTAGGTGCGGGTAGCCTGGTGCAGGGTTCATACAAGTCATCGATGAACAGAACACCGAAGAGATACATCAATAATGCACCTAAATATTGATTTAGTCAATGGCATTCTCGAGGCTATTGCGCAAGGCCGGAGGGAGTACAAACCGATGCGAATGCCTAAGAAGACAAGTAGCGTGATCGGATGCGCACTCAGGCGCCAGTTGAGGTCGCCTTGACCCCCTTGGGCTTGATCCATGGTGTCTATAAGTGGACTGTTGGAATCTTTATATGCAGTACCACTCTTGATCTGTAGACTCGAGTAGACTCAATCGAGGTAGTGTCTGTTGTTGACCGATGATCCCTATGTGGTTCGAAACACGGGTCAAGGCGGTATGTATTGACAGAATAATTGGAGATGACGCATGCACGTTCCTCCGCCATTGATCGAAGTCTGATAAGTTCCGAGAGGAAGAGTGCTAAAGAGGTGCTAAATCAATGTTTTCATTCAAGCTCAAAGTGCCAAACTGAATCAATCAAAGCTCGATGCTGCTCTGCTGTTGTAAACATCCGTCAAAAGTATACACTAGCTTCGTGATAGTCACAAAGCAATGGAAACTAACAATTACAAGCGTTAGTATTTGATGCTAGCATAGTATGACAAGAATCACATTCAGTCTAAGTAATTAAAAAGCTAAAACTCTACATCCATTCCAAGGTTGTGTCTCTAGCCTTTATAGCAGAACATATTGCGAACCATCTATAGCGGCACTACGGATAGCCGAGTCGGCTTCTTCCCCGGATAAAGTCACTTTAAATACATCCAACTTCCATCTGGGCAGACGAACAGCACACAAGTCTATGCCCTTACAAACTACACAATGGCAGCCCGCAACACTCTCCGCCGTTCCCTCCTCTATGGTAAGCTCCCTCATCTTCCCCGCATTCCATCCCGAGCTCCAAGAACCACCAAGGCTAATAAACCCATGCCAAACAGTCCCAGGATCCTCCCAGCGCTTTCTCGACAAGTCCCGCTCATTAACAGCTGACTGCGTCGCCTATGACTTGGAAGACAGTGTCACTCCGCACATGAAAGCGGAGGCCCGCTCTCTGGTGCGGAGAGCAATCGACCAAGCCGCGCCATCGGGGATCCGCGAACGCGCCGTACGAATCAACTCCGTAGACAGCGGGCTCGCGCTGGGCGATTTGACCGAAGTGGTGGGTTTTATCCGGCGCATTGAAACCGCATGTCGCTGACCATGACAGCTCCAATCGCCAAACTTGACAACAATCGTCATTCCAAAAGTCAACTCCGCTTCCGACCTGACCTTCGTCACAGACGTAGTAAACCACACCCTCTCGCAACAATCACCGGCAGAGAGAACGCCGATCTCGCTCCTGGCTTTGGTGGAGTCTGCTAAGTCCCTCACAAATTTAACACAGATCTGCGCCGCCTCGCCCTTATTGCAAGGCTTGGTTTTCGCGGCTGAGGACTTCGCTTTGGATCTAAGTATCACACGGACACCATCTCTGACAGAGTTCCTCTTCGCGCGGTCTGCTATTGCAACGGCTGCGCGCGCGGCCGAACTCCCTTCGACAATTGATCTCGTTTGCACAGCGTACAAGTCTGAGAAGGGTGATGGGTCGCCTCCTGCTGTGCTGCAGGAGGAGTGCCGCGATGGTCGGCGGTTGGGATTCAATGGTAAGCAGTGTATCCATCCGTCGCAGGTGAAGGTTGCGGACCAGATCTTTGGACCGGATCCGGTGGAAACGGAGTGGGCTATGCGGGTTGTTATTGCAGATGAGAAGGCTGCAAAAGCTGGGAGGGGAGCTTGGACGCTTGATGGGAAGATGATCGATGTTCCGGTTGCGCATAAGGCTAGAGCTATTGTTAAGAAGGCTCAGGCTTGTGGAGTTGATGTTGACGCTTTGAGGGAGGAGTGGGAGCATCAGGAGCCAGAGTAGTGGTGGGTGTAATTTTATAGCGCTGTACATGTTCAATTGATATCCATTTTGGTAGATTTTGATTTATATTTAATTCTGCCTTAGAGCTAAATAACATCAAGTGGAGGAATGGCAATTTTCTGATTTATAACTATTGCATTTTCTCGTTTTGCTACTTATAAAGTCAAACTCAAACTACCCGAGTGGTATTGGGACCACATAGAAGCGGGCTGTTGAGAACGGACATAAAGAATATTTCAACATGATATATCCAGAATTCCCTTGCTGCGTGCTGTGGTTGGGTCGCACAATCGAGCCAAAAGGTTGAAGGTATCTGAAAAAGGTTCAGAAGCTAAAAGTCCTGATGGGTATCATGCCGCTTTGACGCAATGATCGAGTCGAATGACATGCCAGGCCATTGATCTTAAGTCTCTATGTCCTCACGCTTGAGTAATTGAACTTTACCCATTGCAAGGGCGGGAGGATCGCCAGCGTTTGCCTCCATCGATTCGCTAGCCAATTCTTTGGCTAGTGATTTGTCGTAACTGGTGGGATCGATGCCGAGGATACCTCCGACATAACCGCCTCGTTCACCAGGCACGCTGAATTCTCGGAACAGGTACCGCCATTCGTTGAGCCATGCTTTGACGGCCTTTCCAATTTTATCTTTGCCATTTTTCGAGTGGTGGCCAGTGCCCGTGATTGCATAGACCACTCGGAGACCTTCTCGAGCATGCTTAAGCAAGATCTTCTCGAGATATTCGATGGCCTCTTCAGGATGGAGCCCATGCAAATCAACGTATAGTTCCTCGGAGGATTCATCCAGGCCCTTGTGTGATAGATGCTGGTTGCGTTCCTCGTAAAGCTGTCGCGCGGCCTCTCGATGGCACCTGCGCATCGCATCATTTTCCGCCTGGCCCCGCAATGAAAGAGCTTTGGCAGCTCGTGCATCATTTCGGTTCCATGCTTGGGCAGCACTAAAATATTGTGTTAGAATAGTAGGCGAGACAAGCACCAGCTGATTGCTTACCTTTGGAGGAACTTGTTTCGCACAGTTCCGTGGCGAATGGCCTCTGTTCGGTATTTGATGTATTGTTGATTGGCACGTGTTCCTGTTTCTAGCCAAGGAATGTTTTGTGGGGCTTGAATCGACTGAGCTGCTGCACTGTTTTCGCGACCCTTAGTGTCTTTGGTTTTAGGCCCAGACTTGCTTTTCCCAGGGACTGGAGATGGGGTCATCCGAACGACATCAGCAAGAGACGAGGGCAAGCTTTCCTTGCTCAAGCTTGTTTCGCGATTGTTGTGGCTTCCTCGCTTCCCGTGGTGTTTCTTTCCGGCATTCTTCGCATTGACTGCGGCAAGAGTTGGGAAGGCATCGGGGTCGTCTACAGATGGCGCTGTAAGGTTCATCTCCCTGTTTTGGTGGCGACTTGTTGGTCGAGAATTGGGGCGACCAAGGTGAGTCGCACTTCCATTTCTCTTACCCATTCCAGGTAGTAGGCCTGGAGGGGCATACTTGGTCGCTTGGTAAGCGGAAAGGTGTGCTGGATAACGTCCCATGTACTGGGTTCCCCATTGGTCGCCATTCTCTGTAGCTTGAAGAGGCGGGAATGCCTCGGAGCCGCTATCTACTTGGAAAAGGGAGCCATTCGACGGCGAAGCTGGCCGGCTTTCATCTGTAACACCAAGGTTGCCGATAAGCGCGGAAGGGTCATGCGAAAATGGACAACCATCACCTGCCAGGCAGTTGCCCATCACCCAGTATCTATCAAGAATTTGTTAAATTATGGACAGCATTCACATATTATATTCAAAACACTCACTTGCACACATGAGTTGTTAGGTCATGACTGAAGCGGCAGTCCGCCCTAAGACACTGTCCAGTGGAGAGCCAGTACTTGCAAACCACCGGGCTGCGGCTGCTACCCAGCGGTGTGACTGGGCGAACTTGCTCCATGGTCATAGACTTGCCAACCAGGACTCGGCCATCATCTTGTTGCTTTGAAATTGCCTCGCTCTCTATATCCTGCGAGAGAGAGGCGATGGTTGCACCCAGGTCATAGCTGTTAGCCTCGAGGGCTGCTTCTATTTCATCGTTCGATCGCTTGTCGCCCAACACGGTGCGCAGGATGTCATGTGGGCTCATATCAGGAACAAATTCAACTGCAGTGGCGCTGAGTGCCCCGGGCGTGCTGACCCCACCCGCAGATGAGGTGGTACTATTGGCGTCATCTGCGACCAGCCAGTCGACATTATTATCACCCCCGAGATCTCCATAGTAGTCAGAAATCTGACTTTGGCTCGAGAACTCGTAGGCGTTTAAATTTGGAGAATGGGGAATGGGTTGTGCAAGAGCAAGCCGAGGCGATGGACGAGGAGAAGTAAATGGAGAAACAGTTGAGGAAAGCGGAGGTCGTGCAAATGCCCCGCGCGGGCTTTGCATCCAGGAGGCACTTCCGGCGCTTGTTCCTAAAGTGGGATGAGGAGATAGCGGTGTAGAGGATCGGGCCATCTGCCATGGCGCAGGCGATGAACGGCGAATTACAGTATGACGAACAGGGGGTGATGCATCTGGTATGTTGCGGTTGCGATGGCGCCAGAGGATGTCCAACACTGCGTTCTCCAAGGGTGGCCCGGACAGGGTTGTGTTTGTGCGCAAGAAGTCCTCCACTTTCTCGACATGCTCTTCCTCATCCAGTTCCTGATCCTGCAGGATCTGGAGACATTTCTCAAGAAGCTCGTCGGAGATCATGGTGTGTATGTTTGCCGCGCGTCGGTTAAAGGGACCGGGGGTGTAAGCTGCCCAGGAAATCCAAGCGGGGAAAAGAGGTCGGGACCTGGATTTGGCGACTGCACAAAAATGATGGGGGGCCGAGAGAAGATGAAAATAAATGGAAAGCTGAATATCAGAGGCACCTTCCCATATTCTTTTCAATATGAGGTGAATTCGTGATATGCAGGCCGAGTAGGGGGGTTTTGCAAGGCTATGGCGCAAGGCACGAAATCGCAAAAGGGATGTTTATTAGTAGGTGAGAATTACATCGCATCGCCCATTCGACCTGGCGATCGATTTAGATAATGAAATTGAAGCAAAGTGGGAAGAGCAAAGAGGTGGCTGAGATAAACAAAGGAGGGGGAGAGAGGGATCAACACGGATTGGGGGAGACGCCTATCTACTCCGGAGTGTTCTTTTTCTGCAGTGTGTACGCAGTACGGAGTACAACACCCAAATAATTACAGATGTATTCTCTTTTCACATCTCTCTTTACACTCCTCTATATACAATCGTTTGCTTTGGACTCGATTTTATCAAGGAAATTTGACTATCTTTCTATTATTGTTATAGGAGAACATAATTATGTTTCGTTTCCCATGATAATTTACGTACGGGGACATATATATCCAATGCCATCACCTGCACATTCGTACAATACAACAAGCTTAATGTGACAAGCTTTGGAAGCGACCTAATAATAGTACAAACTAATCAAAGTACATACATTGTACCCAGGTAACTCGATCAACTCCATCATCATCATTAAAAAGAAATACAAATGCACGAACAGAAAATGTAGATCGGTAAACATCCGACCGAAGATCCCCGGCGGATCCGCTGACTTGACAATCTGGGCTTTTCAGGGTCTCCGAACTTTCAGCCTAGAGCGCTTGGCTTACTCCTCCATTTCTCTTCATGTTTTGTCCAACAACATAGGGCTACCACACGCCCTCCAGTGAGATCTTTTGGAAATTCCCGTGCGACGGCGCTGATCGCTGCTTCAGACCGGTCCTTCTCCCCCGGATTCGATCACCCTACCAAACAACCTGGAAAGACCCCGAATCTGAATTAATTCACAATGCCCGCGGACTACCAGTCCACCGCCAGGGCATTGTCTCTTTCACCATCCTCTCCTGATCCGATATCTTCTTCCCCTAACAGCGATGTTCATCCACCCTGGGGTCGCGCAAGGCGCAACTCCGCTCGTTGGTCTAATGGACAAGCGAGCTATCGCGACCAGATCGTCCAACGCGGTATGGAGCTATATCAGCGTATAGATAAGATGTGGCAAAAGATGACCCTATGGAAGAAAATCGGTACTGTCTTTGCCTGCTTATTTGTGGGCGCATTCGGTATCGGATTCATGGTGTTGACTGGACAGCTATTCATCTGGCTTGGCCCGGTCGCCGAGAAGTGGGAAAGCTCATGGCTCGTGGCTTTTATTTTATGGCTCTGTGTCTTTTTTGTCTCATTCCCCCCTCTTCTGGGTTGGTCCACATTTGGGACTGTGGCAGGCTTTATATTTGGTGTGTGGAAAGGGTAAGAGTCACTCAGATCCAATTAACTTGAAATGGACCGAAAAGCTAACTCGCGATAATTGATTTTAAAAGATGGTTGATCTATGCCTCCGCGACAATTCTTGGATCGACTGCCTCGTTCTATGTCTCACGGACAATTCTGTCAGGATTTGTCCACCGTCTTATGGAACGTGATAAGAGGTTCGCGGCATTGGCTCTGACACTGAAGTATGATGGTCTTAAGCTCCTTTGCATGATTCGATTATGTCCTTTGCCATATTCAATCTGTAACGGAGCTGTTTCCACATTCCCTACGGTGCAGCCGCTGATGTACGGGCTTGCCACGGCCATCATCTCCCCCAAATTGTTGGTCCCTGCGTTTGTCGGTAGCCGAATTCGCCTGCTCTCCGAAAAGGGCGAGGAAATGAGTGCGGGATCCAAGGCCGTGAATATCTGCAGTATTATCATTACAGTCGGTATTGGAATCTTTACCGGGTGGTACATATACCAAAGGTTTGAATTCTCGATTTCATCTGTTTCCAACATCTTATGGACCCAAATTAATCATTTCCTGCTTGACTATAGAACCCTGGCCCGTGCAAAAGAGCTGGAAGAGCAAGAACGTGCAGATCTTCGAGGTTCCCTTGAAGCTGATCATGCATCGCGCCGCCCTCATCGTGGGTTCTCGGAGGATCCCGATGTCAACAAGGCTGCCACTACGCTTGCAAGGGACGAAGAGGAGCGTATTGGATTCACCGATCTGGACGACGATAACGTTGATCTAGTATTAGGTGACGATAGTGATAGTGATCAGCCGGATCCTTGGAAGAACTCGAACAGAAGGTCATATCACGATGAGTTTACTGATAATGACTCGGAAGGATTTGCAGAGGAGGAAAACACCTTTGGTCTGCATAAGCATGTCTCGAAATAGGGATAGCGAGATAAAAAGTAGAAATGACGAAGTTCATAAGAAATATATACTATAACCACGTCTACTTATAAGAAATCAACTTGTCGAAACTCGGTGCCGCAACCGCCGGACTGAGAAATACGCCCCGCTTCCGAGGAATCAAGCCAGGGTTTTCTATTCTCTCATTATTGTCTCTTCGTCAAATACCAACAAGATATCAATTTCAATTTGGCTCAAAAAAGGTATTCATGATCTGTTGATGGGCCAGCTTTCCGCCAATTTCCAGGGTAGGATTTGTGGGCAGGGGTGAACTTGATGTATGTCCTGATCCCTGCTTCCTCGGTCTTCTTCACAGATCTATCTATTCACTTACTCCCTAACTTGACCTTTTTGATGAATCTTCAATTCGTCTAACCCAATTACAGTTGATCCATTCATTCAGCCCTGCCAGTATACCCTCGGCTTGCGCATATCGAATTCTATTGCGAACCAAATAATGAGTGAAGGCTTCAGCATTTGATATCCCACATATTCTCAAGACCAGGGGGAGCAATTAGTGAGATCAGGCCACCGGTTCCTGATTGCTTTTTTTTGAAGCCCTAGGATTATTTTCTGTTTCCATTTGAACATCCTCGAAATTCTTTTTGAAGGCCATCGAGCTGCAGATACCCGTTTATGGACATGCATAGTGCGGCATCCATGAGGTTCCAGGCGGTGGCCGGAATACCCCTGTTCAAGATCCATACATGGCTCAATATGTCACAAATCCGGAGATCACGATGCATGATCCTGAACAGCTTCTATCTGAATCGGCCGAACTATCTGAACCACCTGCGAAGCGCCTGCGGATCACGCACAAAGCCTTTGATACAACCTCGACACCAATCACTTTGGGAAATCTAGAGCAAAATGGTCCTGGATCCAATACATTCCTATCTCAAGGTCCTCATATGGTTGCTGCAGAAGAGAGACTATATAATGGCGTGAGTAGTAGTACTCCGAATGAATCGACCACCTCTACGGATTTGACATCTTCATTTGAGCCGAAAATGTCCACATCGCCCGCGCCGAATTCCCTCCGTTCTATTCCTACACAATCGTTTGTTTTCGGTCCGAATGTACTCGAGAGTGGGCAAGTCGATTTATCCAAGTGCCGACCTCGAGGGTCTATCCCATCTAAAATTCATCCTTCTGTTTACGGCGAGCAATGCGTTAGAGCGGCTTATGCATCCCGATTGAACCCCTATGCTCTTCACCGACAAGAACAAGAATTCCTACAAGATCATCTCTGCCATGTTCACGTCACGATCTACCTCAACATCCGAAATGGGATTTTGTTACTTTGGGGCAGAAATCCGATGGTCGCTGTCACCAGGGAGGAAGCACTCGGATGTGCAAAAGATTATCGCTGGATGAACCTGGCCTCATTTGCTTACGACTGGCTGGCACGCAATGGTTACATCAATCACGGTTGTGTGGAGGCCCCAATGGCCCCAGTGAAGCCCAAACGCGGAAGACGAAAGGAAGGACCTACAATTGTTGTAGTAGGTGCTGGAATGGCAGGTCTAGGATGTGCACGTCAATTGGAGAGTCTTTTTCGCCAATACCGTGATTCCAACACCCTGCCCCGTGTTATTCTCCTTGAGGGACGTCGAAGGGTTGGCGGTCGGATCTATTCACACCCTTTGAACAGCCTCAAGTCGGAAAGTTTGCCTGATGGGCTTGTCCCAAAGGCAGAAATGGGAGCTCAAATTATCGTTGGTTTTGATCACGGAAACCCGCTGGACCAGATCGTTCGTGGCCAGCTAGCGCTTCATTATCACAAAATCCGGGACGTTTCGACGATCTACGATATCGACGGATCGCCCGTGAATGAGAATCAAGATGCGATGGCTGAAAAACTCTACAATGATATACTCGATCGAACCGGATTTTATCGTCACAAAGCAAAGATTTTGCCAACTGCCGAGGGAAACCGCGAGATGATCGATGCTGGCCGTGAATCCGTAATCGATGATGGGCTCACTGTGCGACAGTACGAAGAGGCAAGGGCGGCTGGTACAATCGATCTATTGGTCCCAACCAAGCGAGTTCGACGAGGCATCAAACACAAGACTGCAGAAAACGAGCCATCCATTGATGTTGTGAGCGACCTCGCGGGAAACTCAGATGATGACCCGGCAGCTTTGACCTGCCAGGCTACTGGATGGAAGCTCAACCCTGGTTACACAGTGAGCGACACAATTGAATTAGACCAGATTGCCAAGGTTTCTCCGACGCAGACTCTTGGTGCAGTGATGGACGAGGGCGTCAAACAATACCAACGCATGCTTCCGTTAACACCCAAGGATATGCGATTGATGAACTGGCATTTCGCCAATCTCGAGTACTCCAATGCAACCAATGTGAACAAACTCAGCTTATCGGGATGGGACCAAGATATCGGTAATGAGTTCGAGGGCGAGCATTCTCAAGTGATTGGAGGTTATCAGCAACTACCATATGGGCTGTACAACCTGCCAGAAAAGCTCGATGTTCGCACCCGGAAAATTGTCACTGGTATCTCTTACGATATCACTGGAACCAACAAGAATAAAAAAGCAGTGGTGAAGTGCGAGGACGGGGAAACATTCACGGCCGACCATGTCGTATTCACAGGCTCTCTTGGAGTCTTGAAACAACAGAAAATCAACTTCGAGCCTCCTCTTCCCGACTGGAAACGGGGTGCAATCGAGAGACTGGGCTTCGGAGTCATGAACAAGGTTGTCTTGGTCTTTGAACGGCCATTCTGGGATACAAAGCGGGACATGTTCGGCCTTCTTCGAGAACCGACGGACCCTGCCACCATGGTGCAGGAACACTATGCTGCAAACAGGGGCCGTTTCTATCTTTTCTGGAATGTCATGAAGACCACTGGATTGCCATGCTTGATTGCTCTCATGCCCGGCGATGCAGCCCACCAGGCTGAATCTACACCAGATGAAGAGATCATCCAAGAGGTAACTGGCCAGCTTCGCAATGTGTTCAAACACACCACAGTCCCCGATCCTCTTGAAACCATCATCACTCGATGGGGTCAAGACCCCTTCACATACGGCAGCTACTCCTACGTGGCTGCGGCAGCCTTGCCAGGCGATTACGATCTTATGGCCCAACCAATCGGCAACCTTCACTTTGCCGGCGAAGCCACCTGTGGTACGCACCCAGCAACCGTCCACGGAGCCTACCTGTCCGGCCTACGGGCAGCATCAGAGATCATAGAGCCCATAGCCGGACCCATCGTCATGCCTCACCCCTTGGTCCCAGAAAAATCAAAAGTGGCTCGAAGCAAATCCTCCACGCCAACCGGCCAAACCAAGATCAAACCGCGAGTCTCCTCATCCGCCACCCCCGAAACTCCAAATAGCCAATCAAAACTCCCAACCTCCACCTCCCGAAAACCAGTATCATCCGAACAAACCCGTCGCGATGCTTACGACCAGGCCCTCTGGACAACAATCTACGCCGAATTAGGCCCAGCCCCAATACGCCCCACAAAATCGGGCCTCAACCCTTTCCTCTTCTACCAAAAAGACTACTGGACCCAATGCCGCGAGCATTGCGACGAACTCCGCCGCAAATCATCAAATAATCCCAAGGCAAAGGCTCCACGGGACGAAATCCGCGCCGCACTCGGCCAGATGTGGCGCTCTGCCACGCCCGCCGAGAAACAGCCGTATCTTGACCAGACGGAAGAGAATCGCCGCTCAAATGCCGAGGCTTGGGATAAGTGGAAAGTTGACGTTGCTGAGTGGGAGGCCGCCACTTTCCTCGTTAAGGACCGCTGGTGTGCGGAGAATCCCTTCGAGAGCTGGGTCATGCCGGATTACCTTGCTGAAGGCACTGTGCAGCCTGTGCCGGTGCTTGGTACGGCTTTTGCGGCTGTGCCTGGTTTGAAGACTGAGAAATGAGAACTGAACTAAGATGAGATGATACGATATGAAATGAGATGAAAGTGTGTGCTCCTGGCTTGTGCTCGTCACTTCCGTATCCTTTTCCCAGATAGATGGCCGTCCAAGGGAAAGGGGTATCTTGTCTCTTTAAGGGACATATTGTTATGAGTATTAATTTAGCCTTATGTTAGATGAAATAATCTCTTAAATGTTTTATGAATCTTGGTTTTTCTAATTGACTGATCATACAGCATCTGGAAAACCAGTGGAAATGTATGTATCCAGTGTATTTGGGGAACTTGTATTTGAGATATCATCTAGAAACCAGAAGTCTAACAGCGTAAAAATCTTCGATACACAGGCCAAAAAATTATGTTTCATGTATCATGGCAATGCAAAAGGGCGGAAAGGGGTTTATTTAAAGCAGAGGGTTGGACTTGTACTCGGCAGGGGCGTCAGCGGGAGCGTCCTTCTCGACGGCGGGATTGGCGGGAGTCTCGGACTCGGCGATATACTTCTCGGCTTCGAGAGCGGCAATGCAGCCAGATCCAGCACTGGTGATAGCCTGGCGGTAACGCTTGTCCTGAACATCACCGCAAGCGAAGACACCTTCCACGTTGGTGAAGCTGGTGCCGGGCTGGGTGACAATGTAGCCCTCATCATCGAGCTCGACCTGGCCCTTGACCAGAGCGTTGGCGGGGTCGTGGCCAACAGCGTAGAAGAGACCGTTGGCATCGACGATCTCCTCCTTGTTAGAGACAACGTCCTTGACACGTAGGTGGGTCATGAGGCCGCCGGGCTTGCTCTCGCCAATAACCTCAGTGGCAACGGTGTTGAAGCGAACCTCGCACTTGGGGTGGGCGAGCAGACGGTCAGCCATAACCTTGGAGGCACGCAGCTTGTCCTTGCGAACAAGAACAGTCACTTTGCTACCGTACTTGGCGAGGAACATAGCCTCCTCAGCGGCGGAGTCACCACCACCAATGACGTACAAAGGCTTGTTACGGAAAATTGGCACGGCACCGTCGCAGACGGCGCAGGCGCTGATTCCGTTCTGCCAGAAGGTCTCCTCGCCGGGCAGGTTGAGACGGCGGGCGTTGGCGCCAGTGGCGATGATCACGGCGTCGGCGGTGCGGACGGGCTCGCTGCCCTCAGCGTCGTTCCACTCAGTCCACATCTTGAAGGGACGGGAAGAGAGATCCAGCCTGGAGATGGTCTCGGTGATGATCTCGGTGCCGAAGCGCTCGGACTGTGCGCGCATGTTGTCCATGAGCTCGGCGCCGCCAATGCCGTTGGGAAATCCGGGGAAGTTCTCGACATCGGTGGTGGTGGTGAGCTGGCCACCGGCGGCGGTGCCGTTGGCGAGCATGCCCTCGTAGAGGACGGGCTGGAGCTCTGCGCGGGAGAGATAGATGGCGGCAGTGTGCGCACCAGGGCCGGAGCCGATAACTGGAAAGCGGTTAGATATTTGTTGGAACCGAGGCAAGCCGGGCCATTCGATTGCGGCCTGTTTTTGTTCCACTTACTAACTACTTTAGAGTGCACCATTCTGGCGGAGTTTGTGCAATTGACGCGCAACGGCGTCGAGAATGGCTTAGAGAAGACCGAGGTCGGAGGAGGGGATTGTTGGTGAACGGTAGTGGCCGCGGCGGCAGTTAATCCGATAGAACGGAGGAGGGGAAGGCGACGAAAAGTTGAGGAAAACAGCTTGAAGGTGGTTTTTTACTCAAAGTGGAAGAAAAAGTGAAGGAGGGGAGATGTTATATCTTTTTTCGGAGGGGCAGTGGAGACCGGAGGGATTAGGTGATGCGGTGATTGATAACCGGGCAATGAGATCAGAGAGACTGGACTAATATTCTTTTGGTTTCGGAGACCAGAACACGCGAGATTATAGAACAAAAACTAGATCTACCTAGCGTAATTCCCGAGGTCGTTCTATTTGGCTTAATCAGGTCTTTGCGTCCAGATCGGCTTTCTAAGCACATGTCACGTGAGGGGTCGAGACCGCGCGGGCTGATGTAATAAGATCAGATCATTTCGGCCCGGGCTCTATACTTCTACAATCTCATATATTCAGCGCTTCTGGATATATGAACTACTCAGATAAATCCTATGATCGATCAGGTATAAACGGTAGCTTGAACCTCGCTGAATTAGGGGAATCATGTAACAACACAAATCCATAGAGTCATAAGTATCCATCAACATCATAAGTATCGCGAAAAAAAAAGAAACAAAGTCACAGCCAAAGTTCATAATGTACATTAGATCACACCGAGCCACTTCTTCCGTGGACGGGGTTTCTCCTCAGATCGAGGGTAGGGTTCGACCATCATATGCGCTGGCAGTCGTTGAGGAACCTCGCTATCCGAATAATCATCCTCCTCGCTCCCGGGATAACCCTCATACTCTGGTTGATGCGGATGTTGTTGGGCAGTGGCGGCATTTGCACGTGTATTATTGATAAGGTCGTCGTCCTCGTAATCGTCTTGTTCGTCATCATCATCACTGAGATCATCCTCTGCTTCGGGCTCCGTGTTCGGTTCCCCATCGTTCTTCTTTCGGCGAGGCAAGAACTTCCTCCAGCCCTTGACAATCTGTGTTGGGGGAGGGTCGTATTCGGACCCATTGTAATGCAGTGCCGGTACCAGCAGTTTGTAAGGTACGGTGATGCCTGCCGGGTCTTGCGGGCTGATCTCTAGGTTCAAGGTGATGGCGAGTCCACCTTCAAGGTTGATGTAGGTGCCTGCACCATCATCGCCCTGTTTCGCCGCCCTCTTTGCTGCTTTTTGGCTGAGGTTCGTTGGTCGGCGGTGGAAACTGCCCGGTCGTGCGGGTGCCGTCGTTCCTGCGAAGTAGCTGTCCCCATTCTCGTTAGGCTGAGGCGGTACATCGACACTAGCACGTCGGGTGAATGCGGCCTCGTCACCTCGGTTGAAGCTCATGGTCCTTGTTGGAGGGGGACCTCGGGTTGAGAGGCGCCTGAGAATACCGGGCTTGCCAGTACCCGTGCTTCCTTTGTCTCCACGGCCCAGAGACAAGGTCCGCTGCAGCTTGTTGGGTCGAGGCTCTGGGGTTGGTGTCATGTCCGACTCAGGAGTACCGGGCGGAGTAGAGCCGGGTTTGTACTCGCGGATTGAGCACCAGTTTCGACGTGGTAAAAGCCGCTTGTTGTTCCGGGCTTTACCATTCACATCTTGGGTGAAGATGGGAATAACATCTTCGTCTGTGTTCGAATCCATGTGGTGGACTGTGTTCCGTTTGTTGAGCATATCTGAGATCAAATCTGTCTCTGGGATGTCCGCAATGGCAGAAGAGATGATGTTTGGCATATATCGATAATCACGGTCTTTGGCGACACCTAGCTTGGGGTTCGAATAGAACTGTCCAATTGCAGCGAGATGAACATCACCACTGGGGAAAAAACACACCAAGTTAGCTCACACCACCATGATCTGAGAATTCTGCTCAGTAGGGTATGGAATTACCTTAAAATCGTGACTCGGATTGACTTTTCTGCAGCCAGATCTTGAAGATCTTCGACCAACCATGTTCTTTCGGACTTGAGATGCTTGCCAGCCCAGTGGTCATCGAATACCTCGACGTTTCCACCGGATTTATTGACGAGGCCACCAAGCACACCAGCCTTGCCGAGAGATTTGCGGCTATTCATGAAGTTCCTGAGCATTGCCTGTTGTCAAGTTTAGTATTGGATCTGATCGTATAACGTGATGTGTACATACCACTCTGGGATAAGCAACAGGGACACTCGAGAGCACAATCAGATGCTTGGTCTCTCCTTTCAATATCTCTTTGTGGCAGCGATCCCACAACAAATCACAGGTCTCTTCACTGAGAACCTCATTGCTCTGCAAGAATATGTCAGTATAGTCGAAAACTTGGAAGAATAAATAGATCTTACCCGTCGTTCAGTACGGCAGTCAAGGCCCAAAAAGGAGACTCCTTGACCCAGAGACATAAACAGATTTCGGCTCTTCTGTTCAATATAGGGACCCGGCTGAGCACCAAGAAGCCAACTAGGCTCATCCATCTCCGTTTCATCCGGGACACTGTGGTGCTGGAACAACAAATAGTACTTGAAAGCAATCTTTCCAAGCCCGGAGATAACAGAAGTTTGCATGAAATCATCATGATAAGAGCCAAAGCCCTCAAAGATTTCATGATCATTCCAAATATTGACCATGGGGATTTGGGAATTCGCCAATGAAAAGAGACCTTGCGAAAACCACGCAGAGTAGCGCTCAAGATAGAACTGCTCCAGCTCAGCACGGAACTCAGGTGTGAACGGTGCCCCATATCGATCAGCCACATTCTTGATCTTCATCCAATCCTGGAAGAACTTTGACTCTGTGATGACCGAGTCGTTGAAGATCTGGTCACCACCTCCAATCATGACATGGAAGGGACGAGTCTGATGCTCGTTCAAAATGTCTCGCCAGAGCGGGTCAGGCCCGCAGACACGATCCGAGTTTACAGAGGCACTGAATCCGTTGCCACTGTGGAACATGATATTCATGGATTGCCCAGCGGCGGGAACCCAGAACCCTAAGGCGGGTCCTTGGTTGATACGATATGCGACTCGCTGCTGCGTGGAGCTTAACTCGATCTCGAGGTTAAATCTCCAGAATGTGACGTCTCTTGCTGCATCGGCGTACAGCCGGGATCCTAAAACATCCTGGTGTAGATTGGCTGTCTCGCCGTCGACGGCATGCATTCTGTTAGAAGGCATCGGTTGCTTTAAACCTTCGCTGGTATAGTCAATCATACTGGGCGAGAGCTCGTAGATGCCATCATCGGTCTCCAGGAACGATAGATCAACTTCCTCCTCGACATGTTCAACTGGCTTGACGTAAAGGGGTCGGCCATCCCGGCCAACTTTCATAAGACCCGCTGTTGGATCAACATATTCTGGAGCCAGCTGCATTCCGTCCTCGTGACTGATCTCCACAGGCGGAGGAGGGAGAAGGTCCATCGGCTGCGAAAATAGTCTCAATGTGGGCGGGGTCTCATACGAGGAACGAGAGTCCCCGGTCACGATCATTATAGAACCCCGCCAGATCTCTTTGTCAACAAGTTCACCGGCTGTCTCAACCTTGACTCGCTTGATGCCTGTGTATCGTAGCAAAGGACCACATCGCAGGAAAAGGCGAGGTTGGAATACCTTATTCTCAGTTACTCCTAGAATTTGTTAGCAAGATTTCTCGACTGCTCTTTGGGCAAGCAAAATGGATTGCTAGACAATGTAGGGATATCATACCTGTCAACTTCTGAGCGGGAGTCTTATAATTCTTGGGCAAAGCCCTGCTCTTTCGGCGATCATTATTGGCACCACCTTCCCACCAAGCTTTGCTTCGATTAATATCAAGATTTTGGAGATCAAAATCACAGGTTCCAAGACGAGCAGGCTGTGCACCTCTCCACTCAAAGATCGGCGGTGGTGTAGGCGGAGGTACATCGAACGAAACATTTTTTGGCCTGCTCTGAGACTCGGAGCTATCTTGAGGAGCAAGTGGTGATGGTGATAGGCCATTCGCTCTCTCTGTTCTGAGAGCCGAAGGAATCTGCATAGATCGAGGACCGGCCTGAGACAAAGACTTGCTGTGGTTTATATTGATAGCAGGGCCTGGTTTTGCGGGCCCGCTAACTGTGACTGAGCGTTTGGGTACACTCCCGATCTTGGCTGATGACGGGGAAGCGTCTTCTGCACGCGCGAACTGTGGGTCCTCTGGGCGGCGGATAGCTGGATATTGAGGGTTTGCCGAACTCGTCCTGCTGTGACGCGTTGCGGTGTTTTCGGGTTGCCGTTGTTGTGGCGCATTTGCATGTCCATTGCGCCTATATCCCTCGACTGGAACTTCTTTCCGTTCGCTCCTTCTATCAGTGTCGGAAGGTGGTTGCCTTTCATGTTGTGTAGGCTGTGTCGATGCTTCACGAGCAGCGGCAGCCGCTAAATCAGCCTTCTCCTGCTCGGCCTTCTTGCGCGCAATTCGTTCTCGGGCTTTCATCTCCGCCTCTTGCACCCGTGCACGCTTTTCCTCTTTGCTAATTCCAGTTAAAGTCACTTCCAACTTTTGAAGAGGTGATCGATCTGGGGCCCAATCCCGTCGCGAGCCATTGGCCGGGCCCGAGCGCGTGGTATTCGACCGAGCCGGGGCTGACGATACGCCAGGTGCAGGAGGTGGAGATGAAACCTGGATTTCTGGCATGGCTGTACTAGACTCCAGGTGGGAGGATTCTGCTGGCAGACCTCGCGGTGTAGTAGATTCTTCTGATGGCTCTGATGAAAGAAGCGGTTTGCGGGTTGTGTAGTTCAGATTCCCTTCGGGCTTATTCTGGGCTCGGGCTGAGAAGGACCTGTCTATCTTCCCCGATGCATGGGCATCTTTTGGGTTGTGAGGTGTGTTCGAGTCCTCATTCCCCTCGTAGTTATGGCTTTCGTCGGATTTGGGGGCTTTGCGATTGCGTCTTCCTGCCCTTTGCGCTCCATTTGCAACCTGAGGATCAGAGTTGTCATTTGCCATGTCGGGCGATTCGCGCATTATCACAGCAGCCATGCCGGTGTGTGTTTGCGCCCAAACTCAACGCAGTAATGGTCGGAAAATGTGTTGGTGGGTGCCAAGTGTGCAATTTCGAATCCAACTGAAACGAATATTGTCAACGTCACAGTATTAGGATGAATAGACCAGGGGACTTTTGGTTCTGGAATAAGTGCCTAACACAGGTAACGCAGGCTACACCATTGGCCCGATCCGATTTTGCACTTTGCCAGGCCAAATTTTGTACGCGCGGTAACAGGGGATGTATAAGTACTGGACAAGGATATGAAGATTCGAAAGAGAGAAAAAAGAAGATACGTTTTGGTAGGCAAAAAAATCCTTGAAGGTAAGGTGTATACATTATCCTGGTGGCTGGTATCCCCAGCCTTCGCGCGGGGCTTGTCATCTTTGGCAAGGGTGATTTATATAGCCAATAATAACTACGTAGAAAGACGTTGGCTAAATTTAAAAACAAATAGAATACAGAGTACTCCGTAACAAAGTAGTAAAGACAAATCTATTCCATAATAAATCAGAGTATAAGATCATATTAAGCAGCCTAAATATGGTGGAGATTGGAATGTTGAAATCTACATACCCTCTTTTAATACTCCGTTTGTGAACTATGTACAACGTATGGTTACCTGTTCTATTACTCCGTACTATGTTAGCTGTCAGTTAAAACCACAGATATTTCTGCTCCAATTGACTTTAAACTTAACTTTTTTTTTTTGCCTTCAATACTATGCAAGGTCACTCGGGCTACTGAATCCTGCAGTCGCAGGTGTAATGAGGCTCATACAGTCAGCAATTGGTGCAATGATGGCCTTGGAAGAACTCTAGACTCTGGCGATTTGATCCATGAAAGTCCCAATCACAGTGAAAGAAATGTGTTCCACAGCTGTGTGTGAAACGCCTGAGAGCATATGGGCGATCGCATCTCCAGAGCTCTACGGCTTCAAGGCTGTCTGGGGTAATGTATGTATGTCATCAGTAAGCCAAACCTTTATAGGTACCTAGACAGACTGTATGTGCTGTACGGAGTGCGGAGTAAAGAATAATATATTAGAAATGTGGCCTTTAACATCTTTCTTGTAGATGCTTGTTGCGACCCCAATAGAACCCTCAATAATGAACCCGTGCGTGGCCTCTTGACGATCCTCCTTTTTGCCAACTCTGTCTGTGTTTCTGTCTCCTCTCTCTCTCTCTCTGTCTCTCTTCTTATTCTAATTTGTTGGCAACACCGACATATTGGAGACCCCTTCTAATTAGAACTTTGCTTTTGTTCCCGATTTCAATTATTGATTTGCCATTCAAAGGTCTGGAACCGTCGATGGCAACTGCTTCCTAGCTATACCTCGAACCTTCATCGCGAACCCGCCGTTTCTCCCTACCCTCCCTTTTCTCCGATCAATATATCATGCGTATCATCAGTGGCATTGCTGCTACGCTGGGTCTTGCGGGCGCAGTCTCAGGAACCCTACACCCTCGCTCCCAAGAATCCCGCGACTTCTTCGCTCTCCACCTCGATGACACCACCTCCCCCTCCCACATCGCACAGGTCCTAGGCGCCCGCCACGAGGGCAAAATCGGTGAACTCGCTGGTCATCATACATTTTCATTACCGCGAGACCAGACCACTCAGACAGTAACCTTATTGGACAATTTACGGGCAAAGAGAAAGCTCCGGCGGCGTTCCGGCGAGCTCGATTCGCCCGCTCCCAGTGACGATCCACTGGACGGTGTCTTGTGGTCGCATAAGCTCGCACCGGCAAGACAAAGACTTCAGAAAAGACTCCCACCAGCCTCCGTACCATATGAATCGCTGGACAAGAGAAAGGAGGATCCGCAGGTCGCTGCATTTCGGAAGAACGCCATATCAAGTCTAGGGATCAGCGATCCCATCTTCAATGATCAATGGCATCTTCTGAATAGCGTGCAGCCCGGTCATGATCTCAATGTTACAGGGCTTTGGTTGGAGGGAATTACGGGCAAGGGAATCGCCACGGCAGTAGTGGACGACGGTTTGGATATGGATAGCAATGATCTCAAACCCAACTACTTCGCAGAGGGCTCATGGGATTTCAATGAGGGAGGCCCGGACCCTCGCCCTCTTCTACTGGACGACAAACATGGCACGCGATGCTGCGGCGAAATTGCAGCAGCCAAGAACGATGTTTGTGGTGTTGGTGTTGCGTACGACAGCAAGATTGCTGGCATTCGTATTCTGTCCAAGCCCATCGATGATATCGATGAGGCAGCTGCGATAAACTATGCTTATCACAAGAATGATATTTATTCGTGCTCGTGGGGCCCCATTGACGACGGCGCTACGATGGATGCGCCTGGAATCCTCATCAGGCGAGCCATGCTCAATGGTATCCAGAAAGGCAGAGACGGGAAAGGTTCAATTTTCGTTTTTGCTGCCGGAAATGGCGCGGCAAATGGAGATAACTGTAACTTCGATGGTTACACCAACAGCATCTACAGTATCACAGTCGGTGCTATTGACCGACAAGGTAAACACCCGAGCTACTCGGAGTCCTGCTCGGCCCAGCTTGTCGTTGCATACAGTAGTGGATCAAAGGATGCAATCCACACCACTGATGTTGGTGCCAACAAGTGCTTCGACGGACATGGTGGTACTTCAGCGGCCGGTCCGCTAGCCGCCGGCAGTGTGGCTCTTGCGCTAAGCATACGACCCGAGTTGACCTGGCGTGATCTGCAATACATCATGGTGGAGACTGCGGTCCCCGTCAGCGAAGACGATGGCAGCTGGCAGATCCTGCCTTCTGGCCGCAAGTTTAGCCACGACTGGGGGTTCGGAAAGGTCGATACCTATACCATGGTCCAGCTTGCTAAGACTTGGGACCTCGTAAAGCCCCAAGCATGGTTCAACTCACCATGGTTGCGTGTGCACAAAGCAATCCCCGAGGGCGACCAGGGACTGCTGAGCCATTATACAGTGACCGCTGATCAAATGAAACAGGCCAACATTGCCCAATTGGAACATGTCACCGTGACGATGAATGTTAACCACACCCGCCGCGGTGATATCAGCGTTGAGCTGCGCAGTCCTGCCGGTATTGTTAGCTACCTGAGTGTTGCCCGCCGAAATGATGAGATGCGAGCTGGCTACGACGATTGGACTTTTATGTCTGTTGCCCATTGGTATGTGCTGCCTGCTTCCTAATTTGAAATTTGTGATTTGTTGACCTATCTTCAGGGGTGAATCTCCCTTGGGCGATTGGTCGATCATCGTGAGAGACACTGCCAAGAATGAAGACACTGGGACTTTCATCGATTGGCGTCTCAATCTCTGGGGTGAAGCCACTGACGGGGCCAAGCAAGGCCTGCACCCCCTGCCCGAAGAGAACGATGATGACCATCCCTACGAAGATGCTCATGTGGCTACGACCAGTGTTGAGGCAGCCCCAACGAAGACCGGTGTCCCTGAAAATTTGGATGATCACCACGACCGGCCTGTAAACGCAAAGCCGACAGCGGAGCCTGAGACTAAGCCAGTTGAGGATGAGAAGAAACCTTCAGCCACCTCGGGTGGTGAAACTGCCTCCCCTTCATCCACCTCATCAGACTATATATCCTCCTACCTCCCAACATTTGGTACCTCGAAGCGCACCCAAGTTTGGATCTACGCATCTTTTGCTATGATCGTTGTCTTCTTCATTGGACTGGGTGTTTACTTCCAACTGCAGCGAGTCAAGCGTCGTCGCACTACGGCTCACGACGACTATGAGTTTGAAATGATCGAAGACGAGGATGAGATGCAACCAATGGCTGGATCTTCCGGCCGTACCCAGCGTCGTGGTGGTGAGCTGTATAATGCATTTGCTGGCGAAAGCGACGAGGAAATGTTCAGTGATGATGATGAACCTTATCGTGATGGATTGACCAACATCCCAGAGAAGGCCAGCGAGGATGGGTCATCTCAAGCTGGCCGCCCGGAAAAGCCTTGATTTAGTTGTTGATATTTCATTCGCATTTTGTTCGGTGTTGTCAATATGCTATATTGTTTCGGATGTTTGATTTTGGCATAGACGGGATATGAGATCTGGGTCTATTTGTATATCTGTTAATTGACGAGAATCCAAGCATGCTGTGCATACCGCAAGAATTGAACCCAGCAGTGTAATAAACATTGTAACTTGAAGTGCAGACAAAGTACATATGTATATAATCCAAATCCAAACATGCTGTCGATTTCAATAAAGCGATGACGACGGTGCCGCTTCGGGAACTCCGCCTTGGGGAACGGCGATCATCGAACTCAGCTCCAACCTCCAAACTCCCCCCTCCCATGTTCTTTTTTTAGTCCTGTCAGTCCATGTTAATCGTTGCTTTCACACTTCCCTGCAAATATTTATTGCTGGCTTAACTGGGGCTCAGAAGAAAAACAGCCGGGTTGCCACGGCCGACCGTCACACCCCCCACGATGGATCAACACGACGACTTCGACAGTGTTTCCTGGAAGCATGACCCAGACAGCGATGCCTCGCGACCAACAACTGCTGGCACTGATGCTGCGGAAACCAGTGAATTTGACCATGATACCAATGGCAAGCGCAGAATGAGCTCCACCCACGAAGAACCCCAGGCCGGCCCGCTGGCTGACGCCGTCGACCTTGCGGGCATCGGCGATGGAGTTCTCGAGTGCCATGTTGACTCTCCACTGAAAGAGAACGATGGGACAAAAGACGCATATATCTCTTACCTAGTCACCACACATGTATGTACCTTTCTCACACCCCGTGTGCAGCTGCCTAGACATCTTCGGCGACTACAGGATATACTTAAAGGAATCATGACTGACACAAATTAGACCGACTTCAAATCATTCCAAAGACCTGAGTTTACTGTCAGGCGACGATTCACCGACTTCTACTTCCTATACAAGACGCTCTATCGCGAATATCCAGCATGCGCGGTGCCGCCACTCCCGGACAAGCACAAGATGGAGTACGTGCGGGGAGACCGGTTTGGGCCGGAGTTCACAACGCGACGGGCATGGTCGCTGCATCGATTCTTGAAACGCCTGACCCTTCACCCCGTGCTTCGACGGGCCCCATTGCTCACTATCTTCTTGGAGTCGTCGGACTGGAACGCTCACATGCGCCTGCACTCAACTCGGACCTCGACAAATACCAGCTCTGATGGCGCAGCCACTGGTATCTTTGATAACTTCACCGACACTTTTGTCAACGCCTTTTCGAAAGTGCACAAGCCGGATCGGCGGTTTATCGAGGTGCGCGAGAAGGCCGATAAGTTGGACGAAGACCTGTCGCATGTGGAGAAGACTGTTGCACGGGTTGCGCGACGTGAGTCAGATCTGGAGACAGACTACACTGAGCTAGCGACACAATTCCGCAAGCTCGTCCCACTAGAGCCTGCTGTCGAGATGCCATTACAGGTCTTTGCAGCTTCCGTGGAAGAGACCGCCCGCGGATTGCGTGGACTGAAAGATCACACCGATCAAAACTACCTCGGCTCGCTGCGTGATACAGAGTCTTACATTATGTCTCTCAAGGCCCTGCTCAAGACCCGCGAGCAGAAGCAACTCGATTTCGAGGCCTTGGTCGATTACCGCAATAAAGCCGTCACGGAGCGTGACTCTCTCGCTTCCAATCCAGCCGCTTACTACGCCTCAAACCCGCTAACCTCTTCGCCTGCCTCTTTTATCCGCTCCAAAATGGAGGACATGCGCGGTGTTGATCACGAACAGTCACGTCGCGAGCGTGTTAGAAAGCTCGAGCTTCGCATTGACGAATTGACCCGCGAAGTCGAGTCTGCTAAGACCACTTCCGAAATGTTTGATGAAGAAGTGGTCCGCGAAGTCGCAGACTTCGAACGCATTAAGGCGGTCGAGTTCCGAGACGGCCTCGGCTCTTTCGCTGATTCGCACATCGAGTTTTATCAAGGTGTGCTCTCTACGTGGGAGCGATTTGTGGCAGAAATGGAGGGAGAGGGGGAACCCGGTCGTGACTCTGATGCTGCAGCAATTGGAGCTGTTTAGGCATTCGATATCGGCTGATGATTGAGCAGTACCTGGACGGAGTTTGGTATAGCTATTCATGTTGATTTCTTTCGCTAGCTTATTCGCCGCGTTTCATACCCGCAATACCATCATGACTTGTCACCTGTATATTTTCCGAGCTCATCTCAATTGCTTTTGAGTTTGATGTTTGATATGTAGAACAAAGAAACTTGTAGTCTCAAGATTTAAAAGTGTAGAAGTAGGTAACCCATGTTCTCCACTCTTCGTAACCATGTATGTTTGCACTGTTTGCTTTGTCCGTGTCTATCCTCGATCATCCGATCCAACCTTGAAACCCCAGACAAAATGCGTCCGATCTCCAGAGCTATCCTCCGGCCGTACGTCTGCCAGTCCTGCCGCCATGGCATTGGCGCCGGTAGACGGCGATTTGGGTCTAAATCCGACTCCCCTGACATCTACGACGTGGTTTGCGTTGGAGGCGGGCCCGCGGGCCTAGGGTTATTGGCCGCACTCCGTAAGTATATACCACCTGCAGACAAGGTGAACATTGACTGATGGCATATCAATGCAGGCGCATCACCCATTACATCAAAGCTCCGAGTTGCCCTCGTCGAGACCCAGGATCTCGCCAAGGCCAAAGCTTGGGATCTTGAACCAACCCAGTTCTCCAACAGAGTCAGCAGCCTGACCCCATCATCTGTGTCATTCCTGCGCAAGATTGGCGCATACGACCACCTCGATGTCAATCGCGTTCAGGACTACCAAGAGATGCAGGTGTGGGACGGCCAAACCGGGTCCCGAATATCGTTTGACTGGTCCATGGAGACCTCCCCATTCGAAGACATGCGCACCGTAGCAACAATGACCGAAAACGCAAACCTGGTGCGCGCTCTCCTCCGCCGAATCGCCGACTCAGGAGACGAGAATTTCTCTCTCTTCTCAAACTCCACAGTCGCCTCCATTGACAACGGCTCCGACCTCAACCCCGAAGGCCCCGACCTCTCTGCCTGGCCAGTCCTCTCCATCAAGCCCACAGGCCCAGCTGCGGAATCTGCGACCCCCAAGCGCATCGCTGCCCGTCTTCTCGTTGGCGCAGATGGAATCAACAGCCCCGTCCGCTCTTTTGCAGACATTCAAACCCACGGCTGGGACTACGGCCGCCACGGCATCGTCGCAACCCTCGCGCTAGGGGACCTAGCCACACCACCCTTCCCCGCCTTCAAGCGAACAGCCTACCAGCGCTTCCTCCCAGCCCTAGGTGGCCCAATCGCCCTCCTCCCCCTTCCAAATAAACACGCAACCCTCGTCTGGTCAACCACCCCATCCCACGCCGCCTACCTCAAGTCCCTGCCAACCCCCGCCTTCCTCGCAATGGTCAACGCCGCCTTCCGCCTTGACATGACAGACCTCTCCTACATGATGGGCATGTCCGCCTCCGAAGCAACCCACCAAGAAGAACTCATCTGGCGCACCCAGCACACGCCCCTCCCAGCCCAAATCCCTCCCCCGGCAACAGCGGTCCAAGAAGGCACCGTTGCCTCGTTCCCGCTGCGTTTCCGTCACGCAGCGCAGTATGTCTCCCCGCGCGTGGCGCTCGTCGGAGACGCAGCACACGTCATCCACCCGCTCGCCGGACAGGGCCTTAACCTCGGCTTGGCGGACGTTGCCTCCCTCTCCAAGACTATTCAGTATGCTGTTTCGCATGGGATGGATGTCGGCGATTTACTTACTCTTGAGCGCTACTCGTGTGAGCGCTACTTGCCTAATGCGAAGATTGGCGCAACCTGTGATCTGCTGCATAAGATGTATACGGTTCCTGGGGAGGGGCCTGTGGCTTGGGCGAGGAGTCTTGGCCTAGGTGTTGTCGATCGCTTGCCTTTTGTTAAGTCGTTCTTGATGAAGAATGCTGAGGGGTATTGAGTGTGGGTTGGTGTATATGTATCGCTTTTCTTCTGTACTTTTAGTATCTTTTATATGCAAGCCTTTTGGGGCATTTGTCTCCTAATTTTGTCGTTGACTTGCTGTCCATTAGGGCCATGTGCTAGTTGGCCCATTTACATATGTAGGCTTTGGAAATCGACTCTTTGTAGAACATACAATGGAAATGCAATCATTGGGTATTGGCAGTTCTATCAACCCCTGAACCTCTGCATGAATGGTTTTAATATTCTTGGAAAAAAAGTCACGTCCGTATCCTTTTGTTGGCCATCAAGCTCCAAGCTCGACAATGCAAGAGATCTATAAAATTTTGGGAGAACAGAGTGAGGCTCTCCGAGAAACACGCTCATAGGAAAAAAGAAAAAAATCACAACCAGGAATAAGAAAAGATGGCCCAGATGTCTAACATTTTAGACAGATGTGCTTTGCAGCTGCTGTGCCAACGTCGAGACAACGCCGTCCTGCTTCTTGGAGAGACGGGCCTGCAGCTCAGGGACCAGGGTTTCGAGGGTAACCTCAACACCCTCTTTCTCAGCATGTCCTTCGGGCAGACCCATCTCCTTGATACGGCACTTGCCAGCGGCAAGCTCTTCCTCGCCCAGAATAATGGCAAAGGGGATGTCGCCTTGCTCGGCGGCCTTGAACTGTTGGGGAAGCTTGGGCTTTGCCTTGTAGGAGAACTCGGCCTAAGAGACGAGTTAGTTGTTGATGTAGTTGAGTTGCAACTTGACATTACTTACCCTGATGCCAGCACTCCACAGCTTCTGGCAAATATCCATGCGCTCTGTCAACATGCCAGTGAAGCCCTTACCACCGAAAGCCATGACGTAGGCATCGACTTCGCTGCTCCGCAGGGCAGCAGACTTCTTCTCCTTCTCCAGACGTGCCTTGGTGATGGAGAAGATACGGTCAACGCCGAATGAAATTCCGACACAGGGGATCTGCGCCTTGGGCAGGAACATGCCGACCAGATTGTCGTAGCGGCCACCGGCAGCGACACTACCAACGCCGAGTGTGGGGTCGTTGGAACGATCTTCGTCTTCGGAGGGCTTTCCCTTGCCCTTCTTGCCGGACTTAGCGGGCTCTCCCGCGTCAGCGGCACTGGCCTGAACACCAGCCGAGCCCTCGGTGACAACCTCGTAGATAACACCGGTGTAGTAGTCCAGTCCACGGGCAAGAGACATGTCGAAGGAGACCTTGTCCAGCACGTTAAATGCCTCCAAGTAGTTCATCATCAAAGCCATTTCCTCCAGACCGGCCTTGGCAGAGGCATTGGCGTTGAGAGCCTCATCCTTTAGGAGAGAGTCGACCAGCTCGCGAGAACCCTTGTGCATAACGTACTTCTCGATGCGATCTGCGATCTCGCCGTCAAGACCCTTCTCGTCAACCATCTCCTTGCGCACATCTGCCCACGGCATCTTATCCAACTTGTCGACGGCACTGCAGATGGGCCGGGTCTTTTCCTCCGGCACACCACAGACGGCGAAAACACCATCCAGGATCTTGCGGTGATTGAGCTTAATGGTGTACCGGCCACCCCAGCCCAGCTCCTCGAAGACCTCGCTGACAATGCGCAAAATCTCGGCATCGGGCACCATTGGGTCGAAAGTACCGGCGATATCGAAGTCGCACTGGTAGAACTCACGCATACGGCCCTTGCTGACGGCGGGCTGGTCACGGCGGTAGACCTTGGCGATGTGGTAGCGCTTGATGCTGCGGACGTCGGAGTTCATGGCGAGCCAACGCGCAAAGGGCACAGTCAGGTCGTAGCGCAGGGAGCAGATCTCGCCGCCCTGGTCCTGCAGGTCGTAGATGAGCTTGGAGTCCTCGCCGTATTTTCCAGCTAGGATCTCGCGAAGCTCGAAGACCGGGGTGTCCAGAGCGGTTCCGCCGTGGCGCTTGAAGACATTGGAGATGGTGGTGAAGATGCGGTCTCGGAGGAGGGCGTCGGACCCGGACCAATCTTTGGTGCCCTTGGGGGTCTTGAGGTTGAATGAAGGTCCTTTATCTTTCCCCATGATGTCTTGAGTGTGTGAGGAAAACTGGCGACTGCGGCGGGGAGAAGTTTGGTGGGGGATGGTGGGGGCTCGGATATTATTTTTATTCAAGGTGACTCGACGGTTCAGGGAATCGCAATGACCCAAGCGACAAAGAGGCGACGCGCCAAAAGGGTTGGCAATTGCTCGTCGTGTAGAGCGTAGAATAACACGGCAGAACGTCATAAAAGAAAAAAAACCCGCGCAAAAGAGAATTGTCAGGCTTTATCCACGGGTCCCCTAGTCTCCTGAGGCATCTGACGACTCGGTGCTTCTTTCTGTTTTAGGAGAGTTACTCCGCTATTTGTCCGGAGACAAACATTATAGAATTGCCATATCTGTTTGCTTTATTTGCTTTGTTTGCCGCTATGCCTATGAGGCGACTCCGTAAGTTCACCATATATGGAGTACCTGTAACTTAGTCTCCATCTCCTCACTGACGATTCAGGCACAAAAGGTCAAAAATAGCCCGTTCATATATTTACAATGTGGTATAGGTCCATTTTGTTCTAAGCATCATTTACCAAGGATAACTATCAACCCTTTGAATACATTGTTCCTTAGGTAATATGATACGTTTCTCTGTATCAGCTTGATTGTAATTTCAAGAGATGGTACATGCAGCTTATCCAAATGTAGGCAATGCGCATGTGCTCTTTTCTTTTTCAAGGCCCTCCAACGTCGTAAAACAACGCAACAGAGTGGTCAGGGAAAACAACGTAGATGTGTAGGTAAGCCATGGTATGGTGTACTAACAATCACTCAATTCGGGAGAATCCGATCTACTCCACAGTCCAGGCCAACGTCATTAATCGGAACTAGGACGGTTTGAAACTCGGGGCATTTCCCTCCGTTTTGCTTTTTGCTATCTCTTTAAATACCAAACTCCAACATGCGGCCTTTTTCTGTCTCTATTACCGCCGAGCCCCTTTAGGAGGGGCCCCTTGGGTGGTCAAGCTTATGTCTCGCCACCCCCACTAACGCTGGATTCGGCAACCGACGGAGCGCCTTGGTCTCCTGCATTGCCGCCTAGATACCTCGTTTAATTTAACCAACTCTTATAGGGTGGTCAGATGTCCAGAATGTGATCTCTTAGTTGATTCATAATTCGACGTCAAGAAAAATTAACCAGAATTACCTAGATTACACGGGAACGTGCACCGAGTACCGGTAACAAAGGAGTGGCTAGATTGAACATATTGAATTCAAGAATAAATACTGATAAATATTATATTGAGACCGGGGACGTACTGGTACTAGGCCCCCATGGACCGCGCGGCCGAGAAACATGGAATTGACTCCTTACGTATATATAGATGAAGTGAGGTGCATTCAACCTAAAATGTGAATCCGGAGAGAACTTCTCAAGGAACAACATTTCTGTTTTGGAGGCCGGGGATCCGCCACACTCTCCACGTCAACGATGATCATTGGACGAGTTGGGTACGCCATGCGAGGGGCGGACACCCTGGCCCGTGCTCCCAACCAATCAGAGTGCGTTCGAGACCCAGTACAGCCCATGGAGAGAGGAGTCTTTCCCATGGACGTGGGGGAAAAAGCCGCTCCGCTGGGGAAAGGCACTGACCAATAACCATATAATGAGGTTGGGGAGGGGGGCCTCCGGTACACCCGGGATGTGTATTCTTTGTTGAGTCGAGTTGAATTCAACGTTAGTTTCTAGTCTCTAAGTTGGTGTTGAAATGTATAACAAGAAGAGAACTAAAAAAATCAGCGATTGGATTAGGTACCTGCTTTTTCCCCACGTGGCTCAACAGACTAGGATGAATAAGGTAGGTCAAGAAAAAAGAAAAAAGAGGAAATGTTTCCTTCTGGATGTTTCCGTAGTTCCTGGTAATTTGGTTACCTAGATAGTCTGGTAATACTTAACTCCGTACATACAATCTTGTATGTACCCATATTATAATAATATATGTACGGAGTAGTAATCAGATTGTCAGAGTTAAATGGGGAAAATCATGTAATAATAATAGAAAAATAATACTTAGCCCATTCCAGAAGATGACGAGAAGATTGTATTATCTCCATCTCTTCTCTCCTTCTACTTTCCCCTCTTTAACTCCTTCTCTCTTGAATTCTCCAAACCTCTTTGACCTCTTTTGACCCTCATCAGGTATTACCGGGACTTGACTACAATTACCCGTTGCCCCCCCCTCTCTTCTTAATAAACTTTATGCGAGAACGTTCGACCTATCTGAACTAGTGATTTCCCCGGACATCTCACCCTTCTCAATTTCACATTACAACATTACACCATTCGTCTATAAAATTCTCTTTTCGTCTTGGAGAGGAATAATTCACCAATGCAGACTGCGACAAACCTCTAAGCCATCATGAAGGGGCTTTTTTCCAAGGGCTCGAAGAATGGGGTAAGGACTACGTTACATTATACCCTCGCTCGGTCTTTGTAGCACAACATGCTACAGATGGCCTCGGACAACTTCGTGAGACAATTCGAAATAGGGCCGCAACTAATTTGATCTTCGCGCAGGCCTCCAACCTTCCGGCCGCCGCGCCGCCCGTGAAAAAAGACCTCCAGGCCCCGCAGATCTCCCCGTTAGAAAAGAGGTTACAGGACATGGGAGCGATCCGTGGTGACGGGAGTGACAAGTTTTTTGGAATGGAAAACGTGAGTTTTGGACGACACCTCGGAATCCGCTGTGACCGCAGAGTCGGCTGACCATCCCTGCCTTGTGGGTTTAGTATGGAAATACATGTTACTGCAACTCCATCTTACAATGTCTTTATTATTCGGTCCCCTTCCGCGAAGCCGTCATCAACTACCCGCAACGAACACCACTGGACACCCTCGAGGCTGCGCTCGCCACAAACCTACGATACCAAAACCCCAATGCGCATCTCGAAGCCGAGGCCCTGGCTGCAAAACAGAAGGCTTCTTCGCCACCGTCGGCGCGCCAGGCTGGCGTGCCCCCCAACAACCAACCACAAAAGCCAGAAGATAAGGACTCGCCTGAATACAAGAAGAAGGTAGCGTTGCAGACCCTTCCAATTTTGGAAACGAAGAACAATGCGACTAGCTATGGGATGTCAGAATCGCTCTTTACTTCCCTCAAGGATATCTTCGAGTCCGTTGTAGCCAGTCAATCGCGAATTGGGGTCATTCGTCCACAACAGTTTCTCGACGTCCTACGGCGAGAGCATGAAATGTTCCGGACTGCCATGCATCAAGATGCGCATGAGTTTTTGAATCTGCTTCTCAATGAGGTGGTCGCCAATGTAGAAACAGAGGCTACAAAGCAGGCATTTGCGGACAAGGCCTTGCCACCCACAGAGAGTGCGGACTCACTAGGAATGCAGACACTTAGCACGGGTTCCAAATCACCTAATACTACAAGATGGGTTCACGAGTTGTTCGAAGGAACTTTGACATCCGAGACAAAGTGTCTCACCTGTGAGAAGGTCTCCCAGCGAGATGAGGTATTCTTGGATCTTTCGGTGGATCTTGAACAACACTCCTCAGTGACCTCGTGTCTCCGAAAATTCTCAGCCGAAGAGATGCTGTGTGAGCGAAACAAGTTTCACTGCGACAACTGCGGTGGGCTCCAAGAAGCGGAGAAGCGTATGAAAATCAAAAGGTTGCCCCGTGTGTTGGCTTTGCACCTGAAGCGGTTCAAGTACACAGAGGATCTGCAGCGACTGCAGAAGTTGTTCCACCGTGTCGTTTACCCTTACCATCTTCGTCTATTCAACACCACAGACGATGCCGAAGATCCAGATCGTCTCTACGAACTGTATGCGGTGGTTGTTCATATTGGTGGAGGACCATACCACGGTCACTACGTTGCTATCATCAAGACAGAAGACCGTGGCTGGCTGCTCTTTGATGATGAGCTCGTGGAGCCAGTTGATAAGAACTACGTGCGGAACTTCTTCGGAGATCGCCCAGGACTGGCATGTGCATATGTCCTGTTTTATCAAGAAACAACCGCCGAGGCTGTTATGCGGGAACAGGCACAAGAAAATCAGGCGTCCGCCACTGGAGCGGCCGAAACTGGCGAAGCTGGAAAACAAAATGGATCCCCACTCTCACCACCGCTAGCGCACGCACAAAGTGCATCCCAGGTCCCTCCTGGGGACACCACTCGCTACGACACTCTCAGCCGAATACCGACAGCACCTCCGCTTTCCACGTACCCAGAAGAACCCACAGAGCCAATGCCAACTTCCCCACGACATGTTCAGCAACCTCTCCCTCCGATTCCCGACGAACCAACTCCCCCATTGAGCCCCAAAAAGAGTGACCACCAGCTAAGAAAGGAACGGCGCGCTTTAGAGAAAGAAAAGGATAAGAACGAAAAGAATCGCCAGAAAGAGCAAGACCAGCAAAACAGAGAAATTCAGCGACGAGAAGCTGAAGAATTGAAGAAAGCCCTCGAGGCTAGCAGGGCTGAAGCCAACGATGTTGGCGCTGAGAATGGATCCCCCAGGAAGTCAACCAGCTTCGGCTTCTTGAAACGAGGCAGTCGCAGCCTCAGTCAACGTCTAAGCAAGGAAAAGGAACCACGAGTATCAACCTCCGATCTATCAACCTCACCACTTCTTTCAGAATCCATCATAGAAGCACCCACTAAAGAGGCACCACCAGCCTTGCTGCCCAAGCCCATCAAATCGGCCCACCCACTCTCACCACCACCCGTCCAGTCACCAGTATCTCCGAGAGAATTCCCAACTACCTCCAACCCCAAACAGCCCATCCGGGCCACCGAGCCATTGGTCAAAGACCCTCCCCCTACAAACCACGACAAACCTACCCACCGGTGGAGATCGTTCAGTTTCAAGAAGGTGTCCTAAGAAGGTGTTCTAAACACCTGACTTGCTCCTTCCGAGGGAGCATTCGTCTCCGTTCTTCGTCTTGCTTCAGTCGATTTTCACGGAGATACCCTCAATGCACATATGAGCGCAAATTCTGCTTTTGCACATAGCCTCCGCCGATGGATGTACTATCATGTTCTTATGATCTGCGCCTAGCACTTACTTACCCTTCTCCTGTGGAAATCCTCCCCCCGGGGCATTTCCATAATGTCTTTTTAGACTATTGGATCTCAGTTCGCGGCAATCTGCGTTTATTTTATTTTATTTTGTGTTTTTGGCTTCGCCTTTGCTATCTATCACCTTCGCTGCCATTTGTCTGTCCAGCGTGCTGCTGCAGGTTCGATCCTGGTGCGAAAGAGGCGTTCGGAATTTTGCAGCTTTCTCTTAAGCGTGGGTCTCTGATTTGGCGTTTCAATCTGTTCTACTATCTCATTTGAGCGATTCTCTTTGCATGTGCATTTGTCTGTTCTATTAGTACATATAGTCGTCTCGCCTCATTGCTATTCTCTTCTACAAGCCAAGGGTTTTAAGCGTATAGAATACATCTAGTGTCCAATTTAGATAGACATCTTGATTCAAGTAGCCGTATCTCGTTCATTGCGTCAGTTCTAGCATTGGATATATACAGAACTGGATCAAGCAGATTTGATATTCGATACTGCCAACTTCTTTGACCCTGATAAGGCCAAGCTGAGGGTCCCTGCTCATTAAACATCCAAATGCACCCTTCTGTCCGATATGCTTGCTCACGGATCGTGCCGGGGTCCTTCTGTTGGAATCTCCGCTGTTTGTAGGGTATGTGGGAATTGCGCAAGTCGCGAGAATACGAGGGTGGATGGGTCGAGAATGGCGCCGTACAAGTGCTTTCGACCCGCGATAAAAATGGCAGGCGTATTTAACCGAGAATCAGCTCGTAGAAGATGATCACGGTGTTGATGATGATAAGGGGTACTGCAGGTTCAAGGTTCCAGGTTAGCTTTTCTGTCTGGCCTTTGCTGCCAGGTTCAGATTCGTGGTCTTGCTCGACCGCGACGACAGGACTCCGTCGTGGACGAGCAAGGTTTCCATAGCCGATATCTGATATTGGATTGGACGCGCGGGGAAACGTACTTCGCATCACGGTCCGCACACTGGCGATCAGGTTGATCGTCTTGGCCTTGACGCTTGTGCTATCGTATGTCGCACCGAATCCGGGCTCTGCTTGTGTGCGACCCCATCCAACTGTATTTAGGGTGTGTGTATTAGACCTGTCGCATGTGGGGGTTATCATGGCTGAGGAGGGACGTACCGCGAGCTAGGAAGCGGTCCTCGGAGAGGACGGCGATGGAGTTGATTATGAGGATGATGACTGGATCAGATCAGTATAAGTCGAGTAGCCTGGCTAATTTTCAAATTAGTAAAGCAGGGACATACCATAGAACAGCTTCCCCAGACCGAAGAAGAACATCGCGACTCGAGGGGTTGGAGATGGTAAAGGTGAAGTGCGGGAAGCCGCCAGATCTCCGGATCAACACTCACATCGGATGCAGCCACCATGAGATATTGTTTGTTAGCTCTGTGCAACGTGCGAAGACAGCGTATTAATTGGTTATAGCTTCTGCGGTTCTCGCTCTTCTGTTTCCCGCCTTGATTCTCCTGCACCTCTTCGTCGCGCCGTACACTAAAGTCGAGGAGTCCTTCCATGTCCAAGCCATACATGACATCTTGGCTCACGGGCTACCAAATGGTTGGAATGACCTGAGTCTCAACCGGACCAATTATGACCACTTTTCATTTCCTGGGGCTGTTCCCCGGAGTGCCATTGGTGCTGCGCTGCTTGCTCTTCTCTCCAAGCCTGTCATCTTGCTCAACGAGGGGATCGACCAGCAACTATTAGGTACCACACTGCCTGGTCCATTCGACTCAGATTTATGTCAAGGATACTGACAGTCCTCCCCAGCTCGCGCTATTCTGGGCTTGCTCAATGCTTCCACACTGGCGATCTATGCAAGCGGCCTGCGTCGCAACTTCGGTCAGCCTGTAGCTATCTGGTACTTCATACTACAAGCAAGCCAGTTCCACCTCATATACTATGCTTCACGGCCACTTTCAAACATGTTCGCCTTCAGCATAACAACACTCGCATTGCGCCTCCTCCTCCCAAGTCCAAGCCCCACAAGCCAAGACCAAAAGCAATGCAGTCTCGCGCTAGCCCTCCTCACCACCGCAGGCGTAGTCTTCCGCTCCGAACTAGCCCTCCTAGTCGGCACCCAGACTCTCTTCCTCCTAGCAACGCGCCGAATCAGTCTCTCCAATGCCATCGTCGCAGGTCTAGTCGGGTTGGCCAACGGCCTCCTCCTAACAGTCTGCATCGACGGCTACTTCTGGCAGCAGTTCCCTCTCTGGCCCGAGTTCGAAGCTTTCCGCTTCAACGTCCTCGCAGGCCAGTCCTCCGAATGGGGAACAGAGCCCTGGTCTTTCTACTTCCTGAACGCCCTCCCTCGCCTCCTCTTCAATCCCCTTTCCTACGCCCTCGCTATCCCCGTCGCCGTCCGCCAACCGGCTACACGGGCCACCGCATTGTCGCTATTAACTCCGGCCCTGACCTTCGTCGCGCTGTATAGCTTCCAGCCGCACAAGGAGTGGCGTTTCATCATCTACATCATCCCATCACTTACGGCCGTCGCTGCCCTCGGCGCGGGATACCTCTGGACGCACCGTTCGCGCTCGTTCTTCGCGCGCTGGGCTACCCGCGCGCTGGCGCTCTCTTCTCTCGCCGTCTTCCTCCTCTCAAATCTGATTCTTCTCCCTGCCTCCGCAGCCAACTATCCCGGCGGGGAAGCTCTCGATGCCCTCCACTGGAAACACGCTATCTGGCATGGAGGCCTCGAGCCCGGTTTCCATGTCTACCTAGGTAACCTAGCGTGCCAGACTGGCGTGACTCGCTTTGGACAACAGCCTTCTTCGTTGGGGTGGGTATACGATAAAACCGAAGACGAGGCCATCAAGTCCACAGGTGAATTCTGGGAACAGTTCAACTATGTTGTTTTCGAGGCTTCGTCGGAGCCGGGGTTCATGGATTCGGATGAAATCAGGCTCCGTTCTGCGTTGCCCGACTCGATATGGGAGGCTGTGGTTGAGGTTGATGCTTTTACGGGCATTTCAGTTTTGAGACCCGGTGTTCCCGCTACGGGAACCGCTGAGCGGCGCATTCTTGGGTCTTTTGCTGGCCCGCGTGCGGTTGAGATATATGAATCCGTGCGTGAGTATGCGAGGATAGCTTTGTTGCGTGGGTGGTGGGTTGAGCCGAAGATGGAGCCGAGGGTTCGGGTTTTGAGCCGTGTGATCCAAGACTTCTTCTAGAAGATTATTCCGACTTTATATGCATACATTTGACACTTCTTGAAGTTTGTATCCGCATTCCCATTATGGAAAATATTGACAATCGACATAAATAACTACATAAGCCCAATATTCGACAAGGTACATACATCCATGGATGCAACTGGGTATTATTGATCAAATTTCTGCCCCCGGCAGATCAAAGTAGACACAAGAAAAAGAATCACAGCGCAGGCCCTTCCAGACGCGCTAGACGAGACTCCAAGTCCCGCACCCAGGGCTCAACAGTCTCGACATTCGAGCGCAGAGCTGCTTCACCCTGGCTCATTTTCTCCTCCACAACCGTCAGGCCTTCGCGCCACTGCTCGATCTCCGATGCCATTTCGGCGTGCCGCTTTTCCAGCTCGTTAAGCGAGTCCGCTGCGTGGGCTGCGCCAGCATGGCACGCGCGGAGGGAACGCAGACGCTCGAGGACGCTGGGGAGCAATGGGTGGAGAGACTGTATGGTTGGGAGGGTAGCGTAGAGTGCTTGGATTTTGGCTGTGTGTTCGTCGTCTGCGGAAGTATCGGGGACAGGCAGATCGGCGTCGGAACTTGCCAGGCGGGCGTTGTGCGCGGCTTTCGCGGCGTCGAATGCTTTTCTGCGGGCTGCGGTGAGGGCTTCGGCGTCTGTGGTTAATTTGCGCACGCGGGTGGAGAGGGCTTCGAGATGCGGGGTGGTGATTCCTGGGCCGCTGGCTGGTGCCCCTGGACCGGCGGATGCTGGGTTCGTGCCGACTAGGAGACCGGTAAGGGCTGATAGGCGGGAAGTGAGTTGGTCCAGGGCTGGTAGGACGGGGTGTGGTGTATTGTCGTTGACGCCGTCAGCGACGAAGGGGTTTGAGGAGCTCGAAATGCCCATAGAGCTTTCGAGAAGCGCGAGGCGGCCATCAAATGCGGCTGCATGGGAGAGGATACCCGCAGAGGCAACCTGTTGCGGCACTGCTGGGGCTGTTGTAGCGCCTGACGCTTGTGTGTTTGCATCTGGCGCAGCTCCGGACCCAAGTTTCTGGGACAAAAACGCTGCCGCCGAATGCGATGGCGTCGCCGCACCCCGCGAGGCATGCAAATTGTCCAACGCACGGCTGAGTTCCGCAACGCCATCACTCAAGCTCACGCTAGGCTTTTCAGCCGATGTACCCTGTGACTGTTTATTTGTCACCTCCTCGTCCTTAGGCTGATTGGCCATCTCCACCTTGAGATCTTCGACTTCCCTCCGTAGCCGGGCAAGTCTTCGCTCCAGCGACTCGTCCTCGCTGTCACTTAGGTCGCCGACCTCCTCTGTCCCATCTGCGCGTCTCCGGCGCCGGCGACGGTTCATATCTTTGCTCCGATATGCCTGTCTCTTCATGGAGATACTATCGGAGAAATTGGCATCACGGGCGTCCACGGCCGCGCCCATAAAGTGCATGCGCGCCTGGTCGGCGTTGACGCCCTCACGGTCAATGTCGGAGTTGGAACCGGCGTCGTCATGGTCGGACTCTGTGCGGATAGTGCCAGTCTGGTCAAGTCAGTTATTAGGACCGATGACGTCTTGTTCTTTTGCAATTGCTGGACTCACGGGGACGGTTGACGCTTCGTCGGTCAAGTCGGGGGTTTCATAGATATCTGGGGAAGGGTCCTGGATTACGGTCAAGAGGTATTCAAAGTGGATAACAATACTAGCTTACCAAGTCAGGTAGACCGGCATATTTCTTATTGAAAGCCATTTTGGATAGTTAGCTCCAAATCGTCACGAGTAAACATAGGAGTCGGCAGAATCCTGAGTCAGCTTCACGTGTCGAGCCTCGGACCCCACGAACCACATGCAATTGACGACATTGGAGGCTTTAGTCCGGGGTCAAGAGTTCCTTGGTATATATTCATACTTCTGCTACTTTTCTTCCTTCTTCTCTACCAGTATCTCCAATTGATCTTTCACCTCAACTACTCTCCACTCTTCAACTTCCCTACCCCGCATTTCGAGCTATCCAAGCTACAGTCAAGATGGCCGCCCCAGCAGATATCAACATCAAGAACCTCAGCGGAGAGTGGGAGATGGTATGATTATGAACAATCCAAGTCAAAACATCAAAAACTCATTGCGTAACAGGACTCAAAATTGTCTAACCCAACAGACTCAATTCTAGCTCTGGTATGAACCCCGAAGCCCTAATCATAACCCAAAAATGAGTGAAACCCAAGGTGTCACAAACCCTACACATCCGTCCCCTCCCGTTTCACAGAACCAATACACAAATCCCTAGACATATGCCCAGCATGCCATAGTACAACCCCCACTAACCAACCAAACAGCAAGGGATGGGCTGGGTCATGCGCAAGACCCTCTCCTACGCCACAGTGACCATCTACATCCACGAGTACCCAGATAGCGAGAAGCCAGAAATCTACCATGTCGACGGACAGCAGGTGATTACCGGCGGAATCCAAGGTACCAAGGAGTGCCGTACGCTGGACTGGACGGAGCGCGAGCACGTCGACCACATCTTCGGCAAGTTGAACGGCCGCTCGCGCCATTTCACCGGCATCAATGCTCTTGAGGTCCAGACTTCTGTTGGCAAGCCCGAGGCTGATGCTAAGGTGGTGAAGTTCCTTACTGGTGAGATTCTTGTTGATGGGTCTAAGAGTGACGGGTTTGCTGTTGATGAGGAGGCGGTGTTTATGCAGAGCTTTGTGAGAAATCAGGAGTCTGGGTGGACTGCTGAGCAGGTTTGGGGCTTTGAGATTGTTGAGGGCGAGAGACGCCATACTCGTCGTGTTGTTGTTACTAAGGATGGTAAGGTGGAGATGGCTAGACTTGTTTATTCTTTCAAGGCTCGTCGGGCTGAGGAGTGAATTTTTTTTGGGAGGTTGCTGCTGGGCATGCACCTTTTCTTGTTTAGGGTTGGTTTATTTTAGCTTTCTATAAACCCTAGATCAATCAGCGTTCAGCCTGGACCTGTCGTCATTTATTTTTTAGTGTTGTAGTTACCTTTAGATGAAAACCATGATCGAAATATGGTCAAGTGCATACAAAAGCGGGAATAAATGGACTTGGGAGCAGTATCATAATGCAGCATAAATATCATTAGAAGTACATACACTGTCCAATTTGGAAGTCAATGCACATTCGCAAAACCTGATGCAAGATATGATCCGAAATACATTCATTGATAACCATAAGATGCGTGTTTTTAAACAAAGACAAAATTGACCATGTCGATGATCGGCTAAGGGCAACAAAAGCAGGAGTTATCAGGCGGTCTTAGGAGTGAGTAGGCATCACCACGCTAGCCTTGGTGCTGACGGCATCCTCGCTCTTCCACAAGCTGGTCACAGTCTTCTGCTGGGTATAGAACTGCAATCCGGGCTTGCCGTAGAAGGTGTTTGCACCACCGCCGGCAATACTCTTCTTGTTACCGGTGAAAGAGAACATGGGGAGAGGGACAGGGATGGGCACGTTAATGCCAAGCTGGCCAGCCTCGCACTCTTTCTGGAATCTGGAGGCGGTTGAGCCAGAGCGAGTGAAGATGGCGGCACCGTTGCCGTATTCATTGGCATTGATTGTGTTGATGGCGTCATCGAGGGTCTCGACGTTCAGGCAGACAAGGACAGGTCCAAAGATCTCCTCCTTGTAGCATTTCATGTCGGGAGTGACGTTGGTGATAATGGTAGGGCCAACCTACAGACACATGTTAGTTTGTGTTGTCTGATTGCGAGGTTACTTTCTGTAGTGGAACTTACGAAGTTGCCATTGGGATAACCCTCGGGCTTGTAGCCACGGCCATCAAGAAGAATGGTTGCACCCTCCTCCTCGGCACTGGCAATTAGATCCTCGATGCGCTTCTTGCTCTCGGGGCTAATCACAGGGCCAAGGTCGGCGCCCTCCTCAAAGCCACCGTTCACACTCAGAGCCTTGGCCCGCTCAGCGATCTCGGGCAGCCACTCCTTAGTCTCGGCAACCATGAGGCAAGTGCTCAGTGCCATACAACGCTGGCCAGCGGCACCAAAGGCGGCGCCAACAATCGCGTTGAGAGACTGGTTTTTGTTGGCGTCTGGCAGGACAGCAGCGTGGTTCTTGGCGCCCAGGTTGGCCTGCACACGCTTGCCGTTCGCAGAGCCACGAGTGTAGATGTACTCACCAGCACGGTTGCTGCCAACAAAGCTGATGGCCTTAATAGCAGGCTCATCAAGGATAAAGTCCACAGTAGGGGCAGAGCCGTGGATGATGTTGATAACACCGGGTGGGAAACCGGCCTCGGCGGCAAGCTCTGCCAGGATCATGGCAGCACCAGGGTCACGCTCGGAAGGCTTCATGACCAGGCAGTTACCAGTTGCGGTGGCAACTGGAATGCACCACAGGGGAATCATCGCGGGGAAGTCTTGGTGGTAGTCAGTATACAGGTACTATTGAGCACATTGGATATTGGTACTTACTGAAGGGGCAGATAGCAGCCACGACACCCAGAGGCTCCCGGTAGCTTCTTGTTTCCATGTCCTTGGCCACCTCTAGTACCTCACCAGTCATCTGGGTAGTGATGCCGCAGGCAGTTTCGGCGACTTGCAAGCCACGGAGAACATCACCCTTGGCATCAGCGACGGTCTTACCCTGTTCCAGGGTAATAGAGGCAGCCAGTCGGTCCCAGTGTTCACGGATAAGGCTAGTAAACTTGAACAGGATTTGCTGGCGGGCCATAATACTAGTTGCCCGCCAAGCGGGGAAGGCTTTCTGGGCCGACTCCACAGCGGCCTTGAGCTCCTCATTTGTGCTCTGGGGCACACGGGTGACCAGGTTGTTGGTGGCAGGGTCATGGAGGTCAATCCATTTTGTAGCCTTGGATGCCACAAACTGGTTATCGATAAAATTGGCGGTGTCGATTGGGTTGGTGATCTTTTGGTGGCTTGTTGGGTATTCCGTAGCGGTTGACACAGCCGAGGTGGTTGAAGGGGCAAATTTATGAGTTGTTGCGTGCAAACGACGAGTTGCAGAAAGAGATGAAGGGGCCATGGTTATTCTGCGAGAGGAGATGGAAAGGGGAGAAGCAGAGGTAATAGATCGGGCTGAAGATGCAGCTCTAGCGGTCACCGTCGGCGTGCGGGGAACTGCGCGGAGAGCGGGGATAGAACGGGCAATTGACCGACAAGCGGCCATGATGAATTGATGAGAGAAAAAAAGGGACGATCGGGATGTTGTCTCAATGGGTAAATAACAGATTGAGTAAAAGTAGAAGAAAGGTGGAAGGAGACGGGTTAAACGGAGTGGCATACTCTCATAAACTGGGTTACCCCAGGCCCGAGGTCAACCGCCTTAGTAAGGAGGATCCATTCCCCCATACATTTAGAACTCAGATAAGATGCTCTTCGGCGTTTTGAACCAATTATATATCGTCGATTGACCCCAATCGCCGACGGCCTTGATCGCTTGTGACGGGCTACGGCTTTGTTTCCGAGGTGTTGATATTTACAGGAAGGACGTTCCAATTAGGAAGGTATTTCCTTTTCAGGCCACTTTACAGCTAGTTAGTCACCTACATAACTATGTAGACCTACGTTATCGTACGCTATACTAAATTATATTTAGAAGATAGTATAGTTATGACATTCTTGAATTGGAAATAAAAAGCAATTGTCTCCGAAAACTGGCTAGAAATAGTCGGCAAAATGGAATAATGGAAAGTATACATATCAGGCCTCCATTCAGACTACATCGGCCAAAAGAACAACAAGAGGGGGATCACTGCGGTAATTGAATGCAAAGCTTTTCGCTGATTGGGTTTATTGGGTAAAATCGTTCGCTCCGGGTAATTGGGTTTCCCATTGCATTTACTCCGCGGAGGATCGGGTGTTGCGCTTGGTGGCGCCGCCCTTGGTGGTTTCAGCGGATGAGCTGACAGCCTCTTCCTTCTTCTCCTTGGGAGCACTGGCAGCGGCCTTGCCCTTCTTCTCGGTAGGGGCGGGGCTGCTGGCACTGATGGCGCCAACGACAATGAGGATCATGGTCAAGAGGAGGGCACCAAGACCTCCGGCAACCTCAGGAAGAGCCTTGACGGCGTGAATGGGGTCCTCCTTGGCCAGCTCAACGAAGTGGTTGACCTTCTGTTGGACGAAGGTAATAGGGTCTTCCTTGAAGGTAGTGGTAGTACCAGCCTCCTTGACCTCGGGCTTAGGCTTGGTAGCCTCCTCCTCGGCCTCCTCAACGGGGAACTTAACATCGAAGGTCTCCTGGCGGAGCTTCTCAGCATCCTCAATGGAGTGACCAATGTAGATGTTATCAAAGAGGATATCGCTCTGCATGGTCCAGATCTCAAAGCCAATGGCGCCCATAGGCTCGAGGTTGGAAGGGGTCTTGTCCTCGAAGAAGGCAGGGTTCTTGATCTTGCGCGGAGCCCAGATACCCTTGTAGGCAGGGTTGTCAATGAGAGGAGCCTCCCACTTGCCCTTGTACTCGGGGTTCTTGATTAAAGGGCGGGTCCAGGGGCCACATCCAGAGACATCAGCACACTTGGGGTTGGGGACGGTAGGTGCGAGCCAATCTCCATCCTCCTCATCATCCCAGTCCTCAGGCTTCTCGGCCTCGGGGTCAGGAATGCTGGTAGGCTCATCCGCAAGCCAGTCGGCGGGCTGGGTGGCAGTCTCGTCAACAATCTCAAAGGGAGCCTCCTCATCCCAGTCAGCGGGCTTGGTAGCCTCGGGGTCAGCGATCTGAACCTCATCAACCCAGTCGGTGGGCTTGGAGTCCTTGGGATCGTCGATCTCCTTCTCGGGGTTGACGGGAGGGTTGAAGTCCTCGAGGAGGCTGCCAGCCTTGGCAGACTCGCCGTTGATGAGGATCTCGAAGGTCTGGTCGGGCTTGACGATCAGAGTGTAGAGGGAAGTGACCTTGTTGGTACGGGCCACGGGAGGAGTCTTGAGGTGCTTCTCCTCGTATTCGCCAGTCTTGGGGTTCTTGTGGCGGAAGATGAAGTGAACCTTGTTGGTAGCTCCACACTTGTCGGGACCGAACATGATGACATAGGGAGTGCCGTTAGAGAACTCCTCCTGGTGGAGCTTCTTATTCTCTTGGAGGAGCTTGAGGTAAGCACCACCGCAAACAAGGGAGTCTATAACAAACGACGATTAGCGTGTGAACAATCAAATAGATTTAGGTGCCAATTACTCACTTTGCGGCTTGACCTCGTACTGAACCACCAAGGTTTTGCCCTTGTTGTCAATCTTCTTGGGGAACTTGGCAGAGATGGCGTGGTGGGCGGCAGCGTTCTTGACCACAAGACCCTTGTCGCCATCAATACCCTTCAAGACAGTAGGCTCTTCAACGGCCCATTCACCAACGTAAGCCCATTCGTCGTCGGACTTGGTGTCATCCTTCTTCGCAGTGGAAGCCTTCCACCGCGCCTGCCAGTCGTCGGTGAATTGCTCCAGGAAGGGAGCCTTGAGGGTGGTGGGCTAACAAAGAAAAAAACAATCAGTACATATGTATATTACAGAGAAAGTGCTTTCAATTGCGACATACCGTGAAAGCAGGCTTCTCAATGATAGTGGCATCAGCAACCTCCTCCTCCGCATGGGCGTAGCCCATGAGGCTGGCGGAGGAGACCAGAGCCGAAGTTAAGGCAGTGTTGAAGCGCATGTTGATCAACAAACACTATAGAAGAAAACAGAACCCAAGAATGAGAGTGGATCGCCAAAGTGAGGAGAAGGGAGGTTTTAAAGCGGAGGAGAAGGTCCAGGTGGCCTCTTCAACTGAGCTACCCAATTAGGACTAGGCTACACACGGGCTTTCGATGTTGTTCTATACATTCAATTTTATTTTCTATAGGCAATGATTTCAATTCAATTTCAATTTATTTCTTTGAATTTGATTCAATTGATTAGATATATAAAAATAAATAGTTTTGCACTTCTATACATATATCAAATTATTCTACATATGTAGTTTGCAAAACTATTTCAAATGTTTGTTAGCATCGAGGCATTTATTGCGTGCTGCCACTTGCAGGTGCAGATCCTCGATTGGCTTCCCCGCCCAGACAAAATTATCTTATCCGTTTAGGCATTTGTAGACATTTGGTTCTCCGACAGCTTTGCCTAGGTCAACCTCAAAAGTTCTCAAGTCAGTCCCTCCTATTAATCCAGCTTAAGAATTCTTTACATTATTTTATTTTCTTTGGAAGATCCACAGACTTACAAATGCTAGTCTATCGCAACCATGTGCCCCACCGAGAAAGCTGTCGCAACGGCTGACAACAATAATGACCATTTGGTCCAGTCCGAGGATCCCGAACACCCTGCCAACCTCATCCCCCAACTCTGCAGGAATTTCTACAACTGGGGATGGGTTACTGGTACCGGAGGAGGCGTAAGCACACCCTCGAAAAAGTTCAACGGTGCCCCCCGCTCATGGAATAAGTAGGCATCGATCCGCCAAGGCGACCACATTTTCATTGCCCCCTCCGGTGTTCAAAAGGAATTGATCAAATCAGATAACATCTTCGTTGTTCAATGGCCTACCCCCAAGTACCCGGCTGAGGCGCGCAACTATATCCGCAAGCCCCTCAAGCTCAATCCCTCCGCCTGTACCCCACTGTTCTTGACTGCCTTTGAGCAGGGTGCTGGTTGCTGCATTCACACTCACTCGCAATGGGCTGTTCTCGTCACCCTACTGGTAGAGCGAGAGAAAGGCCCTGATGCTTGCTTTGAGATCAACAACATTGAGCAGATCAAAGGTATTCCTCGTGGTAAGGGCAAGGGTATGCTCGGATTCTTTGATACTTTGAAGATTCCTATCATCGAGAACACTGCCTTTGAGGAGGATCTCACCAGTGGCCTGGAGGCGGCCATGAACAAATACCCCGACACATATGCCGTACTTGTTCGCAGACACGGAATGTAAGTCATAACAATTTATTGCATATGGGAATCGACCAAATTCTAATATGTTGGATCTTGCAGCTATGTCTGGGGCGACAACACCGCCAAGGCAAAGACTCAGTGCGAGAGTCTGGACTACCTGTTCCAATTGGCTGTGGAAATGCACAAGCTGGGACTCCCATGGATCAAATAGACCATGCGCAGTTGCTAATGACCTTTTTATGTTTGACGGTCGATATAATCTCGGAAACTTGTATTGGTTTACCGGCATTAGGAAGCTCCAATAGAGATGATGTGACATATTGTGGCATGGACTTTCAAATAAATATTGTATGTAGCCATGGTGCACTGCAGAGATAGATACAGTATCAAGCTCATGCAATAAGCATAAAGACTTGCCCATATTTTCCATCAGCAGTGAGAATGGCGAGGTGGGTGGAAGTGTATAGTTATATAGTAAGAGTATCGGGACACCTTGTGGGCTGGGGATCCCGTGATTAATGCGGATCAGCCTCCACTCCACGAGCTGCCTCTCCAACTCCGTACTCGTGTCCATCTAAGCTCCCATTAAACCATTCGTGTCAATTTCTTGATCCATCTTTTCGCCGTGCTATTCTTCGCTCCTCTTCTATCTCATACGACCGGTTATAATGGATCTCGACTCGGGAGACTCCCCGTGGGGCGGTAGGCAGTCATGATACCACAGCTCTTTGGAATGCAGTCTGATTTAGCATGCAGATGAGCCTTCACAGTTCAAGCCTAGCCAAGGCGCTTCTAAGCCCGGCACTCAAGAGGGTGGTATGTTTTTCTCCACTTGCTTCTTTAATGCGCATCCCCCACTAAATCCACCTCCATCCAGAAGCCGCAACCCCCGCGTCAGTCAGCGCGCCCACAGTCCGCACTCCTGGAAAACGAGGCCCCCGAGGCACACGCAAGATTAGTGCACAAGCCACGAAACTCGAATCTGTCGATGATTCCGTCGACCCTCTCGGCCCATTGGGTGAAGCCCCAGCCGAGGCTGCCCCGACGCCTACAGATGAGGCACCAGCACCACCCCAAAAAGAACCATTCGCCGGCCGCGGCGCGCTACCACTAGCATCGCCCTCCCAGGCGTCTGGAGGGGGAATATCGGAGTCGGCCAATGTGGATGAGCAAAGTGCGGGCTTCCGAGGACCTCCGCCCGTTCAGCCACCGGTGGAAACGGACGGACCTAAACGACAGACACAGCCCAGCATGAGTATCGAACAGGCTGCGAAGCCGACTTTCCAGATCTATGTTGGTGATCCGCATAAAGTAGGAGATCTGACAAGTAGTCATATCGTCTATCAAGTTTCGACCAAGGTAAATAAATTGGAGTACTCGGAAACGGCGCACGCGCGTTGAAAGGAAACGAGCTGACAATTCTACGGTCAGACCACATCCAAAGCTTATCGCCATCCCGAATTCACAGTCAGTCGTAGATACCGTGATTTCCTCTGGCTTTACAATTCCCTTCACGGCAGCAACCCCGGAGTGGTTGTTGCGCCTCCACCCGAGAAGCAAGCAGTTGGCCGGTTTGATACCAACTTTGTGGAGTCGAGGAGGGCTGCTTTGGAACGGATGCTAAATAAGATTGCTTCCCATCCCATTCTTCAACATGATGGAGACCTGAAAATCTTCCTGGAAAGTGAGGCTTTCAACGTTGATGTCAAGAATAAGGAAAACCGGGAGCCCGATATTGGCCCAAGCAAGGGAATGTTGAGCTCCTTTGGTATTTCTGTTGGTGGGGGAAGCAAATTCGTGGAACATGACGATGTAAGTGGTCTGCTTCTGATGCAATAGCTATGCCTGCTGACAGCTTAATAGTGGTTCCATGATCGTAAGGTCTACTTGGATGCATTGGAAAATCAGCTGAAGGCCTTGATGAAGTCAATGGATACTGTGGTGCTACAACGGAAGGGGCTCGCCGATGCCGCAGGCGACTTTTCAAGCTCACTGCATGCTTTGTCTGCTGTTGAGCTGTCTCCCGCTCTATCATCCCCTTTGGAAGGCCTGTCAGAGCTCCAACTGCGCATCCGGGAACTCTACGACCGACAGGCGCAGCAGGATGTGCTGACACTTGGAATCACGATTGATGAATATATCCGCTTAATTGGAAGTGTCAAGATGGCCTTTAGCCAGCGACAAAAGGCTTTCCACACCTGGCATGCGGCTGAGTCCGATCTACAGAAACGCAAGAACACTCAAGATAAGCTACTCCGCCAGGGGAAGACCCAGCAAGACCGTCTGAACCAGGTCAATGCCGATGTCGCAGACGCAGAGCGCAAGGTCCATCAGACACGGCTGCTGTTTGAAGACATGGGCCGACTTATGCGAAATGAGCTGCAACGATTTGAGAAGGAGAAGGTGGAAGACTTCAAGTCCGGTGTTGAAACATTCCTCGAGAGTGCGGTAGAGGCCCAGAAAGAGGTAAGACTTCTCGTATTCCGCGTATTTCTTTTCATCCAGCTGACCCGTCAATCGCAGTTGATCGAGCTTTGGGAGACATTCCTGTTGCGCTTAGATGCTGGCGAAGAAGGCCTTCCTTACTACGTGCCTCCATCTGAGACGGCGGAGGCGTCTGCACCAGAGCCTACGGAATCGACGCCATTGGTTGCTGAGGATGAGGCTTGATCTTTTTACCTACTCTGATGCCCGAGTGCTGCGTGCTCGTGTATAAACCCTAAAACAAGCACCTGCAAAGTTCCACGTCTCGTATTCTTTATGGGACGCTCTTTTTCCCGATGTTCCCTATGCCATGCTGCAACTCTGATGATCGACCCCAGCAAGCTGATAGGCCATGTGTTTTCTTTCTTTCCATCTTCGCTTCACTCTGAATACCACTGTTCGCGTATTGTAGCAAATAAATTCATTTTACGGTAATCAGTCGAATACAATAATCTTTTCCTATTCCTGAAATTCCTCCCTGTGCTTGTCCTCTTCATCCTCCACCTCCATACCATGGTTCCCATCTTCGTCCCGCGTGCTTTCCAAGCTCAGCCCACAGCTCATGTCCGACGAGAGCGGTACATGGCCTCTTTATAATCATTTCCGAACAGCCAACCGCTGTGGAGAGGTTTTACTTGTCCGTCTTGTTCGGCAACACTTGTCATCTTATCAGATATAAGCCCTCTCAGCTGTTTGTTTCTCGACGCGCTCTTTATGGTCCTGTGTCATTGCATGCCACGTGCAGCGTTTAGCCTTTCATGTATTTCATGAGGACGATGTACGTCCCATCATCTTCGACCCATTCTTCGACGAATTCGGGAACAAGGATTGTGGTATCGGTGGCGACAAATGGTGTGTTGACTCTTTCATAATTTGGGGGCCCTTAGGTCGTTGTCTCAAGATCAACTTTGAGCCTATAGACCAGACCCTTCTGTCGTGGCAACCATAGAAAGAGTTGGCTTAGTTTGCTCTTGTACCAACAGTGGGATTATTTTCTTGGGGACCAGGCACAGGTCACACACGGGGTGTCGTCAAGTTCAGCTCGTTCTTCCTCGTTCGTTTTTACTAGTTTGGTCGGTACTCAGAGGCTGTAATTTGGAGGTAAATAAGGGGCGAATATTTCTATGCCTCTATTTTTCCTTTTTTTCACTGTGCATCTTCTTTGTTGTCTCATTCGATACCTTGCAAAGTCTTGGTAGGCTTGCAACGAGCTACAAGCGTGAGCAATGAGCGGTCTGGACGCGATGTAGATATCCCAGTCCCATACACAATCACTCAGAAGCATAGAAAAGTTATACTACTGAATTCGTCCGACGCCATATGTGAAAGCTCAACCATCCTTCTTTGCTTTAAAAAAGAGGTCAACGTAAAGGCTTCCATTGATAGGACATTGTTAGGAGCCATAAATCTTCTCAAGTTCGTTTGTGATACGTACTGCGAACTTGGCCCCAGGATGTGGCTAAGTCTAAAACCAAGTACCTCATGACACTCGACGGAGTACAGAAACTTAAATCCTTGAACTAATAAAGCTGGGCTGTTTTTGTCGTAAGCAGCCCACTAGCAGCCCTCACTCTGTCAGATTGCAGCATCAGCGCTAATACTCAAATTAGTCCACGCTACTGCGGCAACACAAGAGGCCAAGCCGAACCGGGTTACGATCTTCAATTGCAGATTCCCTCGTCAAAAACTAATACGCTGATAATTCTTAGCCCCCAATTGCCGACGCCATCTTTCTGCAGCTCTGGCTGATTTGTGCACCAATGGAGGCTAATCTTATAGGTTCATGGGCCCTCCATAGTTCCGGTTTTATTTCTCGGTAAAGAAACTGTTGTTGCCCCTGAGAACCTAGTAGGATGCGATCTCTGTCATGCTGAGATCCGCTTCAGTTTACATCTGGACTATTCGCAATTTGCCCCCGATATACCTACTCTCGTCCTAATTCATTCAAAAAAATATTGCTCCACCATGGCAACGAGCACTTCGAACTATGCTGCTTACTCTACAGATACCGATTTCATAGGCTGGTACATCGCAGCAACTCGTATGTCCCGCCATCTGGGTAGAGCACCCGAGCCCTAATCATATACTAACCTTTCTCCAGCCCAACCGATTCTCTGCGTAGATGGCGGCACATGGACTACAAGCGGATCTCTCGGTGACTGTAGTTCAACATCTGGCGATACCATCGCTACATCCTGCTATCATGGGTCGAGCGTAGTAAGAGGGTCGACTACTGAAGCATGGTACGGACCCGGCCTCATCGTACACCAAGTCCTTTCTTTGCTGATGGAAAGATAGCGGCTCGGGCTCAACATGCGACTTCTTTAGAATCTTTTCAACTACTGGCCAAGATGGTCTTGAGGCCAAAACACGATACGCTTGCATGGACAATTGGGCTGCCAACAGTGTCTACCGTACTCTTCCCTCGCAGTGGCTAGTAACCTCAACTTCAGCTTCCGCGACAAGTACTTCATCCTGTAAGTGATGACCCAAAGCAAAAGAACTATCAGAGACTAATTTGTCACGCTTGCGCAACAGTCACCACCTCTTCATCCTCTATCTCAACGACATCCACATCCACATCCACATCCACTAGCAGCCCCGACTCCTCCAGCTCCTCCAGCTCGGGAATAAGCAACGGCGCGATTGCGGGAATAGTCGTCGGCTGCGTGGCAGGCGGTGCAATTCTCGCGCTGTTAATCGTATTCCACAAGAGACTCTTGGCATGCTTCGGATACCAGAAACAAACGGATAGTGGCCCGGCATGGTCTCCTGTTTATGTGCCCCCACAGACGCAGTCGGCTTCTCAGTCCCAGCCTATGTCGGAGTTGTCTGGGCAGCGGAATATTCATGAGCTTGGTGCGAATGGCTCGAGTCAGGCTTAGTGATAAAGACGGTTGCATGATTGATTTGCGCTTTTCGTTCTTAGCTTGTCTATAGTTACATAGTAATATAGTAATGATATCCGGTTTGGTAATATGATACTGCGGTTTGGGTTATGCCCGTTGCTGGGTCAGGATTGGTTAGGGAATTTCTTCGCTATGGTCTTGGAACTGGAACCAGTACGCTAAAATTGTGTGAACAGGCTTCAATGTAATTCTATAATTATTATAAGGTCAAAGCATAAAGGAAACACTACTCTCATATATGATCAACATATCATGAGCGGCAAAAGATAGAAGAAAAAATGCATTCTTGGTATAATACAGCAGGCTCATACCAGACATATGTATATTGTACAAAGATGAGAACATATAAAAACAGAAAGATGAAATCCCAACTCCCATCCTAGCGACACAAGCCAGACAACCTAGTGCATCCCAGGATCATGAATCAAACCCTCAAATTACTTATTTCTTTTTCTGGACCTTCAGGACCTTCTTCTCCGGAGGCGGGGGCGCCTCATTTTGTCCAAACTCACTGATCAAATCGAGCAAGTTATCTTCCTCCTCCTGTTCAGCCTTCTCCTGAGCCTTAGCATCAGCCTCAGCCTTCTTAGCAGCAGCAGGGTCCTTAGCGGCATCTTCAACAGGCGTGTTGGCATCGTAGCTGCGACCGAATCTGGAACGGAAAGCAGCGAGACGACCGGCCTCATCGTCCTCGACGTTCATCAGCTTGCTGCTGGATGGGTTCCAGAGGAGAGAGTTGCGCGTGTCGCGCGTGCTGCGGTAGACCGGGGCTGGCGAGGTCGTGCGGTGCGTGAAGGTGCTGCCGTCCGAGAGGGTGATGAGCTGTGTGAAAGTGTAGGGGCGCTTAGGGCGGCGGAGAAGAGTTGCGTGTCGGCATTGCGAGCAAACGAAGGTTGTGCTCGATTGGGTGGGGAGCCTTGATGGGAGGATGGAGGTGGTTGAGTTGGTTATCGTGGCCGCTGTGCGGCGGAGAGAGGTGTGCAGGGACATTCTCGAGGAACTCGCTCGTCAATGCAGATGCAATGGGCTAAAGGGATGGTTGAGCAGGGCAGAGGGTGACGTGGCCGCAATGCTATCGGGGAGGACGCGGAGGTGCGAAGTTGATGCTATACAAGCAGAGAAATTATCGCGGGTTATGTAAGCGGCTTTTGTTTTTTCGGGATTTTCATATCGACTTCGGCCAAATGACTTCATATGCTTGTCTCTCCTTTGAGTCTCTGTTTCTTATGGGAGCTTAGACATGAATTGGTTGAGCCTTAATATCTGTGATTTTTTTCCCTGCGTGATTCCCTGAGTCCATTTCAAAGCTCCGTCAATTATAGGCGGGATGAAGCTCTCATTTCCACGAGTCGCGCATGGGACTGCTCGGAGAGGGCTCGGAGGTAGGCTTTTATACATCTTCTGGTATCTTTGCCTAGTCACTAATTAAGAGAATTAGCAACACTACACAATCAGAGCTATACTCCTCGATCCTTGGGACCACACCTGTCCCTCCGAACCTCCCCACATGTACACTCTAAATGCCCATTACAATGCGCCCAAAGGCATTACAGCAATGCGGCAGCATCATTCAAAGAAGGCGACACAATACCGAAAGCCAAGGACCTCAACTATGAAGTAAACGGGTCCCGGTTCCAAACATCACCACCCTCTGCATCCATATCCGATCGAGTCCGTCTCCTCATGCGTCGAGTCCCCTACCCCGTCGCAATCATAACAGCAAATGATCCGTCAGGTCCGCAAGATACGACATCTTTTCGCGGCATGACTGTCTCTTCATTTAGCACCGTCACACTCACCCCGCACCCGGTGATCTCATTCAACGTGCGCCGTCCATCGGAGACATTGAACGCGCTGCTGGCCTCACGCCGTTTCCTGGTTCATTTGCTAGCGCCGGGACCTGCGACTGCTACTCTAGCACGGGATTTTTCTAAGGGAAATATCACTCTCGCTGCTATGTTGAGCGGTCATGGAGAATTTGAGTTTGCGGCTTTGCCTGTCGGGGGCGAGGAAAGACCTCTTCCTATTCTTAAGCGAAGAGAGGGTTCATCGAGTGGTGGATCTGGTGTTGACTTCCCTTTTGTGCTTGAGTGCACTCTTCACCCTGATAAGATTGAGATTCATGATCATTCGATTGTGCTAGGGACTGTAGTTCGGACGTTTGAGGGCTCTGGGCCTGTTCATTCGGAACTGGAACAGGATGGTCAGGTCTTGGATGAACATTCGCCTGACCGTCTTTGTTTGACATATGCAAATACCAAGTTCTGGAAGATGGGAGGTGAGATTTAAGTCGGAATGTTTTGCCGGCTTTGGTTCGACTTGGCTTAATCAGGCTATACAAGGCTACCTAGGTATGCCTGGCGGGAAACATTGTACATAAATATAGGAATTCGGCGTTGGGTGTATATATACACTGAAATTTAGATATAAGACATACCAGATCACATCCAACTTTACCGTGTGATTTTGAGGAAGATATATACGAGAAATGCTTTCATGGAATTGACGCGTCTACGCTTTTTTCGTGAGATTATACAAGAACCGAGTATAGAACACTTTTGGTATTCGGTGTTAGAACATGATCGTCATGTAACTCACAATCGGATCCATACTGTCGCCTCTTATCGCGAGACGCATGCCCCTGGTACAATGATTCAAGAAAGCAAAAACCACTTCACTAGAAGCCGACAAGGTATTGACTAGTATAAGAAGCCTGACCACAGACGCACACAAAACTTGACGCAAGGTCTCGGAAGACAGAGAACTGAGCTCAAACACCGATCCGACAGCGTGACGAGACATGAGACCGCAAAGCACACACACATCAAGGGACTAGTCTCGATACGAGTGCGGACTGCCGGTCCCACTTCCACTGCCCCCGCTGCCACTACCAGTTCCACTACCGCGACTTGCTGCTCGCTGGAAAGGGCTCAGAACCGGGCGACTACCTCCATGTAAGAAACCGTTTCCATCAGAAGCAGGTCGCAACTTGGTATCACCAAGCAGCTCGGACAAGTCGAGATGGAGAGGCGGCATGCGGTTCGCATCCAAGAAGTCAGGACCGTACTGGCTACTGCGAGTGGAGCGGTTGGAAAACGAACGGTCCCGAGGATTGAGGTCCGACCCGAAGTATGAGCCTGTATTTGCGATGGGGGATGTCGGAAACTGAGGGAGGAAAGGTATGTCTTGCGATGGACTGGTTGGATTTGACGATAGTTCACGAACAGGCGATGACGAGATCTGCAGAGGGCTAGATCTTGCGGGAGGGAAGCCAAGACTCAGCAGAGATCGAGCGCTGGGAGCAGTGATCGTCGATGCGTTCAAAGACGGGCCAGCGGTTTCAGATAGGGGATTGGTACCCGGCAGATTGCCTTCGGGGGTAAGAGGACCAGACTCGAGGAGCATTTGTTGTTGTTGCTGTTGAATGGATTGCTCAATTGCGGATGCCTGCTGCCAGAGCTCACTCGTGCGGAGCTGGAATTCTTGAACAGATTGGCTGATGCTCGCAAATTGCTCATGGAAATTGCTCTCCATCTTTGACTGGTCTTGCTCTCTGGCAAATTGCTCAGCAGCACGGCGTTCTCTCTCGTTCAACCCTTGGGCATTGGCTGAGATTATGCGTTCATACTGCTCGTTCACCCGGGTCCGACGACCCTGGAGACGCTCTCGTTTCTGAATCACCTGGTTCAAATCCGCTTCCAATGTCGCCACTTGCTGAGCCGCGGCTGCGCGAGCGGCAGCGACCTCTTCCTTCGTCGCGTTGAAGCGTTCCACCTCACGCTCAAAGTCCGCTTTGTGCGCCCTCCACTCTTCCATCTCCTCCTCCGGAACATTTTCCATGGTGTCGAGCTGTACTTCGAGCACGGCGGTAGCCTCTTCGGTTTGCCGAATGTTTCGTTCCAATTGCAGCGAACGCTGCTTTTGTCGATTCTCATCGGTTCCGCTGAGGAGGCGAGTATTGAAACTATCAAGTTCCTTCCTGATCTTCGAGATGACAGCTTTGTGATCGTTCTTGGTCTTCTTCAGACGGTTGCGCTTTTCGTTTAGTTTGGACTCCGCATTGACAATGGAATTTTTGAGCGTTGTGGTAGGAGATGATGGACGATACGGCGGTTGTGGGGGTGTCGATATAGCGGAAATGACTAAATTACCAGTGAGACACATACAAAAAGAAAAGGCGAAGAACCACTGATTGGACCAACTTACCTTGTTCTGTGTCGGCCGTTGCAGGCGTCTTTACACTCATGACACAGATTTCCTCGTCGGTATCACTGCGCACAAATGCACACGTATAAGCGCAATTTGGAGCGAGTCCAGCAATTTCGCCGCGCCATTGAACCACACTCGGTCCCTTGGCATCTGAAACCCTGCATATCGTGGCGGTGGCCCAAAGCGCACCATTGACGCAGACGTAGAACGGCTCCGCATCTCCTTCCAAACGTCCGGCTTCATAGGAACCCGTTACCGCAAGATCATCGGTGAATTCACCAGCGGCAAATTTGATTGAAGAGCTGTCCACATCCGTAATCCATACTAATCCGTCGTCGAGAGAAACACCTTGGAGATCCTCCTCTGTCATTGTGAGATTGCGTGCTGTCTTGGAAACAGCCCGTGAATGTTCATATTCTCGCATAACTGTGACCTTTGTACTGGCGAGAGCAGCCCAGAATGGCTGACGGCTCCGAACCTGGTTGGCTTGTCGTCTGCGTTTCTTGGCTGAAGTAACACGATCCTTTCCATCTTTCAATTGACCATCGGGGCCAACGAAAGAAGATGAGACACTCGCAGTAGATTCCAGAGCAGAATCAGCCTGTCCCTGCGAGCCCGCAGATGCCTCCGTATCTCCCCGCTTGCCGGGCCGTAATGGTGTTGGTGATCGGTTTTTCGCCATCGAACGTCGTGCCATAGCAGTTCCTGCCTGTGCCAAAATGTGGACTGCGAGAAGGCTACGAAGCCAACTCGGGGACGATTGTGTTTCGGAGCGTCGGAACTCGGCGGGTAACAGATGCGAAAATTGGGAGAGAATATCGGGACTGAGCAATTTAGCAGAAACAAGATGACCTAGGACAAAGTCCTGTATGCCTTTGCTGCGAATAAGATGAAGAAGGAGAACAATTCCGACACAGAGAGCATTGACCCCGCCGTTCTTTCCGGAACCCCCGCCGCCCAGGGTGATAGCGACTTGGACATGGGCGAGATCGATGGCAAAGTTTTGCGCCCATGTCCACATGAAGAGGCCCCAGAGAAGTATACAGAAACCGTCCATCGCAATCATTGTCCCCAAAGATGGCGTCCCAGCCGGACCCTGAAAAATATCGAAATTTGACGACAAAGAACCGGCCGCGGCGCCACTGGGGGGCATGAAGGTCAGGGAAGCGAAAAGAAATTGAACCAGAGTCAAGACCATAGGCGGAAGCTGTAGCAGAAAAATCAAAATGGCGATGGTGTCGTACATAGGGCACGACTTAAGGATGGTGGATGCGAACTGTAGCGGATTGATTGAGGCATTGGATCCGGATCGTTTCGAGGTTCCATTGCGAGAGGCATGGTTTGCTATGCCACCATTCTGTGGCACATCACCGTTTGCCTGCGCACATGCCATCTCTCCACCCTTGCTATGCCCGTTCAACATCCCACGCACATTGCCATCTACCTTCGCACTATCCCCTCCTTTGCCGGCGACCGTCGGTGAGGTGACGGCCGTGTCGCTTGTAGAACGTATAGAGGATAGATCAAAGTGAGCGGACGCGCCCGGACCGGTAGCTGAGCCGTTGCCCGAGTTGCCGTTCAGATGGCTGTTTGATTTCTGCTTGGTCACTTTCTTGCCCGGACCGACGATGCCATTGTCCTGTCGATTGCTCTGGTTCTTCCTGGCCGCAGCTGATGAGCGTGGCATGGACGAGGGAGCCCGAAACCCAGGTCCGAGTCAGCTTGGCGGGATGAAGCCAAGGACTGGGACCAGGAAAAAGGCAAAAACGGAGTAGAAATTGAATATGGAGGTTTGTTGAGTATTGTTGTTATAATAGAAGAGTATGAAGCAAAGGAAAGAAGATATTAAAAAGAGAGAGGAAGGGAAGAGACGAGGCTCTACGGGGAAGCGTGAAGGGGAAATGGAATTGTCCAGGTGGAAGAATTGTATGAGGTCGAGAAAGAAACAGAACTTGGTATTGGTATTGTAAAATTTGTCGATCATTGGTGATTTTCGGGTAGGCGGTACCTGACCTCAATACCACTCACGCATATGCCACTTGGGTACTGTATACCTCTTTTGACGGACGATGGCCGATTTACAAATTCAGAGTAATTAGATTGACGATCTAAAGAGTTTCTGCATGGAAAATCCCGTTAACTGCCAAGCTTTCCCCAAACTTCTTCTCTGAACAACTTTCGTGTTACGATACTGCTCTCAGTACATAGGTACGTAGTACTCAAATTATCAATTGATAGGTCATGCTTATATCAGAGAAGCTACTTATAAAGGCTGCAGTTGCCAAGTCATGCAACGCGGATACTTACACGTTGGCCAATCCTAATGTCTTTTCTTGATATAGTTGAAATTGCTCAGTTTTACGAATCACTCCGGCTGCCTCGGCAGTTACCGTTTCAATCAGTGTTAAACCGCCTATGGCTGGGAAGCTACTCGGACCTCTCTTTGAGCGCTCAGGCCGATCATCGGTTCTTGTTCACTATCAGACCGACTAACTAGGTTGACGATCACCCGTTTCTTGACTCTTCTGCTGCGGGGTTATCCTTGCACCAGACTTGAGGTGTGTTACAGAATCCTCGAATCATGACGTGACTCTGATTATGTTAGAGGACTTTACGGGTAATTACTGCAGGTATGAACGTGGAGAATGTCAAGGGCAAACATGGGGAACATGATGGCTTGTATTTGAATGTATCAAGCACACATTCATCACATGCTCGGCTATCTCGTGCAGGGAAGGGCTCCGCACAATATACTTGCAACGTACTTAACGAACGATCCACTGATTTACTATAGATGTTCAACTGCCACTTGTTGAACGAACCTATTGTTAAAAAACTGAATAATCCCAGAGCACTTTGGAATGAACCCACAGCCATTGCAAAACATATAATATACAACTGCAACCCACGATCAGAACCCCTCTTGTACAATGGCCAGGCTTGGCAGGGTTTCGAAGATCAGCCACAAAACGAGTAAAGATCGGCCCGACGGCCGGCTTGGTACTAATTTGGTTATTTTTATGCATGCGGCCTTTGTAGTACGTTGTACTCATGGCAGTAATTTTTGATATTGTACATGTGTAGAGCTAGATCAAATACATTCATACATAGTCATTAATTGACTGACAATATTTGTTAAAAAAATACTGTATCGTCAAATTTTTCTTAGCGCAGTCTTTTTTAGAACCGGATTTTGCTTGGGTCCGATAAACTTCGGCGCTTTTAAACTTGCGGTAGATCATTTCGCTTTTTTCTCCTGGTTTTCGGTCACCACGTCCTTGTTCGGTAAGGTCTCCGAGTGCAACATTTAGAATTGTATGATTTTGGCATTGTGTTAACTAGGGTGTTTACTATCTTACAGGCTCTGTTCGTAGTCTTTTATGGAGGTCATAGTTCTTTTTGGCTTTTCATGCGTAAATGTAATTGTATTTAGAGTTTAGCATGGCCGTTAGTAATGGAGCATCAGATATCCTCAGCTGGAGCCTAACACAAAAACATTGTAGCACCAGCTTGCTATCATGAGACTTCAGTTGTCGTCCGCTTGAACTCGGGTGAAATTATCAAGCATATATCACCTCAAGCATTTTAGTTGAATTCTGGTGTTCGTTAAATCCCAAACAGCATCGTTCCATGCGTGTAGTAAGTGATGCATAGGTACACAAATATTTGGAAAGAAACAACAACTTCTATTATTCACTTCAGTATCCAAGCGAAGCCTTACACAACTACAAATTGAAGACTTGTGGAATGAGTAAGGGATAGATAAAGACTCCGCCACGATCACCACGATCACCATGACATACTTCAAAGGGAACAGAACCGGGGGTTCACATTCCATCCCCCGCATAATGTCAACTTAAAATGTGCCAAGGTTCATTTGCATGAGATGGGTGTGTGTGTACAAGAATCACAAACTGAGATTTCGAACAGTGTGGCAACATCACCCACCAAGCTAACCGGTGGTAGAGCAAGAGTTCTAAAAGCTCGAAATCCATGGACGTTATTGTAGACTAATCAGTCACTCTAACAGAAGTGTGTAGACTTCAGTAGACTATCAATCAGCATTGTAACTTTGGCTGGTTGCGTTTGCTGTGCTTATAGTAGTAGATGCTTCGATTTTTATGCACTGTCTAATTGAAAAAAAAAAAAAAAAAAACAAAAGCCGAAAAGCCTATATGCTCACCGTGTATATAGCTTGCAAGATACCCTGGTATCACCCGGCCTTGGTAGGGCCTACCCCGGGGGCAGGTTGATATTAGTCATCAACATCCCGCCATCAACGGTGGATGTTGCGTTGCACCTTTCAACAGGAGATCGCATTGAGCAAGTTCCATTCTCACTCTAAGCAATCGATCGTGCCTTTTGTATCATGACCCAACCAAAATCCCAATTTCTTTCGCGGGAGCCCTTAGTATGTATGCCCAGGCTAGTCCAGAGCTAGCCCAGAGTTACTATCGGCTTTACATCTTCTGATCAGCACCAGAATTCCCAAGAAGCCAAATGGAAACGATTAGTCAAGACAAAGTACATAGATCCCAACGGAGTCAAGAGAGACTGGGAATCTGCCGAGCGCCAGGTAAAGATCTGTCTATGCATCGCTCCATCTATATAAGCTCATATCTCTCATAGACACGACCATGTGATTCTCCGGTGGATGGAGTCAACATCGTTGCCTTTTTAAACAAGTCAAGTGGTTCTGAGATTCTTCTCGAGAAACAATACAGACCTCCAATTGACCAGATTGTCATCGAACTTCCTGCGGGGTTGATTGACCCAGGAGAAACGATAGAGCAAACTGCGGTGCGCGAACTAAAAGAGGAAACGGGATATGTTGGTGTTGCTGATAAGACGAGTGGAATCATGTACAATGGTTCGTGGGATGATCATCTCTCGTAGAATTTTGTTGACCAGCTCTAGATCCCGGGTTTTGCAACGCCAATTTTAATATGGTTTATGTCCAAGTTGACATGAATCTTTTGGAGAACCAGAATCCAAAGCCTGATTTGGAGGATAATGAGTTCATTGAGTGTTTTACCATTCCGGTATCGCGGCTTTCGGTGGAGTTACAGAAATTAGAAAGCGAAGGATACGCGATCGATGCGAGGGTTGGATCAATTGCAGAAGGCATTGAGATTGCTAAGAGGCTGAAGCTTTGAAGCTTGAGAGGTGGAGCTAGGAAGTAGTTTTATGTTGCTGTGCTTAGTCGTTTGAAATCAACTGCTCGAGCAAGAAGGGTACTGCGAGGTCAAACACTGGGTTTAGATGATATCGTTGGGGAGTCACGCGGGCGTTAGTTCAAAGACTGGCATATTCTACTCAAAGATTAGTTAAGAAGTAGAATGAACAGGTAATAGCCCCGAAACATGTACACCGATACTACCAACGTCTTCACCAATTACCTTCCTTGCTACTCTATAAAACCCCACCAAGATCCTCGTCACAGAGGAAAATTTACTTGAGAGAATATGTACAAAGCGGAAAAATGGAGCTGTTCAGGTAGCCGCTAAACAGAAGTAGACCCAGCACACCCGCAAGTCACACTCTTAGCCCCACTAACTAGTCTTGCACCAATTCAATATAATCGCTATCATGCAGAGCCAGTATTCTCAACGGCATCAGCCCGGTCCCAGCTTTCGACCTCAAGGGTCCGAACCCGACCTTCGATATCCACAATTCGCTGTTGCCACCTCCCCGCCTCCGCTTCCTGTAGTTCCCACATAGACTTGAACTGATCCGTGACAAATGGCGGCAGGTTGACAGTTTTGCGGTTCTTCTTGTAGTCATACAGGACGATATCCTCATAGCAACGAGCAGAAGGACGTTGGCGCGCTTCAGATAGAATCATGACTTGAAGTTGGAATGCTGATTGGGATGAGAGGTGCCCAGATGGGTCTGGAACCAGCTTGTGATAGACTGTGATTTTGTCGGGAGATGTCATGGGCTAAGTAATGGTTAGAATTTGTATCCATTTAGTTGTTTTCCCTGGGAAATGTTACAAATTTGTAGTCCACCTTGATACTCTTTAAAATCAGACCAATTCCCGTTGAGCCGACCATGTTCAGCCATTCTTTCTTGTTTGCGGGGTCGATATAATTGCCAATGTTGCGTGTCCAGTTCACTCGAGCTGTTTCGGCATATCGAACGTAAGTAACATTGTTGACGTGACCTAACCCAATACATTAGCATTGCTCTTTTATTCATCTGGCGAGCAAAAGGTATTGAAAAGACAGAACATACCCTAGAATCTGTGTCAGCTTTCTTCTGACAATTAAACATAGGTCATGCACAAGCGCAATATTTGGAGAGAGGGAGGGACCGAGCTTACCATTATATCCTAATCGGCCAACAGCAGGCTAAAGTCAGTAACTCTCTCTATATGGACCGAGAATGCACCAGATAAACACCAGAGTCGTACCTGTTCTCCCCAGACCACACCATGGCGGAACAGACTACGCCGCTTCGCATCTGTAAGGAAGCCCTCACTGCCGGCAATCAATTCACGCCATTCTTTGGCCAACTGGTTTAGAATTTTGCCCCCTTCATCGATCTGTGCTGGTTGCAGCCCAAACATCATACACTTCCCAATCCTCCGCTTGATCAACGTGAGCCATCGTGGATCGAGCGTGCGAGGCTTCGCAGGAGCATTCCTAAGGAGACCTGGAGTGGTTGAAGAAAATAACCGTGTGCCACTGGCGCCTGAGAGAAATGGAGCAGCGAGCTGCGCTCGAAGGGTAAATTGGAGCTGCATCACGCGTAGTTACGGAGAGATGGCTCAAGCAGCGCTGATAACCGATAACCAACATGAAGCTTGGGCCATCGGCTAGAACCCCGCGTGATCAAGGTGCTGGTTGTTGTTTCATGCATCCAAAGTTTTTTTTTCAAAGCTAGACAAAGGATGAATGTCAAACTTATCGAAAAAAAAAGGTCGATTGATCCCAATTGACTCAAAAAGTGTAGTGATTGAATGCTAGTATATTGTATGGAATAAGGAGGAACTCCGCTAGCCCGCGACGTCACCGATAACATCCGAAGCTTTTCAGCCGCTCACGTTCTTGCAACACCACACCTCCAACCTCGTCATCTACAGGGCTTGAACTTCCACTTATACAATTCTGCAATCTTGAATGGAGCAGTCATGGTGAATCTAGAGCTACGCCGACAGGTCATCAATGTCTATAAAGGTAAGCTGCTTGCACACAGACCTCAACATCTTTTCATTTCAGCCCCGACCCGCTACCCCAGGTGGTCTGTTTCATGCTAAAATCGACGCAAAGAGCTTTTGTTTTTAGGCCGAGAATATCCTCTGGGGTATCAGTATTTCCGGGATCGGTTGCACCGCGCTTTTGCAAGCCAAACCCAGATTACCGATGATGAGCAGATCCGCCAGGGAATAGCAAGGGCTGAGTTTGTGAAGAAAGGTAAGTCTGACATCCTTAGTTCTATTGATTTTGGCTTTACCACTATGATCTGTTGCTAACTCTTTGCTAGAAGTGGAAGCACTGTAAGATCGATCCCTTTGTTCCTACCTTTCCTACATTTCCATCAAGAATGAAGTGGATTTGTTCATGAATGTCATTTTTCTATATATTGTGCCCGTCACGGGGCAGTGTCTGGTTAAATACATTGTGCATAGACTCACTCTTCATTACACATCATGGCATAGCATCATGCAAACACACAATCTTCTTTTGCACCCGCACCCTCATCTCACAGAATACATTGACAGGCACTGACACAAGATAACCACCAGGTACTATTTGAAGCGGTATCGAACGCTGAAAAAGCGATATGAAAATGTTTGAGGCTCTCCCGTGACTCTCAATCTTTCCCCAAATTTGTGTGGATCATATGCATGTTAGAAACCCAGAAAGACAGAAATAAAAATTGGGGGTATCACCAATACAAAGTGCAGAATGGTACTTGACTTTCGCCTGCCGGAACTCCAAATTGACTCAAGGATTTCACTTTTTTCTACCCCACCAGGCACTCACTTCAAGACACTCGCCACTGGCAAGCCCGCCTTTCTGCAGGAGGTCGGCTGTCATCGCCGCCCACCATCGATCCCATTCGTCGCGTCCCTTCCCGCTGGATTCCATTAGGAGTGGCTCCAGCCCTTCAATCATTTGGATTGTTGTGAGAAGGGCTGTTCGCCGGATAGATATTTGCTCTGGTGTTAGAGCCTTTCGTGGACGGCCCTTGGTATCATTGCCCTGTCCGTCCCGCTCCCATCGCAATTCTCCAAGTGGAACTGCGACACGGCGACTGTCCACATTCTCCAGCAGATCTACTTCGGAATTGAAAGACAGTCCGATAGTGGCGCACGGTAGCGCTGTCAACTTGCGCCGGTCAAACGACTTCTCCACCCAGGAGTTATAATCAACCAGGAATTTGTTCTGCGCTCGTGTGAATGGCGTGGCAGAGGAAAATGTGTAGGTAGCCGTTGCGTCAGCAATCTCCTGTTCTTTGGAGGTGGTTTTACGCGCCGGAGCCGGATTGGGCAGCAGGGACCGGAAGCTCCAATCCGAATCCCATACCTCCAAGATTCCCCCAGACTTGAGCACACGCAAAGGTTCACTCAAGCCCGACGCAGATTGCGCCGGACTGGAAGGACACATGCCAGCATCCTTTATAAAAACGAAATCAAAATAATCGTCGGGGAAGGGCAAGCGAGGGCGGCGCAGATCATGTCGTTTGAACTGCCAATTCATGCCCTGTTTGCGCAGGTCCGGCGCAATATTGACCACGTCAATTCCGGCAAAGGCCACATTCGGATGGCCCCTGCGAGAAAAATATTCGTGGCACAGACCAGACCACAAGCCGGACCCGCATGCGATCTCCAGGATGCGTTTGGGCGGCTGATTGGCTAAGTGGGGGTTGCAAAATGGACCGCCGAGGACGCGCAGCAGCATTAACGTGCGCAAGCTTTGGCGGTGGATCTCGGGCAAGTCGCAGGGCAGAGGATATACGTTCTCTGGGTCGCGAAAGTAGGTGCGGTCGCCATGCCGCATCAGAGGGTATGTCGAGTGGTCTGTGAATGAGTTCAGAGACGAGGAGGAAGTTGCTGCCATTGTCGAGCTTAGGTTGGAGTGTAGGTCGGACCCGGAGGCTGTCGGTGCCATGAATCCTGCCATTGTGTCCATCACTTCCCGCTCAAGTCTCGATCGATGTCCCCTTTGACTCTGAAGATGGTTCGTAGGTCAGTCGCATTCTCGGTGCGAGGCTGGAGCTTCATGAACGAGGCATATCTTGATTTAATTCTTTTTTTCAATATGCGATTCTTTTTCGGGCGAGGAAGACAATTCCGAAAAAAAAAAAGAAAGAAAATTAAAATAAGGTCGAACAGGAATGAATTGTGACGGGATGGATCAAAGCGTGTTCGGAAAATATCCCTAGTGTAGCCGGGCGCAGACCTGAAGAAATTTCTTTGTTCAACGTCAGACAAGAAAGAAAGAGAGAAGACTTGAAGAGAATGTTTTTTTGTGTCTTACCAGAGGTATTGGAACGAAGTAGATTTCCTGAGAGGGATTGGGGGGGAAGAGGGAAAAAAATCAAGTCTAGTGAACCCCCTGGATGCAAGTGGCATTGAATATCCACTCGAGTCTAGTTTAGTCTCTTCACGTAACAGTTGTACTTTATCTAGTAAAATATCAACTATTAGTTGTAACGTTTTGAGTATTGGAGGAGTTGGGTCAGACTCGGCCAATTGTATTATTGAACTCAGTATACATCTTATAGCATCTTCTATCTTCTATCTTACATTGTTCTCTATTGTATAGAAGCCAAGACTAAGTGTCATACAGAATGTTGACATCATGAGTCTATTTAGAGATTTTAAGTACCATGGACACTATAGCCAATCGGTAACAATGACCGGAAAAGGAAATACAGAAACGACTCAAAATATGGTAGAAAAAACTCACAACACCTTCTAACTATTTGCTTTAGTCTAGTTATTGCTTTTTACAATTAACGGGGAATTTGACCGTGCACTTCCAAAATTATATCTAATTCAGGGTTTGGCCAGTGCTTGTCCACGTGTGAACATGAAATAGGTTTAGTGTATGCAATATTTGTATATAATGTACGGAGTAGATAATCTTCTCTTTTCACTCGATACATCATAAAATTATGGATCTACGTTATCAACGTTTTATTGTACATATTGTATAACTAGTACTCCGTACCTTCGTACTAATTTCAACGGTTGTAAAACTGAATACACAACGTACGGAGATCCCTACCCGCCATGTCCATTGCGCAGGTACCAGGTCTAGCCCCCCTTTTTTTTGAAAAAAGAAAATTTGAGACTTAGCCTCCGCCCTGCCGCCATTGTCTCTCTCTATCTGATACCGGATTGCCCCGTGCTATAGATGCCCGTCCCAAACACCTTGTCCATCGGCTATTCCACGCGATCTCCTAGGCACAGACTGTGTGATCCGTGCCCTTCCCACTCGCTCGGTAGTATCAACAGTTCGTACCTGCAGTCGACATAACCCTTGCCACGTACTTTTGAGTGAAACATGTCTATTTGTTGAAAAAATGATCCAAGACACGGGTGTGGACGGGGTAATTGAAATTGATATGATGTATGGTTAATCATATGCAAGTTCAGCTATTGTTTTGTATGTTTTGTATGTTTTGTACGGAGTAATAACAGTTGCATTGAGTTGCATTAATTTGCCTTGCGTTTTTGCATCTCTGTGTCACTATGCAAGTATGCTAGGTCTGTGCTACTTTGCAGAAGCTATGGAGTATACACATCACTTATCAGAAAACATGTCTGATTTTATACATTCCGTCTAAAGTGTCAGGCGACACTCTTAATCATTCTTCTATTAGCTATTCTTTTGGGAGTCTTTGTTGAGGTCTTTCTTGACATTCTTTAGACTCACTTCCTAATCCCCTGTTAATCCTTGACATATAGCGAGTGACTATGCCCTCGTAATGTTGTGGCGTAATGTCTTTGATATTAGCCATTTCTAGACCCCTGAGGCACCCTGTGAATAAAAGAGGATCATAGAATCTACAATCTAGTCCAAGTAGTCCACGGGCTTAGAGACAAGACAGTGTTATTCTAAACTTCACACTAATTGTACATAAAACGCGATAGGTTATATCGAAGAAATTCTTCCCCCTTGGAGAAAATTTAAAAGAAATTGTACAGCATTTGTACATCGTGGCACTTGACCAAATCGACATTTGAACTTTAGCAGCTTCTTTGTACCTTTTCTGTTTTGACATTCGATTATAGAATGTAGGAACTTGTCCTAGACAGTCTACATATGTATTTCAAAATTCATGAAGAATTCCAATACAAGCAAAGTATGAGTGTTGAGGTCAGCCCTGATTTTCGAGACTATTTCAAGCCATTGTTCACAGTCATTCTTTTGTTGTCAAAGACCTCAAACATGTTGTTTAGACAAATCAAATTTCCATGCACATTCGAGTTATTCAAGACGGTTGCGTATATCCACGGGATAGGAAAGTCTCTCTGACCACGTGGCTTAGTTTCTTATAAACAAGAGTCATTGCCAATTCAAAAGAAAATGAGGGAACAAGTGATATACTTTCATGTTAGAGGAGATATCCTCTATATAACAAAATCTAGGAAACTTCACCCAAAGCACAGAAGTACAGGAGAAAAGTCCAGTCTTGGCAGCTCAAAGCTGGGAAAGACTTGGCCCTTGCGGCGATTCACGTGACCCCGTCAGTGACTCCCGCCTCGATGCAAACCACCTAAGTCAGCTCGGAACCTCATCGACTTGGAGACAATCGTGTGATTTGTCCATCTTTGCTACCCTCAATTTTACCCCGCGGCAATTCTTTGACTCTTTGTTCACCTGATCATAATAGTCTTTTCCGATCTCTCCTTTTGATGCTTCCGCCCAATCTCCGCCCTTAGGTACCGCTCCAATCGAAACATCGCTCTGCCAAAGTCACCGGCTACCTTCACACGTGGTTTGATACTGGTGGTTTCGCGTTAAATCTCTATGTGGAAGAAGAGAAGAGACCGTCTCCGATCCTCTACTCCTCTCCTCGCTTCGACCGAACTCAACTTAGCGCCGCCTACCCACCAACAGGTTTTCCACCAGGGAAACAACACACGGTCTCGTCTGCCACGTTAAATGGCAGATGGTACCTACAGGTTCCAGCAGCCTGGGGCCGGGCAGTTCTACTTCCAAACTCAAGCACAACAGAACCCTCATCAGCGACACATTGTTCGAAACGGGACCAATTCCCCGACGGGTCGACTGAAATTCAACACCGACACCCCCTCCCCCTCCCGATCCCCTGCCCTAAATCAGGCTGCTGCTATTGCCCCTTTCAACAATATGTACGGTCAAACTCATCAAGGTCAGCATGTCATGATGAATGGCGGTCAAGCCCACCAGCGGTTTGGTATGCAGATCCCGAAGTTCCAATCGCAAACCCACCACTCCCATCACACTCAACAGCAGCACCATCACACTCATCATACACAAGCGACTCACAACCTCACCCATCAACACAATTTCGCGGGCGGCGGACTCGCAACTACCACAACCTCGCATTTCACCTCTACTCACCTGCAGAACGGAGTACCGACCGCTGTGGATGATGATCTGGACGAATCAATGAATGAGCACTGGCAGCAGCAGCTCCAGCTTGCTGCGGAGTCTAGGCAAGCGACGTCCCCCCACTACCATGCCCGCGTCATCGCGCAACAAACAAAAGGCATTCAACTCATGCCTAGTCAAACCGACCCAGAAAACGGGACAGAAGGGCGCAACGGTGCATCCGCGGGGAAGCCAGCTAGCCGACAAGGCTGGAATGCGCTTGACTTTGGTGGTCAAGGCTTGCGCGCTTTGACCACGTCCTTGTTCAACTATGGTTTCATCGAGAAGCTGTATCTCAATCACAACAAGCTGAAAGTGTTACCACCAGCTATCGGGCAGCTGCGGAAGTTGACTCATTTAGATCTTTCGGGTAATGATCTGACAGAGCTACCAGAAGAACTTGGCATGCTTTCAAATCTGAAGAAGCTTTACCTGTTCGATAACAACATTCGCACCCTCCCTTACGAAATGGGATACCTTTACCGGCTGGAAACCTTGGGCATTGAGGGCAACCCCCTGAACGAAGTTCTCAAGTCTCAAATCATGAAAGATGGCACCAAGGCTCTTATCAAGTACCTGAAAGAAGAGATGCCAGGTGAGTGTTGATTGCTTCTTCTTCTTCTTGTTGCTCCTCAAACCCTTTGAGCAAGATCTTTTGCTAACTCTAAGATCGCAGTTCACCTACCTCCTCCCGAACGTGATTGGGTAATCCTAGATGATACCTCAAGCACATCCAACAGTACTACAGAAAAGATCACCGTTCTGTCATACAACACCTTGTGCGACTCTTCTGCTACCCAATCGCACTACGGATATGTCCCCTCACGTGTTTTGTCCTGGGAATACCGACGCGAACTTATTCTCAGCGAATTACGAGCACACAACTCCGACATTGTTTGTCTTCAGGAGGTTGACCAAGGAAGTTACAACAATTTCTTCCGGGAACAGCTTGCCTACAATGATTACAAGGGTATCTACTGGCCGCGTGGGCGTGCAATGGGTATGCAAGAGGAAGACGCCCGTTCAGTGGATGGCTGTGCTACATTTTTCAAGGGTAGCAAGTATATCCTGTTGGACAAGCAGTTGATCAACTTCGGTCAAACAGCTGTGCGTCGACCCGACGCCAAGGGCCAGGATGATATCTACAATCGACTGTGGCAGAAGGATCACATTGCTGTTGTTATCTTCCTGGAAAACCGACAAACCGGTGCGCGCTTCATCAGTGTAAATGCTCACCTGTACTGGGACCCAGCCTTCAAGGATGTCAAGCTCATCCAAACCGCCATTTTGATGGAGGAAATTACTAAGCTTTCAGACAACTATGCCAAATGGCCCGCTTGCACGGACAAGACCGCATTCCGTTTCTCAGAGGCTGAAAGTGGTTCAGAGACTGCTCCTGTTGTGGAACCAGCACCGTCAATGGAATACGCCACCGGCGATCAAATTCCCGTTCTTATGTGCGGTGATTTCAACTCCTCTCCTGGATCCGCAGCCTACAACCTTATCTCCACTGGATGCCTGCCTGAAGAGCACCCGGACCTTGAGAAGCGTCTTTACGGAAACCTCAGCCGGGTCGGTATGAAACATCCCTTCAAGCTCAGGTCCGCATACTCTTCTATGGGTGAACTCAGCTTCACCAACTACACTTCCGACTTCACGGCCATCCTTGATTATATCTGGTATTCCTCCAATACTCTCCATGTGTCGGCACTGCTCGGCGAGGTGGACAAGGAGTATCTACGTCGCGTGCCTGGATTCCCGAATTTCCATTTCCCCAGTGATCACGTTGCATTGCTAGCGGAGTTTACGGTCAAGGGCAAGAAGGGCAAGGTGGTGGAGGCAGACTTTGGACCGCAACGGCACTAACTAACGAATTGGAGCATTTGAAATCTTGAGAGATGGGGTGTTTGTGCAACCGGTTTCTTTTCTTACTGCTTGTTATTTCGGAATCTTTTTTGGGGTGGTGGCTTTGTAGCCTGCCTGCCGTCTTATGGTGTTTTTTTGACGTATTTCTTTTCTGTCTTGTTGTCTTCTCTCCTGCTTATGAACGTCCTTTTTCTATTTCATCTTGCTCTTTCTCCTCCTTTTCCCCCGATCTGCTAGTGGAGTATTCGTTCCTCCTTGGAAAGTCTTCTGGCCTCATGCTTCTTGGATGTAGTCAATCGGCATGCCAGTCCATCTATCCTCGCGTTTCTCCTCCCAATCTCCCTCTCTTTCTCCCTCCACTCTCTATCTCCTGTGTCTTCTTACGTTGGGTTTCCTGATATATCTCGGTTTTATCTCACCTAATCTCTAACGTCATCTGAGACGCTTCACGACGCTTAGGATCGGGAACTGGTGTTCGGGTGGAACAAGTGGTTGAAGGGTATCTGATTTTTGCCCGTGACGAGGTTGCTTTTTGTTTTTCGATCAGGCGAAGGGAGTTCTGTCTGTTCCATGTACTTGTTTATTGTGCCAATGTCCTACGCAAGGTTCAGTCGAGAATAGAGCGTGGCTTTGTTCTGTTTCAACATTTCGTTCACTTTTTCGTAGTCATCGACTATCGTAGCTTTGCTGTTGATACGCACCCAAATGCCGATCCCTGCCAGGTCGCAGTGCTGGATATATACGTTCATGCGTGCTAGTGCCACCATAGTACATGTCACTGTTTCTAAAGTTTGAAATAGTTACACGTATGACAGCAGTACTCGAAACAATCTTGAAGCCTTTTGGGAATATTGATAAGTATGGATATATATATGACCGTCGGTGGAACCCAAGTAGCCACCTATGTACGTTGCTCCATGGCATTGAATCTGCTTGGAACATATTTCTCACATCCCTTCCAATGTTGTGTAATTTATCCCTACATCTGTATATTTGCATACTTCTATTGTTGGAGTGCAAAAAGACAGCCAGGTAAGCTCAACATGCCTTTTAGGGCTATAGATACCTAATGGTTATATAGATGATCTAGGTTCCACACTGGTTTCACAATTGTTCCTGACAGTTGAATGAGTGGTTGTTTCATTTACTATACATAATCTATAATACATACATGGATTAATTCATATCCTCGTCCGGTATACTCCCTATGGGGCTTAGGCATTGAACAAGTACAGCTTGCTCCCCTCGTAACACCCAATGTACAGTCCACTGCCCACGACCCCTGCAGCACAGGTCAAAACAGAGCCTCGGAATAGACCAGCTATCCCCTCCTTGAGCAGCACATCTCGAGCAACAGCAACGGCACTTATGCGGACCGGTATCCTCTCCTTTCTTTTTTTGAGACTCGCCCGTGTATCCGATGTCTGTTCACCAACAGCTAGCCTCATCCGAGTCTTAACCACATCAATGGGAATGAACGGCAAAGAAGCACATCCACCAGCAACGCCAGCACTCAATACAGTCGCTTTTAGCTGCTGACCAATATCACTCTTTCCTGTCTGCCACCGTTCAAGCAAAGCCTCCTTGAACATCTCATACAAACAAAACGTCAAACATATACTGGGCATTTGACTCGTCACAAGCGCAGTATATCCAGACCACAAAGTAGCCGGCTGCTTCTTAAACCGCCTCAACATCTCCACCGTAGGAGATAAACCACTTCCAGCGTATCGTGGCCTTTGAAAAACCTGAGCATTCTGCTTCAACACCTCCGCAGGATTCATAATAGCACAAGTAAGTAACTCCGCCACTGCACTGCTGGTAATGTGAAAGACCGACCGCGGCACACCGAGTAGATAGCCCGCAGACTGAGCATTCTCAAATGCTCTTTTTGACGCTTCGTACGTTGTGAAGAAAGCTGCTGATCCGATCGTTCCTGCGATCAGAGTCGGGCCGAAGCCTTGGTATAGCCCGGAAAAGAGCGCTCGGTTTACTGTGCCATTGAGATGCTTGTATACGCTTGTGTAGCTTGCAGATTGCATGCGTGTCACTACTGTGTCCATTGGGTGGATGGCGACTTCGCTCGTTAGGGCGGCGATTATAGCGGCCTGTTTAGTTAGTAAGGGTTCAAGTTACATGGACGAAGAAATTAGGACTTACAAATGTTATGTCTGTACTGTTTATTGACATTTTCACGTTTAAAGCATTTGATTGAGCATCAAATGGTTGGTTAAAGAGTTGCAATTTCGTACTGAATGTATCAACCCTGAGGTCGGGGTCCGCGGAGCCCGAGTTTGTATTTTTTTTCTCTTCGGACTGAGGCTTCAGTATTGGCAATTTTATTCTGATTTTATCATTTCTCGAATGATATCGTGTTCGATGAAGACACAATAGCTACAAATGTACTTAGGTATTTTCTACAGGTTGTATATAGTTAAGCACATGTTGATTGGTATCACATGTTAAACACGACCCCATTCCTTTTTCTTTTTCGACGACACCTGTACATAGCCAACTTCTAAGCCCCCAACAACACTCAGAGATTGAGATATGACTGAAATAGAAGGCTCACTCACTCTGCCAGATGGCATTGAGCTGTATACCAAGACTTGGAAGGTGCGTATTGATTTGCGACGCGACTGGGGCGCTGCATCTTCAGTCTCAGACCAGCGAGCCGTGGACTAGCTCCCTGGGATCAAACATATTGTTGATAAAGCTGACACTGTATATAAAGCCTACTGGAACTCCACGCGCTACCATAGCCTTCATCCACGGCTTCAGTGACCATTGTGAGTCTTATAAGCAACAAGTGTCCACGAGGAAACCCGTCAAGCTAAACCCAAGCCAGGCAATGCCTATCACAACTTCTTTCCAACGCTGGCATCAGCAGGCTTAGAAATCAGGTCTTTTGACCAGCGGTATGTATATATGTATACGGCTACCAAACCAGGCGATAGCCTGATTGCTATACATGATCCCCCTTACAGCCCATACTAGAACCCTCATTAACACCCAAACAGAGGCTGGGGCCGGAGCGCAAAGCAAGCCCGCGACCGGGGCAACACAGGCCCAACCAGCCAAGTGCTCTCAGACATCCATGTCTTCCTTCAGAGCCTCCCTGCACAGCCCAACATTCCGCTCTTCCTAATGGGCCACAGCATGGGCGGTGGCCAGGTCCTCAACTACATCTTCCGCCCCGACTCACCATACAATGAGCCCAGCCAAGCCGCCTCCCGGCCCAAGTTTACTGGCGTGCTTCTGTATTCTCCTTTAATTGCTATCCATCCGTCCTCGCGCCCTTCCAAGTTTACAGTTGCCGCTGGAAGGATTGTTGCAAAGCTTATCCCGCATAAGCAGCGATACTCGCCGCTTGACGCAAATTTGGTTTCTCGTAATAAGGAGACTGTCAAGGACTTTGTAGATGATGAGCTTTGTCATGATACGGGGACTTTTGAGGGTTTGGCGGGGATGTTGGATCGTGGAATCTGGTTAGAGGGTATGTTTGAGGGCGGGGCTTGGGCTAAGTCTGACTTGCCGTTTTGGTTTGGACATGGTAATGGCGATCGCATTACTAGCCATGAGGCAACGGAGAACTTCGTGAAGGCGTTGCAGAAAAAGGGCGGTGATGTGAAGTTTGAGACTTATGAGGACGCTTATCATAAGCTGAGTGCTGAGTTGCCGGAGACGACTGACAAATTTGCTGCGGACGTTACAGCTTGGATTTCAGGAAAGGTGCCTGGGACGGAGACTGTGGATGTTCCAAATGAGGCGCTGAGTGCTGAGGTTCGGAGCGAGGCTGTTCTGGACACTGCTGCCATTGAGGTGGCTGGCGATGGAAAGGCAAAGTAGTGATGTGTTTGGTTTTCCTTGGCTTTTTTTGGGGCATCTTGTTATTATTCTTGTTTCTCCATAGTATACAGATGTGTCTAGTCTCTAATGGACATGCAGTATGATACAGATTTATAGTACAAGTAAAGGGGTATATGCAATGACCGGAGCAGCAACTCAGCGAGTAGAGTCTTCAATTCGCCGCCAAACTCCAACAAAACCACCACCCTGGATGCGCACTCCAACCTTGGGTCGACAGACGAGCACAGATTCTCCTTTGGGGGCTTCCTCGGGAATGGAAACCTCAGAGGAAGAGTCCAAAACGCTAGCCTGATCTTCGCCTTCAACAGTAGGAGCAGCACCTTCAGCGTCCGAAGCAGCCCAAGATGATGGGTCAGCGCCAGACTTCTTAGTCGCAAAACGCACATCCCACAAGCGACCACCACTGATTCCATTGCCAAGCTCGATTACCTTCTCCTGAACGAGGGGCAATTTCTGGTCCTTGATCATTTGCAAGCACTCGCCAATCTGGGTGATGCTAGGCATAAACACCACCAGGAGACCATCCCGTTTCAAGATCGGCGTAACATGGGGAATCCTCAGGTTGGAGGAAGGCATATCCAAAATGACATGTGACACGAATGGCTCAACGGTGTTTCCCCCAGCCAACGAAGCCAGCCCAGATTTCTTGCGCAGCTCCTTTTGCTGAGCAATCCAGGTCTCGACGGGACCCACGTAGAAGTCAACGTCGCCTGCGTACATCCCACGGCGGAATCCCCTAACGTTCTTCTCAGCCAGAGCAGAAAACTTCGCCGAGACGTCCACGGTGTGAATGATGGCATTGCGCTGCGCACGCCACGCGTCCCATTCCTCCTGCGCCGGGTCCGCAATTGGCTCCGTGGGTTTCTCTTTTTTCTCTGTTTTCTCTGCGTCCTTTTCATCCGGCCTCATAGCTCGCCCTTCTAGCAACTTAAGCTGTGATCGTTTCGGCGACGGTGGTGGAGTCGTATTCGCGGCGTGAATGGCTCGCGCCAGGTGTAGTGTTAGGGATCCATGGCCTGTTCCGGACTCCAAAATTTCCAGGGGGGTTGTGTTTCGCCGGCGGCAGGGGTATTGACGTGGATATCGAGGAGCGATGCAATCAAATTGGCATCTTGTGGATAAATCTACTAGTTAGGCAGCGTGAGTCCAATGTTTCTCACTTCTCGGTATTTAATTTCGAGAGATGCACGTACTGGCGTAACCAAACGGGGAGTCAGGGCGACGTATTCTTCTAGCGTTGGGAGGCTGACTCGGATCGGTTGGCCTGGATACAAAAGACAGTCAGTTATGTCTCTAGGGGCATATAGCGGATTTGGATGTTACTGACCTTTGCGTGAATGCACTGTGTCCCAAACTCGTTTCCCAATGATGCTGTCATGATTCAGAGCCCCTTTATGGGTCTGGAGTGTATCTCCCCTCTTCAAAGGCTTAGTTAATGAAGGCTGCTTGCCATGTAGAATGACCCGGTCTCCCTCTGCGCATCCCGTCAGTCTGATGTTCGGGGATTGAAGAAAACGCATCAATTACCTTTTAGAATGGAGAAATTGGTGTCAATGGTCCTAGACCGCAAGGGACCGGACGGAGTCACACCCAGAACTCTCTGTAAGGCCTGGCGCAGACGAGACATATTGGTTAACAAGATATATCAACAACTCGGAGCTAGAAATCACTAAGGAAAATCTTGCTGGATCGAGACTAACCCGCTGCGGTGCCGCTCGACCCACCCCCAGTTCACCGATCGAGGGGCAATTCTTGGAAATTTGTCTCTCTCTCGAATATTTTCACGGTTCTTTCATTCATTTATTTGATAATTACAGCCAAGATGGGATCCAACAGCCTCCCGTACATGGAGACGAAGCCCAAGCTTATCTTCTTCACTGACTTTGATGGGACAATTACTGTTGATGACAGTAGGTGCTTCCCCACAAAGTCCTAGTCCTTCAATGCTGACTATCATCGCAGGCAATGACTTCATGGTATATAAAATATGCTCCTGGCGCCTAGACCTTAACTGACGCCACGCAGATTGACAACCTTGGCTTCGGCAAAGCCAATCGCATGGTGTTGAACGACCAGGTCCTGAACGAGACCCTGAGTTTCCGGTTGGTTGACGCGGACAATGTCTGGTTCGAATCAAGCTCTAACCAGTCCTTTTTATCCATATAGTGATGCCTTCCGCGAGATGCTTTCAAGCATCAAGACCCCATACGACGAGTGTATTCAAATATTGCTGAAGAACATGAAGCTGGACCCATACTTCGAGGAATTCTACTACTGGGCCAAGGACAACAACGTGCCCATTGTCATTTTGTCGTCTGGCATGCACCCCATCATCAGCGCTTTGTTGGAGAAGTTCCTTGGCCACAAGCCGGCCAACCATCTCACTATTATTGCCAACCAGCCTACGAGCCGGGATGGTAAGGATATAAACAGCGAAGGTGGCTGGCAGATCAAGTACCACGATGACAGGTAAGTCAATGCCGATCTGTTTATCATCCGTCCAATCTCGCTCATGATTCACCAGCCACTTCGGCCATGACAAGTCCTTGGAAATCAAGCCATACGCAGCGCTGCCGGATGAAGAGCGCCCCATTCTCCTTTATGCAGGTGATGGTGTCTCCGATTTGTCTGCCGCTGCTGAGACCGACCTTCTTTTCGCGAAGCAGGGCAAAGGTATACATCCATCTTTTCACTTCGAACTTGCATTCACCCAAGACATCGAATTAACTTGTCACAGATCTGGTGACATACTGCCAACGCAGAGGTATGCCCTACACCACTTTTGAGAATTGGTCCACAATCCTCTCGACTACCAAAGACATTTTGAGCGGTAAGGTAACGGCTGGTGATGTGGCTGCCAAGGCTTCTCTCGGCCCGTAGATGTTTGGCCTGTATAGACTTGCACGTGCAATTTGATATGAAAGTGATGATGGAATTTATTTTGAGTGAATATAGACAAGATCAATGAAGGCATGGAAAATAATGCATTCACATGGGCTGAACAAACAAAATTGTACTCAAAGAAACAAAGAATTCATGTAGTTATGGAGAAATTAGAGGCGATGCCCCGAAGCCCCCGTCAGGAGTCGATAGTGACCGCCTTCAGGGTCCAAGCGTCGAGGCGCCTTCACCCAAAACAAATTATAACTTGTCCTTATATGCTACTGGAACGAGTTGACCGAACCTGGTCTTCTCCTTTACCGTATTATACCCCTTGAGATTCGTGGGCATCATGCGACAGTGCGCCACGCTCTTCTCCAAGTCCTTGCCAGGGTGATATCTATCTCATCATGGCTCGCCGGCTAGTACGACATTCATTACTTGGTTCTTTGTGAAGCATTTGGCTAATATTTATCTTTGCAGGTCCGAGCGAGCGTACAGCTCGGGTTAATCGCTACATTCATTCTACTCGTGGTCGTTATTCTCGATAATCGATTCTCTGTCCTTCCCTCCTCCATTCATGGCCACCTCCCGTCGCATTATTCCGGCTACGTGATCACAGACATAACTGTCACAAAATGCTCCTCCCTCAATCCATTCTCCACATGTAAGCTGGACCCAGAAACATGGTATCGCGTCGATAAAGACCTTTACCTGCGCTCGGGTTGGACCTCGAGTGCCTACGTCCAATTCCAGCGGAAAAAGGAGGAGGAATTGACTGCAGATGACAAAGTTGTCATCGATTTGAAGATCAGTCGTCTTACTCCGCCGTCTGAATACGTTGCTGGCACAACACATATTGAAGCTTGGGAGGCCCGACCGGGAGGTATCTGGCTCAAGCGCTCGTCCTCTCGCCATGCTAGTGACTCCGAAAATGCTGTGACATACGTCGATGTTCTTTATGGAGCGGATGCTGTTGATCCCCGTCCCAATTGGGAGGTCAAAGACACTCCGATTCTTCTGGACAGTTCGACAGAACAGCTGGAGACTCGATTGAGCATTCGGAGAGGGCATCCCCAGGCCAAACCCAAGAAGCCTGTTCCAAGAATCAACGAGAATGGAAAATTCAAAGTTATGCAACTGGCAGATCTTCACATGAGCACGGGTCTCGGTGCCTGTCGTGACCCTATCCCTGCGGAGGCTGTCCCTGGCCAGAGGTGTGAGGCTGACCCTCGAACATTGGAATTTGTCGAAAGGCTTCTTGACGAAGAGAAGCCAGACATGGTCGTTTTCTCCGGAGACCAGATCAATGGAGAAACCGCTCCAGATGCGCAGAGTGCGCTTTTCAAGTCGGTAAAGCTTTTGGTCGACCGCAAGATTCCTTACGCCGCTATATTTGGAAACCATGATGACGAGGGAGACCTTAGCCGAGAACAACTCATGACCATATATGAAGACCTCCCTTTACTCTCTTTCTGCCGCCGGCCCCGAAGACATTGACGGGGTCGGCAACTACATTGTCGAAGTTCTCGACCGGGGCAAATCCGACCATTCTGCCCTCACCTTCTATCTCCTTGACACACATGCCTACTCTCCCGACGAGCGTCAATTCCGCGGCTACGACTGGATCAAGCCGAGTCAAACACGGTGGTTCAGGAACACTGCCCAAAGTCTGAGAAGAAAACATAAAGAATACTCACATATCCACATGAACGTGGCATTCATACACATCCCGCTTCCCGAGTATCGGACGCAAGGAAAGTATTTTAAGGGTGCATGGATGGAAGCTCCTACCGCCCCGGGGTTCAATTCTGGCTTTAAAAGTGCTCTCGAAGAAGAGGGCGTTCTGTTTGTTAGCTGCGGACAGTAAGTTTCGCTTCCTTTTTTGAGGCTTCAACTTCTAACTGGCATCAGTGACCACGTCAATGACTATTGCATGCTTGAGCAAGATGCCACCAACAAGCCCTCTCTTTGGATGTGCTATGGCGGCGGCGTCGGTTTGGGCGGCTACGGTGGCTACGACAAGTATGTCCGACGAGTACGTTTCTATGACTTTGACATCGGTCCCGGTCGCGTCACCACATACAAGCGATTGGAATGGGGCCAAACCGAAGCCAGAATCGACGAAATGATGATTGTGGAAGGCGGTACCGTCAACGGCCCAGAAGAAGCATCATAATGAAGCCAGGTATCCTCCTCTTCCCCTTCTCACTCCTCACTCCATTTTGTATCGAGCTTGTCAACGCTTCTGCTGCCATTGCTCTCACATACTGTCGTTTTCGTGTTTGTCGGCGGCCTGTTCCTTTTACTGTACATATATCCTTCTGCCCCTTGCCTGCAACAGGTTGGCGTGTCCGGGGAGTCTATCTTTTACTGGAATATTAAAGCATTTCTCCTACTCTTATATTGATTGGTCTGACTTGTAGATCCTAAGTCAACTTCATTCTCACCACCATTTTTCGAAAAATATACGCTTCTCCGCATCCTCTCCGAGCATCCCTTGTAATCTCTCAACGATGGAATCGGTCATAGCAGGCGGCCCACAAACATAGCACACTGTTTCGCAAGGATCTAACCCATTTTCTTTACTGCCCACCGCAAAGCGTAGATCACTATCGCTGATTCGCGACGAATGAATCGTAATATCAGACGGAGAACCAGACGTGAGTAGATCAGATGACGGAGCTACGTTTGTGAGGAACAAGTCCAGCGATATCTGGAGTCGGTGTGACGTCTCCTGGGACAGGAGTATCTGCCGCAGACGCCGCAGAAATAGGACCTGATCTAGTACCTCGTCTGCTGGGAGTGTTTCATGTCCATGCGGTAGGCGGCTGGTGTATAAGATGTGGATAGTGCTTGGAGTGGGCGTTTGTGGCTGGTTATTGTTTAGGTGTGAGAGGATTGATATCAACGGACTTTCTGTAGTCAGTACCTAGGTATTGCTTGAGGGATTTTATAGTTTAGATCACGGCGGGCAGTTGACTCACTTGATGCCTACACCGCCAGCAACAAAGACTGCATTCTTCACGTCACTGATGTTTATTCCCGTCGGTGGCCAGACAAAGCTTCCTCCGACACGGATGTTCAGTTCTTTGCCTATGATCTCCTCGTTTGGTCTCCATAGCCATGCGGCAGAAGGGTTGCCTGGGGAGTTTTGTACGGCCAGCTCCACATATGGTACTCGTCCTTGGGACTCTGGCAACGGGGCTAGCTCTCCCTCGGATAGCAAGTCTACGGGATTTTCGGGTATTGGCAGCTCTTTTGCATCTGCGGGTGTAGATGTTATGGTGAATCCTCCCGCTTGGGCGATGGCGGGGATATGAACATCAAGCCATTGGCCAGGCAGGAAATTGAAAGCCTGCTGGTGGCTATTATCCTTCATAATACATGTCAGTCATAATTTCAGGGTATATAAGTGGATATTGAATGTATATATGAATTATAACTATAAAAAAAAGTGAGAACTTACATTGTTATCTTGAGATAAAGCAAATTGCAAGAGCCGGACCGACGGGTTGACCTGCTCAATATGTGATAGCTGCACTCGATGCCGTCTATTCTGCCGAGGCTCTGCGGCTGTGCGGAGCTCGTGTGGAATCGAATCTCCCCTTTGAGAGCTCATGTGGCCTACAGGTCTTGAAATTGGGCGAAGAACAGTTTGACTAGGTCGGATAATGGACCGGGATGAGGTGGACAATTCAAAGAGGGGGCGTATTGATCGAGCAGACTTCATGGCACACTAGGCTGGGCGCATAGATAGTGAACTTAATGAACAAAGTGGAATCTCATGACAACCGGTTTGTTATCGTTTTTAATGTGCTCTGAACCACTGTTAACGAGCTCCTGATGAACCAAACGTTCCGCCCGGGCCGACGTACCCCTCTGGCCATACAAACTACGACAGTCTAGTAAGGCTGGTGCGTCACATCGCATCTTCCCGGCAGTATGGAGTACATTTAATAGAATCAGTAATTTATGCCATAAAATAATTTCTCATTTTGTACGAAGCCGCTGGCGTTGCTTAGCGTCCTGCTGCTATAGGGGCTCGCGTTACGGTGGTGGATATAATTTCTTTGACGTGTACACCTGGTACTGCGAATATGTCTTCTTTACAGCGACCGTTGAATGCATTATTCTTGCTGAAGAAAACGATCGCATCTCGTACTTCAAGTACGACTTGAGTGACGAGCAAGAAATCGCAATTGTTTGCAAAATGATCAGACCCGAAGTCGGCCATCTCAAAGTCCTAGCTAGGTCAGTAAAAGCAAAAGATGCTTATAATCATCTGGCTAACGGTCGCAGTCAACAATGCTCGTCTGTCGCGTGGGCGGATTATTGTCATGAAATGTGACAGAATATGTGTTTATGGCTCGATTGACGGAATATGAAGATGACAAGGATCTACATGGATCTATGGTCCCTTATAGTCATATATAGGCATTGACACGAAGGAAGCAAACTTAGCAAAGGGGAAGCATTCATGAAAGATTGGAAGAGATGCTAGATTTCCAACCACACGCCCTCGCCTTCTCGACCCCGGAAATCCTGGAAGCAGCTGTATGTTCTCCAAAGCTACGCTCAAGAGACTGGTGTGTTCTCCCATGCGTTAATATTCGCCCAGCACTTCCACATATAAGTCCAACCGATCTTCTCTGGTCTGTCTACCATCTCAATGGTGATTGGATCATGATCATAGTCCACAGTGCACTGGAACGTCGCTCCAGTGTCACTCTCACCCCGAAAAATACCATCGTTGCCCGAAGTGCGGAACGTAGTAGTCTGGTCATAGAACGTCGCTTGGGACCCTGTCTCGACCTTCGACTTCATTAGACTGCCCCACACAAATCCCATATCATTCCTTTCAAACATGTCATAGAAGCTTGTTCGAATCCAATAGCCCAGTTGTGGCTCAACACTGCGCCAGACGCGGGATTCAGCAACCCGGTTATGATCCCAGTCACCCTCTTCGAAAATTCCACCGGATTTCTTTGCTTGATCTATGCACAATTCGAATGCGGCCGGAGATGGAAAAATTGAAAACTCACATCCTTGTTGAGCAAGTGTGCGATGTAGTTCATCCACGCGGATAAGTACTTTCTCAAGCCAGGCTAGCATAGCATCGTTCTCCTGCCCTGCCTCGCGCTTCGATAAGCTAATAGTGGGATCTGTCCAAAGTACAAGCATGATGTTTTTGCAATGACGGAAACGAGTTTGCAAAAGAGTGATAATCGTGTCATATGCACCCCATGACACGTCGAATTCCGAAGATGTTTCGCTGATGCTAGCAGTTGGATAAAGGTGCAGAAGATGGCAGTATATTGTAGCAGGACTTGCATAAAATTGATCTTCAGCGGATACAATTTTCACACCGTTGATGTATCTAAATAGTATAATATCAGATTAGATCAAATGCCTAGATCAAGCTTCCGTGGAGCTTAAAAGACTCGGCTCAGTCGTATTCTATCTAAAGACCAGGAGAACCGGTCATTTCCGGAACGAGTAGGGTGTAAAGCACACGTAATTTGACTCGCAATAGGTGCCGGAGCATCATTTCCACTGTCTGTGGATTGTTCTACTAGAGCAGTCCAGGACGAGTTGTTGTTGGACTTCGGCCCTAAGCGTTGCACATTCAGCTGGATGATTCCGGAATCGTACAGATACAAGCATTTTTTGATGTCTCTCAGATATCGGAGATCAGGCATGATTTAGGAAGGAAGAAAAGTTGAGCAAGACCAGGCAGCGGCAACCGTCGCCTCCTGTTAGTCGGTCGCCTCGCCTCGCCAAACTTGAAAGCGCGCTCGCGGTGGCTTACCCGAGGCGGCAGATCTGTATGCTCTACGAGTACGGGAGCTTGTGATAATAATGCTTGATGTTGAGGTCGTGTATTGAGTTCGCAGGTGTTACCCTGGGTCGATTGTGTACAGGGATCATCTATCAATCATGAGTCCTTGACATTAAAGGTCGGGCAGATTCTGGATAGAATCGTTTTTGACTATCTCTAGAGCAGCTTCTACCAAGTACAAACTTCCTGTTACCAAAATCTGCGCCCCCATGCCAAACTGCTTGGCCAGATCAATGCCATCCTTGACACTAGATGCCATATGAGTGGATTTTGGGGACGAACTCTCCCTCCAGAATTCGGCATAGTCTTCCAAAAGTCCCGCAGGGGTAGTGAAATGACCATCATATTCAATCTGCTTGACGAATATCACATGTTGGATGCGCATCTGTAGAGATGTCCCTAAAGTCTTTAATATCGTCCTCCAGTCACGCGTTCGCTTAGGTGAGAAATGGGCAAAAATGAGAACTCGGTGAGAACTGCTACTCCCTTATTAGATTGCTGGCTCGCTGTGACATGAGGAACATACCTCGCACCAGCTACCCGTTCATACCACTCTCCGACTACCTTCATACTTGTTTCGTTGTGTGCTCCATCCAAATACCAAGTGCAGCCACCGTAATCAACGATGTCGAAGCGTCCAGGCCAGCGGCATTTCCTGATACCAGCTGCAACATCCTGTTCATCGAGCGAGTGATGGAGAAACTCATCGGCGATACGCCTAGCCAGTGCGCAATTCTCTCGCTGTTCAAGTATGAGACCCTCAATAGTGACGTTTTCCACGAAATGAAGCAACGCTCCCTTTTCTTTTGCCCGGCGCTTTATCTCGTCTTCAGCTTCTGGGTCTTGTCGGACAGAAAGTACCAGAACCCCAGCCCTAAATATTCCACTTTTGTGCCATGCAATACTTCGGATGGTTGTTCCTAGGCTATCGACATGGTCCAAGCTAATCTTGGTCACGGCAGTGATTGCAGGACGGCTGAAGATGTTGGTTGCATCGAACTCACCACCATGATGGGCCTCACAGATGACGACGTCAGCACCTTCCTTGATGAAAGTGTGGAAAGCCACGATGGCCACCATTTGGAGAAATCCGGGTGTCTTGCTAGACGAGGTATCACCATCGAGTGACAGGCCCGTGTAAACTTCAAAGAAGCGCTTTGCAAAAATATCCTCTGGTAACGGCTTTGAATCGATTCGGATTCTATTTCTTGGCCACAGACTTGGGGATGTGTAAAGGCCTATTTTTCGATTAATTCCATTCCTGGTCGCATGCTCTCGTAGGAACGAGTCCACATAAGCACACGTGCTGCCTTTGCCTTTCGTTCCGACAACATGAATGACATTCAAATCATCTATATCTTTGGTCTAATCCAACTGTATAAGTAGTTTCTGTGTAAAGATAAATAGCACAGACCTCATGACCAAGACGCAATAACCAATCTTTCATCCCTTCGAGCGATGGTACTCCTTTCAAGGTAGCAATATTGGGAGCCCATGCAGGAATCGGTAACATCATCGCCGCCGATATGGAAGGGAATGACCGCCGACACAACTTAAGTAGCTCTATAGCATGCTGGGCTTGTTAGAGTCGGCAACTGTTCTACAATGTGTAAACTTACTTGGTAGTTCAACTTTGAAGTCTGGTCCGACATCTCTTGGGTTTGACTGTTATAACGCTTGTGATATGAAACCACACGAATTGTAAGGTAAAGGTGCGGAGTTGGGCAAGATTATGCATGTGGCCTGAAATGGAATGGTTGGAGAAGTTCAAGCAATTTCATCTACAGTATGGAAGGATTGCATAAGCGATTAGTTGTCTGTTCAAGTCTGCCGACTTGGAAAGCTCCGTTATTTCTAGGCATAAGATACTCAGTTATAGCTTTATATTCCTTCACCTCAATAGCGCGTTCACGCCTAGCGGGGTGGATTCCTAGTCAGACCTCGGCGGGAATGCTGTATCTCCTTTTTGGATATAAAACCAAGTACGCTATAGCGACCCTTCCTACTTTGATATTGCTTGTTAGAACTACGTACACACCGTAGTAGAGCGAAATCTGCCAGGCTAATGGTGCAAGAATTTCATAGCACATTCCTTTGAACGGCAAGATGTTGCTTTGGGGGATATTCCATTATGTTTAGCCTTGCCTGTCTTCTTGCCAAGATCAAACACGGTCACCGTGCCGCTCAGGTGGATAGATTCATTTTCAGGCAAGTGATGTATTTCCTTTGTTACGCGGCAAGAGGCCGGTTCAAATGAAGAAGAAGTCCCAGGGCAAATTATCATATGTTTGCTTCAGGCCTACTATATTGCATGAATACTTCGGTTCTGTTAAAATTTCAAGTTTCGAGCTTGACTCAGTGATGGTCACGAAGACTGTTGTCATAGATATGTATATATGCACATGTGTAACGACTTCCGGAAGAAAAAAAAAAGTCCAAAAACCTGTTCAAGACTGAATCATAGGGTTTAACCATAAAATTAATGGAACCTACATATGTAGGGGTTTGGAAGTTACGATATCAGTGAATGTCGGAATAATGAAGTTGGCGGGGAGGCTATGTTAGAGCTTTCGACAAGACTCTACTCCGTTTCCTACTCCACCTGACTACTTCGTGAGTGTGAATGAACTGACTTGAAATTTAGCGAACATGATTTTCACTATTCCCTTGTTCTCATCCCGGGGCTAACAAGGGTTATAAGTACACCCCTGCATAGAAAGTCACAATTGTGACTTCTATCACCCCACATGGGCGATTTGCTAGGCACTTTGCACCAAGAACTGCAGGTTCCAGTTGAGAGTGCCTAAAACCTACTGAGAGAGGGGAACTCTGTGATGCGGAACGCTCCATGGTGCAGATCTACCAACCCATCACAGTCTAGCGTGTGACGACCAGCAGCCAACCCTCCGTTCCCGCTGTCTGATTGGTGTGACGAGTCCGGGCTGCCACTTACACTGGCGCTTTGCCAGCGTCAAGCATTGGTCAGATGCACCTCCCAAACACACTTCCGGTTCTTTGCACGGTCATCCCATGCTGATTCGTGCCTCTCTGGGCGTCCAGGCCATGGGTTGTGACTGCGGCCACTAGGTTGCTCTCGACCTCATATCTAACAGTTCTCCGCCGGATTGCCCAGACTTGAGTTTGTCTTCTCTCCCCTTCCTACTCTACTCGCGTTGAAGTACCGTTTTCTGTTATTACGGACGTGCGACCGAATGTCTAAGCCAGCAGGTCTGGCCCAGTTGCATTGTACCCAGCTTTAATGATTCCCTAAGCGCCTCAGTTGAACAAATAAGTCAGCCTTCGAAACAGACTCGATTTTAATCCCGAGTCCTCCAGAATATCCGCCATAATGCACTTCTTATTCCCTAAGAAGCACAGGAACCACAAGCTCGTCCTTTGGTTGATGGCTGGCGAATTTCCTATCACCATTGTAATGCTTACATTGACCGGTATCGCTTCACACAACCTATACCGGACACTATTATGGCAAGATGGCGCGGACAACGGATTCAACAGTGCCCCAAATGAGGCCTTGTACGCAGCAGCGAATTACAGGTCATTTACGCCACCGATGGTTTGGTCTGGATTGTGCGTTATTTTTTCTACTCTATTGCCAAAGGTTTACGGCTGACCCAAACCAATAGTATCACCAACTATAACCTTGTTCTTGGTGTTTTGAGCACTTTCTTTCTGATCACAAAACTGCCCGTTCACTGGATGCACCTATTTTACCCTCCTATTGCGGTCGCCGTCCATGCAGCCTTGATCGTCCTCTACGTCGTGTCAGCGGTGTACCAAGCCGGGTCTGACATGTCAGATCCCCACCACCTGCAGCCAGGGGCACCATGGTACATCGCAAAGAGCTGCAGTGTCGCATACAGAAAGTCCAATATTGCCTACTGCATGCAGGCCAAATCACTTTTTGCAGTCACAGTCATCATCATGTTCGTCACCTTATCAACCCTAATTTCGCCGTTCTCTACAAGTATGCAATGGCTAACAGCTCTCTCAGACTCTATTATGTAGTAATTCTCGGCTTCAATATTCACTCCTGTTTCATCACACCCGAGGAACGCGCAGAAATCCTGGAGGAGAGAGAAGAAAGGCGCATCGAGAAGGAATTCGAAGAGGAAGTCATCAAATCCCCCGGCATGATTCCCATGACTCCGAGCTCAATGCTCCCAGGTTCAAGCATGGTACCTCGTACCCCTGGAGCTCCACCTATGGTCCTGGAAGGAGGTAGCTCACCATTCGGCGCTCCGCGCACTCTCGCCTTCAACCGACTTGGCAATGACAGTACCGCCTCAGACCTACCACTCCGCCGGCATACCCAACAACAATATTCAACGCCACCTTCACAGGAAGTGAGCCCGGAGAGCGCCACGGCACCACAGATGTATTTCCCGCCGCCACCAAAGAAGGCTGCGAAAAGTTGAGTGGATTCGGGAGTGAATATCTGTTTATATTAAGACATTGTTTTTGCTGTTTTTGTGATACCATATATCGCTGGCTTATATACCACACGTTCATTATTTAATGAGACAAGAGTTGTGTTCAGACAGGTTCGAATTTGGATTCCTTTCCCTTGGGATACCCATGTTCAGCGCTGCGTGGACGTCGTACAAAGCGCCCGGCTCTTACAGGTGCTTATTTTGTATATACGGAGTACTATTATTTTCGGCGTTGGACTTTAAATTTACTCTGACCATGGGGGCCAATTTTGAGGACCGTTCAATTCCAAAGAATCAAGTTATTGATATATCCAACGACAAATATAAATTCCGAACAGCATTATGACGCGATATCTGCGGTAGACCAGGGCGAGCCAAGAACGGCCGACTATATACATTATGGGACGAAAGAAATGGGAGAAATCAAAGGACATAATATCATCACCCATGTTCAACGTCACACGGGGCAAGATTGCTTGAAGATGCAACACTGGAAACAGGGATGTTGAAGGCCCCGATATAAGAAACTGACGGGGAACAAGCAGTGAGAACCTGAGGGGTATCTTGACGGAAAATTGCAAGACAATGGAGAAAAACCAGGTAACTAAAGAAACTCGTCAAGGGTAAGAGGGCCTCATACTCCAGAAATTGAAACGAAGAAAAACCACTTTCAGGTCGACTCTTGACGTTTCTTCTCCTTTTTAGACCAGCGCACTAAAGTACCAGTTAGCGTTGTACCAAAAGTCGATAGATATGAAAATCCCCCGTTGGGGAAAATGATTGGAGCGCGGATGACGGGAAACTTACAGCCACATGCATTGCACAAGGTCTTAGGCCCACTAGGCCCTTTTCTCCATTCTGGCGAGTCCGCCGTTCCGCAATCCCCACAAACGTGCTGGCCCTTGAGGCGCTTGCGTCGGTCGCCTTCTTGAGCATTGCGCTCTTGGTCCGCTGCCGTCGTAATGTCGATATCGCAGTGTACAAGCCGTCCACGGTTAACACCCGTACTGAGACCTTGCGATCTCTCGCCATCTCCGTAATAAAGACCAGTCATGACTTCAATGCCATCAATGTGCGAGTATACTTCGCCGGTGGGGGGCTCTGGGTAATATTCTGCGGATTGATTGGTGTCGGAGTCGTCCGAATTTGGATTCAGTGTTTCAGGGGAGTGGGATTCTTGGTCGCTGAATTCCCTTCCTGAAGGAGCGGACTGCGAAGACCCGGATCCGACGAATGGGGCAGAGGCCTCTAATTCGGCTTTGTAGGGCGGCCGAGCTGCGGTCGCCTCTTCGTCTTCTTCTTGCTTCAGCTTGGCAATTTGTTGAATCAAGCGCGCATTCTCAATCTTGTGTTCCAAGAAAGAGTCGAGGAGTTGCGATATCTTGTTAGGATACGGTCGGCATATAAGGAAATAGCCGGTGCAGCGCTCCTCGATGGGGGAGTTTCTTCCCACCTGTCGCTCATTCTGGTTCGCAATATGGGGATGACCGTAGGCTTCCATAAGGCAATATGTACCGTTGATCTTCTGGAATCGCAAGTGGGTCCGGAAAGAATGGTTCGCGGTGACCGCGTCGTCCATGTCTCTCTGGAAGATCGGTTGGTCGTCCTCATGAATGTATTGTGAAAGGAGGCTCCCCTCAAGCTGTTTAGCAGCACGACCGGTAAGGTTCTTACAGGACCGTGTGGCATAGGTAATCTGACCCTTTGGAGTGAGCAGGAGAAGCATGTCCTTCATTTCATCAAGGACCCGCTCCGTCCAGCCTGTTTCGTTAGACATGCCCTGGTATCCTCCGTGTTGAGCACCTTGCATACCATAGTGTCCGCCGTAGGAGCCAGGATGATGCTGTTGATCAATGGCGTACACTGGCTGCCCCTCGTTAGAACCCGATCTCATTTGCGAGACAGGCAGGGACATGCCCTCATAGGCCTGTGGGCGACTCAGGGCCATATCCTGAATATTATATGAACCGCAAAGAAGAAAATTGTGGTGTCGATAGGGTTATATAGGCCTTGTGATGAGTTTCAAATCCGGTGATGTTTCGTAGGAATCGGAGGAGGTGTGATCCCTAAAGGAAGTTGCCCGCACAAGAGGATGTGTGCAGTGGCGGGATGATCATTCTTCGGTGGTATGCGGAGGTTGGGGGCGTGATCAAGAGGGATGTTGGACAAATTGCCACTCAAAGGGTACACATGGTCTGAATGAGAGTCTGGATCTCCTTGAGAAAAAAGGAAATAGGATGCCGGACATTGTTGGTTGACAGCGCCGCCGATCCCTGTGGGCCGCTCCTTTAGTACGAGGCACACGTGATTTCGTGTTCCTCGACGCGGGACATTCAAATGTGATGGCTCACAAATCACTGAGCATTCTTGACCTTTCCCGCTTGACAGGCGGATGTCATTGCTTATTATCTGCCATCAAAGCTGAAGGGCTCAACCGCCCACTGTCAGTGCTTTTTTATCCAATATGTGAGTACTAAAACATTCTCCGGGACCCGCGTCGCGGTACTAAATGATCTACAGGTGTAAGTTCAACGGCTTTATGTTTCGGCATGAAAGAAATTTGCAACGGTTCTCTAACATATTACAGCGAAGATCGACAAACTCTCCATCCTGGGGTATGTTTCAAAACTTTTGATCCGCGTGCAACCACTGCGGAGGATATTCAAATTCATGCTAATGTGATCGATTTCGTTCTAGAGTTCGCTCCTTCGATAACACACGCAGCGAAACGATACAGTTTCATACACCTCTCACATTGATTGTCGGATACAATGGCTCAGGGAAAACGGTATGGAACGATAACCCGACTCGGACTTGTGGATAGCTAGCTACGGGGAACTGACGGGGATTTAGACTATCATCGAATGTCTCAAATATGCCACGACCGGTGACCTACCACCAAATAGCAAGGGTGGTGCCTTCATTCACGACCCGAAATTATGTGGCGAGAAGGAAGTACTGGCCCAGGTGAAGCTGTCATTCAAGGCTACCTCCGGGGCGAAAATGGTTGCCACACGCAGTCTGCAACTTACGGTCAAGAAAACTACGCGGCAACAAAAGACTCTGGAAGGCCAGTTGCTCATGGTCAAGAATGGTGAGCGGACGGCTATCTCTTCTCGGGTGGCCGAATTGGACCAGATTATGCCGCAATACCTGGGTGTCTCGAAGGCCGTACTTGATTCAGTCATTTTCTGTCACCAGGACGAAAGTTTGTGGCCAATGAGTGAACCCTCGGTGTTGAAAAAGAGATTTGACGAAATCTTTGAGGCGATGAAGTACACCAAGGCCATTGATAATATCAAAGCTCTGCGAAAGAAGCAAAACGAGGAGCTTGGAAAATTCAAAATTATGGAGCAACATGCGAAGGAAGACAAAGACAAGGCGGACCGTGCCGAAAAACGTTCCATCATACTTCAAGATGAGATCGAGGCGTTGCGCGAAGAAACCCAGCAAATGTCGAAGGAAATGCGACGAGTCGCTGATCTTGCTGATAAAGCCTGGACGCAATCGGAAAGTTATGCTCAGGTCCTCGGTGCCCTAGAGGGAAAGCGTATCGAAGCTAAAAGTATCCAAACTACCATAGACAACCTTAAGAGGCATTTGGTTGAGCTTGACGACTCCGATGAATGGCTCGAATCAACCCTGGAGCAATTCGAAACCAAGCAGGTCCAATACCAGCAACAAGAGGAATCCCAGAAGGAGAACTACATGGAATTAAAGGAGCAGATCGAACAGACTCGTCATCGTCTTGGTCTGAAGCAGGCAGAGAACGGAAAGTTTGAGAATGACAAAGCCAATTTTGAGCGTCAATCTGAAAGACGCCAGAAAATGATCAACGAGATTGCTCATGCCAATAATATCCGTGGTCTTGATGACAAAATGGATCAAGCTGAAATCGACACATTCATGCAGAAAATCCGACGCCTTCTAAGAGAGCAAAATCAATCTCTGGACCGCGTGAAGCGCGAAGCCCAGAAAGAGCTTCGAGAAGTCCAGGAGACATTGAATGAGATTGGACAAACCAAGTCGGCACTTCAAGAGAGCAAGAATGCGGCAAAACGCCAGATCGCAGAAAATGACAAGGAGGCCGCAACTTACCAGGGCAAGCTCAATGAGATTGAGGTTGATGAAGGCGTGCAGGCTGTGCTCGAGTCGAAGGTCGAAGATATCACATCAAATTTGAACAACGCGAAAGAGCGATCCAAGACTGCTTCCTGGGAACAAGAGATTCAGGATACCAATGCGGAGATCCGCCGCCTTGAGGATGAAAGCTCAAGGTTGAACACTGAATTAATTGATTCGACTAAGAAGGCCGGAGAGCTGGCTCGCTTGGACCACCTCAAGAAAGAATCCAAGGACCGGGAGCGCAGCCTGCAAACCATGAAAGGAGCTCATGGAGATCGTCTTGAGAAGGTTGTTGGCGCAGACTGGCAGCCAGAGACACTGGAGCGTGGTTTTCAGCAGGCCCTCGACACTGAGTCAAAAAAGGTGAACGATGCGGAACGACAGCGCGACAGCGTGAGCCGAGAACTGGAGCAAGTCGAGTTTAAGCTCAAGACTGCCAAGAATAACCTCAAGCAACGCCAAAAGGAACTCGACGAATGCGTGAAGGAAATTCACGAAGCAGTTGACGCAGAGCCCTCCGAGTACCCTGAAATTGTAAAAGAACGCCAAGCACAGTACGATCTCGCTCGCAAAGATGCCGACCAGTATGCTGGAATGGGAGAATATCTTATCAAGTGTCTGGATGCCGCCAAGCGAACCAAACTGTGCCGAACATGCCAACGGTCCTTCAAAAACGAGACAGAACTCCAGACATTCACCAAGAAGCTAGATGCCTTGGTCAAGAAGGCTGGTCTTGATGCTGAGGATGAGACCCTGAAGGGTCTTGAAGAGGATCTGGAAATTGCCCGTGGAGTCAGTGCTTCCTACGATTCCTGGGTACGTTTGACGGCGACGGATATCCCAGAGCTGGAGCAAGAAGAGCAGGAGTGTGAATCTCAACGTGACCAGCTTTTGGATAAGTTGGAAACCCATGATGGAAAGGTCAGCGAGAAGACTGAGAGTAAGCGTGAGGTCGAGGGGCTTTCCAAAACGGTCAGCACCATCGCACGTTACGACGCCGAAATCAAGGCTATTAAATCCCAAATCCAAGAGCTTTCCGCGAAACAACAGGATGCGTCCACTGCTCGCACCCTAGAAGATATCCAAGATGAACTTGCTGCAATCACCGAAAAGTCCCGGGAGCTAAAGAAGGCTCTCACTAAAGTGACGAACGAGAAAGAAAAGACACGGGCTGAGATCAATAAGCTCGAACTTGAGTTCAGAGATGTGAAGAGCAGTCTAGATAATACCAAGTTCCAGTTGGAAAAGAAGGCGGATTTGATTGTTCGGATGGAGGAATTTAAGAAGCTTAATACTAAGCAGCGGGAAGCAATTGAGAAAGCAGACCGCGATATTGAAGCCCTTACCCCGGAATTGCTCCAAGCCCAAGCCCGCTATGACGATATCAGCCAACGGGCCGATGAGCGTGAACGGGACCTGCAACATGAGATCAACCGTCTCTCCGAGAACATTCACCAACTCGACCTTGCCAATGACGATATCAACTCTTACAATGAGCGAGGAGGTCCAGACCAGCTTGAACGAAGCAAACAGGAGCTTGAAATGATCGAGGCTGAAATCGGCAAACTGGAAGCTGAACAAAGCGAGATCACAAGAGAAATAAACAAGATCTCAGCGCAGCTGAAGGACAGCGAGAACACCAAACGGCAGTATTCTGATAATTTGACCTATCGTCAAGCTACTCGATCTCTAGACACAGTTGTGCAAGAGGTCGAGCAACTTGAAGCGCAAAATGCCGAGGTGGATCGTGGTCGTTTCAAGCAAGAATCAGAACGTTGGACGCGTGAGCACAATGCCCTTGCTGCCAAACAAGCTAGCAAAATGGGTGAAATGAAGTCCAAGGATGACCAGCTGATGCAATTGCTGGCGGATTGGAACACCGACTACAAGGATGCTGCTACGAAATACAAAGAATCCCATATCAAAGTCGAAACCACCAAAGCCGCCGTCGAGGATCTTGCCCGATACGGTGGAGCTCTCGATAAGGCAATCATGCAATACCACGGCCTGAAGATGGAAGAGATCAATGCAATTGTCGGCGAACTTTGGCAAAAGACCTACCGCGGAACAGACGTCGACACAATCCTCATCCGGTCTGACAATGAAAACGCCAAGGGCAACCGATCTTACAACTACCGCGTCTGCATGGTCAAGTCAGGCGCGGAGATGGACATGCGTGGTCGGTGCAGTGCAGGTCAAAAGGTCTTGGCTAGTATCATCATTCGACTTGCACTTGCAGAGTGTTTCGGTGTCAATTGCGGTCTTATCGCTCTCGATGAACCTACTACGAATCTTGATCGAGACAATATCCGCTCTCTGGCCGTTTCGCTGCATGAAATTATCCGTACTCGTCAGCAACAAGCTAATTTCCAGTTGATTGTTATTACTCATGACGAGGAATTTTTGCGTCACATGCAATGTGGTGACTTCAGTGATTATTACTATCGTGTTTCGCGAAATGAGAGACAGAAGTCGATCATCGAGCGACAGTCCATTGCTGAGGTATGTTTTTGATATGTCCATTGGTTGATTTTAGTCATTGCTAATAGTCTGCAGGTCATGTAATACTTCTCGCAAAAGCGCCTTTTTCTGATCAGTTCTGCCGACATGTTACTGGCAACATTCGTAGATTTACCTGGAGTGATGTTTTCTCCAATCTCTTCCAAGTGTTTTATTTTGGGGCATATCTCGGAGTTGCTATTGCTACTGCGATTTTGTGTTCTTATTGCTACCTGATACCAATCTTTTTTTACTCTCCTTAAGCATTTATGACCAAGATAAGAAGAGAATGCGATATGCGCATTAAATATATTCTCAGAAATACATAGTCGTAAGGAAAAAGAAGATGCTATGCTACAGACAACTGGTCCCTCGACAAGGAAACCAGATGGATCGATCAATCGACTCCAAAGACAACACCAGAACAAAACAGCACTATCTTACACCTGATCCTTATCCACCTCACCTCTAGCCATAGCAAGCATGCGTTCCTGATCCTTCTTCGCCTGTCGGATACTCTTCACACGCTCGCGATCAGGACCAGACTTGGCCTCGATGGCCGCCCACTTCTTCGCCATCTCCACATCCTCAGGGGTAGCGTTGACTGTCTTCGCGTTCGTCATGATCTGCAAACGGTCGAAGATTTCCTTGTCTGTGCGGTTCTTCAGGTCAAGAACGACTGAGTCCTCGTTAGCCTCTGGGGCAGGCGCCAAACTGTCGGTGACCTTCTTTTCATTTGCGACGGCTGTAGCGGCGCTACCGGCCTTTTCGGCGAAGTAGATTGTCAATGCTGAGGGTCCGTTCTGGTCGTCGATCCTTTTTACTGTCATCCCCACGCCAGGGTTGTGATACTTCAGTCGAGGAAGGCAGTTGCGCCAGAAGTGCCGTGCGCCCCGATGGCCGCCGTTGATCTTGTTGGCAAATGTGAGGTGGAGCCGGGTGACGGCTGGAAATTCTTTTGTTGCGGAGGTGGGATTGGGGAAAATGGCGGCACCAGTGCCAATCTTGACTTGGAGAATCTGTAACGATATGAATATTGGTCAGTGGACTGATTGCAAGTCATGGTGGTCGTTGCAGGTGACGGTTTGAATTCGGGTTTCGGAGGTTGAAGGGTCGGAGATATCAAGGAATGGAGTTTCAGCTTACCCTCTGTTTATGGGGAAAATCCAATTAGCTCAATGATTCAGATTTGATATGGGGAGTCCTAAACGAAGTAATGAAGCGTTCGAGGCAAGATTGACTTACAGTTTGCAGCTTGCGAAGCCGCTTGAACAAGTTGACCATGATGGGAGGCTGTTCCGCACAAAAATTGGCCCCTATGCGACAAGAAGATGGAAGTTGAGATAATGGAAGATCAATTGAAGGGTCAACTGTTCATAGACAAGTAGTATGTGACCTAAATTGCGAGTTTGTTGATTGGGGAATTTTATCACAGATGCGCTCGTCGGCGAAGAAGTTGCTCCGTGATATGGGTCACGTGCGATCTCCGATCTATAAAGTCCATACCAACAACGAGCTACAATGAAAAGTATCTAGACTAAATGGTATATATTCCAGTATTGAATTATCGAATCATGGAGCTGTCGAATTCATAGTTCTGGTTCTAAAGGCTGGGCCCACGCAGTGTATCATGAACTTGCTCCGTGATAGTTTCTAAGTAACGATAGAGCGCTGGAACCGAACAGCAAGTATATCACACTTGAATTTTGGCATTTATAAGGGTGAACCAACGTTCAAATAACAATCACGTTTGTTGTCAGTTCAGAATATATAAACAGTTACTTCTCATCAATCCCAATACACTAAATACCAACATCCATCTCCATCAGTACAGCTTTGTGAAGCGTTGTAAAATACAATACGGCTGTATTACACTTGACTCACAAACTGAACAAACTGAACAAACTGATTTTATATCTCGCCCCGCGATTCTTTTGTTCCCCTCCGCTCTCCAAGGGAATTACAGGCCAATTCTGACAATCAGAAAATATGGCCGCCGCTGCTGCATCTGCAGCTGAGCTCGATCCGAGCAACAGCTCAAAGAACACCCTCAAACTCGAAAACGTTGATATTCCCCTCACCCCACCATCGCCCATTTTGTTAACTAATATTTTGCCCGCCAGACCGAAAAGCGAGACACCTTGATTGCGATCGAAAAGAAGTACCAGGCACAATGGAAGGAAAACAAGGTCTTCGAAGTCAATGCGCCCTCGTTCGAGGAAGCCCCCCAGGGCTCTATGACCCCCGACGAACTCCGTGAGAAGTACCCCAAGTTCTTCGGTACCATGGCCTATCCTTACATGAACGGTACTCTGCATGCCGGACACAGTTTCACTGCCAGTAAGGTAGAGTTTATGGCTGGATTTGCCCGCATGGAGGGCAAGCGTGCCCTTTTCCCTCTGGGTTTCCACTGCACCGGTATGCCCATCAAGGCCTGTGCCGATAAGCTTGCCAACGAGGTCAAAAAGTTCGGCCAAAACTTCGAAGGATACAACGAGGAGGAAGAGGCTGCCAAGGACACCATCCCAGCACCCACACAAGAGGTCAATGCCCAGACCGAGAAGTTCTCCGGCAAGAAGAGCAAGGCCGCTGCCAAGACCGTGAAGATGAAGTACCAATTCCAGATCATGTTGGCAATTGGTGTTCCTCTGGAGGATATTCACAAGTTCGCCGATGCCGCTCACTGGCTAGACCACTTCCCCCCTCTTGCCATCCGTGATCTTGACAGCATGGGTGCCCGTGTCGACTGGCGCCGACAGTTCGTCACCACCGACGCCAACCCCTACTACGATGCTTTCGTGCGCTGGCAGATGAACCGTCTGCATGAGCTTGGAAAGATCATGTACGGCAGCCGCTACACCATTTACTCGCCTAAGGACGGTCAGCCTTGTATGGATCACGACCGCACTGAAGGTGAGGGTGTCGGTCCCCAGGAATACTCTGCTATCAAGCTTCAGGTCAAGGAGTGGTCTCCCAAAATGACCGAGCTTGTGAAGGGTAAGATTGAGGATGACGCCAAGGTCTACTTCATTCCTGCTACTCTACGGCCCGAGACTATGTATGGCCAGACTAGCTGCTTCGTCGGCCCCAAGATTAACTATGGACTCTTCAAGCTGAAGGACAAAGAGTACGCTGTGGTCACCAAGCGTGCTGCCTGGAACATGGCTTTCCAGGGCCACTTCTTCGGCGAGAAGTTCCCCAAGACTCAAGACGAACTTCCACAAGTTCTTGAGGCACCGGGTTCTGCCTTCGTTGGAACCCTGGTCAACGCTCCCCTTTCTTTCCACACCGAGGGTATCCGCATTCTGCCCATGGAGAGTGTTTCAGCCTCCAAGGGTACTGGTGTTGTCAGCTGTGTGCCCTCCGACAGCCCCGATGATTACGCAACTATCATGGATCTGGCCAAGAAGGCTGAATACTACGGCATTAAGAAGGAATGGGCTGAGCTGGAGATTTTCCCCCTTATCGAAACCCCCACCTACGGCAACCTGACCGCCGCTGCTTTGGTCAAAGAATTGAAGATCAACTCTCCCAAGGACGCCGTTCTTCTTGCTAAGGCCAAGGAGCTGGCCTATATGGAAGGATTCTACAAGGGTACCATGCTGGTTGGCGAGTTCAAGGGTGAGTCAGTCCAAGAAGCCAAGGACAAGGTCCGCCAGGCTCTTTACGCCAGTGGCGATGCTTTCCCCTTCGCGGACCCCATGGGCAAGGTTGTCAGCCGTAGTGGTGACGACTGTGTCGTTGCCTACCTGGGACAGTGGTTCCTGAACTACGGCGAGAACGATGCCGAGTGGCAGCAGGAGACCCTGAACCACGTTGTCAACAACCTCAACACCTACTCCGCCGAGTGCAAGAATGGATTCGAGAAGAACCTGTCATGGCTGAACCGCTGGGCTTGTGCCCGAACCTACGGCCTTGGGTCTCAGCTGCCATGGGACAAGCAGTTCCTGGTCGAGAGTCTGAGTGACAGTACCGTGTACATGGCCTACTACACCATTGCCCACCTCCTACACGGTGATCGCTACGGTAAGACCACTGGTTCCCTGAAGATCACCGCAGACCAAATGACCGATGAGGTCTGGGACTACGTCTTTACCCGCCGCGAGATCAGCGACGAGCTTGTCTCCAAGAGCGGTATCAGCAAGGAATCTCTGCAGCAAATGCGCCGCGAGTTCGAATACTGGTACCCTCTGGATGTCCGTGTTTCCGGCAAGGACTTGATCCAAAACCATTTGACTTTCTTCCTGTACATCCACATTGCTCTCTTCCCCAAGGAGTACTGGCCCCGTGGTGTCCGTGCCAATGGTCACTTGCTCCTCAACGGTGAGAAGATGAGTAAGAGTACCGGTAACTTCCTGACTCTTAAGGATGCCGTCGACAAGTTCGGCGCTGACGCTACCCGTATTGCATTTGCTGATGCTGGTGACAGCATTGAGGATGCTAACTTTGAAGAGAGCGTCGCCAACAGCAACATTCTGCGTCTCTACACCCTGAAGGAGTGGATCGAGGAGATCGTCAAGGACGAGACTCTTCGTACCGGTGCTGCCGATGCCTTCGCTGACAAGCTCTTCAACAATGAGCTTAGCGGTCTGGTCCGCGAGACCCACAAGCACTACCAGGACACTAACTTCAAGCTTGCTCTGAAGTCTGGCCTGTACGACTTCACCAGTGCCCGTGACAGCTACCGTGAGGCTGCCACTGCTGCTGGCGTTGGCATGCATCGCGATACAGTCCTGCGCTACATCGAGCTGCAGGTCCTCATGCTTGCTCCCATCATTCCCCACTGGGCTGAACACATCTGGCTCACGGTCCTCAAGAAGTCCGAGTCTATTCACTTCGCCCAGTTCCCCACCGTGCCCGAGCCTTCGCACGAGCTGACCGCCGCTCAAAACTACGTCCGTGGCACCGCAAGCAACATCATGGGTTCAGAGGCCAACTTCGCCAAGAAGCTCTCCAAGGGCAAGGCCGCGACCTTTGATCCCCGCAAGCCCAAGAAGCTTACCATTTACGTTGCCAAGAAGTTCCCCGCCTGGCAGGAGAAGTACATTGATTTAGTGCGCGATGCCTTCGACGCGCTTACCATCTCTTTCGACGACAAGGAGCTCAACTCCAAGGTTGGCAAGCTCGGTGAAATGAAGAAGGCCATGCCCTTCGTCCAGACCCTGAAGCGCCGCCTGGTTAATGGCCGGGAAGCTCCTGAAAACGTCTTCGAACGCAAGCTTCCCTTCGACGAGTTTGCCGTTATCGCCGAGATGGTGGTTGGTCTCAAGCGCACTGGTGGCTTCCGAGAAATCGATGTCATTGCTGTTGATGAGGGTGGCAAGACTGGTGAGGTTGTTGGCACTGGTGAGAAGCGCGAGGGTCTGTCGGCTGAGAACGCAGTGCCTGGACAACCCACATTCCAGTTCACCAACGTCGAGTAGATACCATTTATCGTGGTTCGATGTCACTTTGAAAAATAAAGCCTCCGTCTACTAGTTTAAGGTTCATGCTTGATGAATTTATGCGAAAATAAAAAAATACAGCATACAACACTTCCTCTCTTACTCTAAACCTAGTATTATGCAAGTCTAATGTCACTAGTCCTTAGCCCTAATTGCATCCTCCTTGAAAATTTCCTTGAAAGTCCAATAATTATACTACACTCGCCTTCAAAACGCCCATCAACCTATCAGGAAAAACACCAAATTTATCAGCCAAGTCGATCAACAATGAAGCAACCCCAACACTCACCTCTTCAGACCTTCCTTCAAGGTCTCTTCATCCTGCGAGAAAACCAACCGAAACCATCCAACATCAGTTGAATGCTCTTCACCAGGATGCAAAAAGATACCAGCATCAAGAAGTTTTTGTGCAAGAACAAATTCCCGCTCTCTGGGAGAAACATCCTCGGAGGGAAGATATGGCGATAAATCAATGTACACAAAGAAGCCCGCATTCCTGATCAATTTAATTATTTGTTTAAACCATTGCTTGTTTGGTACTCACCCGCCCTTGATGTAGTTGATACCTTCCTTGTCTAGTATCGATGTTGTAAGCCGGTATGCCGAAGCGAGACTCTCCCGTGCTTTCATTGTAAAGCTTGATACGAAGGCTTGGTCTTTGAGAATTGCTGTGCCAATTTCTACGGCTGCTTGTGATGCGCCGTGGAGTCTCCTTTGTATGGTTAGTTGGTTAGAAATGGACTAGAAGTCATGGATAATGTATGATATGTAAGAGAGTAATCTTACAGAATTGCTTTGCATGCCTGTCGCAGTTGGTGGTTCTGTGTCACTAGGAATCCAAGGTGAAGACCCCCTGATGCGAAGTCCTATACGAAATATATGTTTAATTCAAGTAGCTTCGTTGGGGTTTTCTGGTCCATACCTTGCTGAAGCCATATAAAACATGAACGAAATTTGGGTCTATCAAACCCGAAAAATCAAGGGACATGATAGACGTAAACGGTACGGCTTCAGGATCACCCGTATCAAAGACGCAAGAAGCATAGACCTCATCACTGATCAAGTGGAGAGCATGTTTTTCGCAGAACTGGGCAATAGCCTTGAGCGTCTCGGCTGGATAACACCGACCTAATCCCAACCGATTAATTCGATTTGATCCAAAATGTCACTCATTACATACTCACCAACAGGATTATGCGGGTTAACAAGCAACACCGCCCGAACCTCCACCCCACGCTTCCTCGCAGCAGCCAAGGCAAGCTCATACTTTTCCACCGAAGCAGGGGCAAACGCCTCCTCTGTTGCAGTATCCGCATAGACCATCTCAACACCCGCTTCGACACCGTAGTCGAGCTCAAAGCGACCGTATACAGGCCTATTAACAAGGATTCCATCGCCCCGCTCTGCAAGGCTATATCCGAGCATACTGCCCAAAGAGGTTGGAGAGTCTGCGACGACTATCTGCTCGGAGTTAATTGGAGCATGTGGGCTAAGGATCTTGTTTAAATGAGCTGCTGCTGCGACCGGTAATGTTGCTGCTGTTGGTGCACTTGAGCGGTAGCTGATAGCATCTTGTGTGAAAGTGACCTATAAGAGGTGTCAGGTATTTCTTGCTTGTATATGTATGGAACAGGAGGCTGCTGTATAGACCTTTTCATTGATATATTTGGCGATCTCGGCTTTCATTGGTTTCTGACTGGGATTAGCCCTTGATTTTGAAATATTTAGGAGGAGAAATACTTACATTCTCCGCCATGCCAAATGAGATCAGTCCTGTTGGGTTTGTTTCTCGGTCGTATGTCTGAGTGGGAGCAAAGCGCCATGGCACATCAAGCTCCTTGACGTTTTTTAGTCCTCGGGTGGATAACATTGTCAGATATTGAAGTAGGTGAATATTTTAACAAGAGAAACGAGGAAGTATTCAAGATTAGAGAAGTTGAAATGAGGTCAAGAGTCAATTTCAAGTCGAAAGTTTAATTGCATGTCGCCATGTGCGGGGACCCCTCGAGCATATTTGAGTAACATATTACTTATATAGTATAACATATAAACATAATAATACATCTGGTGAACCTATTTGATAGTACAAATCCAAACAATCAGAGAGGAGAAACGCCAAATCGCTATGCCCAATGGCCTAATGTACAGGCTCAAAAACTTGCCCAAATCACATCAAGATCTCGAGCCCGGTCGCTTACGCTTGTCAAGTCTCTGCTTATCCGCAATGAAATTCCAACATTCGATCGGACGTCGCGATCCAACATGTTTGCCATTAGGGCTGAAAACCTCGACTTGAGGGTACGAATGCTCTTCTTCAGTGCTCCGCTTGGTGCGGATCTGGATACTGATCTCAATCCAACCACATCCTTCGATGAGAATATCTGCCGACATGACTCGATATGGCAAATTGGGAATTGGAACACCTCTGTCCTTCACAGCCTTGGCGAGCGTTATAGGCAGATTCGATGAAGTGGTATCCCACTTCAAGTCGAACTTGCCCGCCGAGGACATTTCGCTTCCGACGCCCTCTTTCATTATCACAGTTCCCGGACACTGTCGCTCTTCGGCTTGCATCTCAATCGCCTTCGGCGTGTTGGTAATATGAGATTCAAGAGGCAGGAAACTGGCTGCCATGACCGTGTCTTCAGGGTTCACAGGAGTGATCCGAATAAGACCGCCACCCAGCAGAAGTGACTGTCCCGGCTTGATGGTGCAGCGTTCCGGCTTGACTCGTTTCGTCATGATCAGATCGCGCTTGTGCTCATCTTTAACGAAGTCTTCCAAAAGACCACGCTCCAGACCTGGCAAGTCGATGACCTCTCCCTTTCCTCGACCGAAGGGAATGCGAATGGGCGAAACCGTTGTGCCTGGCAGGGAAGAAACAACTGGGAGCACAGGGTAGAGGTCTTCAGGAGGGGCAGGGGGTAGGAGACTGTTAGGGTCATGACGTGCTGTTCGTCGGTTTTGGGTATTTTGCTTTTGACGACGCTCCATCCATTCTTCAACATCCTCGAGATTTCTGGAATCCTTGGGGAAACAGGCTTCAATGAAACTGCTCTTTCCAACATTGGCCTTGCCAACAACCCAGATACCACCGCCATGTTCACGGATCTCTTCCTTGACTTCCTTCGTCCACCAGCCACGGTGTGCGCTGATCATATGTACGTTTCCCAGACGGAAATCTCTGTTTGATCTTCCCAAAGCAGCTCGGAGCTCCGTGAGGATATACTGCATCTTCGAATCAACTTGCTCCTTTGTCGCCGCCAATAGGTCAGATCGGGTGATAATAAAGGAGATAGTTGGAAGTTTCCGTCCACGTAGAAATTTCTCGGTCGGAGCCCGTCGGTTTTTCGAACGTTGCTGCTGGAGCATGAGAGACCAATGAATCCCCTCAATGAGAGACATCGGGAAATCAGCCGCATCAATGATATGATAAACACGGTTCCACTTGTACGGTGATTCTTCCAGGTAGTTTCGTATTGATAGAATTGTGGGCTTGGGAGAATCCACTGCTTTGTTGTGGTGTATTAAGTCATGACAGCGGTCGCAGACATGAGTAATTCGGTCTCTGGACGACCCAGTGAAATTGTCTTCGGGTTCGACAGCATCGTCCGGGAAAGCCGCATCTCGAATGGGCTTGGGCGGCACCGCCTCATCGATGAGATCGTCTGGAAAAGCCTCGTCTAAATCGATTTTGGGCGTTGTTCCGTTTATCGCGGACAGCAGCTTTCGGGTTTGCTTTCGTGATGGTTTGTAGTATCCCGGTTCGTTTTCCTCGACGGTTTGTGAGAATGCACCACAACCCGGACAGCATACAGGCAGAAGATTGGCTAACGGTTCGAGCGGAGGCTGTTCACATTGAAAAGGAGTTGCTGAAAAGCAACGGGATTGGCTGTGGAGCTTTGGAAAGACATTGTTTTGCGGCGTGATGCGAGATCGTAACGACAGGCTTTGAGTTGAAAAGCGAGCGACAGGGTTTAAGGCCAGGCCCAACAAATTCAACTTCGTGTTTCTGAGTATCGCGCCTCGGGAACAAAGTGACATGGTGGGCGTACAGTGGCAGGTTTGCGGAGTCCCTAAGCTTTTTTCGCAGATACGGTCGTTATCGATAGCGCCCATGGCACAATCGGGCCACCGTACGAGAACAATGCGAACAATGCGATTCCATGGTTGATTTGACTACGATTTTACGCGATAATAGAAGGAGTTTGTTCGAATTATGAAATTTTATTGCTTGAACCCTCTCGCCGGAGGTTGAGCTATTGGACAAAAAATGCGCTGAAACCCCAAAGCGCTAGAAAAACCCAGAATATCCATAAGAGAAGAAGAAACGCCGTCGTTAAACCATTCCCTGATTGTCGAATGTAGACATTTTGTACAAGCTCAAGCACGAGCCTTTCCTTTGCCCTTGGTAGATTGATCCATGCTTTCATCTTCGGAATCGCTCATAAATTCGTCATCATCATCAAAGCCAATGAACTTCCGAGGGGCGGCCTTTTGAGACACAGAGGGCCCAGCGGCACTTGAAGACTTTCCATTCCCTTCGATTTCTTCATCTTCGCTGGATGAATCATCGACCTCGCTGCCTTCATCGCTGGCGCTAGTACTAGATCCACCCAGGATCGCGTCGCGGAGATTGTCTGTCCATGCGCCGTCCTTCATAGCCTGCAGAACCGCCTCACGGGCCTTCTCGCTCATCTCCTCCTTGTCTTCCATCCACTGTCCATCAACCTTTCCCTTTCCGGTGCCGTTCTTAATTTCATCCTGACGCTTTTCGGCGATTTCCACAACAGACTCCCATCGGCGTTGGCGCTCTTCTTTTTCCTTCTTGTCCATTTCAGGTTTAACAGCGAGATATTCAGCAAGTGCCTTCGCTTCATTGACGGTGCGTAGGCGGCGGCCGTCGAGGTTGCGGCTAGAGCTATTGTTGTCGCCCTGATTGCGCTTACGCTTGCTGGACATGCGGCCACCAGCGGCACGTAGTTGAGACCCAAAACCACCCTTACCACCGCACATTTGGGCGCTCAGACGTAGCGGAAGGAGGGTAGAGGTAGAGACGCCACCGGAGGTGGAAAGGAGTGAGCGGACACATTCCGGAGAGGGTGTAAGCTGTTTATTGTTTGTTGTAGTCAATACCAGGGACCGAAGCGATATAGATGTCGGGAGATATGAGGCGATTTTGTCGGTGAGGTCTGAGATGCTCGCCGTCGACGGCAAAGCGAATGAAAGAGTCGCCGGGAGCGAAAGTCCCGGGAAAGACTCCAGGAGAACATTAACGTTGGAGGAAGCCATGGTGAGAGTATGTTGTGGCAATACTTTGATATAATCTCAGAATGCGGGAAGTTTCCGAGGTTGAAGGCAGTTGTAGAGGAAGTGCCAGCAGTCAAGACTTCAAGGTTGGACGATCATTTGCGATAAGATTATCACGTGAGCGGCATTATGTGGCAGAGATCAAACACGTGATTTGTTGGCTACTGCATGATGACATAATAGTAAATAAAGTCACGGGGCTGCAAGTAAGGTCACCTGACCTGTACCACAATTTGCGATTAGGGCTATCAACCCTACATTCCCAAAATGGATCATCGCACTTTTCTCGCTGCGAAGCTCCACTTTCAGTCCATCATTTAAATCTACCATATTTTCGGGCGTTGTCAAAGCGATTCCCCGAATTGCAACAGGAACTCGCGACAATGTACGTTGGCCCCTTATTCTTGCTATCACATTCAAACAGATTCACTGACAATGGCCCAGGCTTATCCCCAAGGACGACCGCAAGAAGATCCACGAGTACCTCTTCCGTGGTATGTACTGAGAACCCTTGTCGGCGCAGCACAGTTTTGCGCCATTGCGCTCGCCAAATAATTATACAGATAACTAATTACCTTGCAGAGGGTGTGCTCGTGGCCAAGAAGGACTACAACCTTCCCAAGCACGCTGACATTGACACCAAGAACCTCTATGTCATCAAGGCCCTCCAGTCCCTGGACTCCCGCGGCTTCGTCAAGACCCAGTTCTCGTGGCAGTACTACTACTACACCCTCACCCCCGAGGTACGATTCATACCTGTCTGATGCTTCCAATAATATAATGCTAATTCAACAACAGGGTCTGGACTACCTCCGTGAGTGGCTCCACCTCCCCGCTGAGGTTGTCCCCGCCACCCACATCAAGCAGCAGCGTTCCCACGCTCCCCCCGCGGCATGATGGGTGGTGAGGAGCAGCGCGGTGAGCGTCGCGGTCCCCGCGCTCCCCGTGAGGGCGGTTACCGCCGCCGCGAGGAGGGTGGCAAGGAGGGCGGTGCCCCCGGCGAGTTCGCTCCCTCTTTCCGTGGTGGCTTCGGCCGTGGCCGCGGTGCCGCTCCCCAGCAGTAAATGCTGAGAGGCATTGGTGTCCTGTCAACCACTTCTCGGTCATCCTAGGGCTCTCTTGACGTTCCCGGGCTTCTGTGCGGATTAGATTTCGAAACGGGCTGGAATCGGGGCGTCTAGATCCCGCCCAGTTTTATTGGGGCTTGGGGATACAGGAAACAAAAAAAAATAAAGAAATCTATGTTTCCACGGTTTCATGATCAGTTTGATTCAATTCGAAGTAGACCACGTAGTCTGCGTAGACGTTGTATTGTTCCTGGACTATCATGTTCTCCTGCTCACTAAATACAATGGGCTTTCTCCGGGCCATATCATGCGAATCTCTTCCGGTCATAACGAACCACAGCCTGCAGAATGACCGATACCCCAGTAGCGCAATCATCAGCGGTGGAGAATTCCTCAGGGTGATGGCTGAGACCGTCCTTGCATGGGATAAAGATCATGCTTGTCGGGACACGCTTCGAAGTGAAAACACTGTCATGACCAGCACCACTCATAATGGGCCGTACCAGTGATTTCGGGTCAGCAACAGGCGCATCAGCAACAACTGCATGTGCCGACTCCTGCACGCAATCAATACAATCTTTATGGAACTTGACAGCAGGCGAGTCGAAATCAAGAGTCCACTCAACACGGCAAGGCTTGCCAATACCAGCCCCCTCAGCGGCAGCGATGGCATCGAAATCCGCGCGCAACTCCTTCTCAACTTCGGCAACTTGCTCTGTTTCCGGTCCACGGATGTCCAGACTAAAACTCACAAGCCCAGGGACGGTGTTAACACTGCCAGGCTTTGCCTCGACAATGCCTACACTGGCTAGACACCCCTTCGCAGCTGCAACTTCGCGCGCTCGCACCATCATCCGAGCGAATGCGTACAGCGCGTCTGCTCGGTGCTCGAAAGCTGTGGTTCCAGTGTGCGTGTCTCGTCCGATGATATTAAGTCTAAACCATCTATAGGCCTGCACGGCTGTCACGACTCCGACCCGCTGGCCTGCGGACACCAGGTGTGGGCCTTGCTCGATATGAAGCTCGAAATGAGCTGCCATCGGAGACGATTTGTACGAGCACGGAACTTCCCCCAGATAGTCGATCTTCTGCAGAGCACTCTTCATGGTCTCTGGTGCGGATGCTGCGGTCGGTAGCGAGGCTACAGTTGGTACCTCTTTAAGACCATGAGCATGTGCTAATGGTATGCACTCGGCCCATACACCGCTCGAAATCATACTTACGGGGAACCTAGCGCCCTCCTCGCTGGAAATTGTCAGCAAGAATCTTCCTCGTGTCAAATTTGCGAACTTACTTCGTCCAGTTCACAACCCCAACCCCTCCCTCTGTCTCCAACCCCATGTCATTCATGGTTTTGAGAACTTCGATTCCTGCAAGCACACCCAAGATACCGTCATATCGCCCACCAGTCGGTTGCGTGTCGAGGTGACTTCCGATGAAGGTGGCGGGTACGTCTGCTCTCCGACCTGGACGAACAGCAAAGATATTACCCATCTCATCTACAGTAACATTGCATTTGAGATCTTTGGTTGTTTGAATGAACCAATCCCGGACGCTCTTATCCTCCTCTGATAACGCTAGACGCTGCATACCCGTATCTGTAGGATTACTATTGATCGACATTATGATTAACGATGTCCCAAGAAAAAGGAAATATATAGCTTACTCTCCCCATCTGATGCCATATCCCCACTGGCACGAGTGGTGAAGATCAGTAGCCAGACGTTCCTTGTTGGCTCTGAGGGCCGAGACCTCAGCTTCTGAAAGCTCCGTTGTGAACATGGCTTGTATTCTCGATGTGGAGAATGGTCGGGTGAACTTGACGGGGTGTATGTATAATCTTGGTAAGATGTTTCTCGAAACCCGAGGCCACAGCATAATGCGAGATTGGGATTTGCTTTATACCTGAGATTGGAGCTGTTGGAGCATTGATAAGAAGTGGAGTGTCGGACAAATGTCCGCGATAGTCTGCCGAGTAGTATATTTCCCCCGCAAAGACGTCGGCAAAAACTTTAGAGCACTACAATCAATGATAATTTAATGGCGCTGATTTATGACAATTATGTTCAACTACCTCGTAATAACATTAAATGGATTTAGAGAATCTTGACCACTTGAACATAAATATTAACTCGATCGCTAAAATCCTCCATTGTCATTTACTCGTACCACCATTCATATCCTTAGGGGAATATCTCTCACACCAGAGCCATATCCTTCGGGAGGTTGGTGTATTTCTATTCAAACTAATCTAGAGTGGCCTAGTTGGCCTTTTGAACCGTGTCATAGGTAGCTAGGAGGTGATCCTTATTCTGCTCGACATAGAAGGCACGGAAAACGTTTCGAGCGGTACTGCATTGTGATTCTCTGTGCTGGGTAGTGTCGACCTTGTCCAGTAGTTTTGAATTGTCATTTTTGAATTGAAATTGTATAAGTGTAGATTAGATGAGAGATGGATCGAGTCGAGGATGGCAGATTTTGTAGCGTCACAGTGGAAATCTGTTGTGTTTCAAAAAAATGTTCGGAATTGGACCAGCGAGGTTTCTCTTTACCTAGGGTGAAGCCACGTTGGATACGTGAGATGGCGTCTACCATTTGAGATCTATCAACTTTTCGCACTTCACTTGTCATATTTCCATAATATACATGTGTACTCCGTACGTACGGAGCTAAATCCAAATTTGCATAACTTTCTTCTGCTTTCACAAAACCCCCAAATTGGGTGCTCAACGTCCAGATCCACCAAATAGTGTATGCATAGCTCTCCATCTTCACTTATTTCCCACTCAACATGGGTCCCCAGCGGCTCTAGTGGTTCCCACTGTTACCGCTGTTCCTCGTGTTGACCCATTACCAGCTTGTAGAGAAACATGCCATATTCCTTCTCACGCTGACCAATTACCACCTCGTGGCAATGAGAAAGGTCATCTTCCTGGGCCCACAAGGCACTGTTGTACCTTTTGCGTGAGAGGTTCCTTTTTCAAGGCTGTCAGGTATTGGGCGATGGAGAGGAGGGGTAGTCTTCGTTTTTAAGCTGGACATTAAAAACATATTGAGCGGGATTGCTTTGTGATGGTGTGTGCTGAGCAACGTTGACCTTACACCAAAAGACACAAGCGCGTTGTAGCCGTGGCTTTATACGAAGGCCTTCCAACGTTAGTGGAATTGACATATCAATATTTGAACGCCGAATCAGGTTAGTTCTGCTGTAACAAAAACGCGACCTACAAACGGAAAAGGAGGGCCATCGACCAAATAAAAGGTGTGCGGGTGTAGGAAGTGACATAATATTATTGGAAAACATAGGATTGAGATTCAGCTCAAGATCTACTGACAGTATTATACTTCCCTACTCATCTATATTGTAACATCTTCGACAGCCTGACTGTAGATCCATCTTAGGGCACGGGTATCCACACGATCGTCATGCACTCAAGAACCAGGATCTGACAAGGATTCAGAACAAAAGAACTTCACAATAATCAAATGATTTTTCCCAATCAAACCAATTACACCCTCTCAGACCCTATACAAACAGAAAAAAAAGAAGCCCAATACCCCTGAAAGCGGCAACAAAGTGCGCAGTTTGGTTCCAGTCACGTGCATTTCGCCTCCTCCTCAACCACTGGTTGAAGGCCAATTTTTTCTCTGAGAGGCAAATACCCAAGCCCGCATATATCTATTCGACATCCAATCTGCAAGATCCCGACTCTCCCAATCGCGGCGATACCCAGGCACGGATCCAGGCCAAACAACCCCCATCGCCCGCAATCCGCACTCGCCCAACGAAAGCGCTTGAAGCACCAGCACTAGCACCGGCACCATGTTCGAAGACTTCTCATTCTCATCGCCCTCCTCGCGCCCAACAAGACTAGCCCTCGACCCAGAAGAGCGCCTGATGGTCGACAATGACAGTCTAATCTCCCCGCTCTCTTCACGCTGTCCCTCGCCGCAATCGCGCTTCCGCCGCCGCCGCACCCAACCGCCAACATCAGTCCCCTACCCGTACGAGGCACACGCCCAAACTAAAAACCACAACCGCCTCTCCATCTCAACCCTCACCCAAAAACTCCACGAACACACCCTCTCCCCTCACGCATCACACCCAAACCCCATTGCACCACCCCGCACAGGCTACGTCCTCACCCCGCCCGACACAGACCACGACGACGATCTCTCTCTCTCATCGGCCTCAGCGTCTAGCCCGACCTTTCCAGATGCCGACGCGGACTTCGGCCTCGCACCGCCGCCAGACATTCGCTCACAGAGACAGCATATCTCGCGGATGCAGTGCAACGAGAGTTCCGTAGAAGCGATGCGGAGTCTACTGGAAGAAGACGAAGACGAGTGCCATCCTAGTTCATTGCCTGTGCGGGCGTCGCCGAGACGGAGGCTTGCGAGGAGTCGGTTTGGGCCTGAGGAGAGGCGGAGGAAGAGTTCTGCGGGGGTTTTGGCTAGTCGGGTTGAGAAGGGGAGTGGGCATCATGGTGGGCATGGACATCATGCGAATGCTTTTGGGAAGAGGGATGGAGTTGGGTTGAGGAGGAAGAGTCTAGTTAGTGCTGCTTTGGCTTCGATGGTTGAGCGGGATGATTAGCTTTTAGCGTTTTGGGGGGGGTTGCACATAGTTAGGTTGGTGTTGTTGATACCCTGGAAAATATATTTCTTGCATTTTCTACGCAAACGGGCTTTTTTTAAGGTTATATGCATGCGTTGTATGCTTATATGCAAGTCTTATATGCATGAAGGAATTACATATCAACAAATGACTACTCTGCCCATTGGCATTAGGGCTAGTGTCTAGGTTGCGGTGGTAGATATAGTAACCAATGAAAGAACCCCAAAATTGACATTCGTCAAGTGTAATTGTAAATTTGGATACAAGTCGAGTCTCAGACTCGGATAGTAATAAAAAAAGATAAGTAAAAACAACAAGGAAGAAGAAAAATAAGGAAAATAAGAAAAAAATAGAAAAAAAAATAGAAAAAAATAAAAAGAAGAAGAAGAATAAGAAGGAGGAGAAAAAGTAAACCAGAACAAAAGAAAGAATCCAGTTCTCCACCAACACCAAATCGCCATGCTAAAAACAGAACCCTCAAGATCCCATTCAATCATGCAGTCATTCCGGTTCCCAGAACCAGTCAAACACCCCAATCACTACCAAGCCCAAGATCCAGAATCAAGACAGTCTAAGTCAGTTTCCAGACCTCCAACTAAAGAATTTCTTCAACCCCTTCCTCTGCGCCTTCCTCTCGCCCCTCAACTCGCGCTCGCGGCCGCGCTGCAACTCATCAAGAGCACGCGCAGGACTGCCCCTCAGTCCCATGTTCTCTGCGTTCGCAGCGGCAAGCACAGATTGCACGTGCGGGTCGAAGTAGACCGGGTCGTAGGGGTCGTAGTAGTGTTTCGAGAATGTGTCGAGGGAGGGCGAAGTGATGGGTGTTGAGAGGGGTGTTTCGTGCGGCGTGGCGGGCTCCTGGTATTGGCTGTGGCTGTGGTGGTGTTCGTAGGGCGTTGCTGGTTGTTGGTCTTCGTAGGTGTCTGTGTCTGGTTGGGAGTCTTCCATTTCGAAGAAAATGCCTCTATCGCGCTCGTCGACTTGGGCCCATTCGCCGTTTGCATAGACTGGTGAGCCGGGCTCGCCGATTTCGCTTTCGGAGTAGAAGTCTTGCGTTGAGGGTGTTGAAGGGCGCCGGGAGTGCGTGTGGCTGTGGGAGAGGGCTGGTGGGGTTGATTCTTCTCTGATGGAGGTCATGGGGGTTTGGGGGTCGTAGTCGTTATTGTCCGTAAGGTCATGGTCGTGGTCGTTTTGTACAGGTCTGCTCCAGTACTTGAAGGATTGTTCGTTGAGGGAGAAGTCTGAGAGCGAGCGAATACGATCGCGGATCCCCGGCGACGATGAGGGAATGTCAGTCGCTTTGGGAGTAGATGGCTCGTCTGGGAGAGAGGTGTATAGCGAGTTTGTCGAGTAGAAAGATGGCAGTGAGACATCAGTGTATTGGGACAAGGACACCCGGTCCAGGCCTTGTTCGAGGGAGAAGGTTGAGTCTCGGTTGTCTAACATGGAGCAGCTGTCGACGTCTTCGATGTATGAGACTATGCGGGCTAGATCCAGCGACTTGCGCGGATTCAGGATCTCAAAGCAGGCGCCACCGTGTGAGACGGTGGCAACGGCCTGCGTACTGGCCAGCATTGAGTCTGATACTTCGTTCGCACGAGCTTCAGCTTGTGCTTGGTTTTTCTTTTGGAGTTTTTCACGGAAGGTATTCTGGATTTGTTAGCGGGCTGGTACTCCTGTGATGTCTCAGTTTACTCACCAATCGCTTCCTATTCGGCCTCGCACGAGTGCCGTTTTCCGAGACAAGAGTTACTCGTGGGCTTTGAGGAACTCGTGGGCTTTGAGGAACTCGTGGGCTTTGAGGAACTCGTGGGCTTTGAGGCTGGTAACGAACTATTGAAAAGGTTAATCAAAGTTCCAGATCTGAAAGTCAATTGAGAAAGGGAAAGCTTACCGGTTTGAGCTTCCCGGATCTCAGGCTCTTCACTCCACTGGGAGATGATGCTGTGTGAATACGAAGGAGACAGCGGCGGAGGACTCGAGGCCGCAGAAGACACAGAGACAGGATAAGAGATGTCGAGGGCAGGTGGACGATTCAAATGCAACGCGGCAGTCTTTCGCTTCAATTTCCTACCTGCATGATCGACGGGATCATCGACGCGGTCTGCAGATTTGGAGAGAAATTTGCGGTAATCATGGAGGGAGAGGGAACCCGTGATACCAGAATGGATGGATCGAGGGGGAGAGACAAAGCGTCATCCGAAAACGGGTTGGAGGGAGGAGTACATGCATGAGTATATGCATGATCGTGGATCTCCAAACACCTATGGCAGAGGGGGCTGTCCAGCAGTTCACCTTGCCATACTCCATCGGTGGCAGAGTAAGTAAGATTATTCATGTTTACTCTGCAATTGCGCACATCACAGATTTCGTCCTTGGATTTATCTGTCCCAGTGTTGAAAGTCCTGCTTCTTTTTTATCTTTTGTTCCCTCTTGTTCTTTGCAATGTCCACTTTTTAGATTGTCGACATATCCGATGCAGGCGTAGATCGAACCCACTTCTCCACACTTAATTTGATTCGTCAGATTTGCGCTGCAAGGGATTGAGATAGGTTCGTACCCGTTAAGGAAGCGATAACATAGATCACAACCCAATGCAAGGAACGGAAGGGATTTTAAATTAAAACAACAATAGAGAAGAAGAAAAGAAAAAAAAACGGGACGAACGGAAGTGCCTACGGAAGTACCTGGCGATATCCACTCAAACCCACGTTATCCACATGGGATAACAAGAGTCTAGAGCCGAACCAGACAAGGCCAGGGACCAAAGCCGAGAATGACGAGAAAGCAGATTCAAGGGAATGTTAAAGAATTAGCCACAGAATCGAAAGAGAGGAGTCCAGACAGACCGAAGAGACAATGACCCACGGTTCGTCCACAATTATGTACGACTCATTAACGTCATCGTTAACTATGGGCAGAAAATTGAAAAGTCGGTGAACTGTTCACACGTAGTGAATATACTACGTTGTATGTCGTATACGAAAGGGTTGTATTGGGCTGATATTTGTTTATATCATCTACGGCGTACATATGTATATCATAATAAAAACAAATCATAAATAGAAGAATACCCATTGTCCCCCTAACAAACATCACCTGCATACAATCTCCAATCCACACCACACCATTGGCGATCTGGGGACATAAGGGCCTCTTTAGTGCGCCTCTAGTTGATCTTAGCGCACACCCTCCCGTTGACCAAAATTCACCCCTCCACCAATCACCTCCCCAAAATGCAATAATCCTCACGAACGCCTCAAACCAAGCAAAACCACTCGGCACACAGAACGAAGCCTTCGTCTTGAGTCCAGCCCCGAGTAAGGCAAATTCCTACCCAGCCGGTGGTGGCTTAGCTTGGTGATTGGTGGACTTGGTGTGGCGATGAAGAATTTTCTTTCTTCGCTCCCAGGTACAACGCGTGGACCACATCAGGGATTTCCTTCATTGGGTAAATGATTGCCTAGGGGAGCTTGGTGACTTGGTAGGGTGACAATGTATACGCATCATGACTATGACTTGGTTGTGCCCAATGTAAGGCTCGTCGGGCTGCTCCTGTTCTCCTTCTCTTTTGGGTATTCTCGTGGTTTATCTTCGTGGTTGTTCCCCGGTCGTGGTGAACTTTGAATCTTGGTACCTGATTATCGAGTTTCATCATTCATGATTCTTTGGTTGTGGGGGTTTGATTTGTATTAGGATTTAGTATTGGGGTGTAGTGGGATATTGACTTTGGGCTCGGCCCCCTTCATATTCCAAAGGGTGTGCGACCTGATCGACCTTCAAACTCAGCCCCATGCATTTCCAATTTCACATGCATGATTAAAATTAACGGTTTCCTGCCTGAGTTGGTACCCTGTACGTCCATGCAGTGGAGAACCTGTTCGGTTATGTTTATATCCGTGCGACCGAATGATTGTATAGGATCTGAGTTTGATGACCTCGGGACGATTGCTACCTACTATATACTACATATGTAGCGATCAATGGAGAATTCTTTATTAACAAATCCAGGACTTCCGAATCATGCACACAGATTTAACAAAAACATGCTCGGGGAGTATCAAAGTAAAACAAGGCAATTTAAGAGAATGCATCATGTGGTATCGAACTGAAGTGAAAGAAAAAAGAAACGAGATAACAAATAACAACGATAACAATATGTATGCAAGGGCCACTCAGTACCGTTTGTACTTCTGCACAAGGAGTCAGCACGCCATCTTCATGTCCAACCTGGGCTACTAGCCACGAGGAACAACGGAACCAGATTCTAGGAACACTTACATCTTCCATCTTCCGCCGATTACTCGGATCAAGCGAATTCCCCGCCCCAAGCAGTGTCTGCCCAACAGCCTTCGAAACCCCAATCGCAGGCCGAAGAATAACAGTCGGCGCCCTCCTCCAAACAGCCTTCGCAGCAGCCTTGGCACTCCCACTCTCAACAACCTCCCCCGGAACCGCAACGATAGCATCGCGCGCTAACAGCAGATCGCGCTCGAGACCACTATATGCGCCACGAAGGCCTTGCACCACACCCACAGGCTGGTCGGCATACAGCGAGACCTTCTTCGCTTCGTCTTCGTCATCCTCGTCATAGGGCGAAGGGGTCGTGAGGAGATCCTCGGCGCCTTGGAGGACGGTTTGTGTTCCGATGGCAAGTTTCGCGCCTAGCTTGACGAGCTCGTTGGAGGTTGTCTTGGCAAATGCTACGGCGCCTTTTTGGATGCTTCGTACGATCCGGCCGTCTTTTTTGTATTCGCGCATTGGAACGACGACGAGATCGCGGACGCCTCCGCCGACGTTGACGAGGGAGCGAATTGGCGCGAGACCGGCTAGGACGCCCGGGAGCTGGTTTTTTTTAACGTCTGGCATCCAGATGTCGTTGAGCGTTTGGCCTAGTCGGTCGAATCCGGAGACGCCGTAGATTATCACGTGGCGGAGGACCATGTCTGCCCCGTCGAGGACGAAGAAGTTCATAAACTCGGTTGTTCGGCCGGATCGGAGGCCTGCGTAATCGACTCGCTTGGGTTTGAAGTCTAGTTTCACTTGGATCGCATTAACCTCTACCCGTTGTAGGAAGGGAATATCGCCTGAGGTGCTGGATGGTTCGGCAGATTCATCTCGGAATTCGAAGAATCGGCTCATGAAGTCGAGGGCGTCTTGGTCAACGTGTAGACGGATAGGGAGTACGGTAGCCTGCAACAGAGTTAGATAAATCGACTTGTGAGCGTTTGATACGAACCTTCAGAACAATCTCTGATGCAGCTAGTTCGGGTACGGGCTTCACAGTCAGGACTTCAAGGTGGACCATGCTCGTTCCGCTTTCCTTCTCCCCAGCCTCGTGCATGTAGGTAGCGAACTTCTTCCATGTAGACGTCGGGACGTGGTCATAGATTTCCAGATCCTTGATGCGCACATCTAACGAGCTCTGCGTCTCTTCTGAACCGGGCGGAAAAAGAATCAAATCGGCGCAGACACCCTTCAATTCAAATGTCATCTTGTGCTGTTTGCTCCTATGCAAACGCAGCTTCTTCTCCCTCTTAGAAGAAGATCGGCCCTGGCGGCTGCCGGCTCCGGTCACCGTTGTGGAGGTCGCATAGCTCCCGGTCTCGCTGGTGAAATCATCAATGTCATGGTTAATCTCGCGGTGAAGTTCTCGCGGATCCTTGTTGGCCGGAATCCCGATGTAGATCGAGTTGAAAAGGAAGTCTCCAATGACGGATTCTTCATCATCTTCCACAGAAGGTGACACCCGTGAGCCCCTGGCACGTCGCTCAGTAGCTTTGGTCTCGACGTCCTTGACAGCTTTGGAGATAGTGTCGCGAGTGCGTTGCCAGTCATATCCATCGAACAGGTTCCAGATGAAATGCACGTCTCGCACTCTGACCCGAAGAGGACTCCGCTGTAGCTTCGTATCGTTGGTGAGACCGTAGGTGTTCTGAGTGGAATCCCACCGATGCGCAGTTCCACCCACGGCGGATTTCTTTGCGAAGTGATCCTCCTGGAAGTCCAATTCTGTCAGGCTGGAAGACACATGGTATTGTGAATGGAAGCTGTCCAGAAGATCATCGGAGCCTCCTGCGCCAAAGCCATCCCGTTTCGCAGAGAAGTCACTAACATACTCGAGCTCTTCGGTCAACTGGTCTTCAACGGACGATTCCTCGGCGATGGTTGACAAGTCATCATCGGCGGAAAGAGGAGAAGCGGCCGCGAAAGCATCTCCAGTGAAAGAGGCAAACATGTCTTGGAGAGGCATGACCTCAGTTCGATATTTGACATTGACGCTAGGCGGAGTCGGAGGCTGAAGTCCGTTCATGATACTGATGAGTGTCTGGGTTGAATCCGCGCAAGTCTCCAAAATCAACAGATCATCTCTGAGCTCGACATCCAGTGATTTTGTCCCGTCTTCGGCAACGGTCGCCAACTTAACACCAGCAGTTGCTGATGATATAGAGGAAACAGGAACATAACCTTGATCGATGTACGCCTGGACCTGGCTACTTTGAGCAACGGCCGAGTCACGTTGGTGCAAATTGTATGAACCCTCATTGAAGACGTCGTCGATGACCATTAGTGAAGCTTTCTTAATATCCAACGATGCTTCTGCAGATTCATCGTCATTCAAACTACCGGTAAATTTGGCATTGGTAAACACAGCGAGTCCTTTCGCTTGCGAATTGCGAGGATTAAGTCCAAGAACACAGTCTCTGAACACAACTGCCAGGTTGACTGGCTTCGCAGAAGAGCCGGATGAATCCGATTTCCCTGGTGAGCTTATCAATGGTGATGGCGCTGGATTTTCTGCTAAATTCGCGATGGAATTGGCCATGTTACTAGCCACATCTGCGCTCGTCGTGTCAATACCCAGTCCAAGGAAGGCTGCGATTGCCGGCACCGTGTACTCGACGAGAAGGCTATGCAATTTGATCTTGTAGGTCGGGTCCATCTCATCGGGGATGAACCGAGCCATGAGGACCGGCGGACTCGACTGGTCTGGGTCTTCATATTTGTCCGACGGCCACAAAGCATGCCCAATCAGCTTCTCATCTTTGTTTCGGTGTACAAAGATCTTCCCAATCTGAGCTGCGGTAAGCGAAGGCATGGTAATATGTGCAACTTCGACATCGGTAAGATGGGTGTTAATGTCCCCGACCTTCCCGCCAACGTGAACGTGTCCTTCAAGACCACGCACCAGCAGGAGGGTAAGAATCCCGGGCCGGTCATCTTCCGGTAGATACTTGGTGACGTTGGAGAGCCGGCTTAGCTCAACGCCAAGAGATGACAGGGGTTCTAATCCACCGATGTCTGAAACCAGCGTTTTCATGCTTGTCACAGTCACACGAAGAACCGATCCTTGCCGCCGCTGCCGCAGCAATGTGTCCAGCATGATATCATCTTCCTCTTCGTATTTGTCCTGGGAAGGAGTAATCAACGTCAAAAGACGGTCAAGATCAACCTCCTTGGGCGCAAAAAGGAACTCGAGGCGAATGTTCTCCAGAGTAACTTTTGCAGGTGTATCAACTGAATTGTCATCAAGTAAGAACGGTCCAACCAATTTCGCCTTGTCTACTTGAATGCCAATGCCTTCGAATCTGCTCACGACTTTGACAGCGGTCGTCGTAAGCTGAAGGCAATGGGTTTCTCCTATAACGTCCAAAAGTATGGCGCCAACCCGGGCGTTAATTTTCCACAGCATTGACTTGCCATTTGCCGTCTCGGTGACTGGAATGGGCGTCTCAAAATGCACCCCTCGCGGACGTTGCTTTGAAAAGGGTGGACTGCCTTTCACTGTTGACACGGACGACATTGAACTTCCAAGTTCGAGGATGGTACTCAGACCACCCATCCAGCCTAGGACCTCTTCCAGACGCTGGATATTGAGATTGACATGGAGAGGAAGCGTGGAGACCTCAACCTTGGCCAGGTCTGCAGATTTTACTAGAGAGATAGAGATATCTCCCTGTGAGGGGTTCATCATATCACGGGTAGATTCACGCATCCTCAATGTCTCATTAAATGAAATGAGATCTTCGGAAGCGAATCCAAATGTAAATTTGGAGACATCAAGATTTAAATTCGTCATCGAGCATTGCGTAGAAAGACGAACGTCCAGACCAGATACTGTGAGACGAAGGATTACATCCTCCATAGAGTACGGAGAAGACATGGACGACTCATCGTGTTTGGACGCATGAGCATGTCCTGGAACATGTTCAATGAATTTGACCGAAAGATCATGAACGACAAGATGAACAGGTGGTTGGCGCGAGGGCTGGTCCTTCGGCGATTGCTTCTCAGACAGATTTTTTTCAGCTGTGCCAAGAGCATGCAAAACCCTTTGTCCGATCTTGGTCAAAAGCCAACCAGTGGCGATGTCGAAATGGATGGAGACCAAAAATACTTCCACGGCGATTTCAGGTAATTCAGGACTAGTACTCGCCTGGGTTCGTGGCTCAGAAACAGCTCTCCCAAATCGAGTGGATGCATAAGCCCTAGAGGCAAGCAAGCTTTCTTCGGGCGCGTAATCTCCGAAGCCAGACGTAGACTCCTTCAGATCGATTTCTGTCTTTTCTCTTTCCGGTATTGACGGCTCTTGCATTGGTGCTTCGTCTTCCGAAGCTTGGGGTGGAACCCAAAGCAAGACCCGGGCGACCGACAGAACAGGTTTTCTAATTTCATTAGTTCCGGTAAGACCAGACGATAATGGTGTGGAAGGTCGGTCGCCGGGCAGATGCTGACATTTGGCTTGGTCGTCCAAAGTATACTGTTCAGCGGGGGGTTCTTTTGGTAAATCTGGAATTTTCGGCATCGTTTCGCCTTGCGCCTGAGCGGGCTCAGTATGATCAACACCTGCAGCCTTGGTACTGCCATTATCAGAAGAGCCTTTGTTATGTGAAGCGCCGTCAAAAGAACCCCATGCTCCAGGCATGTTTGGCGTGAAACTCGCATCAGGGCCCTGGCTGATAGCGCTCATGTAGAGGCTTTGCGCTTCGTCATGGGAGAAATATTTAGACTCAATAAGGTCAGAATGTGGGGTTTCTTCTTTTGAGCCTGGGCTTTCAGGTTCTGAAGGTGGGGGAGAAGAATGCAATGAAGCACTCCTCTGCAATAATTCATTATATTCGTTGTCATAGTAATTGCTGTGCTGTTGTTCAAGTTGCGTGGATTCATTAATTTCAGAGCCAATCTGGCTTTGGTGTGTTTCGAAGGCATTAGAGGCATGCAGGCTGCTTGATAGCGGTGGTTGCTGTTCAGGATATTCAGCATGATGGCTTTGGTTCAAAATTCCCGGACCAGACGAGTAATGACTTCTCCATCCACTTCCTGACAGCCGATCCTCTCTAGGCTGTAGCACTGGCGAATGCTCATTGAAGTCATCAAACTGAGCGTCAATCACCGAGTCTAGATATGCCGGATTGTCTTGGAATGGATCATCTCCAAACACCTGGGAATCTTCTAGATATCCTCCCGGATGGCTGCCGGACTCGGATTCCGCGTCTGAAAATCGGCCATCATGAGAAAATGCAGATTCTCCCAAGCCACGAGCGGTGGCACTAGAGTGGCCAAATTCTCGTGGTGGTTCTAATATCGTAGACTGAGTCATAGCGAGAGGGTCCTGATCAAATTGATCTGAAGGATCTGAAGGATCTGAATGGTCAGAGCGATAAGAGTTATTAGAGTTTTCAGAATGATCTAATAATGGAGCAGGTGAGGGTGTTCTGCTTGATGGCTGGCTACCTCTCGACCGCATGGTCGTCGTGGGAGACGCAGGAGTGGCGAACCGAGAGTAGTTTGAGAACACTGTCGGGTCCGAAATCAAACTAACACTGACATCGGTGATTGATACGAGTCGTTTCCCTTCTCGCAAGAGTGAACCCTCCCCAGAACCAACAGTTACCCCAGATACCCCATGTACATCGACTGCCCCAATACTAAGCTGAGCCGCAACCAGGTCCGGCTTATGTTCTGGTTGCCGTTTTGACGTTCCATCCTGTTTCAACTCCATATCCACACGCACAACGACATTCTTGACCTGGAGTTGAAAGCGATCCATGACGCCTTTCAAGAACCCAGCCACGAAGCTCGGTAGAGACAACGTTTCGGCCCCAAGGCCAAGCTCTTCATCATCATCATTGGCGCTCCAAGCTGAAGGATCGCGTGGCAGAACCTGAGATTGTGACGATATAGCAGCCTGTAGCTCTTCCCTTTCCTCCCTCGGCTCAGATTCAAGGAACGACTCCGCAAGACCTGACGGCGTGGGAACCGTGGGAGATTCGAGGCCATCGCTTTTCCGTTTTCCATGTTTGCTTTTCTTTGGTTCCTCCGGTAATAGTCGGGTGTGTACATCGATGCCGTCCGCCTCACAAACGATGCCGCTGCTGTGGAAGTCGGCCGGAAGGGTGACTCGAAGAAGGCGAACACGGGCACTAAGTAGCTGGCACGAAGCAGGTATGTTTAGGAGGGTCGATAATTTCTGTTCCATATGAAACTGTCAGCCTGCACCGCTCCATCTTCCACGATTGTTGATTTCGAGACGCCCCGCCCCCCGCAGGGGGATAACACTCCACTCACATCTAATTTCAAGCCAATATCTCTCAGCTCAACAACAGAGCGCTGGCCCCAACTGATGCCAAGGTTATCCAGATCTAACGCCTCCGTTTCGACGAGGCCCACGCGAGACAGGACATATTTGAGCAGTCGTTTCTGGAAAAACGACGGCATGAAATACGATGCCATTTCTGTGACTGGCCGGAAAAGGGCTCATATGCAGGCATGTATCATTGAAAGCAATCAAAGTGTAGAGAAAGCCAGCCCCGGCAAAGCGGAGTGGATGAGTCGTGAAGGGGAGAACGTTCAACGATGACGTTCCGGGCACCTGATAAAGGCGATAAGTGACCCGAGTCAGGCGCCGACGTTGACAACTCACCGTTTATTGACTAGTTTCCGATCACACCAGATTACAGTATTATTTTCTCATTGATTGGAGAGATTTTAGACAATCATTTTGAGATTATAGAAACTTCAACTGAATCATCGAAATACCTTTCAAAGTTGTTCTAGATTACGATATTTGATTCTATTCTGTTACCGCAGAGCCTCAATTATCATCATCAAATTCAGCAAATTCAAGCACAATCCATGCACAAAATTTCTCGAATTCTTGACCGAAATCACGAAGACGTTCAGCTTTCAATCCCTTCCCCTCAACACCATTCTGAATGCCTGCTTTCCACTCAGCAGGTGACTGATCTTCATAGCAGCTCCACCGAATGGAGTTCTGAGCCATCATCAATAGGCCAACCAAATCCACATTTTCTAATCCCTGCAAAGCCTGCCAGAAATCATGCGTCAACCCGTTCTTTCCATGCCCGAGGATAGCGGGGTCATCATTGCACAGTGAGACAGGGACACCTCTGGCCAATAACGCGGGCAATGGGTGGGATTTGATGGAGCTGGCAAGGCGGAGAACTTCGTTCGAAATTGGGCAGCATTCAATGAGAATTTTCTTGTCTTTGACCAGATCAATGAGCAAAGGATGCTTGTAGAGGGAGAACCCGTGGCCGATCCGGCGCGTACCCAGGAGGATAGCATCGAACAGATTCTGATCTGTCTCATCACCATCACCTAGACATTCTCCAGCGTGGAAAAAGAAGGGGATGTCCACTCCTTCCTCGGCACATTCCTTTCGGAACCATAACAGCACAGGAACAAGGTCGGCAAGTGTTCTTCCTAAATCCTCTTGTCCGACAAGATCAAATCCAGAGATTAGATGGGGGAATTCTTGCTTCGCTCTAATACAGTCCTTCATAGTTCCGACGAGGACTTTGTTGGAAAAGCGGCGGATCGCAGTCCAAATAATACGGAATCCATGGAAGTTCTTCCCTGCTTCTGTTTTTTTGAACTCCGCTAGCACGTCTTCCACCATGCGGAACCACGCAGAGACGTTTTTCTCCGCCTCATCGCACCCTTCTCTCCTGTATTCGAAGACGAATCCAATGCGGAATTCCACGTAACTAACTCCGTCCGATGCAAGTTGGCCTAGCATGCGATGGAGTCCAGCTCTAAAGATAGGCTCATACATCAAAAGGGAGTCAATGACAGGGAAAGTCTTTGTAAAGTAAGACCAGATCGCATCGACACCATGGTGGTGGTGATAAGAATGTTCTGGCAGAAGCACACATCGACTAGTCAGCCATTCCCGGAAGCCTTTCTCGCCTCCCTTGGGGAAAGAGGAGGCAGCCTTTTGGATTGAGATCAACGATGAAGCCTCATACGTTTCCGTCCAAATACTAGGCTTATCCTCTGATGCCTCTAGAGGCTGCGAGGAGTACCGAAACGACACGGGCGCCCACTCCCAGTCTGTTTCGGTGACCAGCGGCTTCGGTGCCGACATGTGTATGCCCGGCGTAGAGAATGCCTGATCGATCAAAAAGTCGATATCGAACATGGCATCCATATGAGCGTGGAGAAGAGACCCCTTGGGCATTTTCTCCACGATTTTCCATAGTTTGGTCTTCTCCATACGGCCTTTAGCTAGGTTGAACATAACGCCCGGGTAGAGAATCTCATCTGACTGGTGGGCAGCGGCATCGTCCAACCCGCTGGTCCACAGCTCCTGCTGTTCCTGGGCGCGGATCTGCGACACGATGTTCGCGGCCCGTGCGGCTATTGGAGATAGAGATTTGCGCAGGTTTGCATCTAAACCAACATTAGATCCATATATACAAGAGGTCTTATGGGGTCTTCTTGTGTGAAACAATACCATGACGTTGCTTTTCCTCTTGCGCGATCAGCGCAGCGCGTCCTTTCAAATATTGTTGGATGACGGGTTCCTCAAACTGAGGAATTCCCTCTTCCAATTCCCATTCATGATCGCTTTCCATGATAGAATTTAAAAATGGTTGTCAAGTAACGAGAGTCGCGGGGCAGACAAGGCAGTATCTCGCCCCGCCTTTTTATCCGTTTTCGTCTGTGCCTAGATTTGCTCATAATCTCACTTCATGGCAAATTTCAATTGGTTCCCCTTTTTGATACCAGAACTTCTTGGGGGGGTTGCCGTCTTTAACCGCAACCTTCGTACATGCTTTGTCATTTGGTACCCAGGAGCAGTCTTTCCGAAGTTGGCATGTCGTCGGCATGTCGTCGGTCTACATCAATTAGTTCCAAGATCTCCGTAATCTATATTGTCGATATAAGTTCGCTTATATGAAGAGTATAGGTTTTCTCTCAGATTAATCTCAGCGTCTTGATTTTCCGAAATAGGCATTTGCCGTCACTTATCGAAAAATATAAGAGCTTGGGGACCACCCCACGCCAATAGCACGAATCTTCTGCAAGAGCATTTACCTACCTACCTAGGTACCTAGGTAATCAAGCCTTTAACATACCTGTGGACAAAGTCAGCGATGAGTAATAAAAAACAGACAGTGCATGTGGTCTTATTTCCTTTATTTTCTTCTGATTCTTTGACAGTATGGACATATGAACGATCTGAAGTCGACAATGAAGGCGAACCTTGTCTATAACAAAGAGACTCGCATTGTATCCTCTTCTGGCGTATTTGCAAATTTTCTTGGTCATTACAGTGGCATTTTTGTCTTCCGGTCTCGATTTATGGACGATGTTCACCCAGTCTTTCTTCGGGTTTTTTTTAATTTCACCTGTTGTGATTGTGGCAGTAGATCGTTCCATTAAATATTTCAAACCTCTAAAATGTCTTGGGCTACTGTGAAAATCAATAAATACTTGAAAGTAATTGTAGAGGTGCTATCATTTGTTCATATTTCCTTCGAGATTATAGGAATGCAATGCAATGAAGCTATTACGTGTTTCGTGTTTAATGTGAAAGTATATAGCTTGAATGTTTGCATAAAAACATTAACCTGCGGTTTGAAATTGAGCTAAATATTTCTGGCGGTAAGAGAAACAAAAATGGTCTGTCCACTTGCTACACGAACACGCGAGTCATGGGGGCCTCGATCATGTGATCTCGGAACTTATGATCGAAGGAACAAATGAATAGGAATAGGAGCGGAGGAAAGAGACCTAGTTGATCATTTATCACTGGTTCTTTGGTCTACGCATTGTCTCATTATTGGATTTCCTTCGTCAGCTCTTGTAAGGCAGATATCTCCGCTTACTGCACTTTGCATCCATTCTTCCGACTATTTCCCTATAAAGTTTGCTAGGTCGCTGTGGGGGCCGGGGGATAGCAGTATATCGTACCGGAGTACAACTGACGCCTCAATGGGAAATCCTTTGAATATGTTTTGAACTGATAATCCCATTGGATAAAAACTTGATGCTAGCCTTGTATCTGAAATCGACTTGATGAGGCGTTTGAAATACACTATTGTACCGGTTGGATTTCCAATTCGGCCCCTTCGCTAGTTTGGACACCTGTTTTTTATCTGTGATATGTCTAAAGTGACATTTTTTAGAAAGAAAAAAAAGCAAACAAGATACCGAGTTTGACGCTCAACACATTTTATTGTGCATTGTACGGTGTAGGGTGTGTTCCGTAAGTATCATGGCATCACCTAAATGGCCTGAAAGCTTGGCAAATCTGATAACTTGCTTTTTCCCATGATTTTGCGCGTTTCCTTCCGAAAAAGCCGTCGCAATGCCAAGGGGTCCATAATAAATTTCCAAGCAGCCAAGGAAAGCTTGAACCGACACTTGGGCGGCCAAAACCGATGGTTCCGTCAAACGGTAACTAAATGTGGAAGAATTAAAAGCCACACGGCGATCTGATTAGATCTTTCACCGGCCGACGCCGGTTTTCCCTGGCCCCCTGTGGAGTGAGGGTCCACGAGTGGCCTCATATGTTTGGCCTACATTATAACTCAAGTGCGTATGTTGTAGCACTTTGGATATACAAGGAAGGGATTGCCATTGACCCACAAATCAACTTTCAAAACAGTGCTAACTCTCCGTGAGGTTTTCGAAACCAATCTGCCGACTTCGGGCGCATGTTTTATGTGGGATTTCCTGCATATATTATCTCGAAACTGTTCATCCCTTGGTCAAACGCTTCCAGAATCTTTCCTTTTGAATTTCTTGGACCCTGGTCTTTTGACTCAATATGGCGCTTCGTCCTTTGATTAAAAGGGCTCAGGCGGTGTTTCGTCGAACATCGGCCGACAGGGAGGAGGCTGCGGCTTCTTCGGTCGATACTGGGGCCGATGTTGATAGGACTACCGTTCATAATAGCAAGACGGATGGAGAACGGATCTCTCATCCCGAAGATGCACTTCCAAACAACGGTGCTGAGCTACCTGGTGTGCCCTATGAAGAACTTCAACGTGGTGTCCAGGAGGCTGAGGCTGTGGCTCAAACCTGGTCCAAAGCCTCACTCATATTCGTCTTCATCAAGTATGTCAAAGTTGTCTCTCGTTGTGATATTTTGTTAACCTTAATACTCCAATAGCATCTGGTTCCTCTACTTTGTCTACGCATGGGTATCATCGGTGAACAGTAGTTTGAGCTCCTATGTGGCTAGTTCTTTCCAGCAACACTCTCTATCCGGTTTACCCACTGCTGTCGCCGACGCCTTTTCCGCTGCAGTATTCCTTCCAGTAGCGAAGATGATGGATACATGGGGCCGTGCTGAAGGTTTCCTGCTCATGTCGATCTGCGCCACAATTGGTCTGGTTCTTATGGCCTCGTGCGACAGCTTCGCCATTTACTGTGCTGCAAATGTAAGATTTATACCCATCAGTCATTTCCTAGACACTAATCGGGATACAAGGTGTTTTACTACTTCGGTTTCAGTGGCATGGAATTTGCTGTGGACGTCATTACTGCCGATATCTCTCAGTTGAAAAACCGAGCCCTTGCATACGCTTTCACTTCATCCCCTTATATTATCACTGCCTTTGCTGGACCAAAGGTAGCAGATGAATTCAACGCTCACACCGGTTGGCGATGGGCTTATGGTACTTTCGCTATCATTTTCCCTATCGTGGCTGCACCTTTGTACTTCGTTTTGAAGTTCAACCTTTCAAAGGCCAAGAAAGGGAATGCTGTGGTCATCAAAGAAAGCCACGGCAGGAACTTTTTCCAAAATGTCTGGTTCTGGGTACTTGAGTTTGATGGTAAGCACCAAAGCCCCTTTAAACCGATTTCCATAGCTCATTACTAACCTTGTCCATAGTGATCGGAGTCTTCATCTTCACTGCCGGACTTCTGCTGTTTGAGATCCCATTCGATATTGCTAGTGAAGCTCCCAACGGCTGGGGCACTGGTTACATCATTGCTATGATTGTCGTCGGATTCTCGATGCTGTTCTTCTTCGCTCTCTACGAGCGCTTCTTTGCTCCGACTCCTTTGCTTCCCTACTCCTTCCTCACTAACCGGACTGTCGTCGGTGCCTGTCTCCTGGACGCAACATACCAGCTTTCCAACTACTGCTGGAACAACTACTTCCAGAATTTCCTGCAAGTTGTCAATGATCTTAGCATTGCCGACTCCGGATATATCGTGAATACCTTCGACGTGGTATCTGGAGTACTTCTATTCTTTGTGGGAGCAGCCATTCGCAAGACAGGCCGCTTTAAGTGGCTCCTCTACATTTCCGTTCCGCTTTACATCCTCGGCCAGGGCTTGATGATTTACTTCCGTCGTCCGGACCAGAAAGTCGGATATCAGATCATGTGTCAGATCTTCCTTTCTGTCGGTGGATCGATCTTCATTATTGTCGAGCAGCTCTCTATCCTTGCCGCCGTCGACCACCAGCATGTTGCTACAGCGCTTGCCTTGCTCAATGTCGTCGGCACCATTGGCGATTCTGCGGGTCTTACTATCTGCACAGCTATCTGGAGCAACACATTCAAAAAGTCTCTCATTCGGTATCTGCCCGATCTCTCAAATCTGGACGCCATTTACGAAGATGTCGACACTCAACTGAGCTATGCCGTTGGAACGCCCACCAGAATTGCCATCCAGAATGCATACAGCTACACTCAAGTCAGAATGCTGGCCGCTGGTTTGGGTATCATGGTCCTCGCATTCGCTTGGACCATCATGATCAAGAACATCGACCTGAAGAAGGTCGCCCAGGTCAAGGGTGTCGTATTCTAGGGGATCACTGTGATAGATGATAGAAAGTCTCAACCTGAAGAACGTACATATTCTCTCGCGTTATATCACCCATTCGGTGTAACTTCCACAATGCATGCTATAAAAATTCATTAACTCATTATTTGCCTTGTGCTTTGAGTAGCATAGTTTTCGTAGCACTAGTGATTCATAAATTCAACGCCTGACTCAAATTATGTTCCTCCCTTGCAAACTTGTATTGATCGCAGACTGAAAACTCGGACAAACGCTGATAGAGAACAATGTTAGTCAACTAGACTTGAGCAATACTGTTCTAAGGGTCAATGGAACATGGGGATGACCGCTTCCAAGGTTGTAGTATAACTGGGTTGGCCGGTGGACTTGCATCTGGTACAATAGATGTTAGATTAACCTTCAATGTTTCCAGAGCAAGCAAGATAGACTGTAATATACATAAAAAGAATAGCACCATAAAATTATACAAAAGGGACCTGTATGACGGAGGCTACCCAATATGAGCCGCAGTCCTCTACTGAGACCTCAAGGCCAATGCTCCAGGCTACTCCTATGACTAGTGTTCGCCCAGATGTATCAAGCACCTGAATTTATCAAGTTTCTAAGACATCAACGTCTTTTTCACTTGACCGTAGGAGCCACGTCCTTGAATGTTTGTCCTCTTTACTCATTTTAACCTCACTTATTGCTCGGTTAGGAAATCCATTTCTCGGTGCATCGAGTTCGACTCCCCTTCTCACCCGTTTCTTTGGTTACATACACGCACATCTAGGCTTTGCAATAGATATTTTGAATATTTGGCGTCAGTCCAGGTGCACTTTTCATGGTAGAAACCCCATACTATTGTTATCTATGTATATCCGAAAAATGGCCTATCCACAATCGTATGAGTCTACTAATTCGTTTTTCAGCCAACCCATGTAATCTCAGCAGCAGTTCATATTTTGTATCGCAACACACATGTGATGAAAGGCTGGACCAAGCTAGAGTCATCAATGCTGAAGTCATGTTATGCAGAATTGGATCCCTGGTGAGTTGCTAGCGGTCATAATCACAGCGTACAGCAACAACCTCGTCAATATATTCTATCTGTGCATGATAAGGGGAGCTCTCGCTCTTTATGTGAGGTATGTGAGGTACAGATGAGAGCCTTAATCTGACCTCGGGCCAGATATCCCATTACGTAATGATATTCAGTTTCCAAGAGTTTTAGACCCTTGCAGGTGGTTGGTATGTTCATGTACTTAGGGTCATAGCGCTGGGGCAAACTCCCATCTATGAAATGAAAATATTTAGCAATTTTAACCGAATGCCAAGTTCTGAATGTTATCTTTTTGTAAAGGATTCAGCTCATGAAAGCCAAGATGTACAGTCTCGGACCTTGACCGTTATCAACCAATACCATAACCCACAGGCTCCATTATGGCTCCAATTTAAAAAAAAACTTTGAAAAATGCTAAATACTCCCTTAACAATTGTACTCGTAGCTATTTCAGATGTGTGACTCGAATTATCAGGCCCAAGTTCTGACATTGTTCAGCCTGTATATCAATCCTCAGGCCACGCAGGTATATAGTAAGAAAATCAAGTTCAACCCGCAGCAAAAAGCCAAACACACGACCATCAGCATGCGAAGTCTCCACTACTATCCGCGGTGCGGAGAGACCTTGCAACCACGAGACTTCAGTTTCGATCAACACAACCAATCAACACCCCTGGTATGGGTACTACAGGGATTAGTGTGGCAAGATAGAAAAACCTGAACGGTGCTAGATCGCCAAGATAGGTGCTACTTTGTCTTATCACTTGCCCTAGATTCTATGGTTACATGTGGCTTTAGGCTCTAGCTTAGCTTTAGGTGAGACGAAAGCTCCGCAGTACTCCGTCGGCCGGCCCGTCATTGGTGCGCAAAGAGCCAAACAGGACGAGAAGGGGAGGCCTCCGATACTTAGTGCGGCTTTAATCCTTGGCTAGCGTGCGTTCTTTATCGCGGCTTCCAGAATCCCCGCACAGAAGTTTTGATAAAACAGTTTTTGCCCCCGAGGTGCTTATTGGAATGTGAATTGTCAATTAGAATTCCTGGATTATAAGTGTGCCTTTCTCGCAGATCTTCAACAATCTCGGGAGGTTCGATTTTTAGTCTTGTGCGATTCGACTGACTACTATTTGACTATTTGTTTGCATACTTCAATACATCGCGTCGCGCAATACCCAAGGACGTCGACTTTAATTATGGATAAGGATCAGGATTCTTCAGGGCTTCAAAAGCCTGCAGACCCAGTACTAGATCCTGCACACCAACACCAACATGCGCACCACCACCACACCACCTATGCCGAGGAAGGACGCAAAGATGAAGTCGTCTACTCGCAAGATATCCAATTCGAAAAAGGTGTCGTCCCCGAGCCGACACCGCTAGATCACGCCAGCAAAAGTTCTGGGGATGAGGAAGCTGGCGAAACCTACCCCGCCCATCGTACCTGGCTGCGCCGCGTCGGAAAACAATGGAGACATATGGTCCATGCTGTCATTTGGCTTTTGTTTACCGGGTGAGTCGATTACTTCGAGAACTTCCAGCGCAAATGCTTCATACCCCAAAGCCAAGCGGAGACTCATGCGTATTCATCTAGCTGGTGGATTGCTGGCTTGATTTTGCATCGATATGACCTAGGATGGCTTATTCCATTCCTGCTGTACCTAGCCATTACTCTGCGGATCATCTTCTTCTACGTCCCGATCACTATCGTGACAAAGCCTATGCATTGGGCTTGGTCACACACTGCCCGGCCTTTTGTTAGCATCATCCCCGAGAAATTCAGAACGCCTAGCGCCGCTGCTCTCTGTATCGGAGTTATCCTTATCGGCTCATTCGCTTCTCCCGAGTCAGAGGACAATACCCGTGCGAACAGAGCGGTCAGCTTGTTCGGTATGATCGTCTTTATATTTGGACTATGGGCCACCTCTCGGAATCGCAAGAAGATCATCTGGCACACCGTCATTGTGGGCATGTTGGCCCAATTCATCATTGCTCTATTCGTGCTCCGCTCAGGCGCAGGCTACGATATTTTCAACTTCATTTCCGGCCTCGCCAGTGATCTGCTCGGATTCGCTATCGACGGTGTGACTTTCTTGACTAGCGATGACTTCTACAACCTCAAGACGCCTTTCGCACCAGCCAATTTCTTCCTCGTCAGCGTTATCCCGGCTATCATATTCTTCGTCTCCCTCGTGCAGCTTCTGTACTACTTCTCCATCCTGCAGTGGTTCATCGGCAAATTTGCCGTCTTCTTCTTCTGGAGCATGCGTGTTTCCGGTGCCGAGGCCGTCGTCGCTGCTGCATCCCCGTTCATCGGACAGGGTGAATCCGCCATGCTAATCCGTCCTTTCATCGCCCACCTCACCATGGCCGAGCTCCACCAAGTTATGTGCTCCGGCTTCGCCACCATCGCCGGAAGTGTTCTGATCGCCTATATCAGCATGGGCGTCAACCCCCAGGCAATGGTCAGCTGTTGTGTGATGAGTATCCCCGCCTCATTGGCAGTTTCGAAACTGCGCTGGCCAGAAGAAGAAGAATGCCTCACAGCCGGCCGTGTCGTGATCCCCGACAACGAAGAACACCGATCCTCGAACGCCCTTCACGCCTTCTCCAGCGGTGCCTGGCTCGGCCTGAAAATCGCGTCCATGATTGCCGCCACCCTGCTGTGTATCATTTCTCTCGTCGGACTGCTCAATGGCCTCCTCACCTGGTGGGGCCGGTATTTGAACATCAACGACCCCCCTCTGACCCTCGAGTTGATCGTCGGCTACATCTGCTACCCGATTGCATTCCTGCTCGGTGTTTCCCGCAACGGGGACCTACTCAAGGTCTCCCAACTAATTGGTCTCAAGCTTGTCACTGTACGTACCTTGTAGTCACCTCATTTTTCGCTTTCTCTCTGACAATCCATAGAACGAGTTCGTCGCCTACGACGCACTTCAGAACGGCGCTGCCTATGCCGACCTCTCCGACCGCTCCCGTCTCATCGTCACCTACGCTCTCTGCGGCTTCGCCAACATCGGCTCCCTGGGTAACCAAATCGGTGTGCTTTCGCAAATCTCGCCGGGCCGTGGTGGTGATGTCTCGCGCGTTGCGTTCAGCGCTATGATCACCGGCGCTATCAGTACCTTCACCAGTGCCACTATTGCCGGATTGTTAATCACGAACGAGCAGCAGTACTTCTCTAAGGCGACTTAATGGGCCGGTGGCTTGACGTCATGTTTTAATAGTTTTGTTTGTTTACGCTGAGCGTCGGATCACGGTGTCTACCTTTTGTTTCATTGCGTTTTGTATACGCATAGTTCTGGAGCTGAGCTCTTCACTGAGCTTCTAGTACGACATGTTAGAGTAGATATGTATACATCTCGTATGTATTAATTCATCAGACCAACTGCCAGACTTGCAACAAACGAGTTTCATTGACGCATGCACGCATGCAAGAAAAAGTGTACAAATGACCAACACCAACAAAGGATAAAACAAGCGCACCCAAGATCTCCAAGAAAAAGTTCAAGAGAAATAAGCCGCCCAACGCAGCATTAAGCTTTCCGCGCCTATACTCACACGCGTCACTAGGTGGGTAGCGATAAAGACCAGACCAAAACTCCAGACCCAATTCAGGCCTTTATGCATCTTCGCACGATTCCAAAGCCCAGGAGGACCAACGCCAATGCAAATACGGTGTTACGCTTACTCGTCGTCCAGATCCTGGTGGCGGGCGAGAACGTGGCGCTTGAATTCCTCCTGGTCTGAGTCCCAGAGTTCGGCGGCTTGGGCGTTTAGCGGGCTCGCGCTGCTTCGGTCAGTTTTCCGATCATTGCTAGTGTACTTGTGGAATGGTACTTACTTGTTTGGCTCACCTAGCAGGCTTTGCAGGCTGAGGAGAACGCTTGAGACATTGTATACGGCGCTCCACTTGTCCTTGAGGATGTCGAGGCAGATGCGGCCGGAGAAGTCGACGTTGGGGTGGTAGATTGGGGTCTTGAAGAGGACTGTCGGGGGCGAGTAGGGGTAGTCATTTGGGAACTTGAAGGAAAGTTTCAATGTCAGGCCTTCGTAGGGTGTCTCGGTCGGGCCGGTGATTGTTGCTGTCCAGGCGAGCAGGTTGCCGTCTGCGTCCGGGAAGGCGGAGATACCGGGCGAAGGCGAGAGCATTAGTTGCATCAGCTCGGCTTGGAGGCTGTGAGATTGGATTGGTTAGGTCAATGGGGTCGGGGTCGCGTGATGGTGTCGAGACGAACCGTTTGGTCACGCTTTGCGTGTCATTTCTTTGGCCTGAGGTTGGCTTTGTATCCGCGGGCGCTGCGTCTGCGTTCTGTGGTTCTTCCATGTTGTAGTTCATTTTGTGTTGGTAGAGAGGATTGAGGGTTTCTAAGGAGGACTTTTGGTTGGAATGCTTGTTTGGTAGGACTGGAATGACGCCGGATGCGTAAGAGTTGGACCCACGAGATACTTCAACTTTGAATAGTACTTGATTTTAGGGGAGGGATAGAGTGAAAAGCGAGGAGTTCGAGTGGGAAAGGGGCAATGGGGTGAACAAAGAGAAAAAAGAGGGAAGCTGGATTTGTTTACTGCTAAACGCCCCGGGCAACGAGACCACCCCGCTTAGTTTGGAGTCTTCATTGTTTTCAACTCATTTTAGATCTAAGTCTCTAAAATGTAGGAAGTTGAAAGTATATAACATAATTATGTTTGCTCAGGGCTTCAAAATATAAACGGAATCTATATCCGAGTATAAATAATGAGAAAAGACTTGATCTCGCGTGCGATCGTCGAATGAACTGCGGGTCTATGTTTGACGCTTTGGTACTAATTTTTGTAGTCTATAGTTATAGCACTACATACAGATGTAGTATGATTCATCGGGCTAATTCGAATTGAATACATATCTATCTACCTAGGTATATAACTCATTATGTTCATTGAAGTTGATTTACTCTTAATCCAACACACGATGGAACATCCTCTCCGCTTCTGCCTATCAACAGACTACCCGATCAGGATAAAGTGGCCCGCGTCTTATCCCGCGCCTCGCTAGGTAGCCCTTGTACCCTTGCTTCAACGCGTCTCTCATCTTTCAGTTGCTAGTTATGCCCTTTTAATATTAATTTTCACTTGTCGCTCTTTTAGTTTTCTTGCTCAACGCGAGCTTCATCTCCAAAATGCAGCATTCCCAATTGGCCCCGCTCCCGAATGATGTGCCCTTTCGCATCGTGTCTAAAACCATTGGCCAAGGTGCCTACGCTTGGTAAGGAACATATCTATCACAAAGTGAAACTATTCGATCTGACGCGACGTGAATTACTTCAGTATCAAGAAAGCCTGCCCGTTAGACTCCGACAACCCGGTTTTCGCAGTCAAGTACATCCACAAAGATTACGCCGCACGCCACGGAAAGATCAGCGCACGACAACTACAATTGGAGGTGACGGTGCACAGACACGTCTCAGGCCATGGAAATATCATCAACTTCTACCAAACCGGCGAAGACGACGTATGGCGCTGGATCGCAATGGAGCTGGCCGAGGGCGGGGATCTCTTCGATAAGATCGAGGCCGATGAAGGTGTCGGCGAGGATATCGCCCACGTCTACTTTTCGCAACTCGTCAGCGCCGTGAGCTTCATGCATTCCAAGGGAGTTGGTCATCGAGATATCAAGCCTGAGAACATGCTGTTGACTGGCGATGGAAATTTGAAAATCGCCGATTTCGGTCTGGCTGCTTTGTTCGAGTACAAGGGGACGCGCAAACTGTCCACTACCTTTTGTGGCAGTCCTCCGTACATTGCTCCTGAGGTTATTTCCTGCAGTACTCGTGGTCAGAACAAAGGTACTGGGTATCATCCTGATCTGGTTGATATCTGGTCTTGTGGTATTGTGCTGTTTGTCCTCTTGGCGGGCAATACACCATGGGACAGTCCGACGGACGATAGTTTCGAGTACCATGAATATGTTGAGACGAATGCGCGAACAACAGACGAACTCTGGCAAAAATTACCAACCGCGACATTATCATTGTTGCGAGGCATGCTAACCGTGGACCCCAAAAGTCGGTTCTCGCTGGAAGATGTCAGAAGACACCCTTGGTATACCCGTGCAAACAAATTCCTCTCCAACGATGGCAAGTTGAGAGATCCTATTAATCTCGCCACTTCAATGTTCGAATCGCTTCATATCGACTTCAGTCAAGATCCTCTATCTCAACAAAGAAAAGGCGCAACTCGCAGCTTCGATCCTATGGACATGGATGTTGAAACAAATGCGGGGTTCTCCGCAACCCAGCCAGAAATGCTGGGCGGTGGCATGGTAATGGACTGGGATAACCCGCAAGAAGCGGACGTCTTCTCCTCAACCCAGCCTCTCGAAAAAAGATTTGCCTCTCAAGACGCAGCAATGGCAAGCCACCTCGAAGACGAGCCTTCTATGTCGCAGTTCTCACAGCAGCCTTCTGTGCCAGTGAGTCGAACTCAGAATGCCCAAAAATTCCAGGATATTATTCCCTCCCGCTCAATGACCCGCTTCTACTCCGCTTGGGAGCTTAAGCTTCTCGTGCCTCTTATCTGTGAAGCGCTGCATCGACTCGGGGTCCCGGTTCCTATCGTGCCTGCTGTGACGGCTGGAGATACCTCTGCTATGATCCGGATTATTGCCAAGGATGGTAGAATGTGTCCGCTCCAAGGGAAGGTGCTCATCGAGTGTGTTTCCGAAGGCATTTTGGAGGTTGAGTTTGTCAAAATCAAAGGTGATCCTTTGGAATGGCGACGGTTCTTCAAGAAAGTAGCTATCCTTTGCAAGGATGCTGTCTTTAGGCCGGATGAGTAGAGGCGTCATACTTTATTGTAGATTGCCATCTTGTGTTCTTGTGTTACGCTTTACGCTTTAATGTTTGTTTTGCTTTTGGTTTAATGTACGAGTTATGATTGATTGACGGTAAAAAGAAATTTGAACAGGAGTTGGAAAGGAACCCTCATATCACAATTGCCAACCACAATGTATGTACGGAGTATGCATATATTTACATGAAATGGCATTGAGAGCATCCATGGATGATACCTCTGCAGCTTTTGGTGGCGTCCGTCCGGGCCGCAACTTTAGGCCTACCCCCACAGGGCAAGACTTGACGAATAGGTAGATTCGGTTTAAATTCAGTAGGATCACTCAAATGAATTGAGAGGATTATACGGAAGTCCACTACCATCATCCGATACATAAGTTCACAGGTGGAACATGTTCCTGTAAGCAAGAGTGGATATAGCGGAAATATTTCCCGAGACTGTAGTTATCTCAACTTGTGTCAAACGTCAACCTATCATACAACTCTTTCAGGCAAATTCCTCCGAATAAGCAAAGCAAGTTGGCATCTAGACCGATCCTTCATATAAACTACATATGTACTAGATACCCCTTCAATCCACGTGACGGTCTGGACCTCCCACTCGGGCGCAGATCGCGGGGGAAGAAACTGGAAGAAAAAAAAAAAGGAGTCAGGAAATATTTTCAGGAGAATAAGATACTGACATTCCCCGAATCTCCCAACACTGCAATGCTGCCTCTCCTTCTCCATGGATAAGCTGCCGGTAGAAATCCTGTCTAAAATCATCGACTGTAAGCGCCGTCCCCGGACCTTCTTCCCCGCACCGTTCTAGAACTGATAGTATCAGTCCTCGCCCCACGAGAGAAGGTCCATCTCCAGTCTATCTCTAAGAAGTTCTTTGATCTCGCCCGCGATAACAACCAGTGGAAAATACACTGCTATGAGCAGTCTTGGGCTGCACGGCGGGCTTCCCGCCCCGCTTTTCGTATATCGGAGAGCTGGGTTTCGGACGCGTCGACTTCGTTAACAACCCTCGGACAAGACCAGCCGCAGGATATTATTCAACCTTCGGTTTTGGCGGATAGTGATGACGAAGACCGTGGACTTTCCTGGAGTGAGAGGGCTAGGGTAGCGGCGGAATGGGATACCTCCGCTGAGGGGGAGCATGTCGATTGGTATTCGGAATATATAGCTCGGCAAGGGCCCATATCGCTATCATGGATTGAGCAACCTTCGATCCGGAAGGAAAATGGAAAGCAAGGACAATCCTGTGAAGTCAAAGGCATGGGATTGCTGAAAGACTGGAGTTCCGCGAGACAAAATAAGATCGTTGCTCCTCTTGAAGATGGCAGCGTTTGCATTTGGGATCTGAATCACTCTCATTATGCTGCATCACAGGCGAACAAGGGCAAGATCCTTGGGGTCAGTGAACCAGGCATCCTCATGACTAACTTGTCCAGCCGTCGAGAGTCTTCTCCTTCAAAGTCATCACTGGAGTTTATCAATCTAGGCGAGGGAGTGAGCGTGGATTCTCTGCGACAAAGAGCCTATTTGGCCATTGGCAATGTTCTCAATGAAGTCGATCTACAGACATTACGAGTAATATCGCAGCAACGATATCCCTGGTCCATTTTCGCTCTTTCCCAAGAAACAGATTACTCAGTGCCTTTGACACTAGCCACCACACTCAGTCTTCAAATCTATGACTCCAGACTATCAGCCGTGGAAGAAGAAGAGGCAATCAGCTCGCGCTGCGAGCAAGTGGTCAGTCCCATACCAGAATTGGGCATCTTCGCCCATCCCGACTCGCCTCTTTTCCAACTCCAACCAAATGGACAACCACCTACACGCATCCGCAGCCCAGAACCTTCAGAAAAAGGAGCAAATTACGCTCCGCTCTTCCAACCAGGACCCCTTTCCATCTTACACCCACCAGCCCCTCATGTGAATACCATCCTTCTCGCTGGTCGTTTCCCAAGCATCCTATGCTACGACCGCCGCTTCTTCCCCCGGCTCCAAACAACAGTCCATTCAGGTGGTCGTCTATGTGGTCTTGCATCCGTCCCAGGACCCCGATTCCCCGTGTTCTCAGACTCTACATACCCAGAATCGCATTCCGTCGTGGCATGCGGTGACTATAATGGACGAGGCTCGCTAGAACTGTACAACCTCAAATCAGTTGAAAAAGACACCACGCCACCGCATATGACCTCTAATCTCAATTCAGAATACAAAAACAGACAAAGCGCCGCAAGCTCAAAATTGCTTTCTGTTGGCTCTCACGGGAACCGAATCGTCTTCTCCGATGCAGAAGGAAACATTAAATGGACAGAGCGGGATGGCCGCTCGGAGGTTCGTCGTTGGAATATCAATACTTCCCAGCCGCAAATCGAATTCGGCCGTCGAAAGCAGTCACTGCCACAGACAGATGAAGATGAAAATAACAATCAACAACCGAGGGGTCTCTGGCCTTCTCAGTCTCCCGGGAACCATGAGGTGGCGAGAAAAATTCTTCCCACGGGTGGGAATCTCACTGGGGATGAGCTGCTTGTTTGGACTGGGGAGCGGATTGGTCGTCTTAAATTTTCTATTCCTAGGGATTATGATATGGGCCACGAGGATGAGGGTGATGATAATGATGTCTTTATGCATGCTGAAGTTGATGAGGCCACTCGGGAAGAAATGAGACATCGTAGGCGTGATGATTGGGAAAGGGAACAGCGGTATGGGGAGTCTATGCGTCTTGCTCTTGAGAGGCAGGCAGATGAGGTGCATTGGATGGGTAGTCGGGGATTTGGCCTATAGACTCTACATACGTATGTATATATTGCATTGCATATCCTAGAGTATATAAATATATGTAAATTTAGAACGAGGTTCAACCTATATTCTTATACTTGATATAAAGCCATATTTGTATGAAATTGGTTCGAAGTGGGCCATATCCTTCGGCATATAGTCACGCCATAGTATGACCAACCCGCCTGATGTAGACTGCATCAATGTCCGAGTCAAAGATAAAGAGAATAAGGAGAACAAATGGACCACCTTCATCTCAGAGTGTTCTGTTCATGAAAAGTTTCCCAGAAATAAAACATTCTAGACCTCGGAGGCAAGTATTTCCCTTTTCAGTCCCGAGGCTTAGCAATAATTGCCCGGTCCGGCCCCGCGCTATCACGGGCATTTCTAATACTCTTGTCAGCCAGTGACTCAGGTCTTCTTCTTTTTCTTTCTCCGGTTCCCATTGAATATTAATTCCTGGTTTTAGGACTACTTCTATCCTCTATAATCAATTCCTAAAACACCTCAACTCCCTTTCAATTCCTCACCCCGCCTCCGAAATTCCGCAGTGAGGGGCAAAAAAGAGACTCGACAAAATGTCTTCCCCGGAAACCGCGCTCAAGTTTGACTCAATTGAGGACACAATTGAAGCCTTTGGTTAGTGACTTCTTCGCACAGCGATTTCTGCAAAGCGCCGCAGCTCCCCAGCCCTTCGCGGGCCATTCCGCATCAACCGAAGACTGACCGCAACACACAGCGCAGGGAGAGTTCATCATTGTGCTGGACTCGAAAGACCGTGAGAATGAAGGCGATCTCATCATCGCCGCCGACAAAATCACAGCGGCCCAAATGGCCTTCCTGGTCCGCTACACGAGGTAAGAGCGCCACCCAGTGCCGAAACGCCGAACAGCAATTCCGCTCCCGCAACAGCCCGCCCAAACCCCAAATGTTCCGTACCCCAATTCCTCAGCACACACTAACATTGAAACTCCCAGCGGCTTAATATGCGCACCCATCACGCCCGAGCTCGCGACCCGCCTCGCCCTCCCACCAATGGTAGCCCTAAACGAGGACCCTAAGGGCACAGCGTACACCATCACAATCGACTCCAGCGACGACAGCGTGACAACAGGCATTTCCGCTAGTGATCGTGCGCTGACCTGCCGCACACTTGCCTCCTCATCTGCCGAGATCGCCTCCTTCCGACGACCGGGCCATATCATTCCGCTGCGGGCGAATCCTGGCGGCGTCCGCCAGCGCCCGGGCCACACCGAGGCGGCGGTGGATTTCTGTAAGCTTGCTGGGAAGCCCCCTGTGGGTGTTATTGCGGAGTTGGTGGAGGATGGGGAGGCTGTTGGTGGGAAGCCGGAGATTAAGAATAATGAGATGATGCGGCGGGATGGGTGTTTGACGTTTGGAAAGAAGTGGGGAATTAAGGTTTGTACGATTGAGGATTTGGTGGATTATTTGAATAAGACTGAGGGGACTGCTAATGGGCAGCATTGAGCATTGATTTGATTTTGGTGAGCTGATGCGTGGGTTGGGTGGTTTTGGTACCTTGTACATCACTACTTCTCTAGATACCTTTTTTTTATTAGAAGATTTTATGCACATCGGGTCTTACGGGTTTTGTTTAGGGTTGTCAGATGTAGAAGTATGTTGAGTCTTGTCGAGATCGCATAGTTGTTTTATTCGGGTATCTATTATTTTGAGCTTATAATATACAAAGGCAGCGATTCTAGCCGAATGAAGTGTAAAAAATCATGGAAGATGTTTTGCGCAGACATCACAGTCATACACATTCCTTCCCAAACGCCAAAAGCAATGCAAAAATTCATATCAAAGCATCTTCTGGCGTAATAACCAGAAGCGAGAGTATTTCAGTCTTTCGTACTTCTACTACCGCTTGAGATGCGAGTAGTCTCTCAGGATGCCAGTCATGTGTGTGTTGGTGGTCTTTCCACTGCGACGCGGCTTCTTAGCCTTCCGAGAGGGCGCAATGACCCGAGGCCCAACAACCTTGTTCTTGTTGGTAGGCGTAATGCCGAACTTTTCAAGTTCCTCCTTCACCTGGTTTGGGTCTGGGATCTTAATCTTCTCCCAGATCTGCTTGAACTCATCGTCGAAATGCTCGATTAGAGACGGATCGTTGGCCCATACCATTTTGGGGTGGTCGTCCTTCTTGTTCCGGGTCACGAGCAGCTTTCCTTCCTTCTCCATCTGGTTGATCCCTTCTTCGGCATTTGGCCAGCCCTCCTTGAGATCGCGGACACTCATGCCAGATGCGGTCTTTTGGTTCTGCAGGTGCTGCAGAAGTTGCTCGGGGCTGCGGATGTTGTGAGTGGGACGGAACCGGAAAGTGCCCTCGCCGTTGGCACCACTTGCGTCAAACTCGACCTTGTCGTGCGCCTGCAAAATCCTCCGAAGGGCTTGGACATAGCCCTGGTCATGAGCGCGACTCTGGAGAGACAGATACGAGATGATGTCGGAGAATCTGAGCGGCACGTTCTTGTTCTTCATGTGCTCGATCGCAAAGAGCACCTGGGTCATAATATCCTTTCCGGTGCCGGTGTTGGCGGGCTGCGAGTATACGATATCTGGGTCATGGCGCTTCTTTTTCAAGTCGACGGAGGGTGACGGTGTCGGAGCGGAAGATGGAATCTGGGTGCCGGACGCAGGCGTGGGTTGGTTGGTGGCCACACGGCGCTGTGTGGGCATGCGGTTTGCCGATTCAACCACGCTAGCGTTGAAGCTTTTGAGCTGATTCTGAAGGTACGACATAGTTACAAGGAGGGTTCAGGAACCGGTGAGATCAAAATGTGTGTGTTGGAAGAGAGCTTGAATGAACAAGCGCTGCCTCGGCGGAGCTAGATCGAGCTCGTTTTTTGGACGAGTAGCATAGAAACAACGCAGGGAGTGGACGATAAGGAAGAATGCAATAAGTCACTGTAAATCTGAATATAGGACGAGGTTTACCCTGTTGTCGTCGAGTGTAGATATTATTAAAACACGCTGACTAGAAGCCAGTACAAAGAACTTGGAAGGTCACATGTATTGGCGCTAACCCTATTTGGGTGTAAGGTGGAACGCAACCAAAGCGCGGAAATGGAACTCCCTTGAGGTCACCTCTTTTCTTTCCCTTACAAACCTTTTCATTCAATCCTTCTTTGTCTCTCGACAAACGCCGCATTCTTTTTTGGGCCGCAGCGTCATGATTTGAAGTCCCTTCCGAGCGCAGTGTGTACTCTCTGAGCAGTACACAGCGCGCCTGTACTCGAGGCTCGGCACTAGCTTGCGCCATCTTATCACCCAACTTCCCCAACTCTCCTTCACCCACAGCTTAGTGCTGTTGGTGACCCGACAATATGGCCGACGCTGCTGTTCAATTACCTTATCTCTCATCTCACTATGCAATTCCCGAAACGACGCTCACTACACTTACGCAGGCTCCGACTGTGGAGCTTGTCAATCAACTTCTAGAATCAATCAACAAAAAGGCCCATGAATTCGACGAGCTCAAATCTGATAAGCTTCGCTTGGAGGTCGAGCTTGAGAATGCTGTCCGCAGCAATGATTCTAAGCTGAAAGTTTTGAAGACCAGCGTGGAGAAGGGGCACGCGGAGGTCGCAGATCTTAGAAAGAAACTCCACGATGCTGGTATACATTTGCCCGTCGACCTTTTAGCTCTTAACTCACTTCTGACGCTATGCAGAAACCACCCGCTCTTCACTTGAGACCGAAATCGCGACACTTAAATCGTCTTCCACATCGAATGAATCCGAAACCACTACGCTCAAATTGCGCATCTCCTCTTTAGAGGCATCCAACCGGGATACATTAGCCTTGCTTGAGTCCAAATCCGCAGCTCATGACAAGCTAGCTGAGGAGCTCTCGGTTCAACACAAGAAGACTATCGAGCTCCGACGCGAACTCTCCGCTGCAGAGCAAAACCTCCAGAACTCGAATGCGGTTTCTGCCAGTGCACGCTTCCGCGAACAAAATCTTCAACAGGAACTTGATCTCACTAAGAAAAACAACGAGTGGTTCGAGACTGAACTGAAGACAAAGTCTGCTGAATACATCAAGTTCCGCAAAGAAAAGGGTGCCCGGATCTCCGAGCTGCAACGTGAGAATGAAGAGGCAAACTCGACTATTGATTCTCTCAGGCGAAGTGAGAACTCACTCAAGAGCCGCCTTGACGAGACGGAGCAACGATATGAAGGCGCCCTGGCCAGCATTCATCAATTGAAGGAAGAAGCTATCCAAGCAACTGAATCTTTCCGCATCGAACTTGACAGCTCTAACCGACTCGCCGAACTGCAAGGCTCCTCTGCTCAGATTGCCAAACAGCGCGTCCAAGAGTGCCAACTCGCCCTGGAGAAGACGAAAGATGATGCTGCGCAGGAAATTGCACGCATCCGCGTGGAACTGGAAACCGAGACCAACGACAAGGTGGCCGCGGAACGTAGGATAGCCGAGCTTGAGGCGCTCGTTGCTCAGCTTGAAGCTGAACCAACCCGAGGCAGATCAGCAAGTCCTGCACTCTCTATCAATGGAGGCGCACCCAGCACCCCGATGCGATCAAGCTTGATACGGGCTGCGACTCCCAGTGGCACATTCTCGCCTCGTTCTTCCCGTGGCGGAAAGGGTCTCAATGTCACTCAGATGTACTCCGAGTACGACCGCATGCGGACCACTCTTGCGACCAAGCAGAAAGAAAACGAAGAACTCAAGCATGCTCTCGATGAAATGTGCATGGAACTTGAATCAACCAGACCTGAAATTGAGGAAGCACGTGCTGAGCAAACTCGCCTCGACCACGCAGTCGTGGAAATGTCTACGCTCCTGGAAGTGGCTGGAAACGAACGTGATGCCGCTCAAAAGGAGGCCCGCAAATGGCAAGGTCAAGTCCAGGGTTTGGCACGCGAAGGCGATATTCTTCGCCAACAACTTCGAGATCTCAGCGCAGAGGTCAAGGTCCTTGTTCTAGAGGTTGCCATCGCCAAGCATGGAGAAGACTACGATCGCGAGGAACTAGAAAAGATCGCTCGTGGTGAGGTGGAGGACTCTGCGAAGGAGCTAAATGAAACTGGCCGATTTATCAGCCAGCATCTCACAACCTTCAAGGATCTGCACGAACTTCAAGAACAAAACCACACCCTCCGGCGTATGTTACGCGAGCTCGGCGATAAGCAGGAGGGTGAAGAGGCACAAGCGAAGGAAGCTGCTCGACAAGCAGAAATTGATGAGCTCAAGGAGCTTCGGACCCGCGCTCAGACCAACCGTGACGAGATTGCAAACCTCAGCGCACAGATGCAGAGTTACGTCAAGGAGCGTGATACTTTCCGCAGCATGCTAATGCACAGAAAGCGGACTGATGATGATCCTTCAGTCTTTTCTCAATCTATGCCCCTCGGTGCTGCCCCGGGCAGCATCGAAAGCGCCGGGCCCGACTACGCCGAGCTTCTCCGTAAGGTCCAGACTCACTTTGATACCTTCCGCGAGGAGACAACAACCGACCACAAGGCACTCCGGCAACAGGTCAACGAGCTGTCTAGAAAGAACAGCGAGTTACTTTCTGATGTCAGCCGCGCGAGCAGTCAGCACGCCGCCGCGTCTCAGCGTGCAGAGCTTCTCCAGAGTAATTTCAATATGTTGAAGACTGAAAACACCGAGCTTCAAAAACGCTACTCTGCTCTCTTTGAAACCGCGAACCGACAGGATCTCCGCACACAACAAGCCGCTGAAGACCTCGTCGAGGCCAAGGGTCTAGTGGAGAGCCTCCAGAGAGAGAATGCCAACCTGAAGGCGGAGAAAGACCTATGGAAGAACATTGAGAAGAGGCTTATCGATGATACCGAAAACTTGCGTAATGAACGAGCTCGTCTGGATTCACTCAACGGTAATCTCCAGACTATACTCAACGAACGCGAGCACACAGATTCCGAAAGCCGACGTCGCCTTCAAGCCAGCGTTGAGTCACTCGAAAGTGAACTGCAGACTACGAAACGCAAGTTGAACGACGAAGTTGAAGAATCGAAAAAGGCAAACATGCGACGCGAGTTTGACCACGAGCAAAGCCAGAAGCGTATCGACGATCTAGTAACAAGCCTAAGCTCTGTGCGCGAGGAGCTGGTGGCTGCCAAGACCACCCGTGATCACCTTCAGTCTCGTGTAGATGAGCTCGCTGTGGAGCTCAAGAGTGCTGAGGAACGTCTGCAAGTCTTCCAGGCCCGACCCAGCACCACGACCGAACCCTCTGCCGAGGGCGAGGATGGTATCGATGGATCTGGTCTCACTCGTGAGCAGGAACTTGGGATTGAGGTTTCGGAGCTTAAGCGTGACTTGGAGTTGGCCAAGGGTGAACTCGAACATGCGAAGCAATTGGCTGAAGACTACCAGGCTATCAGCCAAGCTAGTGAAGAGCGCCTGGAGTCTGCCACCGAAACACACGAGCAATATCGGGAAGAGACCGATCGTCTTGTGGAAGAAAAGAACACAAAGATCCAAGACCTCGAAACCCGTGTTGAAGAGATCTCCGCTGAACTCTCTACTTCCAACAATGACATTTCCAAACTTCGCGAGGAACAAGCTGAGGCTCAACACCGCCTCGAGGAACAGAAAGCCAACTTTGAGTCTGAGCTTTCTCGCCTCAAGGATGACAATGAGCGACATGTTGCCGCTACCCAATACCACCAGGAAGACCTGAAGGCACAGGCCGAGATCGCTCAACATGCCCAGCAAAACTACGAAAGCGAGCTTGTGAAGCATGCTGAGGCTGCCAAGAACCTGCAGATTGTTCGCGCAGAGAGCAACCAGCTGAAGCTCGACATTGCTGGGTTGAAGACACAGTGTGAAACCTACAAGACCGATCTTTCTCAGAAGGAAGCAAGCTGGGCGGAGCAACGTGCCACCTACGAGGGTGAGCTTTCTGAGCTGCAGAAGCGCCGGGAGGAGGTTCTTCGACAAAACTCCGTTCTTCACACACAACTTGAAAACATCACCAGCCAAATTTCTAGCCTGCAGAAAGACCGAATGAACATTTCGGATGACGAGCAGGACGGTGAACAGGCGGCTCCCAACCTTGAGGGCCTCCAGGAGGTCATCAAGTTCTTGCGCCGCGAGAAAGAAATTGTTGAGGTTCAATACCATCTTTCAACCCAGGAAAGCAAGCGCCTCAACCAGCAACTCGACTACACGCAGTCGCAGCTTGACGAGAGCCGTCTGAAGCTTGAGCAGCAGCGACGTGCAGCTGCTGACAGTGATCACAACGCACTCAACCACAACAAGCTTTTGGAAACTATCAATGAACTCAACGTTTTCCGTGAGAGCAACGCTACTCTCAGAAACCAGCTCAAGCAAACAGAGGCCGCGCGCGACGAAAAGACCGCTCGTGTGAATGAGCTGGTCCAGGAAATCGAACCATACAAGACCAGGATCCACGAGCTCGAGAGCCAGCTTGAAGCCAAGGATGGAGAAATGCAGCTTCTGCAAGCCGACCGAGACCGTTACCAGCAACGTGTCCAAAATATTCTTCAAAAATATGACCGCGTCGACCCGACTGAGATGCAGGAACTGAAGGAGAAGCTTACCAGCCTTGAGACCGAGCGAAGTGAGGTTATTGCCGAACGTGATGCCCTTCAGGCTAAGGTGTTGGCACTTGAGACTGAGGTCGCAGAATTCCCAGAGAAGCAGCAGCAGCAATATACTGAACGCATTCAAGAACTGCGGACCAAGCTTACTGAGCAGTTCAAGGCCCGTTCCAAGGATCTCAGCGCGCGCACCAAAGCCAAGCAAGAGGAGTTGAATGTGGTGCTACAGGAGAAGGGGGTCATTCAAGCGGAGCTGCAAACTACGAAGGAAGAGTTGGAGGCTTTGAAATCCAAGATGGCCGAGGCGCCTGTGGCACCATCGGCGCCCACGGATGTGGAAATGACACCAGCGCCGGCTGCCACTACCACTGAGGTTCCTACTGAAGCTACTTCTGTGAACCCTACACCTGCTTCCCAATTCCCAACAGCGACGGTCTCAGTCGCCAGTCCTGCCAACGCACAACAAATTCAGGTTCTTGAGCAAAAGATCCAGCGACTCGAAGCTGCCCTTGCTGAAAAGGATGGTCTGCTGGCTGCACAGGCTAGTGAGCAAGATGCGAAGGTCAAGGAGCGTGCCGACCGTGTTAAGGAGATGTACAACACCAAGCTGAATGAGCTGAAAGCTGCCCACCGCCAAGAAATTGAGAAGTTGTCTGCTGGGGAACAGCCTGTCCCTGGAACACCGGGTGTGGCTCCCGATGCTACTCCAGCAACCCCATCCAAGACCATCGAGCTGGCTGGCTTCACTATTCCCGACCTCACAGATGCTCAAGCCAGGGAGCTGGTTGCGAAGCATGAGACCATTCGGAACATCGTCAGGAGTAACATTCTTGGTGGAATTAAGCGCGAACGCGAGAAGGCCCAACAAGAGGCCCAAGTCACAAGTGGTGTCAACCAAGAAGCACTGGCAGGCCTGGAGAAAAAGTCGATCGAGGAGAAGGAAGCATTGAAGCTCGCTCACGAGAACGATCTTAAGGAGAAGATTGCATCGGCTCTCGGACTCGCGGAGAAAAAGACCGCCGCTCGTCTCAGCATGTTGGATACTCGATTCCGAACGGCAAGTGCCAAGATTGATGTCGTATCGAAGGCTGCAACAGATACACCTCAAAAGCCTGTTGTTGAGGTCTGGGAAATAGCCAAGGTTGCTCGCCCTGTGCCTGTTCCGGTACCCGCAGCCAAGCCAGTGGCTCCTGCACCTGCGCCTGCGCCTGCATCTGCACCCCAAGCCGCACCGACCCCCGCCCCGGTCTCAGCCCAGGCCCCAGTAGCGCAAGTCCCTGCTGCTGCTGCAGCTCCAGCGCCGGCTCCGGCTCCAGCTCCTGTGCCCGAAGTCGCCCCGGTGCCTGTGGCTCAAGCAGCCCCAACCGAAACTGCTGGATCCACTGTCCCTGCACAAGGAGAGGAGCAGGCCACCGCGCCTCCCAATCCATTCGGCCAGTCCCAGCAAACCGACCAAGGCCAAGGCCAACAGGCCTCTACCCTACCTAGCAAGCCACCTGGTGGGAACCCGCCTGGGCTCATGCGAGCCCTGCAGTCTGGCCTGCCAATCGCCCGAGGTGGGCGCGGTGGCGGCCGTGGCGGCCAGCAATTCGGCCACGGCCATCAAAACGACCAAAACCAGCAGCAAGCCCAGCGCGGCTCTGGTGTTCAACGAGGTCGTGGCGGCCGTGGAGGCCAGGGGCCTCGAGGTGGAAACCAGAACCTGAGCGCCTCAGCTCGTCAGTTCATTCCACAGGGTAACAAGCGATCCCGCGAAGATGGATCAGACGCAGCAGTTGAAGCTGCAAGCGGAGGGAAAAGACAACGAGGTGGTGGTGGTGGTGCTCAGCAACCTCGTGGAGGTTCTTAGTGAATTTTATCTTCTTGTTATCTTTTTTTTTATTCAACCATGTATGTTCAAGATGATTGATAAACGTTATGGTAGTCCCTTATTATTCTTTCATACGGGGCCTTGTTTGTTTAGGTTCGTTTTTCATGCGTGCAAAAGCATACACTTATCTCCTTTGTCGTGTATCTAGTGAATCTGGGGGCGTTAACAAGGATCGATCTATTGCTTTCATTCAAAAAAGTTCGATTTCAAGGCATCTTATGCTTCTTTTGTAAATGCTAAGAGAATTGCATATGCGGTCGGTCGGCCACGGGCACTGCACGAGGACAGATTGGGCACTGGCACTAGGTTTAATATAGCTCTGAAGCCCTGGCCAACAGATTGACCCATTATCTCAAACCTGTTGGTGTTGGTGAGCCCATGTATAAACTGGCATGCGGCGACTACAAGCCACATTCTAGTACGAAACAGCAAAATTTTCAGTGCAGAATGAGAAGCTCTTCAAATAAACCACGGTATACTTCATGAGCCATACTACACACGCCTAAGTCTCTGCGCGGATAATTATTGTCCATCAGGTCACGGACTACACCAATGAAACAGTGACATGTAGGCTGCATATGTGCCCAAAAGCAGGACCCTCAACCCACCCGCAAAGATTCCTAGGTTAACAAGCACTGACCATAGAGAAGAAGTGAACTGCACGTAGACCCAATTGTCAGAGTTCACTCCCCTCGAGTTCGGTGAGTTCGGTGCTTGGCAGGCGCACTTGGTGTAGTTGGCACATTCTACGTTTGGTTGCGATGAGCCGTCAGTTGGAATTGAAAGTCTCCTAAGAGCAGTCACTGTATTGCCAGTATCCATCGCACCTCCTACAAAACACACTGTCCTTAGCTCTGCGTCTCTGGGTAATGATCATTCCAGATGGAAGGTGCCTTTGGGAGGTGTGTGATTCATAGCAAGCTTGAGATGATCCAAGTCTAATGCTCTTAGATATCTCTCTTCCCCCTTGTTCACCTTCACAGTTGGTGCCAATAAGAAGGAAGTGACCGTGCACTCTCTTGCACTGGCAGGGCTTTCTGAGAGCTTAAATGCTCTTATCAATGGTAACATGATCGAGGCAAAAACTAGACACGTTGACTGGTCAGAGGTCGATGTAGACACATTCGCTCGGTTATGTGAATTTGCCTATCTCCGCAACTACACGCCCCCGTCTTTTCGCCTGATCGATGGCAAGTCTCCTTCCACGAAGGCCCTACAACCCGCGAAGAAAAAGAAGAAGAGCAAAGAATTTCGCTCTTTTGTGACCTGGGACGAGCCCGTACCGGAGCCTTTTCCTGAACCCGAACCCGAGCCCGAGCCCGAGCCCGAGCCCGCGCCTGAGTTTGTGCAGGAGGCCCCTCTACCTGAAGAGGACTTCTGGGACGACCTGGAAATTCCCTATAAGGAAAGAAGCGTCTGGACTGGACATTTACGCGATGCATTTGTAGGCGCCCTGGTGGTTCCGAGTCCGCAAAGTGGCGACTTGGACTATACTTTCACAGCACCTGAAAATACCGGGTCTTGGGAAGACTTTACCCCGGTGTTTCTCGAGCAAGCCCGACTGTATGTGCTGGCGGACAAATATGGCATTGAACCACTGTGCCACATGGTCCTTTCCAAATTGCATCAAACGCTGAAAAGCTTCAAGCTTTATGAAACGGGAGTGGGTGGTATCATTGAATTTGTTCGATTTGTCTACTTGAACACACCGCCAACTTACGGGCATAAGGTTGATTCATTGAGAACTTTCGTAACACGTTATGTTGTTTCTGTTCTTGGTCAAATTGGTGAGAATGAATGTTTTCAAGAACTTTTAGAAGAAGGTGGACCTTTCGTCTCTGATTTCTGGCACATCATTTGGAGTGTTGAGAAAGCATCTAGCGCATGAAATGAATGTGATATCTTCATACCTGCTTTATAGCAATTGCGACGGGATCCTAATCAGGAAGTATATGTTCCCATATCAAAAGCAAAAGGAGTAGAATTTCCAATACTCCAAGGATGGCCTGTTGATTTAAATGAATCTGGAGTCTATGGGAATCCTTTAAGATCGAAATGTATAAATAAAGCTCCGCTGAACCTGCCCAGGAGGCCGAGGCCCACTCAGTTCGGTTCCAACTGGGATACCTTATTACGGTTTGTGCTTTTTTTTGCTATCATGCGAATCGCCACTCTTAATTGCTTATATTCTGATATTTGGGGGAAATACCTGACCGTCATCGACTGTGTTAGCAGCATTGAAAATGCTTTGACACTGTAAACTTTTCGCACGTATGTTGTGGCGTGAGATAAGAGGCTTAGAGCTTTACTCTATATACGCAAAGAAGTTTCATCTCTAAAGTTATCACATATCATGTCCAACCTACACTATAACTTTGATTTTATTAATTTGTATCATACCCTCATCGCCATATCACCTTATAGTCCACTTTCACTGGCAAAATTCAATATCATTAGTACTAACAGCGTCAAAAACTGCAAAACCGGGGTATAGTAAGTTACTAGAAACACAAAACAAAAATTACTTCTTCCTAACAGCAGGAACAAGCATCCTCCCAAGAACTTCCCTCTCCTTCTGCAAAACCATCAACCGCGCATCCTCAATGACCTTCCCAGCAGGCGCAGAAGCCGGTAAAGCAGTCTGCGCAGTCAGCGCAGCCCCAACCACTGCCGGACTAATCGGCTTCGCAGCTCGCGCTCTCTTCCTCCTCATCCCAGGCCCGGATCCATAAACAACAACCCATTCGCCAACTGATCCGCCGGCAACTTCACACGCAGAGCATACTTTCGCATGGGACCCGATGTCCGCTCCGCGACGGATAATCGCCAATGCTTCGATTGTTGCGGATGAGTGGATATGCACTCCTGGTTCGATGGTAGAGGATGGGCCAATTGTCACAAAGTATGAGATGCGGATCATGAATTCTTTCTTGGGGGTGGGGGTTGATTCGGTTGGACTTTGAGATGGTGATGGTGAGGTAGATCGGCTTGATGAAGTTGGCGGGGCTCCTATCGTGGCTTTTTCACTGATTATGCAGCCATCGCCGATTACTATGGGGCCTTCGAAGGCGTAGAATTTTGCGCGGGGGTGGATGACTGTGTTGGCGCCGATGGTCACTGGGTATATTCCCTGGAAGACGACGTTGTCGGCGATTGTGGCTGTTGGGTCGGCTTTTAGCGGTGCTTTTGGTGGTCCGGAGCTGGAGGAGGAGGATCGGTGGGTATTTGTTGGTGGTTTGAGGGTCGCCATTTTATTTGTTGTTTATCTTCGAGGTTGTATTTGCGGAGGGTCTATCGATGGTGATATGGGGTGGTCTTATTTTGGAGCTATCCCATGCCGCTTTTGCAGATGTGCTCTTAGTCAGCCACATGAACTCCAATATATCAAAGCAGCGTCATGAACAAACCAGATGTGGCCATGTATAGATTCAAGCATGTGATATTATTTTCACAGGTTGCAAAGGTTCGAAATCTTGTTTGTATTCGATTTGGGTATCAAAAAGCCTCAAATACAATCTAATGGAACATCATAACAACCTTATTCTTCTTCAGTCTCCCGCTTAATACCATTTCTCTTCCTCCAAGCCCTCACCCCACGATCGACCTCCTCCCTCGTCATCCCATTCCGCACCAGACAAAACGTAACCCCCAACTCCGTCTCCACATTCCGATTCCGCGCCTCATCATCGAAGAATAGCATATCCTCATACGCAACCTCGCTCGTCTGATGAATCTTCGCAAAGTGCGACGTCTTATTCCCAGGGAAGATCTGGATATGATCGAAGTAATCGAGCGCGCGAATGGTCTTCGCATTCGCAGCAGGGTTATCGGAGAAAGTAGGGATAATGTGTAAGGATTTGAGCATGTCACGCGCGAGATCGGGGGCTTGGGTACGAGACGCAAGGGCCAGTGGGATCGAGCGGTGTTTGCAGGCATAGACGATAGATGAGACTGCGGGGTAGAAAGCGAATGATTCTCCCCATCTGAGTGTGTTAGAGGTCCGGGTTGGATTTGTCAAGGTGAAGCAGGTATCATACCGATCTACGGCGCGCGAGTTGTTATCGCGTGCCTTTACGGGGGCGCTAACGTGCGTGTCTACCCAGAACGGCCAGAGAGTGTAGTCCAGATCGAAGGCGATCAGTTTGGGTAGGGGAAGGCCATCTGTGAATGTTTCTGGGGAGACAGAGGAGTCCTCTAGAGGTTGAGTGTTTTGGCGCTTTGTTCGGACCATTTTGTAGAATTGTCGAATCGATGGATGAGTCGAAGAATAATCGAAGGATTGAAGAAGAAAAGAAAGAACTGAACCATGGAGCGTTGGCGCGTTGGACCTTGGGTTGGATTACGGAATGCCAAGAAATTAACCATGATTGCGGCCACTTGCATATAATTCTTATTTCGACTGCATTTCTATCATGTCAACGGAGTTGACTTCATCCTGTGTGTCTTGTCGACAGAGAAAGGTGAAATGTGATCGGCTACAGCCATGTAGCAACTGCTCCAAAGCTCAAGTCATATGTGTTCCGAGTGTACCTGTTCCACCTCGTCGGCGGAAAGGTTACGCATTATCGGAAGATGAAGTGCATCGTCGGCTTCGGCGCTATGAGACTTTGTTGAAAAGCTATGCAGCACGCATTGCCGAGCTAGAAAGCCAAGGGAATGCCCAAAAATCAAGTGCTGCCCTTCCTAGTCCCGAAACTTCATTCTCGGTACAGTATGTATAATTAGCATCTGCACACACATGTATAGCTGAGCTGATGGGGATAGTAACTTGTGGCTTTCGCTAAGCGATGATTATCTCGAGGAAGTCTCTACAGAACATGAGGAGTTACCTGTGAAATGCTTGCCTACTGACTCGCCCGAAATATTGCCCGGAGATACTAAACTCGGTGTCTCATTTGGATTATACTCATCCACTCAAAATATGGCCTATCTTCATCCTCCGCCAGCACATATCTTTAAACTATGGCACATCTTCCTTGACAACGTGCACCCACTGACAAAAATTGTTCATGCTCCGACTCTTCAACCTCAGATTCTTGAAGCCAGTCTCGACATGACCCAAGCTCCTAGGGCTCTAGAGGCTTTGATGTTTGCAATCTATTTCTGTGCTGTGACTTCTCTCGACGAGACCCAATGCCAACGCGGATTCAATGAAACAAGAAGCGAACTACGCTCACGTTTTCACGGCGCCACCATGGGCGCTCTAATGAAGGCTAACCTTTTCAGCACCTCGGACATTGTTCTTTTGCAAGCTTCAATCCTATTCATAATGGGTGTTAGTGGCTCCTGTGATCCTGGGGAGCTTTGGGTTATGCTTGGAACAGTCATACGCATTGCCCAACGGTTACGCCTCCCAGAAAAAGCAGTCTCTTCAAGGATTCCCGTGCTAGATGCCGAAATAAGTCGACGGATTTGCTGGCAACTTAGTCTCCTCGATGCGCGTGGCGCAGAAATATATGGCGTGCGGAATACTGGGATCATCAAATATGGCTTGACCCCGCTTCCTCTGAATGTCAATGATAGTGACATTTGCAAGAACACTTTAACCCAGCCCCGTGGCCAGAGCGGAGCAACTGAGATGATGTTTTTGCTTTTGAAATACGAGGGTGCCAATTTCGTATGTCAATCGGACGCTATGTCACGCTACGGGGGTAGTTGGGTCACTCTGTCTAGTCATGCGGTTCCCATTCAAGAAAAGAACAATGTTATCAGCGAGCTTGAGTGCCTTCTGGAAGAGAAATACTTGAGGTTTTGTGACCCCACAATCCCACTGCATCAGCTGGCTATCCTCAGAACACGCCTAGTACTAAATCGCATGAGGCTGACCACTCGCCATCCCCGTCGCCGTCTCACTGGCGAGTCTCAATTATCACCAGAAGAGAATATTGAATTTGTTAAACTCTGTTTGGAGATTCTCGCAGACGATAACCTGCTCCACACAACACCGGAGATTAAAAAGTACCTATGGCATATCAGCTGTCATTCTCACATCGACGCCATTGTCTACCTTCTAGGCGAGCTTCGTGAACATCGCATTCCCGAATGGGAAGAAACTACTTGGCTGAGGATAACAGCCGTTTTTGACCACCATCCTGAAATGATTTCGTCTCCCGATGATCATTTGACCAAGGCTTTGTCACAGCTTGTGCTGCAAAGTTGGGGCAGCAGGGAGCAAAGAGCGGGCTTATTGACCAACCTCCCTTCGTGTATAGCAAGACTACGCCAGCACTTTGTTACTGATTCACATCGCTCCTCTGCAGAAAGCTATAATATTGATACGAGCCTTCCTTTTCCTGGGGAAGAAGGGACTGCTCACCTACATGTTTCGGATTCAGTTGAGAATCTATTGGACACTTTATCTATGCCCGATTTCTCTTCGACTGATGGGTTCGCTGCAGTTGACTGGGACTATTGGAACTCGTTGCTCGGAGAGGCTTCAAATGGGATATAAATTTCAAATATACCTAGGTATGTTTTGAACCCAATATCTGTGAATTAGTTCTATTGTGTTAATATGCTTATTGATATTCTCTTTGTCTACGCTTTTGGTCGTTAGTTTGCCTTTTTTTCAGGGGAGTATCTCGGCCCCTAAAGACGCCTGCGAAGGTGCATAGCGGCTAGGGATCGGATTGAACTATTGCTGCCTGACATAAGGCAGATAGAACTTCGAATACTTAAATTACTATAACAGAGACTATAGTTAAATAGAGAGGTGAAAAAGAGGTAAACCAGAGCTCTAAGGGATCATAATCGTGATAATTTATAGAAAGTTAGCCCGCCGCTATGTACCTGCGCAGGCGCTAAAACTTCCCCACTAGGCTTCGGGGCCGAAGGGTTAATTCAGCCGTATTTTCGTGGCCGAGACGAACTCGGGAGACTTATACACATAAATACGCCGGCAAGCATTCACTTCTCGACCCATGAGTTCATTTCTTGGGTCATTCGCAAATAAACTCTTCGATAATTTATTGTCACACGCCGAACCATGTCTACAGTCCTAATTGTCGGCGCCGGACTAGCAGGCCTAGCACTGGCCCAGGCTTTAAAAAAGCACAACATACCGTTCAAGATTTTTGAAAAAGATGAACGCCAGGATTTCCGGGCTCAAGGCTACAGACTTCGCATCGTTCGTGACGGAATTCTTGCACTGCAGTACGCCCTGACGCCGGAGCTTTGGGCCCTTTTTGAAAAAACAACTGCTGCTTTCGACCCTGCTGTCCCTGGAGCACGCCTTGATGCAATTTCGGGAGAGCCGCTTGCTGCGCCTTCATTTCAGGGTGGTAAACCACAGGGCATGCAGAATGCCATGTATGGTGATATGCAGCCGTACACGGTCGACCGGGCGACTATGCGAGAAGTTTTGCTGACGGAATTGGATGATGTTCACTTCGGGAAAGAATTCAAATACTACGAGACGAGCGAAGACGAGGTTGTTGCCTATTTCGGTGATGGAAGCTCTTACAACGGAGCTCTTCTGGTTGGGGCTGATGGAGTGTGGTCTCGCGTTCGGAAACAACTTCTGCCTAACTACTCTTTGATCGATACAGGTATGCGAATCATTTACGGCAAGACACCTATTACGCCAGTCTTTGAGAAAAGCATCGCGCAAAGCCTGCTAGCTGGCATGTCGTTGGTCCGTGATAAAGATACTCTCGCACCGAAGACGATGCTTCTCGAGGCGATCCGTTTCCCTCAGGCAGATACCATCTCGGAATTCAAGTTGCCCCATGACTATATGTATTGGGTCTTGGTCATCAACAAGGACCTTTGCGCCCTTTCTGAACAGGGCGGGTCTAGCATGGATCACGCCCAGACCGCCGAACTTTCACTGTCACTATCGAAAGATTGGGATCAATCTGTGCGTGCTCCACTGGAGTATCAGGACATGCTAGAGTCGTCTATTTTGCGCATCTTCTCTGCAAACCCCGATATGCCAGCATGGGAACCCTCTCCTAAGGTGACGCTTCTTGGCGATGCCATCCATGCAATGCCTCCTACTGGCGGGATGGGTGTGAACACGGCACTCCGTGGTGCGGGAGATCTTGCTCGAAGAATCGTCGAAACACGCCTTGAGGGTACCAATGCCGATCTTATTGCTCAATATGAAGAGGATTTGAGGGTATTCGCTCGTGGGCCTTTGGCATTGAGTTGGCAAGGGGGGCGGATGGCGTTCAATGCGAAGCCGATTGAGGAGTGTGAGGTGATTTCTATGTAGTTTATGAATTTGATGATTAGAAGTGTCATAATCTCTCCTTCCATTGAATGCCATATTAAAAGCCCACGTCTATTACAAGGTGTATATCGGGGATATTGATGACCCACGCTTACTAGATGTTAATTTCTGGAAAGAGTGGTCCCCACAAGCTCCCGATGGGATGAAACCGGGCACTATCGAGTTGGAGGCTGTGTACACCGAATCGCTGCTTGTGTTGTTTTCAGTCCCGGTAGAAATTTGGGTGCGAAGCGATATAGCCGCCAGGGGTCAATTACATTTGATTTCCAGTATTGTATACCTGTTGATGCTTTATACTAGACTGCTTCATAACATCATTGATTAGATCTCTTTTTACGTTTTTTTTTACCCTACCTAGACATTCGCTATTCAGGATCAAGTCTATAAGCTATTATCTCGCTATAGTACTAGCGGTAAACACGTGAAATTGTATGGTGGGAATAATTTGAATCATTGATCAGCCTCTGCTTAATCGGATCTTGGGAATAAGAAATACATTCAGCGAGTTATTGATCCAAGAACAGCAATGCCGTCTCCAGCTCCGATTGGGCCACTTGCCATCTCCTAGTAGCAAATCTGGAGTGATTCAAAAAGCAGGAGCAAGGTTCGAAACATTCAAGATCCCTCAAGCATCCTCCATATCTGCATCCGCATTAAAGGACAAGTCTGACTCGCTAGAGTGCTCTTGCCTGTGACGTGAGGATCGCTTCGAAGACGTGGGTGACATCTTGGCAGCCTGCTTGAACATGTGAACAAGAAGGCCAAGGACTTGCTCGTACTCATAAGACCAGACAAGCACAAACCGTTGACTCCACTATCGACTGTTAGAATGAGGCTCTTTGAAGTAAGGTGTATCTGAGAGATGCTTACTGTGCCGTCATCATTGATCTTGAGGAAATGAAAGCCCTGCGAATCCACGGACACACCATGAACACGACAATGGAGTTTTTCTGCTTCAAGTCTTTTTTTATGCACGCAAGCTTTCAAACAATTAGCTTGCTTTTCAATTATAGTAATCACAAGGTACTTACCCATATATGCGAGCGCTTGGGGCAGGCCATTAGAGGACGCGTCCGCACGCTTAGCCCCGACCACAACGAGGTTCAAGGCATCATGCTGCGGGTCGCCATACCATGCCCCATAATCAGGGCGGCCCAAGAGCACATATTCCTTACCTCTGTGCTTCACAGAGGTATACTTCCACGTCTTTTCGGCTTGGATGCTGATAGTGTTGACTTGTTGGTCGCTGAGCGAAGCGGCTGCGATCTCGTGTGCAAAGATAAGGAGGGAATCGATTGTCATGCGAACGATCGCCTCATTTGCAGGGCTGCGAGCAACGGCATTCTGGATTCTGCGAAGTATGCTCACTAGCTAGAGTTAGCTTAACACTTTGTATGCGTATTGAGTTGACTTACTGAGTTCTGTTGGCATGGTCACCGGGGGTACAATCCACAGTTCCTCATCATCAGTCACGAGTCTGAGATCAAACATAGTTTGAACGTCAGAAAGGTGGAGTGATGATATTTGAAGCGATGGAAGTTTCACTTGGCGGGCGTCTTTGTCTTTGGCGGCTTTGACAAAGTTCTCAAGGTCTTTCAAGCTGGCGGAACGATCAATAAACTGTTGTATCAGTGCTACAGCAGATTTGAGAGAAGGAGCCATATCGAAAAGATCAAGGACTGAGGTAAGAGACCGGTTGAGAGAAACAAAGTACGTCAGGTTGATCGGGATACTAAGAGGAATTGTGTCGATAAGTAAATGGGATGATGGAGAGGGAATAGTGAAGGGAAGACAGAATTATGGCTGACAGATGGGGAATGAAAGATGGGAGATGAAAGATGGGAGGTGTAAGATGAGAAGTGAAAGATGGAAAGAAGAAGAGGGCGGCCACCAACTTAGAAAGGTAATTTTATACCACGCATGAAAAGGGATATGCATGTAGGGCTCATAGAAATTTATAGGTACCTGTCAGGCATATACAAGTTTGCTGAAGAATCAAGTACTGACTACTTCTATCAAGTGTGTTGGTTCCTGGTACCAACCATGGAACCAATTGACTCAACTCAACCTTGATAAGTACATATATAATATTTAATTTTGTACTCATTAGTTCCATTTCCAGATCATTTACAGACATACTCTTCGATAACTTGTTGCCCCAAACCGAACCCTATCTACAGTCCTGATTGTCGCGCCGGTCCAGGTGGCCTAGCACTCGCGGCATAGAACATGCGAGTCATTTTGATCGATCAGATAGTTCAGTCTTGCTGTCGTCGATTTCTATATATATTGTGTAGAATGGTTGATTGGATATTTGCTGCTGATTCATAAGCATCCTAGGCCTTTCATGTAGCTCTTATATCTAGATAATGAATGAGGTCGAACTTCAACCTCTTAAGGGTCCACACGGGGTGAACCTAGTTTCAAATAGCGACGAGACGAGAAGTCGAAAACATATGCACTCTTTTTAAGCAAGCACAATCAATTGTTCAAAGAACTGAAAGACATAAACAAAGAGAGTCCGGATTACGTGGAAAGAGAGTTTCTAAGTTTAACAGTGCTTTGGTTTGATGAGTGTTCTAGGGACACACATATTTAGAACAAGTGAGACATTCTTTTACCAGTAATGTAGCTCGTTAACCTTAATGGTATCTTATATTGATGGCTATCCCGCGCTCGAAATTCAAGCCGGCAATATAGAGTAAGACAGGCGGCATATTCCCCCTAGGTCTCAATATCGTCCATACCGTCCGCAAAACAGGACCTTATTAATATTTGTGATGTATAAAAGAGAGTCAAACCTCATCAATCATCTGATCCGCAATTCTGCACCTAGATAAAATCAATAATATCCTTAAACTCCTTGACCATATCAATGTCGGCATCATTCCAGTCAGCATTCAAGTCCAACCAGGTGCGCATTACTGGAAGATCGGGCTGCTCGGGATCAAGTGCTATCTCCTTGAAATGCTTTGGAGATTCTGCTTGGAAATGAGAATCAAAGGGGGTTCGCTTGAGCCGTTTGCTGTCCTGATATTCATCTTCACTCGCTTGTCGTTTCAGATGGGGTTCCTCTGGGCTCGTGAGGGAAATTGTACTCTGCTCGGGTGTAGTAGGCTCTGGCTCTGCATTCTCAATGCTTGTAGCTTCTGGGGTTATGTCATGCCCAGGTGTAGTGGGCTCTGGCTTTGCATTTTCGTTTTCAATGCTTGTAGCTTCTGAGGGTGTATCATCTGATATTTCGATTACCTCAGGTTGCGTCTTGGGAGTGCTTGGCTTGCTTTTTTTCACTTGGATGTTTGTTTGGAAAACAGGTAACTCAGGGCTATCAGTGTTCTTCTTGTCGGTAGAAACAGGTACAACATCAGCACCATTGTTCATTGCCTGGATGCTCGTCATCGGAGATGGTAATCTTGCAAAGCTTGATCCCGTTTTTCCGAAAAGCTGCGAAGGAGATATCAGCTCATCCAAGCTGTCATCGCCATAATCACTGGAGAAGGGCTTGGGAGTTTCTGGTCTCTTTTTCTTGATGGGAACGTTTTTGTCTTTTTCCAAAAGGACAGAACTGACTTGGTTCAAAGGCTTCTTTCCAGGTTGTGGAGTTGAGGTTTTGGTCTTCGAGAAATTTTCAGAATTCTTAACCTCAGTAGTACGTTGGTTCCTCTCATGAGCACCTTCATTAGAGCCAATTGCTGGGGTCTTGGTAATACTGGCAGAGATAGTCAGTTGATTGAGACCATCTTCCTTCTGAGTTCCAGGGAGAGCCCGCTTCTTAGGCTTTGGAGGCGGTTTATCCAAGCCTTCCCGGCAACAGAAATGCTTGCAACTGCGAGCGTTAGCTATCTCTGAGCCCAACGGAGACACCGACCAACCTCGTCTTGTCTTTGCATTTGTGGTTGCAAGCCCATTTGCCATTCGCAAGCCGAATCGGCTCGTATTCCCCATCGACTTGTTCGCCCAATTGAGCGGCCCAGTCATCTTCGCGAGGATTTGGGGCCTTGGATACTCCTTTGGGTGGACTTGGGCTCGTTGTAGCGATTGACAGCCAGTCCGAGTCATCTAGCTGGACAACTTTTGGACGTGAAGAGTGTTTCACTTTGTCGCGGCAGTCACCGGTAGCGAGGAAGTCATCAAGTTCCAAGTCATCGCCATCAAAATCGTGCAATTCCCGAGGAGATTTGAAAATGCTATTGCTCCTTTCTGCAACACGAGGATGAGAGATGCTGGTCCTGGGTTCCTCTGTGTGTTTGGGTTTATTTATAGTAGTGAAACCATGAGATAGACGGGGTTGATCCACCAAGTCTTGAGAAACAAGATTTGTATCTCTCACTGCAGCAAAAGCATGGGAAGGCAGATTGGGGTTGAGCTCAGCTTGTCTTGACGTCCCAGCTGTATGATCGTTGGTAGTCAGAGACTCGACAATAACAGAAACCCAGAGAAGTCTTACTTACCAATCTCATCGCACATGACATGACAGAGGACTGATTGATCCGAGTTTGTCATTTCCGAGCTGAGTTCAATCTCCAGAAGACCTTGAAGCTTACTCGCACTTCCACTCCTATCAGCCATTGGACAAACCACAAATTCTCCAGACACTGACCTTGTGCGTCTGAAGTCAATCATCTGCCCATCAGATCTCTCTATCAAACAACAAACATAGACCGGCCGATGCTGAAAGAAAGCAGGATTCTTATCATTCATAAACGCCACCTCGACCTTGAACTGGACATTGACAGAATCAATATTGACTTCCTATATCTCATCAGCAACACTCAACAATCATCCCACTAGATTTCACCACAAACCTTGCCAAGCATCTTGATTCCGACCCTCAATTTCGGAAACTCTTTTAATCTCGAAAGCAACTTCGCCCCGAATGGCGGATTCTTACTAAGTACCATCTCGATCTGATGAGCCTCCGCATATTCAAGTTCCTCGATGCTGGTAATACCAGCAGCAGCCAGTTTGCGCACTGTCACGACCCCAACTTGTTCGATCTGCTTTATCTGGAGGGGTGAGTGGTCCCAGACTCTGGCGCCGAAGCTGCGGGCGAGTTCTAGGGCATTACGAATACCGATTGAGTCGCGGCGCGCGATTTGACAGTCGATTAGGCAGCGGATCAGTCGATTGACGTGTGCGAATACGAGGGATTTATCTTGGTTGAATGTGAACTTGTGTTTTTGGAGTTGGTCGCTGTCTGGGTATTCGATGGCTCCTAGCTCTGATTGGAGCAGGAGTGAGATCTTGTGCGCGGGGAGGGCTAGGTCAACTCTGATGGGGAAGCGTATGCCTGGATCACCATTTATTTCTCGGTAGAGGTTTTTCTCGTTGGCTTTTAGGCGGATTTCGTGGAATTCCTCGGCTTGGGAGATCACGTTGAGCTGAAATGTGTTAGCCGCTTCGAGGGATAGGTGTGAAGGGATACACTTACTGTTTCACATAGGGTTGCTTTTTCTTTCAATCCCAATAGAACCTTCATCGTCTCGAATCGAACATAGTACCGAGCCATAGCTTCACCAAACTGTGTCGAGGAAAGCTTGTCGAGCTCAACCAAACCACATTCCCGAAGGTGACTGATATCCTTCTCACAGATATTCCGCAACAGTTCATCCTCGTCTTCCTGGTTTGCACCCTCTTTCAAGTTATAGTGTGTTGGGTTTCGACGCAGCCTCACAAACAAAAATGTCCCAGCAAGCCATTTGACAGCCGACTCGACGTCTGAAACATTTCCCAGTCCAATCTCTGCATTGAGATGATCAATCAGGTTCAAATGCAAGCAGCTCTCCAGACTTTCAGATCCCTGGACGAGTCTCTCGTAATGTCCGACACGGTCCTTCTTCGTGAGGATGATGGCCGTCGCATTGTCATCGAATTGAGGCCGTCCGGCGCGGCCGAGCATCTGCATCATCTCCAAATTCGAGTATTCCTTGCATCCGCCTTCTTGCCAGCTGACTGTGTTCTTGATTATCACCAAATGACATGGCAGATTCACTCCAACGGCAAGTGTGGACGTGCAGCAGATCACATTGATTTGTCCATCTCTGAATCCTATCTCGACAGTGTGGCGATCTGCTGGTCCTAGACCTGCGTGGTGGAATGCCACTCCCGCAGCAATCGTTGCTGCTAGCTATCAGTACTGTTTCATCTGCTCATGTCAAACGATTTACTTACTCTTAAGATCCTCATTGTTAGCGTCGAGCCGCTTCTGAGGTCCCTTCCAAAGCCTAGCTGGCGGGTTTGTCAACGTCCAGAGACGAGCGAGCTCCTTTGCCGTCGCCAACGATGAGTTCCGAGTACAGCAGAAAACCATAATAGGTTTCTGTGCTGAATGCAGTCCAATCACCTCAGGCAACCTTATTCCTAATTAGTATCACTTCATCCAAAAAATATGCCAAACACATACTTTGCTCCACAGACTTTGTCAAATGAAAACTCATTCATACTATACGGATACCCATAAACGACCTTCTTCAGGGTAACAGGCCGAAACTCCTCACCGAAATGTTCACGATGCGCAGGAACATGCTGGTTCGTCGCATCCTTCCCGAGCCAAGTAGCGATATCTTCAGAATTGGGCACTGTAGCGCTCAACGCCACGAATCTTACGTTCGATCCGATATTTTTCATCCGAGACACCACCGCCTCAAGAGTCGCTCCGCGCGTCTCTTTCAGGATATGCACTTCGTCAATGAGAAACAGCTTGACCAGTTGCATCAGCTTCATATGGTCTTTCCACTTCCGAGTCATGCTATCCCACTTCTCGGGCGTGGTGATGATGATCTGGCTGCTTTGCACACTGCGCAGTTGCGTGTGATCCGTGTCGCCGGTCAGCTCGGCGCATTTGAGATTCAGGCTTGAGAATTTGGGGTGCCAGTCTCGGAAACGTTCGCTGCAGAGAGATTTGGTCGGTGCTTGGTAGATGACTTTGAAGCGCTCGTCTTTGAGGACGTTGAGGAGGCGGCAGATGGCTAGTTCCATGAGAACTGTCTTGCCGCTTCCTGTTGGTGCTGAGAGAACGATGTTATCGTTGCTGTTGTAGACAGCGTGGAATGATTTGGATTGGACGGCATTGAAGAGAGGGAAGGGGAACATTGAGCGGTATTTCTCTGGTATATCGTTCACTGATACGAGGACGATCCCGCGTACTGAAGGTGGAATGTTGCCAAACAGTTTCCCCTGTCTGTTCCCTGTGATATCGCGATTCAAATGAGGTGTCGATTCCAGCGGCGAGGTTTGAGTAAAATCAGGATACGGATCATGATTGGTCTCGAGACTAGACTGTCCAATCCGAGAGGGATTATGCTTAGGCCGAAAGAAGGCTAAGGGACTGGATGGCAATCCTGACGAAGGATCTGACGAGCTGGATCCATTACCGCGGGATGTCGTGATACTTGTAAGTGCTATTACTTGTCAACTCCAATATATTCTGAACCATTTGATCAGCTTGGCAACTCACGATCAAAGAAGCGGGAGAACTGCGGTGGTTGGGTATTTGGCTGATGAGATGCTTGACGCGGAGTAGATCTGGGGAATCCAAGCCGTGCCTCTTGAATTGCTTCGTCAATTGCGTCTTCCCTATCCTCCGAAGCTAGCAGTTCCAAGTCTCGGAGCTCATCAGTACTGTCCTAGTAATATCACGAGAAACTCACCGAAAGCATCCAATTGTACATCTCCATGATGGCCAGATGATGCAAGTCCATTAAAGGGCTTTCCAGGAGATGGACTACTATATTGTGGGTTCTGGGAACCTTCAACGAGTCTCTGGTCGATGATACCGGTTCTGCTACTCTGGGATGGGGAGGAGTGGTTGAGGGCATTGTTGCGCCTCGGGGAGGGCGCTTGAAACGGTTTGAAGCTATGATTCTGATGACTTCTTCTCATATTGAGATATTTTCATGGAGAATAATGGAAACCGGTGATGGAATCTACAGCAGCCAGCGAGTTCAATGGTTGGATCCCGTGACGGCACGTGGATTCACTGCCTGAGCAATAGATACATGTAAGCAGTAATGTGTGAGTTTGCAGCATTCAAAAGATCAAGATCTATCTTCTGGGGTATATCAAAGTATTTCATTGCTTCGTATATATGCATACATGAGCCATGAGCCATGAGCCGAAAACCATCGCCATCCGAGGACGAGCAGGGAACAGCGAGCCCGGTCCAGTATGAGCAACAGCTGTGAATGTTACAAAATGCGGGTGGCAGTTCGGCGTTTGTTTCTGTTCTATCAGACATCCAATATCATTTCCTGTAAGACGTGTCGATACACAGGCGAGTGATGATGTGCAGCGAGCAGAGAGTCTGGAGCAATCATTTATCGTCGAAGTAGTTGGCCCCACTGGCATTTCGGCTGGAGCTTACTCTGGTGTGGCCTGGTGCTGGGGAGGTGGGACGGGATGAGGACATGCCGTCGGAGAGGAATGGGCTGGTGGGGAGTTTGATGGAAAAGTCGTCAGGTGGTGCTACTGGTGAGCCCTCTGGGCCTCCCATGTCCTTTTCGTAAGCATCGATGTGGATTGGGGGTGGGCGCGAAGCTCCTGTCGCTGGGTTATAGGTGGGGTTTCCATAGTAATGTGTTGCTACCAGGACCGCAGCGGATCCTAGGAGGAACTATGATGTCTCGGTTAGGCTGGTTCAACATGCGAGGGTCGATACTAAAATTCAGGGAATGGTGGAGGGTTGGGATATGCAAGGGACGTACGCTTGCAGTGATTTCGAAGTCAAAGAGCCAGATACTTCCAACAATGCTGAGGATGATGTTGGCGCTTGTGGCCAGACTCCTTGCGTCTTTCTGCGCATGGCTCGCGTAAAATGCTGACACAATACCACCCAAGGCATGGATGACAATGGTAGACCACACCGCCCAATTGTAGCCTTGGAAGAAACCGTCTTCGGCGATTTTCTCACCGTCACGGAAAACAATTCCAATAAACAAAGCAGGGAAGACGGAGTACACAGCCAATTGCACGTTCCGAACCCACAAAGAAATATGGTTCGAGCTGTCCTTCAGTACTTTCTCGAAATAAATGCTCCCAAGTCCGGAGGCCAGAGACGCTCCAACAGTCGCAAGAAGACCAATTGTGGGGTTTAAATGCGGGTCAGCGGTCAACAGGTCCTCTTCGATACCCTCGTAGGTTGCAGACCGCTTGTGCAAACTACTACCAGACCCTTGCTTGACTGCCTTCCACTCATGCAGCGATCGAGGGAAATGGTGGCTCGCATGGTCATCCTGCAACATCTGCTCGGAGCTCGCATCGGGAATTTGCACCAACGCCACACCAACCACAAGAAGTAGAAGCAAGCCCCACTTGCGGGCGGGGATACTCCGTTTCAGAAGCATCAGACCAAAGACCGCGGTTGTGAGGAACTTCAGCTGGAACGTCACCTGGAAGCTTGCAGCTCGTAGGTTCGACAGCGCAATGTATAGGAGGGAGTTTGACAGGACGTCCAGACTAGCGGGGATGGCGAGTTTCCAGCTATCACCTGAGAAGACCGCGCTCGTGAGGGAGAAGAAGAGTGATGTGGCAGGCATGGAGGGTGGTGCGGCTTTGGAGACGTCATAGAGAGCCATTGTGAGCGAGATGGCCAGCTTGACAACCTCGACTAAGAAGACTGCCGTGGAAGTGAGGTATCGCTTTCCACCGGCGGGTGGCATGACTTGAGAATAATGAGCTAGCTGAACATCGCGAAATCAAAATTAGCCATTACTCGGGAACAGGGGATCTCACGTAGAATAACAAAACTTACCAACACAAACACTGTTGACTCCGCAGTCACCTACACGAACACCCCAAGTCAGTTGCAGTCCCGAAGTCATAACCAGACAATTTATCCAAAGTGCGTACCAAAATCCATGGCGCAAAATTAGCGACAGCTCGTAGCCCCGAGGGCTTACGTTGTGCGCGATCGCCCATGACGTTGCCGAGGTCGCGTGTTGTAAACAGTGTTGGCAAAAGGGGCGAGCAGCAATCTCTGCGCAGCGCAAGTAATTATAAAAGATCAAAGAAGGAGCGACAAGTGCGTAGAGCGCAGACTCAAACTGTAGTTCACTCGCAAACCAGGGGGGAACTTGGTTCGATCGCCTAAGGCCGACGTTCAGGGCTCGGGTTGATCACGGAGAACGGGTGGCTGGAGAAAGTGGCTAACTCGATCAGCTACAAAGCACTGAAGATTCGAAGAAAAAACAACTTCAGTCTCTTCAGTCCAATTCAGCACCAATGGTCAACGTAGGGAATCAACAGCTCAGATTAAATCTGGGGTTATGATCGGGCGGTGTGTGGATCACGGGCCCATACTTGGATTCGGGCATCGAAGCTTCACATCACACCGTCCTACGATGACGTCGCTTGTCCCAGCCAGGCCCACATTGTCTCCATTGTATCCGCTATTCGTCAATAGTGTCGTTCATCCTGATCTTCGCCCGGGCCTGAATGTGCGCTCGTTGCGTGAGCGCCAGTCGGCTTCTGCCCTGCTGGGCCCGGGTTATTGGGCTTGCAGCCAATGCATGTCAGCCACATATGTGCGACTCGGGGGGGGGGGTTGATTGTGTTGCTCATCGGAACAGTTCGCTACTTCACGAATGCGTTTTTTGTGGTACTTTAGCTATATTAAGCTCTGCGTTGGCTGGAGGTAGACAATGTACGCCGTAGGGCGCGTTCTGGCTGGGTGAACTGGTAAAGCAAAACCGTAGGTAAAGTCTGATTGTAATACCCGCAAATCAACGAATCTAGCCACCTTCTAGGTGGGTAGAAGTGTTTTCTACGAGATTTTTGTGGGTCATGAGCTGCAAAGCACTACACCCTTGCATTAAGCTACGTAGGTGGTTAAGACGCAGTCGACAAGTAAACAAATTGATAATCATTGAGGATATTATAATTGCAGTAAAATGTTTCCGAAATAGACATTGAAATGGTTGACAAAAGACGAAAACCATCGAAAACTTGATGGCGGGAAAGAAGCCCGCAGTCGAACGCTAATGCAAAATCAAGATATGAGAAGACATGGTCTAGAAACGTAAACAAGAAGGTCATAGGAGAGTAAGAGAAGACAGGTGTCTATGTGGTGGCTGTTTTGTGACAGCTCGAGGTGCGGTTTGTTGGCCCGAGATGCAAAGAATGCCGAAAGGCTGCTCGAATTGAGTATGAATGCCAGAGAAGAAGATAGGAAAACAAGAAAATAGTGAGTGAGTGTTGATCAAAGCCATCGAGGTTTAGTGCACGGTGGTGATGTTGGGGCCGAAATCGAAGGACCAGAGAGGAAGGCCGTGGTTGCGCGTCGGCTCGCCGCTGTCATCAATCATGATAGCTTCACTGCTATCTGTTCGGCGGCGGGTGTGCTGTTTCTGGTCTCCCGGGATGGCGGGGGGAGGACCTCTTGGGGGAGGCTTGGGGGAAGGCAGCGGGGAGAAACGATGGATTGGCAAAGTTGGTGTCAAAGGCGATGCACCACTTGTGGCAGGGGATGGCAGGCTTTCGGAGTAGTCTGCGTTGCTGAAGCCAGGGGAGGAAATGGCGGTTCCGGCCTTGTGCTCGTAGTATGAGCCTGAGGATGCTATGCCGTCTTTGTATTGGGCTGTGCTCTTGAGTGACTGGGCGTCGAATGGTGGGAAAACGTTGCTGAGACGCAGGAATGAGGTGTCGGATTCGCAGAATGAATCGCGGGACGGTCCTGAGATGACGGATTGCCTGTCTGCTCCGACAGCATTGAACAGACTAGGGGTGACTTTGCCCTTGCGGACGCGCATCGCCTCGAGAAGATCCTGTTCTTGGCGGGTGACTGCGATGTAACGGCTTCTGCGGTTCATCTCCTTCAACTCTGCTGGGGAGCGAAGAGGTTGTTTTGGGAATTGCGAGAGAATGTCCGGCTCGGGAATTGCTGGGACTCCACTTGAGCGGCGGGTTTGGGTGGTTCGTTTAGTTGCTTGGGAAGTTTTGCTGTTGTGGGAAGAAGACTGGGAGACCTTGCGTGGGCGGGGTACTGGAGCTGCTAGCTGACTCTGTTCGACTTGACGAGAGCTACGGCTGCCAGTTGATTGAGCCCGGTCGAAGCGTTTGGCAGCGGTGGCAGTAGTCGCCTTAGCAGTAGCTGCTGTGTAGATTTCGGGCTCAGATTCATCGTAGGTGCCCACGCTGTCTCTAAACTTGCTTTCCTTCCGCGTTGGCTCTGTGGTCGGTGTCCGATCCTCGTCCTCATCCTCCGATGAAGAAGAGAGACAGAGAATGCTGGTGTTGAGAAGATCCTTGTTCTTCAATGTACTCCGGCTTGTCTTCTTGGTCGCTGAGCTCTTCTGGCTCTTAGGTTTTGACTCGCTGGTTTTCCAGGACTCCTGAGAAGTACTGTTACCGCGAGCACGAGCCGAGTCCGGATGTGAAGAAGGACTAAGGTACATCTCCCTGGGCTGGGACGAAGGAGTGCGGGGACGCCTCGAGCTCTTGCGAGGATCCTGGGGGCGCTGCTGTTCGGGTTGCAACTTTTCTGGGCTTTCGGTGTATACACTGGAGCGGCTGAAGAGCGAACGCCGTCCTGCGTATCTATCGAGGGCCAGATCAATCTCGCTGGTTCCTACCGTCCGCTCGAGTGGCTGGTCAAGCCACCCGCTGTTTCTAGTCTCTGCAATGGATGGTAAATCCGAATCGTCGACACCATGCTTGCGGGGATCAACCTTGGTAACTGATGGGCGGCGGGGATGTGGGTCGACGTATCTCCTCGAGTTTGCATCGCTAGTAGTGCTTTTGATTCTGTCAAGCTTGTTGGAGGGATCTTCTGTAACGGCTGTAGACACAGAAGATGGAGAGTTAACCATTCTCTGCGGTGACAGAAGTGTTTGTGGAGCGGGGTGCCGTGGCTTTGGGAACAGAACAGAAAGATCAATCCTTGGAGGACGCATCTTTCGTTTGGATTCTTTTGGTGGTTCCGGGGCCTGGAATGTCACCTGGGGATCAATACCCAGCCCATGTCGTACTCTCGGCTGCAGAGCTTGGGTCTTGGCGGCTATCTTGGCTTCCTTAGATTCCTTGGAGCTGAAGTATGAGAAAAGATTCGACGAAGATCCGGTATGGTGGACCTTCTTCGAGTGTTTAAGCAGCGGCGGGGCATTCTCATGCAATTTGTATTCTTGGCCCAGCAGAGGCGATGAAGCCCGCACACGAAGATTGAGGTTGTGATCAGGATTGGGGAGGGTATCCGAAGAGCTCGGGAATGGGACAAAGCCGGGGCTCTGTCTGGGCGCACTGCTGGTTGGCTTGATATAGCTGGGTTGTCGTGTTTTCTGAGCCTCCTGCCACCCACTGTGCTCTTGAGGGAGTGTGATGTCGGTTCCGAAAAATCGTTGAGCTTTGGATATTTTCCGGTCTGAGGCTCCGAGGTTCTCTTGGCTCTCCGTTGGACCGTTTCGTGATGGGTTGCGACTCGATGTGCGAAGCGGGACGTGAACGGGGATGGTATCTCGGTGGCCCATGGTGGAAGAGAGCAATCAAGTGCTTCGCATGAATTCGTGTGTGACCCTGGAGGTTCACAGGCTTTGCGGAAATTATGAATCTGCGGTCACTCGGCGGGTCTCGGGTTTTAAGTATGCTCCACGATCTACACCGCGATTCAAATTAGTTCAGTTCAAGGGAAGATTCCCAAGCTGGTTGGAATATACGTACCAATTGAGTGTTAAGAAACAATTTATGCAGTTAGTTCACGAGATCTGGGGTTGGGATCGGTTTTGTAAGGAAGCAGAGCGCTTTGGACCAGGTCAGGTTTGGATTGGTTCCTTTTTTCTTTACCTCTTAAAGGGGTGGCCCCACTAAGTCTTGGGGCCTTGGGACTCATTAAGGAAGAAAGATCCTCATAGGCTCATAGGATTTGGGACGGCCATGTTTCATTTATTTCTATTTATTTATTTATTTAGTCATTTTATTCCATTTTGTAATTCAGTGGAGCACGGCAAAGTGACAAGGATCGACAGGCTGGATATAGTATATTTTAAGTGTACAATACTGTAGAAATTGTACAAAAAGGAAATGATATTCCATTTTCCAAGTAAATGATAGGAAAAGACCCAGGGTTCATTGTGCAAGTAACCATGGTTCTTATAAAATAACTCAGGGGTCAACGATCCACGATCTCCACGACTACTTCGGAGTATATTGTATGTGACTTCATTACTACATAGATATTCATCTCTAGTTATAGCTCATATTAACCTCTCATATTGACCTTATATCAGAAAAACTACTGTCTGGGCATATGCAACAATTTGTATACTTATACCTACATATGTAAGTATGTTATAGGAGATTTACCCCCTTGCTGCGGAAGAGTGAACCTAAAAATACGCTTCTCGAACATCCTGGGGAATCCCTCCTTAGGAACGTGTGATTTATTCTCCGTCCACGCTATTGACGCCTCCAACTCCCTATATTAACTTATCTTTTTCTTCATTTTGTAATTGGAATAATCCTGATCTCTCCCCTTTCTACTCCCATATTAAAACCCTTTTTTCTTTTTTCTTTCTTCCCAACCGCACGGTGCGATCGTGCCGGGCTCCAATACAGGCTAGGGAACTCGAATTATGGAGCCTCGATAGAATCAAGTCGGCAAAATCGATCGTGTATCGACCCAACACACCGGCACGGCTGAAGCTCAACTCCGATCATATCCTAAATGCCCCATTAAGATAGGCTCTCCACTAAGCATTGTGTCGGTACAATATTGTACTGACACTACGTACATACCTACGAAGTACAAATATAATACTTTGATAGGTGCCTAATTGCGTGACAAATACACGCTCCCGTGTAACCCGCCTTTACAATATTAGACCGTCCTTGGGCCCTTCGCCTAAAAGTTATTGCGTCTGCCCTGGCATATGCAGTCCCCAGGAACTGGCAAAGATCGTCGAAATAGTTCGCAAGTGGACTGAATTCTTTCACATGCGTTCCTCGGAACTGCCCTGAGACATTGATCTAATGTGGATTGATGGGTTGCCAAGTTGACAGGTTGACAGCGCTGGATCGAAAACCAAATATCAACGTCGAGTTTGGAATTTCCCAACGTTTGCACAGAGTAGCAATGCAAGAATATGCAAGCCCGAACCTGCAAGCCATGTCACATCCTCGTGCTAGAGATACACAGATCTGATCGGACGCCTCCGTGCGCCAGCCCGTGTGCCGCGTCTTAGACCCACGCGGAACAACCTGTGATGACACTCCGGGGCGCAATTTCGTTCGGATCGAGATCCTCGTTTGTGCGAGATCTATTGGTCGAACGCAGTCCTGGTACGTATTCAGCGGCTTTTCCTATTTGATTTGGTTATTTCAAGGGCGTACCTTATCTACCAACATAATCAGCACGTTGAATGTTAATTTCAAAAATGGAAACCGTGCAAATTTACGATGTAAAAGGTAAAATGAACCCTTGCGACCGTGCAGACCGTTAAACAAAACGAGAGTGAAGACGTGCGCAAACAAAACAACAAAGAAGAAACCCCATTGCCTCAGCTGGGAAGAACTATTGAACCCAAACTAGTGGTTTGGAAGGCGGCTATGTCGAATGGTGCCAACACTATGAAAATCACCAATAGTCGATTCCAATAGCCTGATCTCGGAACCAAGGTTTTAAGATGCTCTATTGTCTCTTTTCTTCACTACTTTTCAGTAGATCATTGGAAAATCCTCCACATTCCACACGTTCTCAATAATAAGCTTTGCATCATCGTGGTAATCTACAGAAAAGAGCCAAAGGTTGGAAACCCGAATTTAATTTAGACTTAAGTAACTATAGAAAAGAAAAATCGCTGTGAAGCTTGAGAAAGTTTGAGCCTTACTCACTGAAGCTAACTATGTACCTATTTAAGAACCCAAGTAGACACCTACTTCTTCGAGTAATGCTGTGCAGCCAAAATTTCAGTCTCATGGACTGTGCTCCAATCAAAATATCCTATTCACAATCTGTTCCAATAATATTCTGGAACGAGTGGACTTCCGAGTTTTCAGACGTAAACAACGTACAACGTCGTCTACTAAAATCCAATCTTTTATTATTAGCTCCATGGCCTTCCGAATGAAGTCCCTCCTCATTCTAAACCGTCCATCCACCCCATACGCTTGATGGTCTTTAAAGTCCTGGCAATCTTAAGACTTTTTTGAGCTTCCTTATTCGGCTCAATCCGTATCCGCTTTGTCGCGCCGTTTGAGCTTTGCCCTTCTTGGTAACTCCTTGGAACCCTTCTGAGGTCTCGGCCTGATTCCCGCTTGGATTGGGCTTGTGGTGATTGGGTATGTTGTGTAAAGGAGGATCATTGGTTTGTGCCCCGTGTGGACTCCTTCCTGATTTCTGAGAGAGTGGTCTTTGCTTGTTTAGCTTTGCTTTCACTCTCAAGAAGTGATTTGGTAGGATCCCTGACTTCTAAGTCGCGGGATGTGACGCTTCCAGAAGACCCGTTTCTTGAAGAGTGACGTGGCAGGATTTCTCCATATTAGCTTTTTGCATTAGAAGCCTCGTCAGAAGCCTCGACGTGGTCCAGGGGCGAGTTCACAGGGTTTTGCATCTCGGAAGTCATATCTTGCGAAAGTTATATTTCCTTAATAAGGCTTCTAGTTTGTTGATGACGCGTTTCAGAAATCTCAGCGAACGTCATTCTCCTTCCGTCAGCGCCCTGATTGGGCTTGACCTTTTCTTGTTCTGCAGCTCGGGCTATAGCACGCACTCGGTCCCCATTTTGGGGTCCGAAAAGAACATCCGTGGCGGAATGAAGGCTATCGAAAGAAGAGCATTGCCCGCCAAAGTAAACTCTTCATCCTCGAAGCTGGAATACTCCGCTTTACCATCTTCATCTTCATCGTCCTCGAGGTAGCACTGATGCTCGCGGACGGTTGGCCGGGTAGCTGCGGGTGGAATCCCATACTTGTAGATAGTAGGTCTTGCATATTTTACTTCGCGCGTAGGAAGTTCACACATTCCCATATGAGCAACATCCGGTCTAGGATTTAGTAGCCGGGTTGTTCTACCCATTCGTATAAACATGATCAGTTCCTTCATTAGATTATTGTCGAAGTCGTTTCCTATCAAGCAGCTGTGGCAATAATGCGTGTCTGGGATCCGGGTGTCTTTGGTACTAGCAATTAGCACATTATTATTGATGTATCCGTTCGTGCTGTCAAACAAGATGCATAATCATACAGTTCAATCACTTACAGACTTGCAAATTTTGAAAATCGAAGTATTGCATTCACATCGGTATCCGCCCATGCTGCTATCTGGGAGGGTGTCGTCGCGGCCGATTGCTTCCTTGGCTTGGTTCTGAACGCAGTCCACTGTGCTCGCCTTGATAATAGCTTCGGGCCTGCTTTTTGCAAACAACAAATATAGCTACGCGGTTTAAACTGACTTTGACATTTTCGTCTTTGCTGATTGTTTTACACAGTCCCCAGACTGATGGGCAAGGAATCATGTTTCCCTTTCCGACTCACCAAGTGGTATTGAGGATTGCTGAGATCGCTCTGGTTTCCGCCATTTAAACTTGACTTTGGGCACGCCGATTTCTTCCAGATTATCTGCACCGCTCTCGTTCAACTAGACAACTTTCCTGTGCATGAAGCAGTTTGATGATGGCCTATATTCTCTCGTTTGAAAAATATGTCTTTTTCCCTGTGCTCTTCCCTGTATCAAAAGTCAGATCTTGCACATATTCAAAGTGTCTTATTTCGGGTCTACAATATCCATCTTAGGACACTTTGTGGGTCGATTTGCGGTACCACGCTCACCGGAATAGTAAAATTGAGGCTCCAACAGCTGCATGCAGATTGACTTGCAGCCATGTGGAGTGCTACCTAGGTATTTTCATAGATTCAAGACTCTGCTCCTTTCTTGTAGTTAGTATGGATTGATTGTATCTATTTTATACACGGTTGATGTCAAGGGGCACTCACAACAACAGCGAACCTTACATATTATCTGCTATAGTCTCGGGCTTTTAATATTCCCCTTTGTTGCAGCCATAAATTATATGAGCTTCTTGAAAAGATTGACATGCACTATTAAAACGGATTTAGAGGTTGATGATCTAGCATGGCGGGACATGGTGACTTGGTATGCTCCTCCAGGGCTGAAGTCAAACAAAGAGTGTTGCTTTCTTGGAGTACATGAAAATTAGTCTTGTTTATGATTGGGAAAAAGCAAATAGATCGATGAAAATTTTCTATAACAAGGAGCCTAAAATGAAAGAACCACAAACCTTGGAAGAAGAAGACTTGTATTGGCTTGGAAGAATTAGCAGTGCTAGATTACATAGCTTGGTGGATATATATTACCGAGCAGAAATGCTTTTTTTCTCTCTGACTCTTTTTCTGACCTCAGGAGTCGCGAGGAAATAACCTGTGATTTCAAAATGAATATTACAAAAAACATACGTATAGAGTCCTTTTTTTCATTGACTTCGAGCCCTTTCGTGTAGTTTGAGAACAAGTTCAGTGTCGACCGGTTTCATTCTAGATACTATGTACTAAGCTATGAGTCTGTTCGCCTAGAACCCCTCACAGTATCCTTGTTACAAGTGCTTATTTTATGATTTACGGAGAAATATTCATGTAGTTACCATGTACTTCGTAAGAAAGTTGGCAATGGCTTTGAAGGTACAACAACAGGGAAATCCCTAAATAGATTGTCCGAGGTGGAGCCGGATATAGTATTGCAAAAACAGATTCAAAACAGGGAATGGCATGCCTATAAGGGATATCAGGTAAATGACCTTGAAAGTAAATAGGGACATATGCACTCCGTACAATATCATTCAAGTTCACCCATGTGCCCCATGGACCATTCGGGGTCTGTTCACATATCGCATAGTAACGTAATAAACACAACAATAATACTTGGAAAATGCCAAGACATAGCGCCCCCACTTCACGTGATCTGGTGGCGACGGTTGATAACCGGATAGAACTGGTTTTGACAGTAATGATACTTGATATATGATATTAGAAGAGAATTAAACTTGAGAAAAGCAGGCATATGCTACGTGAAGCTATCGAGTATGAGCTCCGGGCTGACATGGTAGGGTTGTTTACGGATTATATTTTTGACGGTCCCACCTAGTAGTACTTCTATCTAAAGATTCTGCCGGTTCTAGAAGCAGGGCTTTCCTCCTATACTTAGATGAGTGATATTTTCCAGTAAGTTAGAGAAGAAAAGGGCAGACTAGAGAATTTGAACTTTTCAAACCAACACACACAGGATAGAACAGAAATTGCATAGAAAAAAAAGTAAACGTTGGGTCATGACATCTACCCGGAAGAATTGTTGTTCTCCGCCCCAACTCCCTTGTCAGCCGCCACTGTTCCTTTCTCCCCTTCCTTTGACTTCCTTGCTTCAATACTGTTTTTTTTTTTGTTTCCACCCCTATTCTTGCTAATCCTCCTTTTTCTTTTGCAAGTGCCTTCCACTATGTTCTGAATGACATCTACCCTTCGTGTAGATGATTTAGGTGCATGCTGAGGGGGCCCATTTAATCAACAATCTGGGACTCAGTTCCTTCGTTATCTACATATGAGCATTTTCAACGATGGCTTCAAATGCTGGCTCTCTACAAATCTCCGAAATTGACGCACCTCAAACCGGTCACAACGCGCCTGTACCTGCACCGCCCTCGTCCTATGTGACCCACAGCCCCGGATCTCGAATTCATACCCGAAAACGCGAAATGAATGATCGTGAAGTCGAGGACCTAGGCCAAGGGCCATCGGACACTGCTATCGGACAGTTCTCCTTTGCTCCAACTACTCGAACTACAGTGGTCACGACCACTACAACCACAACCACCTCATTCCCGCCTTTGACGATTCAACCCCCGCGCGCTGTGAAGGATTTGGATGCCCGACTGTATCCCCTCGCCTCGTCTCCGACCCCGTCTACACTGAGAAATCTCAAGTTCAAAATCGGTGACAAATCTATCGTCTTCAACGAGCCCGAGGATACGACAAGTGCTACCGCCGAGGTAAGAACCACCCCACCGTACCGGATTTTTGAAAGCTCACATAAATATAGTATAAAGAGAAAAACGAGGCGTTGTGGGCCTCAAATGGTCAAATTCGCTCAGTCAACTCGTTCATCTCCGAGGGCGAGAATCCCAGTCGGCGACTCGCCCCCTCAAGGATAACGAGCCAACCCTCCACTCACCCCTCTAACCCTCGTCGCCGTGCTGTTTCTCCCGTTTCGTTCACGGATTCTCGACCCTCGATTCTCCCTCGGACTCGCTCAAATCGAGTCCCTTCCGAGCCTATAACACGCCGCACCCGCCAGAGTGGCTTGCCACCAACTCATCTCGCCGCTGGATTGGCCACACCAGACACTGAAATCAACGTCGAGGGACTCGGTGAAAATGTGGCACCAAAACCGAGAATCCACAGTGCAGTGTTTCCCCGCAGGGAACCCCCTTTGCCATCACCTCTCTCCTCTGAAATTGGCGCCAAGGTCACGCATACTTCCAACCCCAAATCATACTTGCAGAATGGATTGTCTGGTATTCAGAAAGAAACCGTCCATAAAGAATTCGAATCTCTGGAGACTCGTGTGCAAGAAGCAAATGAAAGTTGTCCATCCACGGAAGAAGCCACTTCATTTGATCATGAATCGACTTATGGGACGCAGGAATCTGCGACAGAAAGACCGGAGCTCACCTCCCAGCTCTCGGCGATTGACAATGCCATGGCACAAGACATGTGTCTCCCGAGTCCCAGCCTCTCACCCGTCGCCGCTATGAATGCTCTCCATGGTGAATCGTTCGATTCAGAAGGCTTCGACAATGACACCGATTCCACTTTAGATCATAACGTTTCACGTCTTTCTAAGGCTTTGCGACTGCAAGAGGCAGAGAGCAGTTGGTCCAACAGCCATTCTGTCTCACGGTCGCCACCGTCACTTTTAGATATGCCTAAAGTGCTAGAATTCTTTGATTCGGTGCCTGATGAGGTGAAAACCTATCTCATGTACCAATTCCTTCGAAGATGCCCTAAACCTACTCTGCATTTCGTGGCCGACGTTGTCAATCCCACCCTGAAGTGCGATTTCCTCACTCTCCTGCCACTCGAACTCGGTCTCAATATCGTCAAATATCTTGACGTTCAGAGTATGTGCCGTGCTGCACAGGTCTCGAAGAGATGGAGACACATTACAAACTCCGACGAAAAAACCTGGAAGAATCTGCTCGATCAAAACGGTTATCATCTTTCAGAAGGAGAACTGGAACGGGCTATTACACAGGGATGGGGTTGGCAGTTGTCCAGCGGTCCTGAGTGCCACGAAGAGGATCTCAGCATCGTTGATCTGCCCAAGGTGGATAGAGAACTCTCCCCTGTTCCTTCGGCGGTCGGGCCGAGCAGCAGAAGCCCGCTGGCCGCCTTGCCGTCCAACAGACGTCCTAAACGAAAAGCAAACACTCGTGTCTCAAGCCGCAAGCTTGCCAAGCGAAAGATCTCTACTGGCGGCGAATACGCGGATCCAGATTGGAGGAAAGATATTGCTGCTTCTGAGACTCCATACGCCGCTGCCAATGCTGCTGCCGCTGCAGTGCCTTACGCTGAAGTTGGTCTACCATCCCTCCGTGGAATTTTCCTTTTCAAGGTTCTCTACCGTCGTCATGTTGCAATCCATAAAGGATGGATGATACCGGATGTCAAGCCGCAGCACATCGCTTTCCGCGCCCATGATCGCCATGTTGTTACTTGCTTGCAATTCGATGACGACAAAGTCCTAACTGGAAGTGATGACACCAACATCAACGTCTATGACACCAAGACAGGTGCTCTGAAGTCAACACTAAGGGGTCATGAAGGTGGTGTCTGGGCCCTTGAATATTATGGCAACACACTAGTGTCCGGCTCCACTGATCGCTCAGTGCGAGTCTGGGATATCGAGCGGGCCAGATGCACTCAGGTCTTCTCCGGTCATACGTCCACGGTTCGATGCTTGCAGATTGTTATGCCTACCGAGGTGGGCAGAGATGCAAATGGGCAGGCCGAGATCATGCCGAAACAGCCCTTGATTATTACTGGATCCCGTGATATGAGCCTACGGGTGTGGAAACTTCCCAAACCCGGCGATCCCTACTATCAGAGCACCCCTCTCTCAGAGGACACTAGGTGCCCATACTTCCTCCGTGTTCTCTCCGGCCACACGCATTCTGTTCGCGCAATTGCAGCCCATGGCGACACTCTCGTGAGTGGTAGCTACGATTGCACCGTAAAGGTCTGGAAGATTTCCACCGGACAGACTCTGCACACTCTCCAAGGCCACTCGATGAAAGTTTACAGCGTCGTTCTTGACCACAAGCGTAACCGGTGCATCAGCGGAGCCATGGACCACATGGTCAAGGTGTGGTCCCTGGACGACGGCGCCGTCCTCTATAATCTCGAAGGTCATACCTCTCTTGTCGGACTCCTTGCTCTGGAGCATGAATTCCTTGTTTCCGCCGCGGCTGATTCCACCCTGCGCATCTGGGATTCCGCTCACGGTCACTGCAAGAACACACTGAGCGCCCACACCGGCGCCATTACCTGCTTCCAGCACGATAAACAAAAAGTCATCTCCGGATCTGATCGTACCTTGAAGATGTGGGACGTCCGGACCGGCGAGTGTGTCCGAGACCTCCTCACAGACCTCAGTGGTGTGTGGCAGGTCAAATTCAACGACCGCCGATGTGTTGCCGCAGTGCAGCGTGACAGCCTGACATATATCGAAGTGCTCGACTTTGGTGCCAGCCGAGACGGAGTACCGGAAAACAAGCTTGCCAAGCGAATTGTTGTTAACCGACGCGGCCAAGAGGTCCCCACTGGCACCGTTGCCGCCGTGGATGACGACTCTGACTAAAGGCCTCGCTTTGTTCACATCACGACTTGGCTACCTGACGAACCAACCTTTCCTATTTCTACTTCCCTGTGTCTTTATTCTCTTCTACTCTTATTCCCCAATTCACGATACCCATCCTTACAGCTCTCGTCTTCCATCGGAACAAACATCCTTTGCATAGCGCGGTCGGCATTCTTTGGTCTTACAGCATTATGAAAGGGGCCAGGCGTCATTTTTTTTATCTTTCCTTGCGTCATCTTTTCCTATGTGTAGGCTGCCATCATTTTGTACCCCCCGAATATTGTCCCTCCCTATGCATCCTGCCATTGATATTTTTCTTTGTCCTTGCTTGATGCGTATGTGACTTCTCATGCCATTCCGTGACAAAATCGGCAACTCCACTGGGTTGGGCTGGTTAGTTCTTTTACATATTCTTCGTCTTGCTTTGTCTACACAGACTGTAATAGATTGATTACGTATGACCTTTGGTACACTTGCATGTAAGCCAGCTCTGTCTAGAAGGGATGTCTAGTATGAACACTGGAAGCATTTATATGCTTCCAGTCCAAGTCGAGGTATTTTATTGGTTCTAAATAAAATATTATTAAAAATAGGAAGCCATGTTTGTAACAGCCTTTTACAGCTGGGATCCCAATATTGTACCCTTCAGCTGTACGCAATTTGTTTTCGTTGGCAAGGGAAAACCGACATGGGCATCTCTCCCAAACAGTACATGCGCCAGGTAATGTGCTGACTAGGTCAAACAAGCCACACCAAGATGAAGTGCTCAAACATTCGTCATTAAAGGATCAGTGATGGATGCAATAGGGTAATGTTTTTGGATGTCATCGTAAGCAACTGTTTTCCCATCAATACCAGCAGCAGACAAAATCGACCAGCGAATAGCATCGATGCCCAACGCCCGACCATCCCCAATCCTAGCCTCAGCGCTGCAAGTCAGAATTTCGCCCAAGGAACCGGGTCCCTCTGCGACTTCGGGACCTGGCTGCACAATAGGCCTAATGCCCTTGAGTAGCAGCCGCAAACGCTCGATATTGGCAGGCGTTACGCCAGTCTTCATTTGTTTCATTTTCTTGACGAGGAACTTGTCGACTTTCGACAAGATGATCTGATGCGGGATGGCATGGTGTCTGAATAACCGCAAGATCTCTGCGTCCGTTTGTTTGATGCCGTGCATGCTATCGATGAGGAGGAATGCACGACGGAGTCTTGTATCGTTAGCCTTTCCCATTAAATCCGATCTGGACCGACTCACTGCTTCCGGCCCTGAAGATATTTCATAATTTCCGCTCCCCACTCGGCACGACTCGCCTTTCCATATCCCGGCATGTCAAGAAGAACGACCTTCGACTCTCCGCCTTTTGTCCCGCCAATTCCAAATGCATTCATTTCTCTCGTCCTTCCTGGCTTGGAAGACGTCCAGCAGACCTCCTGCCCCATTATGGCATTCAGCAGTGAGCTCTTGCCGACATTTGAGCGGCCCAGGAATGCGACTTCGGGCTCCAGTGAGTCCAGAGGCGTTGTGCGGAATTTGGCTGCGGACCAGAGTTTGATAGGGGAGTGTTTGGATGGCTCAAAAATGTCATCGGCGAAGGCGAGCTGTTCGGCACTGGGAGGTTGTGTATCCCAGTAGTAGCAGAGGTCTGATGGGGTGAGATCTTTGAGATCGCGCTTTGCATTTGGGTTTGGGTTTGTGGATAGCGCTCGTACTGCTGTAAATAATGACTTCTTGGGTAATAAGGACCCGGATAGAGGTTTTATTTTCATCATAATTGCTGAAGACCAGTCAGGAGTTGACAAGCAAATAAAATAAATTGGACGTCGATTTCTCCAGATCGGCAGCGCATGGGGCAAGTCTCCCGAGCCGAGACATCAGTCCCGATAAGAGCTACGCAGTACAACAGTGTACATCCATTCCCCCTCCAACGCCCACCTCTCCAAGATGATCAACGCCGTCCTGGTGTTCAACAACAATGGCCAGCCCCGGCTGACCAAGTTCTACACACAGCTAGTAAGCCCCTCCCACGTTCGAGACTCAGTGCGCGCACGGAACCGAAGCAGAACTCCAACTCACACGAACCAGGACACGCAAACCCAGCAATCCCTCATCGCACAAATATACCGCCTGGTCGCGCAGCGGCCAGCAAGCGCCTGCAACTTTCTCCCCCCCCCCCTCCTCTCGCAAGGCGCCAGCTCCTCCGCCACCGGACCCTCGGACGCCCCCACCCAAATCACATACCGGACCTACGCAACGCTGTCATTCATCATGATCTCTACGTCAACTGAGTCCCCGCTCGCGCTGATCGATCTGATCCAGGTATTTGTCGAGTCGCTGGACCGCATGTTCGAGAATGTCTGCGAGCTGGATCTTATCTTCGGCTATGAGACGCTGCATGCTGTGCTTGGTGAGATGATTGTTGGAGGTGTTGTTGTTGAGACGCATATCGAGAAGATAATTGCTGGAGTACGGGCTCAGGAGGGCTCGCTGGGTAAGAAGAAGGCTGTTCAGGCTGCTAGTGCTAGCTTAGGTCGGGGGGCGCTGCCTGGGTTGGGGGCGTGGAGGTGATTTTGCGGTTTTCCGCCGACTGTGTCTTGCATTAAAGATTAGAGATTGAAGGCTTTTTGTGTCTGATCTCTCTTTCTACGGCGTTATCATTGTTCATTCTAGATTTGCTTCCACTGGATTTGGGAGCGGTGTTGGTTTTTCGGTTATTGATATCCTCAAACAACATATGCCAAGATTTTCTGCAGCCCCTGGGGTTTATTTACCCATATATTCCAACAAGAAGGTTTACAACATGATTCAAAGGCATTTTATAGACATGATGGTAGAATCTCTATAGAAAACTGATGTCATGTGACATTGTCATGTGACATGTGGGTATGCCCTACTTTACAACCCTAACTCTGTCACCTGACTCACTAGCGCGATCCACAGGAGAAATTCATTAAGTTGCATCCACACGACTTCTTTCTTTTCCCATCCGTTAACCGTCAACCAGCGCAGATCCCAGTCGACAACATGGTGGTGAGTAATTACAATGTCTTTTGATTAATTTCGAGGGCTTCATATAGTCCCCAGCAATGTCGCAAGACATTTGCTTTGCTTCAGATCTTAGATCTCAGCAATTCCGCCGATGACACACAGCCTCGAAAGAGATGTGTTGCATTGTGCGATGATTTGGCTGGAAGCATGAGTCAATGCCCGTAACACGGCTTGGCTCATGTTCTCCTTAGAGTTCAAAGAAGATGCAGCATCAGGTGAACAGCACGCTGATCTTCTTTTCTCAATGATAGCCTCCCACTAAGTCCGGAAAGAAGACCGCCGCTATGCCCTACCCCCAGGGTAAGGCTGGCACTGGCAAGAAGGCCGCCAAGGTTAGTTTCTTCTTTTCTCTGGGAGTGCATTGAGACCGGAAAACACTAACCCCCTGTGCTTTATACAGAACCCTCTTATCGAGAAGCGTAACCGCAACTTCGGTATCGGCCAGGACATCCAGCCCAAGCGCAACCTGTCCCGCTTCGTCAAGTGGCCCGAATATGTTCGTCTTCAGCGCCAGAAGAAGATCCTGAACATGCGCTTGAAGGTTCCTCCTTCCATCGCTCAGTTCCAGGCCACTCTGGACCGCAACACTGCTGCCCAGACCTTCAAGCTCCTCTCCAAGTACCGCCCTGAGACCAAGGTCGAGAAGAAGGAGCGTCTCGTCCAGGAGGCCACCGCCGTCTCCGAGGGCAAGAAGAAGGAGGATGTCTCCAAGAAGCCCTACAACGTCAAGTACGGTCTCAACCACGTCGTTGGTCTCGTTGAGAACAAGAAGGCTTCCCTCGTCCTCATCGCCCACGATGTCGACCCCATTGAGCTGGTTGTCTTCCTGCCCGCTCTCTGCCGCAAGATGGGTGTCCCTTACGCCATTGTCAAGGGTAAGGCCCGTCTCGGTACCGTCGTCCACAAGAAGACCTCCGCCGTTCTGGCCCTGACCGAGGTCCGCTCCGAGGACAAGTCCGAGTTCGCCAAGCTCCTCTCTACCATCAAGGAGGGTTACACCGACAAGAACGAGGACTCCCGCCGCCACTGGGGTGGTGGTATCATGGGCGCCAAGGCCAACGACCGCATCGCCAAGAAGCAGAAGGCTCTCGATGCCGCCATCAAGGTTTAAGCTTGTGTAACTACAGCTTGACTCTTGGTGATGTCTGTTTGACGGGATCGTTTTCTAATCGAAGCGCTCGGCTCACAAAAAAAGATAATTATGTTGGGATGGGAAACAAGGTGTTTCGAGGACTTGACGATCTATTGACGGCCAACTCTTTTAGCTTTAGATGGGTGCGAAAGAGCCCTCCGGGCACTTTTTGGATCCTGTTCTAACAAAAAAGATTTTTTTTCTCTCACGAACTCCAATGGCCCTATGTACCAATTTCTGCAGATACCCATGAATGCATTTTTCTACCTGTTCAATCTATCGATGGTCTTCCATCAGAACTAGGCATTCATTCTGCTGTAATTCGTAATTTGTAATTTGCAGTCTCAAATTCAAAACTTGGACGTAGTAGTTGTACAGGGTTAGTGGACCTGGGAGCATAACTTTCTCAGTTCCCACTGGGGGACAAATGAACACCTGTCGATGAAATTTTCACCCTTTTCACTAATTGCCGAGTCGCCAAGTCGCCAAGACGATCTCCTTTCTTTAAAAGATAGTCCCCGTCTTGGCACAGCATCTTATAGATCTGTGCATATTCCTAACATGACTACATCTCTTCTACAGTACCCAGCTAGATAGACAACAGCCCTCTTGTCACGTTACGAACATTGCATTGCATTCAGCCATTCTCATGGGAAGTATCATGTATCATCTATGTACAGAGCACCATCCTCACGAGGCGATGATCAAGTGTGCTTGACCTAGTTCTCATATCGGTCCTCGTAAGCCCGGTGGGAGCGCTCTTTGGCTTCGTGCTTGGCCCTCTCGGCGTCGACGAAGTCAAGACCCCTGGTCTCAACCTCGCGGTCGATGAAGGCACCGGCGAAACCGGCGAGGAGCTCCTTGGCCTTGGCGTGGCTGGGGGGCTGGCCTGGGATGGTGTTAATATTTTATTTTCTGTTGTTGTGGTTGGGTAAGGTGTGCGTGGTGCTTACCGTTCTGAGCAACGTGGTCCTCGTAAGCCTTGGCGGCTTCGAAGCTGGCGGCACCGGCGATCAGCTCGTGGATTATGGAGGGATCGTGCTCCTTGGGGTTGGCGCTGTGGTATTGGTCGTAGGCCTGAGCCTCTCCGGAGTCGTCTATGGAAGGTTAATTGGTTATTGCTTGGTATGTATATGTCAGTATGAAGAGGAATGCTTACTATCGAACCAGCCCATTTTGATAGATGTTGAAGAGTAAGCGGTGGAAAGTTGAAAGAGGAGAGAAGATGAAGAGGGGTTATTCTGAGACGGAGGGAAAAAGGGGTTTTATAGCCCACCACTCTCAGCCCACTAGTGGACAGCCACTTTGTCGTCACACCATTGAGGGGCAATCGAGGTTGGGTGGATACGATGAGAAGCTATTGGAGACTAGTACTCCGTACAAGGTCGATCTGATGGAGCTAAGTAAAGTACGGTGAGAAAATGACATAGGTAGGAAGTACGTAGAAACTTGGGGAATCATTAGCTGAAAAGACATTGATCAATCATGATCGAAGGCTCATTTACTTGAGACAGGACACGACGCTTCTATTCCCGATATGTGGCGTGAATGTGAAAGTCCCCCGCACGAAAACCTTGGAATACCTCAGGGGAACTTCGAATCTTAATATCATCTACATATACTTACGTGTACATATAAGTATATACATAGAGAGTACAGTACGCCATCTCATTGCGATCTTTGAATGCTTACAATATTGTGCAATATCTTCAAATAGCGCTTAAATTCAATAGTGCCCCGATCGCTCATGCATATACATATGCATATGCACCTACTTAGAGTTAATTATCACTTGATCCTCTCGTAAGAGTACATCTATATTCAATTGTATGTACGGAGTAGCTGGTGATACTCATGGATTATATAGTATGCCAATAGAGGCTAGGATCTATGTAGTAGGGTGTGCCGTAGAAAATATACTATTTTCAGAACGATGAGGCATTCATTCTCCAATTGAGTTCTGGCCCCTGTTTCAAGTTATCTCGCCACTTTCTAATGCCAATGAGTGAACCTCTGTTCGTAGGAGTTTTGATGGACATATAAGCAGCAGCCATGCTAGAATTGTTTTCAATAAAAATACCAATAAAAATACAACATAAGAAGTAGATCGAGTTGTTAGGGAGTAAGACTAACCTGGCAACGGGGGGAATTTTTTATATTTCGGTCTATAAATGAGATGATTGAATCTACTTAAGAGCAGTTTAACTACATTATAGAGGATTCTCGTCATAGAGAGTAGCTATTCTGAGATCAAGTTAACGTGATCAACCACCTGCACCGAGTGGTCCAAACCCCCGTCCAGCACAAAACACATAGTAAATGCGATATATTCTACATTTATATCTCGACAACCATGTCTTTGATTTAGCTCCTTTTTTGTCGATAGTAATCGATAAGACTCATTAGCACAATATACCAGTTTCAAAGAGTGTAAAAGGCTGTGTTGACATCATTTTGAAAATAACTGAAAATTACGTTGCTAAAGACTGAATATATATATGTCTGAATCAGGAGATTATGATATTTCTGCAAACTCCCCAAAGAGACTACATATCACCCAGTTAGTTTGATGCTACAAGAAGAACTCCCATAGACTATAGTTGTTGAAATATCAAGTTGTAATCCATCGCATTTACTATGTGTTTTGCGTTGGACCACTCGGTGGTTTATCACGTTATTCAAAGTGTAGATGACTTAGCTCACGGCTAGGCAGTACATAGCCATGTTTACTATGAAATGGGGTCAGAAAGGGCCCCAAAAATCTTCAGACCCATAGAAAAAAAACCTATAGAAAGCTCGTGATAATGATAAAAAGATAATACCTAGGAGTTCTTCAACTTTCTAACCAGATGAATATGCCGTAGGTATATTTCTCTAGAGAGTAAGCAAGACAGTATGAAATTACACTGATACAAGATCCAGGGACCATATGAAAAAGTACAGAAAGAAACCCCAGCCACCCTATGCTCCTAGACCAAAGATGCTCATCGCCGATAGAAAATAGAGACGACGACACCGAGAGAACCCCGTCTAAAAACACACAAAGCAAAGTAAAGCACAGAAAAGGGTGTATAGTAAGAAGGACGAGAGGCGATAGACGAGAGACAGACGTAAACGTGATCAGGGTCATGGGGTCATTAACGTTGGGCGGGAGGTCGTGAAAGCCCTTGTCGTACCTGTGTGTAACAACAATACCATGTTAGCAACGGTGACGGATTCGAAAGATAAAGCTGCATGTAGTACATACCTTCATTTGCTCAATTCTTGCCTTCAGCTGGCTGGTTACTTCGGCAGCCCGCTTCCAATTCTCCGCAGGCTCCGAACTCCGGGGTTGGTTGTCGTCAGTGGTGTTGGAGGAGTTTCTGGCCGGTGACCGAGTTGGGCTGCCGACGTTTGAGTAGCCATATGTTGGGCTGAGACGTCGACTTAGGCCGCGCCCTGGAGACTCCATGCCGCCGTTTTCCTTGTCTTCGCTCGGGCTGGCAGAGGCATAGCTGCGACGCGAGCTCTCGAAGCGAGATCCCATATGAAGACCGGACCGGGCTGCGGCGTTTCCACTATTACTGGAGTCTTGGTAGATGGACTCTGGCACGCCCATGCTGCCAGTCTCGGAGGCAGCATTTGGTGGGCTCATGGCAGATGCGCGGAGTGCCCGTGCGAGTTCGCGTTTCAATCGTTCGATTTCCCGCTGTTGCTTTTGCACGTTACCCTCCGCAGCTTCGGCGTCACTCCGGGCTCGAACCAGTTGTGTCTCCTTAGCTTTGATGCTCAGGACGTCTCGGGTATGGTCCTCGATTAACTGCGCGTTCTGGTTTTGCAGCTCAGTGATTGTCGAGTTTAGCTTGGACCGCTCGGATTTCAACTCTTCAACGATTCGGTCTTGCCTGTCCTGCTTCTCCTGTTCCATTTGCCTTTTCTCCATTCTAAGTTGATCCAATTCGGCACGCTCGGCGGATGACATGGCATTCGGCGCGGGGGCGGCAGGTTCGGCTGGCTCTGGTCTCGCGATTGGACGTCCTGCAAGGCCACGACCGAGGCCAAATTTGGGGGCAGCTGGTGGGGGATTCACGTCTTCATCTGCTGGTGGTGGAGCCACTCGTCTCGTTGAGGGTGATGCAGCACTTCCAGGCCCAGCAAGCTTCCTTTGAAGTTTGAGACCCGATCCAGGGGTTGGTAGACCGCCAGCCTTGGGAGCACCGAGCTTTGATGGTATACCTCGGGACGGAGGTGGCTTGAGCACGGGCTCCTCTGGAGCAGGTGGTGCAGCTGCAGGGGCGAGTTTCTTCAGCCCCGAAGCAGCTGGCTTCTTGGCAACCACCTTCCTGCCAGCTGGGGCTGCAGGCTTTGGAGGAGCCACAATGGCCTTAGGGCGATCTTTGGCCTTAACTGTGGCTGTGCCAAAGTACTCCTTGATTTTGGTTGTGCGAATTTCGTCGAGTCCATCGAGATATGGTTTCATAGCCCGTTCGCCCAAGATCTTCATCAGGGTTCCCAAAATTTCAGCAGCTCCTTCGCGGATTGCCGGTGCTGACTCGGTCAGCAACTTTGTGCCGGCCTCAGCAATCGACTTCTGTTCGGGTTTGGATGGCACAGTCCGGGTCGTGCGCAAACAGCGGACTAGGAATCTGACTGTTTCCTGCTTGATCTGGGGATTTTTGTGCTTGAGATATTCGAAGATTTCTTCCAGACAGTCTGAGAGGGTCGTTGTGGTGAAGACGGCATCTAGCGCGTTGCCCAAAGCTTCTATCACTGCAGCCTTCTTTTCCTTGAGACGTTCGAACATAGGTACCATGATGGTGCTTCGGTATTTGGTGAAGCCTTCGCGCAAACCCTTTGCCAAAAGCTCTACGCAGTTCGCAGCCACCGTAGCAACACCGACGTTAGCGTCCTTCATAGACTTAGCCAGTCCTCTCACAATATCATCGTAGGGGCCATCTTTGATTCGGGGCACGTTGAGGACGTTATAAAGAGCGTCCAGAGCTTCCTTGCGGTCCTTCCACTTAGATGAGGCCAATTGATCGTGGAAGTCACCGGGCACTTTCTTGAAGACATCAACCGGCTCTGCTAGATCAAAGGCATCAACAACCACTACATCCTCATCCTCGTCTTCCTCAAATCCGGCACCTTGTTCTTCGGCCTCCTCGCCTGCCGACGCGGCGCTGGCCATAGCATCCTGCTGCGCACGAGTATATCGCTCTTGCTTCGGTGTAGGTTCCTGCTTCACATTTTCGAAAAGCTTCTCTAGGTCTGCCTGCTGGACTGGTTTCAAATCCGCCCAGAAAAGAGGCTTGATGGCCTCTCTTAGCCACCGGTAGAGTTCAACCGCAAGATTCTGTGCCTCGGCGCGGACGTTTTTATCGGCATGGCCGAAAACCTTGGGCAGCGCCTTCAAAGTTTGCTTCGGGTCGACAATTTTGCATCCGAAGTTATGGTAAATAGCGGTCAAAGCTGCAAGAGAGGCCGCAGCCACCTTGGGTACTTTGTGGGAGAGTATGGGCAGCAGTTCCTCGATCACCGGATCGGCCTTATCGACCTCGACGCATAATAAAATCGCTTCGTGGGCGCTGGCTTTACCAGCCGGACGTGTCGATGGTAGACCTTTCTCTGCGATTGGACCAAGTGTGAATCCGCGGGTCCTAAAAATTGGCAATATCGTCAGCGGGTCCGGGATGAACAATCACAATTGGGACTGATTCGAGACTGGTTCGAGACGCACCTTGTACAGGCCTGAGCTCCTCCGTATTTCAGAAAAGCGCAGTATGCGGCAAGACCCTCTGATTGTGCGGCTACGTTGGAATCTGCAACTGCGCCTTTCATCAAGTTGGGATCTTGTATAAACGGCCCGAACACGGGATGTGATTCATCAGGGGTCTTTTCGAATTGTGCCTTGGCATCTTCATATCCCTCCTTGCGGACTTTCCAGTTCTGCACATCGAGTTAGAATCTTGCGGTATTGTTCACAAGGCAGTTCGGAGGTCGTTTTCGGGTTCCTTTTGGGGATTTCCCAGGGGTGGTCGCACCTTATGTGTAAATCTGTCGGCCAAGGGCAATGAGGAGAAGTCCTCTGCGTCGGCCATAGTGATGGGCCCGAAGGATCGTACTATCTAGCGGCAATTTCTACCAAAAAGAGGGTTAGCCCTGTCTGCAAATTCCCGGAGTATGCGCGTAGGACAAAACAATAAGCTGGAAAAGTAGAGAGTTTTGAGTTGCGGGTTCGGATGGCCGTACTGTCGGGATGTTTTGATGCCCAAAGGATTATAAACTGTCTCAGTTCCGCGATCAATAATCGATCAACAACAACAGCATCTAGTAGACAATAGAAATGTCTTGAAATAAACGGGTATCTTAGTAGATTCAAGCAAAGAGAAGGGCTGAAGTCGGAAAGAAAATAAACAGTTGAAGAGGATCGGGAAGTAAACAAGCGGCTTGGCGAGATTGTTTTGTTGTGATCAACCCCGCGGTGGAGATCACAACTTGTTCTCTTCATATATCCTCGATATTGTTAATTTGTTATTCTTGTCTCTTGGATTCAATTGCTTCAAGGTCTCTAGTTTCTCCAACTCCTAGGTCCAATTCGCCCCAATACCCCTGTTCGTCCTCCGACACCGCTTCCCCTCTTATCGCTTTTTTTACGAGTTTGCGAAACACAGCTTTCCATACATGCGCCAGTGAGATAACAAGCTGTCTGGAGAAAAGCATATAAGTGGCATCATGAGCCAACTTCTCACTCCGCGTCAGGCGGAGGAGCTGTATGTGACCTTCATGATTTCCTGGGTTCATTTAGGGGTTGAATGCTGATCGTTGCGACAGACATAAAGGAATAATCGCCTACCTCACCTCTGTCAATTTACATCAAAGTTCCACTGCTTTACGAGAAGAACTTGGCGACTCGGTTACAGTTGACGATACCACACTTAAGAAATACGAGGGACTGTTGGAAAAGAAATGGACGAGCGTAGTTCGATTACAGAAGAAGGTGTGTGTGTGTGTGTGATGACCAGGACCAAAGACTCCCTCTTGTTAATCTGCCATTCTTGGTTTAGATTATGGACTTGGAATCGCGATGCGCTTCACTCCAGGCGGAGCTGGATACCGCAACTCCCACTTCTCTCTCTCGAAGAAATCAAGACCCTGCCTCCTGGCTGCCGAGGGCACCGCCGCGCCATAACCTCGAATCACACCGTTCGCCCGTATCATGCGTTGCTTTCCATCCAATATTTTCTTCACTCGCCTCCGGCTCAGATGATACCACTATCAAGATTTGGGATTGGGAGCTCGGTGAACTAGAGAGGACGATCAAAGGACATACGAGGGCGGTGTTGGATGTCGACTATGGAGGTCCGCGCGGAGGCACCCTTCTTGCTTCTTGCTCGTCAGATCTAACGATCAAGCTGTGGGACCCGGCGGACGAGTATAAAAACATTCGAACGTTGCCGGGGCACGACCACAGCGTTTCAGCGGTTCGATTCATTCCATCTGGGGCTGCAGGTTCTCCAATGTCAGGGAATCTGCTGGTCTCTGCTTCTCGCGATATGACACTGCGTATTTGGGATGTGACAACAGGGTATTGTGTCAAGACCCTGCAAGGCCATGGAGACTGGGTTCGAGATGTAGCGCCGTCCCCAGACGGCCGATTTCTCTTCTCTGGTGGAGATGATCGAGTTCCGCGTCTATGGGACGTCTCATCTGGGGAAACAAAGTCAACGTTCCTAGGACACGAACATTATATCGAATGTGTGGCATTCGCCCCGCCAACAAGTTACCCTCATATCGCACCCCTTGCAGGACTCAAGAAGCCCCCACCAGCATCATCATCCGCCGAGTTTGTGGCAACAGGCTCCCGTGATAAGACTATCCGCTTGTGGGATACTCGTGGAAACTGTATCAAGACGCTCGTTGGCCATGATAATTGGGTCCGCGCATTGGTTTTCCATCCCGGCGGCAAGTACTTACTCTCGGTATCTGACGATAAGACGTTGCGATGCTGGGATCTCACGCAGGAGTGCAAGTGTGTACGCACTATAGTGGCCCACGACCACTTTATCAGTACGATCCGCTGGGCACCACCTTTAATTAAAGATACCGGTGTCAGCGATGCGAACGGCGCGGAAGCTGCAAATGGGGCAAAAGAGGACCCTAATGCGACCAAAATGTCTATCCGGTGCGTCCTGGCGACGGGCAGTGTTGACCTCAAGGTCCGAGTCTTTGCATCATGAAGTCCGTTTGAGACCACGGAGCACCGAGTGCCGAGCCCTCAGGTGTAGAAAAAGAGATTTGGCAAATCAATAGCCTGAACTACAAAACCCGGCGCCCAATCAATCCACCACCGCCGGGGTCATCCCTCCAAACTGAAGGCAAATTGAAGCGTTCATGTTTCAGCATATGACAGGCACAGCCCACCATTTTTGGGGAAAGGAGTTGGTTATTCTTCCGTGATACCAGTGACTTGCATGCTTTCTGTTTTTACGATTAGGGCATTGGACTAGACGGCTTCGTCGCCTGGGCTGGCCCCCATTTACGATGTACACTGTTGGTTGGTTTTTGTATCTTGACATGGAGGAGCTTTCCCCTTCTTTCTGTTCTCATACATATTTTAGACCTATTCATTCCTTCATGAAGCTCCACGCCAATACAAGAATCACAGTGCCAAAAAATATAAATTGAAGGTGTATAGTACAGTACAGTCCCCGATAAAAAGAGACAGAACAAAGGTTCCCGAGACCCAGTTCAATAAAGATATAGAGCAAGCCTTTCACGGAGAACGGCAAGAAACCACGGCAATCACTCCAGCGACTTCTCCTTCTCCACCCTCTCCAGTACAAGGCTCTTCAGCTTCCCGACACGCTCGTTATTCGCATGGATACGATGAATCAGAAGCGCGGCAGGGATCTCACCCTCGACAGGAATGCCCGCCTTCTCAGCCTCCTCGACAAGATCGACCTCCCTCCCGAGACGTCTCGACTCGCGGCGGACATACTTCTCAGCCCAGGATTGCTCGCGCTTAGCCTCGCGCTGCTCCTTCGACGGCACAGATGGGCGGTCGGCGATTTCCACGCCGAAGGGCGTAACGATGCGCTCGACGACATGGCGCACGTGCTTGCTCTTCGGGGCACCGGACGAAAACTCAATTACGTCGCCTTCGCGCAGTGAGTTCTGCGGGTCCGACACGAGGAAGTGCGTTTGCTTTCCGTAGTATTTGCGGATGTGCCTGTCCCATGTGATGTGTTTGTGCAGGACGCGGACGGTGCGGTCCATCCGGCCGACGGAGACGACGGTGCCGGTTTTCAGGGTCGAGGCGTAGGCGCGGAGGCGGGATGGCGCTTGGGTGTCTGTGCCGGTGGTTTTGGGTGTGGATGATGTTGAAGCGGTGCGGAGAGTAGTGAGGTATGTGGTTGATTGGAGAATTGAGGGGCGTGCCAGGGACAGAGGTGTTGTGAGCGAGGCTCGGAGAGACATTGTTGCCCGGAGGAGGTGGCTTGGTGCCATTTTGGAGAGGTTTGTCTCCTTGTGAGATTGGATGGAGTTGGAGGGGTTGGAAGGTCGGAAAGAGTAGAACACACGGAAGGATTGGGTGGTAATCGGACCCCCGGTGGTTGCGAGCTTAAGGTGTTTGCTGTTGAGATTTCGAGAATTTCTTGGGGAAGCTGTTTGCATCGTTTGCACTCCTAGTATCAATCTACAGTATAAGTCCTTAGCTGCTCTGCTTCCCTTTCTCTCACTTTTCCATTCTTCTGCCTCGCTATCCTGCACTTATTGCCCCTGCAATTTTTCCCGCTTAATCGTACACACCTCTCTCACACAATATAGATGTTTTAGAGCAATCTCTTGATGGTACTAGCCAATAGCAACAACCAACGGGGTTTTCGTTCATGTTTCTATTTTTGAGAGCATTCTGCCGTTCCTGCTACCAATTTTCAAGATTCCAAAATTATGTAAACGGTTATCAAATCTAGTGGGATTGGGCATTTTCAATAAAACTAAAATATCTTGCCTCTAGGTGTTGGAGTTACCAGCTAAAGCAGTGGTCGTGCATTAGTTAGGTTTAACGAATTTACCAACCTTGGAAGTTAACACGCGACCTCACTAATCACCCCGAGGAATGCTCTTTTTCATTCCATTTCCAAGTAATCTCATTCAAAAGACCGGTCTTCTCGTTGCGGGTAAAGGCGAGACCCACTTCATAGTAACCCCAGTCAATCATGCACTTTTCCAACCAGTCCTCTCGAGATGCGGGCAAGAAACTGGGGACGTCTGGGTTATATCTCTCCAGCTCACAGGCTGCCTCCTTATGGCCGTTGAATTTTACAAAAAATTAATCGTCAGAGTCCGGAACAATAGAGATCCTGAGCCCCAGCCCGACGTATGTGCCAACATAGCCGTTTAGCGGGATCTTCACGATTGCTGCAAGGTCCTGGTGATGGAGCCATTGCTTATGGATAAGAGGAAATTTGTTTCTCGGCGTGTCTCATTCCTATGCTGCGGCGGAAAATTATCTCGCCTTGATAAAGAACGCCAACAGAGATGGATGGCACGTTGCACGATACCTATATTTTTTTCGATATCTTCCACCGCTTGTTGTTAGCGAGCAATCACATTAGCATTTGCTTCGCTATTGTCTGCTTCAGAGTCCCATTTGGCATTCTCTCTTGTTGAAATCATCTTGAATGGGCACGTTGACATGGTTTGCTGTTGGAGCAGGCGGATTCCAGACGAATCCCATGTATTTCTTAACACACAACAGCCAACCTGATCTCGGTCACCATCACCTATAAATTCAATGAGGGATAGTGCTGCGGAGTTAGGCGCTGTTGATATCAGCTAAGCCTGTCCACGTGGTGGATACCTCGGTCCCCGCATTCGAAGTTGCAATATCAATCCATGATGGGTAATCACAACATGGAGCTATGGTCAGCTCTAAGCGAGGAAGCCTATCTGTAATAGATTGCTTGAAAAAGAAGTATAAGAGGACGATCTTAACAAAGTAACCTCGGGACTAAAATTACTTCATTAGGCCGAGAAGGCTAAGCTAGTAATATCTTGAACATTATTATAGAATGAACCGAATAATAATTTTGCCGAAAAGGTTAGATGTTCCGAAGATCTTCAGCAAAAGACTTATGATGGTGACATGGTCAGCTTGTTCCTTGATAACTAAATGAACATCTAATCTCGCACTTAGCTAGACCGTGCCTTCTCAACCATAAGACAATCAGCCGCATATATCATTCCTTTATCCACTCTTTCCCATCCTCCCTGAAAGCCGCGTCAAAAGGAATTCTATCGTACCAATCATCTACACTGTAAACACGCCCAGGGTCACGGTAAAACCGAGTCAGGGTCTTATTCAAGACTTTCCAATTAGCGAGTATTCCTTTCTTGGTCATGTTGAACATACTATACAATGACATAAGGTGTGTCGATTGAAGTCAAAAGCAAAAAGGTATCTCTCTTCCTCAGCATAGGAGTAATGGCTTTGGAGTAGTGCCTTGGACAAATTATCTTCGTAAATGTAGGAAATAAACCCTCATTGCTTGCCTTTCGGTATACACAAGAAATGAGGGTCCTCGACTTCCTTCCACTTTCTAGCTCATCCAAGTAAAATCGCAAATGATTATCAGTAATTTCGTGCATGAGCAATGTGGCCGGCATGACTTGTGCACCGTTTGGTAGAAACTTCGAACAGCACGCTCCCCTTTACACTTCTGCCTAACTTGATGCCATTAAAAAGTAATATATATCTAGTCGTTCCCTCCGAAAACAATCGTTCACATCAGTCCTCAGCCACCAGTTACTGCACCTGACACAGTTCCTATCTCTGAATATACCACAGTGAGCACAGTTTCCATACACTCCTTGATCTGCATTCACCGACCAAACTTCAGGTTGACTTTTCTTTCGCTCACGATGGCTGAACCAAGCCGCAAAAGCTGCGCTGCGGAGTGTCTACGCTCTCTTGGAAACTTCGCAGCTACCAAAAGTACAACCGAAGTTTTGACAGGACTATGCCATTAATGGTCTTTTGTTGACACTGCTTTAGTGAGAGTATCGTCTGCATTGAGTCAATCAGAGCCTAGTAGGCTCAGTCATGAAGCTCGCCATCATCTTCGACTGGCAGTTTGGAGCAACGAAGATGCATGTGCTAGGTTCCAGAACACTCTTAGATTGGACGGAGCACTCGGTCAACGATACTATGCGGAAAATGACCGAGATTGTCTTTATTTATTCAGGGACAAAGGGGTGCGACTATTGACAGAACGGCTGCGCACATTTGAAAATATCATATAGACGAAGATGTGAAAGTCTGCGCCGTAAGTAAAATCCAGTGCTCTCAACAGCTCAATCACCTGTTCAGTGGTTCCCTGCACTTGAATTAGTGTTTCTCTTACCTCAAAAAGCATCTCTGATGTGGAGAAGCGCAGTCTTGTTTACGGAAAATGAAAAACTGTTGGCAGTTGCTGACCCAATAGTTTATCAATCATCAAATTCCAATTCAATTGAGAAACTTTTTAATCGCGAAAACAGCTGTTATGTCGAACTTTTTGCACAAAGTCGAGGACACCATGACTGATCGTGACAAGGATGCATCTGGAGCCGGCGGTTTCATAGCTTTCAACCAAGACCTCTACGGATCCTTTAATCCTTTCACAAGAGAACGTCCGAAACAGTACAACTCTTCCGGGCTGGAACTCTCTTCTGGCGTGGGATCTAACACCTATGGCTCTGGTTCCCGCTCTGGCGATGAGAGACCGCGGAAAACCCAGATCAAAACGCTAGCCCAGGAATTCAACGTTTCATATAATATACTGTATAGACGACTCCACGGTCGCGCATCTCGCAAAAACCGTATCTCAACAATCAGAGCATTTTACCAGGATCAGGAAGAACCATTACTTAGCTACATCACCGTGCTAGACGATGCCGGTGTCCGCCGACCGCGAAGACTATTCAACATGTTGCAAATTCAATGTTACTGTCGCGCGATCTATCGCGAACTACGCCATTGATTGAAAACTAGGTCTACCATTTTTACGCCTAATTCCACCACAACAGTCTTGATTAGACTATACAAAGACCTAAAGAACCAAAAGAATTATCGCCTAAGATAACAGCTTAATTACAGCTTAGTATGATCGCTTTAATGTGTTCGTAAAACTTACACCCGGATACATCTATAATATGGATAAGACCAGACATAAAATTGGACAGGGTAAGCTGCAACGAGTTCATCAAAAAGTCCGACTGTACGGAGTAAACACACCGAATAGAGACATTTCCAAATCTTTTACTCCGCACTATTAAATTGTTGCAGCCGATAACGCTAATTGACGGGAGATCGGTTGCCGAGAATGGCTCGCCGAGTTTACAGTAAGCTCCCTTTGTACCAAAATGCTAGTCATCATGACAGCACGCCCGGGCGTGTGCACAATATACATCCGGAAACACATCATAATAAGGTGTTGGTAACCAATAACCTGATGAAATCACATTTCCTCTACTCGCAAATTGAAACAAGTCCAAGCGTCGAGAAAGTGCTTGCTCTCGCATTCTCCTCTGAGTGTAACGGAACGTCATAAGGGTTTCTAGCGTGCTGACAACCACACGCTCTGAGAAGCCAACTACTGTCTCGAGTATTTCAATCCGTACTTTCTGAGCACTAAACATCACCTGATACTCAGCTGAGCAGTCTGATCCACTCATTGATCCACTTCTACGGCCCTGATTTTTTCTCCAAACAGGACTTGAGCGTTAGGGTGTTCAACCTATCTAGTCCACCCCTGCCAAACATTTGCTAAATACTGTACTGCACGATGATCTCAGTCACATATGGTCCTCGATTCGATAATCTAGTCTTTTGACTATGGCTGCTCTGGTGCCTCGTTCGTGTGACCTCTTCTCTTGCGACTATCTTGGTGCCACTCCTGCCATATTTTTTTCGTGGTATGAGTGCCTACATAGGTAGCCTCTGAGGTGACCCGTGGCCTTTAAAGTATATGGCTAAGGCAGGAACTCCACCCCGGAGCCTACCCTGCATATAGGCGCACCTCAGGTGTATGTGGGTGGGTACCTGCAGGCCACGCCACGCCTTTTCGAATCCACTTTGCTGCAGCTTGAGCACATAACCCCCTTTTGCATGAATCTATTGCATGGAACCGATAGTTCAATGCATTGGTGACAGTAGCCGCTCAGCTGAGGCTTTTGAGAGTTGATACATCCGTTTTCTTGAGGGGGAGAGAGAGCTGCTGTACATAGTCGACGATCTAGCGGTGTAGCGACGCCAGTCCACTTTCCATAAGAACGAATATCTTCCGCGGAATGCCTGCAGATCTATATCGACGCGATTGGGTCGATCTTAGACCCACTGCAGGTAATCTGCCATACGGGCAGAGTCCCGCTCACATGGATCTACGTTTAGGCTGTGTGACGAGAGTGTGCGCACGTTCTGGTGGGCCGCATTGATATGTACGAAATTGAGGCATTGCATGCGCAATCGATCTTGCCCACTGAATCCGAGAAGATGGAGCGTTGATCTATCCTCATTGAGGCATTGTACTACACAAAAGCACATACTCGGAGTTGCTCGGCGAAGAAATTTACGCGATATAAATTGTCTGGTATCGATATAACTTCAGACTGCTTGAATCCCTATCAGAGCCATTGAGTTACCACAACCATCGTTCTCACTACTGCTAAATTGATTCCATTACCATAATTGCTTCTTCTTACGATGGTCGGTATACCAACGGAGTATACGGGCATGTTCCCTATCTTGAACGAGAACAAAGGAGACCCCATCACCGCCGCTGAGGAGATCCCCAGTGAGCTACTGGAAAAGGTCCAACTCTATGTATCCGCCAAGGGCTGTGATTTTGTCGTGTTTCTGCAGGTTGTCTGGGCCATCACTCTGCGACAATATGTGGACACTGAGTTTCTCTCATATGCCTACTGTCATACTGGGGAGACTGGGGAGACTAGGTCTGCTGTACAGATATGTCAGGTGTCAATCGGCCCCGAAGACTCTATCGAAGGCCTTTGGTCACGCATTGAACAGCTGGACTGCCTGGACGGGTCGTCATTTCACCAGACAAAGCAGAACACGGGCCTCTTAATATCCGGGGCAACTTCCACATCGAATCCTGCGGTCTTGCTGAATGACTTCAGAGGGCTACAGAAGAATGTAAGTGTTGGAGTCTCGATTAGAGGGAAGGTTAACTGACTGTTCAATCTATCAGTGTCAAGCCTTACTCGTCTTGGAGGGAGTCCCTCAGCCTCACCGGCTGGTCTTCACATACTCGACGGCTCTGTTATCCAGCTCTCAAGCTGCTGATGTTATTTTGACAATCTCTCAAGTAATTTTGGAGCTCTTGCAGGATTGCAGTCAGACTGTTGGGCAGTTGAATTTGTTTAATCCGCTCATCGAGGAGTTTGTCCCTGAGTTGAATGGTCGTCAAGGCTCACTGGAAAGTAACAGCCCATCTATCATTGACACAATCCGGGCAAAGGCCATTGAGCAGCCAGATGCTACAGCAATCTGTGCGTCAGATGGAGAGCTAACGTATGATCAACTTGAGACCACAAGCACTAGACTGGCGCTCCATTTGCGCGGTCTGGGAGTTGGCCCAGACGTGATGGTACCACTCTTGTTCCACCGGTGTCAATGGGTTATCGTCGCTCAGCTGGCAGTGCTTAAGGCTGGCGGCGCATTTGTGCCGCTGGACCCTGTCCACCCAGATGCTCGTCTGACAAACATCATCGGACGTATCAAATGTGGTGTTCTGCTAACATCGGAGGTTTATGTTGACCGAGGGTCAATGGTAGCGGAGAATGTTGTCTGTGTAGGCCACAGTCTCATATCGGACTTGCCTTGCGATAACAATACTGGCTACAAGCTGCTGCCCCCGCCAAATCTAAATACCCCAGCATATGTACTCTTCACCTCCGGTAGCACTGGGGAGCCCAAGGGATGTGTTATGCAGCATCAAGCAATGGCGCAGATACCCAACCAAATCGGGGTCCAGTCTCTCGGTCTCTCGGCCAGCTCTCGAGTATTGCAGTTTACTTCATATGGATTTGCCATCTCCATATTTGAAATATACCACTCCCTGTGTTTGGGGGCCACTATCTGCATCCCATCCGATCATGATCGCATCAACAACTTGGTCGGTGCTATGGAAGAGATGAAAGTCACCTGGTCGATCATGACCCCATCTTTGTTACGAAACCTCGATCCCAGTCAAAAGCCCGCTACCTTAGAAACCGTCCTACTTAGCGGCGAGCCAGTGTTCAAAGAGGAATTCGATGGCTGGGCTGCCGTTGTCGACTTGGTTCAGGTGTATGGTGCAAGTGAGGGGTGTGGGCCGATCGGCTTCATGATTCCCGATGTGATGGCCTTCCGCCCGCTTCCCAACTTGCGATTCTGGGTTGTGGACGCCGTTGACCATCACAAACTTGCACCAATAGGAGTTGTTGGCGAGTTAATACTTGAAGGACCCTCTCTCGCACATGAATATCTGAATGATCCTCTCACCACATCCTCCGCCTTTATCGAGGCTCCCGCCTGGCGACGGTCCAAAGCCCTGCTCAATGTTGCCCCCAGATCCCTCTACAAAACAGGAGATCTCTTCCGCTACAACCAGGACGGCAGCATTAGTTATGTTGCGCGGAAAGCGCTGGATGTCAAGATTCGAGGGAAACGAGTTGACCTCAAGGAGGTTGAATATCAGGTGCGCCAATGCTGTCCGGATGCCACACGAGTGATTGCAGTGGCCGCATCCCCAGCCGATGCGAAAACACTTCTTTTGGCCGTTTTCCTACATTCTCCACGTTATATCATCGACCAGAAAGAGGAGTCTCACGGTCTCTTCGCTCCCTCCTCCGAGCCATTTCATTCCGAGGTGCAAATGATTCGCGAAAGGCTGTTGGAACTAGTACCGGATCATATGTGGCCATCCTTCTACATCCCACTTAGGTCTATTCCAATGACCGTTACAGGGAAGGTTGACATGAGGGCGCTCCGCAACTGTTTGCAGAAGTCCACTCGCCACGAATTGGAAGCCTACCAACCATCCGCGAGAGTTGAAATGGCTCAACCGGCCACTCAGATTGAGATGTGCCTTCATGGTGTCTTTGCCCAAGTTCTTGGGATGGATGGTTCGAGTTTTGGAGTCCACCACAGCTTCATAAGCCTTGGAGGAGACTCCTTGTCAGCGATGAAGGTGGTGAGCTTGTGCCAAACCAAAGGATACCCTGAAGTGACGGTGGAAGAGGTTCTGCGTCAACAAACCATTCGGAAATTGGCACTGAATCTGGAAAGATCGGCGGGGACAGAGTTGTCTTCTACAATTCCCCCGCAACCCTTCTCTCTTCTTCCCGGAGTAGACCAAGATGACATGAACCCTCTCCTCTCATTCACAGCAGGGCAATGCAAGGTTCCGGTTGATGCTATTCAAGATATGTACCCTTGCACGGCACTTCAAGAGGGTTTGATGGTATCCACCATCAAAGCACGAGACATGTACATCGCGCGGTGCGTCTTCGACCTGACCACTGGACTTGACTTAGAACAGCTGAAAGCCGCGTGGCAGACAACGGTGAATGCCAATGTGATGCTTCGAACAAGGATCGTGCAGAGCCCATCAGACGGGATGATCCAGGCTGTCCTCTGCCAGGACCAATCGATCATCAAGTGGGAGAGCTTTCCCTCGGTCGAGGCGTACCACAGCGAGGATAAGGCTCTATCTATGGGACTGGGCGACCCACTGGTACGATTCAGCTTGATTGGGGACCCTTCATTGGAGCTGTCCCTCGCAATCACCCTACACCATGCTATCTTCGATTTCTACTCGCTGGGTCTGTTGCTAGCACAGGCCCAGAGAGCGTACTGCGGAGAAACACTTGAACTCAACATATTCAGCCCTTTTATTCAAACTATCCAGAAGCAAGACAACTCGGCCGAGGAAGAGTTCTGGAATACTACTTTCGCCGACCTTCAGGCTCCGATATTTCCACCACTTCCCCATGATACGGCCGTGCCCATAGCAACAGCGCACCTGGAGCATACTGTGACGCTTCCGCATCAAACAGACTCCGACATTACGTTGTCCAATATCGCCCGCCTGGCATGGGCCATAGTTGTGTCAAACCACACTGACTCCGAGGATGTTGCGTTTGGCGTGACGGTTGCCGGACGCGCCACATCAACCCTTGGCGTTGCAGAGATGACTGGGCCTACTATTGCAACTGTTCCATTCCGAGTACGCTATAACCAAGCGGACACGGTTGCACACGCCCTTTCAACAGTACAGTCTCTCGCAATTCGTATGATTGCCTTCGAACAAACTGGCTTGCAGAATATTCGTCACATGAGCCTCGAGGCAGCTTCAGCGTGCAATTTTCAGAGCCAATTGATATTCCAACAGCCGGAAAAGGTCCACACCGACAATGACTCTTTGATCATGAAGGGCAAGACAGCTCAATATGGACTGGAAGACTTTAGTGTATTTATCAACTACGCTATTGGGTTGATATGCACACCATCCGCCGGAAACCAGTCTCTCCACCTCAACGTTCACTTCGATCGCAATATCCTTCCTGAGGCTATGGCGAATCGTCTGGTGAACCAGTTTGCAAACATCCTGCAACAACTGTGTGCAAATCAGAGCCAGCGCATAGAACAGCTAGATCTCGTCAGTCCCCGGGATTTGGAAGTCATGAAAACGTGGAATGGAACTATGCTGCCAGTGGAATCTCCACACACACTACATGAGTTAATCTTGCAAAACACACAAAATGAGCCTTTAGCACCGGCAGTGTCCTCATGGGACCAGAGTCTCACGTATCAAGGCCTGGAAGCACTTTCCAACAACATCGGTCACCTGATCATTCAAGCTGGGGTCAAACTGGGTGATCGCGTTGCTTTATGCCTTCAGAAGTCTGTATGGTCTGTTGTGAGCATGCTCGCAGTGTTACGTGCCGGTGCAGTTGGAGTCAACATCGATCCATCACTGCCTCCAGCGCGAATCGCGGCCATTCTCCAGGCAGCGCAACCTTCCCTGGTTCTCACGTCAGATGAAACACACCCCACAGTGCAATCCGCTCAAAGCGGGCTTCCACTCGTTGAAATATCGCCTCGAACACTAACCACAGCGCCGACAAGAGAGACTACAAAAGTGACAGAATGGCCATCGGTAAAGCCCAACGACGTGGCCTTTATGATTTTCACTTCGGGAACGACTGGAACGCCCAAAGGAATTGTCATTGAGCATCGCCATTTCACCACGGCCTTTTACCACCAACGCGAAGCTTTAGGTGCATACGCTGGCATGCGATCTTTACATTTCTGCAGCTACGCGTGGGACATGAGTCTACAAGAAGTCTTTTTCACCTGGGTCTATGGAGGCTGTCTTTGCATCCCCTCTGAAACGCAGCGAATGTCTAACCTAGCTGGCTTCATCCGAGAGCATCGGGTCAACTGGGCTACCATGACTCCTTCGGCGTTGACGATTCTCACCCCTGACGAGGTCCCTGGTCTCACTACAGTGCTTGTCGCCGGTGAGAATGTCCCCATCGAGTTGATGGAGACGTGGTCGTCTCGTCTCCGGATGATCAATGGGTACGGTCCGGCGGAAGCATTCACCTGTGCTGCCGGCCAGATTGAGCCCAATCTGCATTGCCTTGGTCGTATTGGATCAATGGTGGGAACAGCAGGCTGGATCACGCTCCCAGGTGATGTGAGTCGCCTGGCCCCCCTCGGAGCCATTGGAGAGTTACTTCTCGAAGGTCCAATGGTGAGTCGTGGGTACTTCAACGAACCCGAGAAGACTCTCGAGGCCTTTATCGAAGCTCCAGCATGGCTGAAAAAGATTCGTCCGGATGGTTCCACTGGCCGCATTTTCCGCACAGGGGACCTGGCACGATTTGACGAGAATGGATCCTTGCATTTCGTGAGCAGAAAGGATACCCAAGTAAAGCTACGAGGGCAGCGTATTGTCTTAGGTGACATTGAGCACCAGGTACAGCTTCACTTTGCCTCAGCTCAGCAGGTTGTAGTCGATGTCATCCAGCCCCAGCATTTGACCTCAGTATTGCTTGTCGCTTTCATCTACCAAGGGCACAATGAAGATAACGGAGACAAGAATCAGCTTCTTCAAGATCCGGATGAGATCTTCCTCCAACACAGTGCGTCGGTGATAGCAACGCTCCAAGATGCACTGCCTGTCCATATGATTCCCATGGCGATGTTCCCAATCCGCCATGTTCCTTACAGCACGACATTGAAAATCAATCGCGGTAAGTTGAGAGCGGAAGCTGAGCAGTTGAGCCCAGACCGGCTTCAATGCTATGCAGTGGGGGGAGACAGAAGCAACACCCCGAAGGAATCTCCGGAAACTTCGTCTGAGGCGATATGGCAAGGACTGTGGGCTCAAGTCTTATCAATCCCAGCCGACCGCATTGGACGGGACGATCATCTTTTCCGCATGGGTGGAGATTCTCTCTTGGCCATCAAGCTTGTAGCTCTCGCGCACCGCGAAGGACTGCCCCATATCACATTCCAAGATATTTTCAAACATCCTCGATTGAGGGACATTGCTGCTTTATCCACCGCCTCCAGTTCCGTCTCTGCTTCAATCCAGGGCAGCTCAGGGTCGTCACCATTTGCACTGATAAAAGACGTCGATACACTGGTCCAAATGGCCGGCGATCAATGCGGTATCTCTGTCGACAGAATCGAGGATATATATCCGTGCACACCTCTACAGTCCTCTCTGATCGCTTCCACTGTGCACCATCGCGACGCCTATCTATTGTTGCAATCCTACACTCTGGTAGACGGTATCGATGTTGAACGATTGAAGAAAGCATGGGAATCTACCGCGGAAGCTCACCCTATTCTTCGAACACGCATTTTCCAGACTCCAGCTGGTGCCGCTTACCAAGTTGTTCTGAGAGGTCCACTGGAGTGGTTGAATTTGGAACGGGATGATCCAATGCCATCTCAGCCTATGGTAGGGTTGGGGACACCTCTCATCCGGCTAATACTCTCTCCAGGTCGCTTGCTTCTCTCCATCCACCACGCACTATACGATGGGTGGTCCTTGCATTTGCTGGCCAGCGAAGTGCAAAAGACATATAACAGTCTCCCCATCCAACCGCCAGCGCTGTTCAACCGTTTCATTGCGCATGTCGTGGGCTCAATGGACTCAGCAGCCTTGTTTTGGAGGAAAGAACTACAAGATGCTGATCCGGTTCACTTCCCTGTTTTACCCTCCCTGGACTACCGACCAAAGCCCAAATGTTCCGTTGACAAGGTTGTCACTTTGGCCCCAAACACGACGCTGCACAATGCGACAATAGCATCCAAGATTAATTTGGCTTGGGCATTAGTGAGCAGCACATATACCCACAACGATGATGTTATTATTGGAGTAGTCTCATCAGGGCGAACAGCCCCGGTCGTAGGGATCGAGAATATTCTGGGGCCCACCATCGCAACTGTGCCCCTGCGAGTTCGGGTGGATCCCGGACAAAGGGTGTCCGAGGCCTTGGAGAAAGTTCAAGGAAAGTATGCAAAGCAAGCGGCTTATGAACATTTTGGTTTGCAGCAAATCAGCCAGCAGGGTGATAATGCGGCAGCGGCATGTCAGTTTCAAACCCTGATAACCGTGGAATCAAAGCAGCTCAATGATCAGGCTCCTCGGGAAAAGGGATCTTGGTACCATGATGAAGAGATCCTATCAGATGCCAACCACTTCAGCAGCCATGCATTGATGCTGCAATGCCAGACGCTTCCTGGGGGGTCAACCATTAAAGTCACTGCCACATTTGACCCGGATGTTCTACCACTCGCTCAAATGCAGCGAGCCCTCTCGCAATTTGAATCTTTCCTGATGCAGATTCAGGATGTTTCGGATATCAATGCAACCACAATTGGAGACTTGCAGGTCGTCAGTCCGCAGGACTTGAAAGAAATGATGAGTTGGAACCCCTTACCATCACCAGCAGATGATCATGTTGTCCTGTGCGTTCACGACCTGGTGCACGAAAAATGCCAAAGCCAGTCCGATGCCCAAGCCATCCACGCATGGGATGGAGATTTCACATACAAAGAACTGGATAACCATGTTGCACGTCTAGCCAGCCACATTCAAGCCCTTCACACTGTGCGCCCTGATACATTTGTCGCCCTGTACTTTGAAAAGTCGCGGTGGACCGTGGTAGCCCAATTGGCCGTTCTCAAGGCTGGAGGAGCTTTTACTATGTTAGATCCCTCGCACCCTATCGAACGTCTCCGGGAAATCTGCAGCACTGTTCAGCCCCCTCTCATCCTGGCATCGGAAGAACAGCAAGACTATGCTGCTGGTGTATTCGATGTGCCAGTGGTGGGAGTTGGCCATGCTCTTCTGAACCAAGGATCACTGCGTCTCGACTGCCCCAGCAGCAGTGTCAAGCCTAGCAATGCCATGTATGCTATCGCTACTTCGGGTACTACTGGCAAACCCAAAGTGGTGGTGATTGAACATCGATCTTTCGTCGCCAACACTGAGCCCATAATCGAGATGCTGGGTCTCACTGCGGATTCTCGGGTTTTCCAATTCGCAGGATACAGCTTCGACGCCATGCTTGTAGAACATTTCTCTACGCTACTGGCAGGTGGCTGTATCTGCATTCCGTCCAAATTTGATCGTGATAATTTCTTGGACCAGGCGATTACGGAGATGAGTGCTAATTGGGCGGTGCTGACTACATCAGTCATTCAGTCACTTTCGCCTGGCACTGTGCCCACAATAAAAACTATGGTTCAAGCTGGAGAGCCTATGAATCAGGGCATCATTGATCGCTGGGCATCTCATGTGCGTTTAATCAATGCGTATGGCCCAACTGAATCCACCATCTTCTCTTGTGCCAACAAAGATGTCCGCCCAGACTCTAGCCCTCACGTTATTGGCCATGCCAAAGGTTGTGCGACTTGGATTATTGACCCGGAAACTCTCGATCTCGTCCCCATTGGGGCCGTGGGAGAATTGGTCATTGAGGGTGAAATACTCGCCCGTGGGTATTTGAATGATCCGGAACGAACTGCCTCCGCTTTTATTCCCAAACCCACCTGGTTAAACAATCTCAGAGGACATGTCAGCGACAAGCCAGTATATAGGACAGGCGATCTGGTGAAATACACACCGCATGGATCTATTTGCTACGTCCGACGCAAAGACCTTCAGATCAAGCTCCGGGGTCAGCGACTGGAACTCACAGATGTGGAGCATCAAGTTCAGCGGTGTTTCCCAGGTGCCCTACAGGTTGTGGCGACTGTCACATCTCTTAACAAATCCAACGCCGCTCTGGTGGCCCTGGTCCTATCCTCTTCTGCTCCGGTTCAGCCATCGGCTGATACTGATCTCCTTCTACCGGCCACCAGCAGCTCCAAATTCATCAAAGACGCACGAACTGCCGAGCTGGCCCTTCAAGAACGAGTCCCTACATATATGGTGCCCACTTTCTTCCTTCCGCTATCTCGAATTCCGCGAAACATCAACGGAAAGGTCGACCGGCATCAGATAAACACACGCCTAGCCTCTCTGACTCGACAAGAGGCCGACAGCTATAATTCTTCCTCCAACACCTTGGTCCCTCCAGCGAACGATCTCCAAAGTGCTATCCGCGCCATCTGGGCTGTTGTTCTCAGTATAGCCCCTGAGGAAATTGGCATTCACAACAGCTTTTTCCGCATCGGTGGTGACTCCATCACTAGCATGCAAGTGGTTGCCCAATGTAAGACTGCAGGGATCTCCATGACGATGCAAGATCTCTTCAAGCACCGGACAATTGAGCAACTGGCGGAGCATATCAACCGATCGAGTCCCAAAGATGGGGCTGAGGTGGTTCGACCCGAACTGTTGGAGATCTTCGACAAGGCAGTGGACTTGTCCCCTATTCAACAGATGTACTTCGACTTTGCCCCCGAGAACCCGAATCACTTCGTCCAGAGTCTCATTCTGCGCCTGGGAAGGTCGAATCTGAATGGTGAAACGGTCACCCGGGCTCTTGATACTGTAGTAGAGACCCATTCCATGCTCCGGGCTCGTTTCAAGAAGTCACTGGATGGCAAATGGACTCAGAGCATTCCGACCAACGCAGAGGGGAAACACTATTATTATCATGATTGTGGTACCCAATCGCAAAAGGCGATAGAATCCATCTGTCGCAGAAGTCAGCAGACCTTGGATATCCAACATGGGCCTTTGTTGATTGTGAACCAGTTTGTACGGGAAGACGATGGAACCCAATGCCTCAATCTCATAGCTCATCATTTAGTCATCGATCTTGTGTCATGGAGAGTGATTCTAGCCGACCTCGAGCAAATTCTGGCCACAGGCCTGGCACCAAAAGTGCCTCCTACACCCTTCTTGCATTGGTGTCAACTCCAGGCTGACTATGCAACTCGCTCTCTCCCTATCGTTCGGGATGAAGATGACCAGAAAATCACGGCATACTGGGGAGATGAGGTGACCAACCACAACACCCACCAGGATGTTGACACTTACACGATCAGTCTCGATCAGGAGGCCAGCCAAGTTTTGCTAGGTATTGCGAATGACCCTTTGAGTACGCAGCCAGTGGATATCATTCAGGCTGCCGTGTTGCACTCTTTCGTCCAACTCTTCCCGGACCGGCCAGCTCCTGTTGTTTTCTCTGAAGGCCACGGTCGTGAGCCATGGGAACCCACGATCGATATCACGCGAACTGTGGGCTGGTTTACCACGATATGGCCCACCTCGGTAGCCCTGCAAGCATCCGAGGGGATGGTGACCGCTCTTCGGCGAACCAAGGATGCTCGTCGCAGTACCCCGGCCAACGGGTGGGAGTACTTCACCTCTTGTTACCTTCATCCGCAGGGCCCGAAGATAAGAAGGGCAGTGGAGATTCTTTTGAACTACCAAGGTCGGTATCAGCAACTGGAACGCGCCGATGCGTTGCTGAAATTCGACGCAGCCAATCGCTTTGGCGCTGGGAGTGAAGTGGAAAATATGCCTCGGTTTTCCTTGCTGGATGTGTCCGCTCAAGTGACTGATGACTGCTTGCATCTGCAGTTCCTTGTTAATCGTCGGATGAAGCATCAGGATCGCCTCCAGCAGTGGGCAGGGCAGTGTGCACAATCTCTTCGTGAGGCATGTATACAGTTGTCCGCAATGCAAGGCTGCTACCAAACTGTTTCTGATTTCCCTCTACTTTCTGGCATCCACTCAGACCAGCTACATCGATTTATGACAGACTTGGCCCCCAAACTTCACGGCCAGGTGATTGAGGCTATTTATCCGACCGCTCCGGTCCAGCGTGGAATTCTCATGAGCCAGGCACGCAACCCGCAGCATTACCAACAAGTAGTCAAATGGAAAGTATCTCCAACTGACGCGACTGCTGGTGTGCCCATTGATATTGAGGAGCTGGCTCGAGCATGGCAGCGGGTGGTTGATCGCCATCCTGCCCTTCGAACAATTTTCTTGGAGATATCTGATGAAGGGATTACCCATCAGGTTGTGTTGAAGGGTGTCTCAGCAGCAATTCGGTACGAGTCTACATTGCTAGAGCGGGATGATGATCGAATTTGTCCCTCCTCGGTACTGCACATGGAAACGTCAGCACAAGGACACATTATGCTGAATCTGTCTATCAATCACGCCCTCTTTGATGGACATTCCGAGCGAATCCTTAGGCGCGAACTGGCCCTGGCCTACGGGGATAATCTACCGCTACTTCCTGCGCCGCCCTATCAAGATTACATCACATACTTGTACAGCGCAGATGGATTTGGCAGTACTGATGAAGTCTACTGGCGCAGCTATTTGGAATCCTCGTCGCCCTGTCTATTCCCTCGACTCTTGGGCGACGCAGAGACTGATCAGAACCATGAAAAAATAGAAGAGTTTGGGTCCTTCATCATCGAACTCGGCTCTACCACCACCGTGGATGAGTTTTGCGAGGAGCACAGAGTTGCGCTGACTACCGTGTACCATATTGTCTGGGCGATTGTGTTGTCGGGTTATACTGGCGCAACAAATGTTTGCTTTGGGTACTCGGTCAATGGACGAAGCGCTCCTGTCCCTGGCATTCAGGATATTTTCGGTCCTATAATCAACACACTCATAGGGAGATTGCAACTGCAACCGGATGCTCCCTTGTTGTCAGTGCTCCAGCAATATCACGACGATCGTCTCAATAGCTTGGACCATCAGCATCACTCACTTGGGGAGACACTACATGCAATTGGCGCATCCGGCAGCGGGCTGTTTAACACTGTCATCTCCGTTCAAGATCGGCGCAGAGGCATTGCAGAGATTGCCCCCTCATCAACCATTGCTGTGGCTGAGGTTGGCACGGAAGATCGTTCCGAGGTAAGAATCCACTTTGACTTGTGCATCATTCAATTCACTTGTGCATCATTCAATTCTCTTTATGCTGACAATGGAATTTCTACACAGTACCCTGTGACCCTCAATGTTGCAGTGTTTGAGAAGACCACAAAAGTACTGTTTTCCTATCAGAAATCATTCATTGCCCCAAAGTACGCGGTGGCAATCGGACAGACCTTTGCCAATGTTATGTCGCAAGTGCTCTCTCAGCCGTGCCAAGCTATCCGTGATATTGAGTTACTCGATGATGTGCAGAGGGCTGACATTAAAAATCGGAACGCCCTCGTCCCAGAAACTGTGACAACCCTTGCGCATCATACAATTCAGCAACGGTCTCTCGAGCAGCCCAGTGCTCAGGCTGTCTGTGCCTGGGATGGTAATTTCACCTATGAGGAGCTCAATGAGCTTTCCTCAATTCTTGCAGAGGAACTGATCAACCACGGTGTGGGTATCGAAACGCCGATTCCTCTATATCTGGAGAAGACTCGGTGGACACCAGTGGCAATTCTTGGGGTATTAAAAGCTGGTGCCACCTTTGTTCTCTTGGATGCTTCTCAGCCTTCCGCTAGACTTCGAGCCATCTGTGAGGACACTAAGTCGTCTCTTGTCCTGGCGTCGTCATGCTTGCTTTCCAAAGCTGCCGTTCTGTCGTCTTGTGTAATTGAGATTGGGGACCGTCTGCTTACAGTCTTGCCACATACTGTTTGTTCGCCAATTGTTGAGGTGAATGCAGATCATGCGGCATACATTGTTTTTACCTCCGGCTCGACCGGAAAGCCCAAGGGCATTGTCGTTGATCACTTCTCGCTGTCCACTTTTCTTCAAAATACGGTATCACGCTGCAACTTCACTTCAAGGCATCGCATTCTCCAGTTCGCATCACATGCTTTTGATGCCTCTGTTTTCGATGTGCTTGTTCCTTTGGTAGTTGGCGGGTGCGTCTGCATCCCTTCGGATGAAGAACGTACGGGCGGTATCACTAGCGCAATGAAGCGAATGAGAGTGAATTGCTCACTTACAACCCCCACTGTTGCCCGGTTGTATGATCCTGACGAGCTGCCGGAATTGGAAACTTTAATCCTCGCAGGTGAGGCTGTCTCCGCCGCAGATTTGGCAATTTGGCATGGGAAAGCCCGTGTTCTCGTTGGGTACGGTCCTGCTGAATGTACTGTTCTCAGCACCATCAGCGAGCCCATGACCATGACCAGCAACCCTCGGAGCCTTGGATTTGGTAGCGGATGTGTGACATGGGTCATGGACCGCAATAATCACTGCCAGCTGGCTCCCGATGGGGTGGTAGGGGAGCTCTTGGTGGAGGGACCGATTGTCGCTCGCGGCTATCTCAACAATCCGCAAAAATCCTCCACATCATTTGTCAAGCCTCCAGGTTGGCTAGCTGCTCTTCGGGAGGGTGGGCCACCCGTGCGACTGTACAGAACAGGGGACTTGGTGCGATATGCTGAGGATGGATCACTGATTTTTATCGGTCGCAACGACGATCAGGTCAAGATTCGTGGCCAGCGGCTGGAAATCGGTGAAGTCGAAGTGCAAGTTGCTCGTGCATTTTCTGGGGACCACGTTCTTGTCGAGTTCGTTAAGAAATCAGACTCCGCTATCTTAGTGGCATATGTGCTGCAAAGCGACAATGAGGGGGGGTCTTCGAGCGACAGCCATAGTGCCCTCCTCCACCCACCTTCAAAGACCTTTTATGACTGCACGCGCACTGCAGTTTCTCTGCTACAAAAGGCCATGCCATCTTATATGGTCCCTAGCGCCTTCCTTCCCTTGGCCGTGCTGCCAAAGGGCCCCACGGGTAAGACAGATCGGAAGCGTCTGCGAGAACATGCCGCTTCCATGTCACAAACCGAGCTCGAAGCCTACAGCATAATCGCCACGTCCAGAAGAGCTCCTTCCACGCCTCTGGAAACTCGTCTCCAGGTGCTTGTAGCGCATGCGCTCAACAGATCCCCCGCCGATATTCCATTAGAGGAAGACTTGTTCCAGATTGGAATGGATTCTTTCAAGGCAATGACTCTGGTAGCGTCAGCTCGTCGAGATGGTGTCTATTTCTCAGTACAAATGCTCTTCCAGTATCCGCGCTTATCCGAGTTGGCCATTGCACTCGATGAGAAGCCAGATGTCAATCGCACCCCAGTCCAGCCAAGTCCTTTACTGGAATTTGCGGATGAGATTTGCGCGGAGTGGCACTTAGATCGAAATGAAGTGGCCAACATCATCCCAGCCACCTACTATCAGCGAGATTCGGTCAAGACACACTATATCGGGCATATGACCGTTCACTTCTCCAAGCCAATCGATCAGGTGAGGCTTAAGAGTGCCTTAGTTGCGACGCTGGAAATGCATTCGGTACTACGAACGGCTTTCGTTCCATTCCAAGATACCTTTGTGCAGGTCGTTCTACGCCACCTTGATCTAACGATTGAAGAGATTAGCACCGAGGAAGATCCCAAGGAGGTTATACAATCAATCTGCCGCGCAGATGGGATGAAACCGATTGCATTTGGGAGGCCTGGCCTGCATCTGTCCATGGTCGAGGGAAGAGACCGTCTTTCCATATCGTTGAGAATGAACCATGCCCACTTCGATGGAACGTCAATATTCTTTATACTTCAAGAAGCCGCTGCTCTCTATGCGGATTCGAAGTCGGTCTTCCCCTATAGTCTAGACTACTCCGACTTTATTGCTCATCGTGTGCAACGGACCACTCCGGCGACTTTCTCGTTCTGGCGCGATCTGCTCCAGGGCTCTTCGATGACATATCTTGGCCAAAATGACGACGGCATGGGGCGTCCCGACCGATCGCGCACGGAACTTCTAGCGAGTAGCTCGGGTAGTATGCCTTTGCCCGATGTCCAGAGTGGCATCACCGTGGCCACTGTAGTCAAAGCCGCTTGGTCTCTTTGTTTGGCACAATATGCAAACTCCAAAGACGTGGTCTTCGGCCAACTCTCCACGAATCGTGCGTTGGACATCGAGGGAATTGACCGTATGGTAGGCCCCGGTGTGAACTACGTCCCTGTTCGAGTTACTTTGCAGTCAGACTGGACCGCAAAGGAGCTCTTCCGCTGTGTTCAGGAGCAGCACATCCGTGCAATGTCACATGACACGGCTGATTGGGATGAGATCGTAGCTCAAAGCACCTCGTGGCCCCAAGACACGCCGGTAGGAACTGGAGTTCACTACTTGGCTGCGCCACCGCTTTGGAATCACGATTATCAATTTGCTGGGGAAATTCCAGCTCGAAATGAGCATATCGATGTCAAGATGGCCCACACCTACCCCATGCTAATGTGCGTGCCAATCCCAGCGGAAGGAGACGGCCCACCCATGCTGGGTATGTCGCTTTCCAGTCCCGTTTTCAGTCAACAGGTCGCGGATGAGCTACTCTCACTTTTCCGAGAGACGGTAATTCGCCTGACGACTCATCCAGAGAGCTTGATCTGCCCTGCTCAACCTTGATCATTTGTCTCATGTCTTTTGCTTCTTGTCCGTTCAATATTGATGATTTGTCTCGTATTATTTACCTTCTACCATAAAGAGTTCAACATTAGATAGAAGAAGAATCAATATAAAGACTTCTAGCTGCCCGCATTTCGTGACACAGTATTATCTCTCGTGATATCTCTAGAAAAGATCGCCGCTCATCAAACCAAAACGTTGCCTATGGTGCTACCATAAGCACTCGAAACATCAATGCCCGGCCTCTTTTACCATAGTCTCCACGACGGTTCTTGCTTGTCACCCGCGATATTGCTAGGCTTTAGATGGTGGATTTGGGATTTCTCATAGAATGAATACTGTAATACTCGCTTCCCTTCTCAGAACCTAAAACCCTCCAGTGGCTTCGGCAGCATTAGCGAGAGAACGTATAAAGAGGATATAAAGATAAGGTGGTGCTGGATTTTTCATGCAAGCTGAAGGAATCGAGTCAATCGATGGAAAGTCCGAAGAGGGCAGCAAGGCACTGTAGCGACATGGGAATACGTCACCTTTAGACCTGAACTACCACGAACAAGAGTAGGCAGCATGGTTACCATCAGAGCAGGCGAAAGCTAGAAGGTAAGACGAGAAGTGAAGGGAGAGCAACGGGGTGATCGATCAGGTTGCTCACTGAGTAGCTCAGGGTCGCTCCAGGGCTCAGTGGGCAGCTTCGGGCGGCGGGGTGACTATCTCGCCCTGTGGGATCTATCCGAGAGCCGATCGTGACCTGAGACGACCATTTTACCATCAATATTATTACACGATCATTGTGCAAATTAGGATTTAGGGTCCGTTGAGAACTGAATTAACTGAGTAGAGCTATTCACAGGAATTTCAGGGGTTCCAAGCTGCAACTACCTTAGGGGGGCCGACATTGCCTAAGAGGTTATTGATAAGGTAACGGAGCAATGGGAAAGGCGCGGCCCTCCCAGGAACGAGTCAGTAATCACCGTCTATAACTTTACGCCTAGGACAGCTTTTTCTGTTCATCAATGCTTCAGGATGCACATGATGAATCTAGGTTCAGCACTGATCTATCAGTCGCCGAAAAAAACTTTTCAGACGAACCTCAAGAACTGCCGTCCGGTCAGCATAGATTCGCCAGAATCGGACAAGGTCAAGAATTTTCTAGTGCTCGTGAACAGCCTTGATCGTCTCTCGCCCCACAAAGGCCAGAAACAGGGATCAGCTGAAAGACAAATGCACATTTCGCCTCTTTGATTATTCTCAATGGTATGGTCCGCAGAATTTGCCTCACAACGGTCAAATCATTCCGAGTAACAAGGCACTTGGTTGACCGCATTTGGGAATCAGAGTACCTGTCATCTCAATTCAGCTGCATTGTAGGCACTTAAAGGTGGATGGTGAAAGGCGCTCAGAGCTTTTCATGACTGTCAAACTACCAAATTTCTCACTAACATGCTTGCACTGTCATTGTCTTCTATCTCTTTTCAACTTTCTTACAGGTGGGCGCTATCAACCTAAGCCTTTACGTTTTGGTGTCTGAGTTTAGCATTGACTATTTTCCCCTCCCACTGAAAAAAGGCTGGAGCTCTTTCTCACACCGGTTGAAACTCACAAAACTCACAAATCTTCATCAATACTAATGAAGAGAATAGCTACAGCTAGATGTGTTAATAAGTTCAATATTCTTGCCTGGCCTCAGGTCCTTCAATTGGATGGCGTTAATGTTCTGGCGGTGCTGCTCCGACGTTGACTAGCGGCTATAGGCTCTTGTGTTATGATGGTAAGCAATTTGGCAAGCATTTCGTAAACAGACCCTACATTAGCCATGTGCATGAAATAAGATGGTTAGAAACTCATGCAATCCCATTGAACCTTCGCAGAATTCGCAGAATTCGCAGCATTTGCACAACGAAGTAATCAAAAGTAAGCACTTTGGCCCCTACTACATATGTACATGATAATGTCTGGCAAATCCTGGCTTTCCCTTTCCGGTTTAGGGCTGCTCCATAAGCGGGCGAACCCGAACCATCTGGCGGTATTGACAAGGGCGGCTAGTGAGTTAGCCCCGTACTTAGTTAGCACCTTATTGTAGTTACTGTCGCCAAGGGGACAGCCTCAATTTCCCCTATCACATACCAGATAACAGATTTTCAAAATCCGTCCGTATACATTGATTCCCTTCTCTTTCTCTCCTCCGCTCTTCAGTCGCACCCTACCAACAACCTACCAAAAATGACATTCGCTGTGGCTCGAACGCGACTGCGCGTGACCACAACATCGAGCCTACGGGAGCGGGCCAAGATTTCATATTCAACCAAGACCTCTGGCTCAGGCTTAGGCTCATTCTCGAATTTAATGAGATACATGAAGATTGCCGGTGTGGCCGGTGTGGTCGGTACACCAGCCTTTTGGTGGTTGGCAACTACGCGCGACAATTCCACCCGCGACGATGCCCCGCATCTTGAGAGCCCTCCAGCTGAGCACTGGAGCATTGAGCCAGGTCCTTCCAAAGACCAAGTGACGCGTATGATATCACAAGGCGCCTATTCATATGCGGTCAGAAACGTCTTCGGCATCAGCAGATATGACGGCGCTCAAGTATCTTCCAACAGCCCATGCGAGGACCGGTTCGTCCATGGAAAAATTTCTTCGCCATGGAGCGAAGGCCAATGGATGGCCTGGGCCGTCTTTGATGGTCATGCAGGCTCGGAAACAGCAGAATTGCTAACAAAGCACCTCCTGCCTTTCGTCCGACACAGCTTGGATCAAATAAAGCCAATCTCGACTGACATGTCCGTACCAGGGGAGGGGTCGGTGCAGCGCGCTATTATGCAGGGGTTTAATAAACTCGACGATTCCATTGTCAAGACAGCTCTAGACACGGCTCAAAGCGAACAGTCGTTGCAACAGAAAGTAAAAAAACTGGCGCCTGCTTTTTCCGGCTCGTGCGCTTTGCTCTCGTTGTACGACTCTACCACGAGCACGTTGCATGTGGCGTGTACCGGCGATTCGAGGGCGGTTTTGGGGCAACAAAGGCCAGACGGCAGCTGGGACGCAATACCATTGTCAGTAGACCAGACTGGCAGAAACAAAGAAGAGATTGCGAGGCTTTACAAAGAGCACCCCGATGAAAAAGACATAGTCAAAAATGGACGGGTGCTGGGGTTAGCGGTCTCACGAGCCTTCGGTGATTGCCAGTGGAAATGGCCTATTGAATTCCAGGAAGATATGCAGCGGAGATTCTACGGTCCATCGCCGCTGGTGCCAAGATACCCCGTTCTGACGCCGCCCTATCTAACGGCTGAACCGGTCGTGACAAGCACTAGAATCGATCCTGGGAATCCTTCTTTCCTGATTATGGCAACAGACGGCTTGTGGGATATGCTCTCCAATCAGCAGGCCGTCGATTTAGTGGGAAAATGGTTGGAATCGGAAGCAGCCGGGAAGAGGGACAACAACCCGGAGCCAATATATACAGCATTTGACTTTGGTGATTTCTGGAAGGGAATAAATTGGAAGTTCATAACGGGGAGAACAACAGTCGAAGATGACAATGTCGCTGTGCATCTCGTGCGCAATTCCTTGGGTGGAAATCATCATGAGTTGATAGCAGGCCGGCTTGCCTTCGGCTTTCCATCTTCCCGGCGTCTACGAGACGATACCACTGTGCAGGTGGCTTTCTTTAATGTCCCTGATCTGAAAAATAAACAATAGTCCAACACATAGCATTCTAGGCGTCTAGGCTTTTCCAGAAGACCTGAGGCTGCTACTTCAATGGCCTACGATATATCATTCGAATACATATCAACTACCGTATTCAACCAGGTGGATTCGTCAATAACAAGTAGCCTTTAAAAATTCAATTTGCTCTCTGATTGAAAGTCATGTAGACATGTAGAATCATTTCGAAAGTATATTTGCACGACTTTTTGAAAAGCAAATGGCAGAGGTATGGATTGCCTCTCTGGGCTAGTTCTAATGCTTTCGGTCTAGCTTCGACACCTCCCGCTCCGCAGATTGGATCTTTCGTCCTCTTCCCACCATCCTTACACTTCTCCCTTGTACTCATTGCCGCCCCTCTCTTTCCGCATCTCCCACCAGAAATTTCAGGGAGACCTATGTCTTAGCCAAGATGCCACTCACTGGATTTGACCCCCAATTATCGGCCCAACTTCACAATCAGATCCTTAAACGGGCGTGGATTGGGGCCGGACGAGATGTCGCTTCGATCCCGTCCAAGACCTGGTGGGAAGAGTCCTCGCCTATTCCATTCGATCTCGCATCTCGCCTTAATCTGAACTTGATCAGGTTCCTGCGGTCGGCAAAGGCCGCTATATTTGACCCTGATTCAGATTTTCATCTCTTCTATTACCTGATAGCGCTTCATGGAAAACATGAAATCTTTGCTCCAGACTCTTCACTCGGATCGTGGGGTGATCGTTATGTGTGGTTGTATCCCTCAACACGAACAAAGAGTGATGAAGAAGTCGGCATAGTGTGAGATTCCTATTAAGCTTTGCTACAATTTAGGGAAGACAAATGCTTACGCGCCGAATAGATTCGACCAAGAAACCGAGCTTGCTTCCTTTGTCCCAGACTGGGAAGATATGGTCTGGTCTGATAGGGAACGGTGGCCATGGCGGCCATTACAAAATATTCTGCAAGCCTATCTAGACATGATTGATGAGGGCAAAATAACAACAGTTTCGGATCGTCGAAAGGCATCTATGGATCGTTTCTTCGGAGTATTCCCTTGGGAGATTCACCTACATACCCCAAGGGATGTTGAGAGGGCTGTCAGTTCCTTTACCCGTCTTCTTGATGCTATCGAGATTCGACTCCCATCAAATTCGACACATTCGACACATGATTGTGGCCACAAACAGCCAAACCTCGAAGGAATAGCTCTCCCATACTCCGAAGCGGTCATTGAAGCGTCTTTCATAGAAGCGGACTCGTTTCTCGGATGTTTTCTCTCGGCTCTTCCTATCCGCCATCTCAACTTTCGCTATATTGCCCCCGGCATTCGACTCCAAAATCCGATCGAATTTATGAATCAACCACTTGCTGACCGCCGCCATAACCGTCTATATCTAGACTTGTATAGTACCGACCAGACGGCACCATTATTCCCTCTGCTCTTATTTCGAGGGGAGAGGGAGAACAAGTCACCCTGGACGCGGCCCTGGTTTCCTGACGGGAAGGTAGAGAAAGTTCCCTCTGGTTTGTACATTGAACCCACCGACAAATATCTCAACTGGGAATCTGGCAACCAGAGTCGACTCCTGCTGCCGTTTAGCATCGGCAGCAATGGGTTTGCTCGAAGTAGCAATGGCGTTCCATTCAAACGTGCTAGGTTTCCGGGAACTGATCGACCTGACCAACTTTACCAGGAAGATTTGTTCAATGGTTATAGTGGTTATTTACCTTGGGATTCACGTAGCTCATATCTACACAAAGTTTTGGAAAGCTGGGCTGAACGGGTGGAAATGGGTGATTGGCAAGTGGGCGAAGACGGCGTTGTCGGTGGTATTGACAAATTCAAAGAGGCTGATACCGAAGAACATTGGAGAGAATATTTTATTCCTTGGTGAGATCTTTTACTAACACGGTGCTGACGACCGCCACGAAGACTGCAGTAGAAGAATTGACGATGGGCAATTCCCGCGCATCTCGAGCCTTGTCGAGCCATGTTGTAGGTTTAATAATGAGAAGTATTTCCGGTGCTACTTTGCTCTTTGCGGTTGCAGATATCAAAGTACAGAGCTTTTCGAAAGTTATATCACAGCCTAAGTGATACACTTTCAATTGACCCGTTTCCCTACGAGAAAACAAAGTCTTGCCTGAGCGTGTTATACTAGAGCCATAACCATGTGAAGTTACACCTAGTTGGGCGAATGGATATATGGTTAAATACGTGTTTGGTAGAGAACAGGACGAGTTGGTGGCACTATGAGCTCACTTTACAATTTCCGACATTGCGTGCTCAGGATAGTTATTCAGCCTAAGATGCTTCGAACAAGCTGATAATTGTGCTTTGATGTACTATTCTTCTGTCACATTTGCTTTGTTCTGCACCAGAGGTCCCTTCCTCCTCCAAATCGGTCTCCAAAGTATATGGTTTTCAATGAAGGGGCAAGGGGATGGCGGAGACGGGCAGGCCGTCGAGGGCCGTAAGACGGCGGTGCAATGGGAGCGGTTTCCGGCGCCCCGCTCACCGTGTCAACTACTGATAAGCGGCAATAACGTATTATATCCTTAGGTCAGAAACCCTGGCCTAGCGGGGAGATATAAGTATATCTAATATCAGCGAGAACCTATAGAGGACTACGATCTTTGAAATAGAGTATAGTGCCGATGCCTAGTTTATTAATAGAACCTTCTATGCTCATTGCGTCTATGATAGACGATTTAAAGGGTATTAATTGTTATTAAAAGTGAGTATAAAGTTCTCCGTAGAAAAAAAATGAATGATATTTTGTTATCGTTATCGGAATTATAGCGGCACGGCCATGGCATGGCGTACACCGCTCCCGGTGCTGGAAATTTCCCCTCCACCATATTGAGAGAGTATACAGGAACTGAGCACGCACCTTCGCGATTTAACCTTATTCCAACCACAGCCGCAAGTCACTACAACCGACACCAATTTGCATCAAGCAATAATATCTCCAAGCAAACCGATTCCTGCTCGATCATCCAACATGATCGCCATCGGCATGGAAGGCTCCGCCAACAAAGTCGCAATCGGAATAATCCGCCATCCGACAGACGGCAGCACACCACAAGTCCTCGCGAACGTACGACACACATACAATGCACCACCAGGCGAAGGTTTCCTACCAAAGGATACGGCGATCCACCACCGAGCCTGGGTCGTCAAGATGGTGAAAGCAGCTCTGCAAGAAGCTTGCCTGTCGCCGCAAGACGTGGACTGTATTTGTTTCACTAAGGGGCCTGGGATGGGCGCGCCGCTGCAAAGCGTGGCCGTTGCCGCGCGGATGATGAGTCTCCTCTGGAGGAAGCCTTTGGTTGGGGTTAATCATTGTGTTGGGCGTATGTTATGTCTTGGACCCCTCTTCGAATAATATCTTCCTCCCATGCTGGATGGCTTACATATGTTTTTATTTACGATTTCTAGACATCGAAATGGGCCGCCTGATTACCGGCGCTGAGAATCCCGTCGTGCTATATGTCTCTGGTGGAAACACGCAGGTCATCGCATACAGTAATAAGCGGTACCGCATCTTCGGCGAAACGCTGGATATCGCAGTTGGAAACTGTCTTGATCGATTTGCGCGCACGCTGCGCATTCCCAATGACCCGTTCCCGGGGTACAATATTGAGCAGCTTGCGAAGAAGGGGACTCAGCTTGTTGATCTGCCGTACGTAGTTAAGGGGATGGACTGTTCGTTCTCTGGTGTTTTGGCTGCTATTGATGCGCTGGCCGTGTCTCTTGGGTTGAGCGGAGAAGAACAGGCGCAAAATATGGATGCGCTGGTTGCGCAAGAGAATCGGGATCTCGGTACTAAGGTTACTCGCGCGGACCTCTGCTTCTCGCTGCAAGAGACGGTGTATGCGATGCTGGTTGAGATCACGGAGCGCGCGATGGCGCATGTCGGTGCGAAGCAGGTGCTTGTTGTTGGCGGCGTGGGGTCTAATGAGCGGCTGCAGGAGATGATGGGGATTATGGCGCGGGATCGGGGTGGTTCTGTCTTTGCGACGGATGAGCGATACTGCATTGATAACGGAATCATGATTGCTCAGGCGGGAATGATGGCGTATAAAACAGGCTTCAGGACACCACTGAAGGAATCTACATGTACCCAGCGGTTCCGGACAGATGAGGTATTTGTGGACTGGCGAGATTAGAGATAATGTTTCTCATCTATAAAATAAAGAAAAACGAAGACCTAAAGGGAATATAGATACCAAGGTGGTGGAAAACCCGGTACGTATAGTTGCATATATACGTACAATATACATTAATACTCATACTCAGTCTCTATAATACAAGAATCCCAAAAGAATCTAAACCGAATCTTGGAAATGAATGATCTTAGAAACCATTTAAAAGAAAATAAGAGATAAAAACGAAACCCAAGCATGCCTACAAAAACCAACCAGGGGAAAGCCCCTTAAATTTCGCCTCGTCCATGTTCGTGACCATCTATTATCCCATTTCACGAAAGACGAGAAACAGATTATTAGGCTTCTGTGTGCGCTTCTTCAGTAGATAGTTTCTTTGACTGGAACTTCTCGGCGGAATGTGCTGATATGCGGTTGAGCTCGGTGACAAAGGACTGGCCCCAGAATGCGCTGTGGTTGTCAGTTGGAGTTTGTTTCTATGGATTTGTGGAGTCGACGTACCTGGTGTACTTGGAGACGTATCTGTCCAGCTTGGCGAAGTTGAGAGCGCGTTGTTCGTCACTCATGGTAACGGCTTCTTGGTAGGCGCCTGCTAGTTCTTCCGTGTTCCAGGGGTTCACGATGATACTGCCATTCAAACTTTGGGCTGCGCCGGCGAATTCGGAGAGAACTAGGACTCCATGGCGCTTCTGTTGTGTGGCAATGTACTCGTATGCCACGAGGTTCATACCGTCGCGGGTGGATGAGACGATGCAGGCGTCTGATACAGCGTAGAGAGCAATGAGCTCGTCGAAGTTGACGGACTTGTGCAGGAAGTGAATAGGTTGGAACTCGACCGTGCCTGTGGGTTATGAGCAATTTGATCGGAATGTCGAGGAGGGGAGTGCTTACCGAATTTTCCATTAATCCGACCAACTAATTCGTTCACCACGGCTCTCAAATTTTGGTATTCTTCGACGTCTTGTCGACTGGGTACAGCGACTTGTACAAGAACGACCTTCCCGACCCATTCTGGATGGTCACTGAGGAAGACTTCAAGCGCATGCAACTTCTGCGGTACGCCCTTGATGTAATCAAGACGGTCGACGCCAACCATCAACTTCACACCTTGGAACTTCTGCTCCAGCATGGCAATGCGCTTCTGCACCTTCTCCTTCTTCAGGCCTTCCTTGAACTTCTCAGGGTCAATTCCAATGGGGAAGGCTCCACATGTGATTATCTTGCCCTGGAACTCAATACCATTCGGCGTAGTTGCAAGACCCCTGCGCTTGTTAGATAAACCTGGAAGAAAAAACATAAATAGGTACTTACAATAGACGCGCACAACTGCTCAGGAAATGACGGGTGTAGTCATAAGTGTGGAAGCCAATGAGGTCGCAGTGCAACACACCCAAAAGCAACTCGTTTCGCACAGGGAGAATCCGGTAGATCTCAGAGCTAGGGAAAGGAGTATGTAAGAAGAAGCCGATCTTCACGTTCTTCTTGCTATCGCCGATCTCCTCGCGCAGCATCTCCGGAAGAAGCATCAGGTGGTAATCATGGACCCAGATCAGATCACCATCCTGCACTTCCTTGGCGATAGCCTTTGCGAAGAGCCGGTTGGCTTCCTTGTATGCCTCCCAAGCGGACTCGTCGAAGGTGATCTCACCAGGGTGGTAATGGAACAAAGGCCACAGGATAGAGTCTACTAGAGCATTAGTATCGTTGTATTGGGTTGGCAGGGGCAGTTAAGCTCACTGGAGAATCCATTATAGTGTCTATCAGCCAGCTCGTCATCAATGAAGACCGGCACAGCACCATATTCCTCCTTCAAGCGTTGCTTGACAACGGGGATCTCGGGCTCGGGCACCTCCAGCCCAGGCCAGCCGTACCATTGGAAGGTGGTTGATTTTGACAAACCACTCAAACCACTGACTAGGCCTCCTGATGACATTGAGAAATCATATTTTCCATCGTCAGACCGCTTAATTGTGATCGGCAGGCGATTCGAGACTAGAAGCAGACGTGCTTCGTTCTTGGGTTCCTCGACGGAAGGCATGACGACGGGCGGTCGGATACCGGATTGTGAATTGTGGGATTAGAGGTGGATCAGAGATTGTGATAGTGGGATTGTATGCTTGAATAGTACTCCTATAGTTATGGAGAGAAAATGTGAGTAGACTGGGTTTCATGCGGGGTTGGGATGATCCTATGACGAACCTGACAATCTCCGGGGAAGTGGGAAATTATTGGCTGGGTGATTACCAGCTAGCACACTGTTTCCATATGCAGATATTGAATATCAACAAAATCAAAAGTGTAGAAGAAAACGAAAATCGAGGTAAAGCGAAAAAAGGAAGTGAGATGAGGTGGGGAACCAAATTGGCCTGGCGTCACACTCTGATAATCTGGGAATTCCGGTTTCTTCACTAACACTCACATCAGTTTTTATCTTGAACTTCGATAAAGCAGAGAGTGGGAGACAGAGAGAAAATAAGAGAAAAAGAAAAGAAAGGAAAAAAATAGAAAATCAAGTCAAGTGTCTGGCATCTCAGGCCAACCAGTCAGAAACCAAAGAGAAGCTCATGTTTCCATGCTTTCGGTGCCCGAAATGACCGAGCACTGACGTCTGCTACACTTCCTTGAATACAAAAAAAGTGTACACCGCATGTATACTTGAATATAATATTTAGCTTCATTCTACCTTCATTCTACCTTCATCCTTGAAATGACCTGATCATCTATACTACTCTCAATATAACTACAAAGCAGCCCTCACCCACCACCCCCTTCCCCTCTAACCCTCCCCTCCCCCTCCAATTTCCCCAAAACCTGCAAAACTCCCCGTTCAGCGGGCAAATGCAATGACTCCGGCACATCCTTATAAATCCTCTTCACGAGCTCCATAGAAGTCCACTTCCCACCCCCCTCTTCCCCTTCCTTCTTCCCATCCTGCAGAACCCGCAACACCTCCTCTTCCCGCTGCTGTCGGTGCTGGATATACTCTGTGATCCGAGCGCCTGCATTCTCAATCACCGCCCCGTGCCCGGGGTATCCGCGGCCCGTGGCGCGGTCGCGCATGCGGTGCAGACTGTTCAGATAGGTTTTGAGATCTTCGAAGACGGCGGTGCCGTGGCCGAGGACGTCTGTTCCGTTATCGTTAGATTTAGATTTAGATCGCTTGCATAGTCTCTTGGCATACATATGTATGCTGAGCTGGGTGTACATATACTTACTATCACCCGTAAACATAGCATTTTCCTCCTCGAGCAGGAAAACCATGTGGTCAACCGTATGGCCGGGCGTATGGAACGCCGTTAATGTAGCGCCCTCGACGGCAAAAATCTGGCCGTCGTGGATATCATTCTGCGTCGGCTCGGGCTGGTGTTTGAAGATTTGGGCTTTGGGGCAGAGCTTCTGGAGATCCGGGATGCCGTTTACGTGGTCGCCGTGCCAGTGGGTGAGGATGGCTTGGTGCACTGTGGCTTTTTCCTCTTGTAGCACGGATTGCAGATTCGTTGCCCAGGCTGGCTTGCCTTCGCCTGTATCTAGGAGGATTCTGTGCGGCCCGCGGCCAATTAGGTATGTATTTGTGCCTGGATTGGTCAGAGTGTTGGTTCTATAGTTGATGATGTGTGGGTGAGCTTACCCTGAAGGGTGAACTGGTTTTAGTTGGTTAGCTTGGGTTTGGTTTGGCTGGATTTGGACTTGGATTGATGCCACTGGGGATATGTATACCTTTCCCGGATTTCCGCCTAGGATTCTCACGACGGAGGCGCTGAGGCGCTCCACTTCTGGGAGCTGGACGAGTTGTGTTGCCATTAGAGTCGTCAGATGTGGCTGAATAACCCCGAGATACGAATTCAATGAAGATAGTACAAGGTAAGGTGTAGGCCAATGAGTGATTGGCTATTGTTAACGATGCAAGAAACGGTACGGTTAGATGGGGAGATGAAGAAGCCGTGTCGGAAAGGCTGAATATACACAAGCGCCACCGATTAAGAAACGCAATTTACTGAACTGATTGCGTCCAGGTCGGTTGTATCAAGTACATGGGAGAAGCTTTCAACGCGGGGCAGAGAGACCTCGGGATGGGCCTCGGCTTATCTCAGCCCTGGGTGTCCGAGGTTGAGGTGCAACAAGGGAGGTTCTACATACATATATGTTGAGTATGTGGTTATTGCCACTGAATAAGATATATGAGATACCGTAAGGCTCATGAATACTGAAAGGCTCATTTTTAACTTAAGAAATTGTGTATGCATGCCATTCCTAACATACAAAAACAGATGTAAAAATCAAAAAAGAGTATATCCATTGAGCCCACCCAAATATCGGGAATCAACGCAAGGCCGAGAAAACAGGCCTACAAAAACACAAGATCAATCATAATTTTCCCAGAGCGCAACTCCTCGTATCTTGCCCGAGGACCACAGGCGTGTAGTTGAAACTGTATGCCCGCGATACTCGAAACATGTATCTGAATTGTTCAACACACAAGAGAACGTAGTTTACACAAATGGCACGGTGATAACCGCTCATTTGAAGGTTTTGTAAGAGAGTCATGACAGAGAGAGGCAGTTTAAGCCTTGCGGGCCATGGTGTTGAGGGCAGAGCCGTCGTGGAACCACTCGATCTGGGAAGCGTTGAAGGTGTGGCTGAGGGAGATGTCGAAGGCGGCACCACCGTCCTTGGGGTGAACGCGGAGGGTCACGGGCTTGCCAACCTCGAGCTGGGTGCAGAGGAGATCGACCTTGTCCTCGGGGTTGATGCGGTCGTAGTCGGCGGGGTCGGAGAAGGTCAGGGGGAAGCATACCCTGCTTCTTCAGGTTGGTCTCGTGGATACGAGCGAAGGAGCGGGTGATGATGGCGAGACCACCGAGGTGACGGGGCTCGAGAGCGGCGTGCTCACGGGAAGATCCCTCACCGTAGTTCCAGTCACCGATGACAACCCACTTGACGCCGCGGGCCTTGTAGTCACGGGCAGTGGCGGGAACGGCGTCGTACTCCTTGGTGAAGTAGTTCTTGACCTTGTTGGCCTCACCGTTCTCAGCGTTGGTGGCACCGATCAACATGTTGTTGGAGATGTTGTCCAAGTGGCCACGGTACTTCAACCACGGGCCAGCCATGGAGATGTGGTCAGTGGTGGTCTTACCCTGGCACTTGATGAGAATGGGGAGATCGGTGGCGTCCTTGCCATCCCAGGCGGGGAAGCCAGCAAGGATCTGGAGACGTTCACTGGTAGGGGAGACAGCGACGTTGACGGAGGCACGGTCGGCGGGAGGAGCCTGGTAGGTGTCGCGACCAGCGTCGTAGCCACGGGTGGGGAGACCGTCACCCGAGGGAGCCTTGAGCTTGAACTCCTTGCCATCCTTGTCCTTGAGGGTGTCGGTGATGGGGTTGAAGTTGAGGGTACCAGCAACGGTCATGGCGACAACCAGATCGGGAGAGGCGACAAAAGCGTGGGTGGCGGGGTTGGCGTCGTTACGGCCAGTGAAGTTACGGTTGTAGGAGGAGATGATGGAGTTGGCCTCGCCCTTCTTGATGTCCTTGCGGTCCCACTGACCGATACAAGGACCACAGGCGTTGGCAAGGATGACACCGCCGTACTCCTCGAGGGTCTGGAGCTGACCATCACGCTCGATGGTGGCGCGAATCTGCTCGGAACCGGGGGTAATGGTGAACAGAGACTTAGACTTGAGACCGTGGTCAAGAGCGTCGCGAGCGATGGAGGCAGAGCGGGACATATCCTCGTAGGAGGAGTTGGTGCAAGAGCCGATGAGACCGACCTTGAGCTCCTCGGGCCACTTGTTGTCCTTAACGGCCTGCTTGAACTTAGAGAGGGGGGTGGCAAGATCGGGAGTGAAGGGACCGTTGATGTGGGGCTCGAGCTCATCGAGGTTGATCTCAACGAGCTGATCGTACTGAGCACCCTCATCCTCGCGGAGCTGAGCAGCGTAGTCGCGAGAGAAGTCACCAATGTGCTGACGCTTGGTGGCCTTCAGGTAGTCGTACATACGGTCGTTGAAGGGGAAGATAGAGGTGGTGGCACCAATCTCAGCACCCATGTTACAGATAGTAGCCATACCAGTGCAGGACAGGGACTCAACACCGGGGCCGTGGTACTCAATGATAGCACCAGTACCACCCTTGACGGTGAGGAGACCGGCGACCTTGAGGATGATATCCTTGGGGGTGGTCCAGCCGGACATCTTACCGGTCAGACGGACACCAATGACGTTGGGGGCCTTCAGCTCCCAGGGGAGACCAGCCATGACGTCGACAGCATCAGCGCCACCGACACCAATGGCGGCGGTAGCGAGACCACCAGCGTTAGGGGTGTGAGAGTCGGTACCGATGATCAGACCACCGGGGAAAGCGTAGTTCTCAAGAACGATCTGGTGAATGATACCGGAGCCGGGCTTCCAGAAACCAATGTTGTACTTGGCAGTGGCGGAGGCAAGGAAGTCGTAGACCTCCTTGTTGATGTCGTTGGCACGAGCAAGATCCTTCTCACCTCCAACCTGGGCCTCGATCAAGTGGTCACAGTGGACGGTGGTGGGGGTCTGGACACGGTCCATGCCAGCGGACATGAACTGCAGAATAGCCATCTGAGCGGTGGCATCCTGGCAAGCAACACGGTCGGGACGCAGCTTGAGGTAAGAGACACCACGCTGGATGTCCTGGCCGTGAGGGTCGTCAAGGTGAGAGTACAGGACCTTCTCGGAGAAGGTGAGAGGACGCTGCAGACGAGAGCGAACGATGTCGAGGTTCTCGGACATCTTCTTGTAGTTGATGTAGTGACCCTGATATCAAATTCGTTAGTTGCTGTTGGTTGCACCTTTGCTCCACGCCTTCTTAGGCGCTAGTCTGGCAGCCACTCACAGTTTCCTGGTTGGTCATCTCGACCTTCTTGTCGAGAGGGTCAACGGTAGCGTAGGCCCGGGTTCCAGAAAGCTATAGATTCACGCAAGTCAGTAACTGCAAAGTTTTTCGAATAATGTCCAAGCCGGCATATCTGCCACGCCACGTGTGGCTGGAGCTTGATTCTAAAGTCGATGCTTACAAGACGGAACTTGGGGGCCTGGAGTCAAAGTGTGAATTAGCCTGCTATTCATGACGAGCGTCTTTGAAAGACACCTGAGCATCATCTCTCAGCCCCAAAGAGCCGAGGATGTAGGGACTTAAAACGTACCAGCGCACCGGCGCGCGCAAGGCGGGTGGAGATCATGATGGGCAGGCTCTATGAGATGGAACTGAACATCCAAGAGCTGTTAACCACCTTCACCAAATTATGAGAGTGGAGAGTGGAATAAGAGAAGAAGAGTTCAAAAGAAATAAAAGGACGAAAGCTTGGTTTTGAGTGGGAGAAAGATTCTACGGGGCCCGGGCATAGAGCCGTAACCGCTGTTACCAGGGCGATACAATACAGCGTAATGGGCTAAACCTCCCGCATGCGACGGCAAAGAAGGACTTGGGCAATTTGATAGGCGCTGCTTTTGGCCGAGAATTCACGAGTTTTGTCTTGAAAAAATGTAGATTTACAATGAGAGAATACATCCGAATCTTTTTTTATTCCTTTCCCCCCTTTTCGCTTCCCATGTGAATTTCATATAGATATGCAGAAATTTGGTCAGCCACCTGGGGATGTCCCGGGGGTGGTAACAGCGATACAAGGCATGTGACGGGTATAACTCGGCCACCAATCACGGAGTTTCCAATTACGAAGGCCCCTTCGCCCAGTTCTTATTTCGGACCAAAGGGCTAAAGGTCAATGTGTTATGTGCAACTTCTCGGCGTGTACCCCGTATGCAACCTCTGCTTTAACTCGGCATGTGGGTTTGACGGATTTTCATGGAACATGGCCAATGATCAACATGCAGTTGAGCTTGCTACGACGTGCTTGGGTATAATTTTGTACATTATACAATGTATGATACAATGTAGACATCAAAGATCATTTCAATTATTCCAATAGGTCCAAGTATATACAAGTTAGAGCGACAATAACATCAAATTAAAGCTTACCGCATGCAAACGTCATAAAATACATTACCTAGAGTATACGGCAAGTGACGAAACCGATTGAACCGAGGCGTGCCGACGGCAATCCCGCATCGTCGCCAAGAGGCCGTGTCTGATAACCAGCCAATCATGGCTCGGGCGTTTGAATCGTTGCCCACGACCCACAGTCAGCGGAAATTTCGTTCCACGACTTCGCTATTGTCTCTGAGCACTAACTGACCCGCTTTCCTCATCGTTCACTCCGGAAATCGGTGATAAGTATTTTTTTTCCCTTGCATCTATTTTGATAGCATTATTCGGCTTAAGCTCCGAGGTATTTCGGCTATCATCAACAATGGGTGCCCTCAGGAAGATCAAGAACAAGCGCCGCACCAGGTTCGTTTACTCGCCTTTGTGCGTTGTCTTGGATCTGATTGCTAACCTCCATACAGAGACTATGACCAGGTCATTGCGGATATGAAGACTCCCCGTCACTTGGAGCAGTATGTGAAGAGCAAGGATGTAGAAGACCTGCCCGGTCTGGGCAAGAACTACTGCACAGAATGCTCCAAGTGGTTTGAGAGCGACTACAACCTCAAGGCGCACACCAAGGGCAAGAATCACAAGAAGAGGTAAGTGTCCCAAGTGTTGGCACTGTATCATATCGCTGACAATCGACCTTAATAGAGTCAAGATTCTGCGCGAAGAGCCTCACAGCCAACAGCTCGCCGAACGTGCGATCGGACTGGGTTTAGTTGACAACGGCAAGCGAGGAGAAAACCCTGATGTGATGAAGGAATAAACCAACTGCGGCCTTCGCCTTCTGGGATATCCTTAGAACAATTGCTACGCGACCACGACCATCCTCTCTGCACATCGACCTACAAAAGTGCTTTTTTTCAATACATCTAGGCTTCTGATATTGAATTCCTCAATACGCTCATGCATATCGGTGGAGTCTCACGTGAGGCATTTATTTTTGATATTGCCGATACTCGCCGGCTTTCCGTTCTTCCGGTTTGCGGGTGAACTTTGAAACCGCCGACGTTCGGCGAAAACGGCATCTGAGCGAAATTTACCCCTTACTAGCAATACTTCCGAGTAATTCCAATAGAAATCCCTCAATACCAAATAGAATCTAACCTGAATCGGTTTCCGGTAAATCTGTAGTTAGGTTCAAGATGTTTTGTATCGGTTCTAGATTATCTATCTTTTACACCTCTATGGCCTCTCCAGTTTTGAACATATTTACAGACCCACCGCGGGTTCTTGGAGCCTGACTTGTGCGCCCCAAGATTGATTGAAGCTCTTCATCAACCATTCGTAGGCGGCCCACTGCTCAGACATTAGTTTGGGTTCAATTGCAATGATCAATGGCAACATACCTGGACGGCATTCACAATGAACGCTCTCACACTGCAGACTCCAAGACCTCGGTAGAATGCCTTGAGGCCCTCGACACGGTACGTCTCTTTCGCAATTTGGAAAGAGTTCAGTGTCTGCCGCGGCTGTAACAAGGATTGACTCTCAGTTGCCGGGGGATGGTATGCAATAGTCTGTGCCTGCAATCTCGTCTTGATCATATCCAGAGGAAATACCGAGCCCCAGGTGACAACGCCAGCAATGCCACCGCACAGCAAAATACTTATAGCGGTCTGGTATTGGCCATGTTCATCAGAAGTCATGAATCTTTTGCACAGTTCATAAGACCAGAAACTGCAATAGATCAGCAACTAAATCCCTCATTTAATATTGATACGGGGTATCTGGGGGTGGCGTGTACTAGAAACCGTAGCCAATTGCGTCTCTGGCGCTAGTAATCCCTCCACCATAATAGAGCCCCCTCCAGCCGCGCGTTCGGATTATCTCCTTGGCCACCGCCCACGAGGAGACGTCTCGCCGGTCCAGCTGTGCCCGACATTTAATGAACTCCGTCGGGGACGAGATAGTCCAGCTAGCCAGTCCGCCCACGGCTCCGGCAAGCCAGATTTTGTACAGCGGGACCCCCACTGGATTAGTGGGATCTGTTACAGACCCGTCCAGCGCTTTCAATGATCGGTTGTAAGCGACAAACAGAATAGCGTTCAGAGCTCCATATCCTAAGATCGGAGCAGCAGCGCCTATTATGGTGATCAATTGATTGTTTTTCAATATAATTTTGGGAACTAATGTAGACGGACCTCGGACAAGAGAGCTTGCTCTTTCAAAGCGGCTTAGATTTGACGATGATGCATCTGCATGCAAGTCGCCCGCCTGCAGCCGAACTTTGATGACATCAAGAGGATTGCCGATGATGATCCCAATGGCCCCGCTGAGATAGCCCGCCCAGAAGTCGGCAGCCATAAGGTTTCTTGCACAATGCCAAAAAAATATTTACAGACTCAAGAAGTAGATATTCCGAAGCTCCCCCGAGTTCTTAATAGCGGGGGTGTGCCCCTCAAGCGGATGGTCACGTGCGAGCGTGGCATTTTGGTGTTTGTAAGCTGAGGCTGACGCGAGGCAGGAGCCTTGGGGCGCGTCGACTTTGGACTTTTGCCACAACAACTTTGGGATTTTTGTACAGTTGGGTTGCGTAATTTGTCTGTTATTTGGATCAATGTGAGATTTTTCACCCATTGGTGGATGACTGTTGTTCATAATGCTAATATCGCGAAGGTATCGACCACGACCAGCCGGCGATGGCGTGAAAACCCCTTTACAGCCTAAATCAGTGAACTCCCAGAACTCGATTGATCGCCTTGTGAGACCTTTCAAATGCCCCGGAACTGCAACGCCCACTCGAGCATCTGAAAAGCCATCAAGGAAGAAACGAAAGGTTAATTACGCCAATGCCGACGGAAGCGTCGAGGATGGAGAGAAGCCATACACAAACGATGACCGGCTTGCTTTGGCAACAAGAGAGGTCAACAAGTTCCCCGTGTTCAAACCGAGAGACAAAGACGCGGTATTCAGGTCTCGATTCCAGATCCCCTCGATGAACAAAGCCACAGACGACTATAACACTGGGCGGGCTGCTCCAACATTGGGTATGCGACGAGGTGCCACATTTGTCGTCAAGCCACTTCACGACCCAAGTGGGGAGTTTGCGATTGTGTTATATGACCCAACAATAGACGATGTCGCCGAAGAACCTACACCCAAAATTCTGGCAGCGGGGGAAGAAGTGCAGAAGATTGATGAGCCAATTATGCACAAGAGTTTAGCGGATATCCTGGGACTCAAGAAAAATGTGGAAGAACGGCCAAAGGTGCCTGTTGTGATCGATCCAAGATTATCCAAGGTTCTTCGGCCACATCAAGTAGAGGGTGTTAAGGTATTGATTTCATATTGAGCGTTCTCATTGGTATGATGCTGACGATTTGACAGTTTCTTTATCGATGTGTTACTGGATTGGTTGACAAGAACGCGAATGGATGTATTATGGCAGATGGTATGGGACTGGGCAAAACGGTGCGTTCTATTATCTGAATATCTCTTGTTGTTCTAACATTCGCAGCTTCAATGCATCGCATTGATGTGGACGTTACTCAAACAGTCCTCGGAGGCCGGGAAAACCACAATTCAAAAATGTGTCATTGCATGTCCGTCGAGTTTGGTCGGCAATTGGGCCAACGAGCTGGGTGAGTAATGTGCGGTATCAATTCTTATACCCAGGCTAATTGTATCAGACAAATGGCTTGGAAAGGGCGCCACAACGCCCTTTGCGATAGACGGCAAGGCCACAAAGGCAGAGCTAATAGCCCAAATCAAGCAGTGGGCAATCGCATCAGGGCGTGGCATTGTCAGACCAGTCCTCATTGTGTCTTATGAGACGCTCCGTATGTATGCGGATACATTGAACGACACACCAATTGGACTCCTGCTTTGTGATGAAGGTCATCGCCTTAAAAACAAGGACAGTTTGACTTGGACCGCTCTCAACCAACTCAATGTTACTCGCCGAGTCATTCTTTCGGGTACCCCCATCCAGAACGATCTGTCCGAGTACTTTGCGCTTCTTCACTTCGCAAATCCGAACCTTCTTGGCTCCCAAATGGAGTTCCGGAAGAAGTACGAACTGCCGATCCTGAAGGGCCGAGATGCCGCAGGCACGGACGAAGAAAAGAAGCTGGGCGATGAAAGACTGAGGGAGCTATCCGGTGTCGTCAACAAGTTCATCATCCGCAGAACTAATGAGCTTCTTTCGAAATACTTGCCCGTCAAGTATGAGCATGTTGTGTTCTGCAACATGTCACAGTTCCAGCGAGGGCTGTACAACCACTTCATCCAGAGCCCGGAGATCAAAAGTCTTCTTCGTGGAAAGGGTAGCCAGCCGCTGAAAGCAATTGGTCTCTTGAAAAAGCTGTGCAACCACCCGGATCTCTTGGATCTGGCGAACGACCTGCCAGGAAGCGAGCATACTTTCCCTGACGACTATTCACCTCCCGATTCTCGAGGCCGTGATAGAGAGATCAAGAGCTGGTACTCTGGAAAGATGATGGTGCTGGACCGCATGCTGGCCCGCATCCGACAAGATACAAACGACAAAATTGTCCTCATCAGCAATTACACCCAAACCCTTGATCTCTTCGAGAAACTCTGCCGTTCCCGCGCTTACGGCTCCCTCCGACTCGACGGCACGATGAACATCAAAAAGCGCACAAAGCTAGTCGACAAATTCAACGACCCCGACAGTCCAGAATTTATCTTCCTGCTAAGTAGCAAAGCTGGAGGCTGCGGCCTGAACCTCATCGGCGCCAACAGACTCGTCCTCTTCGACCCAGACTGGAACCCGGCTGCCGACCAGCAAGCCCTGGCGCGTGTCTGGCGCGATGGCCAAAAGAAAGACTGCTTCGTCTACCGCTTCATCGCCACCGGCTCAATCGAAGAGAAGATCTTCCAGCGCCAGTCCCACAAACAGTCTCTCTCGTCGTGTGTCGTTGACTCCGCCGAAGACGTCGAGCGCCATTTCTCCCTCGACTCCCTCCGCGAGCTCTTCCAGTTCAAGCCCGATACCCGCAGTGATACTCACGATACGTTCAAGTGTAAGCGCTGCCGGCCGGATGGCACGCAGTACATCAAGGCTCCGGCGATGCTGTATGGTGATACGAGCTCGTGGAATCATTTCGTCAATTCTGGGGAGAAGGGTCCGCTCAACCAGATTCAGGATCTGCTACTGCGCCAGGAGACGAGCGAACAGGATGTTTCTGCTATCTTCCAGTACATCAGCCACTAAGCTTCTCTTTTCTATTTTGGCAAATTTAGGCAGTTTGGAGTTGCCACATCACCGTCTTGGGTTTTGTATTCTTGGTTGGGTGTATGTTTTGGAGCGTATGTTTTGGAAGTGACTCTATAAGGAGCCCTTATTATGACCATAGAACGAATTCAGTAATACCAACAAAAGGCCGTGTCAAGTGTTTTTTGATATAGGCAATCTACGAAAGAACAGAAGCATTCATACATATAGGACGTCTGAGATCCCTGGAAACATATCATATCATTGAATAGCCAGTATTCACGAATGATGGCTGCCGGGTATCACCATCAAGGGGACCTGAGTACTAGAAAAACTGAAGTAACTCGGTATCTATTTCTTCTTGCGCCCTCCAATGCCCAACCGTCCCAGATTAGGAAGACTGGATTTATGCTTATGCGCTGATCCCAGAATAGAAGACGAGCTGCCCTTCGCATTACTCTCCAACGCCCGCCCGGCCGCACTAGTAACTGGGCCGGGCGCATTACCGGTGTTGGTGGGGACACTGCCGCGCGGGGCATCGGGTAGACCGGAGCGGTCTCTCGAGCGGTCTGCGGCTGCGGCGGAGAGCGCGGCTGTGAGGGTTGGGTTGGAGGAGTCGGAGCCGCGGGACAGCTGGGAGGACTGTGAGCGGCGGGTGCGTTCTTGGACGCCTTTGAATTTATCGAGAAGTTCGGTCCAGCGAATGGTGCTTTCGTCGCGGGTCTTTAGACGAGTGCCTGTTGATCGGTCGAAAGTTGACGGGGCTTGTTGAATAGTGCTGGGGAAGACGGTCTCAGTACTTTCCTTCTTGGGGTGGGGAGCCTTGGGTCGGGGGACCTGGAACGGGGGAGACACCGGGGAGCGGGGTCCATACCTGCGGGGTGCACCATGGAGGAAGCCGATGTTGCTGACGCTGTTTAGGCGGTTCTTGAGAGCGGCGAAGGCAGAGCTCTGGGGGAGGAGCATGAGGACGCCGTAGAGACATTTATAGAGGAAAGGGTGTTTTTCGGGCTCGAGGAGTTGGAGGCGGAGGTCTGTGGGTTGTTAGATGTTGGGCCTTGGTAATGGAAAGAGACGTACATGTAAACACTGGAGATTCTAGTAGTTGCACCAATTTGTCAATTTGGATCAGCATGTTGACTGTCATTTCCAGCTCGGCAAAGATCTGAAGCAGGTTGTATGCTTGCTCATACGCCTGGGCAAGAAGACAGAGGGAGAATGTGGAGACGGCGTTGTGACACCATGATCTGAAGAGAGCGACAAAGAACAATTGACCATCTTTCGGGTCAAGATTCCTCAGGCGCTTCCTCAATTCCGAGAGCTCAGGTGCAGTGATGAGGTTGTTGTTCAGGTTCTGAACCATGATACTGGCAAACTCGAGATCCTCTTCCTTCTCAAGGCATTCTGCCAAAGTACGGTAGATGCGCTCCGGGCTCAGGTTTAGACAAAGTTGTCTGATGATCAGATTCCCACGCACTTCCAGTAGATGTCGGTCTGTGGAGAAGAGCTGCAACAGGTTCACCATGAAAGATGTGAAATAGCTATCCTCGCTGTTCCGTGAGATCTGCGAAAGGAGTTGCAGGTCCTTTGTCACAACAGCCTCTGAGGGGTCGGATAAGGTCTTTAACAAAGCCGGGAAAGTACCGTCATTGAAAGCGACGACCTTCCGCGGGGCTTTGCGGTGCAACATGATGAGCCATGCGAGGGCTGCCACTCGAGTATTCTCGCTTTCATTGAGGAATTGTAAGGTGAGGGAGCTGACGGCCGCGGCGTAATCGAGATCAGTAGGAGGCATCGGTGTGGAAACACTACTACTGCGAGGAGTTTCCGAGATAGAGTTCTCCCGGGTCTGCCTCCTTGTGTCAACGCTTGATGTCTCCGAGGGTCGTATCCCGGGTGTCGATGATCGTCGCTCCAGTGTCTCCTTGCTGGTTGTAGTGGAGGGGATCTTTGACGGAGGTGCCTGGTATTCTTCGGTTGTATCCTCGGATAGAGAATAAATATACCCCATGAGGGACTGGTTGACTTGGCCTGCTGCCTTTCGCACTGAATCCGAGCCACTGGACATGGCGGGCAGTACCTGGGTTAAAAGCCGTGGAACGAAGGGAAGAATATCCTCAGGACTGATCTCGAAAAACGTGTCGATCCAACGTAAGGCCGTCAGTTGCATTTCCTCCTCTGTATGAAGGTAAGCCGTTGATCATGATAAGGGTGATACTAATGAAGTGTCGCTCTTACCATATAAGGTGTTCACAAAGCCGACGAGAATACCAAGGATCCTAGGATGATCTATATGAACATCCTGCCCTGGGATCCAATCCCCATCACCCTCGTAGTATTCGTCAGCAGAAACATCCGATCCCGAATCCAACACCGCGCTATCATATTTATCGTCGTTGACACCATCGTTTTGATTAATTTGCTCAGTCGTATTACTCATAGCGTCACTGGCAACCGACTGCCTGTTGCTTTTCTGGCTCTTGCGGCTTTCTTCGAGTCCTTTCTTCAGCCGTGTAATCCTCTTGATCTCCGACAAGAACCGATCGAGCAAAGCCTGCGTTGCAATGTTCACATCTTTGTTTGGCCCGCCAAGGAATTTGATCAACCCTTCCAAGAACTCCGGCAAATAGCTCACTAGCTCCAGATCAGGAATAGTGTCTAGGAGAGTCAGCCATGAGACCAGGAAATTGCGAGTGAATGGCTGGATGACATGGATTCGGTCTTGAAGTAAAGGAATGAACCTGGCGAGAGAAAACGCCATAGGAAGCTCGGTATCGTCTTGATTCTCCATTTCAGGCGTTTCTTTTTCGTTGATTTGCAGAATCGATACATACGAAGCTGCCGACTCGGCGACGATATCTTTCACCAGTCGATCTAGAAGCTCCGCGCCGTTCTTGACCGAAAGCTCCGAGTCGGATGCCAACTGTACTGCATGTCAGCATATGCACACCCCGCCCAAAGTTATCAGACCCCCTCACCTTCGCCAGGGCGTCGAAAATCTCATTGAAGAACAGCAAGATTTCTCCCTTAGCCACCTTGGCAATATTGTACATGCTCTCGCATGCGTAGTACCGAACCCGCGCGTCCTGGTCTGAAAAGCAGGCGAGCACAGGCGGCACAATTTCACCCAAGTACGGCGCAACCCCTTCCTAAATCCCATGTATTAGCCAAGCGATCCTCCGAACCCACAACTATATTTAGTACGCACAGATCCTAGAGCAATGGAGGCCGCAGCCAGACCAATCAAGCCTCCGTTTCGGGCGTGAGGTTGGTGCACAGCGTATGCATAGTCGTGGCAGAGCTGCTCAACGATCTTCTGAATTTTCTCCTTCTCCTTATCTCCCTGAAGAACGGCATCACGGACGACTTTCTCGAGTCTAAACCCCAACACCGGTCAGTACGTGGTTCCTTTTTCGAACAAAGAATCCGGGCAGGCATACTCCAGAGCACCCTGCTTCCTCCTATCGTATAGCTTGTCGTTCAACAACCGCTGGATTGATTGGTCCATCGCTCAAAGCAGCTTGTTCTGCAATCTTTCCCCGGCTTTGAGCAGTTAGGCAATGCTCATGGTGAGAGAGACTGTTGCGTCGCGTGCACGGGTGTCGACAGATGGTCACGAGCTCGGAAGTGGAGGGCAAGTCGTATGTCGGCTGAGTCGCGCAAATAATGGAGGGTAGATCGTCTCGGGAGCTAGAGCGGTTAAAGAAGAATGGTGGAATGCTATCAAGGAAGATGCGTTGTCAACGTGGAGATGAGGAGACCCAACCGCGGTGTGACGTATGTCAGCAGGAGCCTCCCTCCAACTGTGACCGCCTTTGTACGAATTCTCGATGAATTGCAATATTGTGCGAGTTTCGTGAGCTTCGCACTTTTAGGAACTATTTTACCTCTGGTACTTTATCAAGTCTGTTTCTTTTGTTGCCTACCAGTGGACTGGGTCGTCTAAATTATTGCCGTACATATATAGTTTGTTAGTGGTCTTTTGGCAGATTGCAACGGTTGAGTTCAATATCAAGTTGAATTGAATTCCACTAACTGGCAGAGTATCCATTGTAATCACTGCTCAATAGCTTTGTAAAGAAATAGAATTCCCTAAAGGAATCTCAAGGGGCATGAAGATCTTGTAAAAGAAAGGTTGAAACGAAGAACCCCATTTCAACGATCCAAAATGTTTCAAGTATAAGCACCTAGCCCAAGAAAAGTAACGTATAAACAGCAGAAGATAAAAAAAAAACAAAGCAGGCAAATCATCCCAAATCCAAGCTGAAAATATAAAACAACTTTTGAATCCGGTTCCCGCTAAACATAGAACTCATAAAACCGAGATCCAAATCCCAGATAAACAATCATGGACTGCACACGAATCTGAACTGTCCCAACTCCACGGAAGCATCACGCGAAGCTAAGACAATTTCTCCAAGTGCGAAAATGAAAATGCTAAGACCAAAAACGCCATAACTCAGAGTATCCCTTACCGCGACGCCTGACTACCCCATGACGGGCGCCAGGTGCCAGTCGAGTGTTTGGAGACGGTACTAGTTGGTGAACTGGCACCGTTGGAGTAGACATATTCGCCGTCGACGTATTGTGCGCCCGTGGAGAATGTGCTTCGGTGCTTGCGGCGGGCATAGCGCTGCTCGAGACGGTAGAGCTCGAGTTCTGAGGACGTTAGTTTTTGGGTTTGGGTAATTAATTGTGCGAAGTTCGGACATACTGGCTTGTAGCTTGTCCATGAGACTGAGACCCATTGTGGTGGCTGTGGTGGCTGTGGTGGAATTTGGGTTGGGTTCTTGTTCCTGTGGAACGGAGATCGTTCCGTATGATAGTGGTGGCAGGACCGGGTTGTTGGGCTGTTGAACCGTGGTTAGTTAGTTGGTTTGATAGCGAGTCGAGGGAGTAGAGCGAGTAAAGCGAGTCAAGCGAAGGGCTGAAGACTGAAGAGAAGAAGGAATTGTTTACCGATAACCTGGTTTCAGTAAGCGCTTGAGATAGGTGGAATGTCGCGTGGGGCGCACGAGGTCAATGTCTTGCAGATGTAAGGAGTGTGTCCGCACGCGGAGAAATTGAATTCAATCTAAAGAGTGGAATGGGGTTAAGATTCCCCGGAAACGAATGATTGGAATGTGTCAGGAGCTGAGGAACAGAAGAAAAGAAGCTCGCGAAGAAAGGGGAGAAGTGGAGAAAATAACGTGGGCGACTAGCGTGAAGTGTATCCCGACTATTTGAAGGCGTGTGCGTTTCATATAGATGGACTATTTTTCTACTCCCTATGGACTACGGAATAATTAATAGTTTGAATATTTGAGATATAAAACAATGAGACTACTCAACATTGTATATAACATCAAGAATAAATATCTCATTGTATAGTAGTTCTCTTATAATATAGTATGGATGTGACATAACAATACTCGACGTTCTTGAAGTTCTGGGCCCGCGCACGGTTCCCATAATAATCGCGCATAAACCAGCATCATGGTAACCACTAATAACCTCTTTTTAACAAGTGGATACAGCTCATATTTACCACCTATGTTGTACATTTTCACATTCTTATATAGTATATATACTTTTATCTTGATGTCCAATTATTTAAGACCCCTTTGAGTCTGTGACTTCAGACCCCTGGAGCTTTGGGAATAACTCCATATAGATGAAAAAGGAAACAGGCCCAAAAGAATATTCTGTGCCCCCCAAAGCGTTGATCTGATAAGCCTATGTTCACGATTTCTTAAGACCTGAGCGATCTTCAAACTCGTTCAACGGCCTACCAAAAGCATCGGAAGAAGGCCTTTTCCTTTACTCGAAATCAACATTGCTGAAAGCAAACATGGTATTCTTGAAAACATCAACAATTTTCAGCGTCCTCGTGGGAGAAACCCATGCTTATCTAAAACAGAATGCAGTGTGCGGTTCAAACAAACAGTGCGAGCCAACTTGTTCGAGAGGCGAATACTATGTCTCCTTTGATGGGAGGTCATCATTCTTCGAATGTACCTATTCTAAAGACGACTGTAAAGTTTGGTACTATCGCAAGGCGTCTGATATACACAGAAGCAACTACGATAAAACCGACGACATCGAAAACAACGCGAGTCAAACATCCTTATGTGAAACTTCCTGTGGCCGGGCTTGCACACGTCGCCCGTTGACCTTCTGTCTCCTGCTAGAAAGTGCTGCAGGCGCATATGCAGCTCAGTACGGTCCATTCGGGGATAGTGATCAACCCCAGTCCCATATGGTACAAAAACCATATAAAAGGCTTTTGGACTCGCACGATGGAAGGATAGTGAAAGTTCTTTTAAAGATCACATCACGACGAAAAGGAGGAATAGCGGGCGATATAGACCGACCCAACTATCCCCACTATTTGCATAAAAGGCTCTGCAATGTCCTACCAGGTCCAATGGAATCATCAATGAATCATCTGTACTGTCAGTCTAATACAATACTAGCGAGCAAGGATGTGCTAGGAAAGTAACTAAATCGATGTTTAATGTCTCGAAAGGCATGAGGAATTCTACTTCGATATTATAGGCTAATCTAATTACTCTACTATAATCATGTAATTTATATTGTAAGATATTTGAGAATATTTAATCAGAACCCTTTAGATGTAAACCCTGTACAAAAGATACCTAAAACCCGTGTTTTGTCTAAGGTGAGACAGACCAATGCGCGGTAGCGGCATTGGTCATATGGTAAGATGGCTAGTACCTAGGTAAGCGATCGCAAAGCTGGATCTATGGAGATTCATCCAAGCATACATATGTGATTACTCAAGCAAAATTGAGTCAATCATCACACTCACGATCATCCTCAGGCTCCACGTTAAAGACGGAGAGCTACCAAAATGTCTATGTGGATCCAAACTTGGTTGGCTCTGATTGTCTGCAAGGACTCAATCTATGAGATGACTCTGTTTTCATTGGCACTCCATTCAATGGTTCTGCTCAGCTCCAAAAAAGGAAAACAAACTATACCGAGGTCGTAGAGATTCGGTATATGGCAAGTTGACATTTACCAAATGGGGCCACACCCTCGCATCCAGGCAAGGTTGCAAACCAGAACATTGACAGAGTGCTTAGATCTGTATTTGATGGATCTCAATGATGTAAGACATTGCCCCCTCTTTTAGGTGTGATATGCACGATTTGACTAGTGGGTGGAGCTAGTTGTACCTATTGAATGGCATTTTGTTGCTACTATATACGGATACCTAGCTGGCCTTTGTCAAAGTATAGATCGAAATATTTACACTCTCTCCCTGAGAAAGTATATTTGTCTTCACTGTCAATTTTTGGAAATTCACCCCCAAAGCCTCATACCCCTTATAGTGAGTCTTCTCTTTTCTACAGTTATTAGATTTTCGGGACTTTTCATGCTCACGCATGGTATGTATCTTAGATCTCGACCTTAAGCCATGAAATTGACAATATTTGGACTCAACAGGAGCCATCTCAAATGCCCAAAAAAGCGCCAACTCCGATTGCGTATTTTGCAAGAGGACAGTACAAATTGTCGTCGACCAACTAGGAGATGAACGCACCGAAGAACGAATCGGCAATGCCCTTGACCTCGCTTGCCAATTTTGTTCCTCGCGTGATAGGCCGCATTGCGATACATTTATCGCCGAACACCGAGATCGTTTAGCAGATATATTGATAGAAAAAGGTGACCCATCCCTGGCTTGTGCACTTCTCGGTGAATGTATGCCATAAAGTGGCAGACTTGCCGTCACAGTCGCCTATATGGACAAACAATGCATCTCTGGTTTCCGCTACTGTCGAGCTATTAATATGTTGAATCTAATTCATTGCGAGGAACTCAAAATTCGTCTATGTTAAGAACTCAAATCTGGTTTGAGGTTTGAGCGAAGACTATATGTGGAATGAGAAATGGGAGGCCTAACACCTGTTATAATATAGTCCTGAAGGGCGAATAAAAAAGCCGAATGCGGCAACCAAGACAGGGCCGCGTTTGAAAGGAGCGGGCAAACCTACTAGTCCGTAAGCAGGGCATCGTAGAGGTTGAATAGTTATTATGAGACGTACCTAACGACCATATCTATGGTAGGGACGATGTGTTAGCATCGTGTTACCGTACTACACCGAGAGTGTAGGAGAGTGAATTACAGAGACCACAAAATCCCATTCTCTACAATGTGGTGCTTAGCCACAAAGTTTGATTATCCGGTGATTATATAAGGGGGCATTCAGGAGATTATATCTAATGATTCGTAGGACAACGTAATTTACTACGCTTCTAACTCGTCTCTATATTGTGGTGTCATCATTGCTGTAATAATGTTCTTGAGAGTAGAGATATGATGAGAGTAACAATGAAGTTATAAACTGTGAACTGCAGACTGGGAGAGAGAAGAAGAGAGAGAGAGCGAAAGCGGGCTGGCTGACTATCTCAAGATGCATGGGAGACTATTCCCGAACAGGATGGCACCTGATATCTAAACAAATGTCAAATTACCATTAATATCCGAAGACAATAGATGAGGTTGAAACTGTGCTTGTCATTACAATGAGAATAATCTGAAAATAAAGACGATGATATCCCAGTCAACTCAACTTTACAAAGCTATGTACCACATTCCGCCTAATACTTCAATCAACCGATGCCTTCACTCCTTACTTGAAGATCAGCATGTTGCAGATAGAGGAATGTAGATCGATCGTAATGTATTTACGGAGTATAAACAAATCAATTGTTCGACTGTGGGGTCTATCACATCCACTAACTATTCCTCGCCTTGTAACGGAGTACCTAGCTCCATTCAGTCAATTACCGCTAAATTCACATTACATAGGAAGATGATCGATCCACACAGCCCATAGCACCGTGATCTACTCCGTACCGAATCTCTTTTGTCCCCACAGCCTTGATTGGCTTTCATAATTTGCACCCCTTTCAGTATTTTTGCGCTCTGTACTCCGTACGGAGTAAATAATCCATAAAACAAGAAATTATTTTGAGGCTTGGCGTCAATAGGGCATAAACCTTGTATACATTCTTTTGCGCCCTGAATACAAACATCATTGTTACTGATTATTACCCTTTAATCTCCTTCATGGAGCAATGACACCAATGCTTGACTTTCGAACTGCTTTTCTGCTACATTTGCTATTCTGCTCTCATTGGAGTAGATTGATTGTGGAAGCAACTAAGCTGCAATGTTTTGAATCAGTAGGAAATATAATTTTTCGATCTGCTTAGAAACCCCTGCTTATGAAATGACGCAGAGACCAGATTTATGCGCGCCCATACTGGAAGTAACACAGTATGATAAGAGCTTTGTCAACCCCGCGCACATTTTTCTGTCCCCAGCAAATGTATCAGAGAGTACGACTGGGCCATATATCTACAGCAGCTCTGGGGTACGTTTTAAAAACCTACGGTCATGATCAAAATATCAAAAGCTGATCTTTTCTTGTAGGAATTAGTTTGGCATGGTGCAAATATAACGCAACATGAGGTCAACAACTTTACTCCTTGCCAAATTGCTGCCGAAGAAAAGCTATGCATGCTAGATTTACGGCATGGCAAAGGGGTTAAAGCAAGTGGCCCAGCTTTGGCTGTTAGCCGTGACCTCGCTATCTCCAAAGAGGCAGGACTGATTGAGATAACTGGTGGGCAATCGTTTGATATGCACGAGCTCAACTCTGTCGACAACGGAGCCGGAATAGTGACAATCCATTATATGCCACGAATACGGGATCTGTCAAGTGTGGGAGGCCCGATATTTGGATATCTCAAAACTAGTGGGTTCCAAGAGATTGATGTCAAAACCGGGGCCGTCAATTTTGAATGGGATGCCCTAGATCATTTTGATCTATCAGAATCACACATGGATATCGGAACGCCTAGTTGGGGGGATGCTTTGAGTCCCGAAAGTCCTTGGGATTATTTGTGAGTCTCTTCCCTGGCTCTATCACTTCATGATTAAGATCATTAACAACTTTCCCAAGCCATATCAATTCTGTTGATAAGACCAGAGACGGAGATTATATAATATCCGCGCGGCATACAAGTACAATTGCCAAAATCTCCGGTAAGAATGGTACCGTTCTGTGGCGGCTTGGAGGTAATCGCTCCGACTTTACCTTCGAGCCTGCTCTGAATTTCAGTTCTCAGCACTGTGTTCGATTACAATCGGAAAATGACACCAGCGCCGTTCTATCTGTTTTCAACAACGGCAATGATGGAAACAAGCAGACCGCAAACTCATCCTCAGGACTTTTACTCCAGCTGGATTTGATAAACAAGCATGCTTCTCTTATACGTCGCTACCCAGCTCCGAATGGGTATCTTAGCCGGAAGAAAGGCAGTCTCCAGATTTTACCCGGCGGAAATGCATTTACTCATTGGGGAGGTACCCTCAATGTGACGGAACATTCACCAGACGGATCACATACTGTGTTCCAAGCCAATATCGTAGATCGGGATCAAGGTGCATATATGTACCGCGCATGGAAAGCAAATTTTACAACCTCACCGATCACCAGTCCGGACGTCCACGCTGTGGCAACATCCAAGGCCGGACCGAGTGTGTACTATGTTTCGTGGAATGGTGCAACTGAAGTACATGGCTGGAGAGTCTATGCCGCAAAAGAAAAGGCAGATGACTACAACTTGGTTGACACCTTCCAGAAAAATGGATTCGAGACAAGATTGGAGATCGCGAGTCTCCTGCCTTGGGCCATTATTGAGGCTGTCAATGGAGCCAACGAAGGTATTCGCAACGCCACACCTGTACATGCAATCCACCACGTCGTCGATAATGGCCAGAGTGCGGTTCAGACTTGGTTTAGGGATTGGGATCAGTGGTCCATAACTCTCATCTTGTTCGTCGTCATGTGTGGGGTTATACTATTTCTTGTTTTCTGGCTAAGAAGAACTCGAAAAAAATTAAATGAGCAAAATGATTTAGCATAGCTTGTTTGCTATTATGCCAAAAAAAAAATAATCAAAGCCAGAGGTTCCTGTGTGTATCCCTTGCGGCTTTTGCTGTCTCGGACACGCGTTACAGCGGATTCTGTTCCATGCACAACATTTCTGACGGAACATTCCCCAGACGGACCACATAAATTTAGTAATACATCACGGTGTTTATTTCATGTCAAAGGCCTTTATTATAGCTTTCCTCCTCCTCCTCCTCCTCCTCCTTTCCCTCCTCCTCCTCCCGGCTCTTCTAAATGGCCGTCGCAACTTTAATCGGCATAAAGGTTACGAGCGGTTTAGTCGTAGTCGACCTGGGGGCCACGCTTATCATAGTCGACCTGGGGGGCACGCTTATCGTAGTCGACCTGGGGGCCACGCTTATCATAGTCGACCTGGGCGGCACGGCTCATGAGGGCGTCACCGTTACCCTGATTGCCCTGGGGAAGAGCAATGGCAACCGCGACCAGGGCAGCAAGAGGAATAAAGAGCTTCATGTTGACTTTTCTAGGCGGATTATTAGATCTAGACCGACTTGATTGGAACCAAAACTAGATATGATCGAACCTTTGAGACCAGCTGTGTAGACGGCAGCTTTGTTTAGATTTTGGAATGTTGGTATTGAGGGAGACAGAAAACCACAGAAAACCACAGAGCTAGAGTAAATTGAACGAAGTTTCTGGCACTCGTCTATTGAATAGATTATATATGGTTGTCAAAATCCCCACTGACAATACTGGGCTACATCATTCCTGAAATTCTTCATGTGCATGAATGGTCTCACGGTAGCTCCACTAAAGCCAATAGTATTGCCTCTTTCCATTTTTCATATTTACGATTTCTTTTGTTGAGTATACCTACTTACTACATACGATCATTCCGTCGCCCTAGTCTATGTCGATCACGTTGATCCCCGAAAGTGTAATCCGTACATGAGACCGAGATGCCCGAAACTGACAGTACAGATTACACGCATCCTGTTGGCATGAATCTCGTACCAATACGCCTAGGTGAAAACTCACTGTTATATTATCTACCACTTCATTGGAATGATCTATCGAGGCCGAGGGCAAATATATTACTTGAAATTCTCACTCTAACCTTAGTGCACTATGGCGCAAAGATACAGATCTGCTCACTGCAGCCATCGATTTTGAACTACGTAGGAATTGATGGTTCGTACAGATACGAATGAGGTCAAAAGTGAATGTGAACGGGAGTCTAGCATGCTGTATCCGTACAACTTGGAATGCATCTTGAGATCGCTCAGATCGTAGATCCCCGAAATTTAGGAAGAATAGGATCTCAGGCATATACGTACGACATATATTCTCCTCGCCGACGTCATATGCAAGGGGTACCAAGAAAGCTACCTACCCATTGAGAGTCTTGTGGATTGACAATTAATGAACCGAAAATTAATGCCAAGTAAACAATCCGAGATCATAGATCTCGCGATCGCCTAACTTCGGCCCAAAAGAGTGCTGATCCAAAACCGAGGCACACTAGATAGGATGGGGCTCCAAGTGGGACACAGAGGTTGGCCTATACAACACTTTTACGATACAGAGTATATATTACAATGTATGCAGCCTGAGGTCATTTCAATTTAGAGCGCCTTACGGGAAATGTTGCTAATCAATTGAACAAACCTGAACCAAGCCTGCTGCGTGGTAATAAGCCCTCAAAAAGGGAAAATAACACTTCGTTGGAATTTTAATAGCCTGCCGTCACATTCCAACTTGACTATATGCCATGTCTCATGCCACTAATTGTAGCTCGTTCGAAGCGGATAATAAGCTGAATATCTGTCTGCCAAAGAAGAAAAAGAGCAATACAACGTATATTCACTGTGTCATTTTCGACATGGGAAATAAGTAAATAGTAAAAATATACAACAGTAAAGATTCGCTGGAGATGACCCACCCAACTACTAGTTCACCGGCGGGTGTGTGGTTTAGGTGAGGCCAATAGTTGGGTGGGTGTCGTGTCGCCCTACTGACTGACTACTCCCTAGGCAATGTCTCAATCTACGGCAAGGCATGTGGGCCAGAAGGTGGAACGATGTGTTCCTCATGAAACGTCATGCTGGAAACCCTACACCGCAATTTCTATTTTTAATGAAGTGAAGACTCCAGCTGAGAGAACAATCCAAAGCCGTGGAAAGATCTTCCTCAGAGATCGATGTACCTTGTGGGGTGTGCATCATGATCGACAACGTGACCAGTTCTTGAGATCAATAGCGGTAATTTTGTATGTTGATGTAGCAAACACAAAGCGAATGCAGGGGTTTAGTTATAAAGAGCTAAGTTCGATCACCTTCTAGCTTCTTTAATGCCAATATTTCCTATGGAAGGTTCGATTTTCGTTAAGGGCTTTCAGTGAGAAGAAAGCAGACACCAATCTGCCCCACCGATTACAGTGCAGGGCTCAACTCTTTCTTCGGCAATACTAGATCTGAAGAACGATACTTCCCGATGAGGGCAAGATTCTCGCTGAATGTACTGTTGCGTTTACGTTCGGCTGTCCAACTGCGATCTTTCCAAGGCCTCTTTTCACTCCAAGACATCACGATTAACGACATCCTCTTCTCCCCTGGCCTGGATTTCATTATACAGATAGAGAGGTTGCGCAATCTACAACCAAAACAATCGCTGTCTGAAATATTTCAGTATAATTAGTTTGACAAGGATCTCAAATACAACAATAGAGTAGTTAATTCGAGGTAATATGGAGAGTACTCCTTAATGGGTCAAAATTTGCCAAAGCCTATGTTTTTTCAACACCACCTTTGAGCCAAATGACCCTGATATCTCAGCCTCCATCCTATACACCAGCTGCAACATCACCAAATCGATGGAAGGCGGGGCCGAAAGCATCACTGACCATATGCGAACAAGCAGCGCATCCTTTTCAAATACCCAAATAAGCTTGTATCGACAGCATGATAATCCAGGTCCAATGGCCGTAGAGTTTTCTACCCGTTGCTACCATGGTCCTATCAAAGGTGCTACTAGCGACCACAGAATCTCGATATGCTTTATAGGTAAGAGGCTTTATGCGCCCCGCTGGAACAATCCAACCAGCGACTTCTATTTCATTCAATCGATCTCATCTGTCGGCTAATTATAGCATTGATTAAAATTTATTTGGTTCTTTGAAGGAGAAGATCGGCAAGCATATCAGCTATAAAAGGGCGAGATGCCCCCGCTGTTTATTTCATACAACGTGTGAAAAGAGTATTATTCCACTCACATCATGAAGTTCTCCATGATTACCATCTTTGCATTCTTTGCACTAGGAATTGCGGAGGAGTGTGGTCCAGGTATGATAATTGCCAGTTCGTGAATTTATTGAAAAAAACATAGGCTTATGATGTCGCGTTTCTCCTTGCTACATATAGGCAACCAGTGCGGATCCGGCGAATGCTGCGTTGATTCGGATGGGAGTAGATCCTGCGAACCATTGGCACGACTCGGTGAACGCTGCTGTAAGTCGAACTACCGTGACTGGAGGTGTCATCGGATGAGTTCTAGATGGAAACTCAACTAACCCGACTTTTCGAAGCTACGGGACCGGTGCTGGGAGTGTATGCCGATCTATGCCCATGCGATGGAGGCATCGATTGTCAGTCTGGTTTTTGCGTCCACTAGAGGAAATAGTGAATTTGGTCTTCGCTATGATCCGGAAATATGCTAGAGGGGTTGCAAAGCTCTCAGCGAGGCCCACATTCTCCTCTGGGCGGGAAGCAATTCAGACTGAAGGGATCAAGAATTCCAAAAGAAAAGTTCTTATAGTTATCGATTAAAAGTCTAATTAGTCTATAAACAAGTGCTATGTACTTCTACCTGTCATATCCAGGCTATTAAACCTTATTAAGCTTAAACCCACCAACAGCACCCCTCGCCAAAACAAACAAGACAGACCCAGCGATCATCACAACACCACAGAAAATCTGCAGGCGGGTGTAATCGCCATGCAAGACATCCGGTACCAAAGCACCGCCAATTGGAGTACCAGTTAAAGCCGCAAACGAGATAACAGCAAAGAAAGTACCGTTTCGAACGCCCACCTGGCGCAGATCAGAGATCTGGGCAATGCAAGCAGGCGCGAGGGAAACGAATGCTCCAGAGCCGAAACCGTACAGTGCGCTGAAAATGATTGCGGGGATGTTGCCCCGCGACGGGAGCCAGAGGGCTAGCACAAGAATCGCGGAGAAGAATGTCGTGATCACCATCGTGTTGTAGCGACCCACTTTATCGGCGAGGTAGCCTGGCAACGTACGGCCGAAGATGCTGGTATGTGTTAACTTGGGCTTCGAAGCTGCGCGAGAGATGCAAATCTTACCTAGATGCGTTCAAGATAGGAATCAAATACCCAGCCAGATTCTGGGACATGCCGTATCTCTCTGCCTGCGTAATGACAAAAGTGAACGGCAAAAACATGCCCCAAAAGAAACAAAAGGCGCCAGCAAGCGTAAGCGCAAACTTCAGCTCTGCCAGCGGTCTCAAGAAACTCAATATATCAAATGGCTTAGGGCGGTGCGGCAGCCTCGACTTGATCGTTAGATTGGCGATAACGAGCATGAACAGGATCAGAAAAGCGCAGATGCGCATAGCCCACGGGAATCCGACTTCAGGAATCAGTCGCGTGACCATAATGGGGAAGATGACGCCGCCGAGACTTGAGCCTGCGGCTGTTACGCCGAGAGCGAAGGCGCGGCGTTTGGCGAACCATGTGCTGACGGAGTTTACGGAGGCGTTGAAGATTGCGCTCGCGCCGATGGGACTGCAGATTCCTTGTGCCAGGATGAATTGGTAGTATTCTGTTGAGAGGGAGGCCATCATCAGCCCGAAGACGTGGAGGAATGTGCCTAGCAGGAGGATGTAGCGTGGGCCGTGGCCGTCGAACATTGTTCCGAAGATTGGACCCTGTATTTATTAGATTTAGTTTCTTGGGGAGGGTTGGGTATACTTACACAGAAGAACATCACGAAGGTCTCGAGCGATGTGATCCATGTAACTGTGCTGGTGGAGTACTTGCTCAACTGGTGGCTTTCATAGTATGTCTGGAAGACTCCAATGCCTGGTTTAGGTTAGAATTTTGTTTTCTTTTACGGTGGGCTTGGCTTACAGTTGATCCAGCCAAAGCTGACGAATAGACCGGAGAAGGCTCCTAGTACGACTAACCATGCTTGTGCGCCTCCATCGGGTGGCGGGCCGATTGCTGGCGTCGCAGGTGTTGGACCAGCAGCAAACGACTTTTCAGTTGATTGTGGTTCGGCATTCTCTGGGCCAAGACCCTTTTCTGGGTCATTATTGCCATGCACACTTACGGCGGGAGTTGTGTCATTGGATTTTTGAATGTTAGTTGTAGCGCTGTCGATGGAGGGAGCGACTTCATTATCACGTTGGGTCGTCATTGTGGTAATTTGGAATGATTGTTTTTTGTCTTCGCTTTTTGGAAATGGGTTTGCAAGTATAATGGTTTCAACCTACAAGCGATGTTAGAAGAGATCTTCAGATTTATAGACATTGACAACAAACGGGAAGTATAACACGAAACAAGGTTGTGCAACATTGAATAAGATCGATTCGAAACGCAGTACCACTTACCCGTGGACCAACGGCAAACGGTGCAGTCCCGTTAAATAAGCCCTGAGAGACGTTGCGGATTGCAATTCCCCGGTATTAGTTACCCGGATTGAGTCGAGGTCCGTTTGAATCTAAAGGATTCCAAGTCTTATAATTTGTACTTAAAGGTGGTCACATTAGAAATCTAGAATGATAGGAGAAAAAAATCCACGATCGCGCCTTCGGTCTGTCGCGTCTAACTAAGTCCGAGTTACTTGACTCATTTTCTTCATTTTTGGTGATTTGCGCCACTAGGCTGGTCCTAAGCATGGTAGCTTCTCTGCGGTTTGTCAGCGGTTCAGCAGGTGGGGACCGAGCCCTTGTAAGCCCTTGGTCTTGTGGGACCGGACTGTCCATGTCCAAGGAGCTTCCGACGATTGATAGCGGACATCGAGTCTTAGCCCGAAAGACCGAGGCGGATTTAACTCGAAAATCCCGAGTATCAGGAGGTTGTTCACATCAGGTCTTTTGGGCAAATGTATACTCAAATACTCATCTTAATACCATTCCCACTAAATGAATACCGATTTGAAACACATACACCAGATTTTAGGCAGTGAGCTCAAGGTTGTTGCTTTTTGAGTGAAATTGCCCCCAAGTGAGCACCCGACTGGGCGGGCACCTGAGCATCATGTAGGAAGTATTAAGCAAGTGTTAAGCATCAGGATTCCCCAGGTGAAATGGAGAGAAATGTGAGGCAATCCTAGTTAGATCATGTGACAGTTTACGACAGTCTCATTAGCCCTAATTACAACCATTAATCGTATAGAAAGCATAAAATCTCCTTATTTAGCTTTCTCTCTTTCTTCCATCGCTCTTTTCCATCTGATCATCTGATAACGGTTCAGCCCCAAACCTCGATGTCGCCTACTTTGGGTCCCAATACCCCGGACTTGCCTTGTCCAGGCCCCATATTAAGCATACTTATAGGCTTCATACAGGGCCCGGATTGGGTAAATTCTGAGAAATGGGGCTTGAAGTAGGCGTATCGGGTAAATGGAACCCGTTCTAACTCGGTTTGATGTAGCATTGGGGCTATTATCTCTCGCACAGTTAAATTCGACTGTATCCCTCATCTCCATAGACTCAAATAAGAACAAACACCACTTACGTGAAGTGAGAAGCTTCTTCTAATTCATACTGCGGCCAAAAATCAAATTGTTGACATTACTTGTGAGCATCCATGGATTGAAATGGACCTTCATCCAGTATAGATCAGCCAAATCAAGCTTGAGCTACTCAGACGGCGTTATACCCAGGTTTCCTGCATCATCAAGCGTAAAAAATTCCTTAATCATGTTTACTACAGATTCGGAGAGCTCTGTTTCAGACATGGGCACCTGCATAGAACCAATTTCTCGATAATGCTCAGATGAATTTCTCAAGGTATCCGTGAAATGTGCGACTGAAGACCTTCACATCTGCTTAGCATCAGCATCTTCCAGTCCCAAATCCTTCTGCCTTTGATCCTCCGTATGGGGAGGACATTTGACGTCAAGGAAACAATTGGAACTTTGAACCTATCAAATGATATTAGCATCACCTTTTCTACCATGGATGAATCCTTCTGCAAAGAATCACCCTTTTCTCAAAATCTTCAAGCTGTTCTAAATCCTTCGGGAATCCCAAAATAATCGCCCATAAGTGCTGTTCGCAAATGACTTGAGTCTCGTTTTCGAGTAGCTTAACGATCAAACTAGCGGGTATGTCAAATTGCTTCTCCAGACAATTTTAGATGATTCCGTGATGGCCATAGTTATAATCTTGCGCCTTGTCGCGAAGCATTTATCTACAGAAATATTTGAGAACGAAAGCTCTTTGGAGGACTGGATAGCGACTGTTTCGCAGGCCGCTGAATCCCCTGGGAAGACTTCAGCGAGAAAGGTCAAATATCAAGTCACATATCACGTAGCAAGATAATTGGCAGTCACTTTTTTCGCTTAGCGAGGTGATCTTCTCTTTCCTGGGACAAGAATTCCGCCCACTGACTAGCCTCTTGAAAACCCCGAGAGTCCTTGAAACTCCTCGGAATCTTTTTTTGCCAAAGTTCTTTTGTTCATACTCGTGTGCTTGGACTAGGACACTCGAACTTGCCCATCTCCCGAACCCATTTTGATTCCGGTGTCTCGCCCTTTTCATACTCTAGCCATAGATCACTGATGTCTTTCGCTTTTTCTGGGCTGTAGGCACAGAGCAGATTTTCCAGATATCGGAAACCATTGCGCTCCATATCGTTTTTCCCGATCTGATATCTGTCAATGTTGCTAGGTCTGACAGAGTAACATAATAAATAAATCACCTTTGGGACCTTGCAAAGATTGGAATGTCTCCTATGACTGACCCTGCCGAATCATGTACTAAAGTCATTTGGATGCATTTAGCCCTATCTAGGTTCATGTTTTCCTTTGGTAAAATGGCAGCGGCTGAAAATAGGATAGGGGACTGTAACTACCGGAGCGAGCATGGCTAAGATGGCCACTAGAAAGCTATGCGCCGCCACACTCTCGCGGTTCAAAATTGTTCTCAGCCATCCTGCTCCGGGCAAATGCTTTAGTGTTTTAACTGCATGGAGAAAAGGCAAGGGTGTGTTTTCCATTGTGACAAAGTGTACACATTTGGGATTTTATGAACTGATAAGAAAGGGAACAGTATGCACTTATAATATGACTGATCCCTGTTCTTCACCTCGTATATCCTTCAATTCATTGTGTACTAGATAGATCTGCCTATTACTTTCAACTTAGGTGCCTGTTCGGCCGTCTGTCCGGCTGCCTTTCTCAATATTGCTACGGAATCTCCCACCGAGTATTTACTGATGTAGTGTAATGAAACAGCATGCGCAGATGCCTACTACGCAGTTCCTAGGCCTCAGAGTAGAACCACAAGCAAGAATAATAGAGATTGGTCAAGCAGATATTGCCAAGATAAAGAAATGCCCATACTGTACAGGATGCAACGTTATACTCATCCTAATTGGAGGCCGCTCTAGTCCATACAGAGCCCAATGCGAAGGTCTCCAGTCGACCCGTTCTTAAGTCTTTCGATTTAGTTGCGGCCAGCCTCGTCAACCTCCGCCTTGCCATCCTTGCGGATCTTTGCAACGCTCTGCCTGGTGCCTTGGATTTCCTGCTCCAGTTGCTCGACAGAGCGCGTCAACTCAGAGATATCGCTGGCGGCCTTTTCGGCCTCGGGTTGAGAGGCGGGCGAAGTGAGGCCACGGGGAACATCGGCGATTTCGTTGACTTCTTGCGCAGATAGAACGTCGTTGATGCGGGGACCGCGGGATTGCACGAGGATGGTGGTGGGTCCGTCAAACTGCATGAAGAGCTGGATTGGAACGTTAGCTGTTGGATACTTTATGGCGGAGGGAGGATTGTCGTACTCTATCTCCCCAGATGGTCACTCGGGACCAGGTGCGTAGCTTGTGGAGCCACTGCATCGTGGTCTTGTATGCCTTCGAGTCGGACACATCACGGATGAACTTCGCATTTTGCAGTAGTCTCGGCAGCGTCTTCAGGCCTGGGATCTGGAAGCTGAGGGTGGTAGATTTGAAGCGGTAGGGACGGGGAGGGTTGGAGGACATGGTGTAAGCGACCACATTGCTATCACACATATTAGTAACGCCGGAGATTGGAACTGTGTCGGTACACATACCTGGGGTGCGCAATGTATTGCTCGCCGTCCTTTAATTCGATTGAGTACAGCTGTCCGTTGCCAACCAACGCTATTAAGCCTCTTCCTGTTACCTCGGAGCTACCCCAATGAGACAAGCTCTGCACGGATTAGCCAGAGTTTTCCACCGGGTACTGGTAGATTCACGAACCAGGTTTGTGTTGATAGTTGGTTTGATAGACAGAGACCGGCCGGTCCATGCGAGCAAAGCCCGTCTTTGGGCAACCATCCAGTCCACAGATCCATTGACGTTCACCACAGCGAATGAAGTGTTAGGGGACCGAACGGAAACAAGGGCTGTGACGGGGGTTGCGGAAGAGACCTGGGAAGTGTTAATGGCTGTCTTCCAGGCTGCGATATCTTTACTATCGCGCGCATCATACCTTCTGGTAGAGAAAGGGCACTCCGACAACGGCCCTTCGGAAGGGTTCTAGAACGCTCAAGGTCGAGATCACCTGTTTGGATCATACGTTAATGCGACTGTCCACACAGCACAACACTTCACAACAACCCAGCGGGTCCTCATACATTATCTGCCTTGCCGCTCAATCCAACCAGAGTTCCTCGTCGTGTGTATAGGTTTTGCGACGCGGAGAGCGAAACCGAAAGGAGCGAATATGGAGCGCCGATGACATCGAATCGCGCATCTATGAAGACCGTATTGTTAGCCTATGTCCCGAAGGCGATATTCCGACCGGGGAAGCCCAATTACCTCGTGATTCAACAGAGCTGGGCGTGCTAGCGAGGGGCAGGCTGTCGCCATTGACCGAAGGCACCCCAGTAGGCGCGGCGCGAATTTGCACAAATCGCGTCTGTCGGTGAGCTCGAGGGACCACTCGAGTCCAGGACAGAGTCCGAGCACCTCCCTGGAGACGCATTGTGTTTGTGAAGTTGAATTGGAGAATTTACGTCAGTCTCCGGGATAGAACATGGAAATCGGGTAATCGTGGTCCCGAGAACATGCAGACGCTCACAACTGCCCCTCTGAATTGCGACATTCGGAGTTTCATTGATTTTATAAATTCGATGTTTCATACGGATTTTCCTTCTTTTTTTCCTTGACTATTTGCGACCAAATTTGCATTATTAGCGTTTCCTCCGAACGCGGCGACTACCAAGGTTTCTCCACAGCTATCGGAGAGCTGCGTTGCACCGCCAATCCTCTCACTCGCACTATGCTCTGAGAACCTTTTGTTGGTAACTTACACTATTCCTGGAGGTCAGAATTTATAATCTCAAGCAGGCATGCTGCTCAGAGCCGCACGAGCGCCGTGCTGGCGTACGGCGCATGCATTCGCATACCATCCGAGCTTCGCCGGCCAGCTACGAAGCACGCGACTCAGTGGAACACACTTGCGAGTATTCACATCAGACCAAGGTCCATTACAAAACAAATCGATAGACGAGAAAAGTCCCGCATCTGCGACTGCTGGCCCTGCCTCTACCCCCACTCCACCACAGTTGGAGAACGCCAATATCGTCCAGAAGTCGAAAGAAAGCGGCGATGCGAAGACACCGCCTAAAAAGGACTTGCTGAGCGAGCCTTTGGCCGCGAACAAGGAACAACGAAAGGCCGATTGGGCTATTATGAAGGAAATGGCTAAATACCTGTGGCCGAAGGTAATACCCGAGCGCCAATGGTATCGAATATGTGGATATTGACTAGAGCTGTCAGAACGACTGGGGTACGAAGCTCCGTGTTAGCACAGCACTTTCACTACTTATCGGAGCAAAGGTAAGCATTCTTCGCTATGATTGCGGTATAGCCAAGTTATGCTAATGTAGGCTCAACGCAGATCCTCAATGTGGAGATCCCCTTCTACTTCAAGAATATTGTCGACTCAATGAACGTAGATTTTGCTACTCTCGGTGGAACCGCTTATACTGTGGCCGGCTCGATGATCATTGCCTGTAAGGAGGAGACCATGCCAGAGAAGAGAGTTGTGGCTGATTTATTCTAGATGGTGTGACACGAATTGGAGCGACAGTGTTCCAAGAGCTCCGCAACGCAGTCTTCGCTAGCGTCGCGCAAAAGGCCATCCGGAAGGTGGCGTCAAATGTGTTCGAGCATCTGTTGCGACTAGATCTCAACTTCCATCTCTCCCGGCAGACCGGAGGTCTGACCCGTGCTATCGATCGCGGTACTAAAGGCATCAGCTTCCTCTTGACTTCTATGGTCTTCCATGTGGTCCCGACTGCACTTGAAATTTCACTTGTTTGTGGAATTTTGGTAAGATTCAAACGATACCTCGGACTTTGTAAAGACTTTATTAACATTTTTAGACCTACCAATATGGCCTCCAGTTTGCCGCAATCACTACGACGACAATGATTGCATACACAGCATTCACTATTACGACAACCGCGTGGCGGACGAAGTTCCGCAGACAGGCTAATGCAGCTGATAACCGTGGAGCAACCGTGGCCGTAGACTCACTGATCAACTACGAAGCCGTCAAGTACTTCAACAACGAAAAGTTTGAAGTCGCACGATATGACAAGGCTCTGAAGAACTACGAAGATGCATCAATCAAGGTGACCACATCCCTGGCATTTTTGAACTCTGGTCAGAACATGATATTTTCCTCTGCGCTGGCCGCAATGATGTATTTGGCTTGCAACGGAGTGGCCACTGGTACCATGACTGTCGGTGATCTCGTCATGGTCAACCAGCTGGTCTTCCAGCTCTCGGTACCCCTCAACTTCTTGGGCTCGGTTTACCGTGAGCTGCGTCAGTCCCTGTTAGATATGGAGACCCTGTTCAACTTGCAGAAGGTGAACGTCACTATCCAAGAGCGCCCCGATGCTAAGCCTTTGCAATTGACGCGCGGTGGCGAGATCCGTTTCGAAAACGTTACCTTCGGCTACCACCCGGAGCGACCGATTCTGAAGAACGCCACCTTCAGTATCCCCGCAGGACAGAAGTTCGCTATCGTCGGTCCTAGTGGCTGCGGCAAGTCCACCATTCTGCGTCTGCTGTTCCGCTTCTACGATGTTCAGTCTGGCCGCATCTTGATTGACGGACAGGATGTCCGCGATGTGAGTCTCGAGAGTCTCCGCAAAGCCATTGGAGTGGTTCCTCAAGACACACCTTTGTTCAACGACACTATCATCCATAACATTCGCTACGGGCGGATCGATGCATCGGACGAAGAAGTTCGCCGTGCCGCAGAGCGCGCACACATCCACAAGCTGATTGAGAATTTGCCCGACGGTTACCAAACAGCTGTTGGTGAGCGCGGAATGATGATTTCCGGAGGAGAGAAGCAGCGGCTGGCAATTTCCCGGCTGATTTTAAAGGATCCGCAACTTTTGTTCTTCGATGAGGCAGTAAGTGTTCACTCATCGTGTGCCAAAGTCATCAACTGACCTAGCTAGACATCTGCCCTCGACACCTATACGGAGCAGGCCCTTCTTCAAAACATCAACAGCATTCTTAAAGACAAGAGTCGTACCAGCGTGTTCGTGGCGCACCGTCTTCGTACGATCTGCGACAGTGATCAGATCTTGGTATTGAAGGATGGACATGTGGCGGAGATTGGCTCGCACCACGAGCTTCTTGGCCGTGACGGTATCTATGCTGAGCTTTGGAATAGTAAGTCTTTTGTACAGAGGGTAGGAACATCGAAATATCGCTAACTCGGTTCTAGCCCAGGAATTGTCGCTGGCCCAGGATGTTGATCTAGAACGGAGCCAGAGCGAGGAAGATCCTAAGGCTTGAATCAACTTCAAGTTAAGATGCATATAGATCTTTAGTACCAAACAATACATAAATGATGCATATAGCCGTACAAGGCCACACATGCCGTTTGTGTGCTGCCCATTTGCCTCCCATAGCTACAAACATTTAGCCTTTCTCATTTCCAGAAGACCCAAGACCATATACACGTCTTGTTTTATTTATGCGCTCTTCCTTTCCTGAGTCCAATTCAAAGCACACGACCGTTCACTTGTTGAAAACGGTGTCTCCTTTAAAGTAGTTCAGTCTAATGCGGCTTGTGGTGCTCATAATCCTCCGGTGCGATCTAATGTGCTAAACTACAGCGCAGAAACAAATGGCACAAGTATACTGTTGAAGCCCGTGCGGTTGATCTTCAATATAAGAGCTCACAGAGCACTTGTCCTTAATGAATTGTAGGACATGAATATTGCTTTGGTCTACTGACTAGTCAGAATCGAATTATCTAAAATTGCTATGGTCTTCCTTGTGCTCCAATTATATGGCCACAAAGCCGCCTGAAGATAGAGTAGATTCATGCCTGAGATCCTGCAAAAGTCCAGAATTATTTTATTGAAGTCTTTGTGAAAATGACTTTATTTCAGCCTCATGTCAAAAATTGATCAAAAATTGATCAAACATAGCACATCACGATGTCGTCAGCCGTGAATATTAAAGACCAAAAATTTGAAATGCCCACGAAGTTGATATGATCATGACCAAGAAATGCCCAATTGAGCCATGACGCCGAGGCACTGAGCCAATCCAAATCCACAGTCCATAAAAACCGCCCCAATGATCGCCGAAACAGTCTCCGCCATATCGGCGGCAATGATCGTTTGTCCAGGTCGCGTTACAATGTACTTCTCCAATGAACTCGCGAAGCCTCGCTCAGAAAGACATCTCCAGTCGGTCTTCCTGCGGACGTAGTCGGAGATATCAACTGATTACACCAAGTCAGTGACTATTATTGAGGAAATGAATCGATGAACAGATCTGCTTACGCTCGGACTGGTTTTGTTGACGGCCTTGCCAGATGAGAATCATGCGGAGGACTGCGTCGCCGAACATAGCCAACGATTTGTTTCCCTCGCCGGGCAAGGCATTAGTGATTTGTAGGGCTTCTCGTGCTAGAATCCGGCCGCGGAATCGATATCCGATGAGGTCTTCGAAGGATTCAAGGTCCTCGTCAGATGGTGAGTTCGGACTTGGGTGCATTTGAGTGGCTGATAGTAGTGGGCTCGCGCCAAATAAGTTCGGATCTTGGTGATATCTCGTGTAAGTTCCCAGAATTCAGATTCTGGAGAAGAAGTAGGGCTGACGGAATGGATAGAAGCGAAGAAGCAAAATAGTAACGAGTGAAAGCAAATAAAGACATATCACCAAACACGTTGAATATCACACGATCAATGGTGGTTGCGTCGTTGTCGCCGCGGCAATGTATAACGATCATATTGTCAAGATGTCTATTCATACCCGGAAGGTGTTTTAGTTCACAAAACACGCTTAATAGCTCCGGAATGATGTTTCCAATACACAAAATGCGGGTTAAAAAAGGGGAGAAAGGAAGAAGAGGCTCATCTATGATCTCTGGTCACTAGGCAGTCATGAATGCAGCATGCGAGTGCAAACGCTGCACTCAAACACATGCTACTATATGCTACATCTGCTTCTGGTATATACTCTTGTAAAATCAGCAAAGATTCAAAGTCAATCCAATAAGTATTGTCAACCTAAGCTCCTCTCTTGAAACTGGTGAATGACATCAAAAGAAGGAATACCTCCATCCTCAGTCTTCGCCCACCCATGAGGCATATTCAATCACTTGACATCCAACCCTGATAGTAGCTCCCAATGAATCTGAGCTCAGCAAGATCATTTCATGAGTTTGAAAACAGCTCTGCCACTTTCAAACAACCAACTTTGGTCAATTTTCAGATTAGCATTGGCAGCCGAAAACAGATCTTCCCACTCTTTCATAGTGCGGAATGGACGCCCAAAGCTGGCAATAATGTGTAAATTGAGTGCATTTGTTTTGACTGGCACGACAGTGTTTTCGATAAAATCATCAACGAGCAGAATGGACTCGTTCGGCGTCATGGCATCGGCAATCTTCTTGACAATCTCTCGACAGTCACTGTGTTATTGTTAGTACATGGCCAACTGCCGAATCAGAGCGATGACAATTTCGCAGTAATCACTTCTGAAGTGGCCACTACAGTCGCTCGACTTACTCATTGGGGTGGTCCATGAAAATGCGGCTGAGTAGGTAGAGACTAGCGCCGATCACTGGCTGAGTTGTGAAGAAATCATGTTGTTGCCACTTCATCCTTTCCAGGGTACTTTCGCTAGATGCATGATTCATCGGTGGTGTTTTCGCCTGGAAATCTTGGACAATAAACGACATCTGGGGATTCTTGCCGGCAAGACGAATGGCGTGGTGTCCTTTGCCTCCCCCGACATCAACAACGAGAGCATCAGGCGAGAGGTGCCCAAAGTCAAATACCGACTCAATAGGTCTAAATAGCTGTTCGTCGTAGTCATTGTTCATCGCGCTGTCAAAGCGGGCTCCCCTAACTTTGTCTTCTTCATGGTAATACAGATACATGCTTTGGTCCGCTATACAAGAATCAGCAAACTGGCAATGATATTACTGGGTCTGAATTAGGGCAAATACTTTCAAACGCCATTTGAAACGCAGTTTTGTGTCGAGTATCTGGGATTTGGAATTTGTTGAGCCGAGCATATTTGCCTATGTTTGATCCTGAACGGAGCCCATCATCGACGCTGTAGATATTTTAGCAATACAAACCATAGAAGACATGAACTCTAGAAGCTCTCACGAGTAGTGTATCCAGTCAGCGAACCCTCTATTAAGCAAGCATCTAGAGCGGGCGTTGTGCTGGTAAGCTTCCGGCGATGGCTCGTCGAAAATGCAATAGAACACACACTGGGTCATGGCACATTCTATAAGATTAGCACAGTGCTCATGTTGGCTAGATTTTATAGACAGTCCATGTACTTATCAGCGCTCTTGACCCCCCAGTGAGCTCCACCAAGTCTTCCAACGAAGTTGGACTTCCCTCCGAGCTTATCATCTTCTCAATTCCCATGTCTAGGATGAGGGAGATGGCAATGCTCGCGCTGAACCCCCACGCAACTTCATTAGTCCAGTCCTCGGGGACATTCACCGATGCCTGTAGGGCTCTGCAGGAGGCAGAAATCAAGTTGATTTCCTCTTCCACATTGATGCCTTCTTTCAGTTTGGCGGTATACTTCGCGGTGTGATGCGCGATGAACGCCGATAGGGCTTCGGGATCTTTGGGAATTTGTGAATCACCCATTTGTATTTTTGTGAGTGCTTTCCAAAACAATCGTTCTCAGTGATATGGGAGAGGATTAAAAATTAACATCCTAGGTGAAGTGGGTAAAAGAAGTGCACTAGGGTTGTGTGAAAATTAGGGTGTGACAGTATGCATTCGTGGAACTGAGATGGGTAATTGGTGTTCTAGAGAAAAGCTCCGCCCTCTCTAATCTTTGTTTTTGAGGTCATCAAACAGGTACTTGGAATATATACCTGCTGATCTAGTCATCTATGACCGTGCAACCTTTGCACAACTCCGGGGACTCATTGGAAGGGGGACTATCGCCGAGGGAAGACCCGGGTGAGATTTAACAATAAGAGGCAGGTCCAAGATTTGAAGGGGGAAAGTAGTCATAGAAAGCGTACGAGAGATTAATTGAGAATAGTAGTTCTAGCACGTTCAATAAAGCATTCAGAACATTGTACAGTAGAGCATGCAAGCGTTCTTGTAAATTGACCATGTATTCGACTGGGGGAAATGCCCCTTCTATAATACATGAGTGATCATATATTCATTGACCAACCTCCCAGGTCAAATATCATGCGGAACTGGACGGAAGCCAAATGATAGGCTCTGCATATGCAGGTAAAGTAACAATGCATCAAGATCTCCATTATCATGTGTGCAAGCCACACTGCACTAGTAATTAAATTGAGATCTGAATCTATTATCAGCTGCTGCTGGAAAAGGCAGAGTCAACCTTCGTGACGGAAGATGACTGGAACAATTCCATGTAACGTTCAGGTAGTGCAATTCGAGGCTACCTTGACAGACGATGCTCCGAGTATATATAACACTACCAAACGCCCAGGATATAGCGCAGGAAGCATGGACTGGATTCCAATTTTTTACGGCTATTCATAACGAAACGCGGTACTACAACAAACCTGATGTGCGATTTCCATTTCGTTTCCTGTCGATAGGACCAACTAGGCAGAGCATGCTGGTAACCCCCAGCAATGCTTTTCTTCCTTTTGCCATGGCAGGGTGACTTCCATGTCCTTGTTCTCCTTTCTTATCTTTTCGGGCCTTGACGCTTCATCTTCATTTCGGGTTGTGAAGCCTTATCGAGGAAGTTTACACTTGCACTCTAGACTTCGAGCTCAAGGTTATATTATCTCATTTCTATAAAAAAACATAACAGACGGATAGGGTACAAAATTAAAATAGAAAATGTGACAGAGATCTGAGAAGTTGTCGTATAGAAGTGAATTCGACCCCGAAGAAGCTAAGAATGCGCCCCCAAAGTTCCCCACTCATGTTTAATTTAACGAGGCAACAGTCATAAATGAACTGTCCTCAGACTTTGAATCTTAAAGTTCCTTCAAATCACATCGAAAATGGCTTTACTCACCTCACTATACAACCTCATCCAAGCCGTGCGGGGCACCAACCCAACGTTCCTCACAGAGCAGCATGTACCCAGCGCCAACCTAAAAGGAAAATGGATCGTGATAACAGGATCCAACAACGGCGTAGGATTTGAAGCAGCCAAATCCTTCGCAGCATGGGGCGCAAATCTAATACTCGCCTGTCGTGAGCCGCCAACATGGGAGCTGCATCCTGCCGCCGCCGCAAAGGAGTGTAAGGATCTTGCCGAGGCACAGGGCCACGAATCCACTGTTGAATGGTGGGAGATTGATATGGCGGATCTCGGAAGCGTCGAGGCTTTCGCCCGCCGTTGGCTGGACTCTGATCGCGCTCTGGATATCCTATGCAACAATGCCGGGATTGCTGCGCCGGCGAGGCCTAATGAGAAGCCTCGTCTGACGAAAGATGGTTTCCAGCTCCTTCATCAGGTCCGTTTCCTTTTTTTTCTTTTCCTTGGATTGTTTGCCGAGAACCAATGTAATACAATACTTACAACCCCAGGTCAACTTGCTCTCCCATGTCCTACTGACCCTCCGACTCCTCCCCTCTCTAGCGCGCGCCCCCCAGCCGCGCATAATCTGCACAACATCATGCGTCCACCATCTTGGAACTCTAGACCTAGCGCACTTCGACTGCGGCCCAGGAATGGTAGGCAGCGATTATCAAAACAACAAGCTTTATTTCCAGATGTGGGTTGCAGAGCTGCAGTCCCGATTCCTCAAACACCCGGAATACCTACACATCACGGTCAACGGCATCCATCCCGGTTTTGTTGCTTCCGGTATTTGGAATATGCTCAAAGATGATAGTGGGTCTGCGAATCCGGTTATCGGGTTCTTCTTACGGCGTCTTGCTATCACCTCGCAGCAGGGTGGTTTTGCTATTACCAATGCCGCTAGTAATCCGGTTTTTGGGCCTGATCCTCGCACGCAGGGGATTGGTGAGGATGTTGGGAGGGGTGGTGGGAAGTATATCAATCGTATTTGGGAGGCTTCGGCGAGGGCTGAATGTGACGATCCTGAGGCTCGGTCAAGGGTGTGGAGTAAACTCAATGAGGAGCTCCATCTTGAAGAAAAGGGGCTTTTGAATATTTTGGGCCTTTGATCGTGAGACTGGGATAGACTCTTTTGACATTTCTCAGGGTCTTTTTAAGATCTTGTTTCATGTACATTGTGTTTTGTAGATGGAGTTTCAGAAGGCGTTGAAGTATACGACCTGTTTATGTATTTAGTTTATTTGCTGAAAGAGCTGCAAAATTCCATAATGGGGTAAATTGAAAAGAGTACGCCAAAAAACCTATGAAGAGTATAGACACGAAAACGCCCTAGCACCGTCGCTGAAGGATGATGCATAAAAAGAAGAGATAACCCCATTAAACCCCATATATGCTGGGCCTCAAAATGCAGCAATCAAACCAAAACTCCTTGTCTCATGTTCTCCACTGTCTTCACTCCAACACCCTTCAGCTGGCTCAACTGTGCCAGGCTACTGACCCGGAATTGGTGCTGGTCTGAAACAATTCCACTATCGTTGGCGTCTAATGACGTTTGGTCCATCTCGCAGAGGCAGTCGACAAGCGCCTCGGCCTTCTTGGCACCTACTCCCTTGAGCAGCTTGATTTGGCTGACATCGCGGGAGTTGATGATAGACAACAGGTGCATGGTGCGAGGTGAGATGGATGGATCCTCGCTATCGAGAAATTCGGGATCTTCTTCGATCTGAGAAAGCTTGGCTGATGCCCGTTTCTTGTACCGAGGACGGGAAATCTCCTCATCACTGGAGAACCCGTTACGGCTCTGATCCATGTAATCGTCCTCGTGGTCCTCAGCTTGGCGCTTGCCGAGGAGTGACTTTGTTGAGTCCTTCTTAAGGGAAAGCATGCTGCCCAGTCTGCCCTTAGGAGGAGAAGGGGCTTTCTGCTCCCAAGCCTTGGCGTGGACACGTTCTTTCAGAGTAGCAATCTTGCCTGCCAGCTTCTCGTTGTGTGGGAAGTGGGGAGCTGCCAGCTGGTACATTCTCAGCGCTGATCCATCTTCACCACGTGCCTGGTGTTGCTTGGCCATCAGCAGATATGAAAGACCCTCAGCACGCGCATCTTCGGTGCCATCGATGCGCTGTTCCAATTGTTCCAATCGCTTTTGAAGCTGCTCGTTAAGCGCATGGATTTGTGATTGTTTGGATTGCTCGCTCACGGCTCGAACAGCCAAGATTTCCTCAACCTTTTTCTCAACCATTTCCTCGATCCTGGCAGCCGAGAAATCGGCGTGACGAGGTTCGGGCTGGGCATTGAGAGGCTGACGCGCCGGTTTTAGAGATGGGAGGTGAGACGTAGTGTTGGACATCGAGGTACGCTTTGGCGCATCCGGTTTCCGTAGCTGGCTGACGAGCTTGGTCTGCGGCTTATCTGAGTAAACACTGAATGCCTTTACGGGCTTGCCGTCATCCTTCTCCGCAGGGTCCTTAGTAGCAGGTGCTGGCATGTTCACATTTACCGAAGCTGTCAAGGCACGCAAGGGTTGTCTTGCGCCTGCCATAGATGGACGGGGAGCCGGGCGAGCTGGGCCCTTGAACATGGGGTCGTTCTCCACCTCTCGGACCTCAATCTTGCGCGTGCGATTGGCGACGTTCAGGGAGCTGATTGTGTCCAACTGATAAGATTTCACAGGGGCGAGGTTGAGAATCATGACGGTCAAGCCATTGTTCTGTCCCAGAGAGAGGATTCTAGTCATCTTTGACTCGCGGTATGGGATGCGATGTTGCTTCTTGTTAATAGCCTCGACACACTGTGCCAGGACGAAAAGACTCTTGTTGATGCTAGCTGATTCAACCATGCGCTCCTTGTCATTTTCTGTCCGTCGGTTGTCTTCCGAGCCTGCAAGATCAATAGCAGAAGCAGTGCTGACGCGAACCTTGTCTGGAGATGTAATTGTGACTTTGACGCCGAGAACGGCGTGAGATCGAGACGAATGCGCGTTGAGCTATGATTGAACAGTTAGCAATCAACTGTAAAACTTTCGTCTTTCCCACGGAATCATACCTTAGTGGCAGAAGTCGACCGATTGGTGTTGGCTTGGTCATAAAGCTGCTCAAACTCTTTCAAACTTGTACATGCTTTTTCGCTCAAGCCGCAAACCACGGTTTTGCCGCCATTGTCACGAAGGGGGAGACCGGCCATGGTGCGCTTCTCTGGTGGCTCGAACAAATCATACACCTTGTCGTTATAGATTTCGTAATAACTTAAAGAAACCTGCACTTTTGTCTCCCCTTCACTGTCCTTCTCAATCTTCTTGCTGCGCCTATATATTCCACTGAGCAAGCGAGGAATCACACCGCGGTCCGCTAGAGTCTTTCCACCACGCATAGTATGCGTTTTTCCGGTTCCGGTCACACCATATGCGAAGAGCGTTACGTCAAATCCATTGAGTAGATGCTTGATTGTCGGTGCGACTATGGCCAAATCAATATATGAGCTCGTTTTATGCCGCACAGGGTCGGAACTACTCACCCTCCGCATCGAACAGCTCCTGTTGTGACACCTCGGCATCATACACGGCATTGAACTGGAATGCATACTCCTCGCCCTCATTCTTGGGGTTGGGAATCCGCACCATGTTATCCCTATCCCTCAATGCCGCCAATTTCTTGTCGACCTTGTCGGTCTTATCGCCAATGGTTGATTGGCGTGATTTGGAGTCGGCGGTAGCAGAAGACCCTGTACGCAGGATCACATCGGCATCCCGTTCGGACTTGAGCAGGGGGCGGACACGCGCGACGACTCGGACACTCATCGTGGCGGGATGGTCATTCAATTCTCGTCTGATCGCCTGCACAAGAATTCGATGCGATTCAACCAAAAAGGAACGAGGAGAAAGGTCAAACAAAAAAGAGAGAACAATAAAGTCCTCCAAAAGAAACAAAGAAACAAAACTAGCTACTTGGTCGATGTATGCAGAACTTGAGGTTGTGGAACATGTGGAGGAGTTCTCTTGTGCTGCACGGTGTGTGTAAATTGTTGGCAGGGCAACCGTTACGTTAGTTCTATTGGCCAGTGTAGAAACCACAACGTAGGTACAACGCATTCCAAAATCTATATTTCTACTACGTTATATTCAGGTGTCTACGTAAGTTCCATTTAATCGAACTTTAAGATATTGGTTACAATTTGGAGAGTAAATATAGGGGCTTGTTAAAAACACCCCCCTTCGGCTCAGAACACCCCCCTGCCTGAAAATTCTGGCTTCACATGACCGCTTTCCTGACCGCTTTTCTGATCATCTCTATACAAATGCACCATACCTAAGGGTACCTCCTTTTACTATATAAATGCCTAATAAAATCATGTACCTTTTAGCACTACATTTTAGCATAGAGTAAAGAGATGAAAACAATGTTAAGAGCATTCAAGTTTGCACTATGAATTCTTACCTTTCTCCATCAACCTTTACACCATTTTCTTCGCGTTTGTTTCGTTTTTTCAAGCACATCTATCTCTTCAATATGGCCTCTCTAGGCTTTGACTACCTTATGGACTCGGAGTCCAAGTCTAATGCCGAGCGCGAGCCGGAGATCATTCTGGAGACCCAGCCGGACCCTGATTTGCCAACCCAGCCGCTACCACTACTGCCACAACCAATCGGATCACCCAGTATGAGCGCTCAGTCCATCGAGACCCATCTTCGTTTGAGTATGCACTCGCGCAGGAAGACAGTCGTGGTCGGGGTCGTGGTCGTGGTCGGGGTCGTGGTCGTGGTCGGGGAGTAGGTGGGGGCACAAAGCGAGCTGCGCAGGAAGGTGATAAGCAAACTAGTAAGCGAGGTGGTAGGCGAGGTCGTGGTCAGGGAGATAGTGAGGGCGCCGAGGGTGCTAATGTTTTATGAATTAATAAAGGTTATGTAGGTTATGTATGAATAGACAGTATTGAAATTGCAGAAATACGCATAAAATTGTGACTATAAAGATGCATTTTTTACTATGTAAATCAGAATTCAAACCTGCAGTTAAACCTGGCAGAAAAAAGTAGGTTTGGCAGAAAGAATCCATGCCTGAGGGATCAGGCAGAATGGGGCAGGGGGGTGTTCTGAGCCGAAGGGGGGGTGTTTTTAACAAGCCCCTAAATATATTGTGGACATAACCACGAACCTTGAGTTATAGTTGATTTACTGAAGGGTCAAGCGGAGATATATAATCCCAACAACATGTATTGATTCTGTATTGCAAGGCCTACCAAGATTTTACCAAGTATCTCGGGCTGAAAATATTAATTCTGACATCCTCATCATAGTAGAACTACGAGAAATATCCCATACTTCACCAAATTGTACAAGATATCAAAAAGCAACACTCGTCACATGGTAGCTGCTCTCTGATTGGTTGGAGCAACACAACCTAAAGGCCACCGTAGACCATCATCACCGCCTCTCCCACACTCCCTTGGTCTCATCTGGTGAGTTGTCTCGTGCTTAATTATTGCATTTCGTGAAATCTCTGGGTATTTTGACGGTGCAGCAATCCCTGTATGCAACTATCCCCTGTTTGGTTGACGAGAAACTAATTGTGGGGGCCCAGGAGCTGTTACCACACCCTCATATCGATCGCACCTAGTCCTTGACCAGTGCGACCCTCTTTCCAACTACTTCGCACACACATCTCCATTCAACCTCAATGGCAGCACCACAAGGGGGTTACCCTCCTCAGGAAGGGTACGGCCAACCCGCGTATGGCGCCCCGGAACCCACACAGTCGCCGGCCGCCGGACAAGCTGCGCCTGCACCCGTAGCTGGCGGAAAAAAGAAGAGAGCATACGCTGGCGAGGCCTTCGATTTCGGTTCTGGGGCTAATGCCGCACTCGGTGGACAGCAGACAGCCGGGGGTGCTTACGGTGCCTACCAGCAGCCCCAAGCTGCTGGATATCAACAACCAGTCTACGGCGCAGACCCAAACCAGATGCAGCCCGCAGCATCATACGGAGCTGATGTCACCCAAATGACACAACAATTTGGCGGAATGGGAATGGCCGAGCCTCACCACATGCCACCCCCGCAGCCTGTGGCCCAAGCCCCTATGCGACCTCAAGTTCAGCTCAACCAGCTTTACCCCACTGACCTTCGGTCCCAGCCCTTCAACGTCGCTGAGCTGGATTACCCCCCTCCTCCCGTCATTCTGCCCCCGGGTGTATGTTGATATTCTATCCTATACGGAACCGTGGGATGCTGACAATTGATAGACCAGTGTTTACCCATCGCCCGAAGCCAACTGCCCCACGAAATATATGCGATCCACGCTGAACGCTGTTCCCACAACCAACTCCCTTCTGAAGAAGTCGAAGTTGCCCTTCGCTCTTGTCATTCAACCTTACGCCGCTCTTCACGATGCCGAGGACCCCATTCCTGTGATTCCCGACCAAGTCATCTCCCGATGCCGACGTTGCCGCTCCTACATCAACCCCTTTGTCACCTTCCTCGACCATGGCCACCGCTGGCGTTGCAACATGTGTAACCTGACCAACGATGTGCCCCAGGCCTTTGATTGGGACTCGACACTGCAAAAGCCAGCTGATCGCGCGCAGCGTTTCGACCTTAATCACAGCATGGTGGAATTCATTGCGCCTCAGGAATACATGGTTCGCCCACCACAGCCTCTGGTTTACCTTTTCTTGATTGATGTGAGCTATTCATCGGTGACCAACGGTCTTTTGGCCACCACTGCACGCACAATTAAGGAGAGTCTCGATCGCATCCCAAATGCAGACCGCCGAACTCGTCTGGGCTTCATCGCAGTGGACTCCAGCTTGCACTACTTCAGTATTCCACGGGATGAGTCAGGAACTTCAGAGCCCCGTATGTTGGTTGTTAGCGATTTGGATGAGCCCTTCCTTCCTATCCCCGGTGACCTCCTTGTGACGCTGAGCGAATGCCGGGAAAACATCGAGGTCTTCCTCGACAAGCTGCAGGAAATGTTCCAGAATACCCAGAACAACAGCTGCGCCATGGGCTCGGCATTGCGCGCCGGTTACAGGCTGATCTCTCCCGTTGGTGGAAAGATGACCGTTCTGAGCTCATCTCTGCCCAACGTCGGCCACGGAGCGCTTACCATGAGAGAAGACAAGAAGGTGCTGGGCACCAGCAAGGAATCCGGTTTGCTTCAAACGGCAAACTCATTCTACAAGAGCTTTGCGGTCGAATGCTCAAAAGCCCAAGTGTCCGTGGACATGTTCCTGTTCTCCTCTCAGTATCAGGATGTTGCATCCCTTAGCAATTTGCCCCGCTACACTGGTGGTCAAACCTACTTCTACCCTGGCTGGAACGCTGCACGCAGCGAGGATGCCATCAAGTTCGCCAGTGAATTCTCAGACTACCTGTCTTCGGAGATTGGTCTGGAGGCCGTTCTCCGTGTTCGTGCTACCACTGGTCTGCGTATGAGCACCTTCTACGGTAACTTCTTCAACCGCAGCTCCGACCTTTGTGCTTTCCCGGCCTTCCCTCGTGATCAGGCCTATGTGGTAGAGGTCGCCATCGATGAGACTGTCACCAAGCCCGTCGTCTGCATGCAGGCCGCTGTTCTTCACACTACCTGCAACGGTGAACGCCGTATTCGTGTCATGACGCTAGCACTGCCTACAACTCAAAATCTGGCAGATATTTACGCTTCAGCTGATCAGCAAGCCATTGCCACATTCTTCAGCCACAAGGCCGTTGAGCGCACATTGAGCAGCGGTCTGGAGCCTGCTCGTGAGGCTCTTCAAGCTAAGATTGTCGAGCTTTTGCAAACCTACCGCAAGGAACTTGCAGGTGGTACCGCCAGCGGTGGTGGTCTTCAGTTCCCTGCTAACCTGCGAGCCCTGCCTGTCTTGTTCCTTGCAATGATCAAGAATGTAAGCCTTCCGTTCAATTCATTCTAATTTATCCTTCCCATACTAATCGATTCTCTAGCTTGGTCTTCGCAAGTCTGCTCAGATCCCAACGGATATGCGATCCGCGGCACTCTGCCTCCTGTCAACCCTGCCCCTGCCGCTCCTCATTCAATACATCTACCCGAGGATGTACTCACTCCACGACATGCCAGACACTGCTGGTTTGCCCGACGAGCAGACAGGTGAAATAATCCTGCCTCCCGCCGTCAACCTGTCTGCTGGCCGTATCGTTCCATTCGGTCTGTACCTGATCGACGATGGTCAGACCCAGTTCCTCTGGGTTGGGCGCGATGCCGTCCCCCAACTCATTGAGGATGTTTTCGGGGTCCCCGACAAGACCCAACTGCGTGTGGGCAAGCAGACCCTCCCCGAATTGGACAATGAGTTCAACCAGCGTGTACGGGCAGTTGTTGAGAAGAGCCGGGACCACCGTGCCAAGGGTGTGGGCAGTATGATCGTGCCTCACCTGTACGTGGTTCGCGAGGATGGCGAACCTGGTCTGCGCCTCTGGGCTCTTACCATGCTTGTTGAGGATCGTGCCGATCAAAGTGTTAGCTTGGATCAGTGGATGGGCTCTTTGCAAGAGAAGGCCTGAGCACTTTGCCGCAGTCACTTCGAACTGACGATTTGGTCAGTTCTTGTAGTGACCAGTGTGGAGCTTGCTCTCGACCTTGTTTTTTGCTACGAGACCTTCCCGTCTGTACCATTACGTTGGGGAAGAGTTACGTTTGGTTTTGTATCACGGCGGGCATGTTTGAAATTATCTAGTAGATGCGCTACTTTACAGGCGATAGACCGATCACATCTATCAGTCAATGAGTTACTTTTTTTTTTCTCTTTGTCTCTCTCTCTCCTTTTGAGGATATCCACAGTAGGGTAAATATAAAAATAATGATGTTTTACATGGAAGTTAGTCGCCGACTCTAGTCCAATGATCTTGAATGCTGAAACTAGGCAGTGCAAGGCTCTCCAATCAGCGCCTATCAGCGTGAAACCGACTAGTTCAGTGGAGAAGTGATTGTGATCAGTTTCGGCGCACGCAGTAGCGCCGTCTATAGAACGAAACAATGATGCGACAGTTTCCTTTTGGCGCTGTGGCGGAAATCACCTATATACAGGTAGACTACTTCTAAATATATGATATGAGCCCACTAAAGCCAAGTACCCCTCACGTAGCTGTGGAGATAAATGGTATCCAAGGTTCAGTGGGCATCAAACCAAAGAAAAGCGAAAGGGGGAAAATCGGACAATCAACATCATCTCTCTCTCTTGACACCTTTTCTATCCTTCATTTATCTCTTTTTTCTATCATTCGAAACTGATGAAACCTATTATTTCATTCTAATTCTCAAAGTCTTTCCTCTGAATCACTTTGTTTCACCTTTACGAAATTGCCGGAGCAGCCTCAAAGCTGCTCTGCCCCACCTTATACGGCCCGTAAGAGTCCCGCTGTTTCTCCAGATTCACCTCTCTTCTTTTCCCTCTCCTCTTGACTGTTCTACAATTTCCAAAAGAAAAATCAGAGAGGTGTGTACTAGTTATACTAGTCCGATATGATCCGCGTCAGGGGATGACCCCGCTTCGGGCGCCTTGGCTCTCTTCCATGCAATCGCATCGTCAACTTCAATCCCACTAACATACCACGTTCTTAGACTCCGAACTCAGTTGACACGATCCCGACCTGACACAGCAACATAATCCCGTGAGCTTCACACCCCACACCGGTCTCTTGGGTCTGGACGCCGTACCTGTCATATTCCCCCCCCCCACCTGAAGCTTCGTGCGACCTTTTTCTACACCTTTCCTCTGAAAGTCTTTCCTCCCAAAGCCAAACTCGAGAGTTTGGATATCTTCCCGAAAATCCAATTCGCTTGCAGCGCAAACGAAAGTAAGCTTTCTTACCCGGTCTCCCTGCATGGTCGATACGTTTCCATTTGCGCTGGTATTTGCGGTCGAACTGCTCGAGGTTTTGAGCTTTTGACCTCATGTGCTTTTGCTCTTCTTGCCCTGGATCTGTGTGAATTGCCAAATTGTCCGCCGTTCCCGTCTATTCCCGTGTTATTTCATTACCAGTTTCGCTGTTTTCCCTTTTCTCGCCATGGATTGCTTTCGATCTTTCTTTCTCCTCTTCCTTCGAATCTTGAAAGCTGACTATCGCCGAAAGGCTAAAGCTCTTAGAGCTAAGACTAGCAAGCTAAGCATCATGGGACAACAAGGTCCCCCCGTGGGAGGATCCCGGAAGATTTCCTTCAATGTTTCCGATCAATATGAAATTCAAGATGTTATTGGTGAGGGCGCCTACGGTGTCGTTTGGTAAGTTATACGAGCTTGAGACTCTCGCGACTCATCTAATAACATATAGCTCTGCCATCCACAAGCCCTCCGGTCAGAAGGTTGCCATCAAAAAGATCACCCCATTCGACCATTCCATGTTCTGTCTGCGAACACTGCGTGAGATGAAGTTGCTCCGATACTTTAACCACGAAAACATTATCTCCATCCTCGACATTCAACGACCCCGCAACTACGAAACCTTCACTGAAGTTTACCTGATTCAAGTACGTGCAGTTCAGAGAAGAGGTGCATATATGAAATATGGGTTACTGACAATCCACAGGAGTTGATGGAAACCGACATGCACCGAGTCATTCGCACGCAAGACCTCTCAGATGACCACTGCCAATACTTTATTTACCAAACCCTGCGCGCCCTAAAGGCGATGCACTCAGCCAATGTCCTCCACCGAGACTTGAAGCCCTCGAATCTTCTTCTCAACGCCAACTGCGACCTGAAAGTCTGCGACTTCGGTCTGGCCCGTTCGGCCGCCTCAACGGACGATAACTCCGGTTTCATGACAGAATATGTGGCCACACGTTGGTACCGCGCACCGGAGATTATGTTGACATTCAAAGAATACACCAAGGCCATTGACGTGTGGAGTGTCGGCTGTATATTGGCCGAGATGTTGAGCGGGAAACCCCTCTTCCCTGGAAAGGATTGTAAGATTCCCCTCTCTTTAAATGTCGTAAAGGCTAACACGCGCAGATCACCATCAGTTGACCCTTATCCTGGATGTCCTTGGTACACCCACAATGGAAGATTACTACGGCATCAAATCCCGCCGTGCTCGCGAATACATCCGTTCCCTCCCCTTTAAGAAGAAGATTCCTTTCCGCGCACTCTTCCCCAAGAGCACAGAAGCGGCCTTGGACCTGCTTGAAAAGCTGCTCGCTTTCAACCCCGCCAAGCGTATCTCTGTCGAAGACGCCCTGCGCCACCCGTACCTCGAGCCCTACCACGATCCGGAAGATGAGCCTACTGCACCACCAATCCCGGAAGGATTCTTCGATTTCGACAAAAACAAGGATGCCCTGAGTAAGGAGCAATTGAAGCGTGAGTTTTGTTTCTATTCTGGAACAATACAACCACTTACTAACTGATTCTAGTCTTTATCTACGAGGAAATCATGCGGTAAATCCGACTGGGTATTTCACTTGAGCTACTGGAGAAATGTTTGATTCTATTCTGCACACAACTTGGCTTGACAGCGTGATGTGATCGATACATGTTAGAGATAGCACGGCAACTCGAAATGTTATTATGAGAAGTACCAACTCCAGCCTGTATACATGTAACTCCTACCTCGAATTTCATATCTGTGTAGATCTACTCTATATACACACCTACACAGACCAGTGGATGCATTGGAACATCGCACCTCAAACCCCCACAAACCCTTGAATTCCCTCCAAAATACCCTGAGGAGTAGGCTTAGCCGCACAAACATGCGGCTCGAACCCAAACTCCTGCCGCAAAAAGTCCCTCGTCGTAGGCCCAATAGTAGCAACGAATACCCTCCCATTCCCATTCCCCGTCCTAATTCGAGCCCCATCCCCCGAAGCAAAAGGCCCAAACCCAAGGACCCTCAACATAGCCTCACACCCCGTCGGCGAAAAAACAACAACCCAAACCACCCCTCCCCCATCCTCTCCCTCATCCTCTTCCCCGTTATAAACCCTCATCAATTCCCCAAACTCCCCTTCAAAACCCCCCATAACCCCAGTCTCATAAACAACAACTTCCTCAACCTCAATCCTCGCCTGCCCAAGCCCGCTATCCATCAAAGTCCGCGGAATGACATCGCGCCGCACCTCCCCAACAAGAAACAGCAGCGCAGGCTTACTACCATAGTCACCGCCATGTAGTCCGTTATAGTGCTCGAGGATCAGATGCGCGAGGTTCTCGCCCGTCCCGCTCTCCGCGCCGTAGATGCGCGCGCCTGGAAGGTGTTTCTCGACCAGCGCGGCGAGCGTGCGCGCTGTCGCTGGCCCGACGGTGTACAGCGTTAGCGGTGTTGAGGGAACGGCAATTCCTGGGGTTGGTTTGTTAGCTGCTTGTGCTTGGCGCTTTGATGTGGGAGAGGTGTGGAGCGAACCGTCTTCTTCTATCATTTGCGCGAAGCCTTCTACGGCGCGCTGGCTGGTGAAGATTAAGCCACCATATTTCTTTGTGGGATTAGTGTTCGCATTGGATGCATTGCTTGTTGTGAATGCGCCGGCGTTGAATAGGTCGCGGACTTTGGAGAGGTTTTGTTTGTGGAAGCGGTGTTCTAGGACGGGGACGAAGGTGGGCGTGTAGTTGTTTTCGGAGAAGAATTCTTCGTAGCCATCTTGAGGGGAGGATTTGGTTTTTAGGAGGAGGATTGGGTTCATTTTGGTGGTTGGTGACTTTGGAGGTTTCAATCGGTATCAAATGGGGAGATCGATCTATCGCGGGGGCGGGGAGCCGAAGATTGAGTTTTTGATATTGGGGTTTTCTACTTTGAGAAATATGACGAGTCTATGGGTTTATAGGCTAATCGGCTAATGTGCTTATAAGATGATAGTTGTTCTCTGTTTCACTTCTCCAACACAAGGAAATCAATTGAGTCTAGTCAGGCTTATTTACACATTAAAAACACAAACTACTGATCATCCAGAACGTGCAGGTATCGCTTGTCCTCCTGGCGCTCGCGCTCCGTGGAAGGAGGCAGATCGTAGTAAGAGGCACTGCGGTAGCCCTGCAGGTAGTGGAAGGTCAGGTTGGCCAGATCGGCAGTCTCCTCCATACCCAGGTCCTTGAAGGTCTTGGCTTCGGGGTCGATCACCTGGTCGATGAACTCGCGCTCGACCTCGTCGGCCGACAGGGTGTGCCACCACAGGTACTTGTTGATGTAGTGGGCGAATGGCTTGAGGAGGGCCTTGGGGACGTTGATATGGCGGCGCTTCTTGATGATTTCGCGGTCGACCAACTCAGCAATCTCGGCGGTGGAGTAGTTCTTGGGGCCGTAAAGCTCGTAAGTTTGACCGGCGGTGCTGTCGTCGTGCAGCATGCGCTCGAGCGCGGTACCGACATCAATGGCCTGGTTGGGTCAGGTTAAGTACACTCATGCATTTTCATGGCCACTTACGTGAACAGGCCAGTAGCGCTCCTGCATGTGGTTGGCAGTGAAAACATTGCCAACCTTAGCCAGCTTGTGAAGAAGGTTGTCCTCGAAACCGAACATCGGCGCGGGACGCACAATTGTTGTCTCGGGGTAGATCTTGCGGACGATCTCCTCACCCCATGCCTATAGATTATTAGTACTCCGCTTGTGTATATCCCCACTGAATTCACTGACCTTGGTGGCAAAGTACTCGGAAGGCGAGTCACGGCGGGCGTTGTAGGAGGAAACGTGAATGAAACGGTCGACATCGTACTTGGCAACAGCGTCGGCGATGCGTTCGATACCATCAACGTGGACATCCTCGTAAGTGAAGTTCCTGGGATCGTCAATGACTTTCCACCACATAAACACCACATACGGCAACTCACTTGGTGGGATATTGACGACCGACAAGGTTGTAGACAACATCGGAGTGACGAACGCTCTCCTCGATGGACTGGGTGTTGCGCAGGTCGTATTCCTATACTAGGGTTAGACACCCAACTCTCCAGATTTGAAATTCTGCAAGATTCATACCATGAAAACAATACGTCCAAGGTCACCAGTGACCTTCAAGTGTCTCTTAGCCATCTCCTCACGGTAGGGAATGACAACAGTGCATCCCTGGCGAGCTGGGGGCCATTAGTCCATGATCCTATTCCAGCATTGCAGACCCTCAACCTACCAAGCTTGTTGACAATGTAGCGACCAAGGAAACCAGTAGCACCAAAGACCGTCGCGGTGTGACCTATAATCGTGTGAGCATTCGGGACCGCGGATCAAAATGGGAAGGCCTAGCTACCTCCAAGCGAAGAACTAGAAGCTGGCATTAGCAAATGAAAACACCACAGCCTCTGACAGCACAATTGATCACTTACCGACCACCCTGGATCTTCAAGAGGGGCTTGCCAGTGCGGGTGATGGCCACATCCTGGAGGTTGCGCTGGAACTGAAGTTGCACCCGCGGGGCGGAAAAGGGTCGCGCCCCCAGGGCAGAGTTGATAGTGCGGGCCTTCTGCATGGTCTCTGGCTGAGTATATCTCTCGAGACCAGCTAATTGGAGCGGAGTGGTGCCAAGGGCGTAGTGATGTGCGATGGGCTTTCGCAGTCAAGTCGGAAGAACCGCACGGGACTAATGCGCTAGTCCTGTTTCGGTCGGTACCACTTGGACACCACTTTTTGCTTCTGCTGCTTGGTTTGTTTCGATTTGAGTGAGTTGATATTGTTTGGACGACAAATTGGTTTGGAATTTATTCTTAGTTTCAAAATATCAGTCCTGCTTCTTGTTGCAGCCCCAACAGGGTGAAATTGTCGTTACAATCTGACAACACACGGCCTGTGATTGGATGTTCCTCCCCCAGTCTTTACTCTGCTCTTGTGAGTTATGTCAGGCATGTAGTAATTAGTCGTGTTTGTATCAGCCACACTTTTCTTTCCAGATATGAGAATAATCAGGGGATATTCCTAATGGATGAAAGCTGAAATCAGCATTTTCCTAGGCAATTGTTGCCCTAAAATGATTGGTATAGCCTAGCTGTGCGGTTACACACAGAGTACGGAGTGCTTCATATAGAATCAAAGGTCAAGGCCATAGAAATGGCTACATCTAAAGACTCCCATGTCCACAAATAACAGCAAATGATAGCCATACAAATATCTATAACGCCATTCGATATCTATTCATTTTTGGAGGTAGTCGACAGATAAATAGCAGCCCTGAAGTTGAGCCGGATACAATAGCCACGGCATGATAAAGATCTACCGAGCATTCGCCTAACTTTTCCAATTAGGTCTAGAATATCCTATGCCTTTATTGAACTCGATCCAGCTATTGAATATGACCCCGAGTGCTGAATGTAGCGGTGAAATCCAAGTAGGAGTATATGCCACATCTCACCTGGTACCATTAACACGCATATATACCTACTTACCTTTAATGGCTTAGAGTGCTTCTTTCAACAATCTAATGAAAGAAATAGAACTGATAAATTTTATCGAGTCAAATATATGATATGCAAAGAAAACGAGTGTATACGGCGGCTGCAAGAGTCGAATGCGCCTCCGAAGAGAATTCGATTCAGACCCGCCGAGTTAAGGGCGTTCTAGTCATTCGCCTTAGACCAAGACCACTTTGGCCAAATCGCCTGGAAATGCTGTTATTATCAAAGAAAAACTCGGGAGGAAGTAGGTATACATCAAGGCAAATATACCAATGCACAAATGGCAATATAACCACGTCCCTTTTAGGATTATCCACACGCACATCTACACTTCAACAGACCAAAAACCTACACCTAAGCGCAATATTCAAAAAATAAAAAGAAAGCTGAAATTATTCTACACCTCATCAATTATGTCAAGCCAAGATAAAACAAAAAACAAACGACGGCTGTGTCGCGGTGTTGGTCCAAAGATTTTATAAGAGGAGTTTGGTGGGCAAACCACGGCCATCTCTGGTAAAAGGCAAGAAATGGGTTCTGAACTAGCTTGTCCCACTCCTCGGGTGACACTCAACAATTAGTTCTATATACACCTCTTTTCCGAAATAGGCAATTTTTAGCCTTGGGCAATCCGCGTTCGAATCCGCAACCCGTCGACTTTATTTTATTGACCCCGCATATTCCAAGGTTCATTGTTGATGACTTCAGCTTGATCTTCACCTCCACTTGGCTCCAATTCATTTCACGTCGATTAAATTAACAGCACTATGTCTTCTGCTTCCTGTATCTTCTGCAAGATTATCAAAGGTACGTCTATTATATATCGCTACGGATATCCTACCTGTTCTACTTGTTCTTAACGCGAGGCGAGACGTCATATGTACTGACATCCCACCTTGTCTATAGGTGATATTCCTTCCTTCAAGCTCTTCGAGAGCGACAAGGTCTTCGCCTTCCTTGATATCCAGCCGCTCAGCCGCGGTCATGCGGTGCGCAACCCCACGTTCATTTTCCTCTTCTCCGCACCCCAACACCCGCGTCTGTAATCAAGACCGCTTCGTATACACGGACTCAATTCCTATGCCGGGCTTTGCTGCAAATAGTTGAGATGGGATAACTGCAACCAATTGAACTGACCGTGTACAGCTCGTGATCCCCAAGTACCACGGTGCAAAGCTGACTGATATCCCCGATGAGGATCTGCTCGAGATTCTGGTAAGTGAACGAGATCACACCGCGGGTGAAGATGAAGGTTGAAGAGGGAAGATGGTTTTATACTTCCAATCTTTGATCGAAAGTGTTGCATGTCCACCAGGGTCCCTGGACTGGACCACAAGGTCCCTGTGTTTGACTTGGCGGAAGAAAGCTAATCATTTTGCTATTAGCCTGTCGCGAAGAAGATTGCTAAGGCTAGTGGAGCCGAGGATTTTAACATCCTGCAGAACAACGGACGCATTGCGCACCAGGTTGTTGACCATGTGAGTTTCTGCTCGATAATGCTTGGATTGTGTTCATTGTTGCTAAGTAAATGGATTTAGGTTCACTTCCACATGGTATGTTTACTATTTTCCGATTTTATACTCCCACCCACGTTAGCACTGATGTCGGATATACTGACACATACTAGATCCCCAAGCCCAACGAGCAGGAGGGTATGAGCATTGGCTGGCCTACGCAGGCTACAGATATGGATAAGCTCAAGGCTCTCTTCGAAGAAATCAAGTCGAAGATGTAAACGAGTCAACTATGATTCTTTAGTAGAAATTCGATAATCTCGAAACTCGATCTACTTGATATACCCAATGCGGATGTCACCCCGACAGTGTGTAGTCGAAAATCTCCCCCAAAAGATCTAAGATAGTCGTAAACCCAATCGTTGTATATTCTCTAATTAGTCAAACAAATCCTGCATATGCTGAAATGCAACGGACTCTATATCTACCAGATCCAGAACCTAAAAGCACTCAACCAGTTTACCACATCTACTTCTTCTCAGAACCGGGGTAGAAGTCAATTTTGCCACCACCCTGGACAATATTGAGTCGGTCATAGAGAGAGCGAGCCCGAACATACGGGTCAATAACCCAGTACTGGCTGCGCAGCTTCTCAATAAGCTCCGCGCGCTTCTCCCCAGCAGTAGAGGCCGCATCGGCCTCCTTCTTGAAGCTGGCACGAATCCACTCAACGGTGATATCCTGGATCTCCTTGGCAAGCTGCTGGCGCTCAGCCATGAGGGTGTCCCGGGTTTCCGTATCGGCCATCTTGGGGTTCTCGTTCTCGCCCACTTCGACATATTTGTACTCCCAGTCTTCGTCGCCTTCCAACTCCTTCATGATCTGGCTGGGGTGTATGAACTTTTCGAGGTCCTGGCGGTTTTTGGTGAAGTGGACCTTTGCGGCGACGACAGGGTCGAGCCAGCCCTTGATGATGTTCCAAATACCTGTTAATGATTAGAACATGTTCGGCATTGTGGAGGGAAGGGTGCGCACTGGAGAATAGCCATGGGGCTTTGTGGATCAGCACTGTTCCGAGGGACTCGGGGTAGTTGGCCTCGAAGCATTTGATCATGAACTTCACGGGGGCGTAGTCCTGACAGATATCAGTAAATGATGGCCCAAAGCCAGAAATATAGGAGACTTACCATGTTAGCCATACCAAAGTCAGTCATATCAAAGACAATAGTCTAGACGAGTCAGCCTGCAACACAACCAATCCACCAAAGCACTCACAGCAGTCTCAACGGGCGGAGCGAGCAACAACCGCGCAGTCTCAATCGTATAAACAGTAAAGCGCTCCAACCCCTCATTATCCTGATCACCAGCCTTATGCAAGCGCACCCTGACCACACAAATCGGCCGACCCGCCCGATCAACACCATGCAAGAAACTCTTCCCTAGCCGCATCTGCGTCAAGAAATCCTCGCCTTTCTTTTTCTCCTTGGCATCCGAGCCCTGCGACTGCTTAATCGCCAGCGCCTCGCCGTTAACCATGATATCATCGTCAACGTGCATCTCCTGCAGTCGCCAGCGCATTGTCGAAATCAACATCACAAGCGCCTTCTTGGTGTCCCACTTGCGTGCGCGCAGGAACCTCAGCAGCAGTGAGTCCGGATTGTCGCCCTTTACCATACTCCAGAACGCGCGCCGGATCTCCTCCGGCTCCATGTCTTCCAGCGCTTGCTTGTATTCTTTCGACTGGCCGTACTTGTCGTCGCCTTCGGCGCTCGCGGATGCACTTGCGACTACGCTGGTGGGCGAAGAGCCGTTTGCGCCCTCGTCATCGGCACGGCTGAACAGTGACCACCGGCCCTTGGCCTTCTTCTTATCCTGGGATTGTGCAGGCGTGGCGGCATCGGCGGCGGGTTGGGCGGGGGCTTCGAGTTCTTCCAGTGTAAGCCCGAAGACTTTCAGCGCTAAGACCCAGAATTCTTTCAGCTTGACTTCTTGTTCCGGGGTGAGGTTCCCGACTGTTCCGGGGGCGGGTTCGGCAGGCATCGTTGCTAGGGTATCGATCACTCCGAGGAAGGATTGTTGCGATGGTCGTTGCGATACGACTTCCGATGGGAGTTTGGAGTTGAAGTATTTATCTTGTAACCAGGCGCCTCCTCCAACGACGGCGAGTGTGATGGTGATGGTCCAAAAAGACGAGGCTTGTCTTGGTTCTGTGGAGAATGGTCGCGCGACAGGATACCGGGCGACGGGAAATTTGACCGAAGGGTAAAGACGGCGTAGAATTGCACGCATATGCAATATGATTGGGTTGTTATGAGTGAGATGTCTTTACAACACGTATACAAGAGAGAGAAAGGGGGTAAAAAAAAGAAGACAGAGAAAATATTGGACAGGCAGAATCAAGGATATGACGATGCGGGGAAGATCATCGCCTAAATAGTAATTTACGAATTTCACCGATCGAGATTGAGATTGAGATTGAGATTGAGATATCTACTACATCGAACATCGAACACAGAACTCTATTACTCTGTGTTATCCTGCTCGTTGAATCTCTCATTGTACGTCGCGTGACAGTCGCTTTCCTGACGGATCAACAAACCAGTGCAATATTGGAACCCACTCAACTCCGACAATCTCGTCTTTCCATTGCGAACTTGACAGCCCTCTGGCCGCCGATCTCGCCCCTGCGAGAAATAAACCACTTAAAGATGGATGCCTCTCGGTCCTCCTCGCGCCCAAGGCCCTCCTCTAGGCCAACGACACCCCTCCGCCCAAGCTCGCGCTCATCATTTCGGGAAGCCCACGGCTATGGACACAGCATCAGCAATTCAGGATACACACAACCCGCCATCAATGCGTTGGAACCCCAGTTCGCGGAGCTAGCGGACTCCATGGCCGACCTCGAAGCCAACTTCATGCACTTGCAGTTGATGCACGAGAGCCTGACGCGCTTCAGCGAGAGCTTCGCTAGTTTCCTCTATGGATTGAATATGAATGCCTTCTGTATTGATTTTCCAGAGGTATGGACCGCTACGCGTTGCGCACTATGGCTTCTGGATATTGCTGATTCGGTCAGGCTCCAATTGGTGACTCCTTTAGGAAAGCGAAGCAGGACGAGGAAGACCAGAAGGGTATGTAGAGACCTGCCCATATTTGCAATAGTTCGCTGACTAGGTGTCCAGAGGTGGAACCAGAACAAACGCGACCGACTGATGATGGCGAGATGACATTTATGTGAGTCTACAGCAAACGACGGTCTCAAACGTCTGAACCTAATATGTTTTTGCACAGGACTACGGACACAACGTTTGTGGAGAACCCTCCGAGCACTGCGAAACCCACTTCCAGGTATGCTACAGGGTCACGAGCATCCTCGCGAGGCACTGCCCGTGGTGCAGCGACTAGTCGGTACACTACACGAGGTACTACTCGTGGTGCGCGTGGAAGTGGACTACCCCGAGGCCGAGGAATCGGAATGCGGTAAAGATGCAATAGAGATTAAGTTCTGTCTAGGTCAGAAGTACCTAGAATGACCCAATATAGTGTATTTAGCACTGACCACTGAGTTGTCTCATGTTGAGATCAAAATCCCCACTGAGGCTCTGCTATATCTAATATCTGGGCCTCCCAGGATGTTTTCTGCCCACACTGAATATGAGCAACGTTATGATTCCCCTATATTGGAAATGAAACTAAGGCATATTTGCTTATTTAAAGCGATTGTATATTATAGAAATCGAATATTATAGGCTTGGAAGTACATCTACACGACACTGAGTATATTCAAATCTCCGTAGAAATGATCCGATCTCTTATCCGGCGGTAAATCGGATCTCAGGGCGCGAAAAACCACCGCCCGATGGCAAACCTCACCCGACGACAATTGAAGCAACTCAAACCACTCTTTCTTTCAATAGACGATTATATTTATGTTCTTTGGAATAAAAGTGTTGATCCAGAAGTTAGGATAAGAGGAAATAGGAGATCCTATTGCTGCCAACCCTTTGTCCATTCACGGGTATAGCTCCTACTCACGTCCCTGATTTTTTTGCTTTCTGTGAGTATTGATTGATGACCCATTGATCGATTCTGCATTGCTTATATATCTGATATATTTTGAAGTGCAATGCTGGCCCTATTCAGGGGGAGTCCTTGAGGCTGAACCTGCTTCCTTCTTATCCAGCCTTTTCTCCTTGAGCATTACGTCTTGAACATCCTCTTCTTTTTTCTTTCTCTCTACGTGGATAGACGGCTGGAACTTCTATTAACGTTCTATTTTCTGCATCATAACGTTGCATTGTGTCTGTTTGATCAACCTCAACCTTTATATTCCTAAGTTTGACTCTTTAATCCCCTCTCCCCATTACTTCCTTATTTCATCCCAACCTCATGTCGTACCCTATGGCATCCCTCGATTCCGTGAACCTGCTGTCGGAAGCAGCGTTCGGCTGCGGTGAGTTTCGATTCGATTTATGTACTAATTCTCTTTGCCCCGCTGACCCCCCACTAGAACATCTTGCGGCACTTCTCTCTAAGGACGAGAAAACTGCTGGCCAGTTCAAGGTAGAATTCCGTAAGAAAGACACCTTGCTGGCTCCTTACTCAAAACCGGAGGCTGTGGCCGTGCAGACCACCGGACTTCGAACCGTCGAGTCTTTAAAGCCAAAGTTTCATTGCCTAAGCTGCTCAGAAGTATGCCTGGATATTGAACGACAGGCACATACTGCAGAGACTGGCCATGTATTTTGTAAGCCAATGGTTTCAACTTGACAAAGCACTCTTGTGCTAACACCCACATTCAGACATTGAATCTCGCACCCGCTTTGTCCACTGTCAGAAATGCGGTGATTTCATTTATGATCATGGCTTGGAAAGACTCCGCGGACCAACCGGGAAATTCCAAACACGTGGTAAGTCACAGGCATTATACAATTCAACTTAACATCTCTTGTGGCTCGTGAGCGTCCACTGACTTCTCATAGACGGCCGATCTATCTGGGCCGAGGACTCAGCCTCAGAAGTCTATGTCAAAAACAACGCCTATAAGAACCCATGCGCCAAGCGCGGCGCTCGTGGTGTATGGAACATGGGGCAAACGTGTTACCAAGCCGTCATTGTACAGGCATTCCTCCACGATCCTAGCTTGAATGCATACTTTCTCGCCGGTGGCCACGATGTCCACACATGCCAAGAGGACAAATGTCTGGCATGTGCAACCGCCGAGGTCTTCATGGAATTCAACAGCGGCGAGCGAAACGAGGCTGTGTCCGCTGCTACCCTTTTGTACAACGGCTGGCAGATTTCAGCGGTATGTCAACCGGATCAGCAAATCACACAGCTGGCTAACAATGTTCACAGGACATGTCTGGGTATCGCCAGCAAGATGCCCACGAGTATTTCCAGTTCCTCGTGAATGGACTCCACTCATGCACTCCGGGACACACGGAGAGCTACGACAAGAAGTGCAACTGCTTCTTTCACCAGGTGTTTTATGGCGAACTGCGAAGCAGCGTCAAGTGCCACAAATGCGGCCAAACGACACACACTTACGACCCTATGGCTGATCTGAGTCTTGATGTCCAGCTTCAGAATAAGAAGCGCAAGCTCGGTCGCTCCACTTCTTCTACTACCGGAACCTTGCTCGGTTGCCTGGACAGCTTCACTGCCTCTGAAGATCTTCACGCTGATGCCGCTTACCACTGCGAGAAATGCGGTAATACTCCCCAGCGGGCCTCGAAACGTCTCCAGATTCGCAAGCTCCCCGTTGTCCTTTGCATGCAATTGAAGGTTTGTTCAAGTATCTGGTCGCCAGTGACAACCGTTCTGACATTTCGATAGCGCTATGAACATACGTCCTCGTCTTCCGAGAAAATGGACGGCCACATTGATTTCCCGCTGACCCTAAATATGCTACCCTACACCGTCAAGAAAGACAACCCCCCGGTCGACATGTCCGAGTACATGTACGATCTATCTACCGTAATTGTCCACAACGGTACCATGGACACCGGCCACTACTTTGCATACACCCGCATTGGCAATGACAAGGTTCGTTTCGTCCCATGCAGTCTGTTTCGTCTGTCCATGCTAACGAGCTGTTCTAGTGGGTGCTTATGGACGACAACAAAGTCCTTAACGCTAGCGTCGCAGACGTGCTTCGCCAGGACGCCTACCTCCTGTTCTACAGCCTTCGCTCTCTCCGTGGCGATGATAAAAAGCGATAGACGGCTGGTGAATCTTTGAATTGGCAGATCTTTACAAACTGCAGAATCACAAATAGAATGAACCCCGGTCGAGCATTGTCACGGGGATTTTGCTTTGCTTGGCGTGTATGTTAAAACTTGCGATGACCTTTAAAATTTGATGCTTTGTTCCTCGTGTTTCTTCAAGTCTACTAAATAGTGTAAACTTCCCACAGCTGATAAGGCTGCTAGACCGGGGCCTAGGCTCACGTAGTACGGGGATAAAAAAAGGCTACACATAAGAGCCTGGAGGTCCCCTCAATGCAGACAGTCCTACGGCAGATACACAGGCGAATGCTCTGTCTCTAGAACACCATTCCAAGGCATCAAAGCTACAACCCATACCTCAGACAGAAGCGAGGCCCGAGCACGCCAACCCATCTAGAGCGGGCAAAAGTAGGCAGAGCAGAGAACAGCGAAACCCAGAGAAAAATTCCGTCATTGAAATTGATAAGAAAAAACCAGGATTCGGGAAATAACAAGATATCCTCGTTTTTCAAGACTCTCCACGCAACCCCCAATCCTCCCCTCGAGCCAGAATTTTTATTTTGATTCACAACCCGAAAGCAACCGACACGCAATGCGGTGCCGGATCCTCCATTCACAAAAACATCAAAGACGCCATTTTCGAGCTCGTCTAGAACATTCCTCCACTGGACGCTACCGTAAGCGAGCTGGTGCGTAGATGGGTTTCGTGGATGCGAACGGTTCGAAAGGGGAGTCAGAAATGGACATGGTTTGTAGTCGCTTAGCGGTACTGTTGGGTGTGTGGTTAGTTTGGGGTTCTTGAAGAGAGTGTGTGTGCGTGAGTTTGGTGGGCTGTGGCGGTTGTCGTGGGTCTTGATTTTAATCTTGATTTTGATTTTGGAGTCGGATGTAGATGAAAGTGTGGACGGAGACGGATTGGGCTGGACTGGATTGGATTGAATTGTCGAGAGTGAAACGAACCTTGGTGAAACCGATGTCGGTGGACTTCTCACGGAAGCACTGACGGCAGATGTTCATCTGTTTCGTATTAGCCATTTTTGTTCCATTTTTTGTATGTTGCAAATTGCAATGGTTCCAGGATTCGGGTTGTCTTACGCCGTACTTGCGGATCAGACCGGCGCGGTGAGAGCAGACACGACTGAAGGCGCACAAATATTAGCAATTCTGTTCGTATTATCGGTCGATTTCATCCAGCACTCCTCCAGCATCAATTCTCGGTATTGACTGAATCTTTTCATCGGGGAAATTTATCGGGGTGAACACACCATTCGCGGGAGCCCTTGCCGTACCTGTCGAGCGAAGAGAATGTCAGTCAGTCTTATCGCTCTTTTTCGAGATATCTGTGTGCGGAGAGGTTCGACTTACTTGCGGGGGCGGCTGTACCAAACGCTCTCGTGAGTCATCTTGAAGGTTTAAGTCGGGACCTGGGAGTTGACGTTTGTTGTCGTGACGAGGGTCGCTGGCGTTGGGCGTTAAAGGACGGAGACGAGAGTTAGGGTTGGAATTTGCGTTGTGTGCTGCCCCAATGGGGAATAGGGCACGGGCCAACTCGCTTGATGGGAACTAGCCGAATTAGGATTAGTCATGTGATATTGATTGATCACCACATCTGGATGCCTCAGGCGGAAAGATCTCATACTTCGATTGTTTGACTTTTGTAAATTGTCGTAGTTGGCGGGACATGGCGTAGAACCTCATAAAGAAAGCTCAAAATTTTGTGAGACTATTATTGAATCAAGTCACAGGTTTAATCTCCAAGCTGTGCAGTTCCGTCAAGCTAAAACAGTCTATTGTTCAACACCGCAAAGCTGACAGTGTGTACATATTTCAAGTTATAGATCAAATGCAGCTAGACTAATGACATGCTTAGGTAAATATTCTGGATTGGTCGTAATGAAGCCCATGTAGTCCCTGTGAGATCGCCGTGGGAACGACGTTTCGCCATACTCAGGAAACGTCCAGAACCAGTTCCCAAATTCTTTCAACACGTCTACAAAGCCTCCTACCGTCAAGCGCAATTCAAGCGAGCACCCAACGGATTTATCTCATTGCTACTAGAACTTACAGCACCCTTGTTTTCATCCAAAACTCGATTGTAAGTCAAAGATTCACCAAATGATCTTCGCAATTCGCAGATTTGACAAATGCAGATTCTCTTTAGAATTTAGCCAATGGCCCCCAGGAAGTCTACGCAGAAAACGGATCCTCCTCCATGGACCCCGGTGCGAACCAGCCGTACCAAGCAACGTACTACGCCTTATAGTTCCGGCAAGCGGGGCGCCAAAAAGGACAACGAGCCAAAGCCCAATGAAGCAAATCCCAAAGCTCAACTCCGTGCCCTCTATCAGAATCTGAAGATGGAGAAGGATCTCCAGGGCCTGGCTGACATGCTCGAGTCTGCTGGAAAGAACGCCAATGAGGTGACCGAACAGTGTAAGGCATTTTACCAATCTCAATTAGACATGGAAGAAGCACTCCCGAGCGACATGCCAGATCCCAAGAAGGCGACAGGCCATCTCATGGTGATGAAAGACCAACTGAAGATGGGAGTGGAGGCCTCGGCCAGCCTGAAAAACAAGATTGAACAATGCCTCGAAGCGACAAGCAACGCCAGCATCACTCTGAAAGCCGAGAAGGAGGTTCAGCTCATGAAAACCAATGCTCAACGTGCTGAGAAGAACACCAAGGATGTCAATGACCGGGTCAGGCTGTTTTGTGGAATGAAACCTGGTGGCCAGACTCGGCCCAAGAAAATGGACTCTGACGTGGTTCCTCAACTTAAGGAGGTAATTGGCCAAATCAAGAAAGCGGAAAAGGCCCGTAGCAACCTGCAGAAGGTCATGGCTGACTCTCAGCCCGAGTCCATGGATAATCTGGATATCCCGTATGCTGAGATGGAGGTTGATCGAGGTGAAATGCTACGTTGAAAAAAGAACAAAGAACGACCAACTCTATGCAAAGGCAACAAAAGCTGATGGGGAGACGGAACCATGAGACAAATTACTTGGCGACAACAATCATGAGCATGATGCAATTAGCAGATAGCTAGATAATCACATGGATACTTACTCACATGTTCCTCTCGCATTGATGGTTCTCAAGAGCTGTTACCATTACCTATCAATTAGCATAGAATCCAAAAGGTGTGAAGACAGCTGATGTTCAACGTACACAGTTATGATATAATAGTGAGCGTCTAGGCGTGGGAAGGTTGAAAGACACTAAAGCAAGTTAAGAAATACCTTAGTTCAAGAGTACGGCACAACACTCTTTTCTTTTAGGTATGTTCCAAGGAAGTTTAAGGAAATCAACGTGGGGTCGTCTGCATGTCTCTATCACAAAACGGTCTTATGAGCCCTTTTCGAAAGAGATAAATTGTTTGTGGAAGATACATAATGGTATTTATTTGTTGAAGCATTTTGAATGACTGATTACGGAAAGTTAGTAAACGGTTTGTTGGAATTTCCAACTATAAGTATGCTGAGCTCGACCGTTTTCTCATATAGAAAAATATAGATACATGTCATAGACAATCATGGACAAATCCTTTCTTCCAGAGATGGTCTTCACTGGTTTGACCTCATTTATAGAGCTTTGATTTATTTCTATATTTTCAATATAAATGAATCTATATATCTTAAAACCTCCTCATGCAGAGACGACTCCACGAGTCCAATGCAATGGCATATCCGCTCCCCACGGCGCAAGTAAGTGTTCACGTTGCTCGTCCAACTTTGCAATCTGCGCTTCCTGTCTTAATATAGAAGAAGAGTATTACTACATACTTACGATGCGATGGGGGCCAAACCGGGATGTACAATCCAGAACAGCGACTTGAAAACTTTGCTTGAGTCATGTCCAACACGCTAGGAGTGCGATGCGTATTTTGCAAATGACCAGCCACATTTACCACACATTTCAATGCGGCTCACACAATTAGATTCAGGATATGGCTTTGTCTTCTCCCAATGATGCCACAGCTACTAAGCTAGAAGAACCGGTCGATACTACCCACCCTCGAGATGCGAACAGCACTGAGGGGCCAGAGACGAATTCAACGTCCATGCACGGATTCAAGCTCTATGCCATTTTCATAGGTATATGCTTCGGCGCGTTCCTGATGTCCTTGGATATTTTCGTCATCGCAACAGTACTACCACCTCCACTTTTGTCTAGAATTTTTAATGGTATCTGACACCCTATGGCTAGGCCATTCCATCCATCACGGCCGACTTCAAGGATACCGCACAGCTGGCCTGGTATCCGGCTGCGTATTCACTCACGACATGCGCGTTGACTCCGCTAGCAGGAAAGTTGAGCTCAATATTTCCCCTCCGCTGGGTCTACATCACGTTCTTTTCCATTTTCATGGTTGGCAGCCTGATCTGCGGGTTGGCTCCAAATAGTAACGCCTTTATTGTCGGCCGTGCAGTCGCAGGCATCGGGGCATCTGGTGTCGCCAGTGGTGGGTTTGTTATTGTCCTTACTGTTGCTTCCAAGAAATCCAAACCTCTATTGGTGGGCATCTGCGCCAGTTGCTTTGCGATGGGTCTCATCCTAGCGCCCATTATCGGTGGTGCCTTTACGGAGAAGGCTACATGGCGGTGGTGTTTTTGGATCAATCTTCTTCCAGGTGCTCTGACGTTGCTCTCTATGCTCTTCTTCTTCAACCCCCCATCCATACAGCGTGATCAGACGGCTGTGCAGCGGATCAAAAGCCTAGATCTCGTTGGATGTGCGATATTCGTTCCAGCGATTTTCATGCTGCTTCTTGCTATGATGTGGGGCGGCACAGAAAAAGATTGGAACTCGGCGACAATCATCGGTCTTTTCGTGGGCTCGGGCGTGATGCTCATTCTCTTTGCTTGCTGGGAACGCTATCAAGGTGACGGCGCTATGATACCGGGTAATCTCCTCGCTAGACGGACAGTCACCTTCAGTGTACTATTTTCGTTCTGCCATTTCGGTTCTCTAGGTATCGTGAACTACTACATGCCTGAATGGTTTCAAGCCGTACAAGGCGCCACTCCGTTGGAAAGTGGGACGCGCATTTTACCTGCTGTTCTATCTCAAATAGTGGGAACGCTGACTGCTGCCTTTCTATGTAAATCTATGGATCACGTACGAAGTTATCAGAGGCTAAGACCAGGACACAGCGCCGAGAATAACCTATTACAATCCTTGGCTTTACATCGGACCTCTCTTCATGTGCACTGCCGCAGCATTATACACCCAGTTCTCGACTTTCAACACACCATCCAGCCACTGGATCGGTTTCCAGGTGATCCAGGGTCTCGGGATCGGCATGGCACAGCAAATGCCCCCTCTCATAGTTCAGCGAGCAGTTAGCGATAAGCCGGATCTCATGCCCGTTGCCGTCTCTCTCAATCTATTCTTCCAGTACCTGGGTGCCACAGTCACACAAGTCCTTGGAGGGATCGTGTTCCGCTCGATCCTGAACCAAGAACTGGCCCATCATGCTGGTCTGAATGCCGAACAGATGGCTTTGTTATCTGCCGCTGGAACTGCGTATGTGCGGGAAACTGCCGAGCAGAATTTCCCTAAATTGTTGCGTGTGGTTTTGGAAGCTTACAACACGGCTATTACTTCAACATTCGTAAGTGGCCCTGTCCTGATGGCAGAATTGTACCTAACCAGACGGAAACTGGTAGTTTGTTGCGGTTGCTACCACGGCCACAGCATTTTTCCTGGCTTTCGGAGTTAAGTGGATGAAAATCCAGGAGGGAAAGAAGACTGAGTCGGAAGAGAACGGACATGAACAGCAGTCGAAATCTGCCAAGTCTGCTCTATAGGATTGTAGATCTGAAGTGTATGTTTCGGGTAGAAATGATATCCAGCTGCCAGCAAATATACTTGGCCTAATAATCTGAAGCGAAACACGGGCCTTCACAGCCGTGGCGCAAGTCCATCAATGATTTTATGCTCACAATTTTATTCTCCAACCCCTATACAAGCACCCAGCAAATCAGCCATGTCGATCGCACCTAATTAGATGCCTATTACCCCTGGGGAACGGCTCGATCGGAGCCGGGGTGCGGATGTCACTTGTGCCGGGCTCCGATTTCTTCCTGCTTAAATTGGCAATATCCTCCATGCTGTGGGTGATCTTGACGGTAGCGGTAATTTGGGGTGATTTTCTCTGCTTTATGTTGTATGTTGTATGGACGGTCTAGGAATACAGTATACAGTACGTTGTACTGCCGGTGTACGTTGTCGAGGTATGCACTCCGAAGCTCCGGGATCCGGGGTATATCACAATAGTGAAGTTATTGAACATAGCATAAGATAGCATGGAGAATGCACATGCACGAGTAAGTCACACCGTATACTTAGTCTGGGGCCCAGCAAAAGATGACCAGAGCCAAGCCAAACATCCACAGTGATTCCTGTCTGCCTATCCCCAGCATGACTCACATGACAGCAAACACGAGGTATCCAGCGAAGCATCTCGGCGCTCGGAAACAAGACGGACTTTGTATTCCGGGCATAATGTGAGCAAAGTGATCGACGCAGGTGCGTGGCTATAAGCCCAGGTGCCGGATGTCTGCGGATGCCTGCGGATGCCGACTCACACATCTAGATCGGCGCGCTCGGTCTTGGCTCGAGTCCATGCTCCGTTTTGCTCGTTTGGTTCTTGTTGGAACGTGCAGAATGCAGTGGTACACTGGGTGAGGTCATTGGCAGGACCCGCAATATACAAAAGCAATATTGTAAGACTTGAGCCCATGAGTACTCCGTAGATGCGTTGGATTTATCAGCTGCTGCCTATATCTTGGTATACCCCTACCTAGGTAGGATTACTTGCTATTGAGTCATGGGAACGATGCAGATCAAAGTTTGTACAATGCACGTTACAGGGATAACATCATTCTGCATCCGACTATTTACAAATGCAGGTGGACCAAGCTCAATGCCTCAATAATACCTCTTTGGGTAAGATATTAAGGTGCCGGACTCCTGCCGAATTTCCGGTCGCTGCTTGCTATAGTTATTGTACTTTGTATATCCGGCGGGAGAGCCCGGCATTACATGATTCAATCAGACGATAACCCCACCAGATGAGGGCGGAGAGTCCAAAGTCCAACTCAACAGTGCGGCTCGGAAGATGCAGCGAGCGAGGCCGAGACAGGGATGTGCCAGCTCTGACAAGGGATTGACGCTGGGACCAAGTTTGCAATAGCAGATTGGCGGTCGCTGATTGGCGGTACGGGGTGGTTTCATAGTTCTAGATTTGTATTGCTAATCATAAAAGGAACTCTGCAGGGCGTGGGTTAGGATTTTGTATTAGGGCTGACAGTACTTCGTAAGGTGAGTATGATAGGATATTCCTGATCCTTCAGCCACTGTACAAAACAAAGACACCTAAGATTGATCTACGAGCGGTGAATATCCGTCCAAATAAGGTAAAGATCTTCTACGTCATCAATCACTGTGCTGAGATGGGCAGATATGTGCATCCATGGATACAATATTGAAATATTGAATGTCCGAGAGTAAAACTTGGCAGGATCCCAAATATGCAATTCTATGTAGTCATTCCCAGACTTTTTTGGACTTTTTTCCCGGAAGTGAAATCACCTCGAAACCCACATTACTTTGAGGCTCCCGAGACACCCGAAACCGAGAAAACTGGTAGTCAAATTGATATCGCCAAGGAATTAATGGATAGATCCTGACACTGCAATTTCAAGCTTTTAAAGCTGTAGAATATCTGCTTGTGTGTGTAAGTATCATATCAATGGTGTTGTAAGGAGGATAGAAGAAGAAAAAAGAAAGAGCAAAGAAGTTCGAGAATGTAATGCCCAACGACCGAGTCCTTAGAATTGTTTCCACGCACAAAACAGAAAGTAATGGAAATCAGCGCCGACGAGCCTTTTTTTAATTTTTTTTAAATTATAAATAGGCAAGTAGCTCATATATATGAAATGTAGTGAATTAATCATTTTAAGGTAATTTGCTCCTTCAATTATTAATAAATCCTTAATTCCCTTGCACAAATCCTTATATACTTACATTCCCACCTGAATTCTCCCTCTCAGCCCTACAGCTTTTGTTACCCACCTCCACACCCCGAGTTCCTCGCATTTACCTACGAGTACAACGTACAAAAAGTCCAACTATAACCTAGACCGTAGTTGTCCTCATTACGTCACCATTCTATAGGGCTTCGACCTCAGGTTGAAGCTCTACACTTTTTGTTGCACATAACCACCACATCGCCATGCGGCCCATAGCTTCCACCTCCGCCCTTGCGGTCCTCACTTTCGCGACCGTTGCGCTCGCTCTCGCCCACGATGATTCCACAGATATGGATATGAATATGAACACCGATACACACGGCGATATGCACACAGATATGAATATGCACCACAGCCAGCCCCCGGCTCCCCAAGACAACGGACCGATGAGCTACTTTGCCTACGGCAAACATTCCAGCTCCATCATAGCCCACATTGCCCTGATGGTCGCAGGGTGGTGTTTCATTCTCCCGGTCGGTACGTGCTACTTATCTCCGAGCTCACAAGAATCGAAATATAAGAAAATAAGACAAAGCTAACTCCCTGCAGCCGTCATGCTCAGCGTCGCGCGCTCCCGCCTCGCCCTGCTCGCGCAATTCCTCTTCTTGCTCGTTAATGCCTTCGCCCTCCTGCTTGGCATCGTCTATAACAGCCAGACACCCGATCTGTACGAGAACAACGCCCACCACAAGCTCGGCTGGGTCGCTAGCTGCGTCGTCGCCGTGCAGGTCGTGCTCGCTTTGCTATTTGCCTACGCAGGACGGGGCGCTCCGTCTTCCGAGAAGTATCACCGTGACCATGAACGGGAACATGAACACGCTGCTTTCTTGCCCGTTCCGACGGACGAGGACCGCATGTACGCCAGCGAGGGGCGTTGGTCGCGCGATAGCGGGCAGGGCTCCGAGAGTGCGTCGGCCGGTACGTCGCCGTGCCACTCGCCCGTTGACTATGAGAGCTTTGAGAAGCAGTTGCCCGCCCGCGGCTGGGCGGACAATACCGGTGTTGGCCGGTTTTTGTCGAAGCGGCTGCCGGGGTTGATTCCTGGCCGGGCTCTGCGCGGCCTGGCTCTCGTGTACGATGTCGTTGACCGGGTTATTCTTCCCTTTGGATTTGTGGCACTTGCTACGGGTGCTGTCACCTATGGTGGTATTATGCGCAATCGGGAGATCTTCAATGGCCTGGCGCACTTTATTAAGGGCGGGATCTTCTTCTGGTATGGCGTTCTCACTCTGGGCCGGTATCTTGGGTGCTGGGCGGATCTGGGCTGGGCCTGGAATCGGAAGCCGGCTGCTTCTATTGTGGGGAATTGGAAGTCGAAGGTTCCCTCTGCTGAGGCGACGGAGTCGTTTGTTATCTTCCTGTACGGCGTGACGAATGTCTTCTTGGAACATCTGTCCAATGCCGGACAGGCCTGGTCGCCTACTGATCTCGAGCATGTTTCAATTTCCGTGCTGTTCTTTGGCGGCGGTTTGGCCGGCATGTTGTTCGAGTCTACCTGCATTCGCGACTGGCTTAATAACACCGTCCTTCAAGCCCCGGCCCATGGGTCTGCCGATGAAGGCTGGAGACTACCCAAGTCTCAGGGTGTATCTTTGAACCCGATGCCGGCGTTGATCATTTTGTTGCTTGGTATGATGATGGGCTCGCACCACCAGACCAGCATGACGTCGACTATGGTGCACAAGCAGTGGGGTAACATGCTTGTTGGGTTTGCGTTGGCCCGGGGTATGACATACGTCCTGTTGTACCTCAAACCACCGACCTCGTACCTCCCTGCTCGTCCCCCGACAGAGATTATTTCTGCATTCTGTTTGATCTCCGGAGGTCTCATTTTCATGTTAAGTGTAAGTTTGCATAAACCTTTTGGATATTAAATCATGATCATGGCTGACTGGTCTAGACTCGCAATGTGATTGAAGCGATGGAATACTACCAGGTGGATGCAATGTTCACCTTCACCGTCGGCCTGGGCTTTAGTGCCTTCATCATGGCTTATGAAGTTTTGGTGATTGCTCTCAAGGCCTGGTCCGTCAAGCGCACCCAGCGCTCCGCACTCAACTTCCGTTTCGCGTGAATAGGAATAATTTGGTGATGTTTATTGATACCCCCTTACACTTATGAGATTTCATTTTTATTCACGAAACATATGGAGTTTGTGAATTTTACATGCAGCATAATATCATTGTCGCTGCAGGAAGATACCCTGGGAAGGACTGTTTGTGAACCCAGATGATAATGAACGCGATATGTGAGGTCTAATGTGGTAATATGGAATTGAGGACTCAATTTTGAGTTCGATATATGTGGTACAGATGCAGAAATACGAATGCAATGCTAGCTTTGACATGGAGCCATACATGTGTGGCTATAGATTCCTATAACTAGTACGGAGTGCATACAAGGCTCTGCGACACAAATTTAGACGGAGTTACGATATTAACCCCGAGCCGTGCCGAGTACCGAGCGGCATTTGGTTCTGCCATCAACTTTCTGATTTCGGGATGAATGTTGTTGAACTTGAAATGTAAAGCTGGGGCAAGTTTCAGCTCAGAATCAAAAGGTATCACTTGAGAACTATTCGCTGTTCGAAGTACTGTGCCTTCATATCCATATATTAGGTAGGTACCGAAGTAAAATCGAGTGAAGTTGTTAATAATGCGTCAAGTGGGCTACGAGGGGCAAGTGGAGATAAAAGGACATAGGGAACCAAATGGGCAATTGTGATTGGTGACGAAACAAGATGATGAAATAGAAGTGAATGGGCTAAGCATTTTATAAGACAGCGGCCCCGAGATACTTCTTAACTTCTTTTTCTTCTACATCTTCGCATTCACAACTACCCCCCACACACACAAAATGGCCTCTAACCCTCCCGCTGCCTGCTGTGCCTCTGGCTTCAAGCACGAAGGATCTCCCCTCGGCGAGATCAAGGACATCAACGGAGGTAAGAATGCGGGAAATTACATTCGCAAGAATACTAGCTAAGCTTCTACCTAGTCAACACCTACATCGCGTCCCCCAAGGACAACAAGAACCCCGATAAGGCCATTATCTTCCTGACCGACATCTTCGGTATCTTCAGCAACGCCCAGCTGCTCGCCGACGAGTTCGCCAACAATGGCTACCTGACCGTCATCCCGGATCTTTTCCAGGGCGACCAGATCAAGGTCAGCGACATGGAGTCCGGCAAGGCCGATCTCCCCGCATGGCTCCCTAACCACCAGACCGCCAATGTCGACCCCGTCGTCGAGGCGACCGTCAAGTACGTCCGTGAGACCCTCGGCGTGAAGCAGGTCGGCGCTGTTGGCTACTGCTTCGGCGGTAAGGTATGTGATAGTCCGAATTTAAACCAATCTCCGATAGATATACGCAATGCTAACTAGCCCAGTACGTCTGCCGTTTCCTCAAGCCCGGCCAGATTGACGTCGGCTACTCCGCTCACCCCTCTTTCGTCACGCACGAGGAACTCGGCGCCGTCAAGGGCCCCCTCTCCATCGCTGCTGCTGGTAAGTTTTGTCCTAGATGATGGACAATCTATATGCACTCGCTAACTGTCAACAGAGGTCGACCAGATCTTCACCACCCAGCTCCGTCATGAGTCTGAGGATATTCTCATCAAGACTGCCCAGCCTTGGCAGATCAACCTCTTCAGCGGCGTTAGCCATGGCTTCGCTGTGCGCGCTGACCTGAAAGACCCCAAGCAGAAGTGGGCTAAGGAGCAGGCCTTCTGCCAGGCTGTCGCTTGGTTCAACGAGCACTTGTCTGGTGCTGGAAAGGCGAACCTTTAAATTTTACGACAATCAGCGGTATTAGATCTCTAGTCACGAAATAGTTTTTTTAAATCCAATTGATTCACGAATTGATGAAACCCCACTGTTCATGTTGTAGAAGCAAAGACAAGAAAACGATGATGTATGCAATAAAGCTGCGCGGTTGGTCCATATAGCCAACCGCAACATCGGCGGACAAGTCGCCCGACAGGGCCGGAGATCCAGCCACAACTCGACTTCACTTTCTTCGGTGGATTGTATTTCATTGAGGGTATAATCAAAACCCGATCAACGGAGCCATCCTCGAGACGGCCTCGAATTCCACCCTAGCACTCCTACCGGCCTCCCCCGCCCACCAGCAGCGATCGCGTGCGCCTCGTGAGTTATCCCTGACCGGACCGACTCTAGCGCGAAGGAAACAAAAACTAACCATCGATCCTCCCTCCTCCCAGTCATTGATTGCAAGAACCCAGTCTGCTTTGATTTCGTCGGTGTCCTGCCGCATACCCCTCCTTCGAGTCGTGGTATATTCATATTCACATTCACATCCAAATCCAAATCCACATCCATATTCGTATCCGTCCTGCGTCCGATTCTATATCGCTCTTCACGTGCCATCACACACCATGGCTACTCCTGCTGCTCTGCCCCCGTTGCCGTTCAATCCGGCCCGCATACGGACGTACCTTCTTCGACTGCCGCTGTTCACACGCCTCGTCTTGCTTATTATTCTGGCTTTCTGGCTGCTGGAGTTGCAGACTATATGGAGTGTTGTGCAATGGGGCGCGTTGATCCCCGAGGAGATCAATCTGGGCACGAGTATGTTTGTTTCTTTCTTGGGAAATGCATTGGCGCTTGATAACTGACGGTTTGATAGTGTACCGCCTTAACACTTACCCTTTTATCCACACTGGGTTCTGGCATGCTCTGTTCAACGCCGTTGCGCTTACTCCGCTGCTTGAGCGCTTTGAGGCTGAGCATGGCACCTTGACTGCTGTTGCATTGTTTGTTGGACGTGAGTACTTCATATTGTTATGTGGTGTTGGGGTGATGTTCGCTAACGGGGATTGATTAGCTCTCTCGACTGTTCCTGCTGGTCTTTATATCTTGATTGAACGGGGTCTTCTTCACAGAAACACTTCCGTCGTCGGTGCAAGGTAAGATTAGTAGTAGTCATCCCGGCTGTCTTGGAACTAACTTGCAATTAGTGTCTGGGCTTTCCTCCTGCTCGGCTCAGAGGCTATAAAGACTTACAAGTCTCATCCCAACTTCAGGTAAGATTATCGCTATGGGAATGCTGTGCTGTTTCTAACATTCCCTAGTCTTGGCCCCTATAAGATTCCCACCTGGACTTCGCCTCTGGTCGCTTGTGTTGTGGTGTCTGTTCTCCTGTCGAACGTGAGCTTCCTCGGCCACATGTGTGCCATTCTAGTCGGCTATCTCCGTGAGTTCCCCTCTGTTTCTGTTCTCTTACACCACCTAATCGTTGCCAGTCGGTCTCGGATACCTCAAGGTCTTTGTGCCCCCCGAGAAGATCCTCCGCTGGATCGAGGGCAAGCTAAACCTCCTCGGACGCCTTCCTCACTACGTTTCTGTGGATCAAAAGACCTACGGTCGCTATGGAGTTCTTCCAACTGCCAACAACCCCGCCGGCGCCAGCGGAAACGGAACACCTTTGAGCTTCATGGGATCCACACAGCGCCTGGGAGCTTGATACTGATGACGCATTCTTCATTACCATTTTTAATGTATATTCTTGACCATAGTTCTTTTTATTCCGAGGCAGACATGGGGGGCATTGGATAATATAGCATAGCGTGTGCATAGTCCATTTAATTTGCGTGGTTGGTCTTTGTGGGTGGGCGTAAATTCCACTTCTCCGCGCATAAACAACGGAGCTTCGATCTCCACTGTTGCTACTTTCGACTACATTCAATCGAATTATTCTACTCTTTTAAACGGGCTCGCCTTCGCGGCACGGGATCTACACTCCCGATGGTCAGTACATCATGGCATTGAAATGTGAGAAACTAGAATATACCACCTGTCCTCCACGTCGTCAGAGCCACCCGCTAACAAGACGCCAGCCGCAATCCGCAATCTACGGAATAATCCCCACCTCCTCTTCGTTCGCCTGCCCAATCTCCTTTCCTTCCTGTGCATTGTCGTCGGCGTTGCCTGGTTGCTTCTCCTGCCTCTCAACGAATACTCACGACAAACCTACATTTCCGAGAATGCGCTCCTGCCGGGCCAGGTCCATGCGTATTTTACTGGCAGCGAGCAAAACATCTTCCGCGGATACAAGAAGGAATTGGAAGGACTGTTGAATGATGGCCAAAAAGACGAGAAAGAAGTGACCGCTGCGTATGTCGAATGAACAAGACATGCTGAACTGCTCGCTGATACTTGAATAGGGTCTCCGATAAAGTGCAGTCGATCTTGGAGGCGGCAGGGCTTAAATTTGCCAGGCAGAAGTATGAGTATACTTCTGCTGGAATCACGCACCAGGGCGAAAATTCCTACGCCATTATCCATGCGCCCCGTGGTGATGCCACGGAGGCAATTGTGTTGGTTGCGCCTTGGAGGACGGCCGATGATAAATTGAACTTAAATGGCGTTACGCTTGCCCTGACATTGGCCAGGTACTTCAAGAGTGAGTAACGCGGGAACGATCATGCGATCTGAATGCTGACAATTGATCCTAGGATGGTCGTTATGGTCCAAGGATATCATCTTCCTGATTACCCCCGACAGCAAGACTGGAACCCAAGCTTGGATCGACGCATACCACGATATGCATCCTGTCTCGGTGCAGCCGCTGCCGTTAAAGAGCGGCGCCTTGCAAGGAGCTTTGGTCATTGAATACCCCCTCGAACACCGCTTCCAGACCCTCCACATTGTATATGACGGAGTCAATGGCCAACTTCCCAACCTCGACTTGTTCAATACCGCTGTGTCCATTGCAGGTGGCCAGATGGGAATCGGCGCCAATCTACAGGAAATGTGGGCCCACGACGATAGCTACGAGCATCGTCTGCAGACCATGTTCCGCGGTATGACCAAGCAGGGTCTCGGATATGCCACCGGTGCTCATAGTAGCTTCATGCCATATCACATCGATGCCATCACTCTGCAGACCAAGGGCGAGGGCTGGGAAGACGAGATGGCTCTGGGTCGAACGATTGAGTCTCTTTGCCGTAGCTTGAACAATCTGCTCGAGCACCTGCATCAGAGCTTCTTTTTCTACTTGCTTATGCAGTCTAATCGGTTCGTCAGCATTGGAACTTATTTGCCTAGTGCTATGCTGCTCGCTGGGAACTTCACTATTATGGCTATCGCCTTGTGGATGCGCACTGGATACTACTCGGAAGCCAGGTCCACTGCTGAACCAAAGAGAGAGAAGACATCTAGCGAAGAAAAGGCAAAGACAGGTCCTATCGCTGAACGGCATTTGGCCTTGCCACTCTCGCTTGTTGTTGGGCTCCATCTGCTAGGTCTTGTCCCTCTTTGGGTGTTTAACAACATCTTCCACCAGGTGAGTCGGCCGTAATAAATTCTCAATTAAACCACTAACAGAATTTAGTACTTCGCAACTATTACCTACGTTCTTGTCGGTGTGGATGTCATCCTCCCCTTGTTCCTCGCCGCAATCCTCTCCAATGGCCTGGGCTTATCAAAACCAATCATCCCACAACAATACCACCTCATCAAATCCTTCTCCCTTCTCCTACTCGGCCTCTCGCTCTCAACCCTGGCCACCCTCAACTTCTCCCTTTCATTCATGATCGGTCTCCTCTGCACGCCCCTCAGCTTCATCGCCCGCATGCAGGGCCCCGCCCCTGGGCGCCTTGCCACCTCCGGCCTGGGCCTGATTCTCCTCAACGTCCTATCCCCACCGACAGTCCTCCTCGGCGTCTGCTGGTACTCCGGCATCTCCGTCGAGACCGTCCTCACTGAGGCGGCATTCGGCTGGGACGTCTGGGGCATGTGGACGCAGGTCGTGGTTTGGTGTGTGTGGTGGCCCTCTTGGCTGATTGGCTGTGTGTTGCTCGGGTCCTCGATTTTCTGATCTCATTATATTGTCCTTTGCATTTGTTGCGTATACATTCGTTGCCGACTATTGGATCGGTTCATATAGCATTTCTAATAGACACAAATTCGAAATGGTGTTCTGCAGATGACTACATGTAGACAAAGAGCAGGAGCAGGGGTCAGGCATCTGATACCCCGGGCTTATGACAGGAGGTTCGAGAGTCGAAGTCTGGTTGCCGCGTCTAAATTGATTCATGCAGCTGCAGACACGAAGAGTGCAGATCTTAAAAAGTACAATGTAGCCACTCTTGAACTCTTTCCCGTTTTGGTCGTATTTTTCTCCGTTCTATCTGTATGACTGCCACGCCATCTTTGTCAAAGAACTACCTCGCGGTCTGCTTTTCATCCGCGACCTCTCCGCTCATTTTCATGAAAGAACAGAAAGACAAGAGTTCGGTATTTTCTCGACCCTAATTGAATATGTTTTGACATACACCCACGGACAACGCCACTCCGTGTCATATCCTGTGTGCACCGTTCCCCAAATCTTTGTCCTAACCCTTGAACAATACTAAGCCATATAACAAGCAATACTCCAATTCTCGAGGATGATCAAGATCCTGAACCTGCCTCGCCATGGGCATCCTCTTCTTTTACCCAAAATGCCATTCCACAACCACCCATACCTTTGTCACTATATATAAGAATGAGCCCTCTACACGACCAAATCCACATCCCAGATCTAGTAGACGCTATGATCACCCTACGCCTCAGCCTCGGCCTCATAACCCTATATACCGCCCTCCTCTTCCTAACCCGCACCACAACAGCCACCGCCCCAGTCTCCAGCAGCGACGGTTTCTGCGCCAGCTACATCATCCAAGGATACGATACCTGTGCCCTAATAGCGCAAGCCCACGACATCACAGAAGCCGACATCGAAGCCTTCAACACAAACACCTGGGCCTGGCTAGGCTGCAACCAGCTATACCAGGGCGACTTCATCTGTCTGAGCGCCGGGGACCCGCCTATGCCCATGGCCATGCCGAATGCCGTCTGCGGGCCCCAAGTCCCGGGTACAACGCGCCCGGCAAGCTGGGCGGATCTCGCTTCTATGAATCCGTGTCCGGTCAGCCAGTGCGTGAGTACATATTGAGCTGATCGCCTGTCGTATATGTATCATATGGTTTATCTGACGGCTTGCAGTGTGCTACGTGGGGCCAGTGTGGTACCGCGGCGGACTTCTGCAATGCGAAAGCCCGCAAGCCGGCGGCTGGTATGACCGCGACGGTGAGCGCCGCGACGGACGTGTTCATGGCGAGCACGCTTGCTACGCAGGTGAAGGGCTCCGATATGCAGACGACGCAGGCGGGTGCCGGAGAGGCTGCGACTACGTCTGCACCCACTTCTGGATCAAGTTCTGCAGCATCATCTGCGGCGACCACGACCTCGGCTGCGGACGATACTTTCCACGTCACTGACGAAGTATATGTCTTTCCACCCGCGTATACAACACCGTGGGAGATAACGTGGTATAGCGAGTTGCACTGCGAAGGCGACTATTACCATATGGAAGGGTATAATGAGGATTATATTACGGGAGCGGAGGGGTGTTTGAACTTGCGGGGTGGGTTGAACAGTTTGCTTACAGCGACGAATGTTACTTGTAGGTGGTGGACTAATGGTGGGCTTACGTGGTCTGATTGTGATTCTGGGACGATGGAGGCGCCTCAGTCGTGGGTTGTTAAGAATGGGAGGTGTATGGTTTTCAATGGGCAGGGGTGTGATTGTTTTGATCATCATGCTTTGTCTTATGTTCCTCTAGGGTGTCATAATCGGACGCCAAGGGATACCCCTAAGTTTATGTCTTTTGAGTGCCGTCTTGAATCCGAGGATTGAGTTGGGGTTAGGGTTGGGATTGGGGTTTGTGAAATGAACTTGTGAGATTTGGCGGATTGTCATTGAATGCATGTATCAGCTTTCTCCCAAGGATGTTCAAAATGAAGATTTTGTGATAGGATTATTCGAAGTCTAGTGATACGCAGATTTGGCAACTTCTTGATAAAGCTCTGGACGTTATTATAGGCAGCCAAACTTGGAGCTCTGCAACCCTAAACGTGTAGCACTTGGGGGTTACTACCTAGGCAGGAAAGTCAGTCTACGAAGCTCATCTGAAGCTAACAAGTAGTCATGACAAAGGCGACCACCATGTATTCATTATAGTAGAAATGGCCAGTACAGGAAGAAGTCAAACATCTATGCAGCCCAGACATCCTTACCAGCCCCCTCAATCCAATGACCAAGCTGGTTGACACCAGCATCCCAATCCTTAAGACGGTTCCGCATACCATCAATCTGCTTCATATCAAGGACCTTAGGCTGGACCCAGTGGATCTGCGCAACCTGCGCAACTTGATCGATCGACCCACGCAGCAAACCCAACGACAAAGCCTTCATAACAAGGTGCTCGATCTCATCGGGCTGGACCTTCGTCTCGGAAGCAATAGCCTGGAAGGAGAGGGAGCGGTCATGGGGAGGACGACGGAACACCATCTCCGTCAGCGCTGAGAGCGAGATCTTCTGGTACAGGAACTGGCGGTGCGACTCCAACAGCTTATTCTTGCTAATGTTACCAGCCAGCACGTCGTAGGCAGTCAGGTCACCACGGTTGAAGGCGAAGAGCAGCTCGCGGAGCCAGTTGTGCGGGGTCTGGGTCAACGAGTCGAGAATCGGATGCAGGAGCAGCTCGCCGAAGTTGTAGATCGTGTCTGATACCAGGGCTGCGACGCTGAGGTTATAGGCGCGCGATGCGCGCTCGCTCTCGGGGAGGTCTTCCAGGTCAATGCAGGCGAGGTAGAGGAGGGCGTTTTTGTAGAAGGAGGCGAATTCTTGCTTGGACTGGAGTGTGGTGTTAGCTTCAGTTTATGCGGTGAGAATAATTTGTCTGCTAGAAACGTACGTGGTAGTAGTCTGCGTTCACTCGGTAGAATGATGCGTGCACCACGGTCTCGACTGAGTCGAAGGTGTCCAGCACCCGCTGGCAGGTGGCCAGATCCTTCTGTGCTCCTTCGAGATCCTTCAGCGACAACTTGACGTTCGCCACATCACCGAGCGCGTACACGTATGCATCTTGTGTATCGGCGGTATCCACCTTGCTGGCGAGGGATGTGAGGAAACTCAGTCGTTCTTGGTCATCTAAGGAGGGAAAAGGTAAGCATGCATCAATGCGAAATCCCGAAGCAGGATACAATTTCCAAGCTTCCAGGATTGATCAGGAAGTACCGACCTCCGCATTCTGTTGCTGCCATCAAACCCAACGACACAAATTTGAGCTGGTTGATCCGGTCGGCGAAGCTGAGCACGAACGTCTTGAAGAGAGCTAACCGGTGCGGAGCACTCTCTGACAAGCGGAAGAACTCGACCAACGAGTCTGTAAGCTGGTGCCATAGCTTACGCTCCCAGTAGTCTTCGAAAGTGAGAAAGTAGGGTTGCGTCTCTGCGCTTCCTTGTGCTTGCTGCTCGGTCAGGAAATCGGGGATCTTGGACTCCATGATGGAGGGTTGGGAACCGTGGGATGCGAAATCACAGGCAAAGGACAAGATATCGAAATTAGACAGAGACGTAGGAGGAACGACGGGAATTGAAGGTGTTGATGGTTGTCGGATTGGAGGGAGCTGATATGATGTCTTACGGCAGTTCACGAAGCTCACTCACCGCCTGCTTGGCTTCTTCGACGGTCTTCGATGCTAACTTCAACCTTCAACGTCGGTTGTTTGCGAGTATGATTTTTGTTCATATTACATCAATCGCTTCTTTTTCTCCCTCTCTGGCCCTTTTGCTTAATGATATATTATAACTTCTTTTAGCATAGCTTGTGGCTCCACTGTCAACAGTACTACTGATGAACAACGAAGTATACGCACAACTTGTTAACAAATTGATTTCCGGGAGAAGAGACAGTAATAATGACAGTAAGTCCTGCTATATTGTTTGAAGAATAAAAGTAAAAGGATTGCAGGAACATTGTATCTTGACAAGCGAAGTCTGATCTATATAAACCTCACTACGATGAATCTGTGCAGTTTGCGATCCAGCCATTACACTTCAGGTTAAGGTGCGGTGTATCCAACAAATTTCGGGGTTACGTGAATCTTAGAGCTCCTCTTCGAGTAGGAGGAACTTCCAAGATCGCTCTATGACCGGTAATCTTTTGACTACCATCGGTCCCCGGTGGTTCTGCCAATTAGCGTGGATCCTATCCCTCTCAAGTTGAAGATTGATACTCTCATTAAAGGCCGCAATGTCTGTCGCAGGATATAGCCGCAGGATATCACCACGGTTCGAGTTAAGGGAGACAAAAACAAGCTCCGCCTATCCGTGAAGATCCTTAAAGACTACATCAGCTAACTTGGTGGCGGCTTATCCTTATACCGTTCCTCATTACTTTCGCTCGCTTTAACACTCTAGATTCATAAATGCTGCAAACTAACAAGGCCCCCAATGCCGCGCCGCCTCCACTGTCTAATTCACTGGACACGCTGACCTGTTCTCATTCACAAGCCTTTCCAGCTAGCTCTAAGCGAATGGCTTTTAGTCTTTGGTCCTAACAAAAGCCTGGTTTCGTTGACCGTCACTCTATCCTCAATCAATTCTTACTCTATTCTTACTCTATACTTGCTATATCTTTACTCCACATACATATATAAGAGACCAGATGAACCATGGATTCACCAAGCTCTAGCATCCGGCTTCTTCTCGGCAGCAACAAATGCAGAGGCTTTACGACTTACCGGTACCAATTGTTGGGCTTGATCAACAAGAGCGCCTGAGAGCTGCCATGTCGTACCCCGTCATGGCCCACTGGTGACTTAATCAAAGAACCAGTGCCACACATATACCGAGTGGGTGCTGGGCCCGAACCATCTACAAATGATGCCGTCAAGCTATAAGCGCCCGATTTTGCCTCCACTTGACTGACCTGCTGGGGGTCCTCTTATGGGTCTAGACCTTGCCAGCTTATATCTTGAGAAAGGATCGCACTGTGTATTTTCATCTTCTATCGTCCTGAGCTATACAAGTATATATAGGTTGTTATACGTCGGAAACATTTCTGCTCCGAACCTATGATACTACAATAAGATAACTTAGAAGGAGCCCCAAAGGGAAAAAGGTATTTTTATTTTGTAAAACCCGGACCAAACCCCAGCTGGGAACATGGAATCATAGATGCAACACACAAGGCGACACGCTTAAGCGTCATCGACAGTGGTGGTGTGGAGACCCTTGGGGTCCTTGACGTTGACAGCCTGGACGTGGGAGTAGAGACGCTCCTTGGCGTTCTCCTCGTCGTTACGCTTGCGGGAGATGCGGACACGGAGACGGAATGGGACACCCTTGATACCGGCTTCCCAGACCTTCTTGTTGAGCTGGGGGTCGACGCGGACGTCCTTGGTACCCTGTTCACCATGTTAGTATGCGGATAATCTCAGCTGGGAAAATATGAGCGTTGCTCGAACTTACCATAGCCTGCTCAGCGAAGGCACGGATCTCCTTGATGGCCTTGGGAGCACGCTTCTTGAAGCTGACGCCGTGGCACTATATTTCCGGAAAAGAAGTTACAATCAGTCTTCCGCCCGAATGCCATCTGCAAGAGAAAACTCTGCGCGATGAATGTTTGTGGTCTTTCGGCCATAGTGGACTTCATAAAACTAATTCTTCTTTTGTGTTCCGGGTTCGGATGTGTGGGTGCGAGACGAAAACTTTTTCAAGATATTCGTTCACGGGGTGTCTCTATCTGTAAGGACGACAGATAAAAGCGCAGCTCTCTTCAGATTTCTCTGTAGGTCATGGCAAGGGGTGGTAGTGTGGCATTGGGGTGTTGGTTTCCCATACATCCCCGACGCACACATACCGCACACATTCTTCTCCGTCACAGATTCCATGCAGGAAAAGTAACTTGTTTTCTGTCCATTATGCCTCCAGAACTCTTCGTATATTCGAATCGTCGCAGGTAGACTGGGAAGGGGGTGTTCAACATACGCGCTTGTGCAGGTTGATGGTGTACTCGCGGGACACCACGTCGGCAATAGCCGAGCGCTTGTTGCCAGTCTTGACGTTGGACATCTCTGCAGATGAGGTTAGGGGAGAAATTTGATATTGATATCAGGGAGACGAACTGAATGGGGTGGTCGACGGTGGGCGGAGGTGGTCGAATGTTCAGAAGGGAAATTCGCGATGGTCGATTTTGGAGCGAAATTCAGTGTGGTCTCGCTTGCCTGTGCGGGATGTGATTGGCTGTAGTGGGGCAATAGTCCAACGAATCACGTCATACTCAAGTGGGACCTTCGATGCCTCAGGCCTAAAGGGCCTTAATCACCAGTATAACTAGACAAGAAAAGAGAAAAGACTCATACTTCGCATTTTGATCTTGTTAATTCAGGGTTTTTAAACTATAGTATATAGTCTATAGATTATCCCGATCTTAAATTCACAGAAATCCCTAGTCCCCACATCTATTCTTGGCCCGCACTCACATCGGGGTAGAGATCAAATCGCCGCTGAGTATAGATCGGAATTCCACTGCGAATGTTTGCAATAGTATCATTCTCCAAATCAGCATAAATGATAGTCTCTTTCTCTTCGGCTTCAGAGAGGATCTTTGCGCTGGGATCAGCGACCAAGCTGTGCCCATAGGCCTGGTAGGAGGCTTCCAGATCACGCGCCGGGCTACAAAGAGCCACATATGATTGGTTATCGACGGCACGAGCACGGCCAAGAAGTGACCAGTGCAGAGGACCAGTAGTGGTGTTGAAGGCACCCGGGTAAACCAGCAGGAAAGCGCCCTTGCGGGCGGCGATCATCGCTGCCTCTGGGAAACGGATGTCGTAGCAGATAGCTAGACCAATCTTTCCGTATTCAGGGAGATCAATCACGGTCAGTTGATTGCCCGGTGAGAGCACATCACTTTCCTTGAATTGGATCTTGCCTGGGATATCAATGTCGAATAGATGTGTCTTGCGGTGGGTGCCAATCAACTCGCCCGTTGGGGAAAAGACCAGCGAGGTATTGTAGTATTTCTTAGTGGATAGTTCCAACTCAGGAATACTTCCGCCGATGAGATATGCGTTGGCCTCCACGGCGATGGCGGACAGCGCGTGGAAGGATGGCGATTGTTCTTTCGTCGGAGGGGAGGGGTGGAGGGTCTCGGCATATTTAGGGAAGAAACTAGTGCCATAGGGAGAGTTGAAGCACTCGGGGAGAACGATTAATCGTGCACCGGCCTTTGCAGCTTCGAGTACTTTGCTCCGCGCATGGGACAGGTTCACGGTCTTGTCCGCTCCTAGATAGGATTAGAAAGGGATGCGCAGCATGTTTGGGTTATTCATACCTGATGCGAGCTGAACAAGAGCCAATTTCAGGGGCTTTTTCAAAAAGGTAGCCATATTTGGGAATGTGAAGAAGTTGAATCACTTGGCGAGTTACTTCGTGAGGGGAATTGGGACATCGGAGCGGCAGGCGGATTGCGGGGGCGGTCATCTCGACGATAAGAGTGACTCCGACTGTTATTCGCCATACTTCCGACATACTTTCGCTTGATTGTGCGATATTGTGCGACACTGTGCGACACTGTGCGACATGTTACCTAGGTATGAGCTGCTATAGAAGGCTAGGTGTATTTTACGTAGTTCAATGCATAGCAATTTAAGGGTAGCAATTTTGATCTAATTGAATCAAAGGGTTTTTGCTTACGGAGTATATTTAGCGTACATATACATCTGTGGATGGAACTAGGGAAACCTTTCCTGCGTCAATGCGAATCATATGGATCGATATTCAAGAACCAGCAGGTGACAGCGATGAGCCATTATACCGCTAATGAGGGCATAAGCCGAAGGTTTTCCTAGGCGTATAGCGTCAATATCTCATTGAACTTCATTCATTAAAGTGTATTTGCCAATTTGCCATTCCAGCAGCCAGAAATGACGGTCCGAAGGCCAGGGCCTCTATTGATGGAAAGTTTTTCTGTGAGAATAATTCCTCAATAACTTTTATCAGCCTTCCTACTTCCACAGTCCTTTCAACCTTGTGCTACTCCCTATAGTAGTTGCATATCAGTGGGTCTGCCCCTTGCATATGTATATCGTAGGCAGGAGACCAAATCGCAGCAACAAGATTTTTTATGTCTACCTGATCAAGCTTGCAGATTCATCAATATAAATACTCAAACGAAAGACGAGAGTGCACAGTTGTATAAAATCACATGATGTTGGCCGTTGGGGGCGGATTTGGAACGGACTTCCGATTCCGCTCCATTTTCCATTTCTCTTACCGTGACAAATCGGTCTCGATTCCCTATCAACCAAGGAGTACTAGTCGCACTACCTGGAAACCGGCAAACCGAGCCGAACTCGATACATTGATATTTGATCCACTAGTGCAGTGTGCTAAGACGCACCTCCATGGAGGACAATGCAGGTGGTGCTCGGCACCCGAAGGCATGTATAACCTGTGCCAAGGCCAAAGTACGATGTTTACCAGAAAAGAATGGCCCCTGTAAACGGTGGGTATTTTTTTTGAATTGAAAGGCATACTTGATTATTGGACTAACTTTATTTAGATGTCAACGCCTGGGCAAAGAATGTGGGAACCAAACACCTGGAACTCATCGGCGTTCAAAGAAATCGGGAGCGAGTGGTTCGTAAGTTGACGATAAATGACTCTATCGACATAGTAATAATATGACAACTTTAACAGAGATGTTGCTGCGCTCGAGGCAAAATTGGACCGTATGGTCGCTCTATTGGCTGCCTCAGATCGAAATGCCAGAGAGGGACTAGATGGCCCAGGCACCACTAGGTCACCATCTACAATCGAGGAGCAAAACGCCTCTAGTAGTGGCTTTGAAGGCCAAGCAGTATTGGAAACATTCAGAAACCGAATGCTTCCGCTATTTCCTTTCCTGATGATTCCCTCGCACCTCACCGCTAAAGAACTGCGCCGAGAGAAACCATTCTTGTTCTTGAATATCTCCATGGTTGCGTGTTTGAACTCTGCTCGACAGCGTGAGATTGTGAACACAGTGCAGCAATATGTTGCCGAGCATATCGTGATAAGAGGCGAACACAGCTTGGATCTACTACAAGGTCTTCTTGTCAATGTGGCCTGGTTCACATCCGTCAGCCGCTGTCAGCCGCCCGCTCCGAGTGGCAGCACCGACAAGTTCAAAGCCGAATTAGAACCTCACCATATCATTCGCAGTACTTCTCAGCTTGATGCTTTTGTTCATTTACTTGTGGCTCAATCGCTGAGTTTGGGGCTGAACCAGCAGTTGACTTACCAAAAAAGTTTGAATTATCCAATGACTTATTTGAAAGAGATTTTGAATGAAGAATCTCATAGTCCGGTCCGCACCCTAGAGGAGCGACGGACATATATTGGGTGCTACTATCTGACTACAATGTATGTACATGATTTGACTTAACCTCACCCACAAGCTAATCGTTACAAGGCTCTCTACATGCGTTAAAGACCTGGGGCCAATCATTCGCTTCACGAAATACACTGATGAATGCTGCGATGTTCTAGACCAGGCCGCAGAATATCCCACCGATGCCTACCTGGTACAACTAGTTCGAGTGATGAACCTCGCAGATAGAATCCACCATACACTCTACCGCACCGAGCTTCACTCTTCATCTGTCTCAGCGCCGCCCCTCGGATTGAGCATCAGATGGCTCGAGGCCGAGCTGAAGCAATTGAAATCTCGCATGTCGTGCGAGCCACCGTACGCTGGTGAGTTGTCTCGTCGGGATAATCCTCAAATTCGATCTAATATTTCCAACAGCCATCTTGACAACCCACTACAACACACTGGAAATTCATCTCTATCGAATCGCTCTAAACCACGATTCATCCGAATCAAACTACGGCGACCATCCACTAATGCGTCTAGACCTCCTATTCCGCTGCCTGGAAACAACAACCTCCTTTTTCCAAAACTTCTACAGTGTTCCCTCCGTCCTCTTCCCGTACGTTCCATTCAGCATAATATGCCAATTTGGCAAAGCAATAGTCACCATCTCCCAGCTCTCGCTCTACAACCACAGTGGATGGGATCGCACGTATGCCGAAAGCACAATCGACCTCGATACCACGGTCGACCAAATGGTCGCCAAACTGGAAGAATCACGGCCTTTCTTCCAGCGCGCTACAGAAAACGACCCCAACTCACCCGGTCTCCCGGATATATTTGGGAGGATGCAGGCGAGAGCCAAAATGATGAAGCTTATGCATCAGCGCAGGAAGGAGGCGCTGGAACGCACTTCGCCCCCGTCGACTATGAATGCCATGGATTATGAACTCATGATGAATACGCCTTTGGATTTGTTGTTTCCTTTTGGCGAAATGCCGCCTATCTACGAGCCCTATAACTTTCGGGTCTAGCTAATTAGGACGCTTTGTGGATACTGCGGTGATAACACTATTTCTTAATATCAAACTGTATGTTAGATATTCTCTGATTCGTTATTTATAACTTGTCAAATCGAATCATAAGTCAAATACTCTTCACTTGGGAATCTACCAAATCAACCAGTGGGCCGGGCGGAGTCCGCTCCAGACAGCGATCTCAGCCTATGCACGCACAGTGAAACAAATCAATACAACAACAAAATGACATTTGAATTTGAATTAGTGGATATCTTGTTTCATATAGTCATGGAATGTATGTATGTTTCACTCCAATTTTCACAGATTTGGACACAGGATAAATTACAGAACCATAGCTCCAACAACGGCAGCCATAATGGCCATCACGCCAAAATTGGAGGCAGCGGTGTTAGCGGCATTACCAGTGGGCGTAGGGCTGGTGGAGGTAGAGTTGGCAGCGCTCGAAACAGGCGATGTAGTAGTCGTCATAGAAACAGCAGGCGAGCTGGTGGGGGCAGCGGTGATCAAACTGCCGCTGGTTTCAGTGCCGGAGGCAGAGTCCGAAGAAGAGCCCTCCGAAGAAGAAGAGCCAGTTGAAGCGTCCGAAGTCGCAGCAGAGCTCGAGGTAGTTTCAGCAGGTGCAGAAATAGCAGTCGCAGTCGCTGCAGCGGTAGTGGTCGAAGCAGCCTGCTTGCCATTGGGTCCCCAGCCCTCGATATAGCTAGGCGTGACGGTAGCAGTTCCCTTGTAGAGGGGACATCCGGGCTGGTTTGTTTTGGGGGGTGCGCGGCCGCCGCCACAGTCGAGGAAGGAGCAGATTTCGCCGGTGCCGGGGACGTACCAGAGGTAGCTGGCGTAGTAGTCGATTACGATTTCGGAGGAGACGCAGCCTTCTAGGTCTGTGCGGGCCGTGGCGAGATTGGTGAGGCTCAGGCCAAGGAGAAAAGAGAGTGTGGATGGCTTCATTTTTGGTATGTAAATATGTAACGAGTGACAGGTGAAGAGATGCAGGTCATAACAATATTATTGAGTGGAACAGACGTGTTATATAGGGGGATTTAATTAGTTCAAACCTTCAGACGCCACTGGTAAAATTGAGGCTGACAGGGTGAAGGGTCTGCAGGGGTCTAGTCTACAGGGTCTTGTTTTTCCCCTGAAAAACTGGTGCCGATGCTCCGGGGCTATTTTTGGCTGGGGATTTGTTTCCAAGTGATTCTACGCATTTGAACGGAGTCTACAATTGAAAGGCAATAAATACTTCAGTATGTTTTCATTTAACAGGGATCAAAGATTTATTTTCATGACTTAGAATACATTGGATGTTGTCAGATGAGACCAGCATTAGGAAATGAGACCAGGGCCTAACGCTGGAAGTGCAAATCGGAACAAATTTTGGAAGAAAACAATTAAAGACTCCGGTGCCCTAACAGCAAGTGACAAAAAAACAGAAGGAAAAAAAAAACACAGAAAGCCTAGATTAAGCTTGCAACGAGCCCATGGCGAGAAACCGGGCCCACCGAAGCAAAATTAAGGAATGAAACAAATGGTCGACGATCCATAGACTGAAATTTAGCCCAAAGCATAAGCTATTTCAACTGTGGTCGATGGTGTGACACAAGAACCCAAAAGAATTCGGCATCCGTAAGCTCGAGGCTAGCCCAAGGCGTGAACTGGGCCAAATCTGGAAGACAAAGCGGATGGAAAAGATCAAAGCGATAAAAAGAAACCGGACCACAAAGACAGAAACGCGAATGCAAACCGGGGCGATGCGCTTGGACATAAACATACACTCCCTCGCGGGAGGACAAAGATAGAGACGATATGAGAAGAGAGTTAGTACTTGATCTCGTTGATCTTGGCGAAGAATTTATCAAGATTTTCCGGCTTCACTCTGACTGCCCACTGCGAAAACTTTCCGCTCTCATCTGGGAGAAGAACCTGAACACTGTTTCCTTTGGTGGCTTCGTATTTGTATTCTTTCTTCAAAAGGGCGTTCAAGATAACATTTCCACTGGGCTCGGTGCGAAGGACGATACGAGCGCGTCCAGTGACAGGGTGCTTCAGAAGACGAACGACACCGGTACCCTGAACCTTCCAGCTGCCATCAAGCTTGAAAGCACGAGCCCTGACTTCCAACTCGACGTTTTCCTCTTCTTCGCCCACGTTGCTTTGGGTCAAGTTGAAGAACTCACCAGGCTCACCCTCGCCGTCTTCAGTGGTGGCCACAGCGGTCGAGGCTGCTTCAGAGGCGGCTGGGGGTGTCGCAACCGAGGGTTTCTCGGCAGGAGGAGGAATAGTGAAGGGGCCGATGACGGGAGATGGGGTCTGGACGGGTGGTGTCAGAGCAGGTGTAGCCGGGTTCGACACTCGTCCAAACAGACCACCTCCAGCAGCAGAAGCGGGGGCAGATGCTTTGCTATTCTTGAAAGGTGTTTCATCCTCCTTGTCGCTTTCGTCGGCCGAGGGCTTTCGCTTAGGTGCGGTCTGCTGGAGTCCACCAAAGATGTTTTGCGACACGGGAAGTGGCTGGGCACTGCCGAAAACAGAGGAAGTGGACGAGGAAGTTGAACTTGGGGCAAACATCGAGTTAGACTGAGCAGGCTTAGCACCAAAAAGAGACGCAGATGCCGGTGAAGGCTGGGCGGTTCCGAATACCGGCCCAGTGGAAGCTGACGTGGTACTTGAGCCGAAGAGGGACTTGGAGGAAGAAGGAGCATTGCTGGAGCCGAAAAGGGGGGCGGATGGAGCTGGAGCACTTGAGGTAAGCTCAACGGCGGCGGCGGGAGACGGAGCCTTGGGGGTAGACTCGGCGGGGGTTTTCGAAGTAGCTTCCGCATCAACGAACTGGAAGCCTTTGCCAGGGACAAAGACGGTGCGCTTGTTAGAGGCAGCCTCAAGCTTGGCACGCTTCTCACGCTGCTGCTCGGCGTCTTTTCTCTCCCACTCAGCCTCGTCATCTTCGTCAGAGTCGAAATCCTCGGCCTTTCTCTTGGCCTTCTCCTCAGCTGCAGTTTTCTCGGCGTTTGCCTTGAACTGAGACATAAAGTCGATTCCACCAGTGGTGCTGCCACCACTACCGCCGAACTTAGGGATTTCAAAAGCAGGCTTGGGGGCACTGGATGTAGCACCATTCATGTCGCCACCAAGCTTGGGCATGGTGGAGGCGGAGGTGCTCGGGGCAGCTTCAGCTTCGACCAGCTTGAAGCCTTCACCAGGGACAAAGACGCTGCGCTTGCTGGAGGCTGCCTCAAGCTTGGCACGCTTCTCACGCTGCTGCTCGGCGTCCTTTCTCTCCCACTCAGCCTCGTCATCTTCGTCAGAGTCGAAATCCTCTGCCTTTCTCTTGGCCTTCTCCTCAGCTGCGGTTTTTTCGGCGTTTGCCTTGAACTGAGACATAAAGTCGATTCCACCAGTGCTGCCACCGCCAGCACCACCGCCAAACTTAGGGATTTCAAAGACAGGCTTGGGGGCGCTGGATGTAGCACCGTTCGTGTCACCACCAAACTTGGGCATGGAGAAAGCGGGCGCAGGAACGTTGAAGGAAGAGCTAGCAGTGCCATTGCTGAACATAGGAATGTTGGAAGCAGGGGCTGCAGGAGTATCACCAGCTGATTCCGCAGCAATGACGGCCGGAGTAGCAAGCGCGTTGGTAGCAGGAACCACCGCAGGAGCGAAAGGGTTCACTGCGGCGGAAGCTGGGGCAGGAGTAGACGATCCAACAGCAGAAGCCAAAGAGGCACTGGGCGACGAGAAAGACTGCTTGAACTTGTTGGCAGTGTCAGAGGCACCAGATGACGCGTTGGCAGGAGTGTCGGCCTTTTTTCCAGGGTAAATAGGAGGAGGGGTAAAAGTTGAAGGGCTGGGAGGCACGGCTTGCTTGGCAGGGTGACCTTCTTTGACAGCATCGGCATGGTTGATGCCGGCACGGCGGGACTCTTCAGCGGGGTCGATAGCTCCAATAGGGATACCAAGTTCACGGCGAAGTTCACCATAAAGAATGAGGACTTCGTCAATGTTATGCTCCCAAGGATCACATTTGGCGACTTGTTGCTTGAACGCCTCCGTCAACATACACAACTTTATGTACGCCGCGCCGGCGGCTGGGTGGCCGGACTTGCTTGGGGGGTACGCGCTTTTGAGCGGCATATCGGGATATTCAATTGAAGCAGGCTTAGCAGATTGGGGGAAAAGACTGTCGGCTTCTTGAACACTGCGGGTGTTGGAAATGTCATAAGGGTAAATAGTAGGGATAGAAGTTGAAGAGGATGGGAGAGAAGAAGAAGAAGAAGAAGAAAAGGAAGAGGAAGGTAAACAACTTTCTACTTCTGTTGATGGCGTTTGAAAGAAAGACGCGCGTGGTGTTCCGTTCAGGGTCGTATCTTCCTGTTGGGGGGGTTGGCTGGTTGCCTGAGAGCTTGAGAATGAACTCGTGAAATTGTTGAACCCCGTGTTGTTTTTCTCTACTTCCTGTGTTGGTTGCTCCTTTTCAGGCTTCGATGCTGTACTTGACCCGAACAAAGACGCGGACGGTTGTGCCTGAGCAATCGTCTGTTCTGTTGTTTTGGGTGCAAATGGACTGCTGAATGAGCTTTGTCCCGAAAGGTTCGCAAATGGATTGTTAGGTGTTGCAGCTTTTTGTTCTTCTCCAGATATGGCGGGTGCAGAAGATGCGCCAAACATTGATCCGAATGGCTGAGCCTTCGCAGGCTCAGGAGTCTCCTTATCATCTGTGACCTTAGGTGCAAAGATGTTGCTCGTGCCTGGCTGCTCTTTTTCGACCTCTGCGGGCTTCGACGTCACTGGTGTTCCAAACATTGACTTGAACGGCTGGTTTTCGGCAGGCTTGGGGGCAGCATTCTCGGTGGCTGGTTTGGGAGTTGCAAACATATTGCCAAATGCCGGCGAAGCACTCGATTCATTTCCAGCATCCGTTGTCTTCGCTGGTGCTGGTGTTCCGAAGAGGGACTTGAACGGTTGTGTCTCAGCGGGCTTTGAAGCCGCATTCTCAGCAGCTGGTTTGGGAGTGGCAAACATGTTCCCAAACGCAGGAGATGCATTGGTCTCTTTTCCTGCATCCAATGTCTTCGATACGGCCGGTGTGCCGAACATAGGCTTGAACGGCTGTGTCTCAGCGGCTTTTCCCGCACTTTCGGTTCCGGTGACCTTTGAGGTGGATAAGCTCGCGAATGGATTGCTCGCAGCTGATCCCTCTGTGGCTGGCTTGGGCGCAAATGGATTACTAGCAGGCTCTGATGGCTTGGAAGTCGAGGTTGACCCGAAAAGACCACTGAAAGGCTTGGCTACCTCGGCAGGCTTGGCGGGAGTTTGCTCTGCTGCCGGTTTTGGTGCGAACAAGTTGGCACTGGACTGCCCTGAGAGGTTCGCAAATGGATTGCTCGCCGCCGCTCCGTCTGAAGCTGGTTTTGGCGCAAATGGGTTGCTGACAGCTGGCTTTGATTTCGCCTCGTCTGGTTTTGAAGCCGCAGGAGCTCCAAAGAGAGGCTTGAAAGGCTGGGGCTCCGCGGAACTAGCGGCGGCCTGCTCTGTGGAGGCTGGCTTCGGCGCGAAAATGTTGGAGTTCTGTCCTGAGAGGCTGGCGAATGGGTTGGCAGGCGCAGACCCTCCTGTGGGTGGCTTGGCTGCGAAGATAGAAGCGCCCTTGGGCTTAGTATCTGGTGATGTTTGCATGCTATCATCGGCAGGCGAAGTAATGTGTGCGGTGGATTGGCCAAACAGACCGGAGCTTGCTGGTTTGCTTGCGGGTGTGCTTGTGTTCTGCTGGGCTCCAAACCCACCGAACGACGGGGCAGTCTGAGTTCCTCCGCCTCCAGCACCAAACCCGCCGAAGTTGAACCCATTTGTGCCCGCCTGGGAATTTCCACCGAACGATGTGTCTACGGAGAAGGGATTGCTGGCTGGTGGAGCACCAAACGAGGTTGGGCCACCGCCGAAGCTGAATGATGCCTGACCACCCGCCTGACCATTAGTGCCCGATGAGAACATTCCACCCTGACCTGTCCCTGGTGTTGCCCCGGGGAAGCTCTGGCTTTGGCTCTGGGTCTGGCCGAAGGAGAACCCAGTCGACTGGGCCGGGGCGGGAGCGGGAGCCGAAGCAGCGGACGCGAAAGGATTGAATGAGCCTGCATCAGATGCGCCACCGCCAGCTGTGGGTGTCGGAGCTCGACGACTGCGAACACTCTTGATTCTAAGGGTTCCAACAACATCACTGGTCAGTCCAGGTCCCCCGTCGCGATAACAATCACTTACTTTCTTCTGGCTAGCTGAGCAGCTGTCGCCTGTGTAGGCTTTTCATCGGGAGTGCCGATTCCAAAACCACCATCGTCGTCCTTGGACCCCTGGGCACCTTGAGCTCCTCGTTTCGACATTTTAATCGTTTGACAACCACTAGGCACTGAAGGGTCGAAGTCTGCAAGCTGCTGTCCTTCGTGATCAATTACGACCTGGCGAGGATATTATTCGATGAAACCCGATGAGGACTGGACCTCAATATTGCTCCTTGAGTTTCCTTGCGATAGAAGGACGGAGCTTTCGGGGCGCGGCGTCGTTCCTTCTAACTCCGCACCGACTCGAAAAGGCAGCGACGTTGATGATGAATTTCTCTTGCTGAGTCCTTTCGGTTGTGCAGAGAGCAAAAACCAATTTGTCTCTAATATTCTTTGATGGAGTTGTATGGTAATGTCCGCGGTTCCGTGGCACGTTCGCGATCCGTCGCGCAGAAAGCTGACCACGCGGTAAAATGACCTTTCGAGTTGGGAGAAGCGGGTCCGAAATCAAATCGAGGACCTATTCCAATCCCTGATGATATTAGTAGTCGAATTTCGAAATGCCCTGCCCACAACGCAACGAAGGGAATCACTGTTATTTTTTTTCTCAGCGAGCAATCCAAGGCGGAAAAATACGGTCACGTGTTGAGTCTTGGCATCCAAGGTCTATGCTCTCGGGACTCTACAAGCTAACTAGTGATTATTGTTTGCCTGCATCGAAAGGGATGTGAATGCACTATTGTCGCTATTGTTATCAATATTGTACACTTTATGCGACTCATGTCTCAACAATTATCTTTACTGCAAACACGATAAGAACAAGTCATCCTTACATCCTGGACAGGAGAAAGAACTCCACTTATTTATGATGTCTTTCAAGCTTCAATTGCAACAAAACTTACAAATAATTTTCAGAATGGCCACATTCCGAGTCAAGATTGAATACTGACCTTTCAATAAAGAAGAGAGGAAAAACGCTCAATATATGGCTTCTACGGTGACTTCGGCACCCAAGCGGCTTTGTGCGCCTCCCGATCCCGAACCACACGCGGAAAGACGGGGATAGCTCACGCGGAAAGTCGGGTGTAGCTGTTCTAGATGACCAGAGGAACCAATCTTCTCCATTGTTATATATGAACGTGGCTAAATTGCCTCTTACATTGCCCTCTTACATCGGACTAAAGACAGAGTTTAGGCACACTAAGCTTAATGAATTATGCTGACAACATAAGATATTATATTGACCGATCCAAGAAATCACCAAGGAATAAAGTGTTACAAAGTTCGAGTCAAGGCGAATGAAGTCCAGTGTGACATGACGATGTACGTTAGTATATTCGGGCATGTCCATCTCCCCGCATGGCGTGGCGTTTCCACGGGTCTGATGACCTTGTTTCCATTTAAGTTAATCAAAGTTCGCGTATAACAGATCTTAGAAAATTCAAAGCATTTAGAGTACCCGAGTCCGGAGTAGAAAATGAGTGGTTTGACTTTTGTCATGAACATTTGTTACATTGACCCCTGAGTCACATACTCTACAAACCTTGAAGAACAAAAGTGGCTGCAATAGATTCTGCAACTAGTCACATTCCATTCCTATTCGGAGGCGCCCCGGCAGACTAAACATTTTAGCTTGATCTGCACAATGTGATGTATACGAATGCGATTGGTCATTGGTTAAACTAGAGGTATAGACCAGGGGACTCAATCTCTTGTGGGGAAAAGATCAGCAGTCATTCTCGCTCTAGTTCTAAGTTTCATTTCCACGTTCTCATCATGAGGTAGAGATGCCGGCGTGACAATATAGCTTAGGTTCGCTTTCGCCAATCCATACCCCGGTTTACAGTCAGTCGCTGTCACTCGCGATTCATTTCCCGGTTTATTTTCCCGTCTCGAGTAGTATCTCGGGGTGGGATTCTGGATTTGCATTATTCGCTTCAGCTGAAGCTGCAGGGCTCCACCCCTTTTTTGTCATGCGCGATCATGCATTGTCCGATTGAGTCTATTGTTGACTTTAGAGGGGATATACATAAGCCATGTGGTTCCCGGCTCTTTTTCCCGCTCTCTTAGTAGTTCGTATACTCATAGCTTGCCTTGCACTCTCGGTGCTTGATGGGAAATTGGAAACATGTTTTATTCTTCTTTGATCAAATGCCTTCCTCTGTTGGTATGTGCCAATGCTCAACTGCTAGATATCCCGCAAGTGGATAAGCTAGTCAGTTCTGCTATGCGCCCCTTCAAGCAGTATACGTCCTTCAACGCCCCTACGGAGATTGCGAAACTCGCCGCGGCCGTGCAAACAAATGCTGTAAAGGTTGAGTCTGCTGTTGTTGCGGCGGCAGCAGCAGACACTGCGTATTGGCTGGCGGACATTGCTCACCAAGGCATTGCTGCTTTCAATTCGAACCCTTCAGGATATACAGTCTTCCGCAATGTGAAAGACTACGGCGCCAAAGGTAATTATGCAATGACCATGGAACTTGAGAAGTACTAACACGTTGGCAGGTGACGGCGTGACCGATGATACCGCAGCTATCAACGCGGCCATTAGTGCAGGAGGTCGTTTTGGGCCCGCAAGCAGACAGTCCTCCACCACAACTCCCGCAACAGTCTACTTTCCCTCCGGAACATACATTATCTCCAGTTCGATCATTGATTACTATTTCACCCAGCTGATTGGTAACGCGAATGCCATACCAGTTATCAAAGCAACTGCAGGTTTTGTTGGCCTGGGGCTAATCGACGGTGACCAATACCAGAGCGATGGAAATCAGGGTTGGGGATCGACCAATGTGTTTTTTAGACAGATTCGCAATTTGAAATTGGACCTGACTGCTATCCCTGCTGGTACTGCTGCAACGGGTATTCATTGGCCGACTGGTCAAGCAACCAGCATTGAAAATGTCCAGATTGCTATGAGCGCAGCTTCTGGGACTCAGCATCAGGGTATCTTTATTGAAAATGGTATGTCGCAACTTTGGACCTCATTGAGCTTAACTAACAAGATTCAGGATCCGGGGGCTGGTTGTCCGATGTGACCATCACTGGTGGTCTCTACGGAGCCAATGTGGGCAATCAGCAATTCACAATGCGCAACTTGGTCATCTCAAATGCGGTGACTGCGATTTCTCAAATCTGGGATTGGGGCTGGACTTACCAAGGCTTGGTAATCACCAACTGCCAAACTGCCATCTCAATCAGCAATGGTGGCGTCGGCAACCAGCTTGTTGGCTCAGTCAATATCCTCGATAGTACCATCACAAACTGCCCTACCTTTGTGACAACCGCTTGGCAGAGCTCGACGCTCTCAACTGGCAGTCTTATTTTGGAGAACATTGCTTTGAGCAACGTCCCAGTTGCAGTCAAAGGCGCAAGCAGCACTGTCCTCGCCGGTTCAACAGGGACGTCTACTATCGCTGCCTGGGGCCAGGGTCACAAATATACTCCGAGTGGTCCTACCAATTTCCAAGGTTCATTTACTCCACCAACACGCCCAAGTGCCTTGCTTGCTAGTGGATCAACGAAATATTACACTAAGACTAAGCCCCAATATTCCCAGTCACCGGTGGCTTCCTTTGTCAGCATCAGAAGCGCGGGTGCCAAGGGAGATGGTTCAACCGATGATACAACCGCCATTCAATCTGCCTTGACCTCTGCCGCAGCTGCTGGTAAAATTTTATTCTTTGACCAGGGAACATACAAGGTCACTCGGACTCTCTATGTTCCCCCCGGCTCTCGGATCGTCGGCGAGGCATATCCGGTCATTATGGCCAGCGGAAGTACATGGGCGAGTATTACCAAGCCCATCCCCGTTGTTCAAGTCGGCAAATCTGGGGAATCTGGATTAGTTGAATGGTCCGACATGATTGTGAGCACCTCAGGCTCTACGCCTGGAGCTGTTCTGATTGAATGGAACCTGGCTGGGACATTGGGATCAGGAATGTGGGATGTTCACACGCGCATTGGAGGATTCCAAGGATCTCAGCAGCAGGTCGCTCAATGTCCAACGACCGCAGCAGTCTCTGCGGCTTGTGAGGTTGCTTACATGTCTATGCACATCACCAGCGTTGCTAGCAACGTTTACTTGGAGAACGTTTGGCTTTGGACTGCCGATCATGATCTTGAAAGCCCCACAAACACCCAGATCTCGATCTACTCTGGGCGTGGTCTTTTGGTGGAAGGCAAGAATGTTTGGCTGTAAGTGATCTCGCCAATCTTTCAAGGAACTGATAACTAACGTGGAGAAAAAGATACGGAACCGCATCTGAGCATCATTCGCTATACCAGTACCAGTTCTCGAGCGCCAGCTCGATTGTGGCCGGATATGTTCAGACAGAAACCCCGTAAGTTATCTCTTTAAGTATCACCACTGGATCTCTCTCCTAACGAGATCACAGATATTACCAACCAAACCCGAATGCAGCAAACGGCCCATATCCTACCAACTCGGCACTCAACGATCCCAACTACAGCAGCTGTCTCGGAGGAAATTGTGACTCGCTTGGTCTCCGCGTTCTCAATTCCAAGAACGTGGTCATCTACGGCGCCGGCTTCTACAGCTTCTTCAATAACTACAGCACCACATGCTCTACATTCCCGCTTCCCGAGAACTGCCAGAGCATGATTTTCAGCATCGAGGGTACCACAACTGGACTAGTGGTTTACGGACTTAACACAGTCGGAACAACTTATATGATTGTCAAGGATGGAGTTGCGCTCGCGCAGGTCAGCGATAACTTGGCGACTTATGCTGCCACTATTGCCTACTTTACCCTCTAGAGTGCTTGAGCTGCTAGAATTACATTCAATATGATGTCCTTTTCAAAGAACAATGAAAATCGCGAATGATCTAAGAATGCGGTTGATCGCAGTCCCGTCGGATTCATATCCGCGTGGAAATCCGGGGATGTGGAGACTCGTGAGGGGTTCCAAGGTTCACTCGGAAAAACGCATATAGATACCCCGAAGTCAAGCGTTTGATTTAATACTCAGGCACTGCACCCTTGATACTTTGAGAACCCCGCATTTGAATATTCCAGTCGCACCGCTTACCTCTAACCAGCACTATGGCAACAACCGACGCCGAAATTTCTTTCGATGACCTCCCACTAGAACCAACAGGCCCTCGAGGAAACGCCTGGGGCCGATTCGGAAAAGATGACCAGCTAGGAACATTGAACCTACTTACCCCGGAGCGAGTCGTCGAAGCCGCGAAGGAAATCCGAACGGGTGTGCGCATTTCGCTCGACTGGCCTCTCAGCATGCCATCGCACCCAAGCTTCAACCGCGACCCTTTCAAGCAGGAGCTTGTTTTTCGGAGTCCGAATTGTGTCTTTGATGATGTCTTGACGTTTAATAGTCAGGGCTCTACGCAATGGGATGGATTCAGACATTATGGTATCGTCTGAGCGCTGTGAGCCGTGAGCAATGCTGATATGTTTCAGCGAATCAAAAATCGAAACAGTTTTATAATGGGCATACAGCAGAAGAAATCCAAAGCTCGAATGTTATCAGCATGCACTGTATGTCTTGACTATGGCGAATACCCGACTGAAAATTAACCCCAACAGCTTTCTGTGAACACGGCGGAATAACAGGCCGCGGAGTCCTCCTCGATTACGCAGAGTGGGCGGCTACAAACTCCGTATCCGTATCGGCGCTCGAATCCGAAGCCATCACACTCGAGAACCTGCAGCAGGCCGTCAAACACTATAAACTCGAATTCCGAAAGGGCGATATTCTATTTGTCCGCTGTGGCTTTACATCAGCTTATAACAAACTAAATGATAAGCAGCGCAAGGACCTGGCACTCCGACCATCGCCTGATTTTAACGGCGTCGAGGCGACGGAGAGCATGGTGCGATGGTTGTGGGAACGGCAGTTTTCTGCTATTGCGGGTGATGCGCCGAGCTTTGAGCGTGCGCCTATTCGGGGTGCTCATGCGGATCCTGAATTTAATTTGCATGAGTGGGTGCTTGCGGGTTGGGGTACGCCTATTGGGGAAATGTTTGATTTGGAGCAGCTGTCGGAGCATTGTAAGGCTGTTGGGCGGTATACATTTTTCTTGTCAAGCATGCCTTTGAAGGTCTGTGCATATTTTTCTTTCATTTTGGGTTATTACATATTGCTGATTGTGAATCGCTCTAGGTTGTTGGTGGTGTTGCTAGTCCCCCGAATGCCTTCGCTATTTTCTGAGATTGATCACTGGTTTGGTCATGACAGAATAGTAACTTCTTCTCGAACATAATGTAACCCTTCCACTATGTGATATCTACATGACAAACAAAAAGGAAGCCAAATTACGGAAAATTAACCATCCCCCAATAAAGGGCTCGACGCCACTAATCGGAATTCCGGAACATCAGGCATTTCGGGACGAGCAGCATGTATATCGACCAATATTGCTATATGGGTGAGGGGCTCCACTTCACACGTAGCCACCCCTTCCAAGTGTTCAACTTGACTGACATTTGGGGGAGAACATCCCACGTGGCGGGATGAAAGCCGCCTTCTCTCCCGCCGAGTGGAGAAAGTGGATACAACCTCCAAAGTTACTAGAAGGAGGGGGAAGTTGTACAGTTGTACGCCGAGTTCGAGCGGCTGAGGAGCAATCCTCCAAAGGTATAAATTCCCCTGATAATGCTCTGCATCTCTCAATCTTTCACAAATCACACTCATCCTCTCCAACACGTCTCAACCTCCCTTCTCGCCAACATGCCTATCGAAGTCCCCCAAGCCAACTCCCTTAAAGACCTCCTCAGTCTGAAGGACAAGGTCATTGTCGTCACCGGCGCCTCCGGCCCAAGAGGCATCGGTCTCGAGGCAGCCCGCGGCTGCGCCGAAATGGGCGGTAACATCGCAATCACCTACTTCTCCCGCCGCGAAGGCGCGGAAGCAAACGCCAAAGCCCTCCAAGAAGAGTACGGTGTGAAAGCCAAAGCCTACAAATGCGACACGTCGAAGTGGGATGAAGTGCAAGAGCTCGTCAAAAACGTCATCGCCGACTTCGGCAAAATCGACTCCTTCATTGCGAACGCCGGCCGCACCGCCGACGCAGGCGTTCTCGACGGCTCCGTCGAGGATTGGCAGAACATCATCCAGGCCGATCTCAACTCAGTCTTTTACTGCGCCAAAGCTGTCGGCCACCATTTCAAGGAACGTGGTCGTGGTAGCTTCGTTATCACTGCTTCGATGTCCGGTCATATTGCCAATTATCCCCAGGAGCAGACTTCTTACAATACCGCTAAGGCAGGCTGCATTCACATGGCTCGCTCGTTGGCTAATGAGTGGAGGGATTTTGCTCGCGTCAACAGCATCTCGCCTGGATACATTGATACTGGCTTGTCGGACTTTGTTAGCCCTGAGGTGCAGCAGCTTTGGAACAACATGATTCCTATGGGTCGCACTGCTGATCCTAAGGAGTTGAAGGCGGCTTATGTTTATTTCGTTAGCGATGCTAGCACATACACGACTGGTTCGGATCTGCGGATCGATGGTGGCTACGTTTGCCGCTGAAGGGGGGGTTTTTGTGAAGGTATATGAAGAAGCGTTGTCTACGGGGATGTCTTATGTTAAAATAGAACCGAATAGAACCGAACAAATGCGCGAGTCAAAGAGTTTAGAAATAAATGAGCGTTTAGAACTCGGCTAGAAACCGTCAGTGAAAGCAACACTTGGAGTGTGACTATATCTATGTACTCTCACATTATAATGTCAAAGTACCACCATCAACAAGAATATCAGCGCCAGTAATATACCGACCAGCACGCTGGCTACACAGCAAAACAACAGCCCCAGTGAGCTCTTCGGGATCTCCCATACGGCCCATAGGACAGCGAGAATTCCAAATTTTTCTAAGATCCGCCAAATTATCTCCAGCATTCAGGATAGTATCCATATACCCCGGACTGATACTATTCACTCGAATCCCATGCACAGCCCACTCAGCAGCCAGACTACGTGTCATATGTATGACACCAGCCTTACTGGCATTGTAGGCAGCCTGTGGTTGTGGGAAGTTGATCAAGTGTGCCGATATAGACGCAGTGAATACAATGCAGCCGCCTTTCCCGGATGATTCCATGATCTTTGCCGCTGCTTGGGCGCAGAAAAACGACCCATTGAGATTGACGTCCATCACTCTGTTGAATTGATCCGGCGTGACCGAGAGTGATGGCTGGGTTCCCGTGATCCCAACAAAGCAACAGAGGACATCAATTCCTCCCATAGTGTTGTCTGCATGCTCGAATGCAGCTTGGATCGATTCTGTGGACGTAACATCCAACGGAATACCGGTTATCACCACAGAAGGGAACATATCTTTAAGATCTTCGATCTGCTTGTGCGACGTCTCCAGAGTCCCCGGTAGATCCATGATACATAGCGCGGACAGTCCGTGTTCGAGCAAAGCCTGCGCGGAGATTAACCCGAGTCCTCCTGCCCCGCCTGTCACTACGGCTTTTCCGTGGACTTGGAATCGGGCTTCTGCTCGCTCGCGCGCAGATGTCGTGGCTACAGGAGCTAGAGGGCGGGTGAGAGGATTGGAGCCTGTGGATAATGTCATCTTTGGGATGACTCGGGCAGTCAATAAGGCTCGCTCGTCGGCGGCTGCTTTCATTTTGGCGTCTTGGGTCAACATGGCGATACAGTGGTGTTAATTCGGGAGTCTTGTCTCCAGAGAGGGCTACGAGAAGAGTTTTTTCGTCAAAGACCGGGCGGATTTGAAATCGATAGATACCGCAGAGTCAGACCGAAAAAGGAATTTATTGCAAGGAAGATGAAACTGTCTAAATTGGGGGATTGGTGCAGAGAACCCCTCCCTTCCGTTATCCTTACTTCCCTTTTATTTTCGCTTTTTCTTATTACTTGTACTTCAAGACAACCTTACCGTTGTCGTTTCCTATAATATAAGGTATAAACCCGTCGTACGAGAGCTTGATGTAACGCTATGTATATACGTGAAGACTATTACAAAGGGTGGCCTTACTCTCTATCGAGGTATTCTCTATAGCGAATGTGATGGGCGAAGTTACCCTTTTAATGCTTCCTGTGATTTGAAATGACCAATTCAAACCCCGCAAATTCTGTGATCCAGTGCGGAAACCTAACTCTTCTCCTTATGTGGATGTCTCCTTACGTGACTAATGCCTCTGTTTCCGCCCGCGGGCCTTTCGGTCTATTAGGTCAACAGGCTCCCGAACCTTCGAAAGTTCCCCACGATCTATTATTAGTCGCACTGAGTAACTGCTTAATTGCGTGGCGCCTCATAGCATAGTTGCTAATTTAATCAGCAGAACAGCATCTCTTTCCAAGGTTCTTCACATTCTATACTAGAACGGTGCATTGGCGTGGTACTGGTTCCATGGCTGCATTATTTGCCTCCTTACCGTAAAAGACAGTCGGTTGTTTGAATCCACCTTCTCACCTGCAGAAATTCGTGGTCAGTTCCCGATACGAGTTTGTCAAGGTGGATACTATACGAACTTGAACCAGCAGGGTGACCGGGTGACCGCAAGATTGACATGAGATTCTTTGGTATGGACCAGTCGACCAAGGGCTTGTTGGCTTAAGGACGAAATACTCTACTCCGTATCCGATTCCTACTTCCATTTCGATTGCCTGTACGCTCAACTACAAAGGTACGTTATGACGAATGGAGAAAGCCTCGGGTCTGGCCGGGCACGCATAGATGAGTCGGGAGCGGATAGACCGGCTGAATTCATCGTTTGATCCAGATGGAGGATCATCAACAAAAGCTCTAGCCAGTGTTGAGGAATTTGCGGGGTAACGTGGTGGATGTAACGCTACCCGGTGCGATGTCTTTGATGCGGACTACATGCAGTGGCGGTGATGCGCATGTCTCACCTGCCACTCGTGTTGATTGGTCGTGGGATGGACCCGTGGGCGGTGGCCTGAAAATCCAAGACATAGAATGGGTGCCATGTCTTACAACGTAGATCAAAGGCTTCCCGGATGGACTCCATCAATACATCATCGGTTCTACCTGTGGTCCTGGCAGCAAACCTATATGAAGGCCGCCAATTCCTTCCCTTGTCGAGAAGGAAACAGATAATCCAAGCTTCTATTGCAAAACAAAAAGCGAAATACCAATCATGAAGACCTCCCTGATCACATTTGGTGCCCTCCTCGGCCTGGTCTCGGCCCAGAATGCCGTCGTAAACAACCACTGTGCTACCACCGTGTATGTGCAGTCGTTCCCTTACGATGGCAGCGCGCCCGGCCCTCTCACCACCGTTCCAAAGGGCGGAACTTTCTCTGAGAAATTCAGAACCTCTGGTTCGGTACGTTATTTCATCCTATTCGGTCTGCTCAGAACTCCATATAGCAAGGGAAACTGACTGGAGATGGAATGTGCAGACCGTCAAGATCGCCAAGACAAAGACCCTAGATACGCCTCTCTTCTTTGGCTATTCTTTCTCGTCCAACCCAGACTACGCGTACTGTGAGTGCACCCAATCTTTATGACATCTGGGAATCTTTTATTAACCGCATCCTTCTTCCAGATGAACTGAGCACGGAATGGGGCAACCCCTTCGCAGCGAATCCCAACTCGCTTAGTCCCGGGGACGGCTGTGAGGTCTTTGACTGTGCGGCCAATGATGCTGACTGCTACAGTACTCCGGCTCATAAGAAGGTCTATGGGTGCCCCCAGCCAGTCACCCTCACGGCGGACCTTTGCCAGTAATAGGGCTATGGGGATCTCTCTGTTTTCTTGTCCTTGTTTCAACCTGTCGCAGCCCGTCTGAAGTATGACTATCTGTTAGAATGAGACAGGGATTCTTCGTGACACTAGCATAAATAATCATAATGAAAGAAAATACAGCACACAACCACAACACCCTTAGTAGTTTTACGACCCGACCGTGACACAGCATCAAAAGCCAGAACTTACCTGCAGATAGTAGTACTAAGCTTGTAGCAAATATCACAGTTCCAGGTACCTCAATGATCCCGTTGTGCTGTAAAGGTGTGCCAACGTTGACAATATCTTTGCGGTCTCGAACTAGCTTGACATAGATCAGGTGAGGCAAAGGAGGAGTTTAGCCAATGATATTTCCCTGGACAAGGAGGTGCAGATGGAAAAAGGCACTGGGGTATTTGAATGACGATTATCATTTTCGGCGTGCTGGAGAGAAGTCCCGAGGTTGATATCGAATGTTTGGAGAAATGCAAGGGCGGCTGTGAGGCGGGTTTGATCCGCCAAAAGTGGGTATCTCTACAGGAGGGTGCCAGATCATGACACAGATTTACAAGCACAGAGGCTGAAGGGGTGTCCATTACACTGAGGTAACTTTCAAGGTTGGCTTTCTTTATGAGACCCTTTGTTAATTCCTACATGCAGGTCAAATGTTCTAAAATGTACGTATGAGCTTTGGCAGCTCGTGGAACCAATATTCTCCGTACCTATGTAGGATCATATGTAGTTGTCCTCTACTAATCTTTATGTATTTCGCACTACTGGATATTGGATGGCCTTCTTCCAAGGTCGTCGCTGTCGGGGTGATATCTGACGTTCGAAATTACATGCCAATATATATATTGATAGGTTGGCCCTGCCCTTGACGGATTAAGTCTAGATCGCTCAACTGCTCGGAAGGACGCTAGCCTCCAATTGCATGCGCTATTTAGTCAGAGGAGTTTTTTTTTCTTTGTTACTACTATGAATATTCGCCTGTGATAACTTGATATATCATTTTCGATTCCTCACTGATCAAGCGCCATAGCCCTAGGATAACCTTGGAAGCTGTCACATTAATCCGCTTCGCTACAGATACTTCTATTCTAAGTATCAATTACGAAGATAACGTAATCACTAATATCCTCTGATAGCTCAGCTGGAAGAGCGCCAGACTGTAATTGAGTTTGTCATCTGGATGTCCCTGGTTCGATCCCGGGTCAGAGGAATTTTTGTCTTTTTGATACACATAACATAGTACGTACACATCCGTGAAGTAGGTAGACCTTAGAAAGGAGTCATTATCTACTCGATATGATGTATCGATACAAAGTAAAGAATTATATGTGGGGGTCAACTAGAGGCGTATAGACAATAGTTATTTCCCGAAAGTTATCCGCTCCAAGCTAAGGAAACCTAAGGTTGTTGCTTTTCAATATGGCCCTAGGCTCTTGAGCGCAATTTGGGAATTTGACATCCATGAACCCTATTACGGCTGAAAGAGCGTAAAGCTGTAATGGTCGTGATTGACTACATATGTTAGGGGCTGCTTTCGTATCTCGTCTCCTTTGTTTCTATTGCCAAAGTACAAAAACCTGAGTATAGGTCTCTAGTTAACATTCCCTAGTATGTATGTATTTAGCTATATACCTAGTATCAAGGAACCTGTATAACTAACCCATACGCAAATTACACTAGCTTATAGACATGTGACTAGGTAACATGAAGAAAAAGCAAAAAATTCCTCTGACCCGGGATCGAACCAGGGACATCCAGATGACAAACTCAATTACAGTCTGGCGCTCTTCCAGCTGAGCTATCAGAGGATATTAGTGATGATACCTGGATTATCTTGATTATTGAGACAAAAAGACACCACTAGGTCATTTTCAATCTTGCAGCTGCACCCCGAATCTAACACCAAAAACCCTTGACGTGTCCATTCATTTTGCATCGACTTATTCTACGAGACCTGATTCTACACTATATTCTATATAACAACTGTATTTTCCACCAAGAAAAACCACTTGTTTCTGCTACTAGCGCTGATTTAGAATACGCCTATCTATGTCTGCTTCAAACCTTTAAAGCTGCGCAATTATTCGTAAACTTTGTTGACGTCAGCACAGCCCTGGAGTGGAACGTTGAATACAAAATGTCAATATGTATTTATGCAAACAAGCTATGGTCTATACAGAAAGCTAAAATAGTCAAACACATCCATGGATCTAAAGGATGAATCTATGTTCTAAAAGGAGGAAGCCCTGCTCCTTCGATGTTCATTATCGTCCAATCACGCATCATTAGCACAAGACCAGCTTTGGCTGCTGGAGTCATTGTGGATCGCGACACCGGACACGTATAAGCCCAATCCGCACTGAATACGATTAGTCATGGTCAATGCGAAAAGACTAGGGCCACTCACAATAGCGAAAGCAATAGCCAAAACTCCGATGTTGGTTATCGTCAGAACAGTCTTCTTCCAATTCTGGAAGTATCGGCCCTTGTTCATGTAGAACCAGAAGATCGCGGGTAAGCCGACTGTGAAATAAAAGTCAGTATTTCTTAAGACTCCTGGAATTTCCAAAGCTTAGATGGGAGAGGGTTGATCTTACAGCTGAACCAACTTCCAAACAGCGCACTCTGTAGGATCTGTATTAGCCAATGTTCTCTGTCGAGTTGTACAGTGCTCAAAACTTACAATCAAACTCAGCAGATCGTTGAAAACGGGAATCGACTCGGCAACAACCCAGGCCACAACCCAGACACCAAGACAGATAGCAACCCAGGACCCAACTGAGAGGAAACTGCGGCTATGCATTTCGTCGGATCCACGGAAAATACGCACGTAAATGTATTTGCACGCAACATGACCCAGGACAACTCCGGAAAGAATGGTCTGTGTTTTGTTAGTAAAGAATACGGAATCAACAAGTCAAACGTACAGTTGGGATAGAAAGACCCCATGCAATCTTGCTCATTAAGGGGCTCAAAGACAGAATGGCGGGCGACTGGACATTGGGTCCGACGTAGTGGTAGATGAGCAAAGCGCTGACCAAGTACAAAACAGTGTCGACAATTTGCAACATAGCGAGAGATTTGTTGAAGGTGCGTGGGTCCTCAGTCTCGGACATGAACCCGAAGTAGGCAACATGGGCAACTAAATGGTGGGTTAGCTCATGATTCAACGACTATCGAAAACATCATTTGATGTTCAATATTCCACATACGGTAAGCGAAAATGATGTTGGTCACTGCCAAAAAGCCCTCGCGGAAGGTGACCTCCGTAGTGACTTCGTTGACGACATGTCCTTTGGTCTCGACTCCCACGGTGATCATGGTCAACACTGTGGCGACAAAGACACTCAAGAATGCTAGATATAAGTCAGTCAAATCGTTCGCGGTATCAGGAGGAATCATACTCACAGACAACGGACATAACATAGACCTTGTCCATGGTACGAGGCAAGGCGCCCAAGAAGCAGATAATCAGTCCAACCACACCGAACACCAAGGTACAAGTGCCGTGGTCTGTCAGAACATTCATCAGAATATTGAACATCAGGATGTTGCTAGCCATAAGGAAGATCAACAGAAGCAGCTGGCCGAGTCCCAACAGCTCGCGGCCGAAGGGACCCATCAAGAGCTCGCCAGCATCTCCCATGCTGTGAATCTCGGGGTGACGGAGCTTGAATTGACCGATTACGTAGCCCGTGTACCATGAGAGAGCTGAAATGAACAGAATCATGATAGCAGCGCTATTTTTGCATGTTAGTCAAGGGAGTTGTAGAAGCTGAAAAGAAGATACATACGGGACCATTCCCAGGGTAGCAACGGCGGATGGCAGAGAGAGAATTCCGACCGAGACGTTCTCCGCAATCATGACTGGTTTCTTCTGTTAGAATTTACAACTTCTAAAAAGCGTGATATGTGCAATTAGAAACTCACGCATTCCACAGTGCCTAGTTGATCATGATTAGCCATGTTCGTATTGGCGGTTAAAAAGATGTCGAAAAAGAACTTAGTTACTTACCACCATTTCATAGTCCGATACTTAACCTCCGCGGTCTCCTCATTACCAAAAGGCTCCAATTTACTGGCGTCCAATGGCTTCTCCATGTCTTTTTCATAGGGTCCATCGATGACCTCTTTGCCGTCAGTGGCATACGACTCCTCGTCTCTCATATTGAGCGAATAGATTCGACTGTCAAAGTCGAGAGTTGAAAACCAACTGAACGAATTGACACAAGGCAATCAATGACACATATGTTTCAAAGACTAAAAGATTAAAAAAATCAACCTACCCCAGTCACAGCCAAGAAAACTCTGAAAGCGCTCCGGGGAACTTAAGTGGAGCCGCAGTTTTCCGATGTTGTCGGCCCGGTATGTGTCGTGTGCCGAATCCGGCGAACGATGCGCATGGTTTCTGCGATAATTATAGAATTTTGTTTTGAGGGGATCAGTATGTTATGAGGGTCTGAAATATGTCAAGGTAGAAATATTGACATCGAACTCGGTAAACGGACGTAATATGTGTTCGGAGAGTCCGGATACTCTAGAAGCATATATCTTTGTGAAGATATGTGCCAATGCAAAGATCTTGGCAAAAATTTATTGCTAAGCATCAGATTAGAATAATACTAATTAACAAGCTTCAAATGATCGTCGAGTTAGTGAAGTTGGCGTTCTCCGCCTGGACTTTCAGCTCTCCGGTATACCGACGGGATCTAGGGATGTCCTCGGGATAGCCCTGCAGCTCTAAAATTGATGACTAACGCGGGACAAAAGCGGGTTCTCCCGCCTTGTGCATCAACATCTGTTGTTTACCAAGGCCAACTATTTGATCATATTCAATTTGCAAAGAATCATCCATGGATAAACCCCGCAAACGCGCTTCATTGGCATGTAACTATTGTCGGAGGCGGTGAGTTTCCTTGCTACTTAATCGTTTCCTATATTGATGCACGACCAGGAAACGGCGCTGCAACGGCGTGTTCCCCTCTTGTGGTCTCTGTGAAGATTCAGGTATTGAATGTGTTTATAATGAAGTCGATTCTTCAAGGTGAGGAGCCCATTTTAACGCGATGACATCGCTGATCTTGACAGGCCTCGAGGAGAGAGTTTCTCCTCTGAGTTCTTCCGACGTCTCGATACAATTGAGAACTTTCTATGGAGCAACCCAAGGCTTCCCCCAACTCCTCAAACGGGTGAAACCAGAAATGGGGGATTTTCATTCCCACCGACGTCCTCAGAACATGAAAGGACGGACTTTTCCCAGCCTTCAGCTATGTTGATTTCTTCTCCGTCAAGGTCCAATCCAGCGGATGTTTCTCAGCTTATTAGTACTAATTCGCCGTCATTCATGCCGCCCGAGCACGATATCCCACCCATGAGCATTCCTATTGGCCACACCACCACAACAGAATATATGTTACATATGAGCAAAGTGAAGACACTCTTCGGAGAATTTCCGCCAGACTTGTTTATACGCGCCGAGTCAAGAAGACATATGCCTCACCAATTATCCTTTGTCCCGGGCACAATTAATGCGAATCAACTACCTGTACTCGATGGAGCCAGCACCTATCCACTGGTGGAGGCATACTTCAAACATGTTCATGCTGAAATGCCAATCCTTGAAAAAGACCAATTCTTGGCTCTGTATGATCACCATGCTAGATCGGGACTAAAGGTTGACTGTGACTCTGCTTTATGTCTTGCAGTGCTTGCATTGGGTTCTGCGGCACTTGAGCAGGTTGATCCGACAAAGTCTAGCTCTCCATACTGGGTGCCTGGAGCGGATTACATCTCGCCTGCATTACAAATATTGATGAACGAATACTTGCTGTCTTTTTGTCCAACAATCACTCTTCCTCAGAGCTTGATATTAATTTCCAAATATTTTGGATTCCTCTTACGACCATTGCAATCGTGGAAGTTGATTCACATGGCCTCTACTAGCATCCAATATCTGAATAGCCGGTGAGTCTCGATCTTGGCTTCTATCTAGATACAAGACTGACCATTCTTCGCCCGGGCCCAATAGAAGTCAAGCTTCACCAGACAACCACGGACTGAAGTCTAGTATAATTCTTTTATCTTGGGCGGCGTTTGATACTGAATGGTCAGTTTGTCAAAATCTATCACGATATATGATAACTATTGACACTTCATGTAGCGACTTGATTGCTGAACATCACTTACCACGAAGCGGTATCGAACATGTGATTGACCTGACCCCTTTCCCGACCTTCGCAGATCACGAATCCCAAGAGACAAATCTCTTCCTTGCAGAACTGTCCGTACGCCGTCTGCTGAATCGCGTACATCACACCATGTATGGAAGCGACTGGACAAGGCGCAGCCTCGGTCTTCAGCCGGCTTCGAGTGATAGTCCCTCATATGACTTCCAGTCACTCTCTAACATTTTAAGTGTGTCTCAAGAGCTTGACCGACAGCTCAATAATTGGTTTGACTTGCTTCCGCGAACGATTAAGCCAGATTTAAATGATCCATCTCGGTCTACTGGCCTTCAGATCAATATGCTTCATCGTTTTCATTCAGCCAAAGATATCATAACGAGACCATTCCTTCTCCGTGCGATTGATTCGTCGCCTGAGAACGAGGTCCCACCTATGGTTCTCAAACAGTGTGAGGCTAGTATAGCGAATTGCCGCGCATATTTGAATGCTTCAACACGCAGACTGATGAGCCCATCGACTTGCGCAGAGATTATCATTCACACGTATGCTATTCTTGTCCACGGAATCTTTTGAGTATTATAAACCAACTAATTATTTATTCCAGGATGTTTTCTTCCATTACTCTCTTGACTTTGAGCTCGGTCTGTCCTACTCTGGCACACTTGGTTCCAGATATTGATACCATGCAAAAGAAAACGATTGCCGCCATCGAACGATTTGCCGTGGTCGAGTCTTCGATAGAGGAAGTTCATGGAATCATTCTTCTATTACACAGCAAGACTCGACTCTTGAGACGGGGTATGAAGCACTCATGATTCTCCAGCATTTTTTCCTTGATTGGTATAGAATCAACAATTTGGAAATGCGGAGGTCTCTGTCGGCCTCACTCCACACCTTGAATGATCACCTTCAAAACGTCTTCTCCACCTTTCCTCACCTTCTGAAACGCCTCTTCAGCCTCTTCAAACTTGAAGCGGTGCGTGACAAGCTTCTGAGGCTTCACACGGCCACTGGCCACCAGGTCAATAGCCGCAGGATAACAGCCGGCCTTGTATCGAATCGATCCTCTGATAGTCAGGTCTCTGATACAAGCGATAGTAATCGGGAAGATGATATTCTGTCAACAATGTCAACTCTGCTCAGCTCACAAGCCCAGTCGAAAAGATCTTACCTCACGTCCCATGCCGGCTTGAACAAACATTCCCCCCTTTTTACACAACTGAACACCAGTTTGGATAGCACTCTGTGCGCCAGTAGCATCAATTACCACATCAGGACCTTCGCCCAATCCAAAGTCCTTCTTAATGGTTCCCGCAACATCCCCATAAAACGCCACCTCCGCATCCGCATCATGTGGCTCCGTACTCGGCCACTGTGGTGGCTCGAAGACACCATCCACAGACTGCATCACATTCTTTGCCATATCCAACCGCTTCCTATTGACATCGATCCCAATCACCGTCTTGGCTCCGTACTGCTTTGCAACACTCTGCACTAGGAGCCCGATCGGCCCGCAACCAAATACCACAACCGTCTGGCCGCCGCGAACCTTGCCAACTCGACAGATCTGCACAGCGCACGCGACTGGCTCGCAGAGCGCGCCTTCTTCCAGGCTCAGATGCGCTGGTAGCGGATAGCAGTAGTCTCCAGCGGTTTTGAAGTACTTTGAGAGCGTGCCGTTGTGCGGAGGGGTCGCTGCAAAGACTGTATCCAGGCATAGATTGTATGACCCACTTCGGCAATATGAGCAGTGGCGGCATGGCACGCCGGGCTCAATGGCTACGTTGTCACCGGCTCTGAGGTGCTTGACTGCTTTGCCCACGGATACAACCGTTCCCGCGGACTCGTGTCCGAGGACTATGGGGGAATTTAGGATGAAGTCGCCAATGCGGCCTCGCTGCCAGTAGTGCACGTCCGAGCTAAATGAGATTTGTTTAGATCAGTGTTGTTTTTGACTATCAAGATGTTGGGTGGTTGAGGTATGCTGTGCGTACCCGCAAATGCCTGTCTGCTTGATTTGAACGATCACATCGTATGGATCCTCGATTTCTGGGACGGGTATGTCTCTGATGGTAACATGTTGAACTGCTTCGAGGACGAAAGAACGGTTGTTTCCTTTGAATCCAGACATGGTTTCTTGTTTCAAGACCTGCTGATTAGAGTCGTTATACTGTGACTTCATGAATTTGGATTTTATACATAAGCTTGAAGGCATCAAAATTGAACCATTATGCCAATATGCGGGGAAGAGCTGCATTTCACCTTCTTTCTTTCATGGATGGACCTTCCAATAAATCTGCTGCGTGGGGGTTAGTAACACAACGTCCAGGCAATCTATGAGCGGCCCCGCGGCGGTTGACTCCCGCCTGGATGATCCGCCGTGGGGCCGCTGTTTACGGGTCCAGTACCAATCACGCCCATAACGCTCTGAATTATTCAAGAGACAAATTCGGTCCAGGGGAACAACATCTAGATGTCAAATATTATGCGATCGCTTCCTTCCACCAAATTGCTCTATATCTTTGACAGTGAACACGTTGAAATATTGAGACCGGCATGGGTGGCACGGACCACCGGATGAACCTTGATCCCGCCTCACCGCATGGCCATGCCACCAAGAGCAGTCCTAGCGAGGAGCTGGCATTGCTCTTAAGTGCTCTTGAGTGCTCTTCGGACCAAGCATGAATCAAATTCCATTGGCCCAGGAACTCTCCAAATCCAAGTGTGACCAGTTCTGGGTATGACCAGGAACCCCTTGCTTCGGCTTGCATTCGACTGACCAATCTAGGACTCACATAATGCGTGGTTATCACCTTGCGCACTGCCCTATCTGTCGTGCATCCCGACAGTTATAGTTTTGCTTATTGTATCAAATCATCTGCTCGGGAAATTTATTCAGCGATGGCGCCCAAAGTGGACGATCCCATTTGTCTCCGAGACCCATGATTCTCAAGAGTTCCCACTAGATCGGCCAAAGCAATCTTTGAAATGGACTGTCTCTCTCCTCATATTCTCAGGTATTGGCCTTGTGGCCGAGACTGTCCAGTTCATTCCTCCGATAATTGATTTGTCGGCTTTTGTCCTTGTTTTATCATGGGTGAGCTATCTTCTGCTTTTAGGTGTACGATTATTGATATTCTTATCCAGGCTGTAGCTGCCATTCTAATCGCTACCAAGAGACCCAGAACATGTTCGATTTCGATGCTTGCGTACTATATCCTGACTTTTGCAATTGAACTCTCATTGGCTACTAATCCTAATCTGCGCCTCAAGTTCAAGATTGTTGCTCATTACCTTGCCGCAGCTTCCTCGGCAGCGGCTTGCGTGACGATCCTGCTCATGCCGTTTCGGGAGCCTTCTTTGTCGTCAATTGATGTCAGTGCTGTCGGCCAACAGCCATCTAGTGACTTCCGCACACCGGAGGATGATCTGAAGCTTTGGCAATTCCTCACAGTGTCCTGGATGGCTCCACTCATTTCTACTGGATGCAAAAGACAACTACATGAATGTGATGTCTGGCTACTTGGGTTTGAGTTTCAGCATCGACGGCTACATGAGAAATTCCGTCAGCTCCGGGGGTCTGTCCTCGGTCGACTATTACGGGCCAACGGAATTGATATTTTCATCATCTCTACTATTTCGATTGTTGATACCTTTTGCAGTGAGCGAAATGAATTTCTCCCCCTTTTTCTAGCACTTACGATATGCGCAGAATTCTCTATCCCAGTGTTGCTGCAACAACTGCTGCAGGCCATGCAGGACCCAACCCGACCAAAGCGTGCAGCTTTAACTTTTGCCTTTCTATCATTCGCACTGAGACTAATCGCTGCCCAGGCTCAAGTCCTTTTGATTTGGTATGGCCGAAGGTCCTATGAAAGGTCGAGGGGTGAGATGATCATGATGGTCTATGAAAAAGCCCTTTCAAGAAAAAACATCCTTGGGATTGTGATCGAGAGTACTCCGGAACCAGCCAGCGAGGGTCTTCATAGCGTTAATAACGAGACTGAAATCCAAGAAGATCAACCACCCTCAACCAAAGCTGTTGAAAGCTTCTGGCGCCGCATCGTCTCCCGAAGACAGAATGTCCCGAAGGAAAATGCCAAAGAAGCAGCATCACTTGGCAAAATTTTCAATCTCCTACGAGGAGATGTTTATGAAGTGGCACAGAGATTCTGGGAGGTCGACTCGTTGATCGACAAGCCACTGGGGCTTGTCATTGCTACCGTTCTTGTTTGGACACTCTTCGGACCATCCTGTTTCCTGGGAATAGTTACTTTCCTGGCTGCACAGGCCGTCAACGCAATGATTACCAGAATTCTTCTTCGGTGGGAACGCGTTAGACGAAAGGCCACCGATGCTAGGCTTCAAATCACTTCACAGTTCATCGAAGCAATCCGCCATTTACGGTGGTATGGATGGCACAACCATTGGCTTGCGCAGGTGATGGAGGCTCGTCAGCATGAGTTAAACATTCGGATTCTGACCAGTCTGTGGAATATCTTAATCATTTTTGTCAATAATTTTGCCGGTAACGCATTCCCAGTGGTTGCATTGTACGCTTATACCTTCCTGGCTGGACATGAGCTCCGGATTGATGTGATTTTCCCTGCATTACAGCTGTTCTGGATGCTAGAAAGCCGCCTGAGAGAAATCCCTGGTCTGATAACTTCGCTTATCAATGCTTACATCGCTCTTGGCCGCATTGAGGATTTCATGTCTGAGCCAGATAAGGATATTATACCTTCTGAGGCGTCGGAGAGTGAACTCTCGATTTGGATGGAGTCTTGCTCATTTGCATGGCCTGGAAAGGTCACGCCTGTCCTTGTTGATATTGACGTCAACATCCCGAAGGGACTGACTGTTGTCACTGGTAAGGTCGGCACAGGAAAGACTGCATTCCTACAAGCTCTCCTGGGTGAGCTCGATCGAGTCGCTGGCTCATTGCAAATTCCGAATGAAATGATGGGATATTGTGCGCAGACACCATGGTTGCAAAGTATGAGTATCCGCGAGAATATTATTTTTTCTGCGCCTTACCACGAAAAGCGATACAAGCAAACATTGGACGCATGTGGCCTACTTCCAGATCTCTCCCAGTTCAAGCATGGTGATTTATCTTCTGTCGGCGAAAACGGGATCGGTCTGTCTGGTGGGCAAAAGGCGCGAGTCGCTTTAGCAAGAGCTGTTTACAGTGCATCCCGAGTTCTGCTCCTAGATGACCCTTTGTCTGCGCTGGATCATAACACTGCTGAATCAGTGGTTCGCAAATGCTTCTCGGGGCCTTTGATGAAGGATAGAACCGTTGTCCTTGCCACGCACCGAACAGCATTGGTGCGCCAACTTGCAGATCAAATCATCGACATCTCAGAAAGACATGCTATTGTCTATGACAAGAGCGTAATCAAACTTGATTGGACTGAATCATCCTCGCACTTCTCCGGCAACGAAGAAGAAGTAGAGGTGGAAACTACCCCTGAAGCAGAGACAGCTGCCATCCCTGATAAATTTGTCGAAGACGAGTATCGCGAAGAGGGCGGGGTCAAGGCTATAGTCTATTGGAACTACATTAAGGCCGGAAAGTATCGGTGGTGGCTTACTCTCGTCGTTGTTTTGACGACCTGGCGGCTGTTGGTCGTTGGGCAGTCATGGTTCCTCAAAGAATGGGGAGAAGCATATGAGCAGACAACGGTGGTTGGAGGAAGTGTGGCGCAATTGAGTGACACCCGGTCGCAGACCATCTGGCCACTATCGACATCCAGCATAGACGCATATTTGATGCCCCCAAACCCGATAGACCAACTGCCATCTCCGCGCGAGGATGTTCGGCCTTGGCTATGGACATTCTTTGCAATTAGATCGCTTCGAGCCACGACAGTCCTTGCCTGGCAGTTATTGATTCTGGTTATTGTTTATTGTGCTGGGCAGTCGCTGTTCCGGCAAGCCCTGGTTAGGGTCAGCCATGCTACCTTCCGATATTTGGGTAAGTTTTTAGAGCAAGGCCGAAACGACAAAGTTAATGATTTTCTCTACAGATACCATTCCCCTAGGGCGTTTGATGAACCGTCTCACGTCCGATATTGGAGTAGTTGATGGGAATATCAATGAGCAATTCCAGATCATCGCATTGCAGGCCATCGTTTGTATATCTTCTGTGCTGGTAATTGCCACCGCTACTCCGGGGTTTCTCTTGTTTTCCCTGGTCCTCGCGGTAGCCTTTGTCATTACATTCCGCCGCTTCCTCCCTACATCGCAAAGTCTACGACGGCTCGAAATGGTGTCCCTTAGTCCCTTGTTGTCTAACTTCGGCGAGTTACTGCACGGTTTGACTACAGTCCGAGCATTCCGTGCGGAATCCCGTTTCCAAAGCCGAGTCATATCGGTGGTTGATAAGTTCCAGGGAATGGACCATTTCTACTGGTCACTCCAGAGCTGGCTCATGTACCGATTCGAGAGCTTGTCTGCGCTCTCTACTTTCTGTCTAACAGCTTTGGCTCTATACAGCAACATCACACCAGGACTCGTAGCCTTTGTGCTAATTGCTGCCAACGAATTAGTCGAGTCGATCCATGCCCTGTGCAAGCAGTACGGTCAACTCCAGATGGACTTCGTCTCAGTAGAACGAGTCGACGAACTTATCCAGATCGAAGAAGAAACACCTGGAACCATCGATCCCCCAGCCGCATGGCCTAGCTACGGTAGTGACATTATCTTCGAGGACGCGACTCTCCGCTACGCACCGCATCTCGACCCTTCGCTCATGAACATATCACTCCGTATCCCCGGTGGTTCAACCACAGCAGTCACCGGCCGCACAGGCAGCGGTAAATCTACACTGGCAATGTCGTTACTAAGCATCATCCGACCAGAGTCCGGTCGCATCCTAATCGACGGTATCAACATCGCCGACGTGAACACGCAGGCTCTCCGCACGCGAGTCACCTTTGTCGCACAGGACCCCGTCCTTTTCCCGGGTAGCATCCGATTGAACCTCGATCCGACAGAGGAATACTCACATGAGCAGTGCACAGAGGTGTTGGACCGTCTGTGCAGTCGGCATGGGTGGCATCTCGGGACGAACATTGAAGCTGGGGGAAGAAATCTTAGCCAGGGTCAACGACAACTCATCGCACTTACCCGAGCTGTTCTTCGGCGTAGCGCTATTGTCATTCTCGACGAGGCGACTGCTTCCGTTGATCACGAGACTTCGCTCGAGATCCAGCAGATCATCAGGGAGGAGTTGGAGCAGTCCACGGTGATTACTATTGCGCATCGCATCGAGGCTGTCAAGGATGCGGATTACTTTGTTGTTCTGGATCAGGGGCGGGTTTCGCGAGAAGGAAATGTACGGGACTTGTAGATGTTCTATTTTCTTAGATATCTCGGACCGGAATAGTACATTCAACGCTTATACGATTCACCTATGCAGAGCCAACAGCAAGTCGAACTTCAGCCCAGATGGGCCTCGATGAAAATTTCTCAAAAGGGTATCTAGTCTTTACAGCTTGGCACCGCCCTGGGCCTTCTTCAGAATGGGCTCCATCTTAGTCGCCTTCATGATGTTGCCCTTGATCTTCAACTTGCCACCCATGAACAAACGCTGGGCGTTCGCCTTTCCGGCAACGAGCTGGGCAAAGTCGGAATCGGAGAGGGTGAGGGTGACTATATTAGAGTAAAATTAGTATATATAGAAAATAATGCAGCGCCCCGCGTGACCAGATCGGAATGTAAACTCACCGTCAGCCTTGGCCCCTTGGGGGGCAGAACCCTGCCCGACCTCGCCCTTGTTCTTGAGATCGAGGTACCAGGCTGCCTCTTCGCCGCTGGCGTTCTTCAGGTTGAAGGCAAAGATGGCCTTGGCCTTATCGAGGGCATCCTTGCGGTCGGCCTCGTTGGCCTGGAGCGTCTGGTTGATGACGTCGAAGGCGGCGGATGAAGGGTGAGAATCTGTTGGTGGTTAGTAAGTGATTATAGTGAGATCTTCTCAGAGTAATAAGTATACCTTTCTTGAGAGACATGATGAATATGTGTGTAAAGTATAGAGGAAGAAACGAGTGGGAAGCGTGAAGTTCATATAAATGATGACATTGGGACATGTGAACTCCCCGTACCGAGGCCCCGTGCATCCACTTCTCCACACCGAGGAAGCTCTTCCCCGATGAATTTGTCTGTGACTCTGTCTTTTCATTTCATTTCCACTGTGCGCTCCCTGAATTCGTCAAAGATCTGCATCTCAACAAATCATCTCTTCTGGTATCTTCCCCAACCCGTGGTCGCCCCCAGAAACCCCCCGACTCCACACTGCGACTGTGTCCGGCCCTGAAGGTCGCACAAACACGGCAATCACCGCGACACTAGTCTATGCTAATCCCTCGGGAAATAACCTCGCGACCCTCCGACTTCACCGACTAAACATGGAACGCTGCAACAATCGCTTCATATGATCAATACTGGATGCGGTCGTAAGTCGAGGACCACTCCACGGGGTGCACGTTTTTCAGTGGGGTGATATATTGCCATTCGCAACGAGATGAGCGCGTAGTCCACTACACTTCGGCGGTAGCGATGGCTGGATTCTCGGCCTCTGCAGGATATTCGCAGATGTCGCAGATTGCTCATCGTCATCAATGCTTGCACAAATAATGGCATGTTGGTGGTTGCTTGGAACAGTGACGTATACTGTGTTTAACTAATAGGTCTGTTATATATCGACTCCTACGCCTCAGGCTGTTGCTGCTGGCTGCGCACCGCCTTGGTATGTATATGAAGGTTTGTTCTGTTCCTTCTGTTCCTATGGCTAGATCAGCATTGGGGGTCGAATATGATATTCCTACACAAAATCAATGCAACATCCAGCTTGCAAAACTTCTGGATCGTCTCATCAACGTATCGCTGCACGGCTTTTTCGCAGTGATATCGGTGTAAATTGTCAAAATCACATCTTCGGGAATGAGGGCCTTCCCATTAGGCAGGCCCCCAATCGTGCCGACCAACGCTTCTTTTGACTCAGCTAACTTATCGGCGTCGATGCCAAGTAGCACAACTTTTGACTCATCAAGGAATCATCGACGAGCAGACTCAAGTCCCGCGTTTCTTGCAGCTCCGATGATTGTAGCAAAAGGTTTAATCCAAGGCCATGATGGGGGCTCGGAGGATCTCGAATGCTAGCAGGATTTATGTAAGTATACGGTGTTGAACTTGACCGCTTCCTGGCCGAACGCTTGGCCAGAGGTAGTAGTAGTATAGTCTCTACCACATGTCACAGATGTGTATCTGGTGGAAACCATGTATCAAACGGTGTTTAATCCTGAGCCAAATCCTATGGCAATCAAGATGATTTCTTCGACTTACTTCATCTGCACTCAATAAAGAACCACTACACCAAATTAGGCTAGTGGATCAATGGGGGCCGCACAGCCTAAATCGGGCGTATACTACCCTAAGGAACGAGGTGGTGGCTTTTTTGTTCCTATTAATTCTTTTTTTTTTTGCACTCTACTTTCAACCTATCTGGAGGTCATCGCTTACTACATTTCTTTCAAACGCCCTTATAACATATATATTCCATCTTTATTCCAAAAAGACACCTAGGCACATGGCAACAATCACCACAGAGTCCAAAAATCAGGTAGCTACCTCCGGTTTAGAAGCACAAGAAGATCAAGTTGCACCGGTAGATGAAGGAACTTGCGCTTGGACTGTTGTTGTCGGAGCTTGGTGCTGTCTATTTTGTGCCTTTGGCTGGGTAAATGGTGAGAACAACCATATCCTATCTTTTTGATGCCGACCGCAGATAAGCTTGGAAGCTAATACTTGACTCTGCATCAGCAATTGGAATTTTCCAAGAATATTACCAGAACAATCAGTTACATTCCTACTCCGCATCGAGCATCTCTTGGATCCTATCTTTGGAGCCATTTGTACTTTTTGCGGCTGGTCTTGTCACTGGAAGAGTACATCACCCCAACTAATCGAGATGCATACACACTAATCGATTTCTTTAGCTATTCGACAATTATGGCCCCAAATGGCTTCTTCTCGTTGGCACTTTCCTGCACGTCTTCGGTCTCATGATGACCTCCATTTCAACGGAGTATTACCAGTTCTTTCTCGCACAGGGTATCTGCAGCCCACTCGGTGCCAGTTTTGTCTTCTCGTCCGCGCTTTCATGTACAGCAACATGGTTCGTGAATCGACGTGCCTTGGCCTTTGGAATCGTTTCTAGTGGCTCGTCACTCGGTGGAGTCGTTTTCCCGACTATGTTGTCGCGACTCTTGCCCAGTATTGGGTTCGGGTGGTCTCTGCGTATCTCCGGATTCATTGTGCTTGCGCTGCTTATCGTCGCCAATCTGACCGTTCGGTCGAGGATTGCGCCTGTGTCGCGGAAGGTCACGCTTAATGACTATATAGGTCCCTTCTCGGAGGTACCGTTTGTTTTGCTTATGCTGGCATCTTGCTGTGGGTTCTTTGCTATGTTTGTCCCGATCAATTATATCATTCTAGAGGCTCAAGATAATGGAGTCAACCGCGACCTAACTGGATATTTGTTGACTATACTTAATGCTGCCAGGTGAGTACGACTACTGGTTATAACTTCGTGGAAGCATTGGTCCAGCTGACCTTTTTCGTGCTTTTCCCCCTGAAGTCTCCCTGGACGAATCCTACCAGGCTATATAGGGGACAAACTTGGCCGCTTCAACGTTATGATCGCCATGTGCTCCCTGTCCGCCATTGTCATTATGGCTCTCTGGCTTCCAGGGACTCTTCTCTCTCCGGGAAGCGCGGCAGTTTACATCATCTTCAGCATGCTGTATGGATTTGCATCGGGTGCCTTTGTCGGGATGGTACCCGCCTTGTTGGGCCAAATCTCGCCCGATGTAACCAAGATCGGTGTTCGTCAAGGCGTCTTGTTTGCTTGTATCAGTATCGCATCGCTCACGGGAAGTCCCATCGCTGGGGCTATTTTAAATCGACAAAATGGGACTTACTGGGGATTGCAAGTATTCGCAGGTGCCATGATGGCCACAAGTGTGTTTTTCTTCATTGCGGCCAGGGCCGTCCTGGCAGGCCTGTCTCTCACAAAAAAGGTTTAAATCAAGAGCAAATGTCAAGAAAGACATCTTCATACTTGAAGTGCATAACGATATTTTTAGCTAATTACATTTGTGTAAAATGGATATCAACAGTTATCTCCAATGTAACATCATATTGGCCCCCGTATATCCAATTCGACGCTAATGCAGGATCCTTGTATCTACCACCACGTCGCCTAGCTATACCTTTATTTATTATTTCAATATCTTTATCCCGTACAATTGTGATAATAAATTTGACCAACACCACCAACCTGTTAGCATACTCCAAAATGACAGACCTCACCATCTTCGACTTCGACGGCACTCTCTTCGACACCCATGAATCAATCTCCCAAACCATCAAACTCACGTTCGATGCCCTCCTCCCCACCCACAACCCACCTCAATCTGAAATCCACCGCCTCATCGCCAGCGGCACCGGCCTAACAGACACATTTACCACTCTACATCCCACCCCAGTCGAATTCACCCCAGCCGTTGAGAACGAATGGATTGAAAAATACCGTGCTCTCTACGCCACCCACGGCCAGCTACTCATTAAAGCCTTTCCGGGAGCGAAGGATCTATTGACAGAACTCAATGCCCTCAAGATCCCCATCGCTATCGTTAGTAATAAGGGCGTAGCGGCCGTTAGAACCGCTCTGGAACGCAGCGGTCTCAGTGGCTATGTTCCTGAAGATTTAATCATCGGCGATAAGACCCCCGGGGCAAAGCGCAAGCCGGACCCTTCGAGCTTTGCGGATGTTCTGGTCCCCACTTTAAGGCAGAATTATGGGGTCGAGGTTGAGGCGGGGAAGGTCTTGGTCATTGGTGATACTGTGGCGGATTTGCAGTTTGCGAGGAATATCCAGAGTAAGGTTTGCTGGTGTCGTTATGGATATGGAGATCGGGAAGCTTGTGAGGCTTTGGAGGCAGATTATGTGGTGGATTCTTTGCGGGATATTGCGGGGATTATCAAGGTCTAAGTCTCCCGTTGCCATATTGTCATATTGTCTGACCTTGATATGTTTGTCTGAGTTCGTAATGGGATAGCTTCAGTTTTCGAGTTGATTTCATAAATCCCGTAATTGCATGAACGAGGGACAATTTTCAACTAGAGCTAGTAGCAATAACGATAGTCTTAAGATTTAAGGTAGCCCTAAAAGTGCTGTTTATCGATAATTTAGTGATCTAAATACGTAGCGCTATCCGGGCTTATAAGTGAGCAGTTCTCTCTTCGCTATCAGGCCCCACTCCACTGCAGTGGAGACACAAATATGAGTGAATGAGCATCTATATGTGGTGTGGTGTTGGCCTCAGTATAAATATAGAAAAAAGGTTGAGCCATTCATCGGTGAGGTTAAATATGTTTGATTATGTAGAGCCAGAATGTTGGTGCCCTGATTGACCAACATATATGATGATCACATTATCTGGACATTATGTCGAAAGAATGGATGCTCTGGGTTAGTAAAGCAAACATTCCACTACCCTAGCAGAAAAGTTGTTTTGTCCTTGTTTTTGTTCTCCCACAGACCTTCCTTCTACATAAAGTCAACTAAACACGACACGGACGCTCTCGCTTCCTCTCATCCTCAATATTAATTACGCCTATTCCAGAGTTGTTGATCCCGCCATCTTGGCAAGCACTGGATGCTTTACGATTCTTCGCGTTCGTATAAGCAATTATAAAAGTCAAGCAGTGGCTACGTCACTTGAAGTGTATGAGGAGATCCGCCAAATCACGCAAGGAACAGATGTGTTCGTCGGTAGTTATGACCCTTCTGGGCACGCCGTCTCCCTCACGGCACCGGATTGTCTTCCAGAGCGGGTTGATGCTCTCACACATTTGATGGAAATTAGGTTTCTTCATGATGGCAAGTGATGATTCATCATGGTTTGCCTTTTGGTTATTGAAGCATGTTAACATGTCTAGATATGGCCGATGCTCTGGACCCTGCTGAAGTAAAGATCAAATTCCTCTAAAACTTGGACAATATAACTAACAGTTGCAGGCTAAAGCTTTGAATCAAACATTTGGAGACTCATTTGACCCACAAAGGGAACCATCGGAAGAGAACCACATCATTCGAGGATCGCGAAGAAAGAGACAATTTGAGGCTAAGTTACTACTGCAAATGATGGAAATTGACAGAGAGGACACTTTCACTATTATGGGAGCCTGGGAAAAATTCCTGCGGGTGGCATCTGATACCGGTTCAGCGGATGAAATCAAGACCTTTGATGAGTGACTTTCTTATCGTTTCGAGGATAGCGCTGTACAGTAGGTGTCTTCCTTAATATCAACCGCGTAGCGTGCTAACAGGTAAAGTCTGACACATGAAATTTACCGCTTTGGGGCAGGCGTAAAAGTCTCTGACGAAGAGAAGCAAGCCGTTGCCCACATTGTGCGTCCAGCACTGATAGTGGTTGGATTGGTGAGTGACTATTATAGTTATGAGAAGGAGCATGCAGCATATCTCAGCAATCAAGGTGCGAATGGAGTAACAAACTCCGTACGGATACTCATGAATGAACATGGAATTACAAAGGAAGAAGCTAAGAAAGTTCTTGCGACGATGATCACTGGATATGAGCTGGAATATCAGGAAGCGAGGGAAAGATATGAAAAAGCCAATGCGGATCTATCCCAAAGTCTTAGGTCGTGGATTGATGCTGCTCTTTTCATGGCAAGCGGAGCTAATTACTGGAACTCGTTCTGTGCCAGGTATAATCAACACCAAACCAGTTCTTACAATGGCCTGTCTTCAGGTGATGATTTCCCCGGAAATCCTGCCAGCCTAGATTCATCTGTGCAAAAAGCGGCAAATTGTCACGGTCCGAATCCCACCACAGAGCAGACAGCAAAGTGCCTGACCGATGGTTCGACTACAAGACTTGATTCTATAACTAATTGTACGAACTTGTCTGACGATGTTCCGGTAAATCACTGTGAGCACTATGACCCTTTCAACATCAGCAAGGAAGCCTTTTCAGTCTATGCCAAGCTGAGACAACGTAGCTAATCATGAATTAGGTAACATTAGCACCATACGAGTATATCTCCTCTTTGCCATCAAAGGGAGTGCGTGAAGTCCTTATTGAAGCCATGAATATTTGGCTCGATGTACCGCCCCCTTCATTATCGGCCATCAGAACCATAATTCGGTATTTGCACAGCAGTTCCCTTATGTGGGGGGAAGAGTCATCTTACAGATCCTGTTTATACAGCTTGCTAATCTGATCTAGGCTCGATGATATCCAAGATCGCTCTGCCCTCCTGACATCACTGTTGAAGTGGCATACATAATACATATGTAGGTAAAGCAATCTGATAATTCAATGGACATTCAAGCTACCGGCATCATAGTCGATAAGGAAACAGTGACACTATATAGCATCCTGCCTATTTGGGAGAGTAGGGCAAGCTATTCATAGCCCCGTGTTTGTTTTGTTTGATTCCACCGCGCTGTGATCACATGCCGATAAGGCCCCCGGTAAGTCGCGTCCATATCAGTCAGTACGGAGTAGGAAAAAGAACAGAATTGCCCTCAGACTAGTTGTGTGCAAGTATACTATTTAAAGCACTTTGTGTGTTTAATTTTAGTTCAAAAATTACAATATATGACCTCAGAATCTTGTGAATTCTCGAATCCCCTAAGTTCCATTGAGGCTCAAGGAAGTACAACCTGTAGTAGCCTTGGCAGATACTCACGATGACATCTTGGCCTAGAACTTTCAACACCCCGCAAAGCGAGCGCGAACGCGAACGCAGACCAGCCCGGCCCGGCAGGCTGATATATCGCAAACATTGAACTCTCAGCTAATCCAGATCGGACTGGTCTAAGACGGAGACCCTTATCGTTCTGCCCTGCGCGCTCCTATTCCTCCCTTTCAATCATCCGCTCATCCCACCACCATCAGGGAAATTGTCAAAGTACTCGATGTAAGTACTTATCTCACACTCTTCGAGTCTTAGATTTGGGATGGAAATCTCAGGGCGATCCGTCGCTCTCATACTTTGTTTTTCTTGTGTCATCTGCGACCACCCGTCTTCCTGACTCTGCTGTTTGCTTTGGCTGCCCGATTTTCGCTAACTTCCCCAGATAATTATTTTCCAACGCCTCATATCTCTCCCAGGCCCTGTCGGCCTTGATACCTCAAGTGACCCTTATCATCACGTCTATCGCCGTTAGCCCTCTCCCAAGCACCATCTGTCAAGATATCATTGTTCATTTCGATTTGATGATTACCACAAAGTATTTTTAAGCCATGGCTTCTCCGGTTGATGAGTCCAAGCAGGACAAAATCAAAGACCTTTTGGAAGAGATCGATCTTCACAAATTTATCCGCGATGATCTCTTGTCGACTATGGGCGCATGCGAGGAAGTGAATGAGGTTGCCGAGACGCTGCGATCCAAGGAAATCCAACTTGCCGAGCTCCTTGGGGATCCCATCCCCCCTCCGACAGCTGCTCTGACACCACCTATTGTATCACCCACTCCGCCATCACCCACTTCTACTCCTGTCGCTCCACATATTCCCTCCCGTGCCTTCAATGGTATTCCGGGGGACTCGTTTTCAACACCCCATTGGCCTTCAGCGGCACCTTCGCCTTTTGCCGCCGCATCTCAGACGCCAGCAATACTGCCGGCTTCACCAATACTACCTTCCCAAAATAACTCTCGAAAGCGCCCGCTTTCAACTTCCGAATTCTCGCCTCCGTTGCAAAGTTCATCGAAGCGGAATGCGCCTTCGCAGCCTGAAGCTCGCAAATCTAAACTCGAAGAAATCGACGCTCGACAGGCAGACGCGCTTGCGGTACATAACCGCCAATACGATAGACTGATTGGCCAAGCAATGGACAGTTCAGAGATGGACGAACTCCGCGAAGAGCGTGATGATGTGGAAAAGGATATCATCTCGGAGTTTCAATTAGAGAGAGATGCGGAGCTGGCCCGCGCGCTTCAATATGAAGAGAATCACAGTCACTTCCCGATGCCCACCTCCCAGCCACATGTTTCGTGGAACATGCCCCATCGCTCTCAACCGATAAAGAGCGAACCTGCCTCAAATTTCCGTGCTCCTCAGCCATATGCCCAACTCAAATCCAGCGATAGCGATGATTTCGGCTCCGACGATGGCTTTGAAGAGATTACTGCTGATTCATTCAATTCTCGCTTTGGAAAGCAAACAGCTCCATATTCCATGTCCTATGCCAACCCTAACATGCAGTATCAGTATCCTTCGCAATATTCCAAAGCGCAGTACACCCCCAACTCATTCTCATCTTATCCCGGCATCATCTACCCCTCAACAATTAGTGGTGCCAGATCTCTTCCGTGGATGCAAAACCAACCATCACCGTATGCACCTCTTCCGCCGAAGCCTATGTTAGGAAGTATGCCTGGATCGTATGACCCGTATGAAAAGCCGTTTGACCTGGTTAGCAATCAAGAAGAAATCTTTATTGACGATCAAGACATAGCGTATGTCCACTTTGTTGTCTTACACAATGCGCGACTTTTCAATTCTGACTAATCTATCATAGGGCGTACAACGAGCGGGAATTCCCTGATGATATAAAAAACCTCCTTGGTGGCATCAAAGACATACGTGAGGCGACCAAAGCAGATAACGAGGAAACTCCTGATGCTCTGCGCGTCAACTTGATGAAGCACCAGAAAATTGGCTTCAAATGGATGAAGGCTAAGGAAGAAAGTAGCCACAAAGGTGGAATTCTCGCTGACGATATGGGTCTCGGAAAAACCATTCAGGCAATCGCCCTTATGGTTGCCCGCCCATTCGAAGATGAAGACCGCCGACCGAATTTGATTGTAGCTCCCAAGGCCCTCATGGATCAATGGAGACTTGAAATTCAGCGACATGTCAAACCTGGAAGACATGCACTGTCAGTTTTGATCTACCATGCGAAGCGTAGGCCGTGGAGAGATCTCAAGAAATATGATGTTGTTATCACAACGTTTGGTACGCTGACCGCCCACTACAAGACACTACTCGAAGGGGAGAAGCTGGAAGTGGAAGGCCGGGATGCTTCCAGAGCTCGTGATGTCAAGAATAATGCAGGCCCTCTCAGTCCCGGCGCTCAGTGGCATCGTGTCATCATCGACGAAGCGCAGAACATCAAAAATCCTGTTGCAAAGTCCGCCTTAGCATGTTGTCGCCTCAATGCTACTTACCGCTGGTGTTTGACTGGTACGCCCATGATGAATCGCCTCGAAGATTTCCAGTCGTTATTGGCATTCTTGCGTATTAAACCATACAACAATATGAAGAAATTCAAAGTGGTAAGTACTCGGTATCTAGTCTTCTAGCCTATTTCACATCTCTAACGCCGCATTTCATCCAGGACTTCGTGAGACGCATCAAGTCGGGCTTCGGAGGAGAGGATGTCATGAAGCAACTTCGCGTCCTGGTCAAATCTGTCTGTCTTCGACGTACCAAGGCTTCCAAGATAGATGGCGAGCCTATTCTGCAACTTCCACCGAAGGTCACTGAGAAAGTACATGTTCTGTTCGATGAGAGAGAAAGCCAGGTCTATAGTGAGCTTGACACCAGTACTCAGAGGCAGATCAACCGCTACCTCGAAGCTGGAACCTTGGGCAGAAACTACAGTCATGTCCTGGTTCTTCTTCTTCGTCTACGACAGGCATGCTGCCACCCTCTCCTCATGGCGGAATTCCGATCTGAGGCTCCCGCATCTGTGCCCGGACTCGACAAAATCGCCAATGCTAAGCTGTTGACCGCTGCTGTTGTGGAACGTATTAAAGCAAATGACGGTGAAGAGGATGGAACTTGCCCTGTTTGTATGGACAGCGTCGAAAATGCAACCATCTACATCCCCTGTGGGCACCATGTGTGCTCAGAGTGCTGGATCCGTATCTCTGATTCTGCTGCAAGTGCAACCAATGTCATCAATCTCGAAGGCGATGCCGTCATCAAGTGTCAGAATTGTCGAGGTCCCGTGGACCCCCAGAAGCTCACCGACACCAATGCCTTCAAACAAGTCCACGACCCGAACTCAATCCCTGAGTCTGAGAAAATCGATGGTGCCAACGGTGCTAACGACGAAGACAGCGAAGCAACAACAAGCAGCACCGAAACCGAAGATTCTGACTCAGAGACCGACACCGAGGCAGGCGATGAAGGTCCTAAGAAAAAGTCACTCGCCCAACTCAGAGTTGCTTCCTCCAGAAACAAAGCCGAGAAGAAGAAATATCTCCGCCGTCTGGAGAAAACCTGGTTCCCAAGCACAAAGATCACAAAATCACTTGAGATCCTCCAAGCCAACGAAGACCGCGGCCAGAACGAGAAGACAATCATCTTCAGCCAGTTCACCTCACTGCTAGATCTCCTCGAAGTTCCCCTCGTCCGCAAAGGCTGGACACACACCCGCTTCGACGGCAGCATGGATCTGAAGGAACGCAACGCTGCCGTGACGGCTTTTACCAACGATCCGGAGTGTAAGATCATGCTTGTTTCTCTGAAAGCGGGAAACTCGGGGCTCAACCTCGTTGCAGCCTCGCATATCATCATGTTCGATCCATTCTGGAATCCCTATACTGAGGACCAAGCCGTGGATCGGGCGCATCGCATTGGGCAGGTCAGGGAGGTCTTTGTGCATCGGTTATTGATCGAGAACACAGTTGAGGATCGAATTGTTACGCTGCAGGATCAGAAGAGGGAGTTGATTAGTGGTGCTCTTGATGAGGGGGGCACTATGAATGTTTCTCGACTAGATACGAGAGAACTGGCCTATCTCTTTGTATGTTCACCTTTTCTTTGGATTTACCATCTTGGAGACCTTGCTAACTCTTGCTTCTTAGGGCGTTCGTGATTTGTGATTTGTGATTTGTGGATTCAGCGAGGGGGTTTCTTTGTCTTTTTGCAATGCACTTGTTTGGCGGATTCACATCTTGGGGAATCGATGCAAGGCGTCATCACTGGTGATGTTATGGCCGTTGAGTTTTGTTATCATTTCTTGTCTTATTTTCGTCGTGTTGCCTTGGCAAATGGTGTTCGGCGCGGGAGTATCTTTCAGAGTACAATGATTGCTATACCCTGGCGTTGGGTTCTTGTCTAGTAAAGACTTATTATCAAATTCATTATGGTTTTCTCATGACTCCTTGCATTGTTGATCAACACGTCTACGATATTTACTACTGGTTTAGGTGTTTCTTAAGCTAAACTCAGGATTTTGAAAGATCTAGATCTTTCTGAGCGTATAGAAAGAAGAACAAGTTAGATCTTATTGAAAGAGGACACGCTTTTTTTTAATGCGGCTGTGCTTGTTTCGGGGAGGAAAAAAGGACAATTGGGATGGTGTGTCTAAGCTACTAAGGTTGGGGGAAATAATCAAAAAAAAAGAAAAAATGTATGCCGTCCGTTTCTTCAAACCACGACTACCCCCGTCTGCTTTCATCGAATCGTGAATTTGGAGGATAGACTTTGCTTGTGCAAGTGAAATACCCAAATAAGAAAGTGATCCCCGGAATCGTGATCTTCCGGTCTCCGCCGGCTGCGAGATTAACCTCGGGGAAGGTGGAAACACAGAAAGAGGCGACTCCCGTCATATCGGAACTTCGTAGACCCGTTGCTGAGTGCACTGATTTACAGGTCGGCATCATCCTCATCGGGGAGGGGCGCGTTAGCAGCCTCCTCCATCTCCTTCTTCCAAGAAGCGAGCTGTGACTCGTCGAAGGCGACCTCAGGGGGAGCGAGGGCAAGGCCAGCAGTGAATTCCTAAGTCAATTGTTAGTATTGATCGATATACGGATAGAATCACGGGGGACACACGAGCTGGGGGTTGCCGACAAGCTTGCGAGCGAGCCAAAGGAAGGGCTTCTCGAAGTTGTAGTTAGACTTGGCGGAGATGTCGTAGTACTGGAGGTTCTTCTTGCGGTGGAAGGTGATGGTCTTGGCCTTGACCTTGCGCTCCTTCACGTCGACCTTGTTACCAGCGAGGACGATGGGAATGTTCTCGCAGACACGGACGAGGTCACCTGGGGGTAAAAATCAGTATTAAATTGGCTTTCGATCCACAGTCGCAAAGTAACTCACGGTGCCAGTTGGGGACGTTCTTGTAGGTGATACGGGAAGTAACATCGAACATGATGATACCACACTGTCCGTTGATGTAGTATCCGTCACGGAGACCACCGAACTTCTCCTGACCAGCGGTATCCCAGACATCGAACTTAATTTTTCCGTAGTTCTATTCGGGTTAGTAAACGATCGCACGGTTCGAAGCGGGGTTCTTAGGTGGGGGTATGACCTACGGTGTTGAAATCAAGGGGATTAACCTCGACACCGAGAGTGGCGATGTACTTCTTCTCGAATTCACCAGACTTGTGGCGCTTGACGAAGGTGGTCTGGTTTCGATTACGTTAGTGATGAAGTCGCGGTGAGGCTCGTTGGGCAGATATTTGTTGACAGGCCGAGGGGTAAAGGCAATCGAAAGTGATTTCAGTAAGTTCCCAAAAAAATTTCACTGTATATCAGTGCCCGATGGCCTCTGAGCCCCATACCTATCAACAATGAATTATCTTGGAAGTGTTGAATGCGCTTACCTTTCCAGTACCACCGTCACCGACAAGGACGAGCTTGAAAGTGGGGATTTCTTCGGCCATGTTGAAAAACCAACGATTTATGAGAAAATTGAAGGTGATGAGTTAGAAAGATCCTGCCGTGAGAAAGGGCGGGTTGCTGATTTTAAAGGGAGGGGTGAAAGAAGGGGAATGAATAATAACGCTGTGATGGAATTTTTGCCCCGTCGCTGCTGATCACGTGTATGTGTGCCTGAGGCCTCAGGCCCGCTGACGTAGGGTCAACACACTGGATTCATGTGTTTGATATAATACTTGAATTTTCATTTGCTCAAAAGGTTTGAATTGCGTGCAGCTAATTTAATTGTGGTTTATTCAATTGGACTATGATTTTTTTTGTGGTTGTCGGTCAGGCTCAATGTCCTCCGATGGCATCAACGCCATTGCAGCCTAAAGGGCCTCTTTTTACAAATCCGAATATCATGTAGAAGCACAAAGAAGGGAAGACGTCTCACATTAGTCATGAACAGCACATCGTCAATGTACAGGATGGTAGCGATCGGGCCGTTATGGTTTCATTTCAGTAGAAACCTTTTATAATGGTACCAAGTGACAGCCCAGCATACCGCGACCTCCCCAATTTTGCCGAGGAGTAAGCTGAAGGTCCAACTCCTCAAAGGTGGTTTCGTTCCCGCGCCTGACGTTGACCGTTACGGGCCGCTACAGAGAGAAAGAGAACATGTCAGACAATTGGTCATCTCGATGGAACAATCCATAAACAAGTACATACCCCTTCATTCTGTTGAACGACTTCAGCAACCTTCGTAAGGCGTTCGTGGTTCAGCCAATTGACACTCCCAAAGCTTCGAATCACATCCTCAGCTTTCAGTCCCGCCTGGTCTGCTGGGCTCCCTGAAACCACACTATTGACCTTGGCGAAGGGGGCCCCAAGCTGACTGGTACTTGCGACTGGCAATGACGGCATGGTGGGAGGCTGGCTTGTACCATTTGTAGTTGGTGCGGCAACGGTGCTCTGTAGCCTGGCGAAGTGCTCGTGAACGCCTTTCTCGATAAGCTCCATCACCGCCTTGTGGTCATTTCGTAGGTGAATAATGCGCACGCGTGTAGTTCGAACTGTACCGTTCTCTTAGCGATTGTTCTGGTCGATCGGGGTGCGGGGAGATACCTTGCGCGATATCGATATCATCACGAGGATAACCGTCGAAAGTGGTGAGAGAGGAGGTCATGCGTACCCCATGCTTAAATAAAAGGTATTAAAAACAGCAATAGAAGCTATCGATTTGAATCGGAGATCTTACTGATTGGAGGACGGCACTGAGCGCTGACAGTTCCTCTTCGATTCGTTCCTTCTCCTGCATCAATTCTGGCATCGATAGCTTGGAGAGATCACGAGGTAGAGCCCCGGACGCAGGTCCGGAGGCAACAGTAGGAGCGTGAATATCATCCATGATTGTTATGAAGCTCAAAATGGGAGAAGAAGGTGGGTCTCAACTAGCTGGGCGCTCGAATGTTTTATATAAGCGGCGATGCTTGGCGCTGGGACTATATGCTTCTTTCTCTAAATATTTCAATCTTCAATCAGAGTTTAGAAAAGAAACACCAATAATATATTATGTAAATGAGTCTAAGGTCCCCAGGAGATTTAACCTGACATTTCAATCTCAACTATTCCATCATGACGTACATGGATGAGATTCAAATCGCAATATCCCACACAATTGAATACTGATTCCTTCCCAGTTTCATTTCTTTCCCATTTGGAGAAGATGTAGACGAGGCAAGTGCTCACCATTTTTATCTCTCCGTCATGAAGATGATTGTTCTGAGTTGGTTGGGCCTTCTTTCTTCATGTCAAAATCCGAGTCCAGTATTCAATTTGGCAAGATCTCTTTTTAGGATGGCGGAACATGACGAGGTCGATTCTGAGAGCCAAGCTCTACTTGCGAAAGATGGTCTCAAAGATAAAGATCTGAGCAGTGGTGGTGTGACACCTACTGACAAGACTGGTTCCCCGTTCAAGAAATGGGTGGATAGCTTGCGCCCCCGGAAGCACGAGTATCAACGACGGTATGTGGACGACTGGTCGGATTCTTCATCTCATCGTTCGCAAGGCCACCATTCAAGTATGTCCGATTCATCGCAACTTGGGACTGTGAAGACCGCCTCAACAAGCGGTGCAAGCCAGAGTTTGATGAGATCAAAAACAACCATCAACGATGGAACACCCCCCAGTACGGCTTCAGATTCGAGCAACTCTGGTGATACACCTCGTCCAGGTTCAAGTTATCGCGCTGATTTGGCTGTGGATACGCGGGCGACCAAACGGCGTTATATACTGCAGGAACTCGTTACCACTGAGTCTGATTATGTACTGGGTCTAAAAGCTCTCGTTGGGGTAAGCTGTCCAGTAAATCATAAGATAACCGTCAGTTTACGAATGGATTGTTCATGATGGCAGGTCCTCACAATATTTAGCACGAGGCGCGAGATCCATGACAATATCCAAGAAATCCTCGAAATACATGAGCAATTCCTCGCCCGGCTTCAAACGGTAACTCCAATGTCAGCACTCGATGTTCAACGGGCAGGCGATTTGGAGCTCACGTCTCGGGGTATTTCAAAGCGCCTTGGTACGAACCTAGGCAGTTTGAGGGGGCTCCAGCAGCGATCTCTCAGAAGTCGAACATTAAGGGCATCTATCAATCAGCGAGCAAGAGCACTCTCGGCGGAACCAACGGAGGCTCTAGAGGTGGCACGGGAAATTTCAAGACTAGTAAATTCGGTCAGTATCAAGATTTAAAGTTCCCCCGCTGAGTATTTGACTATAGTCGCTTTCGTTCTCTACGTATGACCAATTTTGCAGCAACTATGAGCTCCTAACACACGATGTTGCTCTCTTGCGTCGGTCCATCGCCAATTGGACAATCTATGATCGGGGGATCGAAGCTTTATCCAAGTCAGTTGCGTCGACCGAGCGACGCAGACAAGAGGACAGTAAATCAATGACCCTCAATGACTTACTGATCAAGGTATGTGCCGATAAGTGTACTTGCTGGCTCAATTATTGACAATTTGACAGCCTATTCAACGTCTTTGCAAATACCCGCTCATGCTGCAAGACTTGCTCAGAGCTACACCTGTCGGTGATTGTCCAAATTCGCACCATGGAATGCAGCAAATCTTGGATCACACGCGGCTCTTGGTGGGACAGATCAATATGGCAACTGGAAATCCGGTGTACAGAGATCGTATTTCTAAGACAATTCTTCTCCAAGAGAAGGTGGACGTTCCGGAATCGGTATGCAATGCCACTTTCCACTACTGGAGTCGAAAGTACTGACAAATTCAAGGTGCACGTGCTTCAGGGTATATACATGGATCTGGGTCCAATGATAATTTGTGGTGTGCTTCATGTCACATATCAAACGACTGAATCAACAACCGGTGATTTCATGGTTTGCGTACTTTTTAATCGCTATATGCTCTTCGCCAAGGGCAGTGACGACCTCCGTCGATTGGAAGCAGTCGCTTGTGTATACCTAGACAATGCCAAGATCGATGTGCTTCAAAACGGACAAGGTAAGTGTGACTATTGGGATTGATGCTAGAGATTTGTCTGACCTAAGTATTAGGGCTGTGTTGCTATGAATGTATATTCTCATGGAAACTCGGATTTCAAGACCAAAAAGGATACTACGAATTTGTTCTGAGCGCATCATCTGCGGTAGAAGAAAAGCAATGGAACACGGAAATTCTCAGGGTAACTGCCACACTGGTTGAGATGGCTCAACCTAGGATGTGGGAGGCAGGAGCACATTCTTTTCAGACGCTCCAGCTGGCACCTGTAGAACATGTTCAATATACAATCTCATCTATGGCTCGACGATCCTATATGGATTCAATGCCAACCACACGCAAGTCCCACGTCCAGCATGTTGTCATCAAGAAAACGCACTACCCGCGCTCCGTTGAGGATCCAGTCACGCAGGCCGAAGGTGAGATTGAACGTCCTAAGACACCAACTGACCCCTCTGTGGTGACATTGGTCGCTCGCCGAATTAATCGAATTCGAATGGAACGCCTGGTCGCGGACGTCTGGACACAAGACCTTCTTCCATATCCAGGAATGGTTCTCGGGCGAGGCGATATTTTCAGAGGTCGTCCGCTTCTACTCAACATTCATACCGGGTTCAGCAGACGGTCCGCTTCTATCAGCGCCACCCATTCCAAAGTGCCCTCGATTGACTTTCGCTCTGAGCATGATAGAGAGGACAAGGAAATTGGTCGAAGTAGTGAGGCCTACGATGACAAGGAGGATGAGTGTGAACAACCTCCTCAGACACCCACCTCATCACCACAGCGATCAAGAACGCTCCGGTTCATGAACTCACCCAAGAATTCCATTCAAGCATCACCTCGCAGTGAGAAGCGATCAAGCCAGGATGGAAGTTCTGAGTCAACACCATCTCCCAAAAAATGGTCATCTCCCAAGAGTCTGTTTAGTGCCTTGGCGCCTAGGAAGTTGAAAAAGACCCGCTCTTTTGTTGAATGAAGCAAAACGAAGCAAGTGTTATCAAGGGGGTTGCTTAGATCATTCTGGCACATTCGGAGCATCTGAAGTCTAAGGGCATTGTTAACTTGGCGTCATGTAATCGTGGCTGATAGCTTTACAGTGGAATGCTAAGTTCATAACTTGCCACTAATTGAGAGGTATCCCCACGTTTGGCGTCACAGCGGATCCGGCAGGGATATACTATGACGTCGTCTGGCTCAATAGTTGGCATTCACCTTGCAACAAATATAGTAAAGTGGAGGAATTAGGAGAGAAATGAGAAGAATATCCACTCCTCTTAACTAATAATGTAATAATAATAATAGGACGGAGTCGTCAACCATATTATATTTGAAAAGTAGTTCTGAGATAAAATGACACACGATCAACTCCTTTAATGGCAGCTTCTGGTGTGACGTCACCAGTCATCATCACCTAAGCTCCAAGCTGTACTTAAACCTCTTTACCTCTCTTTTCTTTACTCTCCTTACTATAATCACTACAACTTCAAACTTCTCAATCTCTAAATCTTTATACCTATTCCCAATACTTTCTACACTTCCTACACTTCCTACATCATGCCTCGTGGAAACGAAACCGCCCATAAGATGTACTACAAGGGTAGTTCCGAAGACTTCATTGTCTTCGTCGATGACCATGAAATTCTCCAGAAGTGGAAGACCGACCGCACCATCCCACTATCTGAAGTCCTGAACGGCTGGAAGATCTTTGTGACTCACTCGTAAGCTCATCACCCCGCAATTCAAGCTTGCTCTTCAACTGCTGACACAACCCCAAACAGCCACGGAGCCCAGGGTGTCCTCGACACCGCTAGCAAGAGCGCTCTCCAGAATGAATTCGGCACAACTGACGAGGATGAAATCATGAAGAAGATTCTCGAGGGTGGCGAGTTCCAGGCTTCTACTGTAAGTGTCTATGTGGATCAACCCAATTGCGGGGTCTCGTATACTAATTCCTTACAGGCACGCGAGCGTCAGGGCAGCAAGAATGACTCCATGGGGCCCATGGCAGGCCCTGGTCGCTAAATTACTCCTTTCTTCCTCTGGGCTGAGGGGCTTTGGGCATCACCCCACCTCCACCTACCTCCCCCTCACCTCAACTTGTCCTCTTGAGACATAATATCTCCACCACGATCATCCCTGGCAACTCGGTGCATCGCTTTGATTAGTGTCACTCGCATTTTTAATCCACCCTGGAATGGCTCTGGAGGGATTGCCGTCGGGTAGTATCCCGGAATTACAGGCTTCTGCACCTACTCATGAGATAATGAATGATGAGCGATTTTACTCGTCTACAACACAAATACCAATATTTTGATGCCATTTCCGACCTTGTACTCATAAACTCATTGATATCGTTACCATAGTGCAGGACTGCGACTATATATCTATAAAGCGAATGATCCCATTCTCAAACTTCCTCGTCTTTAACCAATATATTACCCTCGAGATTCCCAGGAACAAATCCCCTCTCCCTTCTCCTCCTAACAACCCAATCCCCCAACTCTGCCCAAACAGCCTCCTTCTCAGCCGGTTTCATCCCCGCCGCAAGCCCACTAGTAGTCGTTGTCACGAACACCTTCGCTCCCTCCCACTCGTCAGTAACCCCCATTTTTTCCTCCTGCCAACCATACCGAAACTCCTCCTTCCTAATGCCCCTGCCCTTCCGAACCCTCCAAACAGCCTCCCAGATACTTTTCCCAACAAGCCCCACAACCTCAGGCCGCTGCGCCGCAATCTTAGCCTCAAGTATCGGCACGCCGGCATCCATCTCCGCCCGCCTGAGCATGCTCGCGTCGCGCGTCGGCCGCTCCACAATGTTCGTGTTGCCGACGCTGTACAGCGCCGGTAATTTGTATGTATCGGCGGGTTTGTGGCGCGTGCTTGTTATCCCGGAGGAATGCAGCAGTTTCCAGAATAGGTTCGACGGGTGAGCATACGCGTACCCCGTTATTCCGGTCATTATACCCGGATTCACGCCTACTAGGAGGAGGACAAGGTTTGGTGGGATTGTGTCAACAAGGAGGGATTCTGCGGCGGATGGGCCTGGGGCTGTGGGGTGGATTTGCGGGGATGGTGTGGTGCGCTTGCGTTTTGGGGAGGGTGCTGTTGTTGATTGGGAAATTGTGGATTCGGATGCTGTTTGGAGGGTTGTTTTCTTGCGCTTTGAGGTGGGTTCTGTCTCTTCAGTCTTGATGCTCGTGCGCTCTTGGGCTATGGCTGTGCTTGGTGCACTTGCTCTGCCTTGGGATTCGCTGCTTCTATGCAGGAAATGTTGCAGTCTGCCATGAAAAGTGGTGATTTTGTTCGCTGGTACATCTTCCAGTGCATCACCGGAGGCAGAAATATCTTCGTCTGTCTTGAGCTGGTCCTCTGAGGGAGCCATGTTGTTTGTTCTACAAGTCTTGGAACTTGTCAGTTGCGACGGTTAGTTCTCGTCTTTAGAAGGTACCAGGTCTTCCACAGCCTTTAGGCAGGGGATTAGATACCATATATCAGATATTTCCAATCTTCCAGTGTCATGGAGATCAAGGGCGGGATGTGCTTTGATTCTTGATCCAGATTTAAAAGGGCATCACGTGTCGATCATCGCTTGGTGCCTCATTAACAAGGCATCAGAATGTCATCATCTATATCAAGACAAAAGAACAGTGGGAGATTGTTCTCTTAGTTCTAAAGTTGGTGTAGATGGCTATAATAGAATGGGATCAAAAAAATATACCTCTGTAGGTTTTGTCCCTAGGCGTAGCTGAAACGACTACATACATATACTAGATGCTCCCAACAACAATTGAAGTAACACTAAGTATCACTCTTGAAGCAGTACGATTCATTATGCGTTATTATGATATATACAAGATCTGCGTCTGTGCAATCCATGCACTAGACCGAACTGATTCATTATGCTTTAAGTAATCCATGTCGTTTTGGCAATGTCCAAGGCTCCGGACAAACAACCTATACAACCGCAATTAGCATAGATCTCAGTCTCAAATCAACGACAAAACATACCTCGCCTTCACTGTAAGCCCAAAAATAAACACCTATCCCAATTAAATAGTATATAGCGGGATCGGTCCCTTGATATAGAAGCGCCGCGAGTAATGCGCTGAGTGGGTATAAAATGAGTCTACCTTGGATGCTGCGATGTAACCCCGACCCAGCAAATGGCTTCAAGGGCCATTCCCAGGCTATCCCAACAAGCCCCATTATCAGGTTCAAAATTTGGAGGACTGGAACTGGGGCCACGGCAGCATCGAGGTTTCTGGAGACGAAGTCCCAAAATACCTTCGGCCAAATGAAGCCTTCGACGGCGCTGGCAACCTGGTCTATTGTTCGCATTCTGTTAGTGTTTGCCACGAGCCATGATCTCCGCAGGGAACTTACAGGCTGCCGCGGTCAGAATTATCAACCGACCCCAGTGGTTTTTAATGAGTCTGCCCATGGTGTCGAATTATGGGATATAGTCCGCGCTAAATAACGTGGTGCTTGACCGAGCTTCGTCCAGCGAAGGCCTGGGAGGTAACGGGGATTTGTGTCGGCGGTAATGAGTGAACTTAGTAGTAGGCGCTAAATGTCGCAAGACAAGAATAGCTGCGACGGATTCTGCGACGAACTCAATTCATCGTAGCCAGTCAACCATGAGAGGGGCTATTTAGTTGCTTTCGCTCAGTTGGTCATTTCCATTTGGCAAAAATTTTCGTATCGAATGGTTATCGTAGTTGCATGATTCGGGGGAAGAAAAATCACCAGGTTCCGAGTGACAAGCTTGCAGGCGGGACTAATGTATAAGAGACTATACTTAGGCTAACCCCTCCGATAACTCAAAACTCAAAGCGCCAGAGCACTTCACATCCTGCTAAGATGTGACTGGGCGTCAAAAAGGTGACCGATGCATGTCCGGGATTGGTACACAGCGAGAATAACATAACTGTGATCCGCACGGATGCCATGCTCCTCAGACCAATCACCAACGAGAAGCGTTCCTAAACTTTGAAATCACCTCGCGATGAAATTCTTGAGGAATGGTCATCTTAGTGTGATTGGAGCGAGGAGGTGTGATGAAGTGAACGTTAAGCGCATATCGGCAAATCAGAGGCTATAGCGCCAGGGCTTGGCGTGATGAGCTGCAGGTGGTGGCACGCACCTTCAGGACTTTTCCCGTTCTCAAATCTTTCAAAGTCTCATTTACATTCAAATTGTACAATTTTGTATGATTAAGGTGAAATTCAACTATGGCCTGGGTTGTCTGGGCTTTGTAGCAGAGACATGTCAATTTGGAACTCTCCAGATCAGATGACCGCTGCAGCCCTGATTCCAACTTCAACTCTCCATCAGCCAATGCCAAGTGGGTCGGGATTTCTATTATGGCATCGGTTGATGGGGGAACAATGATAATTCTCGGCCACTGTTGATCGGGAATCTATATTTGGTATCAACCCAAGCCTCCGCTACTACTCACTAAGAATCCTGAACCGAGTGACAGGCATTTCATGGACGTCGGGGGATCCAGTGTGACGAAATGAAGCGCTTGCAGGAGACTTGTAATAGGTCATTGCCCGGCAACCTTCTTTCTCCTGGCTTCATCTAGCGCCGACTACCCACGGTCCCTCATGCTCTCAACAGCCACTCTGCCACCTCGTTCGGTCAATTGCTCTCGTTGGAGTTTGATCTCGACCTACTATTATTTCTTGGCTTCCACGGTTCAGATCATTTGATGTAAACAACCGGTTAGATTAGATCACATGGCTGGGATTTCCTGTTTCCCTCTAGTCTCTCTTCTTCGAGAGGAACGTGGCACGGTGGTAAGACAGAGGCGTATAATTTCCATGCCATGATTGGTGTGCCTGCTACGAACGGTCGCAAAAATAGCACAAGTCCCCAGAGCATCAATCAAAACCGGGGACTGGGATCACAATCGGTTTTCTTAAAAAAGTAAGCCAAGCCCAGCATAAACAGAAGTTCAATCGATCAGGCAAGAATTGACGACGAGGTCGCAAGCGAACTTGGAGAACTCAGGCTTGATTTCTTGGACTCTTTAGATTTCAAAAAGCACAGACAATGAAGTCTAACCGCATTTCAAACAACCCATTGGATGAGAATATTCATAAACTTTCGGGCTACTCCGTAGAAGCGCAAGAGTGATTGTAATTATAGATCAGCCCTCCCCCCCTCACCCCTGCAGGTAAAACCACAACACTGGGTTTCTTTGAACCTCCAACTCTTCTTCGGTTTTGTCTTCGTTCATCTGCTGACCTTAGACATGTCAAAATCAATCTGAAATAATAGATAGAACATCATACCTTTTATCTAACGGGGTCTAGTAACTTCTTGTTCGCAAGAGACAGACGCGGACACTCTGCCGGCGAAACTCCCTCAACCGGCGCTTTTTGACGCGCAACTGAAACTTGACTTTTATACATTATCGTGCATCGCAAACCACAACCCTATTGTGAGCTAGATTTTCTGGTCACTTGCCAGTCCTTTGATCTCAAGTCCAAAATCCTGATTCTCAGCGTCGCGCTTAAAGAATTATTCCGAACATCACGATTCGGGCCACGTTCATGGAGAACCAACGACAACAAAATCTCAAGCCATCAACCTCTCCATCTTGACTCTGGGGTCTTGCCGTGAAAGAAAATCTTCCAATCTCGCTTTCAGAAAAATCCTAGTATCCATTATCAGGTTGCAGGTCAACCTCGTCGCTCCTTTGATTCCTATTGTCTTATTTGTCGCTGGTCGGCATTCTACAAACCGTGAGAAATATGGCCGCAATCCATGGATCTTGGTTTAAGAGGAGCGGTTGGACCTTTTCAAGAATCCTTTTCTACCTGCTTTTCTGGGGTTTCCATATCCTCCTATTTGCCATAGGATGGTACGTTCTGGATTCCAGCTGTCTTGAGTGTGTTACTAATATATCTCAAGGTACTTACAGGCGACAAGCGTGGAACTGGCAGGACTAAATGTCCTCCGGTTTTCAGTCTGGATTTCGAGAGGTGCAGGTCTGGTGCTTTCAGTTGACTGTACTCTGATCCTGTTTCCTATGTGTCGGAATATCCTTCGATGGCTCAGACCGCAGATCAGATGGCTACCACTCGATGAATCCGCCTGGTTTCATCGTCAAATAGCCTACGCTATACTCGTATTCTCAGCAATTCATACCGCTGCTCACTATGTCAAGTAGGTTTCTTCTGCGACACATAGATTCTGTTTACTAATGCGGAACAGCTTCTATACCATCGAAAAAGACCAAATTCGCCCTGAACTGGCCGTTGAAATCCATTTTGCTCGTGCAGGTGGTATCACAGGCCATGTCATGCTCCTCTGCATGATGCTAATGTATACCACCGCCCACCAGCGCATTCGCCAGCAAGCATATGAAACCTTCTGGTATGCGCATCACCTTTTTATTCCGTTCATGCTAGCCCTCTACACCCATGCCACCGGTTGTTTTGTACGAGACACCACCGACCCTTTCTCCCCATTTGCAGGAAAGCAATTCTGGAATCATTGCATTGGATATGAAGGGTGGAGATGGGAATTGGTCATCGGAGCCATATATCTCTTCGAGCGACTCTATAGGGAGATTCGATCTCGGCGCGAGACGGTCATCACAAAGGTGATCCGTCATCCTTACGGTAAGATCTCCCAGAAGTGTTCAATTCAGCATTACTGATAAGCCCCAGACGCCATGGAAATCCAATTCCACAAACCAAGCATGAAATACAAAGCCGGACAATGGCTATTCCTTCAAGTCCCCGATGTCTCCAGTACCCAGTGGCATCCATTCACCATCACATCCTGCCCCTTCGACCCCTATCTCAGCGTTCACGTCCGTCAAGTCGGAGACTTCACCCGCGCCCTCGGAGACGCTCTCGGCTGCGGTCCCGCCCAAGCCAAAGATCTCGAGGGTCTCGACCCAAACGGCATGTACGAAATCGCTCTCCAAAACGGCCAGACAATGCCTGCAATCCGCATCGATGGACCTTACGGATCACCCGCGGAAGACGTATTCGAGAACGAAATCGCGGTGCTAATCGGTACTGGCATCGGCGTGACGCCCTGGGCATCCATTCTCAAAAACATCTGGCATCTCCGCTCGAAGCCTAATCCTCCTCGTCGTCTGCGTCGCGTCGAATTCATCTGGGTCTGTAAGGATACCTCGTCTTTCGAGTGGTTTCAGGCTCTTCTTTCTTCGCTCGAGGCGCAGTCTGCTAGTACTGCTGCTAACGAAGGAAGCGCTGAGTTCTTGCACATCCATACTTATCTCACGCAGCGTCTTGACGCTGACACTGCTGCGAATATTTATCTCAACTCTGTTGGCCAGGAGCTTGATCCTCTGACTGAATTGAGGAGTCGGACGAACTTTGGTCGCCCGGACTTCCATCGTCTGTTCACGGCTATGCGAGTTGGCTTGCTGGATCAGTCTTATATGACTGGTTTGCAGAGTGCTGCTACCACCAAGGTCGGAGTGTACTTCTGCGGTCCTAACACTGCTGCGATGCAGATTAGCAATGCAGCCAGGGATGCTTCGACGAAAGATGTCAAATTCAAATTCTGGAAGGAGCACTTCTAGCGTTCTGTCCATTGTTCCCCCTTCTTTTTCTGTTTCCTCTCTCTTGTATTTACGAATGACATGAGTCACGAATTCCCCTTTTTTGTTATTTTTCTATCATAGCTCTAGCTTATTCACGCTGGGTCTTTTGTGAGATGACCTCGGAATTTGCTCGCGGATAGAGCAAAAAGAATAAGCATGCACAAGTTAACAACGGCAGCAATGCGGGTGTAGGAATATGCAATATACGATAATCTTTTGAGACTACCAGCCATATTTGTAAACTCCAAGCTTATCATATTTCTCGGTTGGCCTTTGCGTTACAGTTTTACATTCCCCTTTCTCTATCTAATCTATATTGAATAATCTATCTGGTTTTATTCGGACTGATAATAGTTTCTTGTAAATGATACATGGTAAAGGTCGAGATGAGTCGCTGTTATAATATATCTACTCCTTCTATACAATGTATAGAAGTTTTTTACGCTGGTTGATTAAGTAAACCCCGCTACTTCGCATACTTTTGAACAATCCATGGATGTATACTGTCGGTATGCTCACTAGCTTTGGCCAATAAGAATGTATGAATGCTCTGTCTTTTATTACCCCTGGTTCTGGCAATTTATAACTAGGGGGATCTAACATAACTAAGGAATTACAAATAAACAGTGGATACTCTCCAGCAATTCACCGACATATACTCTGTAGTTCAAAAGGCATTCCGAGGTCGAGTTTCAAGAAACGTACATCTTCTGAGCGATCTGATTCGTTCCCGAGGTCGATCATTTGGCTGAATAAGCCAACTAAAGTACCAACGTTCCAAAGTTCATGCTTATACACGTCAATCAAGTGGGAATAGCGATATGACTCAACACCAGAAAGACTTGAACTCGATTTTATATTGAACAAGTACGAGCTCGGTGAAATTGTATGTTCCCTATGGACAACAAGGATATTTCCTTTGCAAGCTTGGGCTTGGTAGTGCTTGATGAGATTCGCTTGCCCAACCAGAAACCTTTAACAAATGTACTGGGTGGCTCTGGAGCCTACGGTTTGCTTTTCCTGCTAGATTATGAGATAAGTAACCAGATTTCTGATTGACATATTCTTGTAGCGACTCTAGGTGCTCGGCTGTTCCTGCCCTCTCCACTAAGCCGCTCCTTAGCTTGGCCGATCCATGTTGGAAATGACTTTCCGGACTCCATTGCAGAAGTCTTGCACAGCTGGGATACAAGTTTGGCGATAAAAAAAGAATCGGACCATCCCTCGACTCGAGGCTTATTGGAATATCAGGATACCACCTTCGGACGTGCGAACAACCTTTCTATCTACCCTTCTTCTATCGCCTTTGCTGTTCCCGTTTGTATTCACTTGCCGATGAATGTTCCAAATGATAAATTATTGCCCACTAAACTATTAAATGCAATATGTAACCATAAGCTAACCCCAAGCGATCTTCTAGCCAAGAAATTCAAGTACACCACGCCGATTCTTGCAATTCAAGAAAGCGAGTTGCCGGACTCCGCATTGCTAACTTCGAAAGCCTATCACTATCTTGCTGGTCCCCAAGATATGAAGAAGCGTGTTCTTAAAGTGCTCGCTCTTCGAGAGCAGGTGGGTATACAAGATCGTCCTCTGGTCATCTGGGAACCGGCTCCCCTTTCATGCAAGCCAGAGAACCTTCAAGACTGTCTAGAGGTTGCAGCTTTAGTCGACGTGTTTAGTCCAAACCACTTAGAGCTAGCCGCATTGTTTGATACCTCGGCTTCTTCTGATAGAGCTGAGATCGAAAGGCTGGCTTTGAAATTCCTAGCCAATGGAGTCGGCCCAGAAAAGAAGGGTGTGGTGATTATTCGAGTTGGTGAAACTGGCTGCTTGGTTCAATCGCGTAACCTCGTTTCGCAATGGCTACATCCATTTCACATAGCAGGAATTGGAGAACAGCAGGCTACCAAAGTGATTGATCCGACTGGAGCTGGAAACGCATTTCTGGGAGGCTATTCTATTGGGTACCTCCAAACGGGAGGTGATATAATCCAGGCGGCCTGTTATGGATCTGTCGCGGCATCATTTGCATTAGAGCAAGTAGGAATGCCGGCGATGAATAATGAAGGAGATGAAGAATTATGGAACGGGGCCAGTGTCCTTGGACGATTGCATGAATATAGGGCTAGGCAAGAGCCTGCCGGCACCCAAGGGAAGTAGCTTAAAAAAAGTTCATGACGAGTTGGGTTGGAATGAAACAACAGACTGCTGGCTAGTGTCCGCAGTCTCCGTCGCCTGTGCTTATTTTTCTGGGTGCCATGTAGATATTATCCACTACATGATCATCTAAATACCTCTAGTGCCTACCTTTGGACCGTCCAACATGTTTTGTGTGGTGAAACGGGTCAGTGGAATACCCAAGTCGTCAAACCCGGCCACTTGGCAGCCCTAGTGTTTTTCGGGGGCACTTAGTATTTAGCTTATCTAGGTTTTATAACTGTAAGATTGATTTTTGCATTAACGCTCATAACATTAAATTATGTATGGGTATAGCCATCGGGAAATATTGTAATCAACTGCTCACGCAACAAGCATACCCCGAGCACGCCATCTTCATGAAATACAGATTATAAATCGGCTTAGAAACGCGCACAGCGGGGTAGGCATACCGTATATAAATTCAGACAGATTGACTTCAAGACTTCTATCTCTAGCATTACCACAATCTAACCCACAATGGCCGAATCTCCAAGCCGCCAACTCCACCTGACAGCTTTCATGCGGCCAGTGTCCCTGCACACAGGAGCATGGCGCTATCCAGGCTCGTACCCTGATGCAAATTTCAATTTCAAACATATTGCACAATTCGCCCAGAAACTCGAAGCTGCTAAATTCGACGCCTTCTTCATGGCTGATCACCTGGCTGTGTTGAACATGCCCGTCGAGGCCCTCAAGCGCAGCCATACAGTTACCTCTTTTGAGCCTTTCACTCTTCTCTCTGCACTATCTTCCGTAACGGAAAAGATTGGTCTGGCTGCAACGGCTAGTACGACGTACGATGCACCGTACCATGTTGCCCGGCGATTCGCCAGTCTGGATCATCTGAGCGGCGGACGGGCAGCGTGGAATATCGTCACTACCGGAAACCCGGAATCAAGCCATAACTTTGGTTTCGATGAGCATTTAGCTCATGGTGATCGGTACAAGCGAGCGCGCGAGTTCTATGAGGTTGTTACCGGGTTATGGGACAGCTTTGCTGATGATGCTTTTACCCGGAATGTTGAGACGGGCGAGTACTTTGATCCGGAAAGATTGCATGTTTTGAATCATTCTGGGGATGAATTGAAAGTTCGCGGTCCTTTGAATATCGCTAGGCCGCCGCAGGGGTGGCCTGTTATTGTCCAGGCTGGACAGAGTGAGCCTGGGCGACAGCTTGCGGCTGAAACGGCGGAGGTCGTATTTTGCAGCCCGAAAGATATTGATAGTGCGAAGGCGCTTTATGCAGATATCAAGGGGCGCGTTGAGAAGGCAGGTCGGAAGAGAGATCAGTTGAAGATTTTGCCTGCGGCTATGATTATTGTTGGCGATAGTAAGCAAGATGCGCAGGAGAAGAGACTTAAGCTGGATAGCTTGGTGCATTATGATAGTGCAATCGCTTCTTTGTCTATTGCTCTCGGTACGGATGTTAGTGGCCTTGACCCGGACAGTCTGTTGCCGGATGATCTGCCCGAAACAAATGCGAGCAAAACAAGCAGAGAAGCTGTTGAGAAATTGGCCAAGAAAGAAGGACTGACTATTCGTCAAATTGCGCAAAGGTATGGCGGATACTCTGGTTTGACATTCCTCGGATCGCCGAGTGATATTGCAGAGGAGATGGAAATTTGGTTGCGAGAGGAAGCCTCCGATGGGTTCACTTGCACGTTCCCCTTCTTGCCTCAGGGCTTGGAAGAGGTGACGGACAGATTGATACCGGAGCTGCAACGGAGAGGCCTCTTCCGCAAGGAGTACACCGGTTCGACACTGCGTGAACACTTTGGCCTGGCGAGACCGGACAATCGTTTCTTTAGCGAGACATCGTGATTATATAACTGGATATTATATCACATTGAATACATATTGAATATTGGAATAATAACTTGATGATATAAAAGTGTAGTGCTAGATCGATATGCATCCTACCACTATTTCATATATCCGTATGTATACAAATAGAGTGTGCTGCTTCTTTGAACGAGCTCAGAGCTGCGCCGAGGTCTTTAATGGCCTAATTGCCATTGACTTTCTTAATCTACCTCATTGCACTCTGGGACTTTATACTATTGTACAGCTGAAGTGGTTTGTCATTTGGCTTCAAGGTTGTTTCCAGGTAGCTCATGACGTGCTCCTGGGCTGCCCGCCAACTCTTGCAATGTAGGATCATTATGAAATTCTCGTGAAGTGTTGCTATAGCCTCCTGGTTGAGTGGAATGACCTTCTGCTTCGGCACGAGGAATGGATGTGCTGTAGGCCGTATTTGGGCTGTCGGGCTGTGATGCCGCGGAGGCAGGACGCCGGCGACGAAGAACAAACCATATCATTCCCGCGATCAAAAAACCACCGAAAACCCCTCCGATCACGCCACCTGCAATTGCACCTGTGTTTGTGGTCGACCCCTGAGGCTCTGAATATTGTGAAACTCCGGAAGTTGTTGAAGGTTCCGGAGATACGGTGGATATCGAGGTTTGTGAGGGCGAGGATGCTGGAGTTGAAGTTACAGTTACAGTACTCGACACTTTGTATTGTGTTAGATCCTCTGATTCTGTCCATGCATTGCTAAATTAGAATGTACCAGTGTGCCAGAGACTTACTAGGTGATTTGCCCGACTGCGTCGCCCTCGTCATGGTACCATCTTCACGCCCTTTATTGAATTCATTCAATGTCGCACACCCCTTCCAAGAGTTCTTATTGATAAATCCTATCAAGCCTGAGGCGCAACAAAAGTATCCAGTTGGATCCAAATAGAGGAGCAAGCTTGGATCGGCGCATTGGGTTGGAAAATTTGCAGGTGCGTTTTTTCCAGTGCTGCATCCCGTATTGTTATCAACGTCCAAGACAAGCGTCGTTCCAGATGGGCAGCATATCACCCAGTTGCCCCAACTTCCAACTCCCGTTTCATAATCATCGCATTGGTTCTCTCGACGGGCTGCCCAGCCGTCCCTTGAACCCGAAGACATTTATCTCGTTGTAACTGGGACAGACCCAATAGCTATAATGGAAGGTTGAATATTGGTATAGCTGGCTTGCAGCACGGTAAAGATAGAGTGTTTGAGATGGGGGCTAGAAAGAAGAGGGCTAGGGCAAGAGGATAGAAAGACGCCCTAATGAAGACCGCCGGTCATAGGTCTAGTTCAAACTCGTGCATATAAATAGGCTGGGGAACCAGATTAAACGCCGTAAACTTGGCAGGACACCTTATGGGTCTAGTGCTTAGTATATTGGACCTTTTCCAAACATACCTACGGAGTACAAATGTAACTTGTACGCTAGCCTTGCAGCCAAAGGGAAGCAATGATTTGAAGTTTGAATTGATGGACAAAAACCTACTTATTAAAAATATTTATTCTCCCTGAATTTGCATGATCAGAATATATGTATTAGATATCCTAGAATTAAGTAAGTAGAAAGAGGCCAAGTACTTCCTGTGATAGGTACAAATGTATGCAGCGACCAGTCCCCAGTGATGCAAGGCTGGACAAATGCGCAGCTCTTGGCACAAGAAAACCTGCGACTGACCATGAATGTGTTTGGGAAGGAAAAGAGGACTGTCCACATAGAAGATTTGGGTCTTCGAAAGTGATCTGCCCAAGCCCGGCGATCATGTCAGAAGTCTACTTCTCAAGGGCTGAGGCTGAGCCTCACCACTCGATTCAACCGCACTCTTGCTACAGGATGGATAAATAGATAGATGGATGGATGGAAAAACTTCAACTTGATCCATTCGCAATCAAGCGACGTGCAGGCTACCACTACTAAGTAAATACAGGTTGAGTTGTTCTATTGAAAGTGCACGAAGCTTGCTGAACGGTCAACTGTGAGCCTCGCCTAGTAAGGCCTGTGATTATCTCCACATTAACTTGTGAAAAATTTGGGGTATCCGACTCTTGTGTTTCTCTATGTTGGCCCTCGCCCCCTGCATCCTAGTGCAACGATGAAAAAACAGAACAAACCCGCATGACATTATACCACCATCACGATGCTATCAACATAAGTAATCCTTCTTCTTCAGGGCCTTTCAAGCGGTTTTCGTCGGATGATGTCTTTCCGGCTAGAAGAGCGTCCAACAGCTGAAGAGGTGCTCAAGTCAGGAGTAATCTTAACCCCTCCATTTGATTTATCTTATTATGCATGGCTGCCTATGTGAGTCTACAGCTTACAACGTCTATGCTAGAAGTACTAGGCTTAGCTCCTCAATTTAATGCGGCCTGTTCAAAAGTTGATCGGCGCTAAGGCATTGGTGGGCCGGAAAATAGGCATCACAACCACTGAGAGATACCTGGAGTTGAAGTGAGCATCGACTGCCCTACTTTTATAGCAATATGAACTACAAGACTGAAAAAGAGAAATTTTACTCAAAAATTACATTTGACATTAATCATACATCAAGAAAGTGGATCTGAACACACCCCTTCCCCTGTTCAACCGTAATCCCCTCGTCGCTCTCTCAACTCCCCCGTAATTTATAGCGCTTGTGAGCTGCCTTAAGACATCTCACCCGCCTCCTCACCGTGCTCCCAGAAGTCTTCCACATGGTGGTGAATCCGTAGGCCACGCCGTAGCATCTCAGAATATAAAGCCCGGAGCTCGGAGGTGTCGAACCCTGGAGGGTTGGGCAGATCGTTCGGGGTGACGCAGCAGCGGGGCAGCGCCGCAGTCAAGTCTGCGCGCAGGTGCTCGAACGCGAGCATGTACAGCTCCTTCGACCATGGGCAAGAGCGTACTGCCCGGAGGAAGATCTCACGGGCGCGCGGGATGTTGTATTGGGCGTACAGCTCGTAGAGGATGTACAGCCTCCACAAAGTGAGGCTGTTCTTGGCTGACGTCGAGCTAGTCAGCTCAAATGCGTGCTTTCGGGCCGGAGTCTTGCCCATCAGGATGCTGGCATCACCGATTGCCCGCTCAAACGCCGCTCGGATCGAGTGCGTAGTCGATCCAAGAATCACCGGGCGCCCCATCTCAATGTAGATGCTGAAGAGATGGGTTGTGATGGGCACCCGGTGGACTCCGGCAGGTGCGTTAGCAGAGTTGGGGTCTCTGCCGGTGGTCACTTCCAAGATATCGCGGGTTCGATGCACGAGGTTCAGCCGAGCGTCGTTCCATTTGAACAAGGACAAGAAGATGGTGTTGTTGGGCCACCATTGCATGCTTTCGAGGAACTGTTTGCGAATTTCTGCGGGTTTGAACTGCCCCATCTTGGTCTCCACCCACTGATAAATGAGCCTGGCACGGGCTTGGTGTATCAGTTCACCTGCAAAAACTTTGACATCTTCCTGCAGTTCATTGAGAGTATTGACCGCATCGTCGTAGACCTGAAGAACCGACTCAAGTGTCTCGCCCATGAGGTACAGAGCGATGGCGTAGCAATCCGTATAGGCTGCGTATGCCTGAGGGTTGTGGAGCGTGAAAGCACTTTGCTGGGCCGAGAACAAGAATTTCTGGAGTCTGAGGAAGCTGGTAGGATTAAGCTCACTATCATCAGCTGTGCTGTATGACAGCATGTGGACTCTTTTGTAAGACATCGCCTGCAACAAGTAGGCTGCTCGGTTATTGTGTCCAGAATGAAGTAATTCCCAGATCCACGAGTTCCATAGCAAGGCAGAGTCAATAAGCTCAGCAGGCTCGAAATTCTGTGACATAGCCAACGCATTCGACCACACAGTATGGGCAAAATCATGATCACCAGTTCGCCAATGCATGAGCGCAACCGCATTCCAGAGCTTTAGATGAGATGGCCGTTTTTTCAACACAAACTTCCCGTACCTTTTTCCCGTTTCGTTGTCACGCGCGAAGGCAACTGCAATGGCATACTCGGCCATCTCTTTGTCCTGAAATTTATCAACCAGAGCAAAAAGAACATGTGACACAAAGTCGGGATCCACTACAGAGGATCCATGGGAGGTGGTCGCAGCCCACTTTGATAGCGATGAGAACCAACGTTGAGGGTCAGCAAAAAGTGTCTCTGTGGTATGGATAAAATTTTGATGAGGAAATGTGAAGGGCTGAATGGTAGTTGTTTCGGCATATTGTTGGAAATTGATCCAGTCTGCGATTGTGTTCTGCGAATCGTCCATGTATTCGTTCCGAAGAAAGTTGTCGCCACTCCACAGTCTGGTGTTTCGTATGTTATGAGGTGCCGTCAACGAAGGCAGATGGCAGAAGTACAAGAATGCATTGATCAATGGAGTGAAGTCATCGGTGAAGTCCCAAAAGTATGGGAGTACCTGCTTGCAATCAATCCGAAGGACCACTCGATATGCCTCATCCTCCTTGGTTTCATCGAAGGTGTGGGTTGGCATTCGGCTTTTGGTAGCTCGCTCCCTCTCTGCAAAAGCCCATGATTTGAACAATTCTGGGAGACGAGCCTCGAATTTATAGTCACAGTCATTTTTAGAGGTGCGGCGGAGAGAAGACTCTCTGCTGTTCCAGCCGGTCCACCCAAGCTCTCCGATATGCGCATTTTCAGGTGTCCAGAATTTCTCAAACTCTTCCAGGGCCTGTCTTGGATCTGTGAGATGATTGGGCCGGAAGCACGTGAACTCGAGCACAGCCTGCCAAATGCCGACGGCCAGCTCCATGTGCCCTGATTCTCGAAGAAATAGCGTCAAACGAAGTAATAAGTATGACCTGACTTGATTCTTGTGCTGCCCGAAGCCGACGCGTGAATTGAGGTTCAAGCAATATATGTAAGTCTCAAAGCACGTATCAAAGTTGAAATCCACATAATTCGTCTGACAATAATCAAGATATTCGACCCACAAACTGATGAACTCGGAATGCCAAGCGAGTACTTCTCCCCATTCGTGGGTGAGCTTTGCAGGGTCCCAAACTTTAGCACCCTCCTCCATACGGCCAAGCAGGAGGTGGTCAAGCTTGGGATTTCCAGGGTTTTGCTTGATCGCCCTCTCATAAACAGACAATTTAGCCTTTGCCACAAGCTGCTGTTCGGCATGGTTGAGAGCACTATCGTCATATCTGGAGCCAGCAATAACACGTTCCTGGTGCTCGGCCAGACATAGCCATGCGCTGATATCTTCGGGATGGAGCTCCACTGCACTGTTCAACTTGGCATGTTGTTGGAGAATTTCAGCCTCTACCGTAGCAAGAGTGATTTTGTTTCCCTCGGAATCTTCAGTAGTGGTATCTTCTTCAGGTTTTTTCTTCAAGGTCTGAATGGAGCGATACGATGGCTCATCATCATCCAGGTTAGACACAGTTACTGGAAGGCCAGGTTCAAATGGGGCTTCTGTTGAGATGAAATCCTGCAAGTGCTCGCTAGCACGTGTGTTGGGCGTGCTGTGTGGAGCGTCGGGACGAATGTGAACAAAGGCAGCCATAGTCAAAGCGGGAAGTGTTGTAGAAGAGAGGGGCTTCGGTGCCGAGCGGCCGGCGTCGTCTTGAAGTACAAGTGCGTTTTCAAATCGAGATTCAAGACTGATGCGCTCGCCAGGGGCACCGATGACGAGCCCGCTGCCATTACGGCGGTACGCAGGGACCTCGTATTGATTCGTGCCGTAACGCGTATTGTCGCGATCACCTTTAACGTCGATGACAAATTCCGCGTGGGATTCGTTCGTCTTGCCTCCTAATTGAGTCTGTTCATTGCGCTCGCGCGCCCCATGCTCTTCGAATCTCGCCACATGACGACGGCGGTCTCTGCTACGGCGGCGGCGCCGATTGCTGTGCGTTGACTGGTGGTCTGCGCGCTGGCGATGGCCTGAGCGATTGCCATCTTCACGTTCCGAGCCGGTCGCGGCGGCTGGAGGGGGAGGAGGAGGTCGGAAACTGGAGAAACGCGGAACACCCTTCATCCACAATCAGTCTGTTGCTCAATTACAAGTGAGGTTGAAGTGACGTCTAACTAACCTGTGACCCGGGTGAGTCCATCGTGGTACTCAGTCTTATCGAGTCCGGCGGCCGAGCTGATAACCCGGACAAACGATGTTCCGAGAGGCGGTATAGCTAATGGGCAGAAAAAAAAGTCAACCATTTGCTCCAGTTGAACATTATACTGAGCTTGTACTTACAATTGTTTTAACCTGCCTTACTTCTCAAAGAAAGGAAAGGCTAGTGTTGAGAGAAACAGGGATATGGGTCACTGTTTTTCTGTGTGAGCAACGAAACCAAACACACAAAATCTACTGAACAGCACGCCAGAGACTTCACTATGGCTTCGTCTCTTGCCGCGCAGCTGTCGCAAATTGCGGCCAAGTCGACACATGAACTGGATCTGAAAGCGCAAAGAGTGTCACACTCACAGTCACTTATTTTTGATCAGAAGGTCGCTGGATCTCAGGATTTTGATACGATCTATGATATTTGTTATGATGGGTTCCAGGAATTGTGCTCTTTGGACCCACGCTTCGTGGAGTTTGGTCGCACGATATTCAGCGAGCAGAGCAAGGCCGAGGATCGAAGTCAGATGAACTTACAGCAAAACAAGGAACTGAATAATGCCTTGGAAGCATTCCTAGCGTTGGTCGGCGGCCGACTGCAATTAAGTCCGGCGGTCAAAGCAGTAGACTGGCTTGTGAGAAGGTTTAGGTAAGAAAAGCTGGTGGGGGAGAGATGAAGAGGGATCGTGATATTGGAAAGAGTTGTTGCTGACATTTATGGCAGGATTCACGAATTCAATACAACCGCCGTGTTATTGACGTTTTTACCCTACCACACCACGCCGCTCTTCCTGAACCTACTATCAATCCTCCCGGAAACCCTGACGCCAACTTTCAAAGTACTGAGTCCATACAAGAATAGTCTCATCAACCCCCCAAGACATCCACTTGTTCACAGCGCGGCGACGAACAAGTCTTTCTTTGCGGAATTAAATGAATATGTATTGAACGTTTGCCGCCAGCAGGCGCAAAGCCATGCATTGCTCACCTTTTGGGCCGGAGTTGTTACAGAGGCAATTGCGACAATGCTTGATGGTGCTCGTGCAGGGAGAAGGGAGGCAGAGAAGCAAAAGCATGAAGATATTCTGTTGCGCGTACTGCCCGTCCTCAGCGCTGCTTTTACAATTAAGAATGTTCCCGAATTGCTTGTTGCTTGCTATATGATTTGTGTTGTACTAGCACAGAAGGCCTTCCTCTCAAACGAGGTCATCGAGGGTCTAATGGAGAGTGTTGTGGGCTCTTGGTCCGAAGATACTAAGACATCCGGTCTGATCTGCCTGTCTGTTCTTGCTCAGCAGAAGCCCGTCATCACAATCCCAAAAAGGGTCTTCAAGGGCATTCTCCGCCTCGGAAACCCCATTGAACAGCTCTCGGAAGTTGCCTCGCAATACCAGACCTCGAACTTGTTGCTTGGAATTATTGCCGGCTGTTTGACTGATCTTGACAAGCAGGATAATGCCCGCCTTGAAATCCTGGCCTCCATCTTCGAGCGCAAGCTTCTCGGCCAGAACGAGATCGGCAAGGCCATGAGCTTGATCCTCGAGGCAGCATCTAACGCCGATGAGACTCGCGGCATGTCTTTGGACGCTCAGACGCAGCTCGCAGAGCTGGTGCAAGGATTCAATCGCTCTGAAACCCTCCAGCCTGTCTTCCAGAAAGTTTTGACTGGATCGTCGTTCAACATCTCAGCCCTTGAGCACAACCTCCAGACTGTTATCGAGGCACCCGTTGCCACAGCTCTTATTGAAGATGTGGAGATGGCCGATGCAGATGACCAGCCCGAGGTGGACGCATTTACACCGGCCCTGGAATCTTTGGTCAAGGAGCCTTTGTTCCCATCCTCCTTCCTTTCCAAGCAGTCAATTATCGAATTCGATAACCTTGTGCGGGTGTTTGCCTTGGCTGTTGACTCTGAGCAAAACTTGGAGCTTTTCACCAATCTCGCAATTCTGGGCAAATCCCAGGCAACCAAGTCTCCTCAGTATCTGTCTTTCCTCGTCAGAGTCATCACTGGTCCCTACCCGATTGGTACGAAGATTGCTGCTCTGAACTTGGTATCATCCGTGCTCTCGTCCGCACCCAGCGACTTCGATCCCCAGGCTTTGCTGCCATTCCTATTTGTTGCTCTCTCAGATCCTTCTGAGCGCATTCGTCGCGAGACTGCTGGTATCTTGGCTATCATTGGATCTTTGTACAAGAGCTCAAAGGCCGCTGACAGCTCCAAGCCATGGGCCCACGACACAATCTACGGCAAGGGAAAGCAATCCACGGGTGTTGTATGGCTCTCAAACAACGATTCACAGAAGGTTCTGGAGCGCGCATTGCTTCCTGGACTGGAGGAGTCTATTCTCGACTCCAACCACGTTCACCGCGCGGTGGAGGCTACCCTTCGCGGCAATGTTTTGTCCGAAGACTCCGGTGCATCCGAGCTCAAGAAGTCTCTTCGTATTAGTCTCTTCACTTGCCTGTGTTCTCATGTCGTCAGAATCCCAGTCTTCTCCCCCAAGATTGGTTTGCTGAAGCTTATCAACAGCGTTGAGAAGGTTTCCACTGCAACCCTTACCAGTGAGCTGACTCCCATGCTTGAAGATTGGCGTCGCTTGAACGAGAAGGAAGTCGAAGAAATCTGCAGCAAGGAGCGCATTATCCTCTCTGAGACCGAGGCTTTGATTACTGCTATTGTCACACCAAAGGACAAGGACGCCTTGGATGTCCTCCTGTCTAATGCCAGCTCTAGCGATTCATTGCGCCCGGCCTTCGTCGCGGCTTGCTTCACCCAGATCAAGAACATCTGGACGAAGGTCACGGAAGATCGTCAATTGGTTGCAGCCGAGAAGTTGTTGGAAATTTCGCTTGGTGTTCCAGCTAACAACAGCTCTTTGATAAACAACTGCCGAAACGTTCTTCGCACCATTGAGCTTTCTGGTCCGGTGCTTCAACAGTTTGTCAAGAAGATCCCCGTGTCTATCACTGATGTCGAGTCTATTGGCCCTGCACCAAAGCGCAGACGTACGAGCCAGAACAACATGATAGCCATGACTGTCAAGGACGAGGCTGAGCTTACCAAGTTGATGGACAAGATGACTTTCATCTTGGAAATTGTCGACAGCTCTTCCCCCGAAACTCACCCCGAGCTGGCCGATGGATTGTTCCAGACCCTTGCCGCCCTTCACCACTTCAAGTCCCAGATCCAGTCTGGCATGAGTTACCTCCTCAGCCTAACACTGGGAAGTCTGTTGGCTATCGTCAACCAATCCAAGGGATCTGTAAAGCCCAAGTTCGACACAGCTGTCATCCGGGCTGATCTCGTCGTGGACTGCGTGCGTACTACCGATAGCCCACAAGTCCAGAATGTTGCTCTTCTCCTTGTCGGCAGCTTGTCTGTCATTGCTCCTGAATTGGTTCTTCACAGCGTCATGCCAATCTTCACGTTCATGGGAACTAGTGTCCTCCGTAAGGACGATGAATACTCCGTTTCCGTCATTGACCAGACCATTGATCAGGTCGTTCCTGCTCTCATCCAGTCTCTGCGTAGTCAGAAGAGGGATGTTGTCTCCGGTACCTCCGAGTTGCTTCTCAGCTTCACTGCTGCTTTCGAGCATATTCCCTCGCACCGCCGCCTGAGACTCTTCCATGCCCTCATTAGCAAGCTTGGAACGCAAGACTTCTTGTTCGCTGTCCTGGCCATGCTTGCTAACCGATACTCCACCGATAAGGATGTTCTCACTCTGATGACGGGTCTGGTGTCAGACACTACACCCGTCGTTGAGCTTACTACTTACAGCAAGTACCTCATGCTGATCAGCGATGCTTTCAAGGCCAAGCCCGGTATCTCCCAGGTTCTTCTTGGAATCGGAAGTGACGATGGACGTGACCCCCAGAGCATCTCAATTGACCTGCTGCGGGATCTTGCCCACTTGTTGAAGCATTCCTCCCTTAAGTCCAAGCTGGAGACTGCCTTTGAATCAGATGGTGAGGTCGCCGACCAATCCCGCGCTTGCTTCTCTCGAGTTTTGGAGCAAGTTCTCAACATCGGCGAGGCGGTGCAGAGTATGAAGCCCGTCAGCCAGGCCTGTGGCGAGGTCCTCGGATCTCTCTTTAGTACCCTGTCCCTCGTTGACTTCCTCGACACCATCGAGGTTCTCCTCCAAGGTCCCAACAACGAACTGCGCCGCAAGGTCCTCCGTCTGCTCGAGAACCGTCTCCGCCAGACCCCCGAGCGCGACAACCTGTCCCAGATCCGCGTTCTCGACTTCCTTCCCATCTTGGTCGGCATCGTCGAGTCGTCCCCCGATATCTTGCTCAAGCATGCCGCTGTTTCATGCATTGACCGCATCACCGACAAGTACGGTCGCAAGGACCCGTCGAAGGTCATTCCTGCTGCCCGAGTGGTTGCTAGCGAATCTTGCATCGGCCAGTCTGATGACCGCATTCGCTATATGGGTATTCTCTGCTTGGCCTCCATGACCGAGGTGCTGGGTCAAGCTATGATTCCCGCTCTCCCCGATACGCTCAAGCGCTCCTTGGAGCTGCTGGAGTTGAGTTTGGTTTCTGGCAAGGAGAACTCCCGTCTCCACGATGCCATCTACACCCTGTTCTCTGCTCTCTTCGTCCACCTGCCCTTCATGATCTCTGCTGGTCACTTGGACAAGGTACTCCTGCTTTCCTTCAAGTCTGCCAATGCCGACATTGAAGAGAGCAGCGATGAGAGCCGCCAAGAATCTCTCCGCTTGATGGCTCGCAAGGTGGATGTGGCCGCTACTCTCGGTGCTGTCGATCGCAACTGGCAGCGCGCTGTCGAGACTGGCCCTATTGCCGTTAACGAGATCTTGGAAGTCCTTACTCTTGCCGTTGACAAGCACCCCAAGTCTACGATCGCCAAGAACATCGGTGTCCTCACGAAGATTCTCTTCAAGGCGTTCGATCTGCGTCGTGAACAGATTGCACTCGGCGACAAGGCTATCTTCGATTCGTCTGCCATTGACGAGGCCGAGACCGCGCTTAATGACGTGACAATCAAGATGATCTACAAGTTGAACGACAGCACCTTCCGACCCATCTTCCTCCGTTTCGTTGAGTGGGCCACTACTGGTGCCCCCAAGAAGGACGAACAGGCTCAAGTATCGCGCCTCACGACTTTCTACAAGTTCCTCGAGGTCTTCTTCGGCACTCTCCAGGTATGTCATGCAAAATCATACACTGCCAGTTCCATTCTAACCTATATAGTCCATCGTCACCGGATATTCTAGCTACGTGTTGGAGAATGTCGTCAGCGTGCTGAACACCACTGGACCCTCCAAGGCCCAAAAGACCCTCTGGCTCGCAGCCCTCCGCATGCTCCGCAAGTCCTTCGAGCATGACCAGGATGGTATGTTTTCTCTCCCCACACCGCCTAGGTACAAAACTAACCCCCAACAGAATTCTGGCAAAGTCCTTCCCACCTCGCCAGCATTTCAGGTCCCCTGATCGCCCAGCTGGGCCATGCAACCACAACCACAACCTCCAACATGGTCATCGCCGATGTCGTCCCCACAATCACAGAGCTGGCCAGTGCTGCAGACTCCACAGACAACCACAAGGAACTCAACTCCGCCCTGATGAAGTACCTCCGTCCCTCGTCGGCGCCTAATGCTCGCGGAGCGGGTGGCGACAGCGCCCACACCCGTCTCGCAGCCCTTAAGACCGAGCAGGCTCTCACTACGCAGCTTGGCGAGGAGTGGCTCGCGCTTCTGCCTGAGATGCTGCCTTACATTAGCGAGCTTATGGAGGATGAGGATGAGAGTGTTGAGCGCGAGGTTCGCAAGTGGGTCAAGCAGATTGAGAAGGTGCTTGGTGAGCGTCTCGATGATATGTTGACTTAGTGTTTATATGATTGTACAAACAAAATTCGCATTTTTTGGCGTCCATAGAATTTGCAGATGACTGTCCACGGATGGTCTGTGCTAAAAATTGAATGTTTTAATATTGTTCTATTTGTTATTTGAAAGAACTTAGAGATACTTGGTGGCTTTTGTATGGTACCTCCGCAGGATTCTTTCAAGATCCACTAATCTTCTAGTCTTATCAAGATGAACATGCATTTTAGTTATTTCTTCGTATTTGGTGTCGTATTTGGTGAATATAAATCTCAAGCGCCAGGTGTCTTCTAGGCCATGAGATATCAAGCTCAACCCGCTTTATACCACACAATTTAGTTATCAGGAACCGGAGCATCCAACGCATCAACTCCAGCCTTCCACCGATACTTAGAAGCAGGATGGTCTGCATGGGGACCCGACTGGCCAGGCTGTCCATACAGGTTCTCACGATACGTCCCTTTAGGAACGGCATAGTCATCCCAGAATAGACCGCGCTTACGAAGCTCGGGAATCAAGAGGTCGACGATATCCTTGAAGGAGCCGGGTTTGATTGCGTACGCCTATTGACATTAATAAAAGGAGACGATGAATACACCAAGAAAGACTCACCAAATTGAACCCATCAACATCCGCCTCTTCCACCCACCGCTCCATTTTATCAGCAACCTGAGCAGCAGTACCAACAGGCGTAGCACCAAGTCCGCCGACGGTAATGTGTTGCCCGACAGTAGCTTTAGTCCACTTGCTCACTTCAGGCGTAGCCTTGGACCACCCCTCGACGGCAGATCTATACCACTCAGTCATCGCCACAAATAGTCTTGGAACCTGAATTTGAACATACCGAATGGCATTACTTTCAACATGCCTCAGCTCCTCATCGTCCCCGTATGTATCCAAATCAATTCCCGTCCATCCACCAAACAGCGCCAGAGCGCCATCAATAGACCCCAAACTACGATAATACTCAAACTTCTCCACAGCCTCCTCCTCCGTCTTCCCAAGAACCGGACAAAGCAGCGCAAGGAACTTAATACTCTGCGGATCGCGCCCGAATTCACTCGCCGCCAACTCCCGGATCTCCTTTACGTTCTTCGCCACCACAGATGGACTGTGACCCGCCACGAAGATCGCCTCGGCGTGCTGTGCTGCGAACGTCTTGCCTGCTTTCGAGGTTCCCGCTTGGAGAATCACAGGTGTGCGCTGCGGGCTTGGTTGGCACAGGTGTGGGCCGGGTACGTTGAAGTATTTGCCGACGTGGTTGATTTGGCGCACGCCCGCTGGGTCAGTATAGATTCCGCGCTCGCGGTCTAGCTTTACGGCGTCTTGTCGCCAGGAGGATTCCCAGAGCTTGTAGGTTACTTTGATATATTCTTCTGCAAGAAGGTAGCGGTCGTCGTGCTGTGTACGTTAGTCTTAGCTCTTTTATTTTGTTAGAGGGATGGGGGCTTTACGTGTGGTTGTTCGGCTTGGCCCATGTTGCGGGCGGCGGAATCGAGGTATCCTGTAACGACCTGGATAGTTGTCAGCATACTCTTGTTCAAGGATTTGCTTGTTCCTAGATTGTGAAATTGACTTACATTCCAGCCCAGACTGTACACTTTGAATCAGCAATTTGATACAGAGACAAGAATCGTGTTTACATACCGTCCCTTAGTGAGATGATCGACCGTCGAAAGCCGCCTCGCAAGATGATACGGCTGTTCATATGTAGTTGTGACCGTTACACCGAAACCGATGTTCTTCGTCGCCGCCGCCATAGCAGGCACAACAGCCAAAGGCTCGTTCACGGGCCACTGCGCACCAGAAATGACCGCCGGGCCGAGGTTCTTGGGTCCTTTGTAGACATCGTATCCTCCTGTACAAGGCTATGTTAGAACCGAACCCAGATTCAAGGCTTCAAGTCCCACCGAGAACATCTGCGATGAAAATCCCATGAAATTTGGCCGATTCCAGAAGCTGTGCTAGCTCAACCCAGTGATCGACATCATTGAAGCGATAGGATTCGTCTTCGGGGTGTCGCCATAGTCCCGGCGATTGATGGCCGCTGCCTGTAGATTCATCAGAATGTAATTCGTCTGAGATTTGCGAATTGAACTCTTACACATTTCCACAAAGGCATTGAGAATGAGCGACTTGCGAGGCTTCGCGTCTGATTGGTCGGACATGTTGTATTGGATGCAAAAGCACTTTATACGTCTTGACAAAACCTCAAATTTAAAAATATAAAGAAACCCTTTGATTAGAGGGGTCATATTCGACTATTAAAAAAAAGAAGAGAACACCCCGCGTGCGTCACAGTTCATAGCATCACAGTGGGCCGCGATGGCGTGCGGGAGATCCTGGATCACCACGACTTTTAGGTCTTCAAGGGGCTTGAATCGATCATTCTAACTGGCCGGACACTAAATAGACTTGATTTACTGTATGCAGATTAGAGGATCTTCTCGCCCGAGAGATATACTTACTACCTGTACTCCGTAGGTAGTAGGTAGTATGTAACTAGGGCTATCTGTCGGGTGATGTGATTTCACAAACTTTAGCTCCTTTTCTCAGGCTCTTGTCCTCAGTTACCATTTCTTCGTTCTATATTATTGGTTTTCTTAAAAAAGTGTGGATCGCAGATTTTCTACTCGAATTTGGGGAAATTAGATTAGCAATTATATCACTTGTTCTCTCAAGGTTGCCCTGGCGGGAGCAGCTTTGGACTAGAATATGTTCGATGCATTCCTTACCTTCTAGAGCAGTAGTTTTAAATATAATAGACCCTGATGATAATATGAATCTACAAACAGCAATATCTAATTAATCTACAATCTATAAATCAAATCACCTGAAATCCATGACAACATATCCCCAAACTTAAAAGAAACTCCTCAGCCGCGTCTCATAAAGCACCTCATCGCCAGTTCAAATCAACCCATTACGGATCCTATCAAATCCTTTCCTAGAAAAAGAGGTCAGGGCTCCAACTCTGTGGGCTCGGTACAACGCGAACACCATTTAAGCATACATAAACCCTGTTCCCGGTACCTCTGGCGATCTGGTATCTATTTTGCTATATACAGTCTTCGTGACTTGCTTTATCTCGCAAATTCTGAGCTGTGCGCTCTAATAATGTCCCACTTGCATGTTCGCGATGGTATCTCGACTGTCCAGCCGCCCCTGTCTCAGGCTATTGGATATGTTGTTGTCGTTGTGATTGGCGTAATCATAGCTCTTGGTAGGTATGACTGTGTACTATATCTTGAAGATATACTAACATTCACAGTGATGATGCTTATAACAAAAGTCTTAAAAAAAACCACTGGAGAAGATAATGAGAAAACAGAAATGTACCTATTCCCTCTAAATCGCATAAGCATCCAACTAATCGACCCAGGTTCATGACCGCAAACCGTACGGTCCGCACAGGGTTGACTGCCTCGGCGGTGATATCGGTTTGTTTCCCATTCCATCCTTCAAGTCCTAACTAATAGATCCAGTCGTGGCTCTGGTCAACCGCTTTACTTGGCTCCTCGTTCGTTGGATATGAATATGGTGTTGCAGGTCCTTTTTGGTTCGCAGCTGGTTGTAGCCCGATGATTGTTTTCTTTGCGTTGTTGGGAATCTCATGCAAGAGGAAGATTCCCGAGGCACATACCTCACTCGAGGTTGTTAGAATTCGATACGGTGGGATGAATTTGATTACTTTCTACATTTGCGAGTATTAACGCTCGCCATAGGACGCGTCGCCCATGTGGTTTTTATGATCCTTTGCTTGGTGAACAATATATTCGCTTGCGCAAATATGCTGCTTGGTGCGGCTGCGGTCATTACCGCGGTGTAAGCTCTTTTTGCTCTGCTGATATTCTTCGGCTAACAATATCAGAACTGGAATGCATATTATCGCAGCTACATTTTTGCTGCCGGTCGGAGTGACTGTCTATACTTTTGTCGGTGGAATCAAAGCAACGTGAGCACTCTTCCCCAAACTAATCAACAGCCACTGACTTCCATACAGCTTCCTAACAGATTATTTTCACACGGCTATTATCATGATCATTGCATGCTATTTTTCCGTCAAGGCATTCTCCACTGATCAAATTGGCTCCGTAGGCGATCTCTTCGACCTTCTCCAGGCCGCCGCACAGCGGCATCCGGTCTCCGGTAACCAGGATGGTACCTATCTAACGATGACTTCAAAGAGTGTAAGATCGACTCGACTCCCACAGCCTTCATGCTCCTAACGACTCCAAAGGCAATCTTGTTCGGAATCCTCCACACCCTGGGAAACTTCGGCTTGGTCATTGTGAGTCCCACCAATTTCCGCTGGCATCGGCCCCTCTGACCCCCACCAGATGGACACAAGCTACTTCATAAAAGCCTTCTCTGCCTCCCCGGCCGCAGTGGTGCCAGGCTACACAATTGGTGGCATCGCCTACTTCGCCATCCCCTGGGGCCTAGGAACAGTAATGAGCTCCGTAGCCCTAGGCCTGGAGAACCAGCCCAATTTCCCTACTTTCCCAAGAGTAAGCACCCTCCTTCCTATCCGTCCATCCCACCACACTCTAACACAGACTAGCGAATGACCACAGCCGAAGTCGGCAATGGCCTCGTCCTTCCCTACGCCGCCATCACGATAGCAGGAAAAGGCGGTGCCGCAGCCGTCCTGCTTATCACCTTCATGGCGTGCACATCGACCCTCTCGGCGCAGGTTATTGGCGTCAGCTCGATTCTTAGCTTCGATGTCTACCGCGAGTACTTCAACAAGAAGGCCACGGATCGGGACTTGATCCGTGCTAGTCACTTCGGTGTCATTTTCTTCGCTGCGTTCTCGGCCGGCTTCAGTACCATGCTTCATTATGTGGGCATTAATCTGGGCTGGACGCTGTATATGCTCGGTAGGTTAGGATATCCTTTTTTAGCGTTTCAAGCTAATGCAGTGCTATTGCAGGCGTCGTTACTTGTCCAGGCATCTTCCCGATGATTTTCACTATTCTCTGGCGCCGGCAGAGTAAAGAAGCTGCTATTCTTTCACCGGTTCTGGGCCTCGCGACTGGTCTGGCCGTGTGGCTTGGTACGGCGTCGCGGTTTAGTGGCGAAGTCACTGTTGCGTCGACGGGCGAGGTTCTTCCCTGTTTGTATGGGACTGTTGCATCGTGCTTGTCGCCGATCATATACTCTGTTTTGATTACGGTTGTACGGCCGCAGAGGTATGATTGGGATGATTTTAAGAAGGAGAAATTGTCGCTTGAGAAGCTCGATGGTGATATGACGACTGCTCACCATGACCATGCTCCACATGGAGGGGGTGTGGAGGATTGGGGGCGTGCTGCTGTTGATCAGAAGGAGTTGAAGCGGTGGGGGGCTATTGCTGCTTTCTGGGCTGCGGCGACCATTTTGGGGCATTGGGTTATTTGGCCGCTGCCTATGTATGGATCTGGTTATGTCTTTGGGAAGAAGGTATGTTGTTGTGTCGGTTTTCTTTTCGCTATGTGCTGACTGCTATCAGTTCTATATCGCTTGGGTCGTGGTCGCAATTATCTGGCTTTGGATCAGCATGCTGATTGCTATCTTCTATCCTATCTTTGATGGCGGAATTGAGCAGATTCGGGATGTCTATCGCGGACTGAGAGGCCGTAAGGTTGTCACTGAAGCTATTCCCCGTGATGGGAAGGGGGATACAAGCACATCTACTTCTGCTGGGTCTATCAGTGACACTAATCACGTAGGGGAAAAGCAAGGCAACAAGCCCGAATAATTAAATAACAAGAATTGGGTTGAAAGTGTTTCTTGGCTCTTGGATTTCACTTTATATACTGTTTCACATTCTTACCTGGAAACCTACACAACATCAGATTCAATATCAATGGTATTTCAAATCTCAAAATACGTGTGCGCCATGGATACAAAAGCCAGAGTAATCACATCAGCCATCAAGGCGATCAAGATACGCCCGCATAAAAAAGAAAAAAAATCAAAGAAATGTCTCGTATCTAGCAAGATATGTCCGTGGTGAGATATCGACAGTCAAAGGAATGACACGGACTAAACAAAGCCCCTCTTCAAGTTATCGTACTTGGAGGCAGGATAGCCCAGCTGATTTTCGCTCTGCTCGAGAGCACCGGCGCCTCCAAAGGAATCCACAACCTACAAACGTCAGTGAGCATCATACCAAAAACCAGAACTGGACACAACGTACGGTAGAAATCAAACTATCGCCGCCTGTCTTGTCACTGCTACTTTCCCACCACATCCCACCTCCCAGTCCCTTGGACCGGATGTACTGTGCTTTCTGGCGGGCGATGGCCGGCGTGTCATAGCTAATAAGTAGGCGTTCTCCCTGATCATAGCAGTAGCTAGCACCTAGCTGATACAGTTCGGTCACTGCACAGTCGGGCAGAGGAACGCCCTTGTAGTCCCATATGCCGTTCTCCCAGGTTCCCCCTCCAATACCATTAAATGGTTCTCCGGGGCCGTCGGTGTTGGTGAATGCGCGACCGTAGAGTGGCATTCCCATCACAATTTTGTTTGTAGCGACTCCTTTCGCAGTGTAGTAGTTGATTGCTTGATCTGTATTGAACGGCGTACTCGACGGGTCGACGGTGGAGGCATAGATGTTGGCGTCGTGGCCGGCGATGGTGTCCCAGCTGCCGGAGTAGTCGTAGGCCATCAGGTTCCAAAAGTCGAGGTACTGGTCCATCTGGCCCAGATGGAGTTGGCAGTAGTTGGTTGGGCCTTGACTGTGTCAGCTAGATCGAAAATCAGATTGCGGTGTTACTTACCAGCTGGGGAGGCGACTGTGACCAAGAAGTGATACCCATCTGCACTTGATGAGCTGTACTTATCAAGAGCCTAGAGTGATTAGCTGGAATTACTCGTTATAATGAGGAAACATACCCCGCGCAGTCGCCGAAGTGCATCGACAAACTTGTTCGCCTGGTCATCGCTTTTGGGATACTATGGCTCGGATCAGTATCAAACTCCCCAACCTCATTGCATGTGCTAACCTCATAGTCAACGTCGATGCCATCAAGGCCCAAATTCTTCACCAACTCAGTAGAAGAATTGGCAAATCGCTGCCGTCCCGAGTCCGAATCAAAAGCAGGGGCAAAGTTGGGAGAGTAAGTCCAGCCCCCAATCGATAGAAGAACCTTGAGGTTGCGATTTCTCTTCTTCAACAGAAAAAGCTGCTTAATACTGCCATAGACATTATTTCCGATAACACTCCAGGAGTCACTCGGGTAGTGCTTATCGGTGTCGGACCAAGTATCAGAAAGATAGACAGTTCCATCAGAGCGAATGTTGGCGAAAGCATACAAGACGCTGGAACTGGTTAGTTTAAGTTATACCGACTGTGATGCTCTAATGATCACATACTGGGTTAGCTTCTCGACGGGCAGATCCTGAGGTTGGTAGTTGCGTCCGTAGATGGCCTAATGAGATGTGTGTTAGTCAGTAAGCCTTTCCTTTTTGGGACGGTATTGCCTGAGTCATCTATGGAATCTGCATCGGGATGCACTTACCCAGTTCACGAAATATGCCACAGAGCGTAGTCCAACAGTACTTCGAGACTCAATCCCGGTAACGTTGGTGCTCACGGAAGGGATGTAGGCAGCGTTGGCCAGCCAACCCAAGCCTAAAAGGAAAGAAAGAGCAAGCTTCATGTTGAAGGAGTGTAAAGATGCTCGTGCCAGCGAGGTTCTCGAAGATGGTCGAAGGAGAGAAGTCAAGGAGACTTCAAGCTTGCGAGTGATCTCACTATTTGTAGTCGAGCTGGTAGCCAACCATCCGAATTTCCCTTATTGATGTTGGACAGTAGGACACTTTCTGACTTTCCTATTTGGGACCTCCCCCGAATGGAACTCAATGACTGGGGGTTTATCTACGGCGACAATGCTATTCATTCTAATGCTGTGTTACTACGAAATGGCACTACATAAATCCAGGAACGTGTCCCACCTACAGTACAGTCGGCCATTAATTGGATCACAGCATAACTCCCCCTGGAGCTGCTCTGTGATTAGAGGATAAAGCTTACCCACTCTGCAGCAACGTGTAACTACCTGAAATTGACGTTTGAGCTTTGTTGCAGACCGTATATATGTCCTCGTGGAAGTCGGAAGCGCCCCCGACCAATCACAGCAACAAGCGAGGATGGGTGACATTGTCATCTGCGGCTTTTCGAGCAGACCAGAATCAAGGAAAGAGATGAACTCGGAACATATAAGTATGGTTCGGGGCTCTGCCTTTGGACGTTGCAACAGCGCGTGTTGGGAATTGTAGCGAATGTAACTAGATGGTAGTATTGCGCGATGAAGTTGATAAGGCTTAAACTTTGAGTTAACTGCAGTCTTCTGCAGAAACGTGGCTTGTAGACGTCAATTTAACACTTGAGCCATGCGTCCGGGCATGTGCTTCGAGTCTATACATTTTATACCAAGGGTAAAGCATACTAGGACTACCTACGTACTTGATTTCCTGTCGGTATGCTAACTAGCCCTGGCCAATAAGAATGTATGAATGCTCTGTCGTTTATTACCCCTGGTTCTGGTAATTTATAGGGGGATCTAACATGACGAAGGAATTACAAATAAATAGTGGATACTCTCTAGCAATTCACCGACACATCACATGTTGTTGGAAAAATTGTGAACTGATTGATGCCTGTGTATTGGATTGTACTGGGGATGGGAGATCTTTTGTGTGGATTACCAAGCGAGTGAGCTATGCCGCGGGTGAGAGGGTCACGTTTCAACAGAAAACCTACTCACTGGCTTCAGATTGTTTTCCTAAGTCTAGATTTGATTTAATATCGCCGCACGGAATCCGCTTCGGTCACTTTGAATCAAATGAAATAAAGTGGCCGATTGGGCCTCATGGTTCGTCCGACACTATTAATTCTACTTCTAATAAAGATCACTCAAAATGCGTGCGGAACGAGTCTGCATTGAACAGATTATCTCTTCAACCCCATCTTGCATCGTCAGCGAAGGGTACTCAGACAGGCCAGTATGAAGATTCTCTGTCTCCATCCGTGGTGAGTCTGCCATCTTACATTCTGTGCATGCGATGTCGGCTTACGATAAATCGCCTTTGATAGGGGAACATCTGCGGAGATATTCGAGAAGCAAATCTCGCATATGTGCAATCTTATCGGCGAGTCTCACAATTATGTCTTTGTTGATGGTCCTGTGGCTTGTGGGCCGGCAAAAGGTATATACCGGATACAAGAGAAAGAGGGGGAGAAATAGAAGGGGAGACAAGAAGGAAAAGGGAGGAGAAATATTATATCGGCTGATAGTCTCGAGTAGGACTGTCGGGCCTAGAAAAAGGACCCTTCTACAGTTGGTATGAGGGTCTATTATGTGCCCAAGTCAAAATAGCGAGCGACCTTGTATGGGATATCATCAATGACGAAGGCCCTTTTGACGGAGTGATTGGCTTCAGCCAGGGTGCTTCCCTGGCTCTGTCCATCCTATACCACCACGAGATCAACCGACCCCATCAACCACCACCGTTTCGCTTTGCGGTCTTTATCTGCTCGGTGCTTTCGATATCTCCTGACCCAGAATTCAACGCGGATATTATCGCCAAGTACAGTCGGTACTACAGGTTACCTGACGAGTCAGGGCTGGAAGATAAGGGGGAAAATAGCAACGAAGAGGAGGAAGAGGAAGAAGAGAAGACGAGCAAGTTGAAAAAGGGTCCCAAGCATCGTGTCCAGCTGCTGCTCCCGGGCCAAAAAAAGGCGTTAGTAAACGATATGGTTGGTTTCATTCGCCAGTTGTCTGATAACGTAGCCGATCAGGCGACTGCCCGGAAACAATGGACGCGGGACGAAGGCTTTCCGCGGGTCTACCATCCTCTGGTGAACAAGCACCGCATCTCCATCCCCACCGTGCACCTCATCGGTAGATCCGATCCTCTGCGGCGGCAGAGCGAATTGCAAGCCAGGCTGTGCAGCAAGAGCCAAACTCGTGTCGTGGAGTTTTCCGGGGGCCACAGAGTGCCTCGGACCTCGAGCGACCTGCAGTCTGTGGCGTTTGAAATCGAGCGGGCCATCCGAATGGCTCAGCTGCGGTAAATTCGACAGTAAATGGAAGAGTTGGATTTTGTTTGTTTTAGAGGCAGAATGATACATCATCTGAATATGGTTAATACCCTCTGCATAGTTCAAGTAAGACAGTCAGTCAATGCTGTTAGATTTTGAGCCATTGAGAATGTTTGAGGAACATTGATGTCTTGTTTAACTTGTCCAACGGCTCCTGTGTAAATTTCCCACTCATATTTTCTTCTGGCTTATGCATGGCAGTCTAAGCAATTGCGTGATAGGTTCTTTGAAATACGACCATGTTCGAAGGTTAAGTCTAGTGCTTCTACTTTTGCTTTTTGAACTGAAGTTCAGATCGAGATAGATGCACACACGCTCGAAATTCTGGTACGTATCTACGCGGAGCCCGACTTGTCTCCCTTTTCGAAAACTTTGATCTCATTCCCATCATCCCTCTCCAATCCAACCAAACCGATCTGGTACTCTACTTCAGGAAAATGCGGAGATGGCAACGGCATATGCCCCGTCCAGCTGAGCAGCTTCCGAGGCAATGGTGGACGCGTCTCCCGAAGTGACTTTTTGCTGCAGCTGCTTCGAGAGACCATCGGTCAGATTCTGGAGAGTCTCGAGGTCCGACAAGACGATGCTGGTCACGCCAGCAGAGGCAAATAAGGCTTTCTTTAGAACATCGTCAGTGATGGGATTATTAGACCACTCGCGGCTTACAGTCGACGCTACCTTGCCGATGATCTTGTCGAGGACCGTGACGATGCCCGACTCGAGACCTGTCAATGCATGGGTCACGCTCGTGCTGTCGGCGGCCCCGAATGCAGAGGAGGCAGTCACGTCAATGACGGTCTTGTTGAGCGCATCCGACAGAGTGATTTCATCCTGCTGAACGCTCACCGCACCGGTTAAAGTGCCGTCAAAGTTCCCAACTGTGGTGCTGAGAATTGACAGATGGGCCGAGATGGTGCTCAAATCCGTGAGAACCGTGAAGACGCTCCGCAAGGCCAAGGGGCTGGCAGAGGCGCCAACGGAGAGGAGAAGGGCAAGGAGCTGCTTAGCGATCATGGTGATCAATTGAAAGGTTGCTTGGTAATGTCCAGAAGTTTACTTGTCCGGATGCAGAAGGATAGAGGTTGCTGAAGAATCTCTGCAAAACGAGACATACATTTGAACTTTATACATGACAAGTCATGGCTGGCTGAAACAAAAGCATTCATTTTCATCCCATCGTACTCTCCGTCAGGAGCTTTTAATGCGGCCCGGCCGAGAACAGATGGACAGGAGGTTTGGAGTTGCGGATAGATCTTGGGAAGGTTCCAGTCTTGTTTGATGATGAACAGTCGTCAAATCATGTGCAAAGTCTTGTGTTCATAAGGCGGGTACCTAATGTGAATGCCTCGGTCTGAGTTCAAGGGAAGACATGGCAGACCAATCAATCCACAGCAGTAGCGAGGGCGGCGGTTAGCGCCCAGGGTGTAAAAAAGTGGCCGAGACATAGAAAATTGGCCTGTTGGTTCTTGCAACATAGCGTATGCACTAGCCATAAATAATCCCTGCACATAAGTCACATTCATCGACTCAATCAATCCAGTGTCTGCCCGCTACTGTAGGCAGCCAAGTAGTGGGCAGACATATATACCCAAAAATGCAGCCAGGCATGACCTGAAAGCCCTCTGCAGACACCGTTCATATCGTGAGCGATCTTGCTTTAACCTGGCTATCAAACACAGTAAGAGATGCAGGATGCCCAATTGACCCCAGAGAAGAGCAGCAAGAGCGACGATGGCTCTTCACGAGAGTTCGAGGCGACAAGGCCAGTTATCGCAACTTGGCGGTTGACCATCATCCTCCTATGGTAAGATAAATAGGCGATACTGAGCGATAAAGACGCATCGTACTGGCGCGAGCTGACCAAAAGAAACGCCAGCATCGCCGCCGGTCTGTTTCTATCACTGATGGACACGACAATCGTCTCTACGATGCTCTATACCATCTCGGCTGAATTTGGCGGGTTCCGAATGTCGTCTTGGATTGTCCTCGCCTACACGCTGTCTTATGTCGGTAAGGATATCTTCTCCTCCACAACGGCAGAAAAACTTATTGGTTTCGTTCCCGCTTGTCCAGGCTGCGCCGTATTTATCGCCCGGATTGCCGATGTGATTGGCAGGAAATTTGCCCTTTTTGCCTGCTTTATTTTCTTCCTTGCCGCATCAATGGCATGCGCAGCATCCACGAACCTCAACCAACTGATCGGCTTCCGAGCCGCCCAGGGTGTTGGTGGATCTGGACTGTATGCCATGGCGATGATAATCTATCCAGAAATCAGTCCACCAGCGCTACTGCCCGCCATCTCAGCGATTGTCGGCGTCATCGTGGCGCTGGCGGGTATCAGTGGACCGCTTATAGGTGGGCTTTTGACCACCTACGCATCCTGGCGATGGGCATTCTGGATTAAGTGAGCTGTTTCTGTCCCACGCAAGCAAGAACCACCGATGACTGATCATTCATCCGTAGTGGCCCTTGTGCCTTGGTGCCGGCGGTTGCCCTCTTCTTTGTCTGGCCAAGCGATTTCCACGCCGCGAAGAATGCCCGTTTTAAGCAGCTCGACTATGTCGGTACTCTGCTTATCATGCTCGGCTGTATACTGTTTGTGTTCATTCTCAACCAGGCGGCCAGCCGCGTCTATGCGTGGAAGAGTGCTCCCGTCATCTTGATCATTATTATTTCTGGTCTTGCATGGATAGCATTGGTGTGCTGGGAGTGGATCGTGTCCTGGCATCCCAAGCTCCGCCACCTTCGGCCTCAGCTGCCCTTCCGACTACTGGCGGATAGGGTCATGTTAGCGGGATTCTTGTAAGCTGGCAGCGCGTACAAGGCCACCAGATCAGTTACGCTAATCCCTCGTGCTAACAGGAGCACCCTGCTGACCGGGTTCGTCATGCTGCTCGTTATCATCAACATCCCGCTCCGCGCGCAACTCGTCAACCTTAAGGACGCAATCGGGTCCGGGGTTGTGCTTTTGCCTCTAATGGGAAGCACTGCAGTTGGCTCAGCGTTGGGGGGCGCCGCTTCCGCCAAAAAGAACAATACGTTCTGGACGTTGAACCTGGCGAGCATTTTCATGCTCGTCGGTAGTGCCCTTTTGTCCACGCTTCCCGACACCGTGGACCCGGTCCCGAAGCAATATGGATTCGAGGCAATCCTTGGCTTCGGTTTGGGCCTGAGTCTATCTACGATGACCTTCCTCACGTCCATGCAAGTGGAGTTTGAAGACCACGGTTAGTGACAAACGCCCTGTCCAATAATCTCGTTCGAGACTGACCTGCTCCCACAGCCGTTGCGCAGGGAGTCGTTGCACAGCTGCGGATCTTCGGCGGTAGCATTGGCATCGCGTCTAGTTTCATCGTTTTCAACCAAAAGATTCAGGAAGCGCTCACCGGTGTGCTGACCCCTGCGCAGCTGGATGACTTTTACCGATCGCCAACCGCTATCCTCAGTTTCCCTGTGATGGATCAGTTGCTTGTTAGGCAGACGTATATCGACGTTTTCAACATCGACATGCGGATCTGTGCTGGGATCTCGGCCGTGTGTCTAGTCACTACTTTGTTCACCTTCCAATGTCGCCCGCAGTCGATGAAGGAGCGGCTTGCAGACTTGGAAGAGGCCTATGCACGCACCGAGGCCGCAACGGCAGCGGCTGCAGATGAGAGGTAAAAGACAGTCATGTGAAGTGGAATAAAATGCGTGGTTACGGTAGCGATGCTTAGTGCTTGTTCGGCTCGAGTAGGAGGCACAAGGCCTCGTCGTTATACTGCTATTTGCCTTTATTCTACAGACTGATATAGAAATTGATGCTGCTCTTGCAATTGGCTCCTTGTTCATGTAGCGCTTTGCCCCAAACGTTAATATACTCCAAGCTTCTTACAAAGTCTATGGATTATGGCACATGGCGCAAGTGTCGCCTTCAAAAGGATGTGTGAGTTTGCTCAGTTCTGTTTACAGAGTATGAACAGTTCACAAGCATATCAGCATCATCAGGTTGCATATTCTTGTTTTTGAAGCCATCCGCCTGTGATTATCTGTATCAGAAGATGGTCTTGCAATTGATCAGACCTTTCTACACCGAACATCTCGTCCGTTTTTACCAAGGAGAACAACGGTCATGGGCTGCTGTTCTACTCGTAGCCTTGCCCAAACCTTCTTCCTTATAGGCTAGGATCGAGCCCAGCAGGTATTAGTAACGGTCAATTTCACGCTGGTTCCCTTGTCGGAAAAAAACGATCATCTTCTGTTGCCCCTGAACCAAGATGCGCCAAGCTCAACGCCCGAATTGCGTCGCCGTCTTTTCAATAGAAAGAAGTGGCCGCCATGCCCCTGTAGACGCTGAGCACTAGAACGATGTTGAATTGTCTCTCCAAGCGGAAAGCTCCGGCCTATCACGGCGCTTTAGACAGTAGAAGCGATGTTGGTACGTAAACTCCGACATCCCTTCCATACCCCACCTTAACCGCACCTACCGAGAATGAAGGTCCATCTGGTCCATCACCAGTCGGAGTGACCGTGGTCTATGCCGAGATTCTAAATCCTCTAGGATCATTACAACACTCCGTGGGGTTGACGATGCGAAAGCAAACCTTAGAACACTCCGATATCTTAGACAGGGCCCAATGTTTAATTGATAATGGAGGACCTCGTCATCGCTCACCACTGTTCAGCCATTATTTTTCTGCCTCCATATACTTTGAGCATCGTCTGATTTCAAGCACGTACAAGAGATTTTGTTAAGCTTCGGTATATTCTACGATGAGCACGATGAGCGACAAACTGGAGCCTCTTGCAATTGTCGGCATGAGCTGGCGGTTCCCTGGGCAGGCGAACTCGGCCAGTGGCTTTTGGGATATCCTCAGCCATGGAAGATCTGCCAAATCGCGCATCCCAGAGAATCGCTTCAATGTCGACGCATACTATCATCCATCAGCCGATCGGAACGGATCTGTAGGCATCTCTAATATGTTGTGGCGACTAGGGCACTGAGGGTCTATGCAGATCACCACGAAGGAAGGCCACTTCCTGAATGACGACATTGCCGCGTTCGATGCCCCCTTCTTCTCGATGACAGCAGCCGAAGCAGATGGCATGGACCCTCAGCATCGCTTTCTTCTCGAGGTCACTTACGAGGCACTCGAAAATGGTGGGTGCCCAAAGCCTGCACAAAGCATGTTAAATACACACTGACACGACCAGCCGGGATGTCAATCAAATCCGTAGCTGGAAGTCAAACCGCACAGTGAGTCAACACGGCGATGCCTATTTTCACGAAGCTTACCGGTTCTAGCATGGTTGGGTGCTTTACCAGTGACTATGAAGTGCTTTCCGGAATTGAACTCATGATCAACTGACTTCCCGCTCCTCCCCAATTGCTACTGGTCAAAGGGGGCACCACAGCGAACGCCATGAAATCCATATTTATTCTGATAGTTGAGGAAATACTCTGGCAGTGTCACCAACTTTGAGCAGGAACACATCATGTTCATTGAATGCAGATGACTTCTAAATGTCTTCCAAGAAAGATCCCGTGTAAACCTCCCCGCTTTCCCCCGTGAGCTCCGTCAGATTAGTCCCACAGACCTCGCAATCTGTCAGATAACTCGGAAATTCGGGAACGGACTGCTCCGATTTCTGGTATGGACGTAATCCAGCATTGGCACGGTGTACGAGGCTTAGACCCCGAGAATGACGATGAGTCGCGGTAACGATCACTGCCATGAGAGCAATCCTGCTTCGACATGAAGAGCCGGAACCGGGTAAGTGAGTGGTCCAGACGAATGAGGAGTTCAAGGCCCCTTAGCTGAACTTCAAGACGGTGCTCGTCCTTGGGAGCGAGGCAATTGCATCCCGCCACACTACCGGAGCTAGTTAGGGAGGGCTCCTCTGCAGAGGATCGCCCATCATCCATGGTCCCAAGGCTATTGTAGAGATGAAAATTGAATTCAATAATCCCGATACACATTTCAACCGCCTCTATCACCGCGACCCGGACGATTCTCCACTTGGATTGCTCTGTTCGCTGCTGCTGCTGCGAGGATGGATTGTTTTGGAGCACGGAAGTTGTTTGGTTGAGCTTGTCCAAAGTCTGAAAGATTAAGGAGAGCTCGTCTTGGTCAGTCTCAGCGAGTATATCAAGTCTTTTAGATTTGCAGCGATTGTGGAGCTCTCCATAGAGCTTAAGCGCATTATGGAATTCTTGTTCACCATCGGTTTCGGAACTCTCAGTGACATCGCCGGTGGCGTAGCAGCTCTCTATCATAAGCGCATCCATTTGAAGTGACTCTCTTGTTCGTGCAAAATCTGATGCGAAGAATTCTATCTGAGCACCAACAGTATTGGGTGTCATCAACTGCCTAAAGCGCTCACTGTCGGTGCCAAATCGCCCGGTTTCTTCGAAATTGTAATCCGTAGATACGTCCCTGACCGGGTCCTTAGTGAGTGTTTCTGAAATCGGGTGCCATGCCGTACTTTCCCATCGACTTGTTTCATCTCGGGCACGGCGACGCGCATTTAACTGGTCCTGTGACGAGTCTTTTGGCGGCTGTGAACCATTCGGGCTTTCTAGCAAGTCTTCCGATTGCGCCAGCATCTGCAGGACAGTCATAGTCTGCGGATACCTACCAGTAATGGGTATAGCAGTGGGACTGTGTGCCGCGGCCTTGGTTTTGATGGATGCCGTCTGTTTTCGGGGTCGTCCAATCTTACTCCGGAGGGAAAAGAGGCAGCGCCGCTGATTGAGCCGGCATGCCTCGCAACTGCCCCCAGATCCGGCGAGCGACGGCTCGCATCGAACTTTGCGAATGTGGCATTCCTCGCAGGCCAAACGGAACCGAGGTTCAATAGGATGCGAGGTGCCGCTCGAGCTGGAGTCGGTGGAAAACGATGACCCGGAAGTAGAGTTAAGGTCTGCCATTCAAATTATCTCGACTTTCTGCTCTTCTATTTCTGCTTCTCAACTTCTCGCCTTAGAGCCGAGTTCTGCACAGGTCCGGTGAACGGTCAGACCATAAAAATCTCACACCAAGTGGATCAGCTTACTTCTGGCCCAAGGACGATTGGAGTAGGGTCACAGGCGATCGAAAGCTATTGAAGTGTGAAGTCCTCACAGCGGAACGAATTATGGAACGAAGACTTAGGCTTTCCAGCTTCCTTGGGAGACATTCTCCACGCTCGACCTCCTTTTTCCTTATACTTCTCCCCGCATGATCCACATCGTGCGTTCTGCGCTCGCAAGCGCTAGGGACCTCACTACCTAGGAACCAGTCTGTTGGAAACTATTGAATTATAATACCACTAGGCTTAAAAGGTGTCAGGACGTGGTGCTCATCAGTCTAGGGTCTTATATCCATAGTTCATAATGGTATTATATTTTAACAGGAACCAACCCGACTGTACCTCTATCAATCCCCGCATAATGTGGAACTTACGGCCGAATGCTCATGAGGTGTGGGAGCTAAACGATAACTACCACTAGAAAAAAGATGGGCACAATGGGGCGTGTCGGAAGCCATTGCCTTGGTCACATGTCTGGGCATTGCTTGCATTTGCTTCTCCAAATGCTCTGATTTGTGCCCCGTGGACAGGGGCAGTTCGCAATTCGCGAACTTTGCTGGGGAAGGGGCTTGATTTGGAAGAGAACATACGCCAACATCTATGGTTCCCTTGCATTAGGCAGTCGCCCCCCGTTCTTCCCCGACCACCCGTTGGGCCGCTGCAGTCCAGAACGTTTTAATTCTGGACTGGCTTCTTATCGCAATGCACTTATTTGCATCAGACTCGTGCTTTGGACGCCCGGACGGCACGAACCAGAAAGCCAATCTATGCGATCAGGCTGGAGCGATCTCGCGAGGCGTTTCCAGATCCATCCCAAGTCCATGTTTCCAAAACCCACAATATTAATCGCTCTTATTTTTACTCTACTGCATGCACCCTCTAAGAGTCTACGATTACATGCCTCACTGGAAAGTGTCACTTAAAAGAACCAAAAGCACGATGTAACGCTGTACTTTACCAGGCCATAAGATTGGCCATACAATATGGCCTGATTGAAATTTCACGCCGCGAGGCGCAGAGATTGGCTTCTCGCCCAATTGCACAGGCTTCCCATGTAAGCGCCGTCCAAAAGTCAGACGTGACCGACAAGGTACTCCGCACACGATGCGCAGGGGGTTTGATTGACGGGAATCCCCGTATGGATGACCCCTCTTTGCTAGCTCACACATACTATCAATATCCTAGTCAAGCTTTTCTGTTTGAGGTTAACGCCAAGATAGAAATTGCGCCACACAATTATTTCATTTCCTAGATCACAATGACCAATTAAAATGTTGCGTTGTATATATCTCGTCACTACCTAAACAGTCGAACAAGCACGAATGATTTATGCGCAATCCTTTCCTTGAATCGAGCGGAAACTTTTTGGGGACTAATTTATGCAATTTATACCGCAAAGGTCATCCGTCTGACGCGTTTTAATTAAGGTAAGGTGGTAGGTATCCTCGAGAGAAAGCTAAATGGAGCTCTTCACCAACAAAAGTGAGTTAAGTAGCACCAATCAGCTAAACGCCAGAAATGAAGAGGACAATGCCCTGTACTAGGCAATTGCAACGCATTCATCACATGTTTGAGCTGTTTTGAAGATGGAATGATATGTGAGCAGAGTAAGAACGGCTACCCATACCCATGGTACGCTCCAGCCTAGAATCTCGAGTTAGGATACTAGTCTCGAGACAGCGGACCTTTCTCACGAGGGCAATTATGCGAAAACTCACCGAGGACAAATGATATTTCTTCGTTCGTCAGGCTGCCAATCAGGGCAAGGAGCACAACGGAGACACCGAGCCCGGACAGCCCCCAGGCCCAGCCCGTCCATTGTAGGAGGTCTTGGAGGGCTCTATTCGAACGATAGCGATTATCCAGAAGCTGTCGGAAATGCAGCCCCTGTCCTCCATCGACCGCGACCACGTCTTCAAGGATTGTGTAAGCCCCTGGTCGAACCAAGGCGCCTTTTGCCATCGACGAAACGCGAAAAGGATACTTGGCGCGGAGCCAGACCAGGATTGAGCCCAATACTAATTGACTGCTAATCTGGAGAGTCAATAGCGGTAGAGGAAGACTGAAGAGTCGGACTGAAGTGTCACCGAGGGTGTAGGCGATGCTCACGGCTACAGTCAACAACACCGCGATGTAGATGAAACCGAACAGGAAGTTCCATTGAAAGTAGTCCAGCTGCAAACATTTATACATGTAAATAGTTATATGTAGATACAGGGGATGGCAGACAGGTACTGACATGATATCGCACTGTATCTGGCGGACGACATGTTGAGTCGGCCTCGACAAGCCGCCAGATCCTTCGCACCAACGCCAGCACACTCCCGGCGCCTAAGATGGAAGCTATGATTGCAAGGACTATAGCGGATCCAGTTCTGTCAGCGACTAAAGTGAGCTGAATTGTTTTATCCAGCATCTCATCCCCGGGACAACCATGATGCTGGTGGAAGGGATTCATCATATCTACCTATCCATAGCTTCAGCCGAGCGACGTATCTGAGAAGGAAGTACAATAACACTGGAGCCAGTCCACAAGTGGTGAAAAGAATGGCGACTGTAACCGCAATCACTGTTCTCCGTTGACGAATGTTCCCTGTGAGCTCGCCATGGGAATCCAGATTTGTGCGTTGAGAAGGGTATTTCGCTTCCTGTTGGTTGGCTGGCATTCTTGTTGCAATAACAGAACTAGACTGAGCTGAGTCAACGAATCTATAATTATCCCTATTTATGCTCATGAGCAGTATAAATAATGATGGTCCTATCTAGGCTGAAGGATTTGGCTCCAGGCTCCAGCTAGCAACACAATGAATAGCATGGCATTAAAGTCGCCGGCTGGGCAAAACCGATTTTGAAAATTGGCCGATACATAAGGATAGATTTAGGCGCCTCCCGAGCCGCTTGCAGGGATGTGTCTACGGCCTTTTTCCTATGCCCTGTCTGTCTGCTCGACCAGCCCGCTCTGGTTTTTGAGCAGATTTTGACGGGTGGAACCTGGCGAGATCAGATAAGACAGCCCTCGACCGTGACGCACAAGCCGTTCCAGGTCTCCTTGTAATTTATCCATTGTCTTCGCCCTCATCCTTTGTATACATCGTCTCGGGTTCAGTATGGCTTCAAACCATGATCACAGGTCTCCTTTCATGGACTGGCCTAATGATGCAGGCGTACGTTAGGCCTAGATACTATTTACATCTGAAAGCTGAACCTATTCCGTTACACAGTTCGAGGCTACTGCCGAGTTTCCTGAGCCCGTTGAATTAGTTGTCACGGGCTCAATGCCTTGCCAGGTCGCCGGAACGCTCTACCGAGTAGGCCCCGGAACCTACAAAGTGGCGGGTAGCAAGTACCAGCTCAGTCACTGGTTCGACGGGTTCACGCATCTTCATCGCTTCCAGCTAGTGGCGCAGCCTACTGGAACCTGCAGGGTGTTGTATAACTCACGACGGCAAGTTGATAAACTGGTCGAAGAAGCACGCAAGTCGGGGACTCTTGAGGGCGTTACCTTTGGCCAGAAACGAGATCCATGTGCAAGCATTTTCCAAAAGGTCAAAAGTTTCTTTCGTCCCGCTTTCAATACCAAAGACCCAGGGCTCGTCAACGCTGGAGTCACTGTCCACGCAAATGTATGTTTGGTCTTTAAACGGGAAGTCCAGGATCCCCCATCTTGTCCAAAGCCTCTACGATGCTCTTGTTTGAGGTATACCGCCGTTTGTTCTGACAGACTAGATCCCATGCGTTCCGCCTCAGCCCAAGAGCTCCGATCCATTGGCAGAATTGCGGAAGTTCCACAGTCTGACCACTATGACAGATGCCAACGTATTCAAACATGTAATGCTATTTCCACTTTACAAAACTGTATACCTTGCAAAGCTGCCAATAATTATACTGATTGAATGTCCGTTGTATTCAATAGGTCGACCCTGAGACCCTGGAGCCGACAGGGGTGACTCGCCAGGAAGCGTTGCACCCCGATCTGCGAGGTCCACTTTCGTGTGCTCATGCCGCGCTCGACCCTACATTTGGAGATATGTACAATTATAACCTCGACTTTGGCAGGTACGCAACCTACCGAGTTTTCCGAACCTCTGCTGCCAGCGGCCAGACGGATATCCTTGCAACCATTTCGGGCCCAGCCGTCAAACCGGCGTATCTCCACTCCTTCTTTCTCAGCCCAGATTATGTGATCCTGTGTATCTGGCCCTGTATTTTCGCGGCAGCTGGCGTCAAGGTGTTGTGGGAGAGAAACATGGTGGATGCCATGAGATTCGACCCCAGCGTTCAGACGCGCTGGTATGTCGTCGATCGAAAAGAGAACCGAGGGGTCGTGGCCACCTTTTTGAGCCCAGCCTTTTTCAGCTTCCATACCATCAATGCATGGCAGGCTGACAACGGCGATGGAACGGTGGATATCATGTGCGATATCATTCAGTATCCTACCGACGAGATGATACAGCGCGGATATTATGAAGCGATGGTCTCCACCGGTAGCGACGTGGAGAAGTACTTTGGCAGTGAAGCCTCGCGGCCCAGCTTGGTCCGCTATTGTCTGTCTAGCGTGCCCAAGGAATCCCCGCTCAAGATACCGACCGACGATGCAAAGTTACCCCAAGCAGACATACAGTTGAGAATCGAAGCTGAAGGCGTTGGAGACCTTCCCACCATCAACCCTTGTTTTGCTGGCAAGAAGGCGCGATACGTATACAACGTCATCAACCGGGGAAAAGTAAGCTGCTGTTTTGCTTGATGAACCATAATGATGAGATATCATTTAGAGCTAAGCATCACATCTTTCTAGTCTTCCTTTTTTGATGCCATCGCAAAGATTGATCTGGAAACGCAAAAGGTCCTGATCTGGAGCAATGAACATCATACTCCTGGAGAAGCTGTCTTTGTTCCAAACGGACAGAATGATGCTGAAGATGCCGGGTACCTGCTCAGCATCGTTCTTAATGGTGACACAGGCACCAGCTACCTTCTCTGTCTCGATGCGCGTGACATGACGGAAGTAGGGCGAGCTGATTGTGCTGCAGCGGTGGGCTTCGGTTTTCATGGAACACATTACCCTCTTCATCAATAGGAACCAGTCGTTCCCTTGGCTCCCGTCAGGGTCTTGAGTGATTTAGACCCATAGGGGCTGAAAATCGGTGTGCTGTGGCTACATTAGGACCGCTCACAAAAATAGGTGAATAACGCCGTTGACTGCGGAGAAGCAATCAATCAACCACATTTCAAGATTGTGCGGGTCATTAACAAGATCCACCTCATTTGGGTACCCCTTCTAATCACTCTCAATGTTGTTAAAGAAGAAGTACATATTATGTGTGAATGACAGTTTTTACTTGATTCTGCGGACAGCCTAAAAGGGCATTTGCCCAGGGGCCTGAATGAGGACTCTATAGTGCATACAGGACCAAAAAAAAAAAAAGGATAGACAAGCTATTCGCCAGTTCGTGGGTTTCAAATCATTGTTCAACTGAGCGCCCTCGTAAAAGCGGCGGCAGCTAAGATAGGAAAGCCCCACCCGGCAGAGGAAAAATGGTACGTACAGCTACATACATATGTATGCAAGTACCTGCATAATCGATGTACAGTCTTCACTTCATTCGTCCCCTTCTAAACCCTTTTTGGAACTATTCGTTTCATATCAACCAGATCTCAGAATAGCCAGTGAGTAAAAATACTCCAAACCTCAGATCCAGCATTCCAAGCCCAAGTACCCAGACAGCAAAAAAGCCCGACTACAATCGTACCTACCAAGATCTCCAAACCCCTCAAAATGAGGCTCTTCAACCCCAAAGTCCACATCCCCATCTCACCTCACCTCACCTCATCCACTCCACGCGCCGTCCTCCTCACCTCCCCGACAACAACAACAACAACCACCACCACCACCACCGCCAAAATCGCCCGGTCCAAGAACCCTCCCTCCTCAGCCTCAATGCGCGCCGCCGCCTCCGGCGCATAAATTCTTTCCTGAAAAGCCACCAAAGCATCCTCATCAGCAAACGTTAGGTTTCTGTCGGTTCGTTCTTGGAGGGAAATGCATTGCAACAGGTATAATGTATAATGTGGGGCTGTCTGCTAATGGATTGGATATAAAGTTAGTGTTTTGGTTTAGTTCACCGTACTGCTTGTTAAGATGCGTGGATGTTAGAATCGTTGGCTACATATGTATGTAGGGTTATTCTCGCCATGGCTGTTGAGCATCGAATATGCAATAGGGACAATTTCCCACGTGCCGAACACAACGGGTCTAATGAGCCTCACTCACAGGATGGCTTGGAGAACAAAATGATTCATTTCGAATATGATAATCAAATAATGCTACCAAAGTAGCTAAGATAAATACAAAAGTCAACCGGGCGAGATGCATTCAATCAACCAAAACATCCAGAAGCAATAACATAACACGTGGGTATATTCACAACAAAAAGACAAAGAGTCATGCGACAACGCTGTAAAAAGGACTTTTGCGTCAAACAATGACATTAAGGGTATTTATTGATTGGCGAACAAGCACAAGCACGAGCACATTCAACGACCGGCTGTAACGGAACCCATTGTTTCCGAGTACCCAGGCGGAGCAAAGTCCATGACCACATCGCTGACAGGACTGGAGAAGTCGGAGGGGGAAGTCACGTTGCGAGGGTGGAAGAATTCATCCAGTTCTTCTTGTGTGACTGTGACACCGAGGGATGATTTGAGGGATTCGGCGTATTTTGTTTGGCTGGCGAATTGGATCGGGACGCGGAGGGAGATTGTTGGCGTCATGATGTTTGCGGCCGGGGTGTGGTATGTTAATGCGAGGTCGAGCGAGTAGGTGCGGGACATGAGGCAGGAATGGAAGGTTGGGACAAAGGCCTTGCTCTTTGGGAGGGTGACGGGAATGACAATCGAAGCTGTGTAGTAGGTATCTCCAATGAAGGCGGAGGACGGGCCTGTCGATGAGTCGGATGACGTTGATGAGGTGGAGTCACGGCGAGTGTCGTTGGATGCTGATTGTTTGGTCCACTGGGCTGAGGCGACACACATTGTTGATAAGGGCACGTTTTCTGTGTATAGACCGCGGCCGACTTGTGCGAAGGGGACGCCTGTTGAGCAGGGGAAGTCATCCCATGGGGAGGCGCTGTAAAATGTGCTTGCGCGAAGTTTGCTGGTCATTGAGCCTAGCGGCGGTGGCTGCTCGTTTTTGACGGGATCGAATCGCAGATTCACAGTTGCCACGGTGCTTACAGTATCGGATGGCTCGCAGGTTGGAGGAAGCAACTGGATAGGCTTGGGCTGGGATGTTGAGGCGACGAGTCGGCCCAGCGTGCTTCGTAGCGTTCCGCGCTTGACGCTCTTTTCCTTGCGCATGCAGAGAGACGAGTTTCCGGTGATGTCGACTGGAGGCTCCTCTTCAACGAATGGGATGATGCGAACTTTCTTGGCAATGGCGGCGATGGACTTCACTCCGTGACCGGCGAGTTGTTTTTGGTGAACAGATGCTCGAATGATATACGCAATTTGTGACATCTCGGGGGCCATATCGTCTAGCAGGGTCTTGCCGTTACTTGCAAGCATGGGATCGCCCAAGGTAGGTGGAAGCATGGTGTGAGAGCGTTGAACGTGAGCATTCTGCTTGGCGTGGGTGCAGACCTGGGGCAACAGACGGTCTGGAACGACGAATGTGAAGGGGAATTGATATGAACGACCACTTTCCAACACTCGAGGGGTTGGATACTCGATATCCTCAATTGGCTGGCGCAACTTCAGAAACATCTGTTGTGATCCCGTGCGGCCAGGGCATGATGCTCGTTCCACTGTAGTTCGGGAAGTGCCTTATCATGAAGTTAGTGTCGGAACATTATCACACGCGTCTTGTTGGAATTCTACCTTCGAACACAATCTCAATCTCATCAAACCGCGTTTCATGTTCAACAGAAATGGTCACTGTGCCATCAATGTTGTCTGCGGTGGTATAAGAATTGACATGACCAGGCTTTTGTCCTGCCAGATCAATTTCAACTTTGACTTGGGATCGACGAGTCCAGGCATCCAACTTTTCAGCGCCAGAGCTGAGGGTTGAAGTGGTAGACATTGTGATACTGGGCAGTTGGTATCACAAGGAAAGTAGGCTTCTTTTGTCCGAAGGGACAGCCTTCCACAGACAAAAGAAAGCAAGGAGAATTTGAAGATCAACAAAAAATGATTCACTAGGGATATGATATTGTATTTAAAGAAAATAATAATCAAAAATGAAACAAGGAAAAAAAATAAGTAAACGTGGAGCCGTCGACAACCGCAGGGACAAAGCAACTGTGGAGGAGCCCCGTTTTATAGAAATGGTCCAGATGGTAGAATAATGATGTTATGCGATTTACATGTCTAACCTCCAAGGTTCTTATAAATCTCGAATCTCCTCAACGTGAGTCACAAGCCACAAGCTCTGTTAATCAATAGAAAGTAAAAAGTTGATCGGTTCAGTATAAGGAAAGCCGAAGCGGATGTCATCAGTGTAAGGAAGTAGTAAGAATGATTGGCTGCAGGAATCCGCGTTCGCGCCCTTGGATTGACATTCCTGTGTACATCGTACATACTAGAATCCCTCTAGCTTAATGCAGACTGAGATTCGCGGAATTTGGGGCTATACGGGGAAATTCGGCATGAAAGTGATTTCCACCTTGTATAAGATATGTTAAATGGGCTAAATGATTTCCCTAGTCCATAATACATACAATATAACACATTTTACCTACAAATGTATACAAGCCTCTAGGGAAAAAAGTGGAGTTTGCGCCTTACTACGACATGCACGCCCTTTGAGTCTCCACCAAGGTCCGTCCGCATATTCTCCTACATTTGTGTCGGGAAGTGTCCAATCACACTGTCTCGCGTAGAACTCTGTTCGGCAAGATGACGGGGTATTGATTTCAAAGCTTCATCCCGTGTTATCTTGTCATTTGTGGTCCCTGGTAGTCATTTTTTGTCGACTTGAAGACGTGAAAAAGTTACCATTTGTATTCCGTAGCTTGTTGCACTTCTGGTTTCCCGAGGGAAACAAATGACGGAAGAGCCTTAGTCTCGGGCAGCCCCAGAAATTTCCGCCCATAACCGAGCTGGTGATGGGCCGAGCTCTTGATTTTTTTTTTCCTTTCGGCGTAGTCGGAGAAGTCTTCGGAGAGATGTCAAGGAAATCAGATGGCGCAATTGCACTCGGTGCGAAATGTCGGGAACTGATCGGTCTACCGATGATCAGGTGACTCTATACAAGTCACGTTATTTATATACTCTTTGGCTTCACAAAAGAGACATGGTATTCCTTAAAGAATATACCTTTATATAGATATGTAAATAAACTAAGTATAACAATATCACTAGATATGCAAGCTGCAAGCTAAATATTTCGGCAATCGTAATTGATGCTTACAAGTCATGCCTCAGTCTGATAACCGAAGCTATTGTTAGTTACAAGATGTTTTATGTGATATATGAGGAATCTCATTAAACAAGAAATCTAAGATATTCATAGCCAACCATGTCAACCACCAGTCCAACCAATGTATCTACAAAAATAATCTCGACTACCAAAAACCGTCACCTGCACCTACCAAACCCCAGAAATGGCCTTTACTTGAAACCTACAGCAAGCTCCCCGCAAACAAACTTGAAGCCCATCTCAGAGACATCGTAAGTAAATGAACCCCACTGCTCAAATCCACCTACAAACAGACCACAGCGTAAATCAACCTGGGATCTCTTCGACCAAGCCCTTATTGGCTAGTGGATATTTATAGATTGCGCCGGTCCATCCATACCTAACTATGCCATCATCCTCGAACGCACAAAGAGAGGCGATGTCTCTCTTGACGCAGGCTGCGCAGGTGGATATGCATTGCGCCAAAAGGATACTGATGGAATAGCGATTTAAGGGAGTATTAGCGATGAATGGCAGAAAGAGTTTTTGGATTCAGGGTATGAGCTTTTTCGGGCTGGGACGTGGAAGCGCAGCTTATGGCGCGTGAAATGGTGGATGGGGATGCGTTTGTTAATGGAATTGTCAGGACGCTTGATATTGTTCATGCTGGGGCTTTGTTTCGGCTTTTGGGATTGGGGGATCAGGGTAGGGTTGGTGTGCGGTGTGTGACGCTCTCTCGTCACCGTGCAGATGCTCTTATTGTTGTGTGTCGGGTTGAAAATGAGTCGTTGGATCACGGCGAGCAGGCTGAGCAGGACCGGGTTGGCTTTCGTCATGATATGAGGAGTTGGGGGGAGTTGTGGAATGAGATTGGTGAGCAGACGGGGACGGTGTGGAAGCCTACGACTATTGAACCGGGAGGATCTGATGGCCCGAGCCACTTTGCCGTCCGGATGCACAGCGAGTATTAAAAGAAGAAGACGTGGAGAGATGAATGTGGTATTTCTGATATTGAAACTACATCGATCAAATGTTTACAAGTTTGTCCCGACTGATAAATTACGACGCAGACCCGTGTTGCAATGCGGATCAAATCGTACTCAAAAAGCGTCGACGCGTTTTCACGCTTCTTCTTGTCTCATACAAACCAGCACTTAAAGTGACCGGATGCATCCAGCTCAAGATTAGCCGAGAGAAGCGGCAGACCGAGCGAGGCAAGAGACGACATGGTGTCTAAGTGGCTCATAGCCGGGAGGGAAATCTAGAATTGTCAAGGCAACGGCCTCGGTCAGAGAACATTTGCATGTGGTTCGAAGCCACACAGTCATCATCCATTATGTTAATAAGGTATCTGAAGCCCGTACTCAGGGTAGGAAGAACGCCGAGACCTAAACCAAATCAATACGCCACCCGTGTTCGCATATCCTAGGAAATCTTAGTCAAGTGGACAATCTACATGTCAAGTTGGAAGACTTACCGAAATCTTGCGCTCGATTTCACGAACTGAGCGATCAAGTTCCGCTGCAATCATCATCTTCGTGTCATTAGGCAACAAGAGATACATCTCGCAGAGATCTCCGTCAATGACGCCCTTAACAGGCGCATAGTATCCGCGGTACATCAGATGGTCCCGTCCAGCGAGAGGGGGCTGTGTGGTAGCCATTTGTGTCTCCAGCAACTGGAAGAAGTCGACATCTTCACGGCTAGCGAAAGGAATGAACATTCCGATGGTGCCATGTAGACCGGTCCAAACAACGACGTCGCGACCTCCAGGAACCAGCTGTGTCTTGTGAAGGCTGGTAGGAATGTCTTGGGCGTAGTAGTGGATCATCAACTCGAGGCGGTGGGGGGTTCCATGAAGGTAGCCCTTCTCATGCTGAAGATGCGCACCAGATCCATCCTCGTCGGCTTCTTCCGAGGCCTTGGGAGGGCAACGCAGCAACCATAGGTTACCGAACTTGTCACCACCTGCGGTAGTCTCGTAGTCCACCATGGTAGTAGCTGATGTCCAGCGTGCAATGGAATCATCGGCGAAAGGTATGAGGACGTTGTCCTGGTATTTGTAGACAACGTAGGTGACACTATCGCGAACATCGCTAACGACAATGCGGCTTCCTTGCGTTTGAAGACCAACAATGGTCTTGGGCACGACATCCTTCTGGCATTTGCGAAGCAGTTGTTTCATACCGAGGTCATAGACACGGAGGCTAGGACCGACACCGGCCAACAGGCGGCCTTGGAAGCCTAGAAGAGCGAGGGGCGGCTCTTCAACTGCGGTCTTGTGGATGAACTCCAAATCGCGACCATCATCTTGGAAGCGATAAATGTGGATGAAACCGCCCTTGCAGGAGGGAGGGCTGACAGTCATGTCCTTGGCAGTTCCCACGACCAGGAATGTTTCATCATCCTGGCTGGAGAAGGATACAGCGGCGAGACTGACTGCTGCCTCGTTATCCTCAAGGTCCAGCGTAAAGACGACAGATTTGGTTGAAACTGGGTCAACAATCTGAACACATGAAGCCCAGTGCCCGTCTCCTCGAGGATATCCGAAGTCGGCGGGAGGAAGGTCTGCAACCTCACCATTGCGAGCCTGGGAATCTTCAACCAGTCTCTGACGGGTAGCGGGGGAGAGGACATTGTTGTCGGATTCAATGACGTAGAAAAGGGGTTGTTCGGGGTGCTTAACAAAGCGTCGAGGCGTGTAAGCGAGGGGAATTGACTCCTGGAGCATGTTGTTGTCGAGTTTCTCGACAGAGAAAATACTGTTTTCAGTTAGTGACTTGGTCAAGAACATTTGAGATTTGGAAGTAGCATGGATGGAAGATCATCTCAGAAGGAACAATTGGAAAAATAAAAAGGTTTGATCCACATAAAAGTTCGGATTGTTTTTTCTCATCATAATGATCATAGGGGAAATGTTGGGTAGAGGGGAGACGAAATGAACATACCGTAGGTTTCGGCCTTGAATACCGATCATTCCCTCTTCACATTGCTCACTGGAGAAGTTCCATCCCCACTCAAGACCAACGTAGTCCAGGGGAGTGAGCATAAAGCTCTTGGTTTGGACATCAGAGTATCCGAGCCAAGGACGAGCGCTCAAAGCAAGGACAGCTGTCTGGCCCTTGACGGACACTTGAGACAGCTTCACGGGCTTGGCACCAATGAAACGAGTTCGGGTATCTGAAAGCTCGCCGGTGACTTCGTCCAAAACAGTGCGAAGGTAGACTCCGGAGTAAAGGCCGATATGCAGATAGAGAGTCTTGCCTCCCGAGCTCGAATCGGACATGGCCATAATCTGAAGAGCAGAGGGTGCAGCCGACAGGGCCTGGACTGACTTATTTTCAAGGGTCGAGTCAGGGTCAAGGCTGAGAATACGGACAGTCGAGTCATCACATCCGACAGCCAGGAAGGAGCTTCGGACACGACCCTCTGGAACCTCGCCTAGACTGAGTGAAGTGACTGTACCAGACATCTGTCGTCGCTCGTCATATTCGGCCAAGGTTCCATCGGCATCCAGTTCAAAGTAGACGATCTCACCGGAGCTGAGTGCCACGGCGACTTGACGTTCATTGGTGGCTGCCGCAACGATAGATCGATGCTGAGGAGCAGGCCATTCGTTGACTCGCCGGTCCGCGAGGATATGGCGAATTCCACGAGGGTGAACTTGGAGCAACGAATCCTCACCAAGTTGCTGTACGGCCAGGGTAGGCGCTGTGGACAGGAATCCAGTGTCCGAAACTTCTTCAACGATCTCTCCGATGCTCAAAACAAGGGTACCGTTGGCAAAAGAAAGGATAATGTAAGTGTGGAACTCGTCAGCACGAGTCAACTTAGTAGTCCAAACAGCGGATGGCACCTGCTGAAGGTCGGATTCGACAATTTCGGAGACCTCGAGCCCATGCTTGAGGGTGCGGAAAGAACTGCGAGCTCCAGAGCCACAGATTGTGTATATTTGAGGAGCATCATCTTCGGTGAGGTTGGAAATTTTACTATCGATAAGAGGGGTCAAAGAGTTCATGCTCTCCATAAGATTGACATTCTCCGCTCCTCTCGGGTGGAAGTAAATGGGAGCACACGGCGCGGAAGGATCGGCTGAGAAATTGTCACTTGAAAACTCAGTCTCATCATCGTCATCACCGAGCTTTTCGAACTGATAGAAATTATGGTTTCCAGCTTCACTGGCAACATAAAGGAACCCGCTCTTGAGGATGAGAAGGTGTGTTGCAACAGGAACAGTGTCAAAGTATTTGATCTTCAAGCTCTTTACTTCTCCAGTTGGTTGCCCATTGTCATCTTCGACCATGTCCAGTGTCAGCTTGAAAAGGTCACCGTCCTCGGACTGGAGAAGGAAGAAGAAAGCTCCTCTCATCTTGTGCATGACACCAGCGACGATGGACCGCTTGCGCTCGGGGTTTTCAGTGGGTCCACTGCGGCGGGGAATTGGAACACGGAACGCATCCTGGTTGGAGTGACGGTAAGTGATGTTGTCCTTCGCACACACCAAGACACCACTGGGGCCATCAGCGCCACCGGGTACCTGGAAGAGGAGGGAAGCCGTGCGATCGACGGGGTCGGACCATTTGCGAATAACGTGGTTGAGACCAAGATCAAGTTCGTAATAAACCAAAACCTTCTCGAGTTCTTCGTAGGCTTGGCCAGTGGGATCCTGGTCGGCTTCCGAGTAATCCACTTCGAGGGCAGCGAACACAGGGTTTTCATAGCCAACGTCCAGGGAGATCATGGCGAACACCAAGGTCTGTGCCTTGTGGGCTTCAAGCGGCGAGGAGATGGTGAGCTCCGCCTGCGAGTTGCGATTAAGAACATAGACCAGCTTGTTCTTTTCCACGGAAGCGATCAAGCAAGCACGTCCTTTCGGATCCACTGCAAGATACTGTCCGGGAACAACGCGACGCACTCCAGACTTTCCAAATGTCTCCAAGTGGAGGCGCGCGAAGCGGTTCTGGGCGGGAACATATTCAACAATAGCGATTCGACCCGAGTCTGAGCCAATGACAATGTAATCTATTGTAATTACTCAGCACAAGTCCTTCAGCAGAAAGAGGTTGCAATCAACATCGCTGTCCAGGGCAGGTTTCCACCCTTATACAAGGGGTCGGTTCGAGAAAGGACCGTGCTGCCCAGGGAGCTTGAAGAATCACTAAGTTGAACTCCTAAGGAGCAGATGAGGGTTTATAAAAAAACATACCTTTGTTGCTACCAGCCAATCGGAAAGCTGCTAAGGAGCGAACAATGCCAAAGACATTTGTAGAGAAGATGGGTGTGATTTTTCCCTGAGCCGAGTCAGGCCGGTGAATGGTCAAACTTGAGCCTGACGCGGTGACGATCTGTTGCTCCTTGGTTCCTGCAAATTGACCAAGGATAGCCTGGGTAATAGCAGTTGGTGCTTGGATCGTCGCAGAGTACATAAACATGTGCGAGGTGGTAGCCATTGTGGGCGATTAGTTGTCCGGTTTCCCGGAACCAAGAGAGTGAGAAGGTTTGTACATGCAATTGCAATGTCTGGACTTTGAATTTTACATCAGTCCCATCGCTGCAGGTGGAATCAGTAAAGAGAGATACTCTTCAAGTCCACTTTGACACGGTGAAGATGGAGCCGCGTTAGCAAGAAAGGTGAGGAAGGGAATATTTTCTTCACTTGGTGTGGTAGCTTCCCGCTAGTGCATCACGTGATGTTTCGACCGCCTTCTGTGACCGACCATGAATTGCCGGGTTGGAGGAGTGGACCTCCGCATAACGAACGGTGTCTGACTTGAGTTCATACTCTCTTCACTTCATCACATCTTTCGTATCCTTCATCCTCTTTGAAAATTGGGCCTGTCTCCTTGCAGACCTGTGACTGCTTTGTCTTAATCTTGGGTGCCATACCCTTATCATCTATCTCTATTGACAGATCACCCCACCTGACATACATACTTCAGCCATGGCCGATGACGCAGGCACAACAGAGGAGGCTCCTATTACCTTCACTGTCAAGTCCTCTACCGATGCCAAATACACCCTGACTCTTCCGCTTACCACACTGGTATCGGATCTCAAGCAGAAGCTTTCTACATCTGAATATGCCGATACGCCAGCAGAACGTCAACGATTGATCTATTCGGGCAGGGTCTTGAAGGACACGGAGACACTAGATGTCTACAAGATTAAGGATGGCCATACTATCCATCTCGTGAAGAGCGCCGCCAGCAACCAACAGCGCCAAAACACAGCTGCTCAGCCCAACTCAACCACTTCCGCCACTGGAGCGACCCCAACCCCAGCAGCTGCTGGGGTTCCAACTAATCTTGCAGCTGGCACTGGCAACAATCCACTTGCCGGTCTGACAGGTGCCCGTTATGCAGGATTTGCCCAGCTTCCTGGTGCGGGTCTATTTGGCCCTGATGGTGGGGTAAGTGAGCTTCTATACAGACAACCATATGGAAAATGGTCATCCGAACCTTTCTTCAACCACTCGCTGACTTTCATGATCTTTTAGATGGGACCTCCTCCCAGTACCGACAATATGCTTAATATGCTTGAGAACCCCCAGTTTCAATCGAGCATCAACGAAGCCCTGCAAAACCCTGCGATAATCGATATGATGATCCAACAGAACCCCATGCTACGCGATATGGGTCCCGGGGTGCGACAGATGATGGAAAGCCCGGAGTTCCGCCGCATGTTGACCGATCCGAGCTCGATTCGCCAAATGATGCAGATGCAACGCGCCATGGGAATGGGTGGCGGACTTGGTGGTGCAGGTGGTGAAGGCGCATTCCCTGCTCCAGGAGTTACCAACACAACTGCCGAAGAAAACCAGGGTACTCAGCAGCAGACACCGCAAGCCAATCCATTCGGAATTCCTGGCAATCCAATGGGCGGCGCAGGCGGCGCAAACCCTTTCGGGGCTCTTTTTGGAGCCGGGGCCGGGGCCGGAGCCAATCCATTTGCTGCCAATCCGTTCGGCAACCTGGCTCAGCCTGCTACCACACCAGGTGCGACTCAACCCGGCGCGCAAGGCGCTGAATCTACCAACCGTTCTACACCTGCCGATGGACAAACCCCTCAGGCTCCACCTAACCCCTTTGCATCTCTACTGAACCCGGCCATGTTCGGCAATGCTGGACAAACAGGCCAAGGCGGCATTAATCCGTTCAATCCCCAACAAAATCCATTTCTGCGTGATCCCGCACTCCTGTCTCAAATGATGCAGGGTATGGGCGGACAAGGTGGAGAAGGTGGTGCTGCTGGTGCTAACCCTTTGGCTGCTCTCCTTGGCGGTGGTGGCTTTGGTGGTATGGGCGGTGGCTTCGGTGCTGCGCCGCCCGCTGACACCCGGCCCCCTGAGGAGAGATTCGCGGATCAATTGCGTCAATTGAACGATATGGGCTTCTATGAATTTGAGCGCAATATTGAAGCTCTGCGTCGGGCTGGCGGCAGTGTTCAAGGAGCCGTGGAGTATCTCCTCAGTCACCCATGATTGTTTCAGAGCAGCTCTTATTTTTTCTAGCACAGCCTTGCGATTATTCTATGTGTACTCAATTTCCTTTGTGAGGGCTACAGGCTCCCTCGGTATCTATAACTTTCCCACTCCCCATTTAGCATTTTCTGACCCTCCTAGCTGTCTGAATACTTCGTAATGATTCGAGAACTTTGAACGGAATGTGATCATCTTCAATAGTTTCGCAAATCGTAATATTTCTGCCTAAATATATAAGCAGTTGCGAGGAACTCTAGCGCGAAGTATAAAGAACCTAAATTAGACGAGGACTGGCCATCACTGCTTGCTAAGTATTCTAATATTTGGCAAATATACCACGTGGTACGGCTTTGGGTGGTTGTCGCGATAGTCTAAATGTAGATATATATTTAAGCTAATCCCAATTTCATGCTAATCACGCAACATTCAATAGCTGGTGGTACCTAGGTACATATGTAACTATGTATGTAGGTATGTGGAGCATTAGATAATCGTAATCGGTGATCTGGCCCGAGGAAGTAGACACAACAGGGAGACCCTTCGATTCATTCCAGGCTCAAGTTGCTCTGGCCCCTTTTTCAACACTTTATATTACCGTTGTGGCATTAAGTGCCGTTCCATTCGTTACTGTCTTATTAGAGTTGTCTTCTCTGTTGCTGAATCCCTGAATCCGAAGCTGTTTCGGTGGTTCTTGGCAATCGTCAACAGACGCCTTGGATTATCCGCCGTCGATCTGTCCATCCCGCCAAAGACTCGCTGAATCAAATTGATTGCTATCAAGTTTGAACTGTGTACGCAAAGTACAAATTCGTGGATTGAAACTCCACAAGCTGTACACCTACCACGAGCCTCTGCATATAGTGTACATGGTTTGACAGCTCACCGTTCAACCCGTCGAGGACGAAACGTACTGTCGAACTTACCAGCCATGGCTCTTGTTCAACTGCATTCCCAACTGTCGGCATTGTGGGTTCTGTTGCTCGTGTCTTGCGCCAGCGCATTCTACATCCCGGGTAAGCACTAGGCGCATTGACTACTTTAGTGTACGAGTGTGATACTAACGCATTTGGCTTGACCAGGATACTCAGTGACCCGATATCATGACAACGACCCTATTCCCTTACTCGTGAACAAGATCTTCTCCGATAATACCCAGTTGCAGTATGCCTACTTTGATCTCCCCTTCGTCTGCCCGCCGAGTGGCAAAGCGCACGGCGGCTCGCCGTTCGGCTCCGGCCAGAGTGTCTCGCTCAATCTTGGAGAAGTGCTGCGCGGCGATCGCATTATGACCTCTGATTTCCAACTTGCAATGGGCAAGGATGTCGAGTGTCAAACACTCTGCACTCGCGAAGTCACTCGCTCGGATGTGAAATGGGCTCGTCAGCTCGTCAAGGAGGGCTACGTGATCGAATGGATTGCGGACAATTTGCCTGGAGCTACTAGCTTCGTGACTGTCGACCGAAGTCGCAAGTACTATGCTTCTGGGTTCAAGCTTGGCTACCGCGACATATCTCCTGCTTCTGGACAGCAGCGGTATTTCATCAATAACCACTTCACGATCGTTATCCGCTGGCGGAGCGCACCGGAGGGAGGAAAAGTTATTGTTGGATTTGAGGTTTACCCGAAAAGTATAACCGCTGAGGACCGCAAGGAAGGAGGTTGTCCTAAAGCTGTTCATACGGACAGTGAAGGGCTGGGACTCTATATCCCACCCAATCTTTCCCGGATGCAAGAGAAGTACTCCGGTCTGTCTTACATCCCAGAAGATGACGAAGATGACGATGGATCTACGCTGAAGATCCCTTACACCTACTCTGTCTACTTTCGAGAAGATACCAAGATTGAATGGGCTAGCCGCTGGGATCTGTACTTCACCAACCAAGGCGAAAGCTCTATCACTCACTGGTTAGCCATCATCAACTCCCTGACGATCTCCACTGTACTGGGAGTGACCGTGTTTGTCATCTGGAGCCGCACTGTGCAAGGCGACCTCAAAGGTCGCGGCGACGGTGCCATGGATGATCGGAAGGTCAAAGGCCAAGCCCGACGGAGAAGCGGCAAGTCCGAAAAGAAGAAAGGCGAAGGACTTTTGGAAGACAACGATGTGGAGCGCGACGCGGACTACTCTTCGGACGATGAAACGCTTGAAGATACAAGCGGTTGGAAGCTCCTCCACGGCGATGTATTCCGCATCCCCGCTTATAGCGGTCTTCTTGCGCCTTTGGTGGGCTCTGGAATGCAGCTTTTGTTCATGGCTACTGGCTTGCTCTTGCTTAGTTCCCTCGGTGTCCTGAATCCAAGTTTCCGCGGCGGCTTTGTGAGTGTTGGCATGGGTCTCTTCGTATTTGCCGGTGTTTTCTCCGGTTACTTTTCCGGCAGACTCTACAAGACTTTTGGTGGAAATGCCTGGCGCAAGAACACCTTGATCGTACGTATTCGTGTTCCATTTCTCATAACCCAAGCTAACTCGCATTTTAGACTGCTTTGCTATTCCCTGGTCTCGCATTCTGTCTCATCCTCCTCCTGAACTTGTTCGTCTGGGCTCAAGCATCCAGCACGGCAATCCCATTCAGCACTCTGGTCGGTCTTTTGGCCCTTTGGCTGCTCATCCAAGTTCCCTTGGTATATCTTGGCAGCTGGGTCGGTTATGTCCGTGCAACACCCTGGGAGCACCCTCTGAAGACGAGCGCCATTTCCCGTCAAATCCCACCTCAGCCCTGGTATCTCCGCAGCCCGATCGGTCCTATCATGACGGGTCTCATCCCATTCGCAGTTTTGTTCATCGAACTGCTCTTCGTCTTCAAAAATTTGTGGCAGGACAAGACCGGTTACTACTATGTCTTTGGTTTCCTGAGCGTTGTGTCAATTGTGCTGATAGTGACTGTGGTTGAAGTAACCGTGATCGCCACATACAGCCAGCTTTGCTCTGAGGTAAGATCGGGTCTGTCTCAATACGGCAACTTCCATACTAACTCTCCCAGAATTACCATTGGTGGTGGCAGAGCTTCCTCACTGGTGGTAGCAGCGCATTTTGGATTTTCGTCTACTGCATTTGGTATTACCTATTCAAGCTCCACATCACCGGCTTTGTTTCAAGCCTTCTGTTCTTCAGCTACAGTTTCCTTGCCTGCGCTGTGTATGGGCTCTTGACCGGAACTGTTGGGTTCTTGGCCGCTTATGCCTTCGTTCGACGTGTTTATAGGTAAGATTGCTTCGTCGACTGGTGATATAACATACTAACATCAAATTTCAACAGCGCTATCAAAGTGGATTAAAACAAAGCAGCCACGGCATCTTTTCCTGCAATATCTCAATTTCATACCATTGACTTTTGTTCCTCCTAACAACCTTCCACCCTTCGTGGTCTGATCCCAATAAGCATAGGTGAAGTCATTTACATCCACGGCGTATATTTTCCAATTGCTGCATCTTCTGGCCCGTCAAATCTTTGCCCTTCGGTTCTCATTTCTGCCTATAAGCAAGTCATTCTCCCGAGGTCTGTTTCTCTGTTTTTTTGTTCGTGTCCCTTAAGCCAATATCATTCAACGCAATGTTGTGTTTCCATTTCACATCTTGTTTATTCGTATCAATCCGCACACGCAGATCAAACTTTATGCTCCCAATGCTCGTCCAAGACTCGTTCATACATCATACGTTGCGTTCCCTTGGTGTGTTCTGTCCACGTATCGTCACCTGAAGTTTCCTATCTGTTAGCTTTGTCATTTTGCCATTTTTGTGAAGTGAAAGTAGATTTCTTCCTTCAATGGGGAGCCATGAACCCGGGACTCCACAGATGGGCTTTAACGCCAAGTGTGTGCTGTGATCTGAGTCAATTTCACCTGACTTGAAGCCACATGTTTCGAGATTCACTGCACGTCGAACGACCAGAACTGACATCTTGTAGATTTTCTTTGGAAATTTTTGAGCTACTGTCCAAAATAGAATGTCGTCTCTGAACTTCTTGTGATAAGTACCTTGGCTGTTGTGCTGTGCCAGCAGTGTCTGAACAAGTGCCATGCCCACCAAGCCCTGGCGTCTGTCTGCTCATGCTTGAGTTCGTGTCATTCCCTGTGAGTATGTATTCCTCTCTATGCTAGAAAGAAAGCCATGTCCTTGAACCAAGGGGCGGTTAGCTGCATATCATGTGTATCAAAAGATCATTAGAAATGGACTGAACTGACTAGATTCCGTATGCACTCAATCTGGGCAGAATCCTCACCTGTTCTATCGAAAAAGGAAGTCCGCCCTGACTTCTCTTCTGAGTTCTCTAAGTCACCTGTCCTGCACTTCCTTGAGCCTATTGATACCCCCTCCAAGATCTTTCCTTCTACTTTCCCATCTTCCTTCTTCAACCACTCCACTCCTCAGCCTCTAAGTCTTTGAAGCACATTGGTTTCAGTCAATCAAGACTTCTTCAATCAACAAAGAGTTCCGCTTGAAGTGTCGTTGCCTTTGCAGATTTCTGCCTCATTCACACTCATAGCTTTCACCTCATTCGCCTTCTGCCCATTCGCATTCACCATTCGCACATTCATCCTCGGTATATTCGGGGTATTATTAACCGCCACAGGCTTTTTCAAGGCACAAGTGCCATTGTTGGATAAACAATTGCGATTATTAGTGCCCACCTACTTATTGGAAGGTGGGACAGGATCGTTCTCTCGCCTCCCGCGAGAAGAATTTTACTCGAATCTTGCTTTGATCGTTTCTTTATTTCTCACATATTCTTCTATCTATCTCATTCTGTTCTTGTTTCTTACTTTGAATTTTACTAGCAAACGACAATATGACTTCCACTGAGGTCGCGGATTGGGCCAGAGAGGATCCGTTCCCACTCGAACGCGAACGCTCCTACAATGTCCCCAGTGAAGACCGGGTCGAAACACCTGTGGTTCTGACTGCCATATACTCATCCGCAGAATCATATCTGCCTGGTGGCCGAATGGACGGCCAGTGCGTTTTCTATATCCTCAGCCGCCGCGGCTATGACTGGGATACTGATGGACGGTCCATGACCATCGTGGATTGTATGGACATCTCATACGGACCCGACAAAGCACCCGGTCTGTCAGACACATCAGTGCCTGTGGATCCATCAGAGGTGGAGCAGACCTCCGTTGTGGCCACTAAAAACAAGGAATTGAAGGATTCTGCGAGATGGGAATTCTTCGACAACGGTACAGCGAGAGTGCCATCCATCCCATCATCTGAAGCTGATCTGGCACGCCTATGGGGCCTTGCTGAACATTCAAATCGGGCCTTATACGCGCTGAAGTACAACCATGACCAAATGTTGTGTACGAAGCTTCCAAAGCGGTGCCGCCAATGCCAGGGTAAGTTACTAATTTTTCGGGAATTTGGAATTGAGCATGGTTGACTCTGGGTTTCCCAGGTGACTTGAGGCACAAGGACAACAGACGCCGCCTCGATCTGGCAAGGACCAACAGAGCCAGGAAGCACGCTGACGAGATCATTGCGAAGAACATTCAGCCTGCTGCACAGCCAGTTGATGGTTCGCTCAAAAAGGTCATTTATGACACCTGGAACACTAGCTTGGTGCTTGCCCATCAGTATTGGAGTCCAGCTGACGCAGATAAGGAATACCAACGGGGTTTCCTTAGGCACTGGAAAAATATTGCCTAGTACGGCTGCTGGGGTCACTCAGGAGAGCTTAACAAGTCTCATAAGGTTGATTCTTATTTGTTTTGCTCTCCCTTATACCCTTATGTGATGTCGAAAGTTGACCGACCGACATCCACATCCCACATGTGTTATTCACACATTGAAACCCCATATGCATTCCAATTTCACTGGCTTTTTGATATTTATACTAATCTGAGTACCAATATCTATAGGAATGGAGTTGCTGCGGCCGAAGTGTGTTCAGCCCCGGCTGCACAAATTATCGCGAGCACAAGACCCTTGAAGATCGACAGATCATAGAGGAGTGGCACCTGTTTGAAGCCCCCATCACAAAACCCAAGGACTTCCGGAACGCTGTTGCGATTGCCTGCCATATGGGCGTGAATGTGTGGGGTGACAAAGACCTCATCCGGCTCACCGCGGTCGACTACTACTCGGGCGAGATCTTGATTGACAACCTCGTTTGGCCAGGTTTCAAGTTGCTGCACACGAACCCAAGAGACACCTCGATCACCTGGGAGCGGCTCGAAACAGCTCACAAGGCAGGCAAGGCCATTAAAGGCCTCGACGCTGCCCGAAATTTGCTGTTCAACTTCGTGGGCGACAAAATAATTCTGATTCTTCATGATGGCCAGGAGGACTTGCTATCTCTTCGCATGATGCATCATCACATCATCGATGTGAAGTACTTCATTGAGCGAGGCGATATTCCGTACCATCTCCCCAAGCGGACGCCCGAGTTGAAAGAGATGACACGGGAATTTTTGAATCGCAACATTGAAGAGTGTCGCAGTCGGCCCAGCTTCGAGAGGGCCGTCGCCTGTCGGGATCTTACTCTCCATTTCGTCCAGCGCGAGCGTCTCCCCGATGTCATTGTTCCAGAATTCGCCAATCTTCGGGAGGATATCAAGTTCGAAGACATTGGCAATCTCTGGGCGCATAGCCAGGCACTCTTGGACAGGATCATCCGTCCCGATGTCTACAAATACCGACCGGCTCTTCGTGACAGCGAGGTGAAACAGGAGAATTCTGGGCTTGTCACACGCTTGGAGCGTTTCCGTGTGTTTACGCCCTCTCCCTTAAGAATGGTGTTGAAGGATCTGAAAGGCAATCGTGTTGCCGAAGATGGCTCCATCCTCGAGACCGCCGAACGTTGGGTTTTTGAACTGAAACAGTATTTCAATGCTGAGTAATGTTATGGTGTCTTGCAAATAAGATGGAAATTCAGTTTACTTTTTATTTGTTCAGAAGAAATAAACAGAAACGCCAAAAACAGGGGATGCTTGATGTGTTTCTTTTCTGCTGCGCGATTTCTCGTCATCGAAAGCACTGGATCTACCCGACAGGGTGGTGCTCTTGCGAAGGAGATGGAGGTTGAATTTGCTTTTTGTTCGGAAATTCTAGAAAGCCCAGAAACAGGGTAGTTTGATGAGTTACTCCTTTTGCTGAAGGATTTTGCGGCAATGGATATCTCGGATTATCGCACTTTGCCTTTTCGGACAGCGAGGGAAATTGCGATTTGGGTTTTTGCATGCAAGTACATGAATGGCATGCTTTTTGCCTATTTCCTTCATTAAGATAGGCCTGTCTTATCTTCGAGATAGAGACATGTATCTGACCAAAAGGAAACGAACTACAGAGCAAGGAGAGAGCAAGGAGAAGAAAGTAAGAATGGGCAGGGAAATAGGTGGATGGTATATTCCGTAAGGCCTCATCAGTGCCTCTATTGGCAAACAAAGCATGTATACCCTAACAAAGTAGAGACCAACACAAAGCTAGACAGGCATACAGTACTGCACTACACCGTACAACAAGCATAAACATAGCATCTAACTACACTGTATAAGACCCACACACAATGAACATAGCTACCACATAAATATAGTACACAAACATGGCTAAAATGCCCTAATTTATTGGCGCCCGCGATGGTCTCCAGAATCTTCAAGCCGGATAATTCACATGAGTCATTCCAAATATTGACCCGCAGGTTGTCCTCGTGGCCAACGCCATGGCCCATAGAATGTAGATAAAAACGGGGAAAAGATACTGATCAAGGCAAGAACTGGATAGATCTGAACATGCTTACGCCATCCTGCATCAGGTCAAAGCATCCCGTGTACGAAGTAGGGAATACAGTACAAGGTAGACGTGGCCATGTGGATCGGATATATTAGTGGATTCAAACAAGGTCTCAGCTAAGAAACGGCGGTGACAGTCAAAAGTAGTACGTAAGTTGTAAATCCGGGGGTGATCTTAGACCGCTCCCTCATGGCGTGCTCAGAAAGGGGGATTGCTCATTGTGGAGCTATGATTCATTACATTCTTTTTGATGTTTCGGTCTCTGTTTGATGGTATATTCTCACTTTGTTCTTGTTGAAATTCTTTAAGTAAATCAACGGAAATTGTCCCACAGGCGGGCTATTCCGTCTTCTCGTCGTCTCTTTTCCATCTCAGTAGTACGAAATGCAATCATCTCATTGGAGGTGAAGATAAGCAAGTGGAACTTCTGCCCCTAAGCCTCGCCTCTAACTGTGTTTGGTTATCCCAGGGGTGAGCAGAACATAGAGAATTATGTTGATTGGTTAAAAAGATACTGACACGATCCAGTGGATCCCAAAGTTTTTACTAGTTCTCGGCTTCGGGATGATCTAGTCTTAATCGGGTTAGATCTTAAAAGGGTCTGTCACAACCGAAACGCTGCCATGGACTCGGGCTTTCTATGCCGTTATCCACTCCGGGGTCGAGTGAACATGTGAACTGCACTGAAGATAGACCCAGTAGGAAAACCCCCATCTTGGATATGATATATTTTTATTGACATTGTGGGTTCTAGGGGGGTGATATTCGTGGTTGTATTACATGGAATGTTGGTATTGTTCGTGTATTGAGATTTTGATGTAACACGTCCATAGTGGCAACTCGGCAATCGCCCCGGGTTCCGTTGGACTTAGTTACCTACAATTGATAGTAATTACGGTGGTCGTGTGATATTAATTATCGCCAAGTGTTTGCTGGATATTCCGAATGCATTTGTAAGATTTGTGATACTTTTAGAACGAGTCTATAACATTCCAATTGTATCATTGATATTGTAATAATACCATACAACCATATGTACACCCATATGTATACCCATGTACTCCGTACATAATCAGATTTCCAAATCACACCATCGATGCTCCAAATGATCCCATCGCTCCTTGCGGAGGAGTACGTCAGTACCGGATCATCTCCCCTGATCTTCAATACATTGCAGACGGGAGCTACTCCAGTTTTGATCTTTGAATCTGCAGGGATTTTATTGAATTAAAATATATAAAATACTTGTTCTGTAACAAAGTTCAAACATAAATTGGAGGATCATCACTTTTGGTATCAGAATTACCAATATAATACCGAATTACCTCTATTTGCGTCTTGGCCTCATTCTTTTTTTTTGCGACTTGGCCTCTCGATAATCGAGAATTCCAATTTTGGTGCGTTCTCACTGGAGCTGTCTTTTTTTTCCTATTTCGCTTTTTCTCAACTTTTTCACCAATTTTTTTTCCCTTTGTTCCCCCACATACTTCCTCGGTTTCATATATCAATCACCTGCCCCATCTCTTCTTTTTTCTTTTCTCTCTTATACTTGGAATTGAACTTCATCTTACATTTGCATATCGTCTTGAATATATTTCATCATGACGACCAAAAAGCCCAACATCCTCTACATCATGGCCGACCAGATGGCCGCGCCCTTGCTATCACTGCATGACAAGAACTCCCCTATTAAAACCCCCAATCTGGACCGTTTGGCCGAAGGCGGCGTGGTCTTCGACTCGGCCTACTGTAACTCACCACTGTGTGCTCCTTCGCGCTTTGTCATGGTCAGCGGGCAGCTTCCTTCTAAGATCGGAGCTTATGACAATGCAGCGGACTTACCCGCTGATACCCCCACATACGCCCACTACCTCCGTCGCGAAGGCTACCACACTGCCTTAGCTGGCAAGATGCATTTCTGTGGCCCGGACCAGCTTCATGGCTACGAACAGCGTCTCACGAGTGATATATACCCCGGTGATTACGGTTGGTCCGTCAATTGGGATGAGCCTGTAAGTGATTTCTACAGCCAACAGTTCATGGAACAGTACTAATAGCACTGTAGGACATCCGTGCCGATTGGTATCACAACATGTCTTCCGTCATGGAGGCAGGCCCTGTCGTGCGCACCAACCAATTAGATTTCGACGAGGAGGTTATCTATAAGTCAACTCAATACCTGTACGACCATGTCCGACAGCGTAACGAACAGCCCTTCTGTTTGACTGTTTCCATGACACACCCTCACGACCCATATGCTATGACTAAGGAGTTCTGGGATCTGTACAATGACGTCGAGATCCCGCTCCCCAAGAATGGAGCGATCCCCCACGACCAGCAGGATGCGCATTCTCAGCGCGTGCTGAAATGTATCGACTTGTTCAATAAGGAAATGCCCGACGATCGTATCCGTGCGGCCCGCCGCGCGTACTACGCTGCTTGCACATATGTCGATACCAACGTCGGAAAGCTTCTCCGTGTCCTGGAAAACACCGGTCTGGCCGATGACACTATCATCGTTTTCACCGGTGACCACGGTGACATGCTTGGTGAGCGCGGTCTCTGGTACAAAATGACCTGGTTCGAGAACTCAGCTCGTGTTCCATTCCTGGTGCACTCGCCTAAGCGCTTCACTCCCAAACGCGTATCGGAGAATGTCTCCACTATGGATCTCCTCCCTACATTCGCCGAACTAGCAGGTGCCAAGCTTATCCCCGAGCTACCCCTCGATGGGGTCTCCCTGATGCCATACCTGACCGGTGGCGAGGGTCTCCGTACTGATACCGTCTATGGTGAGTACATGGGAGAAGGCACCCAAGCTCCTCTCATGATGATTCGCCGCGGCCGCTGGAAGTTCATCACTTCCGTCATCGACCCGCCCATGCTCTATGATCTTGTCAACGACCCAGAAGAAAAGATCAACCTGGCAGCCGGCCTTCCCGTTCCCTCCAAAACAGGAACAGAAAAACCAACTTCCCTTTCAGCCACCGACCTCCCAACACCAAACGAGACCCCTCGCGCCTCACCCATCCCCCAGCGCGCAGCAGCCAATACCGACTACCCTTTCCCATCGCCCACACCCCCACGAACCCCCACCCCCACAAAGCTCCCTCCAGCCCTCCCCAACACAACCGACCCCGCTAAGATCCTCGCATTCTTCATCGAAGAGACAAACAACCGCTGGAACCTCGAGCAAATCCGCCAGGACGTCCTGCGCTCCCAGCGCCGCCGTCGCCTGGTCTACTCCGCCTTGATCCAGGGCACGCCTGATGTCTGGGACTATGAGCCACGCGTAGACCCAAGCACACAGTACGTGCGCAACCAGGGCAGGGGTGCCCTCGATGACGTGGAGATGATTTCTCGCTGGCCGCGTGTTCTCCAGCAGGCTGCTAATGCCAACGGTGTGCATGTTTAATCATTTCCTGCTGTGATGTTTCCAATTACCGACATTCGTTATGACTTGCGTTTACTTTGCTTCATATGCGTTTGAGCATCATGCCTTTGCATTCCGTTCTTGAGGTGATGTTCCTATTGTCCTTATTATTTGCAAGGCGCGCGCTATACCCGGGATTTATGGTTTCCCCAATTTGCATCATTTCATGCACCGCGTGCTTTATCTTGTATATATTTGTGCTTTTGGTCCCCCGGGTTGGGTGTGTTTGCCCTGTATATTGTTTTTAGTAGATATAATCAGATTGTCAATATGGTTTTTACATTTTGGATGAGAGAGTAGACTTGGACTATACAACGTAGTATAGTACACATGGATAGTAGGAGTTATGCAAGGAATGTATTCAATTGGTTCTGAAGATTTTACTTGGATCCAACTATCCAGCCATAAAAAAATAAACGTAAGATTCCATATATACTTTCTCCACGTTCTCATTCTTCTGTCATTCAATCTTGGAATCCTGTCTTCCTACCCTAAAACTCTAGCGATACCTGATAAGTACATCTGTATTTTATGCCTAAAACAAAGAACTAACACAATCCGCTTCTTATTTCGCAAATAACATCAATCCGAATCCCAGATTCGAGAATATGAATATGAACACTGCAAACCGCAAACCGCAAACCGCAAACTGCAACGAAACACTTCGGGATATCAAGTATCAAAGTTTCACATACCAATATAAGCAGTGATCATCGTCGCCATGCCAGCATGTGACCCCAATATATACAACTTCCATCCCACCGCATCTACTCAACCAGCCACACAGGCGCCTTGATCAACACCGTAGCCGGTCCTTTACCGCGAACCTCGACGGCCAGGAAAGCCGCGAAGCGAATGCGCGGCGTGCTGGGCTCCGGATCGGACTTTTCTTCGGGGGGCGCTGGACGGCCCGGATCCGTGGCAGGCTTGCGACCCGCCGAAAAGAGCGTTTCGAACATTGATCTTCGGGGTTTTTGTTGCGCGGGCGAGGGTGTCTCGATGGCTGCTGGAGCTGGTTCTTGTGTCTCTTCTTGTTCGGTCTCTGGCGGTGGGGGCGGGTGGCTCAGTGCTGGGAATTGGCCTTCGACTTTCATGTATTGTTCTGTGAGGGAGACGCCTGGGGGGAAGTAATCGACGCAGACGTCGCGTGCTTCGAGGGGGATTTTCTCGATGATATTGATTGAGTTTTCGATAATCATGCGCACGCTTGCTTCGAGGCCTGGGAGGGCGTTGTCATGGAGTTGGGAGCCCATGAAGGCCGCTAGCTCGACAATTAGATGCTCGACTAGCTCGCCACGGTGCTCGTCGGCTTCTTGGCCGACTAGCGAGTCGCTTAGGCCATCGAAGGTCGTGCGCCGCCAGTAGGAGAGTCTTGCGGAGGCATTTTCGCGGTCTTCGTCGGATGAGGGGCGTTGGCGGCGAAGATTCATTTCGACTTTCTTCAGCCGGACGCTGAAGTCTGGTTCCAGTGCAGGATGGAAATGACGCTGAAAGACTTCTTGGACTAGCCATTGGCTAATAACTGCGCGTCCGACCGCGGTCATCTCCTTTGTTCCGACTGCAAGTGCATCATCGGTGACCATCCCTTGTAGCCAGGATGGAATACTGCGCCAGTCTTTCCGCACTGAGAAGGCGAGATCTTTAATCGCTCCATCCAGTCGCTGGAAGCGATTGGTGTATTCATTATCGTCGAGAACAGTACGCGACACCGCCATCCGCTGGTGCGCTACGGTGTTTTGAAGATGTTGGACCTGCGCATCTTTTTCGAAGTAATACCTTTTCACCTTGGAATATTTGGCCTCTGTGAATTAATCAGCATAATTTCTCCCCCCAAAAATTTCTCATAAATCCATATATCCTTACGAAGTTCATCATGTTTCTGAATCAGTGCCCGCACGTCGATTTCCCCGGAATCCTCACGGCGGTGTGCATTGGTGGGTGTGCTCCGTCCGTTCTCGGGCATATTGTTGGACACACTACCCGGTCGGCTGCGGTCCTGCTGCGGGGAACCTGCAGATTGTTTGTCTGACTGAAATTGGGGCTGGGCCGGTGCCTGTGCCTGGGACTGCATGGCGTCAGGATTAACGGACAGTAACGGGGAGAGCGGCTCGAGAGTCTGCTGGGATGGGGGCCGGAGGTTCAATACCGGGTCCTGAACAGGAGTGAAGTTCCGACGTGTATCCTGGTATCGCGGTGATTCGGGAATCTCGTTCGAGGGGGTGTATTGCTCCAGGGCTGAATCGGTGTTGAGCCGCTGGATCGGTGAGGGGAGGGGCTGTGTGTAAACTGGGGGTTTCGCTGGTTCCGCTAGTTTCGCTGGTTTGGCTTGGCTGGAGTTATTGTGAGCTGGGTGAGAAGGTCGGGGGCCGCTACTGTGTTGCTGTTGGTAGGCCAGAGGTGCAGCGCGCGACTCAAAGAATTGCGGTGCGGTGACAGGTGAGGGGTTCTCCGAGTAGGAATGCTGGATATGCGGGCCCTCGTCGGTCTCGTTCAGGGTTTCTGGATGTGATAGTCGAGGTGATGTAGGCTGCGAAATTGGATTGGAAATGGTCTTGCCCCTGAAAGAAACGCTTCGCTCAAGAATTCCTGATGATGGTCGCGCTAACAGACCATTCTTGTCGCGACGCTCGTCTGAAACAATGTTGACGGTCGGTCGGTCACGTAAAATTTTAGAATTTCGTTGACTTTGGGATCGACTCAGAGAATGAGTAGGCTGAACAGATTGGACAGGCTGGACAGGCTGCTGATTTTGATTATTGTACTCAAATGGTGTTGAATAGCCCCGGTTGTCAACATGTGGAGACGCGGGGAGCTGTTCGGCGCTTCGCACTGAATGATTTGTTGGCTTCTGCCTTTTAAAAAGTCCCATAGCCTCGATGAGGAGTGGAAGAAGAGGAGAAGAGAAGAGGGATCGGCGAGATGTTCTATTCTTAGTCTTAGTTTAATCAACAGGGCTTACACGCTTACAACTTGTGAACAAGGCGCGTACAACGGATACGTAAGAACTTCATCTTATATATTCATATATTATTATTGTAGTTGTGTTACATTCTCTTTGTGTTCTAAATATTTTTATCACTATGATCTCTTGGGCCTCTTCAGTCTCTCCGTGTCTTTATATAAAATAACCACTGTCGGCGTCCCCGGCTACACACTACAATAGGTGTAGAAACATGCATATCAAAGAAAAACATAAAAAAACCATACTATTGAGATCAATACTGTACCCGGTTAGATTGACAAAGAAAAAAGGAACCTTATATCGCAATGACTTCTACATTCGTTAATAAATGCGAGTAAACACGAGGTACACCCTTAAATGTGAGCATTGAAGCCCACCGAAGCCCACATAAATATACGAACCGCCCCCAAACCAACAGACCAAAGACCAAGAACCAAAGATAATCAAAGGCGAAGCAAATTTAATCAATCCAAGTGGATCACAAGCAATCCTGATCTCGAGCTTTTCCGCCCCCAAATCACCAAGGCTGAGCCCTCACCGTAAATGAGAACTCGTCACCAATCTTGGCATCAACCATGCCGGCAGTATAAGGAATTGAAATACCATATCTTAGGATGGAATCCCGTAGCTAGAGTAGGATACGGTAATTCGTGAGATACTTTAGTGATTTGAAATACCTATACTCGGGTGAAATACTATATTCAGACTACAATACTATATTTTAGCTCGAAATACCGAATTTTATCAAATACTTTTGTGATTCAATATACATATATGCCTTAAAAGGCAATATCTTCTATAATGTATAGAATAATAGCATCCATACTAACATCCATACTAACATCCATACCAACATCCACTTCCTATTCCCCTATAATAGCATAGGCTAGTATAACCGTACTATATTTTATAAAATACTAACACAAAAGATAAAATACTAAGCGAAATACTTAAGCGATAGATTGAAATACTAAAGCAAAAAATGGAATACATAAGCAGAAGGTGAAATACTGTAGCTCACATAATACTATATTCTACACAGAGTCACACGAAATACCGTAGCAGATGAGATACCGTATTTCATAGGGTATTTCAACTTCCCATCCGGGCGGCATGGAAGCTCAAGCTATTCCACTTCCTGTTACTGTTCCTGCTCCTACTCCTGCTCCTGTTCCAATCCTTTAACCAGAAACCGAAACTGATCCCCCCGATCCATAATCACAATCCTATCCCCCAACCCCGCCGCCTCGACCATCCGCTGGAAATCCTCTAATGGACTAGTGAATACATCGTAATCATCGTAGTGAATTGGAATTGTCAGATCCGGCTGAATGAGTTGGATTAATTGTAATCCCTGTTCCGCATCCATGGTCACCATCAATGCGAGCGGCTCCATAAGTCGACCAATGAAGGGCGAGGGAATGGTTGTGCCGCCGAGATGGGCGAGCATGAGGTCGATTTGGTGGCCTGCGTAGCGTTTGGGGATCTCGTTCAGTTCGTCGACCATTAGCGTGTCGCCGGATATGTAGATGCGATAGCCGCAGGTGAAATCGGTGCTGCTCGCGCCGTAACCTAGCTCTAGCATCCAGCCGTTTGTTGGGGGGATCTGGGGTTGTTGTTAGTTCTGATGCATAGAGGATGAGGGAGTGTGGTCAGAGAGAAGACATACGGCATTGGCTAGGGTGTTCAATTTTTGAATCACTCGGCTGGGAGGGACGTGTTTTCCTGGCATCCCTATTACACGTAGTCGGGGTTGGTTTGGGCCCGAGGTTCCTTGGATATCAATGTCAATTTGCTCGAATGGATCGATCGCGAAGACAGATGTGAATGGGTCCTCTTTTTTGGACGTGAGGTGTGTCTTTGCGTGCGGCGTAGTGATAATAGGGAGATCACGCCTCAAGGAAGCCTCGACCTTTTTATCAAAATGGTCCCTGCGAAACACAATCAGCATTGCATTCGAGACAGCCGGTTCGATACACACTCATGACAGTGAGATAGAAGGATTAGATCAATGCGAGGGAGCTCGTGGAGGTCCACGGCTGGATCGGTCAGCCGCTTGCTTGATACGCCTGGGCCGAGATGGACGTGGTCGCCCTTGTGGAGGAAGTTTGGCTAGCAATGTTAGCCTGTGATATCAGCTTGTAGATCGCAGAGCTGACATCGGTCATCAATCTAATTCCAGCCCATTCGCTGTGGCAATTAGCGCCTGCCTTTTGGTTGACAAGATCGTGACAAACATGACTGTTGTGGCTGTCCCCACGAAGAATATAGATGCATTCTCGCCTGGTTTGGATGGATGGACCTTGACAGCCTTGGCTGGAAGATTTCTAGCCGCGGTATTAGTCAAGGGTGAGAGGTCCCTGGTTGGAGCAATCTCCTTATGTGGATCAATCGAGATTTGCATGTTGGCGTTGAACAGATGATGGCATGGGGGGTCGCCTGCTATATAAGTGGTATACGTGACGTCACAAACTACACTTGCAAAATAAGTAGTAAGAGAAAAGTAAAAGCAATGGCTTGTCATTAAAACATCTCTATGTACATCAAGCACATACATGGTTGCACTAGGACAGGAGCCAACCATAATTGACCCGAAAGCTACTTGGTGCAACTCGAAATGTTATTCGAGCCTTGGATGAACCAAGGGCATGGGCAAATTTAATTTAACACACGGGGTGTGTCTTTCCTTCCTTGCCTTGCAGCGAGTGCTTCTCTTCCTTGTAGTGCGGGTGAGTGTGCTTGTGGCGAGGGTGGGCGCGATGGCTTTGCATGTGCCTGTGATGTGTTAGCACGGGAATAAAGTAGCCAGAATGGGAAACATACGTCTTGTACTTGGTAATCATAGCCTGATCCATAGACTCCAAAGTCTGCATGGCAAGCTTGAAGTCCTGAAGCAAACTCTCACAGCGGGCCATGCTGAAATCCTCGCGGATGACAATGCGCATCAACTGCAGCTTCTCACTGTGAGGAGCCATAGTGTACGCCGGCACAATCCAGCCGCGCTCACGCAGCTGGTGGGCCACGGCAAATTCATCGAAGACGCGATCTTTACTAGGAGGCAGTCTGAAGGCGACGAGGGGAAGGCCTCTGCCCTTAGTCTGACTCATGATAATCATGCCCATCTTCTCAAGCTCGGATGACATGTAGTCGCCGATGCGAGTGAGGTTGGTCATGATCGAGCGGTAGCCGTGCTTGCCCAGACGGATCAACTGGTAATACTGGCCAATGACATGGGCAGCACCCTTGGAGAAGTTTAGAGTGAAGCTGGCCTGGTCGGCTCCGAGATAATTGATGTTGAAAACGAGCTCTTGGGGCAAATATTCAGGAGAACGCCAGATGACCCATCCCACACCGGGATAAACGAGACCGTACTTGTGGCCGGAAACGTTGATGGAAACCACCTTCTCGAGGCGGAAATCCCACTCCAGGTCGGGCTGGATGAAAGGAGCCACAAAGCCGCCACTGGCCGCATCGACGTGGATCGGACAGTCGATGTTACGCTCAACGAGCAGATCATTGATCGCCTTCACATCCTCATACTCACCTGTGTATGTAGTTCCCAGAATAGCACAGATACCGATGGTGTTCTCGTCCACCAGATCGACTGCCTCCTTGGGGTCGATGACGAATCGAGTGTCGGTACAGTAGACATACTTTTCCTCGATATCGAAGTAGCGGGCAGCCTTCTCCCAGCAGACCTGGACAGCACTGTTCATAATGATGTTGGGACGAGAGAAGTCCTTGCCCTCGGCCTTACGCTTATTTTGCCAGCGCTTCTTCATGGCCAGTGTACCCAGCATGATAGCCTCGGAGGATCCAATGGTTGAAGTTCCCATGGCATTTTCGGTAGTGGTATCCACATTGTACAATCTAGCAATCATGTTGACGCAGCGATTCTGGATCTCGGCGGAGTGGGGATATTCTTCATAGTCAATGAAGTTCTTGCTGAATGAATCGGTCATAATCTGTTCAATCTCCTCCTCCACTTTTCTTTTGTTAGTAACCGTTTATATAGAGATATGTTTTCACGTACTGTACGTTGTCACGAAGGATGCGAGATTCAGCTTGGGGTTGCCGTCCAAGCTCAGCTCGTCTTTGATCATGCGAGCGGCAATCTGGCGAGGCATCTCTCTCTCAGGCATTTCATTCTGGTTGAGATGATCCGCAGCGAAGTGGCTGCCATAGACATTGGTGTAGAAGTCATCCTCATCCGGTGCGGGCAGAGTGTCGATTTGACGACTGGCCGAGGGGGCAATCTCATCATCTGTCTTGACACGAGCTAGATGAACCATTTTGGAATAGTTGTACAATATTGTAGTCAAAAAGTAGAGAAGTTGGAAGTTGAAAAGAGTCGAAGAGGGGAGAGCCCAGCGCACACTAAATAGTCGCTCTGCTGCGGGGAATGACGTACGGCACAGTCGGACCACTTCGATCTCTTCCTCTTCGTACCTCATACGTTGGTTTCTTTCTGTTTTCTTTCTACTTTGCTACACTGTCTTTATTTTTCTAGTCTTTCAAATTCGTTCTATCTCATTCAATTCCTCATAAACATGTAATACATACTCAGGCGATCCCTGTGTTGCTAAAGCTTGGTGAAAGCTTGGCAGAGCAAGTGACGATCCCGTTGTACCCGCTCTGCTCGTTGGAGCCACGTCGAGTGAGACCAAACAAAGTGGAGATCTGCGGCTTTCAAGAGGCCCAAGAGTCCATTCACAGCTTGTTCTCACGCAACTTTTCCACCTCAGCGAATCGATAGTAAAATTCCAGACTGCCAGGGTTCAAAAGAGTCCCCGATGGCTTGACGACTTGACCAGACACAATCTTTTTCAAGGGTGTTTCCACTTTCTTGCCGTTCACCGTCGTCTAATGAGGTTCCTCTGGGTCAGTTCCATGCTATCTAGCCGAGGGATTTTACATACCGGAATTTCAGGTGTTTCAAACACCCACATCGGCACATGGCGGGCGCTTAGCTCTGAGCGAATAGCGGCCTTCACTCGGTCCACAAGGTGCGGTGTGAATAAAAACCCTGGTTTCATGAGTAGGAACAGCATTACGCGCTCATCCGTATCCAATGGTCGTCGTTGGCCCACGCAGATCGAATCGGCGATCTCTGTGGAAAATTGGCCCTCGATCACTCGGTAAATTTCGGCGGATCCAAATCGTACTCCGGACGGATTGAGAACCCCGTCGGCGCGTCCATGAAATAGAACCTGTTTGGTGATGGGATGTATGGAGATGAAATCACCATGTGTCCAGACGTCTGGAAGATGTCAGTGACTATTTGCATGCACAAACTAGCATTGGCAATCTTACTATCGAATCTAGCAAAGTAGGCATCAAAATACTTCTTTCCATCTTGATCGCCCCAGAACATCGTCGGCATGGTGGGAAACGCAGCTGTAGCCACCAATTCTCCAGCCTCGCCCTCTTCCACAGGGACGCCCTTGGTGCCATAACCGCCCTCAATTGTAGAATCGAACACTCCAAGGGGAATACCGAGACTCCCGCCTGCACACCCGCCAACGTACACAGGAGAAAGAGGGTTGCTAGTAGCAAATGAAGCTGCTAAGTCAGTGCCGCCGGAGATATTGTTCAGGCGGGCGCGAGATGGGAATCCTTCATCGTAGAACCACTCGAACAAGGCATCCCGCAAGACCATGCCTGTGCTTGTCACAACCTGCAGAGAGCTAAGATCGACTATTTCGCGCGGCTTGATTTTAGCTTGCTGCAACTCATGCAGCCACCGAGGAGAAATGCCGAGATGTGTCACCCTGTCATTGATTAGTATTGAGACGAAGACGGCCATAGAAAACTCACCTCTCTTGCGCTGCAAGAGTAACCAAAGCCGTAATTCCTGGCACGAATGGAGACCCATCGTAGAGAACAACACGTGCCCCAAAGAGCAGTGTTTGCATGGCGCTCAGATACATGATCCAGCCAGTAGTCGTATATTGCAACGCAACACTATCGGCCCCGAGCTCACTGTGCAAACTGCCCTCTTTGCTCGAATTGAGCAATACACCACCAACAGAATGTACGATACACTTCGGTTGTCCTGTCGTGCCAGATGAGTACACAATCAAGAAAGGCTCGCGGAATCCAACTCTCTCAAACTCAAGTTTCTCATTGTTTCCCGCTTTAGAGAGGAAATCTGACCAGGTTTGAGTCTTCGGAATAGAGCTAATATCAGCAGGCGAAGAGAATCGCGACTGCGAAACAACGCCCTGGAATTCACCAACAGACTCCATCCCCTGGACAATCTCACGGATCTTCGATCGGAGATCAATGGTCTTCCCATTGTACACGGCAAAATCATCCATGAACAACCATTTCGGCCTGATCTGCACCAATCGATCCAGCACACCGCTCACGCCCATATCCGTAGAGCTGGACGAGAAAATAGCGCCTAGAGCGGTCGACGCCAGAAACACAAGAAGTGTATCTATACTATTTGCCGCACAGAGAGCAATGCGATCACCCCGCACCACACCATGAGCTTTCATCGCTTGAACCAGGGCTCCGGTTCGTCGACGGAGTTCACCCCAGCTGACATGGACGACTTCATGCAGCGTCCCTTCTCGCACTTCGCTAACGGCTATCTTGTCGTCTTCTTTGCCGCTCTTGTTACCGGCAACCCGTGAGAAAAGTAGGTTTTCGGCGAAATTCAATCGAATCCCGCTGAACCATTCGGGGATACTGTCCATACGAGCGGACTCGTTGACAACTATGTTGTAGGAGCCTTCGTGGATAAGTTGGAAGTAGTTCCAGCAGAAATCCCAGAATGCATAGCGGTTTTGGATTGAATATTGGTACATCTCATGGAAGGTCTGATATCTGTCAGACTATGAGTCTTTGTAATGGTTAGGTCACTCACCTTGTACTTCTGTCCGGTTGATTGCTCCAATTGACGCCGGAAGTGACCCATCCTGGTCGACTCTGGATCGGGATGCTCCCATAGCTTGCGGGGAATTGATGCCATTGTAGATTGTGATTCTTTGGGGTATGGAAGCTCCGGAAGAGAGGACTGGCCTTTTTATTGTTGTTCGTCTTACCGAGGCCCGAAACACAAGGCGCATAAGCGGCGCCAAGCGCGGTGGGGATAATACCACAAAGAGACGGGGGACCTACTCCGTACATCCCTTGCTGTTGTGGATAGGTATGGTATACCATTCGACTTTTTTCTACTTCTGAGGCTGCTTCTGTAGATTACTCAACGCTTAATTCGCGACGATTTCAGCCAGTCTCGTGGTAGCCTTCTTCAAATTGACCTTCCACGGTCCGGCCTTTGAATTGCATGTAGCAAAAACAATATGGTCCGTTCTCACAATCACATAGTTCTTCATATTATGTCCCATAAGCATCTATCTCATCATATTCTCATGGCACCGGTTGAGTAGTGCATAGGGGTGAATAAGCGAAATCTCACCGGAGGCAGTGCGGACGACTTGCATATCCGAATGCTTATATGCGGGGTAGTTGGAAGTACTAACTCGGGCCAGTTTCGTTGAGATCAACAGAAAACAACCAAATCTCGGCAATTCATTCGCAGAACAATGGGCTGGAATAGTTTGCGATTTGAAGAGATAAAATCGTCTGTGAACCGCGACTTCGCTTAGATACCACCGTTAGGTTCCGGCATAGAAGGCATAGGAGCTGAATAGACGTTTCGTAACTGACCAACATTGCATCAACCCCCTTGGCGGCGCAGCTTCCTCGCATCAAAGAATAATATATGACTATGTACTCCGTATGTACTCAAGTCTTCGCGGCCAACCATTCAAGTCGGCTGTTACGCCTTTCGACGATCAATCATTTCGTGGATCGAGAATCGACTCGGATTATCATTGGTCAATCATACGCATGCTTGCGGGATACAATCTGCTTTCTTTGTCTGCGGTTCCTCCGAAACATATATCATCTGTTCTGTCTTGTTCTCTACAAAGTACCACCACTCTTTACAAGTCATCTCCAATACCATTGTATTACTATCATCTTCCCTAGCATCTCCTTGAAACAGTTTTTGACCTCTAGAATTCTCACTGATCATAAAAAAGTCGGGACAGCACATGTTCAAATAAGCTCTCTCCTAGCATACTGTACAACTCCTAGTAGTAAAGCAATTGCATCTATTCTATCTACTATTCTATATATAGGAGCACTTCTCTAGACCAATCGAGGACATCTATGCCCAAATACAAGAACCGATTTATCTACTCAATTCTCTCCATGCTTATATCCCCCCTCTTCAAGCCACGAAGGCACAACATTCCACACACGCCCCGAACAAGCAGCCTCGACACATTGAACTAGCCCCCCAAACCGTATTTGTCGACCAGTCAGCCCTTTCCCATAGTGAGAATACTTAGCCGAGTTGGTCATGATCGTTCGTGACGCTTTGGGAATTATAGGCTCTTGAATCATGCACCAGCAACTATCCGTGATTATTTGTCCTCCGAATTCCTCCACGGCGGCGACAAATCCAGCTTTGCAGGCTCGAGCGTATATCTCACGATTGCATGTCACAATTAGTGCTACCGAGGGAGTCTTTATGCGGGTTTTAGTGAGATCTGCAAGCCTCTCAATCTCCTCGTATGAGAAGTGAGGATTACCAAGCGAAACCAGATCAATTGGTGTGTACTCTTCGCTTCCACTGACATTGAACAAGTGCCATTGTCGGGTTAAATCCGATCTTCTGACATAAAACTTGGGAATATCTTGCAAATGCGCGTTTATCTCGACTTCATTGCGAGCTTCAACGGTAATACCCGCAATATGAAACATTGGGGCACTGGACGTCGTTGCGAATGCTGCTCCAAAAGCTTTGAGATCCGAAGTGGTAGCCAGGGTTTTCTCCAATCCCGTGATGATCGGGATCCGATCTGCGGCAATATCACCCACAAGGTATCCCAAAAGAGGATAGAACGCATCATCCGAGCCTTGTATGGCATCACAGTGAATCTGAACACGAGCCATCCGATGTTGTGCAAGGTGGCACCCCATGTTCAACGACCGGCCCGTCAAAGCAACACAGACATCCAGAAAGTCGGGACATTTAATCGTCCGGGCCCCAAGAACGCTGTTGGCATAAACTACAGCGTTCGACTCGGCCCACATGATATTATCTCCCAGACGCGGCGCGCTCTCCAATTGATACGGCGCACATGTGAAACTTGCTTTCGCGCCTATGTCTAAATACGCCTGGGCTAGCTGCTCTGATGGCTCTGCAATTGCCGGGTCAACGCCCTGTGCCCTCCATAATCGTCTGTCGATCGAGATTGAATTCAGGGTGGTTGGGACGCGAACTTTGGCGCCCCATTCGCGGAGCGTTTGTGCGAATTTCAGTACCGCTGGCCCTGTATAAATGCAGCAGTCGATGTGTGCTTGTTTTATGTCGATTAGCTCGGTCACGCCCTGCATAAAGGCTGTGCGGAGAATGACCCGCATCGCGAATCGGGCTGCTCTTCCATGCTCTCCATTCAACATCTCGCGGTCAACCGCGGTCAAGCTGACTAGGGAAAAGTCGGGCTCATTCGGCAGACTTGGTTGCCCCGGGACTAGATTGGAGTCGATTGTCGACTCATCTACCGGTTTGATGCTACTTCCCACAATTTGTATCTTTTTGAGGTGCGAAATCGTCTCGAACGATGACTCGGAGACCTGGAGGACAGGAATGGTCTTCTGGAACAACTCTTGGGCCACGATCACACCAAGTGTCAAGATCAACTCTTCTCGCTTGAATATGAGTGCGCAAGGATTACTCCCGCTCATGAATAATTCCAGAATTACAGCGCTCCCGGAACACGATCCACGGCCACCTGGTATCACTAGCACTTTGTCTTTTATAGAGCTCCCTGCCAGAGGGTGGTGAGTGTCGATAACAATTCCGGTTGGAGGACTCACTCCTCCCCAGAAACTTAGAGCGATCGTACTTGCGAGGACTTCTCCTTCAGCGAAGCCGGGAGAGGAAAGTTCACGCCCAGAGAGGGCATGCTGTTGCCCCTCCATTGTCAACAATTGGGATGGTAGCTTGAGTCAAGCTAGAGAGTGAGACGATACTGCGTGGTTGAAATTTTCAATGAACTGTACTCGAGATTTATGAGATGTGTAGCCATTAAATACTAAATCTCAGAGACGCCTAGGAATAAGAAAGTCGGCCCGACAAAGCGACAACGGCAGGAGACCCCGGCTCCCCGCACCAGATGGACGTACATCGTATCAAAGCAAGCCATTTGGCGATGAAAGAGAAAGAAGGGCAATATCTCCATTTCCAAATATAATAAGTCACAACAATAGATGTGATCCTATATACCTGTATTGGATAGACCCTACATTATAGGAAAAATGAAGATAAAACTTGGCGTACACACTTGAACTCTGCAGTCCTCTCTTTTCTGAGTAGCTCAATGAGTTATATCGTTCTAGGTACATTTTCACAATACTACATATGTAGAGAATACTACACGATCTAGTTCAAGACGGTTGTGCTAATATGAAGACCCGTACAGCGTAGATTAACGCCGGACAGAAAGAACGATTCTGTCACATCTCACACGAAAAGCTATCATATGTTCTATAATCACTGTCTGCCCTATCCTTAGTGTTAGTATTGAGCCATTTACAGACGTCATCTCTACCCTCAATGAAGTCTTCTAGTTAGTAGAAAGTTCTTTCTCTTAACAGCCCCGCTGCCCAATTAAGCCTCGGAGTATCAAAATCCCCATATCTCTCTCTGCATATCTCTCTTTGGCGACGGCCAGTGTTCATAGAGAACTCTCTGCGACACCTCCCTTCTCGCTTTCCTCTTCCCTTCTTCACCTCCATCGCTCATTCCCTGTCCCTTCCTTCCCTTCCTTTCCCTCTTTCCAAAATCTACCCAGGATGATGCAGTGGCAGCACAGTGCCCTGGCGGGTAGGCTTATGTGTAGGCGCACATACCTAGGCTTCTCGGAGCTCACAGATTTCGGTTCGAGTCCGGGTCCTGGAAACATATTTTCTCTCTGTAACTAGTATATGCCTAGGTATATATATAGATGTGATACGTGCCTTCATCCTATGACATACTGTGCTTAAAATATTAGCCTCTAGTTCTAGATACGTTGTACTTAAATACAACGCTTGCTTGTATCGTTCCAAGGTTGGAATTGTCCTGCCTTGTTTTTGTAGCTTTGTGTTCTGTGCGTCGAGTCCACACCGACGTAGAGGTGGATCTCTGTGCATCGCCACGAAATACAAAGTCATGGATAGCTTATAGATCCACTTACCCCGTAGTACTATATTTATTGCATGAACTAAAGCACTAGGGCAGACTAAGATGGATCATTAACGCATTGACGGAATAGCGGTCAAGAAAAGCGAAAGCGAGAAAAATGAAGACCCTATTCCTGCTCCTGTTCCTGAACCTGACTGATTCTGATATATAATTTCAACTGGTGTATCATCAACTAAAAAGCAAAAAAACAAAGCAAACCCCCAGCGTACATATCATACAACGTACACGCCTATTACTTTATTCATTTGAACTTGCGCTTCAGCCACGCGAGGAACCCGCCCTTCTCCTTCTTCTTCTTCTCTTCGGTCGGCTCAGAGGTCTCAGAAGTCTTGGTCTCATCGGCCTTGGGCTGCTCCGTTTCGGCCTCCTGGGCTACTTCGCTCTTGGCAAGGGGCTCTTCGCCACGCTTCAGTGCGGCCTCGGGCTTCTTGGGCTCCTCGACGACTGGGGCGGCCTTCTCGGCCTTGGAGGAGGTGATGGCGGCGTTGGCGGCAGCGACCGCATCGGGATTAGAGGCCGGGGCCTTGCCAGACTGAACGGTGCTCTTGGGGGTCTCGACGGGGATCTTCTCCTCCGGCTTCTTCTCGAGAGCCTTGGGGGTCTCGACGGGCTTAGGTACCTCTTCGACCTTCTTCTCCTCGGCCTTGGGCGCCTCGTTCGTGATAGGCACAGGCTCGGATGCGGTGTACGCAGCAGTCGAAGCAGGTCCAGCACCAGCCAAATTCTCAATGGTCTTCTTGTCTTCCGCCGCACTAGCCGCGAGCTGCTCCTCGTCGGTCTTGGGCATCTTGTGGGGCTTCAAGTTCTCCTCGTTGTTGAAGATGGGCTTCTCGTACGGGCGCTTCACGTGCGCAGTGTCCTCGACGATTGGGGCGGGAATAGGCTCGGGCGCAGCAACGGGCGCGACAGCGGCCGGGATCGAAGCGGCCGGGATCGATTCGGCAGTCTTGGGGCGCTCGGCCAAAGTAGCCAGCTCGGTGGCAGGCTCCTTAGCGGTCTTCTCGGGGATAACGGCTGCAGACAGATTAGTTTGGATCGCAAAATTGACTGACACGTGTCCTACCAGTGCCGGCGGCGGAGCCACCTTCCAGTTCACCGACTTGGCCAGCCTTAGAGGCCTGCGCCTTCTCGACGGCCTCCTCCACTGTACCCTCCTTCTCAGTCGTAAGGGCCTTCTCAGCCTTGACGGATTCTTTAGGCTCGGTCAGAGCGGGACTCTCAGTCGTGGCAGGCGCAGGGATCGCAGCGTTGGTCTCGGTCTTTGCAGTCTCAGTTGCAGTCTCAGTTGCGGACTCAGTTGCGGTCTCGGGCGCGGTCTCAGGCTCGGTCTTCTCGACAGTCTCGGGCTGTTCAGTCTTGGTCTGATCCTCGACGTCATGGTCGGGGGTGCTGCGACAATGTTAGAATGTGGCACACGACCTCAATTGTTCGCTCAACTTACACAACGTCCTTGACCTTGTCAACAGCAGCGGCAACGGCAGCAGCGGGCTTGTTGCCGCCCTTCTTGCCGCTCTTCTTTCCTCCTTTCTTAGGCATGATGGTCGTTTCAAGTTCGTGAATTCTGCGCAAATGTCGCAAATGTCAGAGACGAAGAGAGAATGCAAATGCGAATTGTGAGATTGAAGAAGATGGAAATGTCTGAAAACAGGCAGGTGTCTACTTACTATAATGGTATTTAGGGTAAAAGAAGGAAGTAAGGGATGGGTATGCGACTGAGTTCTCGTTCCGTTGTGTCGCCAGTTCTGGAACACAAAGTATCACAAAATTACTAATTTCTTTTTTGTTCCCTCTTCTTCTTTAAATCCAGGAGAGATTCGAAACTAGATCTCGTTTCTACATTATCTTCTTTCTTATGCAATTTCCAATGCTTTAATTCTATCCCGTGTCTTTCAATTAAACATTCCAAAGGGCTTTGCGCCTTTCATAGTTCTGCAGGGCTTGTGCATAGAGCATTGGCCAGCCCTAACGTCTGCATCGGGTAAATAGGGTTGTGCCTGCACTAGGGGCCGTTTAGGGATCTGGGGGTTAATATCCCTACATATTGTACACTACGCCTACATTGTACATCTATACAAAGTACTCCGAAAGCAGAGTCTCCTTCACATTCCTGGCGGTGGTGGGGATTCTAGGGCCATAAACAGCGATTACATCATCTGAAACGGGAAAGTGGAAGATCATAATAAAAACAAAAATAGGACAAAAATAGCAAAATGAGAATGAGATCAGAGAAAGAAATTAATCCAATATTAGAGCATTAACGCAGCCATGTTTCATACATCTGTTAGCCCCACGATGTAGTCATAATGGAGCTGATATTATAATTACATGAGGTAATTGAACAAAAAAAAGAGCGCCACAAAATGCAGATATAAAACAAAAAGATATGTGACCGACGCAGGGATCGAACCTGCAATCTCTTGATTCGTAGTCAAGCGCCTTGCCATTGGGCCAGCCGGCCTTTGTTGAATGTTCCAGCCATAATTGGCTAGATTATCCTGAAGCTGCGAATTCAGTATCAACCATCATCTAGGACAAGCCCTAGTTACGGCATACGGCGTAGAGAGAGAACTACAGTAAAAGATGTATGCCCGGATTTTAAACCAGGACAATTGGCCTACACATCTTAGAAGAACCTTACGAGGGAACAAAAAAAGGAAGAACAACTAATCGTCGTCATACTGTACAGTTCCAAAAAGGGACTATACTATTAACTAGAATATGGTCATCATAGCTGATAAAAAGAAATGATAGTTTGACTGACGCCGAGTCCACCTCCAATCCCAACCCTCAAGTGTGATACTGATGCTTTGACCCGATGAAGGGCAAAAAAGCCCTTCGCGGCCATTTAACCGGCAAAAACGTGCCGAGTGGCGGCGTCGAGTTACGACAAAATCCCCCCAAATAACCCACTCTGTTCCCGGTTTCTTCCCGCCTTTCTCCGGTGCAATCGTGTCCCATTACTTTTGTGTGGCTTTTACTGGTAGACTCGCCGAGTGGTCGATAGCATTCTATTACACGATCGCTTTACAAGATACCTATTATTATTTTTGTCGACTGCAACGTATATCCCTGTCAAAATATTGTATATGATGTAACACTGAGGCTCTCGTGGCCGATCATGTTTCTGGAATTGTTCGCTGCAGTACGCCACTGATCGGGCAATATGCGTGTATTATGATTGTCAGACGCCTAAGTGCCCAAGTATATAGTACTTATGATGTTTAACGTGTTAATACAGAGTCCATCGAATGACGCTAATATTCAACGTATTGTTAGTATTTTAACCCTGGAGTAATTGACTGTGACAGTTTGGTTCTTTGTACCAGAGTTGGTAATTTCTTGGGTCTCGGGAAATACTTTGCTTTTCGCGTGGGTTTTTTTTACCACAGCACTGGAGTATTTCGCCAAGTAGCACTACATACAACATACACATTTACATATTCACATAGTTACAGATATTTTATAATCAATACTATCCTAGTCATTCTATGGCTGAACCAGAGACGGTATTATATCAAATACTGTAATCATTATATTATGCACAGACTGTGGGTTCCAGTATCTGGAGTAGTATCGCCCCAATGCTTCACCGGAATAGGTCCGGAGTACGCTCTGGGGTCTTATCTGTGCCGTTGCATCCACCATTATACATAATTGATTCCTATTTCCCCCTCTTTTCTTTTCTTGCTGTTTCTGTTCTTTTATTCTTGTTCTTCTTCTTCTTCTTTTACTCATGCTATACTATACTCTAGAATGAGCACATTGTCCCTGTCACACAATCCCCGCTATTCGTGCTTGCACACCCGCGTCCGTTCCTCCGGGATTGGTATGCACCTTTGAGGCATTTTCTCCAGGAGCCCGCATTGATTCTGAAAGAACTTTGAATCCGAATTTGATTGAATCTTGTATTGATTTGTTTTTTTCAACTATTCCGATATGACGTTCCGCGAGAGGGTCAAGCGGGTTTTCCGCTCAAAATCTGACAATGGGAATGGAAAACCCAAAGTCGAATATTATCGGAGATCCGAATGTCCTCCCTCCAAGTTCAAGGGTCCTTTCGATCGCGAGCATCAAAAACGTTTAGCTGCTTGGTCTTTTGATGGCGCGATGGTTGAAAAGAGACGTTCCTTTGAAATGTCTCTGTCGCCTTACGCCACTTACTCCGGCTCTCCCGATGAATCAGTGTCACCGGATGATTCAGCCCTCGATACTGGAGGTACGCATACCAACCTAATCTTCGAACTCAATCTCATGTTCATATTCTTGAATCTTGATGAATTATGAGTATACGAAGTCACATTTTTGATCAGTTTACTAACATCCCCCTTAGCATCTGACATTGAACCTGAATCATCCCCTCGTGCCGTCGACTCAGGCTCCCAGTCTTCCACCGTCCTCAACCCCTCCAGCTACAGTGGCTCAATGAGAACCCTCCTAAACGAGGCTTCCATCTATGAAATCCCAGAGGACAAAAAAGACCCCACATTCTTCCTGAAAGAGTCCATGCGTTACACTTCCCCGTGTATTCTCTCCGCCCGGAAACAAGTCCCTTTCAACCCCGAAGATCTTACCCGCGCCTTGATCGCCGTCCAGGTCTGCGCCTGATCCTTCTGTACACCAATTGTACAACCTACCTTCTTCATATCCAGGAGATCCTCTTATAATCCCTTTTCACCGGGCTCGATGTCCTCTTTTCACATACCTTTTTGCCCTTTGGCTCCCTTGATCCCTGGATCTTGATCCTTTGATCACGGTCGGACTACATCCGGCTATCCCTGGCGCTCGTCTTCGTGGTCTTGCTTTGAAGATTTCGCGGTCGCGTCTTTTCCTATCTGTCACGCATTTGCATATAAGCGTATACCCGTTAAGGATTTTTGTTTTGAATTTATTTGGGTCGGGTCTGATTGGCTTCCTGAGTCCTTTACTATATACACACGCTAGAACGTTTTGTTTCTTAGAACTAGAACAAATGAACCTTGCTAGACATTCATTCTTTTTTCTCGCTCTGGTTATGTACAATGAATGTACATGTACATTATGTACTTCCGGCTAAATTCAACCTGCCAGGTCGAAAATTACCCGTGTTCAAAGTATAACATATTAGAACATAAATCTAGATCCCTCCAGATCCCTCCAGATTCCAGACTGCAGCTGTTCGAGAAGAATCGAAGAATCAACCCCGCCTAGCCAAGCTTTTCTTCCCCGCGCCAAGATGCACATCATTCGAGATAGGTAATGATTTTTCGGATCGTCTTGTTTAGCACTGTTGATGCTCTTTTTGAGTGGCTGAGTTTTGGGTTTAGTTGAAGGGATGACGCTGTCATGTTGATGTCAGATAACTTTGATTAGAGGTTGTTTTGATGACTTGTCCTCGAGTGCAAAGATTATGGTATATGAAAAAATGCGCACAGCAAAGGGTGCTTTCTTTTATGATAACTTTTAGGTGTGCTATATGGGTGACATCCTGGATTTAAGTCGTAATGTATGTTTCCTGTGACTACACCCTGGTGGCTATATGTAGTTGTACCTCAGATGCTGATAGTCTCGGGATTCTTCTTCGCCAACGTTGGAAATAAATACCTTGGTAACAAATTTGTATGCGAGGCGCATATCAACGTTGTTCGATGACTCCTGTTATTATCGTCGACACATCCATTAAATTTACTTCTATCAATCTTTCTTCGGGTCTTTCTTGAAATTCTCTGCAGTCTCTAGGGTTCTTCCTAACTCTCTTCCAACTATGGATATATAGCAGCTATATATGCTTTAAGACCGTGGTACAAACATATTTTTGACATATCTGGTTGTTTCCAGGTTTGTTAGAAAGTGATGTATATTTTCAAGGTTGACCACCCCGCCCAATCCAGGGAGCAAATATCCATCGATGTGTTCAGACCACCTTGGAACTTTAGAAGACGGAAATTCCGCAGTAATTAGTGAATGCCTAGGTTACTTGATCCATAAATGACTCAGCAACTCTGACACAATAGCCATCCCCATTGTTGAATCAAATGCCCGATAGATGCCGTCGGCTTTGTCACATGATCATTTACGCCCTAGATGGGTTTACAACATTGGAAGTGAGCAGCGCATCAGTCAAATCAAGATCGATGATTCATATGATGAATCGACAACACTCCCAGAGCCTAGGTGAAATGAACAAGCCAACGGCCTAAGAGGGGTACAAAGACCCATGATCATCAAATAATTTTCCACGTCTTGGTATTACACTTTGGATTCATGCACGCCCCTACACCGCTAGTGATTTCCAATGTTAGAAAGAATGAACGCTCCTTTCATGGTCTTGGCAGATGCAAGACTGCAAGCTCGGGGATCTCATTTGTCAAGAGTACACCTGTTAACCGATGATCCCCACTAAGCGCCCAGTGGCTGCTATCCCAACACTTACACTTGGCCATGTTGTAGCTGAATGGATGACCCAGGTTCTCGGAGCTGAGCTGGAAATTAGAGTCCGATTGACAGGATTATGACTGAAAGAAAAGCGTGCATGAATAGCCCCACTCATACACTCCGTAGTGTGATTTGACATATAGAAATCGACAGTCAACAAAGAAATTCTACCGCAATCTTTTTGGAAGAATTAATTTACCTCGGGAATTCGGGATTTCAATTTTAGACATGAACGTGTAACACAAACACGTGGAAGTGATTGATCACTGCGGATTCGAACCTGGGCTGAGATAAGGGCTGTGAAACATTGACAGAAAACTAGAGATGCAGTGAGTCGTAACACAACATAGATTCATATAAAGGATTATGCCTTGATGATTTTATCTCGATGATCTACTCGTCTTCGACCCAATAAGGGGCTGGTGCCCGCTGTTACAGGCATCGCTATGCGTGAAGCAAAAAGCGCTGTTACATGACAGCCTGCTACTAGCTTAATTGTGATATCTCCCGTCGCTAAAGCTCTGTGCACGCCCTAGTAGGCGCTATCTATAATAGCTTGGAAACCCTAATAAAGCACTTAGGTGATTCATACCAATAATATTTCTACTTATAGATAATAGAGTCGAGGGAGATTGGGTATGGACGAGTAAACGCTCATTCAGTGTAATTTTCAATATTTTCTGACAGAGAAGCACAAAATAGCGCAACGCCCTTGGTAAGCCACACTGTTTTTAATGAACATCCCCAAAGAGTGATTGATACGCCTTACGGATCTCCAGGTCTCTTTTTCTTAGGAGACATGCTAAATGTGACGAGATTTGATGTTGAAAGCGAGTGAGTGGCTGCTAAAAGATGATCTATTCAGCTATCTATAAGAAAGGGTGGCACCGTTCTGTGATGACATTTAGCTAACCAACTGCCACCAAAGGCTAGCCAATTGTGACACAACGTATTTGATTATGCTAGATCAGGTTACATTTTTGGTGCTAGGATTAGTTCCACTACGGTCTGAATAGGATAGAAAAGAAAAGAAAGGGGAAGCTGTAGCAATTGGGTAGAGGGCCTGTGGACCATACTTATGACAAGGTATGGCTATGGAAGAGATGACCTGGTGGCTTGATTGGACAGGAACTTACGAGTCTCAAGAATACACAGGTCTTTGTCTCAGTTAAAGTGCCTTGTCAAAGACAGGAGCATGTCGTATTTAATGCATCGCATGCCCACTTACAGATAGCTTGCCTTAACTCACATGGAACCGACATAGTCAGACTTCCAATTCATTCTCTTTATTTCATGGTACTCTCTTCGACATAGACGAGCAATGAAGTACACCTTGCTGCGCTCGCTGCGCTCACTGCGCCGCTTTCTTTGCTATTCCTCTCCCAAGCATCGTGGACCTGATACCACAGCGGAGACGGACGTAGCAGAAGAAGCACTTCGACCGAAACCCTCTGCTATAACGACAACTACTATCCAGCCAAGCACTGCACCCATTACCAGTGGCGTACAGAGGGATGACAGCGTCCGATCCAGAGTTTCTGTTTCTCCCCAGGCTTCCAATTACAGTACACACACGGAGTCGACATGCGCATCAGATTACGAAACAAGGGCAACAACTTTATCAACCACTATTGATGACACTTCCCTGCTCCCCGAACAGCCCGCCAAGTCCACAAGTTTAGACATAATCACACCGTATATTCCAATCCTGCAAGCAGATGGTAGTCTGCGGGCCCCACAGCTGAGCTTCGATGGCTATGGCTCATTCGGCGGCCGGTTCGCTCCTGAATCAATAATGGGGTTCCTTTACGAGCTGACATCATTCTTCGAGGCCACGGTCTCTGATCCCTCGTTCTGGACTGAATATGCCACGTTCCAGCGTGCCCCGACCCCACTATACAAGGCTGCAAAGTTAACCAGCCTGACTGGCGGTGCTACCATCTGGTTGAAGCGCGAAGATCAGAATGAATACGGCACCCACAAGTCTCGCAACATCATCGGCCAGCTCCTCATCGCTCGACGGATGGGCCGCACGGAAATCGTCACAGATTGTGCGTCCGCCAAACACGGTACCTTCACCGCTGCAATGTGCGCTCGGCTGGGATTGCGTTGTGTCGTCGTCATGGGTGCAGATGACGCTAATGCTCAGCAAGAGGACGTGCTTGAGATGAAACTACTCGGAGCTAAGGTCTTGACAGCCTGCACGCCCTCCGGCATGGGTAGTCTACGCGCGGCCATCACAGAGGCTTTGCGCTATTCCGTCTGCAACCACGAGTCTGCGTACTACCTCATGGGTAGCCCAGTGGGGCCAAGTCCCCTGCCTACCCTGTCTCGCACGTTCCAAGCCCTTCTAGGCGAGGAGGTCGCAGCACAAATGCAGGCTGCAGGTCGCCAGCCGGACGCGCTCGTCACCGCCGTTGGTAGCGGTAGCGGTGCAGTTGGGCTATTCAGACCGTTCCTCCAGGACTTGTCTGTTCGGTTGGTTGGTGTGGAGGCTGCTCAGGCTGCTGCCTTGACAAATGGTGAACTGGGGGTGCTTCAGGGTGCTCGCACGCTGCTGCTTCAGAGCGAGGAAGGCCAGATTCTCGACTCACATTCTATCTCACCAGACATGAACTTGTCCACAGTGGGTCCCGAGGTTGCTCATTGGAAGGACTCTGGCCGAATTGAAATTTTTACGGCTACCGACGCGGATGCCCTGGATGGATTTAAAACTCTTCAGCACCACGAGGGGATCTTGTCTGGTTTGGACTCGAGTCACGCGGTGACAAGGACCCTAGATCTCGCTAAGGAACTTGGTCCTGGTAAGAATGTGGTTTTGATGGTGACTGGATGCGATAACATTGCCATGCGTCATGTAGAGGTTTGAGGGCGATGGGCCTAAGAGGAACACGAGTTACGAGTGTGGCTTTCTGTTTTTGTCTTCTTTTCTTCTCTTTTTCTTCTTCGTCTTTTTTTCTTTCTGGAAATACCCTGACCTCCTGTTCATGGCGTTATTGACCTTTTGACTTTCTTCTATAGTTATTACAGACTGCATCTTGTATCATATATTGTTAGGTGCCTATTGTTACATACAATTTCATGATTGCCTCAAGGCTTTTCAATATTCTCCCAAAATGTGTCAGTTTGAAAGTTTAGGTGGCTTCGTTTCTTTATTTTCTTTACGAGGTGCTAAGCCTGTTATGCTCCCCTGCATGAAATCTTTTGCGATATTACTTGGCTACAATGCATGTTTGCTTTTTTATGGCGAATAGACTTTACACAAGTTCCTGAGTGCTTCAGCGGTCTGTACATATATAGGAGAAAACCAGGTGATATGGTATGTAAAGCAGTGTATTCTTTTGTAACTTTTTTGTCATCAGTCATGTCGGTATATCATGTGCAGTAAGATCCCATAAAGTAATAGAACGATGTCATATTCAATCCTCATGTGTGACCGACATGTCCAAGACCTCAACTCGGCCCCTTCCACGGGTCTCATTACCCACGAAATCATTGAGTCCCTTGAACGCACCAGGTTCAGCAAACCCAACAATCTCCCACTCATCTCCACCGACAACCTCTTGCGACTCCACAGACTCAAACAATGACAAAATTTTATCCTTGACTGTCCCTGGAGCCTTCGGCGCTGCCTCTGCATCGGACTGAGCATCCTCGATATCCGAATCATCACGCTTCGACTTCTTGCCCTTACCCCCCTTCTTATTATTCTTGCCAGAGGGAGCCTCTTTCTCCTTGTTGGCTGCAGCACCAGGCGCAGCCTTAACAGACTGCTTCAGCAGCGACACCGGACATGTCACACGAAGACGCATGCGAGCCCGCATCACGGGAATCGGCTGCCATGCGATAAGAGCCTTCATGGCATCCAACGCCTGACTCTTAGCCGAACGGTTCGACGACACACCCGTCCAAAGTGGCTTCTTCGGTTGCGCGGACTTCTCGTCGTCCTCGTTATCGCCTGCTGTTTGCTGCTGTCCGCTGGCGGAGCTTAGTTGATCTAACGCCTTGTGAATCATGCCAGTTGTGTACACGCGCTTGGTCGAAGGGTCCACTAGTCGACCGGAGACGATGTCCAGAACTTCTTTCTCCACTCGCTCGAGGATATCTTTGCGCTCGCGCTCGCCGACTTGCACTTCGCCTTTGCGCAGGATCTCTTGCAGCACTTCCTCTCGGGGTGTGCCGGCTCCAAAAGCCTTTGCTAGTTCTGCTGTTGGGGCAGTTTGTGCTTTGGAGACGGAGAGGAACACGGTTGGGACTTGGAGGACATTGTCAAGATCTTTTTCGGCGCCGGATCGGTATTCGAGGAGTTTGTTCTTGTAGCAGGCGAGCTCAAAGCGCTTCTTGCCTGAATAAATATCAATATTAGCAGCAGAGGATATGTGCAAGACGAAGATATACGTACCCTTCTTTAGTCGGACCACCGACACGTTGGTGAATTTGATTTGGTTGGAGGGTTGGTTGATAGGCATTTTAGGTGTTAAGCCACCGAGGGCTGAAGATCTGAGTCGGAAAAAAAGAATTGCCAAAAGAAGGAGCAATAGGTAGATAACAAGTTTTGATATGGTTTTTCAAAAAATAACACCGCCGACAATGGTATATGTGCAACTTTTTTTAAGCTGATGATATCAAAAGTTACTATGCCAAGAGATAAATGCCCAAAGAGGCTTAGTCACAAAGCACATGCCCCTCGCAGATCTCGTGACATCCCCGTGACTCAAATTGAATCATGCTTTCTCCACTGATTGGCCCAGCCGCCTTATCGCCCTAATTCGGCGTCATCGGCATTCCCTCCTGCTTCTCCTCATCTCCAAGTGCAGGCATATCTTGCATCTCCCCCATCCCAAATCCTAAATCAATTATCATCATCTTGTGGTATCGACATACATGTGAGTGACCTTGTCTTCATCAGCTTGTCAATTTAGAGCTATACACACCAACATTTACTGATAAGAGCTAACCTGATGCCAGACCCCAAGGTACCCGCTGCTGTCCATAACCATCATTAGCATCGTTCTTGCTGTGAACTCCAAACATAGCTGGCAATGAGACTCCTGTCTGCCACTCTTCTGGTAGGAGCTGCTTCGGCAGCCGCCCCGCCCTTCCAGCAGGTCCTTGGAGGTCAGAAGGAGTATGCGGAGAATGTAGCCCAGAAGGGTGCGGATGCATTCTCCAAGCTCTCTGACCAGTTCAAGTCCCTCTCTGGTGAGGCCCGTCAGCTTTGGGAAGAAGTTTCAAACTACTTTCCCGAATCTATGGAGAGCGCTCCTATGCTCTCCCTGCCCAAGAAGCACACCCGCCGTCCTGACTCCCACTGGGATTACCACGTCAGTGGCGCTGACGTCCAAAGCATTTGGGTCGAGGGTACTGATGGTACCAAGGAGCGCGAAGTCGATGGAAAGCTGGATACCTATGGCCTTCGTGCTAAGAAGGTCGACCCCAGCGCCCTCGGTATCGACCCTGGCGTCAAGCAATACAGCGGTTACCTCGACGACAATGAGGAAGACAAGCACCTGTTTTACTGTGAGTCATGCATTTAATTCCACCAAATTATTAAGTATGATTCGCTAATCTTGAAAAGGGTTCTTTGAATCTCGTAACGACCCCAAGAATGACCCCGTCGTCCTGTGGCTGAATGGTGGTCCTGGATGCTCTTCCCTCACTGGACTGTTCCTCGAACTTGGCCCCAGCTCCATCGGCGAGAATATCAAGCCCATCTACAATGACTTCTCCTGGAACAACAATGCTTCTGTTATCTTCCTTGACCAGCCCGTCAACGTTGGCTACTCCTATAGTGGCTCCTCTGTCAGCAACACCGTTGCTGCTGCCAAGGACGTCTACGCTCTCCTCACACTGTTCTTCAAGCAGTTCCCTGAGTACGCCAAGCAAGACTTCCATATTGCTGGCGAGTCCTACGCTGGTCACTACATCCCCGTCATGGCTTCTGAGATCCTCTCCCACAAAAAGCGCAACATCAACCTCAAGTCTGTCCTGATCGGTAACGGTCTCACTGATGGCCTTACTCAGTACGAGTACTACCGCCCTATGGCTTGCGGTGACGGAGGCTACCCCGCTGTTGTTGACGAGAGCACCTGTCAATCCATGGACAACTCCCTGGACCGTTGCCAGAGCATGATCCAGTCTTGCTACAACAGCGAGAGCCCCTGGGTTTGCGTCCCCGCCTCTATCTACTGTAACAACGCCATGATCGGCCCTTACCAGCGCACCGGCCAGAATGTTTATGATGTTCGCGGCAAGTGCGAGGACACAAGCAACCTGTGCTACACGGGCATGGGCTGGGTCAGCGAATACCTTGGCCAGAAGAGCGTGCGCGATGCCGTCGGCGCTGAGGTCGATGGTTATGACTCTTGCAACTTCGACATCAACCGTAACTTCCTCTTTAACGGAGATTGGTTCAAGCCTTACCACCGCCTAGTGCCTGGTCTCCTTGAGCAGATCCCCGTCCTGATCTACGCCGGTGATGCTGACTTCATCTGCAACTGGCTCGGTAACAAGGCCTGGTCCGAGGCCCTCGAGTGGCCTGGCCAGAAGGAGTTCGCTCCTAAGAAGCTTGAACCCCTCAAGATTGTCAACAATGAGCACGTTGACAAGGAGATTGGTCAGATCAAGACTCACGGCAACTTCACCTTCATGCGCATCTACGGCGCAGGCCACATGGTTCCTATGGACCAGCCCGAGGCCGGTCTGGAGTTTTTCAACCGCTGGATCGGTGGTGAGTGGTACTGAAATCTTGTCTGAGCTGCTCTTTTGATACAATGCGTCAATGATGTTATCGTTACACCGCGTCTGATTGATCTTGTGGCTGTTTGCATACGTTTGACAGCTAGTATGGAATTTAGAATGCTGCTTAGTCGGTACAATCTTCTTTCCTGCTTTTGGTGAGTTTGCTTTTGTCTGGTATATAGGTTTAGGCAACATTGAATCCATCAATTTTGATTAAAATGGCATTACATATTAGATAGATACATACCATATAGCATAGGAGCTACCAAGACAGAGATGATAGGATAGCAATATAGAGTTCAATGGGGCACTAGGAGGGTACATCGTGTCTTGAAGGTGTGAAAACACCTCCCAAGGTTATATTGAAGGCCGATATTGACATAGGTAGTTAGCTGCTATATATTTGTGATTGGAGGAAGATTAAGAAAGGCCCCGAACAACCGGAAAATTTTGGTAGGACATATAACGGGGGCACTCTACGTTGATGATGAAATGACAACGAAAGCTCATCGAAGAATGCCGCCAAACTTTCTAGACACGATGTAGACTGTATGGGTGGATGGATGTTGCGAGGTGGGTGCAAAGTAGTAAAGGAACATGGGGTGGCTGAAACCCCACATTTTCATGTCTAAAGATAGCAGCACACACAAATCGAATAACATATGTATGATGGTACTTGGGGACGAATATCTACCTACATATGCTTGCCATGCCATAGCGGGACAAGACAGCTTACCCTACGGAGAGCCAGGCTGACGGCCATCAAGGTAGATTATAGCTCAACCCAGATAGCCTCAACCTAGCCGATAGTGGAACTTGTAACGAAGAGATCGTTCATTTCATTGGTATGATTCATTTTCAATTTTTTGGACTGGCACACCCAGCCCAGCGGGGAAAAGGTCCCACGGATGCCCATAGAAACACACCGGAAATAACGGAATCCCTCCAATGAACCCCCGGCAAAAAAACGAACAGACGAATTGTTTAGCCCTTCTTCTTGCTGACACCGACGGTGCGACCGCGGCGGCCAGTGGTCTTGGTGTGTTGACCACGGACACGGAGGCCCCAGTAGTGACGCAGACCGCGGTGGGAGCGGATCTTCTTCAGGCGCTCGAGATCCTCACGGATCTTGGAGTCGAGACCGTTGGAGACAACCTGGGTGTCCTTGCCATCGGTGATGTCGCGCTGTCTGTTAAGGAACCACGAGGGGATCTTGTACTGGGTAGGGGTCTGGAGGATGGTGACGATGCGCTCCAGCTCTTCGGTGGTGAGCTCACCAGCACTGTTATAAAAACACCTAGTCAGCTTTGCTGTTCTGTGAGTTTGTGCGATTTTTCCTCCGCCCCTATGTCTTGTTCATATATCGATTCAACTCCAATTTTCCCCGTACAATTTTCCAGTCCTTCTCTTTTCTAAAACATAGGGGCGGACGATTGTAGTATCGATGGGGGTTGTTGCGAACGTACCGCTTGTTGAGGTCGACATCGGCCTTCTTGCAGACAAGGTTGGAGTAACGGCGACCGACACCCTTGATCTGGGTCAGCGCGTACATGATCTTCTGCTTGCCGTCAACATTGGTGTTGAGCAGACGCAAGATGAACTGGAAGTTCGTCTTCTCGCCGGTCACGAGCGCTGTTATCGAAAGTTCATGTTAGCCGACATTCAATTTCGAGTTTCGTCGAGTGCCACCGGTTCCTTCTCTTTTGTTGTTGGGCAATTTCGTGGATTTGTAGCATATGAAGCTTTCAGATTGAGAGGGAGGTTCGGCACGTACACATGATGGGCGATGGGCGAGGATCGCGATGGGTTGTCGACAGAGGGATGGGGAGGAGGAAGTCCAACTAAGATGACTTTGCTTGTGGGATCGGGTAATTAGTGCGCTAACCTGATTGGGACGAGGGCTCGCTTGTTGCGACCTAGGCTAAAAGGAGTTAGCTCGTAGATCAGGTGAAGTCACATGATGATATTATGCAGTATTGTCATTAAAGCGTAAATGTATCTGTTATTTACGTGTATTTTACCTGGAGCCCTCCTTTGTCTTCGACATGAAACTGCCACCAAACTTAGTGCCCAGGGATACCAAACTCTTTTCTTTGGTCGAGTCCAAAGGTTTTCATATGACCTATTTGAATCTTGGTTTACTTGTTGAACTATGGCCTTTGATCTTGCATCCGGCTGGTTTTCTCGAATCTCGAGCGGTCGACTAAGGGCCTGTTAACCTGACATGCAACGTATACTCCAGTGTTTTGCTTTGAATGGATGTCGAGATTTCCCACTAACCAAAAGGCAATATTTGATCATGCCTTGGAATGGCACCCGCCATTTTGCTGTTAAGAGAAGTCACAGCCATGTTCTTACGCTCTGGGCCGGGCTTGGAAGCCCAAGATCTACAGCCGATTTGATCCAAATGGTTCGTTACAAGACTACTGGTCTTTTTTTGTCGAAGCAACGCCACTAGTGGTGGAACCAGAAGTATATTTTTCAATTTCATTCACTATGGTCCTTTGAGGCCCTCTGAATTTTGAAAATCCGGACCGCTGTGATAATTATAGCGCACGCACGCTTACCTTGCCAGAAGTATGGCCGCTTCTGACCTTTCATGTTCTTTCCTGACCATTTCTGATCGTTTACGGAACTCAAATGCTTTGTGAATCAAGAAGCTGGAGTTGACCACGGTCTTCGACTTGGAGTCAGATGTGTTCTTTGATCTCTTGCTTGCTGTCTACAATACACTGCTGGATTTTCTTTGACCTCGCGAAGAGAACTTAAGGTGTGTCCATTCGAAAATGAATGTCACTCGCCGTCCATTAAAGGGGCTGCTTCGCACTCGTCTCAAATGGCCTTGGTCGCTATTTTTGAAGCTCTTGAAGCCAATTCCACACCTTTTGGCAACACTACATTGCTCTTGATTGAGCTCGCCGTGGAAGATTCGAATACGATCGTCAAACCACTCTTTTGCAGTCAAGATGGTTAGTACAATTTTTCCTCAGACGCCGGACGACCTGGTACAGCCGGAAGAGCCTGTGTTCAAGTATGAATTTGCCAATCTCCCTGATCCACCCATCGACTGGGTTTTTCTCAATGTCAGGTTCGGGACTATTGCGAATGGAACATTCCGCACTCTCAAGTTGGCGCAGACGAAGGTCTTGATGAAACATTATTTCTGGGGAATTCGGTGGGGGGATCCCAAACCGACCAGTAAAACAAGCAGAAAGGCGCACAATCTCAAAACTATGCTAACCACCCTGTGGAAACTCTTCTATCATATGCAAGAGATACATCGCCCAAAGTCCTTCGACGATGTACTCAATATTTATCGAGATAGTGGGCCTCGATTGCTGAGATACGACCTCACTCCACGCCCAGAGCCTATCAGTCGATGGTTCATAGAAACACCACATAGTCAAACAGTCCTTTTGCCAGCCTATTCTCGCCCTGATAATGCACCCTTAGATTTGACCGACATAGTTCTCCAGCAATATCTGTATTCGCCAGACAGTTTCAATCCGCCAGCCTCGCCCAATCAGCAAATCCAACCCGAGCTGCCAATGCAGCAGCCTCCTACCAACACGCAACTGATTTCGAGTTTCAACTTTTCACCACCAGCTCCTCCCCAGCAACAGGACCAGAGCCTCGAAACCATTGCTTCGGATTTATTGAGAGGCGAGCAAGCGACAGATCCTACACAAAAACGACCTGCTACAGGGCTGGAAACTTCCCCCAGCAAGCGAAGGCGAGATGTTTCTCCCGGTGCTCCTGCTTATAGGGCCCCTGGTCCTGGTGATCAACCTGTACAAGCTCTTCCTGAACCTGTCTTCCCTACTCGAAATGTCTTAGAATGGGGCTGGATGCCTGGGTTGCATCCCGAACATGTTGCCCCTCCCATCGGCGAGCAACAACTTGGCCCCATCGTACCGGCCGGTGAACCTGTTTATGAAAAGCGAATCGTCTCCGAGGCAATTGAAAAGGCCTTGATGCATATCGTATATGCTGATCTGGACCGTGACCCCAGTATACCTATTCGCAAAGAACCTGTCAAGTATCGGACAGCACACTCTTATGATGACTTGCTTGATATGAAAATCGGAGCTTTCAGCACCACTGCGAGCGTGAGGCTGTCACCGATCACGTTTGAGTGGGATCCCAATGGGGCCGTTTTTCCACTTCGTGGTCGTGGTCCTGTCTGGAGTGGCAACTCTTGCGCCACCGACTGTGCGATTGTAGCAGGGATGCTGTTGGATGTCGGGTGCACTAAAATTGATCGTGCCAACAATCGAATATCCGAGTTCACGCAAAATGAATGTGCATACATTGAGTCCACAAATGCGGCCTGGGATACTTTCGATAAGTCCACATCCACGCGTGTACGTGACCAGTTTCTTCAATTTTTCTTAAATGGGCAACATCATTTGAAAATGGGAGAGCCTATTCCACCTTGGGCAGTATGGTCCCAGGTCACGAAAAACTTCGCTCAGTTCCGTTACCATCACATTGAGCGTGTGACGCCTTGCAAATGCCAAGGGGCTCAACCGTTTATCAACTCCCACCAGGGCTCTTGTATCTTGCCGGGATATCGAAAAGGCGATGATAAAGGAGTGAGTACTGGTACTTTGATTGAGAGATGTTTCTATGCGCAGAAGTCATTCCCCTGCACGAATTGTGGAGATGCGATTGGTGTCACTGGAGAAAGAAAGATCGGCCAACTCCCACTGCGTCTGGTGATGACTTTCGATAACAAGACGAGATTGAAGAATCACACTCAGAACATCAAATTCAGATATGTCGATTATGATAACAACAAGCAAGTGGCGCATTATCGCTGGCTTGGTGGCATCTATAACAATGAACTGCATGCTCGTCTCTATTGGACCGACTCCAAAAGAGGTGAGACAGATGGAAGCAATATCATGATGTACGATAGTGAGCTGAACGGGGGAGTTATTGTCGGCGGAGTCCCTCCTTTCAAGTCAGATGATCGAGTGCCCTTGGAATGGGTAAATCACAAGTCTATTCCGCTTCTCTTTTACGAACGAATCATGGATCCCTCCAGGGAGCTTTTGGCCACAGCCCACAACGCCGTGTATGACATGGGAAACATTCTTGGAAGAAACCAGAACGTCCTCGAAGCGCATGTCCCTTGGAGTTCAGCGACGGTTCAGCCACAGGAGGAGCTATGGGGCCGCTATTTGCCTGTTGATGGTCAGCAGTTCAACGACTACAACCCAACCTGGGCGGGAAACTCCGAAAATCTATTCCAGCCCTTCCAGCCACAACGTGACTCAGCAGGTAATACGATGATTGATCCGGCTGCCCTCGATCCATCGGTCATCGATCCAGCACTCCTGAACCCTGCTCTTTACTCCACCACCACACCTCCAACTTTCGATATTTCTTTTCTTAATGAACCTATAACCCAACAAGAGTACGCGGAGACCGTGGCTGCGGCCGCGACAGAGAATTCTCAGCCTGATCCCGAAGATAGGTTCAAGAATCACATGTTCGGCTCTATGCTTGAAACCCCGGACTGGCTCTCTGAGAATCCCGTGCTCTGGCCTTCTGGTACACCAGGCCAGGAAGGAGCTCTGGAATTCCCCGATCTTCCTACGCGGCAATCACCAAGACAAAGACCGCGTCGCAGCAGATCGGCGCAATCTGATATCACTATGCCGGATGCAGATGAGTTTGCCCCTGGTAGTCGGCTATACAGGTATACTACTATGTTCAAGACGGCTCTAATGCTCAGTAAAACCATGGATCCGCGGCTGAAAGCGGCATACAAAGCTAAGGAGAATTTCAAGTATGAAACGGAGCTCAATGAGTACATGTACAAAGCTGCAACCGCTTTTTACCAACAGAAGGAAAATGAGCGGAGACAGGAGAGGCTGGATTTGGAGGAGAGGCAGAGAAAAGCCCATAAGGAATACGAACTTGCGAAAGAGAGACAAGTGAGAAAGCAGCAAAATTACGATCTGGCACGGAAAACGAGGCCAGAGGCGGCAGAAGAAAGACGGCAGAGGAACCAGCGCGAGCAAGAGGCCAAGGAATACGCAAGGCTAAAAGAGCAGGAGACGCCAGAGGAGCGACAAGTGAGAAAAAGGCGAAAGCAAGATGACTACAAGAAACAGCAACAGGCGCTTGAGAAGACAAAGCCAACTACTATCCAGATTCCTCGAACTCCAGGACTAGTGCCATCAACTGCAAAACCGATGAGCCTAGTGACTCCAGAGCCATGTTCAGGGGCTGCAACTCCAAAGCGTTTGAGTGAGACATCGAAATATGTAACGGTGCATACGACAGGAGCGAGCGCGTTTTCTGACGCCGCTGAGATAAGGAGACAGCAAAACATTGAGAAGAGAGAGGTGAAGAAGAGAACAGATGCCTCGAAGATGAGAAACCAACATGCGCAAGATAAAGAGGAGGACAGGAGGAGAAGCAGAAAGAAGGATGATGATCCTACATGGAAACCTGACGATGAGGAGGATTCGGATCCCGATTATTGATATATATGTATTTGTTTAGTTGTTTATGATTGAGTGATTTGTTACAAATATGATAATATAGAAACATTGACAGACCTGCCTATACATATGTACAGCTGTAGGTACCTGGTAGTTCTGGGGTCCATGCCAATCAATACACGTTATACGAAGGTGATACTAGTTTATATGAAGATCCACCAATCAGAAGGCTCTTATTAGACATAACTTGTATAACATCTTCACACGGGGTTCTCCGAACAAATGAACTACTGTACTTACTACTGTACATCTGAGCATAAGTAAAGAGTAACGTTGCAAAAGGCCACTTCCCCGCAATACCCCGGACTCCCCTTTCCTCGTCTTTTTCTTCTCTCTACTGTATCCCAGTGATATGTGTATCTTCTCTTCTCTTCAATTCTATATTATCTATTTACAAAGGGAATTTCATATAATCAACAAAGAAAAACAAAACAAACACAAAAACAAAAGCCTACAGACGGGATCTGGGTGGTCCAGTGGCAGTGTTGCTCTTCTTTGGTGCCGAGATATAACCACCAAGAGTACCATCAGTGTTGGTAACAGTGCCCTGAGCATCACGTCGGATACCGAGCTCACACAGCTTTGCAAAGACCTTTGCAAAGTGATCAAAGAACAGGTCCTTATCCTCAGCATACCGCTTCACCCACGGGGCAAAGGATGGATCCGTCAAGAGCGCCATATCAGTCGGTAGCATCATTAACGGCTCCTCATCCTCGTCGGCATCAGGATCCTCATACACAAACTGCGTCATACCAGTCGCCATCTTGCGAGGCTTCCAGTCAAGCTGAAGCAACAGCTTGAAGAATGAGTTCGAGAATCGCGTCGGGTTCGTTACCCACGGCCCTTCAAATCCACTGCGGTCACCGTGGCACCGCCCAAGGTTGTGACCGCCTGTCAGCGCTACGATCTCTTGGTCGTTGAAACCCATGCGGTAAAAGATGAAGCGCAAATGATCGGCGCCCTGTGCGCCATCCGGCAACCGTCCGCGTGGCGGCACCTTGCTGTCGCCTACCAGATCTGTTCGTCCGCCCTGCCATTCGATCTCAGGTCCGCCCATCTCCTTGATAGCTACTACTCCGGCCAATGTCCACAGATCCGAGTAGGTGATCCAAGGATGCTTCTCTTTGACCGGTTCTAGAAATGCTCGCCCATGCTGCAGACCCGCGTTGGCAGGGTCGCCTCCCTCTGCTTCGTAACGCATACCCGCGCCATTGGAGCCGCCAGTATCTGACTCGGCGTCGTATGTGCCGGCGGAGTGCCTGTGCAGAAAGAAGTGTCAGTGGCGATGTGCATGAGGCGCGAATCCGGGGCCCCGACCGGGGAACCCGAAACGAAAATCAGAACATTTACTTACCACGCTAAGCGTACGAATACTGGCCCTGCGCTGCCATCGTCATAATCGGGCTTTTTCAACTGAGCGATGATGTCCTTGCGGACGGCTTCATAGTCGTGGCTCATATTTGTTCTCGGCCGATAACGCGGTCCGGGGTAATTTTCGGGCAAAAAAAAGTTTCTTCGGGAACAACAAATGTGGTCGGCTTCGACTCGGTTGTCTGATGCCTGGTTGGATAAAAGGTTTGAGAGGACTTAGAGTGAATAGGAAAAGAAAAGGATTAGAAAAGGGTCTTGACTCTGGACTTCTCTTGTCCACATGCCCACATGCGCGGAGGACAGTGGATCCGCGGGCCGAATCAGTTTGCGCGCATTCAAAGCAGAAATGCCGAGGTCCCTTCGGTCTCTGCTGCTGCGATTCCCGTTCAGGTTCTTTAGTTTTCACGGCTTTTCGGGTGCTTTCGATTTACAATGCGAGAGATTCCGATATTGTTCCCGGTTCAGCTTGCTTTCAAAGCATTTTCAACGCTTTATACGTGAGCATCTTGACTCTTTGCGATAAAACGATATGAAGTCATTTACCTCCGATCAAATGCCGTCGGGAGCCCTATTCATATGCCTCGGAACTCATAAGCCGACGTTCAACTTCCAGATCGAAAATACGATATGAGACACACTAATTTGGTGACCCGGAGACAACTGGGCACTAGTCTCTAATTTCATACAGTACAGGGCAACAGAAAACGTCTCGATGGAGTAGAAGATATGGTTGCAACTAACTCTCCAGCAACTGAGAAATTGAAAAATTGAAATCTCCGAATCCCCCTGAACACCTAAAGAAATGAAATGCCGTGTTTCATAACCTTGACACACGCAGTGAAAGTCAAAGATTTTCAAACAAACTCTCTTGGCACCCATCTCCTTCCATTTCGCCATGATCTTTGATAGCTTCATCCCCCATATCCACCCCAACCCCTTCCACGCCCCCAACCTGTCCATTTTCAATTCCATCCTTATTACCACCGTTAATCTCCCCCTTCTTCACACAAGCCCGCAACAAATCCCTCTCTCCGCGCAACTGCACAACTTCCCCTCTCGCCTCCCGCAACAAATGTGTCAACCCTTGCACCTTATTCCTGTATCCGCACGCCAGTGCATCAGCCTGCCCAACCGTCGCAGCATGTTCCCTGCGCAAGAAACGTCTCTCCATCCGTAGTCGCCGCACCTTCCTCTCGAGGAATATCCGCCGCTCAACATCCGTGTCGCGGATCGTCTTGATCACGTTGTCGATTACCCGCGTTTGCGCGTTCTCCAGGGTGCCCGCTTCGGTGTGCCGTGCGATGCAGATAAATGTTGCGCAGATGTCTTCGGCAATGGAGTGCACTAGCTCGCCTTTGGCTGCTGGACTTTTTTCTTCCACATGTTCTAGTCGTAGGACGCAGGATCCTGCGTTCGGCATCTGGGGGGCTGGTTGCGATGGCTGTTGCGGTGCTAGTACTAACGATGGTAGTAATTGAGGTAGGGGAGGTCGACTTTCGTATGACATGGTTGGAGTTTCGCCTGACCCCATTACGGTTTCCCAAAATATGGGACGTTCTTCCGTTGTTTTAATGTTGTCGAATTGCGTCGAATTCGTGTTTCGAGGAGGGGGGTCTGAGGGCGTTAAGTCTTTTTCGTTTGAAGGAGATGACATTTTTGAATGTGAAGGAAAGAGAGAGAGCGCGAGCAAAATGTAATCTTATGAAAAGGAATGAATCTATTATAAGAATCTATTGCCAGGTGTGTGCTCCTTCCGTCTTCTTTCATTTTCACCTTTGCTCCAGGTCCAGCCGTCAGATATCAAACATTGGCTTTGATCGGATTTATTCTTTGTAACGGTGCTTCCCTTGCCCCTGAGAGCTATTTAGATATATCCATTGAGCTCTTGGAGCTCTTGTTCTAGGTACAATCATGTTTGCAGGGCCCCAGGCCTTTGACTCAGAATGCAATCATTCTATAGATTCAATCTTTCATCAGAAGCTCGATCATCTTGCCGCAAGAAGAATGACGACAGCCCTGACAATGAATGTGCTTTAAGCAGAAACTAAATTTCTGGCTCTCTTCTCGTGATCTACCAATCGTATTGTTGTCATAAAAAGACATAACTACATAGATTCACCCACCCTCTAGGCAGGGACATCGTGACCATCAAGATACCATTTTTCAACCGCATGATGATAAAGACATAACTTATCATAGACCGTGTCCCAAAGAGTCTGGGGACAGCTTATAGCAGAGGCAACCCACTACAACATCATTAGGAACTAACTGGCGTCTATATATGTGCATGATTCGAAGAGGACTGGAAAGAGACACTAAAGAGCTTAACAAAAGCGATAGAAAAATGACGATAACGTAATACTTTAGAGTGTCATCAGAATTTTTAGGAGGAATGTAGGCACAGAAGATAGTCACATTGCATTGGTCGATACCAGCTCATATCTACATACGACAACCCTACAGCGCAGCGACAATTGCATCGCCAACCTCAACAGTCCTAGCCTTACCGCCCAAGTCAGGTGTCCGAAGCCCTGAGTCCAGCACTTTTCGCACCGCATCCTCTACCCGCTGCGCCTCAACTTCCATGTTCAATGAGTACCGGAACATCAGTGCAACACACAGGATCATCGCAACGGGATTGGCGATGTTCTGTCCAGCGATACTATCACAGTGTCAGGAATTGCTCTAATTTACTTTCCACGAGACTTACGTCGGAGCAGAGCCATGAGTAGGCTCATAAAGTCCATACGGCCGTGTTCTCAGTGTCTTGTCTCCAGGAAGACCATTGAGACTAGCACTTGGCAACACTCCCAGCGTGCCAATAATAGACCCAGCCTGATCAGAGATCATATCGCCGAAGGTGTTGTCGGCAAGAATTACACCATTCAGTGATCGTGGGTTCGTTGCCAAAATCAGAGATGCCGAATCAGCAAGCTGGTGCACCAGCTTGACTTGCGGATACTCAGTTGCCATGGTCTTGTCGACTACACGCCGCCAGAGACGTGACGAGGCCAGAACATTCGCCTTGTCCAGTGAAATCACAGGCCAGGGCGGATCATGCCGCAGTGCTACCTCAGCAGATAGACGCGTCACGCGCTGGATCTCGGCTTCGGAGTAGCCCCATTCATCCATTGCTGTAGAAGGTATTAGCTCGCTATCAGATATCAAGCCCGAAATTCCATCTTACCGTAGGTCTCCTCCTCAACCTTTCGGCCGAAATATGCTCCTCCGCAGTTCTCCCGCACAACAACGAAATCCACCCCCTCGATGATATCCTGTCTGAATGGACTGAACTCCTTGGCAATAGATGCACTCGGGGAAGTCGACGAGCAAGGACGCAGATTCGCGTATATATCCATTGCCTTACGGAGTTGCAGAAGTCCACCTTCTGGACCATCAAGACCACGTCGTTGATTGTCCCATTTCGGTCCTCCGACTGCTGCGAATAGTACGGCGTCTGAGTCCAGTGCCGCCTGCTTGACTTCTTCTGTAACGGTCTTTCCGTGCGCGTCGATGCTACAACCGCCGATTAGCTCTTGGCGGATTTCGAAGTTACGTTCTGGGGTTTCGAAGGCTTTGAGGACTTTGACAGCTTCTGTCATCACTTCTGGGCCGATGCCATCGCCGGGTAGGACGAGGATTTTGAATGTTTGAACCATGGTTTGCTCTTTACTATCTTGTTATTATAGTGTAAAATATAATGGATATATGTCATGTTTCTCTGATATTCAGGACTACTTACGGCCTATGTCGGATCGGTCTTCCACCCGACTGATGCGGGGTTTGGACTTATTCGGGCTTGGGCCGATGCCATGGTATCCGAAATCCGGAGGCTCCTTCAGTGCCTGTTTAGTGTCTGTACACATAGGTTGTTTGTAAGTATTTCTTTGGTAGTTTATAGCCTTCAGGTCATGTAGAAGAATTTCCGCGGTATTAATGGGCATTGGTTTATCCATCGGAGGGTTTTCTGGTTCAAAAAGCTCTTGTACTTTCATTTCTATTTTAGTGTAGAAGCCTCCCATATTCAGCATGATGGTAACCCAATTCGGTCGAATGAGCTATATTGCGATAACAAATTGCTTTGAAAGATGCGTTCTACAAGTATACGATGGCCGTGACTGGCCCAATCAAGCTTAATGCCCCACTTGACTACATGTGGCCGTTTTGACTAATGCGGTAATAGGGCTTAGGGCTGATTATATCCCCTCCGGTTTGCACTGTTTGCATTGCGGGCATCATTTCTAGGCGTTTGAAGATCCCGCTTTAACTCCGAAAGCCATACATTTTTTTCGGTCCAGCTTTCACTATGTCGCGGGTTGAAGAACTTCCAGATGACTTCGACGAGGCACTTGATCTCAACAAGGCTCCCCCCGAGATCGCTCAAAACCTTCCTCAGCCAGGCTTCGATCTTTTCGCTCCTGGCAACGATGTTCCCTTCCCGATCAACGAGGAGGGACTGAAGGCGCGCCAGACTGATCCAAATGCGCCTGAACTGCCCCCGGCGATTGCGGCCATTCAGTCGCATAGCAGTGAAGAGTTGATGGCAATGATGAACAAAACTCCTCTGTTCATGACTGACATTGAGAACGCAGGTGACGAGAGTATGTAACACCTCTGTTGAGCTCGGTCGTTCAATCTTGCTAACAAACATGTTCTTGTAGAGGGTGAGAACGTCCTTCTCGATGCACTCCAGGCTCTACAAAACGAAGGTACCAGGGCCGAGGTTGCGCAAACCTTCAAAGGACAAGGAAACGAGGCTGTGCAAGAGCTCAAGTGGATTGACGCCAAAGAATTCTACACAAAGGCCATCGCTGTGATCAACGCCAAGGAAGATAAGTGGCAGCAGCCGGAAGATCCCGAGGAAGAGGCAGCGCTGCTGGTCAAGTTGACAGAAGCCTCGCACATCAATCGCGCACTGTGCAATTTGGAACTAGGTACGTTTGATCTTGACGCGTTGGTGGAATCTTTGCTAATGTCTTGCTTTTGTAGGAAACTATCGTGCTTGTAATCTTGACTGTGCGGCTACCCTCAAGATCAACCCCAAGAACATCAAGGCCTACTATCGCTCTTCATTGGCACTATTTAAGCTGGACAAGCTTGCCGACGCTGAGGATTCCGCAGCTCGTGGACTGGCAATTGACCCAGAGAGCAAGGCTCTTAAAGATTCGGCTGAGAAGATTGCCGAACGAAAATCCCTATTGGAACGTGCCGCTGCCAGGAAAAGGGCCGAAGAAGAGCTGGTGCGTAAGCAGAACACAATGCTTAGCACAGCCTTGCGTGCCCGTCAGATCAGAACCCGCAAGACTGATCAGCCCCCTGACATGGAAGACGCTAAGATTCGCCTCGTTCCTGATCCTCTTTCGCCTGAAAGCACGATTGAATTCCCGGTTGTTTTCCTCTACCCCATGGAAGCGGAATCGGACTTCATCAAGTCTTTCTCAGAGATGAATACCATCTCGGATCACCTGGAATACATCTTTCCCCTTCCCTGGGATACTAACAAGGAATACACCCTCGGCAACGTCGAGTGCTTCATGCAGACTACCACTGGTGGTTTGATCAAGGCGGGTAAGAGCCTGCCTTTGCTGCAGATTCTCACTGGTGGAAAGGTCGAGGTAATCGATCAACTTGTTAGCATCTTTGTTGTCCCTATCTCCAAGACCGGCAAATTCATTGCCGAAATGAAGGCTCGCAAGACAGGTTGAGCGACCATTTGCATGAGGCTCTCAACTTACAACCAACACCTGGCATACCCTGGCTTTCTATGGAAGCTGCACCCACAAAGCCAAATCTCACAGCTATCGCAGAAGTACTACCCGAAAGCCCCTGGATTCTGTTCACACGACCGCTGGCCTGGTTGCTGCTTCGGTCGTGGCTAACGCTCTAACGCTTGGCTCAAATAGAGCGTCACGTTCAAATTTCTGATACCCTTAAAAACCGCTTGCCTTGTGTACATATATATGCATTTCCACAGTCTATACATAGCGATTCAGTTTAAGGCGGCAACGCCCCTTCCGTAATCAAAAGTCCCACCATTTATTATAACCCAACATCCGAAAACCAAGTGAAAAGTCATCCAGTATTGACTCATTTTGGTCGCTGGAATGGAAAGAAAAGGTGTGAACTGTAGATGCACTGTACTAATCATTGTAGTATTCACTTTCACTCTTCTTCCATTTATAATCAACTCCAGGACGTTATAGGCCAGTCCAGGGGGAATAGCCGACAACGCCAAGTTGGTGGAGCTAGTGCCCAGAAGAGAAACGGGAGAGGGGGGCTGTCGGCAGTCATCTTCACGGCTGTATCTCATGCATGTGTAAAAGGGGATGTGTCTGTAACAGCGGAGCAAATATTCCCGCAAATAAACTAGCTGGGCGTTCAACGGCTCGGGAGTTTTCGCGCAATGTGAGAATGCACTCGCCGCTTGTAAGAGTTGGCTTCGCGTAAAGCCGAGTCAGAATGGGATGGATTTGAGTCTGAATTGGATGGCATGGTTGCATTTAGGCACTAATGTACCAAGATAGGTTCAATCCGCCAAATGAGGGGATCTTGGGATGCGCTTCGTCTAGCCGGAATGAGCATTGCGGGGAATCAGTCTATCCATTTTCGTGTTGAACTGATCTTAACTCCTTCGGCTGCAAATTAGTCCTTGACTACCGTGACAGACACCCGAAGAAGGGTCAGGGATCAACATGTTCCCCAGATTTGAAGTGGATAAAAAGCGTATTTACCCGGGTGACGATCTTTTAGATTTAGCCCTGATTCTTCAGCAAGGTGACTTACTGCGAGGACCGCCTCTGCAGGGGTCTTTTGCCGTGAAGAAAATACGGAACATGCTCCGCAAGTGTCTTTGCAGGACCACATGGAGGTGCGCTCCGCGTATCCTCATTGCTAAAGGGATGTTTTCTAAAGTTTGATGCACTAATCCGTACTAATCAACGCCCCCATCGCTAATAGAGACTTGTTCATTAGGAAAAAAATGGCCGCGACAGCTACGCCACGGGCAATAGGCCCGGATGAATGCTATGATCAATGTGAAACTCCCTAGCGCCGGCGCAGATGCTGGAACTATCCAAACCAGGACCCTAGCAATTTGAGTGTCTCTGATTGCTTCTGGGTATAAAGGGAGCTTTCAACGCTATTTATTTTGAAGACTCAGATTTACAGCCAACTAAGTCATCAGGCAGTGTTCATTGCTTCGTCATTATGGTCCATTTATCCAAGATAACCCTAGCCTTGGCTAGCATCCTTCCTCAATTGTGAGATTTGTTTTCTTATTTTCAACATAATGTATGGAACTAACTAACGGCTTCAAATAGAGTACAAGCAGCTGGTCTGCATACTTCTGCGGTTGCGAAAGGAAAGCTATACTTCGGATCAGCCACCGACAACCCCGAGTTGACCGACACTGCATACCTGGCCCAACTAAGCAACACAGACGACTTCGGTCAAATTACTCCTGGCAATGCGCAAAAGGCTCGACATTCCCCTTGGCTGTTCCTCCTGTCAGCAAACTGACCATTTATAGTGGGATGCTACCGAGCCGACGCAGAACACATTCTCTTTCACCAAAGGAGACGTTGTTGCTGACCTTGCTGCTAAAAATGGTCAAAAGCTGAGATGCCACAATCTCGTCTGGCACAGCCAATTGCCTAGTTGGGGTGTGTCTCATTGTCCCTGGAATCACGCAATTCCACCGTTTGTGTCCTGGAATGTGATCTGATCAGTGTATAGTCTCGAGCGGCACCTGGACCAACGCAACCCTCATTGCGGCTATGAAAAACCACATCACCAATGTAGCCACTCACTACAAGGGAAAATGTTATGCTTGGGATGTCGTCAACGAAGGTGAGTCCTACAAACCACGCAAATGAAATCATGCTTATGTATGGATATCCAGCTCTGAACGAGGATGGTACCTATCGCGACAGCATTTTCTACCAGACCATTGGCGAGGCATACATCCCGATCGCGTTTGCCGCCGCCGCTGCAGCAGACCCAGATGTCAAGCTCTACTACAACGACTACAACATCGAATCAGCCGGCTCCAAGTCAACAGGTGCCCAGAGAATCGTCAAGCTCGTGCAGCAGTATGGCGCCAAGATTGATGGTGTTGGTCTGCAAGCACACTTCATTGTTGGTAGCACACCTAGCCTGAGCGCGCAGACGACCAACATCGCTGCCTTCGTGGCTCTAGGAGTCGAGATTGCGTATACCGAGCTTGATATTCGTATGACCCTGCCATCTACCGCTACCTTGCTTGCACAACAGTCAACTGACTACCAAAACACTGTGGCGGCTTGTATTGCAAATACCAAGTGTGTTGGTATCACTATCTGGGACTACACGGACAAATACTCTTGGGTCCCTAGCACATTCTCCGGTCAAGGTGCTGCCCTGCCTTGGGATGAGAACCTGGTGAAAAAGCCCGCTTATACCGGTATTCTGTCGGCTCTTGGCGGCACTGCTTCCTCCGGTACAACGACAACTGTTGCTACTACTGCTGCTACTACCACAACTACTGCTAGCTCGGGCAGTACCACTGGAGTCGCTCTATATGGCCAGTGTGGTGGATCCGGCTGGACTGGTGGCACTACATGTGCAAGTGGGACTTGTAAATACTTCAATGACTGGTATTCGCAGTGCCTCTAGGCTTACTATAGGCAATTGAATCTGATGGAGGAAGAGTAACAGACGAGATATGTCTAATAGGGTCTTATTCAATAGCTGATCCGGTGTATCTAGTCATCAAAGTGCAATTGTCATGGCTTTTATTCGGTATAGTGAATATTAATATGTAGTATGTCCCGAAATTGATATGGCCTCTGGCTTGTATGCAATCAAATACCCAAGCAAGTCCGCGCTCGGTGCGAAACAAAGGAGATACATCATCATGAAACATAAACGGCGTTAACTCATGTTCAGGTACTCAATAATTATAATAATAAGGGTACCCATATGGCATCACAGACTCCGTAGGTACCAAATCCGCCGATGACTGAGTGATTGGGGCACCTGCTTCTTGGGGAACAACTTGTTGATCATAGAGCTCCATGTGAGATTGGACGCCAGAATCTCCAGGGTATGGGTAATGTGCCATGCCGATTGGGCGCGTCCGATCAACCAGGTTCGTGCCAGAACATAGCTCACGCTTTCTCTTCAATTCCTGCGGTGATGATGAATTATGCGGGGAGGGCTCGGAGGTCTGGTATTGGATGTTTGGACTTGTTTGAATTATCGGGTGTATTGTAGGAGTGTAAGGATTGGGCGGATGGTATGGGGGCACGCTTGGGAAGTCTTCGGCGGAGATCACAACTTGGCTGGTATCGATTCTCGGGATGTTGTTGCTGTCTTCGGATTTAGTTGCATTCGTAGACACCGGCTCGGTCGGCGAGCTTTGTTCGCTGGACATGTCTTCTGCTATTTGAGGAAGGTTTGAGCGACATATCAACACGCTTTGTTCCCCATCTTTTCGTCACGAATTGTAAGTCGTCATTCGCAAGCTGGGATGGTGGTTGAGATAGGTACCTGAGATGCCGTCTTCGAACTTTTCCTCTGCCTCACGAACCCGGTATGCCTCGTCCAGAATTTGTATACGATCGGCCGGGAGAATCTGACGGCGAATAGGCTGGTCACATTCCCTAAGCCTGGCGGCGGTGATTCCGTGACTTCCACGTAACTCGCACAGGATGTGAACTAGGAGTCGAATGCGTTCTTTTTGCTGTTAGCTCTGCGTGGAATATTTGCCGTGGAAGCGCTTTCTTACCAACTTTAGGAAGATGATCGGGTTCCCGGTGACAGACTCCGATCGGCCACCAAGGCGGTTTGGTAGCCTCTGGGTCGAGCTGTTGAACTCTTCCATCCACTGTCTTCCGCCCATTGTAGGGATAGTTCACTTGTTTGCGAGGCTCGACAACCTTGATGTAAGCCTTTGCAATGACACGGCAGTTTGTCTGTTGGAGATTCTGAAAAATCTTCTCATAGTACAGACGCAAGACATCAGCTTCTTTCACGGAGATTGGCACGTTCTGATTTGAACTCAAGTTCAAGCTTCGGCCCCCAAAATGCTTCTTTCTAGGCTGTGAGCTGATCTCTTGTCTTTGTTGATGCGGCCAAGTTTCACTGGACTGGGGCCACATTGCAGGTGGAAGATGAGGGGTTGGCTCAGTGGGTGATATTATGCTCTGCTCATTGTCCAAGTGGTTTCCGCCGCGGGACACAAGTTCTCTCTGCGACGTAGCAGAGCCGTACGCGCTTAGTCGGGACCCCCGACTAGATTGCACTGGAACAGGGGCTAAATCAAGTCAGCCTAACCCTTACTGTGGAGCTAAAAGGCTCACCTTGGTATTGGGTGCCCTGTGACTCTCGTGACCTTGCCACGGCTCTTAAGAATTCGGCCGTAACTCTAGGGGAGAGAATGCTCTGTATGCTATCGGCAATTGATTCGGAAGATCTTTGGCAGAGATTCCCTTCCCTGTCAATATAGATCATAGCAAAGTGCGGATAAGCTGATTCATCCCGCGGTGGCTGTCCAGACATCCTTTCTGGGGTCTGGCTGAGATTAGTTCTGTGATAATCAACATACACACACAAAGGTGAATTATATTACCTTATAGTATGTGTTCAGTGGTTGATCCCACAGACTGCACTTTGGCTGGGTGGCTACCTTTTCAAACTCGGCTCTTAGACCGCAAAGAATGAAAGAGGATTCTCCAACAGGAATGAACTCTGTCTGATGGAAAGTAGGGAAGGAGTATACCATGCTGTGGTGATTCACACAAGGGTCTAGCCAAATTGGAATTGCCAATCAAAGAGGACCGACCGAAGCACTAGGCATGAGTATGGAGATTTATACACAGCCACTAGACATGGGCAGCTGTGGCGCAATAAATAGAAGAGCGCCAGAGCACCAAAGTATGGAGGTTCAGCTCCAAATAATAATAAAAACATAAAAACAAGGTGATTACGAAAGAGGATTGATCTGCAAATTGAACGCAGATACAGTATTGAAACGGACAGCTAGGTCCTTAGGGGAACGCACTAGATACAGATTTGGAATTGGGTCTCCTTTTTCAAGACCCAGTACTGGCGCACTACTGGAGAAATCGAATACGGTTTGTTATAAAAGTATCGTCAAATGATCTACTTAGCTGTACGGAGATACTGATCAAACGTATAGGTGGAGATGGTTAAAAGAATAATTCAAAAGTACCAGGTGTCCACCAGACCCGTCCCCCTTAGAACCTGCTGTCAGATGCCTCGCTGCAATTACAACTTGGAAGTGATATCATGAGGGCATAGTGATGGCTTACGGGATTTGATGGCTCAAGCTTGACCATAATTAGTTCCAAGGACATCATGAACTCTGCTGTTTGGATGCAATTTGATGCCACTGTTGATCGATTTTCAGGGGAATCGGTGGGATAAAAAACCGTTTAATGACAGCGAACCCCATATTCTAACCTAGTTCCACCTTTTTGTGACGGAAATCTCAGGTGAACAGCTGGAATGGAGATCGGCAAACGTTTGTGGCGCTGTACAGTCCCACTCCTCGCTGCCTTCCCCCCCCCCAAATTATTATTTCCGGCGTCTATTTCTTTTATCGCAGCTCCTTGCCGGTTGTAAAGGGCTCCAAAGAACAGGAAATTCGGTCAGAATGCCGCGGTTGCTGACGTGGGATGCCTCTGGGTACTGGGTTAGTTCTTGGAAAATGCAAAGTCGATGCACCGTTGCTGCAAAGTGAGGGATCTTGCACCATTTCCAGGGAATCAAGGAAGTGAGACAAGAGCCCCGGCACTAGTATTGTTTTTCTTAACTCGCAACCTATGGAGTCGTTACCCAATAATACAAAAAATATTCCATGCTATCGTACTTATGCTACAAATCGGATATCACCGTTACTAGTTCAGCAGTTCCAATGGTCAGCCTGGGGTGTACAGGGATTGTGCTTACCCACCTAGGACTGTTTCAGCCAAAACAATCTACTATATCCATTTTAGTTTGACATGAATGTTAAGTTTGAAGATCTCGGGTAGCCGCATTGAAATTTGTTCAACGTCTAAAGAAACCCTAGGCTTATACTCATACATCCGAGGCCAGTAGTTTGGTCTAGAGAATGAAGTACAAGGCTTTTGGTAACTATCGAATCTTCTAGCTTCTTCATAACTCCTGGGGGTCACTGCGATCGGTGGAAATTGGAGCCCTACTGTGTCTTCAACTTTGAAGGCACACACACACGCCAGCATACTACTGATCTTCTGACTGATCAACCATGGTTGATGTGTCTGAATGGCTATCCACAATGCAAAAACCGAGATTCAATGACTTTATATTGAGTCGGTGGGCTTCATTGTTAGCTCGCCATAGATTTCTGAGGGTGGATGCCGATGGACATGTACTTTTGTAGGTCAAAGTTAAATATTCCCATTTAATAAAGACAACCAAATCGGGATCCGGGCGCATTCGATTCATGCAGAGATGCCACTCCGTATCGTATCTATCCTTACCCAATGGAATTGTCAGATGGTGTGATGGGACCTAACATTCACCAATGGATTTCTCAAATCATGAAATCCAAGTATGTGGCTGAGGATTTACGTGTATCCCTTATCAAATTCAAGAGATGCATACATCTGTTCCACCGGCCGGCCGGGTTTGGCTCGGTATTGATTTCATTGCTTCAAGAACAGACAGATTCGAAGTTCAGGAGATGATCAGCAAACTATGCCCTCCGAAAAGGTACTCTCCACGATGCAGAAAAAGGATGCGATCCAGAAAAAAAATGCGGAGCCGACTAGATTTGCCACCGTACACACTATTTATTAGTCCGAGTCGATCTAGATTCTTTCTTTTGCAATCTGGAATTTCCTCGGTCAAACCTCCGGAGAAATTTGAATTTCAGGTATGACATTTAGGTGGAGCTGTGCAATTTTAACCGTGATCGAAAGCTCGATAAGCCTCCTCATCGTCGGGTGTCCCCTTAAGAGTGGGGAATAATTGCGTCTCTTGTTCTCACTCGTTATTGGAAATCTTCGGTACAACGGCTCACGGGTGTTTATTCGTTGTAACTTGTGTATTCTTGGTAAATTAGGACATGCCGAGGTATTATTTGAATTTGACACCAGTTCACATACGAAGTATGCAAGGTCTATGTCCCGGAGAACCTCCACCTGAAAACTCCGGTCTGCAAGTCATATGAAGTGATGTGGACCTCAGCCACAGATTATGACAAATTTATTTGGTATCTTTGTTCAAATATATTGTACATTGCAGGAAAGGCTTAAGCTTATCGTGGTGAATTTGAGTTCGAACTGGTATACATCGGGATATCTGTCAGCCTTGAGCTATTCGATACATGGGGTTTAAATATTGATCTCTAACTGACACCCGTTTAACCGAGCCTGGCCCTGAATCTTAATTGAATGAGAGACGATGAACTATGAACCCTCACCGGGTCATCGCTGACCACGTGAAAATCTCTGGCGGATACACATTTGCGGCGCCTCAAAAAATCTACCTACAATATTGTACATTTGTAAAACACCATTCACGGTGTAAAAAATAGCATGTAAATATATTCATATCTGCAGGGCCAATGGATATTTTGATGAGACTTGAGAAACACAGAGAGACTCAACTAAAAGTCCGCAATTCTACTTTGCGGTGATCTATACGCGGCAAGGGGTGGCTTCTGGCCTCGGTGGCTGGCTGAAGAGCAATTGGAATACCTTTCAAAGGGCTGTCATTCACGGCAATAACTCAGCCCCAGCTCGCGTAAGGCAGAGATCTCCAACTTGCATTTCCTGGAAACGGGAGCCCCTTATCGATTTTGTGGCGCAAATGACGCTTGAGCTTGGCCCACAGTACCCTTTTAAGCGTCTTGCATGCACTATACACGCTACGACGAGAGATTGTTTAGGGCATACGTAGTATGTATAAATGCCCAATCGGCCCTAAAACATCTAACAAACCTTGTGCCCCAGTACAATATTGTGGTACCGAGCCGTTTGCGATAATGCTTTGTTTTTTTAGATTTTTGGGGGCTAAATGTATTATTTCCCTTCCTGCAGCCCTCACATTGCACACCGCACAATGTCACATGCTATTCGAATGCACAATGTATGATGCAGATCGTCGGAGGCACCGATTGACTATAAACAGAGTTCAACGGATCGTCGAGTAGTCTACTGTTTTAAGAGAGATCAGAGGTATCACTTAGTACTAGTTACTGACACGTCAAATTTACGTTACAAATGATTTGCCCATAGAAGATATCATCGAGCCCACTTTTTTTCATGTACGAATTGTGTGCATTCCGGTTCCCCGAACGTGGTTTAACGGCCATGGCCGTGGATAGTACGGGTGGATCGAGGAGAGATCGCCAAACTAGCAGTGCCAAGTGGTTCCTGGCAATAATAGCAGCCTTGTTCAGGGATTCTCGGGATATGATAGTACTACCTACATAGGACATACATATCTCGGGGTCTGTACCGGGGAACTCGGATGTCTCTCCGCCGTGATGAACTTTGCCTACGATAAATATTATATTCGCACCCCACTTACCGCTAGTTGTGAGGGCTGAGGGCTGAGATGAGGGGAAGGTCCAACAGTGATGGGGTATGTACGGAGTATATTCATGTGATAATCAATAATATGGCGGTAAGAGGAAGTGTGAAAATGTCACTTTGCCAGATCGGGTCATACTATGGATGGTAATCGTTTTAATATGCCCAGGTGGGTGAGCGAGAGCGAAAATTTCAGTGGAGTGCCACGATGTATAATCTTGAACAGAATACCCCGTAGTCTAAGCTCCACCTGTACAGATGAAGTTTAGTCAAGAACAGAGGGCAACTTGGCAAATTGGAATGTGTACCCCGTACTATAGCAGGGTACAATTGGTGTACAATGTTATGGAGTAGTGTACGGAGTACTCTGTAGGCAATGTAGATACTATGAAGTATAAAAAAAGAGGAGCCTATTAGCACCCAGATATTTCAGGCATATAATAAGCCTGAGGCAACCAAATCCCGTGACCTTATTCAATGACACTTTCTCTTTGACACTTACCTCTCTTGAATCAAAGTACTTCTGGAACGAAGCTCCAAGTTTGAGATTCTGAAACTGTCTTCATTCAGTGTTATTTGAAGGCCGTGTCCCCACTACCAAAAAGGCTCCGCTGCATTAGCCCACGGCTGATCGCTCTGAATCCGGGCCACAACCAAAATCTGTCTTGCTCCGAGTCACCCAGTGCGCCTTGAGGCCGATCGCGTCCAACAATCCCTGCCTTTCCCATTTTCGTTGATCAGACCAATCACGAATACACAGACCTTGATTTCTAGATACTCGTGAAAGGCACCAAAGATTCCATCCCTGGATTCCGAGCCTTCACCGTCTCGTCCGTGCGGACTGCGTAATCCAGCTTATCACAGTAGCTTCCCTAGATTGAGGGGATCGCTGAAGGGAAGGAATATTACAGGGTGAAAAACGCGACCTAAAGGCATGGTCCAATACACGATGGATCCCAACACTGGCTATCCCGCCGGCTATCCCGTCCCGACTCCAAGCCCCCAAAATCAACAGATGCCATTTTACCCTAACGCCGTTCCTCCATACCCTCAATCCAAGACACCATCGACTCAACATTTTGGTGGTATGCCAATGCAGCATGGTCCCGGTGGAGCTATGATGCCTTCAGGTTTCCCCCAATCCTCCGGTTCGTGACCCTCCACCCCCCTTTCCCCCCCCCTTTCCCCCCCCTCATGGTGCTCGCATAGGGCACCTGTCATTTATTTTACCCCAGCGGGGTATAACTGTACAAACTATCGGGGAAAGGATGCCATGAGGCTCAAGATTGCATGGCATTATTTTCCTCCCTCTTATGTCATGCTTGTGTCACCCGCCCCTGAGTGCCTACAGCCAGCATGGAATTGGCCACGCTATCACTGCAGTGATCCTTGGCGCTTTCCAGCTGTTACCACTTGTCCTTTGTTTGCCCGAAGTTCTTGAAAACTCTCATAGTAATTTCTTGAGATATTTTGGACTGATCATCAACGCAATAACAGCACCAATGGAGAATTTCTCAACACCCTTCACCCAAGCTCCTATTCCCGGCCCCATGGGCCAATACGTCCCCCCTCATGGCACCAGCGCAAATGTGCCATCACAAGTAGCACAAACTTTCTCCCAGAACATGGCATCCATATCGGCGAACAATCTGCTCGGCACACAACCCAGACCTTCTTCGCAAATGAACTCCCCACAAAGCGGCGCTTCTCCTGCAGCTCCAGCTCAGTCTCAGGCCCAAGCTCAGGCCCAAGCTCAGTTTGCGGCGCGTGAGAAGGCCCGTGTCACCGCTCTACTCGATATTAATTCCGCTCTGCTGCAAGAAGTGGTGAACCTCCAAGCCGCTGGCAAGGCTGGCCCTGCCTCCAACCCAGATACAAACTCCCCGACATCAGAGCAGGTGGATGCGTCCAAGGCAAATCAAAAGCCGAGCCCAGAATATATCGAGTGTATGCGACGTTTACAGGCCAACCTTGCTTACCTTGCGACCATCGCCGATAGAGCGAAGAAAGCAGGTGGTGTTGTTCCTCAAACGCCGGCGATCATGACACCGCCTCCCAATCTTCCCGCGTTGAACGATCTGTATGCCAAACTGAATGAACTTTTTCCTCGATCTGGGAAGACTTCAACTCCACAAAGACTCAGTCCCAACGGTGGGCCAAGCCCCAGTGCGATGAATGAGTCGATTGTATGAACAGTGTGAGGAAACATGCCGTCTTCTATGTAAGAAAACATAGATCAACTATCATCACATTCCTGATTTGTCCGCCAGGACGAATCTGAAATCATACGGACATGGTCAGGCAACCAACGCAAGCCCCGTGGGAGGCGCCGGCCCAATCCCTTGGACTTCCACCATGCAGATCTGCAGAAGGCATAAACTTCCTACCATGCACACCAAGTCTACCAGCCAAGGCATTGAGCGTATCGTGTGGTGAAGAATTTGAATCAGAACATGGTCTGAGATCCAAAGGTGTAGTCGCATTGGAAAGGAACATTTTTCAGGAGATTTTCAAGTCAGAGAACAGGAATATGTACACTAGCGAAATGTAACATCTAATTCTCACCTCCAAATACTTACAGTCTACACAATCTCTACAATCTAGGCGCAATCTACACAATCTACCTAATCTACCTTGGCGGCTAAGTAGGCGCATCGGGCATGAGATCACATCTGAACAATAAGATCCGCCAATCAGAATGCGTCCCTTGCTCTCCGCCTCCAACATCCAACATCCTTCGGCGGTTCGCTTCAAAGCTCAACGCGTAATTCTTTTTTATCCAATTTTGTGGTGGATGTATTGTTATCTGCCAGGTGTGTGTAGAAGGAGCTTGTCTACTGCTACTAATACCCTTTTATTACATAAGGCCACATATCTAAGGTCCCCCTCAGTTGCCTCTGCGTCGCATTCCTTCCTTACTCCGCATCGTCCGCGTTATCAAAGACTCCAATCATTTCCCATTTCTTTTCCGGTCGCACCTTTCACCACAAAACCCTCCCAATCAATCTCCTTCCTCGCCAATACCCGACCTCAGATGCACCTCCGGTCCTCAGATATCCACAACATGGATGCCCAGGGTGACCTAAGCGTGAAGCGAAAGCGCAGTACCGCCACCGATGATGTCGAGCGCCCTACTAAACACCTCAGAGCTCAGGCCGCGATCTTGACCCCCGGTGACGGAACTCCTGCCAACGGAACTGTTTATAATGTCGAGGAAGATTCGGAAGATGCGCCATCACCAGCTGTCGTTCCTCCCCAGGCAGACTCGCCTGAATGGCAGGCGACTATTGAGAAGGTCGTGAAGAGTGCGGTCTCGATTCACTTCTGTCAGACCTGTTCGTTTGACACCGAGCTCTCGATGTCGAGCCAAGCCACTGGCTTTGTCGTAGATGCAGAGCGTGGTTATATCTTGACGAATCGTCATGTTGTTGGTGCTGGTCCTTTCTGGGGCTACTGTATATTTGATAACCATGAAGAGGTTAGTCGAATTTTTGCGTCGTGATGTCATACAGCGCACATGCTAACAATATACTTCTAGTGTGATGTCAAGCCCGTGTATCGAGACCCCGTTCACGATTTTGGTATTCTACAGTTCGACCCCGCAAAGATTCGCTACATGGAACTCACGGAGCTCAAGCTTCAGCCGGACGGAGCACGAGTTGGTGCGGAAATCCGCGTCGTGGGTAATGACGCTGGAGAGAAGCTTAGTATTCTGTCTGGTGTGATCAGTCGATTGGACCGGAATGCGCCTGAATATGGCGAGGGTTATTGTGATTTTAACACAAACTACATTCAGGCCGCAGCAGCAGCCAGTGGAGGCAGTTCTGGAAGTCCTGTGGTCAACCTTGCTGGTCATGCGGTTGCTTTGCAAGCGGGTGGTAGAGCTGATGGCGCTGCAACGGATTACTTTTTGCCGCTCGATCGCCCGCTTCGTGCATTGGAGTGTATCCGCCAAGGCATGCCTGTCACTCGTGGTACAATTCAGACACAGTGGCTGATGAGACCCTTTGATGAATGTCGTCGTCTTGGTCTGACACCAGAGTGGGAGGCTGCTGTGCGTGCGGCTGCACCTAGTGAAACAAACATGCTTGCAGCAGAGATCATCCTTCCAGAGGGTCCTGGTGATGGTAAGCTGTTGGAGGGTGATGTACTTTTGAAGGTGAACGGAGAACTTCTTACACAGTTTGTCCGTCTCGACGATATTTTGGACTCCAGCGTCGGCGGCAGTGTTAAGTTGCTCGTGCAAAGAGGCGGTCAGGATATCGAGGTTGAGTGTCAAGTGGGAGATCTTCACGAGATCACTCCTGATCGATTCGTGACTGTCGCTGGTGGCACATTCCATGATCTGTCCTACCAGCAGTCTCGCCTTTATGCCATTGCCACCCGTGGAGTTTATGTCTGTGAAGCGGCAGGCTCTTTCAAATTGGAAAACGCAATGGCCGGTTGGATCATTGATTCCATCGACAAACGGCCGATCAGTAATCTCAACGAGTTCGTAGAGGTCATGAAGAAGATTCCTGATCGCACTCGCGTGGTAATCTCATACCGCCAGATCCGTGATCTCCACACAAAAGCAACTAGCATCATCTACGTCGACCGTCATTGGCATCCTAAGATGCGATTAGCCGTTCGTAACGACGAGTCTGGCATCTGGGATTTCTCCGATGTCGCTGATGCCATTCCCGCAGAACCTCCTGTCCCAATGGAGGCGAACTTCATTCAGTTAGACGGTATCAGCCAACCTGCTGCGGCCAAAATCGTCCGTAGCTTTGTGCGTGTGTCGTGTATCATGCCACTGAAGTTGGATGGATACCCACAAGCAAAGAAGACTGGATTTGGTCTGGTCATCGATGCCGAGAAGGGTCTGGTCGTGGTCTCACGAGCCATTGTGCCCTACGATTTGTGTGATATCAACATCACCGTGGCTGACTCTATTATCGTCAGTGCTAAGGTGGTCTTCCTGCACCCCCTTCAGAACTACAGCATCATTCAATATGACCCCAGCCTCGTCAAGGCTCCGGTCAAGAGCGCCCAGCTCAGCACTGACTATATTAAGCAAGGACAAGATACTATCTTTGTCGGCTTCAACCAAAATTACCGCATTGTCGTGGCTAAAACCACCGTTACCGATATCACAACTGTCTCCATTCCCGCCAATGCATCTGCCCCTCGTTACCGTGCAATCAACTTGGACGCTGTCACTGTGGATACTGGACTAAGCGCGCAGTGCTCCAACGGTGTGTTGATCGGCGATGACGGCGTGGTGCAGGCTCTGTGGCTGAACTACCTTGGTGAGCGCTCTGCCAGCTCTTACAAGGATATTGAATACCACCTTGGTCTTCCCACTCCATACTTGCTGCCTGTTACGTCTAAGATCCAACAAGGAGTAACCCCACAATTACGAATCCTGAACATGGAAAGCTATGTGGTGCAAATGAGCCAGGCTCGCATCATGGGCGTCACACAAGAATGGATCAACAAAGTCACAGACGCCAATCCTTCGCGACACCAGCTGTTCATGGTGCGCAAGGTTGACAGTCCACCCGCAGGTTCCACCCCGGATCCTAAGACCAGCTTCCAAGAAGCCGATATCATTCTCACACTTGATGATCAGGTCATCACTCGTGTCTCTGAGCTTGATGTTATGTACGAGAAGGAATATTTGGATGCCCTGGTCGTACGTAACGGCGAGGAAATTCGTATCCGCGTTCCGACTGTACCGACTCAGGACCTCGAGACAGACCGTGCTCTTGTCTTCTGTGGTGCTGTCTTGCAGAAGCCGCACCATGCTGTGCGCCAGCAAATTTCCAAAGTACACAGCGAGATCTATGTCAGCGCCAGAGTGAGTTTTGATACCCCCGATTCATCTCCATGCAAGAAATGCTAACAATTTTATCTAGAGCCGTGGCTCGCCCGCTTACCATTACGGTCTTGCACCCACCAACTTCCTCACTGCTGTCAACGGCGTCTCAACCCCAGACCTAGACAGCTTCGTTCGGGAGGTTAGCAAGATCCCTAATAACGAGTACTTCCGTATTCGTGCCGTGACCTTCGATAATGTTCCTTGGGTGGTTACCATGAAGAAGAATGACCACTATGTAAGTCCCTTTTATAACATGGAAAGAACAAGAAAAACAGCAGCTCCATTCTAACCTCTCACCAGTTCCCCATGTCCGAGTATGTGAAGGATCCCACCAGCGCAGTTGGCTGGCGTACCATTTCCCACGAAACCAAGGTCGGCATCGCTCCTGATGCCGTGAATCTGAACCCCGATGCGATGAGCGAGGTGGCCGAGGGAGGAGGTAGTGATATCGAGCCTGATATGGCGTAAGCACGAAATCTGTTCGTGCACAATATTTCGCATCTAAGGGCTAGATAAATTTTGTATAACATTCTTGTCGAAGGCGCTGCCAGGACGGTTTGGATCCCGATCTTTTACTTTGTCTTGCTTTCCGTCTTCCATGCTTAATTCATAGCGTGAGTCCAATTTTTGGACTAGCTGAGCACAAAAACAAAATGATAAATATTGCATATTTGCACGATACCGTTAGAACTTTGATTGCATTTGACTAGACTTCCTCATTGCAGGAAGGACATGGCACCTCTACTCGACGTTCCCTATCCCGTGTTTGATGTCAACCAAGCTACCCTAATCGACTCAACGTTGATAGAGGCCTCCGTTTTCATCAATTGCGCCGGTCCTTTCATTCGCACTGCAAAGCCTCTCATGCCTGCATGCATCCGGAAAAAGTTCACTATCTCCATATCGCAGCTGAGCTGGGGAGTTATCAGCAGACGCAGAAGCTCGACGAAGACACCAAGATTGCCAACATCTGGCTTTTACCCGGGTGTGGCGGAAGTGTGCAATGCTCGGCTGTGTCGCTGGCCACGTTGTAGAACAAGTCCCACGCCCCCTCAGAATTGATTTCACTTTATATGTCGCTAGATCACTGTCGCGCGGTTCGTCAATCAGTGCCGCAGAGAACATCACCACCGAATGCCTCCAGCTTGTGGATGGAACCTTAGTTGAACAGGATGCTAGCCGAACTGTCGAGTTTGATTTCAACAATGGCAACAGAAATGTTACTTCTTTATCAGTGACATTGCTCTATCTCCTCACCATCCAGAACTCGACAAATGTGCCCAAGATCGGAACATGCGTCCACGCTTCTGGTGACAGCTTTCCGACTGGGGATTTTGCTTTGTTACCTGAAAGCCAGACAGCCGCCCGGGGGAGTCAGCTCCATGTCATGCGGCAGTTGTCATCACTTCTGATGATGGTGCTGTCCGGCGTGCCACTCTCCACACAGTTAGCAGATACAAATTCACGTATGTGGCACCTATACAGGCCGCAAACGGGTTCTGGCTCACCAGTTCAAGCCTGACTTCCAAACACCTGCCGGTCCATTTGGCAATGATTCTGTTTTGAATGTAGTGTTTGGATATTGTGGCAATGGAACCGATTTCTGCAGCGCTGGAAACTTTTACGCTGGAAATTATGACACTGACGACGGAGGACCATCCATCAACTGTGAATGCGGACCTCTCTTTTCCGGCAACAAAACGTATACCGGGACCCAATTTGGTGATTGCTGTTCGACTAGTGGGTATTGTGGCAGCACAGCGGATTACTGCAGTCCCCCTAATTGTTACTTTGGGGCGTGTCTGACATCAGGGTACACTTCCACTAATGGCGAGTGTGGTCCCAATTTTGCGAACAACATGACCTGTCCTGGGTCTTTGTTTGGCGATTGCCATTCCACGGGTGGGTATTGTGGCAACTCAAGTGATTACTGCTCGGGGACCAATTGCTACAGTGGCTCTTGTGTCTCTTAAAAGTGACAGGCCAATCCTTAGCAACTATTTCAAGGTTCCAATATGGGGCTACAATGAAAAGTAAAGGGAAACCATTCACTTTTAAGCCATATTCAAATTTTTAGTTATACATGCTGGCTTGTCAATATAAGTCTGATCATCTATTTATTAAAGTGCTAAAGACTAAAGGTATGAGGCACTAGAATGCACACTATATCCATGGATGCAGCCTCATCTCCCAGTAAAGCGGGACAGCAAGAAAGGCATACCCTTGACGATATTGTCGTAGACAGAATATATCACACAAATCTCACCAACCCGGTGCGATCCAATAATCTCTCCAGGCACCGTTGCCATTATCCGCATCTCTGAATTTATCAACTCCTCCCTCCACACCATTTTCACCCACTGTCCATACACCACTTTCAATCGGCTCTGTCCATCGTTCAAACAGCCTCTCCAGCCTCTGCGACCGACGTTCGCCTCCAAACGGATGAAACCAGCCATGTTGAAAGAGATCCGTGAATGAGCCTGATTCCACTAATCTCCCATCACTCATCCTGGCCCCTTCTTGGTCTCGGAAATCAGGTCGTAGTGCAAATGGAAGAAGGAGACGGAAGCCGGCCTCCTCCGTATCATGATAATTTCGAAGTAGAGGTTCACTGTATAGTCCCGTGGGGATAGGATCACCTTCGTTCATGGTTACATTCTCACTTGCTTGGGAGAATAAATATTTTATTTCCAAGTTGAGATTCACCGTCCGGTCTGGAGTTGGAAATAGTAGGACTGCTGGAACACAGTCCTCTTCGTGGGGTAGTGTGGTAAATCTCTGCAGCCTCGCAAAATCCTCTTTATCATGTGGGACCTGTAGGCCAGGCGCGATAAACTTGAAACGCGGGGTCTTGACTCTGGTTAAGAATTTGCGAATAAAGCAGTCCTTCGGCACGGAAGCTGCATCAAGGTCTGGGTCGGTAAAGAGCGGTGCAGAGATAGGCAAAAGTGAATAAGGAGGCATCCGAGATTCGACTGTAGCTGAGTAGTGCTCCATAGCAGCTATGGTGCTATCAATCTGGGCATTGCAATAGGGAAGCCACGACCATAGACCAATTTGCGACCTTGACATCGAATTACACTCAGGCAGCCCCGGAACAACCCTACCCAGACGGATCATGTAGATCCAGTGCGTGAGAATAGTCTCCAAGGGAAACCACATCTCCTCGTGTTCGTCGACAGGCTCCACACTTTCAGAATTCTCCAAGGTCATCGGGAACGAGGCCCGGTTCAGCTGCTGATCGTAAAGAACGCCGAGACAATGCGAGCCCAGTTCTGAAACAGTGTCGTAAATCACCACGAATCGCTCTTTCCCTTCATCCTCAAGCTTGTTGTCTTCACAGGGGAATGATTCATCGCAGAGTCTCATCTCAAGACTGTTAACCCAGTAGAAGAATGACGGCTCAGGATCATAAATCAAATCCAGGAAAGAGTTCAGGGACGAGTGCAGATGCTCACGTATAGCTTCTATATCTTCAGCTGGTTGTCTAAAGAACCACCTTTCTCTACCTAGCGCATCGAGGTCGGGTGTGTCTCTTCCATGGCGGGCCATCCAGCCATATGCGACCAGGTAATTGTGTAGTCTGGCACAACGCTGATAATCGAGAGTGTCCTCATCACGAGCTGGATTCTTGTCGGAAACCAGAGCATCCTCGATATCGAGGATTCGTTCTGGAGTGGTGTTCATGGCGATGTAGAGGGGAAAGTTCCAAGTTCCAAGGTTGTGTATTGATGCCTGAGTGCCTGAATCCATGGATTAGATGTATTGAAGTTCGATACTGGAACTTCGGTCTCAGTAGCACTATCCGCGTCTGTTAGATTATATATATCATTCCAAGTTGAGTTGATTCCGCCTGCAAATTGACACTGCTTTCTTTATTAGATTCGTCACGGTGACGGAGATAAACCCTAAGGACTTTGGGTATGTATAAGCTGTCGGTGGTAGATTACCACGAGCCCGATTTGGACAGGATCCACAAGAGAGGGGCTTACTAGGGATCAAAACCCTGAGATTCCAGTATGTATGTAGGGGCGGCTGGACGTCCAAAGTTACGGGGGGAAAGGCAGCCGTTTCTGGCCTTAAAAGCGGTCATTTTCGGCGTCAATCCCACTGGTCCTCATATTCTAGTTGTAGTATTGGCACAAATCTCATTACTTTTAACGAGGCGGTTGATCATAAATTCTCAACCAGACCAGGCAAATATTGCAATGTGTCAGATGGTACCAACAGGTTTGGTACGGGAATAACTCTATAATTTCGGGCGGAAAGGGGAGTATGTGTCTGAGATCTGCGGATTTATGTTTATCTCTAATATATGGAGACCAGAGGAGTGAGATCTGAATACAAACTTACCAAAATTATTCTCTCGACTGTTTAACAGCCCTCAAAAAGTCAAACCCGTGTCGAGGGGCGCCACAATTCCAACAGTCCAATGACTTGATCTGCACGACCGATCCAATTACTGGTTTAGGTAAAATTCACCACCATTGATAGTCTTGCACTCCTTGTCAATGTTGGTAAGAGTGCCCGAGTAAGGGCCACACTGGTACTTGTAGCCAGCCTCAATCTTGGTGGTGGCAGAGCCGCCGGGGCCTTCGATGACGAGCTCGTAGCTCTCAACATCGTAGGCACCAGTGGGGAACCTGTAGTGGTAGGCAGCGTTGGCGCAAGGCTCGGGGGTCTTGGGACCAACAGGAATAGAGCCATTGTTCCTATTTGGTTGGGTCAGTGGCCGGTCTCTTTATCGCTATAGATCTGCGGGTAAAATTGTCAAGACTCACCAAGCAGTGTGGCACGTGGTGCTGCCAGTGGCTGCGTCAGTCTTGTCTCTGGATGTGACGGACCAGGTCATGTCCCAGATGTCGCTCTCGATAAGGTGCTTAAGGGAAATGTAGCCGATGCTGTAGGGGTAGGTTGTGGCCTCTACAGCAGGAGTGGCAAAGGCGGCGCCAGCAAGGGAGAGAGCAAGAGCGACGTAAGCACACTTCATTTTGGTGGATTGATTGAATAATTCGAAGCGAAAAGATTGAACTTTTTGGGAGCGTTTCGAACTCGTGATTCTTAAGGTAGTTGGGATATTGCGATTATAAAAGAAACAGGAAGTTTTGGAGCCCTTATATAGATATGCCGTTGACTCCTTTTTTTTGTATAGATCATCATTCGTGGATATGAGGGAAAAGGTGTCTCATGCAGCTTCAGCTCACGAATGATCGTTGTCCATGATCCATTGGGTAATCTTAGTTTAGATTACCTCAGGCGGTCGATCCTTACTGGGTATTCCTTAAAAAGTCTCAGTCAGGTTCAGCTCACTTTTTTAAGATCTTTCTCTGGCAGGTGCCTGGCGCATGATTCTTCACCGTTTTCGTTGTCGTTGTCTTGGTGGGTAGTAGTAGGGCTACTAAATATAGCTCAAACCTTACATTTTAGAACTCCTTGCAGAGGCGCAGTAAGATCCCACCTGTGGAGACTACGTATGAGTATCTAATGATGAGACTCATGGAATACTCGGAACTCCGGGGTAATGCGCCATCAGGGTCTGCCTACTTGGCGCGTAAGACTCTCGGACACCAGGTTTCATAGATGATATTCACTCGAGGCCGCTGGGTTCTATCAATCATGTATTTCCTATCCCCGATTTTCAAAACAGTATAAACTACCAATCTCTAATTGTGAAAAATGCCGTAGGTCAGGCAAGTTACCGAGATGCTAGCTATTTGAAAACGGAGTTGAATGAAAGTATGGAATCTGTAGGACCCGACTGTGCTACGGTCACACTAACTCGGCATTTGCGATTCAATCGTGGTGTCAGGAAGACAAGATGCAAATCCTTTCTGTGGCCTTGTCTGCCTCTTCTCCTGCCACTTTGGGTGATACTTAAGTAAGTTCTGCTCTTGGGGTAATTTTAGGTCGAAGAGCGACTTTTTGGTTGATTGTTTGATATGGCTGGAAAATTCATTATCCCTAATTTAGAAAATTGGCTGTATAAGGGTGTCCGGTTTCCCTATAAATTGAATAAGATCCCAATGGATTGCCTAAACACACATCCGTAAATATATATTCGAGTTTTGAACAGAGAACAACGTACAACACAGCAGGGCTGCCCCATGAACTATCAGTGAAATGACTTTTAGAACAAACCAACGAGGAATCCCTAAAACAAAAAATCGAGTTGAATCAAAATAACAAATACAGCAATTGAAACCTGATGTTACGGAGTGAGATATAAAAAATGAAAACAAAAAAGAAATGTGCATCATCCGTGAATCGAACACGGGCCTCGTCGATGGCAACGACGAATTCTACCACTAGACCAATGATGCTAGTTCATGTAATGTGTGGCTCTCTAGTGTGTCATAGCTCTAATGGCTGCCGAGGCCTGTTAGCTCTCATATGCCACTCGGAATAAACCTCCTCTAGGGCTAGTGAGCATTCCAAACACGTGACAAGCAAGTAATACACCAGTACAGGTCAAAATTTCAATTCATTAAGCCGTGCGCCCCTGTATGCAGCTGTTGTCTAAGACCATAACTCAAGACAAATGACTGAACAATAACACAAATCCAACACCATAACCATGTAAGCTAAACTGAGAGAACGACCGCCGTAAATTACAGACCAATGTACAATCCGAGGGAATCCATCGTGCTCACGAGTTGAAGCTCCAGCCACCATTGAGTCGCAAGCGCTGTCGATCGGCAACATCCTTGCGAATTTCCTCTTGGGTCAGCCCATCCGGACCAGACCAGTTGGCACTGCTGGTTCGTTCGCGGAATTTCTTTAGCTTCTTGTCTGCTTTGAAGGTTTCTTCCATAGAGAAGGGTGCGATTGGGCCGAAGATGGAGTCCACTTCCATTCCATCCTGCTCTCGGAGAAGATCCTCCAGTGCCTTAGGCTGAGCCCACTTGGGAACCGGGAACATCTCGGAGTCCGAATCGTCATCGTCTTCGCTATCGGTGTTGATCTCCGGCAGGTGGATGTTCTCACCAGTGGGGTACTTGGGAGATGGCTTGGCGATTGGCCGCTGTGCGGAGCTGGGGACAGCTTTGTGTGCGGCCGGAGGGGGCGCAGGGTTTGGTTCGGCAAATGGAATTTTTCCTGTTGCAAACTTGCCCATCTCACCTGGGTGAGCAGGACGTTGGGGGGCACCATTCTTGAATATGGAAGAGCCACCCTGGTGCGCCATGGATGACTGCCCGTGACCGAATGTAGAGATAGAAGGCTATCAATTATGAAGTCAGTAACGCGTCCTTCGAAATATATAAAAAAGATGATACCAACCTTTCTGATATATGATTGACGCATGGGTTGTCCTGGCATGGGTTGCCCCGGCAGGATCGCGCGCACAGGTTGCATAGGATTGTGCTCATCCTCTGTCTTTCGCCGCTTGGCATCACCGGTTGATTGAACATTGCTGGGCTTGGAGACCGCGGGCCGGTAGCTGGCCTCGTCATTCATCACTCTCTTAGGTGGCTTGGCAGGATTGGGCGCGGGCGGGTTAATGCGAGCATGTGGCTGAATAGAGCTACCCAGGCGAGATGGGGGACGAGTAGCACCTAAGTCATTTCGTTGAGACGATTGAGAAGATGTCTTCTCGTGCTGTAAAATGGGAGCCTATGGCTTGTTAGTGACATGGTAAGGTCCACAAGAACCAATGTGCTTACCTCGTTGACAATCTGCTGGCTACCTTGCCTTCCGTGACCTCGTGCGTTCTCCTGCTGACGTCTTCTGATTGCCTCCATTTGAGCGGCTCTCTTCGGGTCTTCCTGAGCAGAGCGTTCGCGACGCTCACGGTCAGCCTCAGCACGACTCTCGGCACGGCTTCTCATCCCCTGACGGCGTGCCTCCTCTTGTCGGCGAGCCTCTTCCTGCTGAGCGGCACGTTTGCGTTCAACCTCGCGCCTCTGTTCTTCCTTTCGGCGTTCCTCCTGCTCCTTCTTGCCAGCAACCTGAGCCTTGCGCTGGGCCTGAGTTTGACTAGAAATAGAGCTCTTGAAGCTGCTTGCAGAAGATGATGTGTGCAGGGAAGTGTTGCTACCCTTCTTTTTGAGAGTTGGCTTGGATGCAGAGGCGACTGCAGGGATAGTCGACTCCCGAGCGCCAGAAGATGAGGGAATGGGTATCTGGCGGGACAAGGTACTGCCCACACGAATTGACATGGGTTGTGGCGTGGGCTTCTGTAGGGTCTCACGAGTGGGTTTGAGGGGACGGCGATCAGCTTGTTTCGGTTGAGGAATGGCGAATCTTGAACCGGGCTCCCTAGAAGATTCGGGCTCGCGCGATTGTTGCCGTTGTGATTGTGTATTCTTGTGTATTGTAGATCCTGCCTTCTCTTCCGGTTCAGTTGAAGATTTGTTTAGGGTAGCCTTGAGCTCAATGGCCTTTTTCCTTTCCTGTTCCCGGGCTTTCTCGACGCGCTCTTCTTCTTCCTGCTCGTGCTGTCGGCGTTTCTCTTCTTTCTCAGTGGAGCTGCGTGTTCGACGGCCTTCCTGACGTTGGGGGCTGGAATCTTGCATTGGCTGGGCTGCAGGTTCGGCGTTTTTGTTGAAAATCTCAGCACTTGAATGAGCCCGTGGTTGTTCTGGTGACAAGTGTTCGACTCTGGGTGTATTTCCAGTACTTGAGAACAAACCCTTGGCAGATTTCATGATGGAGTGCAATCTGAGTTTCGAAGCACTGATAGGACCATCGAAGCGTCTTGGGGAGCCTGTTGGAGTGGTGGTTGCATCAGCAGAAATATGAGAGAAGGAAGCACTCTGTTGGTGACCGTGAGGGCGCGGCGATGAGAATATCGAGGTAGATGACTTGGGACGTTCGGGTTCCATTTTGGGAACGTCCTTCTTGCTAGTGACTCGCTCTTTTTCGAGCTCAGAAAGCTTCTCCATGATACCTGTGGTCTTGCTCTTTGAAAGTTCGGGCCGTACAGGAGAGCTCAGAGGCTTAATCCATTCATCGTCAACTGGGGTAGGCTCCAGGGCGGGGGCTTCGCGCAATTTTTGGTTCGAAGCCTCCGACTTAGCTTCAGACTTTGAAGCAGGAAGTTCTGGGTAAGAAATCTGACCCACCGGGGCTCCAGAACTGGATGTAAGCGACTTTCTAGGCCGAGAGACTGGCTGTAGCTTGCCCAGCATGCTGATCCTCTCATGTAGGGTCTGAGTGGACTTTTTGCTGTACATTCTGGTGGCTTGCTCAGGGTCAGCTTCTTCGCTGGATTCCTTCTCATGATCAATATCCATAGGCCCTAAATCGGGGTTCTCCCCTGCTGCAGCCTGGGTCGTCCTATGTCCACCGGTCTGCCTACCAAAGTGGCTGGGGCGTCCAACGGTGTTCATCTTCGTCAGGTCGATGTGGCTTGTCCGAGAGAGTCTTGAGCCTCCCAAGCTCTTCAACGGTTCCCGCGCAGGGAGAGAAGCGAAACTTAGGCTACTCTTCCTAACAGCTGGCCGCTCGGGTGTAGAGCCGTCCGAAGGGGACCCAATGTCGTCAAGATTGTCGAGAACAGTGTCGTCCTTGGTAGGATCTTCGGTAGCATCATCCATAATCTCATCTTCTGGCTGAGATTGTTGAGTGTCGACAAATGGAGTTTCTGGTGCCACTGGTGACTTTTCTGGTGACGGTTCGGGCCTTGAGATAGGCTGAGGAGATTCCTTCGGTTTTGGTGCATTTTTCTTCTGTTGCTTTTCTGGAGCCTTGGCCTTTGTCTTAGACTTAGACTTCTTGGGTGGAGTCGAGCTAATCTCTACACTGGTTTCCTGGGAGGGCGTTGCGGCTGGAGGCGATGTTCGCTCTTTGGTTGGGGTTGGATCATTGTTCGTCGGCTCGACGGTTTGTCCACGGGAACGGACATCCTCCTGCGCAGAGTGGAATGACTCTTCGTTCGTTTGATGGGCAGTAGACACGTCGATCTCTTGAGCAACCATGTCCATGGGCTCATCCTGCTCGAAAGGTTGAGTAGAAGGCTGAGTGGAAGCCTGTGATTCTGGATGCACGTCAGGTAGTACCATCTCATCAGCATCGGACATGCCATGATAGCCCGAGTCTGTGTTGTATTTAGGAAAAGAGTTCAGGTTTGCGGTGAGATCGGGATATTGGGGTTGCGACGCTGGCTCTGTCGCGTCCTTGGTGCGGGGCACGGGTGACGCGGCCGCAGGAGCGGTCTTTGAGACAACGCGATGAATGAAAGGACTAGGGCTTGCATGGTTCTCCAGTTGTTTTTGGGCAGATGAAAATATCTCACTCAAGGGCTGCAAGGGGCGATTAGTTGGGAGCAATCGATGTCATATCAATGTATAGAACACTCACGACTCGAGACTCTTCGGGCGCACGTTTTCGGGCGGTACGAGGTGTCTTGCCTCTCATTTTTCCAGGTGTCTTGAATACATCCGCAAAGTTCCTGGGTCATCATCAACGCCGAACAGACATGATCGAGTGTGCGGTCGCAACTCACGTTTGTCCCTTTGAGAAGATCTCGGTCATATGTTCATTTAACCATGCCATTTCATGTCGAACGGGGTATTCCACCTCTTCCATCTCTTGTTCCACTAGGTCGGCCATGTTTTCCTTCTCCGCTGCAATCCATGGTGCGGAACCGACGGGCTTTTGCGCCCTCGCGCCTGCCGCGGCCATGTTGTAAACAATGCGCCGTTCGTTATTGAGTGCAGGGAATATAGAACGTCAATATCGAATTTGACTTGGTCGTTAAAAGAGTGTTAAAAAAGCACAAACATGGGATATTGTGGGTTGTGGGTCGCGCTGAGGGTCGGGAATGGGAGATGAGGTCGAGAATCAAAACAGACATCCCAATAAGGAAACGCGTGGGTCACGTGTGTATACATTCAAAATGGCTTCTTTGTTTTTATGTGGTTTTTTATTCAACCAACTACGTACATATATGCATATATACTACATATGTATGTGTGTATTCGGATTACGGAGTATACACAAAGTAATCATCAATATGCTCGTGCTTCTATCATCCTCGCTGAAACCATCATCCTAAGGCGTATACGGATGTCGCGAGACACTCAAGGAGAGCAGAAAGATGATCTCGTTATGCTGCTACCTAGGTCCACGGTAAAGGGCTGAAACAACGGCTGACTGGCCTGTCAAATGATCCATACCTAGGCGTGTACGTCAACGGATAGTCCAGCATGGGTCTATAATGATCGGCTTTGCACTTTTCAATCGCTTCCTTAGCAGGAACAGTCATTGCTATCTTCGCATGTTTCAGGTGCAAGTAGCTTCCAAGCTGGTAGTGGGCGATCCCAATCGACCTTGAGCTTAGGAATACAATGGTGTTCATCCAACTCGGAAGGCCGCCAGATCACAGTCGATACATAGTATTGAAGCTGACCAGGTGCTACCTCATCTTTGCGCCGTTCGATATTTTCGATATCATTGCGAAATCTGCTGACACCAAGAGGTATTTTCAATTTCAGTTTATCGGTTCAGTCTCCATGGATATGAAGTGCCTCGTTGAATTCCCACTCCCTTTGAGACAGACAGAAATATTTTAACTAAACCACCTATATGCATGTGAATTATAGGTATGCAAATGCTCCAAAAGAGGAGGGACATTGTCATATTCAAAGCGATAGTTAGCATCCTCGGCACATACATAGTTCCATTGTAGAAATTGTAGAAAATGCGTTGCGCCTGAAGACAGTATTGAACAAAATCTACAAACTTGGGAGTAGATTACTCTCAAAGATCATATTTCAACAAAACCTTGGAACAAGATTAATCATAATACATCATCGAGCCATTCGTCAAGATCAAGTATAACATCATAAGAAAGCTCTCGGGCTTGGCAACGCACATGACAGCATCACCAAAACAAGTCAAATCTTCCCTTATCTTTCTTCTCTTCTCTTCTATTCTTCCTTTCCCCCTTTAATTATTCCTCGACTCGACCTTTTAAGCTGTACACGCTTCTAACGACTTCTCTAATTCATATTCTCCCCGAACAAAAATTAATTTTGAAAAGAAGGGCTTTTTCCGCATCGTCATGGCTTCTGGTGACGTGACCTACCCTAATACGGGCAGTGAGGTAAGAACACCCATAGGTCACTTTAGTGTCCAATTTTGCAGAGAGATATGCTAACGACTATGCAGTATCGCCTTTCCCCCCCCTAAATTTCCTTGCTATGCTAGAGAACTGACCTTGACCCCTCTTGCGCCCAGGCATCAGCGATATTGTGACCAAGGGTAAGCGAAAAACTGCGCAATACTTGAGCTAGGAAACACCACTAACCAATTTCTGAACAGGCCCCATTGTTGACAGCGTCAAGTCCGAGGCATCCCGCACCGGCAACGAGCTTCGCGAACTCTCCAACTCGCGTGTGACCCCTTCCACCACCACCGCCGATGGACAACCGTTGACCCGTATGTCATGAGACCGTTTTGATTGGATAAAAGATACTGATTTTGGCCCAGACTATCACTCTTTGCTGTACAGCCTTTTGAGCGTAAGTCGTCGCGCGAGCATCCTCAATTTTGACACCATTTTAACTCTTTGATAGTGGGAGCAACCCCGTGCGACCGCCGTTTCTTTCGCTAGCGTGATCGGATTCATCTTCGCCGCTCGTTATCTGCCTCTCCTCCGCTGGGTGTTCAAGTTCTTGTATATGTCATTGGGATGTGAGTTGGTCGCGTGACTATGGTCAATGGGAACTCTGGATTAACAAATGTGTGCAGTGACCGCCGCCGTTGAGATTGCCGGACATGCCATTCTCAAGCGTGGAATCGCCAGTGGATTCCGTCCTCGCCGTTACTACACCATCCCCAAGGAGACCGTTGAGGCCGTGCTCGAGGATCTTGAGCAGCTTGTGGATTTCTTCCTGATCGAGTTCCAGCGTATTCTGTTTGCCGAGAACGTTCTTCACACCGTTTTGGTATGTTCCCAATATGGTGCCATGGTAGATAAGTCAAAGAGCGCAGACTAATATCTTCTTAGGCCTTTACTGCTGCTTTCACTGGCTACTGGTTGATCCGCTTCGTTCCCTTCTGGGGATTAGCCGTGATTGCTGTGACCACCACATACTTCGCCCCTCTCATCTACATTAGCAACCGCGAAATTATCGACGAGCAAATTGTCAACGTTCAGGAGATCATCAACTCCCAGACCAATCAGCTCCGCGATCTGGCTGGTGAGCGCACTTCTCAGGCTACCGGCTTGATGAAGCAGTATGTCGGCGAGTATAGCTCTAAGGCCCAGGAAATTATCGGTTCCCGCCGCTCCGCCTCCCCTGAGGCTACTAAGCTCGTGAGCCCGATCAAGCGTGAGACCATCTCCGAGTCTGCCAAGACCCAGCCCCTCGAGACCTTCACTGCCCCCGTTGTTGAGCCTGCCACCGCTATCAAGACTGAGGACTTCCCCGAAGCCCCCAAGGCTGCCCCTGTTGCCCAGTCTATCGAGTCTGATATTGTCGCCTCCGTCGAGTCGCCAGAGCAGGCTGGTGACCGCGAGCCCCTCGTGGCCATCTAATCTGTCCCACTGATAGTGGGCTGTCCGTCGTGACTTGGAACGTTTACTTACTGTAGCTCAAAATCAGGCCACTGTTAGGCATTCTGATGAACGGATATCATTTATTTTGGCCATGACTTTTAACTGGATATGCAGAATGGCACGCTGGATCGAGGTTCTGGGTTACCTGTTTGTTACGGATACCTTGGAATACATGGGCTCAGCATTCCGTATCCTCGTGTCGACGACAAACAAAAAAATTGCAGGATTCTTGAGCGATGAATGAGCTTTCATGTTTCATGTATCCCCTTAGTTGTTCCTTTTTACCCCGATTCTTTTCTTCAAATCCCCCCATTTTAAACCACTCGGACATTGTTACCCTGTCCTTTTTCTAAGACCCCTTGTCTATGTCTTTCTCGGGTTCATATTGTTTCTAATGGAATTAACCTTGCATAAATTCATCATTTAACCCGATTCATTCTATTCATTCACACATCCAACCAAGACACGCATAGTGTCCTCGAGCCTCGCGCAGGGACCTCGGCCTCTACTTGTAAACAGCAGGCAGCTATCGAGAAATCGCAAGATCGTAGCACCAAGATCAACAAACCCCCAATATAAGACTTCCTCGGAAGAATACGGGATGCGCAAAACCCTCGACCCAACCTACTTGGGTAGTTGTTCATCTGCAAGTGGCCTTTGACCCTATGTTGAGCGCAAGGCAGCCGTTGAGTTTCATCCCGGTCCACCGACTCGGCTCCCTATTCGCCGCATCACGATTCGGACCAGCCTGTGACGGTTCTGTTTTCCCTTCATTGTGCTTCCCCCTCCCTCGACGAATTGCCTTGCTCAGTCGCCTTTTTGTCCCCTCTTGCCACCCCATTTACCCCGGATTCGAGGCCTATACATATGGGTGTGGCCTGATATATGCGAATTGCTTTGGATGTCGTGTCGGGTCTGCTATTATTCTGTTTTCGATGATCGAAGCCTGGGCTTTTTCTTTATCTGGTTGAAACTCTGATTTGGTATCGAGTCTTGCAGCTTGTGGGTTGACCGAACCGTGCTGATATTCTTGCTCACCGGAGGTTCTCATGAGACCTGGTTGATTGTTGGGCATCGAACGGAAAGGCGAGCTTGCCCTTTGTTGATGAACATGTGATAGGGAGAGAAGAGAGAGTCTAAAGGGTATCCTGAAAGAGATCATGTCACCAAGTGATTCGATGACGCTTTACCGAGATGAACACAGACGATGGACGGCCGAAAAGGCCTAGCCCCTCCAAACAGCAGCGTCCCGATTGAGATATGGCTTCTTGCCCCGTTTACATAAGCTCGGGATCTGAGACGCGTCGCAGATGCTGAGGGACACGCATGTCCTAGTTTACCGCTCTTTGGAGTTCATTAGAGGCATCTGGCCACCGAAAGAGTGTCTTAGACATTGAAAACCCGGCCTCTTTCTGGACGCCTATCAGTCTCGGCTGTTGAACTTCGTAGACCGACTTCAATGCGATTGAACCACCGCCACTCGAGAACTAGGACTAGCCCGGTTGTGTTGAAATCTGGTTGAACACTCAGTCCTCGATCTTCGCTCCGGCCAGATTCCATAGCTGGCACCCACTAGATGCACCGTTTTTCTGCTGTGCTTCGGCGTTGCTGCTCTAGCCCTGGACCGATTGGCGGAGGGCCCTTTGTACCTTTTAAGAGGTTTATGCAGACTGCACTGGGCGGGTAGGTGGGCACAGAGGCAGGTTACAAAATGGACTGGAAGAAGTCAGTGTGGCACTATGACAGCGAAAGCAGAGAAAAAGAAATATGCTGGATAGAAAAAGTGGATTAGCCTCCACCAACGTGTCGGAATTCTGCATGGAATCCTGCATGGAACATTCTTTGAGGTCTTTGTGTTGCCCCTCTGCTTCCAGAGTGTCTCTGGTATATGCACGCTCTTAGATTTGCTCAACCAGCGGTCTACACTAGAGTAGTCAGACTCTCAAAGAGGATGTTTGTTAGAAAACCTTGGAATTCACAGAAAAAATAAAAGCGGAGCTAGGTATACACAAATGAAGCCAATCACCTCATTCCTGCGAGAAAGAATGATTTTTTGGTTTGCATTCTTTTTTTTCAGCCTCACCCGATTGATCACGGCCTAGAAGTACCCATGTATAGACCGCCTGTCATCTGTACAGCCACTACAAGTACTATACTGTAAGTAATATGAGCACAATATGGCTTGATCGGGTATGGAAGCGTGGGGTGCACCCCGGTAAGGAAGCATCCCTGCCACTTTCCCAGGATCTTTGAACCCGTCAGAAGTTTAATTCTGCAGCACAGCTTTTCTCAGATGCACTTCACGGACTCGCAAGGCAATGCGAATTCCCGTCATACAAGGAGCAAGTTGCCCTGCAGCTTTCCGTGGGTCTGAGACCTCTTTGATACCCATTCTGTCGAGCCACCATGGGGTATGCGGCTCCTTATTGGACCATTCCTCTGTTCTCCTAATCCTCCGGACTTTGCGGTACCTTGACCCTAGTCCGATGCCAAGATCGATCTGCCATGGGTTCTTCGATAAGATTTTCGTAACGGAAAAAAAGAAATGGTGGGACACTGGTTGGATTTTACCCCGGGATATTAGGGCATAGTATCATGCATGGTATACTGGACCAAGACAACAAGGAAAAAGTATTGTGCAGATTGCCGTAATGGACTGTTTGTATCAAGCGGTGACTCTTTTGAATTTCCAAAAAGAACTCCAGGATATTCACATGGTCCCTGAAACGGCCATGCTTCTTTCTCTGGTCTTTTAGGGCACTGGGTAGGCGCAGTTGTGAATATGAAACAGGTAATGCCTCGAGATGGGAGAGACACAGGCCTCAAATTATCTTTCTCTCGCTTTTTGTTTTTTGTTCCCAGGGGAATCTGAGTGGAAATGACATCTATGGATGTACACTGCATCGTAGTCAGCCCAAAGTCGAAGATCATTGGAACTCCCATGCCACGCGTAGAGACAAGCAGCCCATGGACTCGTCCAACTTCACCTAATAGAAAAGAGAAGAAATAATAAAAGGTAAAGACGGTGAAGTCATTTACATACTGAGTGTCAGACACATCGAGTGCTGGACTTTCACCGCTGTCCCATTTATTTCCTCGAAAGCACGTCGGGATTTGCCAACAAACACCTGTACTCACCCTCCCCAATAGAAGTAGAGCGGAACAAACCTTCGAACAAAGGTGTGGAATTGTCTTGCTTGACTGTGTCTCTCAGGTTTGACTCTCACACTCTTTTCTCTCCTTCTTTCAGAGATTCTGGAAGACCCCCTTTTTGTTCCACTCAAGAGACATTAAGCTGCTTCTTTCCCCCGGTGACTCCAACGCCATTCTTCTCTCGTCAACTTTACTTTTCCCCCCTACTTCAAGCATAGTTCTTGATACTCTTATTCATGCTATCTATCAAGTCTCTTTTGAACCCAGAGCCCGAGAGGCGATACCGTGTCTCTCATCCTCCAGTTGACAAGCGCAAGATGCCTAAGGATGCCCCAGTGTTCCGCCCTGGTAAAATCCAGGGCGAGTGCCGCTATCCTCCAATTGAAGAACGTGATGAAGCACTCCTGAAAGCCCATCAAGAGTTTAATCTGCGTCCTTTGGGCAAGATCGCAGACTATCCTCGTCATATTCCCTATGCGAGTGACAAGAAATCTTTCCAAGAGAAGACTGGCCGTGATAGCTTCCATGGTATATCCTTAAACGTCGATTTGATTTACGTGACTAACTCTTTTACAGTCTTCCAATACACTTTCCAGATCCCTGGCGAAGAAAAAGAGTGGCATGTCATGTGGGATTACAACATCGGCATTGTTCGGATCACGCATCTGTTCAAGTGCAACGGCTACTCTAAGGTGATATCAAGAGCGCACTATACTACGATATTTGACACTTACTACTTATCATAGACCACACCGGGAAAGATGCTCAGCCAAAACCTTGGCCTGCGTGACATCTGCCACAGCATCACTGGTGGAGCACTCTCAGCCCAAGGTAGGTGGATATATGCACATTTATCTTCTTTGACGTTATACTTATCTCTTTTTTCCTTCTCTAAACCAGGCTACTGGATGCCATACGATGCCGCCAAAGCTTTGGCAGCGACATTCTGCTGGAGAATTCGATATGCCCTAACTCCCCTGTTTGGCCTAGACTTCCCAGACATGTGTATCCACCCAGACGAGCGAAAGCGCCACGGCGTGATGGTGATTGACCCTGAAATTACACGCCGCGCTACACAAACAGCGAACTACTACCGCGCCTTGGAGATGGCAGCCTCACCGCGAAACGTCACAACACACCAACTCCTTCATAGCATGGAGTCATTCGCCAACGACAGCGATGTTTCTCCGAAACTGCCGCCCATCAAGCATCAACGCCGCAATTACACAGATAGTATTGCCAGCGCTCGTGATTCTTCAACGGAGCCTTACTGCATGACTCCAAAAAGCCAGTCGCCCTGTTCCGGGTTCACTTCTATCAACGTACCAAGAAGCACTGATACCCAGGCTTGCTCGCGGGTGGCCTCTCCCAAGTCTATTCTGAGCGCTATATCGCAGTCTATGCGCCCAGAAAATGTGCCCGGTGGTCTCAGCGAGGACAGTGATACAGAAAGCGACGGATCATCGAACATGTACTCCACTCCCAACTGTCCTTCGGAGGATATGAGCACCGAATTCGACAAGACCGACACCGATACGCGTTCGGACTTGGACGCTGGACGAGTTGCTGATTTTACTGACTCGGGCGAGGAAAATACGACAGATGATGCCAGTGATGAAGACTACCGTGGTCCCTCTGCTAGGAAATGTTTCGCTGGACCTCTCAAGCGGAAGACTATCTCGCCCACCTCTACATCCCAGACGAAGAAGAATCCTAGCCGGAGGTCTCGAGCTTCGCGTCCTCGGTCCTCGCCTCATTTTGCCAACGAGGTCAAGGCTGCTAAAGCTCTTATTCGTTTGCATATGAATGAGCTAGAAAACATTGAAGTGGAGACCCAGATGGATGAAGATATTGCGATGCATTCGGCATTCGGGTCATGCGGGCTTTGCTCGCTGGACGGCTCGTCTCGCGGGGGTAAGCGTCGCCGAGCTTCCCTCTGAAAGCTGGATTCGATTCGAAGACTGGGTGGGAACGTGATATGGAGTTTTGATTCATGGCCTAGTTTGCTGGGTAGTTATGTGCCGCGGTACCAATTCTGTGCATTTTATGAGGGAAAACGGGTGTTTTGATGGCTTTGCTTGGAGTTGAAAGTGTGCATGTTGGAGTGGACCGAATGATTTTTGCTCAACTAGTCTAAAACATAGTTGAAAGATTGAAATGATCTGTCAACGTATGGGATTTCCAAGGTGCGACGTAGCAATATCCGCCAATGATGGGAGCTTGATACCTTAACATGGCATCTCGCCATAGACTGGGATTTGCCATGCCCGAGCCATCGACGTAGTATTCAACAGGTTTATGGATCAAGGTTAGTATATAGTAATGATTCAATACTCCATGCTACCATTTTGCATAATGCATCATAGTTAAAATTCAAATTTGATTAAACAACCGTATTCGCCATGATGGCCGGCTTTGCCAGATCTCCATAAGATACCAGTGAACTAACTAAACATGAAAATGGAATAAAATAAAATAAGACACGGTAGAAAGCGTCGCAAAGAGCAAGCAGAATTCTCAAAAATGTACCCGAGCTTGACTACCCAGGCACTGCCTAATCGCTCTCATCTTCATCCTCGCCAAAATCATCCGTAGAGGGCTCTTCCTCACTGTCATCCTCAATGACGTAAGACTTCTTCTGTGCTGCGGCACCACGGCGAGCAGGACGGGCTGCAGCGGCGCGACGGGTAGGAGGAGCGACTTCTTCATCGTCTTCATCGGAGACAGGCGCTTTACCCGCTGGTGAGTCCAAAATATCATTGGCCATTGCATCAATGTCATCCTCCGAGTAGTCATCCGCGATCTTCTTCGACTTAGCTTGCTTGGAAGCATACGCCTTAGCCGCTGGGGACAGCGCCGGGGGAGCAGCCTTGGCAGCTGGCTCCTTCTTGGGTCGACCACGAGCTTTCGGCGCGACGGCGGCCTTGGGGGCAGCCTTGCCTCTGGCAGTTGGCTTGACTGGTTCATCATCCTCGTCGATCTCGTCATCATCTTCGTCGATTTCGATAGGCTTGGGAGCAGCCTTGGGAGCAGCCTTGGGTTTGGGAGCAGCCTTAGCCTTAGGAGCGGCCTTGGCTCTGGCAGTGGGCTTGACTGGCTCATCATCCTCGTCGTTATCAGCCTCATTGTCAACCTTCGCATCCTTGGGTCTTATTTGGATTGAGCGACGTGGGGAATTTTGAGGAATGAGCTTGCTGTAGTCCGTCTCATCTGGGTCGAACTCATCGTTGGCCTTGGATGACTTAGGGGCAGGCTTCAAGCTGGCTGCACTTTCGGAACGAGGCCGCTCCGAAAAGAGCTGTCGAGAATCAACCCCTGAGTCGCCGCCAATGCCCTTAACCATTTGGCTGACATCTCCAAGGAGATCGTCGCCGTTGTCACTGTCCGAATCACTGGGCGCCGAGTATTTTACAGGCTTTCGAGCGCGAGCGGATGCTGCAGGCTTAGCCGCCTCGGCCTTGGCAATTTCCAAGAAGTCGTCGTCTGATTCTTCTTCGACCTTAGCCTTGGCCTTGGGTCCTCGTTTGGCGGCCGGCTTGGCTACTGGTTTAGCCGCTGCCTTTGCAGCAGGCTTGGGCTTCGGCGCCTCGTCCACATCCATATCAATGTCCATGTCGAATGGATCAGCATCAGCATCAGCAATTGGAGCAGCACTCGGTTGGACCGATGCCCTGGAGGCCTGAGGAACCTCGTCAATGTCAAAGAAATCATCCTCCTCCTTAGGTTGAGCTTTGGGCTTCGCCGCAGCACGACTCTTCTTCGGAAGGACCTCTATGTCCATGTCGAAATCGTCATCCGAGTCACCATTTCCATCAGCCGCAGGAGATGGGCTTGGCTTGGCTGATGATTTGTTGAGGAAGTTCATCAGGCTGTTAGTTTGGGGCTCCTTCTTCTTGGCCGCGGCGGCTTTCTTCGCCTTAGGGCCACCGAAATCTTCATCGTCTGGATCATCGCCGTTGGCAACCTTGCGCTTGCGTGAAGCCGCGCCACGACCACCACCGGTGGCTAGCTTGGATGATGTGCGACGTTTGCGGTCCAAGCCAGCAGATTTGCGGGCACGAGCTTCCTCGTCCGCGAGCTGGAAGCGCCACTCGTTGATGAACTCATCCAAATCGCGGTTCCAGATGTCCTCCTTGGACAACTTGATCAAGACATCAATCTCAGTCTCTTTGTCACCGATCTGACGGCGGAGCTTCTCCACACGCTCCTGGGTCAGTGACCACATGGGCATACCCAGAAGATAATCAAAGGAGTTCGACAAATTTTCGGTTTCGTTATCCTCTGCCTCCTCTTCGTCTTCTTCAACCACGGGCTCTTGTTCACCCATCTGGGCGGCCTCGGCCAACTTGCTGATGGGCTTGAAGCCCTTATCCTTCAGCTCAACGACCAGGACAGGCTTCTTCTTCTTGGAGATCACCAACTTGCCATCGATGATCATCTGCACGAAGCGAGCTTGGTTGCTCAGCTTCTCCAGCTCCTTTTGAATCTCGGAAAGCTGGTGCTGCTTGCGACGCTCATAGTACTTGAGGCGAATAACGAAGAACTCTTTCAGGATATCATCGACAGTCGCGTACTTAGTGATACGACCCTCAGGGTCGAAGGCGACCAAATTGGTGGTAGAAATCGTTTTGGTCAACTTGAACTTGTCTTCCAGACCTTCACTTAAAGCAGACTGCATATGTTTCTCATCGAGTTGAATAACGAAGTGCACCTTGGTGTGAGTGTTGTAGTCCCTGTAATCCTTGATGAAAGATGGCACCTTCTCGGCTTTGATGATGTCCTCCAGCTTGTCTTTGAAATCCTGAGTCCAGCTACGAATGGGCAATTCGGTAATCTCGATCTCTTTATCACCACATTCCTTGATGATACCACTGAATTTGTATCGATCGCCACCCATAGCGACAACCTCACCAGTGAACCCACGGAACCAGGGCTGCATGGGTTCAGTAGGCTCACCGGCCATCAGGCGCTTGATATTGGCCACAATATCCTCCGGGTTGTAGTTGGGGATAGAAGAACTCCAACCAGTTCCAATGCCGTCCGCGCCGTTGACCAGAATCATGGGAACGACAGGCATATAAACCTCAGGCTCAATCTTCTTACCATCGTCTTCGCCATACTTAAGCAAGGGCTCATCGGCAGTGTTGAACACCTTGCGTGCGAATGGAGACAAACGAGTGTAAATATAACGAGCACTGGCACAGTCGTTTCCACCTTGAAGTCGACTACCGAAGTTTCCACTGGGTTCCAGGCAGTTGATGTTGTTGGAACCCACGAATGTTTGGGCAAGACCAACAATGGTCTGCTGAAGGGACACATCACCATGCTGGTAGGCTGTCATTCCAGAAACGTGACCAGCCAACTCAACGACCTTCATATCCTTCTTCAAATTGCGACGGAAACAAGTGTATAGCACCTTTCGCTGACCGGGCTTCAAGCCATCGACAACAGAGGGGATTGAGCGCATGTTATCAGCCATACTGAACAGAATAAGCTCTTTGTTGATGAAATCGGTGTAGGAGATCTTGTCCACAGAGTGATCCAAGTAGGTTCCAGGCTTGAACTGACGGAGCCATTCTTTACGCTCATCCGCCTTCTTTTTGGAGAAGGCAAGCTCAATGAGCTGCGCTTCTTCCGCTTTCATGGTGTGGAACTCCTTCAGGTGACGATCGAGGTCACGGAAGTAAACCTGGGCATCCTCTGTTGTGCTGGTTCCCAAACCCTTGTAGTACTTGTGATCCCAACCGCGTTCATGCTTGTGAGCTTCATGCCACGCATCATGCTCGGGCATGGTGAAGAATGATTTTTGCTTGGTCGGGTTCTTGGGGTCACCCTTCCAAACCTTGATGATAGGAGTGATGAATTCAATGAGGAATTCGGGAATCTTCAACAAGCTAGGGAACTGCGCTTGAAGGAAGTTAATGAGCAAACCCTTGATGTGACTACCGTCGTGATCCTGATCAGTCATGATCATCAGATGACCATATCGAAGGCCCTTCGTATCGGTATATTCTTTCTTATGTTGCAGTCCAAGGAAATTCTTGATGTTTTGAATTTCGGCGTTCTTTGAAATTTGGTCGAAGGAAGCATCGCGGACGTTGAGAAGCTTTCCGCGGAGGGGGAAGACACCGAACAAGTCTGGCCCAACAACAGCTCTGCCAGCCATGGCCAATCCCTTGGCTGAGTCACCCTCAGTCAGAATGAGCGTGCAGTGGTGGCCGTCTCTGGTACCAGCTTTGTTGGCATCGACTAGCTTGGGGTTGTTCATACGCGAACGGCGGCCAGTGTCGCCCTTCTTCAAGATCTGGTCCGCCTTTTGCTCCGCAAAATGCAGAATGTTGGACATGACCTCAGTGTTGAGGACCTTCTTGTAAAATGCTTCGTCAAGAGGACACTTGCTACCAAACTGGCTAGCTTTTGTTGTCAATTGTTCCTTAGTTTGGGAAGTGAAAGCCGGGTTGACAATCAGGGACTTCACGAAGATGAAGATGTGGTTCTTAATCTGTGCAGTCTTCAATGTTGCCCCGGACTTGTTCTTCTTCTTCACCTGATCAGCCAAGCGAGTACAGATTTGGTCGGCGATATAGTTGACATGTGTACCACCCGAGGTTGTCGCAATGGAGTTAACGAACGAAACTTGCTGGAATGAACCATCCGAGACGGCAAATCCAACCTCCCATCGGGGATCTGGGCTACATGTGATGATCTCATCCTTGGCGGGAGGGCTATCATCACCACGCTCCTTGCGGATGGCTTTGGTATACATTGCCATGTATTGCTTGAAGTTGCGGATGGGAATCCGGGTGCCATTCAATTTGACAGCAACGTTGGCCGTACCCGCCAAATCGTAGACTCTGCGCTTCACGAGTGCTTCGAAATCGTCGTCGATGCCCTCCATACCAAACTTCGCGAAGTCCGGTTTGAATGTGACCTTGGTATAGTCATCTCCCTTGGCATCCGTGATCTTGGCTTTGCCCATCTTGGTCATATTATCGGTCCAAGTTTGCTTGTACTTCTTCTTCTGGCGAGAGTCCTGAGTCTCCAGGTTGAATTCAGTCGAGAAAACATTACAAAGTTTGGCACCGAAACCGTTACGACCACCAGTCACCTTCTGCTGACTATCATCGTAGTTCGATGAAGTGAGCAGGTGACCGAAAATGAGCTCAGGGACATAAATTTTCTCCTTCGAGTGGATCTCGATAGGAATACCACGTCCGTTATTCCACACGCTGATCTCGCCAGCTTCGCGGTCAATTGTGATGCGCATCTCATTCATGTTCGCGTCATTGTGTTTGTTATCGGCTGCGTTTACAACAATTTCATCAAAGATCTTGTACAGACCCGGAACGAAAGAAACATCGCGGAACTCCATCACCTCGGTGGAAGAGTTATACACCCACATCTGCTGGGTGGTGCGCTCGGTCGATCCAATGTATGTGTCGGGACGTTTGATGATGTGTTCGAGTTGGGTAAGCTGCAGAGAGGATCACAATTAGCACTCAACCTGTATCGTGCAAGCATAGATAACTCACTTTCTGATACTTGTCCGATGTGTTCTTGCCTGCGCCGTCTATGGGAACGTCTCCCCCGTGAGACTCATTCTCAACATCTGCAAGAGGCTTTGACCCAGCTCGTTTGGGCGCAGCTGTCTTCTTCGCTTTAGGGGGGGTTATGGAGAGGGAATCATTATCGGACATTTGGATATCGGACAATTCGTCCTCGCTTTCGGCCTTGGCCTTCTTCTTAGTGACGGCCGATTTGGCAGCAGGTTTGGCCTTGAGTGTGGTTTGAGTAAGCTTCTTAGCGGCAGCTTTGGCGGGAGCTTTCTTCGGAGCTGCCTTAGCTTTGGGCTTCTATAGACGCGACAAGTCAGTAAGAGATGTTAGGTGTCATATGTGGCATGCGATCCATACCGCCACAGGCTCAGGTGCAAAGTCAGAGCTGCCTCCATCATCCTCGAATACTGAGTCTTCCATCATCGAGTCATCCATGATGAAGAGATTAATAAACTAGTAGACTCGATTGCGGGAGAAAAAAAGGACAAGCCTAAGTCAGGCCTAGGAATGAAATCAACGAGCGTTGCTATAGAGTTAGTAGATATGTCTAAAGAGCAAAGCAATTCAGACCCGGCATGCTCCAAGCCGGCAATAGGTGAGAAGCAGATGAAAAGAGAGAGATGCAGAGGGGAAGCGACTCTATTGTTTTTTGCCTGAAACGCGACTTCCCCAACCTGCAGGGCGGTGGGCAGTTTGTAGCCACTCGGATCATCATTCTTCCTCACCGCCTGCAACTGCGACCCAAATAGGAAATTCCTAAACAAACGATGGCCCCTCAACTTCTGTTGTAGCTTAATCAACTACATATGTACATAATGGTGGGATAATTGAAAGGATAAGGCAAAAAACAAATAAACTTTACACCAATATTACATAGCTAACGCTGTGTTTCCTCAAAAACTATGCTTGAGAGAATCGAAGAGCCATCATCTTAGAATTATACATAGTTCGGCGCGTATTTTGACAGCGGGTAATATCTCCTACAGAGTACCATGAGTGGCTAACTCCCTTGGCTGTTCTCTTTTGAATGAATGATCATCTTTCAAGGAATTCAATTGTATGGGTCTGATCTATTCCACCGAGATCTAGAATAGCAAGGAACGACTTACATGAAATCTGATATGATCTTTGATTTGCACTTACTTTGTGCACATATGACCCAAGACTACAGTATCATACATTTCATCTATGACAATAGGCCTCGACTTAATTTATATTAGCCAGCAGATGAGCCTTGAAGCCATCAGCTGTGGGGTTGATTCAATATAGCCCTTGCGTCACCCTAACTACGTACTACAATGCATATTGGTAGCCCTCTCACCCCTGGCAATTTCTGCCACTTCAAGAGACTTCAGGAGAGAAGATACATACTCCAAAGCAAGATTGTCTCGCTCTTCAGCCATTAAACCATATCCTGTCTATATCCAGGATGTCCCCATAACCCCAAATTATATAACCAGGTTCAAAGTGGTAAAAAACTTATCCAGCCGCCTAGTGAACAGGATCCACAGTCTTTAGTCTATGAATTATACTTACCAATGTACATGTATGTATTTCAGACAGGTTTACAAAGAACAGTGATCTTCTTTCATGTATATTGTGCCTGGTAATTTTCGAACTGAAAGGTGGGCTCAAAAATGCAGGTTTGACAGGCGGACCGCATGGGCCAGAGGATCCACACAAATAAAATGTTAGGAATGGAAATAAATAGTTGTTTACTCCTCGCAGGGGATATGATGAGAGTTCGGCGTAATTTCCGAGTCAAGATTTCGCAAACTCATACAGAGTACGGAGTACTCTATACAATATCATACGATCCTAGCCAGCCTCAATCCCCTTTTTGACGCACTTTGAAACGTGCAGCCAGGGGTGGTAATGGCATTACACTTTAAGACTCTGGGGCTACCTTGGAATCCACCAATTAGACTAGACTCTGGGAAGTTTTAAACCAATGAAGTTCATTGCATCCTATATCTGGATATCTAGTGGTAATGACATTACACAGTTTCACAATGTGCTTAGGATGCTTGCAAGGCTGTACCTGCATTTGATACGTACTTCGATGAATCAAACATGCATTTTGAAATAACATATACATACTCTGTATGCATGTGAGATATAGGAACAGATACAAAAGAGTTGTCCCTTCTACAATATTGTACTCCGTACTCTGTATGTACTCAAAAATCCATAAAATCCATCAATACACAAAAGACTAGAGATCCCACGAACCCCTGAAAAGAAACCACGCTGTATAACGTGGGAAACCGTTGACCAAATTTAGGGATCTTACTCTGTAAAACAGTAAAAAATTAGAGACTCGAGTAGTCAATATCTACTCCGTAGGACAAAATGTAATATATTGATTTCACTGGTCAAACAGTCGGTGTATGATCGACAGAGCCGAGACTCCAGGAGGGGAAAGCTAAAGGGGGGGCTAGCGAAATAGGTGGGCTTCCCTCCTGACTCCCTTTTTCTTTCTCCAGCCTTTCCTTCTGTACTCTACTCTCATAAGGTCCACTCGAGTTGTGATTTGAGATTTGTTAACTTGATCATTCGTGATCGCGAGGAAATACATTGTTGCAACGATATGAACTAGAACATCCGATATCAATACTTACGCGTCTATTCGACTACTGGAAATTAATTTCCCAATCGCGTCATAATCACAATGGGAGCCGCAGAGCCTACATCCCCCAGCACTCCGCACGCGCCGAATCATGACTCAATGGTCACCGTCGCGTTGTCAGATAACCAGTCCAGTTCAGAGCACTCTCAACCCGATTGGCGCACGCTCGACATTCCTCCAACTCCAGTGGAGATGACCCATTTTGAGAAAGAAAGTGAGGAGACATTTGGCCCGGTGCCACTTCAGGACGCGGCGCGGACTATTCCTACTTCTGAAAACGATATGCCCACGCCCGGCTCGAATGGCGAGCGAAAGGAGGGCGAGATGTTCGACAACGAGGTGGACTGGGAGAATCTCGACAAGACTGAAGAGCAAGAACCGCGTGGGGAGGGGTCAGATGAGGTTCGTGACACCGGCTACCGCTTCTAGAACTGGAATGGATCGTTAACATTCTTGTCCTAAATTTAGTCTACGGCTCTGCTCCTTGCTCGACTCGAACAAGAGAACAATGCTCTAGCGACGAATCCTAAATCTAGAATCCCCGATGTTCCAAGCGCAAAGATCCATCAGCGGCAATCCCGCTCCGAATCCCTGCACCATATCAAGCGACTCATCAGGGACCCAGCGAGGGCAGAGCTGCGATACTCCCTGCTACCACCCCCTCCGATGACAGAATTAGAGTTTTGGGCTGCCCTTGTCTCCGATTACCATCGGACTGCTCAACGCTTGCCGACATTGACTTCGAATAAGATCCAGGGAGGTGTGCCTCCTCCATTGAGAGGCGTGGTGTGGCCTAGTCTGGCGGGCGCACGCGATCCTACCCTTTTGAACGAGTTTGAGAGACTTCAGGGCGAAAGTAGCCCATACGATGGGTTGATCGGCAAAGATATCGGCCGCAGCTTTCCCAATGTTGAGATGTTCCGCGATCCAAATGGCGAGGGTCAACAAATGCTAGCCCGAGTGCTGCGGTGCTTCAGTCTTTATGATACCAAGATTGGTTATTGTCAAGGTCTTGGATTTGTGGTCGGCCCCCTGCTCATGCACATGACAGATGCCGAGGCCTTCTGCGTTCTTGTTCGGTAAGTCTGATCAAAGGTCGATCTGCGATGGAATCGTACTAACAATTACTTAGCCTCATGGACCATTACAACCTCCGAACCTGCTATCTTCCCGATTTATCGGGTCTTCACCTTCATGTATATCAGTTTCAAAATCTTCTGGCGCGACATCGACCTGTTTTGTTCGAGCATTTGGAGTCATTGCACGTTGAGCCTGTATATGTCTCGCAGTGGTTCTTATCATTTTTTGCAGTGGCCTGTCCACTTCCGATGCTCCTCCGAATTTATGACGTGATTTTCTTGGAAGGTGCTTGTGAGACGTTGATGCGGGTTGCACTTTCCTTGATGCAGCGCAACGAAAAGAGAATCCTGGCTTGCAGCGAGTTCGAGGACGTGATGCAATTTTTATTGTCTCGGAGCTTATGGGATACGTATGTTCTTCACATTGCAAAGGGCCGCCTTTAAAACAAAAAACATACTAATTCACGATTTACAGATACGCGTTCAACGCAGACGATCTAGTTAATGATTTCGTCTCTCTCACCCCTCTCGTAACAAATGAGAGCCTTCGAACCCTCGAAACTAGCTACAACCAGTCTACAGGCTCTCCAGCTGGAGTATCTTTCCCACAGATGCAGGCCACAGCCTCTGGATTCCTAGGACGCCTATGGGCCGGCTCATCGAACAACCACAACTCAGTCAAGTCGCTAAACCCAAACGCAAGTCCGTCACGAACTAACAGTACAATCCGTCGCTCCACCTCTAAACAAAGCCTCACTTCCACCTTAAACTCTATTGAAACCGCGTCCGATGCCAGCACCGCAGCCACGGATATGTCAACGGTCACAGCTAGCATGGACGGCCAGAAGCCGCGTATCAAGTCTACGATGTCCTCCCACCACAAAGACCGTGATCTTCATACTCAGATTGAAGATCTATTGATGGCACTCACCGATCTTCAGCGCCAACAAGCTAATCTTAGCCTTGAACTTCAGCAGGAAAGAGAAGAACGCGAGGAAGATCATTCTTTGGCCAAGGAGATGTTAATCCACATCCGAGAACACTCGACCGAAACACCATCTGAAGAATTGGTCTCAAAAGCCTCAGCGCGCTTTGAGTCTGCAAAACCGAGACGTATCTCAATTACCCGAACCAAGCTCGAACTGAACGATGAGGTTACTCGATGGAAGGAAATGCACGAGCTGGAAGCCGGTCGCTGCTTGAACCTCACCCGTCGCATCGACGAGTTTGAGCAGGAGAATTCATCACTGAAGGAACAATTACGGGAGGCCCGGGGTCGCATCCAGGATGGCTATCGTGATCGACAACGCCTCGAGCGTATGAACCGGGAGCTGCGTACTCTCAAAACTCCCTCGGAAAACTGGACACCACCAGAAAGCTCACCCTCCTCGGCAATCGATGAGGCTCAATCTCCTACTAGCGGTCTCCGGGAACTCAAACTTGCTCGTACCAACTCCACAAAGAGCCCGACATATAACAGACGAACTAGTAGCCTGGGTCTCCAAACCATCTTGTCGACTGAGAATAACAAACCGGCTGCTGACGAGGCCTTGCTCATGGAGCTGGTCAATGCCAAAACTGCGGAGGCAGTGGCCAAGCAGGAGCTTGAAGAAGTCAAGGGCAAGATGGAATCATTGCGAAAGATGATTAGTGCACCCCAGGGGTCGAAAACCGAAAACCGCCATTCTATGATGGGGTTGTCGCAGGCTCGAATTAGCATAGCCAATAAGTCTCCCCCCGAGGCTCCCAAGACGCTTGGGACACTTCCGAATAATGGAGGTGGGTTCTTCAGTGGATGGGGTCGGCGGACTCCGACAAATGAAAACATCTCTTGAGGATCGAGAGAGACACGTGTGTAACCATATTGAAAGCCTTGAAATATGTTGAATTACTGTTACATTGGGCCTGGAGCGATGTTTCTTTTGAATTTGTTCGAGTACTTAACGATATTCCCCCTATTCAAGAAGTACGTGTGTCATCTTCTCGATTGAATTTCATATAAAAACAAAACAAATAATAAAAACTATTTCGGAAACAAAGAAAGAAGCTAAGAGAACATCCGGTAGGGCTGGCTGGCCCAATGACCCGAAACATCGTATAGTACAGCACCTATTTTTCTGTACAACAAAGCCCTGGAGAACACGTACTATTGCAGATATCATATAATAGTCTTATTTAACGTCTTTTCGCAAACAGCCACGTCCTTTATTGAATACCAGCCAAGACGCTACCCTACGTCCCAATGTAAGAAGCCCCTTAAGGCTGCCTGATAGTTATCCATCATGGTTCCATGATTCTCTACTCAAACAGGGGCTAGGCTTGCGTATGAAATTAAGGATCATAAATCTCAGTAAAAGAATTTGTCTCATTAGTTCAAAATGTAGCAAATGTAGCAAATGGCAATCAGTTAAGCACGAAATGAGACCCTGTAGCCAGAAACGGCAAATGGAGTAGCAGAAAGAAAGGAGCAACAACGTCTTCATCTGCCTATGTATCACGCTCCATGTGCTGCAATGCCTTGGGCAATCTATGCGTCATCCTTCTCCTCCAGCTCAGTGTCTGCGCCTGCCTCATCGTTGGAGCTGTTGGCCTTTTCAGCTGCCTCCATCTCTTCAATTTTTCTCTTCAGACGGGAGAAGCGCTTCTGCGCAGCACTGTTTTTAATACCGTACTGGTGGGCTACAGTAGCAAAGTTGACCTACATCAAGTTGTTACAATAGTCAATAAAACCAAGGAATCAATCATGTTGGTACTCACATTGGCATCAGCTGATTTGAAGCAGGACCAGAGGAACAGGAGCTGCTTCTTCAGCTCAGGATCCTTGAGCTTAGCAGGGCTGTTGGCAGGAGCCCGTTTGACGACCTTCTTAGAGGTTTCCTGCTTAGGTGCCATGGTTACAACAGATAGGGACTGGTTGATGTGTGAAAAAGATGCTGTTTTGGATGCTGCGATGCCGTCAATGGTCAGTATCCGTTGGCAAAAGTAGAGGATGGACAAGGGACAGAGCAACCAGTTGATGGCTGATGGGAGTAACTCATGGCTAACTGACAGGAAATGATAGGTTGATAGGTTGGCAGCAAATTACTGGCAATGTGGACGATGAGGTGTTGTGGGGGGAAGAAAGGAAGAAAGAAAGGCGACAATGCGATTTGTTTATATCGTTTGCTTTCGTGATTTTTCGGAAATTTTTTGAATTGCGATGGATACTTCTGTCCGATTGACATATATAAACAATGCCGTTTATTCCCACAAGCACCTAGTTGTATATCTCTGGGAAGTACACACACTCTAGGGCTATCTGCATAGATGACCATGAGAGTACTATCATCAACTGTTTGTTTTTATTTTAATCCCTTTCATTCACATCACCAATCTTTCGGTGATCCCAGGCTATGATATAAGTACTTAATGTACAAAATTGCTGTTTGGGGAAAGTCGGAAACAATCGACATAGAATGACGCAAATATCCTGTATATTTGACTATAACGTGACTGCGAAGACATAATACAAATTGATATACACCTGGGCAGTTTCAAAACATATAAGGGCATACTTCTATGTGTATATGTATACTGTGATTGTGAAATTTAGGATGTCGTTGCCCAATACTGCCGCTATATCCAGCCCTACCTTCCAACCATACCCACTTTTCCATCGCTCTCTATCTGATACTGTTATCCTATTTCATCTTCAAAATGACAGACCCAAGCTCTGCAAAGTCGAATGAAGCCCTCGCGCTCCTCTGGGCTTACGAACTCAACCGTGAGAACAAGCACCTGTTCAAGGGACTCAAAAAAGCGAACCGATGCCTCGCCGGATGTGACAAATCCCACCCATCATCAAAGAATGTCGACCATGAGCTAGGTCTCGGCGATACCAGGAAAAAAAAACCCAAGAAGACCTAATGCTATCACTGTGCACAGTGTACACCGAAGAAGAGCAAGCGAAACCTGAATATTCTTCCGCAAACCAACAAGGCAGAATAAAAGACTATTATGCAAAATGAGGTGTCCTTGAATGCCACAGATTAATCTTGCATGATTACTCTACCTGCTTAGTTATTATGTTCCTACCACCTACATCTATCAGCCCTTGTCGTGCTGTAGTATCATTATTCGAAGACACAATGCATGTTGCGGGTTTCGGATGGAGTTGCACTACGTAGGCATGCAGTTGTGCAACATGAGCTATAATATGTCCTTACAAAGAAACAAAGGGACCCTAGCATCAGGCACATCCAACTTTTTCCCGGACTACATACCCCCGATCGGAATTGACCCGATGCGGGGAGAGAGGGGGACACAACTCATGCTCAGATTCATTTTTCTGGTTGAGATTCCTCGACACAAGCGAACTTCTATCATTATCACAGACTCACCGACGAAATGGTTCTCACCCAGCCTCCAAATCAGCATGTTATGAAAGCGTTCGACCTCACCGGCAAAGTCGCCGTCGTCACTGGTACGTCATGCCTAAACTCTGATGGATCTCACTAATAATCCATAGGAGGTGCCCGTGGAATTGGCCTCGAAGTCTCTAGGGCGCTAGCAGAAGCTGGTGCAGATGTGAGCTATAATTTCGCCAGTTCAGGCTCAAATGCTGACATGTATGCAGGTTGCTCTTATCTATAACAGCTCTAAATCAGCTGACACAGTCGCATCTGAGATCGCATCTACCAACAATGTGCGCGCAGCAGCTTACCAAGCCAATGTTGGCGTCCAGGCTGAGATCGAGGCCGCTGTGAAGCAGGTCGCGAAAGATTTCGGGAAGCTTGATATCATGGTTGTTAATTCTGGAATTGTCTCAAATATTGCTGCTGAGGATTACACAACTGATCAGTGGAGTGAGATTATGAAGGTTAATCTTGATGGCGCTTTTTATTCTGCTCAGGCTGCTGGGCGAATCTTCAAGGAACTGGGCCATGGGAATGTGATTTTCACGGCTTCGGTCAGTGCGACTTTGGTGAATATCCCACAAAAGCAAGCTGCAGTAAGTTTTTCTTATCAAAATCCTAACCCATTGCGCTACGCTGACAGCGACAAAGTACAATGCCTCTAAGGCGGGTGTTGTTCAGTTGGCCAAGTGTTTGTCCGTCGAATGGGTCGACTACTGCCGCGTGAACTGCATCTCGCCTGGGTTTATTGGGACCGACATTCTTGATATTCACCCAAAGGAATGGCGCGAGAAGTGGTTTGATATGATACCTGCCAAGAGAATGGCTGAATGTTACGAGCTGAAAGGAGTAAGTTGCTCCAATCCCGGTTTTCCAGCAGCGATCTGACAATGTCTGACAATTCCTAGGCCTATGTTTTCTGCGCCTCTGATGCATCTAGCTATATGACGGGTGCGAATCTCGTTATTGATGGGGGTTACACTCTACCTTGAGTTAGTAATGATACTGATTTCGAATGATACGAAAGCAAGCCATAAAAAAGTATTGTAGAATTATTTCTACTTAGTGCAGTGGAAGATGATCAAAAAAAAATTTATAAGTGTCCCCAGACTGCTCTTGACTTGTATTATTGGCTTCGATCGCACAGCAAGAAGAGTCTAAATCATGCAGATTTGACTTGACCAATGGAGGTAAGGCTTTTCGGAAGTATGTATAAACCTAAGCTAATATTTCGCACTGCCGTCCCCTGCAGCCACCCGCCAATCTCTGCCAACTCACTCATAGTCACTCATACTAGGAGGAAGATCTTCCACGCGGGTACCCCACGGGCTCTCTTTAGGACCCAACTCAAGCTCAAGTACACCACCTTCGGTGAAGAAGTCATGAGTGAGCCAGTTCTTCGTCCAGGGCTTGCCATTCCATGTAGCGCTCTGGATGTAGATAGACTTGTAAGTAGGATCGAAATTGATGTTCCGGATAGTGGCAACCTTTCCAGTGAGGTCGTTGCGAATGCTGACTTCTTTGAAGTAAGGAGGGTGTGATAAGGTAGACGTCTTGACCGGCCACGGGCCAGATACCCATCATGCTGAGAGCGATGAAAGAGCCCATGGCTCCGCTGTCGTCGTTTCCGGCGATGCCATTGACGGTTGTGTTGAACTGTGATGGGATGTAGGAATGGCTTTGCTTTGCTGAGAGGCCTGGGCGTCCGGCGTAGTGGAATTGGAAAACGGGCAGGAAGGCCTGCTCGTCACCTACGTAGAGCAGTCCGGAATCGTGGAGATAGCTCAGTCGAGAGGCGAAGGACTCGGCGCCGCCAAGAGTCTTGATCAGAGAGCCCATATCGTGGGGTGCGTAGCTGCAGGTAACAGTCGTTAGTTATGGGAATGAATGGAAAGAACGAGGAATAATTGGACACGTACAACGTGTACATCCATGCACTGCCCTCATACGTCTCATGGCCATCGGGATTGAGATAACACGAGTCAAAGTTCAAAAGTGGACTGCAAAATATCGGGTCTTGGTAGGCCCATGAGCCATTCATAAACCGAGGCTGCAGGTACCCAGTGAAACCAGTGTCGACACCCTTAATACTTGATTTTTGGTCTGCTTTGAACACATGGGCCCAATTGCCTGATCGCTTCGTGTATTTCTCATAGTCGGCCTTGTGACCCATGCCCTGCGCCATTTCAGCGATGCAGAAGTCGTTATAGGCATATTCCACGGTCCGTGAAACACTCCGAGTGTGTGTTCCTTTACCATAGGGATCAGAATCTTGATATGGAATATAACCTAGGTTTTTCCAGCTGTGAAGACCACCTCGGCCTTCAACGTCCCAGTTCGGGGCTTCTACCTCTGCGTCTTTGACAACAGCCTCATAGGCAGTATCCCAATCAATACCTGGAACCTTTTTCAAATACCCATCGGCTATGACGACATCCGCATTAGAGCCGCCTTGTGTGAAGCCTTTGCAGAGCGACATGCGACAGTCAGGTAAATATCCCTCATGTCTGTAGGTGTCGATCAAACTCCGGATCATGAGTGATTGCGACTTAGGATCAATCAAAGTTAGCAGTGGATGGATGCTGCGAAAAGAGTCCCAGATGCTGGATTGTAATATTAGCATGCCAATAAACCATTTTGAGTGGGATTATCTCACCAATAGAAGCTGTCATAATACGGCTCATCACTTTTCCAGAGAGGGTTTTCGCCGGTATAGTCCTGGGGACTGATCAATGTTCGGTATGCTCCACTCCAGAACACCTTTTGCAAGTCCGAGGAAACCCCAGTGGCATCCACAGAGACGACATTCAGCTTCTTTTGCCAAGCGGACTCAGCTGCAGAAACGGTGCCTTCGAAATCGAAGTCAGGTTGTTCTCGCTCGGCATTAGAGCATGCTTGTTGGACACTAATGAAGCTGACTCCAACACGAGCAAGAATGCTGCCATCTTTGGGAGCGTTAAATCTGGCAAATGTACCGGCTGAGAGTGCAGAATCTGTGTTAGACCCAAGTTCCAATATATTTTGGGCGGTGTTGACTGTCTTGTTCGCCCAGCTTCCTGTATCGCGAAGCTCTGCTCCTTTGAAATCCACACAGGCATAGGACTTGTAGGTGCCAATACCGAAGCTAGGAGAGAAGACACCACTTCCTGTAAGACGCCCGGTCTTTGGATCAACACCAGCACTTCCATTTGATCGTGACTGGGGCAAATCCATCAAGTCCAGAAGAATGACTGGACTGAGTGGTTCACTGGTGTCAGTGAAGGTGAAGCGATACAAAGCAGATCGATTTGTCGTTGTCATTTCCGCACGAACGCCATTCGCCAATGATATGCCAAAATATCCAGGGCGAGCTTTTGGAGACTCCTTGTCCCAAATAGACGCTCTATCATCCTGCTGCCACTTGCATTGTTTGATATCATCATGCGGGCAATTGGCTTGGGCGAATATAGGAAAGTTTCCCATTGATGGCGACTAATTAGGTGTTAGAAGAACAATTCTCGCATGGTCAATAAAACTCACGCCGCCAGTCCCATCATCATGCATATGCGAGAACCCGGTGACGACTTCTGTATCAAAAGCAAAGCCTGCCTGGTTCTCGCCTTTTGTGTCTGCGACAGCTTTGGCCATTCCTGCTTTTGTTAGAATGACCATCGAGCAAAATGTACAGAGCGACTTACCAAATGGCAAAGTGGCTCCTGCGAAAACATGTCCTGCAAGAAAATGTCAGGTTTTGCTGGCAACAATGGCTTCATGTTTAAGACACACCTCCATTTGAAGTGCCAATCAAAGGATCGACATATTTCAAGATGTCATTAGCCGAAACATCCTGCCCAGCGAGGACGCTCGACGCATAGAGAGCTGTTGTGATTCCACCCAGGAGCCCCATGTGAAGGGGTGAATGTGACATGATGAATTTGGCGCACTGTTCACCACACACTAATTATCTAGACTCAACAGCTTTAAGAGAAAAAACGCGATCCATGAGGATTCAAGCTCTTTATTTACCGATCGGCGAAAAGTCGCGGGGAAAGCATTCCAGGCCGATCGGCATGGGAGCTTCCCTTCAAGGAAAGCGCCAATCACTTTTGGGCCAAATGAAAATACTAGAAATGTAGCATCGGCCAAAGCGACAGTGTCACATCTGTGTTTGGAAAGATACAGATATGCATGTCATACTGGTTTCCCCAGAGAGGGGTGTAGCGGAATACACCGCAAAGATGGACATGAAAGATGCCTGAATAGGGATCGAATGAAAGGATCAGTATGGTCCGGGTTCCTGGAGTGTCGATCCTTGAAGTCCGGGCGATTTAGTACCCCGAGCTGCGGGGAACATCGTCTCTCCAGTCACATCCGTCAATTCCGAGATTCAATGAAATTGAAGCCTCCACATTCTTCATGTAACCTTCTCCGCGCCGTGTTGCGTTTATGTGGAGTAAGTCAGGTGACATTGAAAACTTGCAATAGGAAGGTCGGCTATTTGCAAATGGGGGTCATGTATCTGGGACGGGCGTGTTCGGTGGATATGAGGTACCTCAGAGTGATTGTGGTTGGAAAGTGTGGAAATCCCGAGTCGCCTGAGGGGTCCTTGGTGTTTTATCACACTTGACTAATTTCGATCTCGAAAGAAGCTTCCATGTGAAGCATAAACAATCAAATCAAATCGAGGGCGATGCTATCCCAGGACCTCTCGCTTCGTTGTGCTGGGGGTCTTGGTATGCTGTGTGAAAATGTCGAAGGACTGGCAATGGTGGACTCTCGCGATAACCTAGAGTCAAGGTATGCTTTGATTTGTGTGTTCTCATTCTGTGTTCTGAAATATTCCTCTTCCAGATTAGTCTTCTCTTGCATTAAGGTCCGATGTGATTCGATCTCTTGCATCATTAGATTGAGCTGGGTTTTGAACTGCGCTCCATTGACGGACTGATCAGTGTCATCATCTGGCCGAGATAGATATTTCAAGAGCTCAGGGTACATCTCTGAAATGGGAGATAGCTCAGTTGGTATACCTTGACCATTAGATTCATCGATCCTGTTCCACGCAGGAGGCGCCATCCGAGGAACTCCGGATGATTTACACTTTGATCCCAATGGTGATTTTCCATCGTGAACTTGAGTGGTTTTAGATGGTGAGTCCTGGGCTTGCGAATTACGAACGCTGGGAGTTGCACATCCAGAGCCAGCTGGTGCCGGAGACGGCGTTGGAAACTTGGGTGGCGCTTGATCCCAACCTCGTGCCCGACAAGAGGGACAGTAGAAGTTATTTGCGGAGCGTACCACATCCTGGAGACATGCTGTATGATAGGATCTACAGCATGTTTGACATCCAATTAGACTGTCGGGGAGGCGGCACTCCCAGCAAACTATATTATGAGGCTTCCCGGCATCTGCAAACAATCAAAAAATATTCCAGATCACTACAACGGGCTAGCATACCAATCCATTCGTGATATACGCGAATCTGTTCCGGGCCTGAAAGAACAGGCTGCGTTGAAGATATTGAGCCCCATCGGATTGAATTCGGTTGGACATCATCTTCAATTGATCGAGCTAAGGGAGTCGAAGAGCCACTGTGATCAACAAGAAATGCTGGTGTTCGTAGCATCGTGTATGAATAGTTGAAGAGGTGAATGACGACAGGATGTACAAAGAATGAAGGTCAATGATGCTTTTGGATCCGAACTTCGGGCGAGCATATCCCGAGATAAGGATTAGTCAGCATCAAACGCACCCCCGACGCCTTGCATCATTTCAGTAGAATTTTGCTTTTGAATTTTCTCGAAAGACTTGGAATCTTTCATATTCTCGGCATTTGAGGCTTGCGGAGAATTTCTTGATCTATTTGGTAGTTCGTCATCATCATTCATGAGTTTCACTTATGACATCAACACCGGATCAAGAGCATCAAGTCGATATACTCCAACCCCACAATGCCCGGGGTTCCATCTAATAAGGCTTGTGAGCGATGCAAAAAGAGACACCTCAAGGTTAGTCTCATAATACTTGCATATAGTATCGCCTAACTTTAACATTTACCAGTGTGATGAGACCCGCCCTCATTGCCATCGATGCACCACTGCGGGCGTTGAATGCCCGGGCTATGTTCAAACACGCAAATTCATCGATCAAGGAGCAACAGTAAGACGGCGCTATGCTCCATATCAAGAGGCTCACTCGAAAAGCTCAGAGCCCAATCCGAGCAGAGTACGTCGAACTGCCAACCTTATCTTAATTCAGGCACTTATATCATGGTATAGGTGCATATTGAGCAAAATTCAGAATTCGTACAGTCGAAAGATAATGAGCTAGGTGTTAATGAGCAGGTTCTGCAGTGGAATCAACCACAAGAGCAAAATAGCCCTCTTCATTTGCAGATGGAAGGGACGAGATTGGAGTCAAGAAATGACCTGATGAGAATGGATGTATCCGATCCTGGTCGTTCAGGAACAGATCCGGGGCCGCAACAAACTACATATGATGCTCCCGAGGCGCGATCAATGTTTATTCCCATCTCCATTCCTGAAATTGCAGAACGCAGCAAGTCAATCTCTCCAAAGGCCGCTTCACGGGGGTTCCGGACCTTTGAGCAAGCCGTCAACTCCACTCCACAAGACAGCCCTGATATCCAAAGGGTGCGTTCTTCGGAAAGTTCATCACATCGAAGCGAGAAGGAAGAATTCCAAGATATCTTCTCGGAACTCATGACAGGAACTGAGCATGAGATCGCGTTCCTCACTAGACATTATTCCGAGGTTATCGGGCCTTGGTAAGTACTGATCTTTCATTTTCTCTATACAGTATATTAATTGTGCGCTCAGGTTGGATTTATCCGACGCAGCAAAATTCTTCTCCGTGTATGCTCCTGTCCGGGCCATCAACAATATGTCAGTGAAATATGCCATTGCAGCTCTGGCAGCGAAGCACCTAGCCCGAGTAAAGGGCGCCACCTCTCCAAACGGTGGAATGTTCACAAGCCCGGCAACGACGGAAATCTATCCCAGTGCGACCCAGGTGGACTGGTTTCTCAAAGCCGCCAACTACTACTATCTGGCAGCATCGGATTTGAATAATCTCACATCTGATGGTTACACAACTGTGTCTAGCTCGGCTGTCTTGGAGTCCCCCTTTGAAACCCTTGGTCGATGGATTAGGTCTCAGAAAATCCAAACAAATCTAAAGCCCGCCAGTGAAGATCCAGACGATGTGGCTCTCATTCGAAAAACAGAAGAGCTTTTGGCCACAGCTACTCTACTCACCATGTACAGACTTTTGGATATGCCTGGCGATGAGTGGCACATGTAAGATATCTTTGTGGGTAAATTTACCTTGCTGTACTGAACACTCGACGCAGGCAAATATCTCGTATCCGCCCTTTGTTTGATTCTCTGCTCAATGTATATTTGACAGCATCGTCTCCCTTTTCCCATGGAATTCGAGCTGCTTTCTGGAACTTCGCTCGCCAGGACTATCTCGGTTCCTACTTCACCCGATCACCTACACACCTCGATCCAGAGAATTTAGGCCTTTGGCGCACAGCGGGTATCGCAATCAATGACCAGAAAAAGTTCCATCTCGTCCAAAACGGATCAAATCTATCACGCGAAGACCAAGCAGCCAACGGCTTGACCTGGCTGAATACAAAGGTTATCAATTTCCTCGCCAGGTCGAAGCAAATACAGATTGCGCAATGGACAGGATCCCCGCCAACAGCTTCATCTGAAATTTCAGGCGCATCGCCAGGTGCCAGTCTGCCATATCCAGACACGGAGACCTGGCTCAAATTATCTTTTGAGTATCAAACATGGTTCGAAAACGTCCCAGAAACTTTCCGCGCGTCGGTCCGCATCGAACGTCCCAAGGATCTATCGAAACCAGCGGAAGGAAGTCGCCTGCCATTTCCTGAAATCTTCCATGGCTTGACAACTTGCGCTGCTGCCATGCAGCATTACCATTTTGGGCGCATCGCGCTGTTGCTGAATCGACCAGCGGATGAGTTCAGCGCACCCTCTACGGCCTTCGATCGTCTACAAGGGTATCGGGAGGTCACGAAAGAGGTCGAGTTCCGTTCGCGCGAATTGTGTGGTATCGCTTTGGGTCGCCCTCAAGGCGGAGTTCGTATATTTATGGTCCCGCTACTTGTCGCTGTCGGACAATGTTTAGAAAGTGCTGAAGAACATCAGATTATCGTGGATCTTTTACGTGGCGTCGAGGCTGATTTGGGTTGGGCTACTGAATATGCCGTTCAGAAACTCCTAGATTCTTGGAATCAGGGAGTGTAATGCACATTTGTATAATGTGTTCATACCTGAAGCCTTCCTACTATTGTACATAGAGTAGTTTATATACTGGTCTCATATAAATAATCTTATGGATTCGTTCTTGGTTCGAAATATGTAGTGAGCCACAGGTGATGCAGAATCTCACATAGTTCGGAAAACAGATTAAGCGTTAGAGACCGGTATCTGACCGTGCTCAATTTCAAGTTCGGGCGGAAACAAGTCCCTGACTTAGATGTTAGATTTGGCCACAGCATGATGGAATTCTTTCGTCACCTATAGTCTGAAAACTATCAAATGGATTTATCAATTCTATCAAAGCACTCAAATCTAAAAGGCTTTTTATAGCAATGTCAATAAAAATAGTCCAATAAATAAAAAGAAGCTCGATTATGCGCCCAATTTCTCTTGTCTCTGAGTCCGATGTATAAACTTTTATTTTTCCTCATTGAAATGCGAGTCTCAACATCAAGATATCTAATATCTATCTAATCTAGCAATCAAAGATCACTCCTACTCACTACCATCGTCCACATTCAAACTAGACCTGGGCTCGAGTCCTATTTCTTCGAGATTCATCCGAAGATTGAGACAAATACCGCTCGACAGGGTCCGGATCGCCAGAGCCACAAGAAGAAACTCTGCGGCCAGCAGCCTTTCTGTCGGCAGCCAAGGTCTGTGCGAATGGCGAGTTGTCACGGATTTGAGGACCCTTCCAGTAGAAAACATAGATCGGGATGGTGAAGAGGATCGCCATGAACCCTAGGAATGTTGACGGCCATTCGAGATGATGCTTTGTGCCCATGTGCGTGTACACTACGTGTTGCGATTAGAATTATTCATGCTTAGGGGCTCCGGTGTACACTTACTGGGTACGGAATACATTGCTGCAATGCCGGCCAGGAAATCACGAGCGAAGCCGTTTCCTCCTGTTGCTGAGGCGGCATATGGCCCATAAGCCGCTATCATGTAGTCGACCGTGGCCATGTAAATGGTGTACTTTACCACAAAATCGTTAGTTAACGTCACAGCAAGAATGGTTATATGGGCTTACGTTGGCAATAGCAATCAAAGCCGAGAATATCATGGGTGCGATCCAGTGGACATGAGGTGGACCGAGACTCGTCCATGCAAATCCAAATAGACCAATTGACAACAGGGGTGCCACTGCCACCAGTTATTAATGGAAACGTCCAGAATTTTTGAAAATCACTCACCGTATAGCAACCAGTAAAGACGAGCCTCTGGTAGAAGGCCATCAGGGTCCTTTTCTCTGATTCGACAATGTCGGTGAATCCAAGGAATGAATGAGAAATAGGCCATCAAGTATCCCACCATCAGTCTATGGTGAAATAGTCAGAATAATACAAAATTCTGATCTTCCATACTCACGGAAGGAAAGCAAGTCCAGTGGTAATGGTGGTGAAATGCCACTGCTTATACACCGGGGTATATGATTGAAGGAAAGTAAAAATCAGAGAATCACTGAAGCCGCTGAGCAGCGAGAGACACAGCACAATCGGCTCACGCACGAACATGATGAAAGGCCGTACCCAAACCATGAACACCCAGCGGAAAGACATACGCGTTTTCTTCAACTCATCACCGCTCCATACCATCTCCCCATTCTTCCGCCTCCGCCTCGCCTCTCTCGTAATAAGAACGCTGCATCTGGTCTCCGGAACAAAGAAATGCAAGATTTGCACAAATCCACCAAGAATCAGCTGGATCCAGAAGTTCCACCGCCAGGAAAGGAAAGTCGCCACGAAACCACCGACAACGGGTGCAATCACCGATCCTGTCACTGAAGATAGCACAATGAAGGCCACAGCGTATTGCTGGTCTTCTGGCTCCCACATATCGGCGACCATACCCAGTGTCACGGAGCCACCGGCAGACGATAAACCACCGAGAATGCGACATACGATTATAGTGCCAAAGTTGGGGGCTAGTGCACAAGGTATTTGCCAGATGTTGACGAAGAGCAAGCTGAGCTGCATGATTGGCCATCGACCAAATTCTTCGCTGAAAGGCGCCCAGAACTCGCAGCCAAAGGCGTACGCAACGAGGAAGCCCATTTGGCCAATTCGCGCGGCTTGCTCGCTGATACTGAAGTGTTTTGCATACAGGCTGACGCTGCTAGAGTAAAAACCGGCGTTGAAGTTCATGGATGTCTGGACCGCAAAGATGACTGAGATAATGGCCCATCTCTTCCACCAAGGGAAGGCATATCCGGTCTTGTCGTAGCATTCCCAGTGCTTCAATTCAACATTGTTTTGTCCTGCTTCCGCTTTCTGGAGAGGGGGCCTCCGGGTTTCGTCAGGAGAACGACTGTTACCATCGTTCGAATCTTGCTTCTCCACGTCTGTGTCCGAGCCATTGGAGTGTTGATCCTCGTGGTGACTCATTGCAACGAGAGGTCTGATGGGTATAACTCAAGGGCTTTTAGGAAAACAGCAGCCAAAAGAGCAAAGACTGCCATTCTGGATAGCAGGAATGAGCTAGGGCCGAGCTTGATTATAAGCCTTTTATTTGGGCAGCAAAAAGACTCGACATCGTCGAGCAAAGTGCCGATTCCGCACCAAATTGGTAGTAGAGATAGAGAATCATTGTTTCCGATTGGTCCGGGACCTTCACATCCTGGCTCAACCAAGCTCCTCCAGGCTCCTCGCGTGGATTCTGGCGCGGAGGAGATATCCGGGGGTTCATGACGATAGACGGAGTCATTTACCTTGAATCATTTCTTCGCTCCGCAGTCTGGAGATTGAGGAGAAAAGACCCACGACAGGTCGCAATTAGAACCCGGCATCTTCGAACCCGACTGTTCGATCTGTTTGGACTGCCAATAGATAGACTCATGGCAGGCGAGAGAGTCCGGAGTAGTCTCCGGCATAGGTTTCTTCGCAATCTCCAGGTGCTCCCCGCGTGGAGATGTGTGGAAATTGTTGGGATCGCTTGCAAGGCAATATTTGAACATTGGTGTGGCTAGACAGGGATACGGTTCCGGTATAGCTGGCTTGCTGCCATAGCGTTAAATGAAAACACTCAACATTTGGTAGTCTCAAGATAGTGATTTATTAAATTAACTTCTTTATCACTCAGATGGCATAGATGATGGAAATGATTCTTATAGATTTGCTTTCTAGAATATTTCCACCCATCTTAGATCCTCAGTAAAAGAGATAGTCTAACTCAGTTATACAACAGTGGAATCAATAGTGCCTCAATTATTGACCAACACTCTCCACCTTGATCGGCATGCCATGCACGTTTCATATCCCGAATAACAGCCCCCTATTAATTCTAGTTCTGCCCTTACTTTGTTTCAGTACCTCGGATAAAAAATCCATTCGGGCGATTGAATGACGCCACTTCTCTCACTTTGGCCCGGATACATATAAGTCACGACCATAAGAGACATACACACATAGGTAACAACTGTACTCAGCGGTTTAATACCGTAGGGATCTGCCGAGTGGCGCTGGGTAAATAGAAGTGACAACATGTATTACGCTCTCCTATGATTCACCAACAGAGTCAAGTCCCCTTTAGGATGCACATTGCGGGGAATCTGGGGATGATGTGGGTCAGTTTTGGGTATTTCCGTGAATTATTCCCACGAGGTGATGGAGTAATATCTCCTAGGTTAATTAGTTGAACTGCTAGTGGTTGACTTGATTGAAACGCAAAGTTTATAATGCGTCCGTCTGATATCGAATGCACGATCTTATTGGCGTTCGGTAAATGTTTACCTTGCTTTCCCGCCAGGATTCGGCCCCTGGGCTGGGAAATTTACTTATCTCACTTAAAACTCATAGGGCCCCGTCATGTAGACAGAAACATTGATATAGTCCTGAAGGTCTTTTGCCTTTCGAGCTGATTGTGTGTGACATTCCACGTATTGAACCAACGCTAAAGGGTTCTTTGTTTCAACATGGAGATGAACTACGATGAAGGGGTGAGTGTTTCCCAGTCAATGCCATGCATTTTACTGGGTATTTTAGCTGACAGCGTACTTTTGCTCAGACTCTTCGTCAGTACGTCGCACAATAACTCACTAATAGCCCTGGTCGTCATGCATGCCTGCTAACTCTATCCAGGATCGAGCAGGAGCTCGGAACAGTGATCTACCCAGGCACAGAGATCATGGCCGATGTAGGCTCCCACCATTTCGTGAAATCGTCCTCGAAATCCGATCGAGTCTTGGTCCCTCAGCCATCGCAAGACCCGCATGATCCTTTGGTATGCGTTTTCCCAATTCCCGATTTTGAGCACCCGAGAACTGATCATAGCAGAATTGGAGCCGGTTTTGGAAGATGAGCGCCATGACAATTTCAACTTTGACATCCTTCAGTCAAGGTCTCGGTCCTTTGGCGTTGGCACCTATGTTTCCGCAACTGATGAAGGCTTTCCAGTCGGATTTGGCTGCCGTGGTGCAATTCACAGGCGTGTGCATCTTGGTTCTAGGGTTCAGTAACTTCTTCTGGTAGGAAAGGTCGAGATTTCGCAAGTATACTCATTGACATCAATCCAGGATACCCATTCAGACCTCTTATGGACGCCGACCCGTCCTGATCTTCTCGACGTTGATTTGTTTAGTCAGTAATATCTGGCGAGCGAAAGCAACCAGTTATGGAAGCTACATGGGGGCCTGCGTGCTTAATGGATTCGGCGCTGGTCCGGCAGAGGTATGTCAATCACACACTTTGATGAACACGACCTGACCTTTCTAGACATCCCAGCCGGAGATCATTGCAGACATCATGTTCCTGCATGAGCGCGGTGCTTATAACACAATGTATTTCACTGCCTACTTTGGGGCTCTCATGGTAAGTGATCCCCATTATACAGGCATGGCCACAACTAATTTGCTGCAGGTCGGCCCAATCATCGCCGGTCCAATGGCTGAGCACAGTGGGTGGCGGAGCTTCTTTTGGTTGAACGTTGGCATTCTCGGATTAGTCCTCGTGCTCCAGATATTCCTCTTCCCTGAAACAAAGTGGCATCGCGTCCATCCGGATGAGCTTGTCGGGGCCGAAACTTGCAGGCCGGCTAGCAATGACTCTGAGATAGAGAAGCCGGTTGAATTCGCACAGCAAGAGATTGCGGAAAATGGCGAGCGCGATCCTTATCTGCACAAGGGCATCCCCTCAAAGAAGCAATTCCTGCTTTGGCAGCTCGATGGAAGCAGTATCAAGACCGTGCTTCTCAGTTTCTATATTCCCTGGAAACTGCTGACCTTTCCCATTGTCGAGCTGGCTGCTTTCGTCGTGTCATGGTCAGCCAGTTGTTTCCTCACCTTGAATCTCACGCAGAGCCAGGCATTTGCAGAACCGCCGTACAATTTCAACAGCCAGACGATTGGCTTTTTCAATTTCGCGATTCTCATCGGAGCTTTTATCGGACTGGCTACTAATGGTCTGCTGTCGGATTGGGTCTCCATGAAAGCCACTCGGAAGAATCGCGGGATTCGAGAACCGGAAATGCGTCTGCCGGCGATGATTCCCTATGTTATCATTTCAATCATTGGCAATTTTATCGTTGCGTTCGGGTATCAGTACAAATGGGATTGGAAGGTAAGCACCTGCTTTCATACTGAGTTGCTTCTCTGCTGACGGTTGATAGATTATTGTGATCATCGGATACACTGCAGCTGGAATCCAGGTCGCTGCTCTTCCGGCGATTACTAGTACCTATGCAGTTGACAGCTATAAGCCCGTGGCAGGCTCAATCATGGTATCCATCACTGTCAACAAAAATCTTTGGGGCTATGGCTTCAGCAAGTTTATCACTCCATGGGTAGAACAAAGCGGGTTTGTCAAACCTATCATGTTGAACATGACCTTGGCAACATTGTGGTGCCTCTGCGCCATCCCCTTCTACTTCTATGGCAAGAAGTTCAGAGGATGGACCGCCAAGTCTTCTGTGCATAAGATGTAGAGATTTCCAGTCAGCATGTCCGGGCCACACGATGTGAAATGAAATGCAAATTTTGGAAGATAATATGGAATAAATTCTTTTGTGCTGTTATAGCTGGTATCATTATGAGAATCGAATGCAACGCCCGCTTGAAAAACGCTCAATCGTCATCGTCGTCAGGATCGTACAGATCCAGGTCCAGCATCGCCTTAGGCTTCGGCTTGGGCGCTGGAGCCGGAGCATGCGCCCGCGGCATTCCAGTAGCTGCTGATCCGGCATGGGCAGCTGCCTTCGCAGCCTCACCCGCTTGCTTTGTGCTTTCCGCGGGTTCCACCGGTGCTGGTGGCTCTGCAACCCCGAGGCCTTCAGCTTCTCGTAGCAACCGTTCCACCTCTTTTTCGGAGTCATCGCCAGCGGCGAGCTGGATTTGACCCATCAATCCCATCCGTATCCGTTCCTCCATCGGGTATGGCAGCATGTAAACCTCGCGTGTGACGTTTGCGGACTCGTCCAGCCATTGGGTTGCGTTTTTGGTGACGGACGCCACGGGCTCTGTGTCTTCTTCGGTTTGCGCTTCCCCATTCGTGCCCGTCATTGTTACGTCTTTCTCGGCGATCGCGGGCCCCTGTCGTTTCACAGCCGCGCCCGCTGCGGCATCGGCTGCTGCTTCGTGATTGTATTTGCTGATCCGACGTGCGAAATTCAGTAGTAGTTTGTAGTCGATCTCTTCGATTCCTCGTAGCACCGAATTTTTGCCCCCGAGCTCATCGTCATCGTCAGAGTCGAAGTCGCTGTCGCTGTCGTTTCCACAAGCTGTTCGAATATCTTTGTCGAACCCTTCGATGTCTCTCACGATGCCTTGGACTCGGTCCTCTAGCTGCTGCGCCTCGGCGCGTAATCGAAGAATCTTTGTATGGTTTTCTTGGTGCTGGCGCAGGGTCTCAATGACGGAGGTCAGCGCATCGTCCGCTTCGAGGAGGGCGACCGCAGCGGCCGGAGCTCCTGCTGCAGTGGGAGATGTTGTGAGACTAGTCAATAGGGCATTGAGTTTGGATTCGACGTCGGTCAGGGCGGACTGGACAAGCGCGTTCATTGTTGAATTGTGTGTGAGAGAGAAGAACGATCCCAGCTCCGACCGAGCTCTAATCACGGGTCACGTGGACAGTGCGATGAATTCCAATTGTTTCAAAATGAAAGATTGAATCAAGATTTACTTCGGGTTGTCAAGTCTTAGAATGAGTATTGTATTGTCGTACATTTGTCACAGCTGGATTGGTCTCATCTTTTCTAGGGTGGGGGTGACGGGTATATAATCGGCGGTTGATACACTTACCTCAATCCAATTCGTATCAAAATGTCCAACGCAAACTTACCTTCAGTGGACTCGAATACATATGCGACTTTTCAGTCTCCCCTTTCAAGATGTGGCCACGGTCCAGGATTGATTCTCATACGGCCTAGTTGCTATGCGACATGCCAAGCACAAAACAAATCGCTGGACCCAGAGCCGCTGATGAAATGGGCAGAGGAAAGCTTCACAGTAGCTCAAATTACCGTAGAGAGCGTGACTCAAGCATCTCTACGTGAATCAATCAATAAAGCCGAGCGTGGCTTGATCGAACGAGGATGTGATACTCGAGATAGGATGGGGTTGATAGGTGAGCGGCAACGTCTCTATCTGCAACATCTGCATACTCACATAGCGCAGTCTTTGGATCCAAACATGACTATCCTCTCCAATTTGAAGAGATGCTACAGGGTGCAGTGGAAGACACAAAGCTGGTCGCTGCTGTATTCTTTGATACTTGGAATGTCCCCTTCTTCCAATCCACCATGCTCCATCTGCCTAAAACGAACACAGTAGTGAAGAAAGAAGGACAGGTCATCCACAAATACTCGGATCTACCCGCAGCTTTCATCATCCCAGGCCATGCGGACTTCAATATCTCAACAGCAGGGGTATCGCACACCCGCAGCGTGGGATTTATCAAGAAACACCTCGGAGGACCATTTTTTGATCTGGAGAGTATTTGGGATGAACACACTTTCTACGAATTCGGCGATCGATCCGTCGAGAAAACGATGGCGACAATGGTTCAGGAACCATATGTCAACCATGTGCCTACGGTACGGGTAGTTCCCAAATTTGAGTCGAACACTATTCTGACAGCGATATACTCCGCAGTTGACTGGTGGTATTGGTCGATCGCGATTAAGTCACTTTTACCTCAATCACTTTATCTTCAATAATCCTGATGACACGGCTTTGGAATTGATTAGCCGGACGGTCGGGACGGATCGTATTGTCGATGAGTTTATTTTCGTCTTCACGCACGCCAAGCAGATGGACTGGATGTGAGCTACTCACTGAATACCTGCAGATTTGGTGTGCAGGTATCTACTTTTCCTGTGATAACATATTAACCTCGTTATTTTTAGGATCCCCGGAATTCCACCGACGGGTAAATATCTTCGCGTACCTTTTACTTCCGTTGTGAATATTCGCGGGGATCGTCTGTTCCATGAACATATTGCTTGGGATCAAGCGACCGTACTTGTCCAGTTGGGCCTGTTGCCTGAATACCTCCCTTATCCATATCCACTACCCGATGGATCTGTTCCGGCCCCCGGAAATAGGTTCGAGTATCGTGTACCGGCAGCGGGCATCGAGTGTGCAGAGAAATTGCAGAATGAGGACTCGGCGCCTTCGAACCGCATGTTCGAATATAAAATTCGAGAAGTGGCCAGGTCAGACGCGTAAGTATATTGTACTAGTTGCTCTTTGGGACAATATGTTTCGGAGGATAATTCGGAGAATGACCTTGCAAGTCTTGTTGCACTTACGCTCGATCCAACTAGACGCACCCCCCGCAGTCTGGGCGAAATCAGTCCATTCTGGCCCCCACGCAGAATATAATCTAGCATAAACTTGTACAATTGCCCAGGATCGATCTTCCATTGGCTTGTTCAAATCTTCATACAGGCAGAACAAGGAAATCAACATCACCCGGACGATCTTGACATCATATTGCATAAATTTGTACTGGAAGAAGACCACGCTTCCAACGTAAGGGACTCCATCGTTGTTCCACTCAGCTAGCCGAGCAATTCCGTGATTGTCATCCTAGTGGAGCGCCGTACATATGATATACGCTGGAAGCTAAATATGCACAGAGATCTTCATCTCCGTTGGACAATAATTCTCCACTCCGTATACTAGTTGCTATGTAGTGTATCGTCCTGCCGCATTACTTGGGGTCACCATCCCGAGACCCACTGTTGAAGTTATTGAGTACTTAAGAACTGGAGCTATACTTGACCGCTGTTACTGTAGCTCTACCTACTATTTTTCCCCTGCTCAAAATGGTTGTGTTACTGCTGGCCCTGGCTTCGGCATGTCTGGCCTCTACATTACCTGTTGTCGATTTGGGATATGAACGGCATCAAGCTTTATCCTATAACGTAAGACGAGTCTCCAGTTTTTTATATATCGTGGTTGGTCTTGTCTTATTCCTTCTATAGGGGACCTCGGGTCTCTATAAGTTCAATAATATTCGCTATGCGGCTCCTCCAATAGGCGACCTGCGATTCCGGGCACCCGCTGCTCCAGAGGTGAACAGAATGGAAATCCAGAACGGCTCTGTTGCCCGGGTGTGCCCCCAGGCAGCACCAGTATGGGACCAAGTTCAGGCAACCTTTGTTGTGGACTATCTTTACGGCCTGCCTTTCGACGGTTCCTCCAATACCTCCGACTATACATATACGCCAATAGCACCAGACCCCTCCGTTTCTGAGGACTGCTTGTTCCTCGACATCATCGTTCCCAAGAAGGTCTTCGATCAAACAAAGGTTAAAAAGGCCACTCGGAAGAATCTGGCGCCTGTGCTAGTGTGGATTTACGGCGGTGGTTATATCACAGGAGACAAGACCCTCAATGATGCCCGTGGACTGGCTCAACGGAGCACGGTCGCAGGCCATGATGGTATTGTTTATGTGTCTATCAATTATCGAGTAAGTAAATCGGTGCCCGTTTGCTGTCGTGAAAATAGTAATGTTCCTAGTTGGGTGCATTTGGTTGGCTTGGAGGTGATAGTGTAACAGCCAATGGTACTGCCAACGCTGCTCTGCACGATCAGCGCTTTGCTTTGAACTGGGTGAAGAAGAACATCCACTTGTTCGGTGGTGACTCAAGCCGCGTCACTGTTATGGGAGAATCCGCCGGAGGAGGCTCCGTTCTTCACCAGGTCACGGCCTATGGAGGCCAAGGCACTGTCCCGTTCCAACAAGCCATTATCCAAAGTCCTGGCTGGATTCCTCTCGTCACTGAGGAAGTGCAAGAAGCAACCTTGCAGCAATTCCTGGGATTCCTGAACGTCAGCACCATAGAAGAGGCCCGCACACTGTCCTCAGACAAGCTGATCGCCGCCAACTCAGCACAAATCGCGATCAAATCCCAGTGGGGACAGTTCACATACGGCCCCACTGTCGATGGAACGTTTGCGCCTGCTCTGCCGGGCCAGCTTTTGCTCGAAGGCAAGTTCCACAGTGGTGTGAATGTTATGGTTGGACATACGGCGGACGAAGGGTTGCTCTTCACCTCGCCGGAGAGTTACAACAGCACCGGCTTCGCCAGTGAATTGGCCACCTTGATCCCGAACAGCCCAAAGAACAAGTTTGATTACGTCGTGGACGTTCTCTATCCAGCTGTCTACAATGGATCCTATGACTACAAAGACTCGGTCGCTCGCTCCGCGCTCATGGTCTCGGACCTGGGCTTCCAGTGCAATACCGACTACATCAACCATGCGTTCGAGAAGACCTACGCCTACGAATTTGTCATCTCGCCGGGGCTCCACGGACAAGACGGTTCCTACACGTTCTACAATCCCGGAGAGACTGTCGTCAGCAGCAACCCGGATGTTGTCACTGCTATGTCGTCGGTCACCAACGTCAGTGTGGCACTGGCTATGCAGGACTACTTCCTCAGCTTTACAGAAAACGGCGTGCCGACGTCGAGTCTGGCTCCGCCGATTGAACCGCGGGGTCCGAGTGGGCAGCTCATGAGCATTAACACCCACACCATTCAGCGAGCCCAGGACGCAACTAATAACCAGCGTTGTAAGTTCTGGCAGACTGCATCTGATCTTTTCCAATGAGGTGTGGTTTTGTGAAATGAAATCTACAAGGCGTCACTTAATGAAATATGCAGGGTTGGGTTAGAAATGTATATAGAAATCAACGAACATTCCACTGTCTCACAGCGGAGCACTCCACGTGGCAGTTCGACACGCTAGCGATCTAAGGGATTGAAATTATCCAAGAACCTAAATATTAGGACTGAATATTCCCGACCGAATGAAATGAGTCTGAGATAGCACGCTACAAATAAAGGACAAGGCAGGCAAGGCAGGGTAATATGCAGCTCGTATAAGCTGCACTTAAGTGGAGATTCTTTATGATTCAATTCAACAAAGCAAAGGCGAGCTCAGGGAATTTTTCTTTGCCAAGATTGCTAAATCGACCAGGGTTTGAGCTCCTATCAGACCGAGAAGCTCAACGCTAATAATCACCTGGGAATCAACACATGAGTTAGCGCGGCATTGTGCATTTGCCGTTAGAACTAGTTAGTACTTCGTAGGTGGGTATAGATAACCATAACCCTCTTAAAACCTATGAAAATTTTCAAACTTTACTAGATTAGGAATGGGATGTCTTGCATAACACGATGCCTATTGACTAGCTGTGATCAGCTAATCTAGCTCCGGCAACCGAGGTCCCCGTTGGATCGCCATCCGAGACAAGACGATACCTATCGATTTGGCCCACTGGTCGTTAGATTCTTTTAAGACACGGTTCGTGAGGCGCTGGATGATTTTGCTGGATTCTTTTTTTAATTACGTATCTACATGTTCAGAGTTGATATTCGATGCTTCCAAGGGGTTACCTAGGTACTTACATATGTACTGTACATGTGGATACATGTATGTAGTCACTCTACGATATTTTCAGTTAATACTGAAATGTAATCTACAACTAGTTGATTTTCAGATAACTGACCTAACTAGTGAACTTAGTTAGTTATTTCGAGTCAATTGCCTGAGGCTCTCAGGATCTACCTGAAAATTTCATGCGCTAAATTTGCGGGCTAAAGATAATAATAGAGACATCTGGAGACAAGTCCGCAGAGACTAAAACCCAGTGGAGAACAGCATAGGAGCATAGCCACTCACGTTGAAACATTTAATTGGGGTTCTAACTGGCTAGTTGCCTAACGCTAAGCTTTTTGTAGACCCTTTTTTTCTCTTCCTGTCTCATACTGAATCCTAAGAAATAATGGAAATATCAGCAATTGATACGACTATAAGAAGGTTTACCACGTAAATGTACACTCATTAGGCATCCATGTTATTTCTTCTTCTCTCATCTCATCTCTTTTCTTCTTTTCTCGGCTGATTTCTTTACTTTCAAAGCTCTCTAGTGCCTTGGCTTGATCTTGGCCCCCAGCTTTTAGTTCTGTTAGTCCTCATCGACTCATCACCTCATCGCCTTATAGTCTCGCGCAGCCTCGCCTCGAGAATCCAACTCTCTTTACTTCTTAACTTCTTATTCTTGTCACACCACTTGTTTTCTTTCCTCTTTTTGATTATCACTCCTTCCTCTCACTTTCCCACGCTTGGCCTCAACCCACCACTTCCCCGCACTTCACAATGCGCTTCTGGGCCCCCATCCTCTGCCTGGGCACCGCCCTCGCCTCAACAATCCCAATCGCCAACTCCCACGAACTCCATCTCCCATTCTCTCCCTCACCAGATAGCCTTGAAAATGGCGTCCACTCATCACTAGTAAGTATCTTTCGCCTAATCCCATATCCACCCACTAAGAAAAAGAACCAGTCAATCAATTGGTCCATCCAAAATGGAAGCCTCTACGCAAACCAAGACAAAGTCTACCCCCCTTCAGTAACAATGCAACTCCGCGCCCCGCTCTACCAAGACGCCCAACTCACAGACAACTCCGTCGACTTGTCATACACCCTCGACTCCCGCCCCTTATCAACAGACCAAGTCGGCGCCGTCGCCGGCATCGTCCGCGTCCGCGTCGAACTCCTCGATCTCCACGGCAATCTCGTCTCGCCCGATGCCGTCGTTATCGACCTACTCACTTATCAAGATGGCAACCACCACATTACCCGCATTCGCGTCGAGCCCGCCCGCGGAGACGGTCGCTCGCAGAAGAATCGGCCCTGGGTCGTCAAGTACTGGAAGACGCAGTTTGGGTCCTTTTTCGAGAGCGAGGAGCAATCAACTCAGCGTCCTGCTGAGTCCCCCGCTACTAAAGTCACTACTGCGAACCACGCGGTCGAGTCTGAATCGAAATTCGCTATCTCTTCGTTCTGGGCTGCTCCACCCCATGCCAATTACCGCGGCCATCGTCGCCCGCACCACCACCGTCCTGGCAATTCTTTCGTGCGCATGGTTCGTCCTATCATCCTTCCTGCTGTGCTGGGTGCTGTTGCGGGTCTGGTCGCTTGTCTGGTGGGCTTCTTCATCGGGCATTTGATTATGTCCTTTGCTGTGCGTCTTGGCTGGAAAGGCCCAGTGCAGCAGCGCACTGCCAGAGCCGAACAAGGCACTGCTTCAGAGAAGTCGCCCATGGTACCGCATGTCTATGTGACAGACGCGACAGAGTCTGTATGACCGGGTCCGGCGCACTTTGATTTCCTTTCTTTTTTTCCAGCGATTTGCATTATCATACCATCACATATTTTCTTTTTTGTCAAATACCTACCTGATTGATCTCTATCACTCGATTACATACACCTGCAATGAGGAATACGTTACGAACTCATACCCAATACTAAGTTCTGCTCCTGTAACACATTTCCGCGGTTCCTCTCAAGCAAGGCCGGCTGGCCCAATGGCAAGGCGCTTGACTACGAATCAAGAGATTGCAGGTTCGATCCCTGCGTCGGTCAATTTTTTGCTTCTGTCGCATCTGAATGCGCAGTTGTGGTTCGCCAGATCAGATTTTTGTTCGGCTCCACTAGACCCAGCCCTAGCCGGCCCGAGTCGGCAACACCGTGGGCCGGCATAGGGTATATGTACAGTAATTCCCTACTCTAGGCAGCTTCGTTTTTGATTCGACATGTCTCAAAAAGCTTGTTGACTAGTGTGAATCTTAATGCATGTGACAGAGGAATCAGCATTGAGCTTTTCTTTTGGAACATATCTATTCGGTGGGTCATGGTGCTCCGCATTGTAACAATAATGTAGCCGCCTAATTTTATGACCATCACTTTCGATTAAACCAAATCTTCTCACCCGTGGCAGGCTCTAGATCTATCCCCACTGCAGTGGTAACACCGTTGACACCAATCAAAAATTCCGCGCTATAGTACTCAGAGCCAGACCCTATCGTTTTGGGTTGGTAGTGATGCGCCACGAAGAACTCCCCACTGACATGATCAAGCGTCAACAGTGCAGGCGTAACACGATCCAGTAGATTCGCACACAGGTGCCCATTTTCAAAAACGAGAGTAATAGACCCATATGCAGGATGCTGGTACCGTCCCGTGTACATTTGCAACGGCAAAGCATGCGGGATGACAGGGCTAGGCAGACACGGATAAAGCCGTTTAATTGCCTCATCTACCGTTTCAGCGGCTGTGATCTTTTCCTGTTTTATCTCTGCCGCGTGGCATGCACTTCCCCCGAAGACCTGATTCAGAAGACGCATGTAGATCTCCACCTGTGCGTTGCGCGCATTCATTGTATTCCCCATCATGACAAACCCGAAGCCCTTGCCTGGAAGAAATCCAACCATAATGCCAAACCCAGCCCAGCTCCCGCTGTGCCAGTATAGCGGCTCGCCGTGGTAATTCGCGACAACCCACCCAAGCGCGTAGAGGAGGTATGGGGCCGGGGGCGCGACGAGCTCGGCCGGATTCGTTATCACTGTGCGGGGTTTCACAAGCTCCGCGTGGCCTTGTGGGGAGATGGGGCCCGTTTTGTAGATCAGGGCTCGGAGCCATTTAGTGTATTCTAGTACGTTGCTTATCATCGCCCCGGCTCCGGTTATGGCCTCGTCGTTGAGGTAGGGCTCTGCTAGGTAGGCGCTTGTCTCGGGATCCCAGGTGTACCCTGTTGCGAATCGCTGGCTGAGGATTGGGTCTTGAGAGACTGTTTGCGCGGAGAAATATGTGTCGTTCATGCCCAGTGGATTCCAGATGCGTTTCTTGAGGGTTTCACCGAGACTTCGTCCTTCGATTTGTTCCAGTAGATGGGATATCGTCATGTACATGTTGTTATTGTAGGAGAAGGTGGTACGGGGGACATAGGCCATTTTCAGGTATCGCAGGTTTCGAATTGCCTCGCGGAGGGGTCTTTGAGGATGCGCCAGACTTATGCAACCGTCGTGAGTTGAAAGACCCGAGCGGTGTGACAGAGCATCTTCTATTGTGGTGTGCATTGTACTATAGTCGTTCTCTAAGACGAAGTCATCCCTCAGTATGGATGCAATTGGTGTGTCCCAGCGAAGGGGCGCATCGGTATTTTGGCTGTCGTCGATAGCAAGACTGACCGCTGCAGCCGTGAATGCCTTGGTTGTACTACAAGTCGAGAAGAGAGTGTCCGTGGTCATCTTCCGATCAGGAAATTTGGCCATTCCATAGGCCTGTATTATAAGGTTAATGGTAGAATTATCAATTGAATTGGGTTTTGTACTTTTGACCAGGTGCTGGAGCCGTGTACTATGGCCATGGTCAGTCCTGGGACTTTCCATTTTTCCATCTGTTGCCGCACGAAGCCATCGAATTCAGGATTCAACGGCGAACTTGCACATCTTAGTACCATGTTGAATTCGCGAAGAGCAGGAAGTTGTTGGAAGGGGGGAACTTCCGAGATAAGAATCATCTTGTCTTGAATAGTCTGACCGGAGACCCGTCGGAGTCCGACGTGGTTTTGTTATGTACCCTGCTCCGTACGTACTTAAATACATATGGAGATATAAAAAAAAATATGGTTAGTTGTGATAGTCTGTAGATAAAGGTTAATTCGTTCTTCTTAAAAGAGCCAAGTAATCATCATGCAGCTTGTAGCTGTGCGCTAAAGAGTGGGAGGAGTAAGTTGATTGTATTGTCGACTACGGAGTAGTTGTCTAGGCATCTGCTAGGTAACCTGCGTCACCTGAGAAGTGTTATGACTGAGCTGTTAGCTGTGTAACACAGCTCACTGATTCTCCAGACAATATGATTGATCCAGCAACGTTTGCTTATGCGTTTGCTTGCTATCCGTGTTTTCTATTGTTTGCTATGTCCACCTGGCTATAGAAAGAGAGCTTTTCCCTCAGAGATCACAGAATTCATTAGGCATCATCCATCATCATCTATCCATATTGCCTATTCTGCACTCATAGTTCAGTCTTATCAGAACAACCGGCCGTGCGACATTGTTTACGTCAAACTTCCACCCAGGAGCAATGGCGGAAGAGCTCACCAGCGTTACTAATTCATTAGGAGAATTGTGGGTAGCTGATAGGAATATTGAGTTGTCTGGCTCCGACCCGAATCGCGCGAACTCAAATCAGATAGCACTCGTGGCATCAATTCAGGCGTTGATACAATTTGCAAAAGCGATGGTAACAAATGCGCACCGACTCGAGTCCTCGGCTGCAAGTACACCTAATGGGGGAGGCTGGGAGGTAGCGCAACTAAGCTCTCTGAGAACGGGAGCTACTGCTCTTGCAAGGATCACAAAGACGTTCAACGATGCAGTTGAACGCTACATTGTAGCTTTTGTTACGTCGTTTGCTCGTCCGGGGACACTGGTGCAAACATTATTGTCGCATTTCGATTGTGAACTGATGAGCATTGCTCGGGATGTTCTCAATTGCACCAACGATGACAGCAACGTTCTACGAAAGTTTCTAGAAATGTGCTATGACCAAGCTCTTCACACTTCTGGTACCATACACCCCGATAGATACTTCGTTTCCCTGGGCGAAGCCAGTCTCGGATGGCCGTTCGACTCCGACTACGAGAGCGAACAATACTACGAGCATGAAAATCGCTTAGACAGCGACCCTGGCTACGCCGAAAACTTTCGCAGGCGATGCCGCATGGAAAGCGAGCGCAAATTCGAAAATAGAAAGCGACAGGAGGAGGAATGGATCGGATTTTGGGTCCAGGCGTTGAGGGAATGTCCCAATGGGCCCACACTATGATGCGTTATGCACCGCTGTTTGCTAGGATGTTTGCCCTCTCGCCACGCTCATATGAATGGGATTTCAGGCCACCTTTAAGATAGTTTATCTATCATCATTCTTCTTCCTATTCCATGAGCTATTGTAGTGAGATCCACTATTCATCAGGCTATGAGGCCCAGTCTCATGAGTTTTGATCGTTTCTTTTCACTAAGATACCTCTGCCACGAGATACTGATCACCTTTATCAGATCTTCGCCTAAGATCTTGTTTCATCAATTTCGATAACCTCATTTGAAGGTCATCATCACCGCTCACGTTGAGCAACATTTCCATCTATCATTATAGCCCCAGAGTTCACGGGGTGAAGATGGAGAACACCCAAGACGGGCAAGTCTAAGGGCAGCAAGCCTAACAACAAGCTATGAATCAGCTACCATACTTTGAAGATGAAGAATACCGACTGGGGTGTCATCCCGGTCGGTGGCCAAAGCCAAGCCCTTCCCGTCAACCAGTCTGTCGCATTGCTTGCCGCAGGGAATAGATTAGCTAAGTCCAATCGACACTGCTCTCCCATAATCTCTAGAATCTTATCAATCTTTCACTACGAAGGCCTCGGGGAATATTAGTACCATTGCTCACGTTAGGTCCGCCAGTGGAAGTTAAGCAGCGTTGAACCTAAGGTTGCTAAGCAAGAGGAAGCACGCACCAAAATGGCCGCGGCCATCGACCTTCGCATGGGATACACTCCCTGGCTCGGTATGATGGAGCTAATTGACGAACTCATCAAGATGCCTACCCTAAACAGCCACATTGTCAACCGTCGTGAAGAAATTGATTATATTGGCCCACCAGGCACGTTCATTATGGCGCATTATCACAGCATCACCGTGAAAAGTCTCAACTTTATTAAGCAGACAAGCTTGATGATGAGATCTCTGCCTCGGCAGTGAGGTCTGGCAGACAGCAACTACAACTGCAGCGAGCAACACCAACATCATCAAATGCCCCTGCCAACTCAGGCAGGTCAGTGAAAATGCACCCCCGAAAGGCAAAAATCGCGAACAGCATTGCCTAATGCAGGCAACCATTGCACCCCATTGAGGTAAGGGCACTATTCACTTACCAGAGGCTTGCTCTTACCTTCGCCTTGATCTGCGCATTTAAGCTTCCTTTACCTTTCGTCCCAGTGACGTGCACTATATTTAGATCATCATTGTCTTTCTCCTGATGACCCAGGATCTCTAGCCACTCCTTCGTCCCAGACAGACTGGGTAACCATCTGGGCTTGGCTACTTCCTTGTAGATCTTTCAATTGTGCAGGTGTAGCAACAACTTTCGACCTCCCATTACGCCTACGCGATTCGAACAGGCTGAGCGCGTTCTGTAAACCATCATGATCAGATGAATACCTAATAACGGATGAATGAGAAAGATACCTCATAGGTTCGGGGTATAGTGAACACTCTGCAAAAGACTTCAGAATTATGTAGAAGATGTTGAGACGAAATTGGCGCTCGTCTGGTTGTTAACTAGTCCGCTGGTCAGGTCATTGTTACTACCTAGCTTCTGCCGCCCAGGTACACTATTATAATTGGACATATGTAAAAGAATCTAAGAGACAACGCAAGGGGATCTCATATCGCGCAGTCATTCGCTGCACAATGAATTCGACTAAGGCTACCAATTAACTCGGTGTGGCATACGTCAAAATCTCATCATACAACAGCGTCAGACTAGAATCTAGGTTCATCAATTCGAAAAAAATAAATGCTACTTCTGGTTCATTCACCAGCCACAATCATTCAATATGAGTGTTTTTCATTCCCGATTACCTTGAATTCAGTGTAATACCCATTTAGAGTGTATCCGCGACGGGAGGCTGATAAAAATTCGGGGCTCCTTCCTGCTCACCCATTTCCTTTACCCCCACAAATTGCATACCAGGCAACACGCCCCCTCAGTGACGACCACCCACCGTCGTCAACTGGAAATTTCGGCGCATCTGTTGATTACCCCGATTCGCACCAATACCGTCTAACGGGCCTTAGCCCATACAACACACGAGGAGTTAAAGGAAGTAATAATCCCTCATGCTTTGTGTACTTACTTCTTGGAAAAACTGTCATCTTCCCATCGGTAACTCTCTGTTAAGGGCAATGCGTAGCTCGCCCATGAACGCTGCATAGGTCTGCTGGTCGTGCGTATGCTGAGTAGGTATAAACAATTCTGGCCTAGGGATATGCATCGCACGCTTCGCGGCGGGGCCGTATGTTTCATCGCAGACAGTGTTTTGTACAACGTATGTGGCGATAGCAAGTCAGCCATGAAAGGTGCCAAGGCTAATTTTGCTTCGGGCTCCGGCTTGACGCAGAGATGGGGCTGGGAGGACTAGGAGGCTGGCGCATATATGCCTGAGACTGGGTTGTATGTCCCTGGACTATATTAAAAGAAGCAGATGTGGAATTAGAGACCCAACCCCCCAGCCCCTCAGCGTGATATAATGACCAAATTAATTCCACGCGACCTATACGCATTTCCGGATGACTGCAGGCCTCGGGTAGTATTTGTCAAAAGAATCCAGTGAGGTAGATATCGGCATTTGGCATTGGAAAGTTCATTACGGAGTATCTCTCAGTTGATAGTTTAATAGTTTGTTGTTGAGAGAGCTCAATTGGGCAGGTGAAATGATCAACCAAAAAAAAGTGGACATAAACAAAAATAAAAATAAAAAAACTAAAAAAAAGGAAAGGCCGGTTAAGACCGAGACTACTCCGTAAGCTATGTAAGTGTTATGATTTTGATTTGGTGTTGATCTCTCGATCTGTAACCTGGGAGATTTATCCCGTTGCAAGGTAGGACCCTCTTCATTTAAGGGACAAACATCCCTTTCAAGCTGAAGCGAACAACAAGCCTCTGGGAATTTGTACCCAACGCACTTTTGACTTGCATAGTCAATAGTTAAGTAAGGAATAATCATAACCAACAGAGAGACAATCATAGAATTAAAGTCCGATACGCGAGAGAGCGAGAGCCGACGCCACAACGCGGTGTGAGTTTTTTTTTTTTTTTTTTTTTTTTTCCAATAGTGCGATCGGACATCATAGGTTTGGACCCATCGACTAGTTACTCGGTGTAGGTAGTTAAAAAGTTACTGTACAAATTCGATTCGGATCTGAATGACGATCTATGTGGGTTGCCTTTTTACTTATTTTCTTTTTCTCATTGATCGTAATCTAAATTGCTTGGGTTCCAAGATTGATGATGGGGCCAAGAGTGCAACAACAAGAATATGGTAGGGCTAACTCTGTTCAGTGATCGAACTGTCCAAGGTAAAATGATGAACCATGACAACACACAAATCCTGCAGCCTGATAATACCATCATCCTGAGAGGAAAAGATTGGGGAAAGCTGTGAAAAGCCCAACAAGGGGAAACCCTGGACGAAGGCTGAATCCACCCTGCGTGGAGACTATGTGGCTAAGTCGATTGGACGAGCCTATGAAGATCTCGAGATTAAATGGAGAAGGGGCAAGCTACCGGCCGATCATCCCCATTTGAGCTAGCAGATCCAGGATTCTTTTGTTGATGACTTCATGCAATCTACGGAGTATATGTTGTTGTGTACAGGATCAAGGCCACGGGCCCTAGCCACGTTGGCTGGGTAGCACGCTCATCTTGTTTATCCTTTTTTGCCCTGTGAATGCATCCACAGCGGTAAATGATTGGACTATTTCTCCTGTGAGCTTCGTCCTCAATTTCCAGTCCGGGGCAAGTGGCTGGTTGTCGTCCGATACATGCAGAGTTTGATTTCTTGCTTTCTCCCTTTATAAGAGACCCATTGATCCCCAGGTTTCTCACATTCCTCTCCTTTGCTTAATTATTTTACTTAAAACATAATCTTCTATACCCCTTCTCTCTTCTTCTCTATCATCCATCAACAAAATTCTCATCATGAAGTCCTTCTCCCCCGTCGCTCTGGCCCTCATGGCCGCCTTTGGCCTGGTCGCTGCCGACCCTTCTGCCACTGAGTGCGCTGTAAGTTGTTTGTTTATGTCAATGCAAGGTCAATGACTAATTGTTCAATTCTTAACAGACCATGTGTGTCTCCAACATGAACAACAAGGCCTCCGAGCTCGGCTGCAAGGCGGGCGATATGGCCTGCCTTTGCAAGACCGACGACTACAAGTTCGGTATCCGCGACTGCACCAAGGAGGCTTGCCCCAGCGATAATGCCGAGCAGGTTCTCGCTATGGCCATCGCCAAGTGCCCTGGTATGTAACATCCAACACCCGATCCCTTTATACACCGTCTAACATGATCTCTCAGGCGGTACCGCCGGCTCTGACTCTACCAGCTCTGCCTCTACCTCTGTCTCCGGCTCCGGCTCCAGCTCCACTGCCTCGGGCGCTGGTAGTGAGTCCACCGGCTCCGTGACTGGCTCTTCCGGCTCCGGCTCCGTCACTGCCACTCTCACCAGCACTTCCGCCCTGACCAACTCTGAGGGTTCCACCACCGGCTCTACCATGATTACCTCCACCACCACCGGCTCCGCCACCGCCACTGTCACCAGCACTTCCGCCCTGACCAACTCTGAAGGTTCCACCACCGGTTCTACCATGATTACCTCCACTACCACCGGCGCCGGCTCCTCCTCCACTGGCTCCGGCAGTGACTCCAACTCCAGCTCCGACTCCGGCTCCAACAGCGAGACCTCCAGCTCTGCTTCCGGCTCCGCTGCCCCCAGCACCAGCGCCGGTGCTGCTCACCCCATGGCCACCGTCGGCAGCGGCGCTCTGGGTGCCCTTGGCCTTGTTGCTCTCCTTGCCCTGTAAACTCGTCTCTAACGTAGAGTCTTTGTCTCTTGGCTATGGATTATGATTCACGTCGCCGTCGTCTGGGCTTGTACAGGTGCAGGAATGAAACAGCATCGTGGTACAATTATGTTTACTTTTCTATCTGCTCTACGGAGCTGTTAATTTATTGTCAATCAGACTTAATGGAATCTTTATGACATTTAATATGTAATAGAATTATACCCACGTATAGGGAGTACCAGTAGACTATTTGACCATGTTAATTGTACAGTAGTTCATTGTGATGCTTGCCACTCGATGGTCTTGTGGCACCTACAGTTAAACAACAGATCCCAAAATGCCCTACGGCCCTATAGAGTTGAACAGACCTGCAGTAAGAAGGCACAAGAGCTAGAACATTTGTTATTCTGGTACATGGCTCCTAGATAAACTTGCAGCGAGTCTTAGCGTTGCATGTGTTATTGCGATATGCGCCATTCTTCTGGCCTATAATGGCAAACCCCGACCTAAGCTACTTCTCACCCCGAAGGACTCGAATTATTTGGAAGACTTTTCGCATGCCCCTCTAAAAGTTCCGTGCGGGGGAGATAATGTGTACTGCAAGGGATGTGTTTTTGTAACCGCCTTTAATCATTATGACCATAAGGATGAGGTAGAGGTACGTAGCAAGATTAGCGGTGAAGCTAACCTTGTATAACAGGTACAGTGTGATTCAGTTTTATAACGATCGATGTCTGGCCGAGGACCTTATGAGCGTGGACCTGAGATTGTAATTTTACTGCAGAACATGGAGTTGCCGAAATTAGATGGTGATCCTCTGGTTGACGAGATCATCAACAAGTGTTGGCACAAGTATACTGCTGTTACGGAGTTGGCTGCATACACAGCGACGATGAAAGGGACTTGATAGAGGAATCTCTTCCGAAAAAGCGTTCGATCAAGCCCTGGATAACGGCGGACTGCTCGAATTGCTTTCTTCGGGAGATCCCGAACATCTTGGATTCAATTGGATGTGGTATAGGTATGCCTGACGAATTTGAGCAGATGTGTTGCAAAGAACTCATATGAAAACCATTGCATTTGTCATTGAGAATAACTATCATCAAGTCTATGAATGCCCAAATGTAATATGCCCACTTAGGGCTTCACTATCAAACTGATAAGCATGTGGGCTTTCATGTGATTATGGTCCTCGGTGTCTACCTTGTACGTACATATAACTAGTTACGTGCTCTTCTATAGTTAGTTAGTAACCCCTATAATAATTCACATATACCTACATATGTATACAACCTATGAGTACCTGCATCCATCCATTTCAAGCTACAATAGACGGACTTCCTTTATTCCGCGGGGAAACATGGAGTGGTTGAGCCTTTTCCCGTTCACCCGGACTGCGCTCGGAGGTCACCGACATCATAAGAACTTAGATTCACCACCTTTCCAACATCTCATATTCTATCTCAAAATATCCCAAAAGACAGACAATTGATCTCTTTAGTATAGGTATACATATACTGTCTGCTATACGCTGCACGGGAACCCGGTTTCTCCGCAGCCGAGCCGAGGCACATCTTCCCCAGACGAGCCAAACCGCCCTTCGGCTTCGGCCTGTCTCCGTCATACCTTTTTTCGAGTCCTTCGGTTGATTTCTTCTTCTGGTTTTGTTGCTTCTGCATCTTTCTATACCTTCCTTTTCACTCTATCTTTCTCCTTCCCTCCCTCTCTCAACCCTCTCCGCTCCCGCCCGCACAATGTCAACATCCACTTCTCCCCCGCAGCAACTTAAAGATGAGCTCAAGGTCGCCGAGGCCAAGGCCGTCAACCAGACTATTGTGCAGCTGCGCTCTCTAGCTGCTGGTGCAGCTGGTGGTCTTTGCGCTGTTGTTGTTGGACACCCGTTCGATCTCGTCAAGGTCCGCTTGCAGACCGCCGAGAAGGGTATTTACTCCGGTGCTATGGATGTGGTCAAGAGGACAGTCGCTCGTGAGGGATTGGCTCGTGTAGGTCCACACGCAGTCTTGGTGGTTTGGCGTGGTACTAATGTCTTTCTAGGGTTTGTATGCTGGTGTCTCTGCCCCGCTCGTTGGAGTAACTCCCATGTGTAAGTTCCAGCTCAAATGAATCTCGTTTCGCCAATTGGTTCGAACTGAAGCTCATATTTCTGTCGCATAGTCGCTGTTAGCTTTTGGGTACGTTGATCCAAGCTAGAGATCGTGATCTACGGTCGGAACCACACTAACGATCGCAGGGTTACGATGTGGGCAAGACGCTCGTGAATAAGTTCTCCACCGTCCCTGTGAAACACGACACTCCGCAGTACTCCATCGCCCAGATCTCTGCTGCCGGATTCTTCTCAGCCATTCCCATGACCCTGATCACGGCCCCCTTTGAGCGCGTCAAGGTTCTCCTCCAGATCCAGGGCCAGAAGACTCTTGCGCCCGGTGAGAAGCCCAAGTACGCCGGTGGTATGGATGTCGTGCGCCAGTTGTACAAGGAGGGTGGTATCCGCAGTGTGTTCCGTGGTAGCGCTATGACTCTGGCTCGTGATGGTCCTGGTTCGGCTGCTTATTTCGCTGCGTACGAGTATATTAAGCGATCGCTGACCCCTAAGGATGCCGATGGAAATGTTACCGGCGAGCTTTCTCTCTCTGCCGTTGTGGCTGCTGGTGGTGCTGCCGGTATTGCTATGTGGATTCCTGTCTTCCCTGTTGACACCGTCAAGTCTCGCCTGCAGAGTGCGCCTGGCAAGCCCACTATCGGTGGTACCATCCGTGCTATTTATGGCAGCGGTGGTTTCAAGGCCTTCTTCCCTGGATTCGGACCTGCTCTGGCTCGTGCGGTGCCTGCCAACGCTGCCACTTTCCTCGGCGTGGAGCTGGCGCACAAGGGCATGAAGAAGCTCTTCGATTAGATTTAAGAAAGTGTGTAGATACCTTGTCTTTTGCAGCGTTTTCTGTCCCATCTACGGATGGTTGTTGACCATGCTTTATTTGACGCTTGATTGGCATTGGTTTCATTCTAGACCTTTCATTTCCGATATTGATAGATTATATTTGTGTCAAGGAGAGCTAGAAAATGTACAAGCTTTGCAATGTTTCATTACCAACCAATCAGAGAGCTCGACTATGTGGTCTTCTAATTTGAGAGCAATCATGAAGGCAAATGAAATGTCATATCCACTTTGCCTGAATCACTTGAGGCTCAATTCGGGGTTTCGCTCACTCGGACCCTTTTTACCTCACGCTATGAACAAAAGAACCTATCAAAAGTGTTCAAATATTGGGCCAGCCTCGCCTATGACTGGTGGCGCATTTGCAGCCTACAGAAATTCGACCGGGCGAAGCGCTAACAGATTATTGGGGGCCAATAGCCCGATCGGAGCAATGGGACGCCGATGGATTAGGGAGGTTTCTATATTTATTTTGGGGTTCAAGTGGAAGAATTCTTTTTGTTCTTTTTTCTTTTCTATTGAGCATACATTCAGTCGATTGAAATGGAAAAAAAAAAAACAGAAAAGTGAAAAGAGAATGTTTGAAGTCGAGTCGGACAAGGCTGTACTAAAAAAAAACAATACCAATTGGGTACGTATATATGTATGTGGAGCAATAGCAAACGCTAAGTACCACCAGAGTACCAGTTACCGTCATGATCCGGCGCTAGTGGTGTGCTGCCTGGTCTTTGTATCGATAAAAGCCCCCAGCTTCCCCTCGTATCTCACTTCACTTCCATCAGTTTTATACCCTTACGTTGTATACCTATCTATATTCGGTAGATATATCATCTAGGATCATGTCGGCTATTACTAGTCATCTCATGCGTCGTGGCACTGAGGCTGCTATGAGCAGCTTCCAGGTGCCTTCCGACAAGAAGACCAGTCAGCCTAATGGAGGCTTGGTCGCACTCTTTTTCATCACCGTTGTCGTGATTAGTCTCATTTTCTGGAGTGTAAGTGCTTATGTTCCCGTCCCAGTCCCATAATTATTATAATAATTATATTAACATCCAATAGGTTGAATACACTTATGGAATGGTGATCGCCACTCTAGCCGCGGTCGAAGATACAAACCCAGATATCTATGTGCGGATTGCTTCCAATCCCGACCCGATCAAGCCGCACGATGAAGAAGATGCCGAGTTAGCCACTCCTACCCCTCCCAAGCCTATCACCAGCAAGCTGCGCACTGCCGTGAAGCACCTGCGCTCCCGCGCCGGCTTCTGGTCCCGGTTCCGTGGAATGGCCATGTTCATGGCCTACTCTGGTGTTATTGGATTCCTGTCTTCGCTTATTCCTATTTCCACTACTTCCTTTTTGGGCCATGTCTTCGTCCAATCTTTCCTGAGCGTGCTCCTGGCTACTTGGCAGATGGCTTGGGTTCATATCGTTATCTCCGAACCCTCTCCTAAGCGCTTCTACCAGCGCATCCCAAGCTACAAGACTTGGATTAAAATTGCCCCGGCTGCTGCCCTCCAGGATGTTCTCACTGCCGCTGCTTTCTTCCTGCCTATGTCTCTTGCCAGCTTTGCTGGCTGGTTCGATAGCGCCAGTGACGATGTTCCTCCTATGGTCGCCTTGTACCGCTTCATGGGAGTTACTGTCATTCCTGCTATCGTGGCATTCGTGATCTCCATACCTGCTCGTGTTATCTTCGTTCGTGTAGCTGCTTCCATGCTTCCCGAGGAGGATGAGACTATCGTGCCCTTCGACCGCTCTTTCGGTGGTAAAGTTAGCCCTGCTATCACCGGTGGCAGTGGCAAGATCGGTCTCATGGATGCTTGGACTACCTTTGACTGGGCTGCCCGTGTCCGTTTCGCTAAGGTTGTTGGTAAGACCCTTGCCATTGAGGTGGCGGTTGGTGTTCTTGCCGCCTTGTTGCTCGGTGGTCAAGTCATCCTGATGTTTAAGACTGCCAAACCTTCCGAATCCGGTGCCCCTGGATTCCAAATCAGCTGGGAGTAAAATTCACACGAAACCCTATGGACTTTCTATGCGACAATGAGCATCCAGATTATGTTTGGAATTGCACTTGATATATCGATTTCTCGGTTATATAATGACCTCTTTGTGCTTTCACTTATGTCTAGGCAATCAATTGTATTCACAAATTATTCCGAAATATGCACATAGTAGCCTTCTTAAAGTCCTCAGAAGTGATTACATGCCTATAAAACTATACCGCCTCCCCCATCTGGTCATATACCCCCGCTTTAGCCACACCGCCTTCAATTTTGCAAAGACCCCCCCTCACCTGCTGCTCTTGATTCTCTTGATTATCTCGATCGTCTTAGCTTCAACTATCATTTACTTCTTGCAGATCCTATTTGGCATTCAAACCTCATTATGGCGACTTCACCCGCTGGTCGCATGCTCTCCCGCCAGCTGCAGCAGATGCAGTCCGATAAGGACATCCCGGGCATCAGTTGCGGCCTGGTTGACAACAATGTTTTCGAATGGGAGGTCATGCTCATGATCTCAGATGATGTAAAGCTGTACGGAGGTATGTATTGATTCCGGTATTGATTCCGGGTCATGTCTAGTCTATTCAAATCGGCTCTTGGCTCTGGCGGCGTTACGGCAACGGCACCCGAGGATATAGATCGTAACGCCGAGTCATAGAGAAAGAATACTGACATGTTTGCTTAAATAGGTGGTAACTTCCGTGCTCGTCTCTCATTTCCTACCGACTATCCCCACCTTCCTCCTAAGATGAAGTTCGAATCTCCTCTTTTCCACCCTAACAGTAGGTCTCCTACACTCTGAGTTAACCAATTAGCGATAGTATACTCATCCTCCACATTGAATAGTTTATGAGAATGGTGATGTCTGCATCTCCATCCTGCACCCGCCCGAAGAGGATAAATACGGCTATGAGTCCGCCGCCGAACGTTGGTCGCCTGTCCAGACCCCCGAGACCATCTTGCTCTCCGTCATTTCCATGCTCTCCAGCCCCAACGATGAGAGCCCGGCAAATGTCGAGGCCGCCCGACTATGGCGCGAAGACCCCGTTGAGTTCAAAAAGCGCGTGCGAAAATGTGTTCGCGCTAGCTTGGAGGAATGAATCCCTCCACACTGATATGGCGAGGTTTCGTCTGATTTCGTAGGGCTGCCGGGCGTTTGTTTTCGTCCCATCTATTATGAACGGCGTTTTTGCATAGAGCGAGCGAGTAACGGTGTTCGCCTCGCTCTTGATCTCTGGTTCTTCACGGTGCATTTCTTGCGATTTTCATAATCTGGGTAACTGGAGTTTCACATATTTGCTTCACAGGGATTTATCATGAGCCTCAGAATATAGGAATTTCAAATGCAGCACTGTGTATCCAGTTCAAGGGGTCTATTATCTAAAATCGGAGCGTCCAATGGTTATGTACACACATCTATGTACATCACACCCTAAGTGGGACCCATCATCGTAAAACATCAAGTTCTGACATCAGAAGTGCCTCCCGAATTATCTCAAATAACGCCAGGTGTCATGCAAAAGGGAAGAAACAAAGCAATAAATTTATTAGGTGTGCTTTTTGGAGGCAGTGCGAATTGATGGGAGGAAAATGCCAGGGTGGAAAATGGTCAAGGCCAAGCAAGCCAGCGCAATCATCCTGGAGGTGTTAGCTGGGTTCTTTGAACATACTGTGAGTGCTATATAGACTTACATTCCATCCAGAACAAGGAACTCATTTTCCTTCTGCATCAAAGGGTTTCCCCAGCCACCAGCCATCTCCGGAATACTGCAATTAGGATTAGCAGTGTATTTTGCTTCCATGAGATCGTTTTCCCTTACCGATAAATACACCGAATCAACACAGTGAAATAGGCGAAAATTTCGGCGCCCACAAGGAATGGCATCTGTTTGGGAACAACGGACGAAACACCAGTGTCAAGGTTTTTCTCTCCCGCAAACCCATCGCCACGCTTGAACACCCTGATGAAGAAAATGAGGGCAAAGACTCCACACACAGCCATAGTTGCAACCTGGAAGGCGATACCGGCGATGATAATATCGTCTCCGGCCTTGAGCATGGCCATGTCATCATTTCCAGCGGCCGCAGCCACTCCACCTCCTGCAGCCTGTAGGACAAGCGATCCGATATCACAACCAATGAAGATCCAGGTGAAAAGGCGCGGTTTCAAGATTGAATGTTGGGGTCCAAGGTTCAGAATGACATGTTTCAAGGTCAGGTAGACACCCGCGGCGACAAAGGTGGGTGCCAGAACCAGACACACGATCTGTAGCTTGAATGCAGGTGCGGACCAGGGATTATCGTGCATAAGAACTCGGCCAATGTATCCGGCCATTTCCATGAATGTACCGATAAGCAGAGCTGTTAAGAATGTCCATGTTCGATAGTAAACACCGAGTCCAAGTTGCGCTATTCCGAGAACACCGAAGAACACGACGAAGAAGATGTTTCCACCAAGATTAGGGTAGTAGCCGTTTGTTGTAGCCTCAACCGGGCAAAGAGGGCTAACTTCATGGCAAGTCGCGTAACTCGCCATCTTGAAGTAATTGAGTGATGGAAAGGAGAGAGAGTAAGCAAGGATAAGTAGAACTAAAGACTAAGACAGAAGAAAGATCCAGATTAGGTGAGACTGTTGATATAATAAGTAAAAATCGTCTAAAGGGGTAATAGGAAGCTGACACTAATAGCTCCATAAGAAACAATTCAAACCATACTTTTATTCAACCTCAACGGGCAGCTCGAACTTTTTTGAACCGCGCCAAGGTACAACGACAGCGAGTAGTGGAGTCCAAAACAGGATGAAACCGCTTCGCACTGCATTGCCATTGGTTGACGTTCTCGTTTTCGTTCGTTCTCGTTCTCGCGTCCCATCGCTTACACGGGGCCCACTTCTATCAAGGCGCTTTGATCCTGTCGGGGAATTGTCATTTTTTGGGTCCGAGATCCATTTTCTGATTCTAGATATCAATCGAGATCTAAAGTTTTGATTTCAAAGCCGTTCGTATTTCATACCATGGCTTATATGCAGGGACAAATGCTGCCTATAGCGGCTGTGCAACGGCTGTGCATAATGACGGGGGTACCGGGATCTTCGGCTTACTCGAGGAGCATCATATATTGCCGATAATAAGAGGCTACTAGAATCAAAAAAGTACCATACCTATTGGAACAGACGAAGAAGATCAAAACGAAGAAAGAAAGAAGAAATATATGAAGAGAAAGTCGTGAGACATAATCCGTTTATAGTTTACGTCCACGTGACATCCCCACGCATTACTCTTGTCTTTCGCGCTTGGACTCTTCCACATCTTGAAAGGATTCAAGCCGACTGGTTACATGGACTCTAGGTCCCGTCTCCGAGATGGCCCCTCGAAGAGCGCATACCAAGTCTCGTCAGGGCTGTGACCAGTGCAAAAAACGTCGTGTCAAGGTCAGTCTCCGACATATGACATAACTGGGCTCCACTACATCGACCATGAACTAACAGCCGCAGTGTGACGAAAAGGGGCCTCCGTGCTCAAATTGTATCTCCCGGGAGCTTTCATGCACATACCTGAGAGCCCCATCTCGGCCGGCTGGTATCCGAGCAGGTCAGACCCCGGCCCCGCTGCCTACTGTACTTCCCAGTCCCCCGCAACCACTGGGAATTCCTAGTCCAGCAGCCTCCACTCCAACAAATGTTTCAGGGGTGCGAGAACTAGAGCTGATGCACAAGTTCTCCACAGAGACGTACGAGAGCCTGTGCGACACTAATTCTGGTCATTATGTTTGGCAAATTGCCATTCCTCGCCTGGCTCTTCAATATGATTTCCTGATGAATGGCATTTTGGCATTGGGGGCTCTCCACATTGCCGCTACACTTGGGCCGCCGGCTTCCTTGGTGTATATCGATACTGCATTGCAGTATCACAATCTTACATTCGCCCCATACCGGTTTGCTGTTGATCATATCAACCCAATGAACTGCGAGGCTGTCTTGGCACAGTCCATTATCACCACCGTGATTGGCATTGCACTACCGCGTGCGAGCTCTACCCGTGGAGAAACTTCAAGCATAACTGAGAATATCGTCGTGGTATTTGAACTCCTGCAAGGCGTGAAAAAGATCCACCGAATCGGTGAATCGTGGATCAAACTAGAGCTTTTTGCTCGCCGAAGGAATTATTGGGATACCGGGGAAGTTGGATTAGACGACGATACCCATGCTGCTCTGGAGCTACTGGGTACTTTGAACAATGAGACTCTCGCCAGTATCGACCCTGATCAGCACCAGATCAACAAAGATGCCATTGTCTATTTGCGCCATTTTTCAATGCGAGTTGCCGATTCGGTGGATGCCGCTAACGTTCTGGCTTGGTTGGCTATGGTCGATAAAGAATTCGTGGATAATGTCCGCCGCCGGCAGCCTTTGGCGTTGTTGATTCTCATGCATTGGGGCGTATTACTCGGGGAACTCAACGACCAGCATTGGTGGGCTCGAGATTCGGGCCGCGCCTTGGTGTCTGAAGTCTTGGAGACACTGCAGCCTGCAGATGCTCAGTGGGAAAAGGCCGTGGCTTGGCCGCAGAAAAAGATGGGACTTTGAGTCAACTTGCTGCGGTCTGTTAGCATTTTCTGGTCTTGAGACCCTCGCTTCTTTTCATCGCTATACGATGGAAGCTAGGATATCAACACTACCTCCAAACAAAGCCTGGGCACTCGAGGGCCTTGACTCGGGCCCAGTGATACGTTATCAAAATCTTGTTTGGAGAAAGCTACAGTGCTCAGAACCTTCCCTGTGATGAGCAAAGCTAGCTGAAGCCCAGGAAACGAGTGCACGCTGCAAATATACTCGAACTAGCCGCCTAAAATGGTGAATACCATAATGGACAATCTAGACCTCACTGCTGCTGCCCCTAATCCCGGGACACCCATTGAAAAGCCCCAGTCACTTCAAAATCTCGGGCCACCGAAAGCTCCAAAAACCATCAGAGCCCTACATAACCTACCTACTACTCGCAAATATCGGCGTTCATTGGAAAAATTTGTAAATAATGCATTGCAAGCCTACATACACTCAATCTGACCATTCCTACACATTTATACTTTGCCAGACTGTCCAACCTCCCACCCTCCTTCAAATACGAGCCTTCTCCTTCCCAGTACCAAGAACATCATGCGTGCGCACCAAATTCAAACTATCCGCCTCGTGCTTGCAAACCTGTATACTTAACGGTCCACCAACCTGCTTGAGCCAGTAAGACCGCCCACAATCAAATAGCCAGTTCCGAGTTCCAACCTGAATCAACTCGGCAAGGAAACACTGTGGCTCGCTGCGATCATTCGTGAAAATGATCTTTGGGAAGTCTCGGCGGGCTTCCGGTTTGGCGTTGTCGAGACCTAGTCGGAAGACTTCGTCGAAGGTTATTGGGTGGTAGAGCTGGGATCCTATCTGGACGATTCCTGTCGTGCGCGCTGCTGCATGGAGGAGACAGGCGTTTGCTACGAAGTCCACTGGGATCTCGTCTAGAATGTTTGTGCCAGTTTTGTGGCCTTCGGTGGCATGCCAGACTTGTGTCGTGCCTCGGTCTGAGAACCAGAGTCGAGTGAACTTCGTGAGGGGCGTGGAGTCTTCTGATCCGTACAATGGGTACGGATGTCTAATTGCAGGCCCGAAGATCGTTGGTCGAACCAGTAAGATTGGAAGAAGTGGGAAGCGATTAAGTAGGAGACGTTCCATCAAGTGCTTGGCTTGAGTATAACTGGATGAGAATTTAGCTCCGTGTGCCGACTTGTCCAGTGTCAGCATGGATGCCAGTTCTTCTTCTGGGTCTTCTTCGCCTCCCAGTTGATATATCCGTTCTAGGACTGGGCCATCAGGAAGATGACTGTTGACGTATGATGTCGAAAGTTGGACGAGGAGTTTGAGTCTTCGGAATTGTGAGGCAACCCGTGCCATCTCCAATGCAGGAAGACAATTGATCTCAACTGCATCGCGGATGGGACCTTCGAGCTTGATCTTCGCAGCAGTGTGGATGGCCAGCGTCACTTGGTCTTGTAGTTGTCGGAGGATTGACGACTCGATCCCAAAATTGACCGACCTGATGTCCCCAACCACAAATTTCACTTTACCAGTAGACAATATGGCCTGCACATGATTTGGCATCGTCTGTTCCAGTTTTTTAATAGCCCGCTGAGAGTCACCGCGAATCAAGACATATATTTTGCTTGTCGGTAGCTGTAGAGCGAGCTTATAGAGGAGACAGCCCCCCAAGCATCCAGTCCCTCCAGTGAGGAAGACTGTATGCCACTCAAATATCTTTCCATATCCTCCTCGCAAGACTTCATCAAAGCAGGATGTGTTCGAAGCCGAAGCTGGTGACATTGGACAGACTGAATTAGAAACTGAGTAGGTGAAGCCGATAGATACTCTTCGCAGATCAATGGTAATATGGAATGCCGCGATCTCACTGAGACCAACGTCGGCAGATATATAGATAGTGCCGGGACATAGCTTCTCAAACCCACCTGAGGACTTCAGGTGGTAGCACAGAGTTAATGTCACTCTTCCATTTGCACCGACCTGGCCGGCTACCTAGGTATTCCTGAACCTATTGCTCAAACAGCCCTGGAGGTAGTAACCTCTGGCCTCGATTCGTGAGCAATATCAAAGATATACAATGACACAGCGCTGTAATTTTTTATTGGGCAGATACTAGGATGCATTTGGACTTTAGCACCATATGTAGCCGAGGTTCAACGTGATTGTGCGACCTGAGCATCGTGTAGCAATACAGATCTGGTCCGGGGACACCCACAGCTATGGGTGACCCCTGTCTAAAAGTCATGCAGGGGCTCGGAGCAACTTAGAAGCATGGCATTCCATTCAAGGCCGCTCACAGCCGACAAACGGGTCGTACAAACGTCAGCTTCACGGATTTTGATACTTAGGTAGTCTATCTGTCTACATGTGATGAGAGGTAGGGAGATGCATGGCATAAATTTTGATGGGATATATGGCCTGTATGAAACCAAAGGCTTGAAGACTATGTGCTGCTGATTGGTATATTCCAGTCGGCGAACCGATCCAATCTTGTCTGTACAAGAAATATAAACCTCAATCTGAGAACACCTCGTATCTTGGCGCCTTCAAGGCGACTTAATCACGGGTGAAACATTGATTATCACCTATCAGAAGCCCTTGTTTCCAACGCTACACCAACAGCGTGCATCTCCATCACGCTCGACCTGGACCAGAACATCCATGTTTTTCTCTCTAAGATAGTCGACAGTTCGTTGGCGCACGTCTTCCAGATCTGCACCACGAGAAGCAATCACGTGAATCACTCCGAAAACATTTTGTGGCTTTTTCTCATGGTCATGATGGTGGTCGTGGCCGTGGTCATGGCCATGATCATGTTGGCTGTGGGTGTGGCCGTGACCATGATCATGGCTATCCGTGCAATTTCCGTGGTCAGCGTGGTCATGAGAGTGACCGTGCCCCGTCGACGTTGCTCCTGTGTCATCAAGCCAGAATTTCGGCACTGTATAACTGATCACGCCTCTCAAGGAGCTGACTCCGGCGAGTGTCTCCCGAACGTTGTACTCCGTATCGGCTGGCAGGGTAAGCAGCAAGGTTTTGGCCGTGCTGCTCACCAAAGGAACGGCCGAGGCAAAGATCAATATGGCAATGAAGCAAGAGGCCAATGGATCGTAGCCTGACCATCCAGAGTAGTGTACGAGGATGGTTGATATCACGACTGCCACTGACCCAAGGGTATCAGCGAGAATATGCAAGAAGATTCCGTGCATGTTCTCATTGCCATGAGAGTGATCGTGGCCATGATCATGACCATGATGAGCATGGCCGTGCTCAAAGCTGAAGATCCCGACCAGGTTGACGGCAAGACCAGCAATACTGACGGCTAAAAGCTCACCGAGACGTTGCATCTCGCTTCCTGATGACAGTCGTTCAACTGCCTCGTAAATGATCTCCACGCTGATAATCATGAGGAAGATGCCGTTAGCGAATCCTGATAGTGTGTCGACCTTGCCGTAGCCGTAAGGGAATCGAGCGTTCGGAGGCCACTTGCTCATGACAGCAGCACACAAACCAACAACAAGCGCGAGACAATCGAAGAACATGTGAATAGAGTCACTGAGGAGACCTAGTGAGCCTGTCATAAACCCATATGATAGTTGGACAAGCATGAAGGTGAAGTTCAGGCACATGAAGTAGAAGATACTACGAGAGTCCTTCTCCTTCAAAATGCTGTGCAACAATGGATATGGTTCGCTTTTATGAAGGAGCCACTTCGATATCCCCGTAACTTCCGAGGTGGTGTGCGAATGACTGTGTGTATGGTTATGCGCGTGCGTGTCCAGATGCAAATGACTATCATCTCTCCGGGAGGCGAAGAAAGCAGCCATCGCCAAGATAGCACGTGTGGAATAAACCACAAGCAGGTCATCCTGAATATGTGGCGAACACAGGAAAACTGCAGCTCCGGTGCAGATCGCGAGGCCAGATTTTGTCGGTGAGCGGAGACTAGCAGGCTGCGAGACAACAAGCGAAACAGCGAAGAGACTGACAGGGACAATGATGTATATCAAATCTGATGCACTGAAGACGATTCCTTGATTAAAGAGAACAGTCAATAGTGCAAGGGAGGAGCCGGTTATGAGAGCCAATGGCGCGTCAGTCGTGACCACCACAGACGAGTGGTCATGACTTGAAGCCTTGGCCTGTGGAGCAACGAGCCCCGGTTCAGGGATAGGTCCATTGTGCCGAAGAGAGGGGAATGGGGGAGGGGCAATGAAGACAGAACCCAAAAGTGCGATATATCCAAGAGTCGGGGACGAGTCCCAGGAATTGTTCAGGATGAGGTAACTCAATACAACAACCACTGCGAGAAGGCCGATAGATAACATCTTCCGACCATATCGTTCTCGAGTGCGTGGGTCTCCATTGATGACGCTTGGGACCCCTGATGCGGTTGCAAGAAGCAGCGCAAAAGCAACCAAGAAGCCGCCGATCTTCAGCGCTGCAAATATAGGCAAACCAACTGAGATTATTTGTGAAATGGAGGCTTGAGCACTTTTTACATTCACAGTTGGGAACCTGAGTGTCGAGTGGCTTGATGGACGAAACCGTAGGATTTGGCCGATACCGAAGAGAACTAGGGTAATCGCTGTCAAAAGACACGTCTTTTGGTTGATTTGAGCAACAGATATGCTTATTATGGTGCCGAGGGTATCTGCGTCGGCCGTCTCTCCTCGCTGGGCACATTGTCTCTGATACCAGGAAAATGCAACCCATGGCAACATAATAAGTGTGCCGGTTAAGAGCTCCTGGCTATAACACTAATTAGTCCTTGCTCTTCAAGCAGTTTCAAGCTCACATACACCTTCTCTGGGCTCTCATCGGCCTGCATATTGGTATCCGCAGACGTCATTCCATAGATCCCATCAGAAACTCTCGTATCGTGGTGGTCGTGCAGCGCATGGTGATCATGATCATAGTCATGATGGTCGTGATGATCGTGGTGATCGTGGTGATCATGATGATCATGATGGATTGATGACACACTATGGCTATGTTTGTGGTGACCGTGATCCGAATCGTGATGTATATGTCCGTATGGAGAGTTCGAATTTAGTGAATTGATCGGTTCTAGGTGTTCATGAGGGTGGACTGAGGTTGGCTGGGGGAGGGGCGGAGGTTGCGCCCATCGATTGGCGCGAGAGTGACCGCGGCCGCGACTATGGCCGTGATTGTTTGCATTGGGAGGAATAGAATCCACACTGAATGACGGCACCCCCGTCGACATGGTTGACTGTTCGCAATGCGCAGGAAGATCCAACAAACAGGATAGGAGATCACCGCCAAGATATGGAGAGTGGAGCGCAAGTGCTCAGATCAGTAAGTCGGCAAGCACAGCATTGCACACTAAATATGAAGAGCAATCTGATTTGCGAAATAATCAATAAGAGCCTGTTCCAAACAGAAGATTGGCCACTTTGTCGGAGACATCAATTGTCCCCCAAGGTTGTTCTCGTATCTATAGGGGAATCACGTGAAAGCCTTATCGATTACGTATCTGTTTTTGATCTTCAGCTCTTTGGATGTTTTATGTCTCATTATGCACAATTCATTCAATTCTTGAAGGGCCATTGAGATGTTCTGAAGCTGAAGCTGGAAGTAGTCTATGAAAAACGCACTTGAAGTGCAATTGTTACTATGATCGAGTCACTTATCAGCATAGTATTCTGCTTGTCCAGCGCGCTCACTGTGTTGATCTTATTGCTTCCGTCGCAATATGAACCAGAGCAAGCAAAGTCCTCAAGATCAAACGACTTAAAAGAGAAGCTGAAGACAAGTGTACAAATTCTTGTCCTTGGTGACATTGGCCGAAGCCCTCGTATGCAGTATCATGCATTGAGCATTGCGAAGCAGGGTGGGGAGGTGGTCATTATCGGGTATAAAGGTTAGTTTGAAGTTTCCAGGGATGGCGCATATATAGAGCCGAACAACTGACTATCATTTTTGAAATAGAATCTGATCCCCACCCCGATATCACATCTCATCCCAATATCTCCATTGTCCTTCTTCGCCCACACCCCGCCCTCCTTCAGACTAGCAACAAGTTGCTCTTTACAATTTACGGACCATTGAAAGTATTATTCCAGGTTATTTGTCTTTGGAAATGTCTTGCATACAGCACAAAGCCATCAAAGTGGCTTTTGGTCCAGGTACGTTGCACAGGATTTGCATACATGTCCACATAGTACTGACCTTGGCAACTACAGAACCCACCCTCTATTCCGGTACTAGCTATCGCCTCTCTCACCTGTTTCCTACGGCATACAAAACTAGTCATCGACTGGCATAACTTTGGATATTCCATACTGGCTTTGAAACTTGGACAAAATCATCCATTGGTGAAGCTATCGACATGGTATGAAAAGATGTTCTGCAAATCTGCCTCGGCGCATTTTTGCGTTACAGATGCAATGCAATCTGTTCTTAAACAGGACTTTGATCTCCAAGCCCCAGTTCTACCTCTGCATGACCGCCCTGCCAGTCACTTCAGCCCTATTCTCGATTCCAGTACTCGTACAGAATTTCTTGAAACTCTTGATGAAACCCAAGATGTTCGCTCCTCTTTAAAAAAAGGTACACTTCGAGTTCTGGTCAGTTCGACATCATGGACCGCAGACGAAGACTTCTCGGTCCTCATTGATGCCCTCGTACAATACTCTGAGCTGGCCACAACAACACACAACCATCTCCCTGAAGTGTTGGCGATAATAACAGGAAAAGGTCCGCAAAAAGAAATGTATTTAGAACAGATTGTTGCCCTTGAGAAATCAGGCAAGCTTCAGAAGGTCATTATTCGGACCGCGTGGATGACTGTGCAGAATTATGCTCGGCTTTTGGCATCTTCCTCTCTGGGTGTCAGTCTGCATACTAGCAGCAGCGGGGTAGACCTCCCCATGAAAGTTGTAGATATGTTTGGTGCCGGCCTTCCAGTTGTGGGATGGGATCGATTCAAAGCATGGCCCGAGCTGGTAACCGAGGGTGTCAATGGGTTGGGTTTCGGAAGCTCGGAAGAGTTGGCAGAACATTTGTTGGAATTGTTTGGGGATAATGGCAGGCTGGAAACTCTTCGCCTAGGCGCTCAGAAAGAGAGCTCTCGACGATGGGATGATGAATGGAATCCTATTGCGGGCTCTCTTTTTGGGTTGACATGAAGCCCCTTGATGACACGAATATGAATATTGTCTGCTCTTGTGATCTCGTGATCCCATTTCCTGATCTATCGTTGCGTATTCCCAGCGATAACATCTAGTAATTAGACTGGAATTTACCTGCGCAGTAAAGGCAGGTATCAAAGGTCGCGAAGAGACCACTGATAGTCTTGCTTAATTCACGGCCACGCGCAGAAGCCACATACTCTTCGTCGAGGGATTCTGTGCAGCAGCATGAACACCATTTGGAGATTCCAGGTTCTTGGATAGCAAGGAAAGACACCCCACATCGAACTGTGTGTATAAACCAGGTTAGCATTTCGAATCGAACACATTGGACCTAAGGGTCACTAGTCGACTTACGCCAGATATGGCCGTTGGCACACCGAGCGTGCGTCACCGAGCACCAACCAATTCCTGCCTCACACACCTCGCATTTCTCGTAAAGGTGGCCACCCGGACCATTCACATGATCGATGGACTTTGCAGCGACCAAAGAAGGACTGAGTTTACATTTGGAGATTTCTTCAGTCAGGTCTGCGCCTGTGACTATTGCCAGTCGTTCCAGAGAGCGTTGAGTGTGGGCACGAAGTGACTTATCGCTCTCACCCACAATGGCACGACAGGCAACGACGTAGATAAGTCGCTGGCTCTCCTCATCGAGTTCAACGTCACCATCAGCACCAGGTAGCACGAAGCGTACCATTTCTCCAACCTGATCGTGATCAAGAGCTTGTCCATTAAGTGCCCGCGGCGCGAACACGGCTCGTGTATCTGCAATGCGTCCGAACTCCTCCGAAAAGACAATTGTAGCGCTGTCGTCAGAGGCGACTCGATACTCGACCATATCCGTGGGGTGGTTGACGAAGATTGCTGCGGTGATATTTCGACAGGTGGCAAGTCCCCAGATTCTCGAGACTAACATTCCTCCCAGATCGTAATCTGAGTCATATTTTTCTTCGAAGTCTTCGATCATGCGTTTCCATTGCGGTTGTTGCAGAGCGTTTTCATTTTGAATCTTGGACAATTCAGCCGTTAACCCAACTCCACCAAGGGTGCCCAAATGCAATCGGCAGTTGTCGCTGCGCTCGTCCTTAGTAGCAAGCAGGCCTGAAATTACGTCAGTAGTGCTCTGAGGGGGTTGGGCCAAAGTGCAGGACATACTGGAGATCGGTTCCAAGTGCCTTTCCTTGCGATAGGGCTTGTCTTCATTCTCAGGCTCAAAAATCGGCCATTCACATACTCGAAGGGCATCTACATCAGTGCCATCTGTAGTGTAACTAGCGCTAGACATGGTAATGGCGACGAACCCTGCCATGATACCCACTGCTAGAGAGATACTTGCGGATGATTTCTGTAGGAGTCTGTTAGCCAAAAACAAGATACTATTACTAGCGTGGGAGACCAAACATACCGTATGAAGCCATCCAATGGGCCCAGTGACATGACGATTGGCCCATGCCTCATTCGAAAGCTCCAGGGGATGCTGTTCCAACCTTGCTGACAATTTGCACTGCTGTATCTTATTCTGAGTCGAGCTTTCGCACATTGCAGTGAGCTTGATAAATCGAAGCTGCGTTCCGCACACGGCAGCCAGAGTGGCAATTGCGCAGTCAATGTCGCCGGAAGTTTGTTTGGGTGAACTCAGCCACGGACCATAGGAGAGCGATGTGGTTCGCTGTTGCTCCTTGAAAGCACGGGCAAAAAGGGATCCGGAGTAAATCAAGGTGTTGTTCAATTCTTGGTTCCCAAGAGAATGAGTCGCTAGAATTTTAAGACCATAGCTTTTGGAGGACATATAGACGGAATTTGCTCTGCGAACTTGTATGACGCTGATCTCATTCAGATCATTCACTACCGTCAGCAGAGAAGCTCCCCAGCGACTTTCATGCGCTGGCAGAGCAGAAGGGTCTGTGGAGTCCGAAGCCTTGAAAGAATCACACCAGGCGAATGATCGAATGTTAGTCTTCCGATATCCATGATCTTTTGGGTCCCGAGAATGTTCAGGTTGTGGCCAGTAAGTATGGTTGATAATTCGAACTCGAGTCCATTGCTTTTTAAGACCGAGAGGTTCCCAAAGGGATAGCACCAAGTTCGACGTCAGTACAGTGAGCACGCTACGTCGATATTTTCCAACACCTAATGGGGACCAGGCCAGATTAATGATGTTGGCATTTGATTGTTCTGCGGCAATTGAGAACTCATCTCGATTTCCAGGCAGGAAGCTGGGCCATTCAGCATTCGTAAACAAATTGGCTCGAACACGAGTAATGATCCAATCTGGGTCTGAGTTTGGAGCAGGTTCTGCATCTTTACCATTTCTTGGTGTCTGAAAACCTGTCAGTCATGATGGATATTTTCAGTCAGATGTACATACTAGAATGTGAAAGTATTCACCGGCCGCAATAGCGAGTTCGCCGTCCTCGGACCACGAGATGGCGTCACGACAGGATGGATATAGTGACAGAGTAACGGGTCTCAACATGTTGTTAGATTTTGATACTGGAGCTTGGCGGCATTGCTTTTTGGAAAGGTTGCTAAGAAGACGTAGATCTTGACAGGAAGAGACAACGGATGCCTTTTGTTGTGGCATTCTTCGGGTTCGGCGCCCGATAAATCAGGCGCCAATATCAAAGTGATTACTTCGGGACTTAGGGATGTTTTGAATGGCACAACACGCCAAAGATAATTGGCAGCTTGAGGTAGAGCAAAAAAAGACACAGAGAAGATCGAGAAGCGACTGCAATAAACACATACCTACATACGTAATAAATAGCTCTTCATTACCGTGTAACGAGAAAGACCCCGGCGAAATCGATCTATCATGAGATTGTACGCTACGAGATTTCAACAAAAGAAAAAAAAAGAAAAAGTTTACAGCGCTGTGTCCGAAATGTTGCTTAGTTACAATCACGTAATGTTCATCCAAGGGTATCAGCACACACTTCAGAGCGTCGAAAGAGCTAATCCACTCTGTCAAGCTTTTGCACAACCATTGCAGTAGCAGCACCTCCACCATTGCAGATAGCTGCAACTCCATACTCACCGGGCTGCAGCTGGTGCAGCAAAGTTACGAGGATACGCGAGCCTGAGCTGCCTAGGGCGTGGCCAAGAGAAATGGCACCTCCAAGCATGTTGACCTTGGCGTTTTGCAGACCGAGAATCTAGGCAATCAGTTAAACTTTGAGACTAGCCACAAATAAAGTAGACATAACACTAACCTTTTCATTGGCTTTAATGACAGCCGCGAAAGCTTCGTTGAACTCCCAGACAGCCACCTGGTCCATGGTGATGCCGGCCCGCTCCAATGCGATAGGCACTGCCTTGGCAGGGGCCACTGGGAAGTCCACTGGATCAATGGCAGCATCAGCCGAAGATACAATACGAGCCAAGGCACGGTTGCCGGTGCCGTATTGGCGAGCAAGCTCCTTGCTGCCCAGAATCAGAGCCGAAGCTCCATCATTCATCGTCGACGCATTACCGGCGGTGACGGTACCTGTGCCATCTCGCAGGAAGGCGGGCTTCAAAGTCTTCAACTTATCGGCACGCAAGGTCTCGAAGCCTTCATCCCGCTCAATGATGGTGTCTCCCTTTTTGCCCTTCACGGTGACTGGAGCAATTTCATCGGCGAATTTGTTCTCCCTCCATGCTTGCTGGGCCCGTTCGTATGATTGAATGGCATACAAATCCTGGTCTTCCCTTGTAATGTCATAATTCTTCGCAGTCTGCTCCGCACAGATGCCCATGTGGAATTTATTGTATACATCCCACAGACCGTCCTTGATCAGACCGTCCTCCAGCTTGATCTCGCCAAAGGGGGGCAATTGGCTGGCACGTGCCATATAGTAAGGAACGCGAGTCATGTTCTCCATACCACCGGCCACCTGTGCCTCTGCCAAACCCAGTTGGATATTTTGTGCGGCAAGTGCAACAGCCTTTAGACCGGAAGCACAAACTTTGTTGACAGTCAGTGCTTCGACAGTCGCGGGAAGGCCGGCGAAAATCGACGCCTGACGGGCAGGTGATTGGCCCACTGAGCCCTGCAAAACATTTCCCATATATACATCTGTAATCTTTTCTGTGGGAATGTTGGATTTCTCGAGGGCAGATTTGATGGCAACAGCGCCTAGTTCAGGCGCTGTTACAGAAGCGAATGAGCCATTAAACTAAGCAAGTCAGTCAAATTTATGCTCGGACAGTTAAATTCAATCAACCAACCTTCGCTGTGGGTGTTCTGGATGCACTCAGGATGTAAGCTTCCTGGATCTCCTTGCATGTCGGGCGTGCGGAGCTGAATTGTCTCTGGGTGCAGAATGCGGGGAAGGTCCGCTTGGGAAGACGAACAGACAGCCTCGGGGCAATCATGGTGAATTATAAGATGTAGTGCAGTATGAACAGGCAAATATTGACTAGAGAGTGTAGTTAAAGAACAGATAAATCAAACAAGAAGGGGAAGAATTGCATGTGTATATCGGAATGTATCCGCCCGCGCAACCGCCTGTAACCGCCGCTCCGCCTGGGCCGAGGTTGTCGATCCCTACCAAATTAGAAAATGACATAATTTGCTGAGTCAGTAGGTTTCTTGATATGTCTAACTACTATAAGGATGTTACTCCATTTGGAAAGTTCTTCCGGATTATTTCCGTGCTTCCCCTCCATCGCCTTCCCTGCATATCGCCTGTCGTATCAGTCAACTTTTAACCTACTTTTCCCTCTCGTTTCCTTTTTTCTTCGCTTTTTCAAGCTGTTCCTGGTCTCAAATTATCTATCCCCAGCTTCAGCCAACGATTTCAATTGATCCAAACCCCCTGATTCATCCATAATGTCTACATCCGCCCGCCGCCGTCTCATGCGGGACTTCAAGGTACGCGTTCAGTTAATCACCTTGCCATCCGGGCTTTCCTCGACACTTCGCCGCTTTTCTTCCTTCAGTATATTTATTACTTGATTTTTCATCTATCCTTTGATGCCCGATTCAAGCTCTTTTCAACTACACTCCCAAGGGTCTTTTATTTCGGATTTGCCCCCGCTAACATTTCCGTGCTTTCAGCGCATGCAAACCGACCCTCCAGCCGGTGTCTCTGCATCTCCAGTAGCCGACAATGTCATGACCTGGTAGGTTTCCCACAAATCTGGTTTAAAGCCTTTCGACAATGGTTCTGATTATTTCTAGGAATGCCGTCATCATAGGCCCCGCCGAAACACCTTTCGAAGATGGCACGTTCCGCCTGGTCATGAACTTTGAGGAACAGTACCCCAACAAGCCTCCAGGTGTGAAATTCATCAGTCAGATGTTCCACCCTAATGTGTACGGAACTGGTGAGCTGTGTCTAGACATTCTGCAGAACCGTTGGAGTCCTACATACGACGTGGCAGCGATCCTTACTAGTATCCAAAGGTCCGATGAATTTACAGTCTGATGAGCTTTGTTACACAACACTAATGCTTTCTTCTGGACTCTAGTCTATTGAATGATCCCAACACCTCCTCCCCGGCCAACGTGGAAGCCTCAAACCTTTACAAAGACAATCGCAAAGAGTACACAAAACGCGTGCGAGAGACTGTCGAAAAGAGTTGGGAGGATTGAGCAAAATTCAGTTTCTTGGAAAGACTCTTATGAGTGAGCACAGTGGCTTAGCCATTTGATCTGCACAGCGTGGGGTTTCTGGCGCCTTGGTCTCTTATTTAACGCGGTTACGTATTCGTTTCTCTTTCTTTATGTCTTCTGGTTCATGATTCTCTGCTGCTCATCGGTCATTGTCAGATGTGTTTCCAAGATTAGTGGCTGCATCAGTGCATACATAGCCTATTTATTTTGTATCCTCTAAGGCTTGTTGTTTACATTACATTGTCCATGGCTCCAAGTAATTTGAAGTAGTTAAAGCAATTCCAATTGACGTTTCCCAAAGGGAAAATGATATTAAACATGTTCAATCCTTGCAAGCATCTGGAAATTAAGCTTATCTGTAAGTGTTTGCATACCGAGTCCGGGGCGGTCGGCCAAGAAATCCTAAACGGGCGACTCATCAACAAATCCCACTTCTTTCGCGTTCATACTGCACAGTTCAAGTTATTGTGTGTTTTTTTCCCTTTCTTTTTGTCTCTTTTGGTTTTGCCGTTCTTTCTTTGCGGCTTGAATATTATTGCATTCCTCTCTCATTCCTTGGCTTTGCTTAAGTGCACGTGGAGCCCCTGATCCAACCCCCCCCTCCGTACACCGCAACAGATTCCTTTTGAAACACATCTGACTTCCGAGGCCCACATACCCCTTCTCGGGGTTTATCTTATAGCTTGAGCTTCTTCTAGCCAAGTCGCAATCTACAACAATGGCGTGAGTTTACAGCCCTTTCCTTTGTCGGCAGTCACTGACATGGTCTCACAGGTCCGCGGGGTCGAACACGATCAAGGGTACGTACAGGGACTAGTTCGAGATACCATGGGAACTCGGACTAACTGATCATGAATAGTCGTCGCTAGGTTCCGTCCCCAGAACAAAGTCGAATTGGCCTCTGGGGGTAAGCCCATCGTCGAATTCGAGAATGAGGAATCATGTCGCATCCAGGTCAGTCGAGAACCATGGACAGAACACATCGGAGACTATGCTAATATAGCATTCAGTCCCAAGAGGGCTCTGGTTCCTTCACGTTCGATCGCGTTTTCCCCATGGACACGGCGCAAAACGATATCTTTGACTTCTCTATCCGACCAACCGTGGACGATATTTTGAATGGATATAACGGAACCGTTTTCGCCTACGGTCAGACCGGTGCCGGAAAGTCGTATACAATGATGGGTTCCGACATCGATGATGAGATTGGGAAGGGTATTATTCCTCGAATGATTGAACAAATCTTCGCCAGCATCCTGACAAGCCCGAGCAACATCGAGTACACGGTACGAGTCAGTTATATGGAAATTTACATGGAGCGAATTCGCGATTTGCTGGTACCCCAAAACGATAACCTGCCCGTTCACGAAGAGAAAGCCCGCGGAGTATACGTCAAAGGATTGCTCGAAGTCTATGTATCCAGCGTGCAAGAGGTTTACGAAGTTATGCGCAGAGGAGGAGCAGCACGCGCCGTCGCTGCAACCAACATGAATCAAGAATCGTCACGCTCCCACTCCATCTTCGTCATTACCGTTACTCAGAAGAACGTCGAAACTGGATCTGCCAAGAGCGGTCAATTATTTTTGGTTGATTTAGCTGGTAGTGAAAAGGTTGGAAAGACTGGCGCAAGCGGTCAAACCCTGGAGGAGGCAAAGAAAATCAACAAGAGTTTGAGTGCGCTTGGAATGGTCATCAATGCTTTGACGGATGGCAAATCGACACATGTTCCTTATCGTGACTCGAAGCTCACTCGGATTCTTCAAGAATCCCTGGGTGGTAACTCGCGAACGACTTTGATCATCAACTGTTCGCCCAGCAGCTACAACGATGCGGAAACAATCTCCACCCTGCGATTCGGTGTACGCGCCAAGGCCATTAAGAACAAGGCCAAGGTCAACGCAGAGCTGAGTCCTGGGGAGATGAAGCAATTATTGCGCAAGGCGCAGGGTCAAATGACGAATTTCGAGAACTACATTTCTGCACTAGAAGGAGAAATCGACATGTGGCGTCGCGGTGATAGCGTCCCCCAGGACAAATGGACTCCCTCGCTAGGACACGAGATCGTTAGCGCTGCGAAGACTGAAGCCCGTGCTCGACGACCAGGCACTCCCTCGCGTCTACAGGAAACTGCTCGTTCAGAAACTCCCCGCCCAGATTCGCGGGTTGGTGATCGGTCCAGCACTCCCAGCCTGGTGCTGGAAAAAGATGAGCGCGAGGAATTCTTGCGCCGCGAGAACGAGTTTCAAGACCAAATTTCGGAAAGAGAGTCCCACATTGTCAACATTGAACGCAGCCTCCGTGAGGCACGCGATGAGCTGAAGTCTATGAAGGATAACGGCGCACGAGCAGGCAAGGATAATGAGCGCCTGGGTACAGAGGTCAATGAGCTTCGTATGCAACTTGAGAAAGTCTCGTACGAGAGCAAGGAGGCGGCTATCACCATGGATGGTCTTCGCGAGGCTAACTCGGAACTCACGAGCGAGCTCGATGAGGTTAAGCAGCAGCTTTTGGATGTCCGAATGAGGGCCAAGGAGACAAATGCTGCGCTTGACGAGAAAGAAAAGAAGAAGACAGAGAAGATGGCTAAAATGATGGCTGGATTCGACCTCGGCGGCGACGTATTCTCGGACAACGAGCGCAAACTACAAGATTTGATCCAACGCGTCGACGCTCTCCACCAAATCAGCGCCGAGGGTGAAGTCATTGCACCGGACGATATTCTTGAACTCCGCGCGAATCTTCTCGAGACGCAAGGCTTCATCCGACAAGCCGAGCTGACTGTTAACGACCGCAGCGACTTCGGCGAGCTGCAGGACAGCCGCCGTGCGGACTTGGAAAAGAAACTAGATAGCCTTCAGCGAGAGTATGAGGAGCTCCTCACCCGAAACCTGGGCGAGAGTGATGTGGAGGAGATCCGAGAACGTCTAGAGAAGGTTTATGTGACAAAGAAAGAGGCTGAAAATGCGGCATCCGACGATCTTCGCTCCGACATCTCCCGCAAGGATGAGGAGTTGACCAAATTGCGACAATCCCTGGTTGACACTCAATCCCGAACGTCCACCAATGGCGCCGCTAGCAAGACCTTGCAGCAGCAGATCACCGAGTTCGATGCCATGAAGAAGTCTCTCATGCGCGACCTGCAGAACCGCTGCGAGCGTGTAGTTGAACTGGAGATCTCTTTGGATGATGCGCGGGAGCAGTATAACAATGTCCTTCGATCATCAAACAACCGCGCTCAACAAAAGAAGATGGCCTTCTTGGAGCGCAACCTCGAGCAATTGACACATGTACAGCGTCAGCTCGTGGAACAAAACAGCAGCTTGAAGAAGGAGGTTGCAATTGCCGAGCGTAAGCTCATCGCAAGAAATGAGCGCATTGCCAGTTTGGAAGCCTTGCTCCAGGAGAGCCAAGAGAAACTCACTCAGGCCAACCACCGGTATGTTCCCATCCTCATATCATATTATGCAACCGAATACTAACTACCCTAATAGATTCGAGGCTCAACTCACTGCTGTGAAAGAGCGCCTGGAAGCTGCAAAACAAGGCTCAACTCGCGGCTTACCGAGTATGGATGGGAATGCGAGCTTTAGTTTTGGGGGGTCGCGTATCGCGAAGCCCTTACGAGGGGGCGGTGACGGCCCGTCGCCGGCGAATGCGAACGTGGCGGGCGTACAGTCACAAGAAGCCACCGGCAAGCGAAGCAGTTGGTTCTTCGACCGTCGATAATCCCACCGATTATCTCTTCGATGATCTCGTGAATTATGGCGTAAATGAGTCCTTGGATGAGTCCCTTGAAAATTCCCTTGAAGATTCCCTTGAAGATTCCTTTGAAGATTCCCTTGAAGATTCCCTCGAAGATTCCCTCGACGATCCCATCGATGATTTCCTGGAAGAATTCCTCGACATTTCCGTTGTCGACCCCATCGATGGGCCCACTGCACGGCCGCAAAGCGGTTCGTCTGTTACGCAATTTGTATCGAGGCTGGACAACTACATACCGTTTACCCAGGATGTCGTACAATTTGTGCTTTTGTCACTAGCATTTGGTTGATCTTGGTTGACATTTGATCTATCTTCCTCTTCGTTCTTACGTCTGACGAGTGTTCCCTTTTTCTTCAATCATCTGACCAGAGTTTTCCCTTTGTTCTGATGTGATGTGATACTTTTCGTGTTTTTTTTCCAGTACATTAGATCGCACCCTGCATGCCGGGGACTGGAGATTCTTGGATCTTCCTGATACCCTTGTACATCAATTCCAGATAGAATGCAGAGGAGCTGGTAGGTAGTCTGCGGTGGAACCTATTGATGTATTGTGACATATACATGACATTGAATTGATTCCATGAATGCTGCCATGTACCTGATTCTGGTAGTAATAGTATTCGAGATCAAAACGTCTACTTTCACCATCAATCCTCAACAAGACTGATTCTCACACCTTCCATGCCCATTGTCGCGGCTATGCGGTCCATCCAGTCGGTGGCTAGTGATTCGCGTGTTTCTGGGTTGATTCTAGATTCGATCACCAAGCGGGGCCCCGTTGATTGGGATGTTGAAAGTGATGCCTGGAGACCTGCAGCGTCATCCTGCGTACGGTCTGCGATGATCCTATTCTCTGCTTTTGCTGACACACGCTGAGACGGATCAAGAATAATAACAAGATAATTAAGAATGACGGTTGCTGATCGAATGCCTTGCATGCTAAGTGCCGAAAACCCATCGGAGAAGTGATGTGGAAATGGACCAATGAATCCCTTGCACATGTCATGACCAGCTCGGAGAGTTGAAATCGTTATACTGAATTCGGTATGAATTCCCCGCAGTGCAGCCTGTGTAGCAAGCACCTCGTCTAGTAGCTTGAAGTGGCCGTGTGTGCCCTTGCTGCGTGCTAGTAGTGCAGAGCGCTGGATGAGGCCTGGAAGCTTCACGACTTCCCGAAAGGCACGCTCTGTGATGTCGGTGTATACTGAAGAAACCGGTTGTTTGGCGTTATCCAATGCAATCTGCTTGTTGAGAGACTGCCATTCGGGCTCTTCTAGAAAGCATTGCTCGCCAGCTACGAGTGCCGAGGTCACTAGGGTGCTGCGATATGCGATATACAGGGCTCGCCCAAATCCATGCAGGTGACTTGCAGGCCCACGTAGTCGCATTAGTGCCCGAATTCCAGAGGCATGGTGCATCCACCCATCTGCGGTTGTGCAGGAGTGCATCTCGAACACGGCGAGTAAGATGGCCGTGGCTAATGCCTCGTCTGATTTGGCAGTGGACATCTTGTTCAAAAGGCCCGACAGACCACGAAGAGCTCGGGTGTATAATCCACGTCCTGCATGCATGTACCGAGGGTCATTGTAGAGACTGCCTGTATAACTGGTGGTTAAGCAACGGACCGCCCAATCGAATGGGGAGTCATGGCCTTTCCGTGAAACGACATATTCCACCCAATTGATTGGCACTCGGGTTGCGGTGGCTTTGAAGTAGCATGGATATGCACACAACACCCATTTTATGTAAAGTTGGGTTTGCTGTGTAGAGGCAGCCTTGGCTACCAAAGAAGGTGTCAAATTCTCGTCGATGGATATCAAATTTGAGTACCGCGCATCAGTTCGACCGGCTCGAGTGGTTGATATGATTTGATGGGTAGATGTCTCAGATGGTCTCGCTATCTCCCTGTACTTTGAGCATGTTGAATCCAAAGAGTGGCTTTCTTGAGCGGAATTTATGATCACAGTACGAGCTTTAAATCGTATCGCACAAATCTCCGAGTTGTTCATGGCATTTACGCCTCAGTAGAATGAGTGCCAAATGAAAAGCAGAGGCTCGAAAGAGAAGCTCAGATAGGTAGAATGTATTTCAAGATGCCCGGGTGCCAGTGAGTGTTGGTTCACATATCACCAAGAACATATTGCATGAGGCATCGAAGAGAACACGGGCTGGAAGGTCAAAGTGCGAAGTGCGAAGTGCCAAGGGGTCCTAAGCCGTGCAGAGCCTCATTGGTCCCTGCTAAGCATCATCCAATGTTTTTTGTCACATTGAAGATATTACTCTTCTACTTGGAACCCAAATAAGTCTTTACAAAATTATCTACAGTATACTTCCAAGATGTTATTGTATCAAATATACATAGAAAAAGAATGAAAAAACAATGAAATAGGAACAGAGAAATATGCAATGCCATCCCCTTAGCCGTCAAAAAGAGAATGCCTCACTTTACGCCAGTATTTCGCCCAAGCATTGCCCAAGCATCTAAACCAATCCGTCGTAAAGCGACAAGGCACTGACAATAGTTTCATCCCGTTTGCTGCCTTCTTTGAATTCCTCAATGTCAAGGCTGCCATTCTCATCTTTGTCCATCATTCGGAAGATCTTCCGTACTCGCTTCTCCGGGGTATCTTCGTCCTCAGGGAGTTTCACCATAGATCCCACCTGCATTCCTTGTCAGTCATGTCCGTTTATACATCATCATAGATAGATAAGTATATATATATATCCAAATCCTGTGTACATACCATTTTGTAGATCGCCTCGACAATGGCCAGCATTTCGTCATAAGTGATTTTCCCATCGCCATCAATATCATACAACTGGAAGGCCCAGTCTAGTTTGTCTTCCATCTTGCCCCGCGAGGTCACTGAAAGAGCGCAGATAAACTCTTTGAAATCGATCATGCCACTATTGTCCGAATCGAATACGCGGAAAACATAATTTGCGAACGATGATGGGTCACCGAAGGGAAAGAATTGTCGGTAGATCTTTTGGAACTCTTCCTTCGTCAGGGTACCTGATGGGCAGTCTTTAAGGAACCCTAGACACAGCATATACTATTAGCGATCATCTTTCTGGTAAGTGTCCTATACAGATATGTCATACCTTTGTACCATTGCTGTAACTCTTTCTTATCAAAATGTGTGGCCCGTTGCAGCTCTTCGAGCTGCGTAGGTGAAAGCTTCGACTGACTGCAGTACTAATTAGCGCGTTGTTCTCTGTTTCATATTACGCGATAGTCCATATGCAGGACTATGCAGGACCGAAGGTTTTCGGTACTGTTAGGGTGTGATAAGCCCCCAAACAGTCCGTCCCACCGGGGGGGGGGGGGTCCCTTTGAGGTGGTTGCAGGTCTAGATAGAACTCACGACTTGCCCATGGTCACTTTAAATTCTTTTGAAACAACGCCAAGCTCACAAAATGTGGAAATCGAGAGGGGCGATGAGCAGGTCGAAAAAGAGAGGGAGTGACGCGGGGTAGAAACGGGAGGTGTGGCTGAGAAGCGAGTGGCGGCTAATTTATGCAGGGGGGAGGAGAGGAGGGGAGGGAGGTCCCAGCGTACAATATGGGGAGAAGGTGAGAGGATTAAAAAAGAGAGAATACGATGAAAAGAGGCTAGAGTCTAGATACCAGAGGTGATACAGAAATAAAGTGGCGAAAAAGAAGAACGAGTCCAGAACATCCGGGGAGTCTTGGCATTTCGGAGATACGATCACGTATATAACTGACATGTGTACATATAAATGGGTTCCTTTTCCATTTATCAATCTATAACTCCACTTCACTTCCTTTTGTTTTCTTTATGATACCAAAGGAAAAACTGTATGCACGGCTAAATTTCAAAATACTTCTAATCCACTTTGATGGAGCCATAGATACGGTGGATGAATGCCCAACTGGCAAAGAAACCAATAGAACCTGGAACTACGTCAGCAGAAGAAAAATGAGGGTCCGGAGGTGGAGGGGATCAACGAACCAGTCAAAATAAACACAATAAAGGCGATCAACGCAGAATAGCCCACATAGAGCACCGCACCGGTCAATCCACCAAAGCTCACCCGTGTCGCCCAGAAGATCAACGCATTCACAAAGACATATCCACCGGTCATACCTGCACCAGCAAATGCGCGCCAGTGCCACCGGTAGTTCTCTGCGCATAGCAAGAAGTACACCAACAGCACGGTTGTGGCTGCGGAAGTGATGATCATCAGACCGTAGCAGAGGAACAAGAAACCGAACATATAGTAGATCTTGTTGGTCCAGAGTGAGGTCATGATGAAGTACAGCTCGACGAAAATAGCACCAAAGGGAAGGATTCCGGTCAGCAGAATTGATGGAATAGTACGCAGGCTACCGGCCATCGGGGGAACCTGGCGGGGAATTTGGTTGGTCTTAGTCGGGCCCTCAATTGGCTATAGTAGTCAGGTCAGTAACCTAAACGTAAATAAGAACGGAAATAGCAACTTACCGATTGCTTGAATCCCAACCAGCTGCCTGCCACGCTCAGTGGCACGCTAATGACAAACCAAATCAAAACCAGTGCCAGCATAGTTCCAAAAGGCACAGCACCACTAGATCCCTTGGCCCAAACGAAGAGATTGAGCGTAAAGAAAGTACCAAAGATGATACCGGGGATGAAAAGAGGCGTCATGATAATGTTACGACGCCATGCCTCTCCTCCAAAGGTCTTATATACACGCGCCGACACGTAACCGCCAATGCCACCGAAAAGTGCAGAAATCAGAAGAATGGCAGTCGCCAGGAACCCACGGTTCGAGGGAGAAAGAAGACCAAGCAAGGCGAATGCTGGGAATACATGTTAGTTGCTTAGGACAAGAATAACAAAAAGCGTCGAGCAACTTACCAACGGTCACACCAGTCATCATGAACAGCTGGGCACCGTTGCCCAGCATTATGCTCAGCAGCAACGGAGATTTTGGGCAGCGGAAGACGTCACCATGGACCAACTTCCAGCCAGAATCCTCCTGGACACCGTCTTCAATCGCGGCTGAAGTGCTATCCAAATCCTCCAGGTTGAACGAATCCAGTCTGTTGTAGCGCGCGATGTCCTTCTTGAGGGCGCGCAAAAGAATCATGCTGACCATGCCCACCAGGAACACCACGAAGACAGCCGAGTTGATGAGAGAGAACCAATGGATCTTGGGATCATAAACATGAAGGTATTTATCCCAACGGGTGGCCCAGGCAGTGGGAGATTCCCTCCAGTACACACTATACGTCCAGGTGACTGTAGTTTCTCCATCCTCATTCAGCATAAGAACGTCGCCCTGGGTGCCACACTCAGCGGTCCCATCATCTAAATTCCGGGAGTCCCGGCGAGATTCAGGTTGGACCAGTACTCCAACAACGCGATATTTGTCCTTGCCACCGAAGCCCACCTTGTGATAATCAATCATAATATCATAATGGTTGTTGAGAATGGCCTGGCCACTGTCATCCAAATCACCCAGGGCGAAACCAGGGTTGTAAAACTTGGTCTTGGTAACACTATCGTAGTTCAGCTGCGCGGCCGGCAGTCCATCCACTAGCCAGTTGATGTTGTAGCCTTGTGAAATTCGCCGATTGGTAAATTTCGCGTTGCGAGCATCAAATTTTGCGTCGGCGCAGATCGATTTGCAGCTCTCATTCTTTGCCATGCGAAGCTCGAATGGTGAGGTGCGAATTCGATCACCGAACAGGATGCTGCCTAAGGATTCCCTTACATCCTTGGGGCCATCTGTCGGACGACAGAATCCGAATGCCGGGTGGTAGTAGTCAAATGAGAAGACTGAGTGAAGCTGGTCATCGCGGGAGAGGCTGGGAGTCAAGTGGTTGACATAGAGCGGAACAGCTTGTCCTTCGTCGTAGGAGGTTGGGGCAACACCTGGAAGGTAAAAGGCCGTAGTTAAAGAAGGTATCGCGAGTAGGGCCGACGAAAGGAGGATTGCTCGATCGGTGAATCGCATGGTGGGTGTCGCTATAGAATTTGGGCGCCTTGAGTTCAGCCTTGTTTTGTTTGGGAGAAATAGGAGTAGAGCTAGGCTTTTGGCGTGTGGTGAGAACAGGCGAACACTCACAGTTGGAAGCTCCCACAGAAGTACAAAATTACGATCTCATCCGCAGTAATTCACAATGCGCGAAGGGAGATGAAATACCAGAAGGTCAGATTGCGGACAGACTGGCAATGACGATCTAAGATGTCTGGGTTAGTGCCTTGGTGCCTTGATGTGATGTTATCACACGTGACTGTTATCGGAACCACAGCCAAATTTTTTTGTTTCTCGAATTGATCTATCGCTGCATATCCATCAACACAATCATGGCTTCAGCACAGGCATCTGCGCGCCCTCAGAGTCTCTCGACATTGCTCGAGACCCTCAACACATGCCTTTCAACAACTGCCTCTGCCTTACCTAAGGCTCATAGTGATGCTTCTTCCGATGCTACGATCGAGCCTCCGCAAGATGGTATCTCTCTCCTCGACACTAAGAGTGAAATCCTCCTCTCCTACCTCCAGAATCTGGTCTTTTTGATCATTTTCCAACTGCGCAACGTGTCGGCGAAAAAGTCCTCGAAAGAAAAGACCGAACCCGTGGACAACTCCCTCGAGGACGACATCCGAAAGAAATTGATCGAGCTCCGGGTTTTCCTTGAGCGCGGTGTTCGACCTCTAGAAGGACGGCTGAAGTACCAGGTGGACAAGGTTATCAAGGCCGCCGAGGATGTGGAACGAGCAGAGAAGATCCAGCCGGCCAAGGCCAAGAAGAGCCGCAAATCCACCAAGTCAGACAGTGACGCTTCATCCGAGGATGATGATGAAGACTCAAGTGAAAGCGAGGAGGACGAAGACATCGACGAAATGGCCTTCCGACCCAATGTCTCTGCCTTCGCCAAGGGAGGCGCCGACAAGAAAAAGGCTCAGCCCACCAAAGCGGCCGAGGAAGGACCTGGAGATGGTATCTACCGTCCCCCAAGGATCATGCCAACGGCTTTGCCTACGACCGAGCGTCGCGAACGCCAGGACCGCCGACCCTTCCGATCCAATGTCATTGACGACTTTGTCAACGCCGAGATGTCCTCCGCGCCCTTGGCTGAGCCCAGTATCGGTAGCACAATCATTGATGGTGGACGGACAACCAAATCCAAAAAGGATCGGGAGCGTGAGCAAGAGCGCAACACCTACGAAGAAACCAACTTTGTCCGTTTGCCCAAGGAGACCAAGAAGCAATTGGCCAAGCGAGGTGCTGGAAAGGACACCACCTATGGTGGTGATGAGTGGAGGGATCTCAATTCTGGCGCTGATCATATCGAGCGTCTTACTCGGAAATCTAAGAGCAACGGCGCGGCACTGGAAAAAAGTAGAAAGCGAACTCGCAACGAGGATGGGCAGCGCGGTGATGGTGTGGGTATGGGTCAGATCTTCGACAAGCGACGAAAGAAGGTCGACAGCTGGAAGCAATGAAAATTGGATATCCCATTGATATCCATGTCAAAAGGCGTTTTTGGTGGAATTCAGTCACTTGGCCATTTTTGGAGTTTGTTTGATTACCCGAGGTCTATCTTGACTGATGCATATCTATATCTATTCTCTATGACATATTGAAGCATATTATACAAGTTTGGCTATCTTTCGGCCGCTGTAATATTTCAGGATTTTCTGGGAAGTCCAGGGATTGCTGAGTATGCTTCATGACTTGCCTCCCTGGATAATAGACATATCTAGAGAGTGCAACGTGTAATTATACGATTTCTCTGCGAGATTAGAAGCGCTGGCTCAATTGATACTTCACCTTATATAGTTTCTTCACCTGAATCCAATCGGCATGACGACCTGTTGCCTGACCACCCGCATCGCATGTTGTATATTCTCGATAAAAGTCACACTGAAACCATTCAACTTCAAAGAACTCTATATGTTTATATACATATGTACATGTATGTATACAACCAGAGTAAAAGGGCGAAATTAGAGCACATGTAGAAAAGAAATACATTCACATGTGAAGAATGACATCATTGGTCTGCAACTTGATATCGCGGCCTTTTTTTCTTCTTCCAACTTACATCCCTCTTCACATTGACAAAATGGAGAATCCAGGTGTGTTTTGATGGCTTAATATAAAATCTATACTAACCTATCCAGTGGCTGAAATCCCTACCGTCATTCGTCTCTTGACACAATCGCCGCCATCGGTGCAAGAAACCGTTCTCGAGCGATTCTTCACCAGCAATGCATCCTTTGTCCATCCCTTCTGTCGAGTTCCTAGCTTTGAAGGGAGTCGATGGTGGGTGGCAAAGATCTTCCAGTGGTACAAGATCATGTCACCTCGGATTGAACTGGAAATCCATTCTATTGGTAAGTCGATCCATGAGCCGTGTAGGGAGATCTGTTCTGATGGTTCTTTAGCATTCGATGAGGAAAAGCTCAAGCTTTATGTAAACATGTCCCAAATTTTCTCGATCTGGCTCATTCCTTTCCATGTCGCTCCTGCGACTCTTACGACGGTTCTGGATTTGACATCTGAGCCGGTTCAAAGCGATGCTACAACCAATGGGGATCGCAAGCTCTATCATATCTCCAAACAAGAAGATTTGTATCAGTCGTCGGAGTTTGTCAAGTTCATCATGCCACATGTCGGCTATTGGCTTGTGTACGGGTGGCATCTCATTGCGACACTGTTTTGTGTTCTTGGTGTGACTTTGCTTTGGCCTATACTATGGCTGGAGGAGAACCGCTATATCCCAGGACGTTTCTTGCGCGGTGGAAATGTGGCTACGAATATGGACAAGAAAATCCCGGATATCAAAGAGCATTAGGCAAAAGGTGGAAGTGCTGATTTCAGATGTTATTGAATACAAGCGTTAAGTCTGCTTTTCTGTCGTACATGCTAATGAAATATTGCCAATTATCCTTCAAAATGAAAAAAATACTCCAATCATCCAACCGAGGTCATTGTGGACTTGTGCGCTCACTTAACATGCCATTCCTGTTCATATCATTGGTCCCGAGGTTGCTTATTATCACATCTTTCAGTGAGCTTTAGTGGACTTGTTCGATTTGTTCGATTTGTTCGACTTGTTCGAATTCTCGGACTTGTCGGATTTGTTAGACTTATCGGACTTGTTGGCGTTGCGATCCTTTTTTAGCTCTTTGCGGAACGAGTTCTCTTGCGCCACAACCATCAAAGGCAAGCCACGGCCAATTCCGAAGAACACAAAGAGTGCCCACTTCCAACGGAATGGGTTGATGACCAGGACAAAGAAGTACCAATAGATCAGCTCAGCATAGGTGAAGAAGTCAAATGCTTCCGTAGGAGCGAAGCGCTTCATGAACCTCGTGAAGTCAATCCACGTCTTCATCCACTGTTCGGTAGGACGGGTCAATGGGTCGGTGAGGAACATGAGCAAGAATCGTGTGTAAATTCCAATGTGCATATTTCCCACTGTACCGATGGCATCGACGTAGGTACTGTTGTTTGCGCAAATGTCGGGGTATTTGGGAGGGAAGACTTGCAAATACCAGCTGGGCGGGCCATACGGTTCCTCGAATACTTCCTCGGGCAAGAAGTTCAACGAGGGTCGCTTGAAACCAGTCGCCATGACAATAATATCTCCTTCAACCAGTCTCTCCTGGCCGGGTCCTCCCTTGGGGACACCCTTGGATCGGAAGTTGAAGTTAACGCCCGATTCCTCCAGAGAAACAATGTCACCTCGCAACCAGTGGGCTTTGCCCTCGCGGATTTGGTTGAACAGTTCATCATTGGCCATTGGGGTCTGGGTAAAGACACCTTTGTCTGTCGGGGCAATATCTTGGAGATCACGGTAGAAGAACTTGCGCAGCAACCCTTCGGGGATCCATGAAAGAGCGGTTTCCTGGCCAAAGATGTTGCATGCTAGCAAAGACTGTACTAGCACATTGCGAGGAATGATCCATTTGTCGGACCGGGAAAGGACATCAATCTCAGCAGCACCGTTTTTAACGGCAAACTCCAGGGCCTCAATGGCGCTGGCGCCGCCACCCACGATAAGCACCTTCTTGCCTTTCGCGTCTTTGCCGTCCAACTCGGAGGAATGGTAGATTTCGCCCTTGAATTTGTCTTGATTGGGCAGGGGTGGCATCTTGGGATCGCCACACACGCCCACGCAAGCCAAGATGCCATCGAAAAGGCCATACTGCTCTTCGTCGTCATTGATAATCCATTTGCCGTCCTTGTTCTTTTTCACGGAAGTGATTTTCGTGTCAAAGACAGTACGCCTTTCCAAATCATAGCGTTTCCACAACGCAACAATTTGGTCTTTGATTTGTTGCTGAGTAGGATATGCGCTGGTGTAGCTGACCGAGGGATGGAAACGGTACATGACGCTGTGGACTTGCAATGCGGAGGTAGAATTGACTCGCTAGAAAACTGGTCAATTGATGTCCCATACAATTGAACAGAGTATTCAGGTAACTTACACTCCAGATGCCACCCAGGCCTTGTTCTTTGGGTCTAGATTCAAATAGTTGGACATCGAAGCCATGGCCAACACAGTGTGCAGCCGAAGATACACCAGTCACGCCTGCACCAATGACTGCAACCCTCTTTCGAGGAATATTTGCATTTTGAGCGGTTGGAGGAGGGGGGACGGGAGAAAAAATCCAAGTCAGCACGGCTTGTAAGGTTATGTAGAGCCATGTGAAGGTCTCGACAAAGGGGTGCCGGATGAAGGCCGGTAAGAACGAGTCATTGCTCGCCATTTTTGAATTAATCCTAAGGTACTGAAATGAACAATGAACAGAACCAAACCAATGAAGAATTGGAAATATGGGAAATATTTGTAGTAGGGTTCGTTTTTTACATGTGAAATGATATGACATCATCGAGACAAATCTACTCTATGATTGTACTAGAGCTATTTCAGGTTCAGGGCATAACTTGATATTTGACGCTGAATGGCCCCATTTATGTGCTCCATATAATCATGTTACCTAGGTACTCCACTCAATGAGGGACATGCCGTCACAATACTGTAGACGTTGCGAATTTTTGATTAAATGGCCTCCTTCACTTCATCTACGGACATACCTCCAGGGCTACTTACGTTGTATAATTAGTCTCAGGGTTGTACGCATATTTTATGTCAGAGATACTAGTCAACTGTATCCATGTATATACTCAATATGCCGTGAAAGATAAAGATTTTTCTCGTATCTCCCGAAATAACATGTGACATCGGGAATTTTGCTTGTGATCGGCCCGCCACCAGGTACAGTATATATATATGTATACTTCCAAGATTGAATACATTTCACAGTTCAGATTCCAAGGTGGAATTGTAGATGATATTGGAAAGGTAGACTGAGTTGAGAAGTTGAACAGAAACCAAATAGAAGCATTATCTTATATCTTACTCGCTTACCCCCTTCTACTCACCCTAGGTATATGCGTGAGGTTGTGTCCAGATTGGTCAATTCATTCGCTCTGGATTTCATCAATGTGAATCGAAATATGAATAAATCACATCTCAAACAAAGGTATCAATGATACCTATCCAAGATTCGAAGCAGGAGTTTATTGAATGGAACAATTGAAAAAGAAGTGCCATTGATGAAACGATCAATCGAACATTCTGTATAATTTGGCGGTCGGATTCTGCCAATCAATCCGAGCTTAGCAACTCTTTCAATCCGCCGCATCTTTGTTGCAGCTTTCCTAATGATGATAATTGTATAAACTTGATATCTTCACTGGTGGGATTTCAGTGTGTCCTTGAGCATTCTGCTCCTCCATCATGGGTCAAACCCCCGTCCTCGACCAATTCCTCGCCAGTTTGCAGGAAATCGTTCAGAGTCGCGATGGCTCCAAACTCCAGGACTTTCTCCAGCTGGAGCCACCCCTCTCCGAAATCTATCAGCGCATGATTGTTGAACTCAGAGAAAATTATGGCCCATTCCCCAAGACAGACGCCGACATTCTGCAGCGATGCGAACGTCTCGTACCCCGAACCAAGGGCGGTTCCTCATGGACGGCTTTCCCGACTTTCATCAAGCTATACCTGATCTTCCTGCGCGACATGAACACCGATAACCTCCTTGAGACATACAACCAGTTGAAGGCGCTGTTAAAGTAAGATTTGCTACTCCGCGGAGGACCGCGATTCGCTACCCCCGATAATTCCAACCCAAGTTCTAAAGCTGACTTGACTTGAACAACTGCAGTCAGTGCGTGCTCGCTCTCGGAGACAGCCAACTGGGAGTTGTTGTCCTTCCTACCGTTCTCTATCTGTCCAAAGTCCTGGCAAAACTAGCCCTGGGTCTGGACCGCCGGCCGGACCTGATCGCGCATATTCGACGAGTGGAAGGTCTGGCAGACCAGGATGAGAGTGTGGAGAAGGTAACTTTGGTGGAGAAGTCAGCCAACGTTGTGCGTGAAGCATTCATCAAATGCTTGACCGATCGTACCGGCACGCCTGGCCCGAATGGCAAACCAGAAGGCAAGCGCGTTGGTATCTATCTCATGGCCAACCTCTGCCTGAAACTGCTCTTCCAGGTATGGCCCCGAAGTCCTTTCAGGTCCTCAGAATTGTTATACTAACAAAACCTAGTGCGGGAAACTGCGCAACGCGGAACAGATGTTCGCCAGCATCAGCGCTCAATCACCTCCTCTGGCTCACTTCCCTGCCTCGCAGCGCGTCACCTACCTATACTACCTCGGACGCTATCTATTCGCCAATAACCTCTTCTACCCCGCTCAAATCGCCCTCCAAGCTGCCTACGACCAATGTCACCGCCAGGCCACAAGTCAACGACATTTGATCCTCTCATACCTCATCCCGTGTAACATCATCCTGGGTCGATTCCCATCCCAGGAACTCTTCCAAAGACCGGAGGCGCAAGGTCTTGCGCAACATTTTCAGCCTCTATGTCAACTCATTGTTCGTGGAGATTACATCGCCTTCCGACAACATCTATCCTTTGGCTCACCCACCGCCCACTGGTTCGCGCGCAAAGGAATCCTCCTCACACTCCGCAATCGATGTGAAATTCTTGTGTGGCGGTCATTTTCTCGCAAAGTTTTCATGTATGGAGGCTCTTATGGAGGTCCGCAAGCGCAGGCGCAGCGCGGTCCACCACCTATTCTCTATCTTAAGAAGATCGCGGCAGCTACGCGATGGCTTCAATTACAACACACACCCTCAACGAATGGTCATGCCCACTTCCCACCTGCTTCCAACATCCATGGATCCCAGGTGGTCTCCGAACCCACGGATCCTGACTATGCCGCCTTGGAAGGCGCAGATGGAAGGGTCAGCCCCTCCATCGAGCAGGATATATTGAGCAATTTCGGCGACTACATAGCCCCGGGCAGCTTGTATACCGGGCAAGGACACTTAATGCCCAACGCACCAGGTTCATTAGTGGAAGGCGACCCCCAAGAGAACTACGGGAATTACGAACTGGATCCATATGCCTTTGTCCCCGAAGACAGCACAGATCCAGACAAGTCTCCTATGATGCGAGAAATCGAATCAATATTGGCATCATTGCTCACACAAGGACTGATGGGTGGATATATTCTCCACCGCGAGCCCCGATTCGCCATTCCAGGTGCCAAACTGAAGGGTATTATGCCCACTGGATTCCCAAATGTTTGGCAGACAATCTATGCACATGAAAGCGTTGACAAGAATGTGCCTGGTTGGGTAAAGCCTCGCGCGCCCATTGGACTCGGAGCTGGAGGTGGACGCGTTGTCAATCTTGCAGGAGCACGTCCCGTCGGGATGCAATGAGAATTCTTCCTTTTGAATTTTAGTTATGTTCATGATGATACCTTTCAAGCGAATTTAAATTTAAATGTATTTTGTGTGTAAATAAAAATGAGTTGTATTTCATGCATTCGAGCAAACGGAGCTATGTATAAAACTAGGCCGCAATCTATCCCTTCCGTTGGAGATTGTTCTTGGATCTTCCATCTTCATATATCCCCATGGACCATTCCACAGCCGTCCAAGAGATATCGGCGCAGGTCGCTGGTTTTTATGATCGTCAACAACCGTTTCGTATATACCATGGCTCAAGCCACAGTACGCGCCCTTCGAATCGCTCTCAATCCACCACCGTCAGTACAGAAAAACTCACCCATATCATTGAGATCGATTCATCCAGATGTACGGCCATAGTCGAGCCTAATGTCCCAATGGATGCTCTTGTGGCTGCCACCAAGGAACAAGGCCTGGTTCCCTTGGTGGTACCGGAGTTCCCGGGAATCACGACTGGTGGTGCTTTTTCCGGGACTTCGGGAGAGAGCACCTCCTTTCGAGAGGGGTACTTTGATCATTCTATCAATTGGGTTGAACTTGTGCTTGGTAATGGAAAGGTGGTCAAGGCATACAATGATCAGGTCGAGGGGTTCGACGTCGAAGATAAACGCGCCGACTTGTTCTGGGGCGCCGCATCTTCCTTCGGGACTCTTGGTGTAGTCACTTTAATGGAAGTTCGTCTGACAAAGGCTAAACCATTAGTCGAACTGAAATACTATGTTAGCTCCGGTATGAAGGACGCGGTGCGTCTCTTTCGACAGCTTGGCGATGATCCCCAGACTGAGTTCTTGGATGGCATCGTCTTTTCTCCGAATAAGTTTGTTGTTTGTGCGGGGCGACAAGTCGAAGACGAACGCAAACCCCCAAGTGTCAAACTCCAACAATTTACTCGTCGTCAAGATGATTGGTTTTACTTGCATGTCGATCGTGTCACATCCGAGGTCTGCGACCAGAACGATTTCCATAAGCCACATGCAGTGGACTACATTCCTCTGACGGATTACCTCTTCCGTTATGACCGGGGTGGCTTTTGGGTTGCCCGTTATGCCTTCAAGTACTTCCGTGTTCCATTCAACTTTGTCACACGTTGGCTCCTCGATCGATTCATGTACACCCAAGTGATGTATCACGCCTTGCAAGTCAGTGGAATGGGGCGACACTACATCGTCCAGGATGTCGGTGTACCTATGGCCGCAGCTGCCGAGTTCATGGACTGGGTAAAAGATCCTGAGAATTTCGGAAACTATCCGATCTGGCTCTGCCCACTACGCAAGGGAGGCGTTAGTGCATTGGAGGAACCGTCGATCGATGTCCTGCAGAAACCACAACTCCTGAATTTTGGAATTTGGGGGCCTGCTGCATCCAAAGACCAGGCTGAGTTCATTGCCCAGAACAAAAGGATCGAAAAGAAAGTGCACGGCCTGAAAGGGGAAAGATTCTATTATGCGATGGCTTTCCTTACAGAAGATGAATTCTGGGCTATCCACAACAAACCTGAGTATGATGCATTACGAGCCAAATACCATGCGCAACATCTTCCAACTCTGTATGACAAGGTGCGAGTGCACCCAGAAGAATTGCCCGGGACGCACCGGGGAGAGTTCGAGAATGGTTGGAAAGGGGTTGTCAAACGTGCCCTTTGGGATGTTTGGCCATTCTGTGGATTATACGGAGTTTACAAGGCCTGGAGAGGAGGCGATTATATGTTGCAAAAAACTAAAGAGAAGAGGAAGACTGATTGAGCCAACATAGAAAACATTTGAGGGTATTTATGCATTTCCAGCCAACAACGCCGGTAGACATCAACTGCATATGCCAAATGCAACATAAGTAAATAAAAATTGAAAAAATGAACAAACGATGCCTGAAACAAAAGAGATATCGAAAAGAATCCGCAAAGCGAAACAAAGTAAAGCCAGAGACAAGGCCATATCTATTCCTCTTGCACGATCCGCCCTTCTAGTCGAGGGGAAATTCCCGATGTCCACGCTGGGGTAAACTCCCCTTCCCCATCCATGGTGTTCAAAAGGTGAGACTGGAGTCCGGCATGTCGCATCCACTTTCGAATAACCCGCCTTGCGATTTGTAGACGATGTTCCTCATCAGCGGAGGACTGCGCAGGCTGAGTAACGTAGTTGGTGATTGGCCGTGAGGATGTCAGGATGTCTGGATCTTCATCTGAGTCAGAGTCCATGGCGTTGCCATTCGATTCATCCTCTATGGGGTCCTGATTCTCCTTGTCCTGATCGACTTCCTCGGGAAATCGACCATAGTAGTATGCTGCCCGGGATGTCCGCTGAAGTGTAGGCCGTCCCTTCAGCCTCTTTCCCGGTGTCTTCATCTCGCAATTGGGGGATGTGTTAGCGGAGGGTGGCTTCAACCAGCCTTCACCGTGCAAACTACGATGTACAGTTCCCCAATGCCGACGGAGACTGGCGCTCCAACGATTCCATTTCCCGAGAACTTTGAGACTTAGGAAATACTGTCGCAGGATTGTACTGATAAGCACACCGTTTTCCTCACTTACAAGCTCTTCCACCTCGCCCCCTTCGGATTCAATCAGCAATGACGAGAACCCGTCTTTACCTCGCGCCATGTATCCACGTGTGGCGAGAACGTAATTACGCTGCAGATCAATGGGCTCTCCGCCGACCCGAGCGAATGTAATTCGAGATCCTGAAGGTGCATTCAATTTGAACCCGTAGCTGATGTTCGAGACCTGTGAGAACCGGCCCTCAAGTGCGGGAAGCTGGCTCACCCCATTCTCTAACGCGGCCAATAATGCATGACCACTAAGACGCAACAGAACCACAGGGTCCTCAAACGGAAAGCAATTGAGTAGGTCCTTTAGCTTTAAAATTCCCGGTGGGTAAATTTGATCGCCGCGAATAGTTCCGCCCGCCATCATGGCACAGTCGGCTGCATAGTAGAAGCGCATCAAGTCGCAGACAAAGTTGCCGAGATTGGATTCACGCTGCCGCACAGTAGAAAACCGACCATCGAGCGGGCTGACTGTAAACCCGATCGGCTTGTCTAGTTTAGCTTTTAGACTGGAAGTGAGCCGGGATACCATTGCCACCGTGTCAGGGTCCTCAGGAATAGAGCGAACCACATCTCGCCGCGTGATATTAAAATCCCAACCAGATAGACCGTCGGGTTTGCGGAATGCTTCGATGTAGCTCAACTGTTTAAAGTCAGTCCCTGACCGGATCACATGGATTCCATTGACGACGGAATGGGCGTAGAAGTGATCGTGGCCTCCGAGAATGATGTCAACAAGATCGGGTGAAAGATTGTTAGCCAGCTTGTAATCATTCGGCTCGCGCTGATGAGTGACAGCGACGACGAGATCGGCTCCCTCTTCTCGGAGTTGTTTTGCAAGCTTCAGAGCTGTCTGAGATGCTGATTTGTAGATCAGATCGGGTGGAAGTGCATTGATCGTACCGAGCCTGAAATCCAAGTCAACAAAAATAAGAAAAAAATATGACATGTGAATGTTGAAGAATGCATACCATTCTCTTTCTCCAAGACCCAACACGCCGATCTTGAACCCATTTGATGAAGTCAACATGCAGGTCTTTCCAGAGTCAGCGATTGGGATATCATCTCCTAATGCCGGATCAATGACATTTGCCAAGAGCCAAGGAAAATGACACTGACTTGCTAAATGGCGAAATTGGGGGACGCCAAAATCAAGGTCGTGGTTCTAGACAGATTAGCGGTGTGCATGTTTGGTGAGCAGTTGGTTGTCATACTCACACCCACACACGCCACATCGGTTCCCACTGTGTTCAAGAATGGAACCATATGCCTGCCTTTTGTGATTGTGCTCTCGATACTCGGGTTGAAAGCATCGCCGGAGAAGAAGGTCAAGATCTCGGGTTGCCCGGCAAACTGTGGATGAGAACGGTAATGATTTACAAGTGATTGGAACCGCGATACACCGCCAATGGGCTCTGCAGATCCGGCTCTACGTAGAAATACTTAGAAGAATGCCAGAGAGCGGGGAGGGAGGGAGACGCATACTCGACATGATAAACATCATTGTAGTGGATTAGCCGCAGATCCGGGGATCCGGTTCGATCAGAGGAATAAGTGACGGAGAGACCGTCAGTATCGAGACCTGACATGGAAACTCCAAGGTTAAGCAAGGTATGGGATTATAGATGAGAGAGATGTAGAAAGAGAGAGAGAGCTGAAAGAAGAGAAACAAACAATGAGGGGGGAAGCTGTAACCTCCCGCCACATTGGTGCCTTGATGCCTGGGGAATATGGTGTCGTGTCCTCGTAAACAGTATAAAAAGCAAAAAAAAGACCACGCCATGCAAAAGAGGTATAATAAACATAATTTCATAACTTCTGCTCCGTCACTGTCCATCTTCGTTTCGTTCCCCCTTCATGATCCCCCTGTGCACTCCCCCATAGACCACGCTGAGATTGTGTTCTTTGTGGAAGTTGCTTGGCCCAGCCACGATCTGCAGGTTGGTCAGGAAGTGCCGAGTCGTGGCTGACTGGCCGATCACCAAAATCTGGCATATAATTGTCTTCTGTGTCTGCTTTCTCGGATGTCGTACCCCAAAGCCCACCCGCACCGCGAGAAGCTGCCGATGAGCGGATCGCCAGCGTCCATCCACGAGGACTAGAATTGGAGCTAGTGGATGACCCATTTATGGGTGTTCCTTGAAGGACGGACGAACGGGTACCCAAACGATTGCGATAAGAAGAGACTGGCGGTGAAGGCACCTGCGGTGCGGAGGGAGATGACAGCGAGGTCAGCTGTGAGGGGTTGATTCCTGGGCGCAGGTGATCAGTTGACGCCACAAACTGCAGTAAATATTCCCGTGACACCGATTGGTTGACCGGCACCGGAGATGTATGCATGGAACCCATGTCATGCGGGGGATTGGTGACTCGGTCACGTCGCACAGCCATTGTTAACGCAGCTGTGTTAATGTCAACTAGGACCGAGTGTCCAGCCAACGAACTGATCAAAGCATTGCAATCCGCGCCATGGGTAATTATCACGAGAACTGTCTCGGCCTCAGGGTGATTGGCATCAGATTCCGTAGGGCTGTCCTCGGGTGGCTCCCGTTCTCGGTACCAATTTATCATGTGCTGGAATCCATCATGGACCCGTTCGTGCATTGTGCTCCATTCCTCGCCATATTCGCCTCCTGTGCCCCAGTATGGGGTACGCATGCTGTCCCATTGGTAGTCGATTCTCGTACATGCATTTCGCGCGTGGGCAACGTAGCCTGTAGGGATGGAATCTGAGGCGGAAACAGCGTAACCTGGAGTCGGAGGAACATAAGACGTGTCTAGGGCCGGTGGCAGATCTGTGTTCAAGCGATCCAAAGTCTTCTTGGCGCGTTTGGTGTTATCGGGGTCCTGGAGAGTATGATATGTGCTAGAACGTTGGCGCTGACCGTCTTCGGGCGCTGATTGTAACCGTCGCTCCTCATGCTCGGCCGGCGAGGTAGGATGGGACTGACTGCCCCAACCGCCTGGGAAATGACCCGCCAGCGCCCGTGTTGATCCATCCGCGGCTGGGATGACCTCGGCACGACGGAGCAGTTCCCCTTTGGCAGACGCCACCATTCTATCCGAGCCAGGCGGGGGTGTGATCTGGTCATAATAGTCTGGTGACAGCCATTCGCCTAAAAACGCGTCGACACGAATGAGACATCGTGGATGGAGGGCCGAGGCTTCAGGACTCTTAGAAGTTGGACTGTTTGATTTTGGGGTCTCTGTGGCCGGATGTTGGTGGTTGATACCAGCGCTGACTCCTATTGCGGTTTGAAGGCATCGAAGAAAGGGAGAGGTATGGATAATGACGTTATATCGGTGGTACAGGTCCGAAGATGCGGGGGTGGGTTTTGCCTGAGTATCCGAGGTCGGATGATGCTTGCGCTGACTCTCAGGCTCCTTTCCGGTGAACTGCCCAGCCCTAAGAAGACTCCCTATACGAACTCCGAGTGCGCGAGCTTGCATCCATCCGCCATATGAGAGAGGGGGGTTGTAGGGTTCCGTGGCCGTCAAATGCCAATCTTTATCTGCAGCATCGAGACGGGCGCCATGTCTTTTTTCCCATGCAAGTTAGCAGTGAATAGCAAAATTGAGATAATTATTACCTGGCAATAAACACGATAGGCGGTGATTTTGGCATCGAGTCAATGTTTGTCTTTGATCAGTCACTTTTTTTTAGTTCTCTGCACTTGCAGGTTGACGTCTTCGGCGAGTGTTTTAAGAACACGCAGATAGAAATAACAAATAATTAAATATGGCTCATGGCCAGTCAATCTGGCACAGCGATAGTCATAGTGAAACTCATAGTGAAACGAAAAAGATATTTGAAGGGAAAAAAAAAGACAACGAAGAAAGAAAAATGGACAAATGACAGATTCGGAGGGCCGCATGTGATGCTTAGTAACACCAGAACTATACAAAAGCAATGCAAGGGTAGAGAACAACCTGGGAATTATCTACAAGGGGGCTGGAATAAGCAATTATAATATTGTGAGATTGGAGTTGAGATCCTGTAGCTATTTCATACTATAACATAAGTAAGCATAAAATATACAAGGTTTCTTATATAACTGGAGGTTATTGAAGCTATAGTTAATTTCATCTGAGAAATATAAATACATATGTAGAGCATAACTATCAGATTTATGAGGATGAATTCCTAGTATCTTAGAAAGAAAGTAATATTTTCTTTACCTTTGTACCTACCTATAGCTATGTACATAAGTATCTATATTGATGTTGACCTTAGTCTTCCAAGTCCAATCCCGTCGGACTTGACCCGGTCGAAGTACTATCAATGAGAGAAGAACAAAAGAGAAGGCTTACTTGGTTTTCTGGGGCTTTTTTTTTTCGTAGATTCCCCCGACTCGAATAGCTCGGACATTAGTCTAGACAAAGCATCTACACGGGATGAACATGATCCCGAGGCTTTAATAAGGCTGGAAGCGTCTCGCTCACAAATTTCACCTCCAGTCAAGACAGCCTATGCCTATGTTCTTCTTACAGTTGGCTTTTTGGCCTCGGCGCCTTCGTATTAATCTAACGCAAAGCGATTTGTCCCCTGCTCCCACGGTCAATCTTCACCGGTCAACTAGCCTGGATCCTTGGGTGTATTGCAATATGTTGGTCCAGTTTTGGATCATCATCTACTACTTCTACCAATTCATGGAAGTCATCAAAGGCGATTCCCCGCTATTAGCCACAGCCAAATGATCAGGAGCCGCTGCTTCTGCTGCTGTAGCTGCCATAGTGACTAGCTTTTTTCTAGGCCGTTAGCCTCCTAGCATCATCATGTTCTGCACAATGGCATCTTTCACGGCTAGTCTCTCATAATTCGCCACTGTACCTCTCAGCCAAACCTATTGGGCGCAAGAATCTGTGGTGAGTACAATATCTTCATGGGGAATGTAAGTTTTCTGACGCCTCCGGTCGTCACTTGTTTTGATATTGTACAAGTTTGCCTGATAAATAAACATCTAGGGACATGTCCTCTCCTTCAGGCACCATTATACTTAGCAATTCTAAGCATCGCCACCATCAAGGGCTGGCTGTGTCCCTTGCAGCAACAATTGTCAACTATTCTATGTTCACTTGGGCTAGGGTTCGCGGTTACTGTCGAGACACAAGTCAATGATGGAGGGCGCAATACTCTGGGCGGCCACCGTGGTGCCCTTTACATGGGTACTGTACTGGCAGCACTAGGTCTTGTAGTGTCAATATGCTTCGTGTGCACAAGTTGGGGACAGCATCGGAGAGATCAGAAGAGATAAGGCAGATGTCGCAACGTTGCATCTTTGAAAGCACCTAGGTATACATCCATGGATATAGGTTGTCTACATATATACCCATATGTATGTATGTATCCCTCTCTCTCTCTTTTTAATGACTTCATCTTGATCCTTCTTTATACTTATCTCATTCAAAATTTAATATAAGTATCTTCATACCTCGTGATTCTCAGCGTAGCCCATTAAAAACGGGTTATCCCAGATCATATAATGTAGACATGTTTCATGGTTTGCTTTGTTCAAGATTTTGTTCTCTGCAGACGTAAGCGGAATTTTGTCACGCCATGTCCACCAAGGGGCATGTGAGATGGAATGCGGATGTCATGAGCAATGAAAAGGTGCAATCTCCACATTCCATTGACATCAGTGTTGCTGCTGCCCACGTCATATTTGCAGAGATGTTTAGAAAGGCTTGACGAATTTGCTTCTTGAATTTTGAATATTAGTGGCGAGAGTTCGGCCTCTGATTGAATAGATCATCATCACAGGTATGTTCTATGACATAAATTTGAGTTTTCTTGATTCATCAAATTGGAATAAAGACGCTCAAGCTGTAGAGCTTAGTACAAAGGGAGTGGACTTTGATGCTTGAGTGTTTTGAAAGCATCTATAAAAGACCCGTCATTTGCTGTTCCCAGCCAACAACACCCAAAGCTATCAACACCCGTGGATCATCATTAACACTATCACTTCCAAACAGTGAAAGATCTTTCTTTTCAAACATTATCTTACATTGATAATCGTATCCTTCGTCATCATGCGTCCCGCAATTCTCTGTGCACTGTTTGTGGGAACTGTGATTGCGATTCCCCATGGAGTCCAGGAAGTGAGTCCAGCGTAGCCCTATATGCGATCAACAGCCTGCTGACAGCTTTCTGAAGCAGAGAACGGTAAATTGGCAGCCCGGTGAATATGTTTTGCAAGCACCAACCTAATAATATTTCTAGCATGCGCAGCAGTCTACGACCACTTCCATGTCCATGGTTAGCTCTATGCCGATGAAAAGAACAATTTCAACTACCAGCGCCACTCCATCAGCCTCGATGGAAGCCCAGAAGAAAATGTTGCCGTATGACTATGAGTTCCTTTGAACAACGTTGGAGAACGCAAGCTCACAAGAACTTAGTTTTTGAAAGGGAGCCGAAACAAGAAGCTAGTATATGATGGAAGCCAGTATATGATGGCAACGGCTGCTGAGTTGAGATAATTACGCTGATACACTCTTTTACGAATGATGGAATGAATGTCTTTATGGTTAGGTATCTGAGTGTTGATTTTGTGTGAAGTTACCGATCAAATGAATGGCTTTAAGGCTCGCAATGCTGATATTGAAGCAAACATCCTGCGATGGACATCTTACCACTTGCGGTACATATAATAATACAAGCTCAGAGCAACGGTAGTCGAAGCGTCAAAGACCTCGTAGTACATTCGAGGATCAATGTTGACGTGTGACCAATCGGAACTCCATTTCCGTTATTGAAAAGTAGACAGAGGTGAAGAGATTAGAAAGATCAGGTCATGCGGAAGGCTCGGCATATATGTGCGATCTGCAGATATCGGTCGAGAAAGAAAAAGACGGAGAAATTCACACCAATGACGTTCTATTTCTTCATGAGTTATAGAGTCGGCAATTGGGATTACCTAAAAAGGAACTCCAAATGAAAGCCGAAAGCCGAAACCGGGGCCGAGTAGCCCGGCAGTCGGCCCCGGTGTGGATTCCGTGGGGGTGTTTTTTTATTATTTGATCAAGTATATAAGAAATTTATACTAGAGGACTCCCTTTCTTTGGTCTTTTCAGAATCTTCATATGACAATCTCTCAAGTTATAGCAAGAGTGATCGAAATCATGGTAAACAACACCCCTCATCCTTCTCTGTGTGTCGCTACGACGGACTTCGAAAAGGTCGCAAAGGATGTTCTCTCGGAAAAGTCATGGGTATATGCATCAAGCTCAGCGGCTACGGGTCTCTCAATGAAATCCAATCTGGAAGATTGGTCTCTGATCAACTTTCGCCCCCGGATCTTGAGAAAAGTCGACAAAATGGACACCAGAAGGTCCATTTTGGGACACACCTCGCAATTCCCATTCTTCGTCTCTGCAATGGGTACCCTGGGTAGCTCACACCCAGGTGCTGAGCCTTTGCTTGTACGGGGAGCAACCCGTAAAGGAATGCATACTATGATCAGCACGGCATCTACAAAGCCCTTGGAAGAAATCATGGACGCCTACCGAGACGAACAAAAGCTACTTAACAACCAAAGCCCCTCCAACTTGTCATTCCAGCTTTATGTACCTGAAGATCGGACAAGAGCCAAGTCTCTCATTCAAAGAGTCAAGGCTGCCGGGTACCAAAGTCTGTGGGTCACGGTTGACACTTCAACACTTGGCAAACGTACTGCAGATCGTTACCTCCAGGCACAGGAAAACCTCGATGCAAGCCAGACAGGAAATGCGAGAGAAAGCCATGACGAAAACGACTTCGCACCAGCATTTGGAGGTCGCCAGGTTCCTGGTTCGGTAGATGCTGGACTTACTTGGGAGGATCTGGACTGGATCGCCAAAGAGTGGAATGGGCCCCTCGTTCTCAAAGGAATCCAAAGTGTTGAGGATGTGAAACTGGCTGTTCAACATGGTGTACAGGGTATTCTTCTGAGCAACCATGGCGGCAGACAGATCCATTCTGCCCCAAGTTCATTGACAACGCTCCTGGAAATCCGCAAGTACTACCCCGAAGCTTTCGATAAGATCCAGGTATTTGTTGATGGAGGTCTTCGCGATGGAGCCGATGTCCTGAAGGCATTGTGTCTTGGAGCCACTGCCGTGGGAGTTGGCCGGCCCTTTTACTATGCTCTTGCAGCATACGGTGCGGAAGGAGTGGAAAGGTGTACAGACAGTAAGTTGTCACTGAAATAGATATCAGAACCAGGCTGACATAGTTTATCCCAGTCCTCGCCGAAGAAGTTGAGATTACCATGAAGATGCTTGGAGTTTCTTCCCTGGATCAACTCCGACCAGAAATGGTCAACACGAGTCGATTAGAGAATGAAATGTGGCGACCGACATTTGAAAAAGCCAAGTTGTGAAAGAAAAAACTGTGATTGATCTATCAGGCCATTTGATAACGGCCAATGTATGCTCATGTAATTAATATCGTTACTAGAAATATCAAATGCTATCCAACAGATTCATACAGCGCCCCAACCACCACCACCTGCGGTGTTGATCACAATTCGGTCATGAGTTTTCATCGAGACGGTATTCTTGCCACCAATGTTGATAGAACGCTCCTCGCCAGTTTCCGCGTCACGCGTGATCCAGAGGTTCAACCCAGGCTGCGCGCTTTCGCCGCCCTCCAGTCCATACGGCCGATGCACACGTCGCTCGGACAAAATTGAACATTGCAAAGGTGACAAGAACTCAATGTCACGAATGACTCCCTCCCCTCCGGGGTTCTTGCCCTGGCCCCCAGAGCCCTCGCGTAATGTAAATTGGCGTAGCATGGCTGGATAGCGCTTTTCCAAAATTTCAGGATCGGTGATTCGAGTGTTCGTCATATGGACTTGCACTCCAGACTCGCCCTTCCAAGTTGGTCCAGCGCCACTGCCACCGGCGATCGTTTCATAGTATCCGAATCCTGGGGTAATCACAGCACCGGTAGAAGGATCAATCTTAGGGTCAGTGCCGAAGGTCAGGTTGTTACAACAACCTTGCGAGGCGGCGCAAGCTTGGAAGGCCTTGAAGACAACGTCGGTGATACGCTGCGAGGTGACAACGTTACCACCTACGACAGCAGCTGTTTTGGTTGGGGACAGGATGCTGGGCGATGGGACACGGATATCAATTGGCGCCAGACATCCTTGGTTCAGAGGTACATCGGCATTGATCATGCAACGTAGACAGTAGATGATAGCCGAGTGAGTAATGGCGATGGGGGCGTTCCAGCTACCATAGACCTCAGGACCTGTGCCTTCAAAATCGAAAACAGCTGATCCATCATTGCCGTCTATGGTGATCTTGAGTCGAATGGGAGTGCCGTCGTCCATGTAATCAACGGATTCAAGAGGTTGACCATTGAACTTTTGGTAAAGCTCCTTGAGCAGATTGCGGACAGCAGTCTCGGCAGTTGCCTGAATTGCATACATGTACCGTTGCACTGTCTGCGTTCCGTATTCGTTGAAGAGAGTTTGGATCAGACTGATTCCACGAGTGTTGGCGGCAATCTGTGCCTTCAGATCTGAAAGATTGTCACTGATGCAGCGAGCTCCAGCGCAGCCAGGATATTGGGAGGGCTTGGTGACCAACAACTCAATCAAACGTGCCTCGTCCAAGATTCCATCGCTGACAATCTTGTCTCCTTCAATGGCAGCGCCTTCTTGCCATAGTTCAGTCGATTTGGGAGGCATCGACCCAGGCAAAATGCCACCAATGTCAGCATGATGGCCACGAGAGGCTACGTAAAACATGATTTCGGAACCACCGGGTCTATCAAAGACAGGGGTGATAACCTAAACACAGTTAGCATTTGGTAACGTAATCTTTGTGTTTGTTATTTACTGTGATATCGGGAAGATGGGTGCCTCCACAGCTAGGGTGGTTGGCAACCAGCACATCACCGTCCTTTAGGTTGCCTAGCCACTTTTCATGCTGATAACGCACAGCAAACTGCATGGATCCGAGATGAACCGGCACGTGTGGTGCGTTGGCGACCAGCCCTCCATCGGGGGAGAACAGCGCACAAGAGAAATCCAGTCTTTCCTTAATGTTAGTTGAGACAGAAGTCTTTTGCAGTGTGCGGCCCATTTGTTCGGCAATAGACATGAACCGGTGTCCAAAAATGCTCAATCGGATAGGATCAATACCCGACGAGACGGAATTTCCTGCAGAGACGGCAGGTTCCTCCTTGAGATCGATGACAATGCAAGTATCCAGAAGGTTGGCCACTGCATTGGGAGCCACGACGATTGTTTGCGTTTGATCAATGATAACAGCCGGGCCTGCAATGCGAGAATTCTTCTCCAATTCACCAAGCAAATAAACGGGCGTATCGATGCGGCTCGACTGGCCATCGAAATAAGCCAGAATCTTGCTGGCTGGCGCCGTGGTGACCTCTCGCATATTGGCTGCCTTCAGCTGAACCAAAGGACTCTCCTCTGTGCGCACCTTTGACGAAGCAATAGTCCGCACACGAATGTCATCAACAAGAACTGGGCGCTCGGAGTTGAAATTGAACTCGCGACGGTGACGAATGCGGAACTCTTCCAGGAAATCTTCTGAGTCTTCGGGCTTCAGGATCATCAAACTGGTATCGGAACCTTCGTAGCGCATGTTCAAATATTGTTCGTGGTGAACTTGAGTGGCAGGGAAACCTTGCTCTTCCATCTCCTTGGTTGCTGATGCTGCCATTTCATCAAAGCGTTGAAGAAGACCACTGTGAGAGGACAGATAGGCGGATGAGATTGGTTCCTGTGACTCCTTGACAACCTCTGCCAGTGCAAGACCGTAAGCTGACAGAACGGAAGAGTATTTATGGATAATGATGCGTGAGATTCCGAGAGAGTCAGCCACCGAGCACGCGTGCTGACCACCGGCACCTCCAAAGCATGCCAGATGGTGAGACGCGGTCTCAAAGCCCCGAGCCTCTGTAAGGTTACGAATTGGCCGGGCCATTGATTCATCTGCGACTTTCAGGAAACCGAGTGCGACTTCCTCTGGGGAGTACTCGGTCTGATAATGCTGTCGGCGTTCAATGTTGATCTTTTGCGTCAACTCATTGAAAAGCCGTGCGGTCGTCTCTGTATCTAAAGGCTGGTCCTCGTTGGGACCGAATATATGTGGGAAATACTCGGGCAACAGTCGTCCAAGGAACAAATTGGCATCTGTCACTGTCAGAGGACCTCCTTTGCGATAGCATGCTGGACCAGGGTGGGCGCTTGCAGACTCAGGTCCGACATAGAACAAACCGTTGCGCCAAGTGAGAATGGATCCACCACCCGCGGCAACAGTGTTGATATCAAGCTGAGGGGACTGGATCAAAACGCCGGCAAGCTTGGATCCGAATACATGCTCGAGATGACCGTCGTATCGCGAAACATCTGTACTAGTTCCACCCATGTCAAATCCGATGACAGGTGTCCTCTCGGTAGGATCCCAACTGGTGGCTGCAAAGCCAACCACGCCGGCTGCAGGGCCAGAGAGAATTGCTTTCAGTCCGCTGAACTTGCGGAAATCGACGAGTCCCCCGTCAGATTGCATGAACTCAAATCGACAGTCCTGTTGGCTCTCTAGGCCGCCCTCAAAGCTCGAAGAAATGGAGTCAATATATGTTTTAATGACAGGTGTGAGATAAGCATCAGCGGCAGCTGACATGCCACGAGGCACAATTTTGATCATGGGTTGGAGTTTTGAAGAGAGGGTGACCGAGAATCCCATCCGCTGGGCAAGCTCGCCGATTTGACGCTCATGGTCGGGGTATGCGAAAGAATGTAGCAATGCCACGGAAAGAGACTCATATCCCTGCTCTTTGAGTTGTTGGAGCTCTGTTTGCACCTGAGCAAGGTCCAGCTCTTGCACCACACGGAATCTCTCGCCTGTTACTCCCTCTACTATTCGGCAATCGGAGTAGCAACTGCTATCGGAGGAAGGATGGCAAGGTAGCACGCGTTCATTGATTTCGACAACGCTTTCTGGAAGTACTCCTGGGCGTGCCATGGACAAGTCGAAGATAGCGGGGCGAGATTGATCGCCGATCTTTAGCAAGTCCCGGAACCCTTTTGTTGTAAGTAGTACTGAACGAGCACCCTTGCGCTCTAGTAAAGCATTGGTAGCAACGGTGGTACCCATACGAAGGCAGCCAATGCGGTCAAGCTTTAGTGGTTGACCTCGGGGATGTGAGTTCCCGGTGACCAGCTCTAGGATCTGACGGATGCCTTCAGTGGGTGCATCTTGATAATGGGAAGGATCAACTGAAAGAAGCTTCAAAATAATATCTGAACGACCAGGAACAATGGCGTGAACATCTGTGAATGTACCACCACGGTCAATGGAGATAGTAATCTTCCCTGACTGAGACATGGTGGGTTGTATGTGGAAGAAAATGGAGGAGAGATGATAGATGCGTTATTGTTGGTTTTTAAACAGGAAGCTGTGACAAAAGATAAGTCTACCTATGTACTAAGGGAGCGTTTGATTCATATATGCCGCAATCAGATGTCGCTGATGTCTCCGATGGTCTTGTAGATAGAAACACATCACGTGTCGGGCCGATGCTCCCGACGGGCGTTGATCTCGGGCCGACGGACAAGAAGCGGGGGATTGAGGCGAGATGAACGGGGAAATTGATTAGAAGATTATAATAATAGTTAAGTAAGTTCCGGAGATAGTGAGAAGAGAAACTCTCAGTGGCGTCAACTTGAGCTGTACAATTCTACATGCTTGACGCAAAGCAACTTTCTTTGGTATGTGCTACAATATTTTAGAAAATCTTGAGGATTATTGATAGACTTAAAATCAACCAATTGTATTATTATCGTTTCAAAGTATTTTCAATCCAATCGGTATCCATATTCATATCAATCTGATCCAAAGCCCCTTCCCACAGTGCGGGATCATCATTAAGGTCAAACTGGAAAGCAATATCTCGAAAAGATGGGATATCTGTTTGCTGCCAGTCATTAGAAAGACCTTGTGAATTTGACAGTTGTATATCCACGTCGGGAAGTTCTGGTATATTTACACCGTTTTCGGTTGCCGGCGTTGCAGGGAGCTTCGGACTTCCAGGACTCGCCGGGGCATTATCATGTATCCCGACAGGTTTAGATCCAATGGCTGCCCTTAATTCCAGCAAGAGTGAATGACGGGAGCCCAGGTATATATTTCCACGGTCTGCCATCCCGCGAAGAAGGCTGAGCGCGGTCTCCATAGCCCGTGCGCTGGTTTCATTGGGAGGGAATGCAGCATTCACCATGACTAGCAGCAATGCCGCTGAGAAGATGTATTCGCCATCGAGGTAACCATATGTAGCTAAAATATTCTTTCAGTTAGAGAGATGATTGGCATGAGATATGATACTGGATCTTGATCACGAACCAATGAGGTTATGCTTCGCTGCTGCATCCATTATAAGAGTTGTAGCTCGAGCTGCTGTGATGCAGCTGTCAATAACAGCGACAGTATTAGGAGACAGTTCTTCTTTCCAATCTTGTGTGGCAGATCCAAGTGCTTCTGCATCAAGTCGTCGTTGAATAACATAGAAGACCAGCGGACGCGCAGTCATGTTCACACATGAGTAGAAATGCAGATTGATTGAGACACTCTCGCGATTGATATGGGTGTCGAGTGTGGTAAAGTCTATACGAAGACGATCTGGTACTTGTCTCAGCCAGCCAGAGAGGTCATTAGTTATACTTTGAACAGACGCAACGAGATTGGATCCTGATCCAGGTTTCTTTCTGTATATTTCTGTTCCAGTCAACCAGGTCAGTTTAGGATTTAGCAGAGGGGTGAACGGATATCACCTTCGCCAATTCTTCCCAATATACGAGATAGTTGAGTATAATGAGTGAGGACAGTGGATGGCCAAGGGTCAAAGGTTGACCCATCCTATATGCAAGTCAGGTTGGCTCGTGTATAATAGCCACATCAAATGCAACTCACCACCGCTTCTGGCCAGGTGATTCCAATATCTTCATCATGGATTGTAATCGGATTGCCGGACTTGACCGAGAGTAACCTATTGGCAACCATAAGTATCCTTGTGTTTTGAGGGCATTTTTCACCCTACCTGTCTAAGCTATAGACAGACCACCAAGCTCGACGTCGCCGGTTGCGGTCTGCCTCGCTTATTGTTGGATCCGAAACCTCCTGGTGAAGACCTAAAGATATAGCCATGCGTAGAGCGAGTCCAATCTGGGCTTGTTAGCGGTTTAGTGGAAAGCTAATGGAAATCATACGCACGTAGAGAAATGCCGCATCTCGTCGATTCAGATTCTGCATATAGTATGCGACATAGCATAAAACCTCAACAAAGAATATTGAGCCCTCTTCGTGAATATCTGGCAAGAAACGCAGAGCGTGCTTAAAGTATTTGAAACCTGGTGGGCCATCATCGCCATTCCATTGATTCACACTATACATCAAGCCAAAGGCAATGACCAGTAGTGTTTGACAGTAAACTAGACAGGATTCACGATTTGAAAAGTCCAGAGGTTGATGGTAGACTAAATCAAGCCTTTCTTCAAACTCCAAGGGCTGGATGAGCGAGAAGATGGTCCCAATATAGGCATATTGCACCCAGAACAGCCGCTTTGCGAATTCGAATGGTGGCAACTGAGGAAGATTACCCCCGACAGGTCTTCTTAGTGAGCTCGGATCATCGTAGAGTGGACGCACATCCCACGCAAAATTTGTCGAGCCGGGATTCAATCGCTTGGCGAGATGTGTTGTTGAAGAGGCCCCCACAAAATCTTGAAAGAAGTTAGCGAAACGACAGAGAAGCAGGAATTGTTATCAAATCATACGATGTGCTCCTGACCTGTTTAAAAACAGATTATCAGTCCCCTTATACCACCAGTCATCCCTGGAAGCAGGTGGCAGCTCGCAGTCCGAATAACGCGCAGATGTAGGCGGTTCGCTGGATGGTGTTGGGTGACTGCTTTCTATTCCGGGTGTCAAATTGAGGTTTCAAATACTAAACAGAAGAAGAAAAGCTTACCTCGCAATACTGGAGCTTGTGATTGTAATTGGCGATAATAGCTACGAGGCGTGAGAATTGTCCCGTAACGTGGTTGGGAATTGACTCACCTCTCGGTTATAGAGACGCGCTTCTCGGCTTCTGAATATACACACGGCTTATTCACGTCAACGCAAGCCGCACAAGGTTGAGGTGGATTGCCTGCACATCTAGTTTTTCTATTTCGACACCGGTTGCATCTGTGTCTCTTAGTATGTGATCGCAGTCTCTCTAGTGCCAGGGAACGTACGCTACCATCGATCTCCTGGATCGGTCTTCAGACCGCCGCGAGATACCTGCGTTTCCAAGGACCATAATTATCGTGGAGAACAATTCTAGCCTTGCATTTTTAAAAAAAGCAATCCCAAAAAATAAAGCGAGGGTGATTTGAGGTCAGAATGTATACGATTGTAAGAAAGATAGAGACGGTTCCGCTCCCCGCTTCTCGGCCCGACGCAAAACGAACATTTGATTGAACCTAAGATACCATTTGGTACAATAAAAACGCATTTGGAGATTGAAGTGTTTAAACATTCGTTGATTGTTCGAAATATTCACTATATGAGAGATTTTCTGAAAAGTATCGATTTACTTTATTTAGGTGCATTTTAAACGACATGCATTAGTTACTACTCACCAGTAATGTTAAATGACAGTATTATATACACTATTACGTTCATTTGTATGGGAAGTAGTTGTATTTTTATTTGTAATTGCGTAATTCACTAATTTATGGCCGGGTTGCCTACATATGTACATACATATATCTGTGCCTTCCTGTGCCCCCCCCACCGCCTTCGGGATGGGGGGCACCACACCGTAAACCCAATTCACACCGTAAGCCCAATTTTGAAACTATTCACATAAATTACTGCTTTTCACCCTAAGTATCTATCCAAAAAAGCTCCCCTCTCTGCTGCGCTGCCATCACTGCATCTGACAATATAGAACTCTCCCCGGTACGCGACTTGGGTGGCGGTTGGCCGTTCAATTTTGTCCAAAGTTCATCCAACCTCTTCTTCTCTTGTATAGCTTCTTTCTCTCTTCTGTTCATCATTGATCGATTAGCATCGTTTGTACTAAGTATATCAAAGTCTCCGATCTTAGGAATATCGTTTTGAGTGACTTACCGCCTCTGTAGACACCAAAACCTCATGCAACGTCATTTATCTCCACAACTCGCAATAATATCCTTCTTACTAGCAGTACTGTTGTCTTGCTGTATCATCCTGTGTCCCGTTTCAATTACATTGTCAATAGTTTCACCAAAACTGCATTTTTAATCTGATGCTAATATATGTATGTCGGTATTAAATATGCAAAGCAAGTAACCGGCGGTGGCAAAGGGCAATCTTCGTCAAATACATAGAGTCGTTAATCATGTGGTTGCCTTGGCGCCTAATGGTCTTTTAGACCATACAGTAGAAGACAAATTACAAGACTGCCAAGTACTCTTTCCAACCTTTGGCCTTTTCCCATCAGGGTTCTGCATGGTTGGTTTTAATGAGATTATGCAGGACGAGGAGCAATGGATCCGACCATATAATGGGAAAGTTCCGTCTACGAAAAGGATTCGAGGGGCTTATGTCTCTCTTGTTGAAAACACTAAGTTGCTATGAAAATTTTGGATGTCTCTCCTCCGAGCAGATGATAATACCGAATAGTTATCTTCACGAGGTAGCCCTGTTAGCTGATTCTCGGGATATCCTAGATGTCGCTTTTACAAATTGCACTGACAGCGACTCTCGAGTACGCGTTCATTTGTGTTTCACTCAACGGGTGCCTTAGCCACCAAGTTTGCTCATTACGAGCGAGCCCATCTCTTCGTATCAGAGAACCTAAGATTTCAACAGCTACACCGAGACTCTTCGGATATCGAGGTTACTTTCGGATCTAGTGCTGTCGTCTATGTTCTTCCCGGTCTCGGGAGATACCTGAATAGCCATAGAAATAGGCGAGAAGTCTATTTCATTCTTCGAAGAGAAGTGGATTGAAGAAGTCCTCCATTATCACCCTGATCGGCTATCGCGCAACCTAGCACGATGGTAGTTCTTTGCTGGTGAATTGAGGAAGGCGAAGAAAGAATTTGAGATTGCTGATAAATGGTCGACGACAAGATTTGGACAAAACTCATATCAACATAGCGAGTGAGTGCTTAAATCCAGCGAAGAGATGGTTCTACCTACAAAGCTATCTATTCTTTACGTCAAAGGGCATTTTAATGGTTGGGTCGCATCGCGTTTGAGTCTGGTATTTCGGAAACTGCGCAAGAATCGTATGTAGAGGCGATGAAGTGTCTACGCGAGGGCAAAATTACCGCACCAGCAATTAAAGCCACGAGGTTTCAACATGTAACATTAACAATAGAGAGGAATTCTAAGGGCTCTGATGCTAACGCTCATGTTTCTTCTATAATACTCATGAAAAACGTCGTTTAAGTGAGACCAAAGGGAGCGGAGGTGAAACTGTAAGAACACAGTGATAGATGTCTTAGGTTATGGAACGGCAAGGTATGCACCAGGAAGTAATGGCCTTTCGGGAGAGTGCAGAGAAGACCCGGGATGAAAATTACGCTAGTGGATCCATTTTCCGGCCATCTGATGATGGAAAGGAAAGTATCTAGGATGGATTAGTCGGGATCATATATCGATAACCCATGGCCGAATGAGATAGGCCGCGACTCAGCATATGACCTAGTCATAGCTTGCCGTTAAGATTTTTACAGATTTGAGAAATGAGATTGTTATTACACAAATTATGCGTATATACTCCGTATAGATATATACGTTGTAGTAGGAAGGAGGCAGTACAATATCGTAGTTATTTACGTTATGAAAGAGCTAAAAATAAGTCGGTGGAGAAATATAAGCACAAACAAAAAATCTCACATTTTAGCTAGAACTTTAGAATAATAGGGAAGTATGTGTATTAGCTGCGGGAGGTATCACTAGCCACGTTGGTCATACTAGGCAGATTTGATCTTGTTAGATCATGGCGGTTGCTATAATATTATTAGATGATTTATTTGTTTTACATAGTTATGTTAGTATAGTAATCTCATAACTATCATTTGGTTACTTGTAATTACATATCTGATTACTCCGTGCTATGTTGTATATCGCACCGATAACCCATTTAGACATATCAGGCAGAGATTTCGTTCTAGGCAGACTAATAGATGTATACGTACGCACCCAGCTAATAATAATACATGTAACTAAATAGTGTACCTACATAATACATATGTATGTATGTTCCAAGGTTGCCTTATAACATTGACACGTATACCTAGAGGCACGTGACTTTCCGGTATGTGTGTGTTCCTTTTTTTTTCTCTCTCCTATGTTATTTTTTTTCGTTTTCGCCTTCGAATCCAAAAAAAGAAGGAAAAAAAAGAAAAGACTCCCCCACATACCCAATTACGGCTGAAATAAGTGGACCCTTCATATCCTTCCATGAGCCAGTCGCAGATCCAGAAATCAGCCCCTGGAAGACACGGCCGATCGTTTTCTTGCGCCTTGTCGTCATAGTCTTCGGCAGTCATCAGACATCGGGGCTGTGACTTTACTTAGCGCCATCTTTTCATTTTCCTGATTCAGGAGACTACAAGGTTACAAGTCAAGGCGCTGTTATGTTTCAGGATCCCAGAATAGGGATATGTCAGTACCAAGATATTTGAGGGATCAGAGGCCCTGTTATGGGTCCAAGGGCGTCTGTGGGCCAATGTTAAGGTGCATTGCGTCGCCGACCCGCAGGCTGGGACATATTTGACGAGTTATGTTCGACGTATGGGCGCAGCAAGGTCCGGATCACGGAATCGAAATCACTCCATTTAATATGAAATTGTAATGGAAGGTGTTGAGTGGTGGTTGGGGGGGTTGGTGGTTAGGAACCCATGTACGGCTAAGATATTCACAGCCACTGAATATGCCGAACAATTTGCAACAATATTATATATACTTATTTTGTTCACAGGGGCAATAACGGCCCTGTCTGATTCAAGAAATAAGAGGAGATATCCAGTGGATCTGAAGCAAAGGGTGACGAACGACAGTAGTTGGGGTTTCGCAAAGAAAAAAAGGCAACTCCACACAATTCATTATTCGCCCTTTGACCACATCGTTGTCTCTCCAATCAGATTTTGTTCCCAAAAATATCTCCTGGCTACTGTTACTTCGTACATATTGTCGATTCATCGATTATACATCTGGAGAATTCCTCTACCTTATTCTTTTACTTTTTTTTCTTTTCTCCTTCTTTGGTTATTTGTGTCTTCGTCTAGGTCGGATCTCTGGATAGATCGCCTGCAACCTATCTCAAATCGTCATCGAAATCGGAACCTAATTGCAAATCGGATCAGAACTTCCCATAGTCGTTAATCCTGGATAGACGACACAACCCTCCCTAATCCAGTGCCGGGAGGAAATTTGCGCAAATGTCGTTACCGCATAGAGGAACTTCTCCTCCTTCCGCTCATTCGGGGGAATCGGCTCATTCACCCCAAGCAAGCCAAACCAGCTTGTACGGTCCTCAGGTGAGTGGCACGACGACAATCATTGTAGAAGAAGCAGAGACACTAATGTATGCATGGTTAATAGCAAGCATACGGGTACGAGGAGAAGAACCAACACGCCGACAGTCAACAGTCCTTGCTCTACCAAAACCAACCCAGCCCATTCAACGCCCCCTTCGATGACCCATATGCTTCTTCCGATTCATTGCGCCGTTACACTCTACAAGACCCCGGCGTCACCATCTTCCCCGATGGCCCATACCAAGAATCCGCCGGAGGACTAAACCGTCGCTCCGGAGTCCATTCCCCCATGTCGGAGACTCCTTCGGAAGCCTGGCAGAACCGACAAGCGCCTGAAACTGGTCTCCGGCGTTATGCCACCAGAAAGATCAAGCTCGTTCAGGGCTCTGTCCTCAGTGTCGATTACCCAGTCCCCAGCGCGATCCAAAACGCGATCCAGAAAGAGTATCGCGAGTCGGAAGAAGGGTTCCCGGAAGAGTTCACCCACCTGCGCTGTGAGTCTACGCGGGATGGATTGGGATTGAAAATGCGACCGAAGCTAATGCCATGCAGACACGGCCGCCACTTGCGATCCCGACGAGTTTACCCTGCGCAATGGTTACAATTTGCGACCGGCTATGTACAACCGACACACTGAACTTCTGATCGCCGTCACCTATTACAACGAAGACAAAGTTTTGACCGCGCGCACCTTGCACGGTGTTATGCAGAACATTCGGGACATTGTGAATTTGAAAAAGTCGGAATTCTGGAATAAAGGTGGTCCGGCCTGGCAGAAGATCGTATGTACTTTGGTCTTCGATGGTATCGATCCTTGCGACAAGAACACTCTGGATATGCTGGCCACTATCGGTATCTACCAAGATGGTATAATGAAGCGCTCCGTCGATGGTCGCGAAACCGTCGCTCACATTGTAAGTCTGCTCAGTCCGTCAATACACCGGACGCGCTCTCTCGGTCGCTATTCTACCCATTTGGGTTCCTCGACAATGAAGCGCTTTCTATTGTTATTTTGCTAACTAAATTAGTTCGAATACACCACTCAACTGTCCGTTACCTCCAACCAGCAATTGATCCGGCCACAGGGCAATGAGTCGACCAATCTTCCTCCCGTCCAGATGATCTTCTGTCTCAAGCAGAAGAACAGCAAAAAAATCAACTCTCATCGTTGGCTCTTCAATGGTTTCAGTCGAATCCTAAACCCCGAAGTCGTTATTCTGATCGATGCCGGAACTAAGCCCGGAAAGAAATCTCTCCTTGCGTTGTGGGAATCGTTCTATAACGACAAGAACTTGGGTGGATCTTGTGGTGAGATTCACGCAATGTTAGGAAAGGGTTGGAGAAACTTGATGAACCCGCTCGTCGCCGCACAGAATTTCGAGTATAAGATTTCCAATATCCTCGATAAACCTCTCGAGAGTGCCTTTGGATATGTCAGTGTGTTGCCTGGAGCCTTCTCTGCCTATCGTTATCGCGCGATTATGGGCCGTCCCTTGGAGCAGTACTTCCACGGTGATCATACCTTATCCAAACAGTTGGGTAAGAAGGGTATCGAAGGCATGAACATCTTTAAAAAGAACATGTTTCTTGCTGAAGATCGGATTCTGTGTTTCGAGCTTGTAGCCAAGGCTGGATTTAAATGGCATCTGACGTATGTGAAGGCGTCCAAGGGCGAGACTGATGTACCAGAAGGTGCAGCTGAATTTATCAGTCAGCGACGTCGATGGCTGAACGGCTCATTTGCCGCCAGTCTGTATGCTATGATGCATTTCGGACGTATCTATAAGAGTGGCCACAACATCCTGCGGTTGTTCTTCTTACATATCCAGATGACTTACAATTTTGCTGGTCTTGTAATGACCTGGTTTTCTCTCGGTACGTCATCATACTTTGTTGTTCGATAGCTTTGTTGCTAACAGGCTCTTAGCTTCTTTCTGGCTGACCACTACGGTCATTATGGATCTTGTCGGTACTCCTAGCGATGCCAACAAAAATAAGGGGTGGCCATTTGGCAACGAAGCTTCCCCGATTGTGAACAACTTTCTGAAATATGGATACGTGTTTTTCTTGATGCTTCAGTTCATCCTGGCTTTGGGAAATCGACCCAAAGGGTGAGTCCGAGTTTCTCGATAAAGTTTCCTTGTTAAGTGTACGAATACTGACTTTTCATAGTTCACGTCTGGCATACACCCTCTCTTTCATCTACTTTAGCATCGTCCAAACCTACATTATGGTTCTGTCCTTCTACCTTGTCAAGAACGCTTTCACTGGAGGTACCCTTGATTTCTCTCTCGACGGTGGTGTTGGCAACTTCCTGAAGTCGTTCTTCAGTTCTGATGGAGCTGGTATTGTCCTGATTGCTTTGGTTTCCACTTACGGCATCTACTTCCTCGCTAGTTTCATGTATATGGACCCCTGGCACATGTTCACATCCTCTTGGGCTTACTTCGCTGGAATGACCTGCTCGATCAACATTTTGATGGTCTACGCCTTCTGCAATTGGCACGATGTTTCTTGGGGTACCAAGGGTTCCGACAAGGGTGACTCGCTACCCGCTGCCGAGACAAAGAAGGACGACGCCAAGTCAAACTTCATTGAGGAAGTCGACAAGCCACAGGCTGATATCGATAGCCAATTTGAGGCAACTGTCAAACGTGCGCTGGAGCCTTATGTCGTGCCGGAAGAGCAGGATGAACGCAGCATGGATGACGGTTACAAGGCTTTCCGTACCAACCTGGTGTTGATTTGGATTTTCAGTAACTTGATCCTTGTATTGTGTATCACCAGTGAAGGTATTACCCGCTTCTGTCTCACGGTATGTCTATCCCCATCAAGCACACTATGGCACAATCTAATCCTGTTTTACAGAACACTTCTACCGTCCGTACTTCTAAATACTTCGCTGCCATTTTGTGGACGACTGCCGGCCTGTCGATTTTCCGGTTTATTGGATCTGTCTGGTTCCTGGGCAAGTCTGGCATCTTGTGCTGTGTCTCCCGTCGCTAGACTTGGATCATTCCAGTTGTAAATATCATCTTTTGACATTTGACTTGCGTTGGTCTCCTGGGTGTACCATTTTGGTTTTGAATGATTTGTGATAGAGATGTTGTTTCCATCTTTTTTTGGGTTATGTATTCCCCACGATTGCAGCCGAAAAGGCTTGTGTTTTTCATGTATGATGTACATTGGGGATGACTTTTGATATGAATTAGGATAGACCCAATTCATTGGAGTATTTTGAATTATCATTTATCTCGCTGTGCTTACTACTTATACTTGATCACATCCTGCCTGTAACCCCCATTCCATCACTGTTTTACTCAATGCCTTTGGGCTGCCCATGTCAATAACCATGAAGAAAGTCGATGCTACATGGTGGAAAAAATAGTGGCATTTCCCTTTATACTACTGGATTTCACAGTCATTTCTCTCTAACAGATTGAACCTCACTAGGGCGATCGGTCATGCATGGATCTAATCTTCCCCGGGCTGGACAGTCATCCACTATGGTGCATGCGGTGGATCTTGCCATATTCCTATAGGGAAGAAATCTTCGGGGCAAAGATAGCTGCTGTGAAGTTTCCAGGGAACCACTATTGTGTCTGATGGACTCTGGAACCGCCAGCAGGTATAAGCGAGGAAACTCAATTGCATATTCAATTTCAACTTCACCAGTTCGAAAAGATGTCAAATGACTGTCATGAATTCGATTATTATCATTAGTTCTATCTATGATATATGCAATCTAAAATAAACAAAGCAAAACAGCGCTGGGAAATATCAAATCATGAGATCAGCCACTCCTCTTGTGATACTCAAATGCCCTTTCAAAACGCCCATGTTCTTCCCATTTTATGATTTGTATGAATTATTTGAATGATTCGCGCGTGTGCACACGATCAATGGTATAAGGATTGGCCTCATATGTAGGCACCCGGTGCATTGCCTGTGTGGCACGTGTAGATGTGCGCGAAAGTGTGTGGTGAATGGAGTTGACATCGGTAGTGGTCTCTTTCTTGTGTGAGAGCGAGGCAACTTCATCATTTGAGGATTCAGATGGGTCGATCTCGGGCTCCATCTCAGTAGGCTTATCGTCAACTTGCTTGCTGCCCCGAAGAAGATTTTGAACAAAGGCCTCGGATTGAGCAGAGTACTTGCAGTGCTTTCTGATGGACAAACCGTACTTGTACAGCAGGAAAGGGAAAGGCACACAGGCGAGGGCCAAGAAAGCTGGAACGCAGGATGCCCAGTGAATTCCCAAATTCTGGTACATGTATGTGGTGAACAGTGGGAATGCGAATCCGAACAATGATCGGAGAAGCGAGTTGGCGGCCAAGACGGATGCTGCGAAAATAGTGTATGCATCAATCAGGTAGTTGAAGACACTGAGGAAGACAAGAACCATGCCGAATCCGAAGGGAACTCCAGCTGCGATGCTCGCAAGCCAATGCACGGAAGGGGAGTTAGTCCATGCGAACCAAAACAGTCCGACGGGGAGGGCGATAGAGGCTAGCATGCAGGGAGGAAGGCGAGCTTCTGGAGGCGCATACCCGCCTTTCTTCTCGAGGAGCTTGATATAGCGAGCGTTCTCGGGAATTGAGTAGGCAATTGCACCCAGCATACCCACCATGACACCAAGGAAAGCCAGACCGGCAACACCTTGATTCCACCCCCGGTGAAGCTCATACACAATAGGGAAAGCACCGAAGAGCATGTAGAGGGTTCCGTAGATGATAGCTAGATAAATCGAGAGCAACAAGACAATAGGCTCCTGAAACAAAAGAACCAATGGTCTGGAGAGCGATGTCTTCAAAGCAGCCTTGATGGTGACACGTCCTTGGTCGAGATCCAACTTGCTGCAGTACACCTGACCAGTGAGCTTAGAAAGGGTCTTCGCACGCTGGCGAAGAAGGACAGGCGCGTAGGTTTCAGGCTTCAATACAGTTCCCAGTATCCACATCAAACCACAGAGAATAGTCAAGAGGCCCATTACCCACTTCCAGCCGGCGGCCATACCGAGGAAGCCACCGACGATAGGACCAATAACGGGTCCTAGGAATGGGGCCAAGGCAAAGGCCGACAAAGCCAGTCCTCGTTCGCGAGCCATGAACATGTCGGCAATGACACCCCCCGAATTGGTGAAGGGAGAAGAGCCAAAGGCGCCGGCCAGGAACCGGAAGACTAGTAAACTTTCGATATTCTTTGCGCCGATACAAGCGGCACAAAAGATTGTCAATCCGCAATAGGTTGTGATGAAAACGAGTTGACGACCGAACATTTCACTCATGGGAGCCCAAATGAGAGGACCCAGAGCAAATCCAAGGACGTAAAGGGATACTCCCAGTGTGGCGATCTCTGTGGTGGCCCCAAATTGTTCTTCGATTTGAACAATACCACCAGTATATGCAGAAGAGACCAGAGCCACCACCAGAGTCTCAAGAGCAGCGACCACAGTGATGAACCATTTCAGAGATGTCTTCAATTGGAGGGGGTTTCGAAAGTCGTTGGGCAACCAGTTGACTGCGTATGGATCATCTTCGGTTCCTGATCCAGGGTAAGGGTAGTCTGCAACATCTTGAGTGATGACACCAGGTTCGGTGACTAGGCGCCAAAATGGAATAGAGTGTGGTAGTTGGAGAGACTTAGTTCCAGCCTCGGAGGATACCTCTGTGGCCATTCTGAATGGACAAGCTTAAAAAGAGGAGCCGTCAAACAGAGATAATCTGCAGTATATTGGAAATGCGAATGTGAAAGTAATATAATATTGATCAGGAAGTAGGGTTATTCTTAAGAGAGCTGATTTGGACCTCGGTTGACAGTTTTTTTTTCTTCTACTTAATGTGCATTATTGCGTTATTCAACACAAAACGAACAGAAACAGGCACCCATAACGGAGACACTGCTTGTTTAGATAGCCTAAGTGGGGCATAGTATAGCAAGATGCATAACAGAAACCAAGAAAAGAGACTAAGAGCTAGAAGAAAAGGAAACATGGCCGATAATTGGCAAAGAGTAGCTCTCTAGAATCCCGACGGTCCACTTAATCGGCCCGATCAGTAATCGGGCTTCGGCCCTGCCGATGATCTATGTCTATTCTGATTGGACGAAGAGATTTTTTTCTTCTTATAGCCGAGGCTAATTTCCCATTTTAAGAGTTTTAGAGATTACGTTTGTGTACAACAATGTATAGTTTTTATACTCAAAACGGTGAAACGTGTTTCGATGCACATTTTGACTGCGCAACAATTATCCTGTACTCCATACCTAACTGCCATGCAGCTATACGTCTTGGCAGTGTCTACTTTGCACATTACCCCTATGTCATAGTACCGGAATATCCCCGCCTCGGATGAATCTACATCACCGGTTCCAAGTGTTTAGCCGTTTAGATAGTCAAGTACCGAGGCAACCTGACAGGGCTGAAACATCAACAGATTCCAAGGTTACTAATCACAAAGATTTCCGAGATTAGACGGACTGGAGTTCATTTTGAATAATCCTTTTGCTCAGCAAGTGGTGTGATCTGATTTCGCGCCGCAATTATCCGCCATGACCAAATGGCACCACAACCCAGAGGGGTTGGTTGCATGGGGGTGAAAGGGGGGCAAAGAGGGCCAAAGAGTCCTTATCTCCGAGAGATTACATATTCAAACCCGGAAAATCCAAGGAAATGAGGGGCTTCAAAACATTGAGCTGATGAAGCTGATGATTATTCCATTTTCATGTCTAATTACAGGCTTTTCTCGATCTCAGCAACCTCGGCCATGACCTCTCGGATCGCTTTTTTAGGACCTTCACCCACCTCCTCATAAGGATGACGAGGGGCTAGGTTTGCTGCGGCATCCTGAATCCCTGCTAGTTGGGCGGAATAGCATGCCACTGCATGCTTAGTTGACGCAATGCCGCTCTTGATTGCGCTTTCCGCGAGTGCTGCCTTTCTTTGGAGCTTCACAGCCTCATCAATCTGTCCCTTCTGATACAGCGCATAAATACGGGCTGTCACTTTAGGAAAGACGTTGGCGAAGGCAGCGATACAGCCAACGCTTCCTGCAGCAAGTCCTCCAATCAGGAAATCGGACTGTCCACCAAATGTCGCAAATTCCTCGGGCGCAAATGCTGCAGCCAGTCGAGTGATTTTTCCCACGGATCCACAGGTAAGCTTGACACCCACCACGTTGGACCGACCACTAGGATGCGAGGACGCCGATTCCTTTGCAATAGCAGTGATCGTCTCGGAGTCCATGTCCACGCCGTTACATACACCGGGGAAATTATAAACCACCACTGGGAGAGGTGACTTTGCTGCCACTTCTGAAAAGAATCGTTTCACTACATTCATGTTTGTGGCTTTGCCAAAGTACGCAGGAGGGAGAACGAGGAGGTAGTTGGCACCAGCGGCAGCGGCATCGTTGGCGAGCTCGAGGGTTTGCTTGGTGGAGTGCGCACCCACACCAGCCATTAATGGGAAGTCGGGACCAACAGCGGCTCGCGCGGTTGAAATTAACTGAGATCGCTCTTCGCGAGTGAGAAGAAAAGCCTCGGAATTGGTGCCCAGGATCACCAAACCGGCTAGCCCGGTCTTTGACAGATAGGCGAAATACTGAGATTGAGATGTGAGGTCCAGTGAGTCGGTACCATGGTGGAAAAAAGTGACCGCAGGGCACCAGACTCCCGATGGTGGGATATGAGGTTGAGGAGAGACAGCAGCGTGAGAACTCATTGTGGAAGTGTATAGTCCGTCCTGAAATGAATCGTATCTAAGAGCAATGGATCGTACTCTACTTGTAATCTTTGAAGATGTTCAGCTTGGATATATAACTCACTTCAAATGAGGGGGAGGGGCAACGGCTAAATCTCCGAGTGATTGGCGATGGTGGTTCGACGTAGTTGGTGAACGTCGGAGGCTGAGGCCGATATGTCCACATTGTCATTGCACGGATCACAGCCTAAATCCACTTTCGGACCCAAGACCCGATCAACCTTGGGTAAATATTCAACTCTATTCATTTCTCTTATTTTTTCAACTGGAGTTACTACGGTTTATCAGCTCGGGTTCTCCCCCGAAGTGCATTTACTTGTAGATGAGGGAGATTGTGCCCTGAATACCCTCGGTCGGGCACCCGAGAACAACGAAGATTGTATTTCACCTCCTCCGACGTGTGCGTTTAAGTAGTTTCAATATAATACAAATGCTGCCTTTTCGTCATATCACAAAACCGAGACAATTCTACAAGATGGTCACAAAAACAATATCTCAGAACACCCTATCCTGGTTTGACGAGGCTCGTTTCATTAAACCAGATGCGATCTTTGTTTTGACTGCTCAGTATGTCACATTTAAATCACCCCGGAAAGTCAACTTGGGACAGGGCACATATCGAGACGAAAATGGGAACCCATGGGTTCTTCCCTCGGTTAGGAAGAGTCGGGAGTTGCTGTCGCAGAGTTTGAACCACGAATATCCTCCAATTGTCCGCTTAGCAGATTTTCGCAAGGAGGTCGCAAAGACCTAGGTCCGGAGCTGTTTGCTAAGTGACAAGATAAAGTACAGCTAGTCCCGCAATCACTACACAAAAAAAGAAACCAACGAAGGAATAGCTTGCAACTTGCAAAGTCTTTCCGGCACTGGAGCATTGCATTTGGCTGGACTGCTCCTCAGAGCCTGTAAACATTTCCCAAGATCTATATTCCTGAGCCAACCTGGTCCAACCATCATCAGGTGTGTTCATTTCTAGGATTCCAGTGTGAAACCTTTCAATACTACAACACAGAGACGAAAAATCTAGAAATCAACTCATACTATTCTGCATTGAAACCAGCAGCGCCCAACTCTGTGGTTTATATCCACGCCTGTGGCCATAATCCAACAGGGTGTGATCCCAGCAAAGAGCAGAGGCAAGAGCTCGCATCTATATTTAAAGAAAGAGAAGTGTTTACACTTTTCGATGCTGCTTATTTGGGATTTAATTCGGGCAATGTTGATAGCGATGCTTCTGCCATTCATTCATGCATTGAAGAGGCAAAATTAGAAGCTGGAGTTTGTTTATCATTTGCAAAGAACATGGGCCTTTATGGTATAAAACTCTCTATTGTGTTGATTTCAAGCATAGAATGAGCTGACAAGATTTGATAGGCGAGCGACTCGGCTGCCTTTTATTGGCGACAAGTGCGGAACAAACTGCCGTGAAGACTCAATCAATGCTTGAAATGCTTCAGCGGTCTGAAGTCTCGAACTCACCAGCCTATGGTGCAAAAATCGCAAACACCATACTAGCCGATCCTACGTTAAGACAGGCCTGGCAGGATGACTTGATTACTATGAGTGACAGGATCCGCTCAAGGCGGGAGGAGTTGTATGGCCATTTAGTGTCTTGTGGTAAGTGCCATCAATACAGTTCAAGAAGAGCATTGCTGATATGAATAGGGGCACCTGGCTCTTGGGAGCATCTCATCCGTCAGTCCGGCATCTTCGGATTTTTGGGACTGTCTCCAAGCATAGTGCTGAAACTTCGCGGTTAGTTCTGGCCTTGAAGTTGTAGTTGATGTACTAAATTGTGGCAACAGAGCAATACCACATTTACATGGCAGACAACTCTTGGATATCGATTGCTGGGTTGAATAAAGGAAATGTGGCCTATGTTGGAGAGTTCATCACCAAGTGTTTGAAGCAGAATGCTAGCCCTAGATGCCCCGATATGGAGGCCTCCGAAGTTAGCACAGTCAGTTGATCATAGTGAATTGAAACTGGTTTGTTTTCTCGAATGAACCGGGGCAACTTGATATGAGACAAAGCTACAGTGGGAGATCGAGTCATATCATATCATGTGTTGAACTTTGGGACTCAAAGTCCACGCCCCTAGGCACAGGCCTTGTTGAGTTTCATCGCGAGGTTTGCTAGCAACCATCGGGTCAGTTGTATACTCTCAATGTCAATCAAGATGTCCGGTTCAACGTAATAGTGCGGGTTGGAAAGTGAAATGGCAATTTGAAAGGAAACCAAACAAGAACTAGAGCATCTTCTTGCAGCCATCGATCTCGGCTGCGAGAACCGTCCCAGCTTGTTCGCTCTTCCTCATGTTAGATATATGTTGTTGCCATGTGAAACATCGAGCGAATCGCCTTCGTGTGCTCGTTCGAGGATATCACTGAGATGCAAAGGAGACTAGAGCTGCAGGTGGGGGCAGCGTTAGGAAAGACAAAGCGACAGGTAAAGATTCGTCAAATCTCCGGTTGCTGGGGGTACCGAGACAACGAGCTTGAAACGGGATGTCCTTCATTCGTTGACAAAGATTGCCACGAGCAGGGAAGACACCCATCTGTATGTTGCTATGCTCGATGATCAAATTGCCGGCACAGCCGCTCTTGTATTGATATAAACACCCACCGGGGAAATAGCACACTGCTACTGAGATAATACCTTGCCAGAATGCCGTGGTCGGAGAGTACAGCGCCAACACATTTGGCGCTGGTCCAGGCACGGCTTCGGGAAATGAAACGGCTGGGGCTCCCTTTCTTTGGCAACGACGTTCACCACGGCCGAGAGTGGCTGCGCAAGTAATCTTGAACGATCAGGCATGCAAATCGGATATACGACAAGTGTATTCCCCAAGCCCTGGGCACTCACTTTGCGGGAATAATTACCAACACAATAATCCCGCAAAGCGGATCATGACCGAGATATAGTTTCTGGGGTGTTTCTAGCCGATGATCTTCATTAGTTAGCATCCAAACTAATTTCAAAATCCGAAGACGGACCGAGATATAGGGGTTATGGGAATACGAATTCCAATCTTGTGCTATAGAATATTGTGTACCCACGGAGATGCGAAAATTGGGGGAAATTCACATTACGTACAAAGTCCCCGGATGAATTGGAGAACGGGGAAATTTAGCAATGATCTGGCTGAAGACCTCAACCACCCAGACCCAGCTATATGTTGAGGCCCATTTTAAGTGAGGCTTCGGACACCAGAACGAATCACGAGATAGTCATTTGCGCTATTTTTCTCCGGCCCGCACATTTAAACCTTACGGCGATTGGTGGCATTTATGCATCTCCAGGTTTAGGAGTGATGACCCCAACAAAGATGGGATCATTTTATGGAATCGAAACTGGGGAAAATGGAGGTTCGGATGGTGGGGAAACGCTTGAGAATGATTATGGAGCATGAAGTTAGACACTGAGTCCACTCTCGATGGAGTTAATATGAAGTTGGATACGAAAATACCCCGGATATGTACGTTTGATGATTGCTTGACTGTTTGACTTGTTTGTTTTGTTTTCTATGTTTGACTTCCTGTTTGCATCATTGTCACGTGATTTTCGCTCACGTGTCTAAGTCTTATCTGCGCCCAGTCTACGCCCAATTCGAGTTCCCGTCAAACCATTGGACTGAACGAGATTCGGCTGATTATCCGGACTTTCAGTGGCGCGAAGCAAAATCGAACTTTCTAAAAAGCTTGAAAATCTTGAAAATCTTGAATTCTTCAGATTGCTTCATCATGATGTTAGTTGTCTCTCTACTGCCTTTCTCTTCCCCCGCAATTATCAACGCGGGGGTATGACTCCATAATATGACATCGTCAAAGCGCTCCCCCTCCAGCGCGCTCTTAGTATCCAATGTGGCATTTCTTTTACCTAACACACCGAAACCTTCTTATCATTCGTACAGTACGGGAATCAACGGAATCAACGGGGCGCGGGCTGAGTTTCGCCTAAAAATCCACAGGAACCCACCCTCAACCTATAACCAATGGGTCCAAACCCTGTTTTCGTCAATTTGATTCGATCGCCGATCAGACGAGTGGATTAGCGTCGTACTCCACGTGTTGGAACAGCCAAGCAGAACACGAGAATTTATCTTAGTCAATGCAATCCGCAATTTTGCCTCCTGGTAGCGCCGCATTCAGTCGTTCGAGAAATTTCCCTTCTTATACCACTTGACTTCCCTGCTTTTCAACCTTCACTCCTCAGATCGGCCTTCCTTCCCCCCTCCCCATACCTACACACTATGGGTTTCGAAAATATCTCAAATGACCCTGAGAACAAGGTGATGGGTTCTGAAGACGAGAAGGCTGGACATGCACCACCGCCATTTGAGGGTACTATGGTGGGGGAGATGACTGACGCCGAGAGGAACGTCTATGATCACGGTATCCAGAAGTTCAATCGTCTCGGATGGAAGCGTCTCACCGTCGTCCTCATTGTTGAGGCCATTGCTCTCGGCAGTTTGTCAATTCCTTCGACTTTCGCCACACTTGGCATGGTCGCCGGTGTGATCTGTTGTGTGGGTCTTGGTTTGATCGCCATCTACACCAGTTACATTGTGGGAATGGTCAAGCTCGCCTTCCCTGAGGTGGCTAACTATGCCGATGCGGGTCGCTTGATGGGTCGTCGTTTGCATTGTGGTCGCTTTGGATATGAACTGGTTAATGTCATGCTTGGCCTTCAGTTGATCTTCCTGACCGCCTCCCACTGTTTGACCGGAACCATCGCATTTTTGGACATCACCAAAAGTGGCATTTGCTCGATCATTTTCGCGGTGGTCTCTGCGATCATCCTGCTCTTGCTCGCGATTCCCCCGAGTTTCACCGAAGTCGCCATTCTCGGTTACGTTGATTTCGCCTCCATTGTCATCGCCATTGGCATTACAATCATCGGAACTGGTGTGCAGGCAACGGACGCACCCGGTGGACTCGCTGCAGTCCCTTGGTCTGCATGGCCCAAGGATAACCTCACCTTCACCGAGGCCTTCATCGCCGTCACCAACATCATTTTTGCCTACAGCTTCGCCATGTGCCAATTTTCTTTCATGGACGAAATGCACACTCCTCGCGACTTCGTCAAATCCATCTGGGCCCTCGGTATCACCGAGATCGTTATCTACACTGTGACCGGTGCCTTGATTTACGCCTTTGTGGGATCTGACGTCAAAAGCCCTGCGCTGACCTCCGCGGGTACTACCCTCAGTCGCATCGCATATGGTGTTGCCCTCCCCGTCATCTTTATCAGTGGCTCCATCAACACCGTTGTGTTTGGTCGTTTGATCCATGGTCGTATCTTCGCCAACTCGCCCATTCGCTTCATCAACACCAAGATGGGATGGATCACCTGGTTGGCTGTGATCACGGCGGCTACCATTGTCGCGTTCATCATCGCCGAGGTGATTCCATTCTTCAACGACTTGTTGTCAATCTCCTCATCTCTCTTTATCTCCGGATTCACCTTCTACTTCCCTGCCATGATGTGGTTCATGCTCCTCCGGGAGGGTAGCTGGAAGGAGCCTAAGAATTTGGCATTGGCCGGCCTCAACATCCTGATCTTTGTGATTGGTATGGTGGTACTTGTCGGCGGTACCTACGCTAGTATCGATGATATCGTAAGTTTTACTCTTGACTATCTGTTCCAGTATCGTGTCGCTAACCCGGTGATAGATGATCAAGTACGACAAGGGAGAAGTTGGTGGTGTCTTTTCTTGTGCCGCTCCGGAGTAAGGTCGTCTGATTTGTTCATTTTCGGCCTATCATTACTTAGGTCATAGGTGTGTTCAAGCTGGTGCTTGCACAGCCAGAGTTTCTGTCAACCCTGGTTGGTTGGGAAATCTCATCAGGATAATTTTGGCATCAGCGTTGCTTTGCATCTTCATGATATAACATGGAGCAAGAAGCGAAATATGTAAATATAGCTTTTTTATTTTCAATCTACTCACGATCATTCATGCATTGCTGTCCATTTCAGACTCAAAAGGTGAGGTGTTTGTACGATGAGAAAATACTCGTGTCAATCATTATATTATAGATAGATGCACTTAGTCGAGGCCGCAACAGCTGACTCAAGACCAATCAACGTCTCTTATGGGATCTAATAATTAACCCATGAACTTGACAACACTATGTCGGATGGCCGCGGTGGTTAATCTGAAGAAGGCACAAAATCCGGGAAGATTGATCTAAGCACCAGTTTTGGTGAGTTGAAACCCTTTTGCTTGCTTTTGCGATTCTGCATACTGGCGATATGAAATACCTGCATAATAGACTTGATCGTGGTGATTTATAGATAGATCACGATAGATGGACATGAGCTATGTATGGTATATGACATAAATTTGTTGCTTAAGTGTAAAAATATCGTACAATTAGGCGCACACATTTACCGCAGGCTCCTATGGTGAATCATGACGGATTTCGACTTTCTGACACCGAGCTCAAAATTTGATACAAAGTTAGAATTATGCATTTAGAGGGGAATGTGATATGAATTCATGGAAATTCCTCATGTGAAAGACATACACGTGGATAAAAAGAAGAGTCCGAACATGGTACCTTGTACCGACACCGATGATGAGGACACATTTATGGACTGACGCGGTATTCCGTTGTATTTCGAGCGCTTCTAGCAACGGTGGGATTTTGTTTCACACTGAAACACTGCTCATTTGATTTGGGACACTATCTACATAAAATTGATAATAAAGAACTGTCTGTGAAATTTCCAATCTAATAAGCGCCACAGCCGATAAAGCCATCGGCAGTGGCGTTTATAGTACATCATCCCCATCAGTAAGTCTTTGCCTATTCCTATAATCACCAGCAAAAAGGGCCGATTCCAAGCCTATTTTTTTCCACAAAAGTATATAGGGATATTTTTAAGATAATCTTGAAAGATCTAAAATTTCGTATCAGATTAACAGAGTATTTATTGCCAAACGATGCAATATACGTGGCTGTGATATGATATCTGATGAAGATTCGATTATATATATTGGCCCTAGACTTAACTCTGGACCGGAATTTTTTGCAAAACGTTGAAGACTCGCAGTTCTATATCAAGAATACTAAAGATATTATCCATGTATGTTCCAATCACCTAAGGTTTAGAATTATTATCAATATGAAAATAATCAAAGCATATGTTACCAAATACCTACATATGTCCTAGGTAAATTTGTTGAAGAACAAGGGCTTAAGATCGGCATTTCTAAGGTTTTTACTGGTGATTCTAGGAATGATTGAAGTCTTATTATCACTAAGGTAAATCAGCTAAGGTCTGCTTAGGTGTTATCAACCTTGGAAGTTGACTCTGGAGTACGTAAAGCCTAATGTGAACAGACGTTCTTCCCCTGATCTCCACCTGATAGCTTTGTTACCATCGAAAATCTAGCAGTATCTATTGGATTTGCTTTGCCATGATCAAACTCGACTTGAACAGTATGTTGCATGAGGCAAGCTACACTGTATGAATGATAGCAGCATAGTTTAATGAACAATTTTGAAGAAGCAGGACCTAAGGCTTCTTCTTTCTGTGCATTGGGTCCATGAGCTCATTTATCCATAGAATATTGGAGGAATATGGGAAGTGTGCCGGATTGTACTCCGTACAAGTTTCAGCACTCCAACATTGGTTTTTCGCGTTGAGGAATCTACCGGTGAATGTGGAAACGAGTAGTCGTCGTGAAGGCCAACACGAGGTGACCGTTGGAAAACAAAGCTCCTGAAAAATCTTGCTAAGACATTAATACATCTGCCTACAAGTCCGAATACGACATCCGGTTGTTCGTAAGGTCTCAAATAAAGTATGCATTGAATCCCGCAGAAAGACCAATGGTATGTCTATCATTGCCCACTGGAGATGGTATCGACAGGTGTCTCAATTTCTGGCAACTTCATTGAGTGAAAATCATTGAGCCTAAAATAGGAATCCTCATCATCAATTGATCAATTGACTATTTTAATAAATCACTATGCTCACGGCAGCACCGGGTTTCACTAGCAATCTCAGTAGCGGTGTAGATCATCCGGTAGACCCAGAAGAAAAGGGTGAGAACAAGTAGATTGACCCTACAGTAGGGGCGACTGAGCTACTGCTATTTTTAGATATTTGGAGCAACTCGCCACTCATTGTTATGGTACAAGAATTATCAACAACGGACCTGGGCCACAACAAGTAAAAAGCCCGAAAATGGGGAAATTTGGTCACTGTATGTTTCTCCGGTGCATAAGGGGCAATCGAAATTATTGTTACTCTCTGATTGGCCTTGACTCGGATCGCGTGGATACAATTCGGAGAAACATTGAAAAAATGTGGAGGGCGCTTGGCATTCAAAGGCTCTTTCATTGTACTAAGATATTGCATAGAGCCTACAAAATTGTAGCTATCGACAAGATTCACTTAATGAATGAGAAAGGGGAATGGTTGACAAAGAAGCCAGAACAAGTAAGCATATTGCATAACCGGAAAATCCATAAAGTTGTGCAGAAAAAACCTACCCGTGACAAGATCCAAGACATCGACAGGACCAAGACAGGTTTAGACAACGTTTTGCCCCATAAAAGAGTCCAATTTGATGTCATTTTGCGGGATAGTCCGTTGCTTGGCGATTGGGATAGTCTCTATAGGTGAGACATGGACCTCGGCGACGGCAGTGGCGCTCATCTTCTGTCTTCTCGTGGCTTAGAGGGTGAGGTCGTAAAGGTATAAAAGAAGCAACATTCCAGTCAATTTTGGGAACCATCAATCAATCTCACCTTCTCAAATCACTACGTCCCTAGCTTCTCAACTACACTTCTCAAACACACTCTTTTCCAACATGCAGCTCAAGAACCTCGCCCTCGCCGCCGGTGTCAGCGCCGTTGTCTCCGCTGCCCCTTCCACCCAGTCAAAGACCTTCGGTGTCGTTGCCATCCACTCTGGCAGCGGTGTTCAATACTCTGCTTTTAACGCCGCTAAGAGCAGCATCTTCGCTGGTCTCTCTACCCAGGGTGCCAGCTGTGCTCGCCCCGAGGAGCAGCAGGCCACCTTCTACATCAACGACGGTGCTCTGTACCTTTACGACCAGTCTGCCACTCCCCAGGAGATTTACGTTGATCGTTCAGGCATGGGTATGATCCTCTCTTCCCTGTCTACTTTAACATTCAGCTAATTCGACTATAGGCCAAGGCAAGATCGGATACACCACTGGTGCTCAGCCCGCCCCAAAGAACGCCGAGCGCAAGGGCTGGGCTGAGAAGGATGGCCACCTTCAGTTCGGAGGTAACGACCTGATTGCCTGCCCCAACAGCATTGACGGTGCCTGGAGTATCTGGGCTTCTGCTGGTGTTGCCAACCCTGCTGGCAACACAGACTGTGTTGGCATTGCCGCCCGCGTGGAGGAGACCTCCAACCCCAACGGCTGCAGCTACACCCAGTAAACATGTTTTTGCTTTGGAGCGTTATCTTGTCAAATACCTATAATTCGTACATAGCCAAATGATCCTCAGCGGCTCGGGCCAATAGGATCTGTTATCTTGAATATTGAGCTTCCATTGCCAGAAGGCATCTCTTTTTGACATTGGCCTGTTTATCAGTTGAAAGGGCATCATTTACCTTTAGTCGTTTTTGAACCGAGTTGACTTATCTTGAAAAGCTATATGATCGTAGAGTGGAATTTTATATCACTACGACATTATAGATAGTTTGGAGAAAGAACAGACGGAGGTTACGGAATTTTGAGCCTTAGCTTTAGTCTAAACCCAAGGGGACTAGGGTGGGCCAAAAGAGGAGTGGTGTCGACCAAAATACGGTGTCACGTCAAATACAGCAAATTTCACAATTAACCTGTGGTTTGGTCGCTTTTATCAACACGTACCTAAAACTAATAGTATGTCTCGTAGTCTATATAAGTCTACGAGGTAACCACTTCGTATAAGCGAACTTGCACGAGGCTTAGATCTCGCAGTGCGAGGTCACATAGGTTTATATAATCCTACAGTTACAACTCAACAGTCTAGAAGCTAGAGTATGGGACTCCAGCGATTAGTTTGGTTGCTTGTGTGGTTGCTTCCATGCGATCGACCTATCTGCATTGCCGAGCCCATCGTGCCATCCTCATTTCACTTCGTAATCAGCAGACAAGTTGATCTTATTTTCTCCCATTTTGTCTTCTTGATTCTGTTAACTACTGTGTGCATCCTAGGAATACCATTTCGATCAATTCCATCTTAAATCCCATTATATCCACCGAAAAAGCGTTATTTTGAACAAGGTTCCTAATAGTGGCTCTCTGCGAGTTACAGTAAGAGAATAAGTGATGAGTATCGGTGAGCGGCATGGACGGTGGAGAGAAATCATTTGGGCTGCAAAAGTTGCCGAATTCCAGTGCGCATCCCTTAAGCGCTAACGAATGGAGTGATCAACGACACCTCAGGATAAAGGAGCCCTATAAAGTATACGAGTCAGCTAGATTTGTAGGTTAGCAGCCGTAGGTTGTAGCAGTATTGCACTCTGCCCGTGGTAGATCTTGTGGTGCCTATAGTGCCCGGCTTGTGATCTACACTGTACATTTATCCATCCAACGCAGAGTTATTTGAGATAGCAGGGTGACCTATAGAATTCAATTGCGTAAGACAACTTTTGGAAACTTCAATACGTAAAGATTGCCCGAGTAAGAGATAGGCATTGTCATAGAACAAACATCTCGCAATCAACCTTAGAACTTCCGCATTCCTGATAGTGCATCTTAGCTTTGAAGGTATAGTGGATAGAGACTTAGAGCAACCGATTTTGTATTGAAGCGCATAGGCTTAGGCTAGAAAGGAAGGGCAACAAACACACGTAAGACTAATAAGGGCTCTATCAATTTATGAAGTTTTGGATTCCCTTGAGAGTTACCATGATTCGTGCTGGGGTACCCCTGGCTGCAGCCATAGTCACACAAAATACCGTAGCAGATGAAATACCGTATTTCATAGGGTATTTTAACTTCCCATCAGGACGGCTTGTAGGATTAGTCAAGAGAGTCACCGAAAAAGCAATGCCGATGACGTTGAATATACGTGCTCCTTGAACTTACTGTGAGGTCTCATATCGTCCTGCATCAAGCTGACCCCTATTTCCCGTCGTGTAGACTCGGCTATACATTCTTCTGTATGTGAATGCTAAGGTTTTGGATCCCGACAACTCTATTCGAAAGTATAAATAGTTCCCCATGCCACTCGTGCATGGTACAGTATTCATTACCACAGTTGTTTTAATCTGTTCTTCCTTATCACCAACTTCCATCAAGGCCGTCAATATGGTTTCCTACAAGATTACAGTCACGGACCCCGAATCAGATGGTCAGCAATATTTCTTCCAGTGTGCCGACGACGTGCGCATTCTAGATGCAGCCGAATAAAAGGGCTACGGCTGGCCTTAGTCGGACCGTGAGGAGAAAGGTTTACCTCAGCTGCACTTCTAGAGTCTGGTCAAGTTGATCAATCTGAACAAACATTTCTAGATGACGGTCACATTACAGCCGGACACATCCTCATCGATTCCGCTTATCCACGGAGTGACTGCGTCCTCATCATCAGAAAAGAGGAGGACCTCGTTGGTTTCACACAACAGCGCAATATACAAGAGGGCAATAGCAATGAAATATGAAGATATGAATATTGTATTGTGGACGGAGGAGAGAGAGAGAGAGATCTATCTACTCCATGGGAGACTATCAACATGTGAATGTCACCTGACATCCCAACAGGACCTGTATTGAATATTGTTATCGGGACGCTCGGAGCGCTATGACACGTTCATTTACTATGACAACCACTCCTGATACCGCCAAGCAGACCATCGCAAGATCGAAGTCATTACCAACGAAGCCACAAGTAGTCTCTTTTTGCCGCTTTTTCAATCAGTTTGGTGCTTTATTGAGTTGTTCAACGAGCAATGAAGGATGAATAGCTTGGTCTGAATATCATCGTCTGGAGTTTTTTGTATTTAGATTCTGCATGGAGCATTCTTGGCGAACTCGATGTCTGTGAGATAGTAAGGCGGGCTGCTATGTCGTAGAGCGTTGTAAATATAATGGATGGTGGAAAACACTACGTCCTCATAGGAATAGAAGAAGAATGATGATCAACTATCTAAGATGGTGGCCTGGATGCTCATTTGATATGAGCATGCCGGCATAGCAAACATGCTGACAAAGGAAAGGTGCATACACAATGCATCAAAATATTTACTTATATTTTGGTCATATAACAGCTAAAATATGAAACCCCTCTCAGCCTAGTAGTTCGTGCTTCAACTTCGACAATAGGTCAAGGTGGATGAAACCTACCTACCTACTAGGTCGTGACCCACAGAAGTCCACAGCAATGGAACTGTCATATGCTGCAACAGAAATGACGGTTCATACGTCATTTCTCTAAACGTAAGGTAACACTTTATTTTCATAGAGGCCTTATCACTCATAAGCAAACGCATAACGCACCATACTTCTGGGCGGCACAGTATTTGCACATATCACAGTGTTTCATGAAACATACAGACATATTACAATTCATTCTTCGTTCCGCATCTGCGACTCATTTGGCTCCATACACTGTATCCAAGATCCTGCCACCATTGCAAGGTTTGGCTGTTGGAGTTGCAAAGCCGTGCAGTGGTGGTAATAGTAGGACCCTTCGTGGCCAACGTTGGTATCCGTCAGATTGGGATGATACTGCGGATTTTGAGGAGCAAATGAGTGCGACCGACATCTCTACCTCGAATCTCATTGCATTCCAGGACATGAAGCTCGCTAGCAATGTAATGTCTGAACAAAAATCCTCTAGTGCTCAACATCAAGCTGCTGTCACAAGCAGCACTGACAAGCCCGATGACAGCATCTCACTGGCACTTGCTGCACCGTTATGGGCCAGCTCCTGATGTGACTTATGTTTGTTGAATTCCGATCAAGTACTTCGATCGAATATGTGAAAAGACGCAGAAATAATTCTTATTTTAATCTGAATTAAACACTTTAGATATACAAGATCTATGTTCGAAGAAATTATCCCAAGATAAGATGACCCAGGCCTACAATACTTTAACATGGTATATATCACGAGCAAAATCTTACAGATTCTCACCAAAGTGGACACGGATATGCAACTTTGACTCCTGCTTCTTGAGACGATCCAAAGATCTGGGATATCTCTTGGAACATTCTACTTCACATAAAAGCTTAGGGGTAGAAGGGGTTTCGGAGAACTTTAGAATCATTATCTACATTCATATGATGTCGTTACTCGTATCACTTGAATGATGATCACACTATTACGAGTTTTCCCACTTCAATTCCTAAATCTTCACATAAATGCTAAACGTATACCCTAAGTTCTATAACATGTAATTATACTTACCTCGGGATCTCGGGACCAGGGAGCCGAGTTGTGTTAGTCAGCAATTCCCCTGGGCAGCTCGCCCGCGCGCCCGTGCGTCGGTGGCCTGAGGTCCCAAGGATCTCAACTTTGGACTTCGACCCTTTTTAGACCTGTTAACTCCATGATGTCCGAGGGCATTCTTTTTTATTATTTCCTTCTGCTTCTGTGCAAAGATCACACTAAAGAAGAAAATTCAATCCAAGTTCACAACGCAGTGGGAAATTGGAGAAGTCACACATAGTGCTGAAAGGACCAATGGTGTGGCTTCAATTGAGTCGGCAATTTTCACCCTGAAATGAAATTGAAAAGCCAACGGTGTCAGAAAAAGACCAAGAAAACAATAATAATAGGAATACCAGGAATAACAGGATTAAAAAGTCAATAAGCGAATGAAAGAACAAGATTTTCCTACTTCATTTACACCAATCCCCGGATACTCCGCCCCTCGATGCGTCTAGTCCTGTCTAGACTCTCTCCCTTCTTCTGTTTTACTCCGCAAAGCTACTTTCCAAAATATTCATGTAGGTGTCACAAAATTCTTAGGCCACTCTCTCGGCCACCTCTTGGTAGTCGACAACCAGTCTTTCTTTACGGGAGGATAGACTCTTTCGCATGTCTCTGATCGGATGAGGATCCCTATTGCTGTGCAGCTGGCGCTGCTGGTGTTGTTAACTGCAGTCTCGGGAGTCGCGGTACTTGCTATTGCAACAGTGAGTTTTGTCCCAGGTATTTGAGGTCTAGAGATAACCAAATGACCACAATAGTGGTTCACTACATACGATTTTGTAGTAGGCGTGGAGTATGTGTGCTTTTTGATCCCATCATTTCCCAAGTCTAACCCTTGACTAGATCACAGGGCCTCGAACTCGTTGCGACCATCAAAGCTAGTCAGATTGCCTCAAATTTGGACCTTATCGAAACAACTTGCAAGACGATCGCCACGCGCATCCTGATCCAGTCAGCTTTGAAGCGTTACTATGCAGGAAACAACACCGTCGAAAACTGGACCAACTCGATTGCAGATGTACAGTCTGCGCTCGGCAGCCGAGGATACTTGAGCCTTTATCAGTCCGCAATCTATTCGAAAAATGGCGCAAACGGGGTTGAGACCTTGCTCAACGTCACAAGTGACACAGTCCCAGATATCACCCTTCCATATACGTATCCGAACGGAACTTCGGTGATGCTAGGCGATGATGGGCTGGGCTATCCTCCTTCTCTATACCCAAATTTGACATATCGCACAACGGGCAATAATGGGTCTGCAGCGGTCTATGCGTTCTCGGATTATACTCTCGGGTTGGATTCAGCCCTGTTGCTCGGTCCTCTGAAAGTCAACACATCATTCTCCCTCGTCTCTTTGACCTTGCCTATTGTCAATAATACCTCGAACACGGACATTATGGGCTTCATGACGTGAGTGGAAGTTTGAAGAATGGGCAAGAAAAATGCCTTTTACTGATAATCGCCAGTGTCGTTGCTAGCGCCGCAAGCCTACAAAGCGTCGTCAGCTCGCGAGATGGACTAGGAACCAGCGGCCAAGTGTTGCTCATTGGACCTTCTCGACCTGCAAATACTTTCGCTTCCGCCGACCAACCCGCAACATCTACATCTGTCGCTCATGCCGAACAGCTTGATAAAGCACAAGTGCACTATATTTTCGAACCCACTCCTCTACCCACCCAGGCGAGTCGACACACTGGCATGTCGACCGACACTCCCTTCGTACTTTCAACATATCCTCTCGCCCTGAAAGTAATGCTTCAATCATACGACAACGAAAACAAACCTTTGAGTGACCTGTCCACTAAAAATGAACTTGGGGTCAGTGTTGCCGTGGGAGCCGTCCGTCCTCAAAATTCGCTCGTTCAATGGATTCTTCTTGTAGAGGAGACACGGTCGGAGGCATTTGCTCCAGTTGCTCGACTGCGCAAGATTATAATCGCTTGTGTATTTGGTACCGCAGGCGCGATCATCATTTTGGTCCCTCTCTTGACACATTGGGCTGTTGCTCCCATTCGAAGACTACGGGCGGCAGCCCAAAAGTCAGTTGAACCTGAGATCGCACATCCTCGTGCGTCCGAGGAAAGAGGGATAGCAGGATTGGAGCTAGTCGATGCGCAGAGGGAATCGGTCGAGGAGCACATGAATGAGAAAGGGTCTCCCTCCATGTGGGTGAAACGTCTCAGACGTCCTTTAGGCCGCTTCAACAGTTCTACTAGTAACAGTCATTCTGAACCCCCCCGAGGCTTTCAGATACCAGGAAGGGTGAAAGAAAGGAAATATTGCGTTACAGATGAGCTCACAGATCTGACAAAAACATACAACGCAATGTCAGACGAGCTTACAATCCAGTATACGCGACTGGAAGAACGAGTTGCTGAACGGACAAGAGAGCTCGAAAAGGCCAAATTGACCGCGGAGACTGCCAACGAGAGCAAGACATTGTTTATCGCCAACATATCCCATGAACTGAAAACCCCCCTCAATGGAATCCTGGGCATGTGTGCGGTATGCATGGGCGAGGATGACCTCTCCCGGATCAAAAAGTCGCTTCAAGTGGTTTATCAGTCTGGTGATCTTCTTTTGCATCTTTTAAATGATCTGCTTACATTCAGCAAGAATCAAATTGATCAGGCCATCCAAATTGAGGAAAAGGAATTCAAGTTATCAGATGTCCGCTCGCAATTGGCCATCATTTTTCAAAATCAGGTGCATGAGAAGCAAATTGACTTCAGCGTCAAGTTCGTTCATAGTGGAATCACTGAGCCCCAAGGCACCGTTTGCCGCGAGAACGGATTGGAACACCTACAATTTGGTCCAACGCAACATGGTAGATTGGCAGACATGGTGTTGTGGGGTGACCAGCATCGAATCCTTCAGGTTCTGATCAATTTGGTTAGCAACAGTCTGAAATTCACGCCAGAGAAAGGAAAGGTGGAAGTCCGCATACGGCTCGTTGATGAGACCTCCGGGATTGACAACCATTTGCCACTGAGGGATTCGTCCCGACGTCTCTCCAGACTGCGTTCTCAAACTGGATCTAGCGCAAGCTCCTCCATCCCCCCCACCAGTGCGAACGAGGGCCAGGCCGATGCACAGCGGACAATGAAACCCAATCTTCGGCAGGTGACGTTCCAATTTGAAGTCCAAGATAATGGACCAGGGATACCCACCCACCTACATAGGCGCATCTTTGACCCTTTTGTACAAGGAGACTTGGGGCTCAATCGAAAGTATGGCGGAACCGGTTTGGGTCTCAGTATCTGTGCTCAATTATCTCACATCATGGGAGGTGTCATTTTGCTAGATAGTGATGAGGGAAAAGGATCACTATTCACTTTGAGAATCCCTTTGGGCTATGTCAAAGAATTGGTCCCAAGTGCGCATACTGGAAGCATTCCTGGATCGAGAACTCCCAGTGTGCTCTCTCTGGAAGAATTTTCCAACGCCGTTCGAACATCCTCGAACCATGGCTCAGTGAGGAACGAGCCCCATGCTCCAGGCTTTGAGAAATCAGAGATACAGCCCCGTTTAGTCGGCCTGAGTCAACCCTTTTTTACACCAACTGTTCCATCTTCACCATCACCGGTGTCAAATAACTTACCGTCGAACCACAGCTCATTAGATAATGGAGATGGCTCGAAGAAAATCCGTGTGTTGGTGGCTGAGGACAATACGGTCAATCAAGAGGTTGTTCGAAGGTGAGTGCTAAAACCTCCGATTCGACATCCCAAATTCTGACTTATGATAGAATGCTTGCCCTTGAAGAAGTATATGACGTTACAATCGTGAAGGACGGCCAAGAAGCATACGATACTGTCAAATCAAACATGGAGAAAGGCAAGGTTTTTGATTTAATCTTCATGGATATCCAGGTAAAGCATTCCGTCTATCGTCTGTAACGAACGATCTAATTGGAAATTAGATGCCGGTGCTGGATGGCATCGAGAGCACTCGCCTAATTCGACAAATGGGATATTCTGCTCCTATTGTCGCTCTTAGCGCTTTTGCAGAAGAAAGCAATATCAAAGATTGCATGGATTGTGGAATGGACATGTTTATAAGGTAAGTTTGTGCATCGCAGACAGTACCCTGATTCGATGCTAACCACCGACAAAAATAGCAAACCCATTCGAAGACCTGCTCTGAAGCAAGTACTCAGCAAGTTTTCCACTATTATTGAGGAAGCTGAAACTGGATCTTGAGGGCGACGCATATTTGAAACAAGGCATGGAAACATATGTAGCGTTTGACATTTACTCTAATTGATGTACATAATCAAGTTCATAATAATCTAGACACATCGGCTAGAACAAGTGAAATATATCAAAGACCGTATATTTTGCCATTCGAACCATGTCAGGCAACCTGTTGGAGGCAAACCAAGACTTATACAGAGAAAGGCCGAGACATGGAATGGCGCAACACGCAGAAAGCGCAACCAAGGGACTATTTAGGTGCGCTGGGGACGACTAAACACCCGCGGGTAATAGGAATCAGGTCCCCAAAAATCAAGGGGTATAAGCCGATATTGTATACTTCGAAAATGTTTGAGTGCTTGCAGAAAATGTGGTTTACAGCTAGGGAAAGAGCTTGATCATATTGTGCTGAATCTAACAGTCGAATGCATTCATGTTTAGGAAAAGGAGGGAAATACGAACATGAGTCCAATATAAGTAAAAGATGAAAAAATATTGATGAAGTCAAAGTGCACTGCAATGCATGCAGTCCTTTTGATGTCACCGCATTCTCTGGTAGCATTGTTTCCAAGCTAATTCATGCCTTCCCGTTCCCCTCTTTATATGTGGCAAGGGCACGTATACCCTCTTCGTTGCAGAGTTGAAAGGATACGCCCGCAGCGGCGCAGACTCCTGAATATCCCGTCACGTTAGCAAGAAAATCATGTCTAAGATTAAATTCATAAAGATAGATCGCGTTCCAGTACCCATGGAAATAGCAACCTGTTTCAATATCTGACCCCCGTCACTAACCACAAAGCAGCCCAACAGACTTGATTCATAGAAAAGTGGATTGACCAACGCTCCAGCACTGCCCTCCATCTTTGAGCGTCTAAGCTGATCAATCAGACCCTGGGATCGGTTGATAATTGGGGTTTGTGGAACAGATTGCCGAGTGTGACGGTTTGGTATCCTTAAAAAGCTCAATCCTCATGGTTTCCCTGTTGTTAATCAATCGTCTAATCCGGCGCTCATTAACTTTGACGCTCATGGCAGATCTCTTGAGCCAGTTTGACTTGCTTTCAGACCAGTAACGTTGATCTAATTCGCGCCAGTTGTTGACCGAGCGTTCGGATGCCGCTCCGTTCTTTGTTTTGACCATGTAGTTGCAGTACTCGGGGTGAGTAGAGACGTCGGTGCCGAAATAAACCTCGCCACCATCGCGGCCGAAGTTCGAAAATCCGTGATCATAGTGGATATCATGAACCTTCACGGACCCTTTTCTCTTGCTTAAGTGGCCGGGTAGAGTCGAGGATTACTGTGTAATAAATTCTATAGTGAAAGTTGTCAGGTGAATTTCCAGAGAGTATCCATTGTTTATTTGTAATTCCCTAGTCCTGTTAGAAACCGCATATAAATGGCTAGAACCAGGGGTAATAAACCACAGAGCATTCATACATTCTTGTTGGCTAGATAGCAAGTGTTAAAAGTCAAAAAGTGATTCCCATTGTGGAGACAACCAGATGGTGACTGACTGGGCTGAGTGACCTTGTAACGCTTGGCGGAGCAGAACAATAAGCACTTTCTTTCGATTTGAAGGTTTGATTGGAATTTCCTTCTTCGTCCTTTTCTCTTTGTCCACTCGTCCCCTACGAACTCTTGGACTGGGTCGCATGCAGACAGTGGAGTAGTCCTGAAGCATATAGTATAGAGAACCCTGCCCAAAATGACAATGATCTATCTAGCCTTTCAGAAAGCTATGATTGGCCTTTTCTAAGAGCTTCACTTATGGGGCCAAAATTACTGTCTGAGATTGAATCTGGGTATTCGAGGTCGTCGGCAACGTCCCGCACCGGAACCACATACCGAGAACGAGGAAATGGCCGGTGAATATCGCTGGGAATATCACTGGGATTATCGAGATGGACGCACTTCATCAATCCCTCCATATTGGGCGCGGTTTCTCAAAGATATGTCTGATCTACCACTTCTTCCGTGCATTGAGAAGCTCTCTTTTCTAAATTATGAACCCTCCCCTAACGATCATCATAAAATCTGGACTGGGGCGTTGCAGACTATAATTCGCTGTTGTACAAATATCGTTGAATTGTGGCTAGTTCTTACGGATTATGTCCGTCCAGACCACTTTGAGTATATACATGCATGCCGCGAAGTTAAGCTATACTCGTTGAACCTCTATTGGCCCTAGGCACGTTTTCCTAATGGAAATATAGCGTTGTCTTCTCTCATCGGTTCTATTCCCACCAGCATAAGAGTGCTACTCTATGAAGGATATCTTGATGACTCGTGGAAAGAGGCCATGTCCCCACTCATGTCATCCCTTCTGGGGTTGATGGTGTGAGCTCTAATTTACGAGATCTCAGTACTCACCTTCGGCAGTTAAAGTTGGTGCGCACTACCATAGCGTATGACAGTTTGTGTTCTTTGGATGAAAGAAGCGAGCCTAGACCAGATTCTTTGCACTTGAAATGGCCCTCCCTAGAGACATTGAAGCTTAAGGAGATGCCGCCTTACCTTCCTTCAGGTAAATAATCCTTCCCTCTCTAAGAAAGCAACAAAATACTTAGTTTATTCAAGGTGTCTAATAAAAATTTAATAGGAGAAGTAACTTATCATAACACCCAGGAAGATCAGATAGAACGCGATAAGATTGAAGATTGGGAAGAACTGATTTGCGATGGCGAAGCGGGATGGGGCTGGCCGAACTTACCGACTGAAGAACATTTCCATCGACTTCTCATATCGCTCGGCTATGCGGCCCAACGCATGCCCCGTTTACAGAACCTGAAACTTGACGTGGTACACCATCAGCCGTTTGCCGTCTCGCTTCAGAACAAGGACCAGATCGCCCTAGAATAGAATTGTTGGCCCTTATATCGGCCAGATAGTCGGGTGGCTAAGGCGTGGAATTTTGACCTAGATGATGTCAAATTTCACCAGGGACTCTTCTGTTATACTTTGGACCTGGCCACCGAATTACCCTATCTAGCCTGCATCAAGACACAGGAATTTCAAGTGGGGCTCTCCTTCACCAAGAACAGTGTGCGAATACTGGCCGCAGATCTTGATTTTGAGGCTTTGTGGGCCTTTGGATATCACAAGGAATTTCCAGAGTGAAGGAACTTTGGCGTCCTTCATATGTATCAATTCAGTTACTACTTAAAGGCTCCAATTCAAGAAAAGGATCGATTTCTGACATTATTCGTAGTTCCTAATCCATAAAGTGGCCTCTGTAAACAAACCACCAATAATAAATGGCATAGCCACAATAGCTGGTCTCCAAAAATGGCAATGTGCTTCAGGCCATCATAACTTGGACAGAGTTTCAAGGGATTTAGATATTACAAGTACTCATATTAACCCAATCGTATTTATTCAGGACCGAAGTTCTAATCTTCCAGTTTTTTGATACCCTCTTCCAGAGAAGGCAGTTTTTCTTTCCCAATACCAAGTCTCTTCCTCCATTTGGATTCTTTCTTCAGCTTAGCTCGTCTTCTTCGTCTCGGCGCGTAGTTGATAGGAGATTCACCACCAATGAAAATGAAGGTATCGTAAAGTGTGGCGCCCACAAGACAGCCAGTAATTGTAGCTACCCAGCCGCCCCAGAACCACCAGCCACTGCGAGCAGTGAATGTTTCGACTCCATAGCCAGCTAGGAGAGCGACAATCCGTGGGCCAAAGTCTCGCACTGGATTCAGACACCTGAAAGTATCATGTTAGCGCCTCTTCTCATAGTAAACTGCGTGAAAGACATACCCTCCAGTATTAAAGCCCAAGCCAATGCATATTACATAAATCACCAAACCGATGACAAATGAATGCATACCCGCACCAGGCGGAGCATTGCTATCATCACCCATCGCAAAGACTACACAAAGAAGAATCGCATCGGCAATGAACTCAGTAAAGAATGCCGTCACAGAGCTAACATGGCTCAAAGGCTCGGTATAAAACCCAAGCCCAGAGCTACCAGCCGACACGGTCGGCGCGAAAGCGACAATGGAATCTCGATAGATGCAGTACGCCAACCCCGCAGCAGTGAGCCCACCAAGCAACTGAGCGACTATATAGTAACAGCACCGTCGTCCAGGAAAACCACGGAAGACCCAAAGTGCGATAGAGATGCCTGGGTTAAGATGCGCACCGGACACACCACCAGCAAGGTAGATGCCGACCATAGATCCAAGGCCCCAGGCCCAGTTTTTTGATAATATGGTTCCGGCGCTTGTTCCGCCCGTTGAGACGGCAAGGGTTCCGCAGAGACCGATGAGAAGGGCGATTGTTGTCTGCAGTATAGGTTATTGGCATCTGACTCATTATAACTGAAAAAGCGTACACTTACAGCAAGCCATTCGGCAAAAGGTTCTTTCAGTAGATGTCGAACCCTCACCCATTGATTTAAAAACTCCTCTCTAGGCGGCTGGACCATGTTTTCCTCCTGGGTAGTGCGAGAACCATCTTCAACTTCGTTTTCCATCGGACGCAAGAGTCCATCGGGCTGGGCTTCGTATACGGCGTACTCTTGCGGTAAGCCCTCCTGAGCAGCAGATGCGTAAGTCGGGGGATGTTGGGGAGGCGGCGGTGCAGTGCGGCGATCGGTAGCATTGGAGCGCGAGTTAGCCAGACCAGGCGTGGCGCCGAGCTCAGGAGCCGGCTCTGCCTCACCCCGAGGATTCGTGTTGTACGATTTCTGGTCAGTAGTTTCATTGCGGCGCATCCCTGGTCGCACAACGCGAGGTAGGGGCTTCGCTAGCCCCCAGACTGGCTTTTCGTTATCTTTGCCATACCGTGGGTTCATGGATTGATATTCAGGATCCTGGTATACTGGTCCCTGTGTTGATTGGCCGTTCATCGTGTTTGGACCGGCCACGGTGTGCGATGGTACAGTTTGGATAGCGTTCTGACTTGCGACCTTGCTGTATAGCGAGGGCCTTCGTTGCGATGACACACCACAGCCGCAGTAGAAGCTGCCCGATGCAGTGGGCTGTCGATTCATAGATGCTCGTGTTGGTAGGGCGGATTGGGATTGTTCTTGTCGTTGTATCGAGGGATGGTCATGTTGAACTACGCCGGTCTGTGGACGTTGCTTCAGTCGGGATGATTGTGGTGACTGTGACTCATGCTGCTGTTGCTGTTTCTTGGTATTTTCACTCTGAGCTTTTGGATCGCCAACTCTGTCATCGCGTGTTTGATTAAATGTTTCAGTGGAAGGTACAAAATTCGGACTGTCTTGTTCTTCAATTGATTGTAGTGGAGATGCCGGAGGTGTCTTATGAACAGACTGTTCGGTCATTACAAAGGGTGTCGCTATAACACTAAGCAAACTCGTTCACAAATGCAAATTTTAATGGATTGACAAAGGAAGGTACGGTGGGCAGTCTTATATAGTGAAATCCTAGTGCCAGGAGGAAAGCGAGCGGATTCCGGTTTTAGATCAAGGCCGAATGTAGTCATCTACAGATGATGAAATGCTTCCAAGCTCTTGTCGGACCGTCAACGGGGTACTTCCCAGCTGGGAAAGGATTGTGGACCCGGCAGGCGCTGATGGAATCCATCTGACTCTCGGCTTGCGGGTGACGTGAAATCGAAGCGCGATCCAGGGCGTAACTTACCAACTTAACATGTACTGTAAAGGATCTATTGGATGGCGATAAACCCATCGGTTCCCCGGGCCGACCAGAGGGTAGATTCTAACCAATTAAGGTCTTCTACATATGTAGATGGCTTATGTCGCCACCGCGAAGTGATTGTCGCTCGTGGTTCCGCCAATCAGAAGCTCGGTTCGATACTCAGAACTACCCACCAATCAAAAGCCAGAAAAGGCCTCTAGCTCCAGGTCAAGAATGTAATTGTTTCAAAATTGCGTCCCGGACCACACAGCACCAACGCGGCGGGGAGCGAGAGCGTGACTCACTTTTCATGAGGCTAGATCGAAAGTCCAGTGAGCTGAAAAGTTGTCCAGGCTGCTATCGACGCCATAAGTTATCCCAAAACATGTAGGAGCAGCCACTTGAAGCCCAAAACACAAATCACAAAGCCACATCCAAAGGAATTTAGAACACGGGAGATCGAACTTTTCACAAGAAAAAATCAGCCTGTATCTGGCTTAGATCATCTTGATCTGTCGAATAGAAGAAGGAGAGAACTGGTGAAGATAATCTCGATCGACCCTGTAAAGCAGCTTCACACGAGTCACCAACCTGCTACCAGGATCCAAGCCGGAGAGATCGCCATATACTTTCAGTGGATGTCAGGGCATTGCGATAATCCACGCAACGACGCTGCGGAGCGAGCGGCGAAGACAGCTTCAACCCAAACCGCTAGCTCCAGAAAGAAGCTGGACAAATGGATGCCTTCTTGATTTATGTATGTATATGCCTCTCCAACGGCTAACTTACAAAGTTTACTAATGACTATTCCACTGTCGTAGTGGGGCCACAGATGCAACGTAAGTCCCGGATGCAGTTCACGCAATTTGAAATATCCAAGCTTGCTGCCAATTTGTTCCGGGATTACGATATTGAGCAAGTGTATCCTAAGGAAAAGTGGACATGGCAAAATCATTTTATCTGCGTGCCGTACCAATAACTGTGGAGATTCGGACAACTTCCAAGGACGTGATAATCTAGAAACACACCTTCACCACTAATATGTCTCTTTCAGAGGGTCATCGCACTAGACTCGAGTGGAATTGGAATCGTTCAGAGAAACACGGCAAGCGATGGTGAAGGAGCTCATCGAAGCGTTGATTTATTCTATTTACTTAGGTCTCTTGGTCCATGTGTGAGCACATCCTTCCTGGTACGGAGAATGAAACCTTGGAAGGAATATATTATCGGCAATAAATCATCTATATATTACATTCTTCATCTTTTCCACAATGCTTAGTCTTCTACTTGATCATTACCTGATTCATCAGGCAGGAATTGCATTATCAGAACTGAATCCCCATGAAGCTCGCTTTCAATAGAAGTCTTCATAAAGGGGGACATAAGTCACCTCGCTTACGAATGAGCACACAGAACTATGTCTACATATACTAGGTAAGCTATAAGCTTACCTAGCAAGCCTTGGCACAATCAATTGGATTTGATGCAGCACAACGTGCGACAAGCCCTCACCTTACCATGAAGAACTGACTTCTCAGGCGTCTATGCAATGAAGCTAGCAATTGAATGTCTGCACCTTGCTTTTGGCCGCTTCCTTGATTCGAAACATTCCGCCAAGGAACATGCTGCCTGGTTAGAAGCAACGGGACTAGAAATAGCATGTAAGCTATGGCTTTGCGCCGAGAACTGACGGTAGTGCCGGATCCTCAGTCGGCTGCTATGGTGGAGAGGGATATTCGCTTGAAACATACGCTTTGAACAGCTAACCCAAGCTCGTTTCTTTGACCAGCTGGCATCGGTGACACAGTGGATCTGCTCAGAACATTATCTCTCACAGGCACTGTCTCACTTGCATGGTCCATGGTGTATTCTATAAATGTCAGTGAAGTGGAAATTCCCAGCACTCGATCAAAGATGAAAACTTATCAAGTGCGTCAAACGCAACGCCTTTTCAAATTTGCGTAACTATCCAAGTGATCGATTACCAACGCTGCCGGCGATGTGGTACTTGATGTTGACTAAAATCTAACTCTTGAGCATTCATTCCACGCATCGATCAGTGATGTTGACAATGCTGTGCAATACAGCGTTTCCAGACACCAGCATCACTACCCAACTATACTCACCGATTCATTCTCGAAACCTAATGCGAACACCCATTCATCTTAATGTAAACTAGACTCGGAATATCAAAATTCACGTAACCGTAACTATTTCTCTCACTACGTACCAGTACCTTGGGAACTTCACCGACATCTTCCCGGAGCTCGGTCTAGGTACCTACCACAGCTCCAAGCTCCTTCTAATCGAAGGGACAAAAGCTGTATACGGCCCAAGCACACAACTTCAGAAGGCAGGCAGCGCCAGAATATAAGACCTGTAGCTGACTTCTGCCAAGGTCCCTGAGAACTCACCGGCCGAAGTAGACGAGCGGGAACTTCCTGATGCTAGCCGACCAGGCGAAGCGTGTATTGTCTAAAGGCATTTCCGATAACGTCGTAGGTGGCGCCTGCACCCGTTATAATGCTTCGCATCCGGTCTAGAAAGCTTCAGCCACCGGAAGTGACCGAAACAGTGCGTTTTATACATCGTCAAAGATCAATAGCTTGATTTTTGAACAAGTTGATGCATAAACAGGTAGTGAATATTTGATTCTGCAAAATGACGTTTTCGATGAATAAGTGTGCTGACCTGTGATCGGCCTGTTTGACCTCGGGACGTTCGGACGATCACCCCGACACTAACACAAGCGAGGTGACCAGTTTAGCCCCATAGAATCAGAATTCGCGTAATGTTCTAAGCGATCTTGATTCAATCCTCGCGCGGGATTTCGTCTTCATCCGCGGATGTCATTCGTTGTAGTAAAATGTTTCCGAAATAGCACCCACTGCAGAAGACACATTCATCAGGATTAATATTTTTCCCTTCATATAGCGGTCAAAACTTAATTTCGCGCGTCGCAGAAATTTGTCGAATCGCAATAAATGCATCGGTTCAGGTGATGGGGGAGGACTGGCGCAATTATAATAGCGAAAGGCACAATTTCCATCGCGGCACCAAGTATAAATTGAATCTAGTTGACCGAGGTACTACATACCAGACACTATTGAACTTGCATCAACTCTTACCACAACTTGGGGTTCCCTCTCTAGATATCACACATCATGAAATTCCGTTCACTGCCCTGGTGTCTAAATGTCGTCGCTGCCATCGCTGCCGTCACAGGCAGCGCCAGCGCGACTACTTGGAATAGTGGAAACCCGCTGGCCACTTCAGATCAGCGGGAACTGGATGCTCTTGCAATCGAGATCAGCGAATCCAACAGCTTCGTGGTCCTGAAGGCGGAAGCAAAAGCGGCATACAAAACAGCCCATGGACTTCCTCTGAGCGAGGAAGCTTCCTCAAGTCTCGATACAGCCATCGACGAATTGGCATTCAGCGCCATTCAGAAAGCCGTCAACACAGATGTGTACCACCCCAAGGTCTACTGGTATGATTCTGCTCCACGGAATTGGTTCGGTCTTGACGTCCCTGGCGGCCGGTATTCCTACGATAACCCAGACTGTATCTACCGCACCATTCCAATCAGCAGCAGTCTCAGTTATATTGTGACAGGCTACCGTCACTCGCCGGGACCGGCCGACGTGACCTTCTCGCTCATTAGTAACCCCAACTCTCAAAATACCGTGGCAAGCCTCGCTGGAAGCGACCTCGTTGTCAACAGCGATGGCTCATATACCATTACCATCAATAGCTCGACTGCCGATGGCACGACGAACCATATCCAATCCACTTCGCTAGCCAAACAACTCTTGATCCGCAATAACCTTGGAGATTGGGTAAACGAGAAGCCCGACAGCCTCTCCGTTACCCCTGTCGACGACACCTCAAACCACGCCAATATAACCACTACAGCGATCGTTTTGTCAGCATGGGACAACTTGCAAGAATCCGTCATAGACTATGGCGTAGGCGCGCTTGGTCTCAAGACCTACATCAATGCAGTCAACACATTCTCAAGCCCCAGTCAGTCAAGTACCCTTGGCACACTGACCAGCCAAGCGAGCTCATTCAGCCATTTCAACCTGAGCACCGACGAGGCCCTTGTCGCTACACTAACCGCAGGCCCGTCGGATTACTTCGTCTTCCCGGTGACCAATCCCTGGTCAATAACCCTTGATCCAGGGACCAGTCAGAACAGTCTCAATAGCGTGCAGGCAGTCGCAAACGCCAATGGGTCGTACACATTCGTCGTAGCCCTGACGGATCCAGCTGTCTATAATTGGGTCAATACGACTGGGCTCCATGAGGGTACGATCATGGTGCGCTGGCAGGGTCTACCTTCTTCGTCGTCGAACAACACTGTCACTATTGACTCTCAGGTGGTCCCGCTTTCTGAGCTGTCTTCTGTTCTTCCTAGTGGAACGCATTATGTTACTTTGGAGGAGCGCGCATCGCAACTTGCCCAACGTGTTGCGGGATTTTCGCAGAGGATAGAGACCTAGGACTATTGGAATTATGTGATTATTGATACATTTTAAGGCCGTGAAAACTATATTTAGTAGTTCCGATGATATCTACGGTGAAATTGATCTATGGAAATGAGACTGCTCACAAACACTTTTTTCGTTACTTCGACCGAATTCACAATTATTGGGCAAGCTACATGCTTCATAACATAGTATTCACTTTTCTCTTTTGATTTCGATCGAAAATCAATTGAGTGGGCAATACGCACGCGGGGCAGATGATTTGGAATACTATACCACGAATCGAACCGGCTATATATGCAACTCATATCAAAGATATCACTGGGAACTTGTGGACTAAGTGGGCCAGGAGATTTATCCCGTACATCCATCTTCTGTCAGGACTTTCTTTCCATATTCGCAACGTTGTAGTATATACAGCTTCAATTGAGACTGCCTGATATCGGACAAATTTTGCGCCCATCTTCTAGCTTTGTGGATCGCTGGGTTGCCGTTGTGGTAGTTGTCGAAGAGGTCGTTCTCCAGGATAGAAGACTTTTTTCCTGCTGAGAGTCATAGGAAAGTAAATGTATGGTGGGACTGAATCTATCCCGCGGGGGTTGCTCCAGTCTGGCAGACTGGAGCTTGGGGTCATGTCTTGACCAGGCTAAACGAACTTAGAGACCACCCTGGCTGCAGCTTTTCCAACTCACCCTGACTGCAGAGTTTCTATCAACCCCAATCGGTCGAATAGGTTAAGCAATAGTGGTTGTCCAGCTGTTTTACCCCCAGTCTTCTTCGGACCTTGGAAAAACTCATATTAAGCCATAATCGCGATTGAAATTGGTATCAATTTGGGTCGGTCTTGAGTTGGATCTGCTTTCTTAGGCGGATTGGGCTTTTGGGTGAGTGTTCGCGAGGCCAAGTCATTTTCGGTTTCCTAGTGGCTGAAAATGGTTAAGAGTGGAAAAAAGACAGTGGACAGAGGTACTGGTATCTTGAGAGCTACAGCTAGGCAGTGGGAAAACAAGAAGCACGCTATCCTACTATTGGCGACCAAGCAGAGCCTTTCTGTATGGAACAGCCATGAGCTGAAACCTATGACGACTGTGTTTTATTCGATTCGGGATTCTGAGACCAATAATACTAACTAAATAACGAATTAAACATTTATCCAAAGGGTTTATTTAGCGTTAATATCCACTCTGCTCAGGGGGTCACGTAGGATTACGTGTTATCTAATGGGCTTTAGCCCGTGATACTTATCGCGATTCAGTAATTCGATTACTTAACCTAGCGCGATATAGCCTATAATCGGTACTAAATTTATAGGCACACCAGCAATAAAATAGCCGTTCCTAATAAGAGTAACATAATATATAAAGCATTAGCAGCGAGGCCGGCAACTCTTGTTTTAATGTCTTAGGGGGATTTTTTTAGCAAGATCAATTCGATACGATCACCCATCTTCTTTTGCCTCGATTAAAAAGAGACTTTAGACAAACTGACAACCTCAAAGCTTTGACATCGAAGATGGCCTCGTCAACAAACGGAAAGGCAAACAATGACCCTGATGGTAGTTCGGTCTTGACTCGCAACTCTGCAACTTCGGAGAGCCACGCCACCCACTGGGAATTTGACGTGGCCATGCAGGGTATGTTACAATGCTGCCTTCCAAGGTTAGGGTGGTAGCCTTGCTTCTCTTCAGGGAGACTATCGTAGACATATTTGAGTGTCGGCAAGATTCCTATATGACTAGACTTTTTGTCTCCTTAAGAACAAATGACCAAGAATGCTTAAAGGCTATACTTTAAGGCCACCCGGTCTATACGTCCATCGGGATGCAGATGCCAAAAAGCGAGCGTTTCAGAACCCGGAATTATACGTAATGATACATCGCCATAGCCAAGCTGAGCGGTCTATGCGCATGTTCAGCATGGTCGACCGAAAATATGCTCCCCGCACATCCTCCACAGCGGTGTAAACAATCCCCCTTGGCCCCTTAGTCCGTTCGGGCGGTTTGAAAACTAAATTTTTAAGGTTCGAACCTAATTAATAGAGATCTAGTCAAGAGGGTCAGTGTGGCTATCGCACAAAGAGGGTGATACTTATCCAAAAGGGACGGTAATGAGGGGGAGGTTGGATATATTTTCAGCCTGCGGTACATAAGCATGCGATTAGAAAACTTGGTTACTAAAAATCTCACACCCATAACTTCCGAAACGTGGTTCAAATACGTTTTGCCATATATATAGCTAGCTATCTAGACAATATAAAAGTTAGGCGGAAGGAATTTAGGGATAAGGGTAGGTTGCGTTTATTCGTACACCACACTAAGCCCTACTAGGCTATCACATGGCAGCCACTTGTGCCCTGTTTTTTGAATGGTAATCCTACGTTCCTGTTTCTTAGTACGTACTTCCGATTTATATCGATCGCTACTAAAAATAATTTATTCTCTCTAGATAATATTAAGATTCACTCTAAGTCGGAAAGAGCTCTTAAGATAGAGATTTTATCTAATTTAGTGAAATAATTTGATTAATAGTCCATCGATCATCGAATGGTTTCTTTTTTAGATATAATACCTAGTCTTCCTCCGCTATAAGTATAGTGTTTTATAACATCTATAGGCTTTCGCTAAATAGCCGTAGTTCTGTTTCTTAGGAAATCCTAAAGCTACTAGAATCCGATTCGTGTAAATAGAGCGAGGACGAATGATCTTTCCACTCTTTGAAAGTACCTAAAAACCTTTCATATATATCTTAGGGCTTCGAAATTGCCGCCCGAAGATGAATGTGGACCTTGTAACTAAGTTTGATATTATAATAGTATGTAACCTCTACCTCTGAAATAATACTCTCCAATCGCTTTTTGATACAAAGTAATTGACGGCTAACTTTATTCAGGAGTTCGCTAGTGCGCTTAAAATTGCCAAGGAGACGATGAATCTTGTAAGCAAGTTACTTGACACCTGTGTCTCTGACGGCATCAAGATTGAGATGGAATATTGCACGGACGCCAAGGGGGCCTATGATTTCATCAAGAAGCGATACGCAGTCACCCATGAGCGTGCTCGTGACAGCCTATCGAATCAACTGAATACCCAACATTCCAGTATGATCCCTGTTTTGAAGGATGCCCCATGCCAAACGTAGATAAAAGCACTAGTGTCTTTTCATCACGTTGCAGGTGGCGTACAATAGCGCGTTTTGAATAGAGGGATTCTGAGCTTGGCTGGGGCGGAGGGTTGCGCTCATCCTTCCGAAAGAACCATGCCATACCTGCATAAGCGAGCAGCTTAGAATGTGGTTTTAGGTTTACGACCGAAGTATTTTGTGCTGCCTGCAAGTGCTATCCCTTAAGAAGTAGTGGTCTCCTTTGAATGGAAGCGCTATTCGCAAAATTACTTTCAAGATATACCTCACCATTGCTCTCAATGGACCGTGGAAATCTCATCAGTCGCGCCACCGAAATTGCTGAGGTTGTTCGCAGCCTGGCAGGCGATCTTTCTTCGCACGGAATCCCCGAGCCTTCTTTCGAACATGGACTACCCGCTGTGCTGCGGACCGATGCACCGGATTAGATGCCCTGGCCGCACGCATGAAGCTCCTGGGCTTACTAGATGAGCTACGTGATCTCTTAAACGATCCAGCACTCTTGGGGGGTCCTGAATTAGTGAGTAAATGGAAATTGTAAATGGAAATTACACTTTCCAAACTGACTAACCTCTTTAGCGTAACCCTTCTTTGAGTATGTTGGCATTGATTCGTCTGAAGATCTTTGAAAATTTTCCGAGTGAGGGAACCACAATCAAAGATCTAGCACAGCGCGTAAATTGCAATGAGCATATTGTTCGCCTATTGATGTCTCATGCGGCCACATATCATGTCTTCTTCAAAGGAAAGTCTGGGTTTTTCATCCACACAGCTGGCTCCCGTATTCTAACGGAGAATGAGGGTATGCGTTCTTGGATGCTGGTCGGACTTGGCGAGACCATGCCTAGTGCCCTTAAAGTATGCGTCAAGTATACCAAGCTCCTCTTGATACCAAGCTGATATCCTAGATTGCTGAAGCTGTATCGCAAAAAAATGACTCTGAAGAGCTACAACATAGCATAATCATTCCAGTGACTATTTAATGCAATTTAGCTAAGAGCAGCAGGGATGGAGCATACAGAATGGCACTGATCTCCCGGTCTTCCAAGCCCTCGCCAACATGCCTGAACGTGCAAAGATCTTTGCTACAGCTATGAGTTGGCACGCTCAGCTACCTGGCTACTCCCCGCAGTATTTAATAGATCACTTCCCGTTCGGATCTGGAGATATCACGGTTGTCGATGTAGGCGGTGGTATCGGCCATATCGCCCGTGCACTCGCGGATCACTGCCCCACAGTTCAGTGCATTGTACAGGATCGCCCCGAGGTTATTTCTCAGGCAGAACAAGCTTTGCCGGTTAACCTCCAGGATCGTATCCGCTTCCAAACCCATGACTTTTTCCAAACCCAACCGGTACATGGCGCTGATGTTTACTTATTGCGCCATGTACTGCATGACTGGTCCAATAAATACGCACGGAAGATCCTGCAGGCTTTGATACCTGCTTTGAAGCCCGGGGCCAAGCTGGTATCAAATGATCGCATCATTCCCGGCTATGGAGAGGCACATTACTTGAAAGAGCGTGAAGCACGGTACGATCTTTAAACCCATTGGGTTTATGGGAATATATACTGACAAAAAGAACCAGGGACTACGATATGTACATGCTTGGGTTGCAAAATGCTCAAAAGCGCACACCAGATGATTGGAAATCTCTTTTTAGAGATACAGACTTGCGATTTAATGTTATACGAATATCCCAGCCATCTAAATCATATCTCTCCATTATGGAGGTGACCTGGGAGGGCTGATATGCGAAGAATTCTCAAGAAGACAAGTATCATTAGAGAATCTACCAAGTAAATTTCAAGAGATCAGCTAAACAAGATGGACCCATCAATGTTATATCTATTGTAACCTCATGATATTAAAATAGCCGGGAATTATTTTTTCTTCATGATATGCCTAATACTAAACCAACACATGACAGGTGACAGGCCTTTTAAACTCGTTTAGGCGGGGCCCCTATCGAGGAATGCCACAGCAGCTCAAAATAACCTCACGAAACTCGCCCGCTAGTAAAGCCGCATATATCTTGCCGATATGCGACCCGATTGATTCTTTGAAAGTTTTTTCGCCAGAGTCATAGGTTGCATGATCCACTAAATCCCGATGCATGATCACCCTAAGGCTCTGACGCACGAACCCATAGAGCTTCTGTGATGAATTACAAAGATACAGTGCGGCCGGTTTGCTCTGGAAGAAGAGTTTCCGGTTCGCTCCGTACCTCGTCTCCCAATTATGCCAACGTTACTCTTCCATTTTCGAAGTTCTTTCCCAATGATCTGGTCACCCAGAAGATCGAGGACGACACCTAAGGAATCAGTGGCGTTAAATTCGCTCCGTGCGTGCAGATCACTAGTGCTGTTTCTCTCCCAGTGGCACATAAGCTTTGTCTAGATGATTCTTGGCTGTATGAGAGCTGGGAAGCCGCGCCAGTCGACTGAAACAGCGGCGCATTTGCATTATCTACGTCCTCGCGAGCTTGAGACACAGAAAATACAGGTATGTCGCAGTCATTAGCACCAGGAGTTCCACAATTTTGCCAGCATAACGAGCACTAATCAAAGCCAAAGAGTTTAGGCTTTGATCTTGCATCTTTGTGGACTGCACATGGTTGCTGACCGGGTGGTTAAGATATGCTAGTTCAGACATATATGAAACCGTATTGATATCAACACCTTTGAACGCAAACGAGAGGCTCGGATCGTCAGCGCTGAGATTTAGTGGCAGTCCTTTATTGAACATTGGGTCAAAAATCTCTGAGTACTACGAGAAGATTATTTTGCCTAGCATCTGAATCACGCCTATAGTTTTCTCTATTGCCGATGTTATCGCTGCTGCTCAGAAGTTTCCTCCGTGGTGAACCCGCTCCTCGACAAGATATAGGAGTGGGTCGTCCTTGGTATAATGTAGTTCCGTCTGGACTTATTCAAGTGCAAGTGCGAGGTTCTCTGGCTGTAGACCGATCCACTGCGTCGATATGCGTAGCACATACCGGTCTTGTGCCAGGCGTTCCCTATCGGGATCTGCGCCACGAACCAGCTTAGAATCAGCTAAGTATTCGAAAATAAACGCGGCTGACTCTAGTTGGCCTAGGTGAGGTCGAGCCTCGGCGTTAAACGGACAATAGTTGTACTACGATCCTAGCAAAGTCTCTGTCCCTATTGTGGTGAGCAACTACGACAAAATAGACAGACAGTTTGCCTCAAACTGAACTAAAGTGGCCGCACCGCAACTGAATGTAGTTCCGTTTGAAGGACCCAGACCTTCCTTTAGCGCAAATTCAAGCGGCCTAAACGGTTTTCCACCACAAAACTACAAATTAAAAAATTGTGCGACAAATCCGTCCAACGCAGACTTACGCCACGACATCTTCATTGGTTACCCAAGAACCACCCTGAGCCAAGCTGGGTGCACAACTTTGAAATGGTCGTCACTGCTCCAAACACCTGATATTTGAATCTATGCGGCAAATACCTACGAAAGTGGTTTATTTTAGTTAGTTACATACACAGGTAGAACGAGTCTCAGACCTTAATCCTCCCCACCCGGGCTCAGTGAGCAGTGCGAGGTGAAAGTGATGTTGCCGCTATTCTACCGGCATCTCGGGTTGGGACCATATTAGGTACTGCGCGTGACTTAGGTGGTGTGTAGTTCCTTGGGTCTTGGTTGGTTTTCAGTGACCTTTGAGGTGGATTTTCCGGTATGTTACACTCAGAGAGTCCTCTTTTGGTTTCAGTGGTTATGACCGGGACTGAGGCACTTTGTGGCGCTCTAATGATCAGCAAACCATTCTACCATCATATCGAACAGTTTCTTATTTTCCATTAATTGTATCATTTTTTATTTCGAAAATGGTGCTTCTCACCCGATTTGGTGATACACCGTGTTCCACGTCTAGATCATCGGACTGACATCATGATGACCATATCCCTGGATTTATGCTAGATGGCCTATAAAAGAACTCTTGGTCGGACATGATAAAAAGTTCAAGCTACGTACATAGTTCAACCAGTATGGAATTAGCTCTTGTCAAACGACTTTTAGTCCGGTCTTCTACCCCATGCATCCCTAGACTGACTCGGGCTTCCGTGCATGGAAACGCCCAGTCTGAAAATAAGGGTGACCAAAAATGTGCGACTACTGTCCCTTTTGAGATGACTTCAAATCAGCTAATATATTGTGGTCGCAGTCAATGTCGGTGCGACATTCCCTGATGACTTTGAGGACTCGCCTTTGAAATCCGAAATTCTCCAGAAGCAAAATCCAAATCCGGGGATTGAGGACTCTTATCACCCCGTTAGTATATTTCCAGTAATTGGGCAAAATTGGACGCTACTGAAAATTTGTTTATCAGACAATGGAAGATATCTACGAAAGTGTCCGAGGAAAATCGACTCCCCGAAGCGCGAAGGCAGCCAAGCCGGCTCAAGAGGAGGAGCGGGAGCCTGGATTGGATGAAATGTGATATTTGTCCGCCACGTTCAATAATTTGGAAATCATTCACGGGCAACTTGAGGGCTGTATGTGATTTACTTCATTTAATCATCTTGACTTATTGAATCGTTCCTTAGTCTACATCAAGGACAGCCTAGCTCCACCAGATAGTCTCCCCACTATACTGTACTGTAGTTTTTGTAGATAGATAGAAACAAAATTGATATTGAAACGACCAGTGTGCATCCTAAAATCATTAGTACGAAATTAATAATGTGATACAACGTTCTTGGTAGTTTTCATACCGAAGTCGATCGACCGATTATCGACCCGTATTGTAGTAGTGAACTATCGCCACAGGCAAAATCACAGACTCATTTTTATCAGCTGGGAAGGCTTTCCACGAGAAGCCTAAAGCGAGATACCGCAAAACATCGATCTACCAGACTTCGAGAACAGGCCCGATATGCTCTATGTATTAGGTGGTGTATTCCCGACAAACCCGAGCATCAAAATATAGACCAATAAAAAATTTAGAACTAGCCTGATACTGAAAGCCCCCTGCATGATATGTAATAGTGAAACAAACGCCGAATGATCTTATATGTAAATCTGTATTCGGACGCCCGGTCCACCTAATATCTATAGAAAACCTTTCATCTACAACGAAGAGCTTGGTCCTGATATCATCCACATGTATGCTGCTGTTGCGTCGTCGGTATCCTTTGGCCGCGCGGACCCTGTTCAGTCGGGGGAAGGTAAATTCGATGCACAGAAGGACCTAGGTGTCCAGCTAATCAGCTGAGTTGAGAACGACCCAAGTCCCACGCGATCCCAGAGATTAGTCCATTCCAAAGAAATTGTTCGTGGCATTCTACGTCTGCCTTCTCACCACTTCTGGATACATTGGCTCTGCAATATACACAGCTGGTGTCCAGAATATCACAGATAAATTTGAGGTCAGTGAAGCTGCTGCTATTCTGGGCGTGATACCTTTTGCTTGGGGCTATGCTCTTGGTCCTATGGTTTGGGTAGGAAGACTCGCCCATGCTTGCGCAAGACCGCGGCTAACATGATTATACCACTAGGTTCTGACATCAGAGATCCCATACGTCGACCACAATCCCATTTGTATCAGGACCTTGCTTGCTCTTGGGCTCCATTTTCCTCTCCATCTTCCACCTGCCCATCATTTATGAACATGGTCGCTCCCCAATTGAGACCTCTACAACCTCAAATTGCCCTTAAAAATAGCACGGAGGCTGATCAAATGGAGCCCGAAGAATCACGACGAAATCATTCTGTACGAAGACTTTCAAACCGCTTGTAAAGAATGTAAGCGTCGACGAACAAAGGTATTTTCATTGCTTAATCCATAAGTATCTTTCGGTAGAATACAGAACGTACGCTGACTATTGATATTTCCGACAATAGTGCAGTGGGGAATGCGAAAAACGTCATACTGTCTGTGTTTTCGACGCCGCAAATTCAATTCAAAAAATCGGAAGAAGAACTCGGGTTCTACCAAGGGTTTTTGGACGAATTTCTGAAGGCAATCCGGGTTTCTAGCGAGGCTGATGCCCAACACATCATTGACACTGTGCGGTCGGGGTCATCGATGAGTAAGATTCAAAATATGATGACTCGCCTCCCCAAAAGTTATCATCTTGGGCGTTCTATATGACCTGTGCGGATTACTAGCGTGGAATTGCTATCTATGTAGAGAAATGATGGTTGCTGCGGCCGTATTATTAATTAAGCTCTTTCGCTTAGCGATCTTTTTCTCCCAAGTGTGAGAGAGATTGGCGGTAAAGCAGATTTCGAATATTGCTATATCTACTTTGCTTACTCCCAACCTGGTAGTTAATTGCCGCTGTAGCTGACTAATTGGAAGTCGATCACGCGACAGGGCAACTCACGTCATGGACTTTGGTCAAGAATCTCGAATATTCCTGTTCAGATGCAGTTCCCATGCAAGCTTGAAAACCCATTAGAAAAAATAAGGCTCTTCTGTCAAAATGCAGCCAGGAGGTTCAGATCCTGAAGCCCTGGAAGCAATCGCGCTAATTATATCTGTCGGAATGCTCTCTAGCCCTGGCCAATAAGAATGTATGAATGCTCTGTCTTTTATTACCCTTGGTTCTGGCAATTTATAACGTGATTCACGGCCGGCCCGTCACCACGGTCGGCCCGTCACCCCATCCAAAATATTAAAAATAGGGAATTTTCAACAACGATTTTAGAATACAAACCGACATAAAATTGACTAAATAACTCTCTCTTGGCATTGATTGATCTTATGCCCTTTCTTTCCACACCTAGAGCAGGTTGGTTGGCGCCGAATAGTAGGTACAGAAGGTAAATCAGGTTCGACAGGAGCTTCTGGAGCAGCTTCATGACCAGATATATATATCTCACTACCACCTCCCTCAGCACCAAAACCATCTTCTAGGCCTTCTAAGCTAGCCAGGCTACCTTGGAAGGCAATCTGCTTCTTACTTCCCTCTCTTTTTTTGGTCTGTTTCTTATTGGCTTCCCGTAAACGTCGTATTTCTTCGTCCTTTAAAATTGATGTATAAAGCAATTTTTACGTCATATCCCAATATGCTATATAGGTCCTTTTTTATGGCGAAGATAGCTTATCAAGCATAGAACTTAGATCAGAATCAGTCCTAGATTTGCGTTTTACAAGCTGTTTTATCGTTCTAGGAACCTGACTGTCGCTACCAGAGCTAGAAGTAGAGCCCTTTAATGTTGGTCGATTAGGGATAGCTAGGGCACCAACGCAAATATTCAGCTTTTCAAGTACCCGATCTGGGTTTAAAGGCGCTATTCCTATAGCTTTGAAGCTATTCTAGATCGTAGCATCCTTAAAAGCGCGTGGGCGGACGTTTAAAAAGATCTCTAGGAAGTCTTCTTTGTCGATAGAATTAATCCCATATCTAACATATTCCGCAACCTCAGTCCTATAAAACCTCTTTAATACGGCGAAACAGCCCACATCTAAGGGCTGTAAGAGATGGGATGTATAAGGAGGCATATAAATTGGCACAATATTGTTGTTTTTGCAAAGCTGGTCAAATTTAGGTGTAAGATGGCTATCATGCCCATCTAATACCAATAGCTTATATTTGCCCTTTAAAGCCCCTGAATGTGGTATAAAATGCTTTTTAAGCTAATCTAGGCATATATCATTATTAGTCCAGCCATTCGGACTAGTATTAAGGGCCTAATCTTGGTTTTTTGGAAGATGATCAAACCATCTTTTCATAAAAACCTTACCCCGAAAAATGATATAAGGGGGCAAAGCCTTGCTAGATGCACAGATTGTTTTAATCACAGTCACCTATTCGCGATTACTAGCTTGTAGTACACCTCGCCGACCATAGAAGAATTACTATGTGATAACGTTTGTGGTTGCATTGATGCCTATTGCAAAGCCAGATTTATCAAAGTTATAAACGTCGTCTAAAGTAATTCCATACTCCTCGACAGTTTTTTAGACCAATTTAAACCACTCTATAATGATATTAAGGTCTTCTGATAAGGCCCTTTTATAATCATATCTTCGCGAGAATCGAGTAGTGAGGTCAGGATGCCTTTTGACGAATTGTGTGGGCCAATTTATTCTAATAGAAGGAGTGGTAGATAAAGAAGCATCTCCACGGGACTTTAGTAGTAAATTGGCCATATCTCTTAACATAGACAGTGTAAGGGCTGCACCTCTCTTATCCATAGAAAGTAGCCAATCATATATAGTTTCCTCTTCGACTTTTGTGAACTTATAGCCATTAGCCTATTTTTTATACTGATTTGTGACACCCTTCATTCTGTCGGAGAGGGTGGTCCGCGGGACGTCAAAAGACCGGGCAGCGGCTACGATAGAGGTAAATCTACCATTTTTCATAGCCTGAATGGCTAACTAAACCCTTCCCTCTTATTTAATTGATTTTTGCGTTTTTTCGGACCTTTTTGGTGGCATTGTGGTGGTTTGAAAACATTGAGTTGCTATGGAGATACAAATTTTGGATGGGGTGACGGGCCGACCGTGGTGACGGGCCGGCCGTGAATCACGTTATAACTAGGGATTCTAACATGACTAATAAATTACAAATAAACAGTACTCTCTAACGTGGATCCCGGCGGGTTCGTCATCCCTGCCGGTCCGTCATCCCACTTCAAATCTTCCGCCCATACCTAGCCACCTATCTTTAAACGCCTACCATGCCCCCAAAACGGAGTCAAAAAGCTCAAAAATTAATCGAGCAGGAAGGCAGGATCTTATTAGCTATCAAAGCTATTCAGAATGGCAGAATCACCACGATCGCTACTGCTGCTCGCTCTTTCGATGTCCCCCGCACAACTCTTGCAGATCGGATGAAAGGCATTTCTAATTTGTATGAAGCAAGGGGTACAGGCCATAAATTCACGCAACTAGAAGAGGAATCAATTCAGGATTGGTTAATCTCTATGGATCAGAGAGGCGCCGCGCTTACAATCGCGATGTTAAGAGATATGGCTAATTTACTGCTTAAACACCGCGGAGATAATGCCCCTAGACCGTTGGCAAAAATTGGCCAACACAATATATCAAACGACATCCTGAGCTTACTACTCGATTCTCTCGCAAATATGACTACAAATGTGCCCTAATGGAAGACCCAAATACTATTATTGAGTGGTTTAATCTTGTCGAAAAAACGATTACTCAATATGGTATCACTTCGGATGATATCTATAACTTTGACGAGTCAGGGTTTGCGATAGGAGTCAGTGCGACGACGAAGGTTATTACCTAGTCATTTTACACCGGTCGGAGGGGCGTTTTACAAGCTGGTAATCGTGAATAGGTGACTGTCGTTGAATCAATCTGTGCCTCCGGGCGAGCGCTCCCACCATACGTTATCTTTAAAGGCAAAAACTTTATGGAACGATGGTTTGACGACCTTCTAAAGCATTGGGCTCTTAATGTTAATCTAAATGGTTAGACAAGTAACGAAATTGGCGTTGATTAGCTCCGCAAACACTTTATTCCGTATACAATAAGTCAGACAAAAGGGAAACATCGTCTTTTGGTCCTCGATGGCCACGATAGTCATCTTACAGCAACATTCGATAAGATTTGCCAGGAAAACAGCATCATACCAATCTGTATGCCTCCGCATGCCTCTCATCTTTTACAGCCTCTTGATATTGGTTGTTTTGCTGTGTTAAAGCGCTCTTATAGAACTCGGGTTGCGGAATATACCCGGTTAGGTATCGATTCTATCGAAAAAGACGACTTCTTTAATATCTTTCTAGCGGCTCGTAACGACTCATTTAAGGAGTTAATCATTCAGAATGCCTTCGCAGCTACTGGTTTAGTGCCATTAGACCCTGATCGGGTGTTATCAAAGCTAAATATTCGTCTTCAATCTCCACCTCTACTAGATCGACCAGTTTCACAAGGTTCAACATCAGGCAGTAATATCTCTACCGGTATCCCTCGGACAACTAAGCAGCTAGAAAAACGCAAATCTAGGCTTAATTCTAGTCTAAGTTCAGCTGCTAATAAGATCTCTTCGCCTACAAAACGTGATCTTCAACAGTTCTACAATATGTCGGTTAAGCTGGTTCACGAGCACATCTTAATGCGAGATGAGATCAAGCGTTTACGGGAGGGAAATAGAAAGCAAACGAAAAAGAGGGAGAGATCAAAGAAGCAGATACCTAATATAGGTAGTTTAACAGAGCTTCCGGTCCCTACTACCAATGTGGGTGGTGAGGAAGGTGTTAGTGTGAGATATATATCTAACCCTACACCTGCTCCAGAACCCCAGGTTGAACCTACACTTCCTGTTTTGGCCCCTGTACGCCAGCAAACTACATGTTCATTATGCATAGGGAAAGGGCATAGGTATACTACATGCCCGAAAAGGTTTAATTAGTCAATTTTATAGTGTTTTGGTTGTTTAATTGGAGTTTAAAAAGTGTAGAAAATATGAAGTTTTGGTGGGGTGACGGACCGGCAGGGATGACGAACCCGCCGGGATCCACGTTAACGTGGATCCCTGTTACTCCGGCCACCCGGTTACTC